CCGTGGATTTGTTTTCTTATGGGGCTAAAGATGTTTTGATCTATAATTTTTTACCTGCTTTTCAGAATCGAAACTTACTTATCAAAACATGGTCTCAAATTATCCCAAAATTGCTAAACTTAATGGCCAAAGCATTCAAACGTCTCTAAAAACGCCTTCTCCACGCTCGAGTGACTTTACTTGGGATCGGGCGTTCCGAGCGGTTAATAAATTCGTAATCCAATAAGCGAAAGCAGAACTGTTTCTTGGCCCATGACGGGAAGGAAGAGAAACTTTTCTCCCCCACTATTCGAATATTCTTCGCACTCTTTGGCATTTTTTACCCCACGCACGCAAATTTATGTCCATTGTCAGCAACGCTGCCTGGCATGCGTGTTGCCAATAGGGGAAGGAAAATTAGTGGAATGAGGATTGAGGACCGTTATAGGGAAAGCCTTTAAGGGTAATAGTTTACCTGGCAAGGGGGGAGTCTTAAAATCTGGCTAAAAATTAGCAGTTCTTGAGTTTCGGGCAAAAAATTAATATTCTGTTCGAGAATTTCTGCGTTTAAAAAATCATGTTTTAAATGTTCACCCTGATTTTTTGTAATTCCCTCATCATCTTCTCTAACATCACTTTTACCCTTCTTTTCTCCATTTTTTTCTTTTCTGTCCTTTTATATCAAACCTATTTCGGAAATAGTTTAACCTTTTCATTTGCATGCCATTCCCCTCATTTCCAGGTGAATTCACTCAACTTTTTTTGCATGTTCAATGTAATTCCCCTTTCAAAGTCCATGTTTTCTTCAGGTTCTCGTGGTTTCTTACAATGTCATCTGTGCAATGACGAATGACGAAGTGTTACTTCACTGTGTTTTTAGCGTATTTACAGGGGAAGTACTTCAAGTGTGACGCTCATATTTTGCCGAAACTTGGCACAAATTTAGAATAATTTTTTCTAACAAGGAAAGTACTTTTATGGGGGCTCCTACTTTTTGACGGGACATACCTCAAAAAATCAGACAAAATGTGCTGATCAAGGGTACATAAATCTTAGCTGCCCATTTTGGGCTTTTATGGGTGAAAATGCCCAAAAACTGGCTCAATTTCCCTACAAAAGGCGCAGGCATTCGAAACGATAAAAAGCGCAGTCGGTCTCTTCCTTCGGAAGAGAGCGGTGTGGCCGAGTGGTTAGTGCCGTAGTCTGGGAATCAAGAGGGGGAACGCCGCGCGGGTTTGATTTCCCTTTTGGGCTGAATCAACTTTTTTTGAAGTTGAAGGTCGGAAAAATAATTTTTTGGGCCAAGACTGATTTATTACGTCTTAGAAACTCAATAAACATCATTTTAAGCCAAAATAAAAATTGTAAACCTGTGAAAAATTAGGCGAAAAGGGGTTCATATAGGACTTTAAGTCAACTTCCGATTAAGTTTTCACCCCTAAAAACCTAAAATGGGCAGCTAAGATTTATATATCCTTGATCAGCACATTTTTTCTGATTTTTTGAGATATGTCCCGTCAAAAAGTAGGAGCCCCCATAAAAGTACTTCCCTTGTAAGATATATGCGAGAATTCCCGCTTTGCAGGCGCTTTGCAGAAACAACCGAGATTTTTAGATCAAAAGTCGACGAAAATTTAGGGGACTTTTTGCCGAATTTCGGCACGAAAAGTTTCATGCCTATTTCTACCGTAAAGGATAATGTTTCTACAAAAAATCAAATTTTTCCGCTCGAAACTTAGCGGCGGCGCCCGCAAAGCGCGAGCTAAGACTTTCAGGAATTGATTTTAGACCATACCCGACGTGTGTGCAAAATTTAAAGAAAATCTGAGCTTCGCACTTGGAGTACTTCCCCTGTGAGTTTCATCGTCGAATTTTCAAAATTCCCCTCAAAAAATTTCCTAAACTCTCAACTTTTCTCGTCCACTAATCAAATTTTTTTCGAACTTTCCAAATTTTGATGAAGTACTTTCTGTCTCAATTTACTCTTTTTTTTTGCTTTTATTACTTTTTTCATTTTTTGGGTAATCATTTTACTACTTTTTCTCAACTTTCAATTATTCCGCATTATGCATCCGTCAATTCAAAAAACAAAAGGCGAAAAAAGCAGAAAGCCGGCTCGAAATTTGATCTTTACCCACCTGACATTGGCGAAAGTCTTTTGGACTGGGGCGGATATAAGTGGGCAGGTCATATTTTGAGTGGCGAAGGAAGTTTAATTTATGGATAATCGATTTTTAAACTTCAATTCGTACTTTTTCGAAAAATGAGCTGAAACTTTTGAGTTGAAAAGCGGAGTTTTAGTAGGGATATTGTAATTGTTGTAGAAAAAGAAAGAATTTTTATTTGTCAGGAAATTTAAAAAATTTATTTTACTTTTAAAAATTTTTTGACAAAAAATATTATTTTTTTTTCAATTTTTCATTTCTACAAAATTTTTAATTTGTTGCAATCGTTCGTATTTTACCAAATTTATATTTTCAAAAACCCCACAAAATTACCATTGTTTATTTTTTGGCCCTGTTATATTTACTGTAAACTCCCCAAAAATTTTATTTTTTCTTTGCCGTCAGCGTGCAGCCCAATATATAATTAGTCTGAATAGAAGAAAAAGTGCAATGTATTATGACGCGCAGAATTTTTCGGACATCCTTTCAGTGTTATTTTGGGCTATACTGCCTTAGTTTTTATAACCGGAAAGAACACTTTGGAAAATGGGAAAATTTTGATTTTATAAACGATATTTGTGTCGTACATTCGATAAATAATATCTTTCTGCAAAAAAAATATTTTGTGTCTATGATGATTTTTTGAGCACACAGTTATATTGCTTTATTCAACAAACATCATTGAAAAACGTATTTTAAAAAATTTTTATTATACTTAAACTGTAAGATTAACTGTATATATTTTATTCAATTTTCCAGCACTATCAATCATTTCGACAAAAATTTTTCCACCTTTACATCCATTTTTGCCCACATCCCCCCACCTTCAGACACCTACTGCAATATAACGAACCCTTCTCGCTCCACTCCACATTTCCCAGCTACTCATAATCCAGCTTCTGATCCCAGCTGATCATTTGTTTTCCCCATGCAAACACTTTTCGCGCGCCTCCGTTGCCTTTTGTCCTACGGGCTTTTGGCTTTATTCTCTCCATTCATTTGTCCGGAAATCATTAAAAAACCTGTCTCTTTTTGGAGGACGGCCTGAATGGGGGATCTCCGAGTCCAAATCAATTTCCCCACACGCGATTATGGCTCATTTCAATCATGGATTTGAGTCATGAATTGGAAATTATATTATACTTGGACATGGGTAATATAATTCAAGGTCGGAAATGACGTGAGTGTGAGACGGAAAACACGTTCGGTTTATGACAGAAAAAACGTCGGGGCCTTCGAGATCGGGAAGAGGTGAAAAAAGAGTGGGAAATAACTTTTGGAAATACGGTTGGCACTTCTGCTGTTCCGTATGTAACCTATTTCTAATCTAAATCATATAGTCATCACATATACATATTGCATTTCCTACCCATGTTCAACCAATTCTTACATTTTTTCCCCTATTTTTATTACTTTGGTCACCTCTTGATCATGATATTCAAATAACATAACATGATTCAAAGACGCATTACATTTCCGTGAACTTAATGTTTTTTCGAAAAGCGATTCTGGCTGTTTTTCTGGGCTCTAAAAGCGCATTAAAGCGGTGTTTTTCTCGAATTTGTATGTTTGTACAATCTCAAACGCAATGGCGGAAACAGACTTTATTAATTCGCAGACTTGTAGTTTTTGCTCATGTCCACGACTAATTTTATATGATATTACTTTGTTTTTCCACATCTTGGTATATCTAGGAAGTAAGTTTTCCGTGATTTTATCGGTTTTCTGAATATTTTGAGGCTACTGAAACATAATGCCAAAATTTGTGAAAATTCGCGGGAAGGTCAGAATTTGAATTGACTATGGATCAAAATCAAGTCCGAATGGGTCGACGGCCTAGTGCATGCTGCAAATTTGAAAACATCAACAAAATGTTTTTGAAAGCCCGTTATTTCAATGCAGCCTCTGGTGGAATAGATATAATTTTGGTCCAATTTTAATCTAAACATGAATGCATTGAAACCCATTTTAAATTGCGTAATCAGCTCGTAACTTGTCATTTAGTTAGTATGTTACGACCGCCGTTGTGGGTGTTTTAAAGGAATTATAAACCAAACTTCTATCGGCCACCTTGTATAACATAATTTTGTCTAAATTTTTCCAACCTCCGAGAAATATTTCTAACAAGGGAAGTACCCCAAGTGTGACGCTCAGATTTTCTTTAAATTTTGCACACATGTCGTCCATGAACTAAGTATCAATTCCTAAAAGTTTTAGCTCGCGTTTTGCAAGCGCCGCCGAGATATTGAACGATCTTTGCCGCCGAGAGAGCACGCGAAACGCGGAGAGCGGACAGAGAAAAAAACACTTTTTGATCGTAACTTTGCTAGTTTCGTGTAGAAAAAATTGATTGTTTGTGGAAACAATACCCTCTGTGGTGGAAATAGGCATGAAACTTTTCGTGCCGAAATTCGGCAAAAAGTGTCAAATTTTCGCCAACTCTCAATCTAAAAATCTCGGTTGTTTCTGCAAAGCGCGAGCTAGGATTCTCGCATATATTTTAGAAAAAATTATTATAAATTTGTGCCAAGTTTCTCATCAAAATATGAGCGTCGCACTTGGGGTACTTCCCCTGTAAAATCATTTTTTCGTTTACTTTCAGCTTTGTTTTAACCCCATTTATGGCGTGTTCTTGCAAACACAGTAATAATCGCGACTATTTTTCACCAACCAAATCATCTTTCTTCCTTCCACCTACACTTCTCTAAACCGCCAATTTCAGCGTCCGTCAACTGTTTCAAACTTTGTCACCTAAACAGTGTAAAGACCATTAAGCGAAGAAGCCGGCAGTGAAGAGAAACCCGCAACGGATGCTCGAAGGGTAGCCCCACGACGATTGTTTGGATGCCCCTTTAGATGGGTTGTATTTTGGTGCGCGCCTGCGATCCCTCCTCGCCCGACCCGGCCATCCGCGACTTCTGGCACATCAACGGCGTGCTGGTGGATGCGGAGAGGGCGACGGATGAGGACGGGGACAAAGTGGAGGATTGCCCGCCCGGCGTCTTATACGTGTACAATAGCAAGTTGATCTACCGCGCCAGGCACTGCTTGTTGTTCCCCAAGTCGAAAACGCGACAACTACAGTTCTGCATTTGTGATATCAAGGGTGTAAATAGCTGCAATAAGTTCACTTCGCTCAAGGTAAGTTTTAGAAAAAAAAATATTATTTTTTCACCGTGCAAAAATTTTTGAAATGTGCGTTTTTCGTTTTCGCAAATAGTCACTAGATCAAAAATTCACTTCTTCTTTCTCTTCAGTACTGTAAATGATCTCTAACTTTTTTTCAGGACGGACGAACATTTGCTCGACCAGTAGTGGACATCTCAGTCACAGTAAAAGGCTCATCATTTCATGTCGGATTTGTTACAAAGGATGCGGATCGAGTGAGTAACTGCATTTTAGAGTTTGGATCACCTTTTCGGCGTATTTTACTCGATAAAATGTTTGCATCAACTTTTGTCCAATTTTTTGGAATTATTTTCAGTCTAAAATAAGGTCAGACTTTTAAAATGAATTTAATGAATAGGTACCTGATTTGTCTTTTTTCAAAATTCTTTGCCAAATTCTACGCTATAAAATACTGTAATCTTTCCTTTTTTCACGTTATTTATTTAATTTTTGAGCGTTTTATTTGCTAGTCCAAAATAAAATTTCCATTTTCTCAACAAAAACTCTAATATCTTTTTTTATCTGATCCCCTGATTAATCCCATTATTCCAGGTAAGTCAACGATTGCAAGAAGTCATCGACAAGCATCGACAAAAGCCCAAGATTTTCCAATTCAATTCGGTGGACGTGGATGGTGTGGAAATCGACCTCCCCTGATCAAAAAAAAAAACACCTTTCCCTTCGAGGCATTGGACGCAAAAATTGAAATGGCGTGCCAACAACTCGGAGGAGTCGGGATTTCCACTGCCATTTCGTTTGCGAATCTCTGACATTAAAATTAATCAAAATTATGCGTGTATTTACAAGTAAACATGACATTTTTTATCAATTTCTCGATATTTTTGATAAATTAACTTCAAAAATAGCGTTTTAGTGAATCTTCATTCATCCGTATATAAATTTTGAGCAAAATTTTATCGAAAAACGTAGATTTTTCACCCTCAATTTCAACTTTTTCTCATTTTCCTTTATTTTTCTACATTATCTACAATTTCCGCTTATAAAAAGTCAAAACAAGAGACCAGCTCACGTCCAACCGGTTATAAACGCTATGATTACAATCTACAACACAAGTTTGCACTATATGAGACGAATTTTTGACCACAATTTTCGAAATTCTCGACAATAAAAATGTTCGAAAAAAGCGGTCATTGAAAATGCTGGATGAGATTGACATATGGGACTGATAAGAGATATCAGCGGTTAAGAGACATTCGCTATTTACATGCTAAGTTGCCTTAGGCGAGAGGACTATTCGACCTTATTTTCAATGGGTCTTTTGACCTTGTTTTTGCTTATGTGGATGAATAGGACGAGTCGCTGTCCTCGGAGCTAGGTATTGCACTGCGATTTTTGGCCAGGTTTATGTGTTTCATGGCGAGATGGACCTCCAGGAGTATTAAATCGTCCTGCTCTTCCCCGCATATGCGACATTTTGTGGGATTTTCCGGATCCACGCCAATTTGGAGCATATACGCTCGGAGTTGGTTGCGTTTTTGGCTAAAATACGCAATTTTACTTCAAATACTGTCTAGATATTGCAATAAAACTTCCCCCATTGTAGCAAAGTCTCCCCTTTTAGGAAAAATTTTCAAATTTTTCCAAAGAAAACGTGTCTTCCAACCCTGTCTCTTAAAAATCATCTTTTCCCCGAATTCTTTATAAAACGCCATCCTACCTTTCTCTGAAATTCTCATCCAGAATGATTTCTTCCTCCGAATTTGGTTCCAATTTCACTTTTTTGGACATTAAACTAGCATCCAGATCGTCCATTGCTTTCACTTTGACCACTTCTTGCTTCACTCTGCCCGTATCACATTCAGACACGGTCTGTCTTGATCGTTTCCATAGCAAGTCGGGATTTGATATGACTTTTTTCACAATTTTGAGTTCATTTTTGTCGATCCCCTCCAGTTTTGGGCCCAAAAATTTTTGCAAGTCGTCAAATGACCTGAGGCAATGTTGGAAAATTGCATGTTGTCTGAGGGACTTCCTTGTGCTCACGATGAATCCACATAAAGGGCATTGATTCCCTATCGAGAGCTCTAAAAAACAGAAATGAAAAAAATGATTGCACAATGCAAAAACTGCGATATTTTGTTATTTTTGTAATAAAATCTGGAAAAAACTCTTGAGTCCTTTTTGAGTTTGCTTCCAAAAAATCCTCTATTAGTCAAAAACATTCAAATCCCTCAACATTTTTTCCACAAAATCACCATAATCCCTCGAAATTATGTAAAGAACTGACCGCCCATGAAGACGTGCATTTGATCCACCTTTTCCATCGTTTTTTGGACTATGAAAGGTAAATGAGTAATGAAATGTTGGTCGCGGACATTTCGATTGTTGAATAATCGCTTGCACACACAGCAGCTTTGGTAAATACTCGGACGGACGATTGTGTGGGCCTTGGAATGGTGGGCCTTCATCTGGTCGACGGCTGGAAAAAAATTTAAAAGTAAAATACGGTTTCGATAAAATTAATCGGTAAATAGGGCAGTAATTTTTAATATTTCTAGCTCCCAGAAGCTAATAAAGCCCAAATTTTCATTACATTTCATTTAGAAATAACATTACTTTCTAAATTCACCATAATCAATAAAAAGTCCCAAAAAAAATCTCGAAATCTCCTTGAAAATAATTGATTGTTTCCAATCTCCCTTTGATTACCGTTATACTATGTTATTCTTTTGTAGCGAGAGAAACCGCCTTGACTACGTGGAATTTTTCGCAGTTTTCCTGTGAAAAATAAGGGGAAAATCAAACGAAAGCGGGGGAATAAAATGCGAAAAAATTGCGGAGAAGCCGACGGAGAGATTCAGAATCCAGTTAGCGTTGCGTGGGATTACTCTTTGGATAAGATCCATCGGAATCCTAGTATTTTTACGCGATTCATTGACGTTTCAGATACTTTTTGCAATTCATTGCAGAAATCTTGATTTTTTCGGTTTAAAAATTATTATTGAGCTTTAAAAATACCGTAAAATACAATTTTTCACTCGTGCATAATAAAATAATCAATATTTCGTGTCGCGTTTACCAGCGGTTTCAACTTTTTTTGTCTACTACAATATAAATTTTTCCAAAATAATCTCCAAGACCTATAAATCGACACCGTTCTAAACTCCCGAAACACCCTTAGACTTACTGTCAAACGTCTTGTAGCAGTTTGTACACTCTATCATCGCTCCTTTCCCCAGTTTTGTACTATAATGTATTGTTTCATGTTCCTCATGGGAATCAAAAATATCACGGCAAACTCCACAAAACACTCGTCCTTTCTTCACTGGTCTCGATATTCTCGCCTTCATTTTTACATCCAAGAATTCAGAGTGCTGAAAATTATAATTTTAGAAAAGAAATTTTGATGACTTAGGGGGATGATAGATAATATAAATTAACGGCTTACCATATTTGTCACATGAGAGTAGAAGTCAAGATGGTCTCGGAAACCAAGTTCACAAGAGTAGCATTGCCAAATGGGAAAATCTTCTGGAAAAAATAGGAATAAGCTAGCGTAACATAGCAAAATCTAAAAATGCTTTGTTCAAGGCTAAGTTATTTAATTTCAGTGTAAATTCAAACGCACTAAAATTATAAAACTTATTTTCAGTCTAAATAGAGCTTGAGAAAACTACATTTTTTCTTTTGGTTACCGGTAATATAAGAAACGTCATGATATGACAACATAGCATGACAATTTTTTGCCTAAAATAGGACTGCTCTTGGACCCATGTAAAACGACCATCAAATCATTTTCATCTAACAGTGACTCTAAAAATCCAAGAAAATGAAAATAACCACATACTTTGTCCAAACGGGTTAATATTCACAGTCCGTTCGATGAGTTCGCCTTCCGAAACGGTCGATTTGCAGTCGACGTCGGTTTCATCGCTAGACTCATCGATCGTGTAGGTGACACGTATCGGTCGTTGTCGCAGAACTCTCATGCAGATCACCGGAGGGCTCAAATTTTGCTAAAATTTCAAAAAATCAGCAAAATGTTTAATCCATTTGTAAAAATGTAAAAACTTGGCAAAAAATCGAATTTTTAAATTGTAAAATACAACCTGGTTTATCACGCAGAAATTTTTTATGTTCAAAATTGTATTGTGCAATGATTTTTGACGAAAATTTCCGCACAGTGGGAACTTTCAAGAGTTCGCACTTTGCGGGAAAACTTGCTGCAAATAGGTTAAGGTAAAACGAACCGATAAGAATAAAGGCCAAACATTAGTTATTACAGCGATTTTATTCTCCTGTGATCCTAATAACCGCGCTTTTTACAATCTAAGACAGCTAATAACAACAAAATTGGCCTTAAAGTAATCGTATTTTAGGATGACAAACTACTACAAACTATACTAAAATGGTTCAAAACGATCTTATCTATCCATAAATAGTCCTCTTTCTCCCTTATCAGTATTGTTTATCGAGAAAAATTGGTCAAATTCGCCAAAAGCGGTGTATGTTTATCAAGTACAAGGTCATTTCCCAGCTGGTTATTGATTTCCAGCTGTTGCTCTTGACTACCTTCAAGATTAAGGGATTTTAAGACATCAGCAAATCAACCCGGCGATTCCTATGCAAATCCGAGCACTGAAAATGCAAAAATCCATCGGGAAAAAAGCGGCGAACCCAGCTGCGAGGAAGGGGGGAGGTCTTGGCTCGGCGCCCGACTTTTTATGTCCGTCTGGTGTTCTGTGGGTTCTCTCCGGCCGCCACACTGTCTGCCGGAGCCAAAAACACAACAAACAGCGAAAGGGAAATTGGGAGGGAAATCTCGAGAGGTCGCGTGATACGAGCGAGTCTAATATTCTTTTCAATTTTATCAATGACAACGGGAAAGGTGAGCGAGCTAATTGGTAATGGAAGAAGTACTAGAGTCGGTGAAAAACGGAGAAGAAAAAGAAAACCTCGTGGACATCTCGGCGAAAGGATATGATGGAGAAAGGGCATGGGGAATGGCGTAACTTGGAGTGGACGGGACAAGTGTAATAATGGGTGGAAAAGAGACGTCAAATCAGTTAAATATGTAAATAAAATTGGATAGAAAACAATAATAAAGGTCAGTACACACACTGGAATTTGAAAACTTAGTCTTTCATTACACCCTACAGAAACCTTGGATCTGAACAAAAGTCATCGTAATAAAGGATGACTCAAGAGTTCTTAAGAGCAAGCTTGGCTTTTTGGAGTAACTTTGTGGCGCAAGGAAGGATAAATCTGATTCAATAGGTCGCATCTAAAACAATATAGCTGATACCGCCACCAGATGAATAGCACTCAAGATTTTACCTCTCGAAGGTGGCTGTGGCGTAACAATTACGTTCAAAAAGTCAAAAATAATCTGCAATAGATGTTACCAGGCATCCTGTAAGATGACTCTTGGAAGTAGGTCTGGCACTCAAAGATAACTTATAAAACAACAACCAAGGCCATATGACGGCCTAGGCAAGGCGGTCAAATAGCAGCCGTTTTTTTTTGAACTTTTCGTAAGGCAATACCAACTTTCGTTATATTAGAATACACTTGCGGGTGTAGCCCAGCCGATCACTCGACCACCCGGGCCGAGGAAATTTTGAAACAGTCCGGCCGGCCCTCTCCAGCCCACGGGCCGAAATTCCGGCCCGGACCAGGCTCCGCCGACCTCCCTCCACCCAGAAATTTTGGTCAGTTACGCTGCTGGCTCCCCAAAAAACTGTTACACATCCCCCGGAATATATGTTCGTTTGTTCTCTTGAACGGAACTGAATGATAAAAAGACTCTCTAGAAAAGACAGTCGTCTAATGACACCCAACCCGATGTATTGTTCCTTTGTTTACAAAATCAGATCGCTGGGAAAGTCCAAGGATATTAAAGAAGATTTTAAAGTGAAGATAAAAAATACGCATATGGTCGGATAAACAACCAAAATGCAAGGAAAGGAAAGTTCTTTGACGTGCCCATTATGTTGTTTAGATCCAATGGAACGGCGTTTCAAACGGAATGACATCTGCAATGGCATGGGTGACACAGAAAAGAAGTTTTTTTTCGGTCCAAAATAAGGCCCGAAAACTCAAAACTATTTAATGTCCAAACTTTATGTTCTGCTATAACACAACAAAATTTGCCACCAAAAATTACCCAAACAATCTATAAATCATCAAAAGCTTTCGAAGAAACTAACATCCTACAAATCCAGCCAAATTCGTCATCGATCCTACAAACAAAATATTCTCGAAAAACCAAGGTGATTTCCGAGTCTTTTGAAAAAATTGTCTTTTGTTCGACATTCCAAGCCCAAAACCCCTTCGAAAAAAGCGAGTTCCCTCAAAAAAGAAGTAGTAAACAGCCTTCACAAAAGTTACTCCAAAGTTTCCTATGACCTTTACTACCTATTAAAGTAACAACCATTGGTTGAAATAAAAAATAACCGGGAGAAATCAACAAAAATTTGGTTTGATATCAAGTGTAATATAAATTTATTCCCATAGTGTAATTTTGATGTAAAAGCACTTGATATTTGCTATTTTTTCGACCTTATCAGCGGGTTTAATCTGTGTAAACATAAAAAGGAAGAGTAAACACGCCCAAGGCCATATTTGTTTTTCGTTGCAAAGTCAGCGAATTATTTTTTGATAAAAACCGATAAATTTGAGCGAGATCAGCACTTTTCAAATAAATATCTTTATGCGAGACCGAAACGAGCAGATGGGCGAATATTTGGAGAGTTGAAAGGGTAAAAGGAGCCGAAATTGAATCAGTCTGACGCAATAATTTTTGCCTCAACTCAAGGTTGTTTTGGGTGAATCTTGGGATGGAGAAAGCAAAAACAAAGTAGTAAAGGAGAATAATCAGACCTGAGAATGCGTGCACGGCTTGAATTGCCAAGGAAAAAGACAAAACTTTGCTCGTTCGTTTCCCAGGGACTTTTTTATATGTTGTTGGATAAACAGTTTTAATGATAAGCCGATTTTTTCTAGCTAAAGATCTCTGCTTATTTCAGCATACCTGTAATCTTACAGAGAACCTGCCAAAGTTTCTTTCAGAGTGTATTAATAAGCCCAACGGCATAGCCGAGATTTCCATTTTCTAAAAGACGCTGAAATCGCATCATTAGGAAGCATTACCAAATGATTTTATAAGACCTCTTTTTGAAAGCTGGAAAATCATCCGAAAAGTCTAGCGCCCAGGTTTTACCTAATCTATTACTGTAACTGTAGTATTACGAGATCACATGGATTTTCTCACCCAGAGATATGTTTAAGCATGCAGCGATTGAAATCTCCGGTTAAATTCTTAACAGAATATTGGGTTTACAAGAACTAGTAACATCCACTCCTCCGGCTGAAACAACGGGGAAACAAAATTAAGAAATGAGGACTTCTCAAGTGTTGAAGCAACTATTAAAAGCATTTTTATCGTTAAAACTTTTGATCCAACCTAATATTCACTTGATATTTGGTTTGCTTTTATCAAAGAAGCCCCAAAATAAACTTCCAACAATTCACCGAGTCACAAGCAGTCATTTGACATCATAATTTGTAAGGAGAACGGATTTCCCGAAAGGTATTACACATTACACATGCCATTATATGGCGTCGCGACACTTGCGGGCAAAATTTGGAGGGTCACATTTGCGGGCAGCCTGGGACATTTGCGGGCAACCGGCACCTGAGGGTAACAGGGTGGATGTGGAAATGTTACTGCGATATTTTGGAAATTTGCCGACATTTGCGGGCAGCCGACACTAGCGGGCAGCTGACATTTGCGGGCAACAGGAAAAAACAATCACACAGATTGTATTGGAACTTTTGAAACTGTTGCCCGCAAATGTCGGCTTCCCGCAAGTATTGCCTGCCCGCAAATGACGGAAAACTTCCAAAATATCGCAGTAATTTTTCCACCTCCACGTTGTTATCCTCAAGTGCCGGTTGCCCGCAAATGTCGGCTGCCCGCAAATGTCGACAAATTTCCAAAATATCATAGTAATTTTTCCACCTCCACCCTGTTACCCTCACAACCAGGTGTCGGCTGCCCGCAAAGTGGTTGCCCGCAAGTGTGCGTCCGCCCATTATATCGTAACCAAAAGGGTTCACGAGTCCGAAAGTACAAAACTTTAGTCAAAACCCTTGTTTTCGCTAACTTTTAACGATGTAAAATACGCATATAGCAGCAATTCACTGCATTAATTTTCAGTTCTTACCTTATCCTTGTTTATTGAACAATCAGCTTTCGAAAATCCAAAGAAACTTCAAAGTAATTGATACAAATCTTGGCAATCTTGTTGACTCCAAAATCTATGAGAAGAATCCACCATTATCTCCAAAATTATTCTAGAATTACACTCGAATTTTTGTCGAAATTTTAACAAAAATTTGCAATGGTTCCGGTCTGTGTCTCAAACGGAAAATTTCATCCGCTAAAATAGAATGCCAAAGAAAATTTCGGATTTTTTGTTGGTCCGGAGGGGTCTGAAGGACTCCTCGGGGGTCGCCTACCTCTTTATGCACCTTTAAAAAGAATATTTGCGTGTATTCCACCCTCTCTTGACCCATTATTTTCGATTCGCACCCCCGAAAAATATGAAATTTCAATGCGTTGGGACCAAAAAACAGATGGATATTGGTGTTAATCGGTACTTTATCAAGTATGAGATAGCTAAAGGGTAAGTTTTTGGTAATTCTTTACTCTTTTAATATTTAAAAGTTGCGACTAAGTATCAGGCTTCAGAATGAGTAATGAATACTATAATTTTAGCGGATTTTCGAATATTTACCTGGCCAGGAACATCTTGAATAAACAGAAGTATGCTATGAAAAAGATTTACGCCCATTCTCAGCTTGAAGTTTCACGGATTCGACGAGAAATCTATGCACATTATGCGTTTGGAGAACATGAGCACCTCATGAAGATTCATGGTGTATATCGAGAGAAATATGGAGAAGGCTCCTATTTATTTTGGCTTGTTATGGATTATTGTCCTGTAAGTTGTATTTGGTTTTGATTTTGTAAATTTTAGAAAGCTTAGAGCGGGGAAGACACTATATTAATATTTGATACCTAAATCATAAATATTATTTAAAAGGTCTGAACTATTCCTTTCAGCTTGGCTCTTTGCAAAATGTCCTTGACAAGCAATCCAAACTAAACGAGATGCTACCGGAAAAGCAGATAGTTTCATATATTTCACAGATATTGTCGGCTCTACAGTACATGCATTCAAGTGAACCTTCAATTGCTCATCGGTAAGTTTCCCTTCCTTTATTATGTTTTTTCTTTTTAGAGATATCAAGCCAGCGAATTGCCTAAGGTTACACGAAAACCACATTGTTTTAACGGACTTTGGCTCGGCAGTAATGGTTCCAGTGGAAATTGATACCCCAAAAAGAAGTCAAGAATTGAAAGATGAAGCTGCCGAACTTTGTACAATGCCGTATAGAGCACCGGAACTCTTTAACTGTGATGTTGGAACAAAGTATGACCATAAAGTCGATGTCTGGGTAAGGTTTCTTATCAAAATTTCGATTTGTTTTGTCATGTTCAATAAAAAATTTTGTTGTTTTAGTCGGCTGGATGTGTGTTATACGCCCTGTGCTTTCATTGTAGTCCTTTTGATGCGGTTGCAGCTCGAGGAGATTCAATAGCGCTGGCTACTTTGTCCTACAAGTTCAAGGAAGCCCCAGTAAAAAATAGGTAAGAAGACTAGACCAGAATCATATAATTTTTTGTTGTAAAATACTTTTGACGTTTCTGCTGGTTAGTTTCCCATGATCTTTATGACTTCTTTCAGCTATTCCGAAGGCCTTATGTCGATACTCAGAGACATGCTGACTGTCAGCACCGTCGACCGTCCCAACTGCGATACTCTCATAACACGGTTAGATTCCCTGCGAATCGGTTCTTAACTCATCTAGTCATTACTTATCATTTATATTGTCCAACTAACTTATTTCATAGTGATTGATCTTACAGTATTATCAACCCTAATAAAATTTTGCTATGCAGGAAAATGTATAGTAAAGATAGCAAGACATTGCCAATGTCCTCGGCATCACCGATTCGTCCTAATACTAGTCGTTCCAGAAAGTGCGTGCACTTTTTTCCGCCTTGTTTTGCACCGCACAGTGCAAGTTTCGTGTTCCCCGCGCGACGCGATCCTTTTCGAAACATTTTGCACTGTGCAATTTCCCCAAAGTTCGCGCCGCCTCCGTTGAGAAAAGCTTGCGTCGCAGCGATATTGCATTTGCACGGTGCAAAAGGTCAAATGCCCCGCAAAAAGGGAATTTTGTGCACAGTGCGGCCCACGACAAAAAGTGCACGCACTTTCTGGAACGACTAGTAGGAGCTTCTCGAAACTCGCACGTGGTGAATCCATCCTCCACAATGTGTGGGGTCAAATAAGTTCGAATTAGCGCATTACTGGAAGGAAAAGAGATTTTGCTGATTTTATAATATCCGTGAGAAATTTCGCACTTGATATTTCTGGAGTTTTTAGGTGTTTCAAAGGCTCAAAAAAAGAAGAGAGAGGCACGCACATCCTATGTTGCCCTTTGCCTGTTTGAGATGAGAACAGGCTCGACAAATGAAACCTTGAAGGCCAAGTTCATATCTAGCAAACTCTCAAGCTCGGAAAAATTGATAGGTCAAGTTCGAAACCATCAAAAAAGAACTAATTTTCCCCCCGAAAGGGTGAAATACTATACAAAAGTTTTAATAAGTCTAACAAACTTGAACTAGGTAAATTTTTAGGTTCAAAGTTGAACTTGAACTTGTGAAGTTTTTGAGTTCAAAAATTTTGAAATTGAAGAATGGGCACGGAATGTGTTGCAGAGAATGAACAGACATCTTATTGTACATGAAGAATGTTAGTCAAAAAAAGACATACCTACCAAACATACCGTAGCAATCCTATATAATCGCATTATGGTGAAAATTCGTTTGCGCAACATTATGCAACACTTGACCTAAAGTGTCAACTCTTCTCTTTCGTCGAGGAATGTTTTTCTGGCCCAATTGCTGTACTTTGTAGACACCCAATTTGTCTTGCCGTTAGCTCCATTGCCCGCCAAAGTTCTTTACTTTTCTCTGATTTATCTGTTTTGTATTTTCTAGCGTGTTTTATAACCGATCACTTTCGGCTGCAATTGTAGGATATATTTTCTAATTTTACAACTGATAGAGAATATTCTTGCATTTGTTTTGCCCGTTCTCTTCGTCCAAATACGTTTAGATTGTTTTGAATCTAATGTACAGCGCGTGGAATGCGCTGCGGACCGCAATAAATGGGGATGTTGTCAGCCAGATCATGGGTAATATAATTGGTGCCTGTTGTAATGTTATGTTACGTCCGCTCCATGTGTTTGTGGGGTAAACAAAGACTTGATGGGACAGTGAACGCAGTGATTAGGTCAACAATGTAGGATCAAGTCCTTGGGGTTTGTATTTGTCTTTATGCTTTTCAAGCTCAAAAATTCCAGTGGCGGCTAAAAAAACGGTTCAAAATCCGTGCATTTCGAAGTCGGCGGTTTGTTTGTCGTGTTCAAGGCTCTTATCTCGAGGCGTTCTCGGTCATTCATTGCGGCACTCGTCGACCTTTCCGCTTTTTTTATCAATTTTTATCTGTTTATCAAGGGTAATTTCGGGGCAAATATCGCGCGGTTCTATTTGTTTCGGACGTCAGAAAAGCCTAGTGTAAGGTTAATTCGACTATGGTCTTGCTTTTTAGGGGAGCGGCCGTCTTTTTCGCGGCCTTTGGCCTTCTCTTTTGGGCCTGAAAAAAGATCTCTCATCTGTTACAATATAAAATAGATCCGGAAAGTCGAAGTTTTAGATCGTCTGCGCTGATTCGTGAGTGATTTGCTGCCCAATCTATTGAAAAAGGTTTCTAACACTGTCAGGCAGAGTGGGCTCAATTTGCGCCACGTAGCAGCGGTTTTTTGTTTGGCCAACGAAGGGTTTTTTTGGGGTGGGCCAGGAGAGAAATTCGTCTCTTTTGCGGGACGGGCATCTTTTTGCTCCACTTTCGCGTTATTATTTAGATTCTCGGGGCCCCAGCCTTTGACGGGTTAATCTTCAGCGTGTGATTAGAGTGATGTCTTGGCCTTGTGAAGGGCCGCGAAATAAATGGTCTCCTGATGTTCTCCTTGACGTCGAGGGCCTTACGTTTCCTTATTTCCCGCTTTTACGCCATAAAGAGAGTTTTTTGTTGGCAAATTTTATTCTTCGGCTAATGGAACGGATTAATTTAGGGAATTTCTGTTAATTGTAAGCTTTATGGAAATTTTTTGATTCTGCATTATTTTGGGATATTAATTTAGGTAGATTTGGTATTATTTTTGATTGCTTTAGCTATTTAGGCTCAAATTGATGTCGCAAAATGTCTGGAGTTTGTTTTCTGACTATTTTTATTGAAACCTTTCAAGGAATTCCCAATCCATCATGCGTAATATCGAGTTTCGTCAACCTGCTCAAGTGTAAGATATTGTTTCGCAAATTTTCACGGGAAATTGCTATTTTAAGCTTCGACTGTCCACAAGACAGATTCTTCGTACTTTGAACCGTTTTTGGAGAAAAGATTCCAGCTGATTAATGGAGCAATTTCTTTTTGTCGTCGATAATACTGAAAACAATTAGGGTTCTTGTTCAATTTTGATGAATTCTGTCATATCGGGTTCGGATGCCCAAATGAACATCTATCTGACCTCGTTTTGCGAACAGTCTTCCCCATTGACGTCTGGAAGGTTCGGTCCGGTCATTCGCCGCAATCTCTGGTCATTTTTTTCTCTCTTCCCGGGCCAGTTGGGGTCGTCGGCTCGAAGAATGTTCCCAAGCCACACGATTTCCGATCATTCGGCCGCCATTCGCTTTAAAAAATCTACACTTTTTGTTTTGATTTACAAAATTTCTCCGTTTCGGTTATTTTTTGCAGCCCTTGATGGATCGCTTATTTATTTTTGTTATCGATGAAAACGTTACAACGGGTTATCTAATGCCCTCCGATAAGCAACGCATGTGATTCCATCACCACTTCCCTGCTCAGAGTGCGTCCAAACATGTGGTCTGTCCTGATTAATATAGTCGAAATGTTTGCGTACTGTTTGATTGGTTTTTAATGAGCGGAAAGATCCTTTTTTCTATCAGATCTGCTTTCAATCTTTTTCGGGCCCGTTTGCGAGTAATAATAAATTTTTAAAAAATTAGGTGGTCAAGTGTAATATAATTTTTTATTTTTAGATGGTAGTGTTGACTGATGAACAACTAGCGTTGGCCGAGAAAGGACTGTGGCGACGGGAATTGGAGAAGGATGCTTGCGGAGTGGGATTTGTCGCCAACATCAAGGGAATTCCCTCTCATAAGGTAAACTAATATAATTTTTGAAATTTTTTCTTCTTTTTTTTTGCTCTAAAAACTTGGGTTATTATGGTTTACACTGCGTGTAATAAGATTTACTTGTTTTCACATTCAAAAAATCGTTTCTTCTCTAAAACGTGATGTGATATTTTTGATCAAACTCAAGAATCTTGAAGTTCCTGAAACCAATCTCTAAAAATACCCATCTCTCTTGCCTGTTGCCCTTTTGTTATCGCACATGGTGTCATCGTCCAAGGCAAACGTACCTTTTCAAGGTTTACTGCACCGATTTTTGAGCAAACAAATAATTTTGATAAGGTCGAAAACACATGTTTAATGTTTTTTGATAAGATTCCACTCAAGCCTTTGAAGTTTTATCAAAAGTTTATGAACGTTTTTGATCAAGAAATTGTAAGCGTAATTTGGTAATGCAGAAAAACATAGTAATGGCAGTGGAAGGAGGGAAACATAATCGTCATGTATAACACAAAGCAATATTGAAATTTGTGATTGAAGTAATTCAATGAAGAAATTGTTTTAGATCCTCCAAGAAGGCAATGTTATGCTGGAACGAATGGCCCATCGAGGAGCGTGCGCCTGCGACAACAACTCGGGAGATGGCGCCGGAGTCATGGCCGCCGTCCCCGACTCCTTTTATCGAAAAATCCTCAAAGAAGACCACAAAATAGATCTTCCCCCGTTTGGTGCATATGCAACTGGCATCTTGTTCATGGAGAAATCTTCATACAAACAGTGCAAGACTTCATTCGCGGATCTGGCCAAGTTTTGCGGATTGAATGTGATCTCATGGAGAAAGTTGAAGATAAACCCGGAAATTCTCGGAGCTGAAGCCCGGAAAACGGAGCCTTGCATTCGACAAGTCTTTGTGACCGCAGAAAATGCCGAGAAGGATCGGGATCAGTTTGATCGGACCGTGTATATGCTGAGGAAAGCCGCCGTACATCACTTTAACAAAGAAGGAATCAATTGTTATTTGTGTTCACTTTCGTGTTCAACCATTGTTTATAAGGTGAGAATAGGGGTTATTGATAAATGATAGGGATGTACTTGAATTTAGAATTGATTTCCATGAAATTGATACTGTTTTTGAAGGAGTATTACTGTATACAGCTGTAGTTTTTTAGGGGTTTGGAAAATGTCTTTGCTTTTTTTAAAGTTTTTGATAATTTTTTAATTTTAGGGCCAATTTACCCCGTGGCAACTGTACAAATACTACGATGACCTCACCAACCCCGAGTTTGTCACCCACATAGCCCTTGTTCACAGTCGGTTTTCCACCAACACCTTCCCCACCTGGTCCCGCGCTCAGCCCAATCGAATGGTCGCCCATAATGGAGAAATTAACACCCTCCGAGGAAATATTAACTTCATGCGAGCCCGAGAAGGGACCATGAACAGCCAGAAGTACGGGGAAAACCTGAACAAGCTGTACCCGGTGGTTGAGGAGGGAATGACCGACTCTGGATCTTTTGATAATGTACTTGAGTTCTTGGTCCGAGCCGGGGATAGAACTCTTCCAGAGGCCGCAATGATGATGGTTCCAGAAGCCTGGGAGAAGGATGAGGTGAGAAATTGAAGGAACAATGGAATTTATATTGTTTTAGGAGATGCTTCCAGAGAAAAGGTCCTTTTATCGATGGGCCTCGATGCTCATGGAACCCTGGGATGGCCCAGCTCTTTTGGCCTTCTGTGACGGCCGATATGTTGGAGGAATCTTGGACCGAAATGGACTTCGACCTGCGAGATACTACCTTACGGATGATGGACACATATACATGTCATCGGAAGTTGGCGTTAATGATATTCCGGTGGAATCAGTTGTCAAAAAAGTAAGTTTTTTTGTGGTATAACCCGATTGCTGGATGTCTTCTGCGAAAAAAGATAGTTACCAGGGAAATGAAGACAGAAAATTACGAAATACGCCCAGGAATTACACGAATCATAGTTTATTCTTTGGGTACGGCTTCGGTTACCTGAAAAGTCCAGTGGAGGGAGATTTGCGGACGGAAAATACCAAAAAAGAGAGTAAAGAATATAGACAAGGTGGCATAACGGTATCATAAAATAGTGGTGTGCTCGGCTCTCCGACGGTCACCAGCTCACTCGACGCCATCGTTCCCTTCAATAGTCGTAGAAGTCGGGCGTCCTCTTGCCGAATCTCATGGTTCCCAGCGGTCCTTCGGCACGTTTCCCGAATCGCATTGTGCCCAGTGGGTTTCTCTTGCCGAATCTCATCGTGCCCAGAGGGTTCCTCTTTCCAAATCGCATGGTTCCCAGCGGTCCGTCAGCACGTTTCCCGAATCGCATCGTGCCAAGAGGCGAGCGAATGTCCCGTGATTCGGCGTCGTTCTCCATGGAACTCGCGCGCTTCTCCAGGTATTGAATTAGGTAACCGATCTCGTTGTCCGGACTCATCATCGGCCGAGTACTGATCCAGTTGGAGGCCCGCAGCATCTGCCCGTCGGGATGGGCCCGCTTCTCTGCTGTTTGATCCTCGGTGGTTTTCTCTGCAATTGAAAGTGTTTATTGGAGCGTTCTTCTAATTGGTCCAAAAGATTATCAAAAGCTGGGTTAGTCGAACGGGCTTTATCAGAAGGAACGGTTATTCCGCTAACGTTTTCTCTTCGAGACTCCTTATTTGGAGCTCTAGTTGGTTGACTATGGATGGCTACAGTCTTACCTGCTACAGTACATCCGACCAGGAAGAGTGCGAAAAATGTGACAGTCCAGCCGCTCATATTGTCCTGAGTCTCTCGCAGAAGTGGGGGCGCTGCTTCTACACCTCTCCGAAATTTCTTCTGACACGCCGAAAAACTTTTGTCATGGGCGACATCGGCGAAGAGGGCGTCACGAACAACAGGGGGTGGTTACAAAACCCTGCCATTGACTCCTGTCCCTCTCCAGAATCACGGCTGCTGTGCTGGCTTCCGGTGTTGGCGTCGGCTGCGGTGTGTACGGGGCCCGGCAATGTGTTGTTATGCGCCTGGCTGCTATTGCCAGGCACAATGTCAAGTGAGGCGCATATCCGATCTCTTAAAAGTCAACATCACCACCACCGAACGTCTCCAAGTTGAGCGGGCACGGTTTCTCGGGCGGCGCCGCAAATAAAACGCCCCTGACGTTAATAGCCCGCGGTCCTGTTATTCGAATATTATGCCGAAGTATTATTGTCCCGACAACCCGAACGCATTTCGAACTTAACATTATAATCGAAGTCATGCTGTAAGTGTGTGAACAGTGTGAGCACTTGGAGAATTCTGATGTCATTTCGAAGCGCCAGTTGTTTGACGACGGCATCAGAAGGCACTCCAAGTGTCTGCACATAAACAGCACAAAAAATGATCGTTCAACAACTATTGTCCAAAAAGATTTAATACAGAAAAAGGTCCAAGGAAAAACAATGCTGACGGCTAGATTTCGCGATGAATGTAATGCGAGGAATGAAGCGGGATTGATGCGACATTCAATTCTCTGCGTTCTGTCCATAGCCACCATTGCTGATCTGATTGTTGGGCATGTAAGCACGTTTGCCAAATCGTATGGGTTCTCTGTAGGCTCGTTTCCCAAATCGAACGGGCTCGCCGCGGAACTTGGAAAAACGGCGTTCCATGTAGAGCGGCATGGCGTTGCTGTTCTCTGATCTGTAGAAATCTTGTTCCGGTACTGAATGGCACATCTAAAAATGATGATTTCTAGTTTATAGTAAATTATAAATGCCTTTTGATTAGAGAGGATGACTTGGTATGATTTGAATGAGGACTTATATGGGGTTAGGTTATTAAAAATTCAAAGATGAATATTATATTCTGTTCTGATAGACATCTGGCTAGTTTAAGATGATTGGAAGACAAATGTTTTGTTTTCAGTTGATGACAAATTCAGCAAAAGTATCTCGAATGTGAAAGGATTTACCTCTTCCACTTCTCATTTTCGTGTTCTCTGACGTTTAGCTCGTTTCCTCGGAACAGTCTAGATTTCGAATATTTGAGATTCCACGAAATATTCTACCAGTGATTTCCGAGTTATCTCGAATCTCCCGCAAATACCCAAATTACCATCGCTGACATTCGACCTCTTTCCCCTCATTACTAGGAAGAGCTCGAGCATTCCCCATTCATTAACTTAGTTATTTTTTCGGCCCGAAAGTACATGTTATTGATGCGTATCGAGTTTTTTGACAAACAAGTCCGAAGAAACCGGTACATGTAATTACAGGGTTTCCGATGTTCCTATGGTGACTGTAGATTGCTTTCGGATTGTTTAGGTTAGGATAAATTAAATTGGGGAATCCCATGAGATGGCAAAGAGTAAACAAATCAGACTTAACTCAATGAATTTTGGAGTTAGATAACGCTGGAATATGTTATCAAAAATCTTAAAGGATGGATTAAGTACATCAAGATGCGCAAGGGAAAGTAAATGCAAAAATGTACAACGGCGGTCCTTTTATAGTGGTAAAAATTTGAGAAAGAAGATTTTTGCGTCACTGCGATACTTTTTGATATTAAATTTTGGTTTCTTTGATCTCTTTCTCGAACTTTTAGTCATTGAAAAAGGACCGGAGCTGTATGGAGCGACATTTTAGACAAATTTTATTTTTGTAATCCACGGACTTTTTTGCTGTCATCAGATAGTGGTTTTAGTTGGGATAGGGCGTAAAGACAAGAATGAATAGTATGATTGAAGTAAATTAAAGTCGAAACCCACCTCCATCACCAAAACCACGACCAGCATTAGCGATAGGGCATACGTCATTGTGCGTAATGTGTCTGGAGCTTGGACGTTCGGTCCCAAATCGGTTCGTACCACCTGAAAATACGGTGTTCCAAAGTTTCGAAGAAAAAAAAATTGCGGACGTAATGACCGGTAAACTGGGCGAAAATGAATGACTTCCATTCATTGCGGACTAGCGGCCGCTTCCGGCCGTCACAGATTTTAATAACTGGCAAAGACCGCCTCATCCCGACCGTCCAGAGCCTAAGAATACGGCTAGGCCCGTCCCCCTCATACTTCCCGCGAGAACAAAACGAAAGGCGTTTCTTAATTGGCCAAGTGTCATTTACTCGTCCAGCGCCGGTGATAATCTGACGGCCGCCTTCGGAAATTGGCCCTTTTAGGCTCGGGGCGTATGGGAATGCGGCGATGAGGCGAGTGGGATGCGCGGCACACACAACACACCCATAAATTACACATACAAACGAGGGATATGTAAGACAAGGTAATTTGAAGCCTCAACCCATCGAAGCAGACATTCAGCACGGGTTTTTGGTGATTATGACATCGGATAGCGAGCCCACGGCTTTTTTTCTAGGATCGTCTCCGCCCCGGCCGGATGTTATTGGTGGATACGGTGGAGGGAAAAATCGAAGAGGATCATGACTTCAAAGCGAGGATTTGTATGGCCAAACCATTCAAACAACTCACTCACAACAGAGTTTACTTGGACCAGCTCAGAAAGGATGATGTGGTAAGTGAAAAGAGTTATAATAGATCCCCAAAGGCAAAACGGGATCAAAGTTGATATTACTTTAGTCTTTGGAGATTTGATAGTAAAATTCGAGCCGGGAATTTATAATAATTTTTTCCCGCCTTTTTTGGGTTATGTAGTAACTTGTGGTTATGAGAGTCGTGAGAAAATAAAATCCGAGTGTACACTTCGAATTTTACGACGTAAAAGTGCCTGTTTGCCCATAAATGTCATGGATAATATACTCTGTCCTTTCCAGCTCAACCACGGCGCTATCACCAACGAATTTCTCATCAAGAAGACGCTAGACAAGACCAAGATCATCGAATGGGCCGGCCGGAAACAACGTGACACCCGGCTCGACCAAGACCGTCGCCTCCCTTTCTTCAGCTATACTCCAGACAGCTTCAGCATGATTATCGTCCCTATGATCATCGAAAAGTAGGCGTAATGAAGCCAATTTGATTATAAATAACATTTCAGGAAAGAAGCCCTCGGCTCCATGGGCAATGACGCTGCTTTGGCTTGTATTTCCGACTATTCCCCGCTTCTTTACTCCTACTTCCAACAACTCTTCGCCCAAGTTACAAATCCGCCAATCGACCCATTCAGAGAGCAGATTGTCATGTCTTTGAGATGCCCCGTCGGCCCGGAATCGAATTTGTTGGACACAGGAAGCGAATTGAAGGGACGATTGCTTCTTGATCAGCCAGTTTTGAGCATTGTAGACATGGAGATTATAAAGAGAACCTCGTACAGGGGATGGAGGTCAACTGTGATCGATATTTGTTACCCAGTCCGTCATGGGCCTCATGGACTTTTGCCAGCACTCGATAGAATTTGCTCGGAAGCCTGTGCCGCTGCCCTGGATGGATTCCAAATCATCATACTGTCTGATCGAGGAGTCAGCAAAGATCAGATCCCAGTTAGCGCACTGTTGGCTTTAGGCGCTGTGCATCAATGCTTAATCAAACAGAGGCTTAGAATGAATGTAAGGAGTGTTTTTGAAGTGATTGGGGTGACAGAAGTTGTTGTTTTGACTAGTCTCGATTTGGCCGCCGTTTTACATGGATAATATGTATTTCAGGTCGCTTTGTTCGTTGAATCTGGTGAAGTAAAACAAGTTCATGACTTCTGTGTCCTCCTTGGCTACGGAGCAGATGCAATTTGCCCATATATGGTGTTCGAAACGTGTCACAGGTTGAGAAATATGGGGTTGATCGACAAGAGTCTGACTGATGATGAGGTAAGTTCATTACGGTAGTAAAATGAGTTTTTTTACTGTAGTTGCAGTGCTACAAATTTGATTTTCAGGTATTCCACGGCTACAAAGCAGGCATCGAAAGAGGAATCTTCAAAGTCATGGCCAAGATGGGGATCTCTACCCTCCACAGTTACAAAGGCGCCCAAATTTTTGAAATTGTCGGCCTCGCCAAGGACGTAGTGGAAAGATGCTTCACCAATTCTGTTTCCCGTCTAGGAGGCGCAAACTTTGATATTCTGGCTCAAGAATCCCTCAGACGACATCGAATGGCCTTCCCGATCGCCTCTCAAAACAACGGAGATCATTACTTGTACGGTGATAGTAAGGTTCTGGTCAGTCCCGGAGTGTATCATTGGCGACATGGAGGTGAAAAACATATCAACGAGCCGAATGCGGTCGCCAAACTTCAAGCCGCAACAAGATTGAATGACAAAAAGCTCTTTAGCGAATATTCTCAGGCCTCAAATCTGGCTCAACGACTTTGCACTCTGAGAGGACAATTGGAGGTGAAGACCAACGAAACGCTGCAAATCCCGTTGGACGAAGTGGAACCCGCCGCGGAGATCGTCAAAAGATTCGTGACCGGAGCCATGTCCTTTGGAAGTATTTCTTGGGAAGCCCACACAACTCTGGCCATTGCGATGAACAGAATTGGGGCCAAGTCGAACACCGGAGAAGGTGGAGAGAAGCCAGAAAGATACGCAAAGAATCAACCGGCCGAAAGGAATATTAGATCCGCGATCAAACAAGTTGCCTCGGCCAGATTTGGTGTCAACTCCTCGTATCTGGCCAATGCGGATGAACTTCAAATCAAAATGGCGCAAGGCGCGAAGCCAGGAGAAGGCGGAGAACTGCCAGGCCATAAAGTCAGCAAAGACATTGCGGCGACCAGAAAATCAACCGCTGGGGTGGGCCTCATCTCTCCACCGCCGCATCACGATATCTACAGTATCGAGGACTTAGCTCAATTGATTTATGACCTGAAATGCTCCAATCCCAAAGCCAGAGTATCGGTGAAGTTGGTGTCAGAAGCTGGAGTTGGAATTGTCGCTGCGGGAGTCGCCAAAGGAAACGCTGATCATATTACAGTGTCTGGACATGATGGAGGAACCGGTGCTTCAAGCTGGACAGGCATCAAACACGCTGGACTTCCGTGGGAGCTGGGCGTCGCGGAAACTCATCAGGTCCTCACCATGAACAACTTGAGATCCAGAGTGGTCCTACAAGCCGACGGACAAATTCGGACGGGCAGGGATGTCATCATCGCTGCGTTACTAGGAGCAGACGAGTTTGGAATGTCCACAGCACCTCTGATTGTGCTAGGATGCATCATGATGAGAAAATGCCATTTGAACACCTGCCCCGTGGGTGTCGCAACTCAGGATCCAATTTTGAGAGCGAAATTCGCCGGCCAGCCCGAGCACGTGGTCAACTTTATGTTCATGGTAGCTGAGGAAGTGCGATATTTCTTGTCCAAGCTTGGCTTGAAGTCTCTGAGTGAGGCTGTGGGCAGAGTTGATCTCCTCTATGCATCTCCAAATCCTGTGAACAAAAAAGCAACTCAACTGGAGTTTGGACAAATTTTGACGAACGCGAGATTGTTGTATCCAGATGTGAATATTCGTGGAGGATCGATCAAACAGTTCCATGAGATCAACGAATTGGAACAGAAGATTTTGAAAAAGCTGGACGGGTTCTTCGATGGACAAGGAGAAAACAAACGGGTTTTTAATGACCATATCAGGAATATCGACCGTACTTTTGGAGCCAGAACGAGTTACGAGGTCTCCATCCGCCATGGCGAACACGGACTGCCGGAGGGCAGAGAAATCGAAGTGAATTTGAAGGGGCATGCGGGACAGAGTTTCTGCGCCTTTTTGGCCAAAGGAATCACTGTGAAATTGGAGGGAGATGGAAACGATTATGTTGGAAAAGTAAGAAATGGAACGGGATATTGGAAAGTGAAACAATCAAAATGCTGGAAATAGGGAGAAATTTTAACCCGTTTAAAAATTTTATCAAGGATAAGGTCAGGTTTGCGTTGATGTGGGAAAAAATTAAATTAACAGTCGTTTAATTAGGCAACACGCACATAAAGGGTCTGTGGGATAGTTTCCGGCAATTGAGAAGGGTTTGAATTTCGACAAGTAGATTAGAGTGGATAAGATTTTAAAAAAAGTGTGGAAAATTGAATATCCAGCACTTCCATTTTACTGTCAACGTCTCAAAATTAAATTTTCAGTGCCTCTCCGGCGGGAGAATTGTGATCCGCCCACCGAAAACCGCGAAATTCCCATCAGAAGACAATACAATTATCGGAAACGTCGCCCTGTATGGAGCCACCTCCGGAAAGTGCTTCTTCCGCGGAGTTGCAGGAGAACGTTTTGCGGTCAGAAACTCGGGAGCCACCGCCGTTATTGAGGGAGTCGGCGATCACGGCTGCGAATACATGACTGGCGGATTGGTCATCATCTTGAAGGACATTGGAAGGAACTTTGCGGCCGCGATGAGCGGTGGAATCGCTTATGTCTTTAATAAGTATGTGGATTGATCCGAATGCGAAATTTGGGGATGGATTGAGGCTAATTTTGATTTGAAATTGCAAAATTTATATTGTTTTAGAGATGGAAATGCAACCAACTTGATGAACCGCGCCACCATAGATATCGATCCCCCGACAGTGGAAGATCTGAAACAAGTGAAGGATTTGATTCAAGAATTTGTCGATGAAACTGAATCCAAGATCGGCCAAGACATCCTGAACACCTGGCATGAGTCAGCCCCAAGATTCGTTAAGATCTTCCCCAAGGATTACAAACGGGTATTAACCGAGCTGGAAAAGGAAAAAAATGAAAAAGCGGACGCCAAGAGAGAATCTGACAATGCGTTGGAGGTAAGCAAGGGTTTCAAGAAGTTGTTTTTGCATTTGTTACCTTATTTTACATTTTTTTAATCTTTGGATATCTTTCTAGCTTTTTTTGGTATTGTAAAATACGTTTTTGGTTAATCTATGGACTTACGTAAGCTTAAAGTAGCTGGTTTTTGAAAATTTTTTACATGGTCCAACTTTTCTGCTAATTTTTGCATTTTTTTGCACTAAAAACGTACGTGAAATTTCAATGTGTTGGGCCATCCGAAATGATAATGAATTCGACCAAAGTTTCCTCTAATTCGATTACTCGGAACTGCTTTGAATTGTAATTCTATTGTGCAGAATATTCAGGACTCGCTGGCCCCACCGCCGCGCTCCCTTCGCGCCCTTTCAATGGACATGCAAATCGCCCCCGAAGACGAGAAATTGGACAAGAGATCACGAAGAAAGAGAAGTGTTAGTGTTTTCTGTTTGGTTATTACTGTAGGAATGAGTAGAGGAGGGTGCAAAGCACTGATCTGTGATTCCGCTTTTCTTTTTATCGGTTGGCTACGAAATGAAAGCGAGATTTCATTATTTTTTCATTAAGGTTTTGTTACTATGTAATTTAGGGTGTCAAATTAAGCATAAAGTGTTTTTGTTAGTTCTACATGACAGTAGAGAGAATTCTGTGTCGATTTTTTGAGAAAAAATTGGAGAAAAATCTGAAGAAGCGATCTGAAAATAAAATTTTTCGAAAGGATTTGTTCCAAATTTCATACGCAATATACTGCAAAATGACGTAAATGAACATAAAATCAACTCGCTTTACTTTAGATCATCCAACATCGCCGTCGAAAATACTCCAAGAGCATGCAAACGCAAGATTTCGCCGGATTCGAAGGGACCGTCGATCTTCAAGAAGCCGACGCCGAAAATGAGGACCTCGAATTAGACAACCAATCAGACGAAGATTCGGCTAGTTCCATCGAAAACGAGAAGCCAATGAACAATCCGTCCGATGATATTGAAAATATCATCAATATTATCAAAAATAATGAGGAAAATCTGGACAAGACTCGCGGTTTTGTCAAATATCAGCGTCAAAAGAAGGTCTACCGTAACCCGGAGGAGCGTCTCAAGGACTGGAATGAGGTGACGGACTATCAGGCCATCCGATCCAACATCCGAGAACAGGCCGCACGGTGCATGGATTGCGGCATCCCATTCTGCCAAGGAAACACAGGCTGCCCTCTTGGAAATATCATCCCCAAGTGGAACGACTACGTCTTCAAGAAGAACTGGCGCCAGGCTTTGGAACAGCTCCTTCAAACCAACAACTTCCCCGAATTCACTGGTCGCGTTTGTCCCGCACCGTGCGAGGGTGCTTGCTGTGTGGGAATCAATGCTCCAGCAGTCACGATCAAGAACATTGAGTGCGCCATTATTGATTATGCGTTCTTGCAAAAGTGGATTACGCCTCAGGTCCCACCGGCAAGGACTGGAAAGAGAGTTGCGGTCATTGGAAGTGGACCTTCAGGTAGGTCAAGAACAAGATAAAAATGTTGGTGAAACATATCGATTTTTATCAAAGGGTGTGAGGACTGGGTAGACAGTGGCGATGTTTGATTTTAAATACGATTTAGTCTGAAGTTAAGTTGCTAGATGTTAAGCTTTACCTATATTCCTAATAGTCAACTACAATATAAAGAGTCGATTTTAAGGACGGTTTTGAGCGAGAAGTGGCAGAATAACCAAGACTATTATATATATTTTTCTCACTACTATTCTATATTGTTATATTGCAGGTCTTGCCGCCGCCGCTCAGCTCAACAAAGTCGGTCATGCAGTTGTTGTCTACGAACGAAAGAACCGCGTTGGTGGCCTCCTCCGTTACGGAATCCCTCAAATGAAACTGGACAAGTATATCCTAGAGCGGCGCGTCAAATTGATGGAAGACGAAGGCATCCGCTTCATAACGAACGCAGAAATCGGCAAAGATGTCCCTGCCCATATGTTGTTGAAGGAGAATGATGCCATCGTTGTTTGCACGGGTTCAACCACCGCTAGAGATCTGAAAATCCCTGGCAGAGAAGCCAAAGGCATTCACTTTGCTATCGAATACTTGCAACGAAGTCAGCAGATTCGAGCCGGCGATGACATCCCATGGGATGGATTGAATGCGGAGGGAAAGAGAGTGATCGTTTTGGGTGGAGGCGACACTGCTACTGATTGTATTGGAACCTCGTTGAGATTGGTAAGGAAGAATGAAGTTATGTGGGAACCGATTAGAGAAAAATCAGAGGAATTCAAGGGAAAATGCGGGATTTGGAAGAAGAATAATACATTTGATGTTATGAATAAGATAATTAGTGATCTTTTTGTTGATTTTGGTCATTAGAGCACGTGATTGGTGGTATGAGATAGGAAAATGATACGACTTGTTACATTCAGGGGTGGTCAGCAGACCCTATTTTTCCGATTTTCGGCCCGCGGCCCGGCCCGTCTAATCACCGGCCCGGCCCGTCTAGTCTTTTTCCAGGCCCGGCCCGGCCCGTGACGGGCCTGGCCCGGCCCGTGCAGGCCCGTCTATAGAGGGTTCTGCGAACTGCGCCCAGGCTCGGGATCTAAACTGAGGCAAAAAAGGCGTTGATCTAGCTAGTAAAGGATCAATGTGATAGTTTTGTGGTTCTATAATGGAACTATAGACTTGTAAACGTGTTAGAACTTGAGAAACAGCAACTATAACAACATCAATTAATTTTCCCGGCGCGAAAACAATGAATGCCAACGGTTTGGCATTGTATTTTAGACGGGCCGGGCCGGAAAAAACCCCAGGCCCGCGGCCCGGCCCGGCCCGTGACGGGCCCGGCCCGTTTGTCAATTTCCATTTTTGAGGCCGGCCGGCCCGTTTGGGCCGGGCCGGCCCGCCGACCACCCCTGGTTACATTACACAAATTTAATTGCATTTTTCAGAAAGCGAAATCCGTGAAAGCGTTCGAAATCCTCCCTAGACCGCCAGATGAACGTAAACCAGAAAACCCATGGCCGCAGTGGCCATTGATCTTTAGAGTTGACTATGGTCACGATGAAGCCAAAACTCTGACTGGAGAAGACCCAAGAATCTATGGAATCTCAACCAAGGTCAGTTTTTGATGTTTTTAGACTTAAGCTGGACTGAAACATACCGTAATATAATTTTGATCAAATAATTTTTACTTTTGTAGGAATTTATTACCAAGGAGAACGACAAAGGCGAGACCGTCCTTGCTGGCCTGAAAACTATCAGAATCGAATGGGAAAAATTGGAAAACGGCCAATGGAAAATGAATGAAGTCCCGAACAGCGAAGAAATCTTTGAAGCCGACATGGTAATCCTCGCCATGGGCTTTGTGGGACCGGAGAAAGCTGTCATCGAACAGCTGAAACTGGAACCCGATGCAAGAAGCAACATTAAGACCCCTCAAGACAAGTACAACACAAACACCGCCAAAGTTTTTGCGGCCGGAGACTGTCGCCGCGGCCAATCCCTGGTGGTCTGGGCCATCCATGAAGGCCGACAAGCCGCCCGCCAGGTCGACCATTACCTAATGGGAAAAACCAATCTGGCTGGCCCCGGAGGCATCGTCCTAGGCCCCAATTAGACCATAATCTTATATCTTCTCATGTTCACATACTGCAGCTTGTTTTTTTCAGTTTTATTTAGGTAATTTCATAGCGAATCCTATTTTGTCAAAATGTATCGTTAATTATTATGCTAAATAAATACGGATGAAGTCTAATGTGACCTTATTTTACAGTCTTTTAGCAAAAGATCGTGATTTTTCCGAAGAACAAGATCATTTAGTGTAATATAACTTTGCTCATTATAAGGTCAACTGACAAAAATTACAATAAATGGAAGCCACCAAGAACAAGAAACAAAAAATTTCAAAGAACAGTTTTTATTGATCGTATAAGATGTCACCGTTCTTCGCAAACGCAAGGCCGCAGCCTGCGCCCAAATTTCTTTCTCTTTTTTTGAGTCTGCAGTGCATGATCTATCAAAGAAGTCAGTTCAAAAGGTACAAGAAGATGAGTAATTTCGATGTGAACCAATTTTTAAAACGTCTCGAGAGCTCGGGGTTTTTTCGTGTTTTTGCGGCGGTTTTCTGATATCGTCCTTGACGATTTTTTCGGCCATTTCCAGAAAATCCTTGCCCAGCCCGCGTTCGCCTCATGCTCAATCCATTTGTATGGACATTGTGAAGTGTTCCAACGCAGCAGGCCGCCAAACGCAATCGTTGTCCACGATAAAACGGGGTTTTATGGCGACAGGATGGATCCAAACTGGAAGAATGTCGACGAAGACGAGATTAGTGGTAAGTGGCGCCCTAAAATTATGCTTTCTTCCGCGTTTAGATGATGTCGAGACTGCGAGCGCGATCATGGAGAGCTGCGCCGGCTTCTACAGCTCCTACGAATGTAAGGAGGTGCTGGGGCATGGGATCGCGTCCACCGTGCGCCGTTGCATCGAGAAGAGTACGGGTCAAACGTTTGCGGTGAAGATCGTGGACATCTCCACCGAACGCCAGAACGAGATGGAAGCCAAGAGGTTGGCGGAGGAGACCATGTCTGAAATAAATTTGCTCAGGCAATTGGCTGGACATCCATCCATTAGTAAGTAGCTAGAGCAATATGATTTTTTTTTGTTTGTTCAAATGGAAGATTTCTTTATACGGCTTACTTATGATGTAAGCCTTTCATAATTGTGGCTTTTCTGCCGTTGCGCTTTATCCTTTGGAGGATTAGCTAGCTTGACAAAAGTCAGCGAGCTGATTTTTGTCAAAAATATTATTCGGAGATGGTCGTAAACGAATGTAATAATAATGGTAAAGGCTTGAATAGACATTTAAGGACTGCATTATATAGTAGTTTTTTTTCTGTTTTTAGTACTTATCCACGATTTCTACTCCACGCCGACCTTCCTCTTCGCCATCTTCGAGATGGCACCGGGCGGCGAACTCTTTCACTTACTTAACAAAATGGTGACATTCAGCGAGAAGAAGACCCGCCAAGTCATGAAGCAGCTGTTTGACGGTGTTTCTTACATGCACAGCAAAAACATTGTACATAGAGATTTAAAGGTAAGCATTTTGTTTGTTTTTCTTTGCTTTTAGGTAAAAATTGATGTCATATGGAGTTGTGAACTGTAAAAGGAATAAAAGTCTTATCTTTCAGTTGGAAAATATCCTTTGTATTGACGATCATCGAGTGTGCATTAGCGATTTTGGATTTGCCAAGCAATTAACTCCGGGGGAGAGGCTCAAAGGTAAGGGAATAATATTGTTGTCTTTATAACTTAATGGAAGTGTAAGGTATCAAAAGATGCAGAATTGAAGAGGTTAACTAACAACATAAATTTTTTGCCATAGCTTTATCCCTATGGTAAAATATGCCATGTTTCCTCGAGGTGACTAAATTTTCAATATTTTCGAAAAGTAACCTATTTATGATTTCCACAGTAGCTCTTACTCGTCTAATTTGATGTTTATTTAGAGCTCTTTGGTACCCCCGGATACCTTGCTCCAGAAACATTGAAGTGCCAAATGTATGAAAATGCTACCGGTTATAGCTTAGAGGTGGACAATTGGGCATTAGGAGTGATTATGTACACACTTTTGGCGGGACATGCTCCTTTCTACCATCGACAACAACTTCGGATGATGAGAATGATCCAAGAAGGACGGTTTGATTTCGTCGCAGATATATGGGACTCTGTCAGTCAGGATGCCAAGGATTTGGTAAGGGATTTTCTGTTGGGTTTGTGAATTTAGAGAGGAAGTTGAAAAATGGGAACAAGTTTTTTGGGTTTTGGTACATAATATAAAATTTGATGTATTTAAAACCAAAATGAGAAATAAGGAGAAGGTGAATGCTTAAAATTTACTTTCAGATTCGTCGCATGCTGACTGTTGATGTGAACGAGCGAATAACGGCCAAAGAATGTCTAGAGCACCAGTGGATGAAGGCGGCCGATGTGGTCCCAATGAGGAAGAGATCCGTCGTTACCAAGGAAGTTGCGGCCCCAACTCGCAGATCTCAGGCCGAACTCCGCTCACTGTTCCGCATGGCCCAGTTGGCGGTTCGGTTTACATGGAGGATCGGGAATCTTCGGCGGTTGAAACAAAGCCTCGACCGAACAGAACTACGGATACGTCCGTACAGGTATACCGAGGTAAGGATTGACGGGGTTTTTGGGGGTCTTATGGGATTTCTTGTGATAAAAGGTTGAATTTTGGGCAAATGTCCAAGTTGACTTGGTTTGGCATTATTTTTATTTTAATCATGGGGTTTTTCGGAATTTGTTGAAAACTTGGTATGATACACCTCTGCCATAGCGAAAGCGTTTGTGAGAAGAACGATTATGAGCCGTTCCATCAGCTGATTTAAAGATTTTGCATTATTAAAGTTGATATTCACGAAAAATTTTTTTATTTTCCTCTCTTTTACCTCGTGTAATATAAGTTTTTCTAATTTCTCCCAATTTCAGGTTCGTCACGAAGCAGAAGCCGCCGCATTCGCGGTGTTCGGCCACTGGGTGAGCCGTGGATTCCACTACTCGCGTGACATGCTGTTTGCGAATCGTCCCCGGCCCCCCAAAGGCCTAGGTGTAGCGGGCGCTAAAAGCCCGTAGGAAGCTAGTACCAATTAAACAATCAAAACTCTGTGCGCTCATTGTAAATACTCTTTTCTTTATTTAGATATGTTAATACAGCAAAGGATATAACACAAGTCGGAAATGCAACCAATTTCGTGGACATGTTATAACTAGATATCAACTGTAATATTCTACAGAAATACTGGAAAAATATTTGAACAACTCGGGTTGAAATGATGGGAGAGGGTGTGAAATGAAACTAAAGATGTGTTAGAGGATTCTGTTGCTTGTTTTAAATGTGATATCGAATATAAAACGCGGTTTTGGGTACCTTTTAACGAAAAATCATTGTTTTTAGTCGGATTTTGTTCGAAAATTCTATTACCTGATATCAAAACCTTGTAAATGGCTCTAGCTATAATTTGAATACTGAAACAAATAATAATCAACCAGTTGATAGACGTTTGAACCATTTTTAAAACATTTTTTTTTTGACTTCTGACCCAAAATTTAGATGATCAAATAACGACAAAATACTATCATAAATACTAAGTAGCCTCTAGAATAACTAGGAAGTATAATAAATTAGATTAGCAACCAAAAATTTGGTCAAAATTTCATCGATCCAACGCTTCTTCAAAGGTGGAATTGCTCACGAGATCTTGCAGGAATGTTACTTTCTCTCTGGCACTTTTCAAAAGCTCCGTCACGTTGTGTTTCTCGGCCATTTCTGAAGAAACAAAGGTGATATTATACTTTATATAACACACGATCGGATTTCGGTCAAAATTTTACAAACAGTAATTCTTTGGGGAAACTTTAGCGGCAAAATAAGTAACAAAAAGTCAGGGTAAAGTGCCATACCATTGAAAAACTTGATCACGTCCGTGAATTCCATGTTATTTTCCAACAAGATTTGTCGGTAATTGGTCAGCATGGCCAAGGCAAAAAATAGTTGAAAATGCGATGATACAGTATGCTCTGCGGCCCAAATGACCTCCCAAACCTTGAACACGTCATCGTATTTCATTTCTGAAAGTAGGTTCCATTGAAATTCTGGAAACAATAGAGTGCTTTTTTTCTTATTTTACATCATGCCGAAAGAGGTAAAGTGTCGTAGGAAAGGCGTGAATGAGCTGTATACACTACTCAGGCCAAATAAATTAGTATAACTGCTTTTGGAGGACACTGTGTTTCCAGAAAAGAATTTTAAAGGCCAAAATTATACATTAGTCATCTTGGATAATATAAAGTAGCCGTAAAATTTAGTACAGCTCAAAGATTTGGGGTTAAACCTCCTCCTACCCCGCTTAAAGTCAAGTAGAAACCATCGATATGCAAAATAGAGATGTGTGTAGTCGGTGTCGTTCATGAATTGTTGATATAATTCGGTGTCCATCACCTGAACTATGGTCCGAAGATTGACAAGGTTAGATTCGATCGCATTCCCTTGGGAATGCGGGAAATTGACTTTCATCTTCTCCATGAGGACCTCAAAGCATTCGAGGGTCAGGGATTCTGCAAAATAGAGGTAGAATACGATTTATGCCTTCAAAAATCCATCTTTTTTCCCCAAAACGTTAAATTTTTTCGCGTCAAGATACATATTTACATGTATAGGGTGCGGCAAAAAAATGGAAACTTTTTTCATTGGGTCCCGACGCGAAAACTTTTGAGTGCATCAAAATTATTTTCATACCATTAAATTCTACGTAGTCTTCTCTCCTAGACCTTATAATTTCATGTCCTTATCGGTTTATTAACATTCTTTTTTTAAATGTCAAACAAAGGGACCTCGATTTTGGACCTGTTTTTTAAGCTGTTCGAATTGCTAATTTGCCCCGTATAGAAACGACGTTGTGTCCAAAGTAATCACACAATGCAAGGAGCTTGTTAACAATTTTAAGCATCCATTAAGAGAAAGAAAACGCACCGCCAACACGTCTGCCAGCCGTGTGGCCATCAACAGCGAAATCCGTCGATTTCCAGAAAAAATTGCACGTGAGACCGTATTTTACCTACCTTCCTGAAAGATGACTAGTAACGGAGCGGCTATATCGCACATTCCTTGAACGTAGCCGTCGTCTAGATGTTCCCAAACATACGAACACATGATGTTCTTCAGTTTCTCGAGGTTGCTCTTGTTTGAAAAGAATTGGGTGTGTCGATCACAACGCTCCACATCTTTCTCGATCCGATGAAGATTGGTGCCGAATTCTTCGACCAAATTCTGAAACAGTAATGTAGCGCTGGGGCAGGTACTGATTAAGTCTGATTACTCTACTGGGAAATCGTGGTCGAACCCAAAAATTGCGCCATTTCATAGGAAAAAATGTCGATTTTTACTCATCAGTCACTTAGAAAATAATCCGATGAATTCATGATTACACTTACGTCTATCTTTGGCTTTGCATTTGAGTCCATGAACACCTCTGTACTCATTGATTTCCCTTTGCTCCAGTTCGAGTTTTCATGGAGATCCACTTCGGAACTCTGCCTCATTCGAGCTGAAAGTAAACAAATTACAGTAATTTATCTTGAATAGGGTCTGGCCTTTTTTGGATAAAAGCACACAGTTGTCATCATTATACATAGGTCTATACTTTATAAAAAGATGTAAACAAAAACCAAAAATTTTAAATTTTACTGTTGAAAGTAGCTTTATTTTTCTCACAAGCGGTTTTCTATGGTCTGTCTTACCATTTTCAAACTGCTCACAGTCCCGTTTGATAACTTCTTTCTCGATCTCTTTCCATTTATCCACTTTTTTCTCGTATCTTTTCCTCCATTCATCCCGAAAACGGTCCGTATTTTCGTTCCATCCTATTAAATTCAAAAGATATGGCCACGCGTGTGCCCGTAATTCCGGCTGGATTCCATTTAGATACGCTCGGATCCAAAATTCTTTTTGTAATTCGATCTGAAAGTAATTTCAAACGAAATAAAAAAGTAAAAAAGTATTATAAAATAAGAGCCTCAAAGATTGGACTTACACTTTGCTCGGCTCTACACCGCTCCCAAAACTCGCTATCGACAATTTTGCCGGCGTATAAGGCCTCATCCAGCCTTATATTATTGATGGTGCAGGCTAAGTGAGTTCGTACAGTCTTCATATGTCTGCAATAAGATAGCCAGCCGTAGAAGGCGCGGGACAGAATCTGCCGACGGACTGTTTCACATGCATCCATAAGGCTGACTCTGAAAAAATAATGAGACTTTTAGGCTATAAAAGTGTGTGTCATGTGTGTTGTGATGGATAATGCCATAGTATTATATTTCGATGAGAAATTTTATGTCATTCAAAACGCAAAAAATTCAAAATCTTGAACAGTGCAGAGGGGGAAAAAATTGCCCGCACGGTGCGAAATAATGATTTTTGCACCGTGTAGTAAGTAGTAAAAATAGTAATCACGTTGTAAAAAAATGATTTTTGCAATGTCCGACAATGCTGAGCAACTTGAATAACAACTATTTTGAGCCTCGTCGTAATCTGCGATTTTTTTTTGTAACTCCCGCACCGTGCAGGACCTTTGATTTTTTGCACAGTGCACTTTCATTTCTCCTTGCACCGTGCAATTTGTCAATTCCTTTCATTTTTGTTTTTTTATTGCTAGTTTCGTATCTGTTAGTACAGATTACTATCCCGACTTACTTCTCAATGGAGCTATGCTGTCCTTCGGACATTTCTTTGGCCCTTGAAAGCTGCGGCGGCTTCATTTCTCTGGATCTGACAGATGCCGAGGACGCCCTTTTCTTGGTGAGAGCTGGCGAATTTGGCAACGAATTACTGTAAAATAATCTTAGAGGAAAAACGTAGTATTGGACAACTTTTTTATTCTTATCTTGCCCTACCTGTGGGATCTGAATCCATTTTGATGCACAAACTCGTTCAGAACATTATTTTTCAATGGAACAGCCGCGGGCGTTGAGGAATTCGAATTCTCACGCTCTGAGCTGACCCTGCGGATTCGGAAAACATAGTCATGGCTTTCTTGATTCTCATCTGTTGAGGTTTCACTGGCTCGGCGGAAAAAACTGGATTTCCGTTTGACTTGCGGCAATGCTTTGCCTGAAACGGATGGGATATGCAAATTAATGGTTATTTGAAGCCATTGAACAACTACTTTATCACAACCAACAAGGAGGGAAAACACTGCTCTCGACTCACCCTTTCCCGGTTCAAACCACAGCGGCGGATCTAGCCTGGAATTGGGCGATAAGGCGCTCTCTAAACAGGCAAGGAATTGGACGCAGTGTTGGCCAGGTGGGAACTGGAAAGGGCGATGTTGAACACCCTCAGCGTCCACAAAAACCAGCGAGATTGGTTGTTGAGCTCCTTGCGAATGCAAATGAATGTAAATGATGTCATTTACATTGATCATGATCGTATGTTTCCACAATCTCGAGTTGTCCCCATTGTCCGAAGGGGAGTCGGAACTGCTTTGGGAACTAAAATACGAACAAATTAAGTCAGAAAAACTACTGAGCAAGTCTGTTACCTCGAATGCATCAACTGATTTGGCACCCATTTCAAAGTAATCGCTCTTTTGTGCTCTTGATGCAAACTAAGGTACCCTTTGAGGGCCTCGCTACCATCCGAGGTGGTCACTGTAACATTGTTCTTCCCATAGAGCAAAGAAGAGCGGAAATTTTGGTGCAACGAAGATACACAGTTTCGGCTGAGAGAATAAGCGGCGACGGATTGAACATCAACCGATCGGATCACACTACTGCCGCGTTTGAAGACCTGAAAAATAAAGATAAAGCAAGAAGGACGAAGATATATTGGACATGGGTGAAAGGCGGCCTAGAAGATCTTGTCTATCGGTAGTCTTTTCAGGGTGGCCAAAAGTCGGGACACTTCGAAAAGTAGAAGTGTCACGACTTATGGTTTTTCTCGAGTTGAAAATTCAAATGAATACTCCCTGCACTGCTCTGTGTTTAGTAAAACTCGAACTATAAATTAAAATGATACCTTTGCGGTATGATAGCATCAAAATTTATAAAAATCTTCCCTTGCACCGCGCAGAGAGCGAAGTGATTATTATAGTATTTACACTGTGCAGCCTACAAACTTCATAGTTCATTGCCCCTTACAGTGTATTTTTGATACATAAAAATATACATAATTTTATACATAATTCTACACATAAGACAGTATTTGCAGACTCTTTGGGTTCCACTAGTTTTGGATATTGCAAAAAAAAACGTTCACGAATCTACGGCACGCACCGTGCAAAACAGTACAAAATTTTAATTGCACCGTGCAGATTTAAAATCACTCTTTTGTAAAAGCAACAAAAAAAGTTAATTTTTGCCCAGCGCAGTCTCTTGACTCTACATTTTTCACTGTGAACCCAATTCATCCCAGTCTTTGAACCGCACAGTGCAGCATTTCATCGCTCAAATTATTTCAAATCATGCATAAAAAACGTGTTACAAAGCGGTTTCAACAACTCACAGTCAGCGGGGGTTTGGAGAGTTTCGGTGACGTGAGCGACGAGGTGGACGTGAGACGGAAGCGCTGGACCAGTTCGTCCGCCGTGGGATCTCGGTAACCGTTCTCCATTTGAAGCGCACAGCATCAACTTTGCTTACTTTTGGCGCATTTATGAAGTCGGAAGAGGCTCAAAAATATTTTCAAATAGAGATGGAGTACATATTCGTAATTTAGAATGCGATTTCGTTTAAAGCATGGGTCAAATCAAGATGCTTTAGACAAAACAAAGCCCGTGTAGCCCAACATAAAGTAACATTGGCTAAATCAATGTAATTATGGGGTAAAGAAGACATGACAAAAGTAAAGAAAGCCGCGTCAATCCTAAACCAAATCATCTCGATGCTGAAACTGCCAACTTCAACTTTCAAAATCACATATTTTATACCCAAACCAGGTTAAATTGCCTAAAATAGGGTGCAATTTATACTTTCCTTGCCCAAAACTGGATGTTTCAGAGACCAAAAACTCTGTTAAGCACTCTTTATCCCCCGATTAAAAGTTTTATGGCGGCCTGTCAACACCAAAACTCCCTAAATGCCCTCAGGCGAAAGCCGTTAAGACGGGGTTTTGGAGAGTAAATTAATTAGTAATTAATCGGCTTCTCTAATCCCAAATACAAACCCGAGGGCTCCTCGCTTCGTCGGTGGCTGAAAAGAGACCACTGGTTATGAACGGCGAACAAGTAATCGAGGAAGTCCTCCCTCCTCGCACTAGTCATTTCGTGGCCTAAAAAGCGGCCCAACGGCCGAAAAAGAGTGCGCACGTAAGCGAGGGAAAGGAGGGTTTCGGCGAGCGAGGGCCGGCCCCATCGATTGGTTTGGTTTTCTTTATGAGGTGCCGCGCTTATCAGTAGCCCAATTAGAATTTGTTTCAGGGCTCTTTTCGCGATGTTTTGGATGATAAATTGGGTTTTCCTTCTTTTGTCTTGCTTTTTCCGTGAAGAAAATTGGGCTTGAATTGTTGTTATGCCCAAAGGGAACAGAGCTGTGGACCGTTGGGGCTGAATTTTCAATGGAAAAACTTTGGATTTGGACTTTTGGGAAATTTTTGGGATTCTTGATAATCTTTTAGGCAACTTTGAGCTTTCGGACAGAATACGGTGGTTGAGAACGCGGAATGCAGATTCGAGCTGGCTTCTTCAGTTGTTTTTATGGCACAAACTCAAGCTCTGCGCATCGAAATTTTTGAAAAAATAATTTTAGGAATCTTTGATGATTCATGGACCATTTTTTGCGCTAAAATAAGAATGTCTGCTGTAAAATACGCTCTTCCAATATCAAGAGACTATTCCAGTACAAGTTCAAGCCTCTGCAATCCCGAATTTTCCTCCAAAAATAATTTTTTTTATTTGGTACAGAAAGCAATTATAATATTTTACTGCCATTTTCAACTCAAATCACAAAATCAACACGATACCAAAGAGGGTGTAACATTACAAAACAGCCTACAAACTAACATATGACTTCAATTTCTTGTGCTTTCTGCGTTTTTACAGCAAAAATTGGTGTTTTTTAATAAAAGTACTGATGCCTTTTGCAAAAACCTAGCAATTTTTATTCAAAGGTGCTATTTTGTGGTAAAATACAGCTTCAAAATAAGGTTAAATAACCTTTTAATTACAAACAATTTAAGCTTCCGCTGAACTTGGTATTTTTTCGTCGGGAAATCAACAGTTCGGTCAAATTTTTAGGAAAAAAATGGATTTTCGTTAGGTACGGTATTTGTTTTTTTTTCTCGACTATCATTAAATTTTCCTATAAGTTTCCTTTTTTTCGACTAAAAATCGCAAAAATTTTCCTTTTTTTCGCAAAGTTCTTCTTCATTCTGCAAATTTGTAAGTTCCTTGTTTGTGACGGTGTCTACAAGATGTGTTTGGCGGGGTGAATAGAAAGCCGGCAGAAGTTTGCACCCTGTGGAAGTGTCCTGTATGTTTATATCGCCTTTTTTCAACCCTTAAAGCGGGGGTTTTCTGCTTTGGGAAGGGCTGTTCTTATGACCCTTAAAAAGAGCGATTACTCTTAAAAAGGAAGACAGACGTAGTAAAAAATACATTTTACCGCTCTTCACGTGCTTGCTGTTAATAGTTGTATAGAAACCAAAAGAATTTTTGCGGTATATTGTAGTAGACATTATGATTTTAAAAAATTTTAAGGAAATACGATCAGCTGTTTTAATCGCAAAGCCCTTTAGACATTTTACATAAATAGAGAACTTTTTCCATCAAAAATTCTCAAGTGTAATATAATAAATGAATCAGAAATCGGGCATTTGCACCTTCGCACCCTCCAATTTTCTCCCTTTTGTTTGTCCTAAAAACAAGAGCCTTATAGCCGCATAAAATCTCTCTCGTCTCTAAATTTTATGCCTTCTCGCGTCCAAAAAGCGGCTCTTTTTTTCCGAACCACGCCTGAAAAGAGCCCATCTTTTCCGTGGTCCCGTGCTCAGCAAACGTTCCCTTTTTCTTTCGCTATGACCCTCTATTGTCTTTGGCGAATCAAGTTTTTGTATTGTACATTACAGAATGGAGTTCCTGTATGGAAGAATTAAATAAACTTTAGACTTGTTGCGATTTTTGTTTTGGAAATTTAAGGAATAATTCCAATCGTAGAGTAGGGCATTTCTACAGGAAATCCACCATTTCCAACTGAATTTCGAAAAAATATAGCCAAAATCTTTTTTCGCTATCAGTGTCTCCTGACTTCTCATGGTCTTTTGGAGAAAATCGATGCATATCACGACTGAAGTTGTATAGCGTGATCTTACATTTTCAAGAAACAATTTATGGCCCAGCCAGACCAACCATTCCAAATTTCAAAAAAAAATTGTAAATCGGCCCTCGAGCAATTTTTATTTTCACTCTGATCTCATCATTTTTCGGCGCCTCTAAAATCATCATTGGTCATTGACGATTTTGAAGCCAGAACGGCTCCATTTCCTTTCTAAATTGTTTGCCCAACCTATTCCCTGAAACCTCCGAAAACTTTCTGCGTAATTAAACCTTTAATCAAGTGCGCGTCCGGGGCAGCAGCTGGCAATGGGAAAGAAAGGACATTGACCTGATCACCGGGGCGCCCCCAACCGTTTTTTGTTTATTCAACGAGCGTTTTTGCTCTTTATATCGATATGATAGATCAAACTGTTTGAGGAGATGATTCGGCCGGCGGGTTGGGGAAGAGCTCGGTTTGCGGGCGTTGAGTTTAACTGTATTATATAATAGTACTTTCCGTATTCCACTATCAAAAGGCTCAAATTTCGAGATTCTACTTTACATTGTAATAGTTGGCCTTGTGGAACTTTCGCACAAAATTTGACGCAAATCTTCTCACTTACACCACTTGAATTTACTTATTTTCTGGATTATGACTTATTATACAGGAATGATGCCCAAGCACAATTTTAACCTAAAATTACTGAATTTCCTTTCTCGCTGCGATCCTTCTTATATTCTGCATGGCTAAAAAGACTATGCTATACTGTCTGTTCAAAAATCCGAATGGCAGACCCACTCTTAGCTTCTGAATCAGCCAAAAACGTTTCATAGTCATCTTGGATGTGTAGCAGCAGTTTTTTTTGGTTTTTTAATTTTCTTTCGCCAACTAATACCAATTTTTGTTATACTAGAATACACTAGAGGGCCTGGTATGGCCAAGGAAATTTTGAAACGGGCCGGATCGACCACCTCCGGACCTCGAGCTATGTCTAGTCAGAGTATAATATCAACCAAAAATTTTGCCTCTAATAAAAATAATCCCGCACGATGAGCATTTTTATTTTGTAATATACCCCTTGATGACCTTCATATTCAATTTTTAAACACAATCTTCCCGTATTTTCTAAGAAAACGATTTCTCGGATATCACCCACCCTTTTAGAGCACCCCTTCCAACGAAAACACCTATTATTCATCTGTCTACACCTTGTGCACTCCCGAAAAACATTTTATATCCCTGTCTGATACGTCTGTTATATATAACCCGAAGATCGCGTGTTCTCACATCATTTTCTATCCGAAAGTATAATTGCGTTATAGTAGAGGTCTTGATGACCTTGCAGATGTTTTCTTGTGACGCATTGACCGAGCCTAATGAAGAAAACGGTGATAGTGTATTCCCTACCGCTTAGCATTGGCTATTTTCTCTTATTTTGATTGCTTGCGTTGATTTATGAGCAACAAATGATGAAAAAATCGTCTCAACGTCTCTTCCAGATGTCCATTTAAATATCCGATTTTAATCCGGTCTTCTCGCTGAGTTTTGGATAGGATTTTAATCGCTAAACGCCTGTAATCATTGGCCTTTAATTTCTCAAAATTTCAAATCCTTCCGATCTTGTGTATAATCGGCTATACATAACCGTGATCCATCAGAGACTTAAAAATTAAATTTGCAGTTGATGGCCGACGAGATCGACGTTCTCGAACCGGAATCTCCCTTCGACAACCAGATTCCATGTTGTAGCTATGGACGGGTCCCGGACCCGATCGTTATACGGGGTGTGGGGCGGCTGACAATGTAAGCATTCGCATTTTTTCCAGATTTTTACACTTTAGGATGGGCAAAAATCTTGTGTTAGAAAAGGGATTAAAATTATTTCAATGCCTAATCGTATATTTCACACACAGGTTCGGGTTGAGCTCTCAATTTGACGCGGAATTCCCCAATTCTCTGACTGGTCGTTTGGCTCCGGAAGAACTTCGCGACACGATGCAACGGATAAACTATGTGCTACAGAAGAAGATGCATTCGCATGTGTGCTGGTTGGTCTGCGGGATTATGTTTTGCTGCTGCACGCTGGGCTGCTCGTTTTGGCCGTTGATTTGTATGAGTCGAAGGGTAATACCATTAATTTCTAATAGAAAAATTGAAAAATTAATAATCTTACCCAGTCGAACGTGCTATCTTAAGTCCACAGCTTCTACTTGAGTCCACTTCTCAAAAAGAAATAGATCAAACCCACCAAAGTTCTCTATTTCTCTTGTTATCCTTTACAGACCATCTTCGCTCTGGAGAAAGCCCTCGATTACGAGAATCAGCAACTATACAACCGACTCGGACTCCATTGGCGACTTGCTCGACGTCCTGTCGAGCACAGCTCCCGCCTCACCGAATACGTCCTGCTTCTCGAGACCCTTCCGAAGATGCCGCTGATGCTACCCGATTAATCCAATGTATTATAAAGACCCGAATCTCTCCAAAAAATCCCCAAGAGTATATACGAGTATACGCCCTTCTCAGGTTGCTTTCCATATAACTGTTTATAATTTAAATAAAACGATAAAAAAACAGAACAAAAATAAAACTTATTCTTGGTCAGTTTTGGTCGTATTGTACTGCATGATCCGGCTGGTCAACTGTTCGAGCTTCTTGAAGTCTGCCGTCGTCGATACAACGTATTGAATACATTTCTTGTTGTCGGTCAGCTTTACCCGGATTTTACCGTCTTTGTGCACTGGCTTCAGGACCAGTCTGAAAGGAGGTAAAGGATAAGATAATGCATGTTTTATAATAAACGGAGAATTTAAAAACTAATATTAGAAATAGATCACACATTAAAGCACGACGGCAAAAACCGAAGAAATATCGACCACTTCGAGCAAAATTTGCCGAAAAAATTGATGGTATCTATAAGTACCTGATGTGAACACCATTTTTATCCAATTTCAAACGCAAAATCGCTAAGAAACTCAAATCTCTTCAACCTATCAGTTTAAAATAGGCATGGTTCAGTTGCTAGAAAAATCAAACTAGGCCAAACATTTCACACAACCTTAGAAATGAACCAAAAATGTTGTTCATGAGAGTATTTCAAACAATCTCCCACATGCCAAGAGGAATTTAGCTCCATTTACCCAAAGATAGTGTGAAGAGTAAGTCCAAGGCCTTCTTAATCAATAAATTACTAATTTGAGGATAAACCCACAATTTACAACATAAAATCAATTTATATTATCCATCACGCATGATCAATCTAAAAGCCAACAAAAATATAAACAGACATACCTGTATTTGTTTGGCGAAGCAACGAGAATCTTCTGTACATCGGCATTGAAGGCTTCGAAGTCAGTGTAGACACCGCTCTTTATCGTTTCCGTCATTTTATGGGCAATTTCTGTGGACGAATAAATAAATAGTAGATGGAAAAATACGGCGATAAAACCCGGAAACTTCTAACTCGATGTGGTTGATTCTACAGCTCTTCGTCGATGGATTGCCAAAATTTTGTTGTAGACCAAAAAATATTTTCGGAACACGTTTTTTATTTTTTGAACGAAATGTCACTATTCATTTTTTGATAAAAGTGAACAAGACAGGGCCCGTTGCAGGGTTTCTTGAAATAATTGGAATTGAGGCACAATTATAACGTTGCTTCAATTAGATAGAAGAAGTTGTTGAATATGTGTTTTACTGCTTACTATTAAATATCACTGATTAATAGTTGTAATTTGACCGACTATGCAATATTGCTAATGTAATTCTTTATATAACACCAGCTAAAGCATGATCAGAACGGGCCGGAAATTACTCAATTTCGGTTATGATTAATTAAATCTCTCCGGCATGCATCTGTGGTTGTTGTTTTTCTGCTGGAGACGTGGAAACAGCACGGGGGTGGGCCCCTTCATGCCCTGGGGCACTTCTTTTTTCCGCAGCCGAAAACGGCCGCCGAGAGTGCGCATCGTGCTTGGAGGCATGAAAGATGGCGCAGACAGGACGCTTCTCACTGGCCCGCTTCCAGGCCAAGCACAGAGAGCATGGCTCCACGGCAAGGTTGACGTTATTCGCCCCGGCCCTCCGAAGAGTGGATCTCTTTCCATTTGCGGCTGATGCCCGCGCGGCCCCTGAAATTTCGGATAGTCCTCATTCACAATGGGTGATAAGGTCATACTCACCGAGGTACTGGAAGCCTCGCATCTCACGGATACCTATTCCAACTTGACCGCCAAAAGTATCATCAAGCAGTAAGTTCCAGGTGAACAAAAACTTCCCTTTTGAATGCCGGAAGTTCACTTATACGCTTAAATTGAGCTGAGTAACGTCGGATGGCACGTCATAAGCCACTTATTTTTTCCGGTTGTGTTCTACATCATATGAAAAAAAAATTTCCAATGTTGACCTTAGTCAGTCTTTGCAAGTTTAAAGCTCTCTGGGCGGTAATTAAAGGGCCAGACGAGTAATCAACTATTTATAGACGATCCTAGAAGTCCTCAGTAGCCTCGAAACTAAAGATCATCACGAAACAGAATATATACTTCCCTTCTAAAGTCATCAATTATAAAAATTACTATTTAGGCTTCGAACTGGTGGTGATGAGCCCGGTCAATCCGTCCGTTATGAAGGCCTGGATGGGGATATGCTGGAAATCCGAGAGCCCGATGATCAAAGGGATCAGGAGCCGTCAGCTGCCCCATCCAACGACTCATTCACCATCGATGAAGCCGTTGAATTCCTGGGCTTCGGCAAGTTCCAACTGACTTTATCCTTCCTGACCGGCCTGGCTTGGATGGCCGATGCCATGGAAATGATGATCTTGTCGATTCTGGCTCCCGCTTTGTATTGCGAGTGGCAAATCACTGCGGTGGAGCAGGCAATGATCACAACTTGCGTGTTCAGTGGGATGATGTTGTCTTCAACAGTTTGGGGGAAAATTTGCGATCGGTTTGGACGAAGAACAGTGAGTTTTTGTACGATTTACAGATGCTATGTTGAGAAAGTTATTATAATAATTAAACTGGTTTCAGGGTCTTATGTGTTCGGCTTTGTTGACCTTCTCCATGGGAGCGCTGAGTTCTGTGGCTCCGAACTTCCATACTCTTTTGTTCTTCCGAGGCCTGACTGGGATTGGAATTGGAGGTGTCCCACAGTCGTAAGTGTCATAAAATTAGTCTAGTTCAAAGAGCATGCCTGCGTAGTCAAATTAATATACAAATTTTGAGATTTAGCAAGGGAAATTATCATTTTTACAAAAGACTTCATTCAGATCTGATGTTTAATAAAACAACTCTTGTATTTCGGTCTGTCAATCACTGTTACTTCTAGGGTGACCCTCTACGCTGAGTTCCTGCCTCTAGCTCAGCGTGCCAAATGTGTCGTGCTGATTGAGTCCTTCTGGGCCGTCGGAGCGGCCTTTGAAGCAATTCTGGCCTTGTTTATCATGCAGACATTGGGATGGCGATGGCTCTTGTTGTTCAGTTCGCTACCCCTTCTATTCTTTGCTATTTGCTGTTTTGTAAGTTCTGGTTTACATACTCGCAATCTACTTGCAGTGGCTGCCTGAAAGTGCACGGTATTTAATGGCCTCCGGAAAAACCGAAGAGGCCTATCAGATTTTGGCCAAGGTCGCGAAACATAATGGAAAAACACTGCCTGCCGGGAAGTTGGTCGAGAATGTTAGTCATAATGTGAGTTTGGGCTGATTATGTCAAATAATTGAAAAGGTTCCAAACGTGTCCGAAAATTTTTAAAAGTAACCCTTTGAAAGGTATCAAAATGTCTCACATTCTAACGGATCACCCGAGATCCTTAACAAAATCAATCAAGCCCCTTCAAAAAGTGTCAACAAGTATCAATAAATTCCATTGCAGCCGGCCCATCGCGGAAATGTCTCGAATCTTTTCGTCGACGAACTCTTCAAAACTACCATTCTTCTGTGGTTTATTTGGGCTGTAAATGCCTTCAGTTACTATGGCGTCGTTCTGTTCACCACCGTTCTTTTCCAATCCACCGATGAATGCCATGGCGGCGGCTCGTTGAATGCAACAACCGTTGCGCAAATTGGCTGTCGCCCGTTGACGCAGAAGGACTATGTGGATTTACTATCAACTACCATGTCCGAATTTCCGGGATTGATTATAACGGCGGTGATTATCGAGAGTTTAGGGAGGAAGAAGACAATGGCCGTGGAATTTGGGGTCTACAGTGCATTCATGTTCCTTCTGCTGTTCTGCTGGGAAAGGTAGGAGCACTTCTTATAAACAAAATTTTGGCTATTCAGCTTACCCAAATTGCCAGGTTCTACAGTTCGTATATTGCACATATCATAAATCTATCTTTACGACCGATTTTATAGCCTTAAAAAGCTCTTTATCACCCGCACTTGCAGATTCCCAATCTTCAAGTTCTGTATTATCAAATACAGGTGTTATCTTTACTGTTATTTTAGACATTGGGTGACCGCATTCATCTTTATTGCCCGAGCTTTCATCTCCGGTGCCTTTCAATGTGTCTATGTCTACACTCCCGAAGTGTATCCAACAACCCTCAGGGCTATCGGATTGGGCGCCTCGAGTTCGATGGCTAGACTAGGAGCCATTATCACACCATTTGTGGCACAAGTGGCTTCAGGCCATTCGTTGTACATTCCTATAACGATTTATGCGGCCACGGCTTTGCTTGGGGTTGTGGCAGCCCTAGCGCTTCCAATCGAAACTAAAGGGAGGAAAATGCAGGTGAGTTGGAAGATAATTTCCATAAGGGAAAGCTTGGTGTGTCGTCGTTCAAAGACGACCGCTCATTGGCACTGCAATTAGCGGTTTTACGTTATTTGCCATTTTGATACAAGGGGTAATAAGAACTCCACTTTCAGGATCACTGACGAATCTTTGGCGCCAAACCATATCCCGAAGAGGAACGGCGATGGATGTCTAACTTATATTATTTATTACGTTGTCTTAATAAACAAACAGGGCATGCAATTTTGTTTGGAATTGTATATTGGGCTCAGGGAGTAGCTAGGCAGGTGTGAAACCCTGGGGAAACTGTGCAATGCAACGCGCGTCAGGTTGATTTTACGGCCCTAGATGGGCTTGCTTATCGTTGCGCCAGAAAAATGAAGCCTTAAGATAAAGATGAGATTTCTTACGGCCATTATTCGTTTCACAACTCAATGGCTTACAGGGTATTGCGCAAAGAAAGATACCTGCGCGCATTTTACAGAGCGTTTGCTAGGGATCTAAACAGAAGGTATTCCTGTTAAAAATACGGTCAATTAGAGTTATAATTTGCCATGGGTCCGATACACTCTCCTCGTAGAGGGCATATTACATAAAAGCCTAGATCGTTAAGCTCTATTGTATGCCTTTCATCTACAATCTATTTTAAGGTAGTTTTTTGTCCGCTTACAATCTGGTTTAAGGCAGTTTATGTTTTGTTTTACTGAAACCGCAAATCAAGGGAATTCCAAGTTTCTTTTTTGGCTTACTGCAGCTGATTGGAATTTGTAGGGAATTGTAATCAATCCAATCGCAACAAATTCCTTAGTTTCCATCCGAAAAACCTATCAACAATCTTGGGGGTTGACAAAGTCTTTGTAAACACCCCTAAAAACGCTGTTGCACGTCGTGAATCGATTTAGCAAAGTTTTAAACTTCAAATAGCAACTTTTACGATCATCAAATAAATTTGTGGAGAGAGCAAAGAAATGCGTTGTCCTTTTTTGGTAAGCACAAAAAATGATATCATAAAAAATTGGGGAACCGATCGCAGAAGGATACGGAGCGAATCTGTACGGAATAGTTTTCTGCTTTTCTGTTTTGATAAACTTTTTTTGGACTTGTAGGATCGGATGAGAAAGTGCAGGTTGACCAGTTTTTGGTTCTTTATGGGCTGGACATGTGGGCCAATGAAAAGTTTTGTGTTTTTAATTTTGAGATCGTTAGTTTCTTCAACATTCTTATGTGTTAAAGGGTTTAAGGCGATTTCAAATCAAAAATTCTTTGAATATCTTATCTGCACTTGTAAAACCAGAATTTTATATATCTACGCTCTCTTTAGAAAATCAGTAAAAATGCAAAAAACGTCTGAAGTTGATTATTTGACTAATGTCTATGAATTCCAATTAAAGGTTTTTGGGTTTGCCGTTTTTTGTTCGGTCCACCCTTGCCATACTCTCTTCCCGTATGCCATAGGTTGCTTACGTTACGTTGTCCTCTAACACATTTAAACGAAGGCCGTTTTTCATCCGCAAGATGGGTTATGAATCTTGGATTTTAGCCCTTTTCTCGGTTTTCCAAAAAAGCCCCCAGGGCATGTCCACTTTCTCACATGACAAGGCCCTAGAGAACTTTCGGCATGCAACTTTCTAACCTTCTCCATGTATATTTATACTGGCCTAACTCGTATTATAAACTATTCTTATGTCTTTTAATCCCTTATCGTCCCCGTTTTACCCTCACTCGTTATTGACCCTAAAATGACCTGCGATTATCACTCCGTTCGTCAATAAGCCCTCGGGACAGAGCCTCGAAAAGCGCTCTTTTTCTTATTTACTTTCCAGCCCCGAGGGCATGGAATTTCCCAGTTAATTATTCCGTTTTTCGGGTATTCGAAAAATCGAAATTTAAACTTTGGTGGGGAAAAAGTGGAAAACAAAAAACGCGAGAACAACTCTTTTCCAGTCATAAGATCTTCGGTTCCCCTTGACATAGCAAAATAGAGATCTCAAGCCGAACATCTGTTGTATTCATCATGAATATTCTCTGCCATAGAAAGGAGATATTGATCATTTGATATTTGCATATACCCGTCCACTTTATCGATTGTTGCATAGTGTGATTTCGCGCTCTTTCCTGCCCTCTAAACCCTTCCCACCCCGTCCATCTGCTCGGTCAGCTGTTTTTGCGGCGTACCCCCGTTTTTCTTTTTTATACTCCCCTTTCCCTTTCCAGGTCAACACCATCGATTCGGATGGGACTGCATAAGAAGGCCGTGAAATGGATAGACGCCTTGGGACTGTCCTGTGATCCGTGCTTCTATTCCTTCGGCGATTCCGCGCCGCTTAAGGAACTGTTTGCCAAATTATTGAGTGTGGAAGTGTTGAGAACTACAGATGATTTGGATTTGAATGATCCGATTCCGTTTGAGAAAGTGAGTTCTTAAGGGAAAGTTTGTTTTGAGAAATTTAGACATGCTTTGAGGACGTTTATGGCTAGCGGAGGTTGCTAATCAGCGAAAGCCTTTATATACACATATGTAAAGTACAAAATAAATCAAATACTTTTATCCACTTCAAGCCTTAGATTTCAAAATCAACCATCTATTTTTAGCTCCTAGACATCGCTCAAAGCAAACTCGGAGTCCACACTTGTTTAGTCGGTGCCGATCTTGCTAAAAATGACGCCACGATCAAACTCGGTCTTTTTGGGACAGTAATCTTTCTGAAGTCGGCACTGAAAGACTTCCGACCTGAGCTGATCTCTCAACTTCCAACTCCGGACTTTGGAATTGCCGGGGGCGCTTATTCTAACGAAGCAATTTGTTTGAAATGCAAGAAAGAAGTTCTTTTCACGGAGAGAATTGTGGTCGGCGAACGGGTCTGGCATCGGCGCTGCATGCATTGCCATTTGTGCGGGAAACGATTGTTTTTGGGAACGTTCCGGGTTTTGGGCGAGAAATTGGAATGCTTTGAGCATTACTTGAACAAGGAACTGGTTGGAAATGAATTGGTATGTTGTCTATACAGCCGTTGTTATGTTGAGTTAACCAACTCGGAGCCAACGCCGAGATGGTGAAGGAACGCGGCACAAATTTAGCGTTGAATGATGAGCTCTCCAAGCACGATAAGGTTTACCATCGTTTCAGCAATCCTTCGAAAATGTCAATGTGGCCAAACCACCTCCTCCACGGCCTCCTCCACCCCGTCGTTCCATCGCCTCCACTCCATCTCCTCTTCCTGACGGCTCTGATAAGTCTTCAGTCCCAAGAAAAACCCCCGAGCCGGCTCGTCGCGTTTCACTGCAGATTCCCAACAAATCCCCCGCTGTTAACAAACGATTATCCGTTAATCAAGGCTCGGATCTATCAGCTGATTCCAACTGGGAAGTTGTCGAATATCCACAAGAACTCAATCCATTCGCAGATGAGGACGAAATGGTTAGTATCTTTCTACTTTATAAGTGCTTTGTGTTTAGAGCGACTGTCTAAATCCGTTTGGATACACATCAAGCGATGAGGACAGTGATGACGAACATCCAACTCCCATGCCGAGAAAATCAATTCAATCAGCGATTGAGGAGGCAATCAATGATGACGGAGATGTTTCCAAGAAAAATTCGAGGGAAGAGTAAGACTTTTTAATGTGTGTCCGGTAGATTCCATAGCAGTCGTATAGATTTGTAAGCAAAATTCAAGTATCTTTATGCCATTGACTGCTCGATTTTCAGATCCCAAGAGGTTCCAGAGCCGGTTCCAGAACCACCCAAGTCCGCTGAACCAGAAGATCCGAAGCCGACGGAGACCAAAGTCTACCCAGATCTCCGAAAACTATCCGTGGACAATCACACGTCGGCCAACTTTTACTTGCCAGCTAGTCTGGTCTTGGCCAAAAAACGAATGATAACGTTGAGTGAGCTTGACCGACCTCAACTTCTGCATGAACTGGAAAAAGTAATCAAAACTCTGGATTATATTGAAAGACATACGACAACAATGGAAAGGAACTTGCTCAAAGAAATTGGGAAAGGTAAGAATGCAGTCGATGTGTATGTTACAGTTATTGTATTTGCTAGTTATCAATCAAAATTGTTTTTCAGAAGGCTTCAGATGGGATAAATGTAATCTAGTCGACGATTGGGGCCGAGCGATGCAGCAACGCCATGATAATCTCATCAAAGGCAGCATGATCGTTCATGAGTAAGTTGATTACATAAACTGTTTGTTTCCAAGTCTAGATTAATTTATGAATAACCAGCAAATCAATGAAACCCAAGCTCAGTAATAAATCCTTTCATAATTTTTTATTCTTGCAGTTACCTAAAAAAGCTGATGGAAGCCGCCTTGAAAAAAATCACGACGCTCAATGAAAAGAAGATCGAAAAGGAGGGCCTCAAGAAGGAGCTCGAGAGCATGCTGGTCGTGCTTGAGAAGAACCGCATCTCCATACCAAACAGTAAGTTTCTAACTTCAATTACGTCATCAAACCTATGCCCCAATAGCCAAGGCAACTTCTGTACAAACCCCGCCTTTTTTAGACGCCTTAGGTAGTATAGTTAGCCTCACTTTCAAAGGGGATCCAAGAATTCATTCGTCAAAGAAGAGTTTTGTATACGGAGATTTATTTTGGCCTAAGATTGATCTTCGAGACGTTGTTCGTTGAAGACAGCTTTCGTTGAACGGAAGTTTGTTGCACAGAGTTCCACCATGTTTTCTCACGAAATTTTGCTTTCAGTTCTCGATGAAAACGCAAAGAAGGAGAACATGACTCCGAAGCCGGCCAAGGAGGAGAAACGAAAGTCCAAAGGCCTGGTCAAACGTATCAAGAAGGTATTCTAAGTCCCTGCAACATACTCCCAACACATTCTGAGAGCTTTTCCTGTTATCCTTGTTATCTGTCCATATTCTCCACCATTTATCCCTTCTAATCATCCCTTCCGAGGCCGTTCCACGGCACCAAAATATCCTCCAAAATACGGAACTCTCTCCTTTCCTCGTCGTATCTGTCAAACGGGGCTCTACAATAAATTTCACTCCATCTCTAAGGGTTCCATTGTGTCCATAATCAGGCACAGTTGTAAGTATATAATTCGATCCGTCTTTGCCGGTGTGTCCATAATTTATTCAAACCCAATACCACATACTTAATCTTTATTCATTAAAATTTGTAAAACTCAGATCATTGGTTTGATTTGTGATGCGAAAAATTGGAAGAAAAAAATTAGTTTATACCGTTTTGGCATTAAGAAGGCTCTGAAAAAGACAACAAGATACAACATTCAAATTAAAAAAATGGATACATGCTTCTGCGATTATGCAAATTTAAAAAACAAATGTTGTTTTTATAAAGTATGGAAAATTGACAACTTTTACATAGAAAAATCGGAAAAAGTATAATATGCAAATTTCTTTACAAAAAAGTTATAATATGCCAATTCGAACTGAATCAATCGACAAGCCGTGTGATATATTATCTTAAAACAGCGGAGAGAAGTGGCAAGAGCACGGAGGTAGAAGTTTGGATCTCAATCTTATCTTATTCATGGCTTTCCGATGGTCGCCGGCTTGATGGGCAGAACCCATGCAAAGCGCGACGTGAGAAACGCTCCAGGCGATCGGCCAGATCTTCATTCCATTCCATGACCAGCGTGTGCTTGTTGAATGAGAGACCGGGACGTTTCGAGTCGTTGCTGATTTCTCGGCCTGGAAAGGGAGAAGGATGACTTTTGGGAAAGATGTAATATTAAGAAGGAAATCAATAGCGTCTTTATTATGAAAAAATTATTTCTTATTATTGTTAATCACCATGTCAACTAAGAAAAAACGAAAAGAAAAAACGAAACTAGAGATTTTTAAAAATCCCCAAAAGGCCCACAAAGATATTTTTTGAATTTTCTGATCACCAGCTAGTTCAAAAACGTTCGAGATTTCCTAACATTGCATGAAGTACAGAAATGGAGCACTTACAAGCGCTTAGCAGCAAATTTAGCAACCAATCTTTGACAGAAAGCAATATATTTTATGCCCACTTACCCATGATCAAGTACTCTTCCTTCTCCTTTAGCTTTGGACATCCGCACTTGGTCTGTTGACTTGGAACCCACAAGAAAACTTTTCCATATCGAATCTTGTAAGCTCCAGAAGCCTTCTTCTTTGTGATCTCATCAATTTTCAGGAGATACCGGTCATAATCTCCAATTCGCTCTTTCTCCAAAATGTTGGCTTTGACCGCTGAAATTTGCTAATTTTTAAGCATACAAGGCTAGATCTTGGTTTCGTATTTTGCAAAGATTTTTGGTGTATATGGTGCTATATTGGAGCGGTCTTACTTATTTGTAAAATATAAGATTTTCTACCTAAACCGAACCAAGGTTACCCAACCTCAAAAAGCTTATGTAAATCCCGTTAACTGTCCTTGAGCACCCCAATATGTCATCATAAATCCCCCAATGTCATTCCCAGCACTCGTCGTTAAGCTCTTCTTATATTTTCTACTTGATTATGTTACACTTGATCCACTTACCATAATCCCGCCGACAGTATTTCTTTTGGGTGAGGCGGGAGGGGGTGGCGCGGCATTTCTTTTCGCAGACCGCTAAAGATTGGAGAATAAATTAGTTGAAGAGGGGACTTACGTGTCGGGAGCTCGGTAACGGGAGTTGCGGCGATCGCTGAAAAAATGGGGGAAATTGGATGAAAACCTTGGAAAAAACGAAATTAAAAAGAATTTGAGGACAGATGGTGACTATAATCGCAAAAAAAATTAATCAAGTTTTTTCGTAAGGCGAATCATAATGCTAAAAAATTAACTGCATTTCTATTTTTGGCCTCCAAAGTTTCCGCAGTCAAATCTACCCTCTTCTACAGTACTCTACAGCCTTCAAAAACTTGCCAAGCATAATCGGAAGCCCTTCGGCGATGATTTTTATCTTTTGTTTGGTCAATCTTCTTCATTACTCATCGGCGTCTAATCTCCGTGGACGTTTTTCACAGCTGCACCCGATTAATTAAAACGTTATATTCCCGGAGGGAGAAGGGGTAAATAAACTTGCAAGGAATCCGGCAATGGGAAATTTGAATATTTAAATTGGGGGAAGTTTTGATTAAATCGAGATTTGGGCAATGATTTAGACAAAAGCAGGTAAGTTTTCTAGACAAAAAATATGTTGCAATAGACAAAAAAATTAAAAAAAACCCCCATTTTCACCTAAGTTTGTTGTAGCACATAAAGACTTACGAATACAAGGTGTAATAGGGCTCTGACTCTGTTCGAAGCCCTTGGCACATCGATTGCAAGTCAATCCAGTTACTCCGGGCTTGCAAATGCATTGGCCACTGGTCTGGTTACAGTTCTTTGACAAAGATCCAACTGGGTGACAATTACAGGCTAAAAACGAATAGAAAATTACGTCGGAACTGAATAAAATTAACTTTTCGAGGTAGGAAAGTAATTTAGCAACTTTTATGACATAGGGATTACTGTACTTTTGTTTATCTCTAAATTTTTTAATTTATTGTCTAAAATTTACAAAAAATTTTGTTTCGCTTTGTTACAGTAAGATTTATATATAGGATGATATTCTTTGGACTTTTTTTGAATTGAAAATGTATCTTTTCAACCAGTAGACCACCCATTCCAATCTAATTTGCCTTGCGGGCAATTGGAACGACGCCAGATAACCGGCACGGCGAAGGCCCTTAGGGAATCGTGAACAGACTTACGTTTGCATGCCTTTCGATGGGTAATTGGCCTCGAGACATCGCGATAGTATCCCGGTTTACAGTAGTGACAATTGCGGCCGGCGGTGTTGTGGCGACAGTTGATGCAGACACCACCACTCTTGTTGCCGCTTAGACGATAGAGTTCCATGTTGAAACGGCATTTGCGAGCGTGCAGGTTACAGTTACAGGCTGAAATTGGCTTATTATTGAAGCATCAGAATATTGTATATGTTATAGTGATTCTGTCAGTTCACACATACTTAACAAAAATCCTTAATTTATATTAAGGACTTTTATATATTTTTTTTATATTTTAGTATATTATTGTGCATGATGCTAAAAAGTCAAATTTCTTGATGCCAATTCAGAACTTCTTTTGTATTCTCAAATCCATTTTTGACCAAAAAATTTACTTCATGTCGTATTTTGCCTCCAATCCAACTTTTCTTTCACTTCCTCTAAGAATTTAGACCCACGGAATTTCCCGGATCTTTTGTATTCCGTTTTGTTTGCATAAATTTGGACATTGCGCCGAAACCCCATTTAACGCGTCTATTAGACGGGGTCTGTTTATAATGTATTCCCCGTAAATTTTGATTTTAACAGCCTATAGGCGTACATTGGTCCAATGACTAATCTCAAAACGCCGGAATTCATCGATTTCAACCAATCAAAACATTATTATTTGTTTTTTGTAAACAATTTTTTGAGGTATGATGATTAATACTGAAGTGAAATTAACGTTAGATATTGCTAATAGCATATGTAGGCTGTAAAAAACGAGTATAAAATACCCGAGAAATCGGTCGATATTAGACAGGTTTTTGTGAGAGGTCGATTTCGCCTAAAAGTTCAATGATGACCGAAGAAATCCTATCTACCTTGACACACAGTTACTACTCTCTGCTGTTCTTCAATATAGGTACAAACCCTTGAAGTTTGTTTTCTTTTCCATTGAGATATATCAACATCTTATCCCCCCGTTAGCTGTTCGACCCTTCGAAATTCTCGCCGGATCCCCTCGAGACCGACGATGATATATATGGGCATCCGCTATGCAAATGTGTTGATTAGCATACGAAGACGGCAGACGTTTCCGAAAAGAGGGGGCTTTTCGCAAACACCGCCACTTGTTTCTTTTCGCACCATAAACACCCAATCCACAACAGTTTACAAGGCCATAAACATCCGAAAAAATTTATGCTGGTATAAAAGAGTGAGCTTATCAAAAAAATAACTGAAATCAGGATTTTCTCAAAAAATGTTGCTCGATTTTGAATTTTAAGCAAATTAGAGATACTATCAGTGCGCAATCGCGCTAACGTGATACGAAAATAGCAATTGTACCATTCAGACCTAGAAGAAGCCAACAAAATGATTTTACCGTTGTGTCAGCGCTACTAGTTACATCCGTTTTCGCTGTAATTTTTAGAGACCCTGTGATCTACAGAGCAGCAATGTTAAACTACAAGGCTATGATGTTCAGAATTCGAATTTATTGTATGATCTTTGAGAACTTGTACTATTGATGTATGCAGTGTAATATTCGTGACCTTTTGTCCCGTTCTCTCTCTCAGTATTTCCAAGTCTTTGGTCTCACGGCTCTCTTAATTTCCTTGTATTCAAATTCTCGGGTCCTTAATAAATTTTGGAACATCCCAAATCCATCCATCACCCGTTTCTTTTATTAAAAGGAAATGAAAACAACGGGGGTCGGAATAAAATTTGAATAAAAATCTCCGCGAAAGGAAGACCCCACTATTTACCCCCATTTTTTCGCCCCGTCCTTGATTGCATTCGGGTCTTTAAAGGCCCAATGAAATTTTATGAGTTGTTAATGGTTTCAACGGCTCTCGGATGTTTCGGCATTTAAAGTTGGGGCGCTCAAATGCGCTCCCATTATAGCCGCTAACTTGCGGCCGAAAGAAAATGGAAGCGAATAGAGTAGGAAATAGGAAGCTAGCGGGCGATGGAAGATGAAGAGTAGAAGTTGACAGAGAAATAGTTAAAAATAGCCAAAGAAGTAGCGAAAAGACCTGATTTATAGGTCTTTATAGGAAAACAAAGAAAGATTAGGGAAAGTTAATTGGGAAATGACTGGCAAATGAGCTAAAAATAAGGAGATAAGCTGCATTGGAAACTGGAAATATATATATATATATGGAAAATTGGCATTTTATGGTGACTTCGGCCTAAAGTTCTTGGTTTCTAATGCCTATAACAATGTGTAAGATGTTGCGCCTTTCGACATTTTGCAGATGACTTGTCGTATTATACCATGATTTTATAGTTGTTAAATAGTATTGATCATAACAGTAGAATTTTGGCGAAAAATGACTATTTCAGGAAAAAACAATAAAAATAAAAGAGTTTTTTGCATGTCCCACAAACGTTAACCCAAGACAAATTACTCAGGGGTGGTTGAACGCTAATTTTAGTTTCTTTTCCAGGGTTCACTCTTTGACTTTTGACCATTTAAAAAGGTTAAAATACAACCACAGATCAAAAGAAATTCTTTCGATGTTTGGTCCTATGTCTTCTATAATACCCCGCAATCATACCCATAAAACTCTGTTAGTATTAAAAACTCCCCCTACTTACCAACACAAGCATTTGCATCTTCCGCCGTGGCTCGGGCCCAGGGTCGATCGTAATGGAATAATTTGCACTTTTCGCAATCGACTCCTCCGGTGTTATGTCTGCATTGACAGGCGTAATTTCCACTTTTATCGAACACACATCTCGATGCATGCCCATTGCACTTGCAACGACCGCCAACGGCCAATTCAGAGAGAGCGTAGAAATACTTTTTCTCAATTTTCTCCAAACTTTCGAGCTCTGTTGAGTTCGAGGTGTCTTCAAGGCTGTAGAGATCGGCCTGGAAATGGAAAATATGAAGATGGATTTAGTGTTTGGCTATGCAGATTTTTGTAGTTACTACTTGAAAGGGTTTTAAAAAATTAGAAAATTTTTGTTGGCAAAAATGTTTATTTTGCCTTTACCAAAACACTGTTTAAACCGTGTTCTAGTATGTATTCGATCCACTAACAGCTTCTTTTCAAGATTTCTTACGGTAACTTTCTATCTATTACGCTTTTTCAAAAGTGCAGACACATTTTGTCGCGGGCCGCACCGTGCACAAAACTCCCTTTTGCGGGGTGCATTTTGATCTTTTGCACTGTGCAACCGGATATCGCTGCGACGCAAGCTTTTCGCAACGGAGCCGGCGCGAATTTTTTGAAATTGCACAGTGCAAAATGTTTCGAATCGGATCGCGTCGCGCGGGGAACGCGAAACTTGAACTGTGCGGTGCAAAAAAGGCCGGAAAATGTGTCTGCACTTTTGAAAAAGCGTAATACACTTGAAAATGTTCTATAAATTATAGACATTTTGATGATTTTTCCAACCTTTCACGCATTTAGCGCCTTATATTTCCGTTAATATCTTCAATGTGTGGTCAATACCGCACTCTACTTAGTTCCAAGTCCACCCACCCCCAAAAAGGATTGATTTCTATTCATTTCCTGACCTGTTCCGGGCTATGTCGATTGAAAACGACGCGGATGTCGGTGGCCGTCACCCAATCCTGCAGGACCGGCGAATGCTCGAAATTATAGGCGCTTGGCCGATTCTCCAACGTCGCAAACGCCACCTGATTAGTTGATTTGGCGGTGAGATGCGCATCAGTGCATCGGGCTTCCTGAAAGTCCAGGATTAGTTATTTTTTGCGAGGGATAAGATTGGACCAGGGAAATTTGATAAAAAATAAGCGAATTGATGAAAAACTATGACTCGTTTTTGATTTTAGAGTAGAAATAATTTGATTTGTGACCGGAAGTATAGATCCGGATATTTTTTGATGATTTTTAAATTTTGAATTTTGAATTTCCCGCCAAAATGAAAACTTCAAAAAGTGTCAAAAAATTGCAAAAATAAGAGAAACAAAAAATGTTATTGCGAAATAAGCCATCAAAAATATTTCCAAGCTAAAACATAACTTATTCCCTAAAGCATTTTTGCTTGAAAAACTACATTTTTGCTCATAAACTGAGCACATTTAGCCAAAAGTTGAGATTTCTTGAAACGTTGTAAAATTTCAAAAAGCAATGTAGACAGTAAACAACCCACTTGTTCGTTGTGCCGTCCAATCGGGACTTCCGGCACTCTTCCATAAATCTTTTTGCACTCCGAACTAAAGAATTGAAACGGGGTCCAAGTCTTTCCAAAATTTGTTGATTTATAAAGTGCCAATGAATCCGCAACTTTCGAACAGAATAGCAATGAAATGTAGGTTAGTTCGAACTTCTTTCCCAGCGATAATGTCAGCGTTACATTGTGGGGATATTGACTGGTCGGTTCGGAGATCCAACAGGTCCGGTTTTTAGCCGAATTCAAGTCGGTTAGGTAGGATGCTGGATGTGAGGTTCGGAAATCTTTGGCATTACAGATGTCACATTGCTCAACGACCGAACCGGTGCGTTTGGATTGGCTGGATATGCAATATCTGAAAAGTTATGGGGTTTTTGATGATTTTGGTGCATTTTTGATGACTTTTCTTTGATTTTGATTTCTAAGATACATTTTTGGATTGAAAATGTGGAAGACAGGTTGTAAAATACGCAACAGCTGCATTTTGTGAAACGTTTTTGAGTTTTACAAAAACCCCAAAAAAATGTTTTAATTTTTTGAAATTCTTTCTGTTTTTTGCGATTTAAAGCTAATTTCTCTGTTTAATTTGCAATATCCTATCTGTAAAATACGCCTATCTCTCCGACATTTATTGCTTTTGCGCAACACATCCACCTTGCCCCTAAAAACACCTCCGCCGTCTGATTGCGCCATCATAAACCAATGTTTTGGCCGTCGACACTTCCGCAGATTTTACGACCGCAAAAAAACCTCCATATAAAAAAGCGCCGCAAATCCAATTAAAGGACGCGGATCAATGGCCAAAGTGCCATTCTCACCCTTCGATTCGAGTGCCATGGATCGGCACTTGAGAGCCAAAAATGAAGGGCACTTGCGGGCACCGGGGTTGAGGAAAAAAGCGATTGTTTTGGTCTAATAAACATGAGTGTGCTGCTAGGAACTTGTGCAATAAAGGAAGGGAAATGTATTGATGTAGTAACAAAGTGTTAGCCGATTGAAGAGAGTGACGTCATAAAAATAATCAAAAAACATTTGGAAAGTGATTTTGAATTTTTATCATTTTAAACTTGAGGGCTCTAAAAGCAAAATAAAATTTTTGAATAACCAGTGGCATCCGTGGCAAGATAGACCATTCATTTCAAAAGTTAACTCTTTTTTGGAAAATTTGAATGAGCTTATAATACAGTACCATTATTTGTAAAAGATTTTGAATCTTAATCAAAAATTTGCTTCTAAATTACTAGTTTTAGAATACGACAAAGACCTTTGCTAGTAAATAAAGGTATATTCAACTTATTGCGCATTAGAAATCACAGTACTCCCATCAAAATTTTGAAAACTCCCAAATTTCCTCGTGACCTCAAAATTACCGTAACTTTACCCAAAAAACTAAAAAACTTTTCAAATTATGAATCTCTAACCTGGAACTGGAACCTGAGAACGGAACGATCGCCTGCTGCGCGCCGTCGCTCTTTCTTTGTCCGCGAGGTGTTTTTTGCACTGTGCCGACGTTCAGCCTCAATTTGCAAAGTTTTTGACAAATGCGGCCGCAAAAAACAGCCCCGATCCGGCGGACTAATTACGGACGGGCGGAAAAAGCGACTGCGATGGGTGATTTGTCTTGTGGCTGCATATGTTTTGGAATGCTTCAGTTGCTGTGGCATTTTTGGGGATAGTATCTGACCATCAGTTATCTCAAGGGGTGGACGTTGAAAAATGATTCGCAAAAAGGGGTGATCAAGGAAGAGTAAGATGAAATGGGCTTTTGCTGACCTAGTAGAGCTCTGGCTGTTATCAGGAATCTTGTTTTGTTATTTGCGGCAAAAGGTATCAATTTATGCGCAAAACAAAAAAGAAAAAATTAAAAAAAATCTCTATAAACTCAACTGCTGAAATTCATGCCCTCCGGTGTGACACTTCCGGCGTCATAATTTTATGATTCTACGATGTTCATAGAGTTTTCACTTAGAAAAGCGTATTCCTCAACCCCTTACAACTGTCCCTTTTCTCAAGTTCAAAGCGACCCTATCCATTTCCCGAACATGATCGTCGGCCCGAAACCTCACGTCGGAATTAAACCCCAAAGGCGGGTTTCGAAAAAGATTAAGTGCCTCGGCAGCGGCTCGACGCGTTTTAATACTACATTTGTTTGTTGTGTAACCAATTAGTGACAAATTGGGGCCTGATTGATTACAGACGGGCCAAATGGTCAGCGGATTTCCGCTGATCCGGGCAGGTAAAAGCGGGGCTAAAGGGAGGCCGAAACAGAGGGTCGGGATTAGGTTTCAGGACAAGATGAAGCGATGTAATACATATAGGTTTGATTACAGAGACAAGTTTTTACGAAAATAAACAATTTGAAAAGCAATCGAAAAAATTCGGGAAAAGCTTGGAAAAAATGCAAAAGGCGTTAGAAAATAAGCAAGATAATTTAGTAAATAAAAATCAAAATAGTAAGAAAAACTAAAAAGTGTAGTTTACATCAAACAAGCTTAATTTTACCCGAACCCCACAAAGAAATATCAAAAAATATGAAAATATTATTTTGATGACTTAAAATTTTCAAAGTCCACTTACGGAGCAGGTCCATTCAAGCCACAAGTGCTAGAGGCCACTATAGGCTTCCCAAATGCGGCATTGATAAAGTCCGGCACACATCTGACCGGCCGACCGGTCGAATCGTAGCACGGATCCCGATCCAACTCCTTGCGCGAAAACTGCGTAAAATACGCCGAGTCCGCGAGAAACGGCAAAAACAGCACGGTAAATGGTAGTATATACAGCATCGTCACATTGAGCCCTTCGCGAATCCAGAATTTACGCATTTTCGAGGCCGGCGCTGCGGAAATTCCGGAGGGGCGGAGCCTAGTTCCGGCGCTGCCAATCAGCGACGAGCGAGGGGGCGGGGCTTGCGGAGAGTGAGGGAAAGAAAGGATAAGTTTGGAAACTGATGGGAATGCCCCACGGACATTAGTTTTATTGAATTTCGCGTAAGAAAACAGAACTCCGCCAGTCGGATGTATTTGCTTGAGGCATCCAAATCCAAGGTGAATTTGACGTGAAGTGTAATATAAAAGGTGGGTTAAAGGGGGAAAATAAAGGGGTTTCAAACATGTTTTATGTTTATTTAAAAGCTATGTATCCTAAAATGCCAAAAATTGGGGACAACGCAATGGCTGTCCCCAAATTTATACCATTCTGTCCCCAAATTTCCCCATTCTGTCCCCAACGACCTGTCCCCAAATAGGAGTTCGGAATCTGTCCCCAAAATAATCCGAATATGTCCCCAAACACAAAAATTAGTGTAGGGTCCATGTTTCGGGGTAGTAATAACACTTCGGGCTAAAAAATTTGAAAATTCAAATCGGTGATTACGTAATAAGCAAAAGTTCAATACCTTTGGGTAAAAATCGGATAAAGGGGTAATCGAGGATGCTGATTTTGAAAATGATATTCATTTTTCATGATTGTAACTTTTTTCTTAAGTAGTAGTGCAAAGTAGTAATTTTTGAAAATTTTAGATGAGATGTCGAGTTATAGGTAATCGAGGATGCTGATTTTGAAAATGATATTCATTTTTCATGATTGTAACTTTTTTCTTAAGTAGTAGTGCAAAGTAGTAATTTTTGAAAATTTTAGATGAGATGTCGAGTTATAGGTAATCGAGGATGCTGATTTTGAAAATGATATTCATTTTTCATGATTTTAACTTTTTTCTTAAGTAGTAGTGTAAAGTAGTAACTTTTGAAAATTTTAGACGAGATGTCGATTTATAGGTAATCGAGGATGCTGATTTTGAAAATGATATTCATTTTTCATGATTTTAACTTTTTTCTTAAGTAGTAGTGTAAAGTAGTAATTTGTGAGATTTTTTGAATTGGAAGGGTTTATGGGTGCTGATTCCAGAATAAGATTCATGATGAGTTGTGCTGTAAAATTGTGATCTTTTTTTTTATTTTATTTTTTTTTTGATGAATAGTTAGTTAAATGCAAGGTATGTGTTATTGTTGATTCAAAAACTGTGTTCATCTTCTGTAGTTTTTATTCACCTCCAATTTGTTGGCAGAAGAATTTTTGCTCACAGAATTTTCTGTCAAACCTGGCATAGCGGCAGGCTATCCCAAGCCAAACAATCTTATAGCAGAAAAATTTCTGTCAAACCCCGCCCATTTTAGCGCGCTCGATGAAGGGCAGAAGCAATACCGTTGATGACTCGAAGTAATAATCGCATGAAAAACAATCCTGCTGGATAATTGTTCAGTCTAGCATTTATCACTTTAAAAATTTAAAATATTTTACAAATATTTTCAACTCCTTCAGGTTCGTCTGATATCACCTAAAGCAATGTCTGCCTAATTGCAATAAATCGATAGAGAAAACGTTGAAACAGCAAATAACTTGCGTAAATTTAACCTATTCTTGTACGGACAACGTCACAAAATAGTACGGCTGTTTTTTTTTATGACAAAAAATTTTAAAAATATAACTATGTTGTCTAAAGAGAAGTATTTTTAAATTTCAAAAAGTTTTTTTGCTATTTTAAGTTCTTTGAGCAACGTCGTGTTATTATCCAACAGGATTGTTTTTCGTGCGATTATTACTTCGAGTCATCAACGGTATTGCTTCTGCCCTTCATCGAGCGCGCTAAAATGGGCGGGGTTTGACAGAAATTTTTCTGCTATAAAATTGTTTGGCTTGGGATAGCCTGCCGCCATGCCAGGTTTGACAGAAAATTCTGACAAGGGAATGGTCCCAACGATCCGTGGGATCCACAAATGAAACCTAGATATTCTGAAAGAGCAGGTAAAATTTAGTAGGAATCCGTTTTTTCTACTTGCCGAATAAGTCTGTGCGACGAGAAATATCGACGAAAAGATCCGACCAAAAAATCGAAAGAGAGAAAAGAAAACCCGAAAGGCCTTGGAAGGCGTCACCAAATAGTCTAGTGGAAAAAGTTCCACGCACAAATTTTTTGGGGGAGGGAGGCTTTGGAGGTTCGATTCCACCCGGAGCGGAAATCTCCGGCTTTTGAACCTACGTGTTCATTGCTGTATCCTACAGTCTTAAAAAATTTTTTTTTGTTTGTTGACCTTTTCTACAGGGTTTGCTGCAAAATTTTATGAAAAGTTGACATTTCGGCAATATTTCTGATAAGCCCGATGTCGACATACTGGTATCTTCAAGACACTTCTACTCGATTCTGGAAGGTTTTATAGGATCTTGCAGATCTTTTTCGGTTTCCCAAAAAGGATGTTGCCAAAATCTCACCTTTTCATAAAATTTTGCAAGAAAAGTTGAAAAGAGAATTTTTGGGTCCTTGCGTCAGCGTGTAGTAGACCGCGTGAATATTTACGAAAAAATCGACTTTGAGTTTTTTTGGTTAAAAATGGCCGTGGACACGTGTTTAACCAGTGCCCAGATTATTTTTTCAAATTCTGCCCAGAAGGTATAAATCTGCATAAATTTGTCTTCTTTGGAACGGATCTGGTGGTATCATAAAAAGAGGTAATGGCCAGAGATTTCCACTGCTCCGATGCAACAAACCCTGTAAAGCGGGTCAATAAAAAAAAAAGTTTTTTATATGACTGTAGGATACAGCAATGAACACGTAGGTTCAAAAGCCGGAGATTTCCGCTCCGGGTGGAATCGAACCTCCAAAGCCTCCCTCCCCCAAAAGATTTGTGCGTGGAACCTTTTCCACTAGACTATTTGGTGACGCCTTCCAAGGCCTTTCGGTCTTTCTTTTCTCTCTTTCGATTTTTTGGTCGGATCTTTTCGTCGATATTTCTCGTCGCACAGACTTATTCGGCAAGTAGAAAAAACGGATTCCTACTAAATTTTACCTGCTCTTTCAGAATATCAAGGTTTCATCTGCGGATCCCACGGATCGTTGGGACCATTCCCTTGTGAGCAAAAATTCTTCTGCCAACAAATTGGAGGTGAATAAAAACTACAGAAGATGAACACAGTTTTTGAATCAACAATAACACATACCTTGCATTTAACTAACTATTCATCAAAAAAAAATAAAATAAAAAAAAAGATCACAATTTTACAGCACAACTCATCATGAATCTTATTCTGGAATCAGCACCCATAAACCCTTCCAATTCAAAAAATCTCACAAATTACTACTTTGCACTACTACTTAAGAAAAAAGTTACAATCATGAAAAATGAATATCATTTTCAAAATCAGCATCCTCGATTACCTATAACTCGACATCTCATCTAAAATTTTCAAACATTACTACTTTGCACTACTACTTAAGAAAAAAGTTACAATCATGAAAAATGAATATCATTTTCAAAATCAGCATCCTCGATTACCCCTTTATCCGATTTTTACCCAAAGGTATTGAACTTTTGCTTATTACGTAATCACCGATTTGAATTTTCAAATTTTTTAGCCCGAAGTGTTATTACTACCCCGAAACATGGACCCTACACTAATTTTTGTGTTTGGGGACATATTCGGATTATTTTGGGGACAGATTCCGAACTCCTATTTGGGGACAGGTCGTTGGGGACAGAATGGGGAAATTTGGGGACAGAATGGTATAAATTTGGGGACAGCTTAACAATTATCCAAAAATTGGTATTAAGACAGCAAAAAACATAAAAATATAAAAATTTTCCGCACAGTGCTTCAAGAATAATATTTTGACAGAAAAGAACTACTAAATGCCAAACAAAAATATGAAAATGAAAATGGTGACATACGTATTTTAAAACATGCTTTCAAATTTTCAAAGATTGCAATTAAAAATTTTTCCGCACTGTGTAAACTTTTGTCTGCTTTAAAAATGTCAAAGATTTTCGACAAAATTACTTTGTTACACTCTGATCATCTATTTCATCTAGAATTTACTATCGTCTCCTGGCCACAACTTTTATTTTGGCCATAAAACGATAATTATAATCCGAAACTCGTTTACAATCCCGAGTCTTTCGAGATTCCGAACTTTCATAACATTGTAAAGCTCTCAATGGTTGTCACAAACAAATAAATCACTAAATTTTGGATTTGCAAGATATTCTCTGTAGATTCTCAGCTTGAATCATCACGAATTTCCGAAGAAATATATTAAGAATGCACTTGAAGTGGGTCGTTTTCACATGGATTAATTAGAGAGTGGGAAATTATAAATTACTAGCGGTTTCCGAGTCAAGAACCCAACAAGTTCGGGGATTTACAATGCAATTTATGGAAGTTGCAACGGTTGTGAGGAGGTTGATTGAAAGAATCCTTAGAAAACTTGAAGAATTTACCCTTTACTGGGGATTCGCAAGTATCAACAACCTTACCGTAGGATTCGGCGATTGGTCTGAATCATTAACGCATACTCTTCATTATAGCAAAACAATGCGGAAACTGTAAGTTTAATAGTGATTGCAATTGGCTGGGAGGTTGAAACACGGCAACAACTCTAGAAACGGCACAGATCTTCTCCACCTAGAGACGTTTTCTTCGGGGACAGAGCAAAGGGTCGACGAGATGCTTACGATTTTATGCCAAGCCTCCAAAAAGCTTGAAAGTGACTGATTATGAGCGAGGAATTACAACACGACTCTTTCTTGTATTGTTAGCCCTTGAATAACCTTAAATTCTTCAGCAATCCAAAAAAAAATTGTGTATTCCACGAGCTATTACTAACAAAACGTCTCAAAACTGACCACGCTGTTCTATGGCATCATCCGTCATCGCTTTACTCCTTATTAATTAATCCGCTTATTGTCCTCGAAAATTTTACCAACACGGCTAAAATTTTTGGATAAACTCGCAAAAAGCGTCGAATCTTCACCATTTGTAGCATAAAAATTTCGGAGTTTTCTGCAAAGCTCAAGCAAAGTAATCGCATAGGTGCTAAAAAATTATTATAATATGTGCGGAATTTTGTGAAAATGTAAGCGTCACGCTTTAGGCTTTTCCTCTGTTAATTTCCTTTAACGTTTCTGACACTTTGAACTTTGTTATACGCAGCAGTGCTAGTATTTCGGGTGTTTCTTCAAAACAAACCCTCTAGTCGCTAAACTAACGCTTTCTCTCTAAGACTATCATGTGGCTACAAGTGTTGTATTTTGCTTCGGCTTGGCTCGCATCTTGTGTTCTGATACGAAGGAATTGTGAGTGTTCAAATGTTTCTTTGTAATTTCCCTTACTTCTGATTTGTATTATTTTTCACTGCATGTTTTTATCGACCTTGTTGATAAACAATCTCTTTTCTTGAAATAAAAATTTTTATTACAATATTTCATTATTGCAGATAATAAGTCTCCTTCTCAGTTACAATTTTAATTTCGTTCAAGTTTTTAAAACAACTGTATCCACAGCAAGCTACCGTTTTGAATTCTTTTAACTTTTGTTGACGAAAAATCGGTGGTGGCTAGAAGAATGCTCCGGGTGTTCATTGGGCTGGCTACTCGACCCTTCAAGGGCAATGTTAGATTGGTATGTTTGAAGAAGCAAAAGACGGTGTGGTGGGTAAAAAGACATTGATTAATGAATTTGTCGTATGTTATTAGGAATCGAAAGTTTCCAGTTGTAGTTCGAAGGCCGGCTTTCCTATTTTTACACATTGCGCGGAAGGTGTGTGGGCCAGAGTCTGATGATTTTTAGATTTGCAGAACCAACGGTAGTCTAGAAAAAAATCGAAAATGGGTTGTGAAGGAGTTCATCGAATGAAATAATTTTAGTCGTGAGACGTTCCATTGCACTTTTATCTGGTTTTGTCATCAATTAATAAATCTTATAAATTGCAAAAACAAAAAAAAGAAAATCAAAAATGTTTTTTTAGAAAGTGCAAAAACTAGCATTGTAACGAAGTGTAACGCTTAGTCGCACACAGTTTTGCCCATAAGTGAAAAATCGCCGGTAATCGACATTAAAGTTAGTTTTAATATTACACGAATGTGACGGTCTTTTTTTATTTTTTTTTCATTTTTTATACGTATCTGCTGCTACGTTTTCTAATAATTTGTTGTGTTACAATTCAACAGTCAACCTTACAGTGATGTTTTCCTCCCGCTCCAGTTCCCTTTCAAAGCAACATTTTCCAAATAGATGCACTTGTAACTAACCCCATTAATTTTGATTTTTCGTCTTCCGAATAACCAAGGTATCGCTATTACTTTTCGATCAACCGACTTGATTAACCTTTCCCTTGAACTTTGTGCAATCAGAAGTAATAAAAGGGCATTCACAATAGTCATCGTGTTCTTTGGAATCCCGTATTTTCAGTTGGCTGACGTCACTTTTTCTTTGTTGTTGGACCCCCATCGATGAAATTGACGAGTGGCCTTTAAATCGGGGGAAAAATTCAGAAGACATGACACGATTTTTTTTTATTGAAACTTTTTTGTACGGCATTCAAAATTTGAAGATTTCTGACACTTGTGAGAGCGGCATCTCGTGCAACAGAGTTTTGATTACAATTCCTTAAGAATTTTTTTGAGTGCCTAAAACATTTTTGTTCAGCATCAAAAAATAACGGAAAACTTGGAAAACGGCTCTGAAATCCGTCAAATAGTTCGCTGCTTGAACTTACGGTGTCTCCACCATAGAAAATTTGAGATTTTTTGAAAAAGGCAAGAATCCTTTCGAAGAGTTCATTTTCCCTCTACAGGATGAAAAGACTGCTCTGCAAGTGTACTAAACAGTAGCTTAGTGCCGCTAAACTTTGTAGCGGCTGATCGCACACATGTTTTGTCGGATGTTGGGTGCTCCTTAGGTTAGTGAATCGTCTCAACTACAGGGTTTGTAGCGACGCCGCAGCGTTTGATTATAAAAGGCCCGCGACGAAACGTTTATTTCTTATATTTGTTTTCCTCAATCATCCCCTCTTTTCGCTGTCTTCCGGGTGTTCTGGCAGGGCTCTCGGGTGTAATGTAACACCTAAAATACGGAATTCGTATTTTTTGAACTTTTGTTTTGGAAGAGGTGCACTTTGGGGAATATAAAGTCGGGGAGATTACTGTTTTATAACTTTTAAAGAGGTTTCAACCTCTCTAAAAATTGTGGCCGTTATCTAACAACGTGTTGTTAGACAATGGCCACAATTCTTTTGCATTGGTAACACAAGATTTCAAAATTTTTCAAGGAAAAAAGAAACATTTCTAGGATACTCCCACCGATTTTCTTCGTATTTAGCAGACGTCCTAGATACGGCAAAATAAATTCCATAAAAATTCAACGATTTTTCCCATTTTTTCAAAATCTGTCGTATAAAATGTCACCTGAGTTCAAATTGAAAACTAATGAAGTTATGCCCTTATAAACCGTGCCGCATGGCTCTCATCATATTCGTCAACTTGTTGTACCCTATTTCTAACTCTGGCCTTTAGCTCTCCACCATGTCCATTCGCTTCGACGGTCAAGTGGCGATTGTAACAGGCGCCGGCGGCGGACTTGGCCGCACCTATGCCCTGGAATTGGCCAAGCGCGGAGCTAAGGTTGTCGTCAATGATCTGGGAGGAGATCGTCACGGAACTTCGCAGAGCACGTCGGCTGCGGACAAAGTTGTTAGCGAAATCAAGGCTGCTGGAGGAACTGCCGTCGCGAATTATGATAGCGTGGAGTTCGGAGATAAGATCGTTAAGACAGCCGTGGACAACTATGGGCGAATTGGTGGGTTGTTTAGCCAGTTTGGGGGATTTCATAAACCGAGGTACCCGATTTTTCGTTTTTGAAAAAAATTGTTTTGCACTGTGCAGAGGCGAATGTATAACATTACATAAATAAGGTTTTTTAAGCGACTAACTGACAGGTAAAGAAATCCTTTTTTTATATACATGCCACTAAATAGAGAATTCTTAGTTCACGGCTTCGGATTACTGTAATTTTGACCTTTGAAATAATTACTTTTGCACAGTGCATTAGTCAATTTCTCCTCCCGGTTTTCTGATAAACCAGAAATTGATTTTTAAAATTCTTTATGGAAATTTTAATGCTTGCCTTTCAGGTAATATCTGATGCCATTTATAAATACACATCCTTTACGGCTATTGTAATCTTCCGGTTTGAAAAATTTGTTTTGCACGGTGCAAATTGTCATTCTTTCTTTCATTCTTGATGTTTAGAAAAGGCTGGATTATCTAACGTTACTAATTCCTCCATTTCAGATATCCTTATCAACAATGCCGGAATCTTGCGGGACGTTTCCTTTGCCAACATGAAGGATATCGACTGGAGTGAGTCTTTGATTACTCCCTCTATGAAACAAAAAATTTTATCTTATTCTTTCATCAATTGAAACTTTGTGAAGAAACCTTAAAATCTCATTAATTTTCTGATGAATAATATCAAAAATCCTCCTAAAAATACAATTTTAAGATCTCATCATGAAGGTGCATTTGTATGGAGCTTATTCTTGCACCAAAGCAGCATGGCCTTACTTCAGAAAGCAGAATTATGGACGTTTGGTTTTCACTTCATCTAATTCCGGAATGTATGGAAGCTTCGGACAAGTGAATTATGCTGCTGGTAAGTTGATTATGGAAATTTTGCGATTTTCTTTCTGTTATATGAGGATTTTTTTTTGGAATCAATATTCAAAATTTTTCAAAAGATCATGTTTTTTGCCATTTCTTAGAAAAAAGTACCGTAAAAGAAGAATTGGTTTGTAAAATACGGAATAAAAAACTTTAAAAATTATGGAAGATTTTTTCTTAAAACGATTGAAATCCTGTTTGAATTTTGTGGAATTTTTTGTTCACCCATCTTGTATCAAGTATAATGTAAAAGATAGCTTGTTACTCCCTCTCTTTTCAGCAAAAATGGCTCTCGTTGGAATGTCGCATTCATTGGCGTTGGAAGGAAAGAAATACAAAATCTTCTCGAACGCTTTGATTCCCACTGCCGGCTCCAGAATGACTCAAACTGTCCTTCCCCAAGAGATGGTGGATATCCTAAAACCCGATTATGTCACTCCATTGGTCACTTTCTTGGCTTCCAAAGATAATACGAACACCGGAGGGATCTACGAGGCCGGCGCTGGATGGTTCGGTCAGGTCAAGCATTACAGATCCAAAGGATTGGTCATTCCAAACGCCAAGGCCGAAAATAGTGAGTTGACTAATTAAAACATATACTGCTCGCAGTATAGGCTATTAGAGATTCTTCCAACCTCGTAGATCTACTTTACAATAATTCAGAATTGAAATGATGAAAATTTTTACCTCTCGGTTTCTAACGGGAGCCAAGATATTCGTTATTTTTCCCGAGAGGGCACACGAGGTTCGGCGAGACAAAATGCCTTCTTAGGCTCAATATTTGAGGGATATTTATGCTTATTTTGCCTTTTTAAACACTTCTAATTTTAGTCCGCGACTCTTGGAGCCAGATCACCGACCAAACCGGCGCCGTTGCCTACGCCACTTCGGGCGAAGTGACGGCCGCTCTTCTGGAGGCCCTCGAAAAGTCCAAAATATAAGCAGAAAATGAATTTCACGAGTTGTACTATTTAAATACTCAATTTTACTTTGAAGAAATACGATGGAAAATAGAGAGAAGTCGGAGAGAATGTTGAACTTGGTTAATATTTCCCGGTCTGCAAACCGGTTACAAGTCGTTGGGTCAGCGAGTCCACCTCGTTGTTGGAGGACGACTGGTTCTGTCGGCGGACCTGGTCGATCCGCGAACGAAGGTTGGGGTCCTCGTTGATGAGCGGTTGCAGGTTTTGGTTGGCTTGGCGTTGGGTGACTGTTAGGTCTGAAAAAGATTATTTCAGAAAAAGTGGCTCAGCGATATCAGGTCAAAAACTGTCCAAGACGGTTGCCTCATAAATATAAACCCAACGGTTAGGCAAAAGGGGCATACTGAGTAGTCGTTATAACAGGTCTTGTGCCAATAACACCTCCAAAAAACTTCAAAAATATTCCACTAAACTATTCAATCCCAAAATAAATCGGCCAATTTAGTACTCCATACTGGCCATTTTGGTTATAAAGGCCATCTCGTAACGCAATATTACATTATGTTGCGCCAAAAGTAAATCTTATCATTAGCAAGCCACCCTCAGATGATGACTATTACAATGTTCTCAAAGACACCGACAGATTCCCGAAGAAAATTCAGCTCTCCAAAGTCAGATCTCCGAAGATCGGGGAAGTGGTCAAAATAGAAACATGTGACCTAAGGACAAGCGCACTCACTTTCATCTCGGAGCTGACGCACGAATTTGTTAGGATTCACGGAGTTGGGGCCGGCGGCATATGGTGGATATGGGCCATAGCTGAAACGAACGCAATTTTAGAGAGCTGAGAGAACATTTGAGAGTTATTTTAAGACAACAGTCAACTGATTTTTCAGGGAAATTGAATAAAACTTTAAGGCCCTATTTCTCATTTTTCCAACAAAAAATCGGTGAAAACAAGATTGTTGTGCATAGTATAATATCTGATGTACTAGTCATAGTAGTAAAAATGTTTGCCACTTTTAATATCAGGCCAAAAATAATCAAATTGACGTCATTTTTGCGAAAAATCTCAAATTTTTTTTATTTTCTAATGTCTAAACCCCTCGAAATATAATAAAACAGAGCCCACATGATCTCTGCTATCATATCTATACGAATCGAAGCAAAAACCAGCTTGATATCAGCTGTTTCATATAGACTTTTCCCTTAATTCAGCCAAAACAATATTTTCAATTTTCCAAAAATTTTCTTATTTGACGACCAAAAACGGTTCAAATTGTTTTCCGAGTGTAGGGGCAGTATTTACTGTGACTCAATCGCGACTTACGTCTCTTCGGTGACGCTGTGATAGCTCTGTTTCACCAAGCGGGTGGTCTCCTGCTCGTAGCCGGGGATGGTCTGAATGGGGGTGGTGGTGGCATACTGATGGATGAGCTCCTTCGGATTGGTCACCTGATAGTCCTTCTTGATCTCGTAACGATAGCCGGGCTCGCTGAACAGATCGGCGGTGGCTGGAAATTAATTTTTTTCTCTGTGGCTTGAGTCATGTGGAAGATGATGTTCGTATGCGTCATAGTTAAAAGTCGCTTCATAGAGACTTGTGGGATATTTTAAATACAATAATAACATAATCAACAAGTTTTTAGGATATAATCCATTTTACCAAGGATGACCTTAAAAAATGACAAGCCCCGCTGACGCGGGCCTTGACGCCGCTGTGCGCGCAAAGGTTGCCCAACGTGAAGTTGACTTGATCGCATGCACTACAGTTGATCGTCCAGGCCACGCTTCGCGTGGCCAACAACGCGCTGACGCGCGTTATACTGCCTCAAGCCCGGCACTTCTGTTAGCTAAATGCCGCGCGCCAGCGCTACCTTTTTTTAACTTTGACCAATCAACTGTTCTTAGGACATTGCCTCGGCCTCCGGCCTCGGCACAGTGCGCTACAGCACTCTACAGCAACATTCAGAAGGTTCCGTAACCCACGGCGGCCTTCGGCCGCCGAAGCTTCCAAAAAAGTCGGTTTGGCTCGGCCTTCGGCCTCGCAAAATCATTTTTTTTGTCTTACTCCATCGTTATTGAACTTTACCTCGGCCTTCGGCCTCGGAACAGTGCGCTGCAGCACTCTACAACAATATGCAGTAGGTTCCGTGACCGACGGCGGCCTTCGGCCGCCGAAGCTTCCAAAAAAGTCAGTTTGGCTCGGCCTTCGGCCTCGCCGAGTCGTATTTTAGGAAATGAAAGCGGTTTCTGGACCGGTTTTTCACGCTGAGCACGATGGTCCAAGTCTCGATTCACGAAATTTGAATTTAGCGGCCGTATGGCTGATTTTCGGCCGAAATGCCCACTCTTGGCCGAAATTCGGCCGGTGCTCACGGAATTCGAAAGCGATTGGGCTGAAATTTGGCACGAAGGAAGCTTATGGAATTTGTCGAAAATTGACCCGAGCCGAATTTTGAATTTTGCACTTTTGCCCTCGGGGCGCATTTAGTTCGCTGAAAAAATTTTATTTTGGTCTGGACGGTCGTATTTTACGAAAAGTTGGAGTTGCGCACATGAATATTACCCAAAATTTGATTCTGCGTCGATTGGTACCAAGATCGTGTCGATAGCTCCACTGGCAGCCGAGTTCTGGAAGGGCGGATCCAGAAAATTTCGAATTTTTGTCTTTGTCGCTAGGCGGGCGGGGTAAGATGGTCGTATGTTGGGAAGTGAAAGTTGATTCTAGGGCAGTTTGAGGTGCTCATTACGGGGCTTTTCTCGAAAATCCGAAAAATTTGAAGTCCGAGCCCTGAGGGCCGATTTTCTGCAAAAAATCCCGAAAATTCGCTACGGTGCGTTCGATGAGCATTCCGGCACCGTATCAGAAGCCGAAAATAAGCACAGAGTAACTTCAGTCTATTGCCGAGACAATGCCGAAGCCCTTTTTTTGGATTTCGATCTAGTTTTTCCGGAATACTTTCCGGAAAATTTGGACTTTTTTGGGAAATTTCAGAAAATCTCGAATAGCTAAAATACGAAATACGACACGGTAACGCAATACATGGTTCTAGGGCATGTCAGGCATGCTGATTCAGAATCCGTTGTCAAAATCCAGAAATTCCGTCATCTTGATGGTGAAATCTATAAAAAACCGAAAAATGTCGAAAATCGCTTATAACTTTCGACCGGTCGATCCCACACTTATGACCTTTAGCTCAAAAGGCTTAGAATTTTGCGTAGATAATGATGGAACTCAGTTTCGTCCCGCTGGATAGCGTTAACACCAGGTACCCTCAGGGCATATATGTGAAAAATTCGAAAATTCGCAGATTTTTGGCCCCGGTCGATGATGAAAAATGTATAAAAGCTAAGGGCAACTCAAAAAATGTGAAAAGTTACAGCCGATCCAAAATCAAAAAATCCCATTTTCAAACGCTCGCAGTTCCCGCCAGGATGAAAATTCCAACTAAGTGCTGATGCCAAAAGTCATCAAATCCCTGCACCAGTTGACAAAAAAAAAGTCTCGAAAAAAAGTGCACGTTGAGTATTTTTCATTTTAGCAAATTGGGGAGTTTTTGACTTACTGCTGGCTCTGCTCGCTCTCCCTGAAGCCGGATAGTCCAAAACGCTGCCAGCTCGACTGCTGGGTTTGCTGTTAAAGGCTGAAACAACACTTTGAATAATTCAAAACTTTGTAAACAACTCGGAATCGGCTTCAAAAACACTCAAAATTGGTCTTACTATCAAAAGGTGCGGCCGAAGATCGTTGAGAACCAAGCGTACTATACGGAGCATACGGTTCGGTGGCTGGACGGGACGCCAAAGTGTTGTAATTTGTCGATGGAACACTGCTGGCAGTCCCATAATTGGGGATGGGCGCAGCGGTTGTCGCGGGGCCATTTCCAAAGCCCAGAGGGTCGGATAAACCGCCGAAAGGCGATGCCACGGGGCTCGCCGCGCTAGCCGCCACATTGGTGCTTGCTGCCGGGGGAGCTGGAGCGGCGGCTGGGACTGGCGATTGAACTGTTGGAGTTGCAGGTTTGGTGGAATAAGCCGATTGGGTTAAAGTTTCGCCACCAGCACCGGGCGCGCCGCTTGACCACGCTCTTTCGGTGACTCGAAGCCCGGACTGTCCTGGGCTTCCCTTCTCCACGACTCGTTGTTGGATTACCTCCACTTTGGGTGTCAAATCGGTGGGTCCGCGCTTCAATTCCACCCCATCCGCGGCGACGACACCATCGCCAATGGGAGAGTAGAAGAACTTCTTGGGCTTGATCCCATACAGAACCTTGTTCACCAATGTGGGGTCAGTCACCAATTCGCCGCCCTTCCAATGGGTGGGCGCGAGCTCGACGCCCGACCCGACTCGGTCACCGTAGCCGCCGAAACGGGTGTCCCGCTCTTGGGAAGTGCCGCGGCTCGGCGAACGCGTTTGCTGGACGAAATTGCGCATCTACTGGGGCTGGAATCTTTTTTTTTTAACATTGCACAATATATTGGAACGTCAAAAACACGACGAAAATCGTAAAAATCTTATTTTTGGTCCACGAATATCGACCTTCGGGTAAGAGTCATCATGTGCAATTTCAAAAATCCGAAATTTAATATTCAAAACATGATGGGCAAAATAAGGCCGAGGATTGATCAGGGAAAGGCCGAGAAGAATCTTTCGCCGATCCGCTTTGGCCCCGTTGGCAATCAAAGAGGGGAAGCGGAAGAAGAGGAAGCGATCACATTTTCTCCCCCTTCCCCAAGGCCATAAGAGACGAAAAGCGGCCCGAGAGATTGGGCCGATCATTTTGTTGAGTAGGCGGGAGAGCGGAGAAGAAGAAAGGAGTAGGGCCGCGGGTGCCATTGCCCGCGGGCTGTTCGCGGGTTCTCCCGGAGGTAAAACAGACAGAAACAACACGAGCTCGAAATAGATCCCATCGGGGTGGGAGGGGAGCACGTTTGTAATTTGGAGGGGGATTTATTTGTAAGGGTTCCGCTTTAATCTCAATCAGATTATTTTATATTACACTTGATTATTATAATTTTGACCAAAAAAAAATTCAACGGGAGTAAAATTTAACCTCCCGATGATAAATAGAAGATGATCCTCAAACCTGATAAGAGAAACTCAAAGCAATTTTGCCCCCAGCAGTGGTTTCTCCAAATTTATGGCAAAGGTCCTGAAGTCTGAAGAAACACCTTCAAAACACTGTTTTCCTCCCACGAATCCGCCAATAAAGTTCAGGATACCTTCCCTCAAGTGCCAGTTTCTCTCCACAAAAACCCCAAAATATTCTCCAAGCCCCTTCTAATTCAAAAACACCTCAGAAGCAAAATCACAATCATTTTTACAAACAGATTTTACTTTCACGATATTCTTATTATTAGTAATACACATGACTAAAGTTAGAGGTTAGAAAAAGATTACAAATTGATATAAATCAATCCTGATAGCTGAGTGAATGGTTATTGGCAATCCATTGAGGTCATCGGGAGCTTGAGCATTGTGCCACGGCGGACGGGTAATCACAAACATTGAGGGCGGGGTTAAAGACGGTGGTCTCGGGACAGGACATCAATTCGGCACGACCCCAAACACAACGGTAGAAGTGGGAGCAGTCGGTCGGGTGCTGGACATGGTCTCCATGACTGTGGGAGCTGCAGATCGTCTCCTGATGTGCGGGATTCTCATCAGTTCTTGGCTGAACATCTTCGGACGGAGGGACTGAGCATTCTGGAACGTTTTCCTTGTAGTCGCAGACTCGACGCGCCTCGTCAAAGTAGAGGCCTTGAGGGCAGGTCGGATATTCGAAAATCTCGTTGGCAAAGCACTGAAAATATCATAACAAGTCCAAAAATACCATCAAATTACATAACAATATGCAAAAAGCAAGAAAGCAATCTCAAATCCCGAAATCTAACTGTAAGCTGAACAATAAAAGTATAATTACCTGAACAACCCGCGAGCAATTCCTTGGGTGTCTATAGAACCCATCAGACTTCAATTCACAGAAGAAATCGACCGATTGAGGCTCTCCTTTCTGACCTGACGCTGATATTTGAGCTTGCTTTGTTGGACCGGAACACTCTTCCACCGAGTTGGACGGGACACAGGACTGGGCTTGCTGCGAGAATGCCTGCCCTTCTCCAGGACAGCTGAGGAATCTGACGGGGGATGAGCATTGAAGATAATCTCGTGAACACTTCTTGATGGCCACCAACTTGTCCAGAGGCTGTCCTTCACATCGGGGATCCTTTTCCTTTCTTGTTTGGACAAATGTGGCCTTAAATCAACCGAATTATTAAACGAACCAACAAAATTGTTTTATCTACAAATCAAAAAGCTCACCGTCTTATTCTTGCATGGCCGCTTTCTGAACGAGATCTTGCGGGCATTCTTCAAACATCTGGCCTCCTTCTTCTTGATACATCCCTTCTTCTTGGCCACGAAAACTGAGTCGGAATCCTCACATCGGAAGGCTCGAACTGGTACTCCGCATACAAAGAAGTCCCGTTGGCACTTTCGCAGAGCAATCAGATGTCCATTCGGTCGGGATTTGCAAACCTCGATGGCTTTGTCGATTGGTTTCTGCAATAAAAACGTATACCACATCGGAATTTTAACAAATAATCAATCCGATCTCATCCAAAATTACCTAATCCATCTAGCACAAAATACAAACCCCAAAACATACCACATGTTCATTCTCACGAGCTTTACACGGCTTGGAATGTCCGCGTGAGGCTTCTCTCTTCTTCCTGTATCCTCCATAATGATCATTCTCCTCTTCTGGCCATTGGAACGTGTCCACAATGATCCCAGAGTCTGATGGAGAGATCTCAAAAGCCGATTTCACAACTTCCGGGTGGTCGGGGACCGATTGGAATGTGTCATCGACCGGTTCCGGGTCTGGTGACCCGCTGAAAGCACTGTGCGCATGAGCCGTGAGGTCCTCAGGGACGTTAAAGGTGTCTCGGACTTCTCCAGAGGCTAAAACAACAAAAATATTAACGAAAAAGAAATTCCAAACTCTACACACAGCAACCATTACCTCCAGGAGTGCCGAAGAAAGTCCGTAACAGCTCGTCCAATGAACCGTATGCATGATCAAAAGGATTCCAGAATGCCGGATATTCATCCTCTTCCTTCAAGGGAAGATCATCTGGAGTGTCAAACGAATCGACCAACCGCCTCTCTCCCGAGTCCACATCAACAAAAGGAATCGGTCTTTCTGGATCCTGCTTTGGCATCAGATATCTGAATTCCACTCCGGGATGATTCGGGGTCTGAACTGGGACTTGGTAGTAGTTCTTATCGTATTCCTGAGGTTGGTATTGTTGTTCTTGATAGTTCTCGGGGACGTAGTCGACTCCTCCATAATGATTTCCATCAAAGAATTGTTGGGATGAATACTCGGGCTGCTGGGTATTCTGATACGAACTGGGTTCATGGTTCCAAACGGGAGGATTGGTTTCCTGATCCCAAGCGAGAGGAGGCTGATTGGGGGTTTCAGAAGTTGGCTGCCACTCCTGAATTGAGGGTTGATGAGTCCAAGATGGCTGAACAGTCGAGGATAGATTTACATCAACAAAATTCTCAACATCAGTCTTCTCGGGGGCCTGGCTACTAGCTGGAGGCCATTCTCCGATCCATTCGGCTGATTCCGGAGGCGATGAGGCCACATTTATTGGCGGAAGGGCAGTGCTCGTTGATGATACACAAGGCTCTAAAGGCGGAATAAAAATAAACAAAATACTCTTACTTTCCGTTGAAGATCCAAAATACTCGAATCCTTCGTACTTGTTCTCGTCCTTCGAGGCCGGTCCAAGGTATTCCAATGGGGAATCTGTGGACGGGGCCAAAGTTGATGTCTCCACGATGTTCACTGGTGGCTGCGTGGGCGTTCCAAAGAAAAAGAGAGGATCTTCGGTCGTGGATGGAGTCCTCGCCTCAGTGGTACCCGCACCATCACCAAAGTTCTGTTCGTTTTGAGGACCTAAACAGTAAAAACCTGTAAAGACCAATCGAAATCAATTACCCACCATTAACGACAGGACCAAATCCAGTAGAGAGTCGAGTAGTTGGACTCGTTTCCGGGGCTTCTGTCGTTGTGGGGTCAACTACAACAACAGGTGGTTGAACCTTTTCCTGTCCATAGTAGACAAATCCACTGTACTTTGAAGTGACTGGAGCAGTAGTTGTTGTGGCCGGAGTTTCAATAGGAACGAGGTTCACAGGTGCCGGTGGAGCTGTTGTTTGGACTACTTGAACGGTGCTCTGCACAGTGGGGAGCACGGTTGATGGGGGTTCTTCTCCAACAAATTCTAGGCCATCTGAGAGTGGAGCAGCCGGTGGAGTGGGCGGGGTTGTCGGAACATCCTCGACGTTACCCAATTTCTCGAATCCAGCGTATTTCTCACCAGACTCTTCTCTTATCCTGCCAATAAACTCAAAACCATCGTACTTGCCGGTCGTCGAGGAAGATGCAGGAGCTAAAATTTATATTACATCAGCCTTCGAAGGCAATATTACGTAAAACGCCCCAAAAAATCTATAAAAAATTCTGCCTGGTATATTATACGAAAAGTAATAAACTTCATTCTCAACCAGAAATCTCAAAACTACACACAATAACTGATTAAACTTCAAAACCTTACCATCGGTTGGACCTGATGTCGTCGATTCGCTGTTGTCGATGGACCCAATTAACTCAAACCCATCGAATTTCTGAGTAGTTGGGGCCTCTGATGAGGAGGAAGATTGCTCCACAATGGCAACAGGAATCGGGCGAACCGTTGGGCTCGCTGTGGTCTGAACCAGCGGTTGCGGGGCGGCAGTTGAGGCTTCTAAATTTAGTATTCATTGCGTTGCATCTAAACCAAAAAACGAAAGGAAAAATCTTACCTGGAATTGGACCTAGATATTCGTATTGAACTTGGGTTGAAGTTGTAGGAACAGGGGTCGAATCTAGACGCTCAATCGGCTGATCAGTTGAGATTGACTGCGGGGCGACTGTGGACCTTTCTAAATTTAATTCATATGGCATAATATTTTGATACAATCATCAAAAAACAAAAAAATTGCGAAAATTATACCTGGAAGTGGACCTAGATATTCAAATTGGCTTTCGGTTGAGACTACAGGAGTCAGTGTTGTATCCAGGCGTTCGATTGGTTGGCCAGTTGAACTCGGGACCTGATTCGACGGAGATTTTGGTGTTGCTAGGGGACCAAGATATTCAATGTTTCCTTCGCCATTATCTGTCGGGAGATCGCTCAAACGTTCCACGGGATCTTGTGGTTGTTCTGGCAGTTGCTCTACTGAGTTATGAACTCCTTCTTCTACAGAATCCGACTCAGATTGAGGCAATTCCTCGTCAACAACTGGAGCTTGAACAAGTGGAGCTTCTGGAATATCCAATTTCTCTATCGACTCTTCTCCCTCTGGGACCAGCGGAAGTTCCTCGTATTCTTCACAGTCCTCTTCAACTTGTGGGATGTATGAGATCGCTAAACACCAATCAAAACAAACAAATACTACACTTACTCCGGAATCGTTTCGGCTTCAAATCCGGAACGAAAGAAATTACATGGGAAACTGGCTTTGGAGTCGATGAGGAACGACGATTCGACTTATAGGTCGGGTACGTTTTCATAAACAGCGGATCTTCGGTGACCGCCGGAGTTGTTGTAGTTGTTGTAGTAGGCGTTGTCGTAGTCGTCGTGGTTGTGGTCGTAGTGGTCGTCGTCGTTGTAGTAGTTGTTGTCGTCGTGGTGGTAGTCGTTGTCGTCGTAGTAGTAGTTGTTGTCGTGGTAGTTGTTGTGGTCGTTGCCAACAAGCTGTAAAGGTGAGTTCAGTAACACGAAGAATTCGAAATTTCACCGTAACAAAGTAACGCCAATCATAGGCAGACCAGACCGGATCTGGTTCAGGTTCCTTTCTGGCTTCTTTAGCGAAACAACTCCAAAGAAATATAGATAACATTTTTTTCCCGGAAAGAAGGAAAAGCGGACAAATCTTGGTAAAAAACCTCAAAAATTGGCAAAGAAATAACCTTCTCCAAACATCCCCAAGCTCATAATCTAAAAACACAAAAAAACAAAGATAAAGTAACTTACTGAGAACAATCCGTGTTGTTATTAAAGTACTCGCACCGGTTGAGACGCTCATCGAAGGCTGTGCCCGTCGGACAAGCGAAATCCATAGCGATTCCGGCATTACACATCCGGAAAAGCTTTTGGCAAGGGCCAGCAGCGTACAAACCATTTGGTTTTCCACTACAACTGAACTTATCCTCATAGAATTGGATGTAGCTCTCTGTTGTCGTTGACACCGGCTCCGGACCTGATCCCGACGATTCGTCCACGGATTGCGCGGTCAATGCTCGTAGCGAAAGTGCTACGAGCACGATCGCGAGAGCGTGCCGCATCGTTCGTGAAATTGAGCGGCGGAGATTCGGACCTTTTCGATGCCAAAAAAGAATTTTTTGCGTCGAAAATTCGTCGCCTTTGTGGTTTTTTTCGCCAAGGGCCGACCTTCCTCAGGGCAAAAAGGTCATCATTCACAGACGAGTCCGCAATTCGCAGTCAAAAATTTCTTGGAAGGGATTTTGTTGTCTAAAAAATGTGTCAGTGCGACGAAATTATATGTAAATCACATACCGAAAAAGAAGGGTAAATTATCAAAAACACTCTTGTGAAGCTAGATGAGTTGCGCTTGGGAATTGACAGAATTTGTTCAAAATGACGTCAAATTGCCGTCATTTGCACTAAATTTGGAATTATGATGATACTCTTACAAAAAGGGGCAATGAAATCGTCTTAGCCCATTCAAAATTACCAAAAGACTCGTAAACCCCGTGTAATCCCCCTCCAATGGCAACCTAGAATCGAAACCGATCACTGGCATCCGCCTCGAACGATCATAAGTTTAAAAAATTCTTACATTCAAAGAAATAATCCATCATAATTTAGTTTATGTAGCATTTAAAGGTTATATCAATGTTTTAGGTACAAATGTAGTTACAAGAATGAGTCTATACAACTAAAAAATACAAAATATACTAAATATTCGACTATACAACGAGGTTAGTATCGATGAAACGTGAGTTCTGGGAGCGGTAAAGCCGGAGGAGATCAGAAGCGCCAGCGGGGATCCTCGAAAAGACTGATTTGGGGATTATTCGAAGTCTGACTGAAGGACGAGCCCACCAATTCGTTGAGGTAAGGTTGATATGCGTGGAAGGCGGCTTCGGATGGGTCAAGTTGGCTTTGACGAGGTTGGAAGTTATTGGATCTCGCGGTGATTTGCTCAAAGAAGGGGAGACGGGACGTGCTGGATGGCTTCGGAAAGGACTCCTTGACCGGGCTCCCGGGATCCGAAGGGAAGAACACCGGGGATTTCGGAATAGGTGGAGCTGAACTCGGACCACTGCCAGCAATTCCTTGGATAGCATGCTTCGCGAAAGCATCTGACTTGATATTGGCAATTAGCTGATTCTCGGCCTGCTCCATCGCAACTGAAACATGCATAAATAATATAAAAAAGTATAAGAATGGGAAAAAGACTGAAAATCATTCAAAACACCTTAAGCATACCTAATCAGATATAACTCTTCCTTCCGGAGCCGACATATTATACAACAAGTCGTAATTTCTCTGTTGAATATAAGAATTCTTTTTGGGTAAAAAATATGGGTTTTTGAAAAACCCTTTGTATAACTAACAGGGGAAGTACCCCAAGTGCGACGCTCAGATTTTGATGAAAGTTGGCACAAATTTAGAATAATTTTTTCTAAGATATATGCGAGAATTCTAGCTCGCGCTTTGCAGAAACAACCGAGACTTTTAGATCAAAAGTCGGCGAAAATTTAGGGGACTTTTTGCCGAATTTCGGCACGAAAAGTTTCATGCCTATTTCTACCGTAAAGGATAATGTTTCTACAAAAAATCAAATTTTTCCGCACGAAACTGCTAAAGTTATGGCCAAAAAGCGTTTTTCTCTCTGACCGCTCTCCGCGTTTAGCGTGCTCTCTCGGCGGCATAAATCGTTCGATATCTCGGCGGCGCCTGCAAAGCGCGAGCTAAAACTTTCAGGAATTGATATTTAGTTGATGCCCGACGTGTGTGCAAAATTTAAAGAAAATCTGAGCGTCGCAGTTGGGGTACTTCCCTTGTAAGCCAAAAAAATATGAAATAGACCCTCAGCAAACTTACTAGAGCGGTCCCGAGATGGAGGAAGTCTTTGAACGACTTCAGCAAGAGAGATGCTAGTTGCCACCGGGTCCTTGTCCAATCTCGGAACATGACGAAGCTCCAATGGTCCGTGAGCGTACCAACAATTCAATCCAAACCTAAAAATCAAACAAAAAATAGAGAATAGACTTACTTGCAAGCATTCCCGGTACTCCAGTAGTCACAGAGCCGTGTCTTGTAGAGAGCTGGGTTCTTCCAATTCAATTTGCGGTTTTTGCAGCTGAGAAGCTGCTTCTGCTCCGTGCTCGCCGCGATTTTCCTGAAAGAAACAGCAAAATAAAATCGAGGACAATATAATCAAGCCTCTTCGGTAAGAAATAAACTGAATATTAGAAAAAAACGACTGATTTCAACGATACTATACTAGCTGGTACCAATAAAATCCCCACAAAACTCACGCAGACCACAACAGCGCAGAGCACAGACGGTCGTTGGTGTTCAAAAAGCTGTCCAGTGGCTCGGCAGCTACATTCTGAAGTTGACGCATCGATTCGATGCTCTCGCAGTCACTCGTGGTCGCTGATGAAGTCAGCGATCCTCCGTCCATGCTTCGTGACTCCTAAATTTCCGGCCGCGGAAAGGTACGCGCCCGCGAAGAACACCTTCAAAATGCACAAAATTGTGACTTGCCAGTGGCAACCGTTCGACGCAGAGACGAAAACAGCTTTCGCAGCGCGAAATCGCCGACACAAGGGGCGGAGTTTAGTCTCGAAACGAAAATTGGGGCATTATTCATGCGCAACTTGCTCGCATCAACTTGCTGATGTTCACAGGGAACTCGGATTTACTTATATGTACGTCTTTTTTACTTATATGAAATTGAAGTTTATATAAGTAAATAAACGTACATATAAGTAAATAATCGTATATATAAGTAATTCTGAAATTACTTATATGTAAACTTTATTTTCGGCGCGCTCCAAATTTACTTATATTTACAAATAAGGATTTTTTACTTATATTTACCAATAAGGATGTTTTACTTATTTGTAACCCAGAATTACGCACAGTGCAGATTATATTATAAACGTTTATTTCGATTCTCAGAAACAACAAATACATGTGGATAACGCATCTTGTGTGCTCCGGATAGGTTTCTCATCTGTTTTCGTCCTTGTGAGGCATCATTTGTGGGACCTTCTATGGGGATTTCTGCGTCTGGATTCACTGAAAATAGTAAAAAATAAAGAAGATAAGGTCGTTCGACGATATTTACTACAATTTTTTGTGCTTCTCCACCCCGAAAAAAATAGTTTTAAGTTTTAGGTTCACCAAGTTTGCCAATGAAATTCCGAGACACCAATTTTTGCCATGTTGTACTAGGTCCAGGTGAATATTCTCAACATACCTGAATCATCCGAGTGCCATTTTTCCGGATCGTGTGCATATTGTCCATTTACTACCATCCACGACCAATTTTTCGATAATCTGAAACCTAGAGGCTTCACCTGGACCTAGTACAACATAGCAAAACTATGTCAGGAAAAATCTTTGGTTTTATGAAATGTGAAAGCAGTTTAAAAACACCTACCAAATTTGAGCAAACAGTTCTTCATCCAAATTCCTGCCTCATAGTGCTTCTTTACAATTTTTTTGGAACTGCGTGAAGTTTGACGTTATCATGCTCCGTGCTCGGGAAGGTTCTCACGTTCGCGACTTTTGATCTGAGTACTCTGTTCTCCTGTAAAAAAAAAACTGACTACAAGCACCTTACTTTATTCGATCCGAGGTTGAGATACGTTCTTTCACACTCCAAAAAGTTAGAATTTTTCTAAGTCCGGCCAACGCATGCGGAAACCAAAAAGCGTCTTTGACGCTCAAAAGTTTTCTTTTCAAGGCTCATATATGTACATATAAGTAAAAATGAACGAGCCCCGCCGTTTTTTACATATAAGTACCGCTATTTGTAAATATAAGTAAATAAACGTAAATATAAGTAAAAATAAATAAGCCCCGCCTTTTTTAACTTATATGTAAGTTATTGGTAAATATAAGTAAAAAATTTTACTTATAAGTAAATCCGAGTCCCCTGTGTTAGAAGAAGCGCCCGGCTGGGCGATGATTGGACCGAGGAAGAAATCAGCTCATAAAAGAAGAAACATAATAAACAGAGAGCCTATTACCAAATGTTATAATTCTTGGTGACTTTCTTTCCAATAGCTGTAGTATAATGTCAGAGACGAAAGTTCGTCCCTTCCTGATGATTAGAAAATATGACAATTAGTTATACAAAGGTGGTCACCGAAGTTCTCGACTTTTATTTTTTCTGTTGCGTCGAATTTCAGTGCAAAAATGGGTTGACATTGATTCTGAAAAATCGGTGCCAAAAAGCCCGGAAATTTGGAAATAACCAGTGCAGATTTTGGGAAATCGCTGCAGGCCGAAAATTAAAGGTTGCACTGATTTTTCAAAATCAATGTCAACCCATTTTTGCACCGAAATTCGACCCAACAGCAAAAATAAAAGTCGATCACTTGTGTGACCACCACCTTTATATGATACACTCAAGTGCATAATTGAATTCTTGAATTTGGAACGTTGAAAGTTCTAAACATTTTTTTATCGTGCAATCAATCGAAAATTAGTATTTTTTTCTTTTTTCTGCATGAATATTTCCATAATTTTCGTCGTAATGACACATTTTCTCGATAAGCAAATCTATTCCGCAAAACCCTGACCGCGAGTTCGCGGAGTTCTCCGTGAATGGTGACCTTCTTTGCCTGAGGAAGGTCCGCCCTTGGCGAAAAAAACCGCAAAGTCGACGAATTTTCGACGCAAAAAATTCTTTTTTTGGCATCAAAAAGGTCCGGATTTCTGCCGCTCGATTTCACGAACGATGCGGCACGCGATCGTGCTCGTAGTTCTATCGCTACGAGCATTGACCGCGCAATCCGTGGAAGTCTCTTCTGGACCAGGTCTGGAGCCAGTGGCAACGACGGCAGTTCCGGATTTGAAGCCACAAGAATTCCGGAGTAAGTATAGTATTTTTTGTTTTGATTGGTTTTTAGAGATCTCATACATCCCACAAGTTGTAGAGGATTGTGGAGAATACGAGGAACTTCCGCTTGTCCCAGAGGGATCGGTTGAGAAATTGGATCTTCCAGAATCTCCTATTGAGAAGTTGGATCTTCCAGAATCTCCTATTGAGAAATTGGATCTTCCAGAATCTCCTATTGAGAAATTGGATCTTCCAGAATCTCCTATTGTTGCCAACGAATCACCTCAATCTGAGCCGGGTTCTGTAGAAGGAGTTCGTAACTCAGTACAGCAACTGCCTGAAAAACCACAAGATCCCGTGGAACGTTTGAGCGATCTCCCGACAGATAATGGCGAAGGAAGCATTGAATATCTTGGTCCCCTAGCAACACCAAAATCTCCGTCGAATCAGGTCCCGAGTTCAACTGGCCAACCAATCGAACGCCTGGATACAACACTGACTCCTGTAGTCTCAACCGAAAGCCAATTTGAATATCTAGGTCCACTTCCAGGTATAATTTTCGCAATTTTTTTGTTTTTTGATGATTGTATCAAAATATTATGCCATATGAATTAAATTTAGAAAGGTCCACAGTCGCCCCGCAGTCAATCTCAACTGATCAGCCGATTGAGCGTCTAGATTCGACTCCTGTTCCTACAACTTCAACCCAAGTTCAATACGAATATCTGGGTCCAATTCCAGGTAAGATTTTTCCTTTCGTCTTTTTGGTTTAGATGCAACGGAAACAATTGTTATTTAGAAGCCTCAACTGCCGCCCCGCAACCGCTGGTTCAGACCACAGCGAGCCCAACGGTTCGCCCGATTCCTGTTGCTATTGTGGAGCAATCTTCCTCCTCATCAGAGGCCCCAACTACTCAGAAATACGATGGGTTTGAGTTAATTGGGTCCATCGACAACAGCGAATCGACAACATCAGGTCCAACAGATGGTAAGGTTTTGCAGTTGAGTCAGTTGTTGTATGTAGTTTTGAGATTTCTAGTTGAGAATGAGGTTTATTACATTTCTGTATTGTACCAGGCAAAAATTTTTTATTGATTTTTTTGGGCGTTTTGCGTAATATTACCTCCGAAGGCTGATGTAATATACTTTTTCAGCTCCTGCATCTTCCTCGACGACCGGCAAGTACGATGGTTTTGAGTTTATTGGCAGGATAAGAGAAGAGTCTGGTGAGAAATACGCTGGATTCGAGAAATTGGGTAACGTCGAGGATGTTCCGACAACCCCGCCCACTCCACCCGCGGCTCCACTCTCAGATGGCTTAGAATTTGTTGGAGAAGAACCCCCATCAACCGTGCTTCCCACTGTGCAGAGCACCGTTCAAGTAGTCCAAACAACAGCTCCACCGGCACCTGTGAACCTCGTTCCTATTGAAACTCCGGCCACAACAACTACTGCTCCAGTCACTTCAAAGTACAGTGGATTTGTCTACTATGGACAGGAAAAGATTCAACCACCTGTTGTTGTAGTTGACCCCACAACAACAGAAGCCCCGGAAACGAGTCCAACTACTCGACTCTTTACTGGATTGGGTCCTGTCGTTGATGGTGGGTAATTGATTTCGATCGGTCTTTATATGTTTTTACGCTTTAGGTCCTCAAAACGAACAGAACTTTGGTGATGGTGCGGGTACCACTGAGGCGAGGACTCCATCCACGACAGAAGAACCTCTCTTTTTCTTTGGAACGCCCACGCAGCCACCAGTGAACATCGTGGAGACATCAACTTTGGCCCCGTCCACCGATTCCCCATTGGAATACCTTGGACCGGCCTCGAAGGACGAGAACAAGTACGAAGGATTCGAGTATTTTGGATCTTCAACGGAAAGTAAGAGTATTTTGTTTATTTTTATTCCGCCTTTAGAGCCTTGTGTATCATCAACGAGCACTGCCCTTCCGCCAATAAATGTGGCCTCATCGCCTCCGGAATCAGCCGAATGGATCGGAGAATGGCCTCCAGCTAGTAGCCAGGCCCCCGAGAAGACTGATGTTGAGAATTTTATTGATGTAAATCTCTCCTCGACTGTTCAGCCATCTTGGACTCATGAACCCTCAATTCAGGAGTGGCAGCCAACTTCTGAAACCCCCAATCAGCCTCCTTTCGCTTGGGATCAGGAAACCAATCCTCCCGTTTGGAACCATGAACCCAGTCCGTATCAGAATACCCAGCAGCCCGAGTATTCATCCCAACAATTCTTTGATGGAAATCATTATGGAGGAGTCGACTACGTCCCCGAGAACTATCAAGAACAACAATACCAACCTCAGGAATACGATAAGAACTACTACCAAGTCCCAGTTCAGACCCCGAATCATCCCGGAGTGGAATTCAGATATCTGATGCCAAAGCAGGATCCAGAAAGACCGATTCCTTTTGTTGATGTGGACTCGGGAGAGAGGCGGTTGGTCGATTCGTTTGACACTCCAGATGATCTTCCCTTGAAGGAAGAAGATGCACATCATCCGGCGTTTTGGGATCCATTCGATCATGATTACCCTTTGGATAAACTTCTCGATAAACTGTTTGGCACTCCTGGAGGTAAGAATTGCTTTTTGGAGAGTTTGAAATTTATTTTCTTTATTATTTTTGTTGTTTTAGCCTCTGGAGAAGTCCGCGACACCTTTAACGTCCCTGAGGACCTCACGGCTCATGCGCCCAGTGCCTTCAGTGGGTCACCAGACCCGGAACCGGTCGATGACACATTCCAATCGGTCCCTGACCACCCGGAAGTTGTGAAGTCGGCCTTTGAGATCTCTCCATCAGACTCTGGGATCATTGTGGACACGTTCCAATTGCCAGAAGAGGAGAATGATCATTATGGAGGATACAGGAAGAAGAGAGAAGCCTCACAGAGAAGTTCCAAGCATGCGAGGGCATGGAAAAAGAACATTCAGCCCTTTAAATCGAAGATATTCAGCCGAAAGTCAAAGAGAATATCACCCACCAGGAGGCGGTCTCCTCCTCAAATGACATGATGTTCTCTCCCGTGACCACCGCGTTCAATCCCGACCTCAATGTTTGTGATTACTTCTTCGTGCTCAAGTTTTTGATGACCTTAATGGATTGCCAAATTCAATTTCACTCTTTGTGATTTATTTTACCCCAATTTGTAATCTTTTCTAACCTCTAACATTAGTCATGTATATAACTAATAATAAGATTAAAGTAAATACTTTAAAAGATTTTGTATTTTTTTTTGGAGTTTTTATGGATCAAAGTAGGCATGGCTCCGGGCCGGGCTTTGCAAAATTTTCCGGCCCGGGCCGGGCCGGCTAATTTCTCGGCCCGGCTCCGGGCTTCGATTTTCAGGCCCGGGCCGGCCCGGTTTTTTTGAAATTTGACTTTTGCCCGGAAAAAAGGAAAAAATAAGCTTTTACGATAGGATTTTTCATTTTTTCGAACACAATGCTGATAGCGAACGTAAAGTGACCTTATGTACCTAGGTTTTGCTAAATTTTTCTTTACATCTTGCAAAAATTTGTCATAATTTTCCTTTCATTTCCCGCTTTCTTTCTTTCCAACCTAGTATAAAATTTTCCGGGCCGAACCGGGCCGGGCTTTACAAATTTCCCAAGCCCGGGCCCGGGTCGGGCTTGGAGATTTAAGCCCGGGCCTGTGGCCCGCGCCGGGCCGGGCTGGCCCGGTTTGCAGCCATGCTTAGATCAAAGGGGACATGAAGAACACTTAGTATTTTGATGAGATAATCAATTTTTGATGTAATGATGTAACAACCCAAGATGATGTAATCTTGGGTTGTATTTGGTTGGCTTTGGACAGGATTCCCCGATTCTTTCTGGCCTCTTGCGTAGGCAAAAATGGGTTTACTTGATTTGAATTCGATTATACCTTGGAATGCCTGCCACATGTATGTCTTGGGAAATTGTGTGCTAAATTTCCAGTGGACTTCTCAACTTTATAATTGATCCAAACATGAAATGAAAGATTTATTTTTAATTTACTAATACTGATTCCGATACTCTTTTTTGATCTTGGCTTCAGATCATGAACATGGCAGAACTCTCCGAACATTGACCTTTCCGCACCCAATTTCTTATAGAATGTGGTGAGCAATTCCGAAGGCGTATAATTCGGGTGACTGAAATTATGGGTGACGCAGAGTCTTGTGGTGCAGGTTCGGGTGAGAACTTTTGGGTGATCGCAATTTCGGGTGATGCAAAATCGGGTGGCGCATATTCGGGTGATGGAATTTTGGGGTGGGGGAACTCTCGGGTGATGAAGAAAATATTGTACTGACGGCTACTAAAGACAAAAATATTGTATAATGGCTACTAAATATAGGGCTCGTGCTTTATAAGTTTTGTCGGCTTTGCAAAAAAATGTTGCAAAAAGGCGTTCAGAATTCGCTCTGAACGCCTTTTTGCAACATCAGTTCAAATCGTGAAAAATCGTGAACTGATGTTGCAAAATGGCGTTCAGAGCGAATTCTGAACGCCCTTTTGCAACATTTTTTTGCAAAGCCGACGAAACTTATAAAGCACGAGCCCTATATGACGTAACATTGTTAAAATTTTAAAATTTCTAAAATTGTATGCTTTTTTGGGGTTGACATTGAAACCTTCAAAAAATAAAATTTTAACAATGTTACGTCATATTTAGTAGCCATTATACAATATTCTCTTTATCACCCGAGACTCCCCCCACCCCAAAATTCCATCACCCGAATATGCGCCACACGATTTTTTATCACCCGAAATTGCGATCACCCGAAAGTTCTCACCCCAACCTGCACCACCCGACTCTGCGTCACCCATAATTTCCCGACCCCATATAATTCATTGAACTTCCTGATCTTGGCCAATCCCAGTCTCTCATTCTTCAGATCATAAACATGGCAGAACTCTCTGAACATCGAAGTCCCAAAAACCCAACGGTTTCGATCGAATGTTGCCAAAGCGCAATACTCTTCTCCTCTTAGAATCCCCAAATAGAAAAAGAAATTCTGAATTGCCATTGAATATTGGCGACCATTAATTGTGAATTCAACTTCAGCCGTCGAATCACAACGCATGAAATAATATTTTCCGTCCTTTTCCGCACCCAATTCCTTATAAAAGGCGCTGAGGAATTCCGAGGGCATATAATTCCTTGAAGTTCCACTATCGGAGAGTGCCTAAAAAACAATTCGTTATAATAATTCGGTAAAAGATTACGCCGGAATTAATCTTTTCCCAGGGTTATTAATGCAGAGAAAAAACCTGGACAAAAAATGACTGAAAATAGGCCTTATCTTGAGATTCATAGTAAATCGACCATTATTTTTCCTAGGTAGTCTTAAAAAATCGTAAAACCTTAAATCCTTTCTCCATCAACCTACCGTAAAATTTCTGGCAACGGCGCTTCCAACCGAAAATGATTCGACTTGGATATGCCATTTTCCGTTTGATGTATCAGCGGGTATCCACTCGTAATCATCCTCACAATGCAGGTAGTCAAACCCTCCAAACGTCAAGTGCCCGCTGTCCACACATGTTTCCGTTGCGCAATGCCGAAAATACAACGTAAAAACTGATTGAGAAAAGTTGTCATCTAGAACATTTTCGATAAAACTTGGGGAAAAGGCCTTCTTCGATAGGCCGAGAATTCCATCTGCTCGCGAATAGTTGGAATCGGAGCGCATGACAGCGGCTGCGAACGGAACTGGCGCTTTCAAACGAAAGCCATCGATTGGATACCCTAGCTGAAGACATGACATGAATTCGAGAAATGAAACACAATATTCTTTAATTTTTTTAAATTTTAGGAACAATAACTTACGATCACTTCATCCTTGCGGTGCTCGAGGGACACTCTCGTCGAGTCCGAATAAATCAGACTATACCCGTCGTGCGTATCGTGAATGTCGTAAAAAGCGGCTGTGGCCGACTTTTGCGGCTCATAGAAGCGCGGGGATCGACAAGTTTTATTTTTATTTTTAGAGTCTTTGCATCCTGCTTTGGTGACCCATGTTACATGAGACCCCGTATCAACCGCCAACCTGAACGTTGAAGGGGGAGATCCAATTGAGATTCTGGCATAATACAAAACATTTAGAAGGTTTTCCAGTGGGAGTTGAAAAGTCACAGCAGATGCTGAAATAAAACTATGTGGACTGCTCGAATCAATGCATAAAACAAAAAATAAAACTGACTTGACATTCTATCCTCATTGTTAACGGCGTTGATCTCATTGGCGTTGATGGCAGTGTAAAAATACAAAGGTAAAATTAAAGCAAGCCGGACAAGGACGAGCATCCTGCGTGGAATAAAAGATATTCTTGTGTTTCTTTCTGTATGCTTAATTCTCTGTACTGAATTGATATCATTGCGCAAAACATATACATACAGAAAATTTTTAGAGAAATTCTCACACTGTGATTCATCGCAACGCACCAGAAAACTGATTCGTTATAGAAGGGGTTTCTTATACGGAGGCTCGTTACGGCCTCAAAGTCGCTTTGAGTGGTGACTTAAAATTATTTGTTAAGGAAACGTTTCGTTGTTCGGGAGTTCATCGTACAGATGAGGTATCAGCGAAAACTCTGAGAGTGGAATTGCAAATAAGTTACGAAACAAGTCAACAATCACGGTTTTGGAGGCTCGAACAATCATTTTGTCTTTTGTTTTCTCGTGTTTCCGCAACTTGTGCCAAGTCCCGAAACGAAAATGTGATTTGGGCGCCAAACCTGGCATTCTGTTTAAAGCAAAAATTTCGCAAAAAAATTGCAAAAGGGGAATATTCGAATCTCTTCTCTGGTTGACGCTTACGGTAGGCAAATTCTTGCTGTAAATTCACCAAGATGGACGGCGATTTATACGATGAGTTTGGAAATTACATTGGCCCGAGTCTAGATAGTGACGAAGAAGATGAAAACGACCGTGATAGTGACCAACAGGACGGTCAAGACGATGAGGATGAAGAGATGGAGGACGATGTAAGTTTCAATTTGCGTGTATATTATGTTTTATGCGTTTAGAAATGATTTTACATTGTTCTTGGCATTATTAATATAATTTTTTTTAATTTTGGTCTGCTGAACGTCGAGTTGAAGCCCCAGGAAACCAGATTGTACTCCATGAAGACAAGAAATACTACCAAACAGCGTTGGAAGTGTACGGTGAAGGAGTTGAGGCTTTAGTTCAAGATGAAGATGCTCAACCTCTGACCGAGCCGATTTACAAGTCTGGGAAGATTAAACGCTTTGAAGTCGCTGAACAAGACTTGCCCGCGACCAACTATAAGCCTCAGTTTATGGTCGATTTGATGCAGCATCCTCAATTAGTTCGAAATATTGTGATTGCCGGACATTTGGGTCATGGAAAGGTGGGTAGTTTAACATAAATTGAAATTTTCGATTATTAGACGACTTTCATGGACTGTTTAATGGAGCAGACACATCCCGGGTTCCAGCGGCCTGAGGAGAGTGATATGCGCTATACAGATCAACAATTTTTGGAGATCCAGCGAGGCTGTTCAATAAAATCGACTCCAATCTCCGTGGTAATGCAAACTTTGAAGTCAAAGTCGTATTTACTGAATGTGGTGGATACTCCCGGTCATGTTAATTTCTCCGATGAGGTCACTGCCGCTTATAGATTATGTGATGGAGTGGTTTTGGTGGTTGATGCTCACGAGGGAGTGAGTTTTTATTTTTGTTTCTAGTGTAATATAAATTGTTGCCTAAAAAATTGATTCTTAGATTATGATGCAAACCGAAAGATTGTTGAAGCATGCGATTCAAGAGAAACTTCCGGTTACAGTTTGCATTAACAAGATTGACCGTCTGATTTTGGAATTGAAACTTCCTCCAAGTGATGCTTACAGTAAACTCAGATACACCTTGGACCAGTTGAACAAAATTGTGAAGACTTTTGCTCTGGATGACTTCCCTGTGTTCTCGCCGTTGAATCGAAATGTGGTCTTTGCCAGTTCTCGGTACAATATTTGCTTGTCACTTGATTCGTTTGCTCAGTTATATTCAACTAAGTATCGTAAGTCATTGTTGCATTTGTTCTTTTGAATTTTAGGTGACTTTCGCCTGGTAAACGACTGCAAAATATGAAATTTTGCATATTATAGGAGATTTTGTTTTTTTTGACGACCTTGCCTACTACGATTTAATTGCAGCTAAAATAAACACCAAAATGTTTGCCGATCGTCTCTGGGGGGACTTCTACTTCAATGAGGACACCAAGAAGATTACCACCAAGGGAGAGATTGGTCAGAACAGAACTTTTGTCCACTTCATTTTGGAACCTTTGTATAAGATCTTTGCGCATGTTGCTGGAGACGTGGATACATGTCTGCCCCGGTTTACCAGAGAAATGGGGATCAAATTGAACAAGAAGGAGCAGAAAATGAATATCCGACCATTGATTGCGCTGATTTGTCGTCGATTTTTTGGAGATTTTACAGGTAAAGCTACTACTTATCATGAATTAATTTTCGCTTTATTCTTTGGTGATATTATACTGTACTCTCTTTTAGCATTTGTTGACATGGCTGTGAGCAAGATTCCATCCCCACTTGAGTCCACCGCCGCCAAGGTCCGGCTGAATTACGGTGGAGTAATCGAGAGTCCGTTGGCTCAGGAGATCTCCCGATGCGATAAAAATGGGGTCCTCTATCTCCATACCACCAAGAACTATCCCACGACAGATGCCTCATCATTCCATGTGTTTGGCCGTGTGATCAGTGGGACTTTGAAATCAGGAGATGAGGTTAAATTGTTGGGAGAGGCTTATTCAATCCAAGATGAAGAAGATTGCCGAATTCTGACCGTCGGAAGATTATGGCTGCCAGTTGGACGTTATAAAGTGGAAGTGGACACAGCCCCGGCTGGAAGTTTGGTGCTGATAGAAGGAATTGATCAGCCAATTTCGAAGACTTGCACGATTATTGAGAAGGACTATAACCAAGATGAGGTAGGAGAATATTGCAAAGAAAACTTAATAAAAACCTGTGAACATTTGAAAAGATTTGGATGATATAGCTAGAATAAGATGTCAGGCGGATGACAGCAGACTTTTTTCAGATCTACATCTTCCGCCCTCTCCGTTTCGACACAAAATCCGTGGTGAAGTTGGCCATCGAACCGATCAATCCTTCCGAGCTCCCGAAAATGCTGGATTCGCTGAGAAAAGTGAACAAATCGTATCCGTTGCTAACCACTCGAGTCGAGGAATCGGGAGAGCACGTGATGCTGGGAACTGGAGAATTGTACTTGGACTCGGTCATGCATGACATGAGGAAAGTCTTCTCAGAAATTGATATCAAAGTGGCTGATCCGGTGGTTAGCTTTTGTGAAACGGTCGTTGAGACGTCTACGCTGAGATGCTTTGCTCAAACGCCCAATCAGAAGTGAGTTTGGGAACATTTGGGAGTTTTTGCGTCATACATTTTGCGGATTACGACATTATGTTTCAGAAACAAACTAACCATGATATCTGAGCCTTTGGAGAAGGGTTTGGCCGAAGACATCGAAAATGAAGTCATCAAAATTGGGTGGAACAGGTAAATTATATTATTTTAATTGTTTATCAACAATTTTATTTTTTAATTTGGGTTTTATTTTGCAGAAAGCAGCTTGGGGACTTTTTCCAATCCAAATACAGCTGGGATTTGCTCGCCGCTCGATCAGTTTGGGCCTTCGGACCGGATCTGACAGGCCCAAATATTTTGGTGGATGATACTCTCCCGTCAGAAGTCGACAAACAACTCCTAGGAACAGTTAGAGAATCCCTGATCCAAGGGTTCCAATGGGCGTCGAGAGAAGGCCCTCTGTGCGAAGAGCCAATGAGAAATGTCAAGTTCAAGTTGCTGGATGCCAAGATCTCCGATGAAGCTTTATATCGAGGTGGAGGTCAAATTATCCCGACTTCGAGGAGATGCGCTTACTCAGCGTTCTTGGTAAGTACCGTAGAAACTGTTTTGGGGTTTTTTTTATTTCTGAGGACGATTTTGTGGTAGGTATAAATATAAAATAGGTTTTGTTTTGGGTTAGAATTGTGGATATTGTCCGGAAATAAATTGCAATGGATGGAATGACCCTTGATTGTTCTAGATGGCCACTCCTCGTCTCATGGAACCGTATTATACGGTGGAAGTAATCGCCCCAGCTGATTGTGTCAGCTCGGTCTATACCGTCCTCTCCAAGCGCCGTGGACACGTCACTCAAGACACCCCAATCCCAGGCTCCCCACTCTACAAGATCAACGCATTCATCCCGGTGATCGACTCGTTTGGATTCGAAACCGACCTTCGAACTCATACTCAAGGACAGGCCTTTTGTATGAGTGTCTTCAATCATTGGCATTTGGTCCCAGGAGATCCATTGGACAAGTCGATCGTCATCAACCCACTCGAAGTTCAACCAGCCACTCATCTGGCTAGAGAATTCATGATCAAGACCAGGAGAAGAAAGGGATTAACCGAAGATGTCTCCGTCAACAAATTCTTTGACGATCCCATGCTGGTTGAGCTCGCCAAACAGCAAGATCTCTTTGTTCTCTAAGTTAACCATCATTCTGATTCTTGTTATTAAATATTTTAACTTATAAGGTTGTTTTGAGGAGATCTTGACAATTTATTTATACATTATTCATGATAAAAATTGGTCTTTTTTCTAGATTTTGATGATTTTTTCGGCACCAGAAGGTGCCAGTGGTTGTATCACATGAGGAAAAGATAAACAGGCCATTTAAATATTTTTCAATCCCCATGAGCGTTTTATAAGAAGATTGTAGTAAAACGGGATATTTTTCACAAAAAAGTAGGCCAAAAGTCAATGTTTTGCGAAAACAAACCCGAAACCACGCCCTTCTAATCATTCTGTTTTTCCAAATTAAAAATCTCGATATCACGTTTCACTGATCCGGAAGGGGGATGTTCAAATCTCCCCTTCGCGTTTTTCTTTTCGTCGTTTTCGTTTTTTGCCTTTACGAAATCGAAGGGAAAGCGGTCTGATCGCCGTGAAAACAGAGGGTACAGTATTCGAGAATAGGTCAAAGACGACGGAAATAGCATCTAGAATTAAGAGAGCCTGCAGAAGAGAAGACAGAGTGTAGAGAAAATCGAGAAACGGCAGAGAAAAGCGAGATATTGGGTGAAATTAAGAGAATGGGACAGAAAAGGGCTAAAACAAGGTGGATTTTGGTGGGGGGAGAACGATAGAGAGCCGAGGGACTACGCGTATCTCCGAAGCGTTAGAACGGACCGATAGACCGTCGAAAATCGAGAGCGCGCAGAGCCGAAACCCCACGAAATGGCCTTGCACACAAGGCCCTTGCCTTTCCCGCTCTCAAAACGAAAATACCACACGTCGCAGCGGAGACGGCAGCGAATCGGCGCGCTCATATGTCCTTCGCAGTGCCTGGTACCAGCCAACACAAACCCCCACCCTTCCACCCGACCCTGCCGCCTTTTTTCTCTCCCTTTCCGTGTTTTTTCGTAACGTGTGCGAAGGAAGAAGAGAGCGAGAGAGGGAACGGAACGTCCGCGCTTCCAAACGTTCCTTGCTCTCGGCTCGTGTTCACCTGTGTCAGCACGATGATTTCAGCAGAACGTGCCGACTTTTATTTTAATTTTTTCATTTTGAAATTTTGGGATTTGAGAATTTTTTGGTGTTTTTAAAAAGTAATTTGCATACTTTGCCCACTTACAGTAGGATTTTTGGTGACTTTAGGTGGTTTTTGAGATATTCTGGGGATTCTGATCGTATTTTAAAATGTCGAAATTATTTTTTCTGATTCCGAAAAATTTTAAAAATTGTTTCAACTGATTTTTTGCCAAGTTTAAATAAGTTTTGTGGTATTATTTTGAATATTTTACATTTTTTCCAACAGTTGGATAAAATTTTAATGGATTTTTTGTTATTTTGCTTAATTTTCAATCTATTTCAGCATTTTAACACTGTTATGGTATGTTGACAACCATGAATATCACGAATCTCTTACTTTTCGCGGTTTTCTGTGGCCTCGCCACTTGCAATTTGAATTCAAACACTTGCCAAGACATTGAATCTTCTTTCCAATCGGTTGTGGAGGCCAATGAGGAGGTAAGCTTTCATTTATACGCATTGAAATGGGATTCTTTGGAATTGATTTCATGAGTTTTTATTTTACATTAGATTTTTTGTCATAAAAATTTATTTTTTGGTCTAAAATTATGTTTTCAGCCAGCTTGCCGTTGTATGCCCAAGGCATTTGGCGCTTCATCCGATGAGGAGTTTGTTTTTGTGGGTTGTACTCGGCAGAATATGCCTTCAATATACCGGGCATTGAATGTTCTGAATGAAACCAACATGACTCAACTCAAGATCTGGAACTCCCTGCTCAATATCTTGCCCAGCGATCTTTTCAGCAAAGTAAGTTTCGGGTTTTTGATTTCCGAAGAACGTTGCAGTACCGTAAATTTTATGGTATTCACAGTCCGGCAAGAGGTTTTTCGCACGGTGCGGTTTTTTGAAGGTTATTACTGGTAAACTGGATGAATTAAAAGGTTGAAAATCGTAGTGATGATAGCCTATGAGTCCCTTTTTGGATCTAGATATTTATTTGGGCCATTTTTGATCATATTTTTTAACAACTTTCATGTTTTGATACTTACTATAATATAATAGATTAGGCGGTTATGAAAAAATAAAGGCTTCCGATGACAAATTCTGAATTTAAAAGTTAGTATCAGACTATTTCAAAATAATTTTCCACATTCTTTCAAATTTTCGAGTTTCCTTGACCCCCTTTTCACCCTTCTATTTTGCAGGTCCGTCCCAAAGTTTTGTCCATTGAAAACTCGGGAGTGAGCGTCTTCCGGAAAGGCGTCTTCTCGAACCTCGGACCCCGATTACAAAGCCTCTACATCATGAACAACATCCTGAAAAGCTTCGACAAACAAACCTTTAGCGATCTGATCAACCTGGAGATGTTGGACCTCTCTGGCAACAAGCTGAACTCAATCAAAATGGACCATTTTGGCCCACTGTCCAAACTCCAACACCTCCATTTGTCCAACAATCAGATCCAGGAGATCGAAAATGGCGCGTTCTCGCTTCTGAAAAACTTGAAGGTCCTGAATTTGGCTGGAAATTCGATTACAAACATCACCAAGGCCATGTTCAAAGGTCTGGAGAATTTGGAAGTCCTCCAATTGGAGAAGAATTCCCTGAAAAACATTGAACCAGATGCATTCAGTACGATGAAGAAGCTGAGAATCTTGGATTTGGGTCACAACAATTTGAACAAGGTAGGTTTTGATCAAGTTGATGTTAAATTAAGGTGGTGTGATATAAAAGTTGGGCGATAGAGACATGAAAATGTTCTCAGTAGGGTTGAATTTCAAGTGTCTGCAATTTTGACGGCTTTTTGAATTTGCAATTCTGCAGAGTGCGATTTAAAATTTTGCACTGTGCGGTTGAACCTAATGCTGCCCTAAGGGCTTCCGATGCTAAATTTTTAAATTGTGGTGTAGTACTTATTATCAATTACTGATCTAACGTCTGGTCCAATTTCAGATCAACCTCAACGCCCTCCCGAAACTGGAAACCCTTCTTCTGAACAACAATAACCTGCAAGCCATGAGTAATGTCGCCCTCAAGAAGCTCCCTCAACTCACCACGTTGAACGTGGACAACAATAACATTGTCCAACTGGCTGCCAAGGACCTGGATGAGCTCGTGGAGAGCCCACAACTCAACTCGCTCTCCTTTGTGGCCAACAACATGACTCACATTGATGCGTCGGCCTTCCGTTTCTGCCCAAAAGTCACTGTCCTTTCCCTGCAGAACAACAATTTGACGTCTTTGAGCAGCGTGCCGAAGGGTGGAAACGGCGCAGTCTCCTGGCTGAGGCCTTTGACCAATCTGAAGAGCCTGTTTTTGACCTGGAACCAGATCTCGGTGCTAAAACACGGTGAATTGAACGTGATCCCATCGTTGGAAGACGTCAGCATGGATCATAATAAGCTCGGAACCATCGATAAAGACGCGCTGACAGGCCTCCAATTGAAGAAGTTGTTCCTAAATGGAAACGAACTCTATTATTTGCCTGAGGGCTTGTTCCAAGGATGGAATACCGAGAGCATTTACTCTGTCGATCTGGCTGGTACGTTAGTTGGGAGTTGTTTTTGCATACAATCAAGTTCGTTTTTTGGCTGCACTGTGCGGAGTTTTTTATTTTTGCACAGTGCGAAAGAAAAGATTGTCGCACTGTGCAAAAATAACCAAACCTTTGCAAAACCCAAAATTTTTTCCACCGTGCAGTGAAAAATGTTATCAAATTGATTAAAATTACCCGTGTTTCTTTCCAGAAAACCCATGGGAATGCATCTGTGGCCACGAATGGATCGGTGAGTGGCTCCGCACCCTTGGCGACCGTTCCACGCCCTCCGGCAACGTCGGATGCCTGGCCTATCATTGCGGAAACGATGTCGAAGAGACCCCCAAGCACTCGGCTTGGATCACCGTGGTCGCTGGCATTCTCGCTTTCGTGGCCTTGCTTTTCTTGGCCGCGATTGCCTATCTGTACATCCAAGAGACTTGCGGAAGGTCGCCGATCCCGCTGAAGAGGATCCCAAGTGATATGGTGCGACTCATCCCGTCGATGGAAAGTCTCTCCTTCCCCAATCCAGTGGCTGGAGAGTTGATCAAGAGCAATCTGAATAAGCCATCCACTCCGGCGGAAGGGACGGAAAAAGACGAGGCCAAGGATAAGAAACGAGTCCGATTTGATGGAGTTTAAGATCTGAGGGTTCTCTGGGATGTGATAGATCATTTTACAATACAATCTGGCCATAGGTATTCCTTCAGCATAAGGAATCTTAATCTTTTTTCCAAAAACTCCGTATTTAAGTCGAAATGTGTCATTTTTTACTGTTTTTGGGCTTAAATTATTGCTTGCTGTTTCCAGAGAGTATTGTAAGACAGGATTATCTCACTCACCATCAAGAGAACTTGATTTCCCATCTTATCCATGCGTTTTCATAGGCCCCGCACTCGCTGAACATAGTCTCTCAGTGTTGTTTTTGAGTGCCCCAAGATCTCCAAACACTTTATTAACCTGTATTATAATTGTTACCCTTCTGTTCGAGTCTATATTCGCCATGAAATTCGAGATTTTTCCTCGATTTATCATGGGTAATATAATCTCGTCATAAATTAATAATATTATTGTTGTATATAACCACAAAACCCCGTCTCTGCTCCTCATGTATGCCAAACCGATCCAACCCGTAAAAACAGTTGTTATTGGTGAATAACATCCACTCTTCAAAGTTGTTTTAAACATTTTACGTGTTTTCTCGCCATGGTTAATATAACCATGTCCTTTTTTTGGGCTTAAAGCCCGTTTTATTTATTGGTTGTAATAAAAACTGGTCATTTGTTACATAATACACATTTTTATGTTCTGTTCTTTTACATTTATCCACCGAATAAATAACATATTTGTTTTATTTGAGATCAAGATAATCGGAAGGGGTGGAAACCGAGGAATTTTACAAGTTCTAGAGATTCTACCGGGAAGAAAGAGACATATTAGAAGTTTCGAAGTTTCTACGAGCTTCAGAGTTATTTACAAAGACATAAAATAAAATTTTAATACATTTTTGTCTTCTTCATGATGACTTTAAAGTCATTTTCGAAGACTTTGCCGCGTTTCGTAAGGTCAGCGAAGTGGATCATCTCCTAAACGACGCAAAAATAATTTCTAACATTTGTAAAACCTTATTCTAGCATCTAATATACATCAGAGTCCAAACTTGGGCCAAAATTTATCTTATCCATGTGCTTACCCAAAGATCTTTGTCCTCAATCTCATCCTCACCCAATTCCTTGGCAACTCGCTTCAGGTCCGTGAAATTGATAAAACCTTTGTTCTGGACATCAAACAGTTCAAACGCACTTCTGATTTCTCTGCTGCTATCGTCGGCATCCGAAAGTTTCTCATTGAGGATGTACATCAACTCTTCGAGAGTGAAAGAGTCTAAAAATTAAGGCTTAAATAATTGGAACCGGGCATACCTGAGCTAACTTGTCTTGCGACTTCGTTCTCCTGCATCTTCTTTACCAACTCGTCGATTTCTTTCTGTCTGGGCTCGAATCCCATAGCTCTCATTACAATCTAAAAATGAGTTTGATTTTAAATTTACAGAAAAACGATCTCAAATCGTAAAATTTAGATCAGGTCTCTCTGTCCCACACTAATCTCGGGGAATTTATCTTCCACAAAATTACAAGTTATTTCAAGACACATCGAAAGTAATACAATCCTTACTTTCAGCCGTTTAATGGAAATAAATCCAGTTCCATCCTTGTCGCAAATATCGAACGCCTTCTCAACTTCATCCTTGGTCAAGACCGGCTTGCTTTTACTTGTTCCGATCGACTTTCCACTCATTTCTTCTGCAAGGTATCAACTGCAATGCATACAAAACAAGTCAGAATTCTCAAAGACCCAAGCACTGAACTTAATTTCAAGACGGTCAAAGGTCCTTTCAGGTCTTTATCGATATCAGAAACGTAGAAAACGTCAATTCAAAAGTTGAAAACCTGGTTATAACGCTGTTTACTATTTACACAATAAATACAATAAGAAAGCTTCGAAAAAGTATTATGAATCCGCCTTTTGAGATCTGTCGCCATTGTTAAAGTGCTGCTGATTTCTGCTTTTGACTTGTCTTGACTGTTGGAACATCTTTTCTCTGTTCATGCATTTTCGGAGGAAATTGATTCTTGATAAAGCAACCACAACTTGTCCGAAACATCCCTGTAATGTGATCTTGGCTTCGTTCTTGGTGAAATTTTTGCCAACATTAATATCACAGCGATGGGACATGCGTCTCAGCTCGTTTATCTGTAATTTAAGGCCATTATTTATATTACACATAGCGCGCGGGAAAAAAGACAATTCACATAACGTAAAGCTTTGTCAATTCGGAGCTAGATGTACATCCTTCATAACAGAAACTAAATTTAAATACTTGCATGTTGTCCATTCTTTCCAATTATCATACCAGCCATAGAAGAGGGGACAAGGAACTCGACTCTGAGCACCATCGAACCAAATAAGACATTTCGAACCTCGGCTGACCTTTGATAAACCCAAAATAAAGCCTAAAACACAGGAAGTTAATCAAAAAATACAGCTATCCATTAATGTTTCCATTTAGGTACCTATTGTCAAAAATAATATATAAACTATTAGAAACAACTCTTTCTAGATCAAAAATAAACCATATATGTCTTTGCTCAATCCGAGGACTCACTCTGATGATGTCGTCATCGTATCCAGCGATTGTGACCAGTCTATCAAAGTCGTCAGAGCTGTTCTTCGAAGATGAAGCGGAATCCAGAGCTTGTTCCAAGATCAGTCTGCTCAACCTCTCACTGTACTGGTCGATTGTTGGAGGGATAAAGTCGTCTTTAAATTCCGAATGCTCCTTTGGTGGCTTCTCTTCGATTTTCTGCTAAAATCCGAAAACATCTCATTGATAATATAAAACTCACATTTGGAGATTTCGATCGGATTTTATCCGGTTCAACGGTAACATTAGCGCAGGTTAGTTGCTGCAGAAGCTTCACATATGCACCCTGAACAAAAAATATAGCTAAAACTTTTTATATTACTTTAGCGCCGATGATGGCTCCAATCAGGGAATTGGGGATAAAAACACAAATACTTTTAAGGACCAGCTCTTTGGGAATATGCGGGAGCATGAAGTTGTTGTCCATTGTGTTCACCTCGTATCGACTGCGAAATAATCTATTCTCGGCCAGAAAATAATTTTCTTTTCCTCGAAAAAGCCTAATGCGGAATGCCAAAGAAAAGCGAAGTCGGCGGAAAAGGCGGAATTCAAACGAAATTCTACGTCAGAATGGCCGTAAAATCTAACAATTGGCCATTTGAATGACAAGATTCACAACAAAAACAAAATTTTTGAACCAAAAATATGTTACTATTCTTGACGTCAAGATTAAATTTTTATATAAACTTCAAATCAGATACCCCAAAACCAAACTTTTTTTTTATTAGTAATAGCAAATAACAATAAAAAATGCATTAGAGGATAACAAAGAACGATTAATTTTATACAACAAAACAGAAAAAATATGATTCTATGAAGGAGATTCAGATTTCTCGGTCATAATTAGGATTTAAACCGGGTCGTACCTCGACGAATTTCTTTTGATCCGGATCCGGTTTGGGTGGTTGAACACTCCGATAGGCTTCACAAATCCACTTGACGTCCACAAAGTCCCATGGATAATCCAATCGGAGACAGGGATGAACCGATTTTTCGAGATACTGCAGTGAATAAAGAACATCAACAAACGCCATGTTACAGTCCAGGATGTAGAACTCGAAGACCTTTCGATTCTTGATAAGCATGGCCATGACAGATGGACAGGTAAACGGCTTGATTCGGAATCGGCCACGGAAACAGTGCTAAAGGTTAAAACGGTATTAAAATCCCCCTTAATCGCACTTACAATCAGCCGGAACCAGTCATAATAAGAGCCTGCGTAGATGGAGTCCAAGTGACAGAATCGTGCGATGTGGATTATGAATTGCAAGACCTGCTCGGTGAATTGAATTTCTTCGACGGACCATGGGCATGGAAGAACAAGATTGTCCTCCGGCTCGCCAAAGAGTTGAGCTATATCCTTGAAAACCTTGCCACAAGTCACGAACTCCTCCGAGAGTGGGATTAGAACGGCGTCTTTGTGGGCCTTGTCCTCGCGGCTGAGAAAGAGACAAAAGTAGGTAAAACGACAAAAAAATTAAAAATTTTATGTCTAAAACAATAAAAACTTCACAGAATAGATATAAAAGGCATTAAAATGCAACGAAATCTTTCTTATAACCTTCTCTCAACTTCAAATTGAATGTAACGCAACAAATTACATGAACCTTACCTAAAACGGCATTCCAAGAAAATCTGAGATTTTTCTTTTTTCTGGCATGAAGGCGTGGATTGAAATACTGTGGCTTTTTCTGTGCCCTCCAACGCAATGGATGTCAGAAAAGGCGAGGGTGGCGGAACCACAGGTTCTTCCAACTCTTTGACCGGAGACCGTGGCGGAGATGGTCTCGACTCCGAAATTTCCATTCTTCGCAGTGCCTTTGGCGGAGTACGTGGCGGAGAAAGCAACGGCGATGATATCAAAGCGCTTTTCGATTCATTGGTTGTATTAGTGGATAAGGATCGAACCCTGTTAGATTTTTGCACTGTTTTGACTGGAGTTAATGGCGGAGAAGGTGGAAAGGGAACAAATGCCCCCTCTGAAAAAGACTGCTGCGTTTCGTCCAGTTTCCTTTTGTATTCGACATACCCCTGATATCCAGGGATTTTGTGTATCATCTGAAATCGAAAATTTTGAAAAAGAGTACCTAAAAGTCAAAACAATTATAAAAAAAGGTTAAAGGGAGCGTTACACCTCAATTTTAGACTAATGACAGCAACAAACAGAACTTAGAACGACTAAACGGGAATTCAAATAATTTCAACCTTCTTCGACCAAAACATTTTCGATCGAAAACAAAAGTGCGACAAAATTTTGTTGCCGAAGGAACAGTTGACGCGAATGCGTCTTGTGTTCCTCTGGCGCCTGGAAGTCCGTATTTTAGGGTTTGCTGTCTTGAAAAGTATATTGCAGATTGAAAAATATATTTCAAAATATAATTTATTGCTTTGAGTCATCCAAAAACAAAAAAAAACAAAAGATAGTCTCGATTCTTGATCCCTTACAAGCCTTGAGTCCTTCAAGTACGTGGTATGGACCGATGAAGAGTGATGGAATTCAAATGTGATGAATCCATATATTGGTCGATTTTGTTGGGCTTAACTACGAGCCTTAGTAGTCGATAAATGGTGTAATTTCGATACGATGGCACGCAAAGAATGACTGACAACGCGTTGAGGGCTGGTGTCAAGTGTAGAGAAGATATGCAAATATTTCCGAGGAAAAGTGAATTCAAGTTGATGATCGGGGCCAATGGCAACATTATACTCGGAATACAGAGGAGGAAAATCGGGTAGAGTGCCTGAAATTGGACAGCTTTCGGGTTGTTACAAACTTTTTTCGAATCTAAGTTTATACTTTTGCAGGATGAAGTAAACAGCTTCGAATCCGATTACGTGAATGGTAATGGAATCAAGTTTTTGATGCCTAAAGTTAGAAACTTTGAGTATTCGGAGATTTTGAAATAATTCATTTAGAAGACAAAACGGTGGTTCTAGTTTCGATTCCGATACCGTGTAAATCAATTTAATTTCTGTCAGCAAAACAATTAAAAGGGCAGCACTTTGTCGTAAAAAAGAGCAAAAATTGTAGTAGGACGTGAATTTGTAACTGTTTCGTTAAACTTCGATGTACGAAAAGTGCAACGGGAAGTTCGAGACGTTCGCAGTATTCGAAGTGTTGTATGTACATTACATTGATTATTGTAATGATAAATAACTATTATGTAGTTATTGTATTTGTAAACAATTTTTGCGCAACAAAAATTTTTTTCGTATCTTCAACCTCGCCCCAAGATACGAATCAAACTGAAAAAAATCAAAATTTTTGTGTCTTTCGATTCACAAAATGAAGATTCATCGCTTACTTGAAAGCTAGCGATTGCAGAATCTGCAAGCACAATTTTGGGTAAAATGTTGGCGACTTCATTGAAACCGCCAATTCTTTCCCACGAATTTGCATAAAGTCAAAGGACAAAGTCTTCATAAGATCAATTTCCCTATTCTCAGAAGTCGGTGTCTCGCGCTCCTCTAGTGAGCGGTTGTGTGTGTTTCTCGTGTTGGCCCAATAAATCGTCTACCTATTGTCTAAATCGTTTATATGGGGGCTCAGCCGGGAATCAATCATTCGAATTCCCAGCCAAGAACCTTCTTCAATTCCGCCAATTCGGATAATCGTTCTGTTCACCAATCCCGGTCTGACAATAACAGTTTCCCCAACCCAAGTCTAACTCCTTATTCTTGTGCCTTCTGTTCCCAGTCTCATGACTCTGCTAGCTGTCAGATTGTCCAAGATTTCGATTCTCGTCAACGGATTGTTCGTGAGAACAGACTTTGCCTTCTTTGTCTCCAACGTGGTCATATAGTTGCTCAGTGCTGTTATTCTCGATGCTCGAATTGTAGCGGTCGACATCATGTTTCTCTCTGTGGTAAATTGTTTCCTCCGAGCGAACCAAACGCCAATACCCATCCTGAAACCCCTGTGATTTCCGTGAACCCTACTCCGAATCCAGCACTCTCTCATTTCCCAAGGACAAACCCAGTTGAATCAGTTCTCCCAGAGATTCCAGTGAGAAGATTTCGGTCGAATGAACCCCAAGAAATAACGCAATTGCCTTCCCCTATCGTTTCATACCCTGCCGTTTCGTACCCTATCGTATCGCCCCTTATCGTATCGCAATCTATCGCATCACCTATCGTATCGTCTATCGTTTCGCACCCTATTGTATCGCATCCTATCGTATCGAAATCTATCGTCTCGCCTATCGTATCGTCTGTCGTCTCGTCTCCCATTTTATCGTCTCCTATCGTAAAAAAATCTTCCTCCATTCCCCAAGACTCCTCTCTGAATGTTCGAAATCCATCTGATCTCGTTATGGTTCCCCATGTTCGTCATCGTAAATGGTGTCGTAAGAAAATTGTGGATCGATGGCAGGTATTGCCGCTGGTCAATATTGGGTTCACGAATCTTCCTCAACCCGATTCCCCCTATGACAATTTATCCGAATCCCCGCACTCTTCCCCATCGCCCTCTGGATGTCATTTTCTACCGAACCAATTGCCGATGGAACAACGCACTCGATGCAAACTCAAATTCCTGGACTTAGAACCTTTACATGGACAACCCTTCGAAGATGAATATCCGGACTCCCTCATGACGTGCTCTTGCCCTGATGTACCCAATCCGAACCCGCCAGCCATAGAAGAACCCTATCGATGTGAACCCATGGTGAAGGAAAGAAGAGGAAAAGTGGGCATGTTGGCGACTTCATTGAAACCGCCAATTCTTTCCCACGAATTTGCATAAAGTCAAAGGACAAAGTCTTCATAAGATCAATTTCCCTATTCTCAGAAGTCGGTGTCTCGCGCTCCTCTAGTGAGCGGTTGTGTGTGTTTCTCGTGTTGGCCCAATAAATCGCCTACCTATTGTCTAAATCGTTTATATAAAATGTATGCCATAGGGTTAATCGTAATTTAAGATTTAGTTCTGAATTACCTGTAAAATAAAAATTTTGTTCATTTGCCGTTGCGCTCTTTTGGTTGCTTCAGTTAAGTGCGCTTCAAACCTGGCCAGGCAGTTTTTTGTTTTTACATAGTACACGGCCATAACCACATAACTGCCGGTAGTCATTAATATGCAGTTGAAAAAGTGGGGGATCAGCCATGTGTTCTTGGTCTGAAAACAAGCTATTCGTTATCTCAAAAAGTATTACATAACAAACCTGTTTGAGTACCCAATATGTTGTTATTTTTGGAATGTTTTTGGTTAAAGACTAATTAGGTTTTAACGGCGGCTCATGTATAAATTCGTGTTTGTGACTTTTTGCGATTGCTTTATGGTCCTTTTCTAATGGACCAATTTCGGGGGAGTGGTAGGACTCAGCTATACGCTTATTGTTGGAAAATGAAAGAGCGGTCAATTACAGACAAAACTGTCAATTCCAGTAAACGTTTAGTCAAATTGAGGCTGCAATACTCACCACATCCCCAACTACATATTTTCCTCCGGACTCCACACCCATGTCACTCAAGATCCGATCATACTCTTCGTTTGGACTTTGAAACGTGTACAGTAAAAGCAACGTGTGAGCTGCGTTGTAAACCGCAGCAAAGGCCAGCGGAACCACAATTGTAGAAATCGTGTGAGCCTTGGAAGAAGCGACTCGATATCGGTAGATGAATTGGATTGGCAAAATCATGACGGAGAGGTAGATGAAGAACGTCTGGATCATGAAGAAGAACCAGCTCGCTTCACGCGGCATCAGGGGGTTGGTCATGACCGGGATGAGCCGGGTCGAGGAGAAGACGATTGTCTGAAAGCAAATATTTACTGATTTTCATAAAGCCTTGATTTTGGGGATGTCCAGAAGGCATGAATTTCAAAAAAAAGGGAAAAATCGGGTTTGTACAGCTCTTGTGCAGATTGTGAAGATCGCCAGATCCCTCGGCTAAGCCTGTAAAACAAAAGCTAGCATTTTCAACACTCTATGCATGGCCATAGTCGATGAACCCAAACGTGTTCTCGGTTTCAGATTTTATCACTTGTTGATATTGCCCTGCTTTTCAACCTGAAGGTCCTACAGTTTTTGTCCTCTAGTGGAGTTTAACTGAAGCCTACATTTTTTATACAACCTGGATTAATTTTATTACACTCTGTTTGGTGAGCAACTACTGCAAAACTTTTTTTTTTGGAAATCATGACTTTGCGGGGATGACTTGGAGCAAAAGACGAAAGTTTAAATTACGAAAGAGCAAAACTAAAATTTTTTTTTGTATAGACATAATAAATCCGACAAAATCGTCAAAAATCCTTTATTCTTCTGAAGTCTCAAACTCACCGGGAAAGACATTAGGGTACTCAACGTATAAAACAAATCAATCGCGGCATTTGTAATCAACATTTTCCGATAAACTTTCACTCCTTGATCCTTAGTCCTGGTAATGACCAAAAATATGACATACAGCGGTAGAACAGCACCAAAGAAACAGTTGCCAAGTTCGAATACCAAATGCTCTTGCATGGCGCCGGTTATGCCAGCGGCGTTTGCTTGAGGCATTCTGCATGAAGGGCGGGTCACAAAAGCGAGCGCAAACTGCTGAGACAAAAGAGTATGACCGTTGCCGATGGGCTTTTATATGAAATTCTAACGGCAACATTTGGCTCTCAAAAATTATAGTTTAGTAGCATGATCCTCTGAGAAAAACTTTGGGGTATACACAAATTCATACGTAGGATTATCCGAAGGAAAAACTAATTTAATTCTTACTCAAATGTAATTTTCTTTCTTCATATTTTGATATAACTATGGTAATGTTTTCGGCTTAGTCAGTAGTTCCATCAAGTAGTGTCTTACTCAACAGTAAGCTTTCTTGGGCGGTCTAAGCGTTAGAATTGGAATGGTACCGAAAACACAAAAAATTGTCAAGTAAGAGAGCTTGGAATGCCCGAGAGGTAATTCCAATCTTTACTCTATGCAAATATAGGATATAAAGTTCAAATATGTTGAGTAATTTCCGCCATATTGTGACCTAAAATTTGTTCACATTTCCAGGAACTGGCTGCATAACGAGTTGTTTTTGAATTCATGAGTCAATCCAATCTAGCGAGTAATGTTTAGTCCACATCATATACGCTTGTATGTAGGTAAATGTACAACTTTTTTGTGGTTTATTTGTGTTTTCGAATTGCGTTACCAAATAGAAAATCGAATTATCTTCTTTAATACGTGGGTAGCGTTTGCTGCAAAGGCTGAGGATTGGAGTTTGAAAAGCCGGTGCAACTCGGAATCTTCTCCGAACTAAACAGGCTTAATGTAAATTTTCGATACGATGGAACGCAGAAGATGACGGATAAAGAGCTGAGAGCTGGAGTCATGTGGAGGGCTGACATGCAGAATCTGCCGAGAGCTATGGAGTTGTAATTGATAAGCGGAGCAATCGGCATGATCAGGCATGGCAAACAGATGAGGAATATTGGATAGAGCGCCTGAAGAGTTTACGTAAATAAATGCAAATATGGGCAGTCTTCCGTTGAATTTGAAAAGAAAAGTTCTGGAGTCACGCTAGATTTAGACACACTTGGAATGTGCAAATTTGGGCCGCATTCCAGGATTTTTAGCTCGCCGTGAATAAACGTAGCCAAGTTATTCAACGACAGGATGAGAAATAAGAAAAAATGTGGTCCCCTTATTTTGCGACGTCCTTCTTTATCTTTCTCCTACCTGCAACACCAGCACTCTCTTCATTTGTTTCTGGGCAATCTTTGTGGTCTCGCTCAAGTGATCTTCAAACCGCGTCAAGCACCTTTTGGTTTTCATGTAATACACATACATTGTAACATAACTTGCAGTAACCATTGCAATGCAATTAACAAAATGCGGGATAATCCATGAATTTCGCACCTAAGGTTTGATTATTCAAATGCTAAGGCTATTACTTACGACATCTCCGACGGTGTATTTCCGGCCGTTAGAATCCACATTTAAGTCCTTGAGAAGAATATCATATTCCTTACTAGGCCCTTGAAAAGTGTAGGGTAAAATTGCTGAATGAATCCCAAGGAAGATGACAATATAAAGCAATGGAGTAAGTACTGTATTAAATGAATGAGGTTGCGAAGAGGCGACTCGGTATCGGTAGACAAATTGAATTGGCAATATCATGACCGAGAGGTATATGAAGAAGACCTGGGCCATGAAGAAGGGCCAAAGCAATGCCCTTGGAAGGAATGGGTTGGTCATAACAGTAATCAACCGGGTTGTAGAGAAGGAAATTGACTAAAATAGTTAAAGCTCTTTGACTTATTGTCTATTTTAGCGTTTTTTTAGAACTCCAACAAAGCGTGTATTATCCGGTCAAAGATCTTTGTATTTTACAGCGTTAAACTTCAAAAATTCGCTATCATAAAAATCTACGCACTAAACTTAAACCCGCTGACGTTTAGCAATTACAACTCTTAAATTGGCCAATTCCGTAACCGGGGTGTGATAATATCACAATTTCTTTGCTTAAATTAACATACCGGCAACGACAGAATCGAAACCATCGAATACAAGAAGTCGATTAGCGCCTTGGTAGCCAGCATCTTACTGAACACTTTTACTCCTTGATCCCTTGTTTTTGCAATTGCCAAAAACATAACATAGAGGGTCAAAAGAACTCCAGATCCGCAGTTAAACAGCTCGAAAGCTATGTGTTCAGACATATTAAGCTAAGATGGAATGAACTGACTACAATTGCGAAAGTAATTTACACGGTATTATGAAGATTAGGGCTTTCATATTCTAATTCACTTGGTTAAACAAGGAAATAATTAGTGAAAATCGTATTAATGGCGTCATAAAGTCCGCTGAATTTTTCTTCGAACACGCCGCGGCGACTAGCGACATGCACTTTCACTCGAGCTCACTTCTATTTTCTCGCGCAACACCCGCGACAAATGTGTCGGGACGTCGAAACTTTATGATGCGAATAATACAAATGAGTCTAATCGTAAACAAGTCGTCTGTAACGAATTTATTTACCACGGCAGCATAAATGTAAAAAATGAAAAACACGAGCCTTTCTTTCAAAACAGAATACTCCGATACTTTGTGACCGTAAGGGTTGGTCATAATAGCGATAAGCCGAGTTGTGGAAAATACCAGGGTCTGAAAGCCTTTATAAGATAAATTAGGGATAAAAAAGATAATTACCATGGATTTGCCGCCTTCGAAGAAATCGTATGTATAATAGAAGGATGCACATAATCGACAGTGCTGCGACGTTTATGGACAACTTTTAAGAAGTTTAAACAAGAACCCAGCTATTCAAACCTTTAAAAAATTTAGTTAAAAATATTATAATCTCGTTAAACTTCCATTCGCCGCAATGCCTGGGACAGTTCGACAATTCCAGACGTCGACGTGACAATAAATGGCAATAAAATGTTGAATATTACTATGCATGAAGCCTCTACACCTTGTTCCTATTGTGGAGAAGATAGTATAGACCAAAATTTCAGGAACAAAGTTTAAAGGCGATTTTCGACTGCGGCAAGGACAAGCTGGAAGAAATGACAGCATGAACATGGAATCTGTTTCCCGGAAGAATATGGTCGACTTAAGTCACTGCACTTTAAATAAACTATTGATTTTTTGAAAGCCTTATTTCCTGATCGAATAAAATATTTAGTTTATTTATTTACAACGTAACCATGAATACTTTACTGATAATTTATCTATTGAAGTTCTTTCTTCACTTTTCGAACTATTTTTCGACATTTTTCTGCGCCATCTTCAGCAATCCTAGCTTCTTGAATGATAATCCGAGCGGGAACAAGCCGGAAAATGTATGGTTTCTGGATGAATTGACAAGTGTAAGAGAGCACGTTGCTACAGCTGATCTGCTCTTGGACTAGGCCACTGCGACAGTCCTCTTCTTCACTGAAAAGGGGTAATTGTAAACTTGTCTCTTGTTGAAGCTACAGGAAACTTTAAAAGAAGTAGATCTCAAAGGATTTCGCAGGCCTTGAAGGCCTTGCAAATAATGAAATAAAAGTCGTAAGGAATTTCTTACCTTGGAGACACCTGGAGTTTGTGGATCAGCCCATTAACTCTTGACCAATGATCAGCATCCTGTTTCTGAATACAATCTCCAAGACGGGCTGTCAGAAGGTCTGTCAACACCAGGTCCTTCCCATTCTTCCAAAGGTTGGCGGGGAACTTCAGTTTGAACTTTTCGGCCAACTCGCGAGCATCGCGCTTACAGACTGCAAGGCAAGTATAAGTACAACAAGAGATACTGACGGTTTTATACTTAAGGCAAGCACTTACCATTGTCAGGATAATCCTCTCTGAACCACAATTCCACTCGTTCGCGGCTAGACTGAGCTCTGACGAGCTGAACACTGTCTGGAACTGGGTTTGGCTGAACTTGTCGAGGTTGTTGAGATTCTGCCGGGAAGTTGGGCTGTGCCACTGGAGCTTGTGGGACTCCGGCAGCTTGAATTTGCTGTGGAAAGACGGGCTGTACTTGCTGAGCCTGCGGAAATCCTTGCGCTGGCTGCTGAACTTGTTGGCCTTGAGGGAATCCCTGTGGAGCCTGAGCAAAGTTCTGAGCTGGTTGTTGTGGCTGGGCAAATCCTTGTTGAACCTGCTGACCAGGTTGAGCAAATTGCTGTGCAAACTGTGGAGGCTGAGGAGGAGTAAAGCCAGGCTGGGAAGGCTGGAATCCACCAGGTTGTCCGAAAGCGGGCTGGCCGAATGGAGTTGGAGGCGCAAAAGTTGGGAACGTAAAAACTGGAGGAGGCGTAACTGGCTGCGCCGGAAATCCAGGCTGTGCAGCTGGGACCTGAGGAGTGGCAATATGCTGAGGTCGACCTCCAACAGTTGCCAAAGGCGCTGGAGCCTGGACTGGAGCGGGCGTAGCCACAGAGACTGTGGGAACGGCCTGGACGGGCTGATCAGCTCTATGCTTTTTGACCTGCTTCTCAATTTTTACAGGCTTTTCATCATTGGCTTCCTGGACTTCCACTGGTTCTTCCCATGGCAATTCTGGGTTCAGCTCAAATTTTGTGGCGGCAAATGATTTTTGAGCAGTTGAGGGGAGGATAGACGAGATTGAGAGGAGTATTACTAACCGCAGAATCATCTTAAAATCGAGTGCGGCCTAGAAACTAAAAGATAACGTAATCTAGATTATAGAGAACGATGCAGAACGCGGATAAATTAGTTGGAGACACGATCAGAAAGGAAAAACCTAAACGAAATTCTTGCTAATGTTTTGGATTTAAATTTGAATACAGTGGTAAAAGATTACGCGAAGAGCAAGCTAAATTCATGGAGCCGTATGTCACCAATCCATCACTTTTTATATACTTGTTCCCTACATAAACCATGAGCACAACGGCACCCCATCTGCATAATAATCCCACAAATCGTTGAGAAAACAAACTCCTTGGGATGAACAAGAGATCCAAGAGAATCGCCCCCTTCTTCTTTGCAGCCCCCAAAAAGAGGCAAACCTGATCAGCTACAGCGAACGCCGCTCGCTCGGAGGGAATCTTCTTCACGCCAGAAAAAAACCGCCGAGAAGTCAACGGAGATTGAGATTTTTCGAATCGGTCCCTCATGCCTCGATGAATGATTACGTCGACGTGCGGAGAGGGGATGCGGAATTAGGTAATATGCATGGTAAAAATGTCGAAAACGGGAACTTGCAGCGGAAGTAAGGTGAAATAAGGCCAATTAAAAATCTAGGGGAATAAACATGAGAAATATTTTAAAAAAGTCATCAAAGACAAATTAACCTTCAAATTATGAATTCTGAAGACAAAAACATCGACTTTAAAAGATCGTTGAATCACTGCGTTAAGATCGATGTTCGAAGATCAAAAAAAACGCCACTCTGAAAAGTGAAAACCAGCTTACAAAGAAACAATGGATATTCGAATTCACAGACTGTCGGAGAAATGGATGCCTGCTGGGCTGAAACTGTTTTATGGGAGCGTGGACTTGCAGGTTGGAGAGAATTTTTGAATATTTAAGGGTATTTTGAAACAAGACTTCTTAAAATTTTGCAAAAATATACTTCAATTGGGCCGTATACATTCCGAAAAAAATTCTTAAAAAGGCGCTTACATCTCGCTGGAACACCGATCTCTATACTATCACTGGCAAAAATACAATTTAACATTTGTACTGGAAATTGAACCCGTACTTTTACACTTCCCGTTTGGACAGTCATAGTGAAGGCCCACTTTACCAAGCATATCGAAAAAACAACACTAAGAACATACATACATACTACTTAGCAAGTAGCACGTCTCTGCAAAACAACCAACAACCAAACTCTCGATTCGAAAACATATCTGTCTGGTTAAAAAATGTGACATAGCCGTCGGCTAGTCAGTCGATAACGAAGAAGAAGAGAGCGAGAAATGTTGGACGGAAGAGATCGGATATATCCATTCTCAGCGTCGCGTTGACGGGGTGATTAATTGATTGGCGAGGGTGTTTGGATAAGAAGAAGATGAACGGGCTTCTGGAGGTAGCCAGTGGAGAGTCACATTGAGTTTGTTGGGTGACTCTTGAAGAGGCTCAATCGTACACATCCAAATCGAATGGAATGTTATAAATGGGGTAAACTGGATACGAGGTGGGATTAAAAAGAAGGTTGAGAAACATTTTAGAGATAAAGCCGTGTCAAAAATAAGGATGTAAGTTTTCAACAGCTGCAGAAGTTTAAATCAGGAAGCTAGAGCCATTATTAGCTCATGGGGAAAGTATCCTTGTCAGTATGCAAATCTTGACGAAACGGTAAGAGAACAAAGCCACTAAGGAGTATGTCAATTCTTGGCGCTTCGCAGAAGCAACAAAACATATAAATTGTCGCAGGAGCTTTATAAGACCATAGAAAATTTAAATTGACGTTTGCAATTGGAAATTAGAACATACAATGCAACTTTCTTTCATTAAAACTACAAAATGCGAAAGTGAAAGTAAACCCGATGGATTCAGAAAGCCTCGTAAGATTGTTCCGAACGATCCGTAAAGAGCTACAAAACGGCATTCAACGAGGGGCGCTTGTGTAAATCCGTCAAAAAAAGGAATAGAAAAAATCTGAAGAGGTTGGAAGAAGAGTTTAAACGGAGGTTGTTTTTCGATTTGACGGCGTAAAAAATAATTACGGGCGGCAAAAGTTTTGGTGGGTGAATGACTGTGTAAAAGATGGTAAAAAATCTAATCATAACTCATACATATGCAAAAAATAATTAATATATGTATGTGTGCATATATCATGTTTTGTTAAGATATTCTTAAACGCTTTTCAAATCGGCCTGCAACAAGTACAAATATAAGCTTTAAGTAATTTTTGAAGCTACTGTACCGATCTTGTTTTTACAACGACTCTTCTTACGTTCTACTGTGTAATTGCATAGAGTCCAGAGTACAATCCGCTTTTTCTAATCGTCATCAACGCTGCTGCAAGGTTTTTCTACACTAAATTTCCCACTATTGTTGCTGGAATGGTATTCCCAACAGATTGAAAAGGTCTTTGCAGCGTTTTTCAGACAAGACCTTGTTTTTTGTCGTAAGTTGAATATTTGTCTTGAAAATAAAGTAGAATGATTCTGGAGCGAAATGTTTGCCATAGCGAGCTTAAGGTTTAATTTGACAGTGTAAATTTTTCGTTTTTTTTCAAGCGGTTAAAGGGGTTTTTAAGGACCGAAATGTTGCCAATCTCTTCTTATAGTGGGGTTGCTGGGTTGCCTGTGTGAGTGGTAGTAGGGATTTTAGTTTAATTTCTTTGCTTTTCCTTTGGAGTGTGTAAATGAATTTTACACCAATTTGCTTATTGAAAATGTTTAAAGGCATGGGTCCCAATGGGTTCAAATTCTGTGATGACAAAACAATCGATGGGCCTCTGTTGGGTTGCGGTGACAATGTAGACAGACGCAAAAGAGTATAGAGGAAATTTTTTTGGATGTCCAATAAAATAAGGCCCTTAATTTCTTCAAAAATAGTACAAGTTCAAAAGCGAAGCATGGCACAGCGACTTCCATGTCCAATAACGTTTCAAAAGACATCCTTGTAACACTGTTGCTTCTAAATCTCTATTATCACATCTTTATTTGCCAGGGCTGTGAGCATCGCAAGACTGAGATTGTTTTTTAAGCTTAAAAGGTATTAATTATTCATGCGTAGATGTAGATATTGCGGTAAAGGCAGAAAACTTTTCTTGAATGACCGTTCTCAAAAGTGGTCATATGGAATTACAACGATATTTTAAACTTTGTAGCATGCAAAAAGTTTAAAACGCTACATTTCCCATATAAACCCTAATTATTACAGTATTTTTTATTGTAAGGTGTTTGAAGAGAAAATGCCATTTGCTTAAATTATGCATGCTTTACGACAAAATTTAAACTTTGTTTCTTTTGCTTCCAAAATTAGCTACTTTCCGCCTACATTTTTAATTGAAATCCATTAGTCATTACCGCATTTATCCATTACTTTCCGGAAACTTTCCAAACAATTCCGCACATCCATAAAGGCAAGAATTGGAAAAGCCATAAAAAGTGTTCCAAAAAATGAGCTGCCCAATTGGCTGTTGGGCATACTTACGATCGGCTTAATTGTTTTTCTTATTTTGTAATTTTTTCTTTGTGTTTTTCATAAACATGTGGGCTTGGTAGCTCTCTCTTTTGGTTGACCAATCTGTGGGCTTGGTAGCTCTCTCTTTTGGTTGACCAATCAGTTAGAAAACGAACATTCGTAATTTTGTTGCATTCAAATGCACTATTGGCGTAATGACTTCAAGTTTTTTCAGTTTCCGTTCGTATTCCACGTGAGTGATGTCTAAATAGGGAGCTAATATAAAGGAGAGTTTGACAGAAGCGTTCTAAAAAAGCTTTTAAATTTGCGATGCTATAACAGTGATTTGAAAAGGTTAAAGATGTGTTAATTACAGTATTTAAGATAATTCAAAAAAATTCGAGGTTAGATCAAAGAGCAAAAGCAAAGATGGTGTTATGTAATAAAGTAACTCTTTGGTGCGAGGCAGCATTGATACCGTAGACCATACTGGATCTCTGGACTTTAAACGGCGTTCTTTGAATCTTGCACTTCTATATATACGTTTGCACACGCAAAAAATACATATCTGCCCTCATCTTTTTTTTAAATTTCCCAGACGGCCCATAAAAGAACGTTGGGTGTTAATAAAACCCTACGGATCCTACCCACTAGGCGCAAGTGTAATAAATCTTTCTTATAACAGTTTTTAGACAGTAATCTAATTTTGAGCTCATTTAGAAAACGTACTTGACGAAGGGCTCTCTAAAAGGTGGCCAATTGAAGAAAGGCAGTTTAGTCAGTTGTATTTTTGAGCTGCCAATTCAAAGGATTATTGCCGTGCACAAGCGTGTATTTTTTCCGATGCGATTACAATACTGATGAAAATTTAGCACAAGAAATTATTTTTAGAAATAACGGCAATTCCCCCTGCTGATCACGGTTATTGAAAAAAATCTCATCAGGGATGACGTTAAATACATTTTCGGGCTTACAGAAGGCGTTGTTGAGAAATAAGCTGTTTCTTTTTTAAGCGGTAGTTTTTGAATGTTATGATCTTTATTTTGAAGCTAAAGAAATCTTTTGCCTAACGTCTCGTCGATTTTTTTTTTGAAATTTTCCTTACTTAATACGCATTTTATTCCGTTCCACTCTGTTTTAGTATGCAACTTGTTTCACGGATCGTCGGCAATGTGCTGTTTGGACATAATGAGCACGTTCCACATCTATTATGGTCAATAAAACAATTTTTTGGAACTTTGACTAAAGCGTCATAGACTTTTCCGGATAAGGAAATAAAATTTCAAACAAAGTTGAGAGCGCCAACGTATTATTAGTTCGATAATTCCGTAAAAATTATTGCGCCTAATGTTTACAGTTTTTGTCAAGAACCTAGTATGTTTCATTACCGCCATACGTATTTAGCCCTTGGTTTTTGTCAATTCAACTTCGACTTGGGTGGCCAAGAGTACGTGGTCTTATCTGGCAATACAACAAAAAAAACGGCTGTCGAGAACAAGATGGATAATTGCCGCGTATTTTAAGACACCTTAATGTTCGATAAATTACATATTGGTTGAACAAGATGTCCGGGAACGTAGGGTTGATGACTGGTGTTGAAATGTTTCGTTTTTACAGTAGCAGACGGATGCTAGAATTGGGAATTTTTAGGCAAGGTTATATGGAAAATGATGCTCAGGGTTTAGTGAAGATGAGCGCAAATTTAGGCTATTTTTTCAAGATATTCGCGAGGTTTCTGGCTCACGTGGTCCTATCAATTGCAGCAGAAAACAAAGGCGGATTTTGTCAATTTTCCCAATTCGTTTAGAATATCCTGGTCACTTGCGGATCCTACGGATTTTTGGGAATATTTCCTCCTCAAACATTTCAGAGAAACCCGAGATTTTTACTCTAGAAAATTGATGAAAACTTGACACTTGCTTATGAGTTTGTGAGTAAAAACTTTGAACCTTGTTTCTACCGGAGATGACAATATTTCTGCAAAAATTTTGGAGCATACTTTTTTGGGGTTAAAGACCACCGCTATTGTCTTGATAACGTGTTCATGAAAATTAGTTGTTAGATTACATATCCGATTTTTAGATTGAAGAATGAAATTAAATGTGTCCCAAGGTTTCTTCGACATCCTTACATCTCGTCCCGTCATGGAATCAGTAGGTTAATCATTCCATTGTTTCTTCGGCTTGTATTCCCGTAGCGCTTGTTTTGTGTAATCCGTTGCCAAATCGTATGTTTTGTTTCCAGATCTTTTCATAAGAGCTTCCGTTTTTTGTTATTTATCAAAGGAATGCTACTGAGAAAAATCATCAATTTTCAAAAAAATAATTTCGACATCTTTCTTTGGTCACTTTGTAGTGCCGCTAACCTGCTCGACAATGATCTTCTGCATAATGAAGCCTGTTTTAACGGACTATCCGAGAGGCGTACAAAAGCAGTTATAGACATAAATTAATTCCGTGAACATAGCTTCTAAGTATAACAAACAAAATTTTTGGTCTCTTGCAATTGCGTTTTTCTTCTGAATTGTTGCACTGCCCTGTTTACACCCCAGCTTTGCAGATCGTTTTCTAAGCTGGCAAAAAAGTGTAACAACTTTTTATTCACTTGTCGTTACACAGCTCCCAGATTGCAAATGTCGTACGGCATTCGGCTTCATTATTTTCTCATCGACTCACGATTTTGGATCTCGGAAAAATATAGAACGCAACATTTAGTTTGGCGTGCCACGAGGAGCGCGAAATGATCCTTGAATGTTGCCTTTACGTAGCCCTTTGATTACCGGTTCCGTGCCAAATATATCAAGATCCATTTCTGTAGAATTATATTACGCTTTATAACCGTATAAACGTCATTCTGAGTGAGTATAATGATGTACGTAGCAGCTACAATTACGGGTTGAGGAGGGAAAATTACGGAACTTTTGGAAGTTTTTTACTTTGAAAATTAGTGCATTTTAGAAATTGCAAAAAAATTGTAAAAAAGCACATGCTCTCCGGGCGTAATTATTTTCGTCTCTAGAGATGTGACGACTGCACTATTTTACATATACATGTCTTGTAATCTACCGTAGGTTACAAGTGAAGGAATTTGAAAGATAATTAGCATAATTATTATAACTTATCACGCTAGGTACAAAGGATGTATTATAATTATTCCGTCATTTTAATTTTTTTGTAGGCTAAGACTCAAAGAACGGGTTCTGCTTACTGTAACTGTGTCACTAATTATGCAAGTCTAAAATTATTGCAAGTAATCGTATATGTATATAAAGAATGAAAAGTAGATTTTGTGTTGACTTGTCAAATTTCTGAATTTCAAGCAAGCCGAAATATTCTTGAATCGATGTATATATTTACAACAGACACGCGCGACTTAAAAGTACCAATATTATATTTACATATAGTACAAATATTATATTACCCAAATACATATTATATGTAAATATAATACATGTACTTTGAGCACTATGCTTATTTCTGAATTGACTAGTCTGGCTATTGTTTCTTCTTTACGACTCTGTATTATCTTACATACTATACGAATTCAGAACACACTTTTTAATCTATAAAATTTTTTTATATTATTTCAAAATGAATTCCAATTTTCTGTCGTTCTCAGTTTACTGTATGTCATGCATTCATGTCAAGGACTTCCTCCGTTTTATTTTTTATTACATAGTTTTTTTAAGTGCCATCCGTGTTCTACTACACATTAATCAGGAACGCATAGAGACGTGTGTATTTTTTACAACACATGCCTTATAAAAACTACAAATGTCTCGTAAAGAGCAAGGTTCATCAAAGACAAATAATAGTAACTTACGCAGTCAAAAAGTTGCAATTGTCGTAGCGGAAATGGTAACTGCCAAGAAAGAGGAAAAAAATTACTGGTTGTATATTTAATAAATTGATTCTTTTACTGTCTAATTAGGAACATGAAATCTCCGAAAATTGAAGGAAACTGGTAATTACATTATCTGTAGTATGCTTATTAGCTCACATGGGCTGGAAATATAATATATCAAATAAAATATTTTTTTGAGGAAACGCTCGCCTAAAACTGTCGCTCTGTCTTTCCTCAGTTGCTTCATTATCAGTCTGTTGGGAAAATAACGGCGGATCGTGGTGCCCTGGAATCGCTCTGCGACTGAAAGCCGTGGCTGGGGATTTGGTGCGCGATAGCGGCGAGGCGAGGCATTTTACTGCGACAATCGCCGTTGTTTTCCCGGCAGACTGATAGTTTTAGTTAAAATTTCATAAAAAGACAGGTGACGTGGCCAACTTTAAGGTATGGCGGAAAAAAATCGTCATGCGGATAGTTTACAATTCTAAAACCGTTTCCGTTTCATTTTGCAAGCTCATACTTTGGTACCTTGGTTTTTCGAAAACGTACAGGTTTCTTGATGGCACTCAAATTTTACAACATGGATTTGAGAAAAAACTATTCGAACTGTCAACAACTCTTTGAATTGCAGACTGCAGTTCTACCACACACCTTGCGTATGAATCAAGTTTGGACGGGTTATTTAAACCTTCAGAATCAAGAAGGATTTTGCTGTATGAAGTATCATAGTAATGTCGGAGAATACTGTTGGTCTTGGTGGTCTCGAGAGCTCTTGCCGGTCTCGACCATATGCAAACCTTTCGAAAATGCATAATTCTCTCATATTCATCGTTCCTCAAATCCATCTGAACTGTAATAATTTAGCATTTAGCATTTGGGCCTTTAAACCCCCAACTATTCTAGAGTTGGATTTACAGCATCTTACACTGGTTCCGGCCACTTTCATTTATTCTTGGATCTAAAAATTGACTGACTGTAACAAACATCCGATTCGTGGCACGCCCCGTTCCAAAACGCCTTTATAAACGCCCCAATCTTTTTTATTGCTTCAAAAGTGTTGCGATGTGAACGACATTAAAATGTTGAAGTTTACATTTTTTTTACTACTCGGAGTTTCAGCCAAGTTTTTTTTGACGAGCTTGGAGGAGGTGGGAGTTGTGATGCTTCTGCTTTAAAATAAATTTCTTAGAAACCTCTGGTCAAACATACCATTAGTATTTTATTTCATAGATAGTATTGGTGATTAATGAATTTTGATTTTTAGCAACAGCTCTGTAATTTCTATCAGTCGTGTCGTTTTATATCGTCTATAAGATCCTTCTGTTATTATAATTTTTATTTTGCTTTCAGATGAAATTTCACTTAATATTTGAACTGGGTAATGCGGTGCTGGGTTTTCTCTCTTCATTGTACGTAATCTACCTGGCCTTATATTGCACCAGAAATCGGGATGTTCAAGTTTATCGAAAAATGCTAATACTCAATGCATTTATCGACCTGCTTTATGTCATCAGCACAACCATATCTGTACCGGTATGATCTTTGATTTTAACAACATTTCAGTTATAAAATATTTACATATACATATATGTTATAGAGTGACCTAATCAAAGTTGTTTCAGAACGTGGTTTTCGCCTCTGATATTCTTTTTATCCTCTGGGAGAACCCTTTCGTAACTCGTCGACCATTCGATGTGTTCGCTTGCATGATGATCCAAACTTATTTCATCTACTTTTCCGTTCTCATCCTACCAATCCAGTTTATTTATCGGTATAGCGTTGTTTCGTCAAACGGGTGCAAGTTCTCAACGATACTCAAGATTCTAGCGTGCTGTATCACGTATCTACTGGTCCATTGTTCCTTTCTTTCCTACACATATCAAGCACCAAACGCGGGGTACGATAAAATGCTGAGAGAAAAGGGAATCCCCGAAGAAGATTTGGTTTACGTCGCTGGAGACAAGGTAAGGAATTTTGAATATATTTTTTGTTGAGGAGACTTGAAGATAAACCACATGTCTTTGAAAAATGTAATCTTAATTGATGACCAGTTTCATCGTAACCCACCTGGAACATCTCGCTGATAAAATCCTTTACCTGCCTTAACCGACTTTTATTTTCCATTTCAGCACGCCAATTGGTGGCTGCTCCCTCACTTCGGCAGTTGCATGTTGATGGTGATTGTGAGCTATACGGCCATCATCATTGTCTACATAAAGACTCAGAAAGTTCTCCGCCGATTTGAGATCCACATGACTGCTTCAACTCGGCAAGCACAACGCCAAATGACCAGGATCATCCTTCTGCAAGCCTTCTATCCCATTATTCTGCTCTGCTTCCCCAGTTTCTTCTTTGCCTTTGCTCCCATTATCAATTTCAAATCGGATTATTTGGGGATCGTCTGTGTCATTAGCATCCATCTAACTCCGATTTTGAATTCAATGGCTGTCGTTTTGTGCGTTCCATCTTATCGACGGACAACTTGGCGATTCATTCTGTTAATATTTAATCGTGATGCGGCTAAAGTGTCTTCTACCGAGACTTCGAACATCAAGAGTCTGACGAGAACGGCAAAACGAGGAGGGGGATCGGTTCAAACGACCGGATAGACATAAATCATGGCGAAAAATGTTGAAAAGTCTCATCTTGACGCAATTTTCTCGATGATCGTTCATGATTTTCACAAATCTGTGTAGCAAACTTGTAAATATTCCAGATTTTACCATCATATCTCAAAATTTACTCTGTGTATCTCCTTGCACTTGAAAGAATCTCATCACGTATCAAAATTGAAAAAAATTGTCTGTAAGTTTTGAAACCGGCTCTGAAATTAATTTTGTTGCGACAACCGGTTCTTCAGTAAAAAAGTTGCCAATATTTTATAATTACTTAGTGCTTTTGGTCTTTCCATATTACCTATCATCATAAGACCTCTGTCTTCAAATGTTTTGTGTTTGCGATTTTTATCTGATCACAAAGCCACTCTTCTATTCCGATCTCCATTACGCACCGTATTCACACCATTTCTTATACAGCAATAACTGTCCAATATTACTATATAATAAACGTCTAAGGACTTTATCATGCCGTTATTACACAATGCCGATTTTTTACTAACGTATTCATTGTATATGGAGTCAACTTGCTGTAAAATTTGTAATCCATTTCATAATGACATTTGAATATTCATGAAATCTTTGCCAATGACTGTGTTTGAAACTGCGGAAGTTTCCCATGCAAAAAGATTTTATATGGCATTGGAAATGGAAAGATTTAAATTTACGTGTATACATACATGAGGAGAAGACATCACCGCTTTCTAAGAATTTGGAATTGACGTATGATAATTGAAGAACATTTGTCAAACTAGATTTTAAAATAGCGTTTATTATTGTTAAAAATAATTTGTAGTTAATGAACTACATTCGGCTTAATGATGACTTCCTTCTTCGTGACAGCAGCGAAACATCTGCGGAGGGGTTCACTAATTTGTAACCTTTAGAGATCAACCAGTTTGAAAAATTTTTGCGTGTGTTCGTTGCTTTGTCATGCCTAGGGTTTGAGTTTATATGGACTGATAGTGTCTAAAGAAGTACAGCCATGCCACGGATCAGTTACTCTTATAGTGCCCGACAATTAAAAGTGAAGTCTCGATTCTGAGCCCGACGCTGCCCTGAGGCACAAGCTGTTCCCTCAGGGCTCTTCGGTACTCTACGGCAATGCAGAGTGCAAATTTTCATACATGTGCACTTTAAACGCACTGTGCAACGGGCGCTTGAAAAATTTTTGGTCGACAATTAAAAGTGAAGTTTTTAATTTTTAGAATTACCTGAACCTGTGAGAGATCTGTTGGGATTGAAACTATTAAGAAACATAGTCAAGCTTACAATGAAGAGCCCTAGACACAATTTACGAAAATTGGCCGAGTTTTAGGGTACCATTGCCCGGCATCAAGACGCGGGGTTTGTGTGCCACAAAACGGGGCCTTTAGGCACTATTTGTCATAATACTGGTAATTTTATGATGCTGAATACATTTTCTGACAATGTTCGTCCAAATAATACTGCGAGGTTGTCAAATTTTCGTGCGCTTCAAAACGTTCTTGTTGATATGGCTAACAGCTAGGTGCCTATTTTGATTTATACCGTAGCAGGGACCAGTATCTCCCTTGGTTTGATAGTAGGATCGCGGTGGATAGACACCCTTCTAACCAAAAAACGTTACTTTTTAATGTTATCGCCCCTTTCAGAGACAAGAATAGCGAGTCACAACGGCTTCCTAAAGTTGCTGAAATTCACCTTCCATAACCGGGTTTAACGCTATGATTTGGGTTTCAATAACCTAAACACACTTCAAATGAGTGTTCAGGATATAAATTAGTCAAAAACGCCATCATAAGTTTCAATTTCGCTGCATCGAGTTATGCGAAAAATGCTTATATACCAAGTCAAGTCAAGTGTATCGGTAAAAACGGGATAAGTATGCACCTCCAACTAAACAACGCTGTTTCTAGCTGCAAAGAGAGTGACAGAAAAGTACAAGACAAAAGCAGCGCTGATTATGCATACATCGTTCGAAATTGCATCGATATTCTCCATGACTTGTACCGTTGTTGATAAGAACGCTTTGCAGCGCACCAAAATTTGACAAACTCGCAGTATTATTTGGACGAACATTGTCAGAAAATGTATTCAGCATCATAAAATTACCAGTATTATGACAAATAGTGCCTACGGGCCCCGTTTTGTGGCACACAAACCTCGCGTCTTGATGCCGGGCAATGGTACCCTAAAACTCGGCCAATTTTCGTAAATTGTGTCTAGGGCTCTTCACTGTAAGCTTGACTATGTTTCTTAATAGTTTCAATCCCAACAGATCTCTCACAGGTTCAGGTAATTCTAAAAATTAAAAACTTCACTTTTAATTGTCGCCCAAAAATTTTTCAAGCGCCCGTTGAACAGTGCGTTTAAAGTGCACATGTATGAAAATTTGCACTCTGCATTGCCGTAGAGTACCGAAGAGCCCTGAGGGAACAGCTTGTGCCTCAGGGCAGCGTCGGGCTCAGAATCGAGACTTCACTTTTAATTGTCGGGCACTATATATATATTATCAAATTTTCACCACTTTAAAGTCAACATTTTACTTGCATGCTTGCACAAGGTGGTCTTAACTTGCTCTCAATGATTTCTAAATGTCTCAATACAAACGAGACGCCATACTATAATATGAAAAGTGTGCTTTAACTTTTGAGGTAATGACACAAGCAATATTGGCAGTTCCAATATCTCTCTTGTCGCTTATTTTCCTGCGCATAGTATCTCTGAGATGGTGTCCGAGATCGACCTGAAAGAACTTTTATTTTTTTTCACCCAAAATCAAAATAAACAATGCTTTCAAACTCCTAATTTCAGGCGATGTCGCACAACCGTTTATCGAATTGTGTGGTATCTTAATTGGTCATTAATTTAATCGAAATGCCCTTTATTTCAGTTCCGCAAATATGATATCAGCTTGTCGTATCAATTCGTACATGTGAAACCTAGAATATCGAAAATATCTATTAAAAGCGAAAAGATCAAATAACATGAGGACGTAGAAAGTACCCCAATAATTAAGCGCCATTAATTTTCTAAAGTAGAGAACCTTGTTTTTTCCTCAAATTTTATTAACTTTTTGTCTTCGTAATTTTGTCTCCCTTTTAAAAACCATGATGACCATCAGAAAACGTACATTATATAAAGCCTTGTACTACAAACAATGTTGTAAAAATAATTCATTTTTAGATCGCAGAGCGTCTAGCCGCTATATTTTCTACAAAAAATTTTTTTTAAAGCTGCCTTTAACGCACATAAAGGATTTTGCCATAGACATAAAACGACGACGAATTGAACGTATTAAACTCATCACACTTTTCGGGTTTTTTACTTCCGATCTTTTCTTCCTTTTTCAATAATAATATCATCACGCTATGTTACGATATCTAGGATATGTCATTGTAATCTCAGCCATTACAATTACTACGCCTTATATCCGTTCTAATAAACTTTTTTTTGACATATAAAAAAGTTTTCTGAAATTATTAATCCTGTTTTCGTGGAAGTTTGTTTTATTCGAAGTTCATGTACATTTTTAAATGCAGTCCCGGTTTACACAGATATAAAAGTATGTTGCAAAGTATTCTTGCCAGGTCTTTGACCATTTTAGGCCCATTTTTATTAACTCACTTCCTGGTTTTGCATGACATTTATTTTTTTTTGTTCAACAGAATCAAATAATTCTATCCGTTATGGGTTCATTGGTGTGTCAACCGTCTAAGGATTTGCAAGAAGCCTTCAAATTATAATTACGAAGTAGCAACATTTTTGCCAAGGAAAAAAAAACAAAAAACGCGCTGTCCAAAAGTGTCAGGACTTTATGGCGCGACTAGTATTAAGATTTCTAATCTTTGGCTTTGCAAACTTTCAACGTCCCAGTGTAACCTTTCCGTTAATTCTTGACCTGTAATTAATAATGCAAGCATTCCAATTAGGGCGCCGAAATCGACGGTCTAGTACTGTAAAATTAGTTATGGACACAAATGTTACATGTTACATTTCCGTTACATTCCGTGTCTTTTTACATCGGATTGCCCCGAATTTTCAATTGTTCTTTACACTCCGCTTTTACGCAATTTCGAACTGTAAATTCCAGACATTCCATAGGTCGGACACATTCCTTGCTGAGGTAGTTTTAAACCAGAAGAATCTCTTTTATTGACAAATGAAACAATCTTTATTAGTTGTTATTCGCCTTGGGGGGACTGAACCATTCGTGGACAACGTTGTTTTTAAAATGCTTTAGAAAACCATTGCGAAATTTTAAAACGCCTTCCAATAAACGAGAGATAACCGTTACAAATAAGCGTATATTAGAGGTAATAGTGCATCTTGTGTGGCCACTTATTAATACCGGGTTTTACTATTCTTATAACCTTAATTGGTACATATGCCAAGGTCAAAGTATAAGTGCATGAATTTCTTGAGAAATACGACTATTTACCTATTCATAAAGCAGATATAACACTACAATTCTATCGTCCTACTTTTAGATGAAGTTCCATTCAATTTTTGTTTTGACCAATGCGGGCATGGGATTCCTATCGTCACTGTATGTGATTTTCTTGGCATTATGCAAAACGAGGAACCGGGAAGTTCACGTTTATCGAAAAATGCTGATTCTGAATGCAACAGTCGATCTATTGTATGTCATCGATACCGCTTTGTCAATACCGGTATGCTCAAAATTGAAACGAGAAAACGACGGTATCACTTTTTCAGAATGTTGTTTTTTCCTCAGGCGTCATTTTCATCCTATGGGAGAACCCGATCGTCCATCGCCGTTCATTCGATGTCTACACATGCCTTATGGTTCAGACCTTCTTCATCTACCTCTCGGTCCTCATTCTGCCTATTCAGTTCATCTATCGGTACAGTGTGATCTCTTCGAATGGGTACACCTTCTCCACGGTGCTCAAGGTTCTTGCCGGCTGTTTTGCTTACTTGACTATTCATTGTTCCTTTTTGTCCTATACATATCAATCACCCGCTCCCGTGTATGATGCCATTCTGAGAGGTCAAGGAGTTGCGGAGGAGGATTTGATCTACGTGGCGGGAGATAAGGTGAGTATTTTGAATACAGATTTCTAGCAGAAAGGACTAGTAAACTATTAGACAGACTGAAGAATTTTTTGATCTTATTGCCAAATTAAAATTTTGACTTCTTGCTCCAGTGCCAACGGAAATTGTTTCGCTTGATTCTCATGTTGAAAGCAATGGCATTCGTTTCTTAAACCGTATACCGGTGTATGCCATGTGTACCATTTAATTCCACTTTTTATGTCTGTGCTCGAACGTAGCCAGAGTTGCGTTTGTAGTCAACAAAAATATTTTTAGGAAATCATTTCCATTGAATTCAAAACACGCAAAGTTCTTCCACTTTTTTGATAAATTTGACGTGTTTCTAAATACAGTATACAACTATTTTAATTAGCTGAACAGTAAATAGCATCGCGGCAATTTGCTCGTCATTTGTAAGACATGTATTACCTAACATTCACTTTGGTTACTTTATAACAATCCTTCCTTCGCAACAAATTTAATAAGATTACGTTTTTTAGGATGCAAACTGGTGGTTAATTCCGCACTTTGGAAGTTGTATGCTGATGACCGTGGCAAGCTACACAACGATAATCGTAGTCTACATCAAGACACAAAAGGTCCTTCAACAATTTGAAGCTCATATGACCGTTTCAACTAGGCGGGCTCAGCGTCAAATGACCAGAATCATCCTTCTTCAAGCCTTTTATCCAGTAGTTCTTCTCTGTTTTCCCAGCTTCTTCATGGCGTTTGGGCCGTTGATTAATGTCAAGTCGGACTATCTAGGGATAGTCTGCGAAATCAGCGTTCATCTGATACCAATTTTGAATTCTATAGCAGTCGTATCCTGCATCCCATCGTATCGGCGGGTCACTTGGAGGATAATTCAAGTAATAATGCGTTGCAATGACGTAGCGCCGTTGGAAAATTCGAATATCCACAGTAGTACCAAGCCTACGAAACATATCTCGCAACTGAGTTGAGCAGCAATTCAAACCGCGTCTACAGCAAATATGTAATCGAAAATTTTAATTGTAATTTGTGCCAAGTATCTCTTCTGTCAAATTCGGGTGGAAGGTTGATTTTTAATACCGCCTCTCCTGTGATTGCAATTTGCTTATTGCATCGTTTACCTTGTGAAATAGACCGTCTTATAAACCATGCTGATCTCAAAGCAATAATGTATCATAATCATCGTAATCATCAAAATAATTTATTCAATATACATATGAACCTTTCGAATAAAACTTATATTTAATATTTTGTGTGCAACATAACGCAGCATTTCCTTCAAAGATCCAAGCCCCTTCCCAAGGTGCTAATAGCATGCCATATGCTATTTAAAGCTTATGTTTCCAGCAGCTCAAACAGCCGATGTCCTTTCAAGGAAAATACACAAAGCGAGTGGACAATGAGAGCGCCGGATGCGGGAAAAGAAAGCCGAACAAACATTTCAACGCCCCACCAACACATTCGCAATACAACATCCAATATGCGGTTGTTGAAGCCGAATTTCCCATAGGGCCATTCTGCGAAGGTCGAGTTTTGATGGGACGAAGATAATGGATCGGGGTCTACGGGGCGGTGTATGTAGAGCAATGTGTGAAAATATATATGTTTTCAGAGTCAATCGAAAAGATGTCTATTCAACTTAATTGTGGATGTTTTTGGGGCTTCTGACTATCCTGGTATGAAAATTGCTGAAATTTTGTGAGGGTAACACTACACAGTTTCATCAAAAAATATCTATTAATTCCTCTCTTGTCATCCCTTAGTTTCTCGTCTGAAACGATCGTTGAATATCCCTTATATCGTCGCCAGGTGTGAACTGAGATTTTCAGGAATTGAAATGTGGTTTAAGCAAATACTATTTTCAGAAACTGAAGAAACTCTGAGTGCGTCACTCCTCAATTTTTCACTTCGGAATTGTAAAAGGAAACCTCCCAAAATCCCACAACCTTGATGTTCCATAAACCCTCCAACAATCTATAATTTCCCCACATTTTTTTGCACTCCCATCCATAAAACGTGGGAGCGGCGTTGATTTACAGCCAAGGAAATCCGATCGACCGAATCTTCACACATCCCCCGCTTATCCCTTTTTTTCGCGCACTTTTCCTCCTTTTTCGTGCCGCTCTGAATAAATTACGTTAATTTAGACCTCTAATACCTCACCAATATCATTTTTGGACTCTAAATATTTTTAAAATTTGACAACGTAGGCTCAGAATACTGTAACCGGAAGTTAACGCAGTTTCGACGCGATTTTTTGCTCGATTTAGCAAAAAATATGGTGCCCATTGACTTCAAAAAACACTTTCCGGTGCTAAAAACATTTTTGAGCTTCTATTGCCCAAAGCGGAAAAACATTTGGACCAAAAGACGTTTGCACCGATAGATTTTCAACTTTTTTGAAGGCAATTTTTTGGGCAATTCAGCGGAAATTTTGGGGAAATCAAAGATTTTTTTGGGTTGAGTACCACCTAATGAAGATTTATGGGAACATAGATAGTAAAATACGACTTCTCTTCTTTTCGAAAAATCAAAAAATCCTCAAATTTTTTGCTTTTTTTCACAAGGTTTTTTTATTTTTATGATTTTTTTCATTCTTTTCCCCCTTTTCCACGCAAAAATTAGCATTTTTCGCACGCTCGCGGGGCCGAAAATAATTCGTGTCCATCCTTGTCCCCAAATTTGCACATTTTTCGGACCTTGACCAAGCCGAAAGGGCGAAGGGAGAAGCGCATCCAGGCGGAAATCCGACTCCTTACCTTTTAAAGGCCGGAGGCAAACGAATTTCTCTGCACACTATTATATTTGACGTCGCGAGAGTTGAATACCGAGACGTCTGCGCGTGAGGAAAAATTGCTGCTGTTTTGGTTGGAGGGCTGATCGCTCAAACATGGGTCATGGTATATACAGGTAGTTAGTTTTTATCGATAAAAGTGATCCGGAAAACGAAACTGAATGTAAATGATTTTTTCATTATTTAGTTTTTTTTTTCTCGAACTGACCAGTCGATTTTTTTTGCCATTTTTTGACAACTTCACAATCAATTCTCATCTTTCTTTCCTTGCCTTTTGATTCAAAAAGAAAAAGAAGAGAGGCTGGAGTGTGGCCGCGTGGCGCAATGGATAACGCGTCGGTCTACGGAACCGAAGATTGTAGGTTCGAATCCTGCCGTGGTCGAAATCATTTTTTCCTTTTTTCCGTCTTGATAGAAATTATTTTTTGCCATTTAAACCATATCCAATCAAAGTACTGTCTCAATTTTCCATTACAACGCACTTGAAATCCATTTTTACGTTCATAAAATCCATTTTTCGCACTTTTCCGTCGCATTACTTTACGTTCTGTCCCTCTTTTCCAAATCTGTTTGAAGAGCGCTCAAAATACATTTTTATACTCTCTGGGCCGCTTAATAAGTGCGAGCATATTAAAAAAGGATACTATGTGCCCAAAAATGGCTGTCGGCTGGGCGTGAAAAAGTGGATTTCATTTGGAATGGGGTCATATTATAGTAGACACGGCTGATACTAGCCTTTCATTCTGGGTGTCAATGGTGTAAATGGATTCAGAAAGCATTAATGTTCCCAAAAAATGAGTTGGAACCAGATTGGGATAGAAAAATCATGATTTTTTATGATTTTTGTACACCTGAGCAACACTTATCATTCCCGTCGGCTCTCGACTCGCATCCTGAAAATTGTCTCGCGGATCTGTAAAGCGCAGCTTCAAGACGAATTCGTCCGCTTCGTTTTTTTTATGTCTTCACGTGTCTTCTCGTTTGTCGTTTTTTCAAAAGGAAATCGGACTCGTTTTTTGCTCACTAAAGACATAATTTACTTTAAAAATAGGGCGGAAAGGCGTTTGGAAGATCATTATCATATTTCTCTTGGAATTCCTGGAGCGAATGGATCGGTTTGATCATGGGGCTCCGGGCCAGACATTGCGTCAGAATGATTGGCGAAGTGTAATACATGCTGGGTGTGTTTTGTTGTTTGTTTCGAGTTTTTGATTGAGATATGTCATAGAATTAACAAAAAAATTTAGGCATTTTCATAATTTTATATGCAGCTGCTCTCCGATTTCGGGCTCTAAAATTTGGAATGAAAATGCCAAAGGTCAGTACGGGGGCCTCCTTGAACCTGGGCACATCATATTTGGCGGACAAAAAATGTGGCACCTAAGCTTCAGTTTGATATAAATTTTATAGAAATTGGTGCATTATTGGCGGAGAAATACTTGAAATAAGGATGGAAGCTTCGGCTGAACCACCCTGTATTAAGACCTCCCAAATCGCCACAAATTATACTTTTTGGCAACAAAATATAAGCATATTTATTTTACCTTTTCCTCAATACTTTCGTTTCTTTCTGTTTTCCTAGACCACCTAAAACTCCCTGCTCGCCCTCCAAATTTAACAAATTGCGCCAAGGAATCCCTCAATTTTTCATTTTTTTCTCATCCCGAAAGAGCATCGAAAAAAGTCGGCTGAAAAAATAGAAAACACCGCGTGAGAGCGAAAAAATATTTATTTATTTTCTGTTTTTTGGAGTCTCATGGAAAAGAGAAAAGTCCCTCGTTATAAGCGAAAGAAGCGGGGGACTCGTGATTGACTCCGCGTCCCGAGTTTGTAGCCGTTTTTTTGCACCGTGCAATCGTCTAATTCATGGTTACTTTTGGAAAAATATTTTTTTGATGACTTTTGGGGAAGTTAAAAATGAAATGGACAAGATTATTATAATTATTTTTTATAGAATCCACACATTTTTTAGCATTTTGCTTTTGTTTTCTTGACACTTTTGTTCATGCGAGCTTTTCTTTTTTTGTATCATACACTCAATAGGTCTTAAAAATTAATTTTTGATTTACAAAGCTCATTTTCATAATCATGTTTTCTCCATTCCTCATAATTTTATTTTCCTTTCGCTCATAAACATTCGCAGAATTCTCCGAGGGATTCTGAAGAACTCCGAACCGAATCTTCAACAAACATATGCGGAATCTAAAATTAAAAAAAAATTGTTTTGAAAAAGAAATTTCGGGATTTTTTGATTTTTTTGGGCGAAAAATACGTAATTTTTGTTTAGAAAAAGTCTTTTGTCATAAAATTTTCAACCAACAAGCTCGTCGTAATGATATAAGAAAAAGTGTTAGCAAATATTGAAGACTCCAAAAATTTGTTCAATTTCCAATTCCAGAGTGATTTAGGAAAAAACTTTTGTTTACATTTTTGTTTCCTTTTTTATTGCAGTTGACGTTTTCTTGAGGAGCTTGTTCAAAAAGATTCTTATCATTTTTTTCAAAAAAAGTGACAAACCTAACAGCTGCAGCTGGAGACTAATAATAGGTAAAAAGGCTCCGAAAATTGAGGGCATGTGCTATAAATTGGTTTAGAATGGCTGTCGAGGAGCTTGCTTTTTTATTACATTTGGGATAATAGACTTGTTTTGCAAGCCATTTTTTGGTGAATTTGAAAACATTTCCCGTTGAAAATCGGCCTAAATTTTTTTATTTTTTTGTCATAAACCCACTTCATCATAAAATTTGCTCCGGAAAACAAAAATAAACCCAAAAACCCTAAAAAAGGTTGAAAAAACTTTCTTTGATTTCTCAAATGTCCCTCAAAACTACCCTTATTTTTTCTCGGGACTATTCTACTCCATAAACAAGGTCATTATTCAGTACAATCGTCCCTTTTTCTACAGTCCTCACTTCTTTTTTCCCATTCATTTCCCTCATTTACTGTTTATTTCTTGTCATTTGAGAGAGTGAGGACAAAGAACAATGAAAATTTCCTTCGACCCGTTCCGTTTCTGTTTTCCGTTCCTTTCCTTGAATTTGGAAGAGAGGGATGGGGCCATACCACAAGCTTAGACCACACGAGTTCCACGGGTAAATAAAAAAAATTGTTTTTTTTTGGAGGTCGTGTGATCCGAAATGGGTAATTCGAAAAAGTTTTAAATGTGTCTAGAAATGGTAAGGAAGGTCTCTTTTACTATTTGCATCTAAATTCAGCCTAGAATAGGACGAATAATGCCATAAATTTAGCAAAAATTATATGGCCTTCAGTTGATGGTCATGTATAATATAATTTGCAAAAAATAACCTTCCATTTATTAAATTACATCTAAGATGAGCTTATTACAAACTAGATTTGTTTCTTTTCCAGATTCGAACAGTTCGAAAGTATTGTCGCAGGCTCCCTATGAATATTCAACTGTTTACCACCGGAGGGTCAAGACGTTCAAAACATGTTTTTTGATTCAAAAAAGGCCAAGCAACGGGATTTGTTGATTGTATTCCGCGTAGAATTGATTATGGTGTAAGAATATGACTAAATTATTTGCTTGGAATATTTGAGACTGGAGGGAATTAAGATTTTTCGGTTAGCGCTATTTTCGCTGACATTATGCGTTTATTTTGCAAAAGTTTTTTGATCTTAGATTTGCCATTCCCGATAGAAAGTTGAATTTATAGACAAAATTTATGAGACCCATCAGAAGGAATGGCAATTATCCACTCAAAAAACCAAACCAAAGATCGAGTTTTGAGCAGTTTCCGACTTAAAAATATTGATGACTATAAAAAATATTGATGCAAGCACTAGCTAAAAATGTCTCATATGTCTTACAAAATTTTGCTCTAAATTTGAACCAATTTTTACCAAAATCCGTCAAAAATTTTTTTACTTTTCTTAATTTCCAATTTTTGATCAAAACCAATCAGAATTCAAATCCATTCAATTGAACTATCAAAATGTTGTGCTTTTCAGCTTGCGTTCTGTTCAAATTGCCCTTCAAAAAGAACATTTCCTACTCTTTATTGTTACTCTTTCTTTTCCGAACCAAACAATTTGTCAGCTGATCGGCGCTGAGCGCACCTTTTCATTTTTTTGCGGGAAAAGATGTTGTTCTTGGGTTCCGGATCCCTCTTTCCTCCCAAAATTGCTATTTTTTGTTGGCATTTCCTTATGACATTCAAAATTAGTCATTCGTGGCAATAATGGGCCTTCATTTTTCAGTCAAAGAATGACCTATTATAACATTTAAAAATTAGTGAACAAATATTTAAGACTCCAAACATTTATTCATTTTCCAATCCCAAAGTGATTCAGGAAAAAACTTTTGTTTACATTTTTGTTTCCTTTTTTATTGCAGTTGTCGTTTTCTTGAGGAGGGTTCCAAGAAGATTCTTATCAATTTTTTCAAGAAAAGTGACAAACCTAACAGCTGGAGACTAACAGCTAATAAACGGTAAAAAAGACTCCGAGAATTGAGGGCATGTGCTATAAATTGGGTTGGGGCTGGTTTGTTTATTACTGGCTTTATTTGATCATCTTGGATTCAAAAATGGCCGGAATGCGTATTTTTTAAAGTCATCTTCTGTTGTCTTTACTTCACATTGCTGTGGCATACATAAAGCCAAGGGATGTTCACTTTTTGATACCAAATTTAGCTCCCTATAATTCCTACTTTCATTTTGTTTAGCATGAAAATTGTTTTTCATCTCCTAAAGAATACATTTCCTAGTACTTTGTCATCTTTTTTACTGAATCTTACTTCCCAAATTGATCCTTGAATTTCCCATTTTTTCCTCAATTTCCAAGGTTCTCCAACTCTCCCCTATAAATTACAACCTCCACCTTTTCTAAACAAAAACTTTAGCCACCCCTTACCCCATGATTTCCCTTCCTTCCAGACGATTTAATTTGCTTTATCACAAACAGGAGCACCTGATTTTCGCCGAGGACCAAACGTTTTTACAAATAAAACATCCCCTAATCCTTCGTGTTTTTTTCGTTGGGTCGTTAATTTCTTTCACGTGAAAGAAGAAAAACGAAAACTTTTCGGAGGGTTTTACTGTCTTTGGCGGGGTTTATCAGTAATAAATTTGTCTTAATCTTATCAATACAAGTTGTTTTGAAGGGCGCCAAAGTGGCTGGCAGTTGGTTTGGAAAAATTTTAGTGTTTACTTTGTGGTCTCCAGGGGGTTTTACGTGTTTACGAGCATAATTGAAGTAGAAAAATTGGAAAATTAAAGAAAAAATATATTACTTGTGATATTTTTTGATGATTTAACATAATTTTGAGGGTTCCCAGGATTAGTACTGGATATTTTTCAAAATTTTGCCTACCAGAAATTAATAAAATCGCCTTTGTTTGACATTTTTAAGGCCAAGAATTATATTATCCACGGCAAATTTTGATCCAAAAAAGTAAAAAATTTACATTTTAATTGTCTTTTCTAAATTTAAATTTAATTTTTCCTTTTCTATAAATTCATAGTCGCTCTCCGTGTTTTTTAATCTAATTTTTCTCTAAAACCTCATAAATTATACTGTAGGTAAGCCATAACCGGTATAAAACCCGTGCCATACGGATTCAAGTGGCCTACAACACTTCCAATTACGTGTAATGGCGGCAGCTAGCGAGCCAATGCCAATACGGGCCAGCAGCACACAAAATGACGAAGGCCTTTCTCAGTCAGTGGAGAGTGCCTTGGAGGATTTGGAACTCAAATACACATCTCCACCGACGGATATTGAACCGGGAATTATGTTTGTGAGTTTGCAAAACCCTTTAATTGTGATACTGGAGTGATTTCAGTCGACTTTAAGGTAGAAAATGGGAATTTTTTAGTTATTTTAACCATTTACCATATAAAAATCATAAAATTTGACTCAAAATTTCCTTTTCAGCTGAGCTCCTCGCCTCCAAAAGGCGAATGCGTCAAGAAACTTCGAACCGTCGTCCTCTCCCATCACGACATTTCCGAGCTGGGCGACATGAATATGGTGGCTAGAATGCTGAAAAATGCCCGGGATCTGGACCTAAGCCACAATCAAATCAATGACTGGTCGGAAGTGGCGGCTCTCCTCAAAGTGCTGCCCAAGTTGAAAAGCCTGAGTCTGAGTTTCAATCCGTTGATGAGTCAGATCGATGAGAAATTCAAGGATCTTCAGCATGACTTGGAAGTGTTGGAGTTGAATGGAGTTAGCTTGGATTCGAGTGCTTTGAGGTGAGATCTGTCTTTATTGAACCAAAACTTTTATATTTTTTTCAGCGTGATCCTTCAAATTTTCCCGAAGCTCCGAGTTCTCCAACTCTGCTCCGTAGCCATAGATCACCATCTCAACACTCCCACTTCGTCCTCCACTACCTACCAAACAGAACAAGAGAACCAATCCCACCCTCTGCGGGACCTCTCCTTACATTCTTGCCAACTCGATTCGTGGGAGAAGGCGTTGAAGTTCACGGGGAAGTTCGAATATCTCGAGTTCTTGGATCTCGGCAATAACAAGATCTGTTATATCCGAGGAGATCCGAGCACAAATGAGCTGAAACGACTCAGGATTTTGTGTCTCAATGGCTGCCCGTTGAATGGTTGGGAGAGTTTGGAAGCCTTGGCCGAATTCCCCTCATTGGAAGACTTGAGAGTGTCGGAAGTTCCTTTTTTGGACAATTTGGAATGCGATTTGAAGCATCATCTATTGATCCCGAGGATCCCGAACTTGAAAGTGAGGAATAATTTCGATAAGAACTTCGGAAAACATTTTACACTAGCTATTAGCAACCATTTTTGATCTCTCTCTTATACAAGTAAAGTTGATTATATTTTTTAGGTCCTGAACGGCTCGGAGATCACTCCCAGATACCGGGAAGACTGTGAACGCGCCTTCATCCGCTACTACCAGACCCACAATGACAAGCCTCCGATCTACCAACGTCTCGTCGACTTGCACGGCAATCTTGAGCAGCTCGTTTTCGTCGATTTCACTCCTCAAGAAACGGTCAAAACTCGGCTGAAGTGTCCGGAAGTCAATCGAAGTTTCTGCATTCGTCATCGTCTCCACATTACCGTCTCTCAATTTCTAAAGGCGATTTCCAAGGCCACGGATATTCCGTTGAATCGACTGAGAGTTCTGCATGTCACTCCTCAGTATCCCACAAGATCTCCGGATGAATTGAGACCGTCAAGTCAGTTCTTGCACACGCTGAGGATTGAGGACAACGACGAGTTCCATGTCTTTGTAAGTTGAGGAATTCATCTTGAAGGTCAGGATAGATAGTCTTTAAATTTCCTTTGTAACATACCTAGTAATCCCTTCAATTTTCAGACCAAGATCGTACCTCCACGCCCGTCGCAAAGGACCTCCGAGTCCCGTCCCTAATGTACAAATACTCCCAGTTATCTTTCTCTTTACAACTGTATATAATCTCTTCCTTCTCCAATCTACATCTCAAATCGCATATATCTTTAAAAGATACGGTAGACGTTGATCCAGTGATAGTTCCCGAGTAGATTTACTTTTTTCGGTTATTCTTTTTCTCCATGTTGTTCCGTGACGTGTTGTATATACAAATATATCCCATCTAGGTGGTGTTTTAGATGCTCTAAATGTTGTGTCGCAATAAATGATAACTCAGTTATTGGAACTTGACAGTTTTATTATACGTATATAAAGTTGCAAGATTCAAGAAGCCATAATTTCAATGTGATGACTCTCATGTTTCAAGTCATAAATAACAACTGTGTCCAAAAAGTCCTGGCGATAGATACCATTTGTTACGGAAGATCCTGTAGGCGAGCACCGGCTCAGATCTTTCCTCGGCCAAAAAGATTCCGGACAATTTGAAACGATCAAATCCACCGGGAAGGTAGGCCATCGCGCGACGAGCCAAATCCTATGTATTGTACACGAAAGAAGACAATAAAAGCTAAATTACCTCATCTTCTTTTATAGGAACAGGAACAAAACCGTCTTCTGTGTCGGCGAGACCGAGACGTACGGCAAGAACAAGGAAGAAGATTGCGAAAATCTTAAAAGACATCTTAAAATGAATAAAACAAGATAAAGTTTCGAATTTTATATTGCATTTTTTAATTAAAAAAATAATCAATGTACGTATGTTAAGTTGTCATTTTAATGCTCGCATATATCACATAATTTGTTATTGACTTTTTTGAAAATAATTGTGAAAGATAGACTTTAGTTTTGTTTGATTAATGGTACAATTTCGGACATGACTATTTGGCAAAAAACGCCTCTAAATACACCTATACGTAATAAATATTAACGTCGTTTTGCCTCCTTTCTCTGACCAAAAAAATTGCTTCTTACAGTGACATGAACAAAGGACAAACATGAAGGTCATTCCAATTGTCCAGAAACGACTTTTGTACAGCTCGAACTAAAAATGGTGTTCTTCGTACCAGAGAACTCCTCCGATATTAAATTTTGCAAGCCTTGTTCAAAACGTACAAGCATATCTTATATTTATTTTCAAGGTGTCATATGCGAATGTAAGAAGCAGGTGCCTTTTTTATGAAACATTCAATCGAACTTTGTGACTCCTCTTGGGTTGATGAAAATGTCGTCGTGAAGCGGGATGCCCACCTTTGAGTGGGGCTTTATGATCAGAGCGTCAATGTCCAGAGAGTATTCCGTACCTGCGACAATACGCCTTGTGGCTTTTGTAACCTTCACAAATCCGACCATTTTATTGTGCTCTTTTGCATATTGCGCTACGCCGTCTTTTGCGAGTTTCTGAAAAAACGTTGGGATTAAAAATTATAAGCGACGTTTTGATATGCGTTTGGTTGATATAGCAAACTATCTCTAATACTGTGTTGTTGCTGTTTTAAACTGCTTAGCTTACCTGTACATTTGGATCGTTTTCTAAGTCCGGAGGAGGCATAGCCTTCCCCGAAGAAACAACCGCCAAAATAGTGCAAGCCGCAACCAAACAGAGCTTCAGCATCTTGATCACTATGAGCAGACAACAGGCTGACGGAATATAAAAGCTGCTCCGTATGATAATTTATAGATTAGATGGAGATGATTAAATCAGTGATTGAATAATTTACGTTTAATTTTGGAAAACCACTATTTGATTACTGAGTGACAAATATCGCTGACGATGTATGTATGTATATTTCTATAACCTTGTTTGTGGAAGCAAAGATAAAATCAATGATTCGATGCTTCGGAATCTCACAAGCGCCGATTTTAGTGCCGTTGTTTATTCTTATTATTTAGTTATACGACGTTAATATTCTCAACTATGGACGATTTTATGCGTAGTCTTTCCATTCTCGATATGGACGTAATTGAAAAACAGCTGAGAATGAGGGTGGTTATCCTTGACTAACACATAAAGCTCCAAGTTGTAGTTCACTCTTTTGACAACTTGTACTTTTGCATGCAAAATAATCAGCACGCCCACATTATGATTTTTATTCCTCTGGTTATTTAGAGCTTACTTAGTCTTGGAGAAAACAGTAGCGATTGAAAATGATGGGCAGGAAATCAGAATAACTCCCTCTCTACAACCATTGGGGCACTGGAACATTTTGGCGGCCTTCAGACCCGGCCAAGACTGAATGCAGGCTAAGGAAAGGAGTTACAATCGCACCGGCTTTAACATATTTTGAAATGATATTAGATGAATCTTCACAATGCGTTTATCTTTTTGATGAGTTATAATTATTACGAAAAACTTTTTAAAGTAAAATATGTATGCTAATGATAAAAATGTTAGAGTCACTTTTATAAGCAATTTCAACATTTTTTATGGGTATGTAAGGCATTGAATTGCGGTCAATGTGGTCAGAAATACAGAATTATTTATTACATCTATGAAAGAAAATGTTGCTTGATCATGATTATTAGTGCAATGTGTGGATGCTGCAATACTGTGCATTTTGCTTCTCCAGAATCAACCTGACGTATTGCGTTTTCAGAATAATTGAGATAAGAAAAGCCCACGTCAACGATGATTCCAAGGACAGCGGATTAAGAAAACGATATAAAAACTAAATCCTTCGAATTTCGTATTTCCATCCAATTCCGTTGTAAGAAACTCGCGCCCGTTTAAGGTGGCCATAGCAACCTTATGTCCGAAAAAAGCCAGAGGGCATTTTTAAACCCCCCCTTCCACTAGATTAGCCTTGTTTCTACTACTCGCTATTGCAATTACGGAATTATAAAAGCAATGTAAAGAATGTGGATGATAATTCAGTGGTTGCTTTTCGTAGCTAGTCTGTGTGGAAGTGTAACGAGTCAAAATGGAAATACGACTAAAACTGATGCGGAGGACAAATATAAAGAATATTTGGTGGATTGTGGTGAGTTACCAACTGCTCGATAGATAAAAATTCGCTTTTAAATTTGAAAATGTTTCCATGAATTACTTTTGAGCCTGTTCAAGAAATTCACGATGACTTTAGCTCCCGCTTTGCCAACAAATCGGCATTTTGAGTCGAAAAAAGTCAAGAATCATAAAAATTCAGAATTTTTTTACTGATATTCACTACTCATTTCCAAAAACCGCAATTTTTTGTATCAAACTTGACCGTATGCAGAGCCGCTAAGCAAATTAAACAAAACAAAAAAATTTTGACAATCACTTGCTGAGCTCTCACCAATTTACTTTTACCAATTTTACGGCCAACTTCTCCAAAGAGCAGATAGAGGAAAAAGAGAATGTAATAAAAACGGAACCCATCCTCATTTTTCAGTTATTGCCATCCAGAACGTCTCCCAAAATGAACTGGAAGTGTTGTCGACGGAGCTGGCCAAAGTATTCTGCTTTACGATCGAGAAGTCGCAGCTACAAAGACTTGAAGGCGAGAAGCGAAGCGGTCTGGCATTTACGCCGGATGGGATGGTTAATGACACCGATTGCGATGTTCAGGTGAGCTTTTTAAGGAAGGAGGAACTGCTCAAGGCAAGATGCCACATTTTAAGATTTGGTCTTCACAATCTATAGGGATCTCTTCTCAATTTCTAAAAGTTTTAGCCGGTGTTTTTGAGTCTTTTCCAAAAATATTCAACGATATTTTTAAAGAAAAAACATGACAAAAAAGGAGAAGTAGAAAATGGCCACCGTTTTTTTGCAGAAGTTGCGATGAAAATCTCTGGAGAATAGTTGAAATTCACGCTCATAAATCATATTCTCCATTGACTTCACTTTTTCTTTTTTTTGACAATGCTTCTTGCAGATTGCTACGGCCGCGATCAATCAAGACCATATCATAGCGCGTTTTGTTTTATCCTACAAAGATACGCTGGTAAAAGCACGGGTAAGTTGAAAAAGAAAGCCGGCGAATTTTGATGACATAAAGAGGTGTGTCCTTTTAGGTAGCCGTAGAAGAGATTTCCCAATTTACATTGTCTCATCTATCAGCATTAACTGGGCTGCCGATCGTCTCAATAAAACCCACAAATCCCGACCAATTTGTGATTCCATGGTGGATTGTTTGTAAGTTGTCATTATAGCTTATCAGTTAAAAATCTTTTAGTAACAATAATTGGAAGTTGTTTGTTGATTGGTTTCTTGGGATGGATATGTATGTTCATATATTATAATACATGCGGCTCACCAATTGTTGTGAGGAAATCAAGCAACACGGGAGATGTGGAGAGTTTGCCGAAGAACGATTACGTTGAAACAAACTATGCCGACGATCAACGGTTAAAAGAAATGTGAGAAACTTTTTGAAATTGGAGGAAAAACTTTACATAAAAAACGTTTTGTCACTAACTACAAAATGGACATCTTAAGCTTGATATTAATATTTCAGACCACCACTAGAACTCCCCAACCCCAAAGCAGACGATGAGAATCCATTCCAGGACAGTATTTTTGAAGTCAATTGTAAGTTTCAAGATCACAAAGATCACACATATGTGTGTTCTAGCCAATGATTTCCAATTGAAAACGGAAAAACCTTCAAGTCCATCTGTAATTCCGCTCTTCGGAAGTAAAGACACGTTAGAATCTGGAAGGGAAAAGGTCAAACCTCAGGAAGTTCCGGAAGCCACGGAGAAGGAAATCCCAAACGAAACGTCAGAAGTTGCTCCATTGGAAAATATCGACGGGTTACCAACAGATCCTCCGGCTAAAAAAGAATCTACCGATACAAAACCACCCGTCAAATTGCCAGAAAAATGGTCGCCGTATTATGCGGCGGAGTTTGTCGAACAGCTCAAGGTCACTGTAAGTCATCATTTGTCAATTTCGTTCTGAGTTCTTTGTGTAATTCTAGGTTGTGGTATAATTAAAAATTTCAGGAGCCTAACAGATACGACGGATCTCGGAGAACGCATCCTCAGCCAAGTATACAGACAGATCTTGACAATATAGATGTTGCTTAGAATAAAATTTATTTTGTATTCGTTTAGCCTTGTTTTTAGAGTCATATATCGTCCGATAGTCGCTAACGGTCAAGTGAAATGGCTATGAGGTACACGCGCCATAAACAAAGCAGTAAAATACATTTTTGTTGTATAAAGCCTGCATGGAAGTTCAAACTGTAAACTAAGGATAGTTAGGCAACTGAAAGGTATCCAAGTATAGTCAAAAGTTGTTGCAAGATATGCGAATGTCTCCATCTTGTCGCCCATTTATCATCTTTCGAATATTTATGTTATCATCCAACTCAAAACAAACATTCTCTGAATCGCATTGAACCCGGTCCCATCAATCACATCATTTCAGTTCAACTGATACAAGTATTAATAATAATACGATGGGAAATGGGTCGGAAATGAAGCATGACCACCCCAACATCATCCCGAAACTTTATTTCCATTTGACATGCATTTCCTGAACTTGTAATAACCGGCGGTTATAAAAAGAGACACGTCAGTTTTGTGATGTTTCCCGTATGACTCGCAGAGATGGATAGAAATCTCGGTACAAAAATTGTCTGGGATACGAGATGTCTCTGCACTTGTAGCAGCTGGTGATGACGCCGAAATGATGTGGAGATTGACTACGGTTTCGTTTTTTGTAGTACGCATCTCACAGCGTGGTGATTGAAGACCAGAGATTTACAAGGAAGTATATAAGCGAGAAATAGGTGGAATCTTTCTCTGTAGATGCGAAAAATTCATAAGACGATTTCCCGTCTGTTCAAATGTCATCACTTTTCATGATATCTCGAAAAATATCTCTTGACAGTAGCGCAAAGACTTCACAAGTTAAATTCTTTACAAATTAATATGTGACGAGCACTACATGCTTGTAGAATTTTAAATCTGAGCACATCATCCTGAACACTTCCCTTGCAAAACAATATCCTGGATTGCGGTTTCAGAAACTGTTAAGATTTTGGGCGGAAGTTGACGGTAAATCCTCTTGTTTGCTATTTTTTGGAAGTAACTTACCTTGCCCATTTGCATTTCTGGAAGCCTTTCTTATATACCGTTTTTTCAATATTGATTCCGACTTGCGCTTCGCGTATTTTTTGCTATAGATAAAACCACGATGACCAATGTATGCGCAAAGTGAATGACTTGGCTTATTATTTGTTTTGTCAGCATTGTCATAGGCGTCATAACAATGCCCAAATACCACTCGCTATGTCATAATATCCTTATTTTGATGGATGGCTGAGACGTTTTCAATTTTTAGATCTATGGCATTTACTTTGTATTTCCGGGAGACCGTCACAAATTTAGAAACTGAAATGATTTCAGTCTCATAAACAAGGACATGTCGCAAATCTTGAATTGTGTGTCGTTTACCGGAAATACAATGGAACGAAAATTAAGCGGGTATTCTCCGAATCGTACGGTAACTACAGATTTAAAATTTGGACCGTTTTTTCGGGTTTCGTAGCGGGGGAAAATGGCGCTGCACGTCAATCCAGTGCCATTGAAGCTGACCAATATTTAATCAGTGTGGCTTCTCGTCACAAATGTAATGTTCATACCGCAAAACAATCAAGTTATAATTTCGTTCTCTTATAGGCCAATTAACACAACGGCATAATCTTCTAGCGTATTAGCAAAGCGTTTCCATTGCACCACATATTGTATGTATTATGTACGCAAATATAATGTAATTTTTAAATTTTAAAAACGATTAACTTTTGCCAATTTCTGCTCGATAATTCTGGAAATACGTATCTTTTTCTATACGAAATATTTTCTGGATGCTCACGTTCTGACCCTTCTAATCTGGTCGTTCCAAAATTTGCAATTAGCATTTCCCTTTCAAGATCATTTTTCACAAATTCCTGAGGGTTTTCGGGTAAAGATTACTCTATTTTTTATCGTAAATTCTCTTGAAGAAATTAAAAATAAAATTGTAATTGGAGTTGCTGACTACTCGAACGTCTAATGGACGTCAGAATTCCCATGATTTTGCGGTTGTAACCCAATTTTTAAAGCTAATTTGTAGCCTTTTTCCGGCATAAATTTGGATGTGTAATATATTGGATTTATAGGGAACACGATGACATTGGTGGACTACAATTTACATGTTTACTAGTTTTTTTGTTTCTTGTAACAGGTGCTTGCAATCCGTCAACTTGACGTAACTTTTTTGTATCTTGTTTGGGGGTTTTGCAAATTGTAAAGGTTCGTTATATTCAGTGTTTAAGGGCAACAAAAGAACAATAGCCTGGGGGAAATTGGACTCTGACAATTGTGGCCTCTTTTGAATTGTACTCTGTGCAGTTAGGCTACAGGTCTTTTGGGAAGGGCAATCATGAGACATGGGATTCCATCATAGGTAAATAACATGCTAGATTCGGCCATTTAACTCTTCAAAAAATTAGTTCATCAGCATCCCAAATACTGAAATTTTCAAGCAAAAAGGCCAAGACTTATGAAAAAATTGCCATTTTGTACAAAATATATGTGTATTTGTTGTGATTTTTCGCTCTGTATGGCCTTTTAGCGTTACACGTGCAATTACTGCCCTCTCATATAATCCAACACAGTTCACACAATAATCCCCTCCCTACACGTCTTGGTAACACGTACACTGACTGAACTTTTAAAGCAAATCCTGAACCAACGTTTGTTGATCTCTACATTCTTTACGTGGTCGTTAACAACTGACATTTCGGATGTGTCTAGGCGGTGAAATCAATGCTAAACACCGGCTGCTGTTGCAAACGGCTTTCAAAGAAAATTTGGTAGAGCCAACGCCGCTCGCTTGCTGATTATCGACTTTCTATGCGACGTCTATTCATTGCGCGACATATATGAAAAGAATTAGTCATACTAATGGAAGTTCAAAGCACTGAAAATTGATCCCTTCCGAACTTTAGTTTGTTAACAATGTACGAATTATTATATCATTTGGGTGTCAAATTGACGCAACCCACGAATTGTGAGTGTAATAAACGTCAATTTACTTCCAAATTTGGAAGTTGATACTTTCAAATTCTTTATATGTAATAAATTTATTTTCCTGTCCTTTTTTGGAAGAATCTAATAGCGCCTGAGGTCCTAAAAATTGTAATACGCCACTCATATTATCTAAAAAACTGTTGTTGGCATTCCTACACCCTAAAAATACATATTATACTTTATGAATTAGGTTATATGGTTTCGATTATGATGAAAATTTCAAGTGAAAATGACGCAATAAGTCAATGATGGTTACTGCATCTTTTTTTGGGTATAAGAAGCCACGTTTTACCATTCTTGGAAGTGGGACGAAGCCAAGTGAAACTATACGTTCCTTTGGTATAAAGTTTACGTAAACGACATTTAGAGCGAAATATATAGCAAAAGAAACGTAGGCTTAGAACTTGGAGTCATTTTGCGAGGATTAAAGGGCAGAACCGTAACTGTGGCACAGTAATTAGAAGCAGATGCAATGCGGATCCAAGCGAAATGTGGCTCAACAACTAGTTAAATTGTGGGTTGCTAGATTTTGAACCTAAAGAGACGCAGTGATCCGATTTTTTTCAACTTTTGCATAAACGGTCTATAGATAATGCTGTTCAAATCCTAGGAACTTTAGCTCATATTTTGTTTATTTCTTTCTTCAGTCAAGCTATTTTATAATAAACCAAAAAATGACTAAAAATTTCCATTTTAAAAACGTCAAAGACTTCCGTTTTATTTACAAAAAAAGGCTTATTTAATTATGGCGCAAATGAAGTGGAGTTGCCTATTTTAAGTGCCCTTGTGAGCTTTCAGGTGTAAAGTATATTTAACCTTCCGTTTCCAATTCAAGAATGGACTACAATGTTGTTGTATTCCATTTATTTTTAGGTCCTGATAAACCACAATTGTGTTTTTGATGGAAACATGGGTCTGTTTTGAACTTTAGGAAGTTCTGGAGATGACAGGTGACAAACGTGTAAAATTTTGTTTGTTTAGGCTGTATATCAACGCCTAAAAGGGTCGACTCCCCTTTTCCAGATACTTCGAGATATTTATCGAGCTATGCTATAGAAAGCCTGTTGAAAATTGAGAAATTAAGCCATCAGTTTTGTACTTATTTGTTGAACTTTTAGGACAAATTAAGTTCAGAACTTTGCTGATGCCCATATGTATTTACATTGCTAAAAATATTTTTTTCGTCATTTTTTGTGTTCTTGAACATATATTTATAACAATGACATCACCAAACGAACAGTTGCTCTGCCATAATCAGAATCTTGGCTCAAAGTAAATATACATGAATGTCTTGAATCCGGCGCAAACTACGTTGTTTCGAATGCAATTTAAGCCCTGTACAAATATTTGATTACGGTGGTTCAAACATCTTGTAGATTGGGTGACACGAGGTTGATCTTTATAATCGAATTTTTCGTATATGATACGATTAGAGGTTTCTTCTTGCTAGGCGGTTCCGTTTAAAATGTCACGTAGAACTAATTTGATTTCAATTCTTGGCACTTAGAACTCGCAAAGATAAGGCTGAAAATCGTTTTGTATCCTATCCCCCTCGTTTCAAATGCTCTTTCTGCAACAGATTCGTGACATTTCGTCCCTCGCAATCGTTATTCCTAACATATCGGAAGTAAATTTTTTAGGAATGTACATATAACATATATAGTATATCGTATCTGGAATATTAGACGGCCTAGATATCCAAGATCCGATTTACACTTGAAAGTCGAGTGTTTCATACGGTTTTGCCATAATCTGAGTTGAATAGACACTTTGGCAAAGTCCATTGACTCTTCAATAACACGAAGATTTTGCGGTTTACTGACTAGATTAAAATGCAAAACTTTAGACTCTGATTGCTGGTTTTCCAATTCGGTAAAAATTTGCAAAAAAGTATTCAAAAATGTATACACTCTCACTGTTGGGCAGCAGAAGGCAATGTGATCTTTGTGAAACTGGAATACTTCCTCAATTCATTAGTAAATAATTTATTTATTATACGTTTGACCCCGTCAGTGTGTCGGAGTCATTTCGAACTTTTTTGCATCTGAGTGCTCGCAAATTAACACATCAACCAAAGGACATTCAAGGCCGCGCAGATGTGCCTGAATTATTTACTTGTAGATTAGACATTTCCAAAGACATGAATATTTAAATTTCTCGATGTTTACGAACTTGAAAACCCCTTTACTCTTACTGTGGTTGACGTAAACAAGAACGTTAAAAAATGATTTTCAGCTGCGGTTTTTTGATTTTAAATGCAAAGTTTAACAACAACATTTTAAAAGTGCAGGAAATTGCGATCTTAACAAGATCCGTGTGGCAAGTGTAATGAAGTTTACAAGTTATTTAATTGTTTTTGATTTTAATGAACCGCGAAAGTTCGATTCAATTGAAGTAACAGGATTTTGCAAATGTCGTGAAAAACAGGGAAATGGTGAGTGAGTTAGAGACTGATCACAAAATAGAATGTTGCATATGACATGAAAGATTTTAAGGTGCTTTATGGGTTATAAAAACCTTCTAGAAAAAGCCTCTATATGGTGATTTAAACAAGGTGGCTGATTGTTTTTTTATTCTGACTTTATATGGGCCGCATGTCAATTATTGAAATTTTAGGCTACTCTTTGCACAGGCAATATATTGAAAGTATTTTGCAAACCAGTGACGACGGAGATTACGAGAAACTTGAAAGAATTTCTACATAACTCGAGTTCCTAATTGATGCCTTGGTTAAAACTTTGATCATAATTTGGTTTTCTCATTGTCAAAAAATAAGATTCGAAGCGCCAAAGTGTTTAAAAATCAGCAGTTACTGTGATATCTTTACAACCGTTTGCATCTCTTTACGCCAACGGTTCGAGAAGGAATCCCTTCACAAAAAATAATTGTTTTGGAGAGTTGTTGTTTGATTGTAAAAATAACAACATCAAGAGGATGAACTGTCCATATTACTCATTATGAATGACCGACGATCGTTTGTTTTTATTTTTCCTTTCCCGCACTCAGTCTTTATTAAAAGCGATATTATACTGTGTGCTCCCATTCAATATCTTTGTTCATTATGACGACTCCCTCATAAGCTTTTAATTTCGACTCTAGTATTGTGGTTATAACGCCAGATATTTTTTAATAGTTCAAAGAGCCATGCACTTCCTTTTAGCTGTTACAGTAATCTTTCTCATTCTCGATTCATTCGTTAATGATTAATCCTCGACTGAGCAAGTTTGAAAAGCCTGTAGGCAAAACGTTTTCGGTGGGCGACATCTTCCACATGAATGCGGGTTTACGAAATTATTTTAAGTACTTTTTAACTTCTTCGCAATTAGAAAAAAACGGTAGTAAGCGTGGAGGTGGGTTTGCAAAATGGATATAAAATGTAACGTGGCGCGACGGCTATAAGTGGCTTCAAGTGTGGCTACAATGATAACAAGTTTTGAACATAGGGAAAAGCCGTTTGCAAAGGTTCTTCAGTATCTTCTTTTAGGATAATCTACAGAAGAGCTACATTAGCTCTACACATTTACAAAGATCATGAAATATGTCTGTGATATGTCTTTTGCATAGCTGGATCGATTATAGACCATAGAAACGTAGTGGAAAACGGTAGATGTTTTTTTTTCAAAATTTGTGCTGATATTGATGCCAAATATGCAGTGTTACGAAGAAAAAATACGGTTGCCTCCGAAGAGCAAACAGGCCCTTCGTGGTGCCAGGATTGACGGTGATTTTTTCGCATAACTTTCCAGGCGTTCGTTTTCTTCTATATGACGTGAATTCCCGCCATTCTAGGCCCTTCATGTCATTATTTAAATTCATGAGCCATGCTTCAATAACCATCTTGGTCTCGTAAATGTTGAGTGAACTAAAGTCTTCCTCTCAACATTCGTTGAAAAAGGTTGGCAGCGATTTTGCATGCCACCCTATTTATGTATAGTAACTTATTGAAAGCATTTGTAATCTGGCATGTGAAGTTCCCTGTCGAGACGTATGCAGCACTTGAATTGAATTAGGTATAAGTGCGACTAACGTCATGTTTTTATATTTTCACTGTTTTATTTGGGTGATTCGTAAGATTTTTAGTGGATTAGAGGGCGACCAATGCAGTCGTAAGATTGTAGTAAATTTATGTCATTCTGAGATTACGAAATTAACTGAACTTAAGCATTATGTAGATCAGATTATAACTCGGAAGTGACTCTTGTTTTTCGAATGACTTCGCTGAACTTAAAAGTCGCTGTGATTGTTTGTCGGTCACAATCTGCTGCAGCAATTTTGTGGTAAAACACAGGGTCTATTAATACACTTCCTCAGCAATTTGTCTCATTTGATTTACCATAGTAGATTTTCTTGCACTTTGGTTTCCGTGAAATATGGAAACAATCTATGTCACGGATGTTTGCAGTGTATGTTTAAACACCAGAAAACCTGGCTTGCAAGCAGTATGACCATTCGAATTTCTCTTGCAAAGGTTCAACGGCCGCTTTTTGTTGCAGGATATTACGCAAACTGCTCGTCATTATAACAAAACGGCATTTACCGAGACTGTGAAGTTTATCGACCACCAGGATTTTAATCGGCGTAGTTATTATACTGTAAGCCTGAGCTACGGTCCTTACAGGTTCATCGTGCCCGTAAAAATGAAGATGGTTGAAATTATACGACTTTTTAATGTTGGAGTTGACAAATACATAGGTTGACAGAGAGACCCGGAACTTTGAATTTACTACATACATATAAGAAGTCATTATAGAGCAAAAGCGCTCCTCAGACTTTTGTAGTTTACCTTGCACTTTCAGTTTATATGAGCACTCCTGCACGTAGATGTGCATTTTTCATGTGTTCATTTTGATGCTAACAACTCAAGGAGCACTGTTACCTTTGTGATGCCATCGTATAGCGTCTCTAATACAATGGACGTCCTTTGGCAAACCTCCTTACGTTCCTGCGGCAATTATGATTTCATCTTCTCATGCCTTGAAATCTGTAATCTGTAGTTGGCTTTGTCATACTGTATATCTAAATGCCTACATCAAAACGTTTCGATAGTGAGCAATTTCGGAGGTCCCAAGAGCTAACTATCACAACGTTTTTTCACGGAATTCTGGTCGCGTCACGCCACGAAAACAAATGTTTGGCGTACTGTTAAATAATGTTTTTTGGCTTCTTCGAGAAATTACAAAAATTGTAATTTAGCCCAGTATTGAACAAAATCTTGACAGAAAAAAGCTATAGACCCTATCAGTGAATTTTTCTTGTTATAGTAGGTCTGGTTTGTCTTTCAAAAACACCATGCTTGATGAGTTTGATAATTAAAATATCTCTAGTTGCGGAATGCCAAGGATTTTGTCATTTTGCGAAAAGCCCGGGCAACGATTTCAATCATTATAATAGCAGGAAAGATGTCTCAATAAGTCGAGTTTCGAGCCAGAAAAAGTTCTGAAACTTTGCATGATGATTGAGAATGATGTTGTAGTGCTGATCGACCATTTTTGTAGGATTCGTGACTAAACGTCGCCCGCTAGGCGATTGCAAAGTTCTCAATTTTGGGAAGTTTGAAGTCGAATATCTCAAAGACTGAATAACACATACAAATTTCTGAACCTCTAACAGAGAGATAACTGTCTACTCTTTCCAATTCACCATTTATCAAGTCGCTCAATTTTGGATGACCGGGTGAAAATATCGTATCTTTAAGACCACCTTTTTGGAGCGAAGTGTCACAAAAATTCGATCGATAATGGCGCAATTTTAGCTCGACTTCCGCTTTTCTAGTAGAGTCTAAACGTTGTGTATAGCACAAAGTGAACCTCAATACATACAAACGCTTTTAACAAATGAACCTGTCCTTTACGATTTGTTCGTTGTACAGGGGATTTCATCTTCATCTCCATTCTAGGCTATACGGTGTCCAAAGCTCGTTTTTATAGCTAAATTTTGTTTAACAACTCAGATTTGACAAAAACAACGACCAATGTCAGTAAAATGGAATTATGGTAGCAATATATTTAATAATAATTTGGTTACAAATATTTTTTGCGTCAGAACCCATGAAAAACAGCCTCTGTTGTTTTCTGGAAACCCTGTACACAGTTATGTTATACTTTGAACTCTCTTCATTTCCTTTTTTTTTTAGCTTCAGTCCAAGTGTCCTCGGCATTCCCCCATACATATTTACCTGTTTATCCTCCCATTTTCGGATATTTTTTGTGGTTTTTTGCTCCAGTTGTAATCCTCGGAAAAGAATTTGAACGCCCCAAATGGCCACGCCCATTTTTGCCTCATTCCCCCAGAGGCTCAGCCCCTTCTTTGCATGGGAAATATGCATTTATACATCTGGGAAGTTACTACAGTCTAGCTGAGAGACATCAGTTTGAGGTGCTGGAGATAGTTCGGAGATAGTGGGCTACTGTAACATGACACTTGGGTTTAGTGATAAGAAAACGGAGGTTTTTCAATTTTGTTACAGTAACCACTTATATTGTGAGATTCTTGACTGTCTTATAGCGTTATTATAACTCTATTTTTCTTGATAACTGTTTACTTTTGCGCTATATCTGCCAATTTTGAATGTTCTTAACATTTTAATATGTCATCCTTGCTGTATAATTTCCATGTTTACTCCTGCAGATACCTAGAAATTATTTAGATTTGATACAAAAACCCCCTCTAATGACAAGTTACTTCCAAATTATGGCCGTTCGCCATGTGAGGGTGGTGAGAGTACCTTCTAATTATTTTTATTGCCCAGTAATTTGGCCATAATAGCCATTGCATTTCAGCTTATCATAAGGGTTGTCTGTGTGTCTTGTTTTTGATAGTAAAATACGTTGAGTCATATTTTGTCCGAAACATTTTGAAAAAATATTAACGTTTTATTCAAATTTTCCCCCAAAATAACCTTAAATCTGTTGCAGGTTAAGCCATCATATCACACACTTCGAATATGTGTCAACCCGGTACCAGCGCCTCCTCCGAGCCAAACTGCACCCCTCTAAAGTCATCGTCACAGTCTCAAATCCTCCTCCGACCATCTGCAACAAGACTGGTCTTTGCCTACTTCTTCCTTTTCTCGTTGTGTCTACAGTCCGTCAGTGGCTCCGTCCTTTGTCGGCAGGGTCAGGGATGTGAGACGGTATCGGAGGAAGACCTGAAACTGGTCATCCCGCTCTCCACTTTCAAAACAAAACGAAACTTTGGAGTTTTGTGTAAGTTTCAGCATATTGCACTTTGAGTTAAGCGTAAAAACACCTGCGGAGGGTTACTGTAGATGCGGAAACATTTTTGAGCAGCTGATTTTCTTATGGAACGCTAAATTTTGATTTACGTAATGCCTTAAGGGAAATAATATTTGATTAGAATTCGGGGGTTCAAGCAAGTTTGTGTGGGCATAAGTAAAAGTAGATTTTGATCCGTGCCAAAAATAAATGTCTAGACTTGAGGAACTTTCTTACCTTACCAACTCAATTGGGTTCAAAATATCTACACCACTTGATGAAAGATTAAAATTCCTTAATTATACTTGCATATCTTACCAGTTTCTTTTTCAGCCACTCAAAACCGCCGGTCCCTCCACCCTTGCCGATGGAAGCTCTGCGGCGCCTTCGGCTCTTATCAGCCCTTCGCCAACGCCATGAGGAAGTTCCGTCGTTAACTTTGACATCTCTCAAGCCGCCCCCCCAAAACGTGTCTTATCCGCCTTCGTATCTATTTTCGCAAAGTGCCAATACTTGATTGTAAACATATATAATTTTTAATTTATTTCATTGCTTCGAAAAGTGCCAGCGCCATGTATGTAATTATTATTGAGATTGTTTGAGGAGTAGGTCTTCTTCTAGGTTTTGTTTTAATTTTTAGGGGATTTCGAGGGTGTAAAAGTGTAATTGGTCCAGATTAACCTTGTTCCCATGCTTTGTGTCTTGCGTAATGTGGAAATGTTGTTAGATCTTGTCTATTTACACCTTGTAAGGACTTCAACGTCCATAATGGTATCTTGTGAAGCCATTTACAAGATATTATTACCTTGGTTTTGACAGTGTACTACTCTTTATCCCCTCAAAACTCCACGCTTTGTTACAATTTGATAATTTATTGTAATACATAAGTAAAGTTGACAATAAAAATGTTACCATTTCAATTCGAGTTGCATATTCTTCCACCAAATTTCAAAATCTTCTTAGATGTTGTGTTCAAGGTTATTCTTTACGTTTTTACATCTCAAGATGTAACCTCACATTTTTAGATGTAAATGTTAAAGTATAAAATTATCTTATTCTAGACCCTTCAACAAGTGTGGAAGTTCAGTTATATCGTAAAATTGTTCCCACTTTTCACGCCGGCGCTTCATTACACCCAAAATTAAATATAGAAATTTTACAGGAATAAGTCTTGTTGTAGGATGCACTGTTTTGCTTTTAAACCTTGTGAAACAAACAATTGTAGCGGCCTTTAGTGTAATAGTTTATCGCATGTTGCAATAAAAAAATACGGAGGCAACGTGATAAATATATTATTATTTAGAAGAGAGTAGTAAAAAATTACGTTCTTTCCAAACTTTGTACTTGTGTGCAATATCCGACAATAAATTTACGTTATTTTAGAGTGCGCTGTCTTCTCCGCCTCTTCTTATAGGGGAAGTACTCCAAGTGCGACGCTCAGATTTTGATGAAACTTGGCACAAATTTAGCACATTTTTTTCTAAGATATATGCGAGAATCCTAGCTCGCGCTTTGCAGAAACAACCGAGATTTTTAGATCGAAAGACGGCGAAAATTTAGGGCTTTTTGTCGAATTTCGGCACAAAAAGTTTCTTGCCTATTTTAACTGTAAAGGATAATGTTTCTACAAAAAATCAAAATTTTCCGCACGAAACTGCCAAAGTTATGACCAAAAAGCGCTTTTCTCTCTGACCCCTCTCCACGTTTAGCGTGCTCTCTCGGCGGCAAAAATCGTTCGATATATCGGCGGCACCCGCAAAGCGCAAGGTAAAATTTTCAGGAATTTATATTTAGTCCATGCCCGACGTGTACTTCCCCTGTTAGATCGAGAGTGGGTGCTTACTTCAATAGTTTCTACAGAACGCAAACTAGAAACATATGCACCATGTTCTGGTTAACTAGTATATGTAGCCATATTTTTTTAATATTTCAGATTTTTTCTATTTCCTCAACTTCCGGTATCCATCATACTCTACTCGATACGCCTTACTCATGTTTTGCAGACATGGAATTCACTCATTTACCTACAAATAGCCTCATAAATTCGGCGTGTAATAATCATCACTTACGGCTGCTCTTTTGTTCGTCCTCCCCACGCACTTTTTGAATACGTCCTAAATTCAACAGTCCATCCAAGCTCTGCTTACATTGGCCATCAAAAATCGAGCACTCTTTTCTGTTTCGGTATATGTTAAGAACACAGAAAGATGTAATTCAAGCCTCACATCATCCAGATTTGATGTCGAAATTGTAATCATAAACGCGCTTTTTAACAATTGGATTTAATGGACCTTTATTTTGAGATGCCTCTTGTATTGTAATACAATATATTTGTTCCACTTATTAGATCACATTGTTTACGTCAAAAAACAGTGTGACCAGGTGGGGAGCTTCAGTGCAAAAAAAAGTTTAACACAGAACATACATTTTAATGTCGGGTAAATTGCGAAAAATTAGATTTGCTTTGAAAAACATGTATTGAATCGATTCTCTGGATTGGAAACTAACAGAGGGTAAAGATTGTACAGCTAAGAAGAAAACATAATGGTACAATGTTCTGCAAAGTCCCAAATGACAATCAAATTAAAGCTGTGTTGACTTAGCGGTCGTTTACTTAATTGCCTTAGAACCTCTCAGCTAGCTCCTACCAATTTTTTAGAGCTAACTTTTTTAATGCTATGTAAATACAGGGTGTCCAGAGAAATTCCGCGGAAAGTGTTTGCCGATTTCTCGGCGCTCAGGCAAGATATCCAAAAAATTCTTTTTGCATTAGAAAGAAGACTATGGGCGGTTTTTTTTCTAAAAAAGTTTTTTTGTCCGCCGACGCGGAGCATACTGTATTCGGCGGAGACTTTTGGTAGCTTTTTTGGTCATCACACCAATCTTAAAAGCTGCAGTACGATTTCTGAAGGTTAAAAAGAGAATGTTATCTTATTTTTATGTTTACCAAACGTTCGGCAATGGAATGGCGAGCTTTCCGTATCGGCGGAGGCCACAACTCAGCTTTGGATAGGAGATGTCCCAAACATTATGTGGCTAGCATTCTTTGCTGATCCCATATGCCCTCCAAAATTTTGTCGCCAAGCCTTGGCAGCAGCTTAGCCATCAGTAAACGACTTGGCGTACCAGAAAACAACAAAATATTTTTTGTTTGAACTTCTCTTTGCCCCGCTGTTTCAAACCTTCGCACGATGCGGTCGGACTTTAATGCTGTTGACGCAACTACACAGTGCGGTGCAGTCGCTAAATGCGATTGCATAGCGTTGTCGTCGGTCCCCTGATCCTCTGTGGAAAAAACTGAAGGCTTCCCGATAGTTTCAGGATCACAGTAAAGCGCTTAAGATTGGTGTGATGACCAAAAAAGCTACCAAAAGTCTCCGCCGAATACAGTATGTTCCGCGTCGGCGGACAAAAAAACTTTTTTAGACAAAAAACCGCCCATAGTCTTCTTTTTAATGCAAAAAGAAGTTTTGGGATATCTTGCCTAATCGCCGAGAAATCGGCAAACACTTTCCGCGGAATTTCTCTGGACACCCTGTATTTAGAGACCATAAGCAACCACAACCGGTTACATTTATACAAAAGTTGCTTAAATTTGTCAAAAATCATATAGTGGCGGACCTGATCCAGGGGCAAAAAATTTACCATTTTAAATCCGGAAAGTATCAAAAAGATGTGGCAAAATACCTCCCTCTCCAAACAAAAAAAACTCCGTTTTTACATGACCTTTTTGCGAGGGAAAGGGTCCTTCAAAACGGAGTTTTTTTTGTTGAAGAGGGAGGCATTTTGCTACATTTTTTGATATTTTCCACATGCAAAATGGTACGATTTTTGCCACCGGATCAGTCCGTCACTGTACGTAAATAAAAGCCACATTTCCTTCCTTTACTTGGATCCTTTTTAATCAATGTCAACATGTTATTTTTTGTACAGCTTGCCATCTCTTAACATCCAAATGTTGCGTTAAACCGCCCAAAAGAACCCCTCAAAATATCACAATTCCTTTTATTAAACTCTGCTCAACATCCGTTGAGCTACTTTACAATATTTGTTTATTAAAACTGCACAAAACCACCGCAATCTCTCATGAGCTCAAGTTTTTGCTTTCATGCCAATTCCGACCCGCAAATGTCACAAAAACAGTTATGGGGGTGGTCGCGTGTCGCCAGCAGGACTGTTTACCAATAGATTTTGAATGTAAAAATGGATTTTCATCAAACGAAATTACAAGTAGCCCTGGAGAATTGGGCAATTTGATTTATAATTCGCCGAAAACATGGTGTTATGTCTGCCAATGCGGACATGACTAATTCAGTCGAGTTGTTTGATGTATCACAACAATTTAAGGTTAATTAAGGCTAAAAGAAGTGGAATATCTTGGTAATGATGAGGTAAAATATGGCGGAAGACAGTCTGAAACAAATTCTGATTCATTCCGAGTATTGCGTACTTGGTTATCCATATTTAAAATAATTGCATTGAATGGCAGACAAAACTTGTAAATTTTGACGTAAAATGAACCTTAGGGCCTTTTCAAGTTCATAATCTTCGAACATGGCCAGCAAATAGCTGATGATTGCGAACGAATTACGGAAAAGTCAAAAGAATACTTAAAATACGGTAATAGCATTTAACTTCGGCTAAACTACCTATAGAGCGTAAAAACTTTTCGAAATGACACTTTATCCCTTGCATCATAAAGACGCACCCCTTTCAATGAATTTGGCCTTCGTCATTTGGCCTAGGAATTTGTATATTTTAAATCCCATGTTCGGATTTAGTCTTTGGCTGCAGAGCTTTTTAGAGGCTTATGCTATTCGTGACGGACGTTTTGGTAAAGTTCTTGGGAGTAGTCGTTAGAAAAGGTGTTCGAGGATGAACGGACGGTGGATTTGCAAATACGTCTTGAGTTTTTGAGTCAGAGCTGAGTCAAATCTAAACAGAACTTCAAGGCATAGCCGAGAATAGTTTATTAAAATACGAGGTTCTATAAACAGTACTATGATTGTTTCCGCGGTGAGCGCTTGTCTTTGGCATTAACAAAAACTTGTGATTTTTCGAGAAAATATATTTTTTCCGTTGAAGAAAAATTCCCGTGTGTCTTGGCGAGAAAACAATCAACAAATTTATTATAGGTTCACGCTGAACCTTGCACTTTTTACTACCGTACTGATATATCTTTTGCAAGCTGTGAAAATGTGCAATAACTAAACCTTATAAAAAATTTTGTTTCCCAGAATAATCGCCCCCATCCCCGTTTTAGCCCAATTAATTATGGCTATCCTCGTTTAGGAAGGATGTAATCAGTCGCGTCTATCAATTTAGATCCCAGACCTACTGAACATTGATACAATTAGCTTCTTAGGGACCTTGAGAACAAAGACTAGAAATAAAAATCGCGTTATTAAATGGTGGGAGAGATTTACCGGCCGTTACATGTGGCTGTAATTACCGTAGTAATTGGAAAATTAAGGAGCCTGGTAAAAAAGGAAATTGTAATTTAAGATTTCTCTATTATACATTCAGGATAAAAAAAGAGAGAACAGGAAATAACCAGAGAAAATTTGTAAATCTTTGCTGAAATTTTTGCGTTCCAGTGGATAAAAAATGTCTATTACAAGTAAAGAAATCAAATCCTTTTTTGTCTGGAGGAAACAGTGGATCTGCTCATCTATCAGGATGAGGGCGTGATTTCCGAAAAGACTTGCATTTTACGGAAGTCGTTAGAGATAATGGATCACGGAAATGGGGGCTGATTGTAGGTATACTATAATCATCTTCTGGCCTAAACTGAAAAAAGGACAAGTCCATGGCTTTGCAGATCTCGCTGCAATACGATCGGATGACTTTCTACGTCCTATGCGCAAGAATTCATAAGAATTTTGGCCTTGGATTGCCGGACCTTTCGAGAATTTACTGACAAATATCATTCGAAATTTGAGACTTTTCGAATCCAAGTAAATCTATGCAAAAGATAAATTATTCCCCAAAAATAATTATCAAGACAAGCTTCATTTAAATTCTATTATATTTTGGGTTTTCATGGGTTTCAACGAGAGCGCAATTAGCAATTTAGTTAGTGAAAAAAATCTTGTGACTTTAGAGTGCAATATAACATGGCCATCGGCTTCAATGGCCTTCCTACAATCCTCAACCATCCCCCATTTCGGTATTCAATCTTCAATCATCCCCTATTGCTTCTCACGTCTTTCCGTAAAACACAAGTCTTATCCGGAATCACACCCTCGTTTCCTTCAAAAATACAGGATCATGTCTAATGCATCCCCTCTTTCAAATCTTTTTCGTCTTTGTTCCGTGACATCAAAACAAGCGGATTAACAATTTCGGTTACTATTTATACTCTAAATGGATAATAGTCTGAGGTTAGGAAGCCTTATAGAGTACCGTATGTTTGACTTGTTTACTACGTACTTCACAAATTGTTAGGTTCTATTTTAGTCTCTCAAATATTGGATTGATAACTACTAATTAATACGCGAGGAAATACATTTTTTTTTGCTTAAACTAGTAATGAAGAGATGGTAAAGGATCCAGAAACAAATTGAAATCAATAAAGTGCAATTTACTCTGCTATATTATAGCTAATTACATATTAAAATTACCCTGAAATTGGCCGCTTTTGCGACTTATAAGTGCTTGTTAGCAAGTATAATATAAAATCTGCAGCTGCGAATCTATTTAAATGTTAATCCCAAATTTGGTAGCAATTTACTTTGCGTTGTAATCTGTAACGGAAGAGCGGACGGGAAATCCACATGGCCATGAAACCCTCGGCCAAGAAAATTGGAATTAAGAAACTGCCATGGTTAAAATAAATCGTAATTTGTCTGGTCAAGAAACATAGATTTGGTCGCTTGCCCAAGCCAGGGGCTCACAGTATCCTAATTTGGATTAAAAGTGTATACATATTGTTCTAGAGAATGCCAAGGTCCAGCATTACCTTCCCTTAAAATAGTTTGGACCCAGATTATTGGATATCATGTGCGTTACGGGAATCGTAGTTGAACTATGACCGGTATTATCCTTAAGAAGTCAACGACCAAGGGGAAAAGATGATGGCAGTATTTGCTTTGGTATTTAGGAATTCGTTTCGCAAACAAAGTAGAAAAAAATGGCAGACTTGGTGGTTTTGGTAGAACAAGGGCATGACAGAGACAAGGCTAAAAATTTTTAAGGGCAAACCCATAAAAAATGTCTAATTTTGCAAAAGTTTGGGAAGAAAAATCACGGTTGTTTCTGCAAAACGCAACCTTGGAATTAAAAAAAATTATCCAATGTTTGTGCCAAGTTTTATATTAACCCTTTTCAAGTTATTTTTACTGATGCAAGCATCGCTGGATCCTTTGGGCCCCAAATTGCAACATTTATGTCATCATTTTATTACAAATTGAAAAATGATATGTAAACTTTGACAAACTAAAACGTCAGCACATATATCTTTCTATTTATATACTACAAACGCACTGAGATCGTCGGGGAATTAGCATTTCTGCGCAAGATTAAGGATCGCCTTCTTCGCGGATTCGGGCTCTTCAAATGACAGACCGTCGGAAGCGAGGGCCTAAAAGACAAAGATTAGTATATAGAGGTCCCTTTACAGTACTCGTTACCTTCAGTTCCGATTTGTATAAAGCGATCCCGGCTTTTGGAGGGGCTGCAATTACTTTGGCCGCCGATTGGAGATCACGGATTTCTGAAGGAGTAAATTTGAATATTTTGAAAAACGGCTCACTTATACAGTGATAAAAATCGAGGAAAATGGGCTTTAAAATAAGCTCAAGTATTTTTCGACCACAAATAGAAACCTACCATTCGTAAATTTAGCGATAAACCCATCTGTGACAATGACAACAAGGGTCTTTCCTTTGGCCCCATTTCTCCTCACTTCCTCGAGAACTGAGTGGACTGCAGTCTCGATGTAAGTAGTAGACCCTTGGTTTTGTAATTTCGAGAGGATTGATTTGAAGTCGGAAGCTGTTCGGTTACTGAAAATGACCCAAAATTATATTATGTTGTACCTCGCAGATAAAAATCAATTTTGAAGCTACGATTCTAAAAAGCTAATCTTTTATCTTGAAAAATTCAAAAGGTCTGTACGCAAAATGCCAATTCAAAACCTTTCATAAAAGTTAAACTTGTTGTCATCATTTGTGACAAATTCCGTTAAAATCAAAAGCCTTCCGTCTCTTCGAATCCCCACCTTATCTCAGCCACGACTTTTCCAGTTCCGTGAGCTCCAAACTTGGCCAATCCAAGCCTCAGTTTGCTATTCGATCCCAGGGAGTCAACCACATTCGCGGCGAATATCTTTCCGTCATCGAAGCTTTTTCTTACGGATCCCGAGACGTCGATCAAAAACAAAATATCCACAGCACATCCAGAATTCTTCGAGGATGAGCCGTTCTTTCCATTTTTAGCTCCACCTTTACCTCCATGCCCATTTTTATTGCCTCCTTTTTGGGCTTTTGGCGATCCAAGTTCGCCAACTTTTCCATTTTTGTTCGAGTTCGACGAATTTTCGGAGCTTTCGGAAGATGACGATGAACTGGACGAGTTTGCCGACGATTTATTTGCGGATTTTGAATTCTCGGGGCACTTGAAGAGCTGCGAGATCAATTTTGCCGTAGAGGCTGCGCCGATGAACAGATTTTTGTCATTTCCAGCGATTTTCAGGAGCTCTAACCTAAAAATTTTTAATAATTTAGATAAGTCTCAAAGAGCAGTGGCCAGATATCAGTTTCCGGACTCATCCGACACATTCTTTATTCCAAGTCCATTTTTCAAATTCCTTTATCCCCTAATTTACGTAATGTTTCGAGAAGTCACCCAAAAATTCAAAACGTTCTGGCTAATCTCAAAAAATGTTTTTCAAAATCATTTGGTCGTCACACAAGACTAATCCTCATTAATATGGACAAACGCATGCTTGTCGCATCCTTCGTGCATTCCTAACATTGTTGTTTGGGGAAATTTGAAAAAATTTGATGATTTGATGGCCAAATTAATTTAAAAATTAATTTTTCTCACCTCGAAAACTTCTCCCCAATGGAAACGGCGTAAATGTTTACTGGCTTCGAATTTAGACTTCTCAAGGAAGCCAGAGGCTCTTCCAAATGATCAAAGCTGAAATTACGACACATGAATTTTGAGATACGACAAGAATTCTGCAATACGGATATAAATAGACAAAGCACAAACAGAATAATCCAGAAAAAAAGAAATTTCAAAACTTTGAATAAAGGAAATTTCCGGGCGGAAGTTATAAATGCATCCAAACTTGATGACAACTGCATGATTACAAAATTAGCAGTGAAATACAGTCATTATAAGGGGCTTATTCTCTTGGCTCATCAGATTGTCTCAGTAGAAGACAAAATATGTGAAATAGTAAGACAAATGTAATGTAAAATAGCATTTTTACAAGACCAAAGAGCTCTTACCTGTAACCATCAGTAATGACCACCAGATTTCGATTGACGTTTGAGGATGACTTCTGGAGCTCAGTGAGCGCCAATTTCAAAGCGTGGCCAGTGAAGGTAACACCACTCAAGAAGGGAGCGTCTGAAAACATTTTGTGGTAAAAATAAGTGTCCTCTATTTCTTATGTCTTCAATTTCGAAAAAAACTGTTCTACGATGTGAAAGTTTGCTATTCAAAACTCTCAACAAAGCGTCTCCAAGTTATGAGTTTTAAAAACGCTTCTAAAGTACCTTTCATGCGAAAAATCGAGATATTTTCCGCAAATAGCGGCTAAAAAAGATATAACATAAAATTGCGCTAAATTTCATTCAGTCAGTGTATCACATCTGAAACTATCCCCCTGTGAAAATTATATATATTACTCTAACTTTCCAATTAAAATCCCAAAAACCAGCATCTGTTTACAAAACACACCCTCGACATTTGTGCCCTGCAGGCCGAAAGATTAAAGTTAATTACTCGTTACTCGGAATTAACGATTAATTAATTATATTTCCATCCCGTTTCCGGATAATTACCAGTTACCCCTTCGTTAATTCCCTTATTATTCAGGTCACAAACGGCGAAAGTGGGGGAGGGATTAGGAAGCGACATAATTCCCGCAGCGATTTGCTGATCATGGGTTCTAAAGCGCACGTGGGCCGATAAGGACGGGTAGAGAGATAATCTGCGGGATGTATCATGCTTGGGGCCAGCGGACAAAGAAAGGGTAAAGCGGTAAAAGGGATAAGAAAAGGGGCAAGTTTGACGCAAAGACTTAGAAAACCGGGTGGTACCAAACGTCATACAAAAGGATCGAATTACAAATATGCAAATTTTCGATTTATACTTGCTTTGACTTCAAAAGACTTATCCTTGCCCAAAGTACATAACATGGTATAAGGCAGCATAACAAGAGAACAAAGTATAAATCTCAAAGTCTTTCACCATCTTGTTCTTGGCAATCGCAAGGATACGTCTCCTAATCTTACCACAAGACTTTTATGAATATACTTTTGGCTTATTTACACCAATTGTCAAAATTTAGAAATATTGCGCCCCGGGCAAAAGTATATAACACTTCAAAAAGTAAAGCATTACACTTACTTCTGATCACGGCCCTCAAATCAGTCTTATCATCCAATCCATAGAGTTTGTATCGCCGATTACTACTGTAAATAACAAGTCCAAGTCTTCCTTTCTTGTTCTTCTTGTAATGAGCTTCAACAATTTTTTCGGCATAAGCTTTTTCGGCTTCAAAAAGATCCCTCAAACTGCCAGTCGAGTCCAATAAAATCACGGTGTCACTCAAATCTCCGCATGAATTTTTTTCCGAAGATTCGCTTGATTCCAAGGATTCAGAAGACGCTTTTTTTGTTGGTTTAGCTGATGCAACCCCAGGGTTCATTACTCGATGAGAATCGTCAAATTCAGCGAAAGATTCGGAATTCTGACGCTTCGGAACGTCGAGGAATTTTGCTGGCCCAACTTTTCCATAGATCTCATTTTCCGAGGCCGGCTGAGCTGACGGTGGCTGAGCTTCATGCCGCTGTGCTCGAAGGGCTTCAGCTGGGCCGTAGAGGGATTCTGGAGAAACTTGGTGGCCGTAGGATTGGGAGAGAACAAGGCCAACTACAAGTGATGTCGCAAAGATCCCAGTGAAGATCTTTAGGGTCTGAAAAGCAAGTTTTGTCAAATGTATTGCAAAAAATTGCAAAAATGTCAAGTGATGGTAATAAATCGTACTTAACCCCAAAGTTTTACACATTGCAAGACCTAGATTTCTCTTAAAATTATAAGCTTTTTCCTTTGGAACTCGTTTGCAGAGCCCAGACCTGACTCAGAACACTTCCCGGTAAAGCTTCAAACACCGCAGCCATTGCTATTTTTACCCCCTTACTCATTCTTATCAGTAGTCTCTAATACAGCCTACCATAAGAAAATGACTTAAATGTCTCAATACGGTAGACTAGACACGACATAGCGGATTAAGCGACATTTCCAGCGGAGAAGCGAGTCATCTCCGAAACAAAGACCCAAAAATAAACCTTGACTCTCTCTTTGGGATTAACATTCTATCCGATATTTGCCTTACAGTAAATTTGCAAAAAAAATATAATAGAATCTTCTAGGAATAGGTTGAGTTCACATTTCTGAATAAGCGAAAAGTTGGATAAGAGTAGATAGAAAGCAAGAATGTTGTTTTTTTATCTTACAATTACAATTTTTTTTACAAAAAGTTTAACCTATTCTTCGACAACAATCATGAAAAATCGAATTTATCAGTATGTCGGGAAAATAACGGCCTTGAAATCGCCCATCATCGCTTTGCGACGTCTAGCCGCAGTTGTAAATTTGGTGTGCGACTGCACCTTTTTTCGTCGAAAAAACATTTTGCTGCGACGATACACCGTTATTTTTCCGACTGGGACATCCTTTAGCAAATATGAATCGTTCTTGGCTTTGCAAAAACTGCAGATATTCCAGTATTGAAGAAATTCGATTGACCATCACAATTTTTAACTTTGTAGGCCAACAATTTCGCTTATGTGTCTCCTCAAAAATCCATTTTGATCCGAAAACCCACCAAAACAAAATTGACAATCTTACATGACGTGAACAGGCATCATATTATCAAAACCTACTACGCTCGAAAACTTCAATTCCTGAAATTCATAAACTTCCTAAGCACGTCAAGCTTCAACTAGATTATACTAGATTAATAGATTAACTTTTGTTTTCCTCAAACGTAACCAAACTTTGTGCACTGCAGAATTTGCAGGGCCCACAGCACGTAATCTGACCCAAATCCCCGTTAATCCAAACGGTTCTGACATCGGCCGTTGACGTAAATTTTCACTTTGGAAGCTAATACCAATTAGAATGTCTAAAAGAAATAAAACAAATCCCTTCAGGGTGGTAGCTATTCTCCCCAAAATAAACTGTGGCATTTTGAAAGTCTTACACAGCTCTTTGCCTATGTATGTATTATCCTCACAAATCTGACGAAACAAAGACTTGCACACAGTTTCGGGAACCGTAATTCTCCGTACCAGGATTATCTGATAGCATCACGGATATGCTCGACTGTATTTTTAGATGGGATTATGGAGACATTTCTGGGGTCGAAGATGACTCAGAGGTCAGGCCGTTTGAAACAACAGATATCACACAAAGATTAGCATTCAGCGTACGGTAAAAAAAACCGTAACAATGGAATAGGTACAAGAATAGAAGCGATTTGGAACCAGGAAAGGTTGGATTGATAAATACCAGACAAATACAGTAGAAGGAGGATTTACTGTAAAGAAAAGGTTGTCTGGAGGTTAGTAATCGACAAAAAACAAGTTGTTTTCACCTTCATTTGAGGTTGAAAAGTGACACAAGCCTTGGAAAATAATGGTCGATAAACTCGGCGATGCTTTCGGATCGTAGCTGCCCCTTGAAATTGCGACTTATCGGTCTGTCGGGAAAATAACGGCGGATCGTCGCGCCTCGGAATCGCCCATCATCGCTTAGCGACTTCAAGCCGCGGCTGGGAATTTGGTGCGCGATAGCGGCGAGGCGAGACATTTTGATGCGACGATCCGCCGTTATTTTCCCGACAGACTGATAGTTTAGATATTTTCCACCTGTAAAACATAGAGAAAATAGAGAAAATTTGTACCAGGGATGTCCCACTGATATTTGCGTTTTGCTTTACTTATCATGGTTATTTGACGCAGATTCCCTCTTTTTGCGGCAGGAAAAGGTCGGTACTCTGTATCATTTTCGAATTTACAATTAGTTTCCTTATTAAGTCTTCAGATTTTGCCAAACAAATCTCTTGAAATCGAGTAACCACTTATGTCCTGTTTACCTGTTTAACCGTAATTTTGACCTCTAACAATTAATTAAATTGCAATAAATTTTTGGCGAAATCCCCGGGTAAACACACAAATATTATGATTATAATACATATTTGCGTAGTTAATAAAATCTCGTTAACTGATATAAACAAAAACTTCATTAAAATCTGACACTTTGAGCATCTGATTACAATTCCGAACCGGGAGAATCCCCGATTAACCTCTAATCCAATTATAGTAATTTCTAACGGGGATATGAGTGATTGGAAACCAGGATTGCTATAAAATGTGGCGGGGCTAAGGTAGTACAGCCCCCCAGTCCAGTTTAGCCCCCCATAACCCAGTACAACCCCCCTCGTCCATTCTGAACCCCAAAATTTATTTCAAAGAATTAATCCAAGTTGTATGGTCCAGCACAAGCCCCCTACGTTTTAGATGAAGCCCCCAACGTTTTAGATCAAGCCGCTTACGTTGTAGATCAAGCCCCCTTCGTTTTAGAAAAAGCCCCCTACGTTTTAGATCAAACCCCCACTTACATTTTTTGCATTATTCTAATTTGTTCATTATGTGGGGTGTGAAACGGGTAAAAACAGTGGGGGTTTGAACTACCTTTCGTGGGGGGCTGAACTACCGAAGCCCCAATGTGGCTTGACTGTGAGTAGATGGGTTGAGAAAATTCTGGTAAGAACTGACTTGCTATAAAAATTGAAACTATATGTAATAAATAGGAAGAAACTATATGTAATAAATAGAAATTCAAAAGTATGAAACAGCATTTCGAAAAAAACCCTATAGTCATTTTACATATCGAAAACCATAAAACATTACTTCCCTCGTCATCTTCAAAACAAAAAAAAACTTTGTTTATGTACATACATCCCGGTGACCCTTGTAAAGCGCGGACCCATTGTTCTAAGTTTTAGTACCGCTGTATACATAGCCAATTTTACATAGTGTTCAAATTAAAAAACGTTCCCCTGTTTTTCTGTCCCTGAAACCCTCAAAAACGTGCAAAACTCTCGAGTACCGCAGTTGAGCAAAGTTTACATAAAACGAAAAAAACAGCCTAATCTGTATACGTTTGGTATGCTTTTTGTCAGCCGCCTAATCCAGGAACTTAAACCTTTTTTCGCCAAAGATTTTATTAATTCCCAGAAAGGAGGGATGATACATAAACATGTTGCGTCAGAATCCGGACTCGCGGACACTGTAAAAGTTTGATCTTTCAGGGACTCTAAAATAAATGTTGGCCCAAGAAAATGGAATTTGCAAAGGCTGAAAAGTAACGGCAAGAATTGCAACTTGCGCTTTGCAACAACCGAAAAGTTATAGCCCATTACTATTTCAAAACATTGTTATCTCTACATAACGAATATAGCTTTATGCTCATCAAACCCCAAGTTTAAGCTCAAAATTACAAACTTTTAACCTTTGCAATTTATGTAAAAAAGATCACACACACTCACCGTCATGTTAAACACCTTGTCGACTAAGCTCCGATGTTCCGAGATACTCGGATCCAGCGACAAGTTGGACTGGGAATCTTTAAAGAAATGGAATTAAAACATTTATATAACACTTGTATTCCTGGGTTTCATTTTACCTTGAAACTCGCCGCCCCTGGTCATCTTCAAGGCTCTTTGGGAACTGTTCCGGTATATAACAGGACTGAAAGTAAAGGTGTAAAAAATGCGCGGAAGAATGGCTTGGACTGACACGCCGCGGAAAGGTTACAGCAATTTGACGTCGACATTGAACGGGGGAAAAGTGCAGGTAAAAGTGCAATGTGTTTTATTCGGATGATGACATTTATCATACCGTATTTTTAAAGTTGAAGGGCCACAATGCTGACCATTTATAAACTCCTAAAAACTTTAGCTCGGGCTTTGCAGAGACCGCCAATACCAAGTGTAATCAACAATAATTGTAAACAAGAGATGTGAAAAATGGGGTGAGACAAGTTTTGAAAAATCTTATGTTAGTTTGTGCACAGAATCGTAAAAAAGTCCATAGGATCAAAAAAACTCCCCTTAAAACCTTGTAATGCTAATTTTTACATGTTCTCCCTCTAAGATCATGCTCATCCGACTGTCAACCTTTCGTGAATCTACAAGATTTTTGTAACTATACTCGCACTAAGCTCAAGGTCCTTTCGTCATATCATCATCCCAAATCTAGGTCGTCTTGCACTTGCAGTCCACGTCCCCAATTCGAAAAAACATCTAAAGCAACCGGCTCGTCGAGAAGAAAAGGTAGCTCATAAATTCATTTCACTATCAATTAAGTCCCGAGGAATTCCCGAGATGACCTGTGGCTGGATGTACCATGGAAAAGTTTTTGTAAAAAGAAGTAGGAATGGAGAAAGAAAGAAATTTATGATCGCATTTCACGTGTGATTCTTTGTAAATTTTAATCTAACATGAAAGGTTCAAAAAAACCAAAATTGGATGGTTGTCAATGAAAAATGTCGGTACACCATACAACAAATATAAATGGTGACTTCTTGATGTTTAATTAACAAGGTGTCAGTGTGAATTTTGCCACTTCTCCTCCAGAGTTTGTCCCAGATTTCCCAGAAAGCTGTAATGTCTCTGACTAAAGTCGCTTACATTCTGCAGCACAATCTATCATTCTTTTCAGTCTCATGGCACATTCGGCACAATCACCTGATAATAACTTGTAGTGCATCATCTGGGAAGGAGTTGATTAATTTTTGTGGATGAGTTTTTTACACTTTGTAAAACCAAAAGAATAAGGTGTAATAACGGGGGCAGTGTTTCAATGGACCGAAAGCACATCCGTCTTTTATTTATTTATTTGCATTGGAAGTTTGTCAATGCTGTAATACATATAGTCTGTTACACTGTATAGGAAAAAATTGGAGAATTTCTGGTAAGATGGACTTCCGGTGAAGAAGTGTCGGTTTTGGGTGGGATGGGGGAGATCAAGGTCATACAAATTTGAATTAGGAGGGCTTCTGGAGCCTTAGTCAAAGAAATGCACAAAAAATCGTTTAAACTTACTTGGATTTTTTAATTATACATAGAACGACATTTTTTGAGCGTTTCAAAGAGGACAGAGCCGAAATTTTTTTTAATTTCAACATTATGAGATGGGATATGTCTCTAGCGGTACGAGAACTTAAAATGAATTTGGGCTTCCGCAATTCTGTGGGTTTTTTGATACAAAGGAGTTCCGGTCGATTTTTATCGACCGTATTGCAATATGCCTATGTTACAGTAACCTGAGAAACTTAATTTTCGAAAAAATTGATTCCTAATGGTCGAAAACGTGTATAAGCAAGATTTTGGATGATTTGCTTTTTTTATGACGCCACAAGGTGGAAAATTAAACAAAAGACAGGTCTAAGCAAATTTATACCTTCCGGGCAGAATAGAGAAAAAATATTGTGAAAGCTTTTACAAAGAACAAACTGTACTAACATGTCCTATAAAACACTTCAAACATTCTTCGAAACTTTAAACCACCCACCGTAAAAGAATAAACTTGTCCCTAATGAACTAAAGCAATGTCAACTTTGATATTACCAAATACGGTCTCAACTATACACCCACCAACAACCCGATGAGTCTCTAAACTACCGAAATAAAGTTTTAAGGGCGCGGTTTACAATAACGTAAAAGACCACGCGTCGTAATTGGATCATTTACCCATTCGCGTGATATGTTTTGGGTAAAATAAACATTAATCGAGCCCTAATTAACGCGATTCTTACACCTTTTATGGGTGTTTTCGAAACACCAGGAATGTGTTGATGTGAGCCCACAAGGTGTTTATTGCTAGTTCGTCCGGAAAGTCGGACGGACTGATTTTTGGCGTTTGCACTGTGCGGAAAAAGTCAGGATGCGAGCAACATCCGAAAAAGCCTATTGCACGGTGCAAAAAGCAAAAAAATTTCACAGTACATACAAAACGTTCATTTTCTCAAGATGCGTGCCGCCAATTTCAGACCGGCGATTTTCCGGAAGGACAAGTATGTCATCCATTTTGTGATTAGTGCAATTACAATTTTGGTTGGAGATCAATTTCTAAAACAAGTCGAAGTAAACTGAAAATCTTATTAAAACACAGAAATTTTAGGTTTTTTAATACTTTTCCGAAGATACTTTAATTTTACCATTTCAAAAAATCCGGTAATAAATATTGGCCTGAGCAACCACCACGAAAACATCTTTGCCAAAGACATTCTTGGCATTCCGCATCACGTCTAATTTTTTGATGTTTTTGCGAAATTGTTCGAGAAATACAAGTTTATCACGTATTTTACTACCAACATAGCAACAAAAGATGATGTTTGATGGCGATGATTATGCCCGCGAGCGGCTGGATGAACAATCGAGACAAAAGGTTCGAGATGACGTCTACAAACTCGTAATGTTCGGAGTTATCATTGAGGCAGGCACGTTTTCTCTTCCTTTTGTTTCATATTTAATTTTAGTGGCTTATGGCGGCACTTACCTCGGCTACGACTGGTTTCTGGTTTGATCTTACCCATGCCGACACCTCTATTTTTCAATGGCTAAAACTCAATAATCTAGATGCTCCTAATTGTTATTTGTTGGAATAAACAGAGAATGTTCTTTGAGGCCACAAAGTTCTTTACTTCATCGGCGTGACCGTCTGATTTTCTGAACTCTTCTTTGTCATTCAGTTTATCAAGGATAATATAGATTTTAACTATTGAAAAAATTTGTTTTTCTAGGAAAATCCGATGCTCCACACAGTTGGTGGTCCATTTTTGGCGGCACAGTTTCCAACCATCCGTTTCTCTTCGAGGCCGGCGTCAAGTCGACCAAAAAAGCCAGCCCAGACAGCTGAAGTTGATGCCCAAAGATTGGCTTCGATTTATAAGAATGTGTTTGGAGATGCGAGTAACCAGGAGGTTAGGAAGGTGCTGAAAGGTACGTAGGATTTTTATTTGGTTTATTTTGTGTTTAGATGCCAGTAGGTTCCTCAGGCGCAAGAATACTTTGTTATCCATGACTTCGGCCGTGCAATCAACTCTCGGACAAAGTTCTCTGCTTTTTAATGGAAACATCAGTAAGGATTTGATTTTTCCTCATTTGTTTAGTTTTGAGGAATCCTTTGAAAATGTTTTTCTTCAGATATCGTCGGAGTTCGCCATTTCCGGACCAATGCTAGTCGGCCTAAAGGAATCGGTCAGAAGAAGGGAGATCTTGAAGAAGACAAAGGCCCACTGAAAAAATTTTTTGACAATCTGCGTGGAGAGCAGGTGACTAATTTTATTTCTTATTTGTCTTTTCTAGGCACATTTTCTATCAAAATTATGTCATCCATGGCAATTTCAGAACTTCAAGCCCGAGAAAACAGCGGAAGAACAACTGAAACTCTATAAGGAAGAGCTGTCCAAAGTTGCGGAAAAGGATAAACGACCATTCCTTGAAGGATTCTCTCAGGCATTCCTTTTGGCCAACAAAAATCAAGGGCAGAATGTCGGAGCGAATCAGACGAAAAAATTCTCGTTGGTGACCCGAATTTACATTGCGGTTATCATCGCAATTATGCTGGCCTTCTTCTCGGGAGGTAAGAATACGATTATTTTATTTGTAGGATGGCTTAGGAACTTGTTTAATTTTAAGTCGCTTTTACCTAGTATAAGGTCGTATAATTTCATTAAAGACAAAATTCTGATTCAGTAATTCGTGTTCGCGTAGGTGAACGTCCTATTGGTTCACTGATTTTCTCGAATGCTCAGGAAGTGAAGCCAGAAGAAGTTACGGTCACTTTCGAAGATGTGAGAGGGGTAAGATTTTTTATTGTGTTTATAAGTCGTGGGCAGATTTTGATCTTAGAATTATTTTTGCCCTTTATTCTCTCTGATAAAATTGTTTTCAGATGGAAGAAGCGAAATCTGAAGTTGAGGAGATCGTATCTTACCTTAGAGATCCAGATCGTTATAGTCGACTTGGTGGAAGACTGCCCAAAGGAGTTTTGATGGTTGGCCCTCCGGGTACTGGAAAGACTCTTCTGGCCCGGGCTATCGCTGGAGAAGCACAGGTCCCATTCTTTCATACCAGCGGTTCAGAATTCGATGAAGTTTTAGTTGGACAAGGTGCAAGGAGAGTCCGAGATCTTTTTGGTAGGTTCTTTAACGTGATAAATTAGAATTTATATGGTGTCTTTGAAGTATTTTGATGTCACATTTTACAGAAAGAGCAAAGGCCCGAGCTCCATGCATAGTTTTTATTGATGAGATTGATTCCGTTGGATCGAAGCGAGTCTCGAATAGCATTCATCCATATGCCAATCAGACGATTAATCAGGTAATTTGAGAGTAGATTTGAGTTTGTTTTGAATATTTTTAGGCAAAAAATAGGTTTTTTTTTCTCCGCTACATATTGATTATTATCCATGTTTTAGTTGCTCTCGGAGATGGACGGTTTCAACAGAAATGAGGGAGTTATTGTCATCGGAGCCACAAATCGAATGGAAGATCTGGATAAAGCGTTGCTGAGACCCGGCCGATTTGACGTTCGAGTTACAGTATCCAAACCAGACTTGGATGGGAGAAAGGATATTTTTAGGTGAGGTTTTGATTTTTTACTGTTTGATTTCGATGTTTAGGTTGTATCTTGGCCGAATCATCCATGAAAAGTTAAATGTTGATGTCTTGGCAAAAGGCACAACTGGATTTACCGGCGCGGATATTGAGAATATGGTAAATCAAGCTGCCCTGAAGGCCGCCACCGAAGGATGTAACAGAGTCTCGATGAGGCACCTCGAAGATGCCAAGGACAGAATTTTGATGGGTCCAGCCAGGGTAAAAGGACGGTTCCCGGATGAGGAAACCAATAAATGCACCGCATTCCATGAAGCTGGCCATACTTTGGTCGCCCTCTTCACAAAAGATGCCACTCCGGTACACAAAGTGACAATCATCCCAAGAGGGCTGAGCATGGGACATGTAAGTGGATTTGAGAGGGTGTTTTACAGGCTTTGGCGATGGAATCCACTGATTGAGTTTTGTAAATTTTTTGTATTGCCATTTTTTTCTTTTTTTTTTGATTTTCCTTTTTTTCAGACAGCTCTTTTGCCGAGTAAGGACGAATATCAAGTAACACGCGCCCAGATGCTCGCCCAACTCGATGTAATGATGGGCGGCAGAGTCGCGGAAGAACTGATTTTTGGAGATGACAAAGTGACCACAGGCGCCGCCGACGACATGAAAAGAGCCACAGATTTGGCCACTCAAATGGTAAAGCATTATGGAATGAGTGAGAAGGTTGGACTGAGAGATTACTCGTCAGAGGAGAATACAGGAGCCCTTGTCAACGTGAATGAACGATCACCCCAGACGAATGAACTGCTGGACCAGGAGATCAACAGGTTACTCAAGGAGAGCTATCTCAGGGCCAAGAAGATTTTAACTGATAAAGCGGTGAGTAAAGACTTTTTATCGGGGTGGATTGTCGAAAGGCGGAATTTTGCTTGAGGGTCTGGAAAATTTCGGAATTTTTTATTGGTTTAGGAATTTCTAGACATGGGAATTTTGAATTTATGCGTTTTGGGTTCAAATGAGTAGGTAGGCGAGGACTGTCCACATATATTTTTACATTGATATTACGACATGTCTAGTGCGTTTTAAAAAGAATTTTGGAAATCTAATACCCAGTATAGTATAATTTTATGATTGGTATTGCGTTTTAATCTGTAGGTAGAGAATGAGCTAACGACTTGAGTTACATTGCTATTTTCATTAAATCGCCAATGGCTTGAAGAATTTTTCTACTTTATAAAACCTTGACATCTTATATCTTTCAGAAGGAACACACTCTCCTGGCCCAATCCCTCCTCGAATATGAGACACTGACCTCGGATGAAGTCCGCGAACTCATCAAGACCGGCAAAATTGAACGTCCCAATCTCACCAATGTCAATAATACCGACATGGTCCCACAAAAAAGAAAACGTCGAGACAAGGCTCCCTCGATCATCCATGTGAACGTCGATGTTGACTAGAGACTGAGGTTGCCAGTGGATTTTCCGGTTCATATTTGTAGATGTCACTGATTTTTTGATTTTAAAAATAAATTATAAGAAAAAAGAAAGGATGATATAAAACAGGGCTGAAGAAGTGTGACAGACCTCTGGATGTCTTGTACATGTCTTGTAGTTATCCTAGGCCAAAGCATTCTTATTTTTCTCAAATTGCACCCTAATGGTTCTTTGAGCCTAAACTTGTTAGCACATCTTTTATCCTGAGACCTCATCATGTTCGCTTCATCTCCAGTTCTGACGTTTGCGGGCCAAACTAGCCACAGGATATCAATTTTCTCGCCAAAAAACTTGCTTCAAATATCTTTTACTGCATTTTTTACAAATGCCCTCAAACTTTTTGTTCATTCATGCCAAAAATCTCTCCTAAATCCTTTCAACAGTCAATAAAACTGCAATATGTTTCCAATTGGCTTTATAAAAAGGCGTTGGAAGTAAAATAAATAAAGTGAGGTCTTTAAAGATCAACAGGAAGAACATGTAACCTTTGGCATCGCAAATAAAAACTCGAGATTTCAGTCTTTCTCCTGAGGGCAAAAGATAATAAAAACGAACAAAAATAGAAAGCAATTCAAAGAGAGATCGGCGAAGGATCAATGGGAATTAAGAGACGGCGGGTGGAGTCACCTGGTGCCAGATCCCGGCCGTATGGCCGGAGGCGGAAAACAACGAAATGCACGGAAAATCCATCGCTTTTTTTGTTTATCGCTGAAGAAAGAGGCTTCTGGAAAGGTCGCAATTTTTTGCAAATCCTGATTTTTGAGCAGTACGAGCAATGGCAAGAGTAATTGTATTGAGAAGTAAGATTTTTAAGCTAATCGAATGTTTGATCAAAAAGCCAATTTTTTGTCGAAAAATTAAAAGTGAATTTTTAGACGACGACGATGACTACATTCCGGAGAATTACATTGTAAAAAAGAACGGGAAAACCTACCGTCCAATCTCCAGACGGCAAATTCTCCATCAAGATGACGAGGAGGACCTGGATTTCCGAAGTATCAGACCATTTTCGAAATTAAGTGGGTCTCCGTTGACTGATTTTTTTACTCCAGAAAAAAAATTTGGCCAAAGAAAATTAAAATTTTCAGCCCACCGAAAGCACACAGTTCCCGAGTTCTCTCACCGTCTCGAGGATCAGTTCTGCCATCACGACGACACAATTGTTCTGAAATGCAATTTCACTGGTTACCCAATGCCAGAAGTCGTATGGTAAAGACGGTCCTTAAACTTTTAGTTAAAATTAACCCACTGCAAAATTCCTTTTTAATTCTAACTGTATACTGGCATGAATAGTACATTTTGTTTCTAATCTAAGTATTCATGCCAATGCACTCTATAAAACTTTGAAAACTTTCAGGTTCAAGGGACAAACACCCATTTTTAATGAGATGCGACGCACTGTGCACACCAGCGACAATTCTACAGAGGTAAGAATTGGGAATTGACTTATATTTAGCAAATCGTAAGGGTTTTTAGTAACTTTGTGAATATAATTTTCAAATTTCAAAATAAAGTAAAGAGTAAAAAGAAATTTTGGTGAAACACATTCCTCGCTTTTCAGCTCTGCATCTTCAACGCCAACAAAGAAGATGGCGGATTTTATTCCTGCCGCATTGAGAATGATATGGGGGTGAGAGAGACAAGTTGCCATGTCCATATTGGAGATACTGGAAAGTTGCCGGGGAAGCTGGCGAAACTCGAAGCGGCGATAAATTACCGGTGAGTTTGTCGCCACATTTTTATGGGCGGTTTTCTCAAATGACCCCTTTAAAAATTTTTCCGTATATTTTATGAAAGCTTTTTTTTAATTTTCGGAAAATTTTAATTTGTGCTTTGCGGGAGCCGTGATGTTTATAAAGATGCAAAAAAAACTAAAAATAGCGTCAAATGTTTGCAAAGATTGGCCTAAAAAACTGGATGAGACCTCAAAGGCTTGACCTAAATCAATGTTTATGCTGGGCCAATTCGCATCAAAAACCTACTAATTTCACAGTAATTTCCGTTTTCTTTTCTATACCTTGATTTTCAGAACCTACCGGAACGCTCTCTACACTCCCTCGTACACTTACTCCAGGTTCCCAGGCACATGGCGATGAAGAATACGTTGGAAAATTAAATTTGCATGCATAAATTTATTACGCCGATTCTCTATGCACATTCAAGTTTGCGTGAACAAGAATTCTGGATGACTGCTTTTACAAATCTGTAAAATGATTTTGAAATACTGTAAATAAACAATTGAAACAAAAGGTCGTAAGACATTAAGACGTAGAAGTTTATTTTTGAAATTGTAGTTATTTGAGTAGTATATATAGCGTATTACAAAACAATAGTTAGATTTTGTAAGAAAAGTATTTTATCGGTAGTATATGCAATATAATGTATAATAAGTGAAAGCATTGGGAAAACTAAAGCAATTCGAATGAAATATGTAGCATATAAAATTACCAGACATTGTTTTCTAGATTATGTTGTAATTAAAATTCTACAGGACCCAAGGAATTGGTAATTGGCTACACAAGGCAGATTGTGATGACAAAGTGCAGAAAAATTTGCATCATAGAAATATATATGAGAACAAGGGTAAAATGGATAATAATAAATAATCATTAATTTTCTTGTCTTGATGCCGATTAATACAGGTCGTTTTGGACTGATGACATCTCTTAAGGATCACAAGACTTTCGTTTTTTTTCTTCACACTGCAATCACAAAGAAGGTAATTTTTAGTGGTTCTCAATTTTATATTTCTGGATAAGTTACTTCCTTCTATCAACTTTCTTGATTATTCCGGCTTCATTTTACAAATTCTTCTGTAACGGAAAAGTCAATCACAATTTCAAGACTAGAATATGCAGGCATACATATAATGATTCCGCAAAAAACACGTTTATGTTAGACTACAATGCATACTAATATCTGCATTAGATATTACAATTAATAAAATCGTTAAACAAACGAAATAAATATTAATAAAATATAAAATACACACCACAATCTACTGAATCTGCCCGATTACACCCATATTGTTCAGAGCCATTGCACTTAGCACTCGTTTAAAATGGTCGTTCAAGGCTTGAAGTCGATTTGCATCCATCATCGTAACATTTGGCATCAGAAATGGACTGGTTGGGAAGATGTTACACGGCGATCCAAGGGTCTCAGAATTGTCACTGTCAAAGGAATTGCTCTGTTGTTGAACGGGCTTCCTCGCTCTCTCCTTGACTTTGTATTCGAGGGTTGAATGGGGAACGCCGAAGAAGCTTCCAGCACGATGGACTGACATCTCACCGGCTCGAACGGCTTGGACTGCTCGATCCAGGGCGCTCTTTTCGTAACGCCTGCAACACAGAGGCTAAAGAATAGGGACCGTTTTTTTTAAAAACATAATTATCTTTACTGGTCTTATAGGAAACGCTTCTCAATGCTAAAAAATATAAATATAATCAAGCAATTTTTTGGAACGGCATAGATATTGATCGACATTTGCTGCCGGAAAATCAAGGAATTTCGGTCGTACGTTGTCAGTTCTCCTATGGCTTTAAAAATCTTGAAAATCCTTTGCGATAATTTGTGCCGAGCATTGCCTTACCTGTACATCGCATTCTTAGCGCTAGCCTTTTGATCTGACAAGTGGTATGTATGTATAGTGAATATATAGTAAATTCGTTAAGGTTTGACACATCTATGATCCCTTCCTCTTACCTATATTGCCCTCTCTTCGGCCTGGTCGGCTTTGTTTCTCTTTCCATTGGAGAGCTCCTTTGTGAACACGTTACATTCATGTTTGGCACACTGCCATTCCGAGTGAACGCCTTGTTACTCGCATAAATTTGGCGTAACAATAATCCTTGTACAATAGCAGCTTGACTGCTGGTTTGCTCAGACAGTAATGGAGCTGTAGTTTGAAGTCTTACAAGTTGGTTATAATACAGTTGGCTGATCTCTGCAGGTGACCGGAGAGGCTGAGAAGTCATCGATAAAATCGCTGAACTTGTTGGATTAGTTGAACTTGTTGTTTGCGCGGTATATTGAATCGGCATTGCAGTGCTAAAAAGTTACATGATATACGATTTATACGTTCTTTTTTGGGAATTTTTATTACTGTTTCAGTACTGTCTAACTCTCACCTCCTGTTTCAATAAATATTTCACAAAAGTTTAAAAATGAGAAATTGAGTCTACGATACTTTGAACTGTTTCTCAACGAAGTCTAGAATTTTAAAACAAATTTACCGGTTGGGTAGCAGGTCCTTCAAAGTTCATACTTTCATAATACTTTGCGGAAAATTAGGGCACTGTGAGGAGAATAGTGATCTTTGAGTGAAAAGAGAATGTCAAAAAACAAATTGCAGATAGAATATGCACTGAAATAAAGACCAAAGCAGGGAAGTCAATGCAAAAAGACTAAATTTCTTCAACCGTTGTAAAACATAAAAAAAACTGCCAAAAACAACACTTCGAAAAGGTGAAAGCAAAGATTTTCCGTTTTTTAAAGATCATCTGTCCAGACAAAACTAAGTTTTGCGAAACTTTTAGCTCGCGCTTTCAAGACTCAATTCAACGGTGTTTCATGACAAGCAAGAATCAGAAAGAGAATCTGTGAAATCCGCCTACCAATAACGCATACTTGAGTCGATAGACACTTGAACAAAGATCACAAGTATAGGTGGTAATCGGGCCGGGCCTGAGTTGATTTGAAAAAGCCCCGGGCTCTCCTGACAGCTTCGGCCCGGCCCGACTGCCACTTATAATCACGAGAAGTGTAAAAAAGGGCCGTAGAAACATAGAAATAATTTCCTTTCAAGGAAGAAAATATCTGAAATTCCCATCTCAATGTTGAAGAAAAAAAGATCAAGTTTCTGGCTGTCTAATAACCCCTAACTTTTTTAATTAAACGACGATCCTTTAATTCCGCTATGGCTCTCTAGGCCTCCATTACAACCCGTTACAGTATCAACGCCCTACAGTATCCTTACCAGCTACTCTCCTCGACACTTCTTCGTCCACTCAGGCCGTCCAATTTGTAAATCTTGTTGCGCAACGTGGAGCGCGGGATACCGTACACAACGGAGGCTCGTCTCGTCCCGATCCGGCCACTGCGTATGTCCTGAAAATTTGAAATGGAAATTTAAAATTTTTGTGAAAAATTTTTGGGCCATGACTCGATTAATTAACACCTGTGGGGGCATCTACGGTATTCACTCCCCGAAAACAACACAAATATTAATGAACTTTCGTGCATGCGGGATGCGGGAAAGCACTCTGATCCAGGTGTTTCCAGCGCTTCTGGCCGCGCTCACGTTTCTGTCGGCCCCGAATAGGGAGTTAATCATTTTTTGGACACTACCGTAAGAGGCTTCTGGGCCGCCAAAAAAAGTGGAGAAAGTTATTTCTGGAGTTGTGAATCGTAAATTTATTTTGTGTGACTTCTACGGTAATACAGTTGATAAATGCCAAACATTAGAATATTATGTTACAAAAAATCAGACAAACAGAAAAATTTTATACATAGTTTGTAATCTGCTATGTCGGGGTTACTGAAAATATAATAAGCACGATTACTGATACTTTACTAAAGAAAAGTGTCGTTGGATCTCTTTGGAGTAAGATAGTGAGAGTTCTCAAATCTCTAGCATGCAACTTGCCTCGCTTACAAGGGAATGGACTTTATGTGTAAATCGATTTTGGCTTGGGACCTAGTCAGATCGAAAGGTGTGTGGTAGTCGATTATTCACTTGGGGGGAAATCTCTGCGCGGGGCTTCAAAGCCGAGAAAATCGGCTTCAAAGTTTGGACGAAAATCAAAGGATAGGGATCCCAGAAAAGGAGCAACAAAAAGTGTGAAGCAGTGGCCGAGTGGTCAGTGCGCTCGCTTTTTGCGCAAAAGGTTGCAGGTTCGAATATTTCCAAGCTCAAATAATCATTTATCGTTTTTACTTTTGCTTTCTTCGTGATAATCCGGCTGTACATTTAAAAAAAGGGTATAGAAAAAAAAGTTAACATAATGGGAAGTTGTTTTTGAATACATCAGGTTGATGGTGTGCCCTGCGCTCTAAAACTGTAAAGGGAAGGTGCGAAGCCGTTGAAAATGGAAAAGTTCCGTTTAAAATATACTTCTTGCATCCATAATCGATTTCAGGGGAAAAAATAATAGAAGTTTTTGTCTAAAAAAGTTATGAATGGAAGCAGATTCGAACTTGCGACCTTTTGCGCAAAAAGCGAGCGCACTGACCACTCGGCCACTGCCTTTTCTGGGATCCCTATCCTTTGATTTTCGTCCAAACTTTGAAGCCGATTTTCTCGGCTTTGAAGCCCCGCGCAGAGATTTCCCCCCAAGTGAATAATCGACTACCATACACCTTTCGATCTGACTAGGTCCCAAGCCAAAATCGATTTACACATAAAGTCCATTCCCTTGTTAGTCTTCGTTATACCGACACCCCTCTACAACAAAGTCTGGTGCAAGAAAATCAATCTATAATCAACAATTTCACAAAGTAATTCGAGAACAAAAAGGAAAAGGTAACGTAACCATGACAAGAAGTTTCGTAAAACCTTGCTGTTTGTTGTACAGAGGTCTCACAGTCTTACAGAAAACCCCTTTACAAAAACCAATTTTTAAAATATAAAATTACATTCTCAAAAAGAAACCCTACAAAAAACTGCGAAAAGTTTCCACAATACCACCATTTTAAAAGGTTGCGCAATCGTTTCACTATAAACCATCATTTCTCGGAAATCCAATGAATAATTACCTCCTCATCAACACTACAAGTCAAAAATTACTACCTCCAATGTCAATTTTGAATATTTAAAATGACGCTACAAAATACAGAACATGTCTTGAGAAATGGAATGGGTGTAAACCGTAAATCGCGGGGGTTTTGGGTATTTTTGGGACAAATAAGGAAAGAATGTTTAATTACTGTAGGCGGGCATGGAATGGGAAAGTTGATCAGAGACGAATTTTGGAGTTTTACGTTCTTTGAAAAAATGGCAAGGAACTTTGGAAAACAGACATGTCAACATACAGGTCGGCACAACACCGTGGAAGTCAAACTCGACTACTCAATGTCTTTGACAACGAAAGTGGCTAAAATTGTCTTAAAATTTTGCATCAGGTGATTCTGAGGCGCATATTAATTTTTTTAAATGCAAAATTATTTTTCGGTTTCTTAAAATTCGACCTTTATTTCCAACCTTATACTTACTTGCACCGCTGCATCCAAATCTGCTTGGCTGTATTGCTTTCTTCCAGGGATTGCATTCATCATATTTCTCGCAACATTTTGCGCGTGAAGCTGTTGCAACCTTAGATTGTAAAGTCTCTGTAAATCCACTTGAGTGTCTGCAGTAGAGACCTGAGATTGAAGGTACGACGATGCAGTAGTGGTGGTTACCGTATCCAAATCTGGCATGGCATCCAAGCTTTTCTCATCGAGAGCTCCGGCTGGGAATATCCCTGAAATTTCAGGGTTTAATGTATAATAATATACAGATTTAAAACCAAAAGTTTAGCTTTCTAGTGTTATGGTAGATTTGTAGATGTTCACAAGCATTTAGGGTTGTTAGGACCGCTATAAACTTAAACAAAATACCTTGGGATTCATTGTTTCCGAAGGGCTCGTTGAGAATTGGACTTTTGTTATTTTTGGGTTCATAACTCTGATGTTCTGTTATAAGTTCAAGAGTAGGTATTGGGCTCATCTGTCTGAAATTGCAAAAAAATTATTTGATTAGCAACATTGGAACAAAATAGAGTTCAAAGTTGAGGGTAATACGGTCATAAAAATTCAGACAGATGTATTTTAAAATATTTTTTAAGCAATGAAATTTCTGACATACGTAAATCGGAGAAAAAATCAAAATTTTCCCAAATTTTGACGTAAAAATCTATATCCTTTGCTAAGCGCGAGCCAAAAATCTTTCATATAATTTTGAGAAAATTTCAGTCGATCTTTCGATCTTCAGCCAAATTTAATCGTCAAGCTTTGAAAACTACTAACTTTTTTTAACCCTCACATTTCCCCTCCCCAAAATTCCCACCCAAGTCGGTGTTCCCAAAAAAAATCGGCGAATGGCCTGAAAATTTGATTGAAGTTAACAGAAATCTTCCCCGGCCTTGTGAAAAAGGACATCAAATGATGCCGCAGTTTTTACAAGAAACCCGCTAAAAAGTACCCGCTATTTTACATACGCTTCGGAGAAAAAAGTTGCGGGAATTTTGGTTTGGAGAGGGCTTCAGGTCCCGGGAATTGGAGAGATTCTCATTGAATCACAAGGATTTTGGAGAACTTTTTTGAGCTGGGGATATTGTAATGGACAAATTATGGGGAAAATCACAGAAAAAGTGGTGATAAAAATGTAAAACATGCAGATAGAAGTTTTTTAAATCGATAGACCACAAACAAAAGGTTATAAAAAGTTTAAAAATTCTAAACTACGAATTTGGAGAGTCTCCAAACTCAAAATAAAAATTTTTTAAAAGTTTAAAAACAAACAAATTTAGTCATCAAAATTACTGTAATCCTTCGATAATCCCAATTTTTTAAACATTTCCAAAAATCTACAGTAGCCCGTCAATATGTAAATTGAAGAAATTGCTTAAAATGTTCGCCCAAAGCCATTTAAATGTTCGCCCAAAGCCAAAATGAATTGATTTCCTCGAAATTGGCCAAATCTCTGACGCATCCCACGCATGAAATCATCTTGGATTTTGTTTTGAATTGCGGGAAAATTAAGACCAAAATTAGGCCAAGCTGAGCAATTGGCAGGGATTTTTTTGGTGAGACAAGGAGAGCAATCAATTTTTTGTATCAAAAGCGGGGTTCAAAAATTTGGGATGGCACTGTGATTTGAGCGAATCGGCTATTTTACGCCATAAATAAAATGTTCTGACACGGTGAAAAAAAGAAAATTGTAGAGTTTCGGCTTTTAGATTTTTCTTCAAATTTTGTGTATGTTTACTTCAGATGATGAACATTAATTTCTGAAAACTTTACTTCGCACCTTTCACATACGGCCGAGATATTCCAAGCTAAGCCCACCAAATTTTTTATTTGTAATTTGACTTGTCCCAAGTTTCTGCAACCTCACGGGACAACACTCTGAGCATCCAAAAATTACCGTACACTCCAAAAAAAAGGCTCCAAAAGCCAGCAGAAAAAAGTGAAATTATTAATCCATTCGTCCGATTTCGGACCGAATTTTTATGGCCATAAAAATTGAATTGATATTCGAAGAAATTTTGATAGGCCGAGCGTTTCCCCCCAAATACAATAATCGAATACATTTATATTATACGTTCAAGGCCTATTCAGAGTATAAAAAACTGCTTGGAACCGGTCGTTTTGTATGGGGACGGCCACGGGACCTAATACGCATAGAATATGGGGGTAGGGAAGGATAAAAGAAAGAAAGAAGGTGATAAAAATCGGAAAGCAAAAATTATTTAGAGTAAAATAAAAAAAATATAGTATCATCTTCGTATAGCAACTGTCCGCCATTTTCGGCAGATCTGGAAAATTGACTTTAGTCGGTAACTTTTAATAGGTGTCAAATTTCGATTCCAAATCTCACACATGTCCACATCTCCACATGAACATTTATATTTATCCTTAAAAACGCCAAAATTCGGTCAATTTCCAAAAAATTTGTCTTCAAAATTCCGGCTCTTCCCGTCATAATAATGTCACCTATTTACGCCCAATCAAGATACCAAAAAATGAGAGAAATTACCATTCTAATTGCATAAATTTGGGGTGAAAATTGACAATAAAAACAAAAGGAATCCCCGCGGACTACGGTACGGATCGGGAATTATTGGGCATGCGAAAAGCGGAATTGGCCATTAAATGAAAAGTGTTCCCCCCGAAAACCTGCCGGAAGTCTTCGAAAATATTTGTTTTAATAATAATTTTCTGATCTGGATGGGAACCGCGATGGCCGAGAATCCCGAACAAATGGGCCAATTTTTGTGGTGCAGCGTTAACGGAACGCACGCAAAGTACAGTAGGAACGGAGAGGGTGTAATGTGTTCCGAAATTCAGGAATTTTCGGAAGGTTCTCGAAAATTTAGATCTGAATGGCAATAAAGAAGAAAAGATGGTATCAATATGTCGGGAAAATAGTCAGCACTTTCGAAAATTGCATCACCGCCGAGAAATGAATTGTATTGCGACAAAAACAAATTGCTTTTTATTTCAGCGACACAGTTGGCGACATTGCGCTCACTATTTTCCCGACAGACTGATATAAAAACTGTAGGTGCAAAGCAATAATCAGACTGCAAAAATTAGATTTTCTGCCAAGATTTTATGACTTATCAGCCCAGCCCACAGGTCAATTCTATAAATTTTTGGCCTGCGTTTTGCAGAACTATCCGAGAAATTTGCCGATCTTTGCAAGGAAGATTTTTTGGCCACAGGCACCTGTGAAAAGTTTGCAACAGCCGGGATCTTCAACCTTGTTGTTTTTATGCGGAAATCAGTTTCTGAAAATGATGCCTCGAAATTGAAGAAATCTCACTATCAGAATTTATTTACTACAGTAATACCACACACCTTTTTAAACTCTCACCATTACCCCTCTTCGCTTTATACGACCATAAATGTTAGGCTTCCATTTCTATTCCAAGTAACCGTATTTCTGAACAATTTTTTGATTATCTCCTCCTCAACTTCATGTTTATTCGTACTTATTTGGTTATTTCCCGTCTATATTCCTATTCCCAAATTGACAATTACTCGTCTGCCGCGGTATTCTTTAATAATTTTCCGAATTTTTTTTTGGTCTGACGTTGTTAATGGGGCTCTTTTTCTCGATAAAATTACAAGCGATTATGGTTAGCACTCGTGTTTAGTGCGTTTTAAAAACGTCAGAAATTTCGTTTTTTGTTTTTATTTTTACTCAAAAATTTCGAAAAAATCGTTTTTTCCACTAAAAAATCGAATTTTCTCTCACTAAAAGCTTTATTACTTTCCCAATTGGAAATTATTAAAAATTTGATTAACAATCAAAAAATTAAAAATTAGAATAATTTCTTTGGCTTCTGTTGGAAATTATTGTATTCTTCGATATCATTGAGGCCGGGGTTGAGGACCGAAGCCGGCTCCAGAAGCCATTTGAAGTCGACGTGCCGGAAATGGATCTTGTGGTCGGGATCGCGGGTGTATTCGCAATATTTCGGCATTTTCTTCTAAAAAATAGGAATAATTAATGCCCGTATTTTACCCAAAAAATTTTTTTTATAGGGTGAAGAGTTTCAGTTCGCGCTTTGCAAAAACCACCACAATTTTTTGGTTGAAAGATGCAAAAAAATGATGCTTTTTTCGAAACTTGTAAAATTAAAAGACGATTTTTGGTTCGCCGCGTCAGCCGCGGACATTCAAAAAAAAATTTTTTTGAGTTTTTTGGCCTAAAATATTTCAGAATAATTTTTCCAATTCAAAAAAGCTATTTCGAAAAAATAAAAACCGCTCTTTTCAAAACAAAGAATCCTTTTCTACTTTTGTGATACTTTTTGAAACCAAATTCGGACTCATTTTTACCACTCCTTCGCCCTCTCAAACCCCGCCAGAACTCCATAATGTAAGCCAAAATATTAGAAGAAAATATTCAGCCGACCGAAACCGTCTACTTACCTCTCGACAAACAGCTGCGGAATGTTTTTCGTCAACGAAGGACTCCTCGAAATGCCACTGTGGAAGTCGTTTTCCATCTTCATTGACGTAGGTTGAGGTCACAAATGTGGTTCGAGCTGTAATTTACCGAATTAAAAAAATTATGCCATTAGTTATCAGAATTTCTAAAGCTCTAATAACTTCAAATACCTTCAATTTTTATGTTATAGTACTACCTTACCTCCATACTTATCGGATGGGTCGATTCTGAAGTCGTAACGGCTCAAATCCTCGACAATTCCTTGGCCAGTCGCTTTCAACAGGGCCTCTTTTAAACACTGAAAATAAAATCAACCTTAAATTACGTCCGTATTTCCTTTGCAACCTTTTTTCATCACCTCCCTGCACCAACTTACCCAATACCGATAAAACATGGTCATCTTCATCTGATCCGTCGCTTGAGTCCTCATATTTTTCAACTCGTCGGCCGATGCGGACTTGGCCATCGAATTTATGTACTGATCGGCGGTTTTGTTGCCTCTGGCCATGTCCAATCTCATCACATCGACGCCAACCTTGTCGGTGCAACTGGTCGCAAACACCGTGTAGTCGCCTTGATGCGAGGCGTTGAGGCCAATATTGAAGTTCTCGGGCTTCACAATGAAAGGTTTGCCGCGTTCCGTCCGTTGAATATCAATTTCATGCCAAGGAGTTTTTGCCATCTGAAAAGAAGCCAATTCATTTCAAATTTTTGATCAAACTGACTCAAAATGCATTGACGATACAAAAAAACAGTCCGTAATTAGTCCAGAAGACCTCTCCCACCCGTTTCCAACCCTAATAATCACGTCAAAACTTTATTTTACCTCAACAACGGCTCTTCTCAAGAATAATCGCCCAGCCAGACATGCCAATGTGTCTTCCTTGTGTCGGAAAGCGGTGATCTTTTCGTAATCTCCCTCATCCACACATTGGATAGCTTTCCGGTAGTCAGATTCGAACTAAAATTGCATTTGTCATCATTTCTATATTACACCTACATTAGGGTCACTCATCGCTCTTTGCAAACTGAAGGCCCATCTTCGGCAACGGCATTGAGCGTCAGACATTTTGGCAAGGCTTCGGATACTTTGAGAGTTAATTAACCTGAAAATAACCATTTTAATTAATTATTTTAATCATCAAAATATTTTTGCTGCTAAAACAACAAAAATTTTGAACGTTATTCTTTTTGTGTCAGAAAGGAGAAAGACAAGAAGGAATGGGGGAAAGATTAGGATCTCTAAAGTATTTGTATGTTGCTGGAAGCGAGAAGATCATCGTTTTACAGACAGAACTGCAAGAAAATTTTAAAGAAACATTGTTAATATCAAAAAATTTTTTGAGTCAGGTAAAATAGACCGTCTTAAGACCTGTAAATACCCTTTAAATTGCACTAGATAACTGGACCAAGAGAATTGGACGTAGTTTTAAAAAATTCATTACCATGTTTTGGCAAAAATTTTCAAAATCGAATTTTCCCCTTTTTCGAATTTTATCCTATTTTTTCTATAACTCGGATTACCAAAGCGATTGCAAAACAATCTGTAAACAAGTATACCTCTCGATAAAACGATTCGACAACTTCTCTCCCTCATCTTATGCCACAACCTGCCCCATTAATATCTCCCTTTCATTGTATTCGCCTTATTCCCAACGAAAAGCGCCCTCCCTTTCTTTTTCAAGTACTATTTCTTCGACAAAATGACCTTCAAGCCTCCCGACTTTGGTGCGATTTTATCCATTCAAAAATATCTCTCTGATCGACCCACTTTCTCGTCGCCGGTCCAAAAATTAGCTCCGCTCTGGGGAAGGGCCGAAGATGGAGGAGATTGAGCATGGAATTGAGAGCTCTCTTTGATGAAATGGGTTTTACCACATCACACCTGCAACAATTTATTTATTACACATCAAACATTTCAATAAAACCTCGACTTCTCCCAAAAAAATCAAAATTAATATTATTCATGACGACCTAAACTTACAGTACTGGTTTTGAATAGTAAATCAACCTCGAATCTAACAAAAAAAACCTTCCCACTTCCCTTCAACGTACTTATTTTTCATTTTTATTACAATCTTTCCTTAGAAACAATAAAAACGTTCAATTACAACAACTTATATTAGACATGAACAATAATTTAGAAGATAATAAATAAGGCTCGATAATACAAAAGAGACTGTCGTAGGCGTTTCCGCATACATTCAGGACTCATTTACTCCTAGCTATAATAAATTTATACTTTAACCCATAAAATAATCAACAACAAACTTGATATTACAGTAGACAAGACGTCATAAAAAGATTGCTCCAGCTGATAAGATCAAACAAACAGCTTATTTGGCCTTCTTCTTGGACTCGACTTCTTGGCTGACGTTGCTCTCTGGGTAATGGTTTCTGAAGCTGACCCAGAAGTAGTATGGGAGAGCAGTGAAGGGGATGATCAAGAGGGCGAAGAGAAGCCAGGAACTCCAACGTTCTCCGAAACGGCGTTCGTATGAGCGCTGAGAGTAGATGGTGCCTTCTCCTGGGGCGGTAGAGTATCCAATACGGGCTTCCTTGGCGTCCTCAGTTGGGTAGTAAGAGATGACAGCTGAGGTGTGGTTGAAGAGGCCAAATCGGCGGGGCTTGACGACAACAGAGTGGGTCACATTCTCTCCTGGAGCAAGACTGTCCCAGTGAACCTGTAAAAATAACCGCATCACGTTTTATTTACTCTAACCATCATTTTCCTTCAATTATACATCTAAAAAACAAGTGCATTATAAAAAATCTCTTACCTGAAGCAGTCCCTTGACAAGCTCGTAGTCCTGAGTTGGGAATGCCTTTCGGTCATCAAGACGAACCTTGGTGGCTGGCTTGTCTCCAATGTTGACTAAGAAGTACTCCAAAACAAACTCCATGTTCTCAATGGCATACTGACTCAAAGGGGTCTTGGAAGCGAGGATCTTGGCCGAGTTCAAGGGTGCCTTTGGTTTCTCGAGGAGGACATCTTCCTGTGCGACAACAAGAGCCAATACACAGGCAAGGACGACAGTTCTCAACATCTCTACCTGCAAGATCATATTATTCATGACAAAAAGACCATAAAAATTCGAAAAAAAGTAAAGAAAAGTAAAATCCAAGTAAGTTCAGGTTAAATAACCTGTAAACAGCCTCCGTACACAAGAAAATATTGATAAAACTTTATACAGTAATATATCTTATCCTAATTATCAAAAATCAGCAATAAAATTGATATCAGTCAAAATGAAAGCCGATTTTTGTAAACAGCTACCAGTAGCATTGACAAATAAACAACAGGGGTATAGACTACGGCAATTGATGGCAATCTTGGTTGAGATATGACGAGAATTTAGGCGATCACACCTTTTTCCCTGAGCTTCTTCACCAGGGTTGGTACATCCTCGACGAAGCCTCCGGCTTGACGGACTGGAGGTTCAGTGACCTAAAATTCAAATAAAAATTTTGGGAAACATTCCACTTGCCTCAAGGATCTCAGTTTGGACAGTCAAGTCAACTCCCAATTTGTCAGGGGTAATTTTTTCCAACGGCTTCTTTTTGGCCTTCATAATATTGGGCAAAGTGGCATAGCGAGGTTCGTTGAGACGGAGATCGGCCGTTACAACAGCTGGCAACTTCACTTTCACTGTTTGAAGACCACCATCAACCTCACGGGTAACAGTCAACTTTCCATCGGCATGTTCGACCTTTGAAGCAAACGTGGCTTGAGGCCAATCGAGGAAACCAGCCAAAAGTTGGCCAGTTTGGTTGGCATCATCATCAATGGCTTGTTTGCCGAGGAAGACAGCATCATACTTGTCCCTCTTGACTAATTCAGCAATAGATTTGGCAACATGGAAAGGTTCTAGCTTCTCGGCGGTCTTGTCATCTACTTCAACATGAATTGCTTTGTCTGCTCCTTTGGCCAAAGCAGTCCGAATGTTCTCCTATAAAAATAGAAGATATAAAAGACAAGCTATCATACGGAAACATTTTTCAACATTTTAGATTGGAATTCTGCGCATTACATCGAAAATTCGATCTTACACTTGCTCCAAAAGAAAAATTGGGAATATCCGCAGATGAAAGGGTCAATACAGGGTTCTAACCCAAAAAAAATAATAAATCACATCTCTTACGCCCTTTTAAAAACCTAAGAAACAACAAAAATCGTAAACTACTCACCGTACACTTGGCATTTCCAATGGAAACAACCACAACCTCGCTGGCTTTCTTGGCCTCCTTCAGCCGCACGGCCTCCTCCAACGCAATCTCGCAGAAAGGATTGATAGAATGGGCCACACCATCCTTGACAACTCCGGACTTGTCAGGCTTTACTCGGATCTTGACAGCATAATCGACCACTCTCTTGACTCCAACCAAAATTTTCATCGCTGAAAAAGCGCCAAATCAGACGTCGAAACGGGGCGTGGTTTCGAGGGCTTGCAGTCCGGAAACACGTTCAACATGTCCGTCAGCTCGGAGTTTATTCAAAAAGACCTCCAAGATGAATAAACAAGGAGTTCTTAGGGGGTTTTCAATTCTTGTTACCTATTCCTCAAGGATAATATAATTTTCGCGGAACGACAGTAAACATTTGCCGCCAAACTCCCCCAAAGGCAGCCAGAAATCCCTCCCTACTAGAAGTAAACCTTGAAAACGCTAAAGTTCTGAAATTTAAATGAAAACATTGGGTTGTTCAAGCACAAGAAACATAAATGGGCACTCACTGATCAAAGTCCGCACTGATGGACCGTGAACCGAAAAAATAAGAGTTGATTTTTTCGACGGGACAGACGAACTGCACAAACACGTCAGCGGCACCAAGAGAGCGAGACAAATCGTAGTATCGAACTGCGCCCGAGGTTGGTGCGAACGCGAGAGGAGATTTTATACGAAGGAAGTGTTTAAGGAAATTGATGAGAAGAATCAATTAAAAAGTGATTTTTTATGATCAGCTAGATGTTGGGATAGCGTAAAGTTTCTTTTCAGAAGCTGTAAATGATAATCCTTTGTTTTTCGACAATCTTTTTTTTAGTTTATGTCCAGTACAATATGATCCTGTCGCCCCACCTGTATCTCACGTGAATACTTCCTGATCCGCTGCAAATTTAAAGCACATCCCCTTGCTCATCCTTATGTTTTTGTCGTTTTTTGTGTTGCGCAACCCATTGGAACGTGAGTGGCGGAATTCAGCCCGATTATACGACGGGGAAAGACGGAGGAATTGAGTCGCCCATGATGGAGCTGGTCAGTCGGACGTACTTTTTTGTTTGACCATGAAGAAGGCGATGGCGTAACGAAGGAAACAGCTAATTGTACGGAGGATGTGGGGTAAAATTGCAGACGGAAAATGAGGTGAAAAATGTTGCAAAAAAGTTATGTAATCCAACCCAAAAGAATGCTTATAGTTCGATGAATATTACAGAAAAATACATGAAATTTGATGAGTATTAAGAGCAAGGTCTGACGTCAATTTGAAGTAACAATTGCGATGATATTTATTGCGCAATCACGGGTATCACAAAAAAATTTCCCAGCGCAAAATTTATAGACAAAAAGCGGGTTTTTATGTTAGATTCCGCAAAAGTAATACATCCAAATGTCATTAGCAGAAAAATAAAGTCACAACATCCTCATATTTTAAGTGTTCAAGTCATAATTTACACAAAAATTTTAAAAAAATGTCAAATTTTGTCAACTGATATTGTGAATAGTATACAAATAATTCGATCAATTAGGTTGTTTCTCCGTTACTTTTTTATGAACTTTGGTTTACAATATAGTAAAATGGCTAAACCAATTAAATTTTTATAGCCATTAAAGTTATGCAGTGAAATTTAGCGAAAAAACTTTACTGCAAAAAAAGCATTCCTACGTCGCAATTGTTTATTGTTAACTTTCATTTCGTATCATCATAAATTTGAATACGAATTTTACTGTCTTATTCTCAACAACATCAGTGACTTACGTGATGCTGTTATGGAGTCATAGGTAAAGTTTTTTCATTTGATTTTTAATTTATTTCGTGATTACTTGCTCATTAATGATCATGTAAAATATTGCGAAAGAGTCGCCTGACCTTTACTCACCTGCGAATCCACGTTCTTCCCCGGATTTTACGGGATTTCCGCGAAGAAGATCTAGGTGTCGAACTTGACATGCATTGCGTAATTTGGGAGGGGTTGCGAAAACATTCCCGTACGAGAACGTTCCGGAATCCGTCTTCCGGAAGAGCAAGGATTAGATGATCTTTGAGCAAGGTAAAACATAATGGCATGGGATTTGCGATCGATGACGTTCCTTGTGGGCTTCCAGTAGCTCCCAAGGAAAATGCAGAGCCACAAAAAAAGGATTCTATAGGTAGCACTATAAACAAGATCAACTTGTCATGCTAGTCGCAAAAAACGGCTAAATTCTATTCTACAAATAACCAGAGTAACGTTAAAGTCTAAGAATTTGTTGCAGATGCTGTGGTCTCCCTGTAAGACCTTATTGTTTTTATATCCTAGCTGCTTCAGCAAAGCTCAAGGTATGGAGATATATAAATAACTGATGCTCAAAGGATTACAATTTTCCCAGGCTTCTTTACTTACAGTAAATGTATATAAATGTTACGAGAAGGGCTTTGATATGTATAAGGAAAGCCTTGCTCAGAAAAATATAAAAACGCTTACAATTTGGACTGCGGTTAGCTGGGCCAACTGGATGCTAACGCACTTTTGATCGGCTCAAGCCATATAAAATTGTATTGATTTTCTCTGACCTCCTTCCCTACGATCCGCCTCATAAGTCCAAAACTTCTTCTATTTTTGATTTTGCTATGTTTGCATTACCTTAAGTGTAGTTTAGTAGTTTAGACCACCTCACTTTCTTATTTCTTTAAAGTTCCCTTGAACTTCCTTCATAGCCTACCAACATTTCTGACCTTTGTTTAATCAACTTCAACTTGCTTTGATCAATCGAACTTGTCTTGGTTTCCCGTGAATTCCTTACTATTTCTAACCATTACTTTTAACTGTTTTCCTGACGTATCTTTACTATTTAGCTTACAATTTTAACTAAAAAATTACAAAAATCACAGTAAACAAAAATTTGATTACAGTTACGCAATAGTGTTTATTTTTAGCTCTAATTCGAGTAAATTGGGTGAGAAAAGCCGCCGGAGGGGAAGACGGTGGGGCGGAGACTGCCCGGAGGCATTTTTGTCGCGACAAAAATCCCCCAAACGTCCAGCAGGCGGTCGATTAATCGCGCAAAGAAGGTGAACTCCTCCTTTTTCGAGGCCTTCATCCTTGATTGAAGACTCGCTGCGGACTACTTTGAGGCTTGACGATTGAGGAAGGAGCTAAATCTGAACTCTGTTTACTGAGTTACTGTACCGATATTACAGTACTAGAAACAATTCTAACGGCGTAGACTGTTGTTTTACCTCTAATAATAAGGATTTCCCTAAAACCCGCCAACTTTGGGAAAGAAATGGAGCTAAAATTGTAAGTTTTAGATGATTCCTCTGCCTTTTGCACTCTTTAATGTATCTTTGACGCTATCCAGAGCTTGATCCACATATTTAATAATCTGCTAAGGATTCGAAAATTCGCCAAAAAGTTCCCTTGAAACCTTGATTTTCTGATGACTTTTCCAAAATATTTTAATTAATTCAATTTTTTTTTTCAAATTAACACTTTTATGAATTTTACAATAAGCTCATGCACATCCAGCTACCCGGAAATCCCATTCCAATCTTTCGTCGAAGCTCTCGCGCGCTTTTTAACAGCATGTCAAGTGACCTTTAGCATACGTACAAAACGGAATTTTCGAAAAGCTCTTGACGTTTTGAAGAAAATTAAACTTGATGAACTTTTCTTCTTTCAATTTTTGCGTTTATTTTGATTTACCACAAAACAGTTACTTTTGTAATCAATTAAAATCCCTTAGGCTACAAGCCATAGCAGATTCAAGACTATTTTTTGATTTCTCTGCCACTTTTGTGGTTCTCTGGAAGGGGGTAAATGGGGTGGACTAATTCTTATTTGTTCAATTCATTGCGCATCTCCGTTCGCTTCGACCTTGCTCTATATTTCAATAATTGAGAAGAAGAGCTTCTTATTCATCCGGTCTTTGCAAACTGTTTGAGAAAAAAGTCCTCGGATAACACGCTAAGAAATCGCGATACTAAACAGGCGAGATGAACAGTCAGATTTTGATAGAACTTGGACATATTTCAAGCCTACAAAATGGGACTTTTTCAAACGCTTTGGGAAATCTAGACGCTTCACGCCAAGAACGTTTCTTGTAGATCAATTCTAAGCCTTGAATTCAACGATGACATAAAGAAAAGTAATCGAAATCTTTCAGGAACCTAATTCTTTGGACGACTCTGCTTTCAACATTTGAACTGGCAACGTCCTCAATCTTCGCTTATTCAGATGCCATTCCGGTGATTCTAAACCCAATAAATGCAGAGCAAATCGCATTCATGCATCCTAAAATGCTACCGGTATGTTTTAACTGCTGTAAATTTGCTTTTTAAACGAAAAGTTTAAATTTTTCTAAGTCTTGTAGATGATCTTAGAATATATAAAGAAAGGTAATTGCAACGGGGCCTCCGGGTTTTGCAGCTTGTCTGTGGGCCATACCTGGATATCCGGGGTAATTTTAAACGTTACAATTACAGTTTTTTTAGATTTCTATGACCATAAATTTTGCCTCTTCTTTGACTTTTTTATGTTTTTTCATCAAAACGCAATTTCCCTTAATTTACCGTATTTTTGTCAAACCCTTCGTATCCCATACCTCATCCTACTCATCCCTCATCCCCCAATTTCCCTTCAAAGATCTTTCGGATTTGCGCGATGACGCAACGCTTTAATTACCTTATCCCTCATTGGTTACTCTTCCTTCCCCTTCCGTGTTTTTGCAGCAACACCTTGACCACTTTTATATCCTAATTAAAATAACGAGTTTCGTCCCTCGGGCGGTGTTTTTACCCTGTTTTTGGGGAGTCCTTAGCTAACCTTGACCCGCTGTGGTTGCGAATCCGATATCAGCGGCTGATCCTGTGAATGTCAGTCGAGGATGGGGAATGTGGAAAGGGGTGAGGGATAAGGAAGAGGAGGACAATTTATGAGTGTTTTCATAGTTTCAAAATGAAAAATGAAAGAATTTTGAAAGTGGAACCTGGAGGATGTTGAGGATGTTATGATAGTAAATTTCGTGGAAAAAACATGAAAAAGCCCTCGTCGATAAGAAATTGCTGTGGAATTTTTACAGTGCTCCAGTCGGAAAAACAGTCAAGTGGTAGATCACACAATTCTGAATTTGGTTTCAAAAAGTCTCAAATCATCAACAAACAAAAAATTTTTGCTGATTTTGAAAACAGAAGGTATCGAAATTTCGTCGTGACAATGAGGCTTAAAAAGAATTAGTAATCTTTGCATGGCCATGAAAAAAATACTCTGAGAATATAATACATACATACATATTATACACTATGCATATAAAAATGATCTTAATTTTGCTATTTTTTTAGCTTCAACACTCCCGATCAACAGATTCCCCATCTACAGCACAAAACAACCCGACCAATCCTTCAACAAAAACTCCAAAGCAACGCCGGTCATTAGCCGCGTCATCCGTTGAAGGCTCATCGTCTCGACGAAGCAAGCATCTGATGTTGACAAAACCTTTTTGGCCTTGGCCTTAACATACCTAATTATCTATAGCTTCCATCTTTATTCCAATCTCTTGTCAGTCTTTCGACTAACTTAATATTCCTCAACCAAGCCATCTCAGCGACCTGTCTTGATCTCAGCTCAATAATAATCGCCTTGTTTAATAAACAGTATTACAATTCATTCTCAAAAAGTATCTTGTTATTAAGTAAGGTTTAAACAGTATATTCTACATACAATTTTTGATTTTAAAGCTTAAAAAAGTAACTATTTATTGGGTTCTCCCGTTACCAGGTTCTGTATCGCCGACCCGGCTTTGACTTGGCATTCGCAAAAGGAGGAGGCGGATAGGGTTACGGTAGTCAGTTTGTAAGTGTCGTTCCGTAACACCTCGAGTAATCTTTCGCCGCTGTTGCACATACCATAGCCTGAAATTTAAAAAAAAAATTTTACATATATAATTTCACAACTGGAAGAAGTGTATACGTCAAAATGCAGTAATGTCTCAAGGTGTAAAAAATGCATGAGGCGTATATTACATATAACCGCTAAATTTCATAAAATGAACGCTTGATATTCACAATTGTGCTTACCAGATAAGCAATCCGTGTCCCCATCGTGACAAATCAGTTCGTTTATGAACTGCGGGAAGTAATTTGCTGGCAACTGCCGCCACGCCCAGCATTTGGAACACAAACTGAGAAGACCACTGTCCGAACTTCCATCTGGTGCTGAACCTTTCGTTGTGCATGACAGGTTGTAACGGGTTCCTAAAAGTAAAGAGAATCACCCCATGCGTATGTCATCATTTCAGCTTACCAATCAACGTGGCATTAACGGGATCAACAACTTGTCTGCTGAATCTTTTGCTCATAATCAAGTCCTCAACATTTCTGGCTTTCTTCTTGCTGCCGCTTTCTAAAAATTCGATAATAATTTGTACAGAGAAGACTAACGCCTACTACTGTAGTCGACGGTATCCGAATTATTTCTGGCAAATCGATACCGACTGCAAGTAGTGCCTAGAAAGTCATCCGAGTCATGTTCGACTGGCTCAATGAAGTTCTTATAGCCTTCGGCGCCATAGAAATCTTCAAAAAAGCCAATTTGCCGAAGACGCTGGTTCATCATTCGACGACAAGTCTTGCATTCTTTGGAAGTGCAGGAGAGCTAAAAGACAGAAATAGTGTAATTTTATAAAATATGTAATACTAAATATTATAGGAGGCTTTTGAAAAATAGCTGCCATTGACTTGTTTTTAAATTTTGCGTACTGAAACCAGACATTGCCACGGTCAAAATTTCGGCTCCGCCTCCGGCTCTTAGCTCCCAGAGCCGGAGCCGAGGCCAAATATGCAGCTCCGGCACTCGGCTCCGTGCAAATTTAAAAAAGGTTTATTAAAAATCCAATCTCAAGGCAAGCAGCGACCACCAATGCCTTTTACAGAATTTGTCTGACATGGCTAAGATTGCAAACTAGGAGATCCTGTCACTCAGTCACACATTTTTGCCATAAATTTTCAAATTCTAGGGCTTTATTTCATAGCATAATGATATGGCTAATCAGGAAAAACTCCGTTTTTATTAACACATCAAACAACCTTGAGTTCACTGTGCCCCCTATAACCTCAATTCAGAGGCCTTGCTAATTCACTAACTCGATCTTCTCTCCCGTTTTATGAAACTTTTTTTGCACTTTGTATCATGTTTACAAACCTCCCCGAGTCCCATTTGAACTTACATCGTCATCAGTGACTGTCATTTCCGCAGGCTTTTTCTCGAATAATAAAGTCATATCCTCGAAGAAATCGATGGCTTCCTCGATGGAAGTGGCTTGGAATCTCGAATCATACCTCAGGCATCCATTTGTATTGGGATTTACAACACAGGGACACTAAAACATACAAATTTTTTGGTGTATACATAAAATAGCACTAAAATATCGGCCAATTTTCTTAGAGAACATCTGGATTTGGCTCATATTTTGCGTTAGTCGTACAGAGCAAGCATATAATTTTTTTCATTTTTGCCAATGCTTTCAAACAAAGGCCAATTTATTCAACAAATCTACGGGCGAAAGACTATGGAAAATGAGGATGAACGCCTTTGGCGATATCTCTGCAAGCTTTAGACGTAAACATTTGGAATTTCCTTTTATAAATTATGCATTGAGCTGCGTTATCCTCAAGATCGTCAAAAAAGTTAAAATTTCCTCCAAATTCTGCCTAAAAATCGCTCTTTTCTGCAAAGCACTTCCAAATCTCACACATGCCTTTGAAATTTCAATTCTAATTTTTCCTAGGTTTCATCAAAATTAAAGAAAATATTTTGACCCATCTCTCTCTACTACAATACAAATAAATATATTTGTCACAGCACAAACTTGACTTACTTTATCACTACTGACGGGTGTAGTAGTACTGTCGGGTCGCAAAAATTGTAAAAGAGTAAAGAACGAAATTGTTAAAAACTTCATGATTAAAACAAATAACGAGAAATTGTTGAAAACTGTTTCGGATTTACGTTCATTTGAGAGCGTGATCAAGGTAAATGCCTACTCTCCGTTAGGTAGTTGAACCTGATGATGGGGAAGGGGGAAGAGAGGGAGGTTGGAAAGCGAGATCATGTCTAGCTTGTGTTCGGAAAAGGGATAAAGAGCATAGAGTATATAGGGAGGTTGTGAAAGGCAACGGGGGTTACGGTAGGAATAATCTAAACCCCACGGTGTTATTTTAACAATAACATGCGCAGGTGTGATAAAAGACATGAGTTAACGGATCAACATATCGTTGATTTTTTACAGGATGATGTCAAAACATATATGATTACTGATATCAGATCAAAGTTTATAAAATTTACATGAAAAAAACTCTATCTTCGCATCCATCAAAAGTGAAATAGGATTGCAAAGTATATTGCTAATGTGTGTTGTATTTAGGCACGGCCTCTGGTACCCATTTTCAATGTATTCTACCGTCCAAATAACCGTTCCTTTCCTTACAAATCCGCTCAAATCTCTCCTAATGACCGTCCAAAGTTCCTCGCCCTTCAGTTCCCACGGCATTTGTGTTGCGATAATCTCCTCGAAACAGTTCGTCAATCATCTCAGAGTCTCCGTGCGATTGTATCTTTTGCCAGAGGAGATTCCTTTTGAGCGGATAAATTCTTGAGGCGAATCTGTCATATCCAAGGTCGGACGTGTGAGACTGTCGGGGTGTTGGAGGATAGGGAGGGGTCCGGATCAGCGTCGATGATAAACAAATTGTTTGTTGTTGGAAAGGGACGGCTTTGGTGCAGACGTGAATGCTATATAGTCGAAAAAATTTTAATTTTTTTGTCTCGAAATTTTTGCCAAAAAGAATTCATGAATATTTTGGTTACATTTCCTAATATGTTTTTGCAACCAAAACATCGCTTTTGCGCATTGTTGCCAAGCATGAGGTTGTTGCAAATGTAAGGCTCCCCAAACTTGCGTATTAAAATTTTTACCCTTTCATAAAGATGTGTAGCACTACCGTAATTTTCTAAAAATCTCAATTTTGCCATGACCTTTGATAACCAATTTTTTATGAAAAATTGGGCCAGTGACTTCATCTTTAACTCAACATCCCCAATGACCTTCTCCATCGACCCCAAATGCCTCTAAACACCCAAAAATGCGAAGAAATCTCCATCCCTTCGCTGTGACGCAACCGATGACTAACCCATCAACTATGTGTTTTCTTGTTTTTAATCCCTTTTTCTTACTTCCAGCCTAATCCCAATGGACTTTCGAAACCTCCAAGCGTTTGCATAGCTCCCTTTTTTATCATGCGAAACATACGAAAGTTGGGATAATTCGTTCCGTGATTTCCGCCACCAGTTTGATTCGAAATGGCGCCAATTTTGTAGGTCCTCGATTCGCGACTCCCTTTTTTCGCGTTCTTCAGTTTAGAGCGGTTTAGAGAGGTGGGGATGGAGAGATCGAGCTGCGCAAGAAAAGGGCAAAAGTACGCGCCTGGAATAAGTTATTCTTAATTCTTTCGGGCGATTCGCCGGTTCTGGAGGATTGAATGGACGGATAGTGGTTGATAGGGATTTTTAAATGCGACTTTGGGGGGAATTGGCAGGAATGTTTGCAGGGGTTTTCGGGTATACTCGTGCTTTTGTAAGTTTTACACAGTTCCTAGTATTAAGATTAGCATTATCTATGACTCTTTGACGTTTCGGAAGATAGTGAACGATTTTTTCAGACAAGAGACTATAGAGAATGCGGAGAGGCGTTCAGAGAAACCCCTTTTACGGTATTTTCTTTGCGGATTGAAAAAATTATTTTGCAATATTTGTAAAAAAATGGATCGTTTATCTCAAAAAAACTACAGACAATGCCCAAATGTTTATTGCTTACAGCAAAAATGCCAATTTTCACACTTGCAGCAACTTTTCTCCAATGTTTTCGATATTTGCATAGAACCTCGGAGCTGGTTCTTCCTAAATATTCCGAGTTCCTTTTTTTGCGCCTACTAGATCGGGCGAACGCACTTCAGAAAAGAGAGACGGTTTTCGGATCTTTTATATTCTTCATGTTCGGATGAGCAAATCTTTTCCCTTTCTTGGTCCGTCTTTCGTTTCACCGGGTTTTTGAACTTTTGGCGTGAAAATTCGCGGAAGAAATTAATTTTTTGGTTCAAAGCGTCTGCTTTAGTCACTTTGCCTCAGGGGATTTTTGCTAAAATATGCAAAATCCAAAAATTCTTCAACTTTTTGATATTATGTTTCAATATTTTTCTTAAAAAATCTGTTTTCCACACAGGGCTGTTGTAAATTGAAATCTAATCGGCCGAAGATTCATTTGGGCCCCGGAGCTGGCCGAGTCACCGTTTTTCAACCAAGAAATCTCTGTTGGAGGGTTTAGTCAGCGGAATTCGTCCTGTCAGAGCGAATTTTTGGTTTGGATGTTATTACGTTCGAGCATTTTTTTGGCCTTATCATTGGCTAGGATTGTCTCAATTTGGAGGGTGTGAGGTTTCTAAAAAACTGTCTCTAATCTATGCAAAATTAGTTCTAGCCACATATGAATGCCTGAAAGTTTCAGCTTGCGCTTTGCAGCCGCATCTCGAGTAACCCTGAGCGTCGCCCTCCTAACAATTCCCTTGTGAACGCAATTGCTTTATCAAATTTTATTCCGGTGTATAGCCAAAATTCTAGGCTTCAAAACTACATACAAAGTCCTTGTGACTTCCGATTAGTCATCAAAAACAAAGTCAAATGGCATCAGAGAATAAACGCGCGCCAAATCTTGCACATTAAAGCCGTCCTTTTTATCGGTTGGAGGAGAAACGCGCGCTCTGGAAGGTGGTGTTCCGTCGTTCTTCATCGCTCTTCCAATCTAATTAACGGCTTTCGAACTGTATTTTGCAATGTAAACTGTACAGTGGCTGTTGTTTTTTACATGAATTTTGGTACTGATCAAAAAAACTGACATGATTCCATTTTAAAGCCTTTTTTGGAAAATTAAAAATTTTGGGGTTTCCGTAGGACCCACTCTACATCTCTAGGACCTCCATAGATTTGCGTTCAACCCACTAAAGTCTCAAAAAAATTGCTTTGGTATCCAGCCCGCTAAATTCTTTTAGCCCACGCACAACCTTTTGATTCAATGAACCGGGTTGACAAAACTTTTTACCAAGATGTCATCAGGGTCATTCTGGGCTTTATGGGCTTTCAAATACACGACAAAAACAAAATGCGCATAAAAAATCAGAAAATGGTAACACTGTCTGTAGTCTAAGCTTCGTAAAATATCGCATTCTAAACTATTTTTTCGAAATTCCAATCATAATTTACTCCGATTTTGACGAATTTTTATAATTGACGAGTTGCCCATGGGATATCCCGACTGCATTATAAACCTTAAATTTACCGCTTTTTTTATGTTCTCCATAAAATCACCTCGTCACATATAAATCATTTGCGTCATACTTTATTGTAATTTCCCAATATGTTCATGTCTTTTTTGGTATCATTTTTTATGGCGTGTTTTGAGGATATTTTCACCTCCATTTCCAATTCCAAGACGCCCGTGGTGGGAACGCAACCTTCCATTCTTTTTGATTACTGATCTTTCTTTTCGAAATTCCTTGGCGATTATTTTGAGGTTCCAGGGAGACAGAATTTTTGAATTTTTGGGAAATTTTCATTACAAAAACTACGTCATACTCGCTTTCTGTATCTGGTAGAACTCTGTGCGCAACAAATATACAGTTATTTGAAAGAGCAAAATACAAATTATATTATCCATCTTTCCCTTGATCAAACAAATATCCAAAAAAAGAAGTTGCTCCTCACTTTTTGACACGCTGTCAACCCGCGAAAACCGAAGATTGTAACCGCGAATTCGACCAAAAGTTCAGCCCAAAAAAAGAGTTTAAGTTTCGCGCGCACCGAAACTCAGTAATTGCCTTATTTGTTAGTAACTCGCCCTTTATTCCAATCCCTTCCAAGGTTATAAGTTCGAATACAAAACGTCCAGCGGATTCTTGGAGAAAGATTCGCGGTTTCGGGGTGTCAAGGAGCTGAAGAAAAGAGGGGTCAGAGTTGTAGGGGGAGATTTATTGAGAAGTAAGCGGATTGTTATAATATTAGTAAATTTTTAGGGGTTTCTATTCGTTATGATATTTATTGTGATATCAAAAGAAAGTATGGTATTTTTTATATTGAAATGATAATTGTTAGACAAACATAACGGCTATATCTGTCAAAATGAGGTTAAAACACGCAAAACATAACTTTCTTTTGTACTATTTAGAGTCAGCAGAGGTGAGAAGGAATAAATACGGTATTATAAAGCCTTTGTCGACATATTTGGTACAAAATATAAATCAAGTCAGTTTCTGTTTGTACAAATTCCCACATGTTTATTTATTGAATTTATGAATTTGTAATGAGGATCATGTAATCATCAACAACCTCATTATGGTCTATCGATCGCCTTGATGCAATTTTACAACTTTCAAATTCAAACTTTTTCCTTTTAAATTTTGAAACTCCAGTGATGAAACACGTTTATTTTTTTGCACACCACATTACATAGGTACTAGGTAACATCACCAATGATTGCATACATCCCTATAGCAATTTTTCTCAATTTCTCAAATTCCGTTCACCTCATAAATATGTAATCACAAGGCAATAAGCAAAATTTTTGGGAAGATATGTGGGTTTTTAATAAGCTTTATTCGGAATTTTGAGCGAAGCATTGGAATTTCCTCACGTTTCCTTATGCAATTTTTAATTCTATGAACAAGATTTTAGGTCTTAAAATTGAAATTCACTTTTTTGATAGGCAACTACCCTGACGAAATTATCTTTAGGGGGTTGAAAGAGTGTTTGTTTTTTAAAATGGTGTTTAAATCTAGTTATAGAGCTACTGTAACACCAAGCGCTCCTTGATGAAATCAGCGTCACGCGCCTCCAATTCCCAGCCCCTTTCTTTGCACTTTATTATACTTTCCCCCACTCCTCATTGCATCCCCTGCGATCCGAATTTTGTGGCCAACAAATTTGTCATTCGACATTTTTTCGAAACCAACTATAGCTCAAAAAAAAAATATTTTTTAGGGAAGCGTTGCGCCGAAAAAACTGACTCATCCCACAGAAAACGCAGCGTCTAGTTGCGGGGGCATCTAGTTTGGGGTCTCTGAAGGAATCCCTCTTAGTTTGGTGGGGCCTGGAAGGGAATCATCGTTCAGGAGCCCGGATTTAATAGTAGTTATTAGTTATGCTAAAGGCAGAAACCTGACAGTCTCTTCTTTGTAAAACTTTACTTACAATTAGCTTGTCAGAAATTGAGTTCCTAAAAAGGAGATTCTTTGATGTGCCACGCATATAATTTTATTTAAAACGCGAACATAAGTCTGGATCCGGAATGTTTCTAGAGCGGCAGAGAGACACTTCTCGGAGTCAATTGTTCCCTTGTTTATCAGAGGGACAGTTGGCCGCGACCAGGGGTGGCAAACGGGCCTCTTTTTCCAAATTTCAGGCCCGGGGCCCGGCCCGGCAAAATCCCAGGCCCGGCACGGCCCGGTTCAAAATTTTGCAGGCCCGGCCCGGCCCGGCCCGGTAGAAATCAGGCCCGGCCCGGCCCGGTAAAAGCCCGATTAGGGCGCGAGCTGGAAATTTTCCTTTGATCTTACCGCCTTTGTAGTGTGCTAAAATCTGCTAAGAACTATCCTATATGTATTATATGTTCTAATTTGGACCTTATATTATAACATATATGCAAAAAAGTACTATAAAGTAGTAAACTATTGTAGAACTTGATATACTAAAAATAGAAACCTATCCAAAAATTTTTCCGGCGCGAAAACATTGAATGCCAAACGCTTGGCATTTCGACAAAACCGGGCCGGGCCGGGCCTGAAAATGGCTCAGGCCCGCGGCCCGGCCCGGTAAAAAGCAGGCCCGGCCCGGCCCGTTTCAAAATTTGTCAGGCCCGGCCCGTTTAGGCCCGATCGGGCCGGGCTTCGCCGGGCCGGGCCGGCCCGGCCCGGTGGCCACCCCTGGCCGCGACATAAATTTGGGTCAACTCTTCCCTCGATGAGAAAGTTTTTCCCCGAAAAAGATTTTTTATTTTTTCGATGTTGCGGATGGTTTAGTTTTTGGGTAGACGACTTGTAAACTTGCCAATTTATATATTTTATTATTTTATTCTCTCCCGATTATGTCTCCCTTTTGTTTTTTCTTGCTGAGGAACTTGTCGAATTTTGCGATGTTGTTCTCGCGACTTTTGGGACCTTGTATAACATTCAGTTGTAAACTTTGGCAGTTTCTCCTCTTTTCTTGCAGGTTTCTTTGCAAGAATTTTTTTATTAGAAGATAGACGAACTATTTCGATGTGGGCTAGCTGGAAAGACTCGCCCTTCGTTGAGCTTATTTTTAATTCGTATCTTGTTCAAAAAATTCTGAATTTTTTTTAGCCTCTTCCATATTTTTACGTGATTCTGTTTTCCCAAGTTTCACATCCTCACTAATATTTTACTGATGCCTTTATTTGATGTAAACCAATTTTTTTGTCTCGCCGAGATGCACCGTTTATTTTTTGTGATTTCTTTGGCTATTGTTTTCATCCATAATATTTTTTTGGTTTTTTGAAATCGCCTATCAAATATTCGTTTTACCGTGATTTTACTTGTTACCAAAATTCTACTGTACAAATTTTCAGCTGAGGTCCTTGGAAAAAAAAACCGGTAGAATTCGAAGGCTTTTCCCATCTTCTCCTTGTTGATCTAGCTCTTGATCTACCGGGATGTCGCGAGTCAGCGCGGCGGCAGCACGTTTCGGCGGCACTCGTCAGGACTCCACATCTGGCCGTGGTCCTCCCCGGCAAGAGTCGGTAGCCAGCCGAGGCTCTCCCCGTCTGGAATCAGCAGCAAATCGAGGAGTTCCTCGTCAAGAATCGATTTCAACTCGAAAACAGCCTCTGGCATCGGTGGAAAATCGTCTTCATAAGAGAGAATCGGTCCAATCTGATGGGCCAATTGACGCGTCGACCTCCGGACTCGATTGTTTGATGGTAAAACGGACAGCAGTTGCGGATCCCGCAATGCAAGCGGAATGGGCGCAGAAGAGACAAGTCTGGGTACCGCATGAGAAGGAGGGCTTTGTTGCGGCCCATATCAAGGAAGATAAGGACGAAATGTATCTTGTGGAGGTGGTTGAGACCGGTCAGCAGCTGAAGTTGAGCAAGGACGACTGTCAGAAAATGAATCCACCCAAGTTTGATAAGGTAAGAGAATCATGACGATTTTTTGAAATTTTTCGGTTGAAAATTTTATTTTTAAATAATATCCGATTTTTTCTTTCAGGTAGAAGACATGGCCGATTTAACATGCCTCAACGAAGCCTCAGTTCTGCATAATTTGAAGGATAGATACTACTCCGACCTTATTTATGTAGGTTCTCGGCCAAAAAAAAGAGGTTTCAAGCATCCTGCTACCTTTGCCATCTCTAAGAAGCCTTGTAACACTAAAATAAAACCTTTCAGACCTACTCCGGTCTTTTCTGCGTCGTTGTAAATCCCTACAAACGTCTTCCAATTTACTCCGAACAGCTGATCGACGCGTTCCGTGGAAAGAAACGTCATGAGCGACCTCCCCATATCTTCGCCATCGCTGATGTGGCCTACAGATCGATGCTGCAGGAGAGAGAAGACCAGTCGATCTTGTGTACTGGAGAATCTGGCGCCGGGAAAACGGAAAATACCAAAAAAGTCATTCAATATCTGGCTCATGTGGCTGGAATGAACAGAGGCTCCAAAGGAAGTAATTTGCCCAGCAAGGTAAGTTGAGGCTAATTTTCGATTTTTTTCCCTCGAAATGTCTGATAAAAATTTCGAATCCCGATCAATTTTTTCTTCTCATTTTTTGATTTATTTTCTATACGATATAAAATTTTACATCGATTTTTTATAGAGTGAGGATGCCTCCTTGCAATACGTAAGTAGTTATGAGTGTAAATCCGCATTTTCTTCTACTTTCAAGCAATTTTCTGCGTGTGTGAGGTCCGAAATGTCCTAAAATTGCGTTTTCCTCCACTTTTCTTGATTGAAACTTCTTTATTACTTCCTAAAATACTTTGAAATGTTCTTCATCTGGCTTGTTCGAAAAATGGAACAGCAAACCTGGTCGTATTTTACGTTTTTACAGTTTTTCTTATGAGAATTTTCAAAGAATCTCTTTCAATTGGCTTTTTATGTGATTTTCTTCCAAAACGATGACAATTTTATATTTTATTCTACTTCAGGGTGAATTAGAGAACCAGCTTCTCCAAGCGAATCCAATTTTGGAAGCCTTTGGAAACAGCAAGACCGTCAAGAATGACAATTCATCAAGATTTGTAAGTTTTTTTCGTTGAAGGTATCTTTAAGACTATTTTCTAATGATGACTAAAATTTTAATCACCTATTCACTTCAGGGAAAGTTCATTCGTATCAATTTCGACACCTCCGGCTACATTTCGGGCGCCAACATTGACTTTTATTTACTCGAAAAATCAAGATGTTGTCGTCAAGCGCCGAATGAGCGGTCATTCCATATATTTTACCAATTTTTGAGAGGAACTTCCCCAGAAGAGAAGCAGAATTATTTGTTGGAGGACATTGGGAACTATGCGTTCTTGAATAACGGAGCCGTAGCGGTCCCGAACGTTGATGATTCCAAGGAATTCCTGGAAACGATCAAAGCTATGAAGATTATGAGCTTTAGCGATGAGGAGATCACTTGTAAGTTTGTCAGGGGAATGCTACAGACATTTTTTTTTGAATTTATTTGTGTTAATGTTAGAGAAATTTTTGAACTACCGTGTGCACTATTTGTACTCGAAATTGATTTTTTTCCTTCTTTTTCTTCCAAACGTTTCCAAAAAGGGCCGAAAACAATTTTTCTTTAACCCGCTCTCTTCACTTTACATAGTATATCGTTAATTTTACCAAAAAAAGTACTTGAGTATTGGCCATTCCAACTAATGATGACTAAGCCAACATCTTTTTCAGCGATCCTCCGAATTATCTCCTCGGTAATGCTCTTCGGCAATATCAAATTCGTGCAAGAAAAGAAGTCGGATCAGGCATGTCTGGCTGACGATAGAGTGGCTCAGAAAGTTTGCCATCTTCTTGGACTTTCCGTTCAAGATTTTAGCAAAGCTTTCCTCAAACCGAAGATTAAAGTCGGCCGAGAGACGGTGCAGAAAGCCCAGAACAAAGAGCAAGCTGAATTCTCGGTAGAGGCCATCTCCAAAGCTACGTATGAGCGGATGTTCAAGTGGTTGGTGCAGCGAATCAATAAAAGTTTGGACAGAACTCGGCGTCAGGGAACTTCTTTCATCGGAATCCTTGATATTGCTGGTGAGTTAGGGGGAAATCGGGTGCAGAATTAAAATCTAGGGTGTTTTCTTGGTGTGCTACAAAAAAGAGACAGCTTCGGCACTTTTAAGACCTTTTCCGGGGCCTATTTATATTATCCATGACATTTTTAGGCTTCGAAATCTTCGAGATGAATTCTTTCGAACAAATTTGTATCAACTACACCAATGAAAAGCTCCAACAACTCTTCAACAATACTATGTTCATCCTCGAACAAGAAGAATACCAAAAAGAAGGGATCGATTGGCAATTCATCGACTTTGGCCTCGACCTCCAGCCCACAATCGACCTCATCGAGAAACATATGGGAATCCTCGCCCTCCTCGACGAACAATGCCTGTTTCCGAAGGCCACTGACAAAAGTTTTGTTGAGAAATTGACTGCGAATCATGAGAAGAACCCCAAGTTTGTGATCCCAGAGATGAGATCCAAATCAGATTTTGCTGTTGTCCATTACGCGGGAAGGGTTGATTACAGCGCTGACAAATGGTTGATGAAGAATATGGACCCATTGAATGAGAATGTGGTGGCTTTGATGCAGAATTCGTCAGATCCGTTCGTCCAAGGAATCTGGAAGGATGGTAAGCCAAATTTTTAAGGACTTTTTGGATGCAATGCCCGATTTTTGTGGTATCTCAAAGATTCTTGAAAAAAATAGAAAAGTTTGAAGATATTGATGACAGTTGGGTCAATATTTGATTAGTATGTTGTAAGAACTTTCTAGATTTTTAGGTCGAAAAGGGCCAAAACTGAATTTTTTTTAAGCGGTTTCTGGTTGAAATTGGCATACTGTATTGTTGATGACAAAAAAATCTTTGTAAATTTCGATGGGATGTTTTAATAACTTACCCTCATATCTATTTTTCAGCTGAATTCGCTGGAATGGGAGCCACTGAAGTCGCAGAGACCGCTTTTGGCGGAGTCCGAACTAAAAAGGGAATGTTCCGAACCGTCTCCCAAATGTACAAAGAACAGCTCCAAAAACTCATGTCCACCCTTCGCAACACATCCCCCAACTTTGTCCGTTGCATCATCCCCAATCATGAGAAGAAGCCACGAAAAATTGATCCATTGTTGGTCTTGGAACAGCTTCGATGCAACGGAGTTTTGGAAGGAATCAGAATTTGCCGTCAAGGATTCCCCAATCGGATTCCATTCCAGGAATTCCGTCATCGCTATGAACTGTTGGCCCCAGGAGTTATTCCAAGAGGATTTATGGACGGCAAGGAGAGCGTGAAGTAAGCAAATTGTAACTGTTTTACAGGGTCTTACAAAAAACGTGAAGGAAAGTGGAAGGCTATAACTTCCAGCGGAGGTGGCGCAGAGACTTCGTATTTGAAATATGTATTTTTAAAAGACATAAGTTTTTGTCTACGAAATAATAAGCTCATAAAGTGCAAACTGAGGTCGCTACGACCTTCTGAAGTAGAGGCATCTCTACCCCGAAAACCAGGTTTTTTCGGTTGAAAATGATCGAGAAATTTCGGACTTTTTCGGTTGAAAATCACTAGGAAATGTCGGATTTTTTGGGGGGTTCCGATATGGGTGATGTTGAAAAATAGGAGGAAAGTGCCAACACTTGCAAATTATCTTAAAGGCTACATCAAGAAACCCCCAAAAAATCCGACATTTCCTGGTGATTTTCAACCGAAAAAGTCCGAAATTTCTCGATCATTTTCAACCGAAAAAACCTGGTTTTCGGGGTAGAGATGCCTCTACTTCAGAAGGTCGTAGCGACCTCAGTTTGCACTTTAAGAGCTTATTATTTCGTAGACAAAAACTTATGTCTTTTAAAAATACAGGGTGTACCAAATTCGTGGCCCGATTTGAATTGGCTATAACTTCTTTAATTTTGGGCCAAATTAAAAAATTTTTTTTTCCCCAGAATCCCCAGACAACCCCATTTTGTCTGATACCAAATATGTTATACATAGGTAAGTGTCATCTACAGTTATTGGATTTATTCTTGGAGTTCATTTTTTCTTGTTTTTTTCCGGTCTTTCCCGGTGTGTCCGAAAATGGAGTACGGTGCGGGAGAAAAATACGGTGGAATTTCCCCTCCTGAAAATCGACGATGAGAATAAGAACAAAAAGTGAAGATCAACCTCCAGAGTTCGTCGAATGGTCCTTGGTGAAGGCATTCCCTCGGTTCTGGCCAAACTTCGTGTACTCATATACGGATTTTCTCGGAATTTTGACAAAACTTCTTCCATTTTCAGCTACGTTCGTACCCATCTTTCCTGCTTTTTTTGTTTCCTGTTAACGCTGCCAGTCTCAAGGAACTTATTCCACCAACGCCGAAATGTCTTGCGATCTGGGTTGGGCCTTATGTCCGTATTTCATCCTGTATTCCCTTTGAACATTTATCGGCGAACCGTATTTGCCATACCAAACCACAGACCAAGATTTTTCTTCCACACCGTACTCCATTTTCGGACACACCGGGAAAGGCCGAAAAAACAACCGAAAAACGACCAAAAAAATGAACTTCAAGAATAAATCCAATAACTGTAGATGACACTTACCTATGTATAACATATTTGGTATCAGACAAAATGGGGTTGTCTGAGGATTCAGGGAAAACAAGAATTTTAAAATTTGGCCCAAAATTAAAGAAGTTATAGCCAATTCAAATCGGGCCACGAATTTGGTACACCCTGTACATATTTCAAATACGAAGTCTCTGCGCCACCTCCGCCGGAAGTTATAGCCTTCCACTTTCCTTCACGTTTTTTGTAAGACCCTGTATATTAAAAGTCATGGAGAATATAATTCCAGTACTGAAAAGTAATTGATAACGTTTCAGGAAGATCCTAGATGCCTTGGAGATTGAACCCAGCAGTTATCGAATCGGAATGTCCAAGGTCTTCTTCCGGGCCGGAGTTCTGGCCAAATTGGAGGAAGATCGAGACATTAAAATTACCGGACTGATAATCGATTTCCAAGCCCGCTGCAGAGCCTTCCTGGCCCGAAGATTGTACGAAAAACGGGTCCAACAGAGCAGTGCTATCCGAGTCCTCCAACGAAATGCATATTCTTGGCTGAAGTTGAGGAACTGGGAATGGTGGAGGCTTTTTACCAAAGTTAAGCCACTTTTGCAAGTCACCAATCAAGAACTGGCCCTTCAGCAGAGAGATGACGAACTGAAGGTGGTCAGAGAAAAGGTCGGGAAGTATGAAAGCGAGCTGAATGAAGTTAACCAAAGATTGGAGAGTCTTCAAGCCGAAAGAACCAGATTACAAGATCAGTTACAACAAGAAACGGAGGAGAGAGCCGAAATTGATGAGATCCGACAAAGATTACATGCCAAGAACGAAGAATTGAGCGAAATGGTTAATGATCTACAGTTTAGGTGAGGAAAAACAAGTTTATGATTTGCACCCGATATTAGGCGATATTTTATACGATGAAAATGTCAAATAGTCCAATGTAAATTGACACAGATCGTTGTCAAAACTTTGATAAATTCTCATGGAACTTGTCATTTTAGACTCGAAGAAGAAGAACAAAGATCCTCGATCTCCTCGGATCGTCTGAAAAAGCTTGAGGAAAATATCCGAGACCTTGAAGAACAACTGGAGTCCGAAGAAAGAAAACGACAAAAAACCCATTTGGACAAGAATACCCTGGAAGATCGTCTAGTCAGGAACGAAGAGCAGATTGCTGAGCTTGTTGTAAGTTTCATCCGGTAATGATTTGGACTCCATTTTTGTTGAAATATTGAGATTTTTCAATATTACTTTAGGACGCGAATGACAAGCTGACAAAAGAGCGAAAATGGTTTGAAGAACGCGCCAATCAACTGGAAAATCAACTGGTCGAAGAAGAAGAAAAGACCAAGCATGCCAACAAACTCAGAGCCAAGTGGGAACAGCAATGTCAAGAGACAGAGGGAGAGTTGGAAAAAGAGAAAGCTGGAAGACATGAACTGGAGAAATTGAAGAGAAAAACTGACGTGGAACTGCAAGAAACCCGTGAACTTTTGGAAGAAAAGAGGAATAAGATCGAGGAGTTGAACATGCACTATCAGAAGGCTCAAGAGGAATTGAGCAGCTTGTACTGCAGGTAGGATCATAGTCTAGTGTAATATAAAAAGGTGTCGGAATTGAACGAATTCGGGATTTTTTTGACAAAAGAACTTTCTTTTGTCAATAATTTTAAGTGGATATTCTGTATGTAAGATTAACCGAGATTTTCCTTTAGATCCGACGAAGAGAACGCTCTGATTTCCCATCTCCAGAAGCAACTTCGTGATTATGAAACTCAGATTGAGGAAATCCGCGACGATTTGGAAAATGAGCGTCAACTTCGAATCAAAGCAGAGCAGAAACGAAAGGAGTTGGCTTCGGAGTACGAGACACTAAAAACCGAGTGTGTTGAGGCCGTGGATAAATCGCAGTTGGCCATGGAAATCCAGAGGAAGAAGGATGATGAATTAAGACAACTGCAGGTAAAATAAGGATAATATTGAAGAAGAAAAGGCTGTAATTTTGTAGTAAAAAGGGCATAAGAGCAGGTTAAAGGAATTTAAGGCCAGAATTTACTTGATTTCTGAGTCTATGTTGAGATTTTTCGACATTAAACTTTATGGAATTGTACAAAACATAACGAAATTCTTATATTTCAGCTCACAATCGAAGCCGTCAGCCAGGAAGGCCAAAAGAAGCTCGACGAGGTCCGACAAAAGTATCAGCGTCAAGTCGAAGAACTTGTCGATCAAATCGAACAACAAAAACGCCTCAAATCACAGGCTGACAAGTCCAAGGGGACCTTGGAGCAAGAGCACGAAGAACTCCGAGCTGAACTCGAAACTATCGCTGCCCAGAAGAGTGAGGCCGAGAAGAGAAGAAAACAAGCCGAAGCGGTTATTCTTGACCTCAGGGCATCGCTGGATACGGCTGAACAACAGATATTTGGTCTTCAGGAGCAGCTGAATAGAGTAAGGAGAAGAACACTGGCGGGAAATCGATACTTATGGGTGTTTTTGTAGGAAAAAACGGGTGTTGCGTCCAGTTGTTGGATGGAAATGTCAAAAATAGCATTAAGAATCAATTTTTTCTCGATTTTTGTGATTAGTCATTCTTGGTATTACAGTAGGCCGAAATTAAAAAATGAGAAATGAAAGCCACAATTTCATCCACTTTTAGTCATCATGAAGATATCTTGAGCAATACAGAGCCCGAAACAAAGATTTTATCGACCTTATTTTAGATCCAACCCGAGTTCGACGTCTCCCAACGCCAACGAGAGGAGTTCGAGCAGCTCGTCAACTCTCAGCAACACAAAATCAACTCCTTGGAAGGTCAAGTCACAGAGGCTCAGGAGCTTTTGGCAGATGAGACTCGTCAAAAATTGGCTGCTCAGAGCCAAGTTCGCCAACTCCAATCGGAGGTACAAAACTTGTTGGAGACCAAAGAGGAGCTCGAATTAGGCCAACAAAAATTGGAAGGTGATATTCATGCATTGAAGGTGCAATTGAATGAAGAGAAGAAGCGATCCGAGGAAGTCGTGGTGGTCCAGTTGGAAGAACAGAAAAAGAAATTCCAAAAGGAGCTGGAGAACGTCCAAAAAGAGGTCGAAGACATGCTTGGAGCAAGAGATCGGGCCGAGCGGGCAAAGAAGAAGTTCCAACAAGAGGTAAGGAGTGTCGTTGGACGTCTAGGGGACTGTAGATGAGCTAATTAGGCGGTTTGATAGGGGACAATTTTTAGTAATTTGAGGGGTCTAATGACACGGGTAATATAACGTGATAACTTAGAGGAGAAATAGACGATAGTGGCACAAATTTTTAGTGATCATCTTGTAGATATTACGTGTCAATAATTGGCTCACATTACTAATAAAATTGAGTGATAACTTGATTTGCAGGTGGAAGATCTCAATATCGAGTTGGAGAATGTCCGTACAACCTCCAGAGACGCCGATAAACGCCAGAGGAAGTTTGATCAACAACTCGCTGAGGAGAGAGCCAATCTCCAAAAGGTTGTTGCCGAAAGAGATGCCCTGGAACAAGACGCCAGAGATCGGGAAACCAAACTTCTTGGCCTTCAAAATCAACTTGAAGAACTCAAATCTCAGCTGGATGACTCGGAAAGAGTCAAGAGAATGCTTCAACTCGAACTGGAGGAATCTGTAAGCAACTTTGGATTCTTATGTCTAGTATACTATCAAAACTTGAAGATTTTTGAGCAGTAATAAGCCAAAATTTCAGGTGTCCTCCAAGGATGATGTTGGAAAAAGCGTACATGAATTAGAGCGCAGCAAGCGTCAATTGGAACAAGAAGCCGCTGATCTCAGAGCCCAGATTGAAGAGCTGGAAGATGCGGTTCAACTGGCTGAGGATGCTAGATTGAGAATTGAAGTGACGTCTCAAGGACAGAAGGCTGAGTTTGAGAGAATTTTGGCGGTGAAGGAACAAGAAGATGAGGACAAGAGAAGGTCCTTGTTGAAGCAGGTCAGAGAATTGGAAGAGGAACTTGAACAAGAAAGGAGAAGCAAGGTAAGGGCGGGATTGATGAATGTAGGGTCGCGTTACGGCCTGTGCATCCACATTGGCCAGTAAAAAAGGATTACAGAGAGCTCTGATGAGATTTTAGACCAAAATTGAGCTTTTGTTATCATTATTATGGCAAAATTTCAAATCTCCGGAAATTTTCTCACATTGATTTAGCCATTTCCGCAATTAGACATCCAAATAATCTATTCCAGGTCGGAACTGTCGGCCAGAAGAAGCAACTCGAAAGCCAAGTCCTAGAACTCCAACAACAGCTCGAACAACACATCCGACAAAAGGATGACATGAGCAAACAGCTAAAGAAATTCCAACAACACATCAAGGAACAACAAGCCAAGGTTGATGAACAACAACAGCAACGAGAAGAGATGGCTGCTCTCTTCCGTGAAGCCGAACGAAGGATGCGTCAAGCCGAAGGAGAGGTTGTTAGACTTCAAGAAGCGACCGAGAGTTTGGCCGCTCAGAAACGAAAATTGGAGGCCGAGAGGGATGAACTGGAGGAGTTGAGAGGAAAGGGAGGCATCTCATCGGATGAGAAGAGACGATTGGAAAACAGAATTACCGTGTTACAGGAAGAAGTTGAAGAGGGAGAAACGGCAGTGCTGGAACTGCAGGATAAGATCAGAAAGGCCCAACAAAATGTAAGAAAAGAACCTGCTGGATTCCAGTTCTTGCATTAGACTGAGCAGAGATCTTTTTGCTCTATAAACCCTTTCATTTCAGGCCGATCAAGTCGGAATTGAACTCAACGCCGAAAGAACAAACGTTCAACAAATGGAGACCGAAATTCAAAGTCTCGAACGGCAGAATCGGGAGCTCCGTTCTCAAGTTGTTGAACTAGAAACCTTGACTCAAACCCGGACTCGCGCTCAAATTGGATCTTTGGAAGCTCAGGTTAAGCAGTTACAAGATCAGCTGACTGCCGAGAGTCAAGAACGTCAGAATGTAAGCAGAATGTTGAGAAGAATGGAAAAGAGAGTCGCTGAAGCACAAGCTCAGACGGAAGAGGAAAGAAGAGCTGTGGAGCAGTTCAAGGAGGCGGTAAGGATTTTTTCATTTTTTTATGTTCAGTTTTTGGCCGTAATGTTTCTAGTTTTCCAATAAGCTTCTTATTTTTCAGTCCGAACGCGCCAACACCAAGTCCCGCCAACTCCGTCGTCAAGTAGATGAACTTGAGGAAGAAGTGAGCCGAGAACGAGCCAAAGCCCGCGCCTATCAACGCCAACTCGACGAGATCCATCCCATTCCCGATGCCAACTAAGCATATCCAATATAAATTCGCTTCCCCCTCATACTGTAGTTTCTAGCTTACTGTAATTTTGGTTCTAATTCTTTGTGAGATTTGTAAAATTTACATATTTTTTCTGTTCAAATGCAAGCTTACTGTAAGGTAATATTTAGTGCAAAATTGTAAAAATTTTTGGTCAACTTTTGTCCGCTTTCATGGCAACTCAACTAATAAATATATTGCTTAAAAGTTTTGGAGTAATTAACGAAAAACGAAACATTAGTAATTCATGTTACTTTCATTTTTTTGGAATTGTTTTTTTTTTACTTTCTACTTTCAAAAAAATAATAGCTATGAAAATTTGTTCGACCTTTTCTGAACTTTCTTTCTTTCAACTTTGAACTTTACTTACTTTCGAAAATTTTACCCAAAAGATCCATTGATTTTTATGCAAATTTCCTATTCATTTCCTATAAAAGTCACGGAATTCCTCGAAAGTTGTCATTCGTGCAAGAGGGATGAAACTGTTGGTGCTCTTCCTTCTCCTCAGCGCTGTGCTGGTCGCAGCTCGTCACCATCACGGGCATGGCGGGGATTCCCACAAGTTGGCGGCTCATCGTCATCATGGCAGCGACCCCTTTGATGAGAAGGAACTCATCGAGGCGTTGAGCCATCGTCGTGGCAGACACCATGGCTCCAAACACCACGCTCGTCGCAGCCATCATGGCCGTCATGGTAAGTTATGGGGAGTTCTTGGAAATCGGACCGAACGGCAAGAAATTTTTGATTAATTTTTCCGAATTTTTATGAATTGTTTTTAGGCAAGCACCATGCCCGCCGCCATCACCGCCGTCACAGTATCGACAGATTCTAAGGATTTCCGGCCAGTTCGGATCCGGGCATCGTATTTCCTTTATTACTGCATAAAATAAAATAGGTTCTTTGATGAATCGTATACTTGTGTATGGCTGTTTGTGTATGTGTGGTGGTTAGAGTTCTTTGGATAAGTCGGTGGACTCGATGAACATCTCTAAAAATTTGAGGGCTTTAGGCGGCAATAATCATTACTTTTGTCATTCTTGTGCTGCAATTGTAAGATACTTGGCTTTTCTTTAAAAAATCTCACAGATAAGGCCGAGTTTATTTTTTCCGAGATTGGCAGGAAAGCCAATCTAGCTGCTCCATTTTTGTCAAGCTCTATCAGACTCAAAAAAAAACTTTCACATCCAAAAGCTAGTTATATCATGATTTATAAAATAAATATATCAAAAGTCGTTATAAATTCAAAAAACATGACAAGTTAATTAGGAAGGGTATTGGATTATATTATTCCAAGATCTTGTAGGTCACATTGAATCGCGCAAGGCGTTCAAGAATGCCGGTCTCTTCGAAGGCGGCGCCCGGAGTAAAAACTCCGCCATTCTCGGGTAATTTTTCCTGGTCTTCAAGGATTGTGACGGCCGCGGCGATGAGACATCCGGCCGTTCCAATATATCCGGCGTCAGGTCCATCAACTCGGGCGGTAAGAGATTTGGTTGGGGCTTTGTCTGGTTGAGGCTCAGATTCGGCCCAACCGGTGCCATGAATAAAGTAGCTGAAGGTGCTCTAAAAAGTGAAAATCATCAAATTTCAGATACTATTAATATAGCGGGAAGAGGAGGATATTTTTCTCCGTCTATTCCCATCAATTTTCATCCAAAATCAAAACAAAAACTGACCGTTTTCAATTGTTCTCTGGTGCCTCCATTCTTGGCAAAAGTTCCAAAACTGGCAATTGATGGATAATCCTTGAGAAACTGGCGAGTAACACTGAATTTGGTGAGGACATTCAAAACAGCGACCCAGAGAAGGATCAAATATGCCCAGACGATATTTTGAACCGAGAAATAGGTCTCAATGTACACGGGATATCTCTGCTTCTTCGTCGCGTCATAGTATTGAGTACGGTTGACGACGGCTCTATCTGCACCGAGGAATGGGATAACGGGTCTGTCAATTTTTTCATCTTGCCAAACGAGGCTTCTGACAAGGAAAGTACTTTTATGGGGGCTCCTACTTTTTGACGGGACATATCTCAAAAAATCAGAAAAAATGTGCTGATCAAGGATATATAAATCTTAGCTGCCCATTTTGGGTTTTTAGGGGTGAAAATGCCCAAAAACTGGCTTAATTTCCCTACAAAAGGCGCAGCACGTCAAGATTTTGCGCTCAAAGGGTTATCTTTCAACACGAAAGTTGGCATTCTGTTTCCGCTTATGGAAGTGTCCAAAAAATCCGTCTCAATGACAGTTTTTTTGGACGAGGTCAGAGAAAAGGCGAAATATTGCGCAAAATGAAGAGATTTTCTATCTCGAAACTGGCTCATTTGATTTTTTTCGTTTTAGGCTCAAAAAATCCGCCTTGTTCCAGACTATGCTTCCACGAAACTTCAAATAGGGGCGAGGGAAAATCTTAGAGAAATCCTCGAAAGCGCAACATTTTTTAGGCGTTGTTAGTTTAGGCTTCAAACAGATAGAAGACGACCGATTTTTTATATGAAATATATATGTTCAGGTTAAGCAGGAGCCCAGCTTCAAATTTATGTATGCAATAACCCCATTCTACCCCATCTTCATCGTGTAATCAGGCTATCTTTGGAGCAAAAATTATTCTTTCGCCGAAACAGAATGCCAAGAATTTTTCATTGCTTGAGCGCTTTTGTTTTATTTTTTCTTGACGTGCGCAGGCATTCGAAACGATAAAAAGCGCAGTCGGTCTCTTCCTTCGGAAGAGAGCGGTGTGGCCGAGTGGTTAGTGCCGTAGTCTGGGAATCAAGAGGGAGCACGCCGCACGGGTTCGATTTCCCTTTTGGGCTGAACCAACTTTTTTTGAAGTTGAAGGTCGGAAAAATAAATTTTTGGGCCAAGACTGATTTTTTACGTCTTAGAAACTCAATAAACATCGTTTTAAGTCAAAATAAAAATTGTAAACCCGTGAAAAATTAGGCGAAAAGGGGTTCATATAGGACTTTAAGTCAACTTCCGATTGAGTTTTCACCCCTAAAAACCTAAAATGGGCAGCTAAGATTTATATATCCTTGATCAGCACATTTTTTCTGATTTTTTGAGATATGTCCCGTCAAAAAGTAGGAGCCCCCATAAAAGTACTTTCCTTGTGAAATGAAAAAATATAAAAATATATACTCCTTATCTACTTCAATATAATCAAGGTCTAAACCAAGATCAAAACGCCAGCAAATAATCTCTTACCGCTTTGGGGGTCTGAATGAAGTCCGATTCAACTTCTCTGGCATCAATTCTTTGCGAATACCCTTCAGGTTGTCCGTTTTCTGGTTCTCCAAAGCCAATATAATCGTTTGATAGGTTCCGTCGTTCGCAGTGTATCCCTAAACCAACAAATTCTTAATTTGTAGCTCTTAACCAACTTACATGAGGCCCTGGATTGAATTGGCCAACAGTTTCGACGTAAGCCAAAGTTCCTGGGAAATTTTTCTTCAAGAATTGGACTCCCAAGTCACACGGGATACTGTCGAAACCGCAAGATCCAACAATGTAAACTCCATTCTGCTTCGCCTTATCGCCATATTTCAGCTGGACCTTCTCGAGGAACTGAAAAAATTAAAAGTATGAAGAAAATTATTATTGAAGAGGTCTTATGGAAAACCTAAAAAATCCCTGCTTACCGCAGGTTCTCCGGAGATATCAACGTAAGAAGCCTTGCCCTCGACGCAAGCTTTCACAAGAGGTTCCCCATACAATCTGTACGGACCGACAACAGAGATCACAACCTTTGCTTTCTCCGCAACTGCCTGTAACTGCTCTGGGTTGGACGAATCAGCAATCAGAATGGGAATCTTGGAGAGATCTTGATCTAAAATTTCGAACGGCAAATGTAATTAAAAAGTTCTCACTCACCAATAAGTTTTCCAACCTTCTCCAAGGTTTTCTCCAAGCGGGATTGGCTTCTTCCAGCGATGGCAAACGAGTACTTCTGATAATATTCTGACTTCACAAACTCCTCCAAAACATATTCACCGGTGAATCCACTGGCTCCGAAGAGAACCAGGTCAAAAATCTTGGACATTCTGCAAGCTTTTACAGGGTGGGGCATCTTTGTGGCCCGATTTGAATTGGCTATAACTTCTTTAGTTTTTGGCCAAATCTTAAAATTCTTTTTTTCCCTGAATCATCAGCCAACCCCATTTTGTTTGATACCAAATATGTTATATATAGTAAGTGTATATCTACAGTTATTGGATTTATTCTTGGAGTTCATTTTTTCGGTCGTTTTTCGGTTGTTTTTTCGGCCTTTCCCGGTGTGTCAGGAAATGGACTACGGTGCGGAAGAAAAATACGTTGGAATTTCCCATCCCGAAAATCGACGATGAGAATAAGAACAAAAAATGAAGATCAACCTCCAGAGTTCGTCGAATGGTCCTTGCTGAAGGCATTCCCTCGGTTCTGGCCAAACTTCGTGTACTCATATGCGGATTTTCTCGGAATTTTGACAAAACTCCTTAAATTTTCAGCTCCGTTCGTACTCATCTTTCCTGCTTGTTTTGTTTCCTGTTAACGCTGCCAGTCTCAAGGAACTTATTTCACGAACGTCGAATTGTCTTGCGATCTGGAAGTTGGGCATTACGTCCGTATTTCATGCGGTATTCCCTTTGAACATTTATCGCCAAACCGTACTTTCCGTACCAAACCACAGACCAAGCTTTTTCTTGCACACCGGACTCCATTTTCGGACACACCGGGAAAGACCCAAAAAACAACCGAAAAACGACCGAAAAAATGAACTCCAAGAATAAATCCAATAACTGTATATATACACTTACTGTGTATAACATATTTGGTATCAAACAAAATGGGGTTGGCTGATGATTCAGGGAAAAAAAGAATTTTAAGATTTGGCCAAAAACTAAAGAAGTTATAGCCAATTCAAATCGGGCCACAAAGATGCCCCACCCTGTATTATAATTGGGAAATATGGGTACTAACAGAGGAAAATCGCGAAATTTCAGGAAAAACCAAACAATTTCAAGAAATATAAAAAAATGAAATAGGCAACATTTTAAGTCAACATGGGGGGAATAAAAGGGCATCTCAAAACTTCCTAGAACAACAAATTCTTGATATAAGTTGATTTTACAACAGAAAGCTGGATGAAAACTTCCAAATACAGCCATAAAGTAAAGTATTACGGTCCTTTGAATATTTTATGAACAAAAATAAGGTTTGTGCATTTATTTCATAACGAAAACATCATAAACCATATTACCAACCTCTATTTTCCTCTTTTCCAGGCGACTTCCGCAAAAACACCGAAATATACAAAAAAAAACGAAGCTGTTTACAAGTAAAGCATCAGTTTTCCACTCAATTTACTATCAAAAACAGCGATAAAGAGTTGAAGAAACATCTCTTCATGTGTAAGATGGCTGAAGGACACAAAATACGTGGGGTTTAACACAGGTTTAGCGTTTTTATGTGGATGGGAATGTTTTGTCGAGATTACATCATTTTTGAACGATTGGTGCAAAGTCTGAGCGATTTTTTATTTTTAGATCTCAAATATGGATAATGTAAAAAAATCTAAAAGGCAGCGCCCTTACCGACCTCAGCAACAAAAAAAAAACTGAAACACCTGCAAAAAAGTTAAAAGAAAAAAGTTATTCCAACCATGTATAATATTATATAAACCTAGAAATTCATATCCCATCCCTTCTTTCCGCATTGAAACATTACCAGTTGAAAAACCAAAATCAACGAACTCTCACGTTGTACAACTTGTTTATCTTTTTTTCCTCCATGAATTCAAGGTTTATTTACTCTCGCCTCGCGCCCGACACCTTTGCAGACTGCGAATAAACCTTATACGAAATATCACAAAAACTCCAATTTTGCATTGTTACTGGAAGTGCATGTATCGCACGCTTTAGTAAATTGGTTTCTAAGTGTTTCCGAATATTTTTAGAAAAACTGGATTAAAAATAACCCGTGATTTATATAATGAATCTATCAAAAACTGGCTAAAATTGAAAATATGATAAGTTATTAGAATTAGTGTTATATGTATGTATCATATCAGTCGACGATTTTAAAGGTCACATTGAAGCGTTCAAGACGTGAAATTATTTTGGTCTCTTCGAAGGCAGCGCCTGGAGTGAACACTCCGCCATTCTCGGGCAACTCTCCTTGGTCCTCAAGAAGCGTGATGGCTGCGGCGATGAGGCAGCCGGCCGTCCCAATATATCCACAGTCCGGTCCGTCAACTCGGACGGTAGCAGTTTTGGTGGGGGTTTTGTCGGGTTGAGGCTCGGATTCGGCCCAACCGGTGCCATGAATAAAGTAGGAGAAGGTGCTCTTAAAATTTTGTAAGGAACGGTTTAATAAATTTTCAAATCAAAAAAAAATTTCGAAAACATAAAACCACAAAAACATTGTTCATTCAAAATAATATCAAAAACTCACCGATTTGACCTGTTCCCTGGTGCCTCCATTTTTGGCAAAAGCTCCAAAACTGGCAAGAGATGGATAATTCCTGATGACTCGGCGGGTTACACTGAATTTGGTGAGGATATTCAAAATTGCGAACCAGACGATGATCAAGTATGCCCAGAGGACATTTTGAACCGAGAAATAGGTCTCAATAGAGACCGGGTATCTCTGCTTTTTCGTGGCGTCATAATATTGAGTACGATCCACAACGGATTTATCAGTGCCGGGGAAAAGGATCACAGGTCTCCCAATCTTCTTATCTTGCCAAACAAGGCTTCTGAAATTAAAAAATATAAAAAAATTTCTTCTTTATCTACAGCGACGGACCTGATCCAGTGGCAAAAAAACGTACCATTTTGCAGCCGGGAAGTATAAAAAAATTAGCAAAATACCTCCCTCCTAAAGTGAAAAAACTCCGTTTTGAAGGGCGCCTTTTCCCTCACAAAAAGAGCGGGCGCGCGTTTGAAATCGGAGTTTTTTACTTGGTTAGGGAGGTATTTTGCAACATTTTTTGATACTTCCCGGATACAACATGCGTTTTTTTGTCACTGGATCAGGTCCGTCACAGTACTTCAATATAATCAAGGTCTAAACCAAGATCAAAACGGCCCCAAATAATCTCTCACCGCTTTGGAGGTTTGAATTGAGTCCGATTCAACTTCTCTGGCATCAATTCTTTGCGAATTCCCTCCAGATTATCAACCTTTCCGTTCTCCAATGCCAACAGAAGGGTCTGATAGCTTCCATCATTTACTGTGTATCCCTGAACCAAACATTCAAAGAGCTCAAGGGCAGCTTACATGAGGTCCTGCATTTAACTGGCCAACAGTTTCGACGTATGCTAGAGTTCCTGGGAAATTTTTCTTCAAGAATTGGACTCCCAAGTCGCACGGAATACTCTCGAATCCGCAAGATCCGACTATGTAAACCCCGTTCTGTCTTGCTTTCTCTCCGTATTTTAGCTGAACTTTCTCGAGGAACTGAAAAAAAATTAAAATTATGAGGAAACTATACTATCCATCAGGTCTAATGGAAGAATATAAAAAATCCTTGCTTACCGCGGGTTCTCCTGAGATGTCGACGTAAGACGCCTTGCCCTCCACGCAAGCTTTCACAATAGCTTCCCCATGCAATGCGTAAGGACCAACCACTGAGATTACGACCCTCGCTTTCTCCGCAACTGCCTGTAATTGCTCTGGGCTGGACGAATCAGCAATCAGAATGGGAATCTTGGAGAGATCTTGATCTAAAATTTCGAACGGGTAAATTTAATCAAAAATTTCCCACTCACCAATAAGTTTTCCAACCTTTTCCAAGGTTTTCTCCAAGCGGGGTTGGCTTCTTCCAGCGATGGCAAACGAGTACTTCTGATAATATTCTGACTTCACAAACTCCTCCAAAACATATTCACCGGTGAATCCACTGGCTCCGAAGAGAACCAGGTCAAAAAGCTTGGACATTCTGCAAGCTTTTATTATAATAGGGAAATATGGGTGCTGACAGCGGGAAATCGCGAAGCTTCAGGTAAAAACGAAACAAATTCAATTAAAAATAAAAAACATGAAATAGGCAACATCTTGAGTCCAAAAAATGGGCCCAGCTTCATGGTGGAAGACCACACTCTTCAAGGGAAATCTCAAAATCTCCTAGAGCAATAATTTTTAGGTCGATTTTAAGCCAGAAACTGAGACGAAAACTCCCAAAGACAACCATGAAGTAAAGTATTACGGTCGTTTGAATATTTTTTGAACAAAAACAATGTTGGTTCATCTATTTCATAACCAAAACATCAAGAAGAACATTATCAACCTATCCTTTCTCCGATTCCCAAGGCGACTTCCGCAATAACATGGAAACATCTCCTTATGTACTCTCGTACAAAACAGAGCTGTTTACAAGTACCGCATCAGTTTTCCACCGAATTCATCATCAAAACAGCAATAAAAAGTTGAAGAAACATCTCTTCATGTGCAAGATAGCTGAAAGAAACAAAAATAAGTGGAGTTTAAAAAAGGTTGTTGTAGGAACCAAATCAACAAAGTTGCATGTTGTTTACCGTTTTTTCTTTTTTTATAAATTCAAGGTTTATTTATGGGTCTATATTTTTCTCCCAGAATTAAAAATATTTTTCCCCAGAAAAGAGCATTATAGAAAAACTCCTATTTTCTCCCAGAAAAAATATATTTTCTCCCAGAAAGCATAATTTTGTAAAAATAAAGCACGGAATTAGTAAAAAATTATGAATAAGTAACTTTACTAGTAAAATAAATTAAGTAGTAGTGTAAAATAGTATTTGTAGTAAGTTTTTGAGGAAGTACTGGAAATAGATGTAGTCGACGGTGCTGATTTCGAAAATGATTCTCATTTTTTGTGATTTTTACTTTTTTGTGCTCAAAGAGTGCATTTACATCGACAGCCTGTCTGTGTCGCCTTCTGCGCCAGGAAGAACATTCAGATTTACATTAAGAGAACCTCAAATCATAAACCATTAAAGAATTCATTCATACATATCTTTGTATAAATCATTATAATTTTTACTTCTTTTTTAACTCAATTAAGAAGTCGTCTAAAGTAATATCGTCTGGAAGTTGAAAATCTGAAAAAAATTGGATAAACGTGGGATTTCCAACTTTATTGTAAGTAGTAATGTGAAATACAATGCATGGGCCCCAGAGAAGTGCATAATATTGGATTCGAAATAACTGACATATTGACTTGTCGTGCTGAATTAACCTTTAGGGTATCTACGTCTTCGACATCACTGTCTTTCAGAAGGCAGAAATCTCTGAATGTCTCTCATGTTTTTTTCTTGAATGTATTTTTTCCCGATGAGTATAAGGACGAATTTCTCTTATTGTAAATCTGATTGTTCTTCCCGGCGCAGAAGACGACAAAGAAAGGCTGTCGATGGACACGTCAATGCACTCTTTGAGCACAAAAAAGTAAAAATCACAAAAAATGAGAATCATTTTCGAAATCAGCACCGTCGATTACATCTATTCCCAGTATTTCCTCAAAACCTTACTACAAATACTATTTTACACTACTACTTAATTTATTTTACTAGTAAAGTTACTTATTCATCAATTTTTACTAATTCCGTGCTTTATTTTTACAAAATTATGCTTTCTGGGAGAAAATATTTTCTTTTCTGGGAGAAAATAGCATTTTTTTCATAATTCTCTTTTCTGGGGAAAAATATTTGCTTTCTGGGAGAAAATATATTTTTTCTGGGAGAAAATAGGAGTTTTTCTATAATGCTCTTTTCTGGGGAAAAATATTTTTAATTCTGGGCGAAAATATTTTTCCCTTTATTTATTTATTCTCGCCTCGCGCCCGAGAATTCTGCAGATTGTGAATAAATTTTATCCGAAATGTCACAAAAAATTGTAGTTTTACAGGACTACTGTAGGTATTGTTTTAATATATTTTGAAGTTCTTTAAGTACACATTCATGCCACTTCCGCCGACCTTTGGCCTTTTCTTATCGGAAAAAGGAGAGTTCACATGGTTTTGCAAAAATCGAGGGAAACAAAACTTTCCCCATGGCTTAGTTGATCAATTCTTGTTTTGAGAAAGAAGTGCTGATAAGGATCTGGTCGTGTTTTGTCTCAACATGATGGAACTCCCATTGTAAGTTTATTTCATAAATGGTTTTGTAGTTTCAAGCTTGTATTTTGATATGATTCATGATTTATTTGATAGTGCTTGCGCAAGTTGACTTTACGAGGGGCTATGAAGGAAGATTCTATATTTTAAGAATCTAATTTTCCGTAGGCATGGCGAAATTCGCATTGAAAATGGGACTTTCCCAATTTGGCAATGATTTTACATAGTATAATACAAATATCGTCCTGTTGCAAAAGATCTCAAACGTTGATCTAAAATCTTACATATCGGAGGTTAAGATGGTCTTTAATAGTCTCTATAATGCCCCTCCGACATCTCTATCAACCTCTCCGCCTATCTTTTTCTCAATGATTAGATAAAAACTCTCCTCCCTTCCAATGCCCATAATTTTTATCTCTCATGTCGATCTGAACTTCGACTTTTTGTCCATTACAGACGAATGTTCTCAGTCCTCCGTCCCAGTCCAGCGTTTCACCAACAGTTCCGAATGGCCTCATTATTGATCCAAGATCCCAAGTACTCGTTTCTAAAGGATTTGGGCCTCAAAGACGTAAATTCTGGAGTGTTCGATGGGAAATGGAAGACAGGCAATGGTCGTCTGGTTGAATCGTTGAGGTCAGCACTTTTTATCTGATAATTTTGCCTTTGAAATGAGAAAAATAATTTTTAAGTCATGTGATGACCTAAAGTAGTATAATTTTTGTCGCAAAATCCCGTGTTTTCAGCCCAGCAAACAACAAGCCGATTGCCAAGGTACAGTTTGGCGATTTGAAAGACTATGAAGCCGTTAGTTCGGCAACCAAAGCTGCCTGGAAGGAATGGGCGGCACTTCCAGCACCTCAACGAGGAGAGATTGTCCGGCAAATTGGAGATAAATTACGGTCGCAGATTAATAATCTAGGAAAGCTGGTAAGGGCTTGTTTAATTCTGAAACTATTTTTTGCCATTTAAAAGCAAATCGGCATCATTTCTAAAAATTGATGACAGAAGGTCATGCATAATATAAAAAATCTATTTTCCTCCAAAATAATGCCAAAATCAATCTTCAGGTGTCCCTCGAAATGGGAAAGATCCTCCCTGAAGGAGTTGGTGAAGTCCAAGAATACGTGGATATTTGTGATTATGGAGTTGGTTTATCCAGGATGTTTGCGGGTAAAATCATCCCGTCTGAGCGGCCGAACCACAAACTCCTCGAGGAATGGAATCCTTTGGGTGTTGTTGGCGTCATTTCGGCTTTCAACTTCCCCTGCGCCGTTTATGGATGGAATAATGCGTTGGCCTTGGCATGCGGGGATACCGTACTTTGGAAGCCGGCCCCCACCACGCCTTTGACTTCTATCGCGATGATCAAGCTGATTGAACAAGTTTTTGTCGAGAATAATCTCAATCCGGCAATTTGCACGCTGATCTGTGGAGATGCCGATGTAGGAGAGGCGTTGAGCAAGGATAAAAGGGTGAACTTGGTGTCCTTCACTGGAAGTACTCAGATTGGAAAATTGGTCGGAGAAACGGTTCAAAGTCGATTCGGAAAGGTGAGTTGGATACATCAGGCAGTCTGAAATTGAGAGACAATGCACAAATATTGCAATGTAATAGCGATTTAAACGCGAAACCTGGATTGTTTTCGAATCAATTGCTTTCGTGGCGGGACCCAATGTTTGAAACTAGAAAGCAATGATGATTTAAGAAGCGTATAAGGCCTAAAATGAATTAAAAAAGTTTCCAAGAGTACTTAAAAAAACTGACGGAATTTTTGGATTCCAAATTGTTTTCGTTGCGGGACTCACATGGCTAATATTTTTGAGAACAAATGAGTTATTTAGTGCCTAAGTTGGAGTTATTTTATGCAAAAATGATCACGTGAAATCTCAGAATTATGGGTTTTAAATTTTAATGATGCTAGGAAAAAAATTAGATTTTGATCAAGTACAATATATGTTCTGGTCAAAAATCGGCCTTCTGTGCCCCAACGTCTAATTTAATATACGGTATATAAATTACCTATGACTTTTTAGAGCCTCCTTGAGCTCGGTGGAAATAATGCCCTTATTGTGATGGACGATGCCGACTTGGACATGGTAGTCCCGGCTACAGTATTCGCATGTGTCGGAACGGCTGGCCAACGATGCACCACGACCCGACGACTAATTGTGCATGAGAAGGTCTATGATGAAGTGGTCGCTCGGATGGTCAAAGCATATAAACAACTGGAAAGTCGAATCGGAGATCCGTTGGAAGCAAAAACATTAATTGGACCTCTCCATGGAAAACAATCTGTTGAAAACTATCAAAAAGCAATCGAAGCAGCTAAGAAACAAGGAGGAAAAATTGCTTATGGAGGCAAGGTTTTGGATGGCGAAGGAAATTATGTTCAGCCGACCATTGTCACCGATCTGAAACATGATTCTGAAGTCGTCTTAACCGAAACTTTTGCTCCGATTGTCTACGTTTTGAAGGTTAAGGACTTGGATGAAGCCATTGAAGTGAATAATGAGGCCGCTCAAGGATTATCGTCCAGTCTCTTTACCAATGATCCAGGAAATATCCACAAATGGATTGGGTAAGTGGATTTGATGACATGGGTAACATAATATCTCCGTGAATAGGAGGTGGATTGCATTGAAATTTGACGGAAATACTTATAATGAGCCGGAGGATGAGTTCTGAGGTTTTGAAGTTTACCTTAAGGAGCTGAGATACAAAACTAAAATTCTCGAAAGTTTCTGCAAAACGCGATCTAAAAGTTTCACCATTAGTAGCAGAGAGCTCTAATATCGCCCTATCCCAAATTTTATCCGATAATATAGCGCCAAGATCTCATGATCGATCAAGAATTATATTCACCATGACTTCTTTTCAGTCCCCATGGTTCTGATTGTGGAATTGTCAATGTGAATATCCCGACATCCGGCGCTGAAATCGGTGGAGCCTTTGGAGGCGAGAAAGAGACCGGCGGTGGCCGTGAAAGTGGCTCTGATTCGTGGAAACAGTACATGAGAAGGTCCACTTGCACGATCAACTTTGGAAAGACATTGCCGCTGGCTCAAGGAATCAAGTTCGACTTTTGAAAAGTCGATAACTGTGGCAACTATTCCAAAAAATTTAATCTCCGTTACTCATATATGTGAGCTCATACTATTGCGACAAATTATTTTCTAATTCTTACGTCTAAAATAATTTAAAATAAAATGTGTTTATTTGCCTAAAAATTATAATTACTCGGGTAAGATGGGCGAACACTCGGATTTACTTGTTGATTTTGCTGAAGTACTCCTTTGGTGAGGCTGTGTTGATGGTTTCGCCGCCTTCTTCCCACCCAGCAGGGCATACTAAAATGAGGTGGCATTTATAATACAAACTTAGTCTCATCTTATTTCCAATTATGAAGAAAATCAAAATTATAACGGTTCATACCTTCTCCATGCTTTTCAAAAAATTGGAAAGCCTTCAAAGTCCTCAAAGCCTCATCCACACTTCGTCCAACGGGCAAATCGTTAACCAACGAATGGCGGATCTTTCCATTGGGGTCCACAATGAACAGTCCTCGGAAGGAAACTCCCAAATCTGGCTCCAAAATTCCAAACGACTTGGTTGTCTTCTTGGTAAAGTCGGAAAGGATTGGAATCTAAATAATAACAATCTTATTCATCAAGACCTACCTTCATGTCTCCAAGACCTCCTTCATTGCGGGGTTGTTTCACCCAAGCCAAGTGAGAGAATTGCGAATCGCAGGAGCAGGCGACAACTTCGCATCCGAGCTTCTTGAACTCATCAACACGATCGCTGAAGGCAATGATTTCGGTTGGGCAAACGAAAGTGAAATCTAATGGGTAGAAGAAAATCAAAAGCCATTTTCCGGCGTAGTCGGTGTAAGAAATCTGTTTGAATTCTCCGTCGACCACGGCAGTACCCTAAAGAAACTTTATTAAAAACAATACTCAAAAAAAATTGTCTAGACATCTCTTATTACACATGCGACATCAGATACCAAGTCCAATATAAAACTCATTCTAAAAGACCCAAAACCGTGACGCAACTTACAGAGAAGTTAGGGACATCCGATCGTGGGCCAAGTACACCATGTTTCAAAGCCGTTGAAGTAGAAAGGAATCTTGGAGAGGATGAAACAGCTCCAGCTCTCAACGCTCCATTCAGCGACTTCAAAAGCTGCTTGTTCTAAAAGCAATAAAACGATCTCCGAATGGTAACTTACAACCAAACGAAACATATTTGACACTTTTAGAGCAACTTTGCCTTTTGGGTTACGAAAAAGCTGAAATTATTCGATGTTGATTATGATCTTCAAGGTGAAAGTGTAAAATATTCAATAAAAAACACTATTCACGACGGATCGAAAGAATGGAATGATAAGTGCTCTTTAATTTCATCTCATGCACAATGTTTCTGGCTAAAGAAAATAGAAATTTCTCGTAAACAATATAATCCCAGTCTGCCGTCGAAGTTTTGTATGTTGCTGACGACATTTTATACGACGGATTGTGTTATCAAAAAAAAATGAAACATTGTTTTTTGTTTTCTAAATGCACGCCAAATTACTTTCTATTGCAAAACGTCAAAAAAATGGTTCGAGTCGAGTCTTCCCCCGGTCATTTTCATCAAGTGTTCCCCTCTGCAGAAATACCGTAATAAAACCGCAGAACAAGCTTCTGTAAATGCATAAATAAACAAAGTATGCAGAAATAAAGCAGACAAATTAGAAATTACACAAACGAGACAGATAAATGTTTGCTTTGGCATAATTTGGGGCTTTGTTTCAAACCTTGGACAAAAGTAAGTCAATTTGGATGATCTGTAACTTTTCTTATGGAACGAAAGCTCAGGTTTTCTCCTTATAGGATTATAGGATATTGCTTCAGCTTTCAATAGGTACCTCATTTTTAGCTATTGCATCATCTTACCTTGAGTTCATTCTCAAAAACTGAAATTTATGACTTTTGAATTTAGATGAAATTGACTGGTTTTACACAATCACCCTCCGCTGCAACTTCGACATCGCTGTATTCCAGAGAGGACAAGAAACGAAGACAACAGGAATAGAGTCAGCTCATGCACGAGATAAAAAAAAACTCAAAAATCACGATATTACACTACCACAAGGTGATCAAAATCGTGATATTCGTCAGAATTGGTAGGTTTTTTGCCTTAGATCCTCTTGATTTTAAGATATATTATACTTTAAAGAGTAGGCTTTCATAATCCGTCAAAATTTTTGAAATCGGAACATTAAATTTTGAGAAACTTCTAATTTATTTTTTTGCCCGGCAGGGATTTTTTACTGGAAAAATTGCTTTTTATTCATGTTATAGTTTTAGAACGTGGTTGGATACATCAGCAACACAACTGCGAGTAGATTATTGCAATCCCAAACACAAGACCACAGGCTTAGCCAGAAAGATAACGAAGAAATTTCGGATATTACAGTATCTCAGAATGACGAAAAGTTTGATGTTTAGTTGGAATTGGTAGTTTTTTTGCCTTAGATCTTCTTCATTTTAGGATATATTATACTTTGAAGTATGGGCTTTCATAATCCGTTAAAATTTTCGAAATCGGAACATTAAATTTTGAGAAAATTTCGATTTAATTTTGTGCCCAGCGGGGATTTTTTTGGAAAAATTCAATTTTAGTTCGCTTTATGGTTTCAGAATGTGCTCGGAGACGTCAGCAACAGAAATTTTAACTACAGGCACCGACGGCGAGAAGAACTGGCAGCCACCGCCAGAGCCTCAGGGAAAAAATCCAAGAAATTACAAAGGAAAACCTGAAAAGCCTATTCACCTTTGAATTGATTCCAACCGACGATGAAGAAGATATTAATGTTGTATCTTAACACATCAGTTGTTCTTCTGCTTTTATTTCGTTGTTAATTTTACGCTTTTTGGAAATGAGTGGGTTTTAATAAGCATCGTATACAATGGTTGCCGAAATATTTGTAAGGATGGGCGCAGCTCGCAAAACCATTTTTTGACGGCAATAATTTGGCGTGTAAATGTTTTTGTGTCTTCAAGTTGTTATTGAGCCCATTTTGATCGTTTTTACTTATATCTTGAGGAATCTAACGGGGTTTTGTTGTCAAATTATATTATCCATGATGTTCATATAACCAAGGTGATTTATATCTGGCGGCAAGGTCGGTATGCCGATGATTTTTTACGCCTACTTGGCCAAAAAAAATTCCAAGTTTCAGCGATTTCGGCCCGAAAATCATTCTTGAAGACTTTGGGAAGACATAGAAAGGTCAATTCAAGGTTTTGTTTGAAATTCAGTCGGTTGAAAATAGCGGGTCTCAGCTCCAGAAAAAATTATTTTTGCTAAGTAGGCGTAAAAATTCATCGGCATACTGAGCTTGCCGCCAGATATAAATCACCTTGGTTATATATTGTTTTAGCTTTTAGGGGTTAAAATTGTGGTTTTTGTGTCTGGAAAGGTCTTGTCTTGTAAACATAGTAAGCAATGTTTACTTTTTCGGTTTTATCAATTTTATTTTTTCGGTTTTTACTTTTCAATTTTTTTGCACCGTTTGTGATTTTATTGTAAACTCTCGAAGTTTGGTTGTGAACGCTCAAGTCACGTTCTTCGAAGGTCTTTGATGATTTCAACGATTTTTTTGCTGAATTTTGATCAAACTTATACTATCCGTCAGACACATTTTTGCGGCCCCATTTTATCGCATTTTTGTTGAAGTCAAATCTTTTTGGTAAAATACGGTTCTCATTTCGTTAGGAGTATTTTTACATGTTTTTAAGTTGAAAGTAGTTTGTTCCATCTGTCTCGTGGTGTTTCTTATCAAAAAAGTGCAACTTGGGATATTTTTTCCAAACCAATGCCGGGTCCTTCGCGAATGTTGTTCTTTGACCCCCAACCTTGTTTATTTTGTTTCTGAAAAAAGAGAGCTGATAATATCAACGGGGAAGCGTTGATAAACTCGGTGACTTTATTAGCTTTGGGTTGGTTGAGAAAGGGAGAGCAAAGTTTAAAAAACTGGGTGTCTGACATGAGGATTGTGAAACTTGAGGTGTCTGCTATGAATATTTTGGGATCATAGTTTAATTTACAACTGGCTTTTTAACGTTTTTACAGCAAAATTTGCCGACTGCACTGTAGGGGAAAACAACTTTCAATATTCGCAGTTTTATTTAATATTTTTTTAACTTATTATAATATTTAGGACGGCAGGGATGTCTCTCTTTTCAATATCAAAACTACTTTCAAAAATACTTTAGATCTAAACCCAAGTAACATCCGATGGCCTGATATCATGGCCGGCCCAAGTCCTGGGTAGTTCCTTGATCGCCCTTCCGATACGTGATGTTTGGCTGTTCTTTGCGGGCGCATTCTATGGTCATTCGGGTCGAAAGAACCTCCCAGTCCCGTTTATAAAAGAAGAAGTGGAAAATCGCACGAAACAGTCTCTTCCCCACTGCTAGCACGTGGTTTCCTAAATTAAATTGTTTGTAAAATACGTTTTCGATCATTGAAAGATTGTAGAAATGTCTGTCGGTTTAAAAATGGGCATGTTTTATAGATTTTATATTGTTTTAGTCATTGGAACTGGGAAATTTGGAAAATTTTGTTGTTCTTTGCTAATCATGAATAGAAAGGGAATGGCTATGACTGAATATAGATTTAAGCATCCCATAGAGGATAAGTACCAATCCTAATTTTTATATATTGTTGTAGATTGACAGGAAAATAAAAATTTAACTTGAATAGTTCCGTTTTGTAATTAAATTTCCCATTTTTTGCGTCTTAACGGTGCATTTTCCCTTTAGGGCATTTGCAGAAATATCCCATACACTCTGTTTCTATCTAATTGCTCATTTATTCTACGGTATTTTACATTTTCCCACGTTTTTTACAAATTTTTGTCTAATTTTCATTTATAATTTTCGACTTTCTTTCAGACTCGACGTTCAACATGTCCGGCGAATCTAAGTATGGAATCGAAACGGATGCCATGACCCTCCAGCGTTTCGTTCTCCAGGAACAACGGAAACATCCAAACGCATCTGGAGACCTAACAGCATTATTGTCATCACTTCTGACAGCTGTAAAAGCGATTTCAACGGCTGTCAGAAAGGCTGGACTGGCACAGCTTTACGGATTAGCTGGAAACACCAATGTTCAAGGCGAGGATGTGAAGAAATTGGATGTTTTGAGTAATGAGCTCATGATTAACATGTTGAAGTCATCGTATTCGGTGTGCGCAATGGTATCGGAGGAAAATGATGAGGTAAATATATGTAATTTTGAATGTTCATAATCTAATTTGAGTTTGGAAACTTATGCAAGATCTTGTTTAGACGTTTTCATTTTTTTGTGGTGAGGTCCATCTATGTTGAACATGACTTCCAAATGTTATGAAAATACTTTCAGATTATTATGGTGGACGCTCATCGTGAAGGAAAATACATTGTTACGTTTGATCCACTCGACGGATCATCCAACATTGATTGTTTAGTATCTATTGGTACCATTTTTGGAATTTTCAAAAGACCTGACGACGATGGGCCATTCAACCTCACAGATGTGCTCCAGAAGGGCGAAAACATGGTCGCCGCTGGCTATGCGCTCTATGGATCGGCTACGATGGTTGTACTGAGCACTGGAGACGGAGTTAACGGCTTCACATTAGACCCGGTAAGGATAATATAAAAATGAATAGATTTTTTGGGGTTTGTTTGTGAAAGGCGGATATGAATGAAGTTTATATTGAGTATTGTTTTGTTTCAGAGTGTGGGAGAGTTCGTCCTCACCAATCCGGACATGAAATGCCCGAAGAAAGGAAAGATTTACTCGGTAAATGAAGGATACGCAAAGAAATGGTCCTCAGGCGTTTCGGAATATGTTAAGACCCGTAAATTCCCAGAAGATGGGAAGTCAGCCATGGGACAACGATACGTAGGGTCCATGGTTGCCGATGTCCATCGGACTTTGCTCTACGGAGGCATCTTTATGTACCCTGCCACTAGTGATGCTCCAAGTGGAAAAGTAAGTGATATCTTGGTAAATATGCGGGATGTAAAAGAAGCGATTAGAGATTTTGAAAGATTTATTTTCTGAGGGTCCAATTTGGAAACTGGATTTGTCTGGGATTGAAATTTGGCTGAGCTTTGAGCTTCCTTTCGATATAAATTTTTGGTTCGTTGGGACCAAAATAGGGGTAAAAATTAAAATGCTTAGAAGTGATTCTTCAAGAAAGTGTAGGGCCTACTGAGTATTTTAAGGTATGAAATTGGGTACATAAATTATTTTTTATTCCCGTTTTAGCTCCGTCTTCTCTACGAATGCAACCCAATGGCCTATATTCTGGAACATGCTGGAGGCCTTGCTGTGAAAGATTCCAAAACTAGAATCTTGGATATCCAACCCAAGAAGATTCATGAACGATCGCCCATCTTCCTCGGCTCCAAGGAAGACGTCGAAGAGTTGGTTGAATACCTGAAGAAAAACGAACTCTAAAATAACTTTGCCAATCCCTCAGACTCAACAGATTGTGTATTATAAGAAAACAAATTTCGTATATATGTAATAAAGTAAATACGTGTAGTTTTGTGGAAATATTTTTTTGTACTAGACGATTTGATATTGTAGTAGGAGATTTGAAGGGGATAAGGGAAAATTACTGAACATTGGGTTTACACAGTATTTCGAATGAAAGTTGAGATCAAGGTCCGAATTTGTAGGGTTTATAAGATTGTGCAGACTTTGGATGCCTTCTTGGGCCGTTTCTTTCCGTCATTTCGCATCTTGGTCACTGCATCGTGTACCGATTTTTTGTACTCGATCTGAAAATGGGTAGTTTAGAAAAGTTGAAACAATTTTTTACGGATATTTGAAGGCTCTGCAGGGACTGTTTCCGAAAAAGATGGGTAAAAGCTGTGAAAAAAACAATATTTTTTTATTTTTTTTTTTGATGGATAATATAATTTTATCCCCAAAAATGAACTGAAATTGTAAAATATGGCCTATAAAGTTTCAATGGAACACTGTAATTTAATTTTTGAGCTAGAAATGACCTGAGACTTACACTATTTTCCCTCACAACATCATCATCTTTAGTCATCAGCCCCATGAAAGTCAGGCGATAAAGTCCGGTCAAGGGATCTCTGACTCCTCTGCTTAATGCAGCCTGCAAATCCAGCAAACTGACGTTGTATTGAGATTGCAAGTGATTGAATGTGCGGTAGACCATCTTCTGAACGGCCATATCTGGATGCTGACGATCTCCGGATAATTCTAGGGAATCCGAAGGATAATTCGCGTGCGAGAGCCAACTGCAGTTCTAAAAAAAGTCGTGTATTGTTTGGGGAATTCTGTGGGGAGCCTATATTTTCAATTTTTTGACAGTACCTAATGCTATTGCCGAAATACGAAAGTTTATTCAAAATCTCCATGATTTAGACTACATTTTTTTGATTCTAAGCTGTTTTTTCAATCTCCCAACTTCAATTGAATTGAAAATCTCTTGGAAGATTATTAGTCAACGCCTGCTCCGTTTTTCTATTCAAGTTTCAAGTCCGCCTAAGGCTATTTTTGCAGCGGATTACCAATTTATTGATCCTAAGCCTTCCTTTATCCAAAGCTTATTGGGAATTTTTATAAGGGATGAGATTCCGAATCCTTCATGCATTTCGAAACTGTCAAAAATTCGCAAAAGATTGTCAACAAGTATAATGATAGGATTAGTCTGTGGGAGGTCTTCTGTATGATAACAAGGTCCGGCTTTAAGCCTGCAGATTAAGCTTGGAAAACAAGGTAATTCTTGGACCTACTGTATCAAAATATCCATGACTATGGCGGAGATCACAGAAATCAAGATTAGGCAACTTTATGGAGCTATCCCTGATTCTCAGGGAATTCGTGGTGGGACCAAAAGTTCCATTATAAGGTGCTACAAGCTACTAGAGGACTGTTTATGGCCTTTTTATGACATATAATCTCAAAATTTGGGTTTGAAACATTGATATTTTCAACGTTTTTAGCTTTACCAAAAAAAAAAAAGAATTTTCTCAAAAATCAATAAAATTTCCCAAAAGTGATTCGAAGACGTACCATAACCCTCTGAATCGTAAATCTGTCCATCGGATTCAAATTCAGAGTTCCCTTTAGCAGTCTCTTCACATAAACGGTAGCATTTCTCGGCACCACATACTTTCCATACCGTATCGCCGCCTTCAGCTCAAACATCGACCTTCCGGCAAACGGCATCGTACCACAGTACATAAAGTAGAACAGACATCCCAAAGCCCAAATATCGACGGGTTTTGCGCGATATTTTCGGCTGGAGAAAAGCTCGGGCGCTGCATAAGGAGGGGAGCCGCAGAAGGTGGTGGAAAAGGTGTCGTCGTCCGAAAAACAGGCAAATCCAAAGTCAACGAGCTTGATTCTCTCGGTCTGAGGGTCGATCACGATGTTGTCGGCCTTGATGTCACGATGGGCGATGTTTTTGGAGTGCTGAAATCAGGAATTTTTGAAAAAAATCGAATTTTTCATTCTTCGATAGCGCTTGCAATGGAAGAAATGAAATTTTCAGGAATTGATCTGCAACCTATAGAGAGTAAGTATGCAAAACAAAAAGAAAATCGACCTAGACGACTCCCGGAACTTACCAAATGATGCACTGCCGAGACCACTTGAATAAAAAGTTTCCTTACTAACAGCTCTTTCAGGGGTCCTGAATGATTCACAAATCGCTGCAAGTTTTGTCCGCGAGCCAACTCCATGATAATATAGAGTTGATTGTACGTGTCAATGTACTGAAAATAACAAATTTAGCAAAAAATTTGGTTCCGGAAAATCCTACTATCCCAGAATGACATTATTTTAGTTATTTCATTAACGGATTTGGCGGAACGGATAAGAAGATCAAAAAAGAAATGTCCTTAAAGTTAAGACCGGAAATTTACCTCCAAAAGACGGCAGATATTGGGATGATGGCATGAGTCGAGCATTCGGATTTCTCGTTTGAAAACATGATGACGGCGTTGTTCTATTCTGGCTTTCTCCACGATTTTTACGGCGACTTTGTCTGAATGTTATGGATAAGCAATTAAAAAAATCATCGGGATTTTTTATTTTTTTGGTGTCTAGTAAAAATTTTGAGTTGCACAGTGCAAAACATAATTCAAAAAAAAACTGCACAGTGCGCAAAAATCATGTTTCCTTCGCAAAGTTTTGAAAATTTCCTCACCTTCAGTAATGGAGTGCTCTCCAACCTTGACCCTGCTGAACTTCCCGTCCCCAATCTCCTCATTCAGCTTGTAATAAGCGATCCGATTCCCAGCATAGACGTCTGCCTGATATTCCGCTGAGTTCCATTTCGCCGCCATTCCCATATTCAGTTTCAAGGTGTCCGTGTCGCCCAGAACAATGTCATCGTCCTCGAAGAATGACATCTGCGATCCACTCAAGGGATGAGGACGGATGTCTTCGATCTCTACATTGTAGTCGACCAAAGTGTCTAAAGACATTGAGATTAAATGTAGGAGACAAGTTGTGGAGATGTTTGGACTTTTGTGAAGGCGTTATCAGTTCCGTTTTGGAAGTTAAATTTTTATTTTAAAGCTTGAAGAGTGCTAATCCGGGGTGTGTTCTTATGGTTAAGTAAGGGTTATCGTGCAGGCCTTTAAATAAACAAAGTTTTCAAAAAAATTCTTTGAATTTTGCACACTACATCCGTCTAGGCCACGTAACAGTTACTGAAGCAAAATTTGGAAGCTGAGAAAGTGGTCAAAGAAAACTTTTACCCATAAACTTGCTTTACCTACTTCCCAAAAGCTGATTCAAAATGGCGTCTTCCTCACTCAATGGAGCCATAAAACACTCACTTATAACAAAGCTTTCATAAAGACGCTGATCATAAGGAGAATGCTTTTGCAGCGTTTATATCGCGTTCATACATATCCAGTGATTACATAAACATGCTCGGAAAATGATGAAACGAAACTAGAACCTTTAAACCAAAACTCTAGGGCAAAGGCTTATCCAGCTTGAGATTAAGTCTTGTCTATCGCGGTGACAAAGGTGAGTTTATATCCCAAAATAAGCTGAGCCTTTTGAGGGCGCTGGGAACTATCGACCAGATTCCCGACAGTTAAAATTATAATCCTTGGTTGCGACAAACACTGCAATAAACTCTTTCGACGACGTCTAGACTAATGACGCTAAAAGTTCCATGGCTACGCGCGCTCAGAAGTTCGTACAATTTTCGCACAGTGCGTTTTCATCTATCGCCATATAACGGGAAATTGCAGCGACAAAAAATGGGAACTGCACCGATGAAAATGAAAAAGGAATGCACAGTGATTACATTGTCCCAATTTACTTTGCCGGTCAAGAGAGAAACTGTAAAAATAATTTCTTTTATCAGCAGACCAAGAACGTTTTTCTAACTAACATAAGGTAAGATCCAAATTAAATCAAGTATGGTAAATATATAGTAATCTTGCATATGACTTGTAAACACTCGCCTAAATCTGTGTCAAATTTAGCCAAAATCCGGGCCTTGATTTACAGACATTTTTTTTCCTACCAACCCAACTTATTTTTACTTCTGAAAGTCTCGCTTTCGCCATCTAAAAGCATAAAAACAGTCTAGTCAAACTAATTGTAAATATTGTCTCCGATATGAAGTCAAAGTAAAATAAAAAAGTTTACGCCCAAAAACTGTATTATAAATATATATATCGCACCTACCATCCTCTATAATCCTTCCAACCACATTCTCATGGAGGACAACGTTCTTGTCGGGGAGTTCCGCATGTTGCGGCGGCATCGCGTTACCGGTGGGACAAATCTTGACTTCGACTGGAAGAATAACAATTTCGAGGATGATCAAGTTTTAAGCCAGTCCCAAGAAGATGGGATTACTCTCTAAAAATGCCTTCAGGGTATTAATTAGGCGGAAGCTTAGGATTTGTGTTTGTAAAACAGGAAATACAAAAAAAAGTGGCGAAGGGAGTAAGTTACTTTTATTTTTATTCCAACGATTTATCGAAATTACACATCGATGGTGATCATTTGCTCCATTGAGAGCTCATTCCGACAAGATCAACCCAAAAACAATAGAGTTCAACAGTAAAAAAAGCAGGTGTTTTGATGTAAATATGGATCATATCTCGTGAAAAAGGACAGATTTGGGATCAGAAATCACAACAGGGAGATTTGAAAGATTATTTTGAAATATGAGGGAGTAAATGAGGGCTAATATGTATTAAGAAAATTAAGAAAACTGTACAAAAAAGGCTGCTTCGGAGAACGGCTTGCATGTTTGTGCCAGAGCAGGCAGAAACATAGATCTACTTGCACTCGAGAGATCCTGGATTGATGTCAAACAGTGCCATAGAGACTTATCAAGGCTTGGAGAAGCATTTGATCCAAAAGATATTACAGAAACGTTCCTCCCTCTGGCGGAACCACACTTGCGGGCAGCCACTTTGAGGGCAACTTGAAAAACCACGGAGATTCTGCGGACATGTTCTGAAGTCAGCCAAAATTTGCTTACAACTGGAAATTCAAACTATCGGCTTGACGATTAGATGTTGCGGATTAAGTTTCCAGGTGTATAAGTGGCTTGAATAGTTATCATAAGCTCATCCAGGCATTTTTTACCATTTTTTGAAAACAAACTCCCATAACTTTGAAAGCAGTGGATGAATTTAATAGATTCGTGTACTTATACATATATCAGTACCAAGGAGTTGTTAATGTAAAATTTCTATCGTACTACGTAGATTATGGGAGAGAAATCGTAATTCTAATCAAAGAATGTCGGCTGCCCGCAAAGTGGTTGCCCGCAAGTGTCGCGACGCCCTCCCTCTAAAGCCTGTACACCCTCGAAGTATCGGCGACACTTTTTGATGGCAGATATAAACTTGGTTGATTTCTCTTTGACATTTTTGCTAATTTGAACAATGTCTGAGTCGTTGCGTAACAATTCTATATCGGGTAGATGATCTCATCGGAAACTGCCACATTTTCTGAGTATTTTCTGACGTTTGTACCGTATCGTTAACCCGTTCTAGACAGACTAACTTTGATTAATTTCCAGATCACTGACTCTGATATTTACCATATACTCGGTTAGCAGTGAAAATGTAGCAAAAAACAAGGACAATCGAAAAATTTTGAACTGTATGGACAAGATTTTTAGACCAAAGAAAACCTCACAGAACTGACGTCCAAATGTGCACAATAAATGCAAAAAATACGAGCTGTTTCCGCCGGTTTCTTTGTGCGGAGATTGGGCTGCCGCCTTACAGAATAATGGCTAGTATCCTCTGCCAAATATAAAGCACAAATTTAATGCTTTCAGTATGTTCAAAGATCTGTGCGGCTTATAAACGCTTTGTGTTTTTTTGTTTTTTTTTCAATTTGCTCGGTGGGCTGATTTCATTGTTTCTCCGTTGACACCTCCGGGCCACGTCACTTTGAGGAAGTTATTGCACACACAGAGAACGCTGTCAAGGTCGGTCTCGTATTATACATACTATGCATACAGGAAAAAAAATTTTAATTGTTTTTTTATTCTTATTTTTGTTTAATTTCAAATTTTTTCAACAAGAAAAATACACCATGGTTGAATGTCAGATAGGAGCTCGTCTGGAAAACACAGACTTCGTATGCATTGAGAATTTGTGTTTAAAATAAGAAAAGGTTTAAAATCGCTTCGTTTTTTACTTGTCAAAAACGAGGTGGGAGGAAAATTACTGTACCATTGAGGTCGTTGTAAAAAAACGAATCGCACGTTTGTTCAAGGAAACTTTCTGCAGAGTCCAAAAAATCGGAGATTTTCAAATTTGGGAGAAACAAGACCGCTGCAAAACAAACTTTCAGATGACAAAAAAACTTTAACCTTTAAATTGGTTGAAAAATATTACACAACAACGTACAGAATTTTGGGGCTTACCCCAAGAGCCGGGCTTGTAATAGCCATGGTAAATTGTTTACTCACCTTTTTCAGAGTGCGCTGAGATCTATCTTTTGATCCAAAAAACAAAGTTACCGTGTCATTTTCGATGTAAAATTTTTGTCATCAATGACTTTTTGGGGACAAAATATTTCTGCGAAAAATCGACATCTTCCACGCAGAAGTGAAAAAGTTATCGGCGAAAACGTTTTCCCCGTTGTTCCGTCACTCCTCATTTTGAATTGTCTCTCGGAAAAAAATAATCCCGACAGTGACAGTGATCTACGACTTTCAGATAACTATTTTCTTTATAAACATCCATGTGTAAAATGCTGCCGAAATTCGGCTGTCACGATCAAGGCTATCTAGCAAAATTTTTGCGCATGACAATTTTGCAAAACAATTACTCTGTAAATTTTGTTACCTTCTACAATTTTTTCACTTCAGCCACCACAAGCGTATTTCGTCAGCCGACTTCTCTTCCTGATTGCTAGACGATCATCAACCAACCATAACAATGGCTCCCCTCGATTTACAACAAAAACATGTCGGAAAAGTGCTTCAAATTTATTCTTAACAGTCACAATTTGGGTCAAACCAAGGCTGCCGATCATTGATTAAGTTCCAACTTGATATGCAAGAAATACGATACTTTAAGAAACAAAAAAAAAAGATAATTTTAACATTTTTGGATACCTTGCTGTTTTCCTATTCCATTTTAATTCGATTAGCACACATTTCCATCGCCATTAAAGCCGATTTTTTTCTCGGAAACCTCCTGAATCCTCTCGATCTTTAAATTTCTCCGCTTCTGTGGGAATACTCTCTAAAATACCCTTCCCTTGAATATTCTTTAACTCTCTAAAACGAGAAGAGACAGTATTTTTGAACGGTTAATTTCGAGTTAATTGAAAGTTTCACCGGAAAATTAAATGCCGATCACCCGCCTCAGGGTGTTTAGCGATGTTTTTTCTCTCAGCGTTAACTTTTGTTTTTGTTTAGTAAAGTCGTTGCTGAATAATTTAACCTTTTTTAGCTGACTTGTCAAGCACTTTTTTTGCAGATTTCGGTTTTTTCTGGCTACTGTTAAAAGAATCTGGAGGCAGGCCAGATTTTTTGGTTCTTTTGTGTCGATTTTTTACGTCCAAATTAAGTGTAAATTTGGGGTCAGATGACTTACAGGTAGGTGATTTAGGATGGGCGACAAAATAAGGAAACGAAAGAAAATTACAGGGGACACTGCAGAATCGGGACGTTCTGGGCTTCTTGGAACTTGGCTCAAACTACAGTTACATATAAATGCAACTTCTAAGATGTAAATACGGTTATTTTAGTCCGCGCTTCCAACTTTGTCCAGTTTTTTTAATTTCATACTCTCTAACAGAATCCGGAGATAAAAACTGCATTCAGCAAGGCTTATAATTTTGTCGAAAGTTTGATTTTTCAGTAAAAAATTTAATATCACCATTTTTTTAAATTCTTTGCGGTCCACGGAGGTTTTGAATGCAAAGTTTGAAGAAACCCGGTACTCCGATAAGTTGCGGCGAAAAGTCTTTCGAATTTTTGACGGCCCCCAAACTCCGTCGCACTCCGAAAAATTGACTTGTCGCTGCGAAAAATTGGAATCGCGCGCGACGTAAGGCAAAAAACAAAATTGCACTGTGCAAATGCATCTTTTTTTGGCTGGATGCACGGTGCAAAAATTTTTTTTGGGTTCATGCACAGTTCAGAGCCGCAGAAAATTCCAAGGACTTTTTGCCGCGACGTATCGGTCTGTCGGGAAAATAACGGCGGATCGTCGCGCCTCGGAATCGCTCATCATCGCTTCGCGACTGCAAGCCGCGACTTGGGATTTGATGCGCGATAGCGGCGAGGCGAGACATTTTGCTGCGACGATCCGCCGTTATTTTTCCGACAGACTGATATAACTTCTGAAACCAGAAAAAAATCTTTTGAGTGAAATGGGCTAACGGCAAACCAAAACTCTCCGCGTATTTTAGATGCGATCTGCTCCAGCCTAGACAATACCGGGTTTAATTTTATTAACCACCCACAATTTTAGAAATAAAAAATCAGTGATGATCCCAATTCCTCTACTCAAAGACTTCAAATAAACTTATCATCGACGACTAAACTCCTCATCAAGGACAACAAAAGTTCCCCATTAATTCGACCACCCATTAGACAGACCTCCAAATCTGTTCAGAATGCCTCTAGAAGAGCATTCGCTAACGAATCAGGCTGAATTGGCTCCGCCCCAGCCCATGGAAAGCACGGCACGTCAGGTAAGACGAAATGGGGGTTTTTGTGGAAAGTCGTGAATCTCCTAATTTCTCTTTCCAATTTACACCATGTTTTGGGAGAGTTAGGAATGGGATTTAGGGTTGATCTGATTTTGCAAAGGAACTTGATCATGCAACGATGGTGGTAGTTGATCACCGAAAAACTGATTTTTAGATTACTTTTTTCGCCGGGGAAATTAAACGCTGTAGTAAATAAGACATTTTTTGTAGTAAAAGAGGCTATGGCTCACTTTTTGTGGGCATATAAACACTGTAAAGTATTCCGTATTTTACCCTGCTTTTTCCAAACTGTTTTTTGTTCATTACCCTCTCACATCAGGAAAAAAACGTTTTTGGTAATATCACGGCATATTTTTCGCGAAAAAAACGACTTTCTTCTTCTATTTGACGATCAAAATTCTAATCTTTTCCTCCGAACCTTGAAAAATGTTGAATTCCTGAAATTTTTAGACCAAAAGCTCGGGATTGTTTCTGAAGAGTGAACATAAAAAAAATCTGTTATCTTAAAAAATTTTGTGTTTAATTTGTTTCATAAAAATCTTTGGCATTTAAACAGATAAAAACGCTTCATGTACCGTATTTTACCAATAAAATAATTTTTTTTCAAAAAATTCCGTTTCCCAAAACTTTCTGACCGTACCAACCCTCCCTCCCTGCCGTGGTCATAGTTTCAAGAGCGCCAAAACACTTTGCAGTGAGGTGTTGTAAAATACAAACAGTCGTCGGTTTTCGTCCGTCTTGTCCGCTGAGGCGGCACAAATTTGTTTAGGGAACTGTTGAAACTCCCGTCGACACTCCGCTTTCCCTTTGTTACCTGAGGGCGTGCAGAGCGTCTCGACCGGATTAATTGTTTTGAAATTGTAAACGGGTTGTAATCGCTGTCTAGTTTTATATAGTTTTGTTTTGCAGTATTTTAATTACAAAAACAAATTTTTATTTTCGAAAATAAAATTTATTACGTTTTTTTAATTTGAAAAGAGACGGTGTTTTCGAATTTTGATGACATTTTTACTACATACTTCTATAGACTATTCAAAATTTGAAAAAATTGAGCTCTGCACCATGCAAAATTTTCGATATTTTTTTTATTTTGCCTTCCACAATTTTTTGTAACCAAAATTTTCAAAGCTCTTCCTAAAAATTCAAAATCGTATTTTAGGGCCAGCTCCGCTCGGATCTAGCAAATCCGGAGGCCTCGTACCGTCGTCGCGTCCAAAAGCGCTGCGACGGAATTTTGATGCAATTTTGGGAACCCGAACCCCTCGGCAGAGATACCTTCGAAGAGCACGTTGTTCGGGATTCGAGTGACTCATTCGATGACATGGATCGAAAAGTCTCTGCCTTTGGCAGAATTAAACGGAGTATTCGGCAGCAGGCCCACGCCCTTATGGTGAAGGACGATCTGGATGTGCTGGATGAGAAGACCAATCAATTGATGTCTCCGAAAGGACTACGGTGAGGATTTTTTGATCTGTTTTACTCTAAATGCCTTAGGGAGGATATCGGAGGGAATGATACTTGAATTGGAAAATTCCGATATTTTTAGTTTTCAGTCTCTAAATCAATATTGTGGAAATGAAAAATCACAATACGGGTAAAAAATGTCCCCAGAAATCTTTTTGATCACTGATTTTTTCACAGAAGACTTTTAAAAATTTTTGGCGGGAAATTTGAAATTCCAAGATCTTTACTGTCTAAAACATCTTAAAAACTGAATCAAAACCTAGTGCACGGCCTAGCTTATCCTCAAATACAAAAATTTCAGACGAAAAAAGTTTGGACCCAAAGAATTTAACGATGAAAAAGTGGCCGGTCAGCTGGAGGAAGGCTCGATTATTTTCAATGGAGAGGAAGTTGATGAGCACAAGGATCGGCTCAAGTCCAGGCTAAACCTGAGGAGTCAGGCGATGGGGACTCTGAGTGAGCGACTTCGGGACAAATGGCAGAGCATGAGCGATGTTCGGGGTAGGTTTTGCAATTTTCCCCAAAATTATTCATTAATTTTAATTAATGGATAATGCTAAGGCTAATTTATGAATTTCAAGTGTCATCTCAACAATAAACTCTTATTTTCCTTTCGTATTTTAGAGATTGAGTTTGTCTGGCCGCCGAATACCCCGCTAGAAGTCCGAGAATTGGTTGGTCCCGAGCACTTTGACGCCTCCTCCCCCAAATACATGATGCCATTTTGGTGGCGAAGTGACGCTGTTCCCGCGACCAGGTCATGGTAAGAATGTTTGGCAGTTTTGTAATGCATTTACACTTTATAATCGGAATTTTTGAAAGGAATTTCTGAGAATTTTTTTACAAATTTTGGTGTTTTTTAAAATCGTTTGGAAATTAGGTCGATTTTTCGTAATCAGAAAAGGAGATGATCGGAAATTGAAATTGGAACGATTGGGAGCTCCTGGGAGTGAATATCGTTCTTCAAAAAAAAAAACAAGAGAATTTCGAAATATACTGCTCCACAAAATGATAGACGCACCCTTTTTTTACCGATTATCTTCCTTATACTAAATGATATCCAAAAATGTTCAACAGATGAAATGTGGCTAATTAACCGAGAAATCATGTCCCATACCGATTTTGGAACAAAATTTTGTCTTGACTGAAATTTTGAAATTTTTTGATTTTTAGGCTCCACAAAATGATAGACGCACTTGAATAATTTTTGATTTTTTAAAACAAATTTTGAGTCAAGCTGCTCTTGTCGCACTTCCCCGTGTTCTCTGTAGTGTTAAGAAGGCTATTACATTCATATCCGCCGTACTTAATCGACGCAATGGCCTCATGGGCCATCTGCGACCTTGTACATGAGGTAAACATTAGTTTTGAAAAAACCCCCCGATTAACGATTTATTTTCGCCAAGAAACATCTTAGATTACTTGTAGTAATTACAAGTTGTAAATTAAATCAACACCGATTCGTTTGAATTCATTTAATCGATCAATAAGTTACCGTATACCTTCTACAGTAACCTTCAAAGGCCCTAAAAGCACATAAAATTACTATCCATGGCAACTTTTTGCTTAGAAAATCAAACTCAGCATGCTAAAAAACCTATAATTGCAACTTATTGCTTGCTTAAAGGTGCTATCTGCCGCAGGTAGTTAGTTCAAAGATAAATGCGTAAAAGTAAGCCTATTTTGGCCTACTTTTGTGAACTTTTTTGTAGAACGAACTTTACAGACCCGATTTATTTTGTAACGGCTGATGATTGAAGCATTATGTTTTCAGGCATGCTGAGTTCGAATTTGCATATCAAATTTTATGATTCTCGTATATTCGTCTTGGTATTTCGGGGTCTAGAGTATTACGGTAGCTACTTGTTGAAGATGATATGCCAAGAAAATACGCGAGATCTTTGAGCAAGCTGATTTTTTTTGCATTAATGAAATCCACCCGCATAATGTAATAGCATTAGCTAGTTTCTCGCTCACGAAAACATCCCAACCGGCATTTTTTTAAAAACTAATGCTTACCTCATGTACAAGGTCGCAGATGGCCCATGAGGCCATTGCGTTGATTAAGTACGGCGGATATGAATGTAATAGCCTTCTTAACACTACAGAGAACACGGGGAAGTGCGACAAGAGCAGCTTGACTCAAAATTTGTTTTAAAAAATCAAAAATTATTCAAGTGCGTCTATCATTTTGTGGAGCATAAAAATCAAAAAATTTCAAAATTTCAGTCAAGACAAAATTTTGTTCCAAAATCGGTATGGGACATGATTTCTCGGTTAATTAGCCACATTTCATCTGTTGAACATTTTTCGATATCATTTAGTATAAGGAAGATAATCGGTAAAAAAAGGGTGCGTCTATCATTTTGTGGAGCAGTATATTTTGGAATTCAAAAAACTTTTTTGAAAGTCAAATAGTCAAATAGAAGGGTGTCGGAATCGAAAAATAAAATACAGTAATCACTGAGGTGGATCGCAAAATTGTAGCTCTCAACTTGCAAGAGCAGTCGAGATTTGCAGCTGAAAGAAACCACGGAAAAATCCAAATTTGGTGCCTGGTTTCATCAAAATATAAGAATAATTTTTTGCAAATTTTCAAAATCTAAAAATTAAACAAAACTTGTTTTAATTTGCATTTTTAGGGCCCTGATCGTGTGCGGGATCGAGTGTTTGTTCGGTCTGTTCTGCCTGCTCCTCAATCTCATCCATTTCGCTCTCTTTTTGCCGGACAATGAGGAAGAATCCTTTGTTCCGTCGTTGATTTTGTTCATTACCCTCTCACAAATTGCAATATTCTTCTGTTTTAAGGTGAGTTATACAACTGAGAATTGCTAGTAATCAATTTCATATCCTAATTCTGGAAAAAAGATGATTTTTTACGAAAAAGTATTAAAAAATTACTTTTATAAATATATTTTTCTTACATTTTTACAATTGTAACTTTAAGGTGTTATTTGTAATTTCGGTGGTCCGCCGTAACGCCCGTTTGCTTCGAATTCAACTACTTTTCCAATACATTACTTGCGTATTTTTACTTGTAAATTCGGCCTTCACTTTGGCCGCGGACTTTGGTGGATTTGATGAAGAAAAAGTTTACGCTCAAAGGAATCCGCCGTTGATTCGACTGGTCGCTTTTGGCTCTTTGGCATTTTTATTCGCTCAGTTGTATTTGAGGATGATGACAGTTCCCGTTTTCAACTTTTTGAATGACAATCGGAAGTTCAAGTAAGGAAAAGAAAATCTTAAAAAATAAAAAAAAAATTAGGTTGGCCCTATACAATTCCCGATGGAGATACCGAAAGCGAGTGTACTTTACGTACTGTTCGTTGATGCACGAAGCTGCAATGAGAGAAAAGGTGAGGTGTACAACTGCTTGATCAAAAAAAGACATGTCTTTTCAGCGCCTTGAACGTGCCCAAAACCGTCTCCTAAACATGGAAGGAATGTCGTTGGCGTCAAAAAGTACAAAGACTTCGAGTGTAAAGTCCATTACCGAAAGCAACAACCTTGCGGTGGGTCAAAGAATGATTCAAACATTTTTCGGTTTACAGTTTTATCAGTAATGTGTTACGATTTCAGTTCAACCGGCAATTTTTGGCATGCACCCCACCGCTGCATAGCCAATCCTCCGAGAATGAGTAAGCTTGTGAAGAAAGTAGTCTCTTAATACCAACTTTTAACACTCCTCATTTATTCATATTACACTTATCCCCACGTCAATCCAAAATAGAAGAAAAAATTTCCCGCCCCTTTTTGGTGATTCGTTCAAGACGAAATGCCACAATCCGATAAAAACCATTTTCTTGTCTTTCTTCTTTCTTTTCGAGACAAAGCAATTAAAAGACGATTTTTGGCTCGCTGCGTCAGCCCGTAATGGACCCGGGACATAGGAAAAAATCGATTTTGAGTTTTTTGCATAAAAATGACCGTCGACATGTGCTAAGGAAAAGCGAACTACAGTTTTTCTCAATTCTGCCCGGAAGGCATAAATTTGCTTAAATTTGTCTTTTTTGGAATTTTCGACCTGGTGACGTCATAGAAAGAGCAAATCACCCAAAATTTTGCTTGTGTACGTTTTCGACCATTGGGAATTCATTTTTTTGAAAATTAATTCTCTCAGATTACTGTAACATAGGCATATTGTAATCCGGTCGATAAAAATCGACCGTAACTCCTTCGTATCAAAAATCCCACAGGATTTTATTTCAGATTCGGAATCAGCATAAAATTCTGCATATTATACACATAATGTGAGGTCATAACTCCAGGGGGGAGATCGCGTAGTATATTGGATTTTGGCAAAAATTACGTTTGAAAGGTCGCGGGTTCGATCCCCGCTTGGTGCAAATATTGAAAACACGGCGGAAATCGCGTTGAATGGACAGCTAAGGGTCTTGTGACATACACTAAGCAATTTTCAACACTAATGCATATCGAATTGCGATTAAAACTGATTTTATATAATTTTTGGAGACTGAATATGCAAAAAATGAAACTGCTTCAAACCGCTTGAAATTCACAACACTTATTCTAGGGTCAATTGTAAGAAACTTTTCCGTTAACTTTTTTTTGTAGATTACCGTACCATGGATTACTGTAGCGTTAAACGTGTCCTGATTAACAGCAATTTTCTTAAAAATTCTTGCATAAAATATTAAATCGTTTTAATTAGTGGCTTTAGACAGCGAAAAGATCCACTTTCTATATATGAAAGAATATTCGCTCTTCATTGCAACGCGTCTTGATGTCATAATAAATTGGTGAAAGTGCGTCAATTAACTCGGCCGTTCCAAACGGTACAGCCATAAAAATTTTTTTGTGCACAAGAAAACTCTTTCTTAACCATCCTGAGCACAATGACGACAATCCGACTTCTATGCGCCATGTGGTACACGAAAAACCAAATCAGGTTTAATGTTACAGTAATCCATGTTACGGTGATCTACCAAAAAAAGTTAACGGAAAAGTTTCTTACAATTAACCCTAGAATAAGTGTTGTCAATTTCAAGCGGTTTGAAGCAGTTTCATTTTTTGCATATTCAGTCTCCAAAAATTATATAAAATCAGTTTTAATCGCAATTCGATATGCATTAGTGTTTGAAATTGCTTAGTGTATGTCACAAGACCCTTAGCTGTCCATTCAACGCGATTTCCGCCGTGTTTTCAATATTTGCACCAAGCGGGGATCGAACCCGCGACCTTTCAAACGTAATTTTTGCCAAAATCCAATATACTACGCGATCTCCCCCCTGGAGTTATGACCTCACATTATGTGTATAATATGCAGAATTTTATGCTGATTCCGAATCTGAAATAAAATCCTGTGGGATTTTTGATACGAAGGAGTTACGGTCGATTTTTATCGACCGGATTACAATATGCCTATGTTACAGTAATCTGAGAGAATTAATTTTCAAAAAAATGAATTCCCAATGGTCGAAAACGTATACAAGCAAAATTTTGGGTGATTTGCTCTTTCTATGACGTCACCAGGTCGAAAATTCCAAAAAAGACAAATTTAAGCAAATTTATGCCTTCCGGGCAGAATTGAGAAAAACTGTAGTTCGCTTTTCCTTAGCACATGTCGATGGTCATTTTTATGCAAAAAACTCAAAATCGATTTTTTCCTATGTCCACCGCTGACGCAGCGAGCCAAAAATCGTCTTTTAATTCGGGTGGAAATGAGCTGGATTGATGTGATCCCCTCGTTTCAGATCCTCCAATGACCGCAGTAGTGTCCACAATTCCTCGACACCGAAACGTCGTCCCTCCCATCGTAGTATCTACACTCACAGCTACGCGAAGCCGAGTCCAACTCTCAAGAAGAAGCCCGTGAAAAAAGTTGGCCCCGCTAATTATAAACTGAAGCCGACCAATGGGGATTCGATCGGAATTCAACTGGAATTGGATCGGAAAGACTTGGAGAAACTGCTGGGAGGGCATTTGACCAATAACAATCATCTACCAAACGGTCACCACCATCATCGGACTAGTCCGGAGATCAAACGAAAGAGCGGGCTGACTCATGGCGACGATTTTTTGGTTCAAGAAGTGGACGAGATGGCCGATGAGAGGGAAGGAATAACCGAAAATTCCAGTCTATTGGCTAAAGAGAGGAAGAATGGAGCTGAAAAAGATATTCTGGCTTGTGAACTGGTCCGAGATGGAAAAACGGCTGGCCAAGAGACTTTAGACGAAAATATGGAGGGACAGGAAGGCAACAGTCATGATCTGACTGGTCGACGAGGAAACAATCAAAATCAAGAGCTGATCCAAGAGAACGGCCCAGTCCAGCAAAATTTTGAGCCAGTACGCTTTCGAAAGCCGACCAAACTCACAACAAGTCCAAATTCTTTGAGTCCAGCCCAATACGAAGCCAATTCTGGAGCCACAGTCCAACCCCGTAGCCATGTGAACGGAATACCAAACTCCAAATCCGATGACAAATTTGGGCACGGATTTGTGAATCGGTTGGCTCAAGTCAACCATGGTTATCAGCCCAATTATCAGCAAGAACTGCAAGCAAAATCAGCACAAGGAACTAGACCGTATGACGACAGATTCACGTATCAGACAAGTCCAACAAATCGGGTGGATCAGAGCGATCGAAACTTTTTGGATCACCATGCATATCGACAGGATAAGCCAATGCATTTTAAGGACTCAGACCGCTCCAGAAGCCGGCTACACCAGCCATTGGGAGTGAAATTGGGAGAAACTTTCGACGGTAGAAGTATTAATAATTTCAATCAAGATTACAATACCAATGGAAAGTCCACTCCGACTGGGCAGAGGTTCGGATCAGCCCGGCATATTTCCCCTCCGGGCAGGCATATGCCAGGGGTCAGTTTCCAATATCAGCCGCGCCAAACCCTGCCCAACTTCCAGCCCGGCTCGCCTGGTTCTGTCTTGCGATTTTATCACGATGAATCGTATAATTACGTGAGCGGAGACGACTAATGGACCAGATTGGCTGATTTTGAGCTCTTTTTCCCTTTTATTTTTCATTATTTTCTATTCTCAATATCATGTTATAATAATTTACAAAATCTATTTAGTCAATTATTTGATGTTTCGGGTGATTCAATAAAATTTCGCATTATATACCAGATTCTAGCCGCCAAAACAAAATGTTCGAGGCGCAATGCGCAGATTTCCTCCAGCACGCAAAGACTAGCCACACACATGTTGGAATAACTGTACATTACTTTTGATACCTTTTATTATGTAGATATGTGCGCTTAGATCACAATAAATTAGAATATATTTACAATAGCATCGGTAGTTTCGGGTATATCACAAGGTAAATAAATGCCGGACTAAAAACGAGAAAATACCCGATTTTTGACAATTTTTTTGGGGACAACAATCAAAATAATTAAAATATTTCAGAAAAATTTCATTCGTTTTGCTCACTGATGGCTCTATCGTCGATTGCCAGGCGGCCCAAGGTAATTCGAAGAGGATTCTTCTTTTTTGAGTCCTAGAATTTCGATTTATAATCCAGAGTCATCAAAAATCGCTTTAATTCTTTTCAAAATTTTTGAGAATCATCCATAAAATCGCCAAGATATGCTTAGCGCCCACCAAATAAAAAAATAAATTCTGACCACCTCCAAATCCCTCAATAAAAACTTTATCCTACCTTGATTTGTATTCGACTGTCGGATAAATCAAGGTGTAATTGGAATTTTTCATCTTCTTCTTGTTCTACTTGAAAGAACGGGCCCAGATGGGACAAAATAATGTCCGAAATTGCGATTTCCAGCTCTTTTACGTCAATCTGAAATTGATTTAGGTCGTTATTAACTCAACTTAAACAAAATCTTTTCAAATTTATATTCACCATGACAAACTTGTTATTTACCTTAAGCGAGGTGAATCCTTCATGTGCCTGAAGGTTGAAGAGGACATTCGTATCCAATAAGCGGTATTCTGGGATAGGAGAAGTAGCGCGGAGCTTCGACTTTTCCCGGATTACATCGCCAAATCGGATTTTGAAGCGTTCTTGGAGGCCGACGCTAAAAAAGGGTCGTATTTTACAAACTTTTATCATCGGAATTTTCCGATTTTTGTCCATAATTCTCAATATTCCTCTTTCACTATATGGAGACTTACGAAGTCACATATCCATTGGCCTTGACATCTCCATCCTCAACTTGAACAACCGCCTGGATGTCATTCAACTGGATCTCGAAGACGTTGACGACCTGCGACAAATAGCGACTAGTCTCTCGATTAACAGTCATGTTCTCCTCCACAAATATAGCCTCCTCCGCGACGGCAACAGTCACCTTCCCGTGGAAAACATCGTCCTCGATTTGGGCTTGGCTCTCCAGATATGCGACCTGGCTTCGGAACTCGTCCTCTGACGCCGAGGTGACAATCGACGCCGTTTCGAGGATGTCGGCGTTCAGTTCCATGTAGGATGAGAGCTGAGATGAGGTGCGATCAAGCCTTTTCGAGTCCGACGCAAACGATTCATCGGGCCTGAGGCTATCCGAACCATTCAAATCGAGTAATTCCGTGTTTTCCTTCAAGATTCTGATCGGAGTTCCGGGCAAAACTGGAGCTGTAGCTGAAGTGGGTGTGCTGATTTGGTCGGATTGCGGGAGTGAGGTGTTGGGGAAGGTGCCGGCTGCAATTGAAAAGTTAAAATGCGAATTGCAACCTTTTTTTGCCAAAAAATGGCATTTTCGAGGAAAAAATAAATAATTTTCGCAAATTTCTTTTAATTTCCCAAATTTCTGTCGATTTTTTCTCTACTTTCCCTTTGCTGTTACATCAGGTATAATTACTCATTTATGCCGCCATTTCCGACTTACGGGGATCTTCTCCTTGTTTGAGGTCATTGCCTCTTTTCTCGAGTAAAGTCGAAGGGAAGAAAGGAGAAGGGCGCGCAAAAGTTTCGTTCGATTTGGGTTTCTGGGTAAAAAACGGATCGAATCAGTGGGTCAAATCTTTTTTGTAAAGCGATTTATCATTTCTGTACGCGATTCTCAAGTTTTTTAGGTTAGGATTTGCATGGGTTGTGGGATTTTTAAATATTTTTTACCCAAAAATTTATGTTCAGGTAAGCCTTGCAGAAAATAGGTAGTTAGGAATTTAATGTAAAATCAACGACAATAATGATAATTACAGGACAGTTATGAATCTTGCCAGGTTTATTGGGACGTGACTGTGTTATAGAAAATAATTTTTTTTTCTATTTTTTGCGTATCTGCAAAAAATCCTTTTTTTGCCTTTATGATACCTTTTGATACTAAGTTCGAACTCATTTTGATGTCCTTTCCAATCTCTGTTCCCTGATTGGTTGTCAACCAAATCCGTTTTGCCATCTATTGCCTCTCACAGCATTCCCAAGATTTTTTGAAACAATGTGCCTCTTCCTTACTAACCTCACAATGTTTGATTGCATTTTCCCACGTCTTCACCATTGCAATTTACTTCTCTACAATCTCAATCATCTCGATCTCGCTCTTTTCTCATTCCCAGCTCAAAAATCAATCCGATCTCGTTGCGAAGTTTTGCAAAATCTGTTTAATCTGTCCCCCTCGGAGTCAGCCCTCGCCAAAACACTTGAATCGACTTTTGTTGACGGCAGAACGCCCTTCGGTGCGCGCGGATTTCACATATCCCTCCTGGAGGTTTTCAAACAGTCGGATCGCGCCGCTTTTAGACTCGAGATTCCGCATTATAAGCGCCAAATAGGGCGAGAAAGGGAAAGTCGAGGAGAGCGGCGGTGTAATGGCGGTTACAAAACTCCCAAATTACGAAAGGGGATTCGTAATGTTGGAGAATTTTCGTCTTGTTTTGTTGCATTGTCATACTATTTAGAATAGAAAACTTTGGAAGAGCCTGCAAGAAAACGGAGACTGTCCTATTTTTATATATTTCTCGGTATATTGATAGTTTATAAAAGTGTTATATTGCTTCGGCACACGACATGCACCAAATCGTTTTGTCTCTGATTAACTATCCTCATTTTTCGTGGCGTTTCTTCAAAGTCTGCAACCATGAAATTTAGTCGCCTATAAAGCCAAAACCCGGATTTTTTTGTGACATTCTGCAGATTGCAGTGAGGGACCAGATACAGTGGCAAAAAACGTACCATTTTGAATCCAGGAAGTATCAAAAATGTGGCAAAATGCTTCCCTCTCCAAGTGAAACAACTTCGTTTTGAAGGGCGCGCCCTTTCCCTCACAAAAAAAGTGGGCGCGCTTTTTAAATCGGGGTTTTTTCACTTGGAGAGGGAAGGGTTTTGCCACATTTTTGGTACTTCCCGGATGCAAAATGGTACGTTTTTTGCCACTGGATCAGGTCCCCCATTGTACGTGTGTAAAATTTAAAATCACTTGTGATTTAAACGTTGATTTAAACCCCGACCAAATTGTTTCCTCCGAGACACCACTATTCCTATTTATTTCCTCTGAGATACCACCGTTTCCACTAAACAAATGCCTGTTCTCAATTTCAAGTTAAACCCTGAACCTCTTCTTCATTGACCACTGTCAATGTTTTTGTTTATTTCGAATTTTCTTGCAAAAAACCCCTCCGAGTGTGCAATTCAATAGGAATGCGGAGAAAAAAAGAGGAGAGGGCTCCGGCCTTAACCCGTAAAATTAATTGGGTCAATGTCAATTTGGAGGCATGAAGTGAGCGGCGTCTTATTATAGGGTCATCATTTTTTAAATATTGTTGTAAACCGCTCGAGGGCAAAGAATTTTGGTACCACGTGGTACAAAAATAGATTGTCGTTGTAATGTCAGCAGCCAAAAAATGAATGATTTTTTTCGGATTCTTGCAAAGTGAACGTTATTTTCGGTACTTTTTTGTCATCAAACTGGAAAAGGGCCTTTTATATCGCATATGACCTCCTCATATGCAACTTGCCATCAAATCTTTGACAATTTATTTTCAGTTTTATTAAACCCTGTACCCGTGTCTTCCTCATTCATTTCGAAACCCAAAAAAATCTCCCAAATTCCAGTAAATTCGCAGATTTTCCTGCAATTCTCGCTAGCCACTCCATTTCTTTTTCGGCATTGTTTGATTTAGCCGTCGAGAAAGTGGTCGACAACACCCATTCCAAGGTGTGTTGACCTTGTTCTTTTCCTGGGTATAAACTAATTTCAAGCAGACGATTGCGTCAATCTCAGGTTTATTAATTTTGGGGTCGTAAAGGCATTCCCCGACAAATGGTGGAAGGTCGTGCTGAATATTCAGAGTATTCCATTGGGGATTAACCCAAAAATCGAGTTGTAATTACAGAAGAAGAGTTTACTACTCTTCGGTCCGGGGATGGGCATCATTCGGGTGGATTTGAGGATCCGAGAACTGTTGTCGAGATTATAGTCTTCTCAGGGATTACTAGATGACCTACTCTGACCTAAGACTCAGTCATTTTTTGGACCGTAACTTATTCTACATTTAATTTTAGATTCCCATGTACCAAAAATAAAGCCTCCTGTATAAATATCTATAAAATCCGTCATCCTGGCGCCATTAAACCCCTTAAACACTCTTTGTTTCCCTAGATCTCTTCATATTTAAATACCTTACTTTACAGTTCATTCCGCTCTTTTAAAAGCCTCAAGGGATTTTCTCAGAAAAATCTTTTCCCGTTTGATTTATTCATTTTCATATTCTGGTCCGGTCTGTGAATAATTTTCACGGATTGGCGATTTTCCGAACTGAAACGGGTATTCCGCGTCTCTATTGATTCATCCAGTTTCGTTTCAATTTCGAAGGGAGAAAATTAAAGTACCGTAAAGTTTTCAGCCTCAGGCGAGAGTGTTAGTTTCAAAAATGAACGGTCAGATTTTAAGGATTATGAGTGCAAAGTGCAAAGCAAGTAAGAAATAGAAAGGATCAAGGAAAATGTAGAGGACCCAAGGAATTTTGAAGTGTCAAGCCGGCGCTTTTTGCAGAAATTCAAGTTAAAATTCACAGAGCTCAAAATCGAACATTTTGTTGTGGTTGTTAAAATAATAATCTCACCAGTTATTAACTTGCACCCAGATCCTCTCTAGCCCGAAGAGTAGCAAATTTTTTTCTGTAATGAAAACTCTATTTTTCGGTTAGTCCCCGACGAATGCCTTCTGAAGTCAGCACAACTTTCAATTGTTTGCTGGTTAACAACTTTAGGACCCAAAAATTCAGAAATTTTCATTGGCCAATCGTCATCTTATTTAATATTGGATTATTTTTCCCCCGTATTTTAATTTTAACTTCTAAAACTGTTCATACGCAAGTTTTCTTTTCTCATTTCCCTCGCATAAAGATCATTTTCCTTTACCATATCGTTTCCAAACTTTATTCATTTTCCTGATTATCCAGCCCATTTCTCTTTCATTACCATCAAACCGTAGCAAATAATTCGATGGCTATTGTAACGTTCGTTTCCCTCTCTTCCTCATTCGAAAAAAGGCATCTCGATCAATTTCGGCGCTTCAGACGAACCCCTTATTTGGAGGGAAAAAGCGACATCCTCCCAAAAACCGCTGCCGAATTTACTCGGAGGGCAAACGGTTGCGGATGGATTGATATTTTGGGGCGAAAATTTTATATAAAGTGTACCTTTGTTCCGCCGTGGAAACGAGCGGCGGCAGTGGATCGAAAAATTGGGCGCGGGTTCTGGAGACGAACGAATTCGATTATATCTTCTCAATAGTTTATTTCGGGGTCTTAATCCTTCCAATTTTTATAAATAATTTTGGCATTTTTTCCACATGCCTAATTCTTGATTAGTTGTTTCTAAAGTTCAGTTCATTTTTTTATTTCCCCTTAGTTTTCAGATCAATCTCGTTTCCTTTGAAAGCGCCGCGTTAAAGCATATTTTTTTAACTTCCGATTTGTCCACATGTTCCAAAATCATCTTTCTCGTTTCTTACCCACCATCAATTAATGCTGCTATTAAATTTCCAATAATACCAAGCGCAAGTCATAACAGTCTCGTTCAACGCGACCCTCATCCCCTTTATCTTGGCGAATAATCGGCAAAGAGGATCAGGGCGACCTTAACCCAATGACACCAAGAATACCTTCCTTTTATTATTTATCCGTTTTCTTTGGTATTATTTCATTTCCCAACGGGTTTTTGCTTTTGATTACTCAGTGATCCAAAAATGTGATATCTTTTCACTACGTGATATAAATCACCATGTCGTTATCAGTAGTAATGAGTAACTGCAAGCCCGTTATTCGGCTCGAAACTGAGATCGCAGTCGTTTTTTACTCGTTTTATCGACAATCGGTTTGAATAACAATTTAGAAGGTCATTCGCGCGTGTCTTTTGAACTTTTCAGTCAAATAAATTAATTTGTTCTAGGAAACGACAAAAAACCTGACGAAACCAACGGATCCGCCGACTCTCGTCCTTGCGGGCTTGTAACTGGAAACGATGTCGAAACTCCTGTCGACGCTGTTACTGATACTCATATCTACCGTATTCTCTTGCCCAAATGCCATCAAAACTCTGTGTCAATGTTTTGAAGACAGTGCCAGTGGAATGGGGCATACGATAGAATGTCGAGGTCAGCCGATGGAGGATATTGTTCATCTACTTGTTCAATATCAACCCCAGATTGGCCTGATCAAACGATTAGTCATTGCTGACTCCCCTTCTATTGGTAATCTGACTGCTGACACTTTTCGAGGACTTTACATCAAAAGTCTGGCCATCACAAACAGCGGGATTCGAAAAGTAGACCCTAAGGCGTTCAATGGGCTGGACAGCACGTTAATCGAGCTTGATTTGAGTCAAAACAAAATCGATGTTATCCCAACAAAATCAATTAACGGAATGAAATCGCTGTTGGTGTTGGACTTGTCAAATAATTCGATTGCCAATTTAGATGCTGATCATAAAATGCCCACTCTTCCAAAGGTAAATATCATCGAGACTTGAGCTCCAATACTGTCATTTTAGTTGGACTTGCTCAATCTAGGAAACAACAAGATCAAAAACCTGCACACCACCTTCTTTGATAACGTGAAAAACAACATTCGCTCGGTAAATCTTGGAAGAAACCAGTTGACTTCAATTCCTGGTGCCGGTAAGTGGTCAATTAAACCATTACTGGATGTAATATTTGACATTCTATCTTTTACTTCCAGCTATTCGAGGATTCCGACGCCTAGAAGCCCTGCATCTACATGGAAATCTGATCACAGAATTAGAATCCATGTCCTTGATGAATCTTCCCGTTCTCAACCTCCTGAATCTGGCTCATAACAAGATCTCGAACATGTCTCGTCAAGCCATGTTGAACATACCTCGATTACGCATGCTCTACTTGTCTGACAACTTATTAGAAGAGGTGTTACCTCATCAATTCTCGCCATACGATCAGCTCGCCCTTGTGGACCTTTCCAACAACAGGATAAAGGAGCTCAAGAGTGGATCTTTTGCGGATATGAAAGAGTTGAAAGAGCTCTATTTGGCCAACAACAGAATCGGAGATATTGAACCCGGGGCCTTCAATAACAGTGCAATTCAACTGTTGTATCTCGAGGGGAATCAGCTAAATGAGATCGATGATCACATGTTTGCGGGGATGAATAGATTGGAACAACTAGTTTTGAGGGAAAATAGAGTAAGTCCTCTACCAAAAATAGTATCTTTCATTTGAATATACCAGCAAAAATGTAATCTTCATTGATTTCAGATAAAATCCATCAACCAAACAGCCTTTTACAACACACCTAGTCTAGTTATGTTAGATTTGAGTCACAATGAAATCTTCGACTTGGCACCATCCACGTTCACAAATCAAGAGCGCATCTTGCTCATCGATCTTCAATACAACAAGATTCTGCGAACTCCATACAGTGCATTCAGCCGCCGAGTAGTCACCGTTCTATTCTATGGTAAGTTATCAACCAAGTTAAGTAATTCTGTTTAGAAAATCCACTGGTGTGCAGTGAGAAAGTCCATATGATCCAGAACGGCCAACCTTTGACCGTTCCTGATCGACAAGACACAATTTGTGCGCCGCAAAGAGAGCTTGATGAACAATCCAAATTCCTGCTGGCTTCAACCACCAAGGCGACAACAGTGACCACAACGTCAGCCCTTCCTCAGACTAAATCGATATTAGATGCCCTGCCAGAGAGTCCATTATTCAATGGTCAACCAGTTCCAGGTGCTCGCCAACCCAGTCAAGAAGAGCTCTTCAATGCCTTCAAACAAGCCGAAGAAGACGCAGTTCGTCGGCCTGTGCCGGAGGATTCCCTCCACGATCCAAAAACGCCAGCTCCATCTGTTATTCCGTTCAATGGATATGATGCCTCCGGGCTTTTTAGTGGTCCTAATGGAATTCCAGTTGTGATTCAACGGCCAAAACCTGAGATTGCCGAGCCTGAAGGGCCTCGAGGACCATTAATGGTTCGAAAACTGTCAACAGAAAGGCGAGAATCTTCAGAAGAACGAAGTGTAATCCGAGCAGAAAGGCCTCAAGTCCAAGAGAACCTTCCAAAAATCCCTCAGCCAGATCAGCCGAGAGATGATGCCAGAGAAATCCTTGAAATGCCTCAACATGAGGGGCCTGTGGAAACTTCCAACAATATTCCCTCAGAATTTACCACAGAAGCTACGGAAACAACTACCGATATTGCCAATATTCCCGGTCGAATCTACCCCTTGCCAGTTCCGTTCCTGAAGGCGCCGGTTAAACAGAAGACTTCAATGTTTGCCACGCTTCCTCCAAGTATCGTGATTGCTCCAAGCCAAAGCGACAACATCTTTGAGGAGTTCGAAAACCGAACAGCAACCGCAAAATCTCGAGCAATGACAACCGAAAGGCGGCCATCAACTACCCCTGACGACGAGCTGAATTTCAACATGATTGCTGCAAACACGGAGCAACAAAATGCTGAGACAAAAGTTGCGACAACTCTGATTCAAGGCGACAAACATTTGCCTAACATTTTGACAATGGTCGTGGTGGCGATTGTTGGAGTTGTTGTCGGCGGAATATTGTTGGGATTGATTGCGCTCTATCGCAAACGTCATGATGCCAACTTCGTCCCCAGTTCGGCAAATTCGGCCAGTGGAGGCTATGGATATCCATCCAACACCTTGACCAGGCCATTGCCACCTCATCACAACTATGTGCATGCAGCCAATCAATACAGTGGTTCGCAGATGAGTACACTACAGAGGAATCGGTAAGCAGCGACTCAATTTAACCTATCGAATATGCTCTTTTATAATTTTGTTTCACAAATAATCGTTTTCAGACCGCATTCCCAGTCTTTCCAATCCGAGGACGTTTATGGCTGGATGTACAATCAGGGACCTTATCAGATCTACCAGTCAAAACCTACAGTCTAATATTCTTATTCAACACACGGCCTAGGCATCCAAAGATCTTCCAAACACTTGTCATCATTCCTTGTTACTTTCGTGTACATCCAATTTCTTTCCAGACATACACGGGATTTCTCTGCTTTTAATTGTATACTTAATATGTATTCTTTGTGTACAGTTTTAGTTCACTGTAATTTATGAATAAATCCGAAGATTACTCTGTTCCTGATTGTTGATTACCGGAAACTTTTGAAATCCTCTTACTCAACAATTTCGAATCGTAACGAAATCGAATCGATAAATTACTGCGTCAATTACTTGTCAGATTCCTTTACAACCATCCCCCGACTTATCTCCACCGCCGATCTTCTCTCCGGCACTAGGTCACCAGGTCGACGAATCTTCCTCGGACTTCTGACGGTGATAGGTCATGCAACGGAAAGACACGGAAAAAATAAGTGCGCTTTTTTGGGTTCGAAGCCCTGCGGGGATTTAAAGATGATGCGGTCTGAAACAGCGGGCGGATTCCGCTGGAAAAATAGGTGCATCCGAAGTCTATAAAATCCAAATTACTTTCACTTTCGGCGTAGACGCGGCTGAAAGCGATGGACAGATGCTGGCGTCTCGCTTCTAACGTCCAAAAAAACAACTACATTTTCCATTTGAATCAGACTTCTATGAATGTACTCACTTCTCCGTATTTTACATTGTTTATCCGCTTACTCTATAATACCCGTATTCTTCTCCGTCTCGGATGCACTCTCGTTCTCAACCTTTTCGTTTCTCCATTGCGATTCTTCCGCGCTTTAGGCATTTTCGATCCGAGAATGGAGAAGAAATGGGCGTAGCACCTTATTCGGGAACCATTCCTTCAGAAATCTTATAGCGGTTCCGCTCCTACTTTCCTTCCACCGCAAGGTATCCGCAAAATATCTGACCGAATTTTTCGGGTGGTTATTTCCAAACATTTCTCGTTGCGGCGTGCTTCATAATTCGGGGGCTGATTATCAGGGTCAGTGACAAGTTCTTGTTGCAAAGCCTTGTAACTATACTCGTTATTTTGATCTTTATTGACGGAAAACTTTATTTCAGGATGCGTGTCCTCGCCACGATAGCTATTGCCACATTGGCAGCCTCTGTTTCCGCATACTGTCCAGAGTTTCTATACAATCAGACCGTGTGCTCTTGCTCAGAATACATTGATGGAGCTATCATTCGTTGCAACGGTCCAGAATCGCCTCACATGGTCGAAAAACTGAAGAAATATCACCCAGAAATTCGTGAATTGGCCTTGGAGAATGCCAACATTCTGGAGATTGGAGCTCGAGCTTTCGGCTCACTGAAGATCAAGAAGCTGGTTCTGGACAACAACAGAATCAAGGCCATTAATGCCAATGCCTTCAAGGGACTCGAGAAGGTCCTTCAGGAGTTGCACATCAACAACAACAAGCTTCCTGATATCCCAACCGATGCTATCGAGGACTTGACTGCCCTGAACATCTTGAGTTTGAAGTGCAATGAGATCGGAAACTTGTCGGCTAATGCCTTGGTTGGTTTGCCAACTCTTATTGAGATCAACTTGGGTTGCAACAAGGTAAGAAAACTTCTAAACGAGCCGTTATATAAACAAACATCCTTACGTTTTCATTATAATATTCTAGATTGCGAATATTGCCGCCGATGCCTTTGACCAAGTGCGTGGTACCCTTCAAAACATCAATTTGGACAACAACCAGCTCAAGAGAATCCCAAGCAAGGCTATTGAGAACATGACGTCTCTTATCGGTCTTCATATGAAGTACAACAAGATCGAAAAGCTCGAGAAACACCAACTTCAACGCCTTCCGAATCTGGCGATGCTTTCTTTGACCGGAAACAAGATCAGCTCGATTGACAAGCAATTTGTAAACAACGTAACCACCCTCAAATACGTCTACTTGGCCGACAACAAAGTGAAGGATGTCAGTGCCGAGATTCTCCGTCAATTCGCCAGTGTCGAAATATTGGATCTCAGTTACAACAACATTGGAGATCTCGTTGATAGTCAGTTCAGTGTGCTCGAGAACATCCAACACTTAAATTTGGAAGGAAACCACATCAAGACCATTCAGAAGGGAGCTTTCAATGGCACTCCATTGCTTTTGTTGTGGCTGCCCTACAACTGTTTGAGCAACGTCAGCGCCGATACCTTCAAAGGAATCCCATTCGTCAAGCACATTTCTTTGGCCTACAACAACCTCAAAGACGTGGAGGCTTTCACGTTCGGTCATTTGGCTAATCTTCACACCTTGGACCTGAGCTACAACTTGTTGGATAGCATTCAGACCTCTTCAATTATGGGACCTGACTTCTTGACGACCAGAATTCAAGGTAAGTCATTGAACATCAGAAATCACTCAAATCAAATCGAAAATTGCCTTAAGAAATTAATTTTATCATTTTAGAAAACCCATTGGTATGCAAGCAAGACGGATTCCACGTAATGAATGGCCGTGATGCCTTGAATCTGACCAATGAGCCAAACCTGATTTGCAAGACTCCCACCAAGGAACAATGCCCACAAAAAGGAAACCGTCCAGCTCCTCAGGTCTGTAACTGCAAGAAGGCTACCAAGAAGCTCGCAACCGCTGCTCCAACCACTCTTCCCACCACTACCACGGCTGTTCCTGAGACCTCCGTTCCAACCAGCGCTGCTCCCGTTAAGCCGTCCGCTGAGGAGCGCAACCTCGTGGCAGCTATTGCCGCCGCCGCTCAGCGCCATCAACAAAACCAGATGCTTTCTCAACACGACCTGGACAAGGCTGCCGAGGCCGCGAGACGTTTGAATATGGAGAGATTTATGAGATTGTCCAAGACTCCAGCTGAAGGAATTATCCATCAGGCCCACCATGATGGAATTATTCGTCAGCCCACCTTCTTGGAAAGACAAAAGGGATTGTTGGCGAGAAGTGAGCAACTTCAGCAACAAAACGCCGAGATCTTAGCCAAGAGCAAGAGCTCCGTTGTGGCTCCCGTTGAGTTCAGCCACGACGAACAGGTGGAAACTGTTAGTCGTGATGAGACCGTGCCCGTCGCCCATGTTCCCAACAAGTCGTAGGCTCTAATATTACTCCTCAGACCCCATACTATGGTCTAGTATACCTTCGAGCCTTTAAAGTCACCACTGATACTAATTTTTCGACCTTATACCAGCCAATTAGACGGTCCGAGGCAACAAAAAATCACTTCTTCGTCCTCATTCCCTTAATATTCCCAAATAATATTTGCGTCTTCCATCTTGCACTGGAATTCCTTGTATGTAGTAATTAATTATCTTAATTATCTCGCTGTAATTAACCTAATTAGTTCACCCCAAAAACTCTGAAAATGATCTGAATTTACGGATGAGCAGAACATTCCAAAAACACCCTCTAGTACCCTATTTTACCTTCAGTACTTCTTTACATTCCTTAATATATTAATTTCCATGGTCAGCCTTGCAAACATTCCACTTTGTAATAAACATCGCCCTCAAAACGGCATTTTTGGATTTCATGGTATTTAATGCCCCGATATCACCTTCAAACATACCTGAAGATATCGATGGGTCCGTATCCGAGTTCGGAATGGCTCTTCTTGGTTCATATGGGGATGGGACGGGGATTGGAGGCAAAATAATGTTCAAAATAACCTAAACCAATACATTTTCTTCCAAAAAAAAAATAAATAAATAAAAAAGGACAGAGTCCACTACTCACCCGTTCAAATGCGCAGTAAACTGAAACCTTCGGCTCTGTATTTGTATGGCTATATCGTTTTTGGAAGAAAGTTCGGTCCGTTTTGACTTTTTCAAGCAATGCGTTGATGACCTGCTGGACTTTGATGATTTGAGCAAATTGAAAGTGGTCGATGGCGATTTCCACCGTTCCTTGCGGGTCGGCGGCGACTTTAACATGGCCTTCGGGTTGCTCGACGATATAAACATCGACATTGAAGTCGTTGGATATGGCTGGTTGGGAGTGGTGGGCTTCGTTTTCCGAGTTTAGGACCAGAGAGGCGAGTTTGATCAGGAAAAACTCCTTGTCGGGGCATTCTGAAAGTAATCACCGAATCAAAAATCCACTTGGCGTTTCTCAACTAACCCAAAAAGGCGATTTTTTTATCATTTTTAGAGTTCCAAAAAATTGTAAGCCCTTAAAAAAGCTACAAAAAAGACTCTTACCATCATTCCTTAGCACTTTCTGAGCATTGATCACATGTTGAATCAAGCTTTCATCATAATTTTTCATAAATTCCGTCGCTTTCTCGCTGAATTGTTTGAAAGCCACCGTATCTGATATCGGGGTTTGTTCGTAGTGGTAATTCGTCGCAGTCACTGTGCACAATGATGCTGACAGTTTGTTGGGGAATCTGTCGTCATCTTCTGGCACGTGGAGGTCAAAGTAGATATGAGGGAGAAGGATTTCGATGCGGGTATCAGTTGGGGTGGGGTCTTTTTGGAGGTTCTTCACGTCCTAGATCAAAATACAGAATTTTTTCGATTTAAAAATAACTTACAACGACATTTGATATGTTCTCACTGACGTAGACGAGCCATCTAATTGACCTTGGGTCGACTCCAATGATTAGTGGGCCAATTATCAGATGAGAGGCGTTTGGAGGCACTACAATATAAAAAAATCAAAAATCAAGAAAAAATTCCGATAAATTACGAAGGAATATCTTCCGTATTCCATAATATATTCCACAACAACTCATTTAATCGCAAAATCTTACCAAAATTCTCAAACTTACCCGGGAAACTAGTTGGATTTAGGTAATAATAGCTGGCCAGTTCCATGTGGAAGATCGGGGTTTGTTTGGGAAGAGTCTGCCTGGCAGTGGTGTCCGGATGGATCATTGGGACAACTTGTTCCTTCTTCGAGGTTTGTTGCGAAACACAGTTCACCAGGAGATCATCAATTCGAATAACAACATGTTGGGAACGGAGGTCTTGGCAGACTTGAGTAAATTGTCGTTTATCGCCGTCGCCTAGAAAAGTTGTCGATAAATTCGTAAAATTTTGTTAATAAACCAGGCCACAGTTACAATAGTGCCCTTCCATAATGCCTTTGCAAACCTACTCATCAGTTCACACAGTTTTGCGAGGTGAGAAACCACGAGTTTCTCGGCTTCGTTTGCACATGAATTCGTTGCATCGTATCTGACCCAATCCTCTCTTTTCCAAAGCGGCGAATGACTGGGGTATATATCCAACGACAATCTCGTCAGGACCACTTGAATCGCTCCATTGTTGATATCCCAATCCTTGGGGAAGTCATCGGTTGATGCGTCATCACATAAATGAAGATCAATTCGACTGATGTACACATGATTCGAGGACTGATTGAAATCGATGGTTTTGTAGCGCTGGGACATTTCTCGGTTCTGTTCGATGACTGTTCGGGAGGAATTCTGGAAATTTAGGAGGTGTAAACAAGATTTTTTGAAATTTACAGGAAGTTTTAAGCGGGAATAAGCAAGTTTAAGGTAAATTATGCAAGAAAAAACTTCAAAGTAGCGTATATTTATATTTTAAGCCGAATAACACAGCAAACAAAGGTAGAATTAGCAAAATTAAGCCCAAAAAGCAGTGTTCACGCCAAATTAGCCAAAATCCTAAATTTTAGTAAGAATTCATATAAATCCCAAAAATTTCTGTCCAAAATTAAAAATTTCATACGAAAATTGTTAAAAGTACCATCAAATACGCCACCCCCATTTTACCTTCTCCTTTCCAAGTTATCAGTATGACGTTAAAGGACAAAACACGACAAAAAACTACCTTTTGAGGACTGGCCTCTTTGAAAAACTTCTTGGTTTGGCTTACGATTGATTTCAGCGTCTCGGGTTTGGGTTTTTTCATGGCTTCTTGGGACTTTTCTATCAACTCCACTATGTACTTGGCGAACATGATGGCGGAACGGAGTTGGGGGAGGGTGGCGACCCAAAGAACTTCTTCTAGGATGGTCTGCATTCGTCCGCAGATCAGGGAGCCGTCTGGAAGTAACAAAAATAAAACCAAATTAAAAAAATTGATTTTGTAAATTTAGGTAGTACAATATAAAATTGATGTAAAAATGGGTATTTACATACGGCCACGTATCTATAACTACTATAAAAATTTGGTACATACCTCTCATTCTCCAAAAATAAAAAGAATTTTTAATAGGAACACGTGTGAATACAGTTATGACATTATCCATGACCAAGACCCACAACAACAACAGCCTTTCATTTTTTGATTCCGAAAGGCAAATTGTCCATAAAATTGAAAGCATACATCGTATTTTACCTATCCGCCTATATTGTATTCTAATAAACCTCCATTGCCGCCACCCTCTATATTACACTTGACATCAGAACTCCCAAACTTTTATATCCCCTCCAAACCTTACCAACTGAGCTCTTCTTAATCACCACTCGGCATCTTCCGGCACTCGTGATCAATCTCAATGGTGAATTCACAGCTCGGAACGTGGACGCGTCTCCATTTTCTTTTTCTATAGCTCGGGCTTCGATTCGAAGTAATTGCCATGAAATATGTTTGAAGAACATGACTTTATTGGTTGTGTGGTCATGGAAGCGGGTGTGCTTGAGGTCGGGGGCTTTCTTCCAGTTGGGGGTCTGCGATGCTACTTCCAAGCGGCTTAGCTAAAATATTGAACATGATGATTACAGCTTATCAAATATGATGCAAATTAAATATGAATCCCGAATCAATAAGACATATCTGACTTACCATAACAGAACCTCTGAATCGGTCTGACGTGAATTCGATTTCCACGTTATTCACAAATAACGACATTCCTTCCACTACTCGGTCTCCAAATCCATACGAATTTGAACTGAAAATAAGTATCAGGGTTGATGAAGTGACCGTAATTTACTCTATACACCCTATTCTGACTATCTTCAACACAAACAACCTCAGTAATTTCCCCCTAAACATCAAAAAAAAACTAACTAAAATTACTTACGCTGTAGCTTGACTTTTCTTCGTCTGGCCCGATCCGTCATCCGCACATAGTTCCAAAAGCACATGAATCTCATCAACGTACTATAAAAAAGTCATATTAGAAGTTAAAAATATAAGTCGGTCAAAAATTCAAAGAATTTATATTGCACTTACCAGTTCAACTGGCAAACTTTTCAATGAGGTCCATGGAATGTTCACAGTGACTCGATTGCATGAAGCGTGACGGATTTTAAGCCATGGTGGGAGTTCTAACTTCTCGGCAAGGACTTCTTCGTTCAGTACGATATTGCGCAACTCCCCTTTGCCTCTCAAAACCTCCACGCTGATTTGGTCTGGGGTCAGATTTCGGGCAAACCTGAAGCAAGCATGCTTTCAAAATGCAGAAATAAGCCCTAGAGATCATAAGTGAGCATTTAGACATCAACAGCAAACAGAAGATAAAAACTCGATCTATTTTAGGTAGCCTTTTTAAAGGCTACCTATTTAAAAATAACAACAAACTGTCAAATTTTGTGCGAAAACAGTAACTTCTATTCAAAGAGCACATAGAGAACACATCCAAGTTCTCAAATAAAAATTCTATATCGTTTTAGACACAAAAACTTGAAATTTTAGGTATAACATACCTAAATTAATATTCAACACTTCAACTTACAACTATTCCAAGCCAAACAAAGCTTCTGATACCCCCTAAACATCAAAAAACACTAATAATCAAATACTTACACCGACAAATGTTTGATGATCTGGTTTTTGATCAATGACGTCATTTTCTTGTTCAAATGTTGCTATTAAATTTTTTAAGATCCAGTCGAATTAAGGTTTCAGTTGCTTAGCACATTGTCGCAAATGTCTGATGCGACTACAGATGTTTCTCTACCCGTTTCCAAGGAACTTGAAGGCCGTTCGGACTGAAAAATTATAGAAATTGAATTTTTATGAGCCCGAATAAACAAAAATACATTCGAAAAAAGCACGATGATAAGCAATTGATTTGTGATTCACTTTAACGAGTTGGCTTAACGGGGGCATACAAGCAATTTGGGGGATTATAATGGGAATCGGAATGAAATTTGAATGATATATTTGATGGCAAGTCTAATGTCAAAAAAGTTCAATAGAAGGTTTAAAAAAATTATGGGACGAAGCAAGTAAGATAAGAGGTATTCCTTCAAGGCAAAACAATAATCAGCCGCGACCAAGAGCATCTTTTTTTATTAAACTTGTTCGTTGTAAAGGATAATAAATTATATTAAAACAAAATTGTAGAACGACTGATGATTTTGAAAGCAAATGTGGACAATTTAGTAAAAATGACAATAAACAGCCAATCTTTAACCTATTTCCATATCAAAATCCTTATCTATAACATCAATTTCCCCACAAATTTCCATATTATAGGGAAGTTTACCAAAAAAGCCTACCAAAACTCCCTCCAAAATCGAAAAACGCATGCGTAGTTTAGCCCCCAAAACCCCTCTGGCCCTCCTATCATCGGACTCGGACCATCAACAGGGTCTTAATTAATTATTCAGCCATAATCCCTCCGTTTCTTTTGGTCTTTTCGTTTGCATTTGTGAAATGGCTCTGCAAACGTCTCCAAGTCCATATAAATTCATTCCGTTCGCCTTTTTGGGAGGGCTTGAGGTAGGAAAAGATTTGCGCCCGCTTCAAGGACCGCTTTTATAATTGAAAATGGGAACGGAGAAGGGGTGTTTTCGGGAACAATATCAACAAAATTTAGGTGGAGACTATTCTCGACTCATATTACTTTACGGAAAATCTCTTACAACCACAATGCTTCAATAAAAAACAGAAAATTATACTAACCTATTAACCATGCCATGGTCAATATCAATTTTCCCAAAATAAGTTTACGCGAACGCTCGCTCTTTTTACAGATTAGCAGTTCTTGGCCAAAATCAAAAACAAACAGAACTCTGGCCAATTAATCCTTCCGAATCTCATCAATCCTTCTTATCTCTTTTTTCGCCATAAACTTGCAAAAAACTCCAAACTGAATTCAATTTCTGCGGCCGTAAATAGGCCGTTGTCCCGGGCGAAAAGCAGAAATAAAAGGAAAAGCCAATTAATTTTGAATTTTTAAGTACAACCCCAAACCATTAGCGTTCGAAGAAGAGTTGGTCAGCTTTCGCAAAAAGGATGAATTTTTGGGAATTCGAGCAAAAAAATAGAAATCTTCGCCGAAATTGTGGTTCAGAGGCCTATACAAGCTATGAAACACCTTGTTTTCTCAAGAAAATTCGATAAAAACAGTCAAAATTGACTTTTTTCAGATCCTAACCATCAGAATTATCGATAATAAATTTCTGAAATAACTAAATTTATTTATTACCTACATCCATCGCAGCCTATACTTCCAAAACGCCGCATAGCAGCCTATACTTCCAAAACTCCTCAAAAGATCGCTCAAAACGAACTTCTAATTACATTATCGATGATGAACTATTGATACCAAGAACTATTGATCTCCTCAAAAAAGCCAAATCGCCGAAGTGTGTTCAACAAAGAACCTTTCCAGTGAGGCAATACCTAAAACCCAACAACAGAAACAAACAGTTTTACCAGTTCAAGTGCACGGCTTATCAAAACGCTCCGTCAAACATGGCTTCCTGACGAGAGATTGATAAGAACTCGACGTGATATCCGATAACCCTCCGGCATGAGTTAGATGGTCGCTTCCGATCAAAAACAAGTTCGCTTTACTGGGAAGAGTCGAAGAGATTGTCAATCTTCATTTTTTCATTTTTGTTTTTTCTTTTTTATGGATTTGACGCAATGTCAAAACGTATCGGGTTTTTAGACGAAGTGTCAAGAATTTATTGGATGTTCGGAAGCGAGATTTTTTGATTGAAATTTGGTAACAGGTTTTGTAAGTTTATATCCAGACCTTTAATAAGTGATAGAAATCCATTATAAGACGTAATTTTTTTTTTACTTTTTCCTTATTTTATAGTAGGTGATCAAGGTAAAACGTCATATAAAGCGGGAGATAAAAGATTTTCTGAAAAATTTTTGAAATTTTTCTGTTTTTACTTTTTTTTTAAAAAAAAAGTAAATTTTCAGTTTACTTTCCGGAAAATGCAAAAAAAAGTCAATTTTTTGTTTGGCTTTCCGACTTCAAGGTCGGGAGTAGGACCGGATCTTACTCCCCGCTCGGAGTCGAGGAAAGTCAGAGCTTGTTTTTACTTTCTTCCTCTTTTTGGCCCCGCACTGCAGGTTGCAAGGTTGACGCCAAGTCTTTCCCTGATGTGTCAAGTTTTTCTCTTCCGAAAAAATTATTTTTATGTTTGTGCGATGTTGTGAAGCTATGTTCTCTACGAAGATGGGCTGAAAAGTGATCAAGTAAGTTAGCATTAGCAAGAGGAGATGTACGTTTTTCATTTGACACCAAAAATTTCCCTGTTATTTCAGAGAAAGGTACAAAATTTTTCCAATTCGTAAAGCTTCATGACCATGGATAATGTAAGTGAGATTATCTCGTTTTTTGCTACGACGTCAAGATTCTAAGTCGGGAAACGTTTAGAGGAGACCCCACTCTCATGTATATTCTCCATGTATGAAACCCCATCAATTTTGAGGAATAACGACGTAAAAATTTCAAATACTAAGTTATTGTAACAACGTTATTTGAGCCTTATTACGTTATGACCTCAGTTTAGAACGCCTTCGCGGCAAAAATCCGGCAGATCTGAGCGGATTTCGATATTGTACATGACACCTAGAAATCGAAATTGATGGCGTTTGATAGATGGAGAATATAACAAAACTAAAGAGTGCGGTGTCCTCTAGAACCCCCAGCCTAGAACTGTTTACTCCAATAACGGAACAAAAACGAGATAAGCGCACTTACATTATCCATGGTCGTGAAAAACTCCCGAATTGGAGAAATTCTGTAAAATAAAAGGAAAATATTTGGTGTCAATTGAAAGAAGAACACCTGCTCTTACTAATAACAACTTACTTGTCTAGTATTCATGCCATCTTCATGTAGAAACAGGCTATATCGAAAAGAGGGGAAAAATAATTTTCTTACGGGGGAGAAATTTGACACATCTGGGAATTCCCGGGTGATCAAGGGCGCAGCTCACAAAAATAGTTTTGAAGAAAATAAATTGGTGAGTAAAAACGGCGTCTTACTCACCAGCCAAAATGGGCGAGCCATTTTTGTTTCAACTTTCCGGATCGAACTTTTGGCGAGCCATTTTTGATCCAACTTTCCAAAAATTTGTCGTTCGGAGTAAGAATGTTTTTTGACTTTCCGAAATCGAAAATTTCCGGAAATTTTTCAAAATTTACTTTTTTTTTTAAAAAAAAGTGAAAACAGAAAAATTTCAAAAATTTTTCAGAAAATCTTTTATCTCCCGCTTTATATATGGCTTGAATAGTTTATTAATCAACAATCGGCAAAATAAGGATGAAAATTGGATTTGTACATAAGGAATGAGACTTTGAAAGTAGTGGAATACCAGAAAAGGGTAGTTTTTTGAGACAAAATTCAGAAAATCATCGTTTTTCAACGGAAAAAATCGTTTTGTAGACCTTTTTCTAATAATCTTTCTTGTATCCAAAGTTTTTATGCTGTAAAAGTAATACCGTTTAAGTTTTCTACAAATTTGAAGAAGCCCGGAAAGTCTTTGGCAAGCCCAGAAAGAAGGAGCTCATCTGATTCTGCTCCAGACTGTTCGTCGGAGTTTTTGGCTGGCCTAAGCATCGATCCAACTGGAAGAAAACAGCGCCACACGCCAATGTTTGTATCCGATATTGTTTGATTACGAATAATGTGATCAGTGAGTCCAAAAGAGGCGACGCGGTTAGCCAAAGTTGAGTGATGACGATTACATTCTGATGAGTGATGGGCTCGATGAGAAGGAGGGCGGAGGAAAGCGCGAGGAAGGCGGGGACCTGAAAAAAAGCTTTTTGGCAAGCGAAGTGTTCCATCAACGTATTTTTCCGTATCTACTACCGAAATAAATCCATTGATTTTAAGTGAAAACGATATCCTATGGGGCAAAAATGAGCTTCTCTACTCACCTGACAAATCATAGGCACGACAGCTTGAGCCAGCGTTGCAAGCGCTACCTGTCTTGTTTCGAGTAATCTCGTTCGATCATGAAGACATTGCACTACTTTGATGTGGTTGGCGACCAACCAAAACACGAGGAAATTGGATACAAAAGTAACAACATGGGCGACAACGGTAAGTGAGGCATACGCGAAAAAGAGCCATCGGGCAATGTCATGATGAGCATTCGATATCACAATCAACAGTATCACTGGGAGTAAGTCCATTACTGCACATACAACGAAAGCGCGGTAACCTGAAAAGGAAATTTGCAATAACGAAAGATAATGCTGTAAATGAAATTAGTCATCAAAATGATGACAGACGGTTTCACTGCTTACCAGAGAAGATCCGATCGTATGTCCGCGGCCTGGACGCCGCAACAATTCGACTCAACGAAACCGGAACTAATGCACAAATCATAACGCCGAAGGAACCGTAGAATGCAAAGGCCGAGTAGGACATGACACTGATTGGAATGTGGAAGTGAGAGGACAAGTTTACATAACCCATAAATGCGTAGAGGAGTGCTAAAATATATTATAGTTATGAAAGGGGAAAAATTATATATTTACAACTTATGGTTGCTGTTTGATTTGATTCAATATAACTCACCACAAACACTGTCGACAAAAGCTAAATTGGCAACGAATAATCGATAATCGCCGCGAATATTGACCAACGAGATGAAGAACACGTATAGCGAAACCAACAGCCCGAACAAAGCAGTTGTGACCACGAGGATGGCAATGTAGACCCGGAAGGCTTCTTCTTTGCATCGATGGACTTGGGCCGCGTTCACGGCCGAATTAATGTCCAAATCGGTGTCGGTGAAGTTGAAAGACGGAGAGTCGAAGAACGAGAAATTGGTGATGGTCGGAGAAATTATGGTCATGACGGAGGCCATTTTACTCGAGGAAAATCATGAGGGGATATCCGTTATTGCTGAGATCAGATTGTCGTTCATATTCGATCTAAAATTCGGCGGTGTTGCACGATACATCATGATAATAGGACGCTATATCCAGTGGAATATCTTCAACAAAAGTCACGCTGAAAATGAAAATGCCGCGGTTTCAAGAAGGGCCAGAAGCAAAAGAGGAAGAGCAAATGCGGAAGTAGAAGGGTCAAATAAAATCTCAAGGTGATTAACTGAAAATGGAGATAAAAATGACGCACGACCTGTAGAATTTCGTGGTGGGAAAGAGAAAAGTTATCCGTGCTGATTGTAACAAACCGATTCATTTTGAAATTTGGCCGATAGACAGAGATCCTTAGGCCAAAAAAATGTTACTTTAAATTGACTTTGTACGGAAAGAAAGAAAAGTGAAAATAAGTCATCTATGAAGGAAAAAAAAACATCTCTGGCCTTTCGAAAACAATCCATTTGTGAGGCAAAATTAGTTGAACTCCAGAGAAGATTAGGGACTCTCCAGAGACGAACCACGCTGTTTTTTGCAGGATTAACGTCATTTATTCTAATTTTTGAGCAAAAAATGGTTCTGGCTAATTCCTCATTTTGCAAAAAAACCTTATATTACTGATTATAATTAGAAATTTAAACCATTGTACAACAATAACTAAATCGCTGCAAAACGAAAGTTATAAAGTTTCACTGATTTTTCAAAATCAATGTTCACCCCATTTCTGCGCCAAAACTCGACCCAGCAACAAAAATAAAAGCCGAGAACTGCTGTTACCACCTTTATATATGCATATAATAATACGCTGACGTCGCTGCTTATTTTTAGACCGTCCAAAAAAAATAACTTTTTAATTCGGTTTATTTACGACACGGAGGAATGCCAAAAATAATACTGTCTATCCGCACAAAAACTAAAAGGAAAACAATTATCATCACATCGCGCACATCCATCTCTTTCACATATTTTGTAAACAAGCTTAGCTTACGTTAGCACATGAAAGCCGCCGTCCAAGGGTGGCTTATTTTGTATTTAGTGCCTTATTTAAGATTATACCGTAAGAAGATCACTGTACTTTGACCGACGTAAGAAGATAACACTCAAGATAACACAAGCCTTTGGAGACATCTAATAATAATTTTGTCCGAATAGTAAAATAAAATTTACACAGCTGAAAATCGCCTATACTTTCCAAACCACAGCTTTTGAAATGCCAAGTAATGTCATCCTTATTAGTCTGCCCTATTTAGTTCGAGCCCCTGAATATAGTATGCAAGATACATCCGGAAGCCGACAAAGCCGTGGCTGATGTTATTAGAGGGTTTCAAAATTGTCACGAAATTTTTAATGCACTTACAAGGACAACTGAACTCAACGTTGTTAAAAAAAGTCAAAGTGAAAGAATAGCAATTCTCCTCAAAGAATTGCTACTCTTTTTATAGCTGAACAAAATTAAGTTTAAATAAATGAAAAAGTGCTTCCCCTAACTAATTCGATTATTAAAAATTTGTTGGAACTGCAAATGGATTACTCGGAAATTACTATTAGGAGAGCTAAATGTAGTTATCCAAAAAAAAATACTTCAAGAAATGCACCGGATGTAAGAAAACTGCTATAATATTAGAATAGGACCGAATTAGAATCGTGAAAGAATGGGTTTCTTTAATTATAAAAACTCTAACAAAAAGAAATGTTCGATGATCAAGACTTTGATTTTCTACTAATTTTCTGTATATTATATACTATAAGAAGCTATGTATTATGTTCGGCTGACACAAGAGCTTAAATACAAAAGTGTCAAACTTTCACAAGGTTTGGATAAAAAATCACGGTTGTTTCTGCATTATTAATGGATATATTATACATCAAACCCTGCTCCCTCCGCAAAAGATGGGAGAAAATGATGATGTAGTAGGTTGTTTGATCCTGAGAATTCTAATATTATATTAGGGGTGTAAGGAATTACGTTACAAAAAGGGAATATGTCTCTGACTAGCCTATGGAACGACAGAGGGGTGTACGCGGTGTGTATTTGTAAAATAATAGTGCCACAATGTAAGACAGCGATTCTAATTTTAGGAAGACATTATTTATACTGTTAAAAATGCAAGACTTTTGACGCCGACCTCGTTAATGTGCAACATTTCCAAGCTCTTACTTTATTTAGTAATTTTACAGCACTTTTACATGCAGCTGTTAATTGTTTTATCGCTCTTATTATGTACACTCACAAATCTTTAAAACAACTCATACATATACGACTTATTTACATTATCAAAGCCAACCTTACATCAAATGTCTAAAACCAAAAAAAATTCCAATCATACGCTTTAAAACAAAATTTTGAAAGTTCGGGAAGCGCCTTTCCTCATCGAACTCTCAGCCTTTGCCTGACACCACCCGTAATTACCGAAACCCTTTTCCCAAGTGGCATTTCCTTCCAATGCTGATTAACAATTCTTCTTCTGTTGTTCATAAGCACTTGGAGACGCCTTCTCAAAGAACGGGGAACTTCAGAAGAAAGGGGGCACTCCGCCGTTGGAGGAAAACGTATCTCCAGAAAATCCCACGCAAAATGTTTTGAAAAAGTTTTTGAAGAAAAAAATTAAGAATTCCAGAGGTTATATTCTATATAGCTAAAAGAGAGTCGATGAACGGCCAGATTTCTTTATGAAGACTTTGTAAAAGTGAGAGTCTTAATTTGGAACGCCTTACAAAGCAATTATGTAAAGTAGGACAAGTAGAGCCAGATGAGAGTCGGCTCAAGTATACAAAAATATTTTCTGACAAGACATTATGAGTCATCGACCGATTACTGTACAATTCTTTGACAAATAATCAATTTGGCTAGTCAAGGTCAAATGAGACAAAAACAGTTCTACCTAGCGTGCCCGTTAAAATCCAACAAAGACTTTATGATATTACAATGATGACATAAAACGTAAAGTTCCTTGTGATTTCGGGTTCCAAAATTTACGCGTAGACGACCACTGTAGCGCAAATCTTTCCATTTTAACAAATACCGTTTCCCGTGTAGGCGACGATATCTATTATAGTTCTAACGTTCGTTCGCAAAGACTACTTTTTATATCCCCACTGACGCTAATTAATGAATAAACATCAGAGAGTTTCGGGTTCAGTCGATAAAATTTTAAAATTGTTTAAAAAATTTAAAGACGCCATTTCCGTCGCATCTTTGGATTATTTGCCAAAAGAGTCGAATTTCAACTCCGTTAAAGAGTTCCTTGAGTCGACTTTTATACAAAGAATTCAAACCGAACGTTTCCGGTCGGTTAGATAAGTATTTGGAAAGTATTGAAAGAATTCTTATGATACAATCAAGAGTAGAAATAAAAGAGGACAGGTACGGAGAAAAAATGTGAAGAAAACTGTGGAAAATTTTATCAATATGTACATAATGTTACACTTCTTTTATCAGAAGTTTAAATCATTGTAACTCATCTTAGGGCGATTTTTACTTGATTTTCTTTTTTCTGTTACTTAAATTTCCCAAAGTCACATTAAAACCCTATTTGAATGCTAATACAATCTCCAAACCCACTCACTAAAAAGTAGACCGATTTTGTCTTAACAAAAAAGCTGAGACCAGACTCAAGTCTTTGTCTAACAACCCTATGTATGATGACGAGAAATCCCCAAAAAACGTGGCCCATTGTTTCAAAAGAGTTTTTGAAATCTTGGACCTTGCAACAAAGAAGATTACATTTCTAATGCCGCCGCTGAACCTCGAGTTGTGGCACAAGGTATAACAGATGTTGTCTATGACAAAAAAATGGGAAAATGTGACTTAGGGGCAGGAAAATAAAGTTAAGTGTGATAATTTTGACGAGAGCTCGATGAAATTAAGATCCTGGTTTTCTTAGAATCGCTGATGAATTTTTGTTTATAAGGTTGCAAAAAACCCCTCTAAAAACCGCCCAAAAATTTCATCTTTTGCTATTCCCAATAAAAAACTATCCATTATTTTGTTCCTAAAGTATCAAAAGCTAACCTGTAATGTTATGTGCGCGAACCTATAAAACCCTAGGACATATCGAAATTTGCAAAAGTTTCTTTTCGACAAACGTTCCAAATTTTGCTAGCAAACTTCAGATGTTTCGTGCTTTGACGATACGCTTGTGCAAACAGTCCACCTTCTGCGTTATGTAAACTCGACGTGTCCAAGTTTATCCGCCGGAAGAACAAATGTGCCGCAGGGCATGGGAAAGGGAGGGTACTTTGGACGGAACGACATTGATGGAACGAAATTGCGACAGATCGAGATTATATCGACTGCACTGGGTGCAAAGTTGGCAGACGGGATCACGAGGCCTTCATTTACTAACCAATGAAAATTTAAAAATCTGATCAAAACATAGAACTTAGAGCTGGAAGAACATCAGTTGTCTCCTTTGGTACCCTCTTATGGGTAAATAAATTTCAAATTTATAAATCCAAATTAAATTTATGACATCACTTCCTCAAATAACAATAAATATAAAAACTGGCCTTCCCCCCACGCCCTATTAAATTTTTTGTTGAACATTATAAGATGACGTTCGAGTAAACGTTGACATTTCATATTAGCCAATCTCTTCGGAAAATAAAACCCCCACAAAAACAGGACCTGATTAACTTTCCATGGACATTACTTTATAAACAAAAAACTTGGGCAAAAAATTTTTTTTTTAAATAGTTAAAATAAAAATCGAAAAAAATTTAAATAGGAATTTATTAAGAATTAAATACATAGTAATATAATTACATCACTTTCTACAATCCACTGTACACCATTCCAGTCGTTTCGTCGCCGATTTTTGGATGATTCCGAAGCATTTGCCCAGAATTGGACAACAAACATCCGGAGGGCATCCGTTCCGTCGAATCTGCTCCACCATTTCGGCTGAAAATTGGGGGGCGTTAGGGGAAACGACTAAATTGCAAAGACATACGGGCAAATAAACAGTTTTGAGGGAATGTTTCGGGTACAAAGGTTGTTTTAGCCAAAAAAAAACATAGAGTTTTGAAAATTAAAAAACTTTCTAATTTTTCGTTCAAAATTCCCGAAAACGCAAGATTTTAGATCAGTCGAATGCAAAATTTTGTCTCATTGGCAGGCGAAACAAAAAGGCTTTCAAAAATTCTGAAAATTAAAATTTTAATTTTTGCTTTTAGAGGTTTAAAATGCTTTTCGTACAAGTACATATTTCTTTTTTGAACACGAATTCTTATGATCTTCCGGAATTTAAAAAAACAATTCTAACTTTCTCACCTATTGTCATCTCCTTTCCGCTGCTCTCACACTTCCTTCGATCTGTTCCACAGACTCGTTTGCCTTCACAAATCTTTTTCCTGACCTGAACATTCTCATCGCCGCTACACGAGCTCCATTCTGACCATGTTGCTGATCTCAATATCCGACTTTCCCTTCCCACCTCCAACTTCTCCACAAAATCTTTTCTTTTCGATGGTCCAGTTCGCCTTCGAGGTGCTGCAAATCTCCTCGAAGCCGCTGATGTTGTATTACAGGAGGTCTCAAAGTAGTCGACAAGATCGGAATTTTCGCTGGTAAAAAGGTCTGGTTGGGTGGTTCGGTCTTCTGTGTTCAGAATGCAGTTTAGTTGGGGCTCCTGAAAACGGGGAAAATGAATACAGTAGAACCTATGTATAAAAAAATCCTGTACAGCAAAAAATTATTTTTCAGACAATTTCAAGGGTCCCAAGAGTAACATATGTGCCAAAAATTTTTTTTTCCGTACAAGCCCTTCTATAACGAAAAAATTTGTTGGTTCCTATTAGAACTAAGAGTGAAGACAGAAGATTTCGGAGGAAAATTTTGAAAATTTTTCGAATTCACTTTTTTTTGAAAAAGAGAGTAAAAATCGAGAAATTTTATGGGTCGGCGAGTAGGAATCGAAATAGCTTTCAAAATTTCCATTTTTGGAGTGAATTCCGAGTTTACTTTTTTTTCGCCTTTTTTTGGAGTAAACTCAGAATTTACTCGCCGAAGGTGCCGGCGAGTAAATCCAGAGTTTACTCCCGGGGAACAGTCGACCCATGGGCGCAAAAATTTTTTTTTATTTGCGTTAGTAATTCGCGCCGAACTTTCGAAAAATTTTGCCGAATCCTGACTGGGAGGCTCCAGCCAGGATTCGCGGGGTTCCTGACTCTTCGTACAGTCAAAACTTCCTGACTGTGGTCAATTCAGGAATCCCGCGATTCTTGACTGGGTGAGGGGTCAATAACTGTTGACTAGGACGAAGAAATAGGGAGAAAAAACGAAGAGAACGAGAGAAACGCGCGCTATTTCGTGCTGTCTCTGCCTCTCAGCGCCCTCTTTCCGTTTCGCGCTCTCTCTCTCTTTTTCGAAAGAAAGAGCGAGAGAGCGCAAAAAAAGGAGAGAGCGAAAGAGCGGGAAACGAAAAGAGGGCGCAGAGAGGCAGAGAGAGCACGAAATAGCGCGCGTTTCTCTCGCTCTCTTCGTTTTTTCTCCCCGTTTCTTCGTCTCAGGTGACTGGGATGTCGATTTTGAGGCCGCCCAGTCAAAAACATTCCTGACTGCAGGAATCGCGGGATTCCTGACTCGGAGGCTCCCAGTCAGGATTCGCCAAAATTTTTCGTAAGTTTTCCTGGGTCATCTGTGCCTCTGTGATAGCTGAGGAAATAATTGGAAGCGAGCAAAATCCAGATTTACTCGCCGCCATTCGATTTCTCGGCCCCGGCGAGTAAACTCCCAGTTTACGCCCGAAAATCAAAATTTTTTCCAAATCTTGGAGTAAACTTCGTGTTTACTTTTTTTTTGGGAGTAAAAAAAATTTTTACTCCAAAATCGAAAAAAAAGTGAATTCGAAAAATTTTCCTCCGAAATCTTCTGTCTTCACTCTTAACTATTAAGATTTGTGGCTCAAAATTCAACACTGTTTTTCACAAGTACTCAAGCACTCTTTTCTTACTTCAAAATAAAACATTCCACTGGCACACTTGAATCCGTACAACTGCCTGCTGTTTAGGCAGTTATCAAAGCAATGTTGCAGCGAAGGAGCATCCACCACCGTCTCCGCAAAGCCCACCAAAATCTTTTGTGGGAATCTGTTGTAGACCGAGGATGGGCATTCTCTGTAATATGACAAAAAAACGTTATTTGCAACATTTGTAAAGTCAGATATTATGCGACGAGATGAAAATGGCGTATTTTAAACAAAACAAGTATTCATGCAATTCTTACCCCGCCAATTTCTCCTCGATGCATATCCTTTCGTAATAATCAGTACCGGCTTTTTGTTTCAGCTGTCCATTGCCTAAGGGCACAGCCGTTTCTCTTGATAACACACAAATTCCGTCGTTGTCGTATTCAAAGGAATTACACTGCGGCGCGTTCGGACTGATGTCCTAAAGAAGATTTGTAAAATACGAAACTTTCTATGTTGTTTGTTAAAAACTCCAAGCCGAAAATCAAAACTTACTTTCAGCGCCGTTGGACTTGAGCAAAACTCGATACACTCATCTAACGTCACACTCTCCAGCCTCATGTCATCATGTTGATGCAACTCGAAATCCGATGTTTTCAAAAACCTCGCCAGTTGCCCTGTTTCACAAGCCTTATTTTTCTCCAACTCGGTTGCAATCAAATTGTTAACCATAGTGTTATGATTATGCGGACTGTCCAAAGGCTTTGCCGAACTGAAAACGTCTGGCGTCGGGGCTTCTGTTGGAGTCAATTCGGATATTGCAGCTATTGCCTGAGGCTCTTGGGTCGTAATCAGAGGTATTTCTGGTTGAGGTGGGGGAGTAGTGGGTTGAATGATAGAGGTAGTCGTGCGTTCTTCCCTGTCAAAGAAGTCGAGGGGCTTCTGAGTAACGGGTTTTGTCCGTACCACGCCATCTTCATGTTGCTCTGGAGGCTTACATGTGACCGCGGCTGTGGGCTCGAAATAGTCGCGGGTTTGGAAACGGAGCAGCCTAAAAATGATTTCATTGAGTATTTGGGATAATGAAAATGGCATAACAAAAACCTAGCTATTTTTATATAGACTAAAAGAAGCAGTAAATAAAGAACTGAAACGTCATAGACACCGATCTCTTCTGAAAGTCACTAAAGATTTGCAAAGAAAGCTCTCTACCCAAAATCAACAGATTGGTTCAAACTTTGCATACGTATCCCACATGTATGAGCCATAAGAAGCTTACCTCGCGGGACTCTGATCTCCAACATGAGCAAAAAGATCGCACACCTGGTTGACGTTGTCGTAGACAAAAGACCGGCAACTGTAGACGCCAACTTGGCTCAATAAACATTGTGTTTTACATTGGACTAGAGATATACTGGACCTGCGTTCATATGGCTGTGCATTCACAATGATACTATTTGCGTATCGGCGGAAGCATGGGTCACCTAAAGAAGTCATATCATTTATGCAAAATTCCGATATCCGATTTTTTGAAATTGACAATACATGTCACCGTGACATATTTTTAAAAAAGGCTAGTGTTTGCATGAAATAGAATTTAGACAGAAAATTCTTAACAATGATTTTTTTTTAATTTCAAAAAATTATGTACATATCTCATCATCACATTATTTTGGGAAATTAAAATTTTTGGAAAGTGAATTGAATGATGACATATTTTTGTGAAATTAATATTTTTTGGTTCTTGACCAATTTCATGATAAATCTCATTTTCCTGACCCATAAAATCGCCACTTACTCAGGTCGGGTATGCCCGTTACAACTTGTTTCTCATTCTGCAAACTGGGCTCCCGCACTCCGCCGGCCGGGTCCCGAAACGAACTCGCACTGTGCGTGGGATTCGAATCCAAACTGTTGGAGACGGCGCCATATGCAAAAACTTGTTTGTCTCTGCTCTGCAAAACAACGAACAGGGATTACGTGGAAAGCGAACGAGTAATCGGAGCAAGCCGATCATCGGCATAATTGGAACTTACAACCGACGTGGGAAGACGCTCTTGTCTTCGACTTGTTGGCGGAGGTAGGCCGTATGAGGCGGAGTTGAGCTCGTCGTCGAGAGCTACCTAAAATCTTGTCGCCATAATTTTCGCGCCGATAGAGAAAAAATTTTTTTTGGGGGAGAAAGCTGAAAAAAGTGGAAAACAAGCCAATTACAATAAAAAAATATAAGAGAAAAAGTGAGTTTGGAAAATAATAAAGCTAATTATACACACATAATAAGCAAAATAGGGGCGTTTTTTGGAAAACAAAAATTTTAAAAGACTTTAATTTTTTGTCAGAACTCGTAAAATCGATATGCATATATGAAGACCAAAACCATAAATCATGAACCCAAGACAATAATAAAACTCCTTGAGGGCAAAATTTCATCATAAAAATCAAAACCCCAAAAAGTTACCAAAGATCCCAAAGATTACTCAAAAATTTCACTTACGTCATCGTGAAGTACCCTGTGTTCTGACGGGCTAAAATACGACCAGGATATGAGCTTTTTCGTCTCGCTTACCTGAACTGTCTAAAATCAGGTAGTCGTTTGACGGCTCTGGTCCACTCCAAGAAAGCGATCAGCACAATCAATTGTCTCATTGATCCATAAAATGTCGAGAGATCCCTTGCTTTTCGTCAAGCTGCCATAAGCTGTTTGAAAACTCTTGAGAAAGCAATTAACCAAAATTAGTGGAATATTGAGGTCAGCACGAAAAGAAAATCACAAAAAATGGGCGGAAAACAAAATGCCTTCTGCTGACGGTCTTCGGAGGGGCGGCCTTCTGGAGGCGGGCGGTAGATGGAAAAGAAATCGGACCTCATGCCGAAGGCTGGGGGAGATCTGCGTCCACCGTCTGCGGCAGCGAGGCGAGGAGGTTTAGGTTCGGGAGGACGATTAACTAACAAATTCTTTTTTTTTTCTTCGCTCCGTTGCGGCATTGTACACAAGGCGTCTAGATTTATGACCCACAAAACTGGGAAGGGTTACGTCAATGGCAAACTGGATTTATTCGCGCGGAGTAATAACAAGAGGAAAAGGTTACAAAGAATAGAGTAAAAACAAACATTGAACAAGATTAGGCGGTCAGAAGATGTTCAAACAACCGTGGTCGATGGAGTAGATGATGAAGCCGGAGAAGGCGAGGAAGATTAGCGTCTGAAAAGAGGAATATTAAAAACACCTTGGTTATGATGATTATCAAGAACTTATTATCAGGGAACTGCTTCAACGAGTCAGTGAACGAAAATTCGACGATTTTCATGGAATGCTCTAAACGCAGAGCTCATATTTGATGAGAATTAGCAAAAATTTGATTAAAATTCTTCTAATGTATGGGTAATGCCTCAGATTTTTTGGCTCGGTTTTTGCAGAAATCCAGGTGGATTGTTAGGTCAAAAGGATGCAAATTTTTAACGATTTTTAGAAGTTTTTGTGGTCGGAAATTACTTTTTTTGCGAATATTTTTTCACAATTTTGCCTTTATTTCTTCCATGAACTTCCAAGTTTTGCTATCGCCAAAACTATGTCCTTTTTGCTCCACCTCTCGTCTGTGCCCTTCAGCTCAAGTCTAGCCACTTTTCTCGACTTTTCTTTTCGCTTTTTTAGACTTTTTCACGAGCTGATCCACTTGAGCCCTCGAATTGCGCCACTTTGCGCACAAAAATTTCATAATGTTTTCGAATCGGCGGAATCCCCTTTCGAAGTTATCCCGGAAGCTCTCTAATAATAATAATAGTAATAACAAGGTCAAAAGGCTTACCAGTACAAGATGTTGCGCGGTCAGCGGGAACAGCAAACCCAGCTGGATGGGGGGTTTGGCGTCTTTGAAGCGGAGGATCAGAGTCAGGAGTTTGATCTGGAAATTGAAAATTAGTAAGAAAATGAATCGGCAGGGAGGTGAGCAGCTTGAGATTTCAAAATTTTGATGACAATTGTAGCAAATTTAGATTGCTTCCTTTTAGAAGTTGGCCAGATTTTTAGCTCCTATTTTATCGGAATTGTCGCGATTTTTAGGTCAAAATATTATATAATAATTACCGTTGTGGTTTGGTCCGAGTGATATAGTTGCTGCAGATCGCAAATCTTGTTCGAGTCGTATTGAAATTGCTCAAACTAAAAAGAATGTTTGTAAAATACGTCATTTTAAAAAAGGGTTGATTATAATATAAAATTGACCACCTTTCCATTCAAGTTCACCGCTGATATTACGAATACTGCTGTGGCAATAAAGCATGCTGACAAATGGATGATCAAAACCGCGCCGCCAAACTCCCACTTCTTGATGTATTCGAAGGAACTTGATCGGAGAGAAAATATCACTCCAACCAATGATAGAATTAACAGTAGGAATGCAAAGTTTGAAAAATGGCGATTCAATTTTCTTGAAGAGCGATCAATCGACTAAAAGTAAAAGATAAAAAAATGTAGAAAAAAACAAAATTGACATGAACTTATCCTTTTTCTCAACCTCTCCAAAAAATATAATCATCATTCCTACCCAAAACCCACCTGAAATCTGAACACGTAATGGTCGACTCCCTCTGTTCCCGGGCATTTCCCCACATCCTCGCTCAATTTCTCGCATTCCGCTCCAATATTATAGCACAATATTGAGAATAAACTTGTTGCTCCCAAGATTGCCACACAATTTACAACTGTTACGTACCATCGCAGGATATCACAGGCAGTTCCGCAAGACAATATTGTGCTCGATTCAAACGTTTTTGCCGACCTTAGACCAAAAAAATCGAAAGAAAATGTTAAAGTTGTAAGCCCGGCGATTGTAATCGTCGTTATTAGAAGCGTAAAAACCACCGAAAGGACCTTCGAGACCATCCGTTTCCTCGCTACGAACGCTGATTGGACGCTGTAGCTGGTCAACGATTCCGAAATCAACGGAATTTTCAGCAAATGCAACTTGAAATTGGCGTAGATTCCGAGCAATGTGAATAAAATGTAGACCAAAAATGGAGTCGGAATCCACTTGTAATTGTAGATTTTAGACGAAAAATAACTCGAAATGACCAAGATTAGAAATACTGGCTGACTTAGAAATACGATTGCGTTGTAAATGATCGAAATGTAGAATAAAATCTGATTAACATTCCGGAGCTCATAGAAGGATAAGCCAAATATGGCCAAAAAGGACATCAGGATGTCGATTGTGGATAATGCTGAAGAGATTAAAATTCCAGGCTGAAACCGGGATTTTTTACATTTTTAAAAAGCACAAAATAAAAATAAATCCAAAACTTACTTGAGAAGAAAAAATGGCCCGATACATGGCCTTGAAAAGTTTCTTGTTGACTTTTCCCAACCACGAATCCACATGGAAGACGCTGACCGGCTCCGCAAGTGTTAGCGACGCCGACTTTCGATTCAAATTCGACATTGAAATTGAACGGATTTCTTTGGTCATTGTTGAATTTTTTTTATGATGCTTATGTGGATATTGCAGTAGGGTTCTGTCAAAAAAGGTTAATGTAATTCAAGGATATGGGTGTAAAATACGTCATGTGTCTATAGAAGCTTTATAAATATGATACATCAATCTTTCACCGCGTAAAATCCATGTCTTAACAAAATTTCTAGCACAGAGAGCTCGCCCAAAAGAAAACTTTATACAAAAGACAGTAAAAGTTATTTTTTACGAACCTTTCTCCCCGCAAATTTGTATAAAAAATACCTTGGAATGAAACTCCAAGACTTCTTGGCCCAAAAAGGATTTCCGCATGAATTCTGCTGTCCCAGCCCCCTCTTTTCGTTGCTCTAAACCAAAATACGAAGGCATTGACGTAAAATAAAAGTCGGATCAGAGTTGTAAATGTCTTTATTCACAAAGCCGGGAGGGTTATTACGCTAATGTAGAGATTTTCAGAGAAATTGTTGGGAAATTGGTCGGATGAGAAAAGAAACTGGTCCAAAACTGAGAGTGAAATGCGTGTGGGGTACTGTAGGCAGCGCTTGATTTAATTTCATTTGGCGTTTTATCCAAGACGTAATTTTTTTTAGTCTAATTGTAATGTGTATGGTTGTTAATGTAACCAAAATTAACAAGTCCGAGCTTTCATTGACGTATTTTACACTTGATTTTAAAAAATTTGTCCAAAAAGATCGATCTTTTCTCTACCTTTATTACAACGTCAAAAGAAATTAATGACCAAATATGTACATAGAGCAAAAATAAAAGTCGAAAAATAAGTTGTACGCCCTCTACTGCCCGACCAAACCAGCGCTTCAGCTCTTGGCATACAGAAAGAAAAGATGTCTCGAAATGGCCGAGGGTAATCCTTGGCGACACTCATCTTAAAGGAGCTGAACTTGAACATCTCTCCGTTACCGACGAAGTACAGATCTGAATAAAATACCAGTTATTTTTGGGGAGAATTGAATGTAAATGGTGTCACGAAACGGAGACATACCGCAAGTTCGAATCCGCAAGTTCGAATGCCTAAAGTTCGAATGACTAAAGTTCGAACGACCTCCAGTTCGAACTACCTAATCTTCGAATGACCGTAACTTTGAATGACCTAAAGTTCGAATGACTAAAGTTCGAAAATAAAAAAAAGTTAATTAATATTTAAATTATAATTTGCATATAATTATTTTGCAAAATACACTTCCTCTTCAATCATTCATTCATCCTTTACGATGGAGGTTGGTTGTCCGAACACTCTGACCGGCAACGAACGCGCTGTTCTTCATGTCGACCTGGTCAATATTCGTCATGGAGCCAATCCAACTGTGTCTTTCTCGGTTTGGGTTTGTCGAACTGGATTAGGTTTGTCGAACTGGAGGTCGTTCGAACTTTAGTCATTCGAACTTTAGGCTTTCGAACTTGCTGATTCGAACTTGCGGTGGGTAACCGTTTTTTGGATACCAAAAAAAACGGCTTTGCGAGCAGAGCAGCAGTTTTTTTTCACAGGGCAAAAAAATCGCGTGTGAGGCAGATTTAAACTTGGGGTTTTTCGAACTTGCGGTAGGCGTTCGGAGACCCACCGCAAGTTCGATTCTTTTTTTCATTCTGCATTTTTTATATTTTCATATTTCGAACTTCCGGTTTTCGATCTTTTGGTTTTTCTAATTTGAGGTTTTTCGAACTTCTAGTATTCGAACTTGCGGCATTCGAACTTGCGGCATTCGAACTTTTGGTTGTCGAACTTGGGGTTTTTCGAACTTCCGGTAGGCGGTCTCACGAAACAGCATATCCAAAGGCTTTTGCAGGCTAGAGGATAAAGATAATATTGCAAAATTTTTTGAATTTTTAGCGGCTTTTATAAAGTTTTTATCAAAATTTAAATGTAAAAGAACTCCCTCAACGGCAAGTACCTACAACCCCCTACCTTTATCCCAAGAAAACGCCGCTGACACACTATCCGGGATATTCTTCCAATTATTGTCAATTTTCCTTGGGTAGTCCACCTCAACTTTCCAACTATTTTCTTCCAATTTCCAATACTCATCATCCGACCACAAGTAATATCGAGTTTGCAACCCATACTGCCAATCATAGGCTAGTCGAATATTGGTAACGTATTCAGGGATTCCAAGATCTGTCAACCTTCTGGTGTAATTTAACTCATGACCATAAAAGGTGTACACGGTTTGGCTAACAAAGAAATGGGCTTGATCATTAATCTCGAAGCAGGCGTCAACCGGGGTTGGTAGCGATGGCCAGAAATCTTTGATCTTTCTGGGCTTCTCGATTAGGTCACCTGAAATTGTCAGTTTCCTCAAAAAGTTTCTTGTTTCTCGACAGGTAAAATGTTATCTAAAACGGTGTTTTTTTTACACTCTACCTTTTTGGTCCAATCTCCAAAACATGTCATCCTTAAACATGAATATCTCGGACCTAAAGACTCCAACGGCGTCCACGTTCGTATCACAGATGTCGATTTCTTTGTTAGGAGGCCGTGTCGAAGTTTGTGGAGGTCTGGTTCTCGTTCTCCTAGTAGTTGTTGTAGCCGTTGTAGTCTTTATTTTCTCTTCCTCTGGCGTTGGAACGGGATGGTCTCCACGGCCTAAAAAAACGACTTTTTTTTAACTTTCCCTGGAAATTGAGGAAAGCACAAGTATTGCTAATACCGAAATCACGCTCATTATTTTTCCGACAGACTCACAACTCTACTATACCATATGACACCTTCAAAACTCACCATAAAGTCCCTGGAGCATAATCTTGTCGTAATAATGCAAACCAGTATTCCTCGCATCGTCATATCGATAATACGGGTACATGATACTTTCCGGATGATCGGAATGAAACAATCCCAAACTATGGCCAACCTCATGAGCCGCCACAATTCTCAGATTAATCTCCTTGTTCATCGGATTTGCCATGAATCCCCAATTCTCATCATCATCAAAATGAATGTCTCCGCCGGTAGATTCGCCAGGATAAAAAGCATGTGCCAGGACCGAATCTCGCCCATCAAACGGATACTGATCTCCGTGAGGGCCGGCCATAAAACTGATCTGAATATGGGCATCGGGAGAAGCGGATTCCTGAAGCTGAAGCTCGGAGACATCGTTCCAAGTGTTCGTGGCTTCGTAAAGAGCTCGACGAACGTAACCTTTCTCAGGGATGGTACGAGGGGCGTTGACAACTCTGGAAAGAATATAAGACTCTACCAGTGGCAGTTTGAAAGTCAAGTTTGCTGCAAGGAATTAGACCTCCCAAATGGCCTACTCATTTAGGTTGTGATTTCTCAATTTGAATATTCCAATCAGACAATCTAATGAGTAAACTATCTGAGATACCTTAATGGTATATGTGGTCTTCTTCTCCTCTTATTTTGAAATTAAGAAATCAAAGATGATTGAAGCAAAGTATTAGTTTAGACGGCTGATCGCTCGATCCAAAATATTAATTTTGAAAAATTCCGAGATCAAAAAATGGAGACGAATAAACAGTAGTCCCTTCGCTGTAATGTTTCATTTTATCCACCCACTGCTTTAAATAATGGGCTGAGAAAGCGATAAGTGATCGGAAAAGAAGAGATATGGAAGGAGATATTGGGGGATGGGGTGATTCAGAAGGAAAGGTGTGTCTCTTGGAAGATAGCACAGCAATGATCGTACAGTATCCTCCAACATATCGGCAAAGGATAGCAAACTTATTTGAGCCAACGTATTTTTAACTCACCTGTAACTGACGGTCTTGTTTGGCCAAACAAATGAATTCTTCATTGCTCGTCTGAGTCGTCTTCGACCTAACGGAGTCCTGACAATTTCCTCGTCTCCTAGCCCACATCGTTTTTCATCCAGTAACTGCAGTGTTCGTTCATCCATCTCTCCAGTCTGCTTGATCCCTCCGATTCGTTGTAACTCTTTGATGGCTAGTTTTATACTATCCGGAGACATCATTGACTGTGGCTGGCCTTCTTTTTCTTTGGGTAAGTAGCCATAGGCCTTTAGGAATTGCGTCTGAAAATGTAGCTCAGAAAATGGACCTATGATAAACCTTGTGATGAAATGGTTTTTTTAAGTCTTCAAGAAAAGAATTCAACGTTTGAAGCTTTTAATCTCATGAAGATTGGCAGAACTTAGCAAACAAACGCGTCTTGGTGGGGTGTTCAGATCTTACGAAAACTTTGCACAACTTTAGAGAAAGGCTTATGAATATAATACATTCGCGAGTACAAGGCAAATCTTCTGGCCAATTTTTTTTTATTTTGGCATGTGAGCCTTCGTCCTGATCAATACCAAAAATTTGTCATTTTTCAATTTTTCCATATCCGAAAAATATCCAACTTTTTCGAAAATTCTAGCGCCACACATTGAGTACTCCCCTTATATACCCTAATAAACTTACCGCATCTTTGCAATCAACAAATCCAAGCCCAACCAAGTTTACAAAAATCGTTAGTAATACCCATCTTTTCATGCTTTCCCAGGCTCTAAAAAAGGTTCAAACGTAACGAAAAATGTAAATCAAAGGAAAAGACGATCTTTCTGTCGGATTACTCATACGAGTTATGGGTCAAAATAAAGGGCTTTGCGCGAAAATTGAAAAAAATTAGCATAAATTTAGGGAAAAACAGGAAAAAACGAATAATTTAAACTGAAAAATTTCGTGTTCATAAAAATTTTTACTTTGCTTATTTACGGAAATTCCAAGTAAGGCATCTCCAGATTTAAAAAATTTAACTTTATCCGGTAATAAACAAATAATTAATTATAAATCATGGGAAAAATGTGATCTAAAAACGAAAATGCGATAGGAGTTATGTTTTTATCAAAAAATAAACAAAACTTTTTGTTATTCATCGCAAAATGCCCAATGGTCTTCGTCAATCAGCTGCATGTTGTGTGAAAAGGACGGGTAAATGTCTACTCAAGCTTGGTTTTGTTTCACAGAACCCATTACTCATTACTTCTTTAGTGACTAAACTGATTTCTTGCTGGCTCTTTAGCCAACTTAGTGGCTACGATTTTGTTTTAATTGCTGTTTTGAAGACATCAGTATTTTGAATGACCTTTCACACATGTTTTCGATAGCCATAAAGAATTTAGTGAATATTGCCTTAGGGTAATTAGTAAAAAATCATTATCATTATGAACTTGTTCGTTTCAGAAGCCGATTTTTTGCAAAATATAATAATTTATTTTTTGAAGTAATAATTACTTTATTTGGGTATGGTCGATAAACAGTTGTCCACTATGTACGAACTAGTGAAGGTTTTGGCTTCCGATTTTCAGGTCCAAATGAAATATTCAACGGTGTTTGCAGGCGAGAGACTATGGAACCCGAGGAGAGCCAACCGTACGAAAAACGGCATTGGGCATATTGGGGGACTTTTATACCACTTTTCTAATCATTTTGTTCACAAATTTGTATATTTCCGAGGTTACATAAAAGTTTATTCAAAACATAACCAGATTTTGCCATTAACATACCTGATACATCCCAAATTAACAAAAAATCTTTAAAAAATCAAAAAAAATATTGATGAATTCCAACAACACAACCTCTACCAGACAGTGCCATACTTGACTTGAGCATAATGACTGAGCCTTCGATTCCCGGGCAGTGGAAGGTACAGATTCTTCAGACCCAGCGTCAGCAACGCGACCGTTTCCTCGGCTTCGTAATTCGATGGCTCCTTCTTCTTGGCGCCAAACATATTCTTAACATATTTACTGCAATACCCTCGGCGAGCTCGTTGATACCATCGATATACGAAGATTGAAGCAACCCCAGTAAAAAATGTGACAACAGCCAAAGAGCCAAGGATCACGGCTAGATGGACATGATTCCGATTGTCGACAATAGAAAGGGCAATCTGTTGGGAAGGCGCGGCGCAGTTCTGAAAAAATTATGTAAAATTTGCATAACACATGGGTTTTTGAAAGAATTTTTTTTTGTATCCAACTTATTCCCCAATATTCAGGCCTTTAACAGGATTACTCCAACAAACCACAGTGTTTTTTGCGTTGCTTTGAACTTGAATTCTTAATTTCGTATTCAGAAAAGTCTTACTTATGCCTGAAAAACTTCCGTGGAACTCGTTAGAAGTACTTTTCCGAACATGAAAAGTTTTGTTACAAACGCATTTACGTAAGTAAAAAATATCTAGCCGCAAAACGAACGAAGCAAAGAGGTGTGTGCCATAATTAAAAGTATAACATTTATTATATTGGCGGCACACGTCAATCCAAAATAGAAGAAAAAATTCCCCGCCCCTTTTTGGTGATTCGTTCAAAACGAAATGTCACTATCCGATAAAACGCATTTTCTTATCTCTCTTCTTCCTTTTCGAGAAAAAGCAATTATTTCGGGCGAGAAAATGCGAACTCTGTGAAATGAAAAGATCCTTCTGCATACCTGTTCATCCACACCCATTCCGCAATTGTCATTTCCATCGCAAAACAACGACCTCGAGATGCAAAACATCCGATGATTTGGACATTGTTTGAACCGCATATCTTTTTCGCTGCAGACCAATCTCACCGCCGTTGCTCTAAGCTTCAAATACGGTTTGAGGGGCTCGAACAACGCTGGGATTATTCGAATTTTCAGCGGAGCTTCAGCATAATGAACAAGGTAATGAAAGCAGCCAAAAGAAATATTCCTCTCGTTCAATTCGAACTTGGCCAAGGCGTCGATTAGTCGGCAATTCTCGCCATTCATATCCATTGTGTTTTCAAGGAGAATGAGGAATCCATGAGCTGATGAAGGGTCCACTTCTAAGTGGATCTGAAATTTTACGTTTTATTTGGGACACTTCAAGTTAATTGACAGCAAAACTTTAGTGAAAATGTCACATTTTTGGTACTTTCGCTCCCAAAAGTCCTTTTTTGTTGGTTTAATACTGCAGTTTGTCAAAACTCGTAACAATTTCCTATCCCAATTTGAGTACAAAAAATTTCCAACCAGCTTTCTGACCCTTGGACTTCCTTATTTATGCATTTAAATTACCCAAACGAATTCAAAACCCATATTTCACTTGAATTTATAGGAAGTCTTCGGAATTTGTTTTCTTCGAGAAATTTTAATTTTTTTTGCAGATTTGTAATTGCGTCCTTTGGGAGACCCAAAAGTCTATGAGATGTCGGCAAACAATACAGAATCGAGACAAAAGGAGGGCTTCAGGATTGTCTGGAGATTCAAGGGTTCAAAATTACATACACAAAAGCGGTGTTAGAATAAAAAAAGTGACGTAAGATAAAACAGGGCTAAAATTTGCGCGATTTGCAATTCCTTAATTTTGATAATAATTGCTGGTAAATTCAGCCGTCACAGAGCGATTATGTGCGATTCCAATGCGCGAGGAGTCTTTATTATTTTTCCGGCAGACGGATAGCTCGCGCTTTGCCGGTACAATCGAGAAGGTTTTTTTTGGGATTTTTGCCGTAAAATGACCACTGAAAATGTCAATAAATGTTGTTGAAACCCAAATTCCAAAAAGTAAACATCACCTTACCGTCTGATAAAGCTGAGGCGACAGCCTCTTCGCCTGCACCAACGCCCCCACATCCACACTTTTATGAACGAGAATGGCGGCGACCGAATGGGCCCAGAATAGTGGCCAGAATGTCCTCATTCATCTGAATTTGTGGCCAGATCAAACCCCAAGACTGCGGGGCGTTCCCACTCCCCTCCGTCTTATGGCCAAATGCGGCCCAACTAAACCTTCGAAACGAGGAAACTGGGGCCGAGGTAAGAAGAAAGGTCGAAAAACGACTCAAACACTTTCTGGGCCATCTTCCCTCCACAAATTCCGTTATTTTATGGCAACGAAAAGTGCGCACGATTCAATTTCCGGTCTGGAATAATCACAATGTCATTGGGTTTGCGCACACATCATCGGCTAGTCGGGATTTTGCAGACAAACAATAGTTTTTTTATTCGTGACACTTGCAACATCAGGACATTCCTCCTCGAATATTGCTTCAAATCGTCATATCTTCTGCCCTCTTTACGTCCGAAATAAAAAAGAGTACCGTATTTTACCATTATCAATTCATAAAGCTTCCAAATTTCGTCTTTATGAAATTTTTATATTAATTTATCTAAATGTATACATCTAGAACAATATAGCTGCCGGAATGCTAAAATATTTGCAAATTATAAGAAAATCTTTCAAGAAATTCGGAAGGAACATGTTGCAAAAATTTCGTTCTCTGAGGATATTACCACTTTCATCTTTCTCATAACCGATTTAACGGGTCCCAAGGCGTCCACACAAGTTGGGAAAATGACGTCGTTGTTGCTGGTATGTTGTCATATGCTCCCACAATATCGTTCTCATCCTCATCCTCAATATCTTCTGGATTTGCGCCTTGTTGATTTAATACAGCTTGTTGGTGACGCTGTACCTTTTTTGTTTGTCGCGTCTTTCTTGGCGCGGCGCAGAGGTATGCGCAGAATCGCGCATATCTAAAACAAAGAACAGTTAATAATGGTCATGGGGTTAAAGCTTTTACATAACAGTCTTACTTTTTCAACATTTCGGTTGGTCGCACAAGGGATCCTTGCATTCGTTCATCATGGCTGCGGTTGCCCGGTTGAGCCATTCGTTTCTGACGATGTCCACGCGTCTTCGCCGAGGCATCTCTTCTTTTCTGAGGAGCTGAATTATATTCAGCCCCTCCCTTTCTAATTCGTGGCACATGATCTTTATGAATTGTTTCAATTTCGGCGAGGCCCGCAGGAGGGAGTTCCACCCATTGTGAAGTCCCTCCAGACAGTTTATTGTCCTGATGAGGTCGGCGTATTGGGAGTAGCCGAACATCTTATAATTTTCCGTTGTGAACCAGTAGTCGGTCACTTCGTACATCAGCTTGTCATTCCTGGCGCAAACAATGGAGACTCCATTACGCCCGGTGGCGGCTCGTTCATTAACGATTGCCACACAGCAACCATATGGTCCACCGGCAAGTGGGGGAGCCCTATTAGCCCCATATACCACTTGTCGAATTCCTCTACTTCTTTCAATCCAGGGTGGCATTTTTCCGAAAGTTTTTCTGAATTGCCTGGCAAAAATGAAAATAGTGCACCTGGCTCTCCGGGAAAACGCGTTGTAGCGCGTTGATGGCGCCGCGTTCACAATCCGTCAACAAATAACGGGGTGGAATATAGCTTAGAAATTCTGGTGAGGAGCTTTTTCTCTCAAAATTCGTAAAACAGTAAAAAATTTTCACAACTTCTTCAAAAATTGCGGTTGTTTTTTGCAAAGCGCGAATTTAAAATAAGAAAAAATTATTTTAAATTTGTGCCGAGTTTCATTAGAAAAATAATTGAAAAAGGCTGTGCAATAAAGTTTTAGCAGCGTGGCCGGTTCTGGATCGTCTAATTCCGACATACTCCTTAGGTCTTTATTAGATATAACAAAAAGTAAAATATAATAATACACATAAAATAGAAACCCAAAACCACGGAGTGCCCCTCGGCCCCATCCTGTCGGAGGGCCTAGATATGCGATCCGAGGGTCACCTCACTCTAACCTCTCGGTCACATCGACTGGCCAACCGATCGGGCATTCACCTCGATCGGGCCGTTGACCTAGTTTCAAGATCGAGTAAAGGGGCGGAGTCTGAACCCTTAACTATAACGGTTCTTCCCATCAAAAGATTAAGAAGGTCTTTGGCGATAGCAGCGCGTTGATATTTCATCGATTGGTATTCGTCACAAGTTTGGATAATGTCGTTACTGGCAAACATATTCTTCAAGGTCCAACAACAGATTATGGTTGGCGAACAATGTCTCCTCTTCCACAAAAGCCAATTTGAAATTAGAACACAATTCTACCCGAGGTTTCTGCAGCACAACAACGTTGGCACAAAACAGTCGAGTGCAAGAAAAAGATAGCACCAACTTCAGCAAAAAAGAAACCGTCATCCCTTTGCGAGGACAAATGAGTTGAATGAAGTTGTGGCTTGTCTTGGAGGGCAGAGCCTGGCCACAAAGCACAAAGTCTTTGTGGCCTGGCGGTTGGACCGCAATCGCAAAGTCGCAATCTTAAGGGCCGATCCGGATGCCCAGATGCGACGTTGTTGCTTTTCAAAAAAAACCGTATGCCGCGCTGGTTTTTAGAGCTTGGAAACAAAGATCAAAAGTTTGATATAAGGGGTCGGAAGATGCTTTTCGGCCTCTTGAATACCGTAATATTGCTTCACTTATGCAGAGTATTTTTTCATTCAATTGGCGCAAATGTTTTATTGTTTCTTCTTTGACGAGGAAACCGAAATTTTAAAATTTGTCCATGCCTTTATAAATTCTGACTTTCGTATTTAAAAATTTGTACAATTGAAAACCTTTTTCCTTTTCTAAAAAAAATATTTTTTCCCACTCCCGAAGAAACATGTCAAATTTTGTTCAATTTTCCAAAGAAAACCTTTTTTCAACTCCTAAAGCGAAAACATTTCAAATTTTTTTCAAATTTCACAAAAAATCCTTTTTTTCAACTCCCGAAGCGAAAACATTTCAAAGTAAAGGGCAACCTATCCTCTAGGTAACCTATCCTCTGAGTGATGTGTTTTTTGAGGTGACCTATCCGGTGGGTAACCTATTCTCGGGGTAACCTATCCTCCCAAATCAAAAATTTCTGTCTCAAAAAATGAATAAATCGACATTTGTGTACCGCAAGCTGCGCCCGAGGTTGGCGCCGAATTGTTATTCGAAGCGAAAAATTATTTTTTGACGAAATCGCGAAAATTTCGGCGAGTGGAGGTGCATCGACGCTTGATGATGGCTTGTTGCGGCCATAACGAATCCAATAGGTAAGGAGATTTGGACTTTTTTAAATTTAGATATCGTGAATAACATCATAAGAAAAATATATTGTTGTGTAAAGTGAGAATGGACTTGAGTTGATGAAGAATTAGGTTGGCGAGTGTTTCCTAGCGCGTTTATTTTTCCCATTTTGCGGTAGTTTTTCCTGTAGTTGGATTTCATACCTAAAACTATATGAATTTGATAGACATTCCACATTTCAGTGGTTTTTTTTCTTTTCAGATTTTCTTTATGTCCTTTTGGTAGTTGCAAACATACACACAAACATACACAGATACATAAAAAAATCAATTTTTTCTCTATAGTTATAATTTTCAGTGGCGGATTGGTGATCGATGAAACTGAGGAGATGGAAGTGCCTTTGAGAGCCAGTTGCAGTTTGAACATTGACTTTCCAGTCGTTCCAAATTCTTTCAAGAAAGTATTGAGCCGACCGAAACCTACCTTTGCTCTCAGTAACCCCTCTTCTTTGGAGTCTAGAACCGAGTGGCTGATGAAGTGCAAATACGGTAGGGTCCATTCATCTTTTTCTTTCTACATCTCAACTTTAGCGTTGGATCAGCTAGCATTGAAACGAGCGCCCCAGATTCCGCGAGTTTTTCGTACCGGACTCTCCGACTTTGTGGTAGACCCAAAAGATCTCAAATTGATATCGCCAGAGCGAGGTAAGCTTTTACACTTATTTGTTTTGAATTTAGATGCATTTTCTGGCTTAAACTGCGGTATTTTTGTTCTAGACTCGTTATGTTTTCTTTGCCAACTTCCACAAGGAACAGAGCCCATCTCCCAATGCGCCGAGGATGGATGTCCCGGAGTATTCCACGATAAATGTGTCACTCGTGAGGTGACTCAAGCATACTACTTGTTCTTCCACCGGCACACCAACATCAAATGTTTCCGCCACTTTTGTAATCGTTGCTTTGCCGAGAATCTTCGCACAACCGCCACAAAACGGAACTGTAAGTTTAGATTGATGTAGTTCAATTTATACGGAAAATTTTACTAACCTATTTGAATTTTCTAGCTCCTCTAAGCGTGTGCAAGATCTGTAGCAAAGCCTACCATTCACAATGCACTCCACCTGGTTGTGATGCCGATAATTTGATTTGCCCCGCTCATACGAAGATCTCGACTGTCGGCAAGCCGCACATGCCTTTTTGTTTTAATTGTGCCGCTGGTTTTGGTCAGAACGGACGAAGTAAGTAGTAAGGAGCTTGAATGCTGCCAAAGTTCGAAGTTGTACGGCAAAAAAGTTCGGCATTTTGATCAAAATTATATTCTAGTAGGTCGGGTATCAAAAATAATAATATTCATACAAAAAACTTTATTTTTTAGTTAACTGTGATTTCTGTGTGCGATCGTTCCATAAAACGTGCGGGCAATTCATTGTGGATGTCTCTGGTGGGATAGGTAATCGGATCTGCAGCTTTTGTCAGTTCGGATATTTCGTGAAGACCGGCGATTATTGTCATGTGATGTTGAACGGCCAAATGCAGCCAGCCCAAGTTGTTGGAGGGCTTAGGTCTAAGGCTCCGGGATACTTTCCCGTGATCCAACTGAAATTTTTATTCTACAAGAAGATGGTGAAGCACGTTGTTCACGTCTACCACGGAGACATGGTCCCGTTTACATTTAATGACGCTTTTTGTACGTATTATCGAACTGTAAAGCTGAAGGAATTGAAGTGTAAGTGCTTTATTGATTTGTCTTGATGTTTAGATACAAAACCTCTTGGATTTCACGAACTGGAAATTATTTTTATATTATTTTAGTCTATGAATACGTCCGATCAGAAAAGTCAACCGCAAATGTCTCCAAACTCCCAGCAATACCGTTGGATGTCCTGTACAAAGAGTTTACTCCATGCGAAGTGAGTTTAGACTGGTTTTTCAAAACATTACTTTGAACTGAATCTTTTGCAAGCTTTTTAATGTGTAATATAACTTTTAGGAGAATTTGGTCCCCAAAAAAGCGTTTCTCAAACTCCTTCATGATGACAATCACGCCCAACAATGTGATTGTCAAGTGGAAGAGAACGGGATGAAGTGTCTGGACTCATGCCCAAACCGGCGGCAAAACTTTGAATGCCGTTTGAATTGCGGCCCCGGATGTATGAACGGTCCAGCCGCGAGAAATCCCGATGTGAATAAATTGGATGTTTTTGCCTGTCCGATCAGAGGAAAGGGCCTCCGGGCAACTGTTGACTTTGCTGCGGTAAGGGAATTATGTTGTATATTTTGAAACATTTTTTAAAAGTATTAAAAGACGATTTCTGAGTCAGTGCGTCAGCCGTGGACATAGAAAAAGATCGATTTTGAGTTTTTTGCACTAAAATGGCTGTTGGAAGGTGCTAAGCAAAAGCGAACAATATTTTTTCCCAAAACCTTCATCAAGGTATATTTTTTTACAATTTACTGTTTTAGAAGTAACCGCGTCCAGCTGTCGTATCTTACCTTACTGGGCGATGATTTGACGGTTACTGAAGTTTTCGACCCTTGCGATGACGATGTTATCATTATTTTTCCGATTTTCTTACTGTAACATACCGTAATACTGTATCGACCGCTAAAAAACGACCGTAGAATCTTTCTTTCTGAAAATTTCACAGGCGATTTTACGATTTTTGGAATCAGCATAAAATTCTGCTCTAGAGGCAATCAAAAAAGTTCAAAAAAAGCTGCGACAAATTTCGTGGTATAGTGGTTAGTGGTCGGGACTACCAATCCAGCGACCCGGGTTCGAGTCCGGCTGGGTGCGAATATCGAAAAGACGTCGGAAATTAAATTTATTGTGATTCAGAGGATTGTATATTTTGCCACGAGCAATTATTAATGTCAATGGTAGCTGGATTCAAGGTTAAAACGGGATTTATATAATTTTAGGGGCTCAATACATGAAAAAATAAAAGTGCTTCAAACCGGTTGAAATTGATAATACTTATTCTAAGGGCTATTCGAAGACACTTTCTCGTTAACTTTTTTTTGGTAGCTTACTGTTCCATGCACTACAGTAAGATAAAGATTTTGTACTTAAGCGGGATTTTCTTCAAGATTGTTGCATCCAGTCTCGAGTTTTTTTGACTAGGTCGTTCAAACAGCAACGAAGGTCCACTATTGGTATACAAAATAAATTTCCGCTTCACTTCCAGTGTGTCTTGATATCATCGCTATCTGACAAAACTTCGTGAAATAACCCGGTTGTTTCAAACTGTGCGGCCATAAAAAAAAAAATTTTGTATGCAAACCAACTCGTTATTAACCATCTCTATCAATATGGCGATAGTCCGAGCTGTCTACGCCCCGTGGTATGCGAAAAATAAAATTGGATTTCATGTCACAGTAATCCATGTTACAGTAAGTTACGAAAAAAAGTTAACGAGAAAGTGTCTTAGAATAGCCCTTAGAATAAGTATTATCAATTTCAACCGGTTTGAAGCACTTTTATTTTTTCATGTATTGAGCCCCTAAAATTATATAAATCCCGTTTTAACCTTGAATCCAGCTACCATTGACATTAATAATTGCTCGTGGCAAAATATACAATCCTCTGAATCACAATAAATTTAATTTCCGACGTCTTTTCGATATTCGCACCCAGCCGGACTCGAACCCGGGTCGCTGGATTGGTAGTCCCGACCACTAACCACTATACCACGAAATTTGTCGCAGCTTTTTTTGAACTTTTTTTGATTGCCTCTAGAGCAGAATTTTATGCTGATTCCAAAAATCGTAAAATCGCCTGTGAAATTTTCAGAAAGAAAGATTCTACGGTCGTTTTTTAGCGGTCGATACAGTATTACGGTATGTTACAGTAAGAAAATCGGAAAAATAATGATACCATCGTCATCGCAAGGGTCGAAAACTTCAGTAACCGTCAAATCATCGCCCAGTAAGGTAAGATACGACAGCTGGACGCGGCACGGCAACCCGAAGTGTTTCCTGGCTCCTTTCGATACTTCGCCCATTTTGTATCGGTTGAAATCAAACGAAATGTCACAAAAGAATTTTTTGTGGGTTTTTCCGACCGAAAAATATTTTTCTCGGAATTATTTTATTTCTGTTCTCAATTTTGACACTTCGTTTGGACGAAACTCAAAAGTGGGCGGGAAACATTTTTCTTTTATTTCGGGTTGCCGTGCGCGGTTACTTCTAAAACAGTAAATTGTAAAAAAATATACCTTGATGAAGGTTTTGGGAAAAAATATTGTTCGCTTTTGCTTAGCACCTTCCAACAGCCATTTTAGTGCAAAAAACTCAAAATCGATTTTTTCCTATGTCCACCCCTAACAGACGGCTGATGCACTGACTCAGAAATCGTCTTTTAATGGTTTTACTTTTGTAGGGAGAGCCCATTGGAGAATATCGAGGGAAAATTATGAGCAAAGAGGAGGTTTCCGCTTACATGACCATATTTGTGGACAATCGAAATATTGAAGATCATCTGTATTACATGGAGATTGGAAATACGGGTCTTACGGTCAATGCCAGACAACGAGGAGCCTTGACTAGGTTTGCTAATCACAGCTGCAAACCTAATACGTCGGTTATGTGCATTACGGTAAGTTTTTAAATGAGGTCTATGGGCTTTCTTATATTGTACTTGAAATTAATCCCGAGGCTTTTTAGGGATCCGATAATGTCGTCCGACAGATGCTGTATGCCAAAGTACCCATCAAAAAAGGCACAGAGATCACCTTCGACTACGCCATGGATTGGGACGAGTTCAACAAGGTGTGCCGATGCGGCTCCGAAGATTGTTCCGGATACCTGAACGGCCGAATGCAAAACAGAATGAAAATCATCAAAACGGTGGGAGAGTACCCGATAATCCCTACGAAGAAAAAGAAGCAGGCGTTGTCTCGAGGAAGGAAACGAAAAAACAGCGACGACGCGTCCTATCCGTCAAAGGTCTCAAAAAACCTCATCCTGGATCAAGTACCTCAAAAAATAGCGGCTGAAATAATGTCCCAGAGCTAATTTATTTATACATTTAACGGGTTTATGTCTGATATAGGTCCGCTAGAACATTTTTCGATATAATTATGGACTCACGGGTCAAATGTAACTGCCATCACCACTTTTTTATATAATATCTTTAACTATCCGTCTTTTCTATCAATAAAAATTGGATTGAATATGTCCTCTCTTATGTCACAGATATTCGAACATTATCGAGAGTAAAGTTAATTTTTGCATATTTACTAATTTCACCTTTGACTAACCGAGTATGCACTATGATCAAAAATTGTGATATGTGAACGTGAGAGAAGTACATACAGCTAGCCGTGGTGTTGAGAACGGTCGATTAGATCCTCGAGAATTTCGTCCAACGTTTCGTCGTCGACATCCCCAACGATACGATCGATTTCTCCTTCTTCATCATGAGAGATGAGGGTTGGAACTTCCGCGACCTGGAAATATTCGGCCACGTCTACAGCGGTCCCAACATCGACTTGAAGGAGGTCAAACTGGAACGGAGAAGAGATTAGAGGATTTTATTTTACTCAATCGATTAAAAAATTAGAGATTTTTCATGAATTTTATCTTAACCTACCTCCTCGTCTCTAGTCTCAACTTTTGTCGCCAACCGATCCTTTTGCAACAACGACGTGCCGTCCCAGTCCGCGTAAAAGTCCAACAACGCGAACCGACCACTTCTTTCGGCCAGATAATTTTGATAATCCTCCATGGAATGCAATCCGTAAATATGAGCGGCTCTTAGGTTAATGTAATATAAACTTTGACTGAATTTGGGCTGAAAACTGCTGAATCTTGGCGCAACACAGTAGGCCTGGCGCAACACAACTGGTCTCGAGAAGTGTGAGAAGAATTGTCGACAAATATTATTCATGATCATCTGGGGTTATGTTGACTTTTCGCCGAAAAATCGGGATTAAAATAAGATTCAAATTATCCGAAACTTCACTGCAGTTTAAGCAAATAACAGGAACGTTTCAAGGTAAAATGAAAGTTTAGTACATATTGCATAATAATAAGTAGAAATCCCAGAGTTATTAATCTATTTATTACCTAAAATTCGTAAAATTTTTGTATGGCAGTTGAGGTGAGAGAAATCCTGAATATTCAAAAATTTTTGACAATTAATAAGGGGAAAGACACTGGGATTGGCATTCTGATTACAAGAGATTTACAACAATCTAATTTTGGTGAGAATTTGACCCGAAAAGCAAAAAAAATTGTGAAAAAAACAAAAAAAGAAGGAAATTTCAAAAACTGTTGCTTTACAAACGAATTAGAATTTACAAACGTTCGCACTGGCTCTAAAAAGCATGAAAAACTCTAAAAGACACTATACAGATCCAGAATCGGTCGTTTTTGTGCTCGCATCCTCTTCCTTTTCCTCATTTTCCACTCGAATTTGGGCTAAATGGGCGCCACGTTCAGCCAATTTTTGAATCCTCTGAATTCCTTTGGTTCGCTCTTCTGGAGACAGACAAATCCATGCAGTAAGCAGCAGTGTTGCATAGTTCGGTTCGTTGCATTTGAGGTAGTTAGCGATGGTTTCATTGTGAGGATAAATCAAGTCAAAATCCCCGCGTAATTTGAATTCCTCTTCAAATTCAATGAGGATTCTGAGGTCGGCGTCGGTGAGTTCGGTCAGAATGCAGGGGGAGATCTTCTGGAAATGGCGTGATTAGTCAAATCAAAAAAATTTTTTTAAACCCCAATGAAACATGCCACTCAATTTTATACTCCACTCACCCCAGTTTTATGATAAAATTCCATCATTTCGGCCTCCTTGTAAAAGTGGATCCTAGTTTTATGTTCGATCAGAGGTTTTGACCTATAGCTCAAATCAATCGCTTCAACGTCTCCATCGGCTACAAATTCCATTCTCCACATATTCATTAGGTCAGCGATTAATGGCGCTTTGACCACGACGTCTTGGTCTGTTGCCGCTTGCATTGATGGGGAAATATTCATCTCCAGAATCCAGGGTTTGTAGTCAGAATCGACCAAAATGTCCATTCCGAAGACTTCTCGACTAAAATACCGGGGGTTATTGAGGGCAAAAAACTCAAATTATATTGTTTTAGAAAATTTTTAGAAAAAAATAATTTTTTGAACGGAAAAAGGAAGGTGAATATTGATTACAAAAAATTGATCAAAAAGTATCGAAAACCCCCCATTTTACCGCAAAAAATAAACAAAAAAAAATCTTACTTTAGGAATGGATATGGGCAATACACAGCCTGCTGTTTTCTGACACTCTCCACACAACTGATAACCGCTCTAATGGCAACATCTTTGATTTTTTCCCACAAAACCTTTGGGTCTTTTCCATTTTCCTTCACAAATTTCCAAAATCTTGACAATCTCCATTTCAATTCCACGGCGCCATCCGTGATTCCATTCTTCTCAGCGAATTTGTTGATGGAAAAATTGGTCAAGTGCATATATTGGTTGTTATAGGACTGTTCATGGCAATATGGGACACTCGCAAACCGGGCCAGGCCATCCTTGAATATGTAAATTTTTAGGGGATCCAAGCTGGAGACGTAGACATAAATTCGGAGGTCGAATTTGGAGCCGTTCATGACGAGCGGGGACTCGATGTAATGCTGGGCGATAAGGGGAGTGTCAAGTGCAACTTCCTCAATCTTGTTGACGATTTGTATCCCACGACCGCGAGCGGAGGCTGGCTGAAGTACGAGGATCACTAACAAATTTTAGAAACAATTCCACACCAATTTAAGCCTAGTTTAACATCTCAAAAACCTCGTGCAAGATACTCACCGGTTTCAAAATGACATGCTTCTTCGTCGATTTCAAATATTCCCTGAGTTCCGGGAGGTCCCTTGGCAAAATATACGTATATGGCATGATTCCAAACCCGTCAAACTTTCTGGCCATATCACATAGATGCAGCCAGAGGCGATCTTTCCGCCCGAGATGGAAGTCGCCAGGGAAATGATTGACCTAAAAATCAAAATCAAAGAGTTTAATATTACACTTGCCTTTTGCCAATAAGTCAAGGTCCGATATTGGAAGCTGTGAAGATGCTTGCCCCAGTAGCCGCGCCATTCCGATTCCTCTGGAACTAACTCGTAATGGCTGGATCTTAGAGTTCGTTTCATTAGATTTGGCAAGAGGCTTGTATGACACCATCGGAATGTTGATTTATATCGGCCGGGAGGCTTTTTGACCGAAACTAAAAGAAAACTTTTTTATGAAGAGGAGAAAATAAAGTAATAGCGCGGCAGAATAAATCACATGAAACAACAAAAAGTCTGTTTTAAAAAGATTTTGAGGATTTACCTAATTTTTTGCTTGAAATTTGGTTTTGTGCCTAAAATCATTCCTAGATCCATGAAAACGAAAATTTCTGGAGAGACTTTCCTGTGTTGATTATAACAGCGAACCAAATACCGTTCATTTCAGCTATGATTTTCAAAAACTTCATAATAAATCCGACTTCAACGTTCTAAACCAAAAAAATCAAACAAAAAACTTACAATCGGCTACTTTCGTCTCCCTTTTATAAAATCGAATTGTAGGCGGCATATTTGGGAAGATGCTGTGGCGGACCAGTGGGCGTTCTTTGTTCGAGGCGGCGCTAAAAAATAAATTATATTTTATTCAAAAAAAAAATAAAATTTTTTTATATCCAATATAAATAAAAAAAAACAATTTATTTTACCTTTTTTTCTTGACATTTCCGCGTTTTGCAACTCTTGAAGCCATAAAAACGCGGTAAAAAGGCCGTAAATAAAAAAAAAATGGCGCAAAAATAGGATGAAACGGAATGCCAAAAGGCGCCAAAAACCCGCAAAAATTGGAATTCAAATAAAATCGAATTTTTGTGACGGTTTGAGGATAAAAAGAGTGACTTACGATAGTTCTGAGAGAATGGCCGTTCTCTCATCTTCCGATAATTTCTTGAAAGAAGATGTACCCGTAATCGTTGTGTTCAGACATTGTAGTAGGCATAAAAGGCCCGAATAACCCTGAGGATCTTCTGGTTTCAGCTCAATGATGTTCGCTGAAATTTAAAATGCTTTTCTGTACGGTTTAAATTGAAAATTTTTGGACTTTGAGCGAAAATTTATATTGTACTTGCGCTTGGTATTAATAGGCTATACCCTAGTAAAGAACCAATAAAATTGCTGAAAACACCCATTTTTACGTACAATAATTTTTTTTTCAAGGAACCCCCCAAAAAATTTAAAAAGATCCCACAATAGGCGATATTTTTGTTTCAAACCCTCTCTTCGTTATTGTCTATGCAAAAGAACTTTGAAATTTCCTCATCTTTTTTTTTGGTGTCATGGGAGCCGGAACGGCCCGAGAAATCTGCGGGAAGTAAAAACATAGTAACAATGAAAAAAGGGGTTTGAAGAGGCATGTAAGGATTTAGAAGACGTTTGTAGTGTTTTTGTAGGCCTATGAGTTGTTTTTAAGAAAGGGAAAAAGTTGAATAAGGAGTGTGAAAAAAGTGTGTCAAGAGGGGATTATCGGGAAAAGTTTGAGTGGGAGGGTCAGGGATTGAGCCCAGTCGCAAAAAGTAATACTGTAGTATATACATATTGAATTCTATATGTTTAATTTGATACAATTTAAGATTAATAGTTTTAGGAAATTTGCAAGATTTTTACCTTTAGATTTGCAGAAACCATCAACATTTTTAAGTCAAAAGGTTACCACACAACCAAGCCCTAAACTCACCCTCATCCGGAAGACTGGACGCCGAAAGTTTGGCATCCTCATGGCCATAATGTGGTTGAGTTTCGGCCATTCTGTCATTTGTATGGCCGGAATTTAGCCATCCGTCAATTAGCGCCCACCAAAGTCCCTGAAAAGTGAAAGCAATTATAAAATTTTTATTTCAGCGAAACTGATCGTATTTTACAAAAAAAAATATTGTGACAGGAGTAATGTAATGGCCATGGTACAAAGTTGCAAGTAGAACAAAATGAGCTGAAAACAGAGTTCAAAAGAAAGGCTACTCTCCTTCCAGGTGTTTTGTCGTGGGAAAACTTCGAAATGCCCATTGGAAACTTTTTGTGGGATAAAAGAAAGGGAATGAAAGATTAGACTTCTTTATTAAACTGGCGACCATACTGACTTCCAAATGAAAGAAAACGGCTTAACAAAATAAGTCTTTTCACAGTAACAAGTTATATGGTGCTCTTGAATTGTCATTAACGTCCGACAGAGAGGTGATTTTATCCAAAAAAAAGAAATTTTCTTGCGCAATAAGAAAGATTTTCATGAAGTTACAAACACCTTGAATAACATAGTATACCGGCCCATAATCTACGATTTCTTGTCGGTAACTTAACACATATAACCGCCAAAAGGCAACTTTGCCTTACACTTGCCATCAACTACCCTATAAATCCAAAAATTCCGCAAACACCGTAAATTAATAAAAATCTTGCCCGCTTTTCAATAAAATCATCATCAACTCATTCCTAATCAAAATCGAAGCAAACCGAAATGGCCACATGGCGGCGTCCAAAAGCCCAAGTTCGCGGCCCAACACGAAACTCTTCATCGTAACAATGCGGGCGCATCCTCGAACAATAAAAGAATGGGATGGCCATAAAATGCGGAAGAAAAATGTCATCTCGTCGTACCGTAGCCCACGGCGATTACTTTATATACCTTTAGAGGAGGGCAAATTTTTGTGTCCTTTTGTTTTTTTGGGGCGGCTCGAGGAGTTTCGGCCCCGAAGAAGGATGGAAAATGTTCTTAAGTGGCCCTCTTTTTTACATCGCGGATGTAAAGGACATGGGGCTTGGGAATATGACAGTTCGCGGGGTAATGAAGACAAAACTTGGCTCGCTGTCGATGAGCTGTAGAAAAAGGGATCCTGAAGAAAGGGTGGGGTGAGGGGGGATTAATGGGAATAAAGAATGATGTTTGACCAAAAGTTTGATTATATTATTATGATCAGGAAAGTTTGTGGATCAAAAGGAGAGTTCATTTTTTTAATGAGGTATTTTTGGTCAAGGCCACTCGCTGCGCAGTAAAAGTTTTCTATCGCCAAGGAAAACCTGAATCTTCCTACTTGAATTACTGACCGTACTTTCAGTGACCTATGACTGCTATCAGAGGTGTGACAAAGACAGATTTTTTAGATTTTTGCAAGATGCTGATGGATAATATAAAAAAAGACTTTAAAAAAATTAGATGCAAGTAAAAAGGATACTCCTAGTTTACAAGTAATAAATACAACGTTAATTTCAATCTTTGACCTTCTCGAGGTCTCAAGAGCCTCTTGAAACAGAATGCCAAAACCGGCGGAAATTTAAATTTTGAATTTTAACAATGATTTTTTTGAAGTCCAAGCGGAAAGTAAACCTAAAAATTTCGTATGTTTAAGGCTTTACAGTACTTTTTTCGAGGTAAGCGATTTGTTACAATATTAATCATAATAAAAAAACATGTTGACTGCTCGCTAGCGCTGAAGCCGGCTTTTTCCTCCGTTACGCTCTGAGTGTTAAGTGCAAAAACAAACGCAACACGCCTTTGTTTACTGTATTTTCGACTATTTTTTCTAACTTGTTTTTTTAAGAGCAGGAAATAAACTAATTTACTATAGCCACAATATCATACTTTTTATAACAATTGTCCAATGACAAAGTGTAACTTCGATGGCCAAAGAATGGAAAATAGGTCCTAAAAAGGGAAAGCAAGCAGTCCCTAACCAAGTTTGCATGCAATTTGGGGCATTACTTTCTAAAAACTACTTAAAAATGTAATCCCCCCTTCTAATCCAATAATTGTCGCGTACGAATGTACAAAGCAATGAGCATTGTCTATGGTCTATGACATAATCACTTTCAAAGTATCAAAAACATTAAAAAAACTTATTCTATTATTCTATCTACTTCTGGCTTTATTAATTAAAAAAGGTGTATTTGGTATAACTAACACGCCAGGTGTCCACAAAAGTTTTCCAAACAAATACACGGCTTTCTGTCATCTGTATCTACAAATATCGAGAAGTCGTTGCATCTCGGCAGAATAAAGAAGTACGTGCTTCCATACAGAGAAAAATTTTAATAGCGCCAATTTTCACACTTCTCCGGGGAGATTAGAGGCCAATAAAAACTTATATACGACAAACGACAAATTTAACGAACGATCCGTTTTTCATGACAACCCAATTTTCGAAACTTTTCAACGTATAACCCTGAACGCCGTATATCCACAGCTGTTCTGCCCACCAACTTACACTTTGTTCTTCCCACCGAACTTTCTCACATTTTCTCCCCGACTTCTGAATTGAGGCAAATTATGTTTAGCCACCTTATTATGGGACGGGGTTTATTCAACTCCCTGTTTTTTCGTCTTTTCCCTTTTTTCTCCAAACAATTTCTCGCCGGATTTGGCCGAATGGCTGCTGCCTTCGGAGCCTGGCCAAACTTTTTTCATGCACATTACTGCGGTTCCCACGAAAAAAAGTGAAGTTCGGAGATAAAGCGACTTCCGAAATTGGCCGGAGCGTCTTCAGGCCGCGGAAAGCCCTCAGGGCATTACCCGGTTTTGTTTTCTGGGCCGAGCGATTTAGGGTAATTTCGATGGAGTATGGGGAAATTACTAAACTTTATCTTGAAGTGACAGCTCTATAGAAAAGTTAAAATCTTCAGTGATGTGCGGCGGATAGACCTTTTGGAAGTCTCGAATAACGGGCAAGTATAGATCGTAAGATCTCAATGGTCTTTGCAAAGATTTAGTTTAAAAAACATGATTTAGAACGCTGTATTAACTTCCAATTAAAACACATATTATATCCTCCAAAATCAAGCTTATTTTGACTGGACCCCAGACTAAAGACATAAACAATACCTCCAGAACCATCACAAAGGCCCTTTCTTCGAACCTTCAAGCACTTTGCAAGTGTTATCTGATGAACCAAGTGATAAGCACAGGAGGTAGGAAAACAGGAAGAAAAGTATAAAAAACAAAGCAGACAGAAAAAATAAGGTAATAAATTAAGAGAGTGAGACAAGATTATATTGTTTTGGGTAAAAAGGTCAAAACAAAGCCACGTTTGAGGGAATTTGGCCAATTGTTGGCCCAAAGAAAGCAGGAATCTCAAAACTTGGGCAAAAGGTGCGACATTGAAATCGATGTCGCAAGAGAAGAGGGCTCATAAAAACAGAGAAAATTGCAATTTCCAATTCCGCGGAACTCAAATCCTCGCTTTAATTCAAATTCTCCATTTCAACGAAAAAACGTTGAGTAAATTGGCCCAAAAACGGACAAAATTAATGAGAGAATTAGGCCGAAAAAACAAGATACGGGTGGAATTATTGAATAAAATTTGGCCATTAGCCTTATAACCGAGAGCCGCTTTAATTCGATTAAAAATTCAATAATCTCAAAAATGGGCCCACCATTCGGCAAGAAAAACAAAGCGAACACTTTTGTAAACTATGCCAATAATAAAGTTTTTTTTCAGTCCGTTGCCTACGCCTTTGATATCTTTCCATTGGTTCGAAATACATACGATAAGACATTGAAAGTATGAAACAAGCCATCTGGTTGTCATAATCAACAAAAACATGGCATCTTGATAGCAGAATTCAAAAGTTAATGGCCCTGTTTGAGCTGGAGAGAAGCATAAAACATATTGGATATAAGATTTGATCCAATCTATTGGCCGCTCTTTCGCTGGGAGGGGCGGCCAGGTGCTTAAGAAAGAAGAAGAGGGGTCTTGGGACGTTTGATCGTTTATTTTTGTTGAGAGTACGTCTGCTTTTCGACGTCAGAGAATTGGAACAGACAGGATGATTGCAACTTGAGACTAGTAATCAGAGGCATTACAGGAATGCAGTAAAATGGAAGGAAGTCAAAGGTAATAGATATTGACCGCCACAAAGAACGGAGCAAAGGTCGGGATGGGAGATCAGGGGGTTTTAGGGTCTTATACAGCCATGCATTTCGATCAGTGTAAGTGAGATATTAGGGCTAGGAATGTATAAGTGATCAGATTTTTATTCAACATGCAAGAAAAATTCAACATGAAAAAATTAGGTTATTTGGTAACTCCTGAAAATTTTAACTTGAAAATCCAAATCCTGCAGTCAAGATTTTCAAGGACCTTCACAGAATAAATCATAGAGTGGGAAGAGACGCACTTAGAAAAAACATTTTTTTGGCCTGACAAGGGATCGGCAAAACCGCGCATCCTGGTTTTTTCTTGAAACATACACCATTTGAAAGACCGTAAAAAACTGGTCTAGGATCACCTTTTATTAGCTGCTATTTTTGCTTTACGCCCTAGCTAGCGAGAATTTTAAAAAAATTCCTAGTTGGATTTCACGACTCTTTGCTTCTGAGAGGCTAAAGAGATTGAAGAATTACTTTTCATATGTCTAATACGTACCTATGGCGTCCAACGCTTCATCCTATGCCGAAAAATACATACTTTTTTCCGACCTTCAGATACCCAAGTCGATGTTCACAATGTGTGATCACGCGATCTTTTAGGTCCTGTAACCCAATGCAAAATAGCAGGTAGAAAACACACAATTCGTTTTCAGGCTCAATTTTAACGAACTTTTTGTTACCTGGCTTTACTCTTAAAAATTTGGAAGCCGTTGAAAGTTTCAGCCATAGACGGTACCCACTTCAAGGGCAAGGACTACAAATTCGAAAGAATAAAAAAAAATCTCGGTTTTTTCTTAAAAAACGGATCCCATTTAACCACAAACATCTATACGATGTTTGTGGCACTACTTCCAGACCTTATTTGGTTTGTAACATTGAAAAAATAAAGAAAAATCAAAAGGGGTTTCGAACCCGGTCCGCAGGTCCGCCTCGTTCAGCGCCTTACCCCACTAGGCCACGGAAGCACTGCTGCGCTGTGCTTTGGAAATCGTTCGGATTTGTTTCCTCGGAAAAAGGGTGAGATAAGCCTAGAACAAAAGAGTGATCGCTAGCCAAGTCGTAGAGCAAAAATAGCAGCTAATAAAATGTGGTCCTAGACCAGTTTTTTACGCTCTTTCAAATGGTGTATGTTTCAAGAAAAAACCAGGATGCGCGGTTTTGCCGATCCCTTGTGAGAACTCTCAGCGGAATCTTGAAAACGCGTTGTAAAAAAAAGCTTGGAGGATCAACATGTTTCACACCCGTATCCTTGGTGCATTGATTATCTGATGGCCATGAATTCTTAACAAGGTAAAATCAAGACCTTCTAAAGCACGAGCTAACTTTTTCATAAGCTTTGGAAGACATTGAATTTAACAGAATTCATGCCAATTTTTATACAAGTTGGCCAGTATTAAAGTAAACTAAACGGAACAAAAATGAACCAAAAAATAAGCTCTATGCAGATTTATTACTCAAAGCCGTCAAATTTTAAAAATAAGGCTCACACTTACCAAACACATCTCCAACACTTACTCCAATCCAATGTTACAACCAATCTCAAGTAAATCCCGCCGGTAACCCAAATTATTCATCCGATACTCGGCCTTGTCCTGTTTTTTGTCCAGAAAAACAAAGATTAGCCGAAGGTTTTTTCTCTCATCAAATCTATGTACTTGTTTTGTTTGTCACCTCAATTCAAATGGCCTTGGAGAGCGTTGAAAAGTGCCCGAGAAAAAAAGCAATCTTGACATTCGAAATCGGTCCAATGCTTTGAAGGATGACATAAAAACTTAATATTACGAGATGTTTTGAAAAACAAGACCACGTAAAGCCTGTTCGGGAAATGCTGAAAGCGTGATAATTTGAGGCTTATGAAATTTGGAGCAAGTTACGATTCGAATTTCAAGGGCATGCCGAATATTTACCTCGGCGTTTAGGGCAACAACCAAGATGTTAAGGTCAAAAAAACGCAAAAAATCGCTTTTTTCAATGTAAAGTCAGTAAAGTAATGTCTAAAGTGCCTTTTTTGCCTTTGCATTTTCCTTTCTCTTTCGACCGCTGAATATTTCACACATACGTCGAGCAAAAATCTGTGAGCTTATCGTAGGGTGATACAACATACAGTAGTTTCATTAAGTTTTTGAAACTTCCTTTCAGATGTTCTCTTCTCGATCATTTCTCATCTTCTTGACTTCTTGTTCATGCCCTTGAAACAAGCTCATCTTTATTATATCCTCCATGCCCATTTCAAAGCCTCTTGAACCACCCACGATGAGTTCCGGCTTTTGTAATTTGGAAATTCTCCTTAAAAACCTTCTTGGGAGCAAGATCATCAAACGCATCTTTTTGTGTGCCGAAAATTAAATGATCCATTTTCGGAAACGAGATCAAACAAAAAACTTTTTTGTATATAACGCCGGAAGGATCGGTGCGCTTTTCACTCTGCCCTCGGGCGAAATAATGGGAGGCAAATCGGTAGTCGGGTGGAAAAAATTTTGTTCCCAACAGGTAATTTTTGTACTTTTTCCGGATGACTTTTTGGGGATAAGTAATGTCGTAAATGGAGTTTTAAGTTTTGGGGTTTTTGTGGAAGAAATTTTTGTAAAATATGTGTGGTGGATGGTGGGTATCAACATAATACTTATCATTGTGAACGTCTGAAAGGCAAATTCAGCATAGAATTAAAAATATTTTTGGAGGAAACGAATATGTCGAAAAATTTTCACGGCAAAAATTTGCAAAAAAAATTTCCTTTCATTTCCTCTAGAATCCGTTATTTCCATTACGATTTTTGTAAAGATTGTCTTACATTTATGGCCGAACAGAATAAATTTTGTTTAATTTCGTATTCTTCAATAGTATGATAAAAAATTTACTCACTTGTCATGCTCAAAGCATTTGTAAAATACGCGATTTCTGTTCTTCTGGTTACACGGTTAAAAAAATCTCAACTTCAAAATTCAGCGCCATGCGTTTCCTCCTGCCATTCCTCGGCCTCCCCATGTGCTTTTCCCAGCTCTCTTCAATGTTCGGCAATCCAATTCAAGCAGATAATTGTGCTGAATGGACAACCTGGGGCCCGTGTATTTGGCTGAAGGGCTCTCCGCGTTGGAACCGGCCGTATTTCGACCAGCTGCTGCCTGGTCGCACTGGTTGTCGACAACACGTCTTCTTCAAACTGTTGCATGATCGATGGGGAGTTGTAAGTAATATACGCAGAGTAAAAAGTTTAATTTTAAACGCTCATAGGGAAAGAGCGTGAGGAAATTTCGGAAAATAAAGCCAACCAAGCAATCTAGCAATGGTTTGAATTTGAAGCAACTTTTTTTATAGAATTTTGCATTCTAAAGATTTTTGGTTTCCTTCAAGACTGTAGAGGCTATTGAAATTTTCTTTTTTATACAGTTTTTTTGAATCTTTGCAGGCTTTTACTAACTTTTACAACTACCTCCGAGAAGTGACTGTCAGTGAAAATCAATGTGGAGAATGCTCGTATCAGCAAAGCTGCGGCCGGCAATGTCATCGGCGGTAAGTGAACTTCTAGGTTCTATCATGACTTATCCAGAACAGCTTTTTCTTTAGATACCTAACGGTGGATGATGACTGTTTCCTGTATTCTGCTTATCTGAACTTTCCTTTTTCTTTTCTAATCTACTTTTTCAGGGGAAATGTAAACTCAATCAATCCATTATTTGTTGCTGAACGTCGATGTGAAGGCGTGGATCAATCAATGGCTTGTGAATCCAAACAAGTCAAAGGGACCTGCAGATTATGGCCAAACGATGACATCCAATTGCCCAATGTCACTCAGTCCATGAATGATATTATTCATGGCCTTGATTTTTTGAGTTGTGTGCCGGAAATCAGGTAAAAATTTTTTGCGTATTTACGGTATAATCAAAGTCCTCTCAAAATTCCAAACTTTCTTTTTCAGAGGCTCCGAAACATTGTGTAGATGCTGCTGTCATCCATTCACACCAAACCCGCTGACGTTCCGATGCGAATTGAAACCTCAATTTTTGGGTTAAAATACGGTTACGGAAACTGCATATAACATTGGTAACATGTTTCGATTTCAATACATATTACCCCTGGTTCTGTAATAAACGTTAAACTTCATAACACTGCACTGCAACCTGAACTTTTTTGGCCGCCGATGGAAATAATAAAAAGACGTTACGATAGTCTTGAGACTTCCTTTTTGTCTTCATTCGGTGTTCAATAAATCTACATACTTTCAAAGATGCAACCCATAGTAAAATTTGAAGTACGAAGTCCTAGAATCCCAATTTGAAACAAATCTATGAAGCGGTTTTGCTAAAATCTGTGAGAACGAAAGTTCTCGAAATTCAATCCTTCTTCTGCGTTGATTAGCATCGCTCCAAATTTTCGAGGTAATTCGCCGCTTGTTCCTTTTTCATCGGCAAATTTCGAGACAATTTGAGATCTTTATCAAAACTAATCCACCTCAAAATACGCCAAATGACCTCTAATTTTGATGCCTTTGATTTCAAATTTTTATTAAAACCTTCAGAAAATCTACAAAGCCTCTGTACTATGCACATACGACAATATGTCCAAGTTGTGATACGATAAGCCTTCTCCCGTCAACTTATCATATAAAATAAAATCCAATACTCGGATGTCATGGTCAATAACAATCTTGCATGGCTCTTTTCTCGGAGCCATTTTTCATGGGCAGCCTTTCGGCTCTTTGTGGTCATTTTTAAACGAATTTCCTTTGGTCATCAACATGTCTTTTCCGCATTTTTTTTTCATTTCCAAATTGGGTTTCGAAATGGGATTCTGGAGTAGGAGATTGGGAAACCCGAATAAATACTGGTTAATCGTCATGAATGAACTGTATTTTACTAGGACAATTTTTTCGAAAGAGCTTTCTTATCTCTAATTTTTTCTTTTGCATAGTGCGATATGTTTCAGTTCCGCACAGTGCAGTTTTGATGTCTTTTTCCGCACCGTACAATCAAAAAAGAAAAAATTTTTTTTGCACAGTGCAAAGAAATTCTTTGTCGTACGAATGTCTATGAAACAAAAAATTTTCGAAGCTTTCATTTTTTATATCACCTTTCCGTAGCAAAATTTAATCGCCCTATGCAAGAAAAAAATTATTTTGTTGCGCTGTGCAAAACATCTCTCAATTCTATGCACTATGCGTAAGCTCTGTCCTCCAAACAAAATTACCATTCCCCAGCGGGTACCACGTCCTTTTTCTGGGGCGGAGTTTCACTCAACGAAAGACATTTTTCTTGTCGAGAGTCTCGCCGAGCCTCGCAGTAAAATGCCCTGCGGGCTGGGAGAGAAAACACTCGATTCCGGCTGTATTCGGGTGCCGGTTTCAATTTGGGAGATGACTTTTTCTTAAGGGGAGTTGGTCAAAGCTTGGTGGGAACTTACTTTTAAAGTTTGTTTTGACTAAAATACGGCTCTTTTCAAAGAGTTTGATTTTTTTTTTCTTTGCACTGTGCAAACTTTTTTTTTGATTTTTTGCACTGTGCGGTAAAAATTTTTAATGTTTCGCGCAATGCAGAATTTTAAAAATTTTTCAAAATTTTATGAAACATTCTACTACAAGAAAGGGATCTTTTATAACGCCAACTTCCGTTCTAAAAATACTTTTTTAGACCCTGCTTGATAGAGTTCAACTGGATACTAACTCCATTTTCGAGTACTCGGTTTTTATTTTATTTCCATTCAAAACGTTTTGGGTGTTGGAAGTATTAGATTGTCCCATGAAAATTCCAACAGAGCGTTAAGGCCAACTGATGCGTGTTTACGGCACCAGTTGCATATTATATTTGATGATTTTTGGTGTCAAGTTCAGAAGAAAAATGTGATTGGTTATCGATTATTTCGTGGCATAAAAACAATGTCACCGTTGCTTATAAATTAATTTTCACCACAGTTCTTTCAGAAAATGTCCACCGCTCCAGTTGAACGAGCCCCAGCGCCTGCTCCCGCTCCTCAAGCCAATGGCGACGTCGCTGCTTCCCCTGTAAGTTCAATTGTTTACAGTGATCCATGAAAGCAAAGTTTTGTGAAACTATGTATAATAATTGAATAGAAAAAAGGAATTTTTTGATAGAAGTGCATGTTAAGGAATTAGCAATTTAAAGGGGTCTTACAAGGGTTTTTTATGACCAATTCTCTTCTATAATATTATAAAACAGCTGGCTATGGGCATATCACTTTTTTATATCGCGTTACACGGCCTTCATTGTCGCATTTAAAAAAATGCTTAACACGATTGCCGAACCAAGAAATTTTGTTCATAAAATTTTCGCACTCCTTTCCATTATGCTTTTTGAAAAAAGGTTGAGTTAAACCAACTTTTATCAAGCAAATTACCCTCCAAAGATGCCGGATAATCCCACAAACTCCTTTTCATTAGACCATCAAAGTTTTTAGTCTAGTCCTGAAATTTTCCGCTCACTTAGCGCCCCGGAACAAAACGGCCGATAATCGGAGCCGAAAAGAGAGCGCAGCGGGATATTTGACCCGCCCTCCGGCTGCGCTAAGTTGGTTATAGGCGTTTTGTGGCCCAAAACTTTCGCGGGGTGCTTCTTGATTTTGTCTTGGGCGCTTTTCCATGGCCATGGATTACGGAGATAAGTTTTTGGGAGCGAGCAAGGTAAGACGGGGGCTAGGTGATGAAGTTAGGAATTCAGTAAGGTTTTAGCCGTTCAATTTTTTTATTTTACCGTGTCAATATGTATTAGGGCACAACGTTTCAAAAATTGTTTTGATCTCTGTCAAAAAAAAAAAAAAATAAAAAGCAATGCTTACAATTCGTTTTGTACATATTTGGCTTGCCACGACCGTTATTACTAAACTGAAAAGTTTTCGTTAGACTGGGATACATTGCATACGAAAATCGGCATTTTTGAAATGTGCAAGATTAATACTCCTCCAAATCAATCTTTTCCGCTCTTTCAAAATATTGGAGATGTAAAATAAAGCTTTTTTGTGGCCCTCCGGGGGTTTGCAATCTTGTTTTTGGAAACAACCCAAGAAATTCCGCGAAAATACATAAAAATTGCATTATTTTAGATTGGATACATTGGAAAAGCAATGTTTCAAACACTGGCAACAATAAAAAAGCGGAAGTTTTGTAAAATACGTTGCGTCCTGAGGATTTCTAAAGATTTTGAAAAATTCCAAAAATTTTTTAATTTTCTTTTTCGACCCGGATTACGTCCAAAGTCCTTTCTAATCCATTCTAAGGCTTTTAAAAAATCCCGCGCGCTTAATTAAGCCGCTTAAAAGGACTGAGTCAGCATTTCCTTGAGCATTGTCTTAGCGAGGAAATTAGAAGACTCACTTTGGACCATAGATTTGTCCAGCTGCTTAAAATTTAGAGCTTTTTAAGGAAAATTATCCGATTGAGCGATCCAATGCAAGGAAAGTAACTTGAAGTTTTGTTTGAAAATGATTTCTGATCTCTAGAACAAAAAACACCAAGAAAATGTCAAAAATCTTTAAAAATTAGTAATAATTAACATACTAATACAAAAATTTTAGATTTTTGAATATTAAGCCTAAAATCCGATTTCAGCGCCGCTGTGCTCCCAAAGTGAACACTCAGGAGCGACTTTTTGGCGGCGGCAACATTACTCCAAAGAACCAGAAAAAAGTCAGCGACACTTTCAAGTCGACCATCTTTACTGACTCGGCCCCAACATCGCCTGCTCGTACTCCCAAAAAACAAGTGCCTGTGCTGAGTAAGTGTTTTGAATTTTCTTGTTTTTTAAGCAATTTTATGTAGTATAATATTAAACCAAACGAGGATAAGAGGTTCTTTATTCAAGATTAGAATTTCCGAGACAAGTTTTAGCGTTGAAAAAATACCCAAATTTGATCCAAATATTCATAAGGCGCATGCCATATTTTTGGTTCACACTCTGGACAAATATGGCCAAAAAATTATGATTTTTTAGGAAGGAAATATTTGAAAGTCACTGTTTTTTCAAGAAAAAATCACATTTGTTAAAATGTCTGTGTTAATGTTTCAGCCCGCAACCCAATCACCGGCGAAGTCAAGGTCCCTGCCAAGGTATCCATGTAATAAACAATGCTCTACTTCCATCCGTCCAGCATTTACTTGAGAAACAAATTTACACTGGTATAATAACAACATGACATTCATCGGAACATCTTATACGAGAATTCCTGTCATTCCTATAAGTATTCGAATCCAAGTGCTTCTAATAAATCTTTTTGTAGTATGACATAAGATGTGATAGTTTTCACCATGCTATTACCATCGTTTGTTACATCAACAAACCTCATTCCCTTTTCGATTAAGCCCTGAGGGAGATTAAACGAACGAGCGGTGTTATAGCAACATAACCTTGAAGGAGCAGGAAAACTGGCTTCGCCCCTGGAATTATTTCCCTCCAAGACGATCCCTGAGTCGGTCCGTGAAAACGTGTTTGTGGAGATCGCCAGCGAGGAGGGGGGATCAAACGAAAATTGGTGCGAAAAGCCAATTTCCTCGAATAGAATCGAAAACACACGACGGCGCCCATTTATTACTCAATCCGCGGGCGCTGAACGGCGAGCTGAAGCGCCGAGCGTTCAGCTTCTATCTGAATTTGCTTGTTGCAGATGTGTTTTGCAATATAGACAAGCGTGAGATTTTTTTTTGCCCTGCGGCTTCGTTGGAACTCTGTGAAATCGATCTGTGTTTCAAAAGATTGCCAAGCTCCGTTCTTTTTCAAATTTTGTCATCATTTTATGCTGTTGATAAATTTAAACCCTGGAAAAATTTAACTCGTGGGTTGCAAGTTTCACAGGGTGACGCCATTTTTGACGTTACTTAATTTTTGAAGCGAAGCATCGCCCTTTGCCAAAATCCTTGCCAAAGCCCTCTCCGTCGGCTACTTTTCCCTCTGTAAATATAATACCATTTATCACTCGATTTCTCTAGTTTTATATTTCCGCGGATCCTCGATCTATTTACCTCAAAACCTGTTTATCCCCAATCTCCTCGATGAATTCTTCCTTCATTTTCGAAAAGGTTATTCTTTGCCTCATTTTTCTCTTAAAATAGCTCGTATTTTATTGTTTATCTTTCCTCCAAAAAATCGAATTTTTCAGAGTCATGAGGTCAGTGGTTTGCTCATTACTTGTTGCGGTGGTGGTTGTTAGCGCTCAATTGCCTCCGATCGAAAACGGTAATTATTTTTTGAACCATTTTTTGGGATGACTTATGTGATGATGTAATTGAGTTGCGGTCACGGTGGTTTAGACGTGATCTAACGGCTCTTAGCGGTTTTTTAGAACTTTATAAACTTTAAAAAAAGTTTTAGCCCTTCGATTCATAATGATCTTGTTAGAAATAGGATTTTTTGAAGCCGAAAAAGCATTAATCTTGTCTTTAAATTTGATGAGGCCTTTCTAATTTTCTTGAAAAGCTTTTTCTACATTCCCCAACATCCCTCATTTCAGCGATAGACTTCGACGATTTGGACAAGAACAAGGACAATCAGATCTCCTTCGCCGAGTTCCAAAAATGGTATTCGGCAAACAAGGACGCCAAATCCGAGCCCGAACTCCGTCGTCTGTTCCAAAACTACGACACAGATAACGACTCTCAGCTTCACATTCAAGAATTTGTCCCCTTGGCCTATCAACTGAGCAGGACGCCCAAAAAAGAGGTCGACAATTTGTTCGCCCACCTCGACTCGGATAAAAATGGGATTTTGACGAGGACTGAGCTCCAAAATTCAAAGGAAAATTTGGGTCCCGAGATCATCGAAGGCCTCTTTTTGGTGGCCGATTCGAATGGCGACGGGCAAATTACTCATCAAGAGTTTGGAGCCATCCAAGGAGCGTTCGGACAAACTCCATCGAGCAGGGTAAGGTAATAAGGGGAACAAAGCTGAAAAATGACTCAAAAGAAATTGAAAAAACGATTGAAAATTCCTTACTAGCTTTGTCAAAAAAATAATTTTTCAATTTCAAATGTCTTCCACTTTCTCACAGACATATTACGCATGTATTTTATGTATAATTGTAAAATATCTGCAAATTAAATATTTGCTTCCAGAAATCCGAAAATGTTGGGATAGCGCGCGCTTTGATCGACAACATGGACCAGAACAAGGACAAAAAATTGAGCCAAGCGGAAGTTCATGCATTTGTCAGCAAATTCAACAAGGTAATTGAAAAAAGGAATATTTTTTACTATCCTCCATGAATTTACTAACCAAACCCAATCTTCAGGTCAGTCCAAAAACCGTGACCGCTGCCTTTGGCAAGCTTGACTCCAACAAGGACGGCCAATTGACCCTCGCCGAACTGGAAGTTTTGCCTCAAACAATCACGGATTTGGCCGGATTCCAACAGCCCAAGAGTTGGTAAACGTGGTAATAAGAGCTAGAATGACAATCAAATGGATTATGGCTCATTTGAAAAGCTAAAAATTGTATTATTTACGTGTAAAATAAAAATTATTTTTCCTTTTGGTTTCGAGATCGAAAAACAATAATCGACCAAAGCCTTATGCTTTCGACCACCTCTAAATTCTTGATCTGGCCGTTTCTTACGGCCTTTTCAATTTTTGTTTTATTGTAACTCAAATCAGCCCATTTATGAACACGCCTAAACACATCATTACATACATATTTGCTTTGTAATGAGGTAGACGAAATTTTCAATTGTTACAGAGAGTCTTCAATTCACAGATATTCTTTTCTTTTTCCCAAAATAATGATGAAAAATCTCGTTGCGCTGCTGTATTTTTCTGCGCTGATCATTAGCTATAATGCGGTTCTTGGAGCGGAGGATTATGTGCCCCTGAAGATCACCAAGGAAATGGAGGCAAGAGAAAAGAAGGAGAATCAAAATTTTTAGGAATTGGCCAAATTTGGCGCCAGAATTTATGGCCACAAGCAGTTCCACACCGACACGGTCTATGTGGTGAGCATGGCGTATGCGTTACAGCAAACAGAGGACCCACTGGTTTACCGTGTCGGGGCCCGAATCTCGATTGGCGGGCAGCCGGATCAGCCGTGTATGGAGTTCAAGGTTAGGAAGCACGACCAAGATGGGCTTCCGCAATATCGTGGCCACAAATCTTGTGTTCTTCCTCCGGATCATAGCAATTAAACAGCTTATTTTTTTAAATAAAATAAATTCCTCAAGCCAAAAATTGTAGGTATCCTGGGAAGAGGAAGCAGCTGTTAGCTTTATAGAGCTAGCACAGCTACTTTTGAATCATTCTTTTTACGGTTTGTGAGACAAAATGGCAAAGGATTTCTCCGTGTACGGTACCAATAACGGAGGAGAAAATTGTAGTGACATTCTACATGCCTGCTAAAAGTTAATGTACTGTTTGCAGTTTTTCGGACACTGCTTTTGGACTTAAAAAAACGTTCATTTCGGTTTTCAAGCCGTGAATGGTGCATTTCAAAAAGTGTTATAGCTGACCATTAAAGGCCAAAAAAATTGAAAATTCATTTGAACAATTTCTCGTCAACTTTTCTTCTTTTTACGAGTTTTCTCTGTTTAATTATGCAAAATTATTCCTATTTTTTCATTAACAACTAATCAAAATTTCCTTCGAATAGAAATGATTTTACATTTATTTCATTTTTCAACATGCTCAAGGTTACTAGTTTTTTGTTGCTCTGTCATGTTGTAGCTGTTACTTGTAGTGTAACACGAGAAATCCCAGGATATAAACCCGTAAAAATCACCAAAGAGATTAATGTAAGCTTAAATTTTTTAGCCTAAAATGAACTCTGCTCTCTGCAATCGATCGTTTTAGACGGGTTTCGTCGTATAAACTTTCCGCCGGAATTTTTCAGTCCTAAGGTTTTGTACAAAATAATTTGAAACATATACAATTTCAGGACACTTGAGGTCTTTAATAAAGAAGAAAACAATCATTACTATTTTAACGGAACTCACGCCGCTTACCAAGACAAGGCCAACCCGAAACATTACGTACTTGACGTCCCTGTGACCGCTTTACCGACAGCTGGATGTTTGCAGATGGAAGTTATGAGTAAGGGTTCCACGGAACCGCCAACATCGATTTTTAGTAGTTTGGATCCAGACGGATGTTAAGGTAGAGCTAGATTGTGACCTATTTATCCAAAAATGAACCGAAAAATTTCAAAGATTCTAATTTGAGTTTATGCCCAAATGTCTTCAAAATTTTTGTTTTTATTTTGAATTACTGCAATAAAGTTAACTGTAACAATCGAAAATCTTGGTTTTCACTTTCACGCTCCGAAGATCTTGCATTCGTAAAAATGATTATAATAAAGCGAACGCTAGCCAAGTCTTTGAATGCTTTGCTTCTGAATAAATTAACATTTCAATATAAAGAGACGCATTAAACCCTTTCAAATGCCAGAATGAATAAGATTACTGTATTTCTGATCCTTTTCATTATCGCTCATGTCTGTTTCAGTGGAAAGATAAGCGGATACGACGACGTACCATTGAATAATCGTAAAGTCCAGGTGAGTATTGTCTTGAAATAAGAGAAGAAGAAATTTTGTCATAATTTTTTGCAAACTGGGTCTGAGGCAGGCATAAATAACTTTTATCAGAGCTGGAAATGTAGCATGTTAGGTCGATTTTTGTCGCAGAGCAGAAGTGGGTTACGCCAGGGGCCCACGTTGACCACGATTTTTGCATAAGACCATCAGTTTTTATAACATAAAGAAAATAGGAAAACTTGTTTCAGAAGCTCGTGAAAAACGGCATAAAGCGGTACGAAAAGGAATGCAAGTGCAAGGTCTCTCTTGAAAAAATTGTTAGTGCCAAACGGAAGAACAAAGGAAAGGAGTACAAGCTCAAGTTCTATGTGGTAGAAAAGCTCGAGCCGATGAGCCAAAGGATTTATCTCAGCGACGTCATTCGCATCCGTAAGAAGAAAGAAAACCATAAAGTTAAAATTATTAAAGCTGTGTACATTTTCTAATAAATTTACATCTTCCGTGATCCAATTGTTTGTCGTGCAAAGCGATGTTGCTGGCAGCGCAAAGACATGTCAAGACCTTTTGGTCCACTTGGTATCCACACTTTAATAAAAAGTTGGTCTGGCAAATAAAATTTCAAGAGTGACGCAACATCCTGAGGACCTTGATTAAGATTTTTAATTTTGTCAAAGTCATTTAGAATTTGTCAAATAAAAACGTTTTTACCGCATAAATTTGAATGATTAATTGGAAACATCGCAATATAAAGGGCCATTCGAAAGTGACAATTATGCAGTTTAAAATGTTGTCCAAAGTTGCTCTTCTGATTGCGGTTCTGCTGATTTCTCAGCAATGCTCTTCCTGGTCCGTCGATTTGAACGACCCCACGGTTCAGGTGAGTGAAATGATTTCTCCCCTGCAGTAATTGCAAAAACTTTCAGAGATTTGCCCGTAAGGCCGTCGAAATTGCCAACAAGGAACATGACATGAAACTGACCTTCCATCAAGTCCTTTCAGCGGACGAGATAGCTATCAATGGATATACTTACGATATAGTTTTGGATGCGTTTGACATAGATACTCCTTTCCAGCTCCCTCGCTTCATCAAAATCAATGATACCGTTCTCGTCTTCAAAGGCAAGGAGACCCATAAGGTCGTCCTTAATTTTGTTCCTTCTTAAATCTAACGTAACGTTTCAAATAAATAAAAAGCGTAAGAGTGGTTTGGTTGTATTGCATTCGGTGTCGAAATAGCTCATGTAAATGAGAAGCGTGTTTTATTATCATAGAGATAATAATTATACAGTTTGCTATCGGATAAAAGTAACAATACATATGTCGCGTAACATTAAACATTCACTGAATAATAAGTAAATAACAGCTGAAATCTATTGCCTTCCAAGCTTCGAGAAGCTTCGAATCTAAGGAATGCCAATACAATAATCGTAGGTTTCGTCTCGGGAGTCAACAAAACGTGATTCTTTTCGGGAGCAAAGCGTAATTTTTTTTGGGATAGTCCTTCATATACAAGGCTTGTGCGTTAGTAATTCGCGGAGAAATACAAACAAAAAACTGGCTAGAGAAAAAAAGAAAAAAAAATCTCCACGGGGAGAGAGCAGAAATTTGCGCAATATTGCGCAATGTTACGCAATTTTAGACAAAAATACGCATTTCTTGACTGGGTGCCACCCAGACAGGAAATCGAGTTTTTGTCTGGATTTCGCCGCGAATTACTAACGCACAAGCCTTATATGATAAGTAATAACTAAAAAAATTCCACTCATATTCCTGAAAGTTTTAGCCCGCGCTTTCCAAACGCAGCTCAGATATTTTTGAAGTCAAAAAAATGTGCAAACTAAAGAGAAGAAAACGAAAATAAATTTTTTTTTGACGAAGGTGTGAACGGATTTCCTATGATCCGGCAGTAGGGCTCGGTTCTCCACCTGCAAATCCATAGGTCGAGATCAGAGATTGCCACGGTCAAAATTTCGGCTCCGACTCTTAGCACCCAGAGCCGGAGCCGAGGCCAAATTTGCAGCTCCGGCTCCCATGAAAAACTTAAAAAGGTCTTCGGCTCCGAATCCCAGCTCCCGTGCAAAATTTTTTTTAAAAATATTATTCCAAAAATAAACGTTATTAGGGCCAGAGATCATGCACCCAACGTTTTTGCAACCAAGTTGTATGCAACACATCCTTCCCAGTATTTTTTAAGACATGTCAAGACCTTTTGGTCCACTTGATATCATTACTTTAATAAAAAGTTGGTCTGGCAAATAAAATTTAAAGAGTGACGCAACATCCTGAGGACCTTGATTAAGATTTTAATTTTGTCAAAGTCATTTAGACCACTACATTATCTACTACGATTTAAACCGCATAATTTGAATAATTAATTTGAAACATTGCAATATAAAAGGCCATTCGAAAATGACAATTTTATAGCTAAAAATGTTGTCTAAAGTTGCTCTTCTGATTGCGGTTCTGCTGATTTCTCAGCAATGCTCTTCCTGGTCCGTCGATTTGAACGACCCCACGGTTCAGGTGAGTGAAATGATTTCTCCCCTGCAGTAATTGCAAAAACTTTCAGAGATTTGCCCGTGAGGCCGTCGAAATTGCCAACAAGAAAGATCACTGGAAACTGACCTTCCATCAAGTCCTTTCAGCGAAAAGAATATCTGTCAGTGGATATATTTATCATATAGTTTTGGATGCGTTTAACGTAGATACTCCTGTCGAGTTCCCTCACTTCGTCAAAATCAATGACACTGTTCGCGTCTTCGAAGGCAAGGAGACACATAAGGTCGTCGTTATTCCTGCTTCTTCTTAAATCTAACGTAACGTTTCAACCACATAAAAAGCATAAGAGTGGTTTGGTTGTATTGCATTTGGTGTCGAAATAGCTCATGTAAATGAGAAGCGGTTTTATTATCATAGAGATAATAATTATACAGTTTATTATCAGATAAAAGTAACAAAACATACGTGGCGTACCATGAAACTCTTCGCTGAATAATAAATAAATAACAGCTGAAATCTATTGCCTTCCAAGCTTCGAGAAGCTTCGAATCTAACGGAATGCCAATACAATAATCGTAGGTTTCGTCTCGGGACTCAACAAAACGTAATTCTTTTCGGGAACAAAGCGTCATTTTGTTGGGGTACTCCTTCATATATGATAAATAATAACTAAAAAAATTCGGATATTTTTGAAGTCAAGCCTGTGCAAACCAAAGGTTACGCTCTATGATTTATGAAATAAACCTGGACTGCAGTCACGTTTGAGTACAAACCAACACCGAGAAGAAAACAAAAATAAAATTTGGGGCTAAGGTAGTACAACCCCCCAGTCCAGTTCAGCCCCCCATGACCCAGTATAAAAACCCCCTCATCCAATCTGAAGCGCCTACTCGGGATTGGGTTCTCTCGGCTACGATCAGCGTTGCCTGAACCACAAGAACGAATTTGAACGGTAACTGGCGATTTGAGCTAAAACTCCGGGGTCATTTTACTCTAATTTGCATTTTTTGTATTTTTCTAATTTTTTCATTATGGGGGTGTGAAATGGACAAAACAGTGGGGGTGTGAACTACCTTTCCTGGGGGGCTGAACTACCAAAGCCCCTAAAATTGGGGTTTTAGACAAAGGCGTGAACGGATTTCCTATGATCCGACAGTAGGGCTGGATTCTCTCATCTCGACCTACAGAATCCATAGGTCGAGATGAATCATCCAGTAACTGAGTCGAAACAAACCGCTTCTCAAGGCGTCCGGCGTGGTTGGATGTGAAAGTTGCAGTGTTGTATTAAAAAACTTTTTTGTGACAAAATTCGACTCAAACTTCCGGCTGTTCCTGCAAAGTGCAAGCTTACTTCATACAAGGGCCTGGCCGCATCTGCACAACGTACAAATTTTTGTCGACGATGTGTTGCATCATTCTCAAATTTTTAATTATACGTCCAAATGACAAATTGAAGTCATTTGGCCAATTAATCTCACAATTTGATTGAATAAATTTAAATAATAAATACATACGTAGTTTCACAAAAATCAGATATAAAAGCACATTCAAAGTCAACCATTTTTACATTAAAATGTTGTCCAAGCTTACCGTACTCTTTGTGATTTTGCTGAATATTCAGAATGGTGTTTCCAAATCAACACCAAAGAGTGCCCCAGGACTTCCGGTCGATTTGAATAACCCCGTGGTTCAGGTAGGTGATAAAGCCCATATATCGACGCTGTGGCGTTTCCGTTCTTCAGAGACTTGCCCACGAGACCGTTGACGTCTACAACAAGCAGCATAACACCAGTTTGAAGTTCCACCAACTGCTTTCAGCTTACTCATTTGGATCAGTCGTTGGTAGCTTCTATAAGCTGAATGTGGAAGTCTTTTCCGATAAAAAAGCGATCCATTTCTACCAGATCATTGATAAAGTCGTGGTCGGCGCCACTGGCAAAGCTCTGCATGATATCATTAGTATCAGCGAAAGATTAAATCCTCCAAAGTAATAACTTAGACATTTCATTAACGAAAATAAAAATTGCGCTTAAAAGATGTCGATTGTAAGCAATAGTAATAGTCGAAGTCCAAGTCTAAAAATGAGTGGTTTTGGCTTCCACTTTTCAGCATTTATTTCATCAGAAGTTGATGCTGATAAGTATGCTGGTAATGCAAAAATTTGAGAATTGCACCTCAAGAAACTTTGCTTATTTCGTCCGAAAAAACATTATCCAGAGTTGCATCATTCAACTGTCTTATTAGTTTTGTCAAACAACAAAATTACAACTATTTCCAATAAATTTGACAATTCCGACTGTATAAATTTGAATAATGACCCTCAAAAACCTACTATAAAGTTTCGAACAGAAAAGGCAACCACACGGTTTACAATGTGGTTCAAACTCGCTCTTCTTGTGGCCATCCTGCTGAATATTCATCCATATGAGTCGGCATCTTCGGCTGCTCGGCCTCGTCTTGGAGAATTTGAAAAGATCGACGTGAACGATAAGGAAGTTCAGGTTAGTTGTCAACTCTCGGCGCATTTTAATTAAGCGAATGATGTATGAAAGACGTTGATCTTCGATAAAGCTTAATTAGAACGTCAATACTTTCAGAGACTGGCCCGCAAAGCCGTCCATATCTACAACAAACAAGCCCATAGACATCTTATATTCACCAAAGTGACTTCTGCGGAACGTCAGTCTGTAAATGGCTATAACTACAACATATCTTTGCAAGCCACAAGGGGATCTTTCTTCCCGCTTATCGTCTCTCTGAATGACTTCGCGTATGTGGGGCGCAATAAAGAAACGCATAATGTCACCCTGGTTGGCATAATATCTTAAAAGCTAAATAACATTGATTGCTGTTTTTTAATAAATTTATCTGGGCAATGCGATTAATGTGTTGAGTTTACCCATTGTTGGCTTTATCAGTCCTTTATATATAGTACAAGGTAACAAGGAAGCAGGGCCGGGCTTCCGGGGCTTTGTCAAATTTCGAAAAGATCCCGGGCAGGCCAGCCTGGACGGCCCCGGGCCCGGAGGGGAAATCCAGAATCCTTTCCATGGGTGAGACTTTGTTAAAATTCGGCACACACATCTCGCAGAAGCATTATACAATTTATGAAACTTTAATTTGTCCTTCGCGGAATGCTTAACGGTCCTTGTGGACAGAATTTTTTTTGGCCATTTTTCAAGTTGTCTCGAGTATTGTTTAGAAAAAACGCGCGTTTAGGAAAAACGCGTTAAGTCAAAAAAATAATTTAATATTAGTTTATAAATAACAGTTTCGATGAGGAATTGGGCAGATATAACTTTACAGTCCGAGAAGGCAATAACAGCTCCAAAGGCACATGGTCCCTGTGCCCGCGGATGACAACGAACTAGGATCAATAAATATATAAATTTTGTTAACAAAGTGTTATATGTGTTATGTTGCATCATCCTAAAGTTTTTAATTAAAGTTGAAGAATACATAAAAAGGAAATTTAGTCTTCAAAATTGTCAATGTCTATAGAATAAATTTGAATAATTAAACTCATCAGTTGTGGCTTATATAGAAACTGTTCTAACACCGTTTTCATTAGTTAACAATGTTCGTTAAAGCTACTGTGCTCTTCGTGATTCTGCTGAGTATTCAGCATTCGTTGTCGAAGAAGACGACACCACGGATTGTTGGCAGATGGTTTAACGTTTCAGTGGACGATCCGGAAGTGCAGGTGAGCAAGCTAAAATTATGAAAGCCTCTTTCCTGGCGTCGTTGAACCTTACTCGGATATCGCATCCCCCTCCAACGATTTACTGGTCCTCAAAGACAATTTGAGGCTATCTGCCAAACAAACTCCCGTACGACGAAACCTATATATATAACTAAACATTCAGACGTCTCAATTACCAATTTAAGGCCAAAATGACACCGGGGAGCAAAACTTTTATATTTATGTGTTAAAAATATTTTCAGAAACTCGCCAAGGAAGCCGTTGACATCTACGCCAAGTCTATTTCGCGGGAAAACCAGACAATTGAATTGCTGGAAAAGGTCGTTTCCGCAAAAGCACAAATCGTGGCTGGAACAAATTACAGGATCGACCTGATAGCCCGCCAGAAAAAGCCGCTCTACCCTACTCTCCTCCCGCTACATGACAAAGTTTCTGTCGACATACATGGCAAAGCCAGCCATAAGGTCACAGTTAGAACTGCAAATGGTATTGAAAGCTAAGCCTCTGGAAATGCATAGCAAAATTGTCATAGGACATTATTGTCATAGATAATGCAATAAACAATAATTATTAAAATAAAGAATGCAGAAATCAGAAATTTAAGGAGATTGAATTGATATCTTGCCCTGAGTGAATTTTAATAATGACTGTTCATGTGGAATCTCTACCGCCATTACTATTTTTTCCAATGTCTTGAAAAAATTACAGCTAGGAAAGTCGGTGATTGGTAATCGAGAAAGTGACAAAAGCTTTACAACAAACATTTTTTTGTTCGCCAAGTTTTTCTTTTAGCCAAGAAGATTGATAAAAACTTGAGGGGAGCAAAATCGGCTGGAAACAGAAAGGCGTTAATCGCAATAACTTTTTTTTGCGATTTTTTGACCTTTTTTCGTGTACGCCTTGTCACGGCAAAAGAATATGTATTGTATCATGTTGAAGGTTGGTATTAAACCTCATCAAACAAAATGAAATCGTCGGTCCGTGAAAAATTTCATTCACACTGGAATAAATTTAAATAATCACATACGTTGTCGGCAGTACATATAGTAACCATTTTCAAACATATTTGAATTAACCATGTTGGTCAAAGCTACTGTACTCTTTGTGATTCTGCTGAGTATTCAGCATTCGTTGTCAAAGAAGATACCACCAGCGATTTTTAACGGATGGCATGGCGTTTCAGTGGATGATCCGGATGTGCAGGTAAGGAATGCCGGGATTGAAGGAGAAACACTGATGCAGGACTACATAAGTATCAGTCTGTCGGAAAAATAACGGCGGATCGTCGCATCAAAATGTCTCGCCTCGCCGCTGTCGCGCACCAAATCCCAAGCCGCGGCTTGCAGTCGCAAAGCGATGAAGGGCGATTCGGAGGCGCGAAGATCCGCCGTTATTTTCCCGACAGACTGATATTATCCCTCTAGCTAAATAGTTCCAAAGCTATGGTCTCTTTGACCGCTCTCTCTCGGCAGCAGAGACCGTTAAATTTCTCGACGGTGCCTGCAAGCGGCAAGCTAAAACTTTGATGAATCGATATCTGGCCTTTGCCCTTGTGCAAAATTAAAGAAAATCTGAGAGTCGCACTTGGGGTACTTCCCATGTAAGTCGTATGCCAATTTCTGTGTTTTTGCCTCTCGCGCAAAAAGAATATATGTAGTAAATCATGAGATTAGTTAAAGGAATAACAGGCAAGAACGGGTAGGATGAATTTTCTCAAATTGGGTGAAAAGCATAGCGGATCTGAGCTTTTTCTGATCTAGCCTCAGAACCAACATGATTTATTTTTCAGAACCTCGCGGAAGAAGCGGTCAAGATCTATTCAGAACAAGAAAAGAAGGAATATAAGCTGCAAGGGGTCATGTCTGTACAACAACAACTTGTGATTGGCGTTAATTACAAAATGGACTTGTATGCGAATCGCTCTTTGGGGCCCGGCCACTCACTTCACATCCCTCTGCACGACGATGTGTTTGTTGATGCGGTAGGCAATGCTAACCATAGCGTCAATGAACATATTAATATTATGCGTAAAATGATATGTGGTAAATAATACCGAAATAAATCTTGCAAACACGTTTTTTTGTTCAGAATACATATGTAGATATAAAAATGTGTTGTTTTCTTTGTGATCCTGCCGAATATTCCCATCTTGTTGTGACATGTCGTTAAAAATTTAATTTTCGCTGGAATAACTTTGAATAATCACATAAATTGCCGGCGGTATATGTATACTTTCCAGCAAGGCATTGTCCGATTCCACCTTCGGTCAGAAAAGAAATTCAACGATCTGGCTGTGGTCTTGCGGTGGTCTCTTCAATCGACTACCTTCCGCACTCTTGCTACCTGAAATTACTTGGCCTTCCAAGTGGAAGGTTGCGGATGTCGATGTCGGGTAATCGATTGTATTCGTTCCCCTTATAAAGATGAACACGAGAATAAGATCAAATCAGCTCGATTAAATGATTTATCAATAAAGGTAAACAATACAATAAAAATACTCAAATCAACACAACTTAACAACAACACTTCACAACAACCACAACTTCAACTCGACAACACAACAACCATCAAATATATCTGATCAAGATGGGATAAAACCTCGGAGAAGGTTACGGTGTCGTGATTCAGGCTCTCCGCTTCGGGACCTCTCCATCGAACATTCTCGAACATCGGGGAAAACCAACTGGGGAAACAGTTGACACGGGGGACATCTCTCTCTTTCCATAAATTCCATCGAGTTGACACATCGTGGATAACTCCAGGTTCCGTGGAATCTGACAGCATGCTAGACAGACCATAAAAATTGTGTTGGGCCATTTCTTGTCCGCAGCAGAGTTTGGCCTCCGCCGATAAGGCAAGCGTCTGCCGACCACATGATAAACATAAAAATATGTAAATATCTTTCTTTCAATCATCAAAATTCATAATAAAGCGTTTAACGTTGGTGTGATGACCTAAAAAGTGCCCAAAAGTCTCCGCCGAATACACTACTTTCCGCGTTGTCGGAGAAAACGATTTTCTTGGGGAAAAAACCGCCCATTTTCTTCTTTATCCTGCAAAAAGATTTTTTCGGATATCTTGACTGAGCGCTGGGAAAACGACAAAAACTTTCCGGCACATTTCTCGGAACACCCTGTACTTCATTCGTAGGGAGAAAAGGCGGCTGGGGAAACAGAAAAGCGTTAATTGCAATAATTTTTTTTGCGATGTTCTGACCTCTTTCCGTGTATATATACATTGCATCATGTCGAAGATTGTTATTAAACCTCATCAAACAAAATGAAATTCGTCTGCCCGTTAAAAGTTTCATTAACGCCGGAATAAATTTAAATAATCACATTTGTTGTCGGCAGTACATATAGCAACCATTTTCAAACATTTTTCAATTAACCATGTTGGTCAAAGCTACTGTACTCTTTGTGATTCTGCTGTGTATTCAGCATTCGCTGTCGAAGAAGACGACGCTAGCACCTTTTGGCGGGTGGTCTAACGTTTCAGTGAATGATCCGGAAGTGCAGGTAAGGAATGCCGTGAAGTATAAACAGCCATGTAGGACTACATATTATCCCTGTTTTAAGCTAGTTCCAAAGCCATGGTCTCTCTGACCGCTTTTCGCATTTCGTGAACTCTCTCGGCAGCAAAGACCGTTTAAAAGACGATTTTTGGCTCGCTGCGTCAGCGGTGGACATAGGAAAAAATCGATTCTGAGTTTTTTGCATAAAAATGACCGTCGACATGTGCTAAGGAAAAGCGAACAACAGTTTTTCTCAATTCTGCCCGGAAGGCATAAATTTGCTTAAATTTGTCTTTTTTGGAATTTTCGACCTGGTGACGTCATAGAAAGAGCAAATCACCCAAAATTTTTCTTGTATACGTTTTCGACCATTGGGAATTCATTTTTTTGAAAATTAATTCTCTCAGATTACTGTAACATAGGCATATTGTAATCCGGTCGATAAAAATCGACCGTAACTCCTTCGTATCAAAAATCCCACAGCATTTTATTTCAGATTCGGAATCAGCATAAAATTCTGCATATTATGCACATAATGTGAGGTCATAACTCCAGGGGGGAGATCGCGTAGTATATTGGATTTTGGCAAAAATTACGTTTGAAAGGTCGCGGGTTCGATCCCCGCTTGGTGCAAATATTGAAAACACGGCGGAAATCGCGTTTAGTGGACACCTGAGGGTTATGTGAGATACACTAAGCAATTTTAAACATGAATGCATATCTAATTGCGATAAAAACTGATTTTATATAATTTTTGGAGACTGAATATGCAAAAAATGAAACTGCTTCAAATCGCTTCAAATTGGCAACACTTATTCTAGGGTCAATTGTAAGAAACTTTTCTATTAACTTTTTTTGGTAGATCACCGTATCATGGATTACTGTAGCATTAAACGTGTCCTGATTAATAGCTATTTTCTTCAAAATTCTTGCATAAAATATTAATTCTTTTTAATTAGTCGTTTTAGACAGCGAATAGATCCACTTTCTATATATGAAAGAAAATTCGCCCTTCATTGCAACGCGTCTTGATGTCATAATCAATTGGTGAAAGTGCGTCAAATAACTCGGCCGTTCCAAACGGTACAGCAATAAAAATTTTTTTCGTACACAAAAAAATCCTTTCTTAACCATTCTGAGCACAATGAAGACAATCCGACTTCTCCGCGCCATGTGGTACACTAAAAACCAAATCAGGTTTAATGTTACAGTAATCCATGATACGGTGATCTACCAAAAAAAGTTAATAGAAAAGTTTCTTACAATTGACCCTAGAATAAGTGTTGCCAATTTGAAGCGGTTTGAGGCAGTTTCATTTTTTGCATATTCAGTCTCCAAAAATTATATAAAATCAGTTTTTATCGCAATTAGATATGCATTCATGTTTAAAATTGCTTAGTGTATCTCACATAACCCTCAGGTGTCCACTAAACGCGATTTCCGCCGTGTTTTCAATATTTGCACCAAGCGGGGATCGAACCCGCGACCTTTCAAACGTAATTTTTGCCAAAATCCAATATACTACGCGATCTCCCCCCTGGAGTTATGACCTCACATTATGTGCATAATATGCAGAATTTTATGCTGATTCCGAATCTGAAATAAAATCCTGTGGGATTTTTGATACGAAGGAGTTACGGTCGATTTTTATCGACCGGATTACAATATGCCTATGTTACAGTAATCTGAGGGAATTAATTTTCAAAAAAATGAATTCCCAATGGTCGAAAACGTATACAAGAAAAATTTTGGGTGATTTGCTCTTTCGATGACGTCACCAGGTCAAAAATTCCAAAAAAGACAAATTTAAGCAAATTTATGCCTTCCGGGCAGAATTGAGAAAAACTGTTGTTCGCTTTTCCTTAGCACATGTCGACGGTCATTTTTATGCAAAAAACTCAGAATTGATTTTTTCCTATGTCCCGGGTCCATTACGGGCTGACGCAGCGAGCCAAAAATCGTCTTTTAATTTCTCGACGGTGCCTGCAAGCCGCAAGCTAAAACTTTGAGAAATGGTATGGCCCATGCCCCAAGCATGTGCAAAAGATTATATAAAGAAAATCTGAGCGTCGCATTCGGTGTACTTCCCTTCCACGTCGTATGCCAATTTCTGTGTTTTCGCCTCTCGCAGAAAAAGAATATGTGTACTATAGTAAATCATGAGATTAGGGATGGAAGAAATCTGTAACAGCGAGTTAAAGGAATAACAGACAAAAACGGGTAGGCTAAATTTTCCGAAATTGGGTAAAAAGCAAATCGGTCAGAGCTTTTTCTGATCTAGCCTCATAACCAACATGATTTATTTTTCAGAAGCTCGCCAAAGAAGCGGTCAAGATCTATTCACATCAAGAAGGGCATAAATATAAGCTGGAAGAGGTCCGCTCTGCAGAACGACAAGTTGTGGCGGGCTTTAATTACAAAATCCACTTATCAGCGAACCGCTCTTTGGGGCCCGTCCGCGCAATTCACGCCTATCTGTACGACCGAGTGTATGTTGATCAGAAAGGCAATGCTAGACATCACGTCGTTAAAGAACCTATAAGCTGAAAGTAAAATTGTATGTTATATCGAATACCGAAATAAATCTTGCAAACAAGTTTTTTGTTCGGAATACATATGTAGATATCTGTTGTTTTCTTTGCGATCTTGCTGAATATTCGGCATTTGTTGCCGGAGACGACGGCACGATCGTTTTCTGGCGGTTGGGATAACGTGCCAGTGGACGATCCAAAAGTGCATTGGACAGCCTTTCAGCTGAAGTGTTGATGTGTACTCTGTATAGTAATAATTTGGAACATAGGCGATTTTTAAGGCAAAACCTTGGCGGGCGCACACTTGCGGGCAACCACTTTGCGGGCAACCACTTTGCGGGCAAATTTTTTGCGGGCAGCCACTTTGCGGGCAGCCGACATTTGCGGCCAGCACCGACATTTGCGGGCAGCCTGGGACATTTGCGGGCAGGGTCGACAGTTGCGGGCAACCGACACCTGATTGTGAGGGTAACAGGGTGGACGTGGAAAACATGATATATATGATATTATATTTTGGAAATTTGCCGACATTTGCGGGCAGCCGACATTTGCGGGCAACCGGCAATTGAGGATAGCAAGGTGGAGGTGGAAAAATTACTGCGATATTTTGGAAGTTTTCCGACATTTGCGGGCAGCCGATACTTGCGGGAAGCCGACATTTGCGGGCAACAGTTCCAAAGGTTCTAATACACTCTGCGTGCTTGTTTTTTCCTGTTGCCCGCAAATGTCGGTTGCCCGCAAGTGTCGGCTGCCCGCAAATGTCGGCAAATTTCCAAAATATCGCAGTAATGTTTCCACCTCCACCCTGCAACCCTCAGGTGCCGGTTGCCCGCAAATGTCCAAGGCTGCCCGCAAGTGTCTCAGCTGCCCGCAAATGTTTCAGCTGCCCGCAAATGTGACCCCCCCCCCCAAATTTTGCCCGCAAACTGGTTGCCCGCAAAGTGGTTGCCCGCAAGTGTCGCGACGCCAAAACCTTGAAACTCTTTAAACAATTTTTTCTTGCGATGTGCCGGTCTTTGTTCCTTGTTCTGTGAATGCCTGTTATTTGATCATCTTGAAGGTTGTATTAAACTTCATAAAACAAACTGAAACCATCTTGTTGTGACATGTCGCAAAAAATTTAATTAATGCTGGAATAACTTTGAATAATCACATAAATTGTCGGCAGTATATGTATGTATACGTATAACCAACCTTTCCAAATATTTAATTTACCAATATCCAATGTTGGTCAAAGGTACTGTACTGTTTGTCCTCCTACTGGTCATACAGCATTCTCTGTCAGACAAGACCACCAAACCACCAAAGGACGCATGGTTCAGTGTCTCAGTGGATGATCCGGAAGTAAAGTGCGACGCTCAGATTTTCTTTATATTTCTTTTTCACGTGTTGGGCAATTGCATCATGTTGAAGATTGATATATTAAACCTCATCAAACAAAATGAAATTCGTCTGCCCGTTAAAAGTTTCATTAACGCCGGAATAAATTTAAATAATCACAGTTGACACAGGGGACATCTCTCTCTCTCCATAAATTCCATCGAGTTGACACATCGTGGATAACTCCAGGTTCCGTGGAATCTGACAACATAAGTTGTCGGCAGTACATATAGCAACCATTTTCAAACATTTTTCAATTAACCATGTTGGTCAAAGCTACTGTACTCTTCGTGATTCTGCTGAGTATTCAGCATTTGTTGGCGAAGAAGACGACGCGAACAATTCCTGGCGGATGGCAAAACGTTTCAGTGAATGATCCGAAAGTGCAGGTAAGGAATGCCGGGAAGTATAAACAGTGATGTAGGACTATATATTATCCATGTTTTAAGCTAGTTTCAAAGTTATGGTCTCTCTGACCGCTCTCCGCGTTCCACGAACTCTCTCGGCAGCAAAGACCGTTTAATTTCTCGACGGTTCCTGCAAGCCGCAAGTTAAAAATTTGAGGAAATGGTATCTGGCCTATGCCCCAAGCGTGTGCAAAATTTTAAATAAAGAAAATCTGAGCGTCGCATTCGGGGTACTTCCCTTGCAAGTCCTATGCCAATTTCTGTGTTTTTGCCTCTCGCTGAAAAAGAATATATGTAGTAAATCATAACATTAGGGATGATAAGAAATCTGTAACAGCAAGTCTAGCCTCAGAACCAACATAATTTATTTTTCAGAAGCTCGCAGAAGAAGCGGTCAAGATCTACTCAAAGTATTTTAATTTGGAAGAGGTCCGCTCTGCAGAACAACAAGTTGTGGCTGGCTTTAATTACAGAATCCACTTGATAGCGGTTCGGCATTTGGGGATCAGGCACGCAATTCACGTCCCTCTGTTCGACCAAGTCTATGTTGATCCGAAAGGCAATGCTAAACATAACGTCACTGTAGAGCATACATACGTATTTTTATACGTATGTATGCGTATAACTAACCTTTCCAAATAGTACAATTTGCTAAACTCCAATGTTGGTCAAAGCTACTGTACTTTTTGTACTCCTACTGGTTATTCAGCATTCTCTGTCAGACAAGCCACCAAAAGGCGCATGGTTCAGTGCCTCAGTGGATGATCCGGAAGTGCAGGTGAGGCACCAAATCGGTTAAAGAAATATAAAATTAGAAGTGAGGCTGCATATTATCCTCACCTTTGTAGCAAAACCCGCCTGCAAATCGTAACTTCGAACACCAAGGCATCAGCTTTAAGAGGAGCTGAAGAATCGCAAAGGCCCTAACGTTTTATTCATTATAGAACGGTTTCGCTGTACGAAAGCCCAAAGAATGTACATTTCGATTTACCCTGAAAAAACTGCTTTGAGTTTTTTACCGCGAAAACTTTCAGAAGCTCGCCAAAGAAGCGGTCGACATCTTTGGAAGACAAAAGACACACGGCAAGGTGAATCTTACGTTAGACAGAGTTCGCTCCGCGCAACGACAAATTGTGGCTGGCAATAATTACAAGATCCACTTGGAGGCCTATCACCAGATCCTTCCAGACCCGTTATTTCTTTATGACAAAGTGTTTGTTGATCCGAAAGGCAAAGCAAGTCATACTGTCATAAGGGAGGTACACATTTGAACTGTCATTTTATAATAAGTGAAAAAATAATTGAGATGGCGAAATATATATAATTGTTGCTTGTGTTTCCGAGTAAATTGTTGAGTATCACGCAATTTTGACACAATATTTAATTTAGGAAATAACGGAAGTGTAAAACTTTAGTCGTTCTCTTTCAATATGGCCACATTTATCATCGAACAATTACAAGTTTAAGTGGCCATGAACGCACATCGCGTGGTCTGTAGTTCCAATCATTACGAAATATCCATGGGTATTAATGTTTTCACGGCGGGGAATTGCTACAGGGGTTATCACGTATTCTAAAATTACTCAACTGATTGAATAATATTTTTGAGTCAGCGTAGGCTTTGTAATTATAGGTGAGACTCGACGGTGTGTTTTGGAGAAGGGATAAAGGTCGAAATTCGGCTGAAGAAACATTACTTTTGCAAAACATGTCATTCCAGTGTAGATGACGCTATTTTTTGACCGAGATTTAACTATTGTGGCGTTTCGGCTACATGGAATTTTGTTGATAATCTTTGACGGTTTTTCTCTTGGTTAGCCGGAAAGAAATCCTGGGGCCTGTTTCATCAACGAAAAATAAATAAAATAAACGAAAGGGAAAGCGAGAGAACACCCAAAACACGTTTCGAAGCGAGAGAGTCGCGACGGATTAGTAGAGACCCATCTATAGAGCGGCGCATTTATCAGAGCGATCGGAGTGACTTTTTACGTCCAAAACGGGGGGTTCTCTACAGTAATCAGTGGATAACTCGGCTCTCGGTGGTCGTAGAATCACCCTTCCAAAAACCAAATAAAGCTATTCCCAACAGCTACGTGATATCCAAATTTCATATTTATATTTCAAAAAATGAACTCAGTAGACACCTAGTAGATCGTGGTATTCAAGTTTTTTTACGTTTTTTTTCTGAAAAACGTTATTTTTTCAGTCAATTTTTAACATAATGGGATAAAATTGGTACCAGTCGATAGTCCAACGCCCAATCTATAAAACTTTTTTAGAGGGTGGCTTACTTCAAAAAATGAGCTCAGTAGACACCTAGTAGATCGTAGTATTTACCGTTTTCTTACGTTTTTTCGGGAAAAACCTTTGTTTTTCAGTCAATCTTTAACATAATGGGATAAAATTGGTACCAGTCGATAGCCCAACGTCTAATCTATAAAACTTTTTTAGGGGGGCGGCTTCGTTTGCCCTGTGGCCTGCGAAACGTTTATTTTTACTGTCATGAACCACCGTTTTTGATACAAAAAACCATCCCGTTTCGAGGGCGCTTTTCCTCTCTTTTGGTTTTTTCGGAAACGACCGAAGGACTTTTTACGCAAAAGGAAGACATCGTCTCACTAAATTGAACGTTTCACAGGCCACAGGACAAACGAAGCCGCCCCCCTAAAAAAGTTTTATAGATTAGACGTTGGGCTATCGACTGGTACCAATTTTATGCCATTGTGTTAAAGATTGACTGAAAAACAAAGGTTTTTCCCGAAAAAACGTAAGAAAACGGTAAATACTACGATCTACTAGGTGTCTACTGAGCTCATTTTTTGAAGTAAGCCACCCCTCTAAAAAAGTTTTTTAGATTGGGCGTTGGGCTATCGACTGGTACCAATTTTATCCCATTATGTTAAAAATTGACTGAAAAAATAACGTTTTTCAGAAAAAAACGTAAAAAAACTTGAATACCACGATCTACTAGGTGTCTACTGAGTTCATTTTTTGAAATATAAATATGAAATTTGGATATCACGTAGCTGTTGGGAATAGCTTTATTTGGTTTTTGGAAGGGTGATTCTACGACCACCGAGAGCCGAGTTATCCACTGATTACTGTAGAGAACCCCCCGTTTTGGACGTAAAAAGTCACTCCGATCGCTCTGATAAATGCGCCGCTCTATACAGGGTGGGCCACTCGAAACTGACAAGTTTTTTCTTTGAGGTTCTCCGCGGAGACTCCGCCGACTTTTCTAAAATTTAGATTTTTCTGGAGCTGAGACCCGCCATTTTCAACCGACTGAATTTCAAAAAAACTTATTTTAAATTGACCTTTCCATGCCATCTCAAATTTTTGAAAAATTATTTTCAGGCCGAAACCGCTAAAACATGGAAAATTTTTGGAATGATTTTCAATTGACTTCCTCGGAGTTGGAAAATTTTTGGTTTTTTCTGGGGAAATCGCGGAGTAAAAAGTTGCTAGTGCTCGCCTTAAAATTGTTTAAAGCAAGTTGAAAGCCACAAGAGGGTTGTTTGTATTACCATTAGGGCACGAACATTCAAAAAAAAAAAATTTTTGAAGAAGATTGAAAAATTCGACGTCAATACAGGGTGCGCCAAAAATATTGGGACTCATATTTTTACTTGCCCTGCGGGCTGTAATGGTACAAGAGCAAAGTGGTCACTTGTGCAAACGTGCAATGCTCCCAAGAATCTATCTTCAAAGTTTCAGGCAGAGTAGTCGTATACGACACCTGTTCTGCCATTATAAGTGCTCACAACTAAGGCCCCTGAGACACGGACCCCAAAATGGATAAAAATTGGAAACACTAGTTTTACCGTTGCATGCTATGGCAGAAATTCACTTTATATGACAGAGTAGCGGTCGCTTTTTATACACTAAAAATGATTTTTACTTATAATGACGATTTCATCTTTTACAGCTCGTCAAAGCCGGCCTAAAAACGCGCCGTTTTCCAGAAAACTTCGTAAGATCAAATATTTTTATGTAGAAGTTTCGACGTAAGGTTCCCAGCGTACTAGGCATCAGAGATACTTTTATAAGGACAACGAGAGTCTGACTAGTCGTCTTTGAAAAATTATTTTTTTATCTTCTGCCTCTGGGGGATGAAATAGTGACTACAGCGGTAGAATTTACTCTAAGGTTGCTCGTCAAGTGAGCTTGGACTGAAGATCGCTAAATGTAATTCAGTTTTGTCAACATGTATCCCGAGTACAGCGTTACGTCGATGTTTACGCTCAAGTACTTTTCAACTTGTAGTAAACTGCCAAAATATATCAAGCTTCGAAGGACCGTGCCTCCAATCCGCACCATAAAGTTTTTTCCATACAGGAACTGTCCCTGTGTAGGTGTAGATTTTCTTTTACAGTATGACAATTCCCTATGTACACACTCTATAAACACAAAATTTTAGAGCAACACGGGCGATACTGTGGTATTGAGATCGTTAAAGACATAAAAATCCAAACTTTCGGGATTTTTTTTTGTTTTTTCGACCAGCGCCGCCATATCGGTCGTCAACCATGATTACATACGTTGTTACGAAGTGAATAGCATGTGCTTTATACACAATAAATTTTAAGGATCTTACTTTCCCTTAGCGGAAATAATGGCCAAATTGATTTCCCGGTCATCCATTTGAAAAGAAAATTTTGGTCCCCCAAAAACTTTTGAATATTTTTTCAAGTTTGCAATAGGCCTCAACCCTGGCATTACCGTTGCCGTATAGCAAGACCGTTACCTTTGCTAAAACGGCCAAAAGTTTTGATTCCAAGGCCTGCTGAAAAAAGCTACACGGAATTGATTTTTGTCCCAATATTTTTGGCGCACCCTGTAGTTATCGAGTCAGGCCTGGGGTACCTTGAAGCTCAGAGCCCGGCCTGATTGAAGTTAGCCATATCCACGATACACAATTTTAGTTGCTCATGATTCTCAAAGGCACTGCAAGTTTGTGATGCAAGAGGAAGTGGGCATAATAACTCAGATAGAAACAGTAGTAATCAGATTGTTAAATAAAATTGTTTTTGGAACAATGTTTTATAACTATCTGAGGTAAAACAAAGAAAATTTCACCCAAGAACTCGGAAAAATGACCGAGTTTTCAAAATCATTCCAAAAATTTTCAAAGTTTTAGCGGTTTCGGCATGAAAATAATTTTTCAAAACTTTGGGAAGGCATGGAGACGTCAATTTAAAATATATTTTTTTGAAATTCAGTCGGTTGAAAATGGCGGGTCTCTGCTCCAGAAAAATCTAAATTTTAGAAAAATCGGCGCAGTCTCCGCGGAGAAACTCAAAGAAACAACTTGTCAGTTTCGAGTGGCCCACCCTGTAGATGGGTCTCTACTAATCCGTCGCGACTCTCTCGCTTCGAAAAGTGTTTTGGGTGTTCTCTCGCTTTCTCTTTCGTTTATTTTATTTATTTTTCGTTGATGAAACAGGCCCCTGCACGTCAAACTGAGGAGTCCGGTGACCGGAGTAGACACTTCGCTATCGGTTTTTTACACTTCGTCTATTTCGCAGAGAAAGAGAAAAAAATGACACGTAAAAACGTACTCTCTCGCCACAAAAATTCCCCATTTCTCCCCCGACAAAACGTTTTTTCGCGTCTTTTTTTGGCAAATTGCCAATCCATTCACCGGACTGTTTTAGCTTATCTCAGTTTGACGTGCCCTGCTCCCTGACAGGAATTAATGTTCTTAATTTTTGTGCCTTTTTGAGACCAATTTCGTCAACTGAAAATTCATTCAAAAGAAGGTTGATATCTAAAATCTTTTCGTAAATCGATAGTGTGTGGACGAAACGTCTACTACGGTTCAGGAGGCATGCTGCAGTGAAGTTTCAAGGCTTTTCTGAGCGTCGTACAGCCAGTACGTTTATGCGCTGCGACAGTCTTGGAATTGCGATAGTTCTGGTCCTCTAAAATGCTGGAACAGCATACATGTAAAGTTTGTGCCAAGTATTTGAAAAAAAGTTATTATAATTGGATGTGTAAAGTACGAAACAAACTTGTGAAATACTTCTTACCCAAAATACGCCCATTGAATGTATAAGTAAGGTTGCAAAATACAATTGACATTTGAAGACTGACTTAGTGTAAAAACGGTGAAAATTGTATAAATATGAAATTGGTTTGAATTGTTAATTCAGTTCCTACGGTTTTCACGCGCTGTACGTAAGACTAAATTTATATTTTTAAGGTGCTTTCATACGGTGGCTGTATTTTAAAATGTAGGCGTATTTCCAATTGCTTTTTTGCCAAGTTCTTCTCACAAAGGTCACGTGGATTCTCCGGTTTTTACATTATTGCGGCATTTATATTCCGGAATGGCCACAGTGTTGTTTATATAATATTTATAAAAAGTAGGCCAGAAAAAACGTGAACCGGCCCTAAGTTTAGCCTGAGCATAGCTGACCGGGATTTAGCGGGGGTTCAGCAAAGCTTGTCCAGGCTTGGCAAAGCGCCCGGACCTTTGCGGAGTCTGTTTGAAGGCTTGGAATAAGCCTGGCGAAGACTGACGATGTGACTGTTTTCTATATCTTTTGTCATAAGCTTAACCTGGGTCATGACTTCATTGATCGTGTTGTTTATCATCCTTAGTTTGCCGACGCTCCGCTGAGCATCTAACGATAGAAAAAGGTGTTTCCTAAAGCTCGCAGACTGTGTTACAATCATTTGTTTTTAGTGTAGCTTTAGAGCCAGTTATCCATTTTTGTAAATTGCATGTCAAATTGAAATATACCACTGAGTTCAAAATTTTCACCCAAACGGTCTTTACACTAATTTGTGTCTTCGGGGACCATTAAACACTTCAATTCGGTAAACAGAAACAGCAAATCAAAGAACGATTTTTAAATGTAAAATCCGGTATTTCGTATAGCCCTTAGGTCGAAAATATTAAACCGTATTTGGCTAGGAAATGAGGGCCACACGGATCAGTTGGATATACATTACATTTATTTGTATTATTGACAGGAAACAGTCGACTAATTGTGAAATAATAGTCAAAACAAGCACGCAACTGTTTACTGCTCCACGTTGTATCGCTGTATTAGGGGCGGCCTTTACAGTTGGCACGTTGTCTACGGAAGTTTCAATCTGTTTTCTTTTCAGATCCTTTGTCATTAATGGACTTTGACGTGTTCTTCGACTCTTTCAATGATATCTTTGGCATCCTGCTTCCAATGTATGTCATCTTTCTGGTCATAAAAAAGACGCCAAATAAAAATGTCAAAGTTTATTCGAGAATGCTGATAGCCAGCTGTATTTTGGACATTGGCTATACTTTAACAAGCATATACTCTATGTTGGTAAGCCGTTTTTTTGCAAAAACAGATCATCAACTTTTTTTTTAGACCCTAGTTTATGTTGACCGCAAGGTATATGACGTCATTCGCAACCCGCTCCTCGCTAACAGCCCTGCGGCTGCAACGTTTGCCTTCGAAGTGCAGATGTACTTTATTTTCCTCTCGGTGATTGTCATCCCCATCCAATACATGTATCGATACAAAGTTGTAACCTCTCCGACAACTTCTCTTTCCGTAGTCCTGTGGCCATTACTGATCTCAGCGACATATCTGGCGATTCATATGTCCTTCTTGCCATACACTTTTCAAGTTCCCTCAGAAAAATACGATAAAATTTTGGAAGATGGAGGAGCAGGGAAGTACGTTGGAGTTCCGTATTTTGTCGGTGACGCGGTAAGTTGTTAGTCGTATATATTGAACAAGTACCTTTGCTATTTGTTCAACAAGTGCTTAACGCTTTTTGAAAACTATTGAAATGATTTAGGATGTAATGAAGTGGCTGAATTTGCACTTGCTAGATTGTGTTATGATGATCACCGTTTCTTACGCCGTAACCTATATTTATTATCGTAAGACGCAAAAGTACCTACGCCGATATGAAAAGAGTGTTTCACCGTCGACATTGAAGGCTCAAAGACAAGTCGGAATGGTGCTGGCGTTGCAAGTAAGTAAAAAAATACATTATGAAGGATACAGGAACAAAGATAGGCGAAATTTGAGCTTTATATACCTAAACATGCCCTTATGTCTTTGTAAATAAAGTATAGTTGTTCTATGGAACTATTTACAGGCCATCTACCCCTTAATCGTCTTGGGCGTTCCGTCTTTGATCGGAAATTTGGCCCCAATCCTTGGTCTAAACTCTACTGCTCTCGGGAATGTCCTGATTTGCACCGTCCACACAACACCCGTCCTCAACGCTTTAGCTGTTATCGTCCTCGTCCCAGCATACAGACGAGCTACAGTCTCAATTCTCCGAGGAATCCTTCTTTGTCGTCCCAGCGAGTTCAAAAGATCAGCTACAGTTCACGCATCTTCCTACACAGATACGCATCGGCAAAGTACAATTGCTATTTGAAGAGTGTAACAAATTTTTTCGCTTATATCTCTATTTTTGTGTAACAGAAATCTCAATGATCAAGATGCACTTATTTAAAATGAACCTCGTAACGTCGTCTTAGCGTTTTTTTTTGAAAAAAATTATGACTAATAGTTAGCTTGAGCCTGTTGAACATTCGACACAAACTAAGGTCTTGAAGCTCGTCTTGCTTGGAAATCAGTCTTATTATAAATAGTTGTGACTTTTATGACATTTTTGGGATCATCCTTCCCGTGTATCATATCGTTCTAATTTTGAAGCGGACTCCAAACAAAAATGTCAAGGGCTGCTCGAGAATGCTGCTAACTGTATTATAGATGCATTTTTAATTTTACACGCTGACAAGTATCCCCAGTATACTCGTAGGTTTAATAGAAGAAATTTGCGCTTTTATCTTTGCGCCGAATGATTTGTACGCCGAAAAATTTGGCACATACAATCTACGGCCGCTACAAATTTCGATCTCTATGCAAAGTCAAGCATGAGAGAATACTGCTCCAAAGCCATTCTTTGTTATTAAGTTCCACATTTTTTATTTGGAATTATTTTTATTTCCAATAAAAAGATGTGCCCGGGAAATCGTATTCCGTCTTGCGAGAAGTGTCAAGAGAGTCCACAACATTTCAATGTCGTGTAAACAGCCAAAGAAATAGCCGTTGGGCTGGCGATGAGGCTATCCTACGGGGAAACATTGGAAAATCAACAGAAAAGATGTTATTCCACGTAGTCGTATCTTGGACTCTGAGTGTGACGTGTGTACATTAATCTTACAAGAGAATTTTCAAATCGTGGTACAAAGACTTTCTTAAAATTGAATTTAAGCACACTTGTGACGTCCAGCTCCTTAACACGGTCATGCTTAGTGCTCGCCCTCCACATATCTGAGAAAATATAATACAAATTGTGACAACTTGTAGCCGTCGTCATCTATGTGCATAACAGTATGTAAGTAACCGACAGTTCGACTACATTCATAGGGCAAAAACAAACAACTTGCCGCATTTTTGCCATAACAATATTCTTGTGTCGGATTTGGAAACACCCCGCATGCTATGGCAGAAGATTGCTAGGAAAACTGTGACAGGAGTGTAATTGTAAACAATACCCGGTCAACCTAAAACAGCTGCTTGGTATAAACGTTTACTGGTTTTTATTACTGCTATTGACAGGCACATAACCAGTTATGGTTTCTCAATGTTGAACCAATGGATCTCGTGCTGTTGATTGATATTTTTAACGATGTTTTTGGAATTACCCTGCCGGTGTTTGCCATCATTTTGGTTCTCCGAAGAACACCAAGTCAGCATGTCAGAGTTTATTCGAGGATGCTGATAGCCAGCTGCATTTTGGACATAATTTACACAATAACCAATATTGTCTCTATGATTGTAAGTTGTTTATTTATATTAACATTGAACGACCAAAATATCTGAAATTTAGACGTTAATCTTTGCTGAGCGAAAAGTCTTTTTCATCATCCGGAACCAATACCTCTGGCCCTACCATTTGGCTTGGACATGTGCCCTTCTGGCCCATCTTTACTGCATTTTTGTCTCGATTATTTTAATTCCCATTCAATTTATGTATCGGTACAAAGTTGTGACTTCCACCACTACATCTTACACAGTTCTGGCCCTTCTTTATTACCGCCATCTATGTGGCAATGCATCATATTCTACTGCCATTTACGTTTCAAACCACTGCTAAAAAATACGACGAAGTATTGGAAAATCAAGGATTTGGAATGTATAAAGACTACCGTTACTATGTTTCGGACACGGTACGATGTTTTTGAGTATATTTTTTAATTTAATAATAATACAGGAAGCAGAAGAATGGCTTCGAATACACCTTCTAAATAGCGTGTTCATAATCACGACCGCCTACATTGTTACATATGTTTACTACCGTAAAACGCAAAAGTATTTACAAAGATATGAAGCAAACGTGCGACCAGCCACACTGAAGGCTCAGAAACAGGTCGGGATGATCTTGGCCCTACAGGCAAGTGTCAGCAAAGAATTTATTTAAAAGCAACGAGGGTTGATTTAGGCCCTTTATCCAATGATTGTACTGGGTATTCCAATCATAATTGGAAATCTTGTCCCGATCATTGGAATAAATTCCTCGACACTTGGCAATGTCTTGATCTCCATTGTCCATACAACTCCCATTCTCAACGCGGTTTCAATTATCATCTTTGTTCCGTCATATCGAAGGGCAACGGTGGCATGTTTTCAAGCCGTCTACAAGTGCAAACTAGATGAATGCAAAAGTAATTCGGTATATAACGTATCCGATAAGGACGTGCATCCACGGAGCACAACCATGGGAACTACTGCTTGAACAGCTCAACTCTCCGAGAGTAACTGATTTTCCATGCTTGAATAAAAGTTTTCTAATTGTGTCATAGAGGCATTTGGCAGTGTATTACGCACAAGTTATGAAAAAAAGTACTGCAGAAAAGTTGCACAATAAAAATTCTGCACTATCATTTTATTTCTGCCAAAGATTTCGCAACCCTCTTTTCGGCTGATCGCAAGGAATATCAGTCTAATTTTTTTATCTTTCCCAATTTCGCGGCGTTTTTGTCATGGTGAAACAAAACGAAGAGCTTTATGAAATCGAGAAGATCCTCGAACATAGTGTGGAGCCAGAAGGAGTTTTATATAGGATCAAATGGAAGGGCTACAGTTTGAAAGAATCCACATGGGAGCCAGAAAGGAGTCTGACGGTAAGGATAAATTTTTCGCCCATGAAATCGGTATGCAAAACTAAAACATGCCCCGACTTCCACACGATTTTTTTATTTTTTTGTATGATGCAATTTTATACTAACAATAAACTGAGTAATTTTAGTCATGCCCAAAGATTTTGGCTGCTTATAAGAAGAAGAATAAATTGGATGGAGAAAGGACCATTAAGAAAACAAGAAGGCCAAAAAGAAAGCCAGTGACACAGAACGAACCGAAGGAACCCATCGATGAAAACGCCCCCAAGCCATTCAAAGAGCGATGCAAAGCCGTGATGGCGAATTTGAGCGCCCTAAACCAGGAAATGTTAAGAGATTTGCTTGGAGATCAGGCAGATTATTTGTTGGAACAAGGACCAGTGGAAAATTTTGAGAGTGAAAATTCGAGTGATTCCACGGAGACCTACGAAAATCGAACATCTTCAAGTGGTAGTTGAAAATTTGCTTTTACAAAAAAAGCTTCAATGTGAAAATTCCCCTGCGCAAACTAGGAACCATACATATGAGTTGGAAAATTTCATCTAAAGTTGTGTTAAAATCTGAGGGTCGAATTTGAAGCAATTATGATTGATAGTTTATAGGACGTTTATTTTAAAAGTTGTAATATTGTTTGTAATAACCCTTCCTGGTTGCTGTTTCTCGTTACCTTATAATAAACTGGTTACTGATGGTGAAATTATTATTCTAGTAGGAGTAATCTTTTGTCATATATGAAAATATTATCGATGTTTTGTTTAGTTCTGGAATGTCGCCCGCATGATTGTTTGACCCGCTCGTCTCGGTCTCAGTGATCAGCGAACCCGTGCCCTGAGGCGATACATCCTCACGCGACTCGAGTCATCCCTATCCGTCTTCCTTGCAGGTACTTTTTACAGCGCGTGTGTCATGTCCTTCCTAATTTTATGGTTCAAATCGCTCGTTTAGTCGCTTAATCGCCCGCTATAAGATAATTTTTGTTTTAACGACAGACGCAATTAGACGATGCAATCGTTTAACCAAACGTTTTTTTCCGCAGGCTGTTCGCAGCCCTCCATTTGACCGCAACTAAGGCGCTTTCCGACAACGACTTTATAATACGACAACTACAAAAGGGCTTCGGCGGTTTCCAAAGCGCTGCAAAAAAAAGAGTGGCGCAGTAAACCGGCGTTTGATTCAGTTGACGGTCATGACCGTTTTTTCCCACTCCCCGTCACAGCGAGCGGCTCATCCGCACACTGTAAAACACACAGTCAGAAGCTCACCGCAAACGCGTTCGATGATTGTTACGCGGGCGGCGAGCCGGCCGGCTATGGGAAAGCCGCCCTCACGGAGTCGGCGCTGACTTCTGGAGCCGGAGAAGAAGTAAACAGCGAACAGTAAAAAAGGGGAGCACGCGGGGCAGCTCATTGTCGCGTAACCGCCAAAACAACGCGAAAGAATGCCTTCGGGGCATCCTTTCTCTTCCAGATCACTGCTCGAGATTCACCGACCTTCACCTTGCCCTCCAACATGACCTCTTTTGTTGTTTCGTGGATGGGTTGCGGAAGGTCGGGGGGATTGGTGACACAAGGTCTGGAAGGGTTACGGACGAGCTGAGATTCTTTTTTTTGGGAGAGATAGACTCTCGGTGGAGCTGCTTGAACCCGCCTTCCGATAATGACTCGGGTTTTGGAGACATTTTCGAGATCAACAAAAGGAGGGAGGCGGATTAAAGCATGTTTTATTGTTCTTGGACTCGGTTTGTCAACCTTGAGAAACGCTGAGTGTTTGGGAAGGGGGAGAAGGGAAAGTTTATTGTTAACGCGGTCGTTCCTTCAACTCGCGCTCCGTGTTCGTCGATGGTCACGGCTGCGCACGGACGTGGGGCTTGTGTGTTCTCCTTAACCCCTGAAGATTGTGTTCTTTCGCTCCTTTCTGTTTTTCGCCCTCGGCCAAGGACATTCAGCGCGTTTCCCTTTCGAAAGGCGCTTCTTACCTCTCCACCAACAACACCTCCGAGACTCTTCCGAACATAAATCCCCACAGCGAAAAAACACCGCCGAAAAAAGTGGATCTGCGGATGATGTACGTGAGACGAACACGTCGTTTGGTGGTAAGCAGTTAATCATCGCTCGACCTGCCCCCTTCGCCCTCTTCCCTTCCTTCTTTCTTGGGTCCCCACCGAGCTGGGGATCTACTGGATCCGGAGAGCACAATGACAATAATCCCACACGTTTTCTCCTCTCATTGAGGGGTTTGTTTCATGGGTTTTTTTCACTTTCACTATTACGATTCTCTCGTCTCCGTGATCCCCTTTCCTGACGTATTTAAGGACGGCGGAAGTGGCACCCGCAATCTTTCGCGAACACCAACTTCTTTGCTCCTTTTTTCTTTATGAAAGGACCGTCTGCAGGGGGACAACTCTTATTGTTTGATTAATTAATTAAACTGCTGTTGGAACCCGTTTCTTCTTTTGTATTTCCCCTTTCTGGGAATCAGATGTGCGCTTCTGTAGGCGATGACCTTGTATTATCCGCTCGCACAGTATTTCCCATACGGTTCTTGTTTTTTCATCGGTTCCTTACAGTTTTCCGGCCCAAGCCCAAATTTCTCGTTATGATCTCCTAATTCCCCAACGTTATCGACTGATTTTATAATATTATTTGTTTGAGCCCCCTGAGGGGAAAAAAGGGATCCTATTGCGGGTAATAAGTTTTGGTATTATCGTCTGGAGAGTTAATTGACGTTGCGTGTATAATTGTCATATTCCGGACGTGATTCGCCCGTCGTTTTTCCCCTCCATTTCCCACCACCCCAATTTGCAGAGCCCCGACCATGACCATTCATCTGCTGGGTGGCCTGCTGCTCTCGTTCTCTTGTGTTTATGCCAACATCGCCACCTACAAGAACGTGTCCTATCCGCAGATGCCGGGCCTCGAGCCCATGTCCACCGACAAGGTCCCGCACTTCACGGTGATCGAGACGGTGTCGAGGACGCACGCGAGAGAGAAACGGCAGGTCATCGCAGGGCCTCAGTACGAGTGGCAGACCAATAATATCCCGTTCCAGATATGGGGTGGGGACGGTAAGTGATTCTCTTACTTTTTTGGAGAAAAGTGAAGGGAGAGACTTTCCGGCGACTGCCCGGAAGGTCGCCGGAAAGTAGTACTAGGTGGGCCAAAAGTCTTGATTTTTTGCATGGTACATCAAATTCCCCAAATATATTTACGTTACCGACAACTCTTTTTTTATGATTATATAAAATATATATTGTTTTCGCTGCTCCAAAAACTCTCTTTTTTCCCTTCGGGTCATATAAACTATTACTTTGCGCAAGTTTTTTCGTCGCAATCCCATCAATGTTAGCGTGTTATGTCATTAATGCCGCGCTCTGCGGGATTTCTCGGTTCCGCATCCGAAGGAAAAACACGCAATATACTTTACTATAATATAAAAGAAAAATTACTAATGCATAACATTATTACGCGTTTTGCAGAAAAAAGGAGATCTTCAGTCTGAAAATTGGAGAACATTCGACATTTTTTTGCGAATATGCATAAGGATTTTAGCTTTATTTTTACCATAGAATTTCTGAAAAAGCTCAATTTTCTGTCTGCCGCTCCCCTAATTTCACGTTTTCCGCATTGGCAGAGATCTTTGAATGTCTGCTTCATGGCTCGAAAACGCCAGCTAAAATTATCAGAATTCATGTGTATACGAAGCAATGCACTAGCTACTGTGAAGTGGCTACAAGCCTCGAGCTTGCAACATTTTTTTAAAACGCAAAACAATTCTAAAAAATAAATATTTCAGCAAATTTCCAATCACTGATCCGTCGGGGGATTCGGATGTGGGAAGAGTCGACGTGTCTCAGGTTCCGTGAGAATCTGCAGGCTCGAGACGCGATTCGCTACGTACTCGAGCGAGGCGACAGTTGCTTCACCGAGTTTATTGGTCGGAATGGTGGCTTTCAAGATATTATTATTGGCTCCGAATGTGCCGAAGTAAGTCATCTCTGCTCTTGAAATAATTCATAATGGTTGCAAACTCTACATCACTGTTGTAGGAATACGTAGTAGCGCACGAAACCGGACATGCTCTCGGCTTTTGGCACACTCATCAACGGCCCGACAGAGAAAAGCATATCAGTATTAATTGGAGGAATGTAATGGAAGAGGCGACAGCCTCGTTCATGCCCTTTAGAAGCATGCTGCAGGCATTCGGAATCAGACAAGTCTCCAATCGTCGGCTACCTTATGACTATGGAAGTTTGATGCATTATCATGCGGTAGCGCATGCTGTGAAAGTGTCTGATTTCACGATTGTTCCCAAAGAGTTAAAGTATGTGACGACGATGGGCACTGAACGAATGGCCTTTTTGGATGCCAAAGTCATCAACGATATTTATTGTCCAAGTAGGTCCATTTTCTGAACACCGTACTTTGCCTACCGTCTGGCAAAATTAGCAACCCATATTTTTAATCCTTATTTGTATATAATTTGACAATTTCTTGTCTCCTAAAACGAAAGCAAAATGTATCACTTTTTAAAATTTATTCTTCAGACATGTGTGCCGGTCGATCTCAACTCCGCTGTTCGTCCGGCGGCTATCCGGACCCCAACAACTGCAACGTCTGCCGTTGCCCTGAAGGTCTTGGTGGGCCAGAATGCAATCAACTCCAGCCATCACGTAAGTCCGTCTTTCGTATTTCTCAGCCCGAAAACTGTGCTTACTTTCATACACTTCGTATCGGAAATCTTTAGCATGTGGAGGCGAACTTGTGGCCACAGATCAATGGCAAACTCTCCGGAGTCCTCCGGGAAAGGATCTTGATTGCTACTGGAGGATAACTGTAGGTTCTCTGATAGCAATATGAAAGATATTAAACTTTTAGGCCCCCGAAGGAACAAAGGTTCGTTTCCGTTTGTCTGATGGAGAGTTCCCATGTTCATATGGTTGCCAATCGTATGTTGAGATCAAACACAAACTGGATGTGAGGTTAACTGGATTCAGAAGGTAAGGATTGTAAAATACGATTATTCCAGCCTCTTTTTTGAGAAGCTTTGGCTTTAATTCGGCTCTTCTAACATTTACAAATCTAATTTTCTGGTCGTATTTTTTTAATTTTACTTATTTTAGCTGTTGTTATCGTCCCAAAGAAGATACATTATCCGAAAACAACCAAGTCTTCGTCATCTACCACCCCAACGGCCGCACTGCCCGATTCTCCCTTCGCTTTATCCGCCAGTCCTAACGAGTTCCACCATTCTTTTCTTTCGTTTACTGCGATCTCTACCGTAGCCCGGTGTTTTTCCCTTTTTGTAAATAGCATTGTTTTCATCGCTTTCTCTGCACTGATCGGGTGCTTTGAACGGGTTCTCTTTCCTAAACTTCTAATTAAGCCTCTGCCAACGAGAATAAACGTTTTATTGTTGAGATTCAATGACTAGTGGGTGGTGATTTGTACGAGAAATAGCTTTAGCAATAACTTAACGATCGCCTGTAGCGGCCCGATCCAAGCAGTTCCGTATCAAGATCATTCGAATTGAGAATACATTGAGTTTCGAGCCCATCAACGGCATCCATGTAAACTTTTCTTGAGGCAAAATACGGACAATCTTTCCCTAAAAAACACAATTTTCATACATTAAAAAGCTGACTTGATGATGTGATGAATTAAAAAAGTTAAAACATCAACAAACGCTTAGTGATATTTGTAAATAAAAACATCATAAAATGAGGTGTCATTGAACAGACGCTTCTCCATGTGAAAAACAAATTCGATAATTTGATTAGAACATTGGTCAGTCAAATTATATCAACTTACAGCATTTCCCGAACAGAAAATTGTATCCTTGTTGACAAGCGCATCTTCCGACAGTGTCATTCTTTTTGCAGTAGCTTGTCGCGCAAGCCCTTGTGCATTGCTCATCAATTAGGCATCCTGTTTCGTTTGGTCGGAGTACTAAAAGTTTTTCTTATGTCTTGAAAAAGTTAGGTGCACCAAAAAACAAAAGTTTTCAAAAGCTAGACTATCTTCAAATTTTGCCTAAAAATCAAGCTCAGGCCGACGCCAAGACCTCAAAATCTTAGCTCACGCTTTGCATTGGCAACTAACATGCTCAAGATATTATACTTGGCGACGAGAGAATGGGCGAAATTGGGGGTGGCCAGAGAAAAAAAAAGATTTTTTTTTTGCATAAAGGTGTTAGCTAAATCTGTTATGGAAGAAAACTTTGCTATGTCTTGCATCAAAATCCAAGCCTTCCCTCCATTCTGGCTATAACTTTGAAATGGTTGACGTACCATGCAAACAGCATCCTTTTTTGTTCTGTGACGCTTGGAAGCAACTGAGGCCATTCGGGCAATCAATCGTTGTGTCGCATTCTGAAAAATACGGATCAGTTTTATCAAGCTTATTTGCTGTTGTACTTATGTATATTAATAGTTCAAAACGGGCGTCATTAATTTATTGTTAGGATATAGAAAACCACGAATGATTTTCCTTTCTGTGCCCTTGATTAAAAGTCATGTTTTTCTTAGGTTAACCACGCTAATCTTTTAAAAATGAACTTTTATAAACCCCAATGATGACGCAAAGCTAAGTAAACGTCCCGTTCTCTCCCTAAACCCAACAAATCTAAACAAATCCACGTTGCTTCTCCTTTGACTGACCATACAAACAGTTCTCCTTGATCAGATTCTGCACCGAAGAGTTGATATACCACACACTCCACGCCGTCCTGCATATCAGATACAGAGCAATTACTCGTCGCATTATTTAAATACCGCGTCCTTTTGCGCTCTGCACTCTATGGAAGACAAACATCTTTCCCCCGAGGACATGACCTGCTCTGTTTGTCGAATCAAGGATACGTCATCGAACAAGGTTATTACAAGTTTATTAAAACAATGCGAGATGTATTCAAATTATTGCAGGAAACCGGTTTTGGCAGAGAGACACGGGGAATTCACATGACATGACAAGATATTACAACTACTGACAAAAATCTTACAAGACTACTTATTATTTTTTATTACTTTTTGGTATGCCTAAATTACAAGAGCATTAAAGCCGGGAAAGAAAGCGATTATTAGATACCCTCTAGTCAGTTGACCTAAAATACCCGTTTTTTTGGTCTAATCGCTAAAATACGATGACTATGATCCTTTGAAAGCAAAATCGGATTGCTAATGAAGCTGAGCTCGAGACTGATGACTACAGTGGGGACTTGTAAATGTTTAGAGAATACAGTAAAAAGAGTGGTAAAGAGAAAGACATCATATGGCATATGATGATGTTATAAAAAGGGAAGTGCGAGATGTACAAGTCATCAAGGGCCTTTGTAGACGAAGAACTAAAGACTTGGTGATAAATAGTACCATGCCTTTAGAGCACTTCCCATAACAACTCAGCTAATTTCACACACAATGAGAGGCATTAGGTCACCTATACTTGGTGACCATGCTCAACAAACTCGTCTTTGTGACCCATTTCGTCGTCAGTCATGTGCGAGTGGTCCATCGTGTCCGTTGACATGGTCCGTTGAAGCCGATCCGACGCCAGGCTGGATAAAATTGATTTTGTTGAAGATCTCAGCGATGATCCTGACTGAAATCCTGAGCTGGATCCCACTGTCTTATTGACGATCAATAATTTTGGATCAGTCAGATCGGTCTTTTTGGCTTGAATGTTGGTCGATTCAGCAAACGCCAACACTCGATGACTTGTTACAAACTCATCAACAGGAACGACATCACGGCCGTATCTGCATTTAGGGCCAACTGTTTCGTCCATTGAAGAGCTTAGCAGTGTAGAAAGAGTGTATACTCGAATGTATTGGAGCACACTCAGTGTGAGATTGAACAAAATGGAGATGATCCCTAAAATAATGTAACTATAGACCGGTCCCAAGGAAAAGACCTACCTGCTGACAAACTCAAGTAGAAAGAAGTTCCAAAAGCCGTCGACAAAAACACCGTGCCCGCATCTTTCCCCATAAAGGGAATATTCAAAGGTTCGGGCGTCATGATGGCGTAGATAATGTCCCCAATCAACACCGCGATTCCACACAAAATCCCGACCTTGGAGTAGTGATGGGGCAGGAAGAGCAACAGAACCGTCTGCCACACCCACAATGCAAAGCCGAACCAGATAAGGGCTCCGGCGTAATGGCCAGCTTGTCGATATTTCATCCCAAAATCAAAAGAGTCCTCGCCGATCCGGAAATATTCGAGGACCTTGAGGACTGGGTAGGGAAGACCCTCTTCGTAGGCGGCTCGCGCTTCTGTTACCATATCTTTGACTCCGTTCAGCGTGAACTTTTCATTGATGTATAATTGGGCGTCCGCTGCGATCGGCTTTAGAGAATTGTCCTCCAAAAGTGAGGCGCCTGAAAATACTGCTATTTTTTGATTTTTTAATATTCTTAGCTGTCAAAAAAGCAAATGGAGATTTCTCAACTTTCTCTCGCTTACATCTCATAGTAATATTGATGGACTTCAGCCCCACTCTCAGCCCAATCTTGGCCTCATGCCGTTGCGTTGAGAACGCCTTCAATTGTGATACCATAACTGTGTCCCCAACACTCCAGTAAGGCAGTCGAAGAGAGGCTAAAAATCAAATGAACGTATTTTAAACTCCAATAAATCAACGCCTCATAACGCCGCGGTTTTACACTTGCGCTGTAAAGTATGATAGTTCACGTGAGTCCGGAAACAATTTATAAAAATCTCACCGATTATCAGAATGCCGACCAGCAATTGGATGGTGATGGTGACGAAGGAAATGACGCGCTTCTCCCGAACACCCGGCAAGATCATCAGGAAGGAAATGTAGGGCAAAACAAATAGCAGAAATATGATGACTGTCTGAAAAATTTTAAACCTTTGTTTAAAGCTCAATCAATGTTTTTGAGCAGTTTTTGGGGGTTATTTCCAAACATAGGTTACTGATATTGCAGTAGGAAAGAGATGGGTATTGCAGAAAAACAAAACTGAATTTTGGCACAAAGGTTATTTAGAGGAAATAGAAAGCATAATAAAAAGGTTTTTGAGAAGAAAAGATTACGAAAATTACGGTAAAATGTCGCCATTGAACTCACCCTAACATTGATGCATGGATGTGTGAGCGTCCCAAAATTGGATGGCCCAAAGTCGTCGCGGAAAGCATCGAACCAGCCGATCATTCCTGGCACCTGAACGGTGTAGTCAAACTCTGTTGAGTCGTTCATTTCGCGAAGTTAGAGTGTTACACGAATTCAAAGAAATTTAAATTGTCCATGACTGATTCTGACCATGAATCATGGCCAAAAGAGTCATTTAAGGGCCAAAGAAGTGGATAAAATGAGGTAGTGAGGATTTAGAAGAGAGTGACAGAGATTTTAAAAAATTTTTAGACATTACAGACTCAGACTTTATGATTCAAAAAAAGTTTGCTCAATTTTCAGAGAATTTGGAAAATAACGCGTGCTCAGCAAACAGCGGCCGAAACCGCGACCGTTCCCAGACAGAATCAAAATTCGAGGCGCTCCAGACGAGCGGCAGCAAATAATTCCCCACATCAACGCCCAAATCACATAATAAGCAGCATTCCGCGGGCCTTCCCGCCGTTCACCTCCCGCACGATGACTATTTGGAAAAGAACGTTCGGCTCACGTCTTCGCCTAAACCGCCCGTCAGCTCCCATTCTTCGCGGCCCAATCCTTCGTGTAATTCCTTAATCAAAGGAGGAGACCCAAAACTCTTTTTGCGCTTGTTTATAAGACAAACAACGGCCAACCTTTAAACCCACTCTCAGATTACCCGTGCGGCCCCGGCTGCCCCGACTTTAAAACGTTGACGAAATTCGAGCGAAAATTTAAAGAATTTCGAAAAAACTTTAAAACATTCAACACTTTAATTGAGGTTTCCAACTCTGCGCAAGAATTGATGGAAACGGTTTTGCCAAGTAAAGAGAAACGTAAAGAAGTCGGGGAATTACAGTAAAAGTCATAAACAAGGGCGAAGAAGGGCCGTTATGAAGAAGTTGGCGTCGCGGAGGTAAAAATAGTAGACTTGGCCATAAAATTGAACGATGACAAATTGACTTTTTAAGGTTCAGGAATGCGAACTTTACACTTGAAGAGTGTTGTTTTAGCAAAATGCTTTCAAAAAATAAAAAATCACGCACAGGAAAAGATACAATACAGCCTGCAGTTAAATTATAAATTAGGTCAGGGATTGAAAGCGCCACTTTTTACAACTCCTGTTACAATTTAAATTCTTCTACAGCAAAATCTTTCCAAAGCTTATCCAACCTCTGAAGAGTAAGATAAACTTGACCATCACCTCGCTTCAGCTCCCTCATAGATCAAAATCTTCTGCAAAACCCCTTTTCCTTTTCAATTTCAAAACGAAAGTGATCCTGGTTTCGCTTGAACCAGTGGATGTCCAACGAAAACGACGACGAAACTCCAGGAAGGCGTTTTTTAAGGTCAAGGTAGCCGAAATCAGATAAAATGGGATCTAAACACGAAAGGATCTTCTTCTTCTTCTTCCGTCAACAAATTCCGTTGGAGAAATTGCCGACGGTCTGCAGGAATTACAACGATCAATTTGAGTGGGGGAAACCTTTGGAAACAGTGCGAAGGCCGTGCAATCTTTTTGTTCTTCCCGAAGTTTACTAAATATCAAAAGGGTGGGGCAGTAATCAATAGGCTTTGGAAAGAGAAGTCTGGTATTCTACAGTAAGACAAAGATATTCTACTGGGGGAAAAACAAAGGAAAGTCAAAGTAAAGACATAGCTCTATTATAATACATATTAAATTTACTCTTTTAGTTTTATAATACTCCTGTTTACACCAAAAAAAATACACTTCCGTTGACCTTTATCAATCAAAAAATCTCCGGGAAATCTATCGAAAGTACTGTGGATTTCGCAAAATTGATATTAAGTCGAAAAAACAGTCATAAACTAAACTTTTAACCCACTGTCTAGTACATTCAATTTCGTCCGTGAAACGTTAAAAAGTACCTATATAAGATACCATGAATATCGGTCATTTCATCGGCAAAAACAAAAACAAATGGGTAAAGAATGGATCGCTAAATGATTACAACTGTTTGACGAAAGAAAAGGTGGGTTTACATCGGAAAGATTAACCGGGAATAAGGGGTCAAGCTGTGAGTCATGGAAAGGTTATAAGTAAAATTAATTTTTATAGGCAAAGATCGTTAAATATCTCGGCCGTACCTGAGAAAATTATCGATTTATACTCAAAGAATTTGACTTTGTGCCAAGTAAAATATGTGTGTGAAATTTGAAGAAACGCTGAGCGTCGCACTTCGAGCACTTCCCTTGACAATGTCATCATCCTTGGTCACACTTTGACCACTCTCCCTAACCGCTACAAAAGTATGTTTACAAAAACTGCTTAGCAAAACGGTGACAAATCCAGTTTGTCAAACTGCAACGCAACTCCAAAGTTCTGCCTCAAAAAAAGTTTGTGGAAATTGGTTTTGAAATTAATTGAGGGGCTTGACCAGAGGGAAGATCTTCTCCCCTGACCTTGACGACCCAACGTTCCCCCCCCCTTTCCTCCATCGTCGCTGGAAACAAAGCGCGTTGCGCAACGGCTGCAGCGTCCTTGTTAAGTAGCCATCCGTGTTTTTTCGAAACCCGTTTAATCCCGCAGGTCTTCTCTCCATCCTCAAGGGTCCATCGATGACTGCGAGGAGTCGAAAAAAACACACGTAAGTTATAAAAATCGGAAAATGAAAGTGAAATTTTATGAACGCCTCTTCATGGAGGTATGTTTTATATGGGGAAAGTAAAGAGTTTTTGACGAATTTTTTTGAAATTCATTTACCATGGAGAAAGAGGGCGAGAAATTCCGGAGATTCCGTTGTTAAACCGCTGTACATTCGAAATCATGTCGTAAACGTTGGGAATTACTATATAAAAAATATTGATGGATGCGTATACATGGTAAAAACATATTTTTTCAGAGCTTGCTGCAGGGTTTTAAACTGCAAAGTCTTGCGAACATCTCACAAGGGAAGTACAGCAAGTGCAACGCTCAAAATTTTTTAAATTTTTTGCTAGGTACGTCTTGACTGGGCAACGTTATTGAAGACTTGCTCAAGATTTTCAGTAGCGGCCATGACATTCAAACTTCTTGGCCGACGAGAGAGTGTGCAAGATGCGGAGAACGGTCCAAAAAAACCATATTTTTTCCAGCCAGAAAAATTAATTTGCGATATAAACAGGCTCGTCAGAAGAAATATGGCTAAAATTTACCTTGCTTAGATTTGAAAATTTGTCGAATAAATCAGCAACTTTTGGGCTGACAACATCGATTTTTGCAATATTTAAAAAATTCTGCAAATTTGTTGCAAAAAAATATTCTATTATATATATATTTGTACCAAGTTCCATTGAAATTCCAACTTCGCACTTCAAGCATTTCCCCTCTAAAATGCAAGCCGTCTACTTACCACCTCCACCACCCCGCTGCTCCAATTACACAGTATAAGATGATATAAACAGTACCAAAATGATATAAACAACATTTGCAGAGCGGCTCCCTGTTTATAAGCCCGTCAACAATAGCCTCAAGGGCCTCTCGAATAAGGTTAATATTGAGTAAATAGTAGCGGAAGGAAGTCAACCCGCCTCCGTTGCGGGAAAAGGCGGCGCCACTTCCCACTGGGCCCACCGAAAAAAACATAATAAAATACTGGTTTGGCGATTCGAATTTGACCTTTGAAATGTGAGGAAACTGTCAAAACACACGTCTCTCTAAGGTGTCTTATTTATTCAAATTGACTTGGGTTTGTAAAGTAAGAAAGTGCAGGGTTTTATGGGTTAATAGAGGCGGCGGAATGGGTTTGATACGAAGCGGTAATTGCGGTGTGGGGAATGGCGTGAATTGCAATGATTTATTTAATTTTTGGTCGACTGTCAGTGAGGTTTTGGGAAGCGAAGTTGAAATTATTCTTACGATAGAAGTTTTTGACGTCGGGCAAACAGAATCAGCTGAGATTTATCTCAAATTCGAATCATTTTTTTTTTCATGACATATGCGGGGTCGACAGCTTGCACTTTTTAGAACTGCCAAGATTTTTTGGTAGGAAATTGTTTAAAAATTCATATTTTTTGCGATTTTCAGTATGCATGTTATATGCTCCATGTGAGATACCAAAAAAATATTTCTTCAACTGAAAAAGATTTCAGAAATTTTTTTTTGACAAACCCTGTTTTTTTGTATGGCCGACTCTCTCCATTTCACTTGGTTTTTTAGAAAAGTTTCAAACAGGTGTGCCTCAAGTGGTATTTCGGAGACTTTGATGCAAGATATATTTTGTAGATCTTTACTATACGGATCATTCAAACTTTTTTCAAAATGAAATCTTTTTTGAACCTTTTTTGAACCCCATTTTGATCGCTGTTGCTCTTTTTTTCAAATTTGTTTTAATCCGTACTATTATCCTCTTGGTTAGCCCATTTTCCCTTGGAAATGTCATAAACTCCATGGCTAATCACCGAACCATCGAAATCAACGGCTTAAATGGTCGTAATCCCTGCCGGAATCCGAAATACGTGAGCGTTTCCTCTTTCCGCACTATTTACCCAACCTCTCACCCAGCCCGATCGCCTCCCAAATTCGGGTTGAGGACAAACATTTACTCAGATCGAATATTAATAGTGCTAATTATTTGCTCGTTTCCTTGGGTATCATCTCCACGCTCTCGTGGTCCTCCTTGAGTGTCGCCGCGTTCTCGTCCAACTGCACCTTGTCCAGCACAACGCCCTTGGTCTCAACCAGCCACAAATAGCTGATGATTAGGTTGATCAGGCCCAGCAGGCAGACCGTAAGATAGGCGCTGGGCGCCCACACCGAGTTGAGGAAGGCCAGGGCGGGAGCGAGGATCGCGCCGATTCTGGCCATGAACGAGCACGATCCCATGGAAGTGGCGCGCATATTCGTGGGCATCGACTCAACGCCACACAGATAACAGGCGTCCCAAGTGTATTCGAGGAACATGGTGCCGATCAAGTTGATGATCAGGATAAAGATACTCTGAAAAGATGAGAAATAAGCATAAGAAATTAGAAAAAAAGTCCTTGAGATGTTTATGACGACACTCAAAGAAAGATGTAAATTTTTGACTACTTTGGATTTAAAAATCTCGGTGCTTCCGCAACCTGCGACACTAAGATTTTGCAATAGTTCAGGGCGTATTTTAAAACTTCTCTTAACGCCATGAAACACCAAAAAACTAACTCACATGTGGAGCAACAATGACTAATCCAGTAAGGGCCAAAAAGCAGATACACACAATCAATTGAGCTCCTTGATGAAGATTTCTCCGACTGAATTTGGGAAATGATGTGTCGAATACAACCAAAACCTAAGAATAAGTAATGAAATTTTCGTATCTTAGGGATAACCTACGATTTTGGACACAGCGATAAGAATGGAAAAGAGGACTTGATTCCAAAACAAATGCCCACTAATGTCCGAACTGTTCAAGTCAATCGCGTAGCCACAAATCGCGGCGGTGAACCACATCACCCATAAGACGACGACGCGTTTGAAGAGGTGGATGTCTTTGAAGAGATCACTGAAAATGAGAGGTTATGGCATAAGTAATTAGTTGGAATTTTAAAATACGGTTTTTTTCTCTTTTCTGGATAGCAAATCATTTTTACGTAAACTTATATGTAGATTAACTAGGAATTCTCCCAAATTTTTGTTATGATTTTTAAACTTCAAGGCCTTGAAGCGACCCTCCTCAATTTTTCAAAGCTCAATGAAAATTTTTTTATGTTTTTTGCCATTTTACCCTTTTATATTTTAGGTCTTGCTCCAATCTTTGCTTACATGATAGACTTTTTATGCACGATCGGCTCGACCTCCGTGTCGACGTTCTTTTTGCCGGCGATTCGAGCGATTTTCCTCTCGCTCTCCTTCATTTTCTCCAACCGTCCCTTATTATGCAGCCATGTGGGGCTTTCGGGGAAGATGAAAATCACGATCAGCAGCGCCGGAAGAGCAGTCACCGCACACGCGATGCTGGCGCTCCGCCAGTCCGGGAACCACCAGCAAATCAGGGTGACCATCAAGCGAGCTGTCCCCTGAAAATGTCGAAATATTTACGATTTAATAGCCAATTGAGGGTTAAAATTGTGTCATATGTTTTGCGATCGTACCCAATTAAAGAAGGCCCTTAGGGCCATTCTTTGCTCCGGCAACAACATCTCCATCACGAATGTGCAGACCACCACCAAAGTGCCTCCGATTGAGAGGCCAATGAAGAACCTTGTGCCCAAAAGCAGTTCCCATGTCGGAGCCAAGCCTGAAGCGGTATTGTAGAAAGTGCCTTTTAGAAATGATTTATAAAAGATGCTGTAGACAAGCTTTTGGTCTATTTCCTGCCGATTTTTATCAATTCTCCTACTTTTTTCCAATCAGTTTTTCCGATCATTATAAACAAAGTCTGTGTTCGAAAAAATAACAAAAAATAAACAAAGTTTTTTTTGTCACATCGACCGCTTCTTACCTGATAGCACCGAAAATAACAGCCCCAGCGACAGCGCCGTAACCGCAATCGGCTTTCTGCCCAGCCAATCACTCAAACTCCCGTAGACAATGGTCCCCAAGAGCACACCAAAGAACTGAACTTGACTGAAGAAGGAGCGCAAGTATGACTTGCTGCCGCAGATCCAATCGAACTCAAGGGCGGCCGAATGAAAGTACTCGTACTCGAACTGCACCTTTTCCTTGCACGACTCGAACAGATCGCAGTCCTTGGCGAAGGGCTGCGTTGCGTTGCAGCGCCATTTCGGCACGTAGCTCGAGAAGATGGGGAAGATTTGTTGGGAGGCGAAGAAAATGGAGAACTGCCAAGTGAGCAGCACCAGAAAGTGGAACCGGTTGATGTTGAAGAGCATGGTCTGGAAGCGCGGATCGATGATAACCGGGAGTGATAAGGGCGCAAAAAAGTGGAGGGAAAACTGAGGGGAAGGAAGGGGAGTCGCGGCAATCATAAAAGGGCGGAGCTTTGGAAGGGGGCGACAGGCAGTGGAGACGCCGTTTTGTATAAACCAAAGTGAGGATCTTTGCTACTGAATTTTAAATCGGAAAGGGGAAAGTTTACAAGTGTTTTTTCGAGGGAATTCAGGCTGTTTTATGGGCGAAAACGATTAGTTATGTTGGGCTAGATCGAAGATGACTTTGAACTCGATAAATCTTGATTTAATTTATATTACTGCCTTATACACCAAGTTATCATAATGTCATATTGAGCAACGGGATTGGTATAAACGCTCCTCTTTATACTTGCCACCTCAATTTTAAAAAATGATGTCAATTTTTATACTTTTCGTCACGTTTCTAAAAATTTCTCAAAATTTTACCGTATCTTTTTGACGTACCTTTCATTTTTAACACCCTTCGGATCTTAAATATCAAGCAATCCTCCATTCTAACCCCAAATTACCCTCCCTAACACCCCCAAAAAGCTTGTGCATGATCCGCACACTTACCTCGGGTTCAGGCTCGATTATCACCCTTGATCATCGCGAGACAGGCGTTCCGTTTCCTCCCTCCTCGAAGGCCCAGCCGGCTTGACGTTGATTAATTGGCCGTCCCGCCCAAATTAAACGCCGTAAACAGTCGGATTTGAAACAGTTGTAAGCACCAAAATTGTCGCACATTCCGCCGAATGATTTGTTGTTCCGCCAGCACGCACTTAGTGAGTGCGTTCCGCGGTGATTTACTAAGTTAATGGGCTCGTAAAGTGGTCGGGGAAACAATACATGTTTGTTTTTTGAAGGCTCATAAACCCGCTGGTTTACTGTTGTACCATGTAAATGAATGCGGTAAAGTTTAGAGGCTTAGATTGTGGTGGTATTAGGGAACGATTAAGATTAGAATCTTTTCAGACGGCTGTGAGAGTCTTAGCTCTCGGTTTTTGTAAAAATCATTCAAATTTTTAGGGCGAAATTTGGCTTCAAAATTCAAACTTTCCCTCTAAGATTGGCCAATTTTTAAGAACTACGCAATTTTTCTTCCCGCCTCTCCTCATTTCCGAAATTTCACGTATATCTTGGGGGTTTGATCTAGATTTTTTTATATTTTTTACCGAAATGACCACACATGACTCAAAATCTTGGAATGAGGTCGACTTGTAAAAGGAGTGTTTGTTTTGAGGCGAGGCGCCAATTTTATGACCAGTGGGCGATTTGTGATAACGTAACAAATATGACAACTTTATTGAGGGGGTTTCAAAACATTTGTGTCTTACCGTAGTAGAGATTGGAATGTCTGAGTAATCCTTTATCATTACATGTGATGATTTTGGAATTTGCATAAATAAAATTCTAAAAACAAAATTTGCATAAATTATTGGAATTTGCTGCAAAACTACTATTTTTATTATTATGCCACCAATATAAAATTTGCATAAATAAAATATTTGTGAGAAATTTACATAAAATTAGCCGTTAAAATGACAAATAAAGGTTTTGTTTCCAATGACAGGTCAATAAAATTTTGACCATTTTAAAGGTTGTTTTGAGTCGTTTTGAGAACTTTTAACCGCTCAAAATGAGTCAAATTACCTGTCAGTAACGAGTATATTCTCCTAGATGATCTATCACTTTTTTGAAAGAAAAAACTTTTCGAAACAATTATACTACAAAGAACTTTTTTTCCGATTCTTTGAACTCATAATTGTACCATAAGATTTTTTTCTGAATACGAAAAACTAAATTTTTTGCAAAAATTTTTCTTTTTCCTATCTTCATCTGACTTTTTACAATTTTTTTTCTATTTTTTTTACTCCAGAACTGTCACTCAAAACTTGTAAGAACTGTCTAACTCATTCCGACAGTTTATTTCCCGCCATAATCCCAACAGAACCCGTTCGGAACACTCTTCTTTCACCTGAAACGTCCGTCACTTTATTTTAGCCTCATTTTATTTTCGGTTTCCATGGAAATTTCGCGCACTTTTCCGGGCAAAAAAAAATTTTTTTTTGCGGCCGAAAATGAGTAATCTATATTGTCTTCAGGCCGTTTTACAGGGTGTTTACTATGAAAATGGATCATTTGATAATTTGGAGGTGAAAAGTGTGGTTTTAAAATGTTCGCCGAGCCAAAAAACAATTAATTTCAAAATTGATGGACTTAAAAGTAGTGGGAAATTGATTGTTTTGAATGAAATCCCGGAGAAAATAGATGTCATTGTGGAATTGAGCGATGGAAATTTCAAAAAATCGGATATTCAGCTGGATATCAGCAAACTTTTCCAGGTAATTTTCATTTTTTATTTAAATTAAAAAAATTTAAATGCCAGATTTTATTTAAATTTCTCATGTTTTTTTCAATATGCTACGGAAAATTGTAGCTCAAATTTTTGCGATTTTTTGCCTGATTTTTAATTAAAATTTTAAAGAATAAGTCATCAAAATTTTTTCAATTTGCCTCAAATTTCATTGTATTCTTTTCTTTCCATCTCCAACTCCCTCCCAGTGATACTAGCCTTGCTTTCAGACCCTAAGATACGACTTATCTTTCGGCTCATTTCGCCTCCGATTAATCGTAAAAACCGAAATTTTGACGCCTCGAAAAATCGAAAAAGCCGATGTCTCCACACAAACTGATAACGGAATTAACAGCGAACAGGAATGCCAGGTAATTTGAACTTTTCAATTCGAAAGTGTTTAGACCGATAATTCCCAAACAAGCGATAAGAGCACTGGGATGGACACGACAGTTGATCATGTCCTTACGCAAACAGATAAGGAGCAACTGAATGAGGAGAAGAAAAAGTTCTTGGCCAAAATTGTGGCCATTTTATTCCGACGAATGTATTTGCGGATTGTGAAAAGAAATTTGGAAAGGAGGAGGAATAGTAAGCATCAAAATTTTATCAAAAGTTTCCATCAAAATTTCATCAAAACTTTTCCTTATTTAGCCCATGCAAAGAACGTGATAACTGACTTTTCCCTTCCTACGGATATGACCAGAAACAAACTTGACTATCTCATATCTACTGTGCAATTAAGAGACATGAAAGTGCGTCTAAAAGAGCTTGCTCAGCAACATAAGGAGCTAACAAATCGAAAAGTAAAGACCAAAATAAAACGATCGCCGAAGAAACAGCTGAAGAATTCTTATACTCAGACATCGTTGCCTACAAGGACCAAAGAAGTCCAAACTGAAGTTGAGAAGAGCTCAAAGAACGAGAAAAGAAAAAATGATGAAAAAGTTGAAGAAAGCGACGATGACATAACACCAAGAGCTGGGGAAAATGATAAGGTTGCAGTCTCATCAAGAAGTTCAAAGAGTTCAAAGTCAGAGGGGAAATCGGAAGAGTACAAGACACCTGAAGAAGGATCGAATTCGGGGAGCGAGTCTGACGGTAAGTTGGAAGAGAAATTTCCCCCGAAATCATGTACAGGGTGCGGCAATTTTTCGGCCCTATTTGAGTTCGCTATAACTTTTTTAGGTTTTGTCCAAATGTTTAATTTCTTTTTTCCCTGAATCCTTAGACGTCCCCATTTTTTTAATACCAAATATGTTATACCCATTTATTAGACTACAGTAAAAGTTGAAGACAAAGAAAAAGCTCTAATTTTTATGGCTGACAAGGGAATTACCCTTCGCGCGACTCTCAGATTTTCTTTAAATTTTACACATGAGCCGGACATAGGCCATATATCAATTCCTGAAAGTCTCAGCCCGCGTCTTTCAGGGGCGGCCAAGATATTCGACGATCTTTGCGGTCAGGAGGGTACCTGAGTGGTTATACATAAAAACTTTCTTTTTTTGCAGAGAGCATCTCCAGAACCGCCTCATCATCCTCCCAATCAGAATCCTCGGCTTCCTCGTCTCCAGAGACGGTCCGAACTTCTGGAAGGAGCAGCAAATCGACTGGCTCTTCAATTCACACCGAGATCAACTCGAATTCAGGCCGGAGTTATTTGGAGAGCGTCGCCAGCTCATCCTCATCCTCTGGGTAGGATTAAATCGAGTTTGGTTTTTCTGTATTTTACCATTTTTTGAAAAAAATTAATGATTAAAATTTTTCAGAGGGCTCTCTCCAACATCAGCGTATCTTCAGAAGCTCCGAAAAGACGTTTTAAAAAGTCGGACTTGAAAATTTTTAAATTTCAAACGGTTTTACATAGTAAATATTACTTGAAGATTTAATAAATCACGATGACTTGAGCAAGATCGTCTCCTATTTCTTCAAAAAATTGGCAGAGAAACGCCCTATTTTTACAGACTTCTGGTCATTCCCAGTTTCCGTGGCAACCAAAATCCCGAAAATTTCCACCAAAACAAAAATATTCTTATGTTTTGGTCACTCCTCGGCTCAATTATTATAATATTTCTCCTAAAGCCGGACCTCGAATGGCCTGATAAACTAAAAATCCCAAAATTTTTCTTCGAACAGATCACTGGATGGCCGGCTTTTTATGGATTCAAATCGGCTTTGGGCAATTCAACAGAGGAATGGGAACAATTTTGGGAGCAGTTATTTGCTCGGACAGAGATTCCAAAAGCTTCTAGAGAATTTAGAGGGCCCAAATGCAGTCTGATCAATAGTTTTTGGGGAAAATGCTATACTAGAGAGGCGAGCGATTGTGCCGGAGACGGAATTTGTAGTGAAAATTGGATGGGATCGAAGAAAAATGTGATTTGTCAGGATGGAAATGGTCAAATTGTGAAGTGCAATGGCAAACAGTAAGTTTTTGACTGTTATTTCTCAATTTGGAAGAATTTCTAGACTAAAAAACTTTTAAAAAAAAACTTTTTTTTATTTGTTTCTTGATGAAATTACAGTAATCGTAAGGATATTTCAGAAGAATAAGCCAAGTAAATTACAATTCAACCGCTATTTTACTGAAATTATCGAATTCCAATCATTTTTCGATATTCCCCATGCCAGATAGAGCCACCTATTATTACGACAATATAACCTCAAAATTCGCATTTATTGAGGCGTCAGGTGAGTTCTTTACACTCTACAAAACACTTAAAAAAATTTTTTGTAGTGCAGGATTACTGTATCAAAGAAGTTTTTCTTTCCAGACCGTTCCACGATTTACCTGCAAAAGAACAAAAGGACCGTTATTTATGGCAAAAGAATCTTCCAGCAAAACATTGATGGGCTCACTAAATTATGTTTGGACCGCCGTTGCATTGAAGTTAATCAAACCAAAGACCCGATTACGGATCATGTTCATCTACAGTACCTTGTGGATAAAGATAAAGCCTTGATTCTGGTGAAGTAAGTAAAATTATTGTCGATTATGATACCTTAATCCTAGGAAAAATGTAAATGAGACCATAATCAATATGATTCCACGTAAGAATGACACCAAAACTGCCCCGTAAGTTGAATTTTTGACATCATGGAATGTTTAAAAAGCGACTTTCACAGTTTCTTTACATACATATGTTTGGAATACTCTCTTTTAGCTATTACCAACGCCGCGGTCGTTTCCATTGTCCATCCGAAGTCACCTGTCTCCTGGAGATCTTCTACGTCATCAAACTCACAGATCAAATTTTAATTCAACTAATTTTCACAATTTTTGTTCTTTTTTACCTCATGGGAAACCGAAAACACCTCTTATAAACCTCAATAAACTGATAATCGATGATAACCAATTATTTATTGGGAAACCAGATCATTGATGAGAATAAACAAAGGAAACCAAAGTGATATCAACAAAAAATAGACGAGAATTTTTGGCCGAAAATAGGCACGGTGATACAAAATAATCAAAAAAAATTAAAGGCTATTACATTTTCAGGCTCAAAAAATTAAAAAAACGTTAAGCGCAGTTTAGAAATTCGAGATGAGAAAGCACAGTAAAAAAACAATCTAAAAATGAAATAAAAAACAAAAATACAAAATTTTCTGCCAAAAACAAGGAGATTACACCTCTAAAAATATGCAAATGAAACAAAAATGTTGCGCGATTTTTATTTCCGACAAAATCAATCAATTCCGGGTAAAAAATTAAGCCAAACCTCACAAATTAACAGGCAAATTATTCAAACATTTTCTTCGGAGAGAGCGTCAAGCAGTTGTGGATCAAGTTCCGGAAACTGTTCGAGTAAATCCGTGAACAAATCCTCCGCTTTATTCGACTTTTCATTTTTCGGCCGGTTTTTGCTTGGACTTTTGGGGGGTTTGACCGTTTTCCCAGAGAATTCCGACCAAAATCCGAGTAATTTCTCCATAGTTCTTGATGAAAAGTGGTTTAATTCTTCGCTGGAGCTTCCCAGGACCCAATCAATTGCTTCTCTCAGGGCGGCGAGTTGCATCAACTTCAATTTCTCTCTTCTCAAGGCCAGTGTGCACAGATTTCGGCACTAAAAATATTATCCATCAAAACTTTTACCTCTTCAAAACCAAAAAAATCCAAAAATTATTTCCAAAACCCCCATCTCTATATCTACTACAATATAAACCCCCCAAATCTCTCTAAATCTCTCACCCTATCCAATTTCCAATGAGATTCAGCGAATTCTTTGACCAATTCAGCATTCTGTTGTTCATTATCCTCCTTTGGCTCTTCCTTTTCCCATTTTTTGATGATTTCTTTCTTGTATTTCTTCTTGATGTAGATCTCATTCAATTCCGTTTGATTCACCATTATCCGATTTCCACTTTTCTTTCTTTTCTCGGCCCAATAATCGAATATTTCCTTCATTGTTTCCTTCGAAACTCCCGTGCATTCACTCAATTGTCGCCAGTTTACCAGCTGATCAAATTGGGCTTCAATTTTCGACAATTTTGACATCTAAAACAACATGGATAAGATTCTAAATCCAAAAAGTTATCCTTCAATAAAAGAACTCTTACTTTATACGATTCCGAGGCAACAATTTTCTCATCGGTTGTGAATTCTCCCATCAAAAAGTCGACTCCATTATTTCCCGGAGCTTTTCCTACACTTCTGGCTTGTTCCGAATGCAAATAACAAAAAGAAAACATCTTGACGCCAATTTTGGAGTTCAAATTATCCTCAATAAACATCAACAACCCTCCTCGCAGGCCACAAGTCGAATGAAAAGCCAGTTTACAATTGGGTACCGAGCATTTTATTACACTTCCATAGCAAAGATCGCAGACCGAGCATCTAAAAGCCAAACAATAAAATCAGAAACTAAAATCAACTTACATTTTGAGAAAAGATTCCGGTTTCATGTCCCATTCATGGCTTATCGGAGTGTAAGTCGTCAGATCATCGAACCTCAAATCTTTTTGCCACACCGCACAAGCGAAGTGGGCCCAGTCCCCGTCAATCGTATGCTTCATTGTGCCGTAACTCAACGGGCAATACCTGCAACTGACGTCCGTTTTCCTTCCATATTCCCGGCACACATCGCAATACCATTCGTCTTTGGGCAATTCCAAGATCCCAAAGCAATTCTGATGGACCGACAGCTCGCATCTTTCACAGAACACAATCGGATCCGACTTTTCGCTGGTCTCGGATTGACAAACCTCGCAAAAAGCGTTGTCACCTTCTGCTTGGTTGGGGACGTTGAGGATTTCAAGGAGAATATTGTGGATTTCCTAAAACAAAATCGACTAAAACCCTGACAACATCCTCCCATAAGACATCCCAGATGACATTTCAATCTAAACATAACAAAAATAAGTCAAAATCTTACCTTAAAGCTGACCGTTTCCAAAACTCCCATCAAATATGCAAAATCAACTTTTCGAAGCTTCACTGTTAAAGGCTCAACAACTTTCTTATTGTTTTCATCTCTTCTATTGCTGCTCCCTCCATCCAAGTTTTTATTCAACCTCAAGAAGAACTTCTTATCGTTGTCATCCATAAAATATTGTACAACATCTTCTTCAAGCCTGTTTACTGCAATTGTTTCGCTCGACTCTATTGGATCTGGCTCCATGACCAAATCAATATCAATATTATCTCGTCGTTCTTCATTCAGATACGGTGTTAGATCATATGAAAACTCCATTCGATCTTCTGGGAGTGTCTCCACCGGGACTTGGACTTTCCTAACCATTTCATCGGTAATCTGGCCTGAGATCTGAGCATGCCGACGTTTTCGAAAGAGGACTACACGCTTTGAGCGATGGGAAATGTCAGTTACAAAGCATTCTTCGTGAGGGTTATCTAAATTTAGATAATTTTGAGTTCTTTACCTAAAAATTCAAGAAAATAAAAAGAAAATCACTTACATTTTGATTTTTTAGTTCTTGTAGAAACAATTTGCGGTTTCAGGAAGATCTCAGAGTCAGCGGGAACAATTTGTTTACCTAAAATAAAGATATTACCGTAAAACAAAGTCTTATCTAGAAATTAATAACATAATATCAAAACTTACTACTTCCCGCAGCATCCAGCTTCTTCTTCAGTCCAATGTACCTCCTTTTCTTCATGAACGATCCAATTTGGGTCGCCCTCCAATCCCATAATCCACAATTCTTTTCATGCCCTTCTTCTTTTGGACATCGACTAGTTGATGGCTGCTCGGACGACGAACAATACTCCTCTTCATCTTCTGTAGATTCATTTGAGTAGTTTGAGACCAGCGACGGGCTTGGCAGAAGTTTCGAGTCTTTCACACCTAAAAAATATCAACAATATTACACTTGATACCAAAAACAATCTAAAAATGTTTGCAAAGCTTCCGAGATGAATGCAAATTCGAAGAGAACACTCTGTATATATTCGAAAAGAGACCGGAGAACTCTCGCCCGCTGGCTCTCCCGTTCCGCCGCGATAGAACACGCGAAAAAGAGAGAGCGGCGCCCTTTGACCGCGCTCTTGTTTCGAAAGCCTTTTCCATCATTTCCTATAAGAGAAAATGCTACATTGCAAATGTAACAGTTGTCTAAGATGCTAGAAAAAAACGAGCAAAAGCTGGGGATCAATCAAGATGAAACTTGACAAATAATAAAACTCTATGAATAGTATCGATTTCTGGAATTTTTGCAAGAATTTTAATTAATTTTAGCCATTTTTGATAGTCATACATGAAAAAAATGAACTGATTAAATCTCTAATAAATAAACCAAAGATAGAAGAAATTACTTTTCATCGACCACCTGTTATCCGACCGAAAAATTCGATTCTCTCATTTGAAACATTAAAATTTGGAACAAAACTTCAGTGTGATAAAAATCAGAATCAAAACTTTCCGAATGTTGACAAAGGGTACCCTAGCAAGAATAGAAGTTATTGTCGCGACAAGAATTACCTAAAATCCTAAAATCAAAATGCAAAAAAAATTTGAAACCCTTACCATTTTGAAGAAGGCACCGCGTGGGTATGCCAAATCCTCCATTCTTATCGATAAATTCTTCGGCAATATTGCGTCGTGTCCGTTTTTGATTAGGCACGGAACGGAGCGGAGTTCGGGTCACAAGGCGAGAAGAGGGTGCTTTGCTGGGATTCATCCCTCAAAGTGAGGAATAGGGGTTCACCCGATATTCTCAATGCATCTCTGCAAAGAAATATGCAAATTTCGTGGAGTTGTAGATGGAACAGCGGCTGGCCGTGTGGTGTCACGAACAAACCGGCGGGAAAAGTTGTTGGACGGGAAATTCCCTGATTTTCAAGAATTGAGTTGGCATTTCTCGTGAGACTTGACACTGTGCGTCAACTGTTTCCCCAAATAAGAAAAACAGGGGTGGCCACCGGGCCGGCCCGGCCCGGCGAAGCCCGGCCCGATCGGGCCTAAACGGGCCGGGCCTGACAAATTTTGAAACGGGCCGGGCCGGGCCTGCTTTTTATCGGGCCGGGCCGCGGGCCTGAGCCATTTTCAGGCCCGGCCCGGTTTTGTCGAAATGCCAAGCGTTTGGCATTCAATGTTTTCGCGCCGGAAAAATTTTTGGATAGGTTTGTATTTTTAGTATATCAAGTTCTACAATAGTTTATTACTTTATAGTACTTTTTTGCATATATGTTATAATATAAGGTCCAAATTAGAACATATAATACATATAGGATAGTTCTTAGCAGATTTTAGCACACTACAGAGGCGGTAAGATCAAAGGAAAATTTCCAGCTCGCGCCCTAACCGGGCTTTTATCGGGCCGGGCCGGGCCTGATTCCTACCGGGCCGGGCCGGGCCGGGCCTGCAAAATTTTGAACCGGGCCGGGCCGGGCCTGGGATTTTGCCGGGCCGGGCCCCGGGCCTGAAATTTGGAAAAAGAGGCCCGTTTGCCACCCCTGCCGAAAATTGATGGTTTTTTCATAACGAGAGCAGAAAATGACAGATAAAGCTTCGAATAGCGAATGGTTGGATGCGGAACTGTTTTCTCCTTTCCAAAGTAAGTGTTTTATCAGTTGTTACCTAGGATAACATGCTCTAAAATTGTTTTTTCCAATGAAACGGTTATTTTCTTCAGAAGAACAAGCTCTCCTGTACGAACACGCAGAATGGGTAGCTGCTCGAGCATTTCTAAAAATGGTGAATCTTCCTTTTGGCCTGGAGCAACGGCCGAATGCTGAATTCATGTCGCCGGACGGTTCTGTTCCTTTTCTGAAACTTCAGAAGACCTTGGTGTTTGGCTACCTTAATATAGTAGAGTTCGTTTCGCAGAAGGTGCGTTATATTTGTTTTATTTTTATTCGTTTTTAGGGGATAAAATTGACGAATACTTTGTCCGAGGCCGATATTGCCGATATGAATGCCTTGATGGCGCTGATTCGCGAAAATCTCCTAAATGCCGAGGTATGTGAGGGTTTCGAAAGTTGGATTACATTGTTGAATTTCTTTCAACATTGATTTTTCTCATTTTAGAAGTACTTCTGCTGGAGTGAGTCTTCAAATTATCATTCAGTAACAAAAAGAAGGTATGGAAGTGTTTATCCCGTCCCTCTGAAATGGTGGCTCCCTTATCTGAAGCGCAAAGATATTGTCAGTCAACTCAACGACTCAGGCTTCGCAAACAAGACGATCGATGATGTTGTAAAAAAGGCCGAGACCGTGTTCCACGCTTTGAGTGTAAAATTAGGAAACCAGAGGTATTTTATGGGCGATGAGCCCACCGAACTCGATGCTCTGGCCTTTGGACACATCTTCAGCATTCTCACAATCGAACTGCCGTCAAATCATTTGGCTACAGCCCTTAGGAAACACGCAAATTTAATGAATTTCTGCATCGCAATAGACGAGGAGCTCTTCAAATTAGATTAAGCTAGCATTTTCAGTTGTTGTATAGATTTTTAGGGATAAAGCGATTGAAAAATTTGTAATTTTATTTATTTTGAGATTCAATGGAGACTTGAGCAAGTTTCTGGAAGTCTTTTCAGATTCCTTCGGGCACTGACGTAAAAGAAAATGAGAGAAATTACGGTGCAAGAGTAGAGAATGACCAATAAGACCGAGAAAACGGAGAACAGGTTTTTCATAAAACACCATTTAGAGTCCCAGGTAAATGCCGAGGTCAGCGAAGGCTCTGAAATTTAAAAATATTTGATATTGAGAGAAAAATTATATTCACCATGTTCAATATTTTTAGAATTGATGTAAAGAGGCTTTAATTGGATGTAATGTTGTGTTTAAAATTTCTTACCATGACTTTCTGGATCTACATCTTTATCTACGACGCGTATTTTCTGATTCACTGATAGAATATTATCATCATTGAGTGATCTCTTATCGGCTGATCGTTTTTCTCGACTGTGACAGCTCTGAAATTAATTAAAACGTGGTAAATCGAATTTCAGATTGTTTTTGCCACTTTTTTGCTTTAGCTTACACTTTGGGGACTGCAAATACTCGATTTAAATTCTTCGGTGACATTAAAATGTTCATGATTTTGAAGGCATAAATCCAATTTGCATTTGATCCACATATCCTCCGAATCCGGGAATTTAAATGCCATGCCATCAGCAAAGGCTTTATCATTATGTTCGGAGTGTTTTATGTCGGATATTAAGACCTCGTCAATGGTGCACCCTGACGTGATGATCTCCATTTTTCGACCATCCAAGGTTTCGGCGGTGCATTCTCGAACAGTGAAGCCGTAAATATCTAAAAAATATCTAAAATTACAAATTTTAGAACATGCTATCTAATCTTTGATAGACAAATTTGTTAGGTTTTGACAGCTAAAGCCATGTGCAATATAATTTATATCCCACCTGATGGATCCGCAAAATACCATACAAAAATAAGGGCTTCTCCGACGGTGACAACCTTGGCTGCCTCCAAATTTTCATCCGGAACCCTTCCGCTGATCACTTTTAACCTTGGCATGGGTAATTGCGCAACACCACTTGCTACGCCCTTGGATGGAATGTCTCTGAAACGTGATTTTTTTATGTGAACAGGTGGTTTGATCAAAGATGCTACTGGCTTTATTTGAATGACCAAACGGATCGAATTGATAAGATTTTTAAAATTTGCAAAAAAAAACGCTTGGTGACTTTGATGTCAAAAATAATGTCGGCATATCGGTCCAAACTCAAAATGGCCTTTTGACCTTTTTTCAACAAAAATTTCCCACCTGATCAAGCTGATTTTGCTATGTACATCCTTGTTTTGCTGTGTAAACACGCAGTGAACCGCGAACGAGCGGTCATTCTGCGTCATAAAGTTGGGATGGAATCCGAAAACGACGATCGCAAATATCTCCATCGTCTTGTCCCCCTGAAACACATTTAACATGCGACAGACAAAGATCAGCTCTTATGGGAAGGTAACACAACACAAAAATGAAATGTAGAAAAAAAGTTGTGGGAAAAAACATAAATTTAGTTGGATTAACCATCATCAAGATAACGTACTGCTCTCCTGGTTTCCAGACCGCATTTTCCGACTTCAGAAATTGACAGGGAATAGCTTGGGGACAAAGTTGCGTTGTTCTCAAAGCGTTTGTAACACCCTACTGATTTACGCCAATTCTTGACATAAACTGTGCCAGTGAAGGGGAATTTTGTTTTTGCTTGGATCTCAATCGAATCTGGGCCACATTGGACAAGTGGTTCGCCTGAAATTATTTAGTGACTAGCTCGTGAAATTTACAACCAAAAATTTGTCAAACAGAAACTACATTTTTTATCAGTTGAAAAATTTACCTTCCACGGAATTCAGCGCATTTTCAGCGAACGCCCATTGGATCTGAATAAGCGAAAAGCTCGTTAATGACTTAATTAACCCACCGAGAGCAGAGACAGCCAGACCAGGAAACCAGTCATCCTTGATGACCTGCGGGCTTTCTTTAACTTCTGTTTTCTGCGGAGCGAAAGGCGGTCATTCCGTGGGAAGAACGACCTTGGCCTACTACTGCGCCGTTAAAGCTAAATGGCAGCGGAATGAACTGTAAAATGAAATTTTACTTTTCTTGTTGGAGAAAAATCTCGTATTTTCGATTCGCAAATTTTCTAATAAAAATAATAAAAATGGATGTTTTTTATAATTTTTTCATCATTTTTTTGAATTATCGAAATCGAGGAAAATTTGTAAAAATCTGATTTATTCAACAAAGAAAATAAGGCACTTTAATATCCAGAAAACCGAAGTCGACTCGATCTTCCAATGTGAGCATCCAACACTTTCTGATATCGTAATTTACAGGCGGCTTCGATTGTCTTGGCCATTAAGCCAGCCGAGGGTTCGACGTGGAAAACGTAACAAAGGAAGTTCTCCGTCGAGGTGTGCATAATAAACGCACAGTGTCTAAAAATGCAAAATTTATAGGATTGGTACTGCCTGTGACAACTGAAAAAACCTTAAATTTTCAGGGTTTTTTCTAAGGGCTATGACAAATTAAGGAACGTCGGAGATACCCAATACTTACTTAATATCCTGTCCAACTCCCAAAAACGACAAATATCTGACTCGGCATTGAGCAATCTCCTCGCCATTGATATCTCTGATCGTAATATTAGACAGGGCAATAGAGACATCAGAGAGGATCCATTTGTCAGTTGGAACTTGCCGTACCAATCGATCTACGGCATCATTTAAGATCTCAATTCCAGTGGCTCGAGGGACCTCCGTGACTCCAATAAAATGACAGCGGATCACTTTCTGAACCTCGTCAATAGGAGTTACTGTGGCTTCTTCTGAAAATTATAAACGTTTAAACCGCGAGTTTTTGAAAAAAAAAAACTATTTTTTTGAACTATTATACCAGATGGCATGAAAATGATGACTAAAAAACTCACTAACAAGCCGTCGTTCCGACCTCTCCGTGGCCGGTGTAAATGCCTGAGGGGGTTGGCGATTCACCATCAGCTGTTTGCAAATGTCCCGTAGGGTGTTTGCAATCGCTCTGGCTGGGGTGTCACAGCGGAAGGCATGGCAAAGAAACTGCCTTCCATTTCGATCGCGTGCTACGTATGCGAAATCTCTACAAAAAGTTGAATTGATTCATAACGAAGATTTTATTCTTACCTTCCATTATCCCGACCGACCCCCCAAACTCGGATAAATTGGATTTTCTCTGAGTGGATGACATTGTTCGTCTCTGGATCAATAAGAAGTAGGTCATTGTCGGTGAGTTCGAGGATTAGTTCTTTTCCGTTTCCCCATTTCTGCACATTGCCTAAGGCGCCGGAAGACAAGTCTCGAATGGCTTTATTTACAGCTTGGGAGCTCCGTTCCGTCGTGAGATCACTCTCGCTGATCTCGGTCCAGCCAAGTGAACGGACCATGAAACGAATCGGCTAAAATACAAAATTATGCATTTTTTAAAAGAAATCTGACTTTGCACAGTGCGGTGAATTCTAAAATTAAAAAACATATAAAATTTACAGTGTCAAAAAAGCAAAACGCAAATAAAAAACTTTTTTTTCGCAACAAAAAGAAATACTGCCCTACCTTCTGTCCAATGTCAGCTTCAATAAAATCCTCGGCTTCGTCGTGATTCTCGATGGTTCTCTTCGTGGTGACCTGTTTGAACACGTGCTCCTCGATGACTGGTTCCGCAGGCGGAGCCGGCGAGGCGGGAGCGGCTGGCGGCGGAGGGTTCTGAGGATAGGGATCTCGTTTCGGTTCTTCTGCGTAAATCGGGGGACTGGGTGGAGGTGGTTGGGGGACCTCTGGCCTATTCGAAACCCGCTAAAATCTCCGAAAATGGTGGAATTTATAGTTCTAAGCGCTGTATTTGTTTGAAAACGGATCAAAATTGCATTTCAAACGACTTATAGTGTATTATTCATACTAAATCAGCAAATTTTATATTATTTTAAGCTATCAAAAAGGTTAAAATTATTGAAATTTCAATTTTGCAAAATATTACGGTAGTTTAATGCAATTTTGTTAAAATCAGTCGCACTAAAATTACTATGAAGCCATGATTTAGTAAGCAAAATATCTTAAATTTATTATTTTTCAATTATCATCACTCGCCTACCATTCCACTCAATAATTTAGTCAGCATTGGTTCTCAGCTCCCTTCACCTTTGTTAAAATTAATCAAAACATGTGAGAGATTAGTCATTAGACGTGTTAATAGCGAACGTTTTCTTACCGGAGGGTCCCGTTGTATGGTGCCACTGTCTACATGCCAATAGTACGAAAAGCCGGAAGGATCTGGAAGAATGTGCATTTTAAACAATGTTTTCATAGGAAGCGGCATTCCTAATCTTTTGTCCATGCATTAGAGCTAGATTTGTGGGGCCGTTATGCGGGTAATGTATACAAACAAACGCTATAAATAGAAGGAAAAGAGGGTAAATTAAGGGGAAATTGAAAAAGGAAATGCCGGAAGAAAAACAATCGAAATTTTTTGATGTTTTAGATGATACGATCTGGAAATTCCGGTGGTATCTTTCCAACATTTTCGTCAAAAAAAAGTTTTCTTTTGTTGAAAAGATTCAGTAGTCTTCTTGAAATAATTTTTCGGATTTTAGAAAAAAAACAGTCATCATTTTTGTTACACAAAGCCTTCAAATTGCGGCTTAACCAACCTAATTCCATGCCCACCCCGACATCTGACCCCTAGCCAATTCTTTACCCAATGACCTTAGGGCAAAGACTTGGCCTTCTATTGTTTCCAAAGACTCCAAAAAAAAAGTTTTAAGGAAGATGACTTTGCCCAAAAAAGCGCCCACCCTCATGTTTTTCCCATCCGGCCGGAAGTCTTCGCATCTCCTCCTTCACTGGTCGAGAATATTGACTTTCTCGTTCGATAAAGTGGACACCACTGTCATGACTGTCAGGCGAAAGTACTGTCTCTTGGACCTCCTCTTCTTCGATCACATAATCCGAGACCGGCGGTCTTCTCGGTGGATCCGGCTCTTTCTTCTTGAACTGATCCAATTGCCAGTAGAATGAATAAGGATCTCGATGCTCGGTGACAATCGTTGTGTCGCCAACTTTCTTGACTCTGACATTCTCTTGCCTCGAGGCGGCATCGATTCGGGCGCGGCTTTCCTCGAAGTTGGTGGGAGAGTAATCCACGGACATTTCTTTTATCTTAACCTTGACTGGAGTAGTGTCCTTGCGCTTGTGATAGGTGTAGCTCTTGTCCGGCTTCTTTTCCAAAGGATCCCAGTTTTTGTGGGATCCACGGGAGAATCTCTGAAATCAGTAGTTCAGTATTTACAAAAAATGTGAAAAATGCTTTAAATTGTAGGTAGAAAAAAATGATGACATTAAAATTATTAAAAAATCAGCAATCCTACAAATTATAACAACCAAAAAGATATAAAAATGGCTCAAGGAGCATGAGAAGACAAAAATAAGGGTAATATTCAAGGAATTTAGGCAAGAAGAAAGCAATTTTTATTATACAGGGTGGGCCAAAAAAAATGGACAAAATTACAAGTCGGTGTATCCCGGCACGAATACCGTAATCAACGGAAAGTAAAATAGTTTTAGAATTGTGAACAATCCTACTTTATCACAACTATTTAAATTTTTTATATACTTTTGTTGAACCGCTGATACAAGCCAAAATGCTCGACCAGTCCATATTCTGACTACGTTTTCCGAAAATTTTTTGAGTCCAAAAATCTTCAATGACCTGAATCTCTACGACCAGCCCAAAACTGGTGGTTGACTGTTTATCATGACACTAAGGGGAGCCCACAGAAGCAAAAAAGCTGATAGTATTCTATTAATTTCGCCCCAGCAGTTCTCAACGTGATCCACAAGAGGTCCATCTAGATAATTCTAGATTTTTGAGATAATTGACATTCAAGAGTCGCAGGGGAGCCCGGCTCATGCTATTGATGGCAAAAAGTGGTCACTGTAAGACATCAAACATTGCTTTACATGGGCCAGCAGTTGATTTGATAATAGCTTGCATCAGCCGTGCGCAGACCTTAAAAAATTTCAGCCGGCTATACCCAGAGACGCTGATATTTTTTGACCAGAAAATTTTTTCTTTTTTGTTGGCGTTTTTCAACGTGCCGGATAACTATGACGGGATACTTTTATATCAAGGTGATACGACCCCTTTCTTCCATTTTAAGTCAGTTTCATAAAATGAGGATGCAGCTAGCCTTCAGAATCCATGTATTATTGCGATGACCCATCAAAAAGTCAAAAAAATCGATTTTTTGCTTGCCATCTTGCTGAGTGAGTGGTACTATTGTCAAAAATGCGCTTAGTATATTCATCATATAGTAGTAAACACCGTATGGGGGTAACTAGTTTCAAAATGTTCACCACGTTTGGAAGAGCGTCGTTTTTTCCGAAAGAGCCCATATGAAGGTCGATTTTCCCTGCCCGAGTGTCTAACTTCTGGTCACTGGTTCTTAATTTTCCGAAAAGCTTGGGTTAAATCCTTTTAAAGTCTAAGGGGACAGGTCTCCTAGATTTGCTTAGACCGCTTGGTATGTCTTTATGGCGGCTCTAAAAAATTTAGGAGCAAGATCTTTTGAAATTTTGCCGCGGGAATTGGCGCGCTGACCCGGTGACTTTCCTGCAACCGTATGTTAGAAACTTTTGCAGATAGGACAAAAGTTCTACAGTAACTATGTTCCTTTAACACAGTACTTTCATGCCGTATATACCTTTTTTCACAAACTGTTTCATGGCAGGAAAAATCGAAGAAAAATTTATGTCCATTTTTTTTGGCCCACCCTGTAATATCAAAACAAACCGTTGAAGGATATGACGGAAAGGCATGAAAAAAGATGATTGATGATGAAAGACCGTAGTTCCAATGTAGTCCTTTTGATATGGCAGCAATTTTGGAAGAAACGTGTAATTATCGTCAACATTTGCAAGGTCGATATTTACCGATAAAAATTACAGATACACAAAAGTTCAAGGGTGACAAACCCTATTCCAAAGAAGTTCGAAAAACAAAGTTTTCCCTGACCAAAGATATATGTTCTCTTGTCATAAAAACACCCCTTTTTTGACCTTTAAAGTACAACAACCACAAACTAGCCCGAGGGAGTTACGCAAAAATTGCGCAAAAACAAAAAACACGCGGCCGAATTATAAATAACAAAGAAGAAGACAAAGGTTACGTCGGGGTTTTTACCTCATCTCGTCGAGCACTACTCGCAGCACTGTCTTTCAAGATCTCTTTTCGTAAAATCTCCCGTTCCTCCACCTTCTCGAATCGGTCATCAGTCAGAAAGTCGACCGTTACGGTGTGCTCGGCGTTCGGTTGTTCGTGGGAATAGACGTATTCCTCTTGCTCGCGCTCCTCGCTGTACTCGACAACCTCGTTCGCGTCTTCGGAGATCAACTTGATCGTCGACTTGCGACGTTTCGAATAGTCGGAGGACATGGTTTAAACTCCTCGTCTTTCAGTTGGATGTCTTGGGGTTTAAAGATGGCCTTGGGGCAATTGTAGTTAGCGATGAAGTATGGAGGCTCAGGAAAAGTTCAAAAGTTATCCTGAGCTCCTCAGGATGAAAGATCAATAAAATGGAAGATTTTAAGTTGCCGTAGAGGTCAAATTAGTGAAAGATATTGGAATTTGAATATATAGAGTCGACTGTCAAATTATGATGACTTAAGCCTTCCAAGGCAAAAATGGAGGCAGAATACTGTAGCGTCCTTATTCGTAACGGCCTCTAGAAGTCCTCGCTTTCGGTAGATTCAGCGCAGAATCAGACAGCTCCTGTAAATGTTGCCAGAAAACGTTGGGGTCGAATTTATGATGACTGAAGCTTTCCAGAATCAAGAAATAGCACAAATATAGACCTTAATCCAGTCGGTCCTCTTCGTAGACGGTTCGAATACACTCTCAATTCGCCCCGAATATCAAGTTCAATAGACAGCTCAATCAGCAGCCGGGTTCGAAGGAATATCGCCCTCTCAAACCGCAAGGAGTTGTGCACAACGGTTTACCTTCTCCTCCTTCTCCTGCCTACCCGCTCTCCTCGGAGTCGACGGGCCAAGTATGTGCGTGACTTGCTGTTTACATTCGGTGCGTTTACTAGTTACTCTCTCCGCAAACAAATAGAGAAATCACTCGATACCCAAATACAAATCATCCGCTATTAACCCCTCGGGGCGGGTGGGATAGGCCGCTGATTCTAATTCCGTCCTGTTTATCTTGCGCTTATGGCGTGGAGGATATCATTCAGATCGGGTGGGGTCGGCCAAGGGCTATTGTTTGGGGATCATATAGGATATAGGAGATATAGGAGTGTTACGAACCCGTTATTATATAAATGCTAGAAACTTTGTAGAACAAAACGCAAGGGTCTTTTGCAAAATTTAGCGAGTTCTTTTTCACATTACAGAATTACCGAATAGTTATACTCTATGACAAAAAATTATATACGGTAAAAGTTGTTTACTACTAACAAGCGAAGTAACATGGGACACTCTTACTTTTTTGCAAATTGAGCACGAAAAATTTCAACAGAAAAAAAAGAATTATTTCTACGCGAAACTGGCAAAGTTATGTCCAAAAAATGTTTTTCAGTATGACCGTTCTCCGCATGTTGCTTACTCTCTCGGCAACAAATATCGTTGAACATCTCGGCGACGGCTGCAGAGCGAGCTAAAACTTTGATACATGACCTTTTCCCAACCTGTGTGCAAAGGCTATAGAAAATCGAAGCGTCGAACTTGGAAGCTAGATTAGAATTATTTTCTCAAAAAAAAAAAAAAAAATGATGAGAAACGTACAAGTTATAGGAAATTACATATGAAGTAGACTGTAGTACCACTGCCTGGGAAACTTTGCGATTTTAAAAAAAGTTAAATTCTGCCATTTTGGTCCTATTAATTCTCATAAATTCGATGATTTTCTTTGTTTCCTCAATAAACATTGGCTAGATTTCATTTCTTAATGTTTGCAAAAAATATGAATCAACCTCTCCCCCCTTTATCCTCTGTCTCAGAAACAAAAATTAAATACAACAAGAGCCCTTAGGGCGGCCAAGCCCATAAAAGGAGAGAGATTAGAGCTCATTCATTTCGCCGGATGTATTTCCATAGACAAATAAATATCCTTTCGAATGGGAACGTTTGAAATTATACTTTGTGCGAGTGCCAGAAAAGAACGGCCGGAAAACGGCCAAAAATGGGAGGAAACGCCGTTTAAAACCGAATTAGAAGAGCTGAGACTAAATTGCAATGACAATATAAGGTTGAAACGATAAAATTGTTGCATTTCAGGGTTAAATAAGAGATTGACCTTATGAAAATTACTTTTCAATGGGAATAAAAAAAACAAAAAAGTCTAGGAGACTTTGAAAAAGACATGTTATCACTCAAAATTCCCGAAAATTGAGTTTTTACCTAATACAAGATAGAAAAAAACAAGGAAATACTCGATATAAACAATAAAAAACTATAACCAGATCTCATAACATAACTCGTCAAGCAAATGGCTGAGCTTTATCTTCCTCGCGGCCCCAGCTGCACATCCCCACGTTGATCAGGGATCCTCCCGCTGCGCAAACAAATCCCCCACGTAGAGCCGAGTGCAGCCCTGAACTCTTGACACGTCCTCCACCACCTCAAATACTCAGGCCCGTTATTTTTGTAATTTGTTGAACCAATAACAAAGCGCCGATCGTAATGAAGGGCGCTCGGAAGTCAAGTGTTCGCCATCGAGTTCAACAAGCATGATAATAGGAATAAACTTTTTTTCGCCGTGCAAATTAAGATTTCTGGATCTGGAAATCGGCTAGTTTTGATGTAAGTTAAAGTTCAGTATGATCTATCAAAGACTGGAAGCCAATAATCATCATTTAAAAAATTCCGAGATGAAAAGAGCGATTTTGCTGACCAAGGATAATATCAAATGTTTTCTTAATGCCAAATAGGCCACAACAGTGCTTCACTCGCTTCATAATGAAAGAAACGATATTTCATAATCACAATCACTACATTGCGTCTGCAATTCGATTGCGCATAAACCAAATTACACCACCATCCTCGCCTCATCCGGGTCCCACCACGAAAACTCACCCCCGCGAAAAAAACGTTCGAAAATCGACATTTTCTGCTCCTCCGGTTTTTTTCCGGCTCGGCAGAAAAACAAACTGAACTTTCGGCGTGAAAGAGAGAAATGTCAGGAGAGCTGGGCGGCTCGGGATTTCAAACTCCAATTAACGTAAGTTTAACTTGCTTGGGTTGATATTTTGATCTTTAGAAGGTTCAGAACGACGTTCTTCTTGATGAATCGGAACGATTGACCCCTCAAGTCCCAGAGAATGGCCAGAATCTTTTTCAGATGGAATTAAACTTCGAAGAGAAGATTGAAGTCCAAGTAGAACAATATCAAAATATTGAACTCCCTGATGAATCGCAAATTCAAAACGAAGATGTTTCATTGAAGGCAGAGGTTCCAAGCGCGCCGAGCCCAAACGAGAACAGTATTCAGCATTCTAATCCTGAGCCCGCGTTTGCCGCGCCTATGCCACCAAAGAGTAAGTCTAAGTTGACTGGGTTTTTTATATTTTTAGATGATTTCGGAGGATCAGGCCGGATTGCCCCGAGAGTTGCCAACAGTGCCCCTCTGATTAATTCAACAAAGTAAGTTATATTGTTTTAGATTAGTTGTTCTTTTAGCGTGCCTCACTATATGTACCCGACTTTCTCGGCCGTCAGAAGGATCGAGGAGACTCAGAAACAACTCGCCATGAGATCAGCAAGTAAGTTGTTGCTTTCATTGAGTTTGGGTATCTTGAATTCATAGATAATCTCATTTATTGTATTTCAGATCGTGTTGAAGTGCCAAAAAGGATTGAAAGGAAATTTTCGAACTCCCACCAGTAAATAAGATCATCAATTGAAAACTCAGCGACTGTATTCAATAAGCATTATAGTTTTCTCATGTTTAATACGATTTCCTGTCGAATAAACTAACTGTAATATATTGGATTTTATGTCGATAAGGTTGAGTTGCCTTTTTGTTCATATTTAAATGGTTGGACAACTGATTTGAACCTTTTTTCTGCTCTTCTTTGTATCGTCAATGATTCTTTTGATTTTAATTTAGGTTGATGGATGACACTTTGAACTTTGTGCAAGGTATAACGGCCAGAAAGAGAGGGAGGGAACCCAGGAAGCCAACAGATACTCCCTCTCGAATCCCTATTTTAAATAGTGGTATGAATTTTTATATTTTCCTTGATATTCGGCGTTTAGATTATTCATGCATTTTTTTGTAGTTCCCAAACGAAATGTAGTAGTTCTGGTGGGATGGAGGATTCAGTTCAAGTGGGTGTCACAAGGAGCCATTTTTCCCAGTTTTGCATTATTAGTAGAGGGTCTACGAGCAGATAATGGATGTCAATGGACCAGCAGCGAGATCACCAAGGTTGTGCCGCCAAATCAATTCTTCACACAGAATACGATCTATGAGATTAGAGGAGCCATCGACAAGGAGAAATGCAAACAAAGTGAGTAAAATCAGTTTGCTTTGATATTGTTTTGACTGTGTAATGTCAGGTGTAATATTCAGGAGGTTTCGATATGCGATTTGTTGAGAAATTCAAGAACGGATTCCCTCAAAATTGGAAAGAAGAGATTGAGATTTATATAGAGCAACTGTAAGTTGACTTTTTCTTATAGTTTTTGTTGTTTTAGTGTAGCAGCCGTCGCCTCGATGAAAAAAGCGAATCAGGAAGAGCAATTCGCTCCAAATGACGCTGAAGTGACCGTTGAAGAAGAGCTGGAAGAAGACGAAGAGGAAATTAATGTTATTGACGATGATCCCGATGTTGATACAACAGCTGGGAATCATTATGCGGAAGAGGTCCAGTCAAATACAACAAGGAATGGCACAATTGAAGAACCGAGTGATAGAGAAGAGGATGAAGAAATGGATGAGAAGGGAGATAAGAGCGATGACTCTTTTGAGGTTGCGATTCCATCAGATTGGTCCGAAGAGGAAGATAATGGTGAACAAGAGACTGAAAAGAGAGCTGAAACTCCAATTAGTGAGATTACTGTGCAGGATGTTGAAGAAGTAAGTCAGAGATCTTTTCTGCTGAGAGAAATAGGTCCCTTTTTATATTATCTTTGATTTTTAGGTCCCCGAAGATCAAACTCCCAGGGCAACGACACGAAGGATATCTCAAATCCAACGTCGAATGTCGAGAGCACCCGATATGGCCGCAATTCAAGAAGAAGACAGCGCCGAACTCAGCACAACAACTCCAAAAACTCAGCGGTCAAAGAACAGCCGCAGGTCGCAGAGCTCCCAGAATCTCTCGAACTCCTTTGACATCCCAGAGCTTCAACGAAGCAAGCGAGGAAGGCTTATCAAGCCCAGATTGGGACCGGGGGAACATATCTTCTATGATAAGGACGGGGATATTGTGGAGATTCGACAGAATACAACTAGAACCCATATTAATCCGAGTTCCTCGCAGAGTATTGTAAGTGGCTGGAGGAGTTTTTTCACTGGAATTTCGCTTTGACCCCGTTTATGAGATCCGCAGATATTATTTTTTTAACTTCTAGTGACTCTGTTTGACCAAATTTTTAATTTTTTTGTCCGTCCAACCTGTTATGAAAGGGTTGAAATATGGGTGATAAGGAAGTAATAGACGTATATTTCAGCAAGCCCTCGCGAAAAGTCTCGGTTTCCAAGCTCCAGAATCCCCGCTACAGAAGGAGAGACGGCTCAGTAACATCAGCCAACGGCCCAAGAAAAGACGCTCTTCGCATGGCCAGAAAAGAAAACCACTGGTCGATTATGACAGCGATGAGGACCATAGATCTTTGGATGATGTCTCATTGAATGACTATCAAGAACCGACCCCATTGCCTTTCAGAAAACAGGCGAGAAGAAAGTTGACAAGTGATTCAGAGGACGAAGAACAAGAAGAAGAGGAAGAACAGCCAAGAAGAAGGAGCAAAAGAACTCCGAAAACAAAGAAAAAGCCCGTGGAAAAGAAATCGGAAACGAAACCGAAGCCAAGAAAGAGGAAATCGACAGAAAATGAAGCCGAAGGTAAGAGAATTCATTTTGTTTTGGGAATTGCCGTATTTTCAGTCGATCATCCGAACGACGAAAACATGAACACCACTAATGACACCACTGAACCCACCAAGAAACGGAAGCCAACTTGGACGACTGATTTCAAGGACAGATTGAAGGTAAATCTTTGGGGTTTATTATATTGTAGTAGGCAAGGTTGGCTAAAAATGATTAAAAAAATTTTTTATTGGTTGCTGTTGACCACTATTGATATTTTCGACAATTTCAGGGCCTAGTCAAGCTGATCAACCCCGCCACGGAAAACCAATGGAAAATTCTGAGCGAAAACTTTGAAGGAATCTTTTCCCCAGAAGAATGCAAAGACCAAGCAACCAAAATGAAGCTGTTAAAGAAGAGAAGCCAGGGCCTCAATGAATCCCAGATTGATTTGGACCCGGTTATGAATGTGTTCTCCGAGCTGAACAACGCCAAAGCCAAGGAAAGGGGGACTTTGAGGTATCAGCAGAAGGAAAATGAGGCCAAAAATATGTTTTATAAGCAAGTGCAGAAGATCCGAAAGAAGGAAGAGAAGGAATTGAACAAAATGAGTCAGGACAGCATGGATGAAACGGTAGGACATTGGGGTTGAATTGAGATCGAAATTAATTTATATTATCCATGAGGGGTAATATGAGATTTGATGAAAATAATGTCGATTATTTAGATGATTGAGATTGCCAAAGCCTACAGACCACCCGCGAATCTCCCGTCGACGCGGTTCACACCGAACAAACGTCAATTCGTACCTGTTCCGGTTAGTGCGATGAGGAGAAAAAGTTCCATCGCCCCGATGATGGAAGACAGCTTTGATGTTCCTGATTGGTAAGTCACTAGACAACCGCTAAGTTCCCCGTAATCACTTGACTAGCCTTTAGTCTAATTATTTTACCATTAGACCCGCTTTTTTCGTATAATTTATATTATACTTGACATTTCTAGGTCCCATCAAGTCAAAACAAGATTCCGATTGCGCAATTAGCTTCCCAATATCATCACTAACACTCCACCCACTTGTTTTTATGTATAATTTTTCTAGTTGTACAGAATGTTTCGCACGGTAAAAGGTCTTAACTTATTGTTTGCAAAGTAAATGCTAAAGTCTTTGAATTGTCACACGTTTACTCGTTCAACGCCATGTATTTTGTTCATAAGTAGACAATCTCCAAATTATTTGAAATTAAATACACATACATTAGAAGAGCAGACCCATATAATTCTATGAGCAATGTGACTCCGAAATTAAGAAATCTTTTGAAGATAACGTATTCGGTTCGAATGAAGAAGGCCATCCACAACCTCATACATATAAGTTTCTCTAGTTTTCCAATCGTAAGAATTTATCGAAAAGATGTTGTGACTTTCTCTTCGAAACCGGAAGAATAAGGCGTCGATGTCGCTGACATGCGATTTGGTGAGCATAATGTGGCTCTTATCAAAATATGCAAACTGAAACTTAAAAATTACTGTAACGAAAAAAGAAAAAATTACTCTAAATTTGAAGGGTCACTAAAAGGGAAAGTACCCTTGCGGGCAACCACTTTGCGGTCATAAATGTGGATCACATTTGCGAGCAGCCTGGGACACTTGCAGGAAACCGGCGCTTGCGGGCAGCCGACACTTAAAGAAACACGCTACCCTGTAGGAAGTTTTGGAAATCAATCCGCCGAAAATGTCAGCGGATTTCCTAAAGAAAACCCCCATCATCGCAGCAATTTTTTATCCTGTTGTCCCCAAATGTCCCCGGCTGCCCGCAAAGTTGTTGCTCGCAAAAAATTTGCCCGCAAAATGGTTGCCTGCAAATGTCGCGACGCCGACGCTAAGATTTTGATGAAACTGGGCACAACTAGATAATATTTTTTTCTGGGTCATGTATGGAAGGTTATTTATAAATTTTGTTTTTCAATCCTGTCATAAGCGGCAAATTTAGTCCACCGAATTTAGTGTAACGATGGACAAGGTTTTCCAAAGTTTAGACCAAAATTCAGTCACGGTGAACCGAATTTGCCGCTTTTGGTTGGACTGAGAAACAAAATTTATAAATCACCTCCCATATACGCGAGACTTCTAGTTTGCGTTCGGAAGAAACGACTCTGATTTTTAGTTCAAAAGTTGGGAAAAAATGAGTTTTTTTTGCGAATTTTGGCATGAAAATTTTCAGATGGTCATAGAAGCTCTCGGCTTTTATTTTGGCCGATGAGACGAATTTCAGCGCAAAAATGGGCGTGCAGCGATTTGAAAAACCAGTGCATTTTTAATGAGTCAGCACTGATTTTAGGAATTCATGGCTTCAGTCGGATTTTCTGCGAAACTCGTCAATTCCTGCGAAAGAAAGCAATTCTTGCGATAGAATTCGTTATTTGCGAAACCAATTCTTCTGAAACAAGCTAATTCATAAGAGCTAAGCGCCGAACATTGGGCACTTCCCCTGTAAGAGTCGGGCGTTTTAAACACAAAAGTTACGCATAATCCTGCTTTGGAAAAAGCAAGAAGGAAACCGATTTGACCGAAATTCAATAATCTTTCTTCTCACCCTCAAGTACTCGTCTTTGAAGACAAAGATATTCCGGTTGAGCCTGAGAAAAGGCGGCCATACATCTACAGTGATTTTTTCATTTGCTTCGAAAAGCCTTGCACAGTACTTATCTGGAAGAAGGAGTTGATTTCCTAGTTGTGCTGATTGGTATACCGAAGACGTATTGCGAATACGGTAAGACATCCGTTTGTTTTCCTTGACATCAACATGCACAATCTTTATGCATGACATACCATATGGCACTTCAAATGACGAGAGAACAAATATAAATTGTTCATCTACAGTCAGCTTGAGATCGTTTCCAAGCCATGGTATGGGTGTTTCAATGACTGTTGTCACATCTTGTCCGGGCTGGACGTAGTAAACACACACGTTGCCTTTGTCCGTGGCCTTCGTAAAATATAATCGATCGGTCTTCTTCTCGTAAAACATGGAGGTGACCAAGACGTCAATCGCGTACTGTTTAATATACTTAGTACTCGCGCCGTAAAAAAAATTGTGTTTTCAATTTACTTACATAGAATCTTGTCAGGGATCCTAACACAAAAATTTGCTGATTTCTTACGCTACTCGGATGGAACTCCAAATTAATCCGCCCGGGGTTTTGACCTCTCAACGATTTGTCGTTATTCACAATGGTCATGGAGAGACGGTAATCCTTTGGTCCAATGTATTTTATGAGCTATAAAGAGGTGCGTTATTCATTTAAAATGGTCGATACAGCTGGTTTTGAATTGCGGTTACAGACTGGGGAAACAAAATTTCTGGAAAATGACTTTGCCTAGTGTGCCGAAAGCAACAGGAAAAAAATTCTCGTTACAGTCTAGAGGTGTACTAAAAATTATTACATTATTTCAGCTCTTTTCTCGTGGCTGGAGACGAGAAACCTCTTTTGACATTTATAGCGGTCAAAAATAGCGGTACAGACCCTTGCTTGTGAATATTACAAGACGTTGTCGACTAGTGACGCTTACCCGCAATGGGGCGAGAAATCCAGGCATCAACCCCTTGATAGTGAAGTCCGTGGAGATTATTTCCTGCTCCAAATCTTCGTACAGGATGAGTAGGTCAATCGTTAATGAATGGCAAAAATACCGCAGGCATTTGGATAACTCGAGAAAAACATCGTTATACATGTAGGATGAAGACGGACGGCAACCCAAAATAAAAAAAAATATCGCCCGCCCACTTATGAGATTCGTCCGAATGAACTGTCACAATTGCACAAAAGAAATAAAATAATTCCGAGAAAAATATTTTTCAGGGTTGTTAAGTCGTCAGCTTGACGCGTCAGTCAAGTTGTCAAATTGCCCTCATTTTCGTCATGTCAAATTGTTCTGTAATTTTGATTGTCAAATGGAACTTTTTTAGAAAATTTTTATAGATTTTTGCTATAAAATCGTAGGAATCTAAAATTTTTAGAAACTAAATTGCTCCTTTTTGTCAAAACGACCGATGAAACTAGCAATAAAACTAGTTACGACTAACAAGGGAAGTACCCCAAGTGCGACGCTCAGATTTTCTCTAAATTTTGCACACACGTCGGGCATGGAATAAATATCAATTCCTGAAAGTTTTAGCTCGCGCTTTGCGGGCGCCGCCGAGATATCGAACGATTTTTGCCGCTGAGAGAGCACGCCAAACGTGGAGAGCGGTCGGAGAGAAAAGCGCTTTTTGGCCATAACTTTGGCAGTTTCGTGCGGAAAATTTTGATTTTTTGTGGAAACATTATCCTTTACGGTTGAAATAGGCATGAAACTTTTCGAGCCTAAATCCGGCAAAAAATGTCAAATTTTCGCCAACTTTCGATCTAAAAATCTCGGTTGTTTCTGCAAAGTGCGAGCTAGGATTCTCGCATGTGTCTTAGAAAAAAACATTCTAAATTTTTTTCCAAGTTTGATCAAAATCTGAGCGTCGCACTTGGGGTACTTCCCCTGTAAGATTAACGATATCCATCATATTCTCTTGTTAAACTCGTGTGTGTGTGAAAGCTCCGTAAAGCAGAATGAAAAATTTTTAAGCTAAATTTTCAATTTAGCTTAAGTGACGGCAATTTGACGTCAATTGAAAAATTCTGTCAAATTAACAACCCTAATACTTTTCCACCGAAAAACCACACGCGTGTGGATAATTCTACGTGCACGTAGAATTCTTTCGCGCACAGCGTTTCGAAGTTTTTCCGCCACCGATCGGTGTCAAAAAAAAATTAAAAAACGAGAATGGGGTACGCGTTTTTTGTGTTGTCGGCTAGCCGTGGCACATATTGAAAAATTAAAAAGTGCATTTCCCTTGCATTTAAATTTGAAATTTTCATTTTTTCAAATGCGATTTGCCTGGGCCTTACAAAGTTCATGGTGACCATTTTTACATAATTTGAATGAGAAACGTTCAGAGTATCAAATGTTTTTTTTTTAATTTTTCGGTATGTGCCACGGCTAGCCGGCAACGCAAAAAAATGTAGACCCCCTTCCCGATTTTTTAATTTTTTCGGCACCGATTGGTGGCGGAAAAACTTCGAAATGCTGGGATTTCGTGACATTTCGTTTGATTTCATTCGATACTGGGCGGGACGAAGTACCGGCAGCAGGCGGGAGATTTCTTTTGGGGTCAGACGGCTTAGTTATGTTTGCCGTGTCTGCAAGCACTCTGAAAGCGGCGTTTTAAGATAAAAAATATGGTTCAATATCGATCGCTAGGAATGGCGACCAAGCCGGACTTTAAAAATTTTCAGAACGGGCCGAACCGTTCTGAAAATTTCGCAGTAACTTGTATGTATTACCTGTAAATTTTTTCTGCATTACTATTTCCGTCGCAACACTCCCGCTGATTTTTGGCCCAGAAATCTTGAAGTCGATGGTCGGCGTTTCTTAAACTGCTGTCCGCATGATGATAAAGGGCCATTATTTGGTAAACAGAAAGACGTCGATACACTTCATGAGCTATCTAACAGGGGAAGTACCAAAGTGCGGCGCTCACATTTTGATGAAACGTGGCACAAATTTATTTTTTATTTATTTCTAATATTTTTTCTAACAAGGGATCGGAAAATATACTCCGCGCACAGCATTCCGAATTATTTTTGCCGCTGACCGGCGTCCGAAAAAATGAGATTTGCCTCTTACGTGGGCCATCCAATGCCAGCCATTTTTGCCCACGTTATTTAAGAAACTCATCCATCGTGCACGTCTGAGACGTATCGAGTGCCAAATAGCTCGGCGGGGATTTGATCGTCCTCGGGGGCATCTACAGTAACGGCAAACTCAAGATTAAGGTGAATGAAACCTATTACAAAACGTGTCGAATCGAAACATTTTACATTATTGGGAGTAAATAGGAGTCTAAGAATTACATTGAGGATCTAACGACCATATCTAGCCCTTCGGTCAAAGAGCTAATCGGTCGTCAAAGCTGGACATGACAAGAGGGTATCTGCCGAATCTACACCGCCAGGCCACCATGCACTTTTTTCGAAAAGAGAAGATAAATGCAGGTCCAAAAATGCAACGAAGCATTCGACGGAAAACCATTTATTAACCTGTATTCAGGTATGGGACGTCGATTACGATAGGTTTGGGTGGCATCTGCTGGCGATATCTAACTTTTTTAAGGGGGGTCAAAACTTTTTCCTCGATTTTTTTTAAAGGTGATTGTCGAAAATTGCATCTAGATTTTAAAATTCAACTATAGGGTATGTCCTGCTATGTTATTTTTTGTTACAAGCCTGTGAGCAGAGTACATACCAAATTTGGTCCGAATTGGTGCATTTGGGACGAGTTAGGAGGGGGCCCCCGGGGGGTCAAAACATTGTACGCGGAGTATACATATGTCGGCGGCGCCTTCGAAGCGCAAATTAAAACCTTCAGAAATTAATGTGGCCTATGCCTAATGTGTGTGCAAAAGGTAAAGAAATCTGCGCGTCGCACTTTGGGTACTCCCCTGTAAGTGTCTGCCAAGACTGGTTATAATCTGAGGATTGCACTTGGAGGAGCGCTTCCTCTGCAAATTTCCACTTACCTCGTTTGGCAATTTGGAGATTACTTTGAGCGCCACATCAAAACGTTTGGGCTTTTCTCCAAAGTCCAGCAGTTTAGCCACCGTTTCGGTACGACCACATGTGATGTGCGTGGGAACAAGATGAGAAGAAGAATATTTAAAGAGAAACTCATAGAAATCAGGCGTTAAATGGGAAGTTAGCGTGTAGATCCAAAAGGTAATCTTTTTGAGGGTTAGGAGAAATGGAAAAATCCATTCTTCGAAATAATTTAAACACATAGCGTCTGCTCAGTGACGCCTAAAAAATGCTTATTAGGATCGCGCGCGGGTTGGCAACACGGTATGGACATATATGTTATGTCGGATATAACGCTTCTTTTTCTCGGTTCGGCGATTCGCCCACAACATCCAGGTCGATCCTAATTATTATAAATGCGCGGAGTACAGAGCCCAGCAAGTCAAAAGAAGGTTCCGACTGTCCCATTAGCCCCCCAATTTCATCACCAACAACCCACCCATTTGTTTTTAAAGATATCTAAAATAATGTAAGTTAAAACTTTCCCAGTTTGTACATTTTTTGCATGGTAAAAGCTCTAACTTATTGTTAGTAAAGAAAATTCTACAAACTATTGTATTGTCACACGTTTACTCGTTCAACGCCATGTATTTTGTTCATAAGTAGACAATCTCCAAATCATTTGAAATTAAATATACATACATTAGAAGAGCAGACCCATATATACAATGTTGGCACGGTAAGTAGTAAAGTAATAAGATAAGTTAAAGTACGATTACTCCTCGCTAAAAACTTGACAGAATTGAGAATACGGCTTGAGGTAGACGACCAGCGCCGTCTTGTTGTCCCCGCTGCTGTCTTCGGCCGTCTTTCGCAACACATCGGCCGCTTGTCCGTAGTCGGCGCCGGATTTGGCATGCGATTTGAGAAGCCGGTAGATGTCCTTCTCGTTCAGACCATCGGTAATTCCATCAGAACACAGGATCAGAGCGTAGTCGTCCTCGCCGATCGGATGGATTTTGGTATCAGGGTCGGGGATGACCAAATCTTCGGCCATCATCTCGCCCATTGATCGCGAAATATTCAAAATATTGTTCACCCTCCCATTGGAAACAAATCCATTGGCGGCAGTGATCCGTTTGAGCTCCAACTCGTCGCTCGGCACATGTTTCACGGACTGCGTGACCACTCCGTCCTTCTTCATCAACATGATCGCCGAATCTCCGGCCCACAACATGTAGATAGTATTGTCGCGAATGAAGGTGATCGCCGCCGTAGTGCCACTTTTGACTCCATCATGCACCGATCGTTGTCTGAGCCGGGAATTTGTCCGATAATAGGATCGAACACAATAGTCCAAGGTATCTTCTGAATTCTTTTCTTCTTCATCCAGGAAGGATTCGGCCAGATGAGCGGCCGCGTACATCGCTGAAAACGGACCATTGTGACCGTCGAATACTGCGAACAACGAGTCTTTCTCACGACCCTGGAAAAACATCAGGTTTAATTATTATTATGGACACCTTTACCTAAAATTGATTAATGATAATAAAAAATTGTTGAAAACTAACCTTTGTCCTTTCCGGTTCGATCAGTGACAGAGATGGTAACGCTACGAAACGATCTTCCATCGTTCTTCTTGATCCGATCGCCGATGCTAGCGAATATTCGAAATTCATCACATCTGATGGGAAGTCTAAAGTAAACTAGTATAAAAACCCTTTCTTTCTCCTTACCCGGAATTAAATTTTCATTTGCTCGAACTCCATGCATGTATTCGTTGATCCGGCGCGACACTTGATCCACGAATTTTGTTTTTACAGCCTCATAGACATCACTTCTCCATTCCACACGTTGCAGATTGAGATCCGACTCAAATTTGGCCACAAAATCAAAAGCCAAAATGTATGCCATCCATGTGGGGATTCCCCTAAAGACAGAAGATCCAAATGAAGAGATCCCACCTACTTTTTAGTGACTGTTTCAAAGAACAAGTTAGCAGCATCGAATCTTGCATCGTGCTTGGATGAATACTCAAAGATCGGCCGATTTCTCATGACCGGCCGAAGTGGAACGTCGGCTACACCATTCTGCTGTGGACATCCATCAGTCCCAATAGTTGTTGGAGGGCCTAAACGTCAAAAAAAAACAAGGATAATATAACTTACTAGGCGGATCCTGGCTGGCCGATGGTTCTGGCCACTCCCGGTTCACAATACGGCGAATCTTGGCCTGATGAACATACTGATCCATGGAAACGATGGGATATGTGTGGAGAGGGCGAGGATCTTGTTGTTCTTGCGGGCAAAATATTTATTTTCTTATTTTTTTAGGGTTTCCCATTGGATCGGGCGCAGCTCGCCGAAATTCGTGGGTCATTTCTCACCGATGAGAAATCAGCAACTTGTATGGTCAATTCAGTGGCCAAGGAACTAAATACTAATTGATAAATTTAAAATTTTTAAGGAATTTTAATATTACACATGACATCAAACATTAGATCAATTAAATTTATTATAACCATGGCCGCAAATATTATTTTTAGGAGTTGATCATAGATCCGTAGATCAAAATGAAGATTACTGCAAGTATTAGAAGTCCAAATACGACGAGATGTATGGTCACTGACCACCAGGCCACCCAGTATAAGGTTTGGTCACAGTAATCCCTCTCGAACATGTTGGGCATGAACTGAACATACGGGGTCCGCGATCCGTAGACCCATACACAACCTGTAAATAAAATTTTTTTGATAAGCAAATTACTTAAAATGACATTGTTTTGAAACGTTTTATATAATTTTACATTACACTTACCAAGGATAACACAAATCAGCATGTAGAGAAGCGCAATGCCTTCCAGTCCATGCATAAGTAAGTCTGGATACAACGAGCTCTTTTTCGGTCGATTTCTCGACCTTCTTTTGGGATTTGGGAATGCTTTGGCACTTCGAATTATCCCATGAACAATCAAGGCACTGCCCGAAAGGATCAGATATAATGGCATCAACGGTTGGATCTCGCACATGGAGTAATTATAAGAGCCAAAAAATATTGAAAACAATCCTGCCAAAATTTCGAACGCAGCCAGCCCGATCCACACCATGAAGGGCACGTTCTTATTGATGAACGACCTCAGATTCCCCGCAAATTGAACAGTGTCGTCGGAATTGGAATACACATCGGCTAGTCGGTCGCCATTCCCGGTCTTCTGGCCATTCAACGATAACCGCTCTTGGGAGCGAGGATCAATCGTAGACCGATAAACCGGCTCATTTGACTGCCGGAATTGACTGTCGGGGCGATATTGTTGCGGATTTTGAGGTAAATTTTGATAACGATTGGGATTCTTGATTATGGAGCGAGTGGGAGTGGCGGAAGATGGCTGTGGAGGAGGTTGGATTACGGAGGAAGAAGGGCGCGACATCTGATGGCCTTCTATGGCGGTGGAGCGCTCGCTGGAAACAAATGAAATTGGGATGACAATTGGGGATATGGAAAAAAATAAGATCTTCTATTATCAAAGTAAAGAACATGGAAGGTTCAGGCAAAAAGACCACAAAGTCTGAAGCTACAGTAAAACTTTTTTTTTGAAAGGAAGATGGTGAAAGATCTAGGATTTGAATTAACAATTGAGAAAAATTAAAACCACAATTTTTATGAGTAGTGTATACAATTTGAAATAGTTCCTATCAAGTTTAACTTGGGCACGCTGCCAAAAAATCCCAAAAAAGTTGGTAAGGGGTCCAGAGGGATTCTTAAAAATAAAAAAAAATTGTAGGATTGACCTTTACCAAAAAAATTTACGAAAATGATGACTAAAAGCTGAATTAGTAACGCAGACCTACTAAAAGCTATCTACTTGACATTTCGACTTTTTTAAAAACAGACTTAAAAGTATTGACTTTAACCCTCACTTATCAAGCCCATCCTCTCCATTCTTCAGTCAACATAAAATCCTTTCGAAATTCCTTTTCACCTCTAATCTCCCAAAAACCCCGAAGTCAAAAGTACTGTCGAATCAAAGCCTCGTCTAGACCTGTTTCCTTCGGCTTCTGACCTTCGCCACCTACCTGGGTATGGATGTTTGTTGATCGGTGGAAAAACTCATTTCCGTAAACCTCTCGACCGACGCCACCCTTCGACCATTCAGATATGGCATCTAAATCGAGGTTGTGCAAACAAACAGGCCCGCAAAAAACAAACAGAAATCACGATCACGTGCTGAATCACTTTATATAACAATACAACTGCTTAGATTGTATTTCCTGTCTTGTCCTTTATCATGAGGAAGGAAGTCTGAGGTTTCTGAGGGACTTAAAGTGCTCTTAGGCATTAGAAATCAGAATATGACATGATTTCAGATTGCTTAATGAGTCAGCCAATCTTACTCATGACAAAAAGTCTAAAAAATTTTCATCTCTCGATTACAAAATTGCCTCTGGTTTATCAATTCTTCCTTGATAAGACTCCGTGACCCAAAACTGACTCGATAAATTCATCAAAACAACCCTTTGGACCCATAAGATCACCTACTACAATATAATCACAATCCAAAATCGCTTCCATATGACCCGCGGCGCTTACGAAACGGTCTCTAATACCTGGAAGTTTTCCTGAATGTCCTCTGCAAAGACAAACAATGACTGCACACACGCCTCGAGCACTCGGCTCGGTTATCTTATTCCTTCGCCTTCTCAAACAAGACTGGGAGAACAAATCTGAATTTTTTGGCTGCATTCCGCGTCACGGAGTCATCTTTTTCAATTTTCGGGTCTTTTATGACAATCGGCGACGGGAGAAAGTTTGATGACTTTTTGTCGTAAAATTGGATATTATCCATGAGGATTTGCGGGTCAAAGATGGACAAATTATACATATAATCCCACAAAAATCACTGACTACATCATAAATCACCTAATAATCTCGGAAATTTACTGTTGCAGTAAAAAATCCATCAACAATTAAGAGGAAAAAAGACAGTTGAGATTTCCATGGTGTATTTATATTTACAAAGAATACATTATTAATGACGGAGCGAGGCCGTGTCTTTCTCTTGAATCATGTCAACAGTCTTAGCGAGGTCCAGGTCCTTTTCTCTTTGTAGGCGCTGTCCTGAAAAAAACATTGAATAAACTCAAAATTACATAGCTATCAAGAAGATGACTTAATTTCTAAAACAAGATTAAAAAAAAGTTATCCAATAAGATCAAAATAATAAATAATGTAAAGCAATAAAAGAATCTATCGTTCTCATCAAATTTCCAACACAAACAACTATAAAAACAATCGCTTTTTGTCTCAAACCATCATGTCTAATCTACTTACTGACAATCTGAACGATGGCTCTGTTCGTTCTCCTTTCCAGCTTATCCAAATCTTCCTGAATTCCTCTTTTCAGATCCCAATCCACTTTCTTTGGGGCCAACACGGAGATATCCTAAAATTAAAATGATAATGCCATATTATCCATGACATACCAAGTCATCTCCCAACTGGATGTTCTTTGCATCATCAATAATTGTCTGAATATCTTGTTCCGTCTTCTGAAGAACATCTCGAACCTCGTCGCCCACGTTGATAATATTTGAGGTGACTGTCTTATAAGACCTCGGGTTTAAGAGCCTAAAATTCAATGACCAATATCAAGATCAAATCTTACATTAACGGACCCTCTTCATCATCCGCATTTCCATTCCTCCTCTTCTCCAAAGTTCTTTTCCGTAGATCCTCAAGGCGTTTTCTTCGCTCCAAAGCGTTTTGTTCCAACGGGGAGAGCTCGAATCCTTCGGTCTGATCGATATTCACCATCTAAACCAACAATTAATACATCTAAAACAATATAACAACCTTCCAATACTCTGTCGAAACAACGAAAAGTCCCTTATACCTCCCAAAACACATCAAACTACTCAACAATTTATTGAAAACAATAACAATTTCTTCCTAAATTGAATACCGGACCTCTCGGGACCTAAGATAAGCGTAATAATCTCGCATTTTATCCCATCCATGGGGGATTGGTACGGCTCGTTTGTGTTGTGGCGCGACTCCCTCCTCTAATCGCACAAACAAATGGACGTATCGATGGCGAGTTTTGTTCCAATTTTCTCGAGCGTGTCTTTTGTAACTCTTCAAGATTCTGCATTGAATGGCAAAGCATTCTGCGACAAACATCTCTGACGGGTTGTTAATGTAGAATTCGGTCTCTGCTCGGCTCTTGGCCTCTTCTAGAGCGCTGGCCAGGATTAGGGACGTCTAAAATTACGCTGGTTATATTGTACTTGATGATAAATAGCTCTCCAAGCAGCTCCCTAAAAACAAAAAAACCAAGTTGAAACTCAACTCACTTTTCCCAGCTTGAATTTTAGTTGTGAAATCGCGTCGTCCACATTCATCCTCCAGGCAAATTGGCATGCGTAAAACATTTTTCTAGTCGACGAATGAATATTTTCAACGCAATGAAAGACCTCTGCTGCTTTTGGAAGTCCAGTTTCTGGGACAATGTGACCCGCTGGCCATACAACCTAAAGATTAGACCGATTACTGCCTAAATTTTAGAATTTTTATATCAAACTTGTCAAAAAGCTCACATTATTTTGATATTCCCATTTTTCTGGAGTCATTCCATACTCTTTGGCCGGATTATATTCCTTATCCTCGTTTCTTCTGTTTTTGAATTCCCATTCTGGCGCATAAAACACCTTCTTCTGTGGCTCTTCGAACCTCTGAATTGTTGGTTTTCCAAATTGCACTCTTCTTTTCCATGGGTCGACTGTTCGCAACTGATTCTCTGGAGGTGTTGGGTCATTCCGAAGGAACGCTGAGGTCATTAACGACCTTCGGGTACCCAAAAGGGCTCGGGTAATCATCTAAAATCAAAATTTGGTATAACTTCGTCTATTAAAATATAAATCCATCAATATTTTTGGTCAACAACCAAGGAAACATCACGTTTCGCCTCGAACAACTATAAAATTCTTTATCTACTCTATCTTAAATTAAATTAGGGAGATTTAAAGCATTTCATGACAAGTCGGAATCGATGTTGAGCATGTTTCTGATGGTATGCTTAGTCTCACGCAGTGCTTTTCGTTCCATTGTCAGGCCAACAATCCCATGCCATAAACAGAAACCTATGAAGAGGGTCAGGATGAATCGGGATATCTCAACCTGCAAAAATTCCCGTCAGAAAAATATTATAAAAACATAAAAGATGGAAAAAGGACGTTGAATTTTCTTACCGCCACAATCAGTGAGGGGAAGACGTTTTCAAGGTTGATGGTCAAAATAATTAGAGACAGCGCGATGATGCACATGGCCATAAAGAGTCTTCTGTCCCAGAGAACCCTGACTTCGCCTTCTTCAACAATCGCCAACGATCTCTCCAAAAACGCGTTTGATAATGGAACTTTCGGAAGACATTCTCCTTCGACTGATGTGGAATCTTCTAAAGACCAATGGACAATAATATAAACTACTTACCACCACTCAAACTAAAAGTTGCCGTTACTCCAACATGATCCGAAAAATTGCCCGGCTTTGGTTCCACAATCTGATTAAAGCATGTTCTACAATCTTCAACCCTTACACAAGCTAAAAGTAATAATTATATTGATAACAGCTAAGAATCTTACACTTTCCACTTTGATACATAATATAATCTAATCTTTTCCCTTCCGGACACAGTTTTCTCATATAATCCGGGGTGTAAATGTTATCCGGACGTTCGCAAGTCATCCCGTCTCTGTCATCCATATTGGAGCGGTTCACCCAAGCGTCATACAAGTTCCCGACATATCGAATAATCAAATATCCCAAATCATCTGGTTCAATATTGAAATCACCGGCTAAGAGGATCATATCTGCGGCTCTACTCGTGTATCGAACAAATTGGGCAAGCTCAAAACACTGGGCAATTCGATGAGGAAGATACAAATCGTTTTCTCGGTTATATTCGGCGTGTAACTGAAATTTGGTCATGTATAATACAATATTAAAAACGCTTAAATGCGATTTCAAATGTCTTCATTGTGCTTTTCCTCTTACATGAGTTGTGTAGACAGCAATATCCTTCCCATGCCAGTCCAATTCTACCATACCAACGATCTTTCCTCCAAACCAATCTCCCCGATGAACATGATGGGCAAAACCGTTTAAGGTATAACGATGAATAAGCGTTCCTTTGATCTTGTGAGCACTCAGAACTCCAACTCCACTTCCAGTGAATCCACTGAAAAACAAAAGGATTATATGAGACTAGACAGAAATAATAAAGTAGATCAAAGCCGGACCTAAAAGCAAGATAAAAAATATAAAAATAAAACATACCTGTGGAAGTAATGACCATGTCGATACCGGCGCAACAACTCAGAGTGAAGATAGAGAAAGTCTTTCTCATTCCAAAGCTAAAACTCAGAAAGCTCTAAAGGTTAATAAAAATTACCTCTTGAAGGCAGATCACGTCATAGTCTGAATCCTTCAGCTCTTCGCAGAGCTTCTCTAGCCGGTATTTCCTATCTTTACTGCCCAACGGATATGGGTATGGCAACAACCTAAACAGTAACAATCAACTTTATTAATTTACTTACCACACGTTTAGCGTGAGCAGTTTGAACTTCATGGCGACGGAATAATGTGTTAAGTATGAGACAGAAAGACGGGATGGCCGCAGACACCTGGTTGACAAGGTTATCAATGGAATTCCAGCATGGTTCTTTGGCGAAAGCTGCTCCGAGAAAAATTGGGAGCGGTTCGAGGACAGAGAAAAACTTGGCCCGTTATTTGCATGGGTCAACTGTTTTTGTTTCCGGAAAAGATGTCATAGACAAGGTAATTGCTGTAAAAACAAGATATCTTGTGATAAATAAGGATGCTCTCAATAAGTTCTGATAATAAGATTATACGAAGTAGCAGTATTTAGGCATTGTCTCTCTCTTTTAAATTAAACTTTTCTTGTCATGATGACAGTTTTTTTAGAAATTGTTTAAAGAAATTTTTTTGATAGAATTTCAGAATTCCGTTTCTCAAACCTTGTGCTTTCTGATCTGCTTCATTTTGTGTGTATAATGGCATTGGCCGTTGCCATATTTTCCAAGGAGGTAAGTGCTTTTATCTAGTATAAAATATTTTTAGAAAAGTTTGATATTCTTTCAATGCTCGCCGGAACGGATCAATGAGGAGACTCCTTTGCAAATGATGGCTTATTCGTCGTTGGATGTTCTCGATGAGCGAGAGAAAGTCCCATCGAATCGTCCGCAAGAACTTTTCCAAGGATGTTTACTTTCCAACAACTCTTACAAGGTAAATATTGCACTTCGAAGTTGATTAATCTAGCCTTTAGACCTTCGGCTACCTAACAAACACCTTGGTGAAGGTCTTTCTTATCTTTGCTGCAGATTCAACGATTAGAGATCAAGACATTCGGGCAGTAAGTTGTAATACCCGTTACTTTAAGTTTTGAATTTTTAGTACTTCAAACAACTTCATAATCAGTACTCCGATGAGGTCGCGAATCCATTCTATGTTCCAAATACAGTAATTAGGACGACAAGGTTCAGGAAATTTGTGAATTCTATTTTTGCTTAGATTATGGGTAATGTAATATAAATAATTTATTAATCCTTTGTGTTGATGACATTCAGTTGTGATTTTCATGATATTTCTGGTACAGTTCTGTTGATATTAGAGCAGTTTCTTACATTATTGTAGATATCTTTGATGGGAGGTGTAGTGAAATTGGCCGATGTCAGCGATTTTATCACTCCTAGTCAGGTAAGTTAATATCGCTTTTTTGACCCGTCTCTTATGCGTTTAGGCATGCATTCTACCCATGCCGGGTCAGTCTGACAAGCCCAAGTCCAGTCTAGTAAAGCTCCGAGAGAAATCGAAGAAGCCTATAGTAAAACCTGATGAGAAAATTATGGTGACCCTAAAGGATTGCCTGGCCTGCAGTGGATGTGTAACGACCGCAGAGACTGTGCTGATTCAATCCCAAACAGCTGAAGAAATGCTCTCTGGATTGGCTTCGGATAAAATGGGGTTTGTTACAGTATCCCCGCAGGCCTTGGCTTCATTGGCAGCCGAACTGGATATGAGTATCTCGGATATGGCTGTGATGGTTGCCCGATATTTCAAGGTAAAAGGAGCGAGTTATGTAATAGATTCATCGTTCGGCCGATATTTTTCGTTGATGGAATCGTTAACGGAGCTTAAATCAAGGTTAGAAAGTCGAAACGGAAAGGAAATGTTGATAAGTGGGATCTGTCCAGGTAATTTATATGGCTTTAACATTGTTTTTGGCAGCTTTTTGATGTTATTTTTATATTTTTTGAACTTGATGTCTAGTGTAATACAATTTTAAATCAGAAACGGTGAAAATATTTTCAGGATTTGTTTGCTACGCCGAGAAACGAAAGCAGAATGATGTAGTCCCTATGATCTCTTCAATACGATCGCCTCAAGCCATTACAGGCGCGTTAATTAAGGATTTTTTGGTCAGAAAAATGAATCTTGATCCTCGCAGTGTATACCATGTAGCCTTGATGCCATGCTATGATAAGAAACTTGAGGCTTCGAGGGCTGATTTTTCGGTAAATGGAGTGGATGTTCAAGAAACTGATTGTGTTGTCACTCCTTGTAAGTTTCTATATTTGATGGCATGTATAGCATAAGTTTTTGTGGTTTTCTGCGATGACATTTTATGTAATGTTAAGAAAAGAAACAGCAATTTAATTTCAGCCGAATTGCTTCCATTGTTGAAGGAATTTGAGCATGACGGAGGCTTGATGACCTCAGGAAACGAGATTAATTGGCTGAACTCTCTGGAATTTGGTGAAGTTATTGGTGATTACGAAGGAGAAACGTCGGGAGGATACACGAAATTTATTTTAGATGCGTTGACAAGGACGTTTAAGGAGAATAGTCAATTGGTTGATGTCAAAACAGAAAGGTAGGAGCAATATATTATCCATGATGACTTAGGTCAAAATTTGATGAAAATTTTTTCCCAGATGAGTGATATGGAACTAAATGGATTTCTGAGGGAGTTTTATGGCGTTTTCTCTGATTTCATAGTGTTTGAACTTTTTGGATATCATTTACCAACACAGTTTCTAAAATGACAAAATTGTTGTTCATGTCAAATTAAATCCCCCGCAATTTCAGCCAAAACGATCTTGAGCGCTTCACATTAAACTTGACGAACGGCCAGTCCCTGACTCTGCTCAAAGCATACGGGTTTCGGAACATCCAGAATCTGGTTCGTCGTATCCAACAGCGAAAAAATGAAGTCGATTACGTCGAAGTAATGGCCTGTCCGAAGGGTGAGTCAACTAATGGGATTGTGATTTTTGGACTTTATTTTGTAAATATGGGCTTGAGGTTTACCGAGGAATAAAAGTTAGCCCGTTAAATGAGTGAAAATTTAATTTTAGTAAGAAAATGGCTACTACAATATAAAGAAATTTTAGGCTGTCTAAATGGAGGCGGGCAGATCCGGAACCCTGAACCAGCACTCCAAGATCAGCGAGTTTTGAAGGTCAAAGAAGTTTATAAACAAGCGACAAGACGAGATCTTCTGGAGTCAGAATATCTTCAAGTCCGAGAAGAATGGGAGAGCCTGAATCCATCCTTCAGAGATCTCCTAGTTGCCAAAATCAAACATGTAGAGGGTCCGGCTGCAAATACTGTAGCGGCCATGGCGTGGTGATAATTTTTGGACGGTTTAGAATACATTGTTATTTGTTGATATAAATAGTATACAAATAAGGATGGTGCGATACAATGTTTTTCGCATTGTCTGGCAAAACAGCTCCCATTCAAGGAATGCCAAATATTTGATTCATACGGCGTAACATTGCCGCCATATTGCGAAAATTTCTTCTCTCTCATGGAGATTTTTTTCTCGGCACAGTCAAGAATTTTGTTGTTTTTGGCCAAGAATACAGAACTTTTTGCGAGTATTTGGTGGTAAAACTGATCGTGTTGGGTAGTAGATCAAGTTCATTTGAATTTTATTTTTTCAATTATTTTTGAAAAAAAATGAAATAAAAAATTTTTCGGCCAAAAAAATCATTGGGTTCTTGAGCAAATTGGAAGAGACGATGCTGACAATGGAATGAGGAAATAAAGTAATTGTTTTTGTAGCCGTAAAATGCGAAAGAAATTGTCGAAAGTAAACGAAATGACTTATTGCGAAAGGAACGGTAATTTTTTCAAAAGAAAATTTCAATAAAACGTGTTTGGCAAACGAAAAATCAGTTAACAAGGGAAGTTCTCCAAGTGCAAAGATTTTCTTGAAATTTTGTACATACTTTTGGAATATGCCACAAATCAATTTCTGAAAGTTTTAGCTTGCGTTTTGCAGGCGCAGCCGTGATATTCAACGATCTTTGCGGACAGGGGAGTAAGCGAAACCTTCTAAAACGCACATAGTTTTTATAGGTTGCAATTTGTTTTACAGAGATTTGAATGTGTTTATGTTGTGTATTTTTCAGCTTTGCTTCTTATCATAAAATTCTTGCTGCTTTTCCCGCTAAATTTTAATTCACTACTGAAAGCGCTATCTAACGTTTTCCACTTATTTACAATTTATGGAGGGGTTTGTTTTCCAGAATTCTGTTTACAGGCGAAATTTAGATTTTTTTCTATAATATATGCTTCTAGTTCGCGCTTTGCAGAAACAATCGAGATTTTTAGGTCGAAAAAAGCGTCACTTTCTTGTGTTTTTTCTCTCTGGCAGCTCTTAACGTACACTCTCTCTCTCCCTCTCTCTTTCTCTCTCTCTCTCTCTCTTTCTCTGTCGAAAAGATCGTTGAATATATCGGCTGCGCCTGCAAAGCGCCAGCTAAAACTTCTAGAAATTGATATGTGGCCTGTGCCCAAAGTGTGTAAATGTAAAGAAAATCTGAGCGTCATACGTGATTAGCTTCCCTTGCTAACTGATTTTTCGTTTGCCAAACACGTTTTATTGGAATTTTCTTTTGGATAAAATTACCGTTCCTCTCGTAATAAAAGTCATTTCGTTTACTTTTTGACGATTTCTTTCACATTTTTTTACGACTATAAAAACAATAATCTTATTTCCCCATTCCATTGTCAGCATCGTCTCTTCCAATTTGCTCAAGAACCAAATGATTTTTTTGGCCGAAAAAATTTTTATTTCATTTTTTTCCTAAAATAATTGAAAAAATAAAATTCAAATGAGCTTGCTCTATAAAGACTATTTAGTTGAACCGTCAAATTAAACTTTTCCTTTCGGTTTTCGATCAATTAAGATTCTTTGACAATTTTTTCGCTTCCAAATTAATTGATTTGAAACCGTTGACTTTTTATTTTACAGAATAATCTTTTTTCGTTTAATTACACATTGTTAATTACTCGGAGATGACTCAATTCTCTGTTTATTACAACTTGACAGATGGTGTTGGAGTTGTGGAAGTGATGGAAGAGTATTTACGGGGAGTCTGACATTCAAAGAGTTTGGGTCTGAAAAGGTTCACGGAGCCCTGAAAAAGGGCGTGGACGTGGATTACTCAACAGAAATGAGTAATTTGTTTGTGTTCTGGTGGAGGCAGGAAGTCTTAGTGCGTAAATTTACAGTTCTTACATTGGTTAGATAAGTGTAGAAATTTTATTTTTAAAGAAGAAGCGTACTTTTCATGTCGGAAAAATTTTTTAAAGTTAAAATATTTTTTGAATTTTTTTGGCTAAAAAATAAAAAAAAAAATATTTAATAAAAAAAATTTTTTTTGGAAGTCATGCCAAAAAAAGTTTAAAAAAGAATCCAAAAATTCCGTCTTCTGACCAATCAGGGTTAGTCACCAAAAAGTAAAGCTCCTTTTCTGATGACCGTCCGCAAAAATGTAAACAATCATTGTTTTCATGCATGGAAAGACAAAAGGAATTTGATTTTAAGGTCAGCAGCAAAAAGCGGTTTGTCATCGTCAACAATAAAACATCAAAAATAAAAAATATTCAAAAAAAATGCAAAAAAAATCAAGAAAACCTTAAAATCATTACAAAAAATAAAAAAAGAATCCAAATCTAATATCAATTAATTTCCGCCAACTACATTCCCAGATCATTACCATCGGATAAATGAAGATCACATTCCGGGAACCCCGCCGAAAGCCCATTTTATCTCATTTAACACCCCAAAAAGTATCTGATTCGTTTCTACAATCCCGTTTCTTCCACTTCCTTCCTTGCGTTGTAAAAATTTTCAATTTGCTCTGGCGGTATTTTAATTAAAATATTTTCAGGGGCAATTACAAGCCTCTGCGTTTTGCTGAGGGGGATCTAAGGGAAAGTAAAAGTATAAAGTAAACAAAATGTTAGTCATCAATTTTAAGCATACAAAAAAAAACGATTTTTCGGCTTTTCTCCTTTTCCTTTGATACTGCAAAATAAATGTAAAATATTGGAATTACGATCAGTTTTAAAATAAAAATATTTAAATTCCCAAATTAGGTCATTAGCGTCGACTTTTTCGGTTTACAAGTAATACTACTTACAAGCTAATAAAAACGAAGTTTTAGTTTTATCGGCGGCCTGAGGCGTTTTTAAAGCGATCAAAAGGCCCTATAATTTCGCTGAGACCGGGGCGCGGCTTTAGACACCTGATAAGGGAGGGCTTCGCACTTACAACGTCCACTCATTTAATATTAGTTTTGGTCACTGCTCACGGGATTCTTACGTTTTCGTCTTTGTGACTCAACCCCCGTCCTACTTGGGGCATCCGTTGGTAAAACTAGGGCTCTCTAATTGCCGGGGGTGCTTTGATGTTGAAGCCGAGAGTCTTTTCGTCGATGGAGCCAGGTCAAGGCATTTGGCGGTGGTCTTTGAAATTTTTGGGATGTAATGAGAGCTGTGATAGCTCTAGAAAGCATCGTGTATCAATTTCTGAAAGTTTTGTCTTCAGTCTTGCAGAGCGCTGAGAAATCTTTTGACTTCAAAAATCTCGGAAGTTTCTGCAAGGGGCGGCCTCGAAGTCTCGATTTTTTGAAGAGTTTGTTCTCAATTTGTACCGTGTTTTTTAAAAATCAGTTTTCTGCACTTGGACCACTGCCTGTTTCAATTTATTTTGCCTGAATTCGATTTTAAGTAGGCTTTCTGCTCATGGAACCCACTCTTTTCGCATTCCATTGACTGTCTCCACGAACAGTGCAGACCCGAGTGTATTCGCAGCTACACCCAAATATCTTGTCCTGTTCGTCGCTTTAGATCGTTGAAGGGGGCATTCCTCGGTTGGGTAAATGTGTTTTTTTCCTGCTGAAGAGATCGGTTTGGCGGTTTCTCTTGGTTGCTTCTTCCCCCCACTTCTTTTGTGGGGCATGTCGGCGATGATGGACTAGGAATGCCCGGAGGGCCTTTCCCATGCCTTTATCTGCATTGATCGGAATGAGCGGCGCGAATGGCGTTCCCGAGGCGTCATTAAGCGCGCTGAATGTCGCCGCCATTATGGACAGGATCACACTTTCACATTGCCTTTCTTCCGCCGCCGCCGCCTGCTCGGGTCGATGTCGCGCCCCCCGCAAACGAAGGAGTTTCGGGCGCTCATTAAGCGCGCTCCAGGAGGCCCGCTGATCACCGCACTTACAATGCACAGCCGCCCCATGATTAGTAATGCGCAAAAAACGAGACGGCAACAATGGCATTGCGGTCAGTTGCGTCGCCACAAGCACACACACAAAACAGCGCATTCCACAAAACCCGAAAGCCCTAAGGTGTTCTTGCGCGGACAAAGCCGAGCCCCCGCTAGCGCATCCCCGCCTCATCCCACGCATCAAACTGTCGGCCATTGCAGCCACCGAGATCAGCGGCCCCATCTTCCGCCCCACTCTTCAATCGCTTGTCGTCCTTTGCGCAGATTTGTCAGCACCCCGGCTGGAGGGATATGTACGCCCCACTCGAGAGCCTTGACCCGCCGGGCCTCGAGGATCGTTGACATGCCTGGGGGGCCTCGAGGGCTGGGCTTGGCTTCGGAGTTGTTGCGAATGACCCGGAAACTGCCTTTATCACTTTCGGATTATCGTTTTTTGCAATTTGTGATGGATTCATAATTGCGGGGATCCCGGGGATTCTGGTGGGGGTCGCGAAACTTTTTTGGAACTTTTTTTTGTGGCGATAGGGTTTACAAAGACCAAAAATGTTTGACAAATGTGTTGATAAGTCGGAGACCAGCAATTTGAACTTTTCTCTGGAAGAAGGAGGCTAACTTTTTTAAATCAACAAAGACCCCGATAAACAAAGTTGATCGGTTGAAGATCTCTTCTCCTCGAATTTTGAGACATATCAGACATCTTGCTATTACTTGGCAATGTATTGCACAGAATTGCAACGGCAAATGTCTATTTTGACGCTCCATGATGACTAAACTACTATTCTAGCGAATACTACTTGATCATTATTGTCAGCATGACTGTTAAACCCCTAGCCACCAAACCCTTCCCCATTATCATTCCACAGCCCGCAATTTGGAGCCGATTCCTCGACCAAATTAGGTTTTCTTGTTGTTTTAAAATCGCGTTTTGTTGACGGCTGCGAAAAGAATGCGTTTGGGTTTGGTGGTGGTGGTGGGGTGGGACGGGCCTTCGGCTTCTTGCTTCAGCTTCTTCTCCTTCTTCGTTCCCGCTGCCGGGAATGGAGACGGACGAAGCCGCCGGGGTGGAGGATTGCGGTTTGGGGTTTGGGGCGGGCGCGGGGAGTGGCAATCGCCCGCATCTCCATCGCCCCAAACACAAACCGATGACCGACCTTAATTGACCTTCCGGTAATTGCGCACCCCAAAACCCGACCGAGATTAATCCCGCCATCTTTATCAGCCACAGCGACCTTCCCCTACAATAATAATACATTTTCTCCACTTTTTCGATAATTTTATTAGCTGCGTACCTGTCCGTGCGTTTAATTCGCTGATCCGCCCCCGAAACCCGCAATCCCAAAAGTGTCAACGGATTTTTTTGGGGGTGTTGGAGGCTGGAGAACTACCTGATATGACGGGTTGTGACGTCAGAGGGGAGTGATATTGCTTCCGAGACCGATCGTCTAATTAGTTCTATTCGATATCATTGTTTATTTAATTTTTTTATGGGTAATAAGGATATTATAAGAGTAGAAAGGCATGTTTTTAATAAATATTTAGAATATTCGATAAATTAAGATTTTTTTGATTTTCAAGAATGGCTAAAATAATCAGAAATGTCAAATTTTACGTCATCAAAAAGCGTCCTAACCTTTTTTCTACTTGCTAATTTGTTTTGAAAAGCGATTTTTTCGATACTTTGATCCCTTTACCCTCAATATCCCCACTAATCCCCGCACACGTAACGCACCCATTTACTCCATGCCCACTGTGATATGAATGATCCTGGATGCGACTTGGAACGACTTAATTTCTTGCGCGCTTTCCTGAGCCAGCTCGCTTACATTGTGCGGTAACCGGGGTGTCTTTCCCCCCATTCCACTGTTTCTGTCGTCTCTTGTCCAAATATTTGATCGGGGTTGCGCGCGTCTTGCCTGAGGGCTCGAAACGCATCCAGGCATTTGAATATTGATAGGGGATTAATTTGGCTATTGGCTTCTGTTTGGGTTTGCGGAAAAATTTTATTTTAGGCTCTGAATTAACTGTTGTTTAGCTGGCCAGATTTGTTTATTGATTTTGCGAAACATGGCACAGTTAGAGACCATAATTTTCCAGGATATTTTGGAAATTTTTAGCTTGGATTTTGCAGCAACCTCTGAAAATTTCAGGTAGAAAATGACCAAAAAATTTTTATTTGATGCGATCTCTCGGATCATAAATTAAAAGGCTATTAGACATGTTTGCATAAACTTGTTGTTTTGCAGCAATAAGATAAGACCGAAATTGTTTTTTCACAAGTTGACCTTCTTCAGACTGTCAATATATCGTTGAATATCAGTCCTTGCAACGAAGCATAAGCTAAAATTTTTGCTGTTTTTTATGGATATTTGTTGCAATTTTTATGTAACTCGGCGGATGACTCTTATAGCCTTTTTTGCTTTGCCCAAAAGTTTTAATTTTTGCTTCATCCTTGTTCTATTTAATCGCGAGAGTCTCTCTATGTATTTTTTTACTGCATTGTACTCGCTAAACAAAAGGAGTCGATGGCAGTGAAAGTGGGGGGCGCTCGCCATTTGAATATTGCAATTTTGTCGCGTTTCCGCCTCAGGTGATTTGTATTAGCGACGTGGACCGACAACAAAAAGCGGCGGTGTCAGGGGTCGGTGCGCCGTCGGGAATGGCGACCGCCGCCGGTAGCGGGCATGTTTTTAGCCGACAAAAAACATGACTGAGGAAGCGGCTCTCGATCCGATCGTCGCCCTCTTCCTCCTCCTTCTTTCCTCCGTGTGCTTCTCATGTTGTTTCGAGCGGTCTTTGGCGCGCGCGCGCGCCGTTGGCGATGAAACCCCGTTTGGCGCAGGCGGTTTTTTGCAAATGTTCCCACGCTAATTAATCTGCTTTTTTGCGTCGTTCTGAACCCTCGGCGAGGGCGGAGTGGATTCAGGAAACATAACCTCCGTCTAATTTGTTTTAGATCATCCTGCCTTTGCTGAAGTTCATGTTTAGGAGAAGAAAGGGCAGGAAAGGGGAGAGAAATTAATCGCTAATTTTTTATTAAATATATTTTGTACTCTTGATTTTTACTGTGCCTTATCCTATCGAAGAAGGCATTTTTAAAACTGAAAATTTATGAAAGATAAACTAACATTGAAAACCATCGTATTTTACACCAACAACCCTTCAATATTAACTGCATGATTTAGGTCATACCATCCTCAATTTCATTAAAGTAATTTTTAGTCTGCATCTGCCAAGATTTTCAACATCTACCTTAGGAAAAAAGACTACAGCGAGTGAGAAGATTCTGTCAGAGAAATTTTTACCACCTCTTAAATCTGATTTTCACACCTTGGGCATTTCCCATGTTGCTATTTGCTATTACTTAGCAAATAGCAACATTTTTGACTATGAAAAAACCAATTTCAAGGGGTATTTCTTTGACTATTCTTGTATTTTTCTCTATGGACCCTTACTTTCAACAATTTTTCCCAACTCAACCTTAAACCTTTATTAAATCACCTCCAAAAAACCCTTTTCCCTACCATTAATCCCTCATTTTTCACCCAAAACCAGAAGCTTCCTGATTCCAGACAATTTTTGCAACGTTTCCCGTGTATAGTCACTAATTAATTAGAAGGTGGGCAGAGCCTTATTGTCGTGTGCTGTCGGATCCGTTATGCCGTGATTAAATCGTGGTCGGTTTTGTTTACATTGTGATGGATGCATATCCGATCAGCGGTCGTGGTTGTTGCTGTTTTTGTCAAAAATATTACCGGTTTTTGAATATTATGGGTATTTGGTGGAGCATTTTGAATTTAACGGTGATTTAGAGGGGTTAAAGGTGGGATTCTCATCATTCTTGATGAGATTTCAGTTTGATTTACACTATTTTTCGAGGGTTTGTTTTTTGTAAACGTTCTAATTTTTTGACGACTTTAATTTACCTTGAACTTGATTTTTTTTTATCAAATTTCACCCCTTCAATCAACCTTTTCTGCTGCAATTAGCCGGTTATTTTCGAGTTTCTCGACTTATTCCTGAATCGTTTTGCCCACCCCTTATAAAGTAGGCCTTTTGTATTCGCCGGAGTTTCGTACGGTCTCATTCATCAGGGGCCTTGTCTTGAGGGGCCAGCCAACCTATTAGTCCCCCCGTTTGGGTTTCGTTTTCATCAACGAGACCCGCCCCAATCTCTGGAATTTCTTCGAAGCGGGGCGGGTTGAGGAGGGGGGCAATGCTCTTCCCTCTCCCCTTTCGATGATGGAATAATGCTTGGGGAGAATGGAGGGGCTCTTAATCACCAGGGATTGGCTTAATCACTAATCAATGGATAATGTTTTTTGGGGGGATTTCGTGTTCTTTTGAGATTTTTTGAACTTTGAATTTTCGGATTTTAATTCTTGATCTTCCAGTTGAACAACAGGGCCAGACCAACGACAGGGCGATGGATAATTCCAGTGCGCCCTGTCCTCGGAAAAGGCCGCGTTGGCCGACAAGTAGGGCCACAATTTTGGCCGTTTTCCTGTTGTTAGCACCATTAGCACAGTCATCAGGTAAGTTCAAAAATCTCTAACTTTTTCGCAATAAGTCACTGTCTTTTAGTCAATTTTTTGAGCAGTTTTGCTCATTTTTTAGTTATTTTTTAGTCATTTTTTTGCTTTTTCCTCTAAAAATCCCAAATTTTTTATTTTTATACAGTTTTTTCACTTTTTTTCCAGAATTAGTACGAGCGAAAAGGGATGTGAGAGGGACGGAGAGTCTGCTCACAGTTGAATGGGAAGGCATTCAAAGCGGAGACCATCCCGATTCGAGTATTCGCGGATTCATTGTGGAATACCGAGCCGAGAAGGACAATCAATGGAATGTCCATGCGGGCGTCATCCCATACAAAGGCCCCAATCATCAATATCGCGTCCAGGTGAGTCTATTTTTCAAGATTTTTTCATATTTCACTAAGGCTTTTTCTGCCTCTGGCATAATTTTCGAAGATCATAAAAAGTTTTAAACCAAAAAACCGTTAACTTTCGGGAATGACCTTGATATTCATCTTCGCTGATAGTTATAGACGTAGAAGCTAGCGTTTCAATTAAAAATTTGATATCTTTTGGTGTTACTTGTGACTCTGAATGACGTCACAGTAATTTCTAGTCATGAGACATGCTTAGATCACTCTGCGAACCCTTAACTATCCGCGCATTCCACGACCTGCGAACACAATTTGTTTACTTCCCTTGAATCTTCTCGAAATTAAACGGTTTTCTCTCCAATTTTTGTTTACACCACCCCCGGGCAATAAGGCATCGCACAATTCATTTTTTGGGGGTTTAATGAAGGACTCGATGGGACAGTTCTTAACAGTCTCACGGAACTGGTTTACACCCGCAATTCCTCGCCTTCATGGCACGGAAAGCGGGGTCTTTGGGGGGAAGGGGGGACCCGCTTCTCCCATCTTTTTCCATCCGTCCGATTTCGCCGAGAATGTCACAATTAGAGACGGCGGTTTCGCAGCCGTCGACGTGTGATGTCTTCATTTATTTTGAGCGACCTTTTCGCGCAGAAAAAATGCTCCCTTCTAAACAACAAACAGCCTGATAATTGCAAGCGAGAAGACCGCTGGAACAAAAAGTAAATAATCAAAATTTAAGGCAAAAAACGATACCGTAGGACTGAGGGAGGCAAGGTGAAGGAGAGTGGGGAAACCACTTGTAAAATCGAAATAGAAAATAAGCATTAAGAAGATGATGAATGCAGATTTAAAGGCTGAATTAAGCTTTAAATCTCATCCTTGGACTTTCAAATTGACCGACAAAAAATGATGACATTTCAATCCCCTTGAACTCATCTACCTAAATGAATATCACAATCTTATTCCAGATCCCCAAGCTTCCAACTGGCATCTCGTATTTTGTCCGGATCAAGGTCCTAGGCGACAAAAACGAAGTCCTTGTGGAGACGCCGGAAATCCGAGCTCGCAACGAAATTGTCAGCATTAAATGCGATGGCGATGAGATCACAGCTCCCCGCGATCTCGACGTCAAAGAACGAGGCAAATACAGCGTTGCGTTGTCGTGGTCGCCGCCAGAATGCGGAAGTGTTGGCGAGTATCAGATCGAGTTGAGAGGGCTGAAAAACGAACGATTCGATGTCCACCGAATGACGGTTGCTCAGCCATCCGCCAGTGTCACCAATCTTTTGTCAGGCACCGAGTATGTGGTGAGGATTCGAGCTGTCGACAGATCACATGCTACAAGTCCTTGGAACGAGGAGCTGATCACGGTGTCGACCAAAGGAGAAGGTAAGAAAGGTTTTTGCAAAGTTTCGAAATGATGATTTTGATATTGTATTTACATGTATTTTTGTGTGATTTCATATCCAATATTCGCAATTTCAGTGCCCGAGGCCTCTTCCGAAATCAAAGCCGAATATCGGTCCGACCAGGAAGTGCGGATCCGCTGGAAACATTTGGATGACGAACGCCTCCAACATTACGAGGTAAGAGCCGATTCCTTTATGCGTTGTCCTCGCTAATGGATTCGAATAAAGGGGGTTATCTCTTTTTGATTATCACAAAGAGGGAAGCGGGAGATTACCCATAAAAAGAGCTTAATTAGATTGGTCGACTTTCGGTGAATAAATTAGAGAACAGTTGGAAAAAAAGTTGAGAAAAAAATTTGCAAAATTAAAAAGATCAAATCATTATTTCTAAATCATCATGTAAAAAATATTACGGCATATTTTAGGTAGTCCTTGTGGAATTCCAAGACGATGCTCCCCAACGGATCGAAAGAGCCAGAGTGGAGCCAGAAAAGGACAGTTTCCACTTCAACGAACTCTCTCCCAACTCTGACTACGAAGTTGGAGTCATCGCCTATGTTGATCATGAACCCCGAAGAGTCTATCGCCTAGTCTTCTCGACCACGGATCAACCGATCAGCGAGATTGATGAGACCCCCGTCGTTGTTGGAGCAGGAACTCAATACACAGTGCACTGGAAGAAACCCGCTACAGAACTGCCTGTCAAGAAATTCATCGTCGAATTCAAGCCGGACAACTCGACCCGATGGGAACGAGTGAATACTGATAGAGACTTCAATGGAGAAGACAGTTTTAGTGTTGAAACGAATCAGTTGGACAAGGCGTTTGCTGTGAGAGTTGTGTTGGTCGGAGATGCTGAGAAGGCGTTGGCGACAACAAAGTCCGTGCTGGTTCATGACGCCAGTCCGAACAATTGCAACTCAGTCGCTGGTATTCCGAAGAATGTGAAAGCCAAGGCAACCAAGACTTCGCTGACATTCACTTGGGACGCTCCTGAATGCGAGGGCAGTGATTCGAGTGATCTGGGATACGAGTATTCGGTAAGGAATAGCTTAAAGTTTTGGCAATATTGTCTGCTGCATTTTGTGCAAAGTCTTGTTGAATCATGAACAAATTTTCTTGCAGATCTGGAAGAAGGAAGATGGAATTGTCGACGAGACTTCGTTCGTCCCCAATCCCACCGTAACCATCGACGACGCCGCTCCTGAGACCAACTTTGGCTTCCGCGTTCGCACCCGCCTCGTGAACGGTCACAGTCCCTGGTCCGAGATCGTTGAGACCATCACGTCGGATGCTCCTGGTAGGTTACAGTCCCTATTCCCTTTATCAACATGATTTATTAACAATTAACAATGCTTCTGAGTTTAACACCCACTAACAAGCCGCTTTTTATTTCATATACTAAGCGTGTCGGCGTTCTGGACCGCGTGTCGACAGCGACATCTCAGCTTTGATTTGGTGCCTCGAGGTTTGTTTACAACCGCTTTCTTTTCTTCCATTCTTTTTTCTTTTTGTTTGTTGTTGATTTTTGCGCTCGGCGTTTTTTTTTGGTTGAAACCAATGATAGCGTTGATATTAATGGAGTTATTTCTTTTTTTTCGGAACCTCCAAAGTCTGACGCTAATGTGTAATAGGTACTATCCGCGCCTTCTTTTCGCCAACCTTTTCGCTTTTTGTCGCCTGAGGCGCTAACGATCTCGTTTAATTAATTATTTCATCCTTCACGCTCGGATGCCTCATAAAAGCGGAGCGAAAATGTTTCTGCTAACGTACAAAAAAGGCGATTTAATAAGTAATAAGTTATAAGCGAGGGGCTTTTGTCAGCGGAATTGCGTCATCGGAAAAGATTCTCTAAGAAATCGGCAATAAATGATGTACAAAACAAAACATTGCACAATACACAAAGCACTAGAGCGATCAGGGGAAATCAGGCCACCAGAAAGACCCAGACATGCCACTCTTTCAGAAGCCGAAAACATTTACCGTCTGCGAATTGTCTTGGCGCCACCACGCTCCTATCTTGTCTGGACGCCCCTGCCCGAGCATGAGGACAATATCGCCAGTTTTAAGTACGCACTGACTCCCGTAACTCTTCCATTAACACCGCTTTTAGGCTGTCCTATAAGAAGGCGGAGGAGGACAAGTGGGTGAACGTCCACAAGCCCGCTTCCTTCTTCAAATGCCCGAAGAACGTCGCGGCGACGCCCGACTTCTGTTATGATTTGCGCGACCTGGAGTACGGCCAACAATACACCAGCGACGTAGGCTTGATTGTTTGCAGTGTGTTGTTGTGACGCTTGAATTAATTGCAGCTAATCTATGAACTAAAATCCGGCGACTGGACCTCACACGGCAGTCCGCTTTTCTTCATTCTTGTCGAGGCCGGTTAGTTGGTCCTAACTGACTAAACGTATACCGTGTTTGCAGAGGGTCAAGACGATATCATCCCATCGGGCGAGGGATCCCAAACCGAAGCTCAAGCTCCAGCTCAAGACTTGTCGGTTGCCGACACCAAAATCCAAGATCTTGGCGCTAAAATCAGCGTTGCTTGGTCTGTGAAAGGAGATCAAAGCAAGGTCCGTGCCTATCAAGTGGAACAGAAACCCGAGAAAGAAGAGGAATGGAAGCCATTTGGAAACTACGTGCCGGCTTCGGAATCTCAGACCATCTACAAGCAACTGATTGACCGGTCGGCTCTGTTGTCAAGCAATGCTGAGTTGAGAGTTCGAGCGATTGGCGCAAACGCTGAATCCCTCGTGTTGTCAGCTCCTCAATTGCTCAGCAATAAGTGCGAGAGTAAGCTACAGGATGCATTTACATAACCTTTGATCTTGTTTCTAGGGATTCAAAAAACTCCAGAGAATGTTTTGCTTACCGTTGAGACCGCCAAAAGCATCAAGATCAGATGGGATTACCCCGCCGATTCCGGTGACTGTGGTCTTTACTTTGTGATCAGCGGAATGATCGATAACGGATCCATCCAACAGACTGTTAACGGAAAGACTCGCGAACTTTTCCTCGAAGTCCAGAACCCAAGTAGCGTTGAGTTGAAGGTCAGCGCCGCCAATAAGATTGGCCCTGGGCCTGCTACCGAGTTTCTCAGAATAGGCGATGGTCCTCAGCCTCCACATCTTGATGGCCAACAGCAAGCAGCCGCGCCAACGAACGGCCATATCAGCCGAGGAGGTAAGGGAGTCCAGGCCGGTCATCTATGGCAGAGATATCCGTCTGGTTTTTGCTTATTATAATTTACCCAAGTTTTCGAATTTTCACCTTTGTTACTTTACCGTATGTTATTTGTACATCTTGTTGTTACCTCATTCTCGTATGTCCTGAGATCTTCAAATTTACTCTCTGAAGAAACCATTCATTTTGTCGATACAACAGGTTATTATCAAGTCACTAGCCGTCTTTTACATTGTAATTTCTTCAAATCGAAGGTCTTTGATAGGAACCCTGATAACCGCGAATCTTTTAAGCTCGAGGTGCTGGTGTTGTTAATACTGAATCTCATCATCGGGTCCGCCGTTCCATCTGCGATCCCCGTACGGACTTCTGGTGCCGCGAAGGCAGCAACTTCGACGGCAACCCCGACCACGCCAGAGGAGGTTTGTAGCGTGTTGTTGTTGTTGTGCTTCTCCGTGTGCTTTTCGTCTCCATCTCCTTTCCTCCCCCACTAACTCTTCCCGCCACCTTTTCCGTGTGTTGTTGTCGTTGTTGTTGTAAGCTACTGTCCCTCAAAGTGCACACCGTTGTCGTGTCTTTTCCGATTGTCCGTCGTTCCGGCCAATTGCCTTTCTTCTTCCGTCTGTCCTTTTGTCCCTGTTATGCCGTGTTCCACTCGATGAAGAGAGCGCTTTCATTAACCATTCGATTGCTTCAGCCTTAGTGTCCACCCCGCACGTTTCGCAAGGCCGTGAAGGCGGCTTGACCGTGCACTGGAAGAGCACCGGAAACGGGCGTGGAGTCTTTGGATACCGTGTTCTCTACAGATCCGACTCAACGGGATGGAATCCTTATGGGTAAGAGAGGGCTAGCCGATAAACTAACATCTTATCCCAACTCTAACATAATACTAAAAATTCTAGACAAATCGTGCCGTATGTCGGTGACAACGAAAGCTACAGCCAAGCTCTGACCAGTTTGGTTGTTGGCGGAAACTACAAAATCCAGATTCAAGCTCTCGACAGAAACTCTTACGTCCTCTTCACCAGTCCTGAAGTTTCTGCTCAATCAACTTGCCAACCACCATCTCGTCCTCCAAGTCATGTTACCGTGGATGCGCCAGATGCCAGACACGTTCGCTTGACCTGGGTTCAGCCTCCACAGAACACCTGGAACTGTGGGGAAATCAGCTACGAGATTCAGGTCGATGAGCCAAGAATCTACGCCGAGCCAATCAAGGTCGAAGGCCGTCTTCTTAGCCATGTGTTCATGTCTCAACCCGGTCAACAATGGGTTGTCAGAGTTCGCACTGCCAACTCCGCCGGAGCTTCTCCTTGGTCGACGTCCGTCTCGACATCAGCATCGTCAAGTTCAGCCGATCTGATTGAAGGGCCTTTCGTCAGCACGACTGGCGGAGTGCCTCGAATCACATGGAAAGCCGTTCAGAATGCCCCGGATACCTTGGCCAACTTCCGCGTCGAATGGAAACCCCAAACTCAACCGACATGGAATATCCATCGTCAACAGGTACTTATATACGGAATTAATTTAAATCCGAATTTAGATTCCTTACTCTGGCTGGCAACGACCATATGCTGTTGATCTTGCTGATTTGCCTCAAGGAAACTCTTACGAAGTTCGAGTCAAAGGCATTGACAACCGCGGAGTTGAGATTGTTGTCTCGCCTACGATTAGTGTACAGACAAGTCGGCAATGTTACCCACCAAGAAGACCTCCGACGAATGTTCTTGTCACTCCATTGGGTCCAAATCAAATCCGTCTTAGCTGGGAGGTAAGGAAATTTCTTGCGGAATCAATGGCATAATTTTAGCCCATCTCCGAAGCCGAGTGGAATTGTAATTCTCTGTGGTATGTGGTCAAGTACAGTAGTCCCGAAACTCAAGGCTACAAGAACGTCACGAACGGCGAAACATCCGTTGTCTTCGACTCCAAGCCATATACTCAATGGCAATTTGAGGTCCAAGCCGCAAACTCGGCCGGTTCCTCTGGTTGGTCTCGTAACACCGCCTCCCAAACTCTAACAACTTCTCCTGGTGCTGTGTCGGACGTCCAAGTCTACCCATCCCACGACTCTATCCAACTCAGTTGGAGGCCGCCACAGAATCCAAACGGTCAAATCGTCGGATACGAAGTGACGTACCAGCTCGTCAACAAGGGAATGTGTGAGAATTCGGCCGGCACCGTGCAAACAGTGATGAGTCAAGGTCCTACCTACAGAATCAGCGGATTGCAACCTCATTCCAAATACCGAATCGGAGTTGCAGCCAGAACGAACATCGCTGGTGAACGAGTGACTCGAGAAGTCCAAACTGAGCCCTCGGTTCCAACTGCTGCTCCAGCCTACATTCGTGTCGATACTGTGGGAGATACTAGTGCTGCCATCAGCTGGCATGCTCCCCCATGTGTCCATACGAATGGAGATATCTCCGAATACGAATACGAAGTCATCCCAGCCGATCGATATTCGGTTGATCAACGGTTCACTGATACGATTCGCACTACCAGAGTCGAACTTCACAATCTTCAGCCAGGAACCAAGTACAAGTTCAAGATCAGAGCCTATACTTCTCGAGGAGCCGGCCCGTGGTCTCCTGATGTTGTCTTCCAAACCTCTCTTCGAGGATCTTTGGTTGTTCCACCACCGGCTCAAGTCATCTCCACCGGACCAACTGATGCCCATCTTGTCTGGCAGACCACTCCTGGAACCGCCTCTTACTTCGACAAGTTCAAGTGTCAATATGCTCCAGCTGGAACTCAACAATATCAGCAGAGAACCTTCCCAGCCTACAGTCCTTGTGATACTGAATTGATTAGACGCCAGCAACTTCCACCAAGCACTCCATCTGCTCAAACTCATTGTGGTCGCATCGATAATCTCCAGCCTAATACTCCATATGACTTCCAAGTCTCGGCTAAGCCAAAGCAAGGCCCCTGGACCCCATGGAGTCCTCCGCAGAGAACTCAGCCCGTAGAAGGACCTGTCAAGATCTTGTCTTTGACCAAGACTGGTGGTTCAACTAGCAGTCTTCGTTTTGCTTGGACTGTCACTCAAAGCGATCTTCTTCGTTGCACTGCCTTCAGAATTACAGTCACTCCAAGAGATCGCTCAGAACCACCAAGAACCTTTACTGTTGATGGTCACACCTTCCAGTATCAAGTGGATGGACTTCGACCAAACACCGTTTATGCCGTCACCGTTGAAGCCAGCACAAACGCCCGTTACTACCCTGGTGTTACCGTCGACATGAGCACTGATGCCGAGCAAATCTTCGGAGTCGATCAGCGACCAAGAATTATTGAAGAGAAATCTTCATCGATCACTTTGGGCTGGGATGTCTCATCCAGAATCAGATGCAGCAACTTCATCGTTGAATACAAGCTGGAGAACGGAGCCTGGCAGCAGTACGACCGTCGTGTGCCTTGCGATCATGGCCGTACCTCTTACACTTCAACTGTCCAGAACTTGCCCACCAACAGTGTCGTCGACTTCAGAGTTATTGCGATCTCCGACAGAAATCAGCCGACTACTCCAAGTCCAGAAGTCCGTGGTCATACCAAGTGTTCTGCTCCAGATCAGCCGCCACAAGCTGTTCGTGCCGATGCCCCATCAACCAATGAGGTCCGTGTTTCATGGGCTCGTCCAGCCAAGAATACCTGGAATTGTGATCAATTGAACATTGAGATCGGCTACAGAATTGGAGACGGCCCAGAACAGATTGTCCCAGTTTCCGGCGAAAGAACTGACTACACTTTCCCATCCGAGCCAAACACCAGATGGACAATTCGAGTAAGATCGAGCAATCAGGTCGGCCACAGTCCATGGAGCGCACCTCAGACAGTCACCACTCGTCAAGGAGCTCCCGGAGCCGTCATGAACCTACGATTGACACCAAAGAGTCCAAATGAAATCTTTGTCCAATGGTCTCCTCCATCTCAATCCCATGGCTCCATTGTTGGATACGACATCAGTTACCGATTGAAACACCGTTTGGCTTGTCCAGATGAAGATCCAAGAGACACGAGCCGAGATTTCGTTACGATCTACAACCACAAGGACCTGGATTACACTCTGACTGGTCTCCTGCCAAACTCCCTTTACGAGGTGAAAGTTCGCGCCAGAACCACAGAAGTTGGACCGGAAGAAACCAAGGAAGCCGCTACCCTCCAGCAACCACCAAGTGCTCCTCCACTCAATCTGCAGTTGACTTATGCCCTTGAAAGATCGTTGAGTTTCCAATGGGAGCCAGTTGACTGTTCTCAACGCCACGGAGAGATCATCAACTACGAATACGAGATCCTTGGATTGGATGATTGGGCCAAATTGGAAAGACAGATTGCTAATACCACCAACACTCAAGTTACAATCGATGGATTAACACCATTCACCAAATACGTGATGAGAGTCAAGGCCTACAACACCATTGGTGGAGGGCCGAACACCGAGAATCTGGCAGTCATGACGACCAAGGCAAATGCCCCTCTTCCACCTCAAGATTTGGTTGTAACTCAAGAAGGAACTGATTTCTTTGTCATCTCTTGGCTTCCTCCTTATCCACCCTATGGACCTCACGATTCCTACAAGATAACCTACCAACTGTTGAGTGCCAATCAATGGGAGAATATTGAAGTCAGCACCAAAGATCCTCGTCTGGAATGCCCAAGCGTCACTCCTCGCTTCTGCTTCAATATTACTGGTTTGGACAGTGGTCAACAATACCGTGTGAAGGTGGCTGCCAGAATTGAAGGAGGAACTTATGGCCCATACAGTTCTGTCATCATTGCCAACACTCTCCAAGTTTTGCCTGATGCTCCACCCAGAATTGACTTGATCGCCAAAACCGATCATTCTCTTCACATCAGGTGGACTCCACCTCATGATCCTCACAGCCAAATTATCCAATACAAGATTACTTACAAATCCTTGGGTGATCCGTATGCCAAGCCTCAAACAGTCATTGTTCCCCATCCAAAACTGGATCAACTACTCGATGGATTGACGCCAGATACGACCTACAACATCACATTGTCTGCGGGAACAAAGCGCGGATTTGGCCCAGAGATTTCAACTCGATACAAGACCGATGTGTTCAAGGTTCCGGCTGTTATCAACGCGCCTACTGTCACTCCAGACGGAGCCCATGCCTTGAACGTTGAATGGACTGGAGTTCACGACACTCAGAACAGAATTAACGGCTACATCATCGAATTCAGAAACAGTGACACGCCAGTTTGGCGAGAGAACCCTCAGATCGTTCGTCACGTCCCTGGAAAGTTGCAATACAATGGAAAGCTGACTGGTCTTGAGCCTGACACCCTGTACTTTGTCCGTATCAAAGTCGTGGACACCAAGAACAACCCATCAGAAAGCAGTCCCGAAGCCCAAGGCCGTACTGGTTGTGCTGCTCCAAGGTCTCCTCCAAACAATATCAACATCAATTCGCCATCTCCTCTTCAAGTCCGCGTTAACTGGCAACCGCCAGCCAAGGACACCTGGTCTTGTTCCAGCATCAGATACAGAATTAAGTATACGAATGGCACTAGACCCGGAGAAGTTGTGGTTCCAGGCCTTGAGAATATCTTCGACTCCGCTCCAAACGCCCCATGGACCGTCCAAATCAGGACGGAAAATGATGCCGGAACTTCTGGATGGAGTGAACCATTGAAGATTAAGACTTCTGACGGTATCCCTGGTGCCGTCAGGGATTTGAATGCTACTCCAGAGGGTCCAAATACGGCCGTGGTTACATTCTTAGAGCCTGAAGAGCCAAATGGAGAGATCACAGGCTACACCATCGAATACCAGCTGAAATCGATTGGAGAATGCGGTGCTCGAAGTGAGAAGCCGATCACAATCCATTCAAAGGACAAGAGAATCAACCTCGAGAATCTTCTTCCCGATTCCACTTATGAGGTCCGAGTTACAGCCCATACCACCAAGGCTGGTCCAAAATCTAAGCCGGTTCTTTTCACCACCGAAGAATCAGAGCCAACTGGGCAGCCACGAAACCTGAGGGTAACTTCCATTACTTCCTCAAGAGCAGAGCTTCTATGGAATGAAATTGAATGTGAGCTTCGTCACGGAAAGATCCTTGGATATGTCTATGAAGTGCAAGCCCTCAGCCCTTATGGCCAGAATGTCACCGATCGTACGACCACTCACCGTGTCTCTCTTCAAGATCTGGCTCCATTTACTCAGTATCGCGCTCGAGTTCGAGGATTCAACAGCAAGGGAGAGGGTCCGTTCTCTGATTGGGTCAACTTCCAAACCAAACCTGCCGCTCCACCACCACCTACTGATCTGAGAGAGGAACAAGTCCTTGACCACGCTCTGGAGATCTCGTTCTTGCCACCCAGCCCACCAAATGGAATCCTCGACTTCTACAAGATTCGTCACACTCCAACAGGACGTTACAACTACAAAGAGGTCAGAGTTCCGGCTCATGAGCTGGTCTGCTCGGATGTGAACAAGAGGGATCGTTTGTGCTACAGAGTCTCCAAACTAGAGCCCGAGCAGGAATACGAAATCCAAGCTGCTGCTCACACAGAAGGCGGTGACTGGTCGGACTGGTCTGAACCTCTGAATACCAAGACCGAACAACAGAATATTCCTGTTCTCGAGACCGGCCTTGAGCTCGATCAGGTTCGATCTACCAGCATCAGCGTCAAATGGAAGGGACTAGAACCTCATCTGGCTGAACATATTGTTGGATACATTCTTGAATACAAGTCCGAACTTGACGACGAATGGCAAGAACACAACGGCGTCGTCAGACATCGTGCTCGTCAGAACGAATACAAGGCCACCGTTCGAAACCTCATTGAATCCACCGAATACTTTTTCAGAATTCGTGTGGTGGGTAAAAATGACAAACGTGGCAACCCCAGCCCCGAACTCCGCGCTACAACCAAATGCGGCCGTCCGGAAGAGCCTCCAAGAAACGTGCAGATCCAATCAGTCGACTTTGAACATGTCAAGATCACTTGGGAACCACCAGAGGAAGAGACATGGAAGTGCGACCAAGTGGAGTTTGTCATCCAATATGCCAACACAACTTCTCAAGGCACCATCAACGTTCCCACTGACGCGCCATCTGAGCTGATCTTGGACACTTTGCCTGGCACCAAATGGGGAGTCAAGATGCAAACCCAGACCATCGAAGAGGAGCCTCAGAAGAGTAAATGGAGTGACCGCGCTTCGTTGACCACCAAGTCTCCTCCAGATGAGATCTTCGTCCAGCTCGAACCCAAATCTCCAACACAAGAGGTACTGACTTGGGACGTTCCTGACGCCGACTGGCCTTATGGCGTCGATATCTCGTACAGACTCACCAAACTAGGAGGCTGTAACAAGGGAGAGTTTGTTGACGAAGAGCCAATCCTCCTCGAGAATGTTCAGGAGAAGACCGTTCTTCTGGACAATCTCCATCCAGGATCGGAATACGAAGTCACCGTTACTCCACGACTTCCACCTGGACTTGTTGGAGTGGTGAAGCCAAAGAAGACTGTCCGAAAGTTCAAGACCGAAGATGATAAGCCTGTTGGAGCTCCAAGAAATCTCCGTGTGGACAATCGCCAGGACACCAAGCTTGGGTTCTCATGGGAACCGCCAGAGTGCGCCGAACAGAACGGAGTCATTAGTCAATATCAATACGAAATTGTTGGTCTTGATGAATGGAATAAGGGCGAGAAAGACGGAATCTCTCCTCGAACCAAGACCGAAGTCACCGACCTTCTACCCGGATCCCTCTACAGATTCAGGGTTCGAGCCTTCACCTCGCAAGGAGAAGGTCCATGGTCTGAGCCGGTTGATGCCCGCACCACTGGCTCTGAAATTGGTCCTCCAAGAGAGCTGACCACCGTCGGAACAAAGCCAACTTCGATCCAGATTACTTGGCTGCCACCTCATCCCGAACTCACCAAGATCATCGCCTACAAGGTCAAGTACAGTCCAAGGGCCGATGACTCGCGTCCAGTTGAAGTCGAGCTCTCTGAGAATGAACTCAGCTGCTCTGGATACGAAAGCCCAATCTTGACCGGAGATTCCCTTTGCACAGATGTTACTGGACTCGAGCCTCAGACCACCTACAGGTTCTCGGTTCAAGCCCAAGCTGCCTCTGGAAACTGGGGACCTTGGTCGACGGAACACTTCTCAACCACCAAGAAGGCCTTTGATGGTCCATTGGGAGGAAGTCTGGTACTCTTATCCAATGGCCATGACAACATCAAGGTCAGATGGACTCCTCCAGGTGTGATTGGAGATAACATCGAGAAGTATGATCTGACAATCTCTGTTGCCAGTGAATTGGACAAGAATCCCAAGAAATACTCGACCGGAGGCCAACAAAAAGAGTTCCACTTCAAGGGATTGGAGCCATCCACCTACTACAATGTTACTGTAACTGGTCGTGCTGGTCCAAAGAATCTCTGGTTCATTTCGAACAACTTCCCAACTACCGAGAAGGCGGAACACGCGTCGATTGTGAATATTGGCCCGGTTACCAACTTGAGAGTGATCGACAAGAGCGAGAACATGATTCATGCCGCGTGGGATCCTCCAGATATATTCGAGCCGGAATACAGAGACTTGTTGACTCACTACCGCGTCACCTTGACCCCTCTGGACACATACACCCTGCAACCTGGAGCATCGAAGAACTACACCGTTCCAGTACCTGGAACGACCATCCGGTTCACAGACCTTATTCCTGAGACCATCTATAACATCACAGTTCAAGGTGGAACCGAACAAGGATACGGAGAACCGTTGTGGACAACCGAATCAACGTTGCCGGTCGGTGAGAATAATATTTTGAAGCTGAAGAGCCGAACTCCAACCACACTGACGGTCGAATGGGAACCTGTTTGGGGAACTACACACAGGGGATACATTGTAAGTTTATTCACAGTTACATCAAATTATCTTAACCTTTATGGAAATATTTTTTTCTTTTTCAGCTGACTGCCAAATCCCTCAAATCCGTATATCCACATGTTCGCATAAACACCATAAAGTCCTTCGAAATCAACGCCACGGCTACAGAATTTGTGATCAAAGGTCTTGAGCCATCGACCACTTACAACGTCACTCTTCAACTCAAGGACAACAACAAGGGTGCTTGGGGAGCCTGGTCAACAATGCCTCCGGGCTGGTTTGTACCCAAGAATCTGAGATATTGCGATGTCACCAACTACGCCGTCTCCATGAGCTGGCTTCCAGTTGAACTTGATCTGGCAACAGACTATCAAGTAAGATATGCCCATTTGAACAGCCCTCATTTGGTGTGGAATGAAGAGCCGGAGAAGCACAAAAAGTATTTGTTATGTCCTAAAGATCCTTGTGATCGGATGTGCTATGTTGTGTTCAACTTGGAGCACCATCCAGACGAGTACGCCTTCCAAGTCAGAGCCAAGGTCGATGGAGTTTGGAACAGATGGAAGACGGCCTCCAAGATTGCTGTCTCGGAATCGCCAGAAGTGAAGGCCAACTGTTGTATTGTCCCACCACCATACATCGTCGAGAACATTGCTTCTCCCGGCACTTGGTGGGAGGTCCCAATTGCTCCAGCTGCCACTGAAAAGAATATCACGTAAGACATCGTAATTTTGACATGTAAAATTCTCAATTTCATCTCCGATTTACCTTTTAAATTTCGCTTTCAGTCGTTACTATGTGGTTGTCGATCAACGTGAGCCCGCTGGAGACACCAACTGGACCATGTTGACAGACAAGGTGACTGCCGACCGTCTGAAGATCCCATACTATGTGGCAGCCTCATTCAGCACGGAAACGCTGACTGCTCCAACAACAGTGAAGATCGGCGATGGCAAGGTTTATGGTGGATACATCAACTACCCGCTGGTGAAAGGAAAGACCTATAATTACGAGATCTACACCAAATGGAGCATGAACGATGGACAACCGGTCATTGCTCGTCTTCGAGGTAGGTTTCCATGTTCTCTGCTCAGCCTCATTTACTCTCTAGAGCATTGAAAATCCCGGTTTAATCCGTCGCATCAAAGGCTGTTTTTGATCATCGTATTTTCGGATATTTTACAGCGCGGGTCAGTAAAAAAAGTACTCTCGACCTCAAAAATAAATAAAAAATAGGATCGTTGTCGGGGTCGGAACAAGCCCTTTGATTCGACGTGTACGCGGCGAGAAAACTCTTTTGTGTTTCCATACCCTTAAGGGAATTGTTCCCCCACTAAGACGGGTTGGTGACAGCTCTAATTATTCAATTATTTTTTTGCCTACCGATCTCAAATGGATGTGTCGTTCTAGAGAATGCGATACCCAAACCGTAAGAGGGGTTTCTGACTTAATTTATACAAAACATCAAATTCATTGGTCAAAAAAACGAATTTTTGGCAAAAATCGAACTTTTCACAACTTTCAGATGTAGACTCGGCCTTCAGTATCATCCCATGGAGAGGCATTTATCTCCTGGGCTTCCTGATTCTGATACTTTTCTTAATTTTGTGCATCTGTTGCTGCTGCAATTCGTAAGTTGGATGCAGTTCGAAAAATACGATTGCAGTCCGACTTTAAAACCCCGTATAACTTTTATAAACCCACTCTCCGATTCTTACGGTGATTAACAATTGTGTGACCGTAACCCATTTCAGAGACACCATTCCTGACCGCTGGATGGCCATGGTGGTGGATCCTGTTGTTCTTGTTGCTCCTCTTACTTCTCATTCTGTTGTGTTGTTTGTTGGCCTGGTGTTTGACCGCGTAAGAGTTTGCCGACCTTCTAATTGGCACCGTTTTAGCCAATAATCTATAAAAAATTTATTTAGGAGAAAGAGAAGAAGGGAGAGAAGATACGTCAATGGACAGCACATGCCATTGCTGCATGATGTAAGCAATTCTTTTTTCAGTTTTGAGTTTAGATCCAATTTGTCAACTAATGCTCATTTTGAAGATATCAGCAAAATAAACTGAAAACATTTTATTTCCAGGAGAAGTACGAAGCCCGCCGCACCAACTTCGAGGATGGCTATCGTCATGGCTACAGTGAGGCCGGCCGTCTTGGATCGGGAAGTGCGGCGCGTCGTCATTACGCCGAGGAGTATTCGACCAGAGACGACCGCTTCCAGGAAGGGTACGCTAAGGGCCTCAGAGATGCGGGCCTCAGCGGCATGAGCACATCCATGTATAATTTGGCTTCCAGACGTGACAACCCCGGCTTCTCCGCCGGCTACATGCAAGGATTCCGCGACGGAAACTCGGGTGTTTTCGGGGATCAAATCACGACCAGCCTGTTGAACCGGCTGGAAGAGCAGTATCCAAACAACGAGGAGTATCGGGCTGGATATGTGGATGGATTCAAGGACGGAGTTGGTGGAGGAAAGGTTCGTTTTTTGACTTACAAATGGCTTGATAAGGGTCTTGTGGTACTTAGAGGTGGCGGATATAGCGTGTCGACGATAAAATCAATAAATTAGGGCCTTTCTTCTAAATAGTGTCCTTTTTTGTCGTGGATTTTTTTATTTCCAAAAACTTTTTGCGGATTCTGCAGTCTCCACTAACATGTACCGAAATGAGTTTATTCCCGCTTTCAGAACTACGAATCCAAGGAATTCCACAAGAGTTTGACCGAACTCACCGAGCGTCTGACCACGCTGGAGAAAATCAAGGACAACGAGACATTCCACCAGACCAAGATATACCATGTGTACAATCAGAACCCCGAAACTGCCAGTTATACCGCGACGGGTCAGCAGTTGGCTCAGGAGCTCGATGAAATTACCTCAGGATCGCGTCGAAGCACGCTGAGAAGACATTACACTCCGGGAGATTATCTGAGATACGGCAGTGAAGCCGAGGGATTCAATAGTTTGGGTCGAAGCCGCCGCTCCCAGTCGGTCTCAGGGTTGGCTCGAGGTAAGTGGAATTGATGTGAGGTTGAGCTGACGTGCTTCTTAACTTGTGTGCTTCTCATGAGTCCTTCTTGTGTGATGTACATTGGTAATGTATTCTTGTCGAAGCAGTTGTGACATATTTTTGTTGAACTAACTCTGTGTGATTCCGTTGGTTTGTTTAGAAGAGGCCGAGCGACGTCATCATGCCTCAGGAGCATCCCATCATCGAGAAGAGGCCTCCGAAGAACGTCACGAAGAGAGGCAAGAAGAGGGAGCTCATGAGACCTACGCTTCATCGTCGAAACGTTACAACTTCAAAAGCCGGTCCGATCTGAACCAACAAGACCGAAGATACGCCTCTCAGACGTTGTTGGATGGCGCCCGACCCGGCCCCATTGCTTCACACTCAAGAAGAGAGGCGCTGCATTCGTTGCAACGGGAATTGGACAACCTTTCCAGGTCCCCGGCTGGTGGGTACAGCAGTGATTATGCTCAGGAAACAATCAGATCTCGTGGTGGACAACGGTTGGGTTCTGGATACTCAAATTACGACTATGGTAATTAGCGGGGAAGATGATCATGTATACGTGTGAACATGTTAATTGAGTTCATGCTGTGTGAATAACAGCCAAAATTGTAGTCGAACCCCTCAAGTCAAAAATTTTTTTTTTGTGTAGCACAGAATGTAATAGGTTGCTGATGCCGTGACTAACACAAACACCATCTAATACCCGCCTAAACTCTAACCTTTCCACCCTTATGACCTCTCCTTTCTGTAGACTCCTACAATCGCTCGGATCAACGGTTCGGGTCGTCGGTGAACTTTGCCGAAGAGGCCGAAGCAGCTGCGACAACGTCCAGAGGTGCGAGTGTGATCAACATCGGAGATTCGGGAACATCCGCCATCATTCGACAAAGCGGCAGTGCACGACAAGGCACGGGTTTCTTATAATTTCCACAAAAATTAATCTATTTACAAAGAGTTTTTGAAAGTTTTCCAAACTTTTCCCTCACAAATTTCCAATTTTCCTCGCACTATCGCTCTGAGATTTCCATTTCCGCGGGCTACGGTATCTCTCACTTCCACAACTTGACAGCGATTTGCACTGCGCAATAACACACGAGAATAGACACGCAATAAACGGTGAAATGCTTTAGAAGCGACGGGGCAGAGCTGGGCCGACGATCTGATCGAGATCGTCAACGAGCCGATGACACACACGCTGCAACGGATGCGTCGCTTCAGCAATTCGCTCTCGAACGTGGATCGAGGTGGTCCCGCAGGTTAGGGGGTTGAGCAGCGCTGAGCTATGGCCAAAAATATTGTCTTAGAGGGATTAAAATGACTCAAATCAATGTAAAAATACTTTCAGAGTAATTTTTTGCAGATATGTTGTAATTTCATGATTTTCAGAGACAGGAGGTGGTCAGGTCGAATCCGTCGATGAGAGATATGAACGGTCATATAGAGAGGTAAAATTTTGGTCAATCAAAAATTATATTGTTTTCGTTGAATGATGACAATTAAATTTTTTTCTTTCAGGAGTTCCAGGCATCCTCTGGAGCTCATCAGACTAGCTCCTCCAAGCAGTAGACTTCTCTAATCGCTCTTTGACACGAGTCGAATCCCACAGAAGATGTATCATATCACAACTTCGCATTATCTTTTCAAATTTTCTCCAGAGTTCTATAAACATCCTCCGTACATTGTCTTCTCATTTACTTTCCATCCGCGAAAAAATGACTTACCAAAACTTATCGACCATTCGATGCTCGTATTTTACCTTAAACAGCCCCTTGAATTCATCGTTTCGCGGATGGCAACTGATGCCAGTGCTTTTTTTACCATTACTGCCTTGTAACGTACTCTTATCTCTTTTTCGTACTGCCCTTTCTAACGTCCAATTCGGTGCTTCTTTTTTTGTTGTAATCGATTTCAAGTCCATTTAAAATACTTCACAATTCAAGCATAATCAGGAAGATGCCGGCATGGCGTCGTCTGTATTGTATTCTCCATGTTAACAGCCATATCTTCGCAGTCTCCGGAGCGGACTGGTCTCTTTCTGTTTGTTTTTTTCTAAATAAATATTTGGAGGTTATGCTTATTGTAATTACAAGTAATAAATACAGTTAGTTATGATGTGGAAAACAGATTAACTGGGGAAATTTCTGAAGTGTCGGGTCTAGATTTTAGCAATTTTTGAACAAATTTAGAGTTGTTTATCATATAAGAAATGCGCGAGCGTCATAGCCCGCGGTTTGCAGAAACAACAGAGATCTTTTTTGAGCCTTTTATTTTTAAAAGCGAGATTATAGAGTTGCACTTGGAGCACTTCCCTTGTAAGGAATTTTAAGGTGGTCTAAGGATGACAAACGCCACCGGTTATAGCTATGCTTTGTGCCCGATAAAGGCAAGTTTATACCAGCACAGCCAAAGCAGAAATTCTTGGCAGCAATTATGAACGAGAATTGTCGATGAATCACTTGAAAACGTCACAACTCTGCAACAAACTTCTTCGACTGCTCCTTAATGAGTCACCCACTGTTATCGTCATTGATAAAAAGACAAAATCCAACTCCTCTTTTATGCATGCAATATGTGAATTCCCTTAAATTTATGTGTATATTTAAATAACTGACGTGATCAAAGACACACAATCAACACGCAAATGTTCTGGCCATTTGATCCGTTATTTTAGCGTAGGCCTTGATCTACTACTCCAAACACAGAACGATTTGTGTTTTCTGATTAATTACTATATAAAAAAGTGCTTGTGCTTTGAGGGAAAAAGCAAGGCCCTTATCAATCAGCTTTTTGTTCTTGTATCAAAAAAACATTCAGAATAGCATGAGTGCCCTCCGGCAGTTTCGTCTGCTCTTGTGGAAGAATCTTCTGGTCCAATGGCGATCGCCGATCTTCACAACTCTGGAGTTGGTGATTCCCTTGATCCTGATCGGGCTGACTTTTGGATTGATGCTTGGGGTAAGGAAATTTTGGGGGTTGAAAATGGGTATCAGCTGGAAGAAAGAGCTCTCAATAGGGGCTTTTTATTTGATAAAAAATTAAAGTGCAAGGACTCTAAGTACGACGTTCAGATTTTAATGAAAGGTGACGCTAATTTAGGCCAATCTATAATATTCAAAAAAGAAGTGTCGTATTATTAGCCCATTTTCCAGAAAAACTAATTTTTTTATTCGGAATTTTGTGAATTTGACACTTTTTGCGAATCTACCCAAGAAAAATTTCAGCCTTTTTCTACCTAGAGTTTACTTTTTCAAGATCGTATACAATCACAATGAAAAAATAATACTTTGCTGAAATGGTCAAGACGGCCTTTTTTGACGACTTGGAGCCGATAAAAAAGAGCTTTATGAAAAAAATCACGAATTTATTGCTTTCAAAAAACTTATGACCACCCATTTAGTTACGTGACACATACGAAAACTCGTACAACACAACAACATTTCCGTCATGGTATGTAACGGGACGGGCATTCGATTTGATCTCAACCACACCAAAGCCTGGAAACAAAACTGTAAGGAACATAGTACTTTGACTTTTATGGCATCAATATTTTTAAGGACACAATCCTGCCATTGGACGTGTTCGTGACCGGTGAAGTCCCGTCATGTCCAATGTTGAGAATTGAGAAGAACAATGAGAGCGATTTTACAATCGGAATTGAATTTGCATATGCCCCGAATGACACGAGTATCAATGACGTCATGGAGAATGTTAGAGTAGGGTTTTCAGTTTTTGATTAAATGACATCATTTGATATTGATTAGGAAAGTGTCGAAAGTGCGACGCTCAATTTTTTTATTAACTTTTGTGTATATGTTCATCATAAGTCAAATATTTGCATTACAAATTTTAGCATCGATACAGCGAAAAAGATCTTACCAAAGCCTTAAAAACGATTCCTGGCGTAGAGATGGAGATGCTGAAGAATCTGACAATTTCTGTGGAATCTGAGGTTAAAGGTATTTTTGATATCTGCCATGCTCTCTTATTTCAGGGTTCGAAACGGAAGCCGATCTAGTTGATTACATGACACAATCGTTCACCCATCAGTGCAACAACCCGCTGTTAGCTGGCGTTGTGTTTGACAGCACGTTAAACTTGTCTTCCTTCGATTCAACAACGAATATTCAATACAAGATTCGTCTAGCCAATACCAAGCGCAGATTTCGCGACTTTGCTCAAGGCATTTTCCCATGGGATACGAAGCAATTGTTCTCGGTTCTGGCGTTCTCTGGACCGATTGGGAAAGGGTATCGGACCGGTGGAAACCCGGGTTATTGGGCGGAGGGATTCTTGACAATACAACATGCAATTCATCTGAGTGTCATGGAGTATGTGGATGGAAAGAGGAGCAGTTTGCTAGAAGATGTCCTCCAGGAAAGGGTCATTAAGGTAGGTCATCTTGGAATGGCTAAACAGGGGCTTTTTGACCGTTTATTCTGATCGCATGGACAAACATTGCATACAATACAGATAGTATGTACAATTTTAAACTTTCAGCTGAAACGTTTCCCCTTTCCACCGTATTCCAAGAAGATTATCGAGATTGGCGCCCTCTTCTTGCCTACCGTTTTCGCTTTTTCAATGATGAGCAGTGTTGTGTACATCGTGCGAAATGTGGTCATGGAAAAAGAGAACCGCCTAAAGGTACGTTCAATATGATAACTGACAAGTCTTGTTCCTTATCATGAAGATGGGTCAGCAAGATTACAAGTTTAATTTGTGTAAATGCGCCTCACCAAGAAATCGACCGTTTTTTGCAAATCATACATCAAGTTCATCCTCCTTTGACCCATATAATTCGCAAAATTATTAATGCCCTCAGGGTTTTTATAAAGTTAGAACTGGGAAAGTGCGAAAAATTGCCAAAGAACGGTCGTAAAAAAGTAAAAAAGTCTTGAATTTGGAAATACCCTATAGGCTCAAAGACTTGATAGATTGTTTTGCAAAAAGCAACACTCCAATGCTCAATTTGATATCTAATTCATAAGAAACGATCCATTTGATGATGAGTTATGACTATAACAAGCTTGCCACCTTTTGCTGACCCACCATGGATTACAAACTTGTTTAGGAATACATGAAGGTGATGGGGATGCATTCCTGGATTGACTGGGCCGCTCATTTTGTCGGGAATTATGCAAAAATGCTGCTTACTGTAATCGTATCCACAATACTCATGGCTTTCGTCGCTGAGAACACGGATATAACAATCATATTTGTGTTATTAGCATTTTACGCATTTACTGCCACTTACTTCGCCTTGGCCGTATCTACATTCGCCAATTCGGGTAATCATTTCGAAGATTTATTGCCGATTTCTACGAAAATGTTTAGCTTTGTTGATCTTTAGGTACTGCTGGAATTTTAATGGCAGTTGTTGGGTGGATCATTTTATTTTTCTGGTCAACTTTCTTCTCATCGATTGACATTCAACAACCACATACTTATCAAGCTCAATTGCTCAACTGTCTCAATCCGAATATTGCGTTATCAATGGGACTTAGCATGTTGGCTCAGTACGAAACTCAAGGTGATTACTAAAGTCAACTTACTTTTTATTTTAAAAGTTTTAGACCACTCAGCAAGGAATGAGTGGCACGTTTTTTTTGAGTATAGCTCACAACTCGTTATCTATTTTTGTCATCAATGTACTATATTGACCTTTGAGGCCAAAATTTTTAGATTGTGTAATTCCTAAACCTACCTATGCCCTAAAGGCCTTTTAACACTTGAAATGGAAAAAAATCGGATTAGTCAGACAGAAGGACCGTATTTTTTGCATTTCTCGTCATGTGTAAATCGTAATTATTCTGGTTCTTTGTATATAGAGCTAAAAAATAGAAAATAAATACGGTTTGAAATGGGACCTTTAGGGACCAGTTCGATGCATAAGTTAAAAAAAAAAAAAAAAAAAAAAAACTGCCCACAGATGCTCAGCAACCCAAAACAGAACCAAAATTTCTCACGCCCACTTTTGAGTTTCGTCATGAACAAAGTGTCGCAATTGACAAAAGTAATAGAATTATTCCAAAAAAGATTTTATTTTTTTATTGCGTAATTGCCACAGAAAGGTTGCAACATTTACTCTACCATACATTGCAGTATTCCTAATTTTACAGCCCATGGAATGAAATGGCATCAAATCAACACCCCTCCCTCTCCAGATCAACATTTTACAATGCTCCAAATCCTCATGGCTCTACTGGTTGATGGCTTTATTTTGATGATAATCACTTGGTATGTGGAAGCCGTCAATCCGAAATCTGAAGGCCTCACTCAAAAGCCGTACTTCTTTGTTTTGGTAGGTATAACATAGGTTCCAAATAGTGTTATTTTAGCCCTCTTATTGGTTCCCATCCTTGGCAAGGAAAGCGCCAAAGAACAGCGAAGTAAATGGAATAGACAACAGCCGAGCTAACGTCGAAGCCGAGCCTTCTTATAGGCCAACAATCAGAGTGACAGGGCTCACCAAGATTTACAATGCTGGCTGCAGCTGGTTTACCAGCAAATCGGTAAGATATCCAAGCATTTTTTAAGAATAAAAACGCCTCTATAATTGAGCAATATTCTTACAGAAACAAAAAATCGCTGTTGACAAGCTCACTCTGAACATGTACGAAGGCCATTGCACCGCCTTATTGGGTCATAACGGAGCTGGAAAGTCGACGACCTTTTCAATGCTTTGCGGTCTTATTGACAGTACAAGCGGGACCGCCTACATCAACGATTATGACATTAGAACGGCCATGCCGATGATCCGAAAACAACTGGGCTTCTGTCCGCAATATAATATTCTGGTGGACCAGATGACTGTGATGGAGCATTTGGAATTCTTCAGCAAAGTCAAGAACAGAGGGTGGGAGCCGGAAGAAGCGCTGAGATTGCTGCGACAACTGAAATTGGAGAACAAAAAGGATGACTTTGCTGGGAAGTTGTCTGGAGGTCAGAAGAGGAAGCTGAGTTTGTGCATCGCGCTTATTGGCGGGTCTGAGGTAAGTAGGTGCATTTTTAAAGCTCTTTAGGCAGCCGTTTCTGAAATATTTGTATAAGAACTGTCCAAGATGATATAAATTAAACTTGGGCAGCTCAAAAAATTTTTATATTTTCCAGATAGTAATGCTAGACGAACCAACCTCCGGAATGGATCCGGGAGCCCGTCATGAAGCCTGGACTCTGATTCAGAAAGAGAAAAGGAACCGGACCATCTTACTGACCACACATTACATGGAGGAAGCGGATCTGCTCGGAGATCGAATAGCCATTATGGCCAATGGACAGCTTCAATGTTGTGGGTCAAGTCTTTTCCTGAAGAAGCATTATGGTGCTGGTTATCATGTGGTCGTTGTAATGGAGTCCAAGAAGGAAGGGGAGGAAAACAAAGTGGACAAGTTGAGGAGGTTCTTGGCCACCTTGAGCGAGAACATTGTATTCCAGTCGATCACTGGAAATGAGCTGACATTTTTATTGCCTAACGAAGAGAGACCAAGGTAGAAAAGTGTTATTAAAGTATAGTAATATTTGTAGATTCCCCAAGATTTTTGGTGACTTGGAAGATAAGCAGTCGGAATTGGGAATTCAGTCGTTTGGAGTGTCGATTACAACCATGGAAGAGGTCTTTTTGAAGTGAGAGTTTAGAAAATTCCCAAATTTGTTACTGCGGCTTGGAGTGTATGAAACATTGAAATTTTAGAGTGAACAATATAGCTGAAGGATCGACTTCAACCGAAGTTATTGATGATACAAACATCGCGAAGGGATTGAATGAACTGAGAAGTAAGTAAAATTGAAGGGAATTTGGTTGCTTTCTATTCATCAAATAATGATTTGATTGCATCCTTGCAGACTCCCAAGACAGCATCCGTCATTCTGGAGTGCATCTTTTACTCCACCAATCAAAAGCATTGCTCTTCTCGAAACTCATGTATTACAAAGCCCAATTCAAACAAGTTGTTGTTCAAATAATCGTCCCAGTCCTTTATATGGCATTGTTTGTTTGGACCGCGACAACATTTCCCAATGCTGAAGAACAAGATCCGTTGACGATTGATTACAGTAGCTTTAGCATCGATGAGCCCGCCAATATCATTGTGAATTCGTTGAACACAGATCTTCCAAGGTAGAGCAATATTGGAAACTTCGAATCCTGTATTTTAGACGGATAAACAGCACGTTGGATATGTGGGACCCGGAGCTTCCACGGGTTGTAAATTACGTAACGAATATTACAGCTGGGCTGGAAAATCTTACGGAAATTATCGCCGGAACATGTCATGAAGTGAGTGCAGAAAAAGACTTTATATTTGAGGCTTCCAATAACTTGATGAGATTCCTTAATTTTAGCAAGGAACTCGCCGTTTTGGCCTCCACAATCCTGTCGCGATCGAAGAGAAATCCAGGACTTTTATGGAAACAATCGAAGTAACATTTATGACCGGTCTCTTCAATAACTTTGCCTTGCATTCTCCACCGTTGGCCGTCAGTCTCGTGGATTCTGTTCTTTTCCAAAGAACGGTCAACAGGAGTATTGCATTTACTGTAAGTTTGTCGTCTATGGGCCTTACCAGGCATATGCTGCAGGAGCTTGCTTTCAATTTATTCCTTAAAAACCCCAAGTCTTTTTCAAATTTAAGATATTAAAATTGTCTTCCTAGCGAAATACACACCGAATTGTAAGCATTACTTTTTATTTTTTTGTTTTTTCGACACGACCGGCGGCGGAAAAAACGTTTGAAACGCTGTGCATAGCTCTTTTTTGCATAGATTATTTTGAAAGGATTGCTTTGCAGCCCTCCCTTCCTCATCATTTTTTTCAACGTTTGTCCTAAAATCCACTTCCAGACCGTAAATCATCCCCTCCCTCCAACGTACGAAGACAAACTCAAGAATAGCCAGAACACTCAGAGTTCTGGGATGGTGATCGGCTACGCAATCATCGCCGCGATGAGCATGGCCATCTCCGCGTACGCCGCTTTTCTGATTCGGGAGAGGAAAAAGAAATTCAAGCATATGCAAATCATGATGGGACTGCCACTGTGGTTATATTGGGTGATGCAGTTTGTGATGGATCTGGTCTTATATGTGATCCCAGTGTTGCTGATTCTGGTGGTATTCAAGTTGTTCGAAATCAGCGTCTACGTGCATGATGCCAGCATATTGGCGATGTTGTTCGGGTTCATGTTGTTGTTTTATTGGACGGCAGTCCCGTTTGTTTATTGTCTCTCGTTCTTGTTCGGATGTGCGCCAAAGGGAAATACGTTGATTGTGATTTACAATATCATCACGGGTGAGTGAAGTTTGGGAGATTTTTTATTTCTACAGGGGAAGTACCCCAAGTGCGACGCTCAGATTTTATTTCAATCTTGCACACACGTATGGACTAAATATCAATTTCTGAAAGTTTTAGCTCCCGCTTTGCGGGCACCGCCGAGATATCAAACGATCTTTGCTGCTGAGAGGGCACGCTAAACGCGGAGAGCGGTCAAAGAGAAAAACGCTTTTTGGCCATAGCTTTGGCAATTTCATGCGGAAAAATTTTGATTTTTTGTTGAAACATTATCCTTTACGGTAGAAATACTCATGAAACTTTTCGTGCCGAAATTCGGCAAAACGTCCTAAATTTTCTTTCGATCTAAAAATCTCGATTGTTTGTACAAAGCGCGAGCTAGGATTCTCGCATATATCTTAGAAAAAATTATTCTAAATTTCTGCCAAGTTTCGGCAAAATCGGAGCGTCGCACTTGGAGTACTTCCCCTGTTAGTAAGATTGACCTTTGTTGAACAAACTCCCATACAAAAAAGCCTCTCTATAACGAACAATTTTACACGAACCATGAGTCAAATTTAGGCCTTAGTAAACCAATATTTTCAGGTATGATTGGCGCCATTGCGGTCCCAATTCTCAAGCAAACCGATGGCGAAGATGTTGCCTACACTTGGGAGATTGTCTTTTCCTTCCTCTTCCCGACCTTCACCATTAACAATCTGTTTGTCAAGGTTTATTCCAATGAATTCAATCGTTTATCTTGCAAACAGATTAACTGTGAATTGGAAATCTTCAAGAAAACGGTTGGATTTTGTTGCGGAAATGATGACGGTAACTTTAAAACAAATTATGAAACTTTTAAGCTCAGAAAGATCATTTGTGGATGAGATTTATTGGAATACCAGTAAGAAAGGACTGTTTTACAGCACGTTGTTCCTGTTAATCGAAGGGTTTATCTACTGGTTTGTCCTTTATCTCATCGAATCTGGAAAGATTTCTGATATTAAGGAGTTTTTGTCGATGAAAAAAGCAAATCAGGACCAAAAAGGAAAGGAGAATGAAGTGAGGATAAGGTCGAGATATCAGGGCATCTGTGAAATTTCTTTTGGACTCTTTAAACACTCAATATTTGCAGGCCTTTGACGTTGAGGTTCCGTTAACGGATGAGCAAGATGTCATGGAGGAGAAGCGAAATATTAAATCAATGAAACCGAAAGATCATCCGGTAGTTGTGGATGGCCTTAGCAAAACGTGAGAATTCAATTTTCATTTCTTATGACGTCATTTGTTGACAAAAGAAAATCGTCAAAAATTGACAATTTTTTATTTTAATCGTAAAAACTTGACGTCTAAGAAAATGATTGCAAAATTTTTAACGCCTCAAAAAATTCTTGAACAAATAAAATCTAAAAATTTCATTGCAGATACGGTAATTTCCGGGCCGTAAAAGAAGTGAATTTCCACGTAACCGAGAAGGATTGCTTCGGATTACTGGGTGTTAATGGCGCTGGGAAAACGTCGACTTTCCAGATGATAACTGGAGAAAATAAAATCACAAGTGGCAATGCGTATATCCAAGGGCACAGTGTAAAAACAGAATGGAGAGAGGTATATTTATTCTTCACTTACTAGAGCCGGATATGTGCAGGCATAAATATACAGAGTTTAATGAAATTGGGTACATTTAGGCCTGCTACAATGCCGGCTACTGCCCTCAATACGACGCTGTGATGAAGGAACTGACCGGAATTGAAACGCTCTCTCATTTGGCAAGGATACGAGGCATCAAAGAGAAAGATGTCAGCATTATTGTAAAGACAATAATCACTGCCATTGGCATTGAAAAATATGGAAACAAACAAATCAAAACTTACAGGTAAGTCATCTATCTAATAATTTCTTTAAATTCACATGCTTGTAGTGGTGGAAACAAACGTCGCTTGAGCATGGGAATAGCGTTGATCGGGATGCCCTCAGTCATGTTATTGGACGAGCCGACGACCGGAGTAGACCCCAAGGCCCGCCGTTTCATCTGGAGTATTTTATCGCACCTCAGAGAGACCGGCATGGCGATTGTTTTGACCAGTCATAGCATGGAGGAATGCGAAGCGCTATGCACAAATTTGGCAATAATGGTGGGCGGGGAATTTGTGTGTATGGGAAGTCCACAACATATCAAAAATAAATATGGATCCGGCTACAGTTTGATTGTTACGTTGGAGGATGAAAAGTACAGCAAAGAGGCCATCAAAAAGACGGAAGATACGTTCCCTGGGGCTGTTTTGAAGGTAATTTTTTAGTATTTGTAAATATTTTAAAAGCCTGTCCAAAAAGTTTCCATAGAGACATGAATGAAAATTGGATCCTGATTTTCGTTCCACCATCATCAAACTCTGATCGTTGCACCTTGACAGATGTCTTTGTCAGTTTGGAATTCCCCAAAACAATCTATTTCGAGTGCAGCTATACTTATTTTAAACTTGTTTTCCTCAATTTTCCATTCACCTCAGATCAAAGCCCTAAAGCGCGGTCATTTGTTGTTCCAGCCATTGTAATTGGCCCATTTATCACAACCGCTTTCAGGAACAGCATCTCTTCCAATTGAGATTCGAGCTGCCCAAACGTGCCGAACAACGCTGGTCACAGCTGTTCGCGGAGTTGGAACGATTGTCAGTTGCATGTCATTTCGTCGATTATTCACTCTCCCAAACCACCCTCGAACAGGTAACCAGAACATGGGCGTGCATCAAACTGATTGATCGCTTCTTTTTCCAGGTCTTCCTGCAGTTCTCGCATCTTGGCCTCCAGGATGAGACGACCAAACTATAGAAAAATGTCGACAGCAGGGTAGATGTAATATAAAATTGATATTTATAAGAGACAGTCGAAGATAATTTATGCATTTTTAGGAAAATAAATTATATTTTTAAAGTCATGGAGCCTCTTGAAACGTAGCGTATTGTTTTTGATGAAGACTGGCGCAAATTGCACTTATAATAGAACTTTTATAAGACATTTTCGACAAAAAATAAGCAAAGATATGGCCAAAGAGCAATATTTCTCTTGCCGTCTCTCCTCATTTACCATGGTCTCTCGTCAAAAAAAAATTGTTCAATATTTCTTGGCCTGTAAAATTTTATGATCAAATGTAAATTTTTTGCAAATTTTTGTAGGCCAAGATATCTGCAGCTTCTGAAAAACGCAAGCTAAACTCTTGCAAACATATGCAAAAAAACAATAATCATTTTCATCAAAATCTGCATGATGTAATTTCCGCACGCCTCCTTCCTTCACTTTATTCTTTGCATATATTTTGCCCAACTTTATTTTACATCCGCCTCCTTCATCTTATTACTCTTTATTTGGTCGAAAACACCGAGAGCAAACAGTCCCCGAAGGAATCGGAGATACGAAAGACTTTTGAATATATTCTCTTCCTTATTACATATTGATGCGTCCGGAAAGACGAAAAGGGAAATGTGATGGGGGGACGATGGCAGTTGAAATGAAACCTCTTTGGAAATAAATACGATTCTAGAACCCGTCAGGCCGCCACTTCAACTGGGGTCCCGTTCACAACGCGGGTCTTGAGGATGCCGTCTTCCGACACCTCCACCGTCTCCCGGCCGTTGTCTTCGGTTCTGAAAACGATGATTAGACATGAAAAATGGGATTTTTAAGAGACTAGAGACTTATGAAATTTCTATAATTTTTTTCAAAATCGAAAATTTAATTTTTACACGATAATTTCCCTCATGAAATCTTCAATATTTTCGCTTCAAAAACTTCGAATCAAATTTTCCAATTTTCTCCGAAAACTTTTTTTTCCCAATTTTCTTTTGAAAATCAGCTGTCTAATTCCGCTTTCCCAACGCCGCTCTTACTCATCCGACCTTGATTACTCTTGTTTTGATTACTTACTTCGTCGTGACAATCTTCTTCCCGTCCACGATGCGAACACTGGTCGTCGTCTTCTTCATGCCCTTGCCGGGCAAATCGCTGGCACTAAATCGAATCACCGACGAGAATTCGCTGAAAAGAAAACATTATTTTACCCAACTTTATGTCGCACTCACCAATCATTCTCATCCTTCTCCTTGCCGAAGGCGCTGTCGAACGACTTGGCATGACAATTGAAGATGTTCTTCGCGTAGGGGCGACGGCCTGCAAACAAAAAATCGGGTCAACATGGTATAGTAAGCAAATATTAATATGCTGTATGTTGTTGTGAGGGGGGTGCGGCGCAGGGCAAACAAGGTTTTCGGGTCATGAAAAAAGACTTTTCATCAAGCAAATACAACAGAAATTGTGTACAAAGGGGGTTATGTCATCGGGGCATGACAATGGGAATATTACAGTCGTTTTGATAGAAGAGGAAGGCGTAGAAAGAGATGGTATGTTTATATTCGGTTCATCCAGAAAGACGCTCAAAATAGAGACAGCGAATTTTGACAGAATATTGGACAAATTGAGAGATTTTTGGCTCGCGCTTTGCAAAAATCATCCAGATTTTTAGATCGAAAAAGTCAAAAAAAATATTTTTGAGTTGAAAAAATTGGCATTCAGTAGTTCTGTAATAAACTTCTACAAAAAATTTTTCTTTTCCGACATCAAAGTAACCAAAAAAATTTTTTTTTCTCTGACCGTCTCCCCATTTTCCCTAGTCTCTCATCGAATTTTGAGAACACCTTATGAGAAAATAAGAACTCCGAGACTTCTCCAATCCTCCCAGAAAAGTTTAAAAACAAAAAATATAATCATATTAAACCAGCCTCACCTCTACCCATAAACGGGTCATTCATATCGAAATGCATAAAAGGCCGGAACATGGGATCATTGAAGCGATCGCCGAAGAACTCCCTGAACACGTCGAAGGGAGATTTGGCGGCGTAAAACGGTGCCTGACTCGACGATCTTCTTCTGTGGCCATGATGACTTCGAGTCCGTTGGAGATCGCCTCGGTCGTATTCTGCACGGTGCTTTTCTAAAAATGTTTTGTTAAAATTTGATCGGCTTATTCTTGGTGATGTTTTTTATGCCCTTATCAGTGTTATTCAAAAACAAATTGTTGTAAAAACATCAAAAAAAATTTTTTTTTGAAAATCCCATGACTCAAAAAAAATAAAATAAAAAAATATCTCATTATTATCGCAGATGGCATCCAGATGTCCCCCCATAACTTGATATCACGTAAACAGCTCAAAAAGTCTCCAGAAGCTCAAATTTTGTTTTCTGGACTCTTCATAAAATACGAGTCTCATGGGATTCGCCGTCAAGAAAACAAGAATGTGATACCAATGGAACACGAACGAATCTCGTGAAATCTATTACCCTTTATATTGCATGCCCTATAAAGAATTAAACACCAACTTACTGTCTGATAATATCTCATAGGCCTGTGCGATCAATTTGAACTTTTTCTCGGCCGTCTCCCTCGTCTCTTCGGGATGCTTGTCGGGATGCCATTTTAGAGCGAGTTTATAGTATCTGAAATTGGAAGCAATTAAAAATAAGATTGTGAGAAGTGATTTCTCGGGTGTCAGAAGGGGAAAAACAAAACGGCAAAAACGTTATGAGGTTGGAAATTTTTTTGAAAAATGAAAAATTCTAAAAGTTTTCAATTAGATTTTGATGTAACCTATCACAACTAAATAATAATTTTTTTGAACATATGCGGAATTCTCAGCCCAAAATGACTAAAATCATAGAGATTTTGGACAGAAAGTAGCAAAATTTTGCATTTTTTTTTTGAAATTTTTGGAGTGAAAAATGTTAATCTTGTTTGATGAGTAAAGTAGTGTTTCACAAGCAAAATTTTGTTAGTGAAAAATTTGCAATGACATAGAAAAACCTCCAAAAAAATTTTTTTTCTTGGGTACAACCCTAAGATATCCATTTTTTCCAATAAAAAATCGGTTACGTTGCCTTTAAAATAGAACTAAATAAATAAACGAAGATGCCTTACGCTTTCTTAATTTCGACCTCATCCGCAGATTTGGGCACGCCCAGCACCGTGTACAGACATTCATGGCCAATCGGCCTTGGCGCCATTTCTCATTTATCCCGGCACTGAAAGCGACGCAAAGATTAATAATACAAAACCACGCTCAAACTTTGGCGTTGTCAATGGCGTTCGCGTTGCATAATAAAGTGGAACGACGGCGCGGTGTTAATTAAAGATCCCTCTGCAGAATCTAAAACTTGATTCCCAGGAGGAGACTGGTGTGGGGGGAGAAGAGAAATGACCGCCTCGCTCGCAAAAACAACACCGCCTCGACCTTGGGACCGGCTATAAACCCTCGCCCCTGCAGGCAGACTGATTGATTTCCGAGGGGTTGCAACGAGTTGGGGATCCCACTTTAATGGACCCATGCACTGGTCAGTTGGAGCACTTGGAAACAGTGGGAGATGCATGGCACTCGATTAAAATGCGTCTTAAAATGCGGTCATTAATCTAATCGACTAGTACGAAAAAAACAGAGGGAAACGTAGACGATTAATTGTGAGTTTCGAGGGAAAAGAGGGGCGATATACGAATGGGAAGTGAAACTTTGGGATAAAACTTTTAGAAAAGAAAAATGAGACAATTCAATGCTGCAAATTACCAAAAATCGGAGATACCGTCTCACGGCAAACCAAAATAGAACAAAAATGTCTCGCGCCCACTTTTGAGTTTCGTCCAAAACGAAGTGTCACAGATTTTCAAAAAAATTTGGTCGTGTTTTGGCATTGCGTTTCATTTTTTTGGCAATCCCAGTTTCCACTTCGAGACTCAGAATTATAACTACTCGAAGCCAAAAAAATCTCTTTGAAAGTCTAAAAATCACTCAATTCGCAAATATTTCAATATTTTGACCAAGAAAATTAAATAACTTTATATTTATACGAGTTTCTAATCTCCGTAGGCCTAGCTGTTCGCGATTCCCACGTTCGCACACTACGAAAATACACAGAGTCGGATAATGAAAGACAAACATTGCCAACACTCTGTCTGATAAGCCGCAAACATCGGCAAGGAAGTGAAACAAAGATAACACCAAAAGAAGGGGGCAGAATCGCCATTTCGTGGACACGATCCCCTTCAGCGCGGATTAAAACCAAAGTTTGGAAATCAGAGGAGCCCCCTCGCAACGGTCCTCCTCCTCCTTTTTTTCGTTTCGCGAACGCGCTAAACCCCCAAAGGGGAAGAGGACTCGAGAGCGGTCATTCCCCCTCCATTGTTTGGGGCAAAGTGCGAAGAGAGCCAACTGGTCATTCGAGATGAGGTTTCAGCGCTCGAGGGTTGGGAAAAAATTAGGAAAAAAGCGTTCGGAGGGGAGGGTGAAATTGATCGCTGTTCGTATCGGTGACAGGCCACAAAAAACGGCTTGATGGGACGCCGAGGTGACAGATCAATTAACACAAACTGGGACCGCATGAGGAGGGCGAGGGGAGGTCGTGGACAAAGGACTGAGGAGTGGACATTTTAAAGTTCAAACGAGCTTTGAAGGGACATCACCTGTGTGAAGTGTCAGGCCAAGGGGAAGAAAATGAGGAAAGATATTTTAAAGATCATAAAATCGTAATAAGATAATATTTAAGTCATCAAAAGTATTTTAAAGCAAAGTTATAGGCACTATTTGCTCAATTCAAAATTTCTCAACCCCATAAAACTTATTTTTGCAGCCTCTCTAAACCCGAAGCAACCTTGAAGCCGAAAAGTGCACTCAGCTCTTCTCTAGGAAAGGAATACCTAGCAAACAACGCAATTAATCGAGAATAAGGTGCATAAAGATCGTATCTTGTTTTCCAGCCATACAGAACTGATATATATGCCCTTGCTCGAGATTTGCTCTCGTAATCAGAGCTTTATACCCTCAGGAATCAACGATTATACCCCAAAAAAGCTGTGGTAATCAACGATTATACCTGCATCAAACTCATCCCCGTTCCTCCCCGATCTACCTACTTTTTTTACCCTTGACATACCTCAGTCTCCCGTCCGACCGTGCCCCAATTATATTTAATAACGTAACCACGGATTATGTTTTACAATAATAACTGCAAACACGACGCGAAAAAAAACAAACCTGAGGCGTTTGCGCTCGTTTTAGTTCATCGGCTGAGCCGGGAAATCCGCTCAGCGCGGTTGAATGCGTCGCAGCAGTGAGGGCTGTAGACTTGTCATCGCGTTTTTCCCATGCTTTCCCGCCCTCATCCCATTCTCAAGACAATGAACGAATCGCGTTGCTGGGATCGAGACTTGCGGCGGAAACCCCCGCTTTTTGTGATAACGGCCCGTTTATCACCGCCCCGACCCTTTTTTGGTGTTTGTTTGACCTGAGGGAACGCACGTCAGACAGACTCGAAGACGCGAGACGCTTGTCCGTCAGGCTCGTGAGCTCGTAACATTACGAAAAACGAGACGAAAGCCAAAAGATGACCAAAGAAGAAGCGGAAAAAAGGCAGCCCCAGGGCGCCTTTTGGCCCCTCGTCAGACCTGTGGCGTTTCCGACGGATCTCCAGCCAGCAATTTGTATTATTCTTCCCCCTGAGGCGGAAGGAGGGCGAAGAAAATGATCTCAATGTAATCGAATCCACACAATGGATTCATACAGGGAAGGGGGGAATTCTCGGATTCAGCTCAACCCAAAAACGCGCCTGACGGCCCCCAAAAAAGGGAAAATCAAAGGCGCGCTGTCGGCGAAGAACAAATGGCCTTCGCGGAAAAGTGGTGGGGAAAAGACGAAAATCCCATTATACGCGCGCGGCAGCAGCAGTTGTAACCTGAGTGATACGCGCGGAACAAGCCGGATACCCGGTTTTTTCGTTTACTTTCACGGTTTACTCAAGATGAGATCTCTTTCTTCGCGCTTCAAAGACTTCATAATTGCGGGATCTGTTTGCGGAAGAAATTGAGTCTCGGGTTTTACAAGGGAAATCCTCAAAGTGAGACGAATAAGATTTGATGAAATTTTGAAAACAGGGTCCAAATATGGCGCTTATCAATTCCTAAAAACTTTAGATGACGCTATGCATAGGATGTTGAGATATTAGGCGTCTTTACAGACTATAGATGAAAGGAAATAAGCGGAGATAGGCTGAGAAAAAAATATTTTGATATCTTTACGACGACATTTTTGTTTTTTTCTTGCAGGAATATGACATTCGATAGTAGTAAAAGTCCATAGGAATCATCAAAACACGAGAATCATCCAAAAATAGAAAAATTTTGCCCTTTTTTACGTTAAAATTGCGATGATTTCGGCAGGACAAAAAACAAAATAAAAAAAACAATCTTTAAAAAATTTTGGTCTCAATTTTAACTAAATCTGCTCATAATCCGGTAGTCTTTCCTCTGGCTCATCTTTTGCAAGTCTGTTTTTAGTTCAAGCTCAGAGTAAACAACGTTAAAAATAGGTTAGAACACTCGATTGCAACGATTTGTTGTTGTTTGGGTCAAGAAACGAAAGTCTTTTCGGAGTGATCGGAGTTTTGCTTCGGGTTCATGACAGATGACTCAGCCAAGTTTAACAGAAAGACGGGAAATTGGAAAATGTCTGATTGGAGAATATTACTTTCGGAGGGGGATCGAACAATGTACAATATAAAGCTGGAATAAGCCCACAATAATCTTTTCATCGAACGTAATCATCCGTGGATTACAAAGAGCTCGCTGGTTGTTCGGGAGGCAATATATTGCGCAATGTGTAAAGTAGCGGGCCAAAAATAGTAATCATTTATTTTTAAGGCAGTATTAGTAGGTTAAAGTAATTTTAAATAGGTTTTACAGCTTTAGAGTCGATTATTTTTGTACAGTAACACTTAGGCGGCAAGAATAAGACTGTAAAACGACTAAACAAACATTTATTCCACCCAGACCCCTTGTGATAATTGCTCAAATTTGATAATCATTATACTTCCCCAACCCCTGAATTTCCAACTGCAGAACCATTTAAAACGCCGGTAGTTAGAGACAATCAAAATTTTGAAGAATCAGAAGGCCCATAAACTCGTTTCTCTTCGATCATCAAGACGAAAAAGAGGAGGCGAGAAGGAGGGTTACTGATCATAAAAGGGAGCGCAGTTCAAAAGGTTTCAAACTGAAACTTGGCAAAAGAATGGGGTTAAAGTGTTTTAAGATAAAGCCGGATTTTTTTTACTTCTTGAATTTTGAAGAAAAAAGGTTGAAAAATGGCCTAGATTCAATTTTCGGGATGAATAAGAAAGCTTTGATCGAAATACGGCACTATTTAAAAAACAAGGACTAGTGCCTGTTAGTATCACGTAGTAGAAAAACATTTCTTCTCTAACCGAATCTCTTCGTTTTCTATTGTTTCTCGCCAAAAAATCTTTTTTAAATATGTCACCATCGCTGTAAAAAACCTTGAAGACGAGCCCACCAAATTGTTCGGAAAAATCTAGAACACGAAACAAACCCTTAGGCCGGAAGTTTCCTCGTCGCATAATATCATTCCCTGGGGCATCGGAAACTCGTGGAAGTTTTGCATGAAGCCAAAAAGTCCATGAAGAAAAGTCCATGAACGTGCCGTTTTGACAGAGACTGATAAATCTGTTTACTACAAGGTGCAAGATGATGACGTTTCCGCCGTTCTATCGTATCTTTATGGCCCTCGGTTCATCAAGATTATGGCTATAATCCCCGAGGTCGTTATTGGCCTCGCTTCTGATCGCCATAAGTTTTCTATTGTCCTTTGCAATGCCACAGGCGGTCAAATTGAAAGGCAATAAAACTCGGATTGCCAGTTGTTTTTTGCGAGACCGATTAGAGAACATTAAGAGACGTTACGATGACTCAAACCAGCCCCGTTTTATTAACGAGACATTATCAAGTCATCATGGAAGAGAGGAACGCAATTTACACAAGGTTACCGGAGTAATCGAGAATGTATTTAAAGGACATCGGAAGTGGTAGAAGGTTTAAATTCAGGATGGTCGAAAAGTCCAAGAAAACATTACAAAAATTTGTTTAGAATTACAAAGTCTGGCCACTCTTTGTTGTGTTATTCAACCGAAAACGAGCCATTTCAGCCATTCTGTATCCAGAATTACAGAAAACTGCGGCAGCAGTCGATGTTTGAGCTTCACTTCCGATTTAGCACAATTATTGCTAAAAATTATCTGAAAATGAAATTTTATACCTTGTTTCACACCTTGATGTACAACTCAGCAATCGAAAAGCTCAACTGTTATAGGCAATAAATCACTGTTCTGCAGAAAAAATGTGGGCTCAATATAACTGATTGTTTGTCACTTGAAGTAAGTGTAATACTTACAGGGTAGGTACTCTAAGTGCGACGCTCAGATTTTGATGAAACTTGGCACAGATTTAGAATAATTGTTTCTAAGATATATGCGAGAATCCTAGCTCGCGCTCTGCAGAGACAACCGAGATTTTTAGATCGAAAGTCGGCGAAAATTTAGGACTTTTTGCCGAATTTCGGCACGAAAATTTTCTTGCCTACTGCAACCGCAAAGGATAATGTTTCTACAAAAAATCAATTTTTTCCGCGCGAAACTGCTAAAGTTACGGCCAAAAAGCGCTTTTCTCTCTGACCGCTCTCCACATTTAGCGTGTTCTCTGGGCGGCGCCCGCAAAGCGCGGGCTAAAACTTTCAGGAATTTATATTTAGTCCCTACCCGACGTGTGTGCAAAATTTAAAGAAAGTCTGAGCGTCGCTAGTAATCAATTGTGCAAATTCGCAAACCTCTGTTCCTTTTTGATGGTTGGATAAAGAAAGTATCATCCAATGATAAAGAGAATCCAACGATTTTGCCAAAACGCCAAAATTTTCGTCATCCTTGGATACTGCAATATCAGTAATATCCTCATTATTTTTTCGGCTAATTGTAAGACCGTGGTCCTGTCGCAAAATGTCCTTTTGAAGTTTATGATGACGTTTCCAGACATGCCTTGGAGCCATACAATAAATTGAGCGAAAAAATTAACAAGAATGATTCCTCGGGGCACAAAAAATAAATCAATTTTTTTCAAAATATACCACTCCGATTTTTAAAATTTTGACGGATTGTGAAGATCAGTAGCTTACAGTATAAGTCATTCAAAAAAATTTTCCATTTTTTGTGTGTGGACAAATTGGTATGGCTCAGCTGCAGCAGCGCGAGCTAGTCTTGCAAGGCTGATATATGTGTCGCACTTACAATTGGGACACTTTCGTTGTTAGCTTAAAATAAGTTTTTAAATTTTTTGTGGCTTGATTACTTTCAAGAGAACAAATTTATTACTGAAGATTGGAGAGAAAGGAGGTGTTTTAACAATTTATTGTATGCAATAATTCTGTCTTTGATAACAAACTTCATTCCTTTATTAGCCCTTTTCCTTGCTAGTTGGAGTGATGATCTTTGTGATATAAAGGTGGTCATATAAGATCTCGGAATTTGTTTTCCCCAAATCGCGATTTTCGGTGCACAAAAAAGTCGACGCCCAAATCGAAAAATTGGCGTCGACTTATTTTTTTCTCGGCACCGAATTCTGAAATTCGGTAAATTTTTCTAAGTTTTTCGGAATCAGTGCACAAAGTCTTAAGTCTGCACCGAAGACTTAAGTGCTTAAGTCAGCACCGCATTTCGGAATTCGGTGCTGAAAAAATTAAGTTGACGCCAATTTTTAGATTTGGGCGTCGACTTTTTTGTGCACCGAAAATCGCGATTTGGGAAAAAAAAAATCCGAGATCTTATATGACCACCTTTATATGCATTGTGTGAAAATAAATGTTTGCTTTGCACCGTGCAATAGGCTTTGGGGTATCACTTGTACCCTGACTTTTCTTGGACAATGCAAACGTCCAAAATTATTCCAGCGACTTTACAAACGGACTAGAATTTGGTTGTGATTTTCCAGTCGTCAAATTCTTCTGTAAATGAAACCAACAGTATACAAAATATTCAACAGTTTTGGCAAACCAAGAACACGTTATTTTCATATTCCGTATGCAAAAGTTCGGGAACTTGAAACACTTTTTCTAGACGCCTCCAATTTGAGTCAGATAGATTATCCGATAACCGCCACCGATGACAAGTGAGGTGATGAGTGCTGTCGTTGGAGATGATAAAAGGGCAGATGGATGGGCCGATAAGAGCGGATCTTTTGTCTCTCCACCAACAGTTCAAGAAGTGACTAATATTTATTTTAATGATATCATTGTAATTTGTGGCGATTGAAGAGAGCCCTTTCGGGATCTTCGTATAAATTACAGGCGAAGGCGGAGAAGCCGAGGATCAAACAGACAGGTCACAACGATTAGATACATACACGCAATAAGGCCGAACTGAGACGCTGTAAGACACGGGCACTACTTTCGGATGGACACTAAAACTTCTACGCAACTTTATTGCACTGCGGAATTGGGATCAGGAGAGAGTTGGGTGGGGGATTTGGTTACATCATGCTAGGCGCTATTACAATTACAATCCGATTGACAAGAGGAAACGAACAAGTGAGCACCGGCTCCAAGGAGATCAATAGTCAAAATACCAAACAAAAACGATACGTTGAGATAGTTGGTTTAGGTTTTCAGGTTCAGCTACAGCAATTCTATGCGGGGAGATGTGGGGGCGGGGAAGATGGCCCGATAATGGAGATTTTTTTCGAAATCAAAAAAAAAGGAATATCCAAAAACAGAACGGCCATCTTCCCCCAACCCAGGCTAATAACAAATAGGAATGTCTAGATGGAAACGATTTCAAGTGAAGCAGAGATGAAAACAATGTCAAGTGAAGCAGGATCAACCAATTCTAGAGGGTTAGGGCCGACCGTACACTACCCCGACTCCAAGTGACGCACAACTATGCAAATCATTGCGCGAACTCGCTGAGGATCCACTTGAAGAACTTGGAGTCGAACTCTCGCTGGGCGTAGTCCGAGTTCTCCAGGCCTTCGAAGCGTCCGTCCTGTTGGAAGTAGGTGTGCGAGCCGCGGATTCTGAAGGCCTCGTGGAAATTGTCGGTGGTTGGGGTGTTAAATTCTCGGTGGAGGCCGCCGAAGAATTTGCAAAGAACACCGCCTGCAAAAAACAAATTTTAGTGCAAAATAGACTGCAATATTTCTGGTACCTTACTTAACTACTTTAGGGCTTTTTTAAGCATTAAGATAAACACAAGAACTCACTGTATTCGGCCGCCAGATCCCTTGGAAACCGCAGTCTTTGCACGAGCATGTTCTCGTAGTGACTTTGGACCTCATTGGTGGCCGAGCACAATGGCAACGTTGTCTTGGACAACTTCTTATCGAGGTTCTCGGTTTTGGTCATCTCCTCGAACTCGTAATTGGCATCGTCGACCACTGGAAAATCATCTGTTAATCAGCCCATAAATCCAAGCGAAGCGTTTCAACTTACTGTATGTGGTGTGCTTTTCGACGGCGATCTTCTTGGGCAGTACTTCGGAGAGGAGCCAGATGTACAAGCACAGATCGGAGGCGCCTACTGAAAAGGGGAGAAAAGTCAGAGGAGCGAATGATAATTGGTGTGTTGACGATGACCTCGTGACATACAGAAGGACGGAAAGACGTGACAGTTTGCAAGATTCGACTGATAACGTCTCCATCTTATCTTATTAATAGGCGACCTACCGTAACTCCAATTAATCGCGCACTTGTCGTCCAGATCCAACTGCATGATATCGAGACTCTCCTTGGGGTAGATGGGGTACATGATGGCCTGCTGTTTCTTGGAATGCCCCAGGCCCAGAGTGTGGCCGATTTCGTGGACGAGCACATGCGGGAAGCTGGCGCCTTCCTTCGAATTATTTACATGCCAGTTCTCGTAGTCGTCCAAATGAATGTCTCCGTTCAGATTGCCCTTGGACGTGTGGTAATTGGGGTAGAAGGTGTGAGCCAGAATGTTGGCACCGTCATTTCCCGGCCCGTCAAAGTTGTTGGAGTCTCCGTGATCGCCTTCAGCCCAAAGAATGGAAATGTCGGCCTCATCCGCGTTGTCAGCTTCCTCGAATTCTAACGTCAGCGATTCCATTGAGTTGATCTTTGCTTGCGATGACCACAATTTGAAGGCTTTCCTTACTGTAGCTCTGAAAAAAATTGAATTAAAATTTGCGCAAACGATTTTTTTGTGTTTCGAAATGTTTTCCGCAAGACGCATTCTGCTCTTTCCGTGCAAACCCCTGACTTTTAGTGTTGTTGTTTTTCTGGTCGCAGCCTGGAATCAGGTCATTCAACTTATCCCGACGCTCGTTCCGAGCTCTGTGTCAAAGAGTTTAGGGTCAGGGTCGTTTCCGACAAAAAACCCCGACGTTCCGAATTATTTTTAATCGAAAAGACGGCCACAAATCCGGCTCGTGATTAAGTCAGATGGATAAGAAATCAAGATTAACAGCATAAGAAATCACATTAAAAAAAGACAAGGATAAAAGTTAAGAAACCAAACATAGACCACTTACGATCCCGCCACAAAAACCCCATCTTCCCCCACATTCTTTGAACTTCTCAACCTAACTTTTTATAAAGGTTTCATCTTCCCTTCAGAGGGCCCACAAAAATGTAATTAAACGGTGCTTGGAGCCGGACTGCACTTTGGAAGGCCCGGTCCCAGGCACGAACGGCCCTTTTCCGCAGCTAATTCCAGGACATGCGCTTGACCATTCGGTCACTTTTTCTCCCCCCAAAAAACCGTTTTTTCGAGACTTGAACTCACTTGATGTCAGCGCGGGGAATGTCCTTGGTGAAGTTCTGGATGAACCATTTGAGTTTGAGATGATTATTGCGGACGCGGTTCTCCCATCGAGCAATGTAGACTGTAAACAAACCGGTTAATGGGAGATTATCATAATTTTTCACACTTTGCAAATTCGCATATGGTCTGCAAAATTTTCTTTTTGCGTGAATTTTGGGTCAAAAGAAATTTTCGACGTATCCTGTGATCTCTGCTCCAGAATGCGAATCTGCAAAGTCAAGGTCGACAAAATCTTCAAAGATTACGGAAACAGTGGCCCTAATCAACACACACACAGTACCCCGCGATCCCTTTTTACACTCTCAACACCCATGAAAAAGACCCGCCCGTTTAATCATCGAATCTTGTCATCGAGGCGACAGTTACACACATCCAAAACTTGTTCCTTTCGACACTACACTTGCAACTGTTTACATCGAGTGTAAAGTCCATCGAGGAGCACAGAAATAAACACCCGCTTACCGAACCGTTTCCGCCGCTCGTTGCTGCTGGAGACGTCCGAGTTCCCGCAGCGCGGTTGCCGCATCTCCGTGTAGGCGTCATCGTCGAGGACGCCCGTCTGTTTTCGACCGGTCATGTCTTGAAAGCTTTTCATCGCATTTCGGAACTCTCGCGGAGTCGGATGCGACGTTGTTAAGTGACCGAATTCCAGTAAATATTTCTGAAATTGGAAAGACATGAAAAGGAATCTTTTTGCAAATCATTTCACAGCCAACATGACTTGTTACGGGTCACTTACAACTGCGAACTGATGTCTACTACTGTCCAAGCTCTCCTCGTCCTCCGTCCACTTGTAGTTGAACAGGCCTAGGTCCATGGATCTCCGCATCCGCGACTTTTGCATCGGCGCCGCGTCGACCAAACTCCCCACCATGAGCAGGAGGAACAGTGTACTGTAGGGTGTGGGGACTGTTTGGGCCCAATTGAACGTCTCGTTGAACACACGGATGAGTTGATGGGACCACCAACGCATCACGCTCGTCGATGGGACGCGGCCGGTCGACGAATAGAGATCGCTGAAAGTATTCGGTGAGGGCCGAACGAGGGAATTTTTTAGCCTTTAAACCCGCTGGCCCCGCCCCTCCCCCACGCCGTGTTTACTGCGAAGGGCCGGCGGTAAAGTTTCGGGGTGGAATCCCCACTGGTCAGTCGGGATTCAGGATGGGGAATTTGCGTTTTTTTTTGGAGACGAAAAATGGGTTACCCGCAAAGGATTGTAAACAAATTTTTTTGCAAAAAATAAAATAAAAAGGGGTTCAATCTGTTCTATGACATGAAAGATACCCACTCACACATTACGTACACCAAATCTACTCGATTTTATTCCATAAACTTTTGGGAACATTACCGAGAAAATGAAAATCTTACTGTAACAGCGCCACGACACACAAACGTCCCCTTCGTAGACGGCCTATTTAAACCGCTAAAATACCGCAAATAAACGCGCGGAATGACGCATAATATCATCAAAACTTTCAACTACCACCTCCACATCGAAAACAATCAAAGAAAATCATATGGTATCCCAAAAAGTTGCCCTAAGATTTGCCCGTCAACCGCTGCTCCGACGAATACAAAAAAACTGGAAATTTTGGAAAAAATGAGCCACACGCACTTTTTATAGACAGACGCCTTTAACCGATTTCCTTCGAAAAGATGGAATTGTACTGGACGCGGCGCGACGCAACACCTCCAAAGATCCCTTTTTGCAGGTTAATGGAACGGGGCGGGGAGACGTCGAAGAATACAAATCCCGAGGGTCAATGTCGACTTTCGGCGATTAATTCAGCGACAACGTTGCGGGTGATTTATGTGATACATTAATAGCGACGTTAAAAGTCGAAAAAGTACAAGGAAAGGAAGTGAACAAATCAGAAGGTTCAAGTAAGGGCTTTTTGTGCAATTTTGGCATGGCTAATTTCCGTAAACTAGCAAGCTGAATGGCCAAAAAAAATTCCGGAAGAACCGAGGACCCGCATATTTTGGTGGATCGAACACTCCCCAAAAAATAAAAAGACCAACATACACAACAAAAAGCGGGGATCCCCGTTGTACCGGCAAAAGCGCGCATCTGATAGCATCTGGGCCCTCAGACGACGTCGCCGGCCCTGGACCCGCTCTCAACAACCGACGGGGGCAAGGCGATTTTTCCCCCTTCGTTTTGACGAAAAAAATGGCTTGAAGGAACGGAAGATCGAACAGACGCAGGAACCGGTCAGCGGAAGGGCCGGTGGGGATCGTGCCCTCAGCGCAGAACCGTGCTGATTCCTGAGTCACGTCCAGCCGGATTGTTGCAGCGCCGCCCCGATTCCGACCCCATTGTCTTCCAATTTTTCGAAAAAAGGGTATTTAAATAGTTCGCAAAGTGCAGCGGGAATTTCAGCTGGTCAGGAGGGGGGAGATCACCGTCTTTTATTTATTTTTCTATTCGCGATTTTTTGCTTAAACTACGCAATGTCCGAAGCCAACAAGCATCGATAAAAGTGCTTGTGCCGAATCGAGGTGTCGTAAAAAATATTCATTTTTTATGAAAATTCAGTGAGTTTGTGTCAATTTCTTTCAAGTCTGCGTTGCCCCAGTTTCACCGAGTTTTTTGTAAAGGCTATTTGAACTATCTCGTTCTAATGGCTAGGTTCAGATTCAAATTTATAAAAAATGATGACGTATTAATCTCTGATCTGATAACATCCACCCTCCTCCAATCCTCTTGACTTCAAATTCTCAAAGAGTTTCTTTCCTGTTTACGAGAGAGAGCGAAGGAATGGAAGAGTACGTGTGGCCATCAATTACCTATACTTTCGACCTACGCGTGTCATAAGGGAAGGTGCGATCGTGGCGAGCATAAATCAACTCACCCGAGCCGCACTTTCGGCGATAAGCTCGCTGGAAGAAGATAACAAGACGAATAGCACGTGGCTGGTGAATAATGCGTTCAACAAGCTGCCCAATTGCAATAATTACAACTAGCCCGTCGCTAACCTTGAACATGTATCACGCATCAGCCTTAAATAGGAGCCAATGAAAACATGTGAGCCACAGACCGTTGCAGAAAAACGAGATGGGTGCCGAGATTGCACACACACAATAAATACATAACCGCATCGCTGCCCGTCCATCAGCGCGATGACCTTGACGTTTTCCCCCCATCTGATTGGTCTCGCGACAAGAGAAAATTACTGGAACTTACCCATGCATTCCGAGATTCTGCCCGCGACGTCACCGCAAGAATGCCGTATGTCTGCACACAACGTACGCCGGCAGGTTGAGTGCAATTTGCTCGCAAAGTACATGCGAATTAGTCATTGAAATGAAAGACCCCTTTTCCGAGCAGCGAGCAGCAGCAGAGGACTCTTATTAAGCGACCTGTCTGGGAACCAGAAATGCCAAAAATAGGGACATAAACCCGATCACATGATGCCTTCTGCCGTCCTTGAAGAGCCCGCGATGATAAATCAGGAGAAAGGCCTCCTCCTCCCCACCTCTCCAACACTTTCCCAAGCAAGAACAAACCGGTCATGAGGAAACGGAAACGTCTGGACACACAAACACATACAGTAATTTGGGGTTCTACCTTATTACGAAGTAATTGCGCTCATGATCCCTTGTTTGTTTTTTTATAGTATTTCAAGTGAATTTCAAATACCATGGCTTATAAACATCTGCTTATTTCGATCGCAAAATGAATTTTGAATCGTCAAGATCTACTCTTACCAGTCTAAACAAACAGTAATCAGCGACACCACCCCATTCAAAAACGAACTCAATATGCAATTGACGCAAACCCCTAATAAGACGCAAACCTCCTAATAAGAAGTCCATATCCTCTGCATCCTCAACATACCATCACTCGCATGGTATGTAAACAAGAGAGCCGGAACGCCACGTTTCTTGGCACGGCGTACAATTTAGTGTCACTCAGTCCAATCTTTCGTCCCGGCCGTTCCCCCCTTGGGGGATTTGGGGTTGGACAGTAATTAAGGACCAGAATTAAACGACTGACCAGTCACAAGTTTTTTCACAACGTCGGCGATAGCCCTCTTCCCCCCAGCCTTGAGGCAGCCCTGCCTGCAATTGGTCGAATACCGGATCCGGGCAATTAAAATCTGAAGCGCGACATGCTTCCGCTCTGGGCCCAAATTTTGGGACTAGAAACAGAATAACGAAATCCGACAGCCAAATTGGGTCAGACCCCGGCATTTCGGTGATTTATCATATTTAATTTGAATGCCAACTTACGCAAAAACACGGAATTGCAAATGCTCTCAAGTGTGGAGAAACAGTATCAAAAACAAGCAGGCTCTGTACATCCCCACTTGTTTTCGATATCTGACACATGGAAATGAGTACAGAGTAAATCTAAATTTCAAGGGTCCATGTGTAAATTGTAGATGAGGAGGAGATTATGAAAATACAGTTTCAAATATTCTTACTCACTCTTGACATTTCGTCGAAAACAGAAACGCTATAAAAGGGGTTGCACCTGCGGAAAAAATGCAAAAATATGGGTGCCCGACTGAACCCTCAAAACTTGACCACCAAACTTTTCATGTGCAGTTAAAATGTGAATAAGACCGTTGAATTTCACAAGCGCATAAATCTAAACAATACTTGATGCATTGCCCAGACTAAGAGTTTTTTAGTCTACCTGACATACATAGATCTGCGACCATAAGAAAAGTTGCGATGAAACCACTCTGATTAAAAAACTCGTCTGTTTAAAATCATGTGAAAAATCAAATTTCACAATGATATGAGAAACACACCGATTTATTACTTTCGAGAGGTCAGAGTCCCAAAAAAGGTCATTGCAAGTACAACTATGGTCTTCAACCCCGTTTTCTGTACGCCAGTTTTAACCAGACCCTTTATTTCAACATTTTTTGCGACTCACCTTAAACTCCCTTGTCTCTTATCACAGTGTAGGGACTATCCATTTACAAGCATACTGTAGCCTCAACGAGCAACTGCTGACTCTTCTCAGACAACCTTGAATGTTAACTTCTGCCGATGAAATACAGCAGAAATAAGTTTTGCTGTTTATATCTGGGAGTTGCATTCGTCTCCTTCTTATACTGAGCGACAAAATTGATGACATAGGACTTGGGAGAAAACAAGGAAAAGACCACTCCTTTCAACTGTTTTTTGTGAATTCCGACCGCCTGTAGGTTGTAAACTTGGCGGAGAGAAATGGGTTTCTGGAAATAGGATGTCGAGAAATCAAAAACAAAGAGAAAACATACAAAAACTTTGGAATATTAACGAAATATGAGCTTTTTTAGCGAAGACAACGAGCTGTTTACGGTCAATAAACAGTGCCATTACAAAATTCTATATTTAGGACAAGCGAAAATAGATTGTTACAATTGTTGAATTGTGTTGATCTCAACAAAAAATAGAATTGAATTTTCGGCATTTGGAAGCAACCTGTGCTTTTTACTATAATATATTTCTCTTTCTTACAGTACCCATTGTTTTTCGTTACTTCCATTATTGAGTTGGCGTATGTTTTAAAATTTCTTTTATCCTTTGCAATCTCTTTTCTGCGAGTTTGTATCCGACTCCTCTCGAATATACAGAATTGGAAATACCACGTCTGTGAACAAAATTATACTGTGCCAAACATCAGGAGGTCTGGCGTGATTATTGGCGCACATGCCGGCTAATTTTGATTGACATAACGGCTGAGCGATCACGGATCAAGGGTTCATCCCGCCGTCTCCAAAACACACTCATCTCGCCTCCGAGCCGACCAAAGAACGTCTTCCTTCCCTCCTCATCACGTTCGCCTCGAATTGCATTCGAGAACGGGGGGAACTTGTGACGGAATGCCAAAAACAAGGAAAATAAATAAAAATCTGGTCCGAAAACGTGCACGTATACGTTCGGGGCGATCCCGGCCGCCAAAGGACAACGTGGTCGGCGCTGAAATTTGAGGGATCACTTCGGTCCGGAGATGGGCTCCGCCTCGGAACAGGTCCCTTCCCATCTCCGAGCGCACGTTTTCTTCTTTTTCGCGACGGCCTTATCAATCGCTGAAAACAACCAACGGAATATTGATAATGTGCCTTTGAAAGTGCTCTCTTTCTGTGTTTACACTCTCCTCCATATTACTTTTACCATTCGATTCTAATTGCCTGTGATTTCTGTTTAGGTCGGACGAAAAAAGTTTTAATTTTAACAGATTGTCTTGATCTGATTTTGTGTTATTTATGTATAGTTAAATTGATTATAATAGTTAGGGGAATGGACTTGACGGAAGAAGAAACGTCTGTTCTGCTCTTTGAGACCGTAGTTTGAAGAGTTTTCTTTGGTTAAACTTGTTTTTTGGAACTATAAACATAAACGGCTAGTGTAATATAATTCTATTTACTTTTGATCTTTGAAATTGAAGATTTATTTACGTCGAAGTTGGTTAGACGTCTACGAGTTTGTTTACAGAAGTTTTTTAGCGATTGTGATTTTTTTTAGATTTTTATTCGCTGGGTTTTCGTTCTTTTATCTATTGCAATACATTTAGTGTATTTCCAGCCATCGAACGTGTTCAATCTTTGCTGTTTACGTGCGAAATCACTTTTTGGTAATTTTTGTTCCTTTTCAGGAATGTTTTTGTGAGGGCACTACTGTTCACTGATCTTCACCATGATATCCCGGTCCCTGCTCCTTAGCCGCTCATTACCACACTCCAGACGTTCGCTTCACGTGTTTCGGAATACCTTGACCAAGAAGTTGGACTACTACAGTCAATTTCAGCCGTCCGCTCTCACCATCCAGCAGTATCTCGATTTTGGACTCAATGGAACAGCTCAATCGTCCTATCTGTTTCTGCGGAAGGAATTGTTGGTTCGTCTGGCAAACATCATGCAGGTATTATTTGTTGGGATTTGTATTTTTAGGTCAGGAAAAAGAGGTTTTGACTTGTAAGATCATTTTTCTTTAAATTACACTAGATCTGTTTTGGTAGATGTACCTAAAAATGATCTTATTTGTGTCAAACAGCTAAAATATTTTTTTGTAGAAGTAGAAGCCAAATTAAGGTTTTTGGAACGTGTTCTAGGTTATTCTTTTATGCCACTTTTTCAGGAAATCAGTCTTCTTCCCCCGATGCTGCTAAAGATGCCCAGTACAAAGATCGTCAGTGAATGGTATCAACAGAGTTTCGACGATCTTCTGGCCTTTGAAAATGTAGAACCCTCATTTGAACAGATTGCTGTGTAAGTCTAGCCTGAGCTTTTACTAGATTTTTGTTTTGTTTGACGTTTGTTTCAAGTATAACATCCTGTTAAATATTTTATTTCAGCTTCAACGATGCTCTCCAAGGGATCTTGAAAAGACACGGACATGTAGTTGAGACAATGGCCGAAGGTCTTCTTGAACTCAAAGAAGCAAATGGAGTTGATATCGCCAGTGAACGGGGAATTCAGTATTTCTTGGATCGGTTTTATCTCAATCGAATCTCGATACGAATGTTACAGAATCAGCATTGTAAGTATCGTTAATATTTTGTTATTTTTGTCTTTAGTGGTGGTTTTTGGTTCTGTATTGCCTGAGAGTCCAACTCATGTCGGCTGCATTGATCCGGCCTGCGATGTGGAAGCCGTAGTCCAAGATGCCTACGAAAATGCTCGGTTTCTGTGCGATCGGTACTATTTGGCCAGTCCCGAAATGAAATTGGAGTGCCATAACACCGTCCATCCAGACAAACGGATAACCGTTGTCTCGGTCCCTTCGCATTTATACCACATTATGTTCGAATTGTTCAAAGTAAGAAGGTCATGGTGAATATTAGATTATATTTTTAGAATGCAATGAGAGCTACAGTTGAATTTATTGGAGTCGATGAAGACCTACCTCCAGTTCATGTACGGGTTGTAAGAGGAGCAGAAGACTTATGTATTTGGGTGAGTTCATAACTTTATTTGTTATGATGTCGAATTTAAAATAATATAAAGATTTGTTGTTGCAGATCAGTGACAGAGGTGGCGGAGTCTCCAGAACGACCCTCGAGAGGCTCTTTAACTACATGTACAGTACTGCACCGCCACCACCACGGGATGGAAGTCAAGCTCCTTTAGTAGGTTATATTATATTAGGTGACAAATCGTAAAAATGAAGTCAAAAAATTTTAATTTTTAGGCCGGGTATGGATACGGACTGCCGTTGTCTCGCCTATACGCGCGTTATTTCCTCGGTGACCTCAACTTGATGTCCATGGAAGGCTACGGAAGCCAGGCCTATATCTATTTGAAAGCCCTCCCCGTCGACGCCACGGAAGTGCTCCCCATTTACAGCACTTCCTCGAGACGAACTCTGACGATGGGTGCTCAAGCCGCCGACTGGTCCCATGTCCCGCCATCACAACGTTGAACCCGAAAATGTATATAGAAATGTTGATTACTTGCCGGTCATTCGAATGAAAAATAGAGTAGATAAAAATTTTACTGACAAGATGTAAGGCACGTTTTCACAATGATAATTAGCAACTGGTAATCTTTTCTACCATAATTACAAACTAACTAAGAGCATTTACTCGAGTTTGGTTCGATATTTCGAGGCCATCAGTCCGACTTCTGACGTGTGTTGTCGGAGTTTCTTCAGGAACACCATCAAGCTGGTGATAATATTGCCCAGGCTGATCATTCCAAACAAAATGGCCAATGTTATTACCTGCCATTCGCCAGAACAACCTCTGTAGAAGTACATGTAGAACAAGTACACGGAGCAATAAGCTTGAAGGATCTGTAAACAAAAGGCAAGACAAGATAGGTGACCTAAAGACAGAAAATCAGTTTTAAAGCACTTACATAGCCTATCACAAGGAATGGAAGGATGAAAGTGAGTCCTTTGAACATCCAGCTGCTGAATCCCTCTAAAATAATATAAAATAACATCCAAACAACAATTTTAAACGTACCGACTGTGATGTCCATCGAATGTCGTTGTCCCAAAGCATGCAAACGCCTTAGACAGCCAGTCTGATATTTGTATTGCATCATCTGAACCAAGGCGATGTAAAAAGCCATTCCGATGAACAGGTTGCGGAACTCCTTATAACAAGGTCCGTCCTTCCAGATGAGCACGATTGCACACAACGCACATGCCGCATAATGATGCAACACCCACCATCCTTTAATTCTGGAGCCATTTACCCGAAGAATAGCTTCGCGAATCGTCAATGTACAGTAATACCAGACCAGGAGCATGGTGGAGAGAGCATCGGTGGCGCGAGAAGGAACAAAGTACGACAACATGAGTACAGCCATCGCGACGGAGGTCACAGTCATCTTAAACTTTTCATACTCCTGCTTATATCGGTACCGGTCGTCGGGATTTAGCAAAGACACGTTCAAATTGCTTCCAAGAATAATCGAGAGGTATAATCTAAAGAATAAGATAAATAATTTTCATATAACTCACCCAACGTTGTCTGCAGGCAAGTCACTTTTCATTTCATCGATCTTGACCCGTACTTCGACTAGTCGTTCTTTCAATTTCTTCAAGTTCTCTGTTTCTTCAGCTGTGGGACTTATTTTCGACTTTTCCAATCTAAAACAAGGTAAATTTTATCAAAAATGAACGACTAACGTTTTAATATCACTCTGAAGCTGCGTGTACAAGTATTTCAAATGCTTTACATTCTTCGAACATTGGGTCTGATGCTTTGTGAGATCTTTAAGAACGGTAAGGTACTCTTCGTGTTTAGTCTAAAGTAAGGTAACGAAAACCATTGTAGACTTACTTCTGCCTGGGACAGTTCCTTTTCAAAGGTCTGCATGTCAGCCTGTATAGTGGGTAATTCTGTCATGGCTCTATTTTACAGATCCGACCTTTCTAATCTAAAATAATGTTTTATTATTCGTCTTTCAAAACAACGCTCGCGAGAAACGCGTAGGTACGACTATTGTGCTTGATGAATATTAAACCGAGAACATGCTGATAAGAATGATTTTTTTGTAAAAGGTTGTAACATCTAAACACAACAAAATATTTTTCCAGAAATGAAAAGACTTGACGCATACAGGTCAACTGTTTCGCTCTTGATACTTTCGACCCGGAGGCCGAAATAAGGTGATTCTTTCCGAGGAGAAACGCGCAGAAGGCAAAACAAAGAACACACAGTATAAAAGTTTATTAATAAAAGTTTGTACAATATACCATGTTATTTTTACAAACACTAAATTTTTGTAAAGCAATACTGTAATTATTATAGAAAATGCACCTTTTCGTATTAGACTGGAGGACATATTACACCCCTGTTACTGTCAAGCACCTCAAGACCAGTGACAGGCGTCCGCCAATAATCGATGAAAAAAAGTTTTTTGATCAGGCAAGTGTAAAATAAGAACTGGCTGGTTGCACTATAGGTTGATTAGGAGGAGATTTTTGAGCAATTTAGGGGAAAGGAAGGCGAGGTGATATTATGGCAAGCGTCGGTAAGGCAAGAAAGAAGGAATTTCAGATATATTATACTAGATTTGCATTATAGATTGATCAGATTATGGTTTCGCGTTCGGGCGAAGAGTAGGTGGCGCGATCTTGGCGGCGTCTGGTGATGAGCTCGGCCGACTCATCGTTGTTTTGTTTGATGGGAGTTTCAGGAGTGAATGGAGCGCTTGACACGTACCTTGCCGGGGGCATTAAACGTCGGGCTTCGGGGATTTGCAACGGATAATATTCGGCCCGATGGACGGCCAAGGCTGGGCCCCAGTCGTCTTCCGGACATAGTAGTTGCTGCCATCGTTCGGTGATGGAGCCTTCAGCCCGGCAGATCATGATGAGTCCAGTGATGATAATTACAATCAACGGGACGGCGGATATTACCCATCCTAAAACCGTCGCCCAGAAGGGGAATTGCACTCCGTTGTATGAAATAGGCTTATAGTCTAGCCAAATACAGGTCAGTATTCCCTAAAAGAGTCGATATAATTACTTTCCAAACATTCAAACTGCCCATTAAGTGTAACATCCACTTACCAAGAACACCATTGGGCAGATAAACTTCCAAACCACCTTCCAGAGAATGTAGACGGGTGGATAAAAGTGGATCATCCATCGGATATTGTCCAGGAAATTATCTGCGCCATAAACCCAGCAAATCACCGTAACCTCAAAAAAGGCAATTCCAATCAGAGACCATGTCGCCACAAACTTCTCGAAAAGGACTATCCAGTAAAGACCAGCCTGGAATAAACATATCACCCATTTTCCCAATCCCGTATCCACAAAAAAAGTAATGCGCTATCTCTACAATAATATAAAATAAACCCACCCCACTGCAGAATGGGATTCCCAGTGTAAAGAAGAGGAAGACAGTAAACGTCATAACATGTCGATGATTTTTCCTCATTCTCTCTGGATATTCATCCGCTATTGTTGATACCACAGTTTCCACAAGGAAGAGTTCGGTGTTGAAGACAATCAAAGCTACCATGACAAAGAAAAGTAAGGCATACAACGGGGCTACCGGTAGTTTTGAGACGGCTTCGGCGAAGAAAACAAATATCAACTGGATTCCGTCTGCAGATAATCAATAGATCAAATAATTTTACATTTTACTGATGTCATCCTAATTGTAAGAATCGTGTTTTACTCACCCTGAAGTTTGAATTCTTCCAGATACATGTCCATTTCGTAGCAAACAAACCCAATTGCCGAGAAAACCAATGATGATACCAGTACTGAAGTTATGAGGTCAACAAATCCAATAACCCAGACATCTCTAAAGACATTGTTATGGAATCTGGAATAGCTCGAAAGCAAGATGATACCGCCGGTACAGGTGGAAAGGGAGTAGAATACTTGGATCGCAGCGTCTCCCCATACCTAAAACAACCAAAACTCTATATTACACTGCAGTATATGGCCCAGTCATGACTTTATAATTCACTTGCCTGCATGTCAAGAAGAACCTTAAAGTCCGGATAGAAGAAGTGCCAAAGACCATCTAATGAGCCGGGGAGAGTCATAAAACGGACAGTAAGCACGAACAAGATGATATACGGTGTTACTACAGTTAGATAAACCACCTAAAATACATTATGGTAAACATCAACTTCCAAAACAGGTGATTACTTTTCCACTGGTCTTGATTCCCTTGAATGAACATAGGAAGACAGCCGACCATGATACCAGTAGGCAGATTGTGAGCTTCCAATTGAAGGTGTTCGTTTGGAAATCGGAGATTCCTGACGACAATTGGAGGACTTCATTACTGAAAGTAAAACAATATATTATAAAACACCTCTGAAAACTCTGTACACAGGTTGAAAGCTTACTGAAAATACTCCAAGCTCGGAATGACATGATTTTTCGGGAAATTCGTGATCTCAGTTGAATTTGTAATATTCGAAGCAACTGATATAAAATAACTACACGTTCCATTGCTCATAATTGTTCCATTCGAATTTCGGCAATTCTCCACAGCTCCTTTATTCCAGACCGAGCATAACGGAGAGTTCCACGAATTATCACAAGAAGCCCAGGGTAATGTGAATTTGAGGGAATTGAGGACATACATCAACGACCAGCTGGTGATCAGTTGAAAATATATTGCGGTTATTGAACAGATGAAGACCATGGCTATTCCAATACCTCAAAACAATCAAATTAACAATAAGTTTTTGATACAAAGGCCACAAATTTAGCAAAATCGGCAATTTTATCTCTAAAGTCAACAAAAATAATAATTCCTTTGTCATCCTCACAAAAAATGCCGCAATTAAACTATAAAACCTAAAACTAGGCCACATCTCATCCTTTTACCTTTAAAAAGCGGGGCGACCTTCCACACCGAGGTCGGGCCCAGACTAACAAACTGGCCGAGACTCATCTCCATGAATAATATCGGAATTGCACTGATGATGAAGAGAACACAATACGGGATTAGATAGGCTAGTCCGCCATGGATATGGACTTGATTGGGAAATCGCCACAAATTTCCGAGGGCAAAGGTTAATCCAAAAACTGAGAGGTAATAGTCCATGTGGGAGGACCAGTTCCCTCGGATTCGGTTCTCATCCCCAGAGCCGGTGATCTCTTCAAAGGGGTATTCGATGTCTCCATCTTCCATGTATTCTTCCTCCTGTAAATTACCGAGATATAAAACCTGTTATTCATATTCTCTTTAAATTTAAAAACTACACAAGACAAAAAAATATCATAAAACAATAAAAACCGCTCCCGAACGTGAAATTTAAAATTTCTAACTCGACCGTTATGCGGCTCAAAGCAAAAAAGAGACATTACAACCAACAATATCACTAACCATCAGAAATATATTATACTATCAATGACTCACCTGTAGGAAAGGAGGATTGACCTGTTTCCCATTGGAAAAACTCATCTTCAGCGGTTCATTCTATCAACAAACAACGGGTTACGCCCATTTCCACCGACTCACACAGGTATCTGAATGCAGCAGCAACAAACTTCCTCAACAATCGCCGATCACTGACATATACCTTTATTCAATTAAACTTATTTACATGGCTCACTTCACTAAACATTCGAAACGAAAAGAGATTCCAAACAAATCGAAAAAAACCCGAAATCTACATCCCTTTTCTCTCGAACACCTACAGACCTTCACAATAGACTTTATATTTTTTATGAAACATGAAGAAGTTAGAACTATAGTTAAATTTATGAATATCTTAGTTAATCTGCTAACTAGAACTAGTTATAATCTTGGTGTAGACCGCGAATCTGGTATTTACAACTGAAGGAACTAGGAGAATCTGCAAAATTTCGTATAATTTCCATAAAAAATAGAGACAACATTAGAAAAATAAGAGAATCACACGGATTAGACCCGTCAGTTCACGTGAACACATTACAATTACCGCTAAATGAAAGAGGGTCATGAAGACCGTATTTTGTGGTTCCATGACTATTTTGTGCTACATTACACTTCCCTGGCCTGGTAGAACAAGATGTATGCAGACTCGGAATTCTTTTGCGAATTACAATCAGAGAGGCCGAAGAAGTCTTCAAGGGTGCTTTCCTCGATTTTCTAAACACAGAATAAATAAAAATACATAATACTTACATCTACAATATCATCGTCAAACAAAAGCCAATAGTTCTGCGACTTGACCAGTGTAATGTAATGCCCACGGTTGGGGGTGGAGCCACAATGAACCACCACCGCCACGAGATCATAGAGTTTGTCATTGTTCTCCTCTTTCTAGAAAATATTAATTAATTTCGGACATCTGGAAAAGGCCCTTCAGACCGCATGTGTAAAATAAAAAAATCTTCTTACCAAGTTGAACAACCTCAACTCCAATGGAAACAGCACTCGATAAGAGAGTTTGGTATATCGATTCAAATGTTCCACATATTTGAACCGTTTTAGGTGTAAAGCTAAAAGCTTTGGCAGCTTCTTTATCCTCATTCTCTTCTGAGCTTCTTGCTTCGAACAACAGTTCTCACAGTAGTATTTCTGATCTCCACATAACGTTTCCATGTTCGAGAAGTTCTTCAGACAATGGGTGATGCTCACATTCTGCTCAACATCTACACTGAGGTCAAGGAAGTCTTCATCTTTACTACTAACAGTCTCGCAATTAAGACATCGAGTTTCGTTGGTCAAAGTGCCTTGAAAGATGTCCTGAATCCAAGTCAGGTCTGATTTACCATCATTAGCTCTGAAATGCACCGCATCTTGTATTGAGAGCAAACCCAAAAATATCAGAACCATTTTTTTGAGATTAACCATTTACACTCCTACATTATTGAGAAGAGAACTCGAGAATATTAACAATGATTCTTTCGAATCAGAACTGAATGTACCCCGTTATGCTCCTATCATTTATCTCGTCAAGTACAATGTCCTAAATCCCAAAAATAAGCAATTAAATGAACTTACTTCTCATTCCCAGGATTATTCACTCCTTTCTTGACGCCATTAACCTTGATAGTCCCGTTCTGATGTTCTCTTTTCTTCTCTTCATTCGCGGTCAACGCCTCCGATATCGCATTTAACAAATAATTTAAAAATTCGTGAGCATCTTGTTGCATAAAATTGTCAAACAATTCTGAAAGCAAAGAATATAATGTAATAATGATTTGTATTTTTTTAGTAGTCAGGAAAATCTTGACTCTTACCGTTATCTTTTTTGAGCTTGGTCACAAAACGTTTGGGTGCAATTGTTCCGACTCGTCGCTTCTGGGTGGCGATATTGCAAAATAGTTCCGCCAGACATCCTAGTAAATTGTCTTTCTGCCCTCCTGAAAATTAAAACATCAGAACAGGTGAAATAGCAAAAACATGTTATCCATGATGAATAATATATTTTATATGAAATTTGGCGAAAGCTGCCAAAGTTAAGCTTGTAAATTAGTAGTGAAAAAAAGTAGAAACAGAAAGCTTACCGAGCTTCCGTTGCTGCTGCTTGTAGGCCAAGATCCGTTCACGGAACGGCTGACAAAAGTAGAGCGCTTGAAGGACCGAGTTGCAGTAGCACGTATTACCAAACTAAACACCAAACATCAAAACAAAACGCTTCAAACTCACATTCACAAGTCCATAAAACCTCTCGTTTCCCATCAATGAGTCGGAATTGAGTTCTTTTTCGAGGTGAGATGACGCCGTTGCACCCATTTCAACGCATCCCGATAAGATTCCTCGAAAGCCTTCCGTTGCCTTCGTTATCTGCAACAACAAAAGTAATTTGATACTCTGCACAAGCACTTATTACTCAATGAAAATAAAAGTACCTAAAAGACAAACAGAAATAAAAAAAACTGAAATTTTTGGATATTATCCATGACCTCCAAAACTCACTCGAAGATCGCCCAGCCTCAGAAGACTAACTTGACCAAATTGTTCGTCTCGAAAAGCCAAAGCCTTCTTTTCCTCCGGGTCTCTTTGAGCACTGCCACCGAAAAAAAATCTTTTTTTAACCCGACGCGAAATGCCACAAGCGGGCCGCGGCGACGAAGTGTCACAAAAAAATAAATTTGGAATTTCCAAACATTTTTTTTATTTTGTTATAATTCAAGCTTCATAACCCCCACACTGATTACGCGATTGTCTTTTTGTAGCGTAGGTTTGTTTCTGCTCTTTGTTTTTCTATATTTGTGTTTTCTCTGATATTGTACTTGATGAGTAATCAGCTCTTTTTTTAGATGTCCGAGCAGCCGGAGAAGCCAAATGACGGATTTTTGGCACCAAGTTTGCCGGCGAAGCGTCTTCCCCGCTCCCCATCGTCAGAATCTAGTGGGACTTCACAGAGTACAAAGAAAGCCCGAACAAACCCAGAATCAAGTACAAAATCAGCTAAACAGGTGGAATATGTCGATGATTTCACCCCTCCATCGTGGGCAGAAGTTCCTCCGTCCTCGTCAGACCTCTCCGCAGAGGTTATGCAAAACGGAGTGATCAAGGAGACAGTGAAACTCCGAGAATTGGCCGGTCGAAAGAGCTATGTTACAATTGGGAGAGCCGAGATATGTGATATCAAAGTCCAAGTGACGGAAGCTTCTCGGATCCACTGTTATCTTCAGTATGGTGAGGCCTTCGATGGACGGGGGTGGTATGTATACGACAAAGGAAGTACACATGGGACTTTCATCAATAAGCAGGAGCTGCCGAAGAATGTGTTTTATAAGGCCAAACCTGGAAGTATTATTCAAATAGCGAGTAAGTAAGGTTTTTATTTTTATTGTATTTGATATTTAGAAGCCAACTTTCATCTGTTTCTGACCGGATCTGATGAAAAGACGGAGAGGGAAGCGGAAGTTAAGAAGCTGGTCATCAAGCCTCCGACAGAGGATGAAACACGTTCAAAAAGATATGATACCGATCCTCTAGGCGTTCTCAAAGAATTCTGCGATCGGGAAGGCCTTGACTTTGAATTTGAAAAGATTGTGGGCGAGAAGAAGGAAATAACGTGCAACTTTGATCTTCCTGACAATGTATGCGGAGGAGAAGGTGGAGTCTTTACAGCTGTCTCAACAAATCCACAAGAAGCTCAAAAGGAATGCGCAAGGAAAGTATGCGCCCATTTGGATACTCTGGGCTTGATAGGAGGTGGAATTACATGGCAAGCGAAGAAACATCAGCAAGATAACGACTTCTATGATGATGATGAAGATACTTTCTATGACCGTACCGGCCAAATTGAAGCTCAGAGGGAGAAAAGGATTCAGAGATTCAAAGTGAGTCGTTTTTTTGCATTTGTTTACTTTTTTGTATTTAGGAAGAACAAGGGATCAAGGATAAGGCCATGAGTTACGAAGAGATCACTGAAAAGTTGACACAACTAAAGGATACCGAAAAGGCAATCAGCGATCAGTTGGAACGTGTGCTCAAGCCGTTTTCTGAGACCATAGTAAATCCGGATGAAGTTAATGTTGGGTCGTTGAAAGCCAGTTTGTCGGTAAGTCGTGTTATATTGAATTTTATCTTGCTTTAGATCAGAATGGAAGTGTCTAGGTTAAAAAAGAAGTTGGAGGAAGCCCGGAAAGAAATGAAGATCATGTCCAAAGCGGAGGAAGTGGCACGACCGGTATCCATGAAGTTAAAAGCGCCAAAACCTCGGGAAGTTACAGAGAAAATAGCAGCTCCTCAAATTGAGAAACAAGAAGATCTACCGAAAATGGAGGTGACAGAGGAAAAGGGTCCCGAAATGCCTCCTCTAGATGAAATACCCCCTCTAGACGTCAAAGAATCGACCAGTAAGCCCGTAGAAGAATACCTTGAGGTTGCAAAGAAATCAGAACCAAACGTTGAAGCCGCTGAAACTTCAAAACCTGAGAAGTCACTTCAGAGAGTTGGTGCCGACGGGAAAAAGTATGGATTATTGTCGAGAACAGAGCTCAGGAAACAAGATGAAGTGGCTAAAACAAAGAGGAAAGCCCAGGAAGAGTTTTTAGATGAGCTGGAGTCAGATGAGAAGAGGAATAAAACAGAAGAGGTAAGATTTTACCTAGTATAATATAGGTTGATCTCAAAATTTCTTACAAAAAAATTTCTTGTTAGTTTCTTGCCAATTCTTATATCTTTCTTCTTCAGGAGGTCGAAAAGGACGAGGAACCAGTATGGGCTCCTCCCACAGGACAAACTGGCGATGGTAGGACCGCATTGAATGACAAACTCGGTTATTAAAGTGATATCAAAATATTTATGATATAAAGGTATATTTAAATATCCCGCATTGAAGTTATGCCTTTTGTTATATACAAGTCTTGAAGGGGTGTGAGGACTAAGTAGGTAATAAGTGATACATGGTTTTACGCAGACTCTTCTTGGGGCTCTTCAGCAAGTGCTTGTTCGTCTGCCAGCAGGGGAACAGTGTCCGATTCCTAGAAATTAGACGTTTAATATTATGAATTATGGCAGTAAAAGTCATGAGGATCTTTAATTTAGAAAATTAAAAGGCTTCTTTGCAGCCCCTTGTTTACAGACCCTCTTTTATATTTTTCGTGGCGAACAGTGCCTAGTACAATATAAAACCAGCCTCTGATCTTACCTGTTGTCTCGAACGGACCGCAAAGATGACTCCAAAGGCAACAATTGATAAGCAGAAGAACAGGAAAGTCCCAATGCTAGCGATAAAGATGTCTTTTTTGGTTCCAGCCAGCCCAGAAAGTTGGGCTTTGGTCCCTTCGTCGAATGAAGCCGAATCTCTCAGCCAGATCAACGGAATGATACGTGGACTGACCGTAGACAACGACGGGAGACCTCCGTTGATCACTCCAAGGTTGAGTTGGGTGCGTTGATCGGCATAAACAACAGCTGAAGTCGCTGGTTCAATTCCAATTTCCGTTTTGTCATTATCCGAGATGGGCGCGAGACCATCAATTGCATCATGCACGGCAGGATGAGAACCGTAGAAATGCGGCTGACTGATGTAGATACGGGGATTGCCCGGCATACAACTGCTGACGTCCATTATCCCCATCGGGGCGCAGCCTTTCTCCTAAATTACATATATTACACCAGACATCAATTGAATAAAAAAACTCTTTCCACCCCTCCAAACTCACTTGAATGTAAGTGTTGTTGAAATATCTCGGTGAATTCGGGTTACAGAATCCCAGACCTCTTTGTAGATCGATGTCGTGCATATTTCTTGAGGGTCCATAGGTGTAGACCCAAACCCCTTCATAATTCCGACTGCCCGTCCTTTCCAGCTCGATCGATCGACAAAGCGGGCCAACAAAGAGGTCAAGGAAGTAAGAATCTCTGCTGTTGATTCCAGGCGGGAACATTTGACCGTCCGTTCCTTTGATCTGTTGCGCCTTTGGACCGTAGTAAGCGTCGGTGTGGTTCTTCCTGTTGAATGTGAAGACTTTCGAGAGCTCGGAAATATCGCCGGTTCCACTTCCAATCTCATAGAGACCATCCTCAGTGCCATTCTTCTATAAAATAAAATACAATTAACTTTGCCCCCATTTGATGTCAAAAGTAACATAAAAAAGTCGAATCGACTTACGCCATAAAACAATCCAACCTTCAACGGGATTTTCTGAGCTCGACAGAACGCTCTGACCATCGGATTGCTGTTACAGATCTTCGAAATCAGCGGATCTTCGTATCCTTCGAACAAAAGTCCGCCAACAGTAGCCGTAATGAAGATCTTCTCCTTCTGAGCCCTCAAAACAATGTCAACCAAGCCTTTGATGATCACATTATTTGGGATCTTGTCAATTATGGTTTGAAGAACAATATTTGGGACAGTCACCACATCAGTCAGCAGACAGTCATCGCAGGATTTGTTCTGGTTGAAGAAGTAGTATTTGTAATTGCGATAGAAGACTCGAGTGTCGTTTGCAGCAAACTGGATGCGTTTGTGTTGAACCTCACTGAAATCAGGAAGATTTTGATACTATAAATCAATCATTTGCCAAAGAAATAACACAAATATCTCTTTCCATATTATTCATGATCAAAAATTGAACCCACTCAAAAACATAGGGCCCTTTCTCCACCACCCTCGGCCTGGTGTTGTTACTCTCGACCTCGGCAGCATTTAGCACGGAGAACGTGTAGACAGACATAGCCATATCATACTTGGGGTCTTTCCACGACTTTGTTGTGTCCGAATAATTCCCAAACTCATCTTCGCTGAGGACCGCTTTCTAAACACAAAAAACGTGACTCACAATGGAATACTCACCTCATTGATCTGTTTTTGAATTACATTAGGGATATAAAAATAAAGAACAGCCGCCAGCAGACCAGCAACGATGGCCAAGGATAAGGTCGAGAATTGGCCGACCTTCCATCGATTACAATTTAAGGCCATCTAAAAGTTGACAAGCTGTACTCTAAATTGGTTACGATACTTTTCACGCCAAAACCATTTTTCATCAACTCGATTAATCGCGATGAACATTTATTTCTTTGAATTATACAAACATTTTATGAATATAATACGAGTGGTTAAAAAATCTTTATATACAAGATAAGACTATACGAAATGGAACCCGCTGATAATGGCCATTGATAAACGTACTGAATAAAAACAACAAACAAAATGTGAGCAATAAAAAAAAAGGGAAACAGTTGACCCAGGGAGTCAAGTCTTGCTCCGAACCGGTTGGATGAGATTTGATGGAGTGAGAGAAAGGGGGTTCAGATGGTCGATTGCTCCACCACCTTCGGGGGGTATTCTGTGTCTTTGGCTTGTCGAACAGTTTGTTGGCGAATTGTTACTTGACGGACGACCTTTCGAATTCGGCCGGTCTAAAATAAGGTGAAACAATAAGAAAAAGTTGTGTTTTCTTACTCTATGCCCAATATAGATGACGACCATGACTCCCGCAACCAATGAGAAGATGACACCACTAGTTCCAGCGAATTTAACGGCGGCTTCGGTGCCAATGAGCTTCTGTCTGATCAATCGGAAGTTTTCGTCGTCGATTTCGACGTCCTCATTGATTTCGATGACCGGGACGATCGCGTTGTAGAAGCGGCTGAGATCCAGACCTCTGAAATAGGTTGCAAATTACTCCCAGATCATAAATAGACTCATCAAAAGAGCCGATTCAACTTACGGCATGGATAAATTCCTTCCGTTCCACATGGCGACATTGATCTGCAGCTTTCGGCGAGCCTTCAGGACGGCACCCAGACGGGGTTCCAGGTCCACCTCGATCTCATCGCGGTCCGGATCCGGTTTTTCCAAGCCATCGATCGAGTCGCGCACATAGTCGGGGGCATACAAAAAGTTGGGCATGGACATGACGATGGGCGGTTCGCCTTTCTGACATCTCGACAGATCAAGAAGGCCATTTGGGAGGCACGATTCGTTCTGCGCCGCATAAAACTTCTTCCCCGAGGCAATACAGAATCCCTTGTTCTTTTTCTGGTTGTAATCGAGGACTGCGGGGTTCAGAACATAGCGGTACGCAGTGATTCCGTCGTGATCCACTTCTTCTTTGTAAACCAATTCAATTGTCCTAAAAATCGAAGAAATTTTTGTCTGAAACTTCTTCTAAATAGTAGTAAACGATAAAATATGGCGTTCACTTACCTGCAAAGTTCAGCGCTGAACACTTTGAGCGGTTCTTTTTTGGAAACAAACGGCCGGAAAAGGCCGCCATCAGTGCCATTGATCGTCCTCGCTTCCTCCGTGGACCACCAACTATCCGGCAAAATATTTTGCGAATTCCAGCTGATAACTTTCCCCAAACTCTCACCATAGTCGCTGTATCCATCGGAGACTTCATAGATTCCGGTGGCGGTATTATTCGTCTAAAAAACGAATTTTTCATCATGAATACGGTAAAATGAGGTCAAAAATATGTTTTCTCTCTTTGTAGATGCCGATTTCCGGTTTGAAAACACCGTAAACGGATGCATTTTGCAAAAAACACTATCAATACTCGCCATCTCACCAAATTTTACAACTTTTACTTTCAAAAAAACGCCTAGTGTAATATAGAAAACCTCAGGTAGGTTGAAACTTACCCCGTAAAGCAGTCCAATTCGTTCGGGAAGGTCAAGAATGGATTCGCAGATAAAATTTACAAACGGGATTGCACAGACTTGGTCCAGAAATGGGTCCGCATATCCATCAAAAAGCAATTCGGATACTTCGACCTCTAAGAATGGAGTTTGAACGAGAAGAGCGGCCGTTGCGGCCTTCATCGTGGGTTTTGTAGCGGCTTCCACGAACTTCTGGAACAATTTTTGACATTATTTTTGGAAAATTTGTCTAGTGTAATATATTTTTTTTTAAATTGAATGGAAAATGGCTTGAATTCAAGTAAAACAGTGTCGAATGACGTAATCAGGGCAAAACTCACTTGAAAGATGATGTTCGGTACCCAAACGCGATTGTGGAGGTAACATTCGGGACATGAATCACCCTCATTGAAGAAATAAGTATGGTATGTCTTGAATTTTATGGTCCCGTTCCCACTCGAGAGCACCTGGAAGAAAAAACAAGGAATTTCATTATTAGCCGCGCTTACCTCTCGTCGCTGTCTCTCATCGAAAACATAAGGACCCTTCTTGGTCAAAATGGGACGACTCCCGTTCACAACAGCGTCCGGGTTCTTCACGGAGAAGGTGGATATCTTCCGTTTGATCTTGTAATTCGGTTTCATCCATTTGTCCAACAAATCGCTACCTTTGGTTAGACTGGAGGCCTGAAATACGTCATGGATAATATAAAAAGTGGCGAAGAAACGGGGAAACAGGCAATAATATTGTGTCTCAGACATTACAATGTCATTTTAAAGCCCTCTCAGCGTAGCCAACATTAAAAATCAACTGTTTTTAGCGAATTTTATACATCAGATGCCCATGGATAAAAACTGCCAAAACGAGGCAAAGAAACAGGACAAAATATAAAATTTAGCCAGAATAAAACCTCCTACACCATGTAGAAAATATAAAAGGGCAAGCAGATCAAAAAATAGTCGTTTTTCAACATCAAGACCGCATGGATAATATTACGTCAAAACCCCAATGGATCAAAACAAAACCTTAGGAGATAATAAAACAATAATTCGTCTGGCTATTACAACGTCGAAACCTCAAAAAAATATAGGACTTACCTCTCTGATGTTCTTCTCGACCATCGACGGAAGCCCGATCAGAATGCCCAGCGACGCGACGAACACGATGATCGAGATGATGATGGCGGACAGTGCGACAATGTGCCATTGTTTCAGTCGATTCGGTTTATCCTTGCCAGTCATATCCCTGAACATCGTTATCAATAAATTTCTCCGTGCGATTCGCGAGGAAAAAACGGGACAACTTTGATCGTATAAAATGTCACTTTCGCGCTAACGATGACATTGCGAACAACATTGCGTGAAATGGTTATAATGGGGTGCTGACAATGGCAAGATCAGCTATTTTTGGCGTTTTTATGTGGTGCACGCATAAAAAAGGGCGAAATTCGACAAAAAAGGAGAAGAAAGTGAGCGTAGATGGTATTATACAGCGATGAAAAGGGAAGATTCGGCTTTCAGAAGGAGAAGATTCGACTTTATGGCTTTACGGATAACCCTCTTACCCAACTTATCCGAAATACGACAAAAACTCGACCCTTTTGCCATGCATAATATTGATATCAAGTGTAATATGATCAAACACCATAAACAGAGGGTTCGAACCTCGGAAAACGTTTTTCAGCGTATTCAAGGCGTCTTCACCGCCTCTGCGATGAGTAAACCGCCTTCAAACCGGGCTGATCTCCCACGGAATTCCGCTTTTTTTCATCTTGATGACCAAAGAAAAGGACATGAAAACAAAAAACAAATCAAAAATGGCTGTCAATTACAGCCGAGAGCCGAGCCGCGCTTATTACAAAAAGCTCGGCGTTCGCTTCGAACCGTCGGCGACGGAGGCGTTGAAATCGAAGGAGGGAAGGGGAAACGGAAACCCGGAGGAGTTTCGAGGAGAAACGAGGGCTCCTAGAGATTCGGGTCAGGTGGAGTTGCGCGGATCCCCACAACCGGCATGCGCATCCCGCGCCCCCCTTGGTCTCTCGGCGTGTGGGAAAAAACTATTGTATGGGCGAGAATGAATCTGGATTGGGATAATTGTCGTGATCATCCGGAATAAGTTTACAGTAGTTTGGAGAGGAATTTGTGTTCGGCATAACCGGAAATTGGAAGAATGGGACGGCCAAAAAGTCTTGACATGTTTTCGCACCGTGCGGGCGCATGAATTCGGCGTTGCGACGAGGTGTCGCGCGAAAAAAATTTGGCGGGGTGCGAATGAAAAACGCACTGTGCGTTGTTTACCCTGTTTCAAAACAATCTTTTTGCACTGTGCGGGATCGCAATGCACCGTGAATGTTTCTTGTCGCCGCGCGATAAAAATTTGGTGGGGTGCGAATGAAGAACGCACTGTGCGTTGTTTACCCTTTTTGAAAACAATCTTTTTGCACTGTGCGGGGTCGCAATGCACCGTGAATTTTGCTTATCGCCCCGCGACAAGTTTATTGCGCGACAGCGCACTGTGCAGACTTGTCAAGACTTTTTTTTGTCATCAAAAATATATAAGCTAAATAACTATGTTCAAAATAGCTCTTAAACCTTTCATAATATAAAATTTGTATTTTCCAATCATTCAACGGGAAAAAACAATGCCCCGCCAGTGCGCCCATATTAGGCAACTTAAGCGACGGTGCAATTGATTACTAGTAAAAGTTCGATGTCAATAAACCTTTTCCTTTTACAACGCCTGCACATTACTCAAAACCCTTAACTTATCTTCACCGACTTGCAAATAAACAAGAGTTACACTGTGCGGAGGGTGTTTGGAAACATAATGACCGCTAAAACCTCAATGACCGATCGAAAACTCGGCCACTTGGCAGAAACGACCGTTTCGCCGCCGCTGGCGGGATTACATCACACCAAAAAATTCGAAAAAACAAGTGAAATGGGCCCTGATCTGTTTTCATTACACCGACAACTCGTTAAAACGGGCCGCTGTAATAGCGACGGGGTTATGGCGACGATCGAAAAACGAAGAAAATACAAACGTAATTGGGGTGTTGTGCGGAGTATAAAGTAACCGCCGCAACTCGCCCCAACAATCGTCGTAAACAAGGGCTTCGACAACGCCTTGGACTCAGTGGGTCAAGAAGGGAAAGGGACGGAAACCCGAGAAGATTTAATCCTATCGACGACACCTATATGTAATATTATAATTGGCAACAAAAGTAGACAAAAAAACTGTTGTTTGATGCCCGTCATATTTGGCATATATATTCGATAGAATCGCTAGATTAATTTTTGAAAATTTTAGCTAATGTAGGGAGAGTCGAGAAACCCAACAAAATTTTTAGGCGAGAGAGTATGGAAAATGGAGAGAGAGGTCAGACAGAAACATAGTTTGGGCTCTTTCTTTTGTGAATTCCGTCAAAAAAAGAAAAAATTTTTTTGTGCAAAAACTTATCATACTATTTCAAAAAGTCGATGCATTTTTCAATTCAAAAAATTGAAAAAAAAAATTCAGGCGTTCGCCAAATTTTGACAAAAAATCTCGAGCTTTCCTACAAAACTTGAGCTCAAAACCTCACAAATACTGTAACAAATCCTCATAATTTAAGCCTGATTTCATCAACATGGCCAACAATTTTTTGCAAGCTTTTTTAAAATTGTTTAAATTGATGTCTCGAGTATAACATAAGCAAATTCTAAGTGGCGAGCCGACCCTCTTGACCTTGAACGTCCCGTAAAACAAATGTTTAGCCCGACAGTTAGCTCCACAAGTTTGTGGCAACGTCCTTTCTCGAACCTACTCCCAGTGATCGCCGGCGGGTGTAAAGGACGAAAACGGGGGTCCCTTGCGCAATGCCCGCAGGCACTTCGGACCCGACTGATGACTGAACAAAACACAACTGGCGACACTTGATCCGGCCCGAGCCGCACAGAGCGGTTTGGAGCTTTGCGAATTTTACGACATTCTAGACGAGAGGGGGATGACATAACTCGGAATTTAAGATTTTTTAAAAACGATCTTACTCTTAAGTGATCGGGCCCTGAAGATGGGAGGGGGTTGAGATTGAGAGAGAGCGGGCGGGAGAAGAGAAGACACACATCACAAAGTGCGCTGCTTCTGTGTTTTATTTGAAAATTTTTGAAATGAGTCGAGACTGAACGAAAAAATACTACCGCAATCTTCAGTTGCCGACCTTCGTTTTCCTCCTGCAGGGATGACGTGAGAAGAGTGGAGGGGAAACAGAAGGACCGGTCCCATCTACACTTTGAACTGTCGTCGTTGACGGCTCTAAGGGGATTTTTGAGGGCGGAAGTTGGAGACGTTGTTAATCACCGTCTGAAGGCAGTGAAAATCATCTGAAAATTTATTTACAATGGAACCTCAGGAGAACAAATCGCTAAAGAAACAAAAAAATTGAAAATGGACTCTCATACAACGGAACCTGTCCACAACGAACTGTAAAGTGCCAAGCTGAAGTGAATGATGCAGGTAAAATTTTAGGCCAAAACGAACGCTGGTATTATCCAACAAACAAGCTAATTTATCTTTGCAATTTGTTGCATAGCTTGTTATACATATGCTATACTATTCTTTGAACAAGGCTTTTCGCTTTTGGCTTAAAATTGAATCTTGTGGCCGCAAAAAAATTTTTTTTGTTAGGTGTGAAAAAATTCATTTTAGTTTTTATAGTCTCCATTGCGCAGGTCAAATCCTGGCTTCAAATTCTCATCAGCGCTTCGACTCAACCATGGAGCCATTGAGTTTTCGAGCAGGCGAAAAAAATTTAGTGTTAAAATTTTAGGAGGTTGTTTTTCGAGCTCGTAGTGATTATTGTTACATATACATGTACAAAAATATGTATTACACTGACGGGCGGGGTAAGAAGAAAAATTGAGACGGGCCGTTCTAACGGCTTGGGAAAGGCATTCTATGGCCCCATATTTTAAACTGGTTCCACACACGTGAAGTGCTTTTGGGACGGGAGTTTCGGGTGTTGTTATGCAGCGCTAGCCGTCGGAAGGTGATCTGAAGAGAGATTGCAATCTCCGTATTTACAATCAGAACTGAATTTAATCTAAAGGCAATGCCGCCCGTTGATATCAAGGCCGGCCGCTTTGTAGGATCTCAGTCGGTCACCGAGATGTTGAGGCGCTGCTTCTTCTGTTCTTGCTATTCTGTAAAGCTGATTGTAAGGCGATTTACTGGTTAGGAGAACCTATAGGTGATAATATTTTGCATTGTTTGTAGTCAAAATTTTGCCCTTGTTTAAATCGCCTGTTTTAGAAATAGCAGATCCAGATTTGGATGCTGATCTGAGATGGACAAAGCAATTGCTGACTTTGTTGGACCGGACATGACGATCGTATTTCAAGACGGTAAGATGATAATTTCGTATCAGAGAAGTCTTCGATAGGGCAAGCAGAAGGTTCGAATTTAGAAGACTATTTTGTAAGATTTTTTTTCCGACCTTCAAACAAAAGATCTTGGTGGTTTTTGAAAAGTTGAAGGCTAGAAATCTTGCATATGTATACGTCTTCGAAATTAAAAATATTTTGTAAACTTGGACCAGCCTTCAGCCAGTTCTGTTTGCCCCAGTTGAAACACTTTGCCCTATTTTTATTAAGGACCAAATCATTCAGGGAAGTCACAACTACGGTATAATGGAGCCGACGAATCTATTCAAGATTTTTCCACAACATACAAGAAACCGTTCAACGAATTATATGGCGAGTTACCTGGTGAACTTTTGCGCTACTACCGCAGCGACGTGGTAGCACAAATATTACCACTTCAACCTACGGATTATTCGGCTTTCAATCGGCTCTTCTTTAAGCAGTACAAAGGCACCTCTGGAGTGTTGATGGAGTTGCTCAAAGGCCAGTCACCGTCCACGATTGGAGAGAAACTGCCAAGGTTCTATTCCAACTCGTTGGATTTGACACTCGAAGCTGTGGGTGCCTCGATCATGAGGTCACGTTTAGAGCACCAGATCGACCGCGGCATCCAAAAATTTGGGTTTGCAGGTTCTTCACCAGGCCAAGAAGAACATGAAAGGATCGCTAACTCAATATAGGCACTGCCATGAAGTGCAAAAAACGTTGAATTTCTTTTTTAAGACCTGCTTCAAATACATTTGGTCACCTTTTCAACACGTATTTATGTATGAATTTAAACAAACGTCGTTTTTTTGTAAAATAAAACAAGCAGTTTATTAGTGATTCCAAAAAATGATTCCTGAGTTCATAAGGGATTGGAGAAAAGGAACGGCACATACATATACAACAAACGCAGCTTTAGGTACGTCGGAAATCGCCGCGAAGGATGCGCTTAAAGGCCCGTTTGAATTGTTGGTTCGCGAACGCGTAGCAGATCGGGTTCAGCGGACTGTTCATGTAGCACAAGTAGTAGCTGATTGCGTAAGACAAGTTAAACTCATTGCTGACCTTGCAGCGCTCGCAGAAGCCGTACACCGTCGCCAGAACGTAGAACGGAGTCCAGAGGATGGTGAAGGAGCCCAGGATGAACGTAATTGTCCGCAGGGCTTTCTTGGCGCGGTTCTCGGACTTGGACTGGACCGTCTTCTTATGTGTGGCCTGTCGCTTTTTCCTCGGCTTCCCCGCACTACTATGCCGCATTACGGTCAACAGTCGACGCATTGTCATCGGCCCATTGGCAGCTTTCTCGACGACAACGGATAGCGAAGCAAAGGTATTCGTTGTGGAGAGGGGAGGGGTGTCCATCGAGGTGAAGGTTGAGGGCCTGTCCGCCGCATACTTCTTGAGCTGAGGGCGGTACGAATTGGCTGTGTGGTTATGTACATAGGTGCTGTTGTTGTTCCGATCGCTGAGGGGTTGTGGTGCGACGGGCTCGGGCAAGATGGGCTCTTCTTTCTGAGGCGATGGCGGGGTTTGGGCTTGGGTTATGGTGGGCGGAGAGGGAGAGCGGGAAGGGGTCTGAAAATGGGACTGGTCATCTGATTTGATAAGCATATGGAAAGATTCTGATAGATGAAGCAATACACTGAAAATCGTCAAAATCTGATAGCCAAAGGGAAAAAGTTTCGCCAAACAGAGACCCATTATCAAAGTATTTTTGATGACAACTCACCTTTCTGTATTCTTTCAACGGAATGGGTGTTTTGGCTCGTTTTATGAAGCTTTTCGTGGCAATGTTTCCATCATCGATGAAGGGAATCTCATCGACAATACTGAATGCCAGACTAATATCATCGTTCTCGATCGGCATCACTGATATTGCAACACTCGGTTCTTGGATGGTACTGTAATCAATGATCCTTTCCCAGGACTTCTCCGATTTCTCAAGCGTGGTCTCGGGCTCCGGCTTGTCTGGCGACTTCTTGACACAATTTGAATTCGGAATCTCATTGTTGTTGCAATTTGTTGCTTTCGCGACTTTCCCATTGCCTTGGGCCACTTTGCTGAGGTTGTTTCTGTAAAGATCAAGGTGGTTTCTCAAAATGTTTTAGTAAATTTAAAGCAATCGTCGGCTTTTTGAAGCGAAGAAAGCACTTTTCTGAGAAGATAGCATATGTTTTCTAGTTAAACCTATGAATTCGCGCGCAATGATTTGCCCTTTAAACGTCATGAATTTTAAGCGTCATTGTTGCGCGCTAGTTTGATTTGCGATGACGTTGGCATTCTGTTGACGTCCTCGCAGCACCTACACTCCACTGAATCGCAAATGATCTTTCATCGGGACTAATTCGTCCCATTTGATTGGCCGCCGCGATAAGCCCTCGCTTCGGGATGGATGGCCAGATTAAATATGTCTGTGTTGCTTTCCTACTGTCACACTTAATGCGGCGGATTCATGGAGACGCACTTTTCGTTCTGTGTTGGGTTAAACCCCCTGAAGGCATCCGAGCCGAGCCTTTTGCGCGCGACGAAAGCGACAGTGGATTAAGGGCCGGTGGATGGAGAAATTGAATTTCGCCGGCCGCCGCAGGATGCCCCAGTTAGATGCAAAACAGATGACGAATCATACAAATACCGCAGCGTTTTTCTTGCATGCAGGAAGCGCCGAAAGAGGCAAAAAACAAAAATCCCAAGGCCTGGTCAAAGGTGATTCCGCCCGGAGGGCATAAGTGTTCGGGCGAAGAATTTGGAAGACATATGGGATTTGCGAGCCAAAAACAATAAGATTTAGGAAGTCATGTAGCTATTTAGGATGCTAGATGGGGAAAAAACTTACGAAAACTTTCTTTTTTTTTGAAAATTTAAATTTTTCGTATAAAATGTTGACTAGCGAAAATAATAACATTGTTGACTAATAAGATCTTTTTGCAGCATTTGCTTCTCAAAATAACCTTCTTTACAAAAATTGTAAATAATAATACCTTGAGTTCGAATCCGAATTTGTGTCGGGCTGAGATTCGGCCGCGCTGTTCGACACGCCCTCAGACAGCGCGTTCATCGTCGACGGAAGCTCCTTCTTCGATTTCCGCATCTCCGACAAGATCGCCAGTCGTTTTTGTTTCTAAAACAGTAATTCATAACTTGTAGGCACAAAGCAAAACAAAACAATTGCTCGCTTTGTCTTTGATGACAATTAAGCAGCGGGACGGCGCCTTAAAATAAACGAAAACTGACCTGGTCGCTCTTCACTGCCAACGCCTTGGCCGCCTTGTAGATGCCGTAGTATAAATATAACATAACGAAAAGAGTGGACCAGTAATAGGCAATATACATGCTCATGTTGAGGTATGGGTCGGTCATGAACTGGACGTAACATTCGTCGTCCTTGAGGATGCGCCCCTTGCCGGAGAAGGCGCCGTACCCGAAAATGGACACCGAGAACAGGACGCTGGGGATCTGCAAACCATACGGTTTTATTTTTTTATGGTGGATCTGATCCAATGACCAAAAATTTGAAGTGTTGGTTACAGGAGGGATCAAAAATACCGCAAAAAGATTCCTTGTTCTGATCGAAAAAAGAAAAATGTGGTATTTCTGGTCAGAAAGGGTCCAATCGCACTTTTGTTTCAAAGAACGGGCTAAAAAATCTCTTCATGACTTGAGAGGAACCTTTTTGCGGATTTTTCTTTTCCTCCCGGAATCAAATCTGCGTATTTTTTTGACGACTGGATCAGGTCGCTGTAATTTTAAGGGCCAAATTAACAGTAAGTTTTATAGGAAAAATTCAAAGTCGTCGACTCTAATGTCAGGTATAAGATAAATTAGCTAATTATCCTTGTTGTGCAGGATTAAAAAGGCAGAAAAGCTAGCTGCTGAAATCTAGCGGTAACAGCAGCTATCAAGAAAAAATAGAGATAATTTCAATGCCAAAATAAAATTTTATGCGAACAAACTTAAACTCATAAATTCTAATGTCAAGTATAAGATAAAAATTCGATTTAGTCCCATTCAAAATTCTAAAATCATTTCCACACGCTTAGTAACTTATATGCAATAATTTTTAATTTCGAAAACTTACAATCCAAGTGGCAGCGATAATGGACAACACTCTCGGCTGAGTCCGCCAATTCCGATAAGCGGCTGGATATTTGACGGAACAATACCTGCAAGAATAGGCCATCAATCTCGACGAATTACCTGTCGATGGTTATGCCCAGGACGGTGTAAATCGAGGCGAGACAACAGGAGTAATCTATGGACAGCCATAAATCACACAGAAAGGTTCCGAAGGGCCAATGCTGGTCTTTTATGAAGAAGTAGGTGTACACAGGGATCCCTTCCAAGCCGATAATCTGCAAATTCATTTCGTAATAAAAGCAGTAATTCATGGTATTGGGTTTGGAAACGTTCATTTTGCAATTAGAAAAACTTTTTCCTTCTGTTCTGTGTTTGTTTTGTGCCTCAAACTGTGTTATGGAAACTTAATGCGGTTCCTGTCATAATGTAATATGTTGAATTCCATTTTCGGCCCGATAAATGTTATCCATTACAGCCCGATTTTCAACAACAAGACCGTAGGCCGTGGGGGCACGCAGTGGTGGGGCGCGCCCCGATTCCCCAGACGAATCAAGTCGACGGCGGGACCGGGATTTGGCGTTTCGGATTTGATGAATCGGCCACGAATGGGGCGCGAAGCGATGTCAGCGTGTTAACGCCTTTCGGGCCGCGCGCCGCCTCATCACCGGCTCAAGTCCCACGGGGCGGCGGCGTGGGATCAGAAACCGACCGCAGGCACTTGACTCAGCCCCAACCGGATTACATGCAAAAACACCGCCCGCCGGTTGAACTGCGGCGGGGAAATTGAATTTGTTACGCGCGCTTTCGCCGACCCCGCTCGCTCCGGTTGCAGCAGGGCGCGGCCTCGGGCGGTGTTTGACGCAATTTTTATTTGATGCGAATTGTGTTGGCATATCGTGTCAATAACCATGATTTTTTGGGGTCTCGGCGGGTTCGGCGAAAGAGCAGGTCCTCAAAACAAAAAGGGACGCTCCCCGAAGTTCATGTCCAATCAACGGTGACGTCGGGTGCCATCAAAATAGCGCCTAAGGCTCTTCTTGAAACACTTTAAGTCCCGAAGACGAATTGCGCAACAAATCAGACAGTCAGTCACTTGGCGCGGTTAAACCTGGCTTAAGCCCGGCAGCGATTGATGACCTTCGGGCCCAAAAATAGAAGCGCGCGGATTCAAGGCGGCCGACTTAATTGAACATGACTGAAGGCCCGCAGGCATCCATCAATCCGATGACATCTCTCCCCTGCTCCTGTTTTCTGGGTGAGATTTGCACGCGGATGGGAATTATCGTCTAATTGCCTCAATACCCAGTGGCCACGTTCTCCACCCCGCAGGGCTTTAAATGAGGCGCCCGAGAAGGTTGTTGAAGATTGGCAAGGCGGCGAGGATAAACAATGTTACAAAAAGTGCCCCCGGGTTCAACGGGATATTACACTTGGCAACAACCGACGATTGACAGGCTACAAAAACAGTGGACCCAATTTGGAGAGACAGGAGTGTTCGTGGAAAAAACAAAAAAGTAAATAGAAAACGGGTAAAATTCAAAACGCTGAAATCGAAAACTCAGTCACTGTCTGGAGTTTTTGGCAAAAATAAACGTAAAAATCAAAGAAACCCGTGAAAAAAAGACCTACCAGATCTGAGATGGCCAAGGAGAAGATGAAATAATTGGACGGATGCCGGATGTTCTTGTCCAAATAATAGGACAACAACACGATCAAGTTGCCGAACACCGTCACCACCGAGATGATGCCCATGCAGAAGGCGAGGACCCAGTTGGCCGGCGTCAGATCCACCTCCACGTAGAGCGAGGGCGCGGACGCCGCATCGCCGCTGAGGTTGAAGGGCGCGGGTGTGGCGGCCATGCGGACTGTGTGGCTAGCCGGCCGCCACCGAACATTTGGGCCCGCGGCACGACGTTGTGGAGCAGCGGCGACCTGCGAAACGGGCTGAATCAGTAAATGTGTTAGCGAGAAGAATGCACCCCGAGGGCGTGCCGGACATATGGCCCGGATCAGTGGGCCAACGAAAGACGTCATGGGAAAGGTAGAGAGTAACGGGATAAAGCGATTCGCATTTATCATGATGAATATGCTCAATGCGCCTACTTGCCATATTATACTTGATATTTGCATCTTTTTGTCGGGAGAAGTGGCATTTTAAGAAGGTTCAAAAAATAGCAAACGGTAAAAAAAGGGGAAAATAAATTAAAGTATGTTTGATCATTAAACAGGCATCTTTTACCACAATTAGTAGTACTGTAAAGTATAACAAAAAAGCTATTTTTTGTAATCAAAAAATCTCAAGTGACCAGATCAATTCTCAGGAAACAAATACTTTCCGTTGGCAATAAAAATACTTTCACATGGTAAAATACAAAAAAAATGGCTGATATAATTTCTTAACTTCCGATGACATCATTAACAGCTAATTTAAACCGGAATTGCCAAATTTTCATGGCTCATTGCTGAGATCATATCTCAATGATCCCATTAACCCGTAGGCCTCGAAAGCAACTTTTAGTCATCGTCCCAAAAAGTGGGACCTTCCACTTACAGTAGGCCGCGCGGTCAGCAGATCAGCCTCTGATTGTAATGGCTCCTCTCTTTCGCTTTTCACGACGTCTTCAGTGTTCCTGGAGGGGCTGGGGCTTCGAAACGAAATTCGCCGATGCCTGTGGACAAAAGGGCGGGGCCAGGCTCAACTTAACCGCTCCTCCAAGTTTTCCTTCAGAAGGCGACGACTTCTCTGCGCCGTCTTTTTGCTTCGTCTTCCCAGCTTCTTGGTCTACCGGCGGGGCCTTCAGGACTTGTTCGTCTTCTTCGTCCGCTTCCACCGGCGTCTTCCGAGTCGCGTTCGCCCCGCTTCAGGCTTCTGGGGCGGGCACGGTGGCGCGCCGACTCTCTTCGTGTCTTCGGCTTCTTCGCGCCACTTCCGACCTTCTTCAGGCGGGCGGGCCGTCCCCACCGAAGGGCTTCGCCGCGCCCTGACAAGTTCAATCCCACCCGCACCGATGAGTTATCGGCGCCGTTCCGCCAAGCGATCCGCGCACCTCGCCCCACCGATGATACGGTACCATAAATCGGCAAAGGCGTAGGAGGAGTATTAGCGTTGACAAATTGTGGAATTGAACGAACGTTTCGGGAGGGCCGCGAGCGGACCTGCAATCAACGCTAGAACAATGGAATCTCGGCCGAATGTTTTCTCGTTTGCGAGGGCACGGCACTTGGGCCGCTTTTAATGAGAGGCGCGGCTTGCGCGTCCCCCCAGACAAAAGCGGCCCAAAACGAAGGGAGCGCGCCGACCTGTGCTCTTGAAATCTTATCCCGGGGAAAATGCAGATTGAGGGGAGAACGGCGGCGCACGTCAGAAGTGGTTTCAAATAAGAGGAAAAGCCGAAGGGCACGTCCAACAAGTCGCGCGAGCCCTGCCGGCCCACTTGACTTCTCACCTGCCACTCTTTGCGCGAAGTAATGACAAAAAACCCGCCGGAGGGACGGGAAATCGGCGGAAGGAAATGGAGAAGGCAGGTGAAACAAGCCGATGGAAGTGCGGCCCCACGAAAGGGAACGGCCCAATTGGACCGACGGAATCTCGGCCCACCGGACGTGCCCTCGGCGCGCTTATTTTTGGAGGTGGCAACCATTCGCGGCTCACCGCGTCCACTCCGGAAACCGATCGTTTCACGCAAAGTGTTGGCTCGCAACACACGGATGTTCCATGACCCCATTCCGGGGGTTCAAAAATTACGACATCAACTGGCTACGCCGCCGTTTCGACCAATTATTCCGAAATGAGGATTCGCCTCACACCCACGAATGGGAGAATTGTAGGTCGCGGCGAATATTATTAGTCGTTTCGAGATGCCTAAACTACAATTCTGGAGGGTATTATGCGAAGGAAAAGCCATGAAGAAGACAAGGTCTTTGCACCAAAGCCCCGCTCTTCATCAGGATGTATGCTACTCAAGAAGGGGTCTTACAACCGTCATATGACCCCATTCAAGCCAACTTTCCCTTACTCCCCGATATTACACATGACAAATGCAAAACAATCAGTGTATTTTATCACATAATCCAATAAAAATTTGAATGATATAAACAAAAAGAGAGCCTAGCTCGCCCCTTAATAGCCAATGATACGAAAAATAAGGTTATGGTTTGGTACAATTATGTACAAGATAATAATACCAAAAAGCGTTAGAGGGATCACAGTAGAAGAAGCCAGAGGATGAATGCAATGCCGATGGCAAAGAAGACGTTCGACAGCAGTTGTTCTTCGCCGGCTTGCACACTTCCGTCGTTCGCTGTAGTTAAATTATATTATTCTTAAGATTTTAATGTTCATGGGTAATATAAAATAAAAATAAGAGCCCATAAACATGACAAATGGTGATAAAAATGGCTTACGAGTCTCATTCCTTCGTTGACCGGCATTTGCATTGAAGAATGAAGCCATGAATGATATGGGAAAGACGCCGATACCCAAAGAGAATTGAACTCCACCTTGTCCTCCATCTCCTCCCCAATGAAAGGTCGGGAAGCCGGATTGCGGCTCTTCGGAACGTTGTCCTCGAGGTCTAGGCGGCACTTTGGTCCTGGGATCACTCTCATTCCCTCCCCTGCCATATATGGGGATCACTTTATCATGGGAAATGGCGCTTTTACAGACGGGACAAAGTTGCTGATTTGGTCTTGTTTCTAGCCATTGATGAAGACAAGGCCAACAAAACAAGTGCCCGCACTTTGAGACGACAGCATCCTTCGCTACGTCCAAACAAATATTGCATTCGAATCTGAAATCGACGAAAAATTATGTTACCCAAAATCTTAGAGGTATGGGTGAAGAGAATATGTTGAAAGAAACCTAAAATCCAAGAAAAAAAAATATTAAAAAGCTCTCACCTGGCGTTCTCTTCCGGCTTCTCCGTGCTCTCATGACTATCTGGCTGTTCGGTGGCTGTGGAGGAAGAAGGCGCGGTTTTTGTTTCCTCAGACATATTACTCTAGGTCCCTCCGTTAATGGCCCATCTGCTTGAACAATTAGCAGTCGTAAACACGCCGGACACCAATATGACGTTGTCAAACCACGTATAATTCAATAGTTTTTGGTTTTTACTGCGAGAAAAAAGAAATAACATGTGCTTTCTTGGCGTTTTGCAACGATTGAAATTTTTCGTGGCGGGACGCAGAATTATGCTGGTGAAGAACGAAACGCTGACGTTTTTTAGGATCTTCGGAAGGAATTTTGATTTATTGCTTGTAAGAAACTTACGGCCGTCAAATGACGGAAACTGGTTATGTCAGAATGCTACTTTTAGAACGTAATTTTTTTGTTGTTGTAGGCTGAACTTATGACCTGAAAAATTGCGAAAAACAGCGGAAAATTGGCTATAAATTATTTTGCTTTTGCCATAAGCTGGTTGTTTATGCATTCTCCATTAATAAAATTGGCAATCATATAGATATACTAGCTTTATTTCGCCTTTCTACGAGGTGCAAATGTAAATGTATATGTGGACCTGTACATGAGCAAAAACAGGATATTCTTGACGAAGGAGATCTGAATAAATAGTCCAGACGACGCGCTTAGAGGCTAAGCCACGCCGCGACGAGGGCGATGATGAATGTGTGGGGCAGGAGGGATGAGGCGGAGTTGGTTCGGTTCACCCAGGCGTCCGATTCGAAGGGTTCTTCGTTGATGTCCTCGATGTCCGCGGGGAATTCGTCGACAACATGGATCTTGAAGCCGGTATTGTATTCCGAGGCGGTCTGAAGAATGTGTGAATTTTAAAATGCGGAAAAATTAAAAATTGGCAAGAATTATATTGGTCTAGTGTAGTACAGGGTGTTTCAAGAAATTCCCCGGAAAGTAATCGTCGATTTCTCGGCGCTCAGCCACGATATCCAAAAAAATTTTTTTGCGGTAGAAAGAAGGGTATGGGCGGTTTTTTGCCTAAAAAGATTTTTTTCTACGCCGACGCGGAATGCAGTGTATTCGGCGAAGACTTTTGATCGCTTTTTTGGCCATCGCTAACATAAGACATTCGGCAAGAGCCGTAAAGTTAGTTTCTCTCTAACAGACTCTTTTCATTTTGCGGTTTAAATATGTTTTTTACATTTCCATAGATGACATTTGGTGTGCCCTTGTCGGGCATGAAGCTCAAGACGGTCGCTTTCGCCTCTTTATTCAGACATCTCAAGTGCAATGTCTTTCTGAACTCCGCGAAACTCTCGAATCTGTCCGGATCGCTCTCGTCCGTCTCCCACAGGCACAGCTTGTCGGATGGCGTCTGAATCTTGGATGGAGCGAACACTTTCACCTGCTAAACGGCAATTGCATTAGTTATTGACGGAAAAGTTAATTAATGAGTTATGAGTTCGTTGGAATTGGCTTAATGAGTCGGCAAATGCAAAAAAATGGGTCACGCTTTGGGTGACACGTAATAATGGAAGTAAAAACGATGCCAGAGGGGATCTACGGGAGGCAAAGGAGCGGCGAAATGGCTTACCATTCGCTCATCGGGTTCCAATTTGTCGATGCCTCCGAATTGATCATCGGAGAGGTAAAAGGAATGGTTCGAGCCGCCTTCCAGACTGAAATCATCCAATTAACGATCAAAAAATATCTGTGGGTAATGTGATAGGCATGAGAAAAGAAAAATGTAATCAAAAAATAAGAAGAAAGTAATCAGAAATTTATTATAAGAAACTAGTCCAAAATATGAATCAATTTAACTGAACTTACACAAAGCTGTAGTTGAATCCTCTTTTCAAGTAGATCTCAGCCAGATATCCATTCACATACCACACTAATTCGGGTGGACTTAGTCCGGTGATCCCTTGAAATCCGCGTCTTCCTCCTGGAGGGCCTAACTGAAGGACAAAAGAAGTCCTAGTGGGACTTCCCAACAATGCCTGAGGCTTCCACACTCCAATCTTTGCGACTTCCCGCTTCACCGGTGGGACATACGGCGGGATGTAGTCTCCAACTTTTCCCACAAAAACGTGGCCAAAATCGACGCGAAATTTGTAGCAATAAACCGACAGCCAGTCAATGTGATTGATGTCGTACTCCTTGGGCAGGTCCAAGATGATATCCTCGCCCCCACGATAACGCTGATTCATCGGCGTGATCTCCGTGGGAGTGTCGCGACCTCGAATCGGAACTTTGACGCCAGCATCGTGCACCACAATCCCTCCACGGCCCACGAAGAAATAACCGTCGGGGGCTTTGTCGGCGTCGAAAGTAAAGGCAAAAATCTTGATGGTACGACGGTCTTGGATCAGAATTGGGCCCGAACCGACGCCATAGCGCAAACCGGAGAGTTCTTTACCAATAAATTGAGATTTTGGGACAGTGACATCACTGGGAATTGTTATCGAAGCTAGGGTTTGTTTCTGAAAATTTTTGCGTAAAAATCTTTCTGATTTCAAAAATCGCTTATTTTTAAAAAAAATAAAGCAAAAATCAGTGGTAATCACAAAAATTTTTACACATTTTTTCGCTGAAAATGCATAAAACTGCGAAAAAATCTTGATTATTTAGCTGGAAATTTGCAGAGTTGCATTTTTTCAATTATTTGGCTCTTTTTTGGCTGCTTTTTTAGTTGATGATTCCTTACCTCGCTCGGCGAATAAATACTGACAGTCTTGAATTCGGTGATCCTCTTCCTTTGCGGAAGATGCAAAACGACTCTTTCCGTGTTCTCATAAAGCCCCAAGGGTGTGACGCTGAAATGACACACTAAATTAGAGCGATTCGGGTTGTTCGCTTTACCCAAACTCGAATGTAGGCAATTTGAAACCATCTTTGGAGGGTGAATCAGTCGAATCGATCCAGAAAAAGGCTTCTGAAATTGGAATCGGGATATTGTAGAGGTCAGGAAATCATTGTAAAAAACAATCTTATTCAAAAATTCATTGTCCAAATTTCAATATGCAATTTCAAAATTTTCTAATGTAAACTTTTAGATTCTTGGCTTAAAATTTTAAGGTGAAAAAATCGGTAGTCAAGTGTTTATCTAATTTTTCGCATAAATTATGCAAGGATTGCATCTTCCTCTTCCCGAACATGTCTTCATATATCATTTTTGCCGCCAAAGGGAACATCTTCCCGGTTTATGGCCGCCTCCCCGGGCTCTGGTTTATCCGTTCGCGGGATCAAGGCCAGCCAGATGTCCATGACTTTGGGTGACCTTTGAGGGTCGGCGAAAAACAAAGGGCCGCGAAGTCAATCGAGGACGTCAAGTGGATCAACAAGACTTTTAATTTCTCCAGTTTTGGCAAGAATCATTTGAAGAGGCACTTGGGGTAATATAGTCGGGATTTTTTGAGTCAAAAGTGGGAAATTCTTATAGTGTGCCTAGTACAATATAAAAAATCACAGAATAAGATCCTCAGATTTTAGTGGACCATAACCCAAATAAGACCAATATTTCCTAAGGCATATGCGAAATATTTAGCTTGATCTCTGAAAAATTTTTTGGAGCGTAATTTGGTGGAAATTTTCATATTTTTCGTAATTTTCAAATTGAAAAAACATGTCTTGTTTGAAATGGAAAGTCAAAATTTTTCTACAAAAACCTTTTTTGAGCTATTTATATTATTTTTCCCCCCGACCGACTCTCTCCATTTTCAACAGTCTATCGGCAAAAAAAGTTTTGTTGAATATCTCGACTAAAATTTCATAGTAAAAACTAAAATTTTTAGGAATTAAATTGTGGCCTAGTTAAAATTTGGAGACAAAATTTGATTCATGATAGAGCCGAAAACTTTTGAAAATTTCAATTTTCTCAAACTACCAGATGCCCAGTCCAACATCGGCAACTTTTATGTCATCCAAAATTCTTGCAAATTCCACTTACCGCTCGTCGGATGGAAGGTGAAGTTGAGGACCTGCAGGCATGATTCGTTGACCAAAAACAAATGCCCACTCAAGGCGGCGTCGGGATCCGCGAACTCGCCCAGGTAAACACCAAACTCCGGGTCATAACTGTTGATGGCGCGCTCCGCCAGGCAAACTGTAAAGAAGTTTTGTTTACTTAATTAGGCTCCGTTTAGGGAAAGAAATCTCCCAAGAGTTTGGGGGGAATGTTTGCGCTGGGATCGCTGACCTTTTCCCAGCCCCGAACCAAATTAAAAATTCACCTGTAAACAGAAAACTGGTCAGGATCTGCAGCCGCGTTGTTGTACCCATCGAGCTGAGACTCTAAATGATATTATTTTTATGGAAGCTCAAGGTTTGAAAAAGGCAATTAACACGAAAAACGAACAAATTTTTTTTGTAATCATCAGGATTTTTTGACGGAAAAATAAAAAATTGCAATAAAAGAAACAAATAACAACAAAACAGGGTAAAATACATTCTGCAAGAAGAAAAACCTGCACAAATTTTTTTTTGAAAATGCCGTTTTTGGCCAAAATTAAATTCCTTGGCCAAAAAAATCAACATTATCCCAAAAACACAGTTCCAAATAAAAAATCAATTAAACTGGTCCAAATTAATATTCTAATCGTAAGTTGACTTCATTATCTAATAGAAAATATACATTAAAAATGACAAAAAGAGTCATCAAAAGCCCTTTCTTTGTCCATCAGCCCTCCACTCCAGCGTCAGTTCCTGTCCATTCCATTTGACAATCTTTTTCCTTTATCTCTTCATCTAATGTGATCAAATCTACCTGTTAGAGCTCTGAAGGATCCTCAAAAGCTTCTGCATATCCCCCAAAGAGCGGACACGCTGATATGAATTCCCTGAATCCCCGCCATCGGAACGGAGGGGAAAACAATAAGCGAGGACCTTGAACACACTCCGGAATCTCTGGAGGACATTTGAATGGACGAGGGGATCTTGAGGCCCCTCCCCCAGCCTCCTTGTCCCCCACCGAGCACTCAAACCAATCTCAGAGGTCATTGATGGTCATCTGGGCATGCTTGTCAGTCCATCTGTGAAACCGCGCCCCGTTTTTCGCGCAAATAAGGCGCGGGAGTGTCAAGTTGATCTGCGAAAAATAAGGTGACCGGGCCATGGAAGGGAGTGGATTTTCGTGAAAATTATTTGCCTCAGGGCATGAGTATGTGCTCAAAAATTTGAATATCCCAAAATGTGTTTGGAATCCGTCAAAAAACCGCCAATTTTTTTTTGAAAATATCGCTGAATAGTATCAGCAAAAGCCCTGGGAGATCCGAAATTTTCTATAATTTCAGAATCTGCCAATGATGCCGATAGAAATTGAGTAATTCTACCAAAACCCACTAAAAAAATTTCAATTGAAAAATCAGCCATTTTCCAAAAAAAAAATCGCTGGAATTTCTTGGATCTAGGCTCTAGTGCATTAAAGACGCATTTTTTAGAACCTGTCAATGAAATTGCCAATTATCCTTTATTTTCTGCGAACCCCTTCAAAATCCCGCCGAAACCCAAAAATCACCCATTTCCCCTCAAAAAAAAACGCTAAATCCTTTGAAATCAAGCCCTCGGCATCAAGAATTCACAATAATTTTGGAATTCGCCTTCCGGAATCCCTCTCCGCAATTATCCTCGGAGGAAAAATACGACTTCAGCCCTCACCATTAGACGGCGCTTTGTTTCAGTGCCGTCAAAATGATTCCACTCACGAATTCTAATTGTCAAACACGGGAAGCCGGCAGTTTCGGGAGTGTAATTGCATGGCATGTGGACACGTAAATGTCCATTGTCCATAATTGTGGAGATTAGGGGAACAAGTCGCCAGCTGCTTGGGGAGCGGGGGAAAAGTTTCCGACGGCGGCGGAACAAGGCATGAATAAATCAAGGCGTCACCCAATTTATTCTTGCATTTAATTACCCTCATTTCAAGCCTCCATCCCGCAGCTTTAGGGCATAGACAAAAAACAAAGAAGCGAGCGCGGAATGACCGATATTTTACAAGGTTGATTTAGGTAGTCAAGTGAAATTTAAAAGCAATTTTGATGACCAAAGAAAAGCAATTGAATGGGAAACTGTATCTTACTTCAAAATAGGCAGCAACAACAACTTGAAGAAATAAAAATCATAAAATTTTTCACCATTTTTTTTGATAGAGAATTCAACTTTTACCCTCAAACATGAAGTTCGGCTCAATTTTGATGTCTAAAACAAGATATTTCAACAGTAAAATTGAATTTTCAACGACCTTTAAAAAGAAAACTCGATTTTTTTATTCAATTTTCATTCAACTTTTGATGGCCACCTCGACCACAACAAGATTAGCCTCAAAAATAGCCATAAAAGGAGCCGTTGAATCAGCATGCTCTCAAAACTTTCGAATTTGGCGTTATTGAAAAAACATCGCCTCGAAAATGTCCTGCCATTTTCTTTTGTCATGCAAAACTCGGCGAAATTTCCTTCGCTTCTTCATAAAGGAGAAGATGAGCGCGGAAAGGCCTCTCTATCACAACCTCAGAACACATAAAAACATGCTGCGTCGACCCAGAAATCAAGGGCATTCGGAAGGTGAAATTCGAACGAAAAAATTGGGATTCCACCTCGAAATCTGGGCTGCTTAATTGCGCTTCTTGGCATCTGGCTTTAAAGAAGATGACAAAAACCCGCGTCTTCCCCCAAAAAAAAATAGACGACCAACCGAAGGGGCTAGCCGGAAGAGGCAGCAAATTAGCAGCCTGTGAATGATGGATCCATGCACGGGCCATATGCTGTGCCCTTCAAGAGATATATTGGCTGTAAATTCGATCTCCCTCCTCTTACGAAACAAGTCGCGCAAAAAGGAGCGATGTCTCAGGATTGGGTAATCGCGGAACTGTAAAAAGACTCGTCTATATATGACGACAAGAAGGGTGGAAAGATACCATGAAAGGGACGATCGTTTAGCCGGTTAAGAGTTCTCGAAGAGGCGGAGATAAAGTTTATCTTGGTTCCCATTTTTTTCATCCTCTTCCTGAAGGGGAAAGAGGTGGTAAAGGTGAAAGTCGGGTTCGTATTTGTAGAAGATACAGCGAAAGGGGGATAATGGATTGGAGTGAAAAGAAAATGATGGTTTAGGATATTACTAATGGACAAAAAATGATGACAATATGGATAAAGGTTACCTTAAAGGTTCTTTTTGGGTACATACTTATTTTCTCAGCGCAGCGTATGGAATTTTTCCAAAAAGTCGTTCGCTAAAGTTATCAAATACTGCTTGAAAACTACCTCGAGCCTCATAAAAATTTGCGCCACTGAACAAAAGATATTAGAGAAAAGCTTATATGAACTATCCCCAAATTAATAGGCATGGCCAAGACTGTTGATCGAAGCCAATTAAGCACGGGCCAAAACAGTTTGTCCGGGCCTGCAATTAAGGACTTTCCCAGCATAGAGACCCTTTTACATGCAGGTGCTCCAAAAATACGGATGCTTTTTGTGGCGCCGACTCGAGAGCGTTGTAACTTTAATTGCCGGCCATTAGTCATCCCGAAGAACAAGGTAATCGGGATGTTCGAGATCCCCGAAGATGACGGGCTTATTCTCAATCCTCCCTCTCTCTTAAATACTCTGCAACTACGAAAAACAATTTTCACATTCATTCAAAAAGAAGCTAGTTACAGAAGTAACAAGTTATATTAGAATAGGTGAAGAAGCTTGGCGAGATTACCGAGAAATCTCGTTAATTCGAACAAAAGGCTGTAATAAAGAAGAACGACGGAATATGGTGGTCATTTGAGTGAGGGAATGGACGCAGGAACCGTAGAGACCCACCCTCCGCAGACATCTTCCAACGAATTTCTGCGCATCCACCGAAAACATGAAAAGTTTTTTGTTTGATCGGGATTCTGATGACTGAGGACGAAGGCCAAACACAATTTAATGGGGGTTTAAAATTTTTGGAAACGATGTAAAATATGCAAAATATTATGTTATAATAATTAAAATTACAGAGAAAATTTTGAAATTTTGATTAATCCAGAAAAAGAAAAAATATTTTTTTGGCTCACGCTTTGCAGTAATCATCAAGACTTTGCCAAAAACGGGCATAGTTTGCGAATTTTTGAATTCAAAAATACAAAGCAAAAAGTAAAATTTTACGAATATTAACACAGCCGTGGCCAAACAAATTTTTTCTATTTACCGCTTGACTCTTGCCCTGAAAAATCGTTGAATATCTCGGCTGCCCGAGCAAAAAGAAGTATGAAATTTTCAGAAGTTAAAACATAGCCTTGATAACTACCATTCCAAAATTTAAAGGTAATCCGACAGTGGTACCATGAGAAAATCGCGTTTCAGCCTCACTTGCGCTGAAACCTCACAAGTATCCAATTTCCCCCCAAAAACCCTAATTTTAACCCAAAAAATCACGAAAAACCTCCCCATTCCCAGAGAAGCCGCTTCGTATAGCTCCAGAAGATCAGTCTGATACCATGGAAAGGGAAGCGGTGGGTCTTCCCAAATTGGGTGAACAACTCGAAGATCAGATAAGCCGAGGAAACGAAAACGCTTATGTCTTGCGCATGAGTCAACCAAATTTCAAAAACGACTGATGGCATCCCCCTCCCGCCCTCGGTGTGAAGTGCTCTTCAAGATTGGAGCTGCACAGCGGGGCGCTCGCCGAGATTCCGGGACTTTCGATTCAATTGCCGTTCATAATATGAATCGGTTCAGAAAAGCGGACTTGGAACGAGTCATGGTCAGAGTTTACGGTTTGCGCAACCAAGGCCGATGACTCAAGTGATCGCTGAAACAAGGAAGGTCGTCTTGTCTCCAGTTTATGAGTAGCGTGAGTAAGAACGTGACGGTGAAATAAAAATCAAAGAAAAATGTAAAAAATTACAATTTGGAAATAACTGAAGTACATAGTATTACTGGGTCTCTTCGAGAAAATCTGGGAGCGTAAGAAATTTTGGTGGGAGTAAATTATGTCGATTCCACAGTGTAAAAGACATGAGGACACAAATTATAGGCCCGTCATTCGGGTTTTACCGTATATGGGTAAATAATATGGGCGTGAAAAATAAAGGGAAGAAGCAGATCACCTTCTGCGAGGGTAAGACCGTCAACTTGGAGTTGCTTGACCATGTTGATGACTATTGATTGACCATATTTTCAGTTATTGTTTCACCTAGAAAGTTATGATACAGCAAAGATTCAAGGAAAATATTTTGGCTGATATCACATTTGATGACAAGTAAGATGTTTTCTCACGTTTACCTCGACTTCAGCCCGTTTCTAAGATTTTTGAGATCTTTTAATCTCGCTTGGTCTCTTGGACTAGTCATCTTCGGTTTAGTAGAATTTTTCATTGAAAAAAATCATTAACAGTTTTTGAATTTTTATACCGTACCCACTAAATCTTTAGCATTACAGAAATGGAAACATGTCACATGAAAAATTTACCCCCTTATCGCCTGCTGGTGTCAGCTCCTTTCCAGCACAATGTCACCTCCACACCTTCGAATGCAGAGAAAACAGTTTTCTAATAAATACAAAACCTTATCATTGATAAGCCCGAAGTCGCCGCCAGGCATTTCCAGTTCCGTCTTTTGCTTCTCCTCTCATCATGGGTCTAGTTTTATGGACCCTGGGGGCTTTGTTATTGCAGAGTGTGTGTGGTCAGGCGCCGCATATTCGCAACCTACATGCCAGATTCGACCCGCAACAGGACTCGGTGTACGTCAGCTGGACAGCGCCTTATGTCAAGGATGGTAAGGAAGTTTCTCTCGGAGGACGAATTAGGCTATTTGGAAATAAAGTAGCGCGCAAAATTTATGAAGAAATAGCTTGAAGAGCGGCGCTGATTTTGAAAAAAAAGTATTTTTGAATTAGTAATTTTTTAAAGCGGCAAAGATCAATAAATATTATCTCGGCCCTGCCTGCAATCTTATTGTTAAAAATTTCAATGAGTGTTATGTGGCCCATATAGGCTTCATTTTTACGTTTTACTTATCTTTGATGTTCTAATTCTTTTTTGTCAGACCTACAATATCAAGTGAAGTATCGCCTATTGAACCGAGAAGATGACTGGCATTATATTCGAGTCCAAGAGACCGAAGCAAGGTTAGAAGAGCTCACGAATCTCAGAAATGGGGATGAAGTCGAAGTTGAGGTAAGAAACGCCGTACTTTGTCATCATCAGCAAGTGGAATATCAGAAAAAATATTTTTCTAAAGTTTGATACCAAATATGTTTATAGGTCAAATCTGAACTAGACGGAGCCAACCCAGGTCAATCTTTGGTCATCAACGTCGTCAAGCAACTTCAAGTTGACGGCCTTACCCTCGAAGAAGACGACTTGCTCCCTCCTCTTAATTTTCAAGCCCACATTCTTGATCCCTATACTGTAAAACTCCAATGGAGACCTTATAATCTCAATCCCAATGCCTTCTACATAGTGAATTCAAAGCAATTGACTCCTAGGAATGAGGATAACCTGTTCAGACAACAGGTAAGACAGATGGTCTAGTATAATGTAAAAATATTTATATTTTAGGTCAGAGTAGAGGAAACCGAGTTTGTTTTGAGGAATCTGGAGCCCGGAGAGAAGTATGAGTTTACAATTCGGACGGCTACAGCGCCAGATCATACATCCAGCACTGCGGCGATCGTGGAGATCACCATGCCTGGAGGTAATTTTACAGTGGGGGACCTGATCCAGTGGCATAAAACGACCATTTTGTATCCGGGAAGTATCAAAAATGTGGCAAAATGCTTCCCTCTCCAAGTGAAAAAAAAATTCGTTTTGAAGAGCGCGCCGATTGCCTCACAAAAAGAGCCGGGCGCGCTTTTGAAATATGAGTTTTTTTCACTTGGAGAGGGAAGCATTTTACCGCATTTTTGATACTTCCCGGATGTAAAATGGCACGTTTTTTGCCACTGGATCAGGTCCCCCACTGTAGGAATAATTGTCCACAACCCTGCTTTTTTGATAGCAAAAAGTCTTAAAACGATCGCGAAAGTCTTTGACAACTATATTTTTACAGCGGAAGAGTACTACGAAGTTGGAAATCTCCTGATCTCCAGTAAATTTAACCTTGATGGAACTGGAACCGTAAATTTAACCTGGGAAGTTCCTCGAAACATGAAAGATAAGATTCAAGGATACCATGTGGAATACACTCCGGAACAAGCCAAAGACTGGAAAAAGCTCTACTTTGACGGAAGCAGTCCTACGACAATTTTGACGGATCTCACTAGGTGAGAAGGCCTACTGCAATATCGAAAAAAAAACTAAATTTGCTACTAAAACAATGTAAAAGCTAAATGACCAAATTAATTTCAGTGACACACAGTACTTACTGAAAATACGAACCGTCCTGAAAAACAATCTGGAGACCGACAGCGGCGAGTTCAAGTTCAAGACACCCAGAATTCCGAGAAATCCAATCGAAAAAGTTGATGTCATCTATTCCAGTGAGACTTCAGATGTCAGATTACAATGGGAACTCAAGCGGTAAGATATTTTGCAACCTATTTTATAGTTGATAACTAACTTTCCGATAATTTTTTCAAACAAAAGTTAACCTATATTATCCATGTTTAGTGATGAAGATTCGAATGCAATTAGTGGCTATGTCGTCTACATAAATGAAGATCCCGATGCTCCAGAGCACGTCTGGCGAAGGATTCAACATAATTCGGCGGATAAATCGGTTCTCATTGCGGGACTTTTGACCGATACAACCTATTATGTTAGAATCACACCTATCCTAAGTGATGGCACCGTGCAAAAATCTACTGTGGTCTATCGATTCACAACTTTATGTAGGTGAAAATAGAGTCCATAAAGAACGTTTTAGCCCATCAACCAAGACATCATCACAAACGACATCGACGTCATCTAAGACATTACATCAAGATCACGGACTGCTATGATAATGTAAAATTTTGATGAAAACCTCGACAAATTGTTCTTACAATTGACATTCTGCCAGATTAGTCTTAGAATCAATCTTGCCAAATTTTATCCACTTTTTAGGTATGAATTATCATGGATAATATTTTAGAAGGACTGCAAATCCTCAGAACGCTGCACTCAGATGGAAGATGGGAAATGGTGCCTCCCTCGCGTCCGCAAACTCGCAAAAAATATCGATACAGACATTATGGTACAAAAATACGTTATTTACACAAACTAATTGCATGCAACGCTCAATATTTCTGGATTGCGCAATAAAAGATAAATTTTTTTGTTGGGAAATTATTTTTGGGAAGCGGGAGATTTTTTTGTTGCATTCCCAAATAAAGGATGGCAATTCCGGCACACACCTTCAAGACGTGGTTTTTGGGCCGTCATGTTGTGGCAGATATCGATGTCGACAATTTCGAAGAGGTCAGTTCTTTTTTCTCTGTTTTTCTATAATTTTAGGTAATAAATAGTTGAAAATGTAAATTTTAACTGCTGTTGAAGGTTGTAGAAGATGGAAAAGGTTGTGAACTTGTTGCATCTTGAGTAAAATATTGAAGCTCGCAAAAATTCTTGTTTTTTTTATTTTAGACGTTATCCATGACGATGAGATAATTTTAGATATAACTTTCGACAAGTTGCGAAACTTTTCTGGTTTTTTACAAATTTTACGACCTCATGAGCTTATTTATGACGCGAGCTAAATGATTGTTTATTTTAAAGATATTTACTCATTGTTTTATATTACCCATGACAATTTCCGACATTAATTTTAATTTCTTCTGCTTTCAGGCCTGTTTTTCGCTGATTCGCCAACAAAAGGAGATCATAATGGATGCCGAGGTCTATTCCACACATGTAAGTCAGTCCGACCCCGCTATTACGCATCCGTTTTATGTTTTACTCGACATCAAACGAGCCCTTCCCATTCCCAGGTCTTTTGTTTTGAATGTATTGCTTTAGGTAAGGATGAAGTCTCAGAGAAATGCGTGTTACGATTTCCCCGTGGTGAACTTTGTCGACGTAATCCGAATTGGCAATTTGCCCACCGTGTTTGGCTTGTTGATGAGCAGTGCGAAGAGCAGATATTCGGTCTATTTCTTTTCCATACGACCGTTTACGGATAAGGAACAAGTGATTTATCAACAACTGTTTTCTTCTGGGTAAGTTTCCGTTTATTTTATCATTTTTTTAAACATTTTTAGACCGAAAGTATCTAATGCCCAGTATAATATAATTTTTTGCTGATAACTATTTTTTTCTTGCTAATTATTGAAGTGAATACGTTCCTAAAAGTACTATTAATGTGTGAGTTGTAATTCCCCCTAATATTATCTTATATATTATGTCATATGGCCTTGTTTCGAGCCAGTCCCATTAACTTTTCACCTCGAATTGGTTAATGTTTAAGCTCTGAAAAATTAAAGAAGTTTTTGGCCAAAGATTTATGGCAGTAGATGAGTCTAAGACCTCCAGTAATAAATGTCGATTGCTTTTTTGACCCTCCCTCAAAATTTATGGCCTTTTTCTCGAATTATATAATCCATCATGTTCAATATGTTGGGGCTAAAAATTTAATCCCCGATATCGCAAGACCCCTTCTTCACGTGATCGGAGAAGTTTATTTTGGACTGAAGACTATATTCTTTTGCAAATTTAGAAAGTCCAAGCCTTGGATTTCACAAATCCCCGATTTTAATCTGACGTTTTTCCCTTTGCAGACACGCCGATCCCCATTTCCCCGTGTTAATGGACACCGAAAGCGCCTTGCTGATGCTGCGAAGTGCAGTTCCTCGGATCATCGGCTTCTCTCGGAACGTAAGTTTACAACTCACGTGTTTTACTTATTTTTCGAATATTTCCCGCTCTTTTTTTCGGTTCCCTAACCTTGAAGGACAAGGAAAAAAAGGGGGGGGAGTGGGGTTTGCCTGGGATCGATGCCCATTCATTTGATCCGAATGGAACGTTCCGAACCGGCTGATTTATTTTTGCGCCCAGTGCCGTTCTCGCGCCGGGTCGGGCGAATCCGAGATTCGCGCCGACTGAATTCTAATTTGAGCACTAAAAATCGAAATTCACCCTACCCTCACTATGGTAACCCCGTGTGTTCGTCGGTAAGTGATCAGAAAAGTTTTGATTTGAATTTTTTCTCTGAAAAATTAGGTTGTTTTCTTGAATCCGCCGGGTTTCTAATGGATAATATGGTCGTTTTATCCGCGGTTCCGTGGCCCGCTCAGCCTCCGAACCAATTATATTTGCGGTGATCGGCGGCCGAACCCAGCCGACCTTATCAAGAGCGGCCCGAAGTGTACGTGAAGAGCGGGGGTATTATTGGAAAGGCCCTAAAGGGAGAGTAAGCTTATTTCGGTGCGGAGGCGTCGACGCCCAGGAATGTTTTTTTCGGGCCTGCCGCACCCTTCTTCAGCGGCGGCACCGGTGCCCGTCGGTCGAGTTGGTTGGGGTGGAAAAGGGGGGCGCGCGCGGCCGTCTAAATTCGTCCCCCGCCCCCCGCCGCCTTGTGGCTCAGTTGCCCTCATTTTCTGGTCGGGTCGGCGGTGCTACTGCTTTCCTTATCCGTTCTGCTTTCTCGTCGGCGTGTTTCGGCCCAAAAAGTCCGTGCGTTCCCCCCTTCCCCGGCGGCGGCGGCGGAGGGGGGCGCAGGCCTTCGGGGGGCCGAACGAGTCGACGTCGTCAACGGGGAGCTAAGTGAAGTGAGTCTTCTCGGCCGCACACACACACACACATGTGCGACTCATGTGCCGTTTTCGGCCACCGCCGCCCTTACTTCGGCCACCGCTTTCCTTTTTTCGACAAGGATTTCGCCGTTTTTGACAGCATTTCAAGTAGCGTGTCTCTAAACTTTTCCCCCGTCCGCCACCGCCGCCGCTGTCGTCGTCCCCCTTTCCCCATTCGTTTACGTAGTGCTCGACGACCGGAGGGCTTTTATGCGTTCTAGAGCACCTTCTCCTCCTCCTCCTTCTTCTCCCACCAACTTCTTGACCTCGGGGGGCTGCGGCCCACAACTGTCGGCGTACAATATTCGCACGGCGAGTAATTCGGCCCCTCCGGCTCTCATCCTCCCCCCTCCTGTATAAACACTTAATTGCCCCGCTTTTCCCGCGGCCCCCCTGACGGCTCCGGCCCCCCTGTTTGTTTTTATCTTGTAGCGAATTTGATAGGCTTTGTGTGTGTGATGTTGGGACGACTGGAATTCGTGATGAAAGTCCAGCTTCATTATGAATTTGTTTTGTTATTTGCCCGGCCCGCACAGGTAATTTCACACTCCACGAGTTCACTTCATTCGGGGTTAATTACGTCCCCACATTGGAGAATAGCACGGGGAACGGAGCTATTTTTTCTTGGAGATTTCATAGTGAACGGATCACTTGGGGGCTTCCCGGATCTCTTTTCCTTGCAAAACGATGACGTTTCACCGGTTATTGGTCTTGGTTCTTTCACTTCGGGTTTGGTCCGAGCGCTGTGGAAGTCGCTGTTTGCCTTTTCCATCCAGATTTACCTGATATTCTGCTTCGTGGTCCCCTATTTCGCTCTCCCCGCCGAACATATCAAGTTTTTGGCCTAAATTTACAAATGGAAGACCTAAACCCGAGCTTGCGGGATGCTAGCGTTGCCTCTGGGGTCCCATTACTTACGCAACGATGGAAATTAACTGTTCTGGTGTGGAGATTCGTTTTTTACAAAGGAAATTGTTGTTGGCGAGTAATATTTTTGGCAATTTATTCTTTGGGGCTTGTTAAATTGTCGTCTTTATTTAGTTGTTTGACTAGTGTTATAATTATTTTGATGTGTTTAGTGCCCTGATTTTTCTGTAGGTATAAATCCATGGGTGAGCCCAAAAAATCAGCAAGTCTGTCCCAATTTATTGCAATGTCGTTTGAAATTCCCAGAGGGGCCGCGCGCGCAGATGAACCGCCAAAATGAGCGATGAAAACGTTTTTCGGGATTTGTCGGATTGATGTTACATCCCAGCTGACAGTCAGAATAAACGTTCTCTTCTTCGGACTGACGTTTTGATAAGCCTTTTGGGTTAACTTTCCTCTCCTTTTTGGGGCCTACAGTGTTTCTTATGTGTTTCGCAGTTTGATGTAATCTTTTTTTGGCGTCTTCCTCATGTTTTAAAGCGAGCAAAGGCTTCCTGTCGATGTTATTGTAGAGAAAATCGAGTTGTTCTTGCCGTTTCGTTTGCCCAGCACCTGACCATTCGCCTACACCTTTGGCGGGCGGCTTTTTTTGCGGTTAATGTGCCGGGATTTCGCGCGCCATACATCCCCGCTTGTAGTAGTTGGGGAAGCAGAGCGAGACAAGGACTTTATACATGCTCGACTGGCCTTCCTTCTCTCAAGTTCCTTCTTGGCCATCAGCGAGCCGTCGGTCCTCCCGTCCGTCGGTCCGTCGGCTGTCTGTATCCTCACCTCAGGAGGAGTAGTAGAAGAAGGAGGAAAGGAAGAAGAAGAAGCACGGCAAGCTGCTGCTTCTTCTTCTTCTTCTTCCTTTCAAAGAACTCGGTAGAAGTGCTGGTTTCCTGCTTCCCTCCTCTTTTCCTTCTTCAACTTTGCTTGTTGTAGCCGGCAGCCGTAGGTGGCGGTAGAAAAGTAGTAGAGTAAGGCGAATAAAACTGGCCAGTCCGCCATCCATCCATCCTTCCCCCACCACCCGCAGTCGCAGACACGAAAGGCAGCCGGAGGCAAACGGAGTGCGAAGCGAAGGCGCCCACTCGGCCCCAGTAAAGGAATGTCTTTAACTCGGAGTATTCCTTCTACGGATTATTAAGATTGCTAGCAAAATGGCGAATAAAAGCACAGCGACAAGACGAACTAAGCCGGCTGTCATTGCTGTCCGAGAACTAGGCGAAAACATCCACAAACACCGCGAAACGCATTTATCATTGAGGGTTTAGACGGCGACCATGTCCGGAATTAATTTCTGCGGACTTGGAAGACTTAACCTCACTTGAAAGGTTAAGAAGAAGAATTGATTCTCGTCATTCTTCGAAAACAATGGCTGAAGTTGAAGTCGGAGCTATTCAGAGACCTTTTCGGGCAGATAAGAACCAAAGAAAATGTTTGAACACTGACATTTTTAATTCTCAAACAATTCATGGTGCGCTTGAAGTACGAGTGCAGCGTTTTCGACGCTTTCGCCTTACATTTCTGCTGTTCCCTTTGGCTTCGTGTCTAATTTTGGGCTTGTTTTACATAATCGAATCCTTTCCCATTAAACCATCTCGATCGTTCGCCCAAAAACGCATCATTACGGTCGGGGAGCGGTCGCACGCACGGTGATGGCAGCACGTTTTCAGTTTGGGGCTGTTAGATTTTCCCCAGAGACCGGAAACGATACGACCCTTGAACGAGTCGTATTCGGTGCCGAACAGAAGTCCGGATGAGAAGAGTTTCTTCTTCAGGGCGGCGGCAATGGCTGGGTGGGTGGCTGGAGCCCCGCGCCGAAGCCGTGTGTTGTGCTGGAGGAGACGACGATGAGAGTGCGCCCGGTTGATTGGCATGCTCTTTATGGAAAACTTAGTTCCCACCGCGTCCCCCCAGCCCGCCTTTTTTTCCCCTCCCCTCATTACCGCAAATGGCCCTAAATTGAGGTGTTTCGCCTGATTATTGGCCCCATCTTTGATTGCGGCACGAAAGGAGTTGTGAGGTCCCGGCCCTGCAATCCCCTTTACCTTTTCCCCCGTAATTTGTCAAAATGTCACGCTCGGAGGTCGGGAAGGCGCTGGGAAATTTTGTTTTATTGCTCGAGGATTTCGCAGCGACTTCTCGGAGACCTTATCCATGATTGACCCCGAACTCACCTGTCCGCTCGATTATGTCACCATTCAAATGTGCGAAACTCGTTGCCCGGTCCCTGTCACTTTCTCCGGCGATCATCGGCCCTTCTTTCGGCTGGTCCTGGTCTCCGAAAGCATTCCCGAACAGCCCCTTTTTTCCAGAGATTTTTGTTTCAAAGCCACTCTTATCCCAAGGCCAATATCTCATTATCTTTTCTCTCGCCGAGTTCCCATCCAAGGCGATCGCAACAGGGCTCCTTGCGGTCTTGTTTTGAAAAGTTTTTCGATTTATGGATCTCGCCGGATTTCTGAAGGCTGGCTCTCAAGGCGGGCGCTCTGGCTTTTCGTGATTACCCCCGAAATCTGGCTTTCGATCACATCTTTGGGGTTTGAAGAGAGTTTTTATTAATCCGGGAGGGTCATTTGCTCACATGTTGGACTTTGGAATGTCTTCATATCTCGATTTTCGTACTTTACTTTATAAACATTTGAGGATTTTGGTGTTTTAAAGGTTGTCTGGGAGTTTTTTGTATGAGAATTTTATATTATTTGGTGGTTTTGGAACGTTTCTTTTTTTTTTTGCAAAGTTTTCGATATAAATTTGTAAAAAATAATATGAAAGTGGTATCAATCTTGATTTTTTTGCAGGAGAAACGACCAAGGCCGCAGCAAGCGCATCCGCCTGCCGCGTTCCAGCCCCAACGCCAAGCCGAAGCCGCGCGCGTGGCCGCCGTCGATGCCGCTTCGCCACTAGTGGGTGGGGGAGTAGAACAGCGCCGCCGCGTCGTCGCGCACGTCGCCGCAACCCGCCACGCGACCACCTCATCGCAGAAGAAGGAGGGCCCGGAGGAGCTGTGCTCGTCATCAACGTGGTCGTCGTTGTCGAGTGCCTCGAGCGGCGCCGTGGTCGGAGCAGCCCATCAGCAGCAGGAGGAGCAGCAGAAGTATCCCGCAGCGCCCGACTACTCGCCGGTCTCCTTCCAAAAGGTCCAGAAACGCAAGTCCGGCCTCCACCTCTTCCAGCGCGCCAACAGTCACTCGCTGGAGGCGAAACGTCGCCAAGCCCACCTTCTCCATCATCAATCCAGCATACAAAGCCATCATCAGTTCGCGCAATCCCAACCCAATCACTTGGAGCAGTCGCTGACGGTCTCGTCAACAACCACCTCGACGTCGACGACTAGCGGCCCCGAAACGACTGGCTCGGCCTCCATCTTCCCGCCGCCGCCGCACCACCCCCAAACCACCACCACCCGAAGGGCAGGCGACGCCGCGATTCCCAGCCCAGCGTCGGCCGTCTCGTCGCCACGCCGCCTGAAGCGGCTCAGCTCGTTCTTTCGCCGTGCCAACTCGGAGGCCTTTGAGTCGGCGGGCCCGTACTCGACGGATGCTCCCGGCACTGCTGACCGGGGTCCGACCGCGAGGACAGTCGGGGCCGGGCAGCAATCTCATCACCAACTGACTCGACGTAAGTGAAGGTAATAGTTGCGTGATGTGAGTGGTTTAGAACAGAGCCTCGGCATCCAGAACATTACATTGGACAAGGAGAACATTTCACCGCAGTCCATGCCGGATTCGGCAACTGACGATCAAAAGGTTGATCTTGAGAAGCTACTCAAGTCGGAAACAGCCCGTGCTCCGTTCCAGGTGAGACATTTGGAGACGTTTTTGGATACTTTTTAAGAGATTTTGAGTAATTTTGCGCTTTTTTGGCGGTTTTTTGGATAAAATTTGGATTTTTGATGTTATAATTGCTTTTTTGACCTTAATTTCGAATGATTTTTTTTCAGAACTTTCTTCAACAACAATTCTGCATCGAAAACCTCAACTTTTACCTGGCGGTTGAGGAGTATCGGAAACTTCGCGATGCAAATGTAAGTCCCTCAAACTGAATACAAGTTGGGTTTAGAAAAGGAGCGAATTTGGTCGACATATTTACGAACGACACTTCACACCCAACTCAATCGAACCGGTAAATATTGACAATGCTACCAGCAAAGGAATCATCGAATGTATTCAAAACGAAAATTACAGCGAAGAAATGTATGATGTTGCACAATATCAGGTAAAATTATTCTTTTTCTTGGGTTCAAAGCAAGAACGTTAAGATTATGGGAGAATAGAGGACTTGACATAACCTAATGTACTATTTTCAGATATTCCACCTCCTAAAATACGACGTCTGGCCGCGATATTTGAACTCCGGTGGAAAAGCGCCCGGAAAAGAGCCCGAACCCAAAAAAGGTACGCAAAATTGGTTCAAAACTCTCGTCCATGGTCGTGCCTAGAAGATTCTTACTGTCTAGACGTACTGCTCATAGAAAATCTTTGTGTTCCTAATATATTTTGTGTATAAAGTGTGAACTTGTAATGTGATTTGTGCTAAATGTGGAGTGAACATTTGATGGTGGTGGTGGATTTTGCTATTCGTTTTTAATTTGGGAATGTTTTTTGGGGAGAATAGGGGATAAAATTGGATTTTTGGGAATTTTGACCGATTTTTTGAGCGAAAAATTATTAAAAAATAATTTTTTGGCAAGGAGAAGATCCGTTAATGACATTTTTTATAATTTTGGATTATTTTTCGATCCGATTGCTCTCCCCGAACACCCCATTTACGCCTCCAGCCCAGCGGCAAGCCAAAGAAATGGTTGTCCATTATTTCGCCAACTCAGAAACCCCAAAAATTCTATTTTCAATTGTTTTCCCCCCTAAAACTTCCTGTTTGTTTTGTTCGAAAAATGGCGCAGAAAACAAGACTTGTATGTAAACAAGAATTGAAACGTGTAGACAGCGGAAATTGCAGGGTATGACGTTAGAAATAACAGGGAAAAAGGCAGATCAGTAATCAAAAATTTTTAAATTTGTATTGTGTTAAGTGTCATGGATAATATGCGAATTTGACGAGTAAAATTCAAGTTTCAGAATGCGGTGGAAGTGTCAAAAAGTCGGGTCCCAACTCCGGCTCAATGTCAGCGCGGTCGGCCAATTCAGCTCAACTAAATACGGTGAGAATTTTTGTAGTACACTTGAGAGTCATATAAATTATAATTTTTATCCGTAAAAAGAAATTTTTGGTTAGAAAAAATATTGAATTTGATTGGGAATGCTGTTAGTGCGATTTTTCATTAAAATTTTGCAACATTTTGTTTTCAGAGCGCGGAGAAACGCGAGAAACGGAAGTCTTTCTTCCGGTTCCTCCGCCGGAACAAGGAGTCCAGCCAGGACCAGAGCTCCGATTCCTGCGGTCCCAGCACCTCATCCCAATGCCAAATCCTAAGCAGCGGCGTCTACGGCGAAGGAGAGCCCTACGCCGGCTCCGTCGGCGAGCTCAACCTCTCCCTTTCGCCGGCGGCCACGAAACGTCGGATGACTCGAGAGCGGTCGGTTCCCGCGCCGACCAGTCGATCCGTCGGCAACGCGCCCCTCGGCGAAGGCGGCTGCAGTTCGGCCGGCGAAGAGGACACGCCGCCGCGCAAGCCGCGCGCCAACAACAGCCCGGTGATGCCGGCCTCGCCGCTGGCCTGCTCGTCCAAGTCCATTCCCACAACGACGCCTCCCACCGAGGCCGACCACAACTTTCACAGGTCGGCGGCGGCCGTTGCGACGACTCCGCCCGAGCCGGTCACCTCGCTGTTGCACGACGAAAAAGAAGTAAGTTTTTGAGTGGTGTGAGTGGCGTGTTTCCTGACCGGTCGCAGAGGAGAGGTGCAGGAGTTTGTTTTTCACTTTTGGAGGAGAAAACTGTGAAATTAGAGAGAATTGAGAAATTTTGATAACTTTTTGATGTAAATAACATCTCCTCTTCTCTGTGACTCTTGCCATTTCCTAACAATCTATCGGCAGTAAAGGGCGAAAAGTTGGAGGAAATCAAAGATCTTGATCTGAAGTTTAATAATCGCAATTGAAAAATTTAAAAAATGTTTTTTACCTAAATTTTGCCCTAAGAATTAATTTTTTTCTTGAAAAATCATGAACATCACAATTTTTTCGCAAAAAATTAATGAAGACGAAACATGGTTTTTTTGAAGATTTAGTAAAATTTGTAAATTTCGCTATGATTACAAATCAATTTTCAAAGCCCCAAACTGACCTTACTGCCCGTAGACCTGTCCCTTTGTCGGCGTCGTGTCCCCATTCGATCTTGTTTAACTCTCTGTGCGCTTACCTAAAAACGTTTTCAAAGATACGATCAAAGGTTTCAGCCGTGCTCGAGCTGTTCAAACAATGCGATCAGGGCATCGGCGGGGACTGACAACGGCGCCTGCTCGCCGCCTCCTCTGTTCACGGGTATCCCTCCTCCTCCTCCTCACGATAGGACCAGTAGTACGAGCAATTTGACCCCCACCTTCCCCAGACTGCCTGCCCTCTACACGTCGGCCGTCCGCAGCGACAAGGAGACGCTGACGCCCTCCGGCGACGCGCTTCACGAACCGGGCCTCAAGTGGCAGAAGGCCGATTACGTGTGATCTTCTCTCCCCGGAGATTTTCTGGACTCTTTTTGAATAGATGTAGTTCGTATTTGTAGGTCATGAAAACCTTTGCCAAAACAAAACCACGGTCTCTCGCCATTCCCAATTCAAACCTTATTTCACTCAAGTCATACAAGTCGATTACTCTGTTTTTTTTCTCTCTGATTGTAATACTGTTCACACTCCTGGCAATCTTTCCTAAGGGTTTTACTTTGCTTTATTCTCTTATGTCTAAGTAAATAAAGTATTTTCTTTGATCATAATAAATTCGTTTTAACAGAAATTGGAGTTTTTTTTGGGAAGAATCTAAGCGAACGTGCTAAATGTAGAGCCGAGATATTCAATGATCTTTTCAGACGAGAGAATTTCGGAGGGTTAAAAGGCAGGAGGGTTAAAAGGCAGTTATACAGTCTAAAATTAGAGATTATTCCATTTCAAGGTGTCCTCAATCAAGGCCTGAGTGCGATCCAGCAGCTCTTCCTTGAGCTGGGCACTGTTCGGCCCGCCAGTCACGTTCTCCATGTTACAATACAAAGGAGCGCCGAAGATTGCGAGAATCGCCTCCTGAGCCATGCTCTCGTGATAGGCCTCGTATAGCTGAAAGTTGATTTCGAAGTACCCTCCGTTCTCCCAGTTTTTTCAAAAATATTGCTCTCGCTTACCTGCTTATAACTGATAAAGTTTTTTCCCATTAATTTGTTGACGTCATTCAGGTACAACTTCAATAATCTTTCTGTATTTTCTCGTCGATACTTTGAGCTGCAGTTTGAAGCCAATAAACGGAGGACATCCTCAGCCGCATTCCCGGCTTTACAGGTCTGCCAATCAATGATTCCAGCTACTTCAGAAGTTATTTTTCCGTTTTCATCTAGCTTCCACAAAATGTTGGCGGCCCAAAGATCCGTGTGGACACAGGCGGGGGGAATCCCGGCTACTAAAAATGTAAAAAAATAAAATTACATTGAAAATCAAGATCATATTTTTTGATGTTATCTACAACTATTATACTATGCTCCCCTATATCTCTTTAGCTCAAGTAGACTTTTCTTTTCGTAATTTCAATAGAAAAATGATGACTCTAAACTTATAAAACCCCTATAAATTACCCACCATACGGTTCTTTGACATAAGAGACTTTATCCAGCGACTCCACCGTAAACAATGGCTCCATTCGGTCCAAGAGATCATTAAAAACTTCCCCTTTAATTTTCCTCAAATTCTGCCCAACGTCTCTGCATTCCAAGACGAATGCAAAGGCTCCAGCCACTCTCCAACCGAACTGCGGGATCCATTCGGGATGTTGCCAAGACGCGACATGGATCTTGGCGATCTCATGGATCAAATTTTCGACTTGCTCGTTCGTGAATCCCGGCAACATTTTATCGGTCTTTGCGAAGCCACTCATGTCCTCCATGACAAGGAGGCCATTATTGTGAGCATTGGAGTATTCATGGCCATAATAAAACTTGGGAAGTTTCAGGGAAGTGCCTTCAATGCTGTTGAAAAAGGCGTAGAAATCACATTCGCGCTGAAAAAGTAAAGATTTTTGGTGATTTTTTTGTGTGGAAAACTAGTCTTCCATAATATTATTTGAATTTTTAATTTACAATTTGAAAGTTATGCATTTGAAAGGCCTGTTTTCCAGGTGAGACCCAAAATGAAATTAAAATACCTATTTTTGTTTACCATTACAGTTGTTAACTTGAAAAATTTTTCAAAATAACGTCGAATTGCCGTCATTTTCTTTTAACAACTCTGTTTACCACTCCTTTGTAATAATATAAGTTAAAAAACTTTCTTTTACGATGTGTTTTATATAATTTTTTGCCATTTATTTTTTGTCAAAAATTAAAAAAAAAAATTTTTTTGAGCTGTCCTAAATTGTCGAATATTAAAAAAATCGTAACTTACTGTGTGAGCTTGAGTCAGAAACTCCTCAATCCGAGAAGTGTTCTCTTGTTTTCCAGGGTTTTGGAAACATGGAACCTAAAATGGTATAATGACAAAAAATGCCGATAATTTAAAAATCAATGTAAAATACGAACTGCTGACGGGTTCAAATATTACTTTGAGGATCACACTGTCGATACCGGTGGCTTTTTTCCACTTGAATGAGACTTTGATGATTCTGGACATGAACGCCGGATTCTCATTTTTCTGGAAAGTATGGTAATTTAACGTCGCTTTATGATGAAGAAAATGCAAAGATGACCTCAACATTTAACCTGGTGTATGCTTGACCTAATGCTTTAGGTATCAATTACAGTTTTTTAACTTGTTGCGACTACTGACCAATTTTTTCGAAAAATTTGATTACCATGCCTAGTATAATATATTGACCTCTAGCTTGGAAATTACTTGATTTATCAGTCAAAGTTATTCTTTTTTAGAAACCTAGTGATACTAAATTTTTTGAGACATCAAAAATTTGTGATTTTAAACCTCATTTTATCAATATTTCCGAATTATGTTAACATGACGTAAACTGACCCAAGACTCGTTTATCATGCCACAAAAAACTTCTCTTTCCTCACCTTGGCCTCAAAACTCTCCAGATTCTCCACACTAATCCCCCTATCACCCTCGACTCTGGCGATCTGCTCAAGCAGGAATTGGATGGTAAAGCCGGTATCCAAAACAAGAGCACTCATGTTGAAGGGAAAATGGAAATGGAAGTTTATTCCCGAGTCAAACTCGATTAATTGATAAGAGATAAAACGGGACGAATGCATTGGGAGTATATATATATAGGTGTGGAAAGAAAGGCAAGAAGAACGTCAAAGAATAACGTTATCAAAAGAGGGAGAGACGATAAATACATAGGAGGCTGAGATCGGATATGTTGACTACAATATCAGGGGGATATCTGGATGGGAAGGCGTTGTATATAGATCTATAAGGGCAAAAAAGAATGGGTTATTACATAAAGTAATTTTTTTGTATTTTAAATTTATCAATTTCTAACAGTCATCGGAATTTCTTCAAATTTTAGGACAAAAAAATTTATGCCTTTTGCATGGCAAAACCAAGTTCCTTACGTGGTAGGACAACTAATTCTAGATTTGCAAGGCTTCTAGAAGGGCTAAAAAGTATGATAAAAACTTTTTTGCCTATTTAAGTTACATAAGAAGGAAAAAAATCGCAAAATGTTTTGTCTACTTTAAAATTTTCCATCGATAATTTTAACGATTTTTCGACTATATACAACGCCTCAACAAATCTGAAAATTTGTGAAAAAGCATTTGGATTCTTCCCCTTTCCATATTAGGAGAAAAAATCACAAAACTTTTTTGGAAAAAACTCAAAAAAATTTTAAAAGTATATCAAGTCATCATGGATAATATAAAAGCATTCGAAAAGTCACCGAAAAGAAGGTAAGTAATGTACAGAAATCGGGCACATGGTACTCGTACTGGTTGAAGACCGCGTAATCGTAAAGTTCTCCAAGTGAATCGTTCCATCAAATGGCCGTGGAATGGGATTGGGAATATCCGTTGGGGATGGCCGGATTGTAGTCCGAGACCGGATGGTCCGTGTAGATGTTCCTAAAGTCCTTGTGGTTCGTGATCATCGTGTTCAGCCCGACATATCCGACATCCTGATTCGGTGTGGATGAGGATGACGTGGGCTCCGGATCGGATTCGGAATCCGAAATTGTCTGCACGGTGCTGCGATGGGCGACCGAGAGGGGCTGGAATTAGAAATTTAGAGGGTAAAAATATCATTCTCGGAAGTCAAGAGCGACAAAAAAATCGCTCAAAAATTTTTTAGTCAGCAAAAATTTCAGCCAATCTGAAGATTTTTGGTCATCATGTACAATATAAAATTGTATATTATTTATAAAAATTTATGGTTAAATTAGTGTAAAAAAGATATTCTAGACTTGCTATGATACAAAAATACAATTTACTGTCTCAAAATCCCAAAAAATCCTTACCTTTTCATATCCATCATTATCCAGAGTCGGCTGATAAATATCGTCCAACCTCTTCAAAAGCTTATGCAAATTCACGGCCAACTCGTCGAATGTTGGTCGATGAGTCGAATCCGCAGCCCAGCATTGGTACATGATGTCTTCGTATAGCTCTTTGGGACAAGACGAAGCCGGATAAGCCAGCCGATGACCGGCGATCAGATATCTGTACACCTCATCGCTCGAAACCAACTCCTTGTAAGGCATACTCTCGCGGGAGAAGATCTCCCAACAAACCACGCCGAAACTCCAGACATCGCTCTTTTCCGAAAACTGAAATCAAATTTTTAGATTAGAAATTAAAACAGCACCGTGCAGACAAAAAATTTTTTTTTGACGTTTGCACGGTGCGAAAAAAATTATGATTGGATTGCACAGTGCGATTTGAAATCACTGAATGCACTGTGCAAAACACAAATGTCCTTGTCGCGACAAACCGCACAGTGCAATGGAACTTCAATTTGAGTTCGATTGCACTGTGCAAAAAGCGGAAACTTTTGTCGCTGCGCGCTGCACCGTGCATAAAAAATGTTTTGAGGACTGCGACAAAGTCATTCGCTGCGATCAGAAAAAATGTTTGAATTTCGGCACGGTGCAATGGGTAATTAATTTTGCACAGTGCACCAAATTTGGAGGAAGAAAGTTGTTGATCGTTGCACAGTGCAAATAATTTTCCATGGATTTTTGCATAGTGCGAAAATTTGGGAAAATTAAAATAAAATTTTTATTATAAATTCAAATGCACAACTTACTGCATACTCGCCGGTCAGACACTCCACAGCCGTCCATCGGAAGGGCAATTTTACAAACTGGTCCATGGGAATATATTCGTCTTGATTGTTTGCCCTCCGGCACAATCCAAAGTCCGTGATTTTCAGCTTTGTGTAATCGTCGCTCAAAATACAGTTCCTGGCGGCCAAATCGCGATGAATAATCTTTTGCGTCGCCATGTATTGCATCCCTTTTACCAGTTGTTCGATATAAGAGAAGGCGGTCCGGGCGACTAGGGACTGAAAAATTGGGCCGTAAATGGTGAAGTAAGAGAGACAGGTAAGAAAATCAAAAATTTAGAGAGGTTTGGAAAAATTTAGAATCGTATTTTGCAGAATTAAAATAATAAATTTAATAAAAAATTTAAAAAAATCTACAATTTTAGGGACCAAAAAATAGAAAAATGACATTTTCGCGATTTTTTTGCCAATTTTAAAAAGCCCGCTTACCTTTTCTTTATTGATTAAATAAGTATGCAGATCTCCGCCTTTAACGTACTCCATGACCACGTTCAAATACCCCTCCACACATGAGTAATATCCGATGCATTCGACGATGTTCGGGTGCTTGCACTCCGAAATCAGACGAACTTCTCGCATGGCCTTCTCCAATTCGCCGGTTTCGAAGTATTTGATCTTTTTCACCGCGACATTCAACTGTTTCCCGCCTCGATTAAGGATTCCCAGATGAACAGTTGCACTGTTGCCTGAAATTTGCATATTTAATCAGGGTTTTATTCAAATAATTGGGGTTTAAAATATTCTATAGATCCTAATGTTGATCTGTCTTAATTCTTTAGTGATTTAGGCCATTAAATTTTGAATTTTGGTAAAAAATTTATATTAACCATGAGCAATATAAAAATTGAAATTTTAAGGCCAAATATCCTAAAAAAAATGGTCGTGTTGCTTTTAAAGGTCATAGTTATTATCTTCAGAGGGCAGACCTTCAACTTGAATGTCAAAAATCATCAAATAAAAAAATCCGATAATTTTGTGACATTTCGTCGAAAATCCAATAATCAATTTTTACGTGTTTTTGTCGGTTTCTAAGTTATTTGAGAGCCTTTAATTAATGAGTCTCAAAGAGTATTCTGAAGACAAACAAATGTCTCTATATGACTGCATCTACTGTAATATCATCAAAAATCCGCTTCAACTTACCCGATCCGATCATCTCGATGAGTCGCACCGTGTTCTGATTTATAATCGGGACTCCATTCGCGTCCACGGAGCCGTCTGTAGCAAAAGGATTGAAGTCAGGCATTGGGACTTAAACACAAAAAAACCAAGTAAATTGAGAAAATGTTACCGCAACCAATGGATAGAGGCCCCGCACCCGAAGGAAATCATTTTAACGAGAAGCGGGGAGAAGCGCGAACCCAAAACGAATCCCAAAGACCCGGAAAGCGGCCGAAAAACTTACCCAGCGCCCTGCAATCGTCGTGCTTATCCGGTAGGATGTGGCGTTTCGTCAGCAACATTTTGCGTTTCTTTTGCTGGAAAATGAAAATTCAGAGCCTCAAGAGAATAGGACATCAAATATTGCGTGATCAAAGGGTTGATTGGAGGATATAAGACTTACTTTTCGTTGATAACACTTCATAAACCAGGCCGCGCAGAGCAAAAGTGCAATCGCGGTGACAATGGCGACGGCAGCGGCGACAAATCGAAGCCATCTGGAACAATATGGATTAAAAACTTTTTTTGAATCTTTTCAAATTTATAAGACAGAAAAAAATTCCAAAAAACTCACCTTTTCGATCTCCTTTGGGCCTCATCTTCTTCATGGTCCGCTGCCCTGAGATGGGTCAACATGAACATTTGATTGATCTCACTCAAATGCCCCGAAATCTCCACAGGACAAGTGTTGTAGGTGGTTCTATCGGTCTTACAGCTCACCCTAAATTTACAACTCTTCAAAAAAAAACTTCAATCTCTTACAATTCCTTGCTCCAAATGGACACTGCGCATTTCCTCTCGCAAACTTTCACATCGATCTCCTTGAACGCCATCATGTTCTCGCCAATCACACTGACAGTTTGTCCTCCAAACGAGACCGTTTTGATGATTGGTGGGCAAAAGTTGTGGCAGAATTGGCCATTGTTCTTTTTGCATTTATCCGCGAACAGGGTGGAGGTCACTTTTCCAGTGCTGTTCGAAAAAGCGCAGTACCCGCAGTTCAAGGAGTCATTCCAGTTGATGGAGTTGCAGTCGGGATAGAGGGAAGTGCAGCGATTCGTGACGTAGTTCACCTAAAAATTGGGGTACTGTAATGGACAGGGAAGGAGCTAAAATTTTTTTCGAATTGATAGAGAGTGACAAAAATCAAGTCAGATTTTGATAAAAAACGGCAAAATATAGGCCTCAATTTTGAGGAAAATCCCCGATTGGAAGACACTTACACGGTGATCCTTGAAGGTGTAGTAATACACATCCTTGTTCCGGACTCTCCCAGAAACCATTTTATCTGAGCGGCGTTTCCACAGCAGTTCATTGTGATTCTCCCAGGAACGGACTCTCTGAATATCGTTGTCACTGGTCTGCACATACAACGTGTCATTGAATCCGCCGTCCAGAACTTCGATGACATCAGCGTTGTCCTCGATTTTGAAGCTAAACAAATAAATTTAAGTTGTGATCAACAAGAAGAATGGAAGTTTTCTGTTTGGGTTCAAAAGTTCAAAAGGATTCAAATTTTTAATGTAATCTAAATTCTAAACAGGATTTCCCTCTTTTACATAATATTTTGCGGACGTCAAAAGGCGTGTAAGCACTTTAAAAACCTCCGCAATAAACCCAAAAGGGCTCCATAACTTACACTGCGACCACCTTCCCCTCAATTGGCAGATAATTCTCGACCCATCCAGCTCGATAGGCATTCGAAGTGCTTGCATTTAGATTGCAATTATCCAAAATTTCCGAGCCCATATTGAAACGCTGACAGATTGGGACTTGTTTTTTGAGGAGCCACGAAAATGTATGGCACTTTTCGGGGCGATCAATTGTGCCACTTATGCATTGCTGAAAGATTTGTTTTGATGACAAAAAATGATGTTTTTAGAAAGTGAAAATTAAAAAAAAAAGTAGAGTAAACGCCTCACGCAATATTCAAAATTTATAAATTTATGTGAAAATTATGCCAAAAAAAAAAAAATTCAAAATTTGCATATTCAAAAAAAATCTGATTTGCCTTAATTTTTCATAAATTTTCCGTTAAACTTCTTGTATTTGCTTACGTTTTGGATTTCCTTGGGATTAGTCATGTGCTGGCAAATCTCCCAAGTCGTGTCGAAGTAGGCCAGAACCTGGGCCAAATCGAATCGACAAACAATGGCCGATGATTCATTCAGATCTTTGGCGGCCACAAGCAGCGTCTTCTGGTCATTGGAAACGGAAGCGGCCGTTGCAAACGTGTAATGGGACTTGTCCATGGTACCTGCAAATTGATTGACAATCAATCAGCGAGGGCTATGAGTAATTTCCGGAGGGAAATTGGCAGAGAAATAATTGAAATGGCCAAAAATCATCGGAAAGAGGTCAAAAACAGCTAAAAATTTCAAAAAATCGCTAGGAATATAAAAAAACTGTTAATTAAATCTTTGTTAAAATAAATGCCAGTAAATTAGACGAGGCTATGGCCCCATATTCGTCCCAAAAATCAACCAAAAGATAGTCAAAATACCCAAAAGTCATCAAAATTGTCCAAAAAACTGCAAAAATCCCTAAAAACCTCTCAAAAAGTCCGAAAAAACTTACAGCCCAAAGAAATGTCGATTTTGCTCTCCAGATTGTAGGTAGTATCTTTGTTGCAAACCCGGGTCAACTTGATATTCGATATTTGATGGGTGTACCTCGACTTCTCCACCAGTAATCGGGGATTATCGAGTCTTGTGGCAGTGTTTAGGAAATACGAAAATCCATTTTTGTTGAATGCCAGAACCGAGGCTTCATTTCGATTGAATTTGTGATCATCAGTCCGGCCAATTACAGTTCCAATCCTGAAATTTGAATAGTCATATATTTTTGATGACTTTTTGGAGAAAATTGGAAATTTTTTGTTTTTTTGTGAAGATTATGCAAATATGTGTTCTGTAAAGTACAAGTGAGGATTAATTCGTTAGGGAATTTGCATTTTTCGTTCCGAAAATTTGCATAAATTATCCTTTTTTACGATAAATTTAGGTGTTTATCAAGTTTTTGCCTTTTTTATCCCAATTAATCAAATTTTGGGCCTAAAATCTGTAAGGCCTTACGCAATATCGATGCTGACAATGGTCGAATTCTTCAGTCCGCTTTGCTCAATCACCTGTACCACGAGTGTTTTTTCATCAGCGGTCGCGCGCACGGAACTGATCGCGCCCGCCGAGAGGTCCGAGAACTTGAATTCTCTCCTTAATTCGATTCGTTTGATCGTGTAATCAAGCCCGAACAAGCTGAAAATGCGGCGTTTAATCGAAAGGAAAGGGTAGGTGAGAGGAATTACTGAGAAATATCAAAAAATGGTGTTTTTTAAATTGATTTGCCCTTTGATTGTAAGTGAAATTGGCGATAAATAAAAGATCAGTAAAATTGATGTGGAAAATGTGTGATTTACAATGGGAATTTTTGAAAGTACGGGATCATAAACCTTGATGTGTCTAAAGTAATATTCGATCGATTTGAGATGTTTAAATCCCTTTTGGATATTCAAAATCCCTTTTTTCCAACTAAAGTTTATGTAGAATAGTACAGTAAAGTTTGTTTTGTTACTAATCCATGAAACCTTTTCTTTTTCCACAATTTCTCCTCCGAAGACCCATCCCTATTCGCCGCTCCAAATTCGCTTATACAGCGCCATAAACCCGTCGCTATCACCATTACGAAAGCCCTCTTCGAGGATGCCCCCCAACCCAACCGCAAATATGACTCACAAGCAGAACTCGCCACCACAAAGCACCAGGCTTCGTTCCGAATCCAAGCGAAACACGTGCGCGAAAGGGATCGTATCGTCCAGCCGAAACGAACATATCCTCTCCAGCTCGTATTCCGTGGCATTCTCCGCGATCCGATACACAACAATAGTGGAGGAGTTGAGCGTAGCCAACACATCCTCGTACGCCGTCAGCGAAATGAGATCAGAGTCGGCGGTGAGGAGGCGCTCGCGCTCTTTGAACTTCTGAATCGAGTGGTCCTTGTCCTTGGCCCACGCCAACAACGGCAACAGCACCCAGAGGAATCGGAGAATCATCACATTTACTCGTTAATCGCTCTGCTTCAAGGGGCGCATCTCTCGCTGCAACCAAAACGAAGAGTGAGAGAAACAAAGACAAAAAAAGAGAGGCTAGCACGACGAGGGTGAGGTGTGGTGATTACGGCCCAAATTTCGATCAAAATCACTCCCTAATTTAGTGATTTTACCCACCAAAGGAGCCCGCGAATATGGCCGGAATAGCAGTCAAAAAATTGCTCAAAAAACGGGAGTGAAACCAACCAGAATTGAAAATTTATGAACGTCAAAAAAAGTAAAAATATCTGATTTGAAGTGCGGAGAAAAAGAAGCGAAGGAAACGCTGGGCTCTTTTCGATCTCTCCCCCCATTCCTCCACTCTTCGAAAACAAACTAAACAGGAGAGATCCCTGACGTTTCAAAAAATTTTCGGGGTTCTTTTTTGATAATGTGCTCCCCAACGCCGGATGTGATTAATTATAAAAATTAAGGAGGACTGTCATCGAGAGTTCGGAAGTGAGTAGGTTGGGGGATCCGTTGAAGAGAGAGGAAAAGATAGGTCGAAGGGTAGGACAAGGGGGGATTCAAAGAAACGTTAAAGTTAAGAGAGTTCAAGGGAATGGAAGGAGATAAATGGGGTTGGAGATTTATGAGTGGTCGAGGAAACGTAGGCTTATTTGGACATGATGATGTAAAAAAATCGTGGGCAAAAGAGAATAAAAGAAGGAAAATTTGCAGGAACTCAAGGCTTGATGACATTCATTTTAAGATACTTTTAGCACATCTAATCAAGCACGTTCTACAAAATCAAACCTTAAATATGGTCTTTAAGTAAAACTCGTAGCTCTATCTGCCTTAAAAAGCCATCAACGGCCGTAAATATAAAATTGGAAAAAATTTATGGCTGATAGTAAAGATGTAGGCTAAGTGGACGGGCTGATCAGAAAAGACCGAAATCTCGGGCGTTGCACAAAACATAAGGGCCAAAAATTATATGACAAGGATTTGTACCTCTTCTGAGATTAGCTAACGACAAAAAACTCATTGTTAGATTTTTTAGAACTTTAAAATCATCCTTATTGTCCCTCTAAATCAGACTATCATGCTTTCTCAAAAACCCCGCCCGATTTTTTTCGATTTGAATATTTTTTTTTTGCTAAAAAGGCTATTGAAAAAACGTCATAAAAATTCCAATCCCCGTTTATTTTGAAAATCGTTTTTTTAATCGCAAGTGAAACTGTCAATAAGCTGCGTAGAATGTTCAGGGATCATAATAAAACTTTTCAGATTTTTACCGAAAGGACAAGCCTATATCCCGAAAACCAAAACAGAACTGAGTTTTTGAGTAATTGCAGAAGCTGTGGATGTTTGATTGTTTGCATCATAGTAACAGCAGATTGTAAAAATTATAATTGGCAGTCTTTATGCTTGTTTTTTGATTATGAAAGCCATTTTATGCCAAAAAATCGCAAAAGTTTTTCCTTTTCTATAGTAAGCTTGGCAAAAAACCCCCTCCAAAATGCGAAAAAAACTGGAATACTAAAAGAAACATAAGACCTTCTTTCCTTAAAAAGCCTCAAGATTCGCAAACAGCGTTTTCTTTTAGCCCACTTCCTAGAATACCTACTATAAATTAATCACACTAGGTTAGATGCTGTCGGGAATCGGCAGAAACTTGTAAATTACACCCAAATTTGGTGAAAAAACTGCGCCAATTTATCGAAGTTCCTTTGTTTTTGTGGGTTGGAAAAAAAGATGCACGTGAATTCCGAAAACGGCGAGTTTCAGTCCGTTTTTTGCGAACAGAAATGTGTATACACGAGAAGGATGATTATAAACAAGGATTTGAGGGGGTGAGAAGACACGGTGGTGCTTCGGGAGTTGTTGTTTTGGACGAGGAATTCTATGATGACAAGAAGAACTGTCGAAGAATTGTAGCTGTGGTATTGGGGATCACAGACGGTTAAGACCATGAGGTCAAAATTAACGTTCATGAATAGCCGCAAACCGATCCCAACATGCCCTACTGTTCGCATATTCTCTGCCTTTCGTTATGATCCTATATACAATCTTAGGCAAAGAGTTTACTTTAGCTAACCGCGAGCGAAATGAGATCAGAATCAGAAGTTGCTCACATTTTTTGAACTTCTGAACAAGTCCTTGTCTTTGGCCCGCAACAACAACGGCAAGAGCACCTATAAGAATCGGAGAATCATCACATTTAATCGTTATGCTTCAAAAGTCAGAAAAGAGACGACTTTGTCGTAATAACTCATTAACTTAACAGTCAAAGGAACTGACTGAGGCTAAATTGAAAAAACCCCGTCAAAACACCTTTGAGCAATCAAGTCTACTCAGTGAAAGTAACAAAAAATAACCAGACAATATTCGCCGAGCTGTTACCGCAAACGGTTCCAACTACGGTTCTGGTCGTACGGCCATGTTGTAGACTTGACATTTCTCCCACATCAAAATCGTATCGAAAAATTTTTTGCATTCTGTCGCAACAGAAAATCAAAGCGTCAAAATGAATCACAAGGCTAGAAACAAGCAAACTTTTTGAGCGTGAAGGTGAAGGGTTTGGTTTACCAAAGGATCTGTTATGGTGCCCAGAAGGCTTTATGATCGAGTTCTGAAAGATACTGACTTTAAATTACCAAGAATCTTCACAGAGATACTAATGTAAGATTAAATATTATAAATCTCTAAGATCAATTTACGACTCGCGTACATCATGATTAAGCGACATCATCATCCATATTTCCATCACCAGAATTGTTTCACTAAAAAACTCTGAACAAACTCTGAACTTCGTCATATTGCGCAAGCTTCTTCCCCAATCAAAGGTAATAAATCGATGACGTTTCGAGAAGCCTGGTTGTATAATTGATAGGTGTAATGCAAGTGCATGGAGATGGGGTCAACCCAGAGTATATTTAATAACAGTCTCCATTTCACGTTTCATTTTGCGTGAAAGATGACTTCCAAGGCGATCAAGACAATTTTGATGTGCAGACCGACTTATTTTCAGGTAAAATTAGTGTTGTTTTTATTAAGACTATAGGGTTACTACATTTTTTACATTGGATATAACCCAGTGCAGGTTAATGTAGAGATATGCAAACTTGTTGAGGGTATTTTCCTACTTTTTTAGCTACAGAGGGCCAAAAATTATGTTGTAGCAAACCAATTTTGATATTTTGATGATTTCTTGCATTCTCTGTCAGCCAAAAATTCTTAGTGATCAAAATATTGATTTTGATAAATTTATGACATGTCTCACGAAAGGGTATGCGTTTTTCATTTGTCTTCGCGCTAAATTACATTATTTTAGGTCAGGTACTCCATCAACCCATGGATGAAATTAAATCAACCAGTTGATGTCCCCAAAGCCCAGAGTCAATGGAATACGCTTAAGGACGAAATTGAGAAAGCAGGCGGAGTAGTTAAAGTCATGGAGCCACATGTAAATCCTCCTTTTTTATATTAATCATCATTTAGGGAGCCGAACAGTTCCCGGACCTCGTTTTCACAGCGAACGCGGCGACCGTCCGCAACAAAACGGCTTATTTGGCAAATTTCTTTTATCCAGAACGTCAAGGAGAACGTTATTTCTATGGAAAGTGGTTCAGTGATAACGGATACGTGACTACCGGATCTCTGGATATCCCATTTGAAGGAACTGGAGACGCGTTGTGGGCTGGGTCCAAACGCGATAAATTGATTTGTGGAGTGGGCCCCAGGACTGATGTCAAGGCGTTGGATGAGGTCCATAAAGCGCTGAATGTGGATGGAAATACGCCTTTTAAGACCGTGGGGATGAGATTGGTCGATCCCAGGTGAGAGAGATGCACCTGTTAAATGAGTTCGAGGTGTGTATAGTCTGTGCCCCGTTTCAGTTGACCGGACTGAATGGGTGAGAAACAATGACCGGTTGTTTGGAAAAGCAACCTGTTGTGACCAAATAAGGTTCTCGATTTTATAGTCTGCGCTTGTTTATTCGACTTGTTACACTTGGGAGTTCATGAAGGGTTTTGTCATTATTAAACAGTTTAGCAGTTTTTTAAGGTAAAAAGAAAGTTACGTTGCGGCAGAACTCTACCCCTTTTCTGAACTTTACCCCAATCTGAACTTTACCCCTTTTTCAACTCTACCCCAAAAAAGGTTGAACTCTACCCCTTTTTTGATTTTCGCCAAAAAATCTGAACTCTACCCCTTTTTGAACACTACCCCATTTTGAAAATTGAAAAAATAAGGCGTGACATCTTATACGATGAAAAATTTTTTCAAATTGAAAATAATGAGGTGTGACATCTTATACGATGAAATTTTTTTTCAAATTGAAAATAATCAGGTGTGACATCTTATACGATGAAATTTTTTTTCAAATTGAAAATAATAAGGTGTGACATCTTATACGATGAAAATTTTTTTCAAATTGAGAAAAATCAGGTGTGACATCTTATACGATGTAAAAATTTTTCAAATTGAAAATAATCAGGTGTGACATCTTATACGATGAAATTTTTTTTCAAATTGAAAATGATCAGGTGTGACATCTTATACGATGAAAAATTTTTTCAAATTGAGAAGTATAAAGATTTTTTAGAAACGATGTTGGATCGTGGTTACCAATAATTTCTAACGTGTTTCAAATGAATGGGGACGTAATTGGTAAGTTTAAAGCCCACTTCGAAAAAATTTGATTAAATTGAAGGTTTTATTAATTATTGTAATAAAGTTTGAGAAATAAAAGTTGTCATTGTAAATCGGAGAATAAACTCACTATGACTTTTCAATTTGAAAAAAAATTTCATCGTATAAGATGTCACACCTTATTATTTTCAATTTGAAAAAAATTTTCATCGTATAAGATGTCACACCTGATTATTTTCAATTTGAAAAAAATTTTCATCGTATAAGGTGTCACACCTCATTTTTTCAATTTTCAAAATGAGGGGTAGTGTTCAAAAAGGGGTAAAGTTCATTCAAGGGGTAGAGTTGAAAAAGGGGTAAAGTTCTGAAGGGGTAAAGTTCAAAAAGGGGTAGAGTTGAAAAAGGGGTAAAGTTCAGAAAAGGGGTAGAGTTCAGGTTCAACCAGAAAGTTAGCCATTGCTGGAACTGCAGAAAAAATCAATCTGCTTGCAGAAAGTTAAACAAAATTCATAATTTTTGCTTCAAAAATATAGGAAAATCAATGTGTTTATTTTTCTAGCAGTTTAGTTATGGTTTGGTCGCCAACGTTGAACCTCTGACAAAAAAATTGATTTTCTTTCTTTTTCCAGATTCTACCACATCGACACTGCTCTCTGCCCCCTGAACGATGACCTAGGGATCTACTATCCCTATGCGTTCGATCCCATCTCACGACACAACCTGAAAAACGAGTTGGAGCTGATTCCAGTTAGCCAAGACGATGCCGCTCGCTTTGCTTGTAACGCAGTTGTCGTTGGAAAGACGGTAATCATTCACGAAGGCTCTGAGCTAATCGCCAGAGACCTGGAAAGGGTCGGATATACGACAGTTTTCGTCAACATGTCAGAGTTTTTGAAGAGCGGCGGATCTTGCAAATGTTGTACGCTTGAAATTTAATCGTTTTACTAGTTTTCTTTTGTTGAATTTATTGACAATTAAAGGCATAATCAATGGCTGAGAGTTCGGATTCAAACGCCTGGGGGATTAGTGAGATCTGCGAAAGTGATTTTTGATAGTTTTTGAAGAATTTGAGATTTTTTGAATCGGATTTTATGGCTGCGCAATAAACAGCTGGTCGGAGGTCGGCTGGAATCCTGAAGAAACAAGATTTTGGAAGGTAGTAAAATAGTACCATGACTTGTTTGGTTACCTATTACAGCTCCAAAGATTGCTTTTACAAGAAGAAAAATTGGTTTGAAATAGTTTGTATGCTTTTTCAACGGCTTCGCCGACTTCAGCGTCCACCAAGAAAGAGGAGACTTCATTTTGGAGCTGTCTGAAAAAGATTCTAGAATATTTAGACAAATGTTTTAGGGGTAATTCGGCAACGTTAACGCCGTGTTTTACCTGATGACCAAGTTTGAGGACTCCTTCCATAAAAAGTGGCGTTCCAATCTTCGAATTGGCTTTTTCAACGGCTAAAAAAGTTTTAAAATTATTTTAACATGTACAGAAGTGTCTTTGATTTTCGTATCTTGCCTTATTTTTGACAATGCCCTGACCTTTGGTATGCTGACATCATCGAATTTCTCGTAAACATAATCCACGATGACCTTCCAAACCAGCGACGTTCTCTTTGTTTGAACAGCTGCGGCGGCCAAATTGATAAACATTTCCGTACCGAGACTCTCTCTGAAATCCATCAAAATATTGAACACAGTGACGTCATCCATCTTGTGAATTGATTTTAGATATCGTGAGTACACATTGTCGTCATATTCAAACCGAGCAAATGATTGGTATTTATAATTGAAGGCGAGGGTTTGATTGGTAATTAGGATATCCGTAGAATTGGCGTCTGGATGGCACAAAGAATTGTCTGAAAATCGTTTAGAAACATAAGCAAAACAAGGCATTCCTTTTGCAATTTACAGTAGATGTGCTCAAAGGTCAAATGATAGAAAATACCCCCGCGGTATGCGGAAAAAAAAACTAGATTTTTTGCCTTTTAGTTGCTAAAAACCGGACACCTTCCTGAAAGCTTAGTCATCAAAAATTCTGCTTTTTTTCTACTGTGGCGGACCTGAGCCAAAAGACGTACCATTTTGCACCCGGGAGGTATCAAAAATGTAGCAAAATGACTCCCTTTCTAAGTAAAAAAAACTAAGATTTCTAACGCGCGCCTGCTCTTTTTGTGAGGGAAAGGGCGCGAAAACGGAGTTTTCTAGTTGGTGATGTAGGCATTTTGCTACATTTTTTGATACTTCCCAGGATGCAAAATGATACGTTCTTTGCCACTGGATCAGTTCCGTCACTGTATCGACAAAGGCCACATTTCTGGGAAAAATAAATCAGAAGCGAAATTTACAACAGTGTAACAGAAACGTTTTCTTTGACAGCTCTCCGGCAAGGAGCATATAAAACCTTCTGCATGAGGAGTTTAATACTTACTTGGTAACAACCATATCAGCGTCTCGTTCCATCCATTGGAAATAAATAATGGAACGGCATATTTTTCTCCCAATTGACTCAAAATGTATTTTGAGGGGCTTTTCTGAACTTTCACAACGGGTACATCTTTTGAGTGGAGAAACTGAGAAATAAAATTTCTTGTGGTCACTTCTTTGCCACACAGATTGGGTCCTGCTAGCTAAAAAACAAAAAAAATATTAAAAAATAGGTGAAATAAGAGCGAAGGAATAAGAATTTTTTCTCGAGCTCGAGAATGTTTGCTGGATTCGCTACCAATTTCGAAAAGTAGCGAAATGATCTATTTGCGACGTGGTCTCGGTAGCGAATCCTTCTTTTCGCGACCTCCGAAAAAAATCGGTCGCGAATCGGCGTTTTCGCTTCCTCCGCGAGAGAGAAGGTAGCAAAACGGCGTTTTTGCGACGGCGCGGAATTGGGAGGTAGCAAATCCGTGGATTTGGGGAGGATAGGTTACCCCGAGGATAGGTAACCCACCGGATAGGTTACCCCAAAAAACACATAACTCGGAGGATAGGTTACCCCACCGGATAGGTTACCCCACGGATAGGTTACCCCACCGGATAGGTTACTCCACGGATAGGTTACCCCTTACCAAAAAAAGAAAAAAATTTTTTTGAAATGTTTTCGCTTCGGGAGTTTAATAAGAAGGATTTTTTGTGAAAATTGAATAAAATTTGAGATGTTTTCGCTTCGGGACTTGGAAAAAAAGGATTTTTTGTGAAATTTGAATAAAATTTGAAAGGTTTTCGCTTCGGGAGTTGGAAAAAAAGGATGAAATTTTTTCGAGCTGACTGATGTCACGATTCCGTGAAGAATTCTCAGGAATTAGCATAAATACGAATATTTTGATATAAATGTAATGGATCGACCGCTTTTCGGTCACTTTTTCCGGCGAATAAATATATTTTGTGATCATTTTGGGAAGTTTCCTTGGTGTGAAGAGCGGTGTACTTGAAGTCAACACGTGAGTTCACCTTTTTTCTTGCTGGGTTGAGTCTCCGCGTTAGGTAGGAGCAACTAGTGTAGCGGGCGAGTCAGGCAGGACTACAGCACGACTTATACCAAGGTCTTGACATGGCGACCACGCGAAACCTCTCGTCTTCACCCCAGCTCGCCTCTCGACTAGTTGATCTGTCCGTAGCTGATAGCCGGAGCGTCTCTCCCCCAATTTCTCCTGTTGTTCGTAATTCCACTCAAATTAGACGGAATATTACGACCAGGCTCAATCAGTTGATTCGAGATTTCCCTTCTCTTGTTTCTATCCTTGAATTGATTAGTGCACTAGAGACCCCCCGTGATGACTTCGTCGATCCCAATATTTCGGAATATTCAGATTTTCCTAGAGATTTGGAGTATTTCCAAGATCGTATTGATATAATTGATCAGCAATTGATCAAGTGGGACGAAATTATTGAAGAATTGTCATTGGTTGATATTGAGGCTTCTGTACTCGAGGAGGGCGTCAAAAGCAAATATCTCGAGGATCATCAATTGGACACTAACTTGAGAAAGTTTCGTCATCTTTGTCGATCTGGTTTATTGCATTCTAGGAGACTCAAGTTAGTAATTCCTGAGCAAAGATCTAGTAGTCTCACCACTTGTATTTCCCCGACTTCTCGTCGTCAGTCCCCGGTCATGCACCGTGCATTCACTCCAGACCAGCATTTTCCTCCCGATGAGCTTCCTGAACCACAATTTCCTCGTCAGAGTGCATTCCGATCAACTCGTGATCCCCAGGTACAGAATGAGCCATCGTTTCACCCCGTGCAGAACTCGGCCTTGAACAGTTTTTTGAATAGACCATATCCTATTCGTCCTTCCCCTCCAGAGCAACCATGGGTCAGTATGAACTGACTGAATATGAAAACTGGGTTTCTGTTACTTTACTACTTTTAGGCATTCTTTTTGAAATTTTTTCGACTTATAACACTTTTAGACGTTAATGGTGTTGTTTTGGTGCCTAGTACTGCTTAAAAAACACATTTTTAACACTTGGTACTAAATAGTACTACCTGGTACTATTTATTTTACTGCTCCAATCAAGACTTCTTGATTTTTACTAAATAGTACTACCTGGTACTATTTAGTACGAGGTGCAAATTTGGCCGTAAGGCGGTAATGGCGTTGGTTTGGTGCTTAGTAGAACCCAAAAACACGTTTTAACACTTGGTACTATATAGTACCAACTGGTACTGTTTTGTGAGAAGTGAAAATTTGGCCGTAAGGCAGTAATGGTGATGGTTTGGTGCTTAGCAGAGCCCAAAAACACGTGGTACTATATAGTACCAGGTGGTACCATTGGTTTTAGACAAAATTTTAGTGCTGGCGGCACCACAGTTAATATTCAGTCAGACACCCTTTTTTCTACTTCCGATGCAAAAAGATTTCAAAATTTTGTTGAATTTTCTAAAAAATTGTTTTTTTTTCCCAGTCCCGAAGCGAAAACATTTCAAATTCTTTTCAATTTTCACAAAAAATCCTTTTTTCCCAAGTCCCGAAGCGAAAACATTTAAAAAAAAAAATTTCAGGTAACCTATCCTCGGGGTAACCTATCCTCCGAGGTAACCTATCCGTGGGGTAACCTATCCTCCGAGGTTACCTATCCGAAACTTGGGGTAACCTATCCGGTGGGGTAACCTATCCGCTGGGGTAACCTATTTGTTAGGGGTAACCTATCCTCCGAGAACGAATCCGTGGATTTGCGACCTCCCAAATTGACTCCGCCCACTCCGGCGGAAATTTTTTTTTCTAGCGCTCCGGTTTGCCGTTTTGAATATATTTCGAGTGTATAAAGCACTATTCATACTCCCATACATTTTTCTTGACAATAACAATTTATTAAAACTAATAATCCAAAAAATAACAAGGCGTAAGAGAGGAAACAGAGATATTTTACATGAAAATCGGTATAAAATAATTCTTGCTACTAATTCACACCTAAATAAATAAAAATACAACCTCTTGGGAACACACAGGTAAACAATAATAAAGCTTAACATATGGCCAATAGAAAGACTAACAACATCTCTAATAAGTATGATATGGCCAGGGATGAAACAACAGAGGATATGGCATTGAAATCACGGTGTTCTGGACAATACTGCAAGTCCGTGTGGAGACATGGCCCTGGAACTGCTGGGGAGGTCCTGGATCTGCTGGGGAGTTCCTGGGACCTGCTGTGCGGGGTTGAACGGCTAAGACAGACGTAGCCGCGGCGTTTGATGGGGCCAGTCCTCCTTCTCCTAAAGCAAGAAAATAAAATAAAAATGTTTCTTACTATCTTGTAGACCCACGATGTAGACCCAATTCTTGACAGAAACCAATTCGTGCACATATTAGATAACTATCCTCATGTGGTCTCCAACATATGGCCTTCTGCGCCGGGTGTAATGGACAATTCTGCCTTCAACGACTTTTCCAAACGACTCGTCGATGCATCGATCTTCCCACACTCCATTCTTTTCAAGTTTGACCAAGACACGTCTCCAATTTGACGCATCCCGCTCGGACCATATCTTATTGATAAAACCAAAACATCCTGATCCTTGTCGTTATTACTAAAAAAAAATAATAACAAAGAGCAAAGCTTACATAAACTACGTCCAAACATTGAAATTCGGCCTTCGGAGCAATCGACTTCAACAGCTCTTTCAAAAGGTGCGACTGTCCAAAAGACGGCAGACTCTTTTGATAAGACCGACGAAATCCTTTTTATTCAACTAAAACAATAACATACCAAGAATAAAGCTTACGTAATTGTCCAACCCGGAATTCGGCCCTCGGTTGCCTTCAATTCGGATCGAATGAACAGAAATCCCACGAAAATTGGACCTAAAATCCGTTCTCGGACTGCGTGGCATTTCGTCTTCACGGGCCGCGAAAACATTCGCAAATTCTTTTTCCTTTTTTTGTTTCCTTTTGTTGAATTGGCCAAATAGATGCAGAGAAGCTGAATTAGAAGACAACCCGACTCAAGGTGATCGCCATACCCATGGTAAGCTGTTTTTTTTTATTATTTTTTGATTTTGGACGAGATTTCTAATTTTTTCTACATTATTCATGACTAATAAATCTTTTTCAGGAGGCAGAAACATTGAAATCGGACAAAGGAAAAGCCCTGTGGTAGTTGCCAAAGGAAGTAAGATTTGATTTAAGTATTATTACTTTGTTTTTAGGTAATTTAGAGATTTAAATTGTTACCTGGAATCAATTTCACTCCCATCGGCCGTATTTTTGCACAAGACTATCTCCATTTCGATGCTCGGATGCTCGGAAGACGCATGCACTATATGAGGTATGTATGAAGGTCTATTTTTCTAAAAATGAGAAGGAAATGTTATATTGCTTTTGATTTCCAGGAAGATCCATATCCGACCATGTTCTGCAACCCCAGTCATTGACTCTTGGGCCATATCTGGACAATATTGTGGAAAAACAAATTTTCTTCAGCCCCATCCATTGACTCTCCGGCCATATTTGGACAAAATCGTGGAAAAAATAAAATATATTCTTCATAAAATGTACGTCATTTTACAATAAATGTTTTAACGAGTCGAGGGACCTTTTTTCTTTCATAGTATCGTAAATGTACGATTTGTAAGCTAAAATTTTCACCCTAAACGGTGTTTTTTCGTCAAAAAAAGCCAAAACGTGATGGCTGAAAAACTGAGGGGGCGGGGCTTATTTTGGGACGTCGCAAATCCATGGATTTGCTACCTCCCAATTTTGCGCCGTCGCAAAATGGCCGATTTGCTACCTCCCAATTTTGCGCCGTCGCAAAATGGCCGATTTGCTTCCGACGCCTTTTTTGGAGGTTGCAATTTGAGGTTTCCGCTACTTTTTGAAATTGGTAGCGAATCCAGCAAACATTCTCGAGCTGGAGAAAAAATTCTTATTCCTTCGCTCTTAAATACGCTATAACTTCGTTTGTGTCAAAAAATACCACTTTCTTAGACGACTTTCTTACTTTTTCAAAAGCGTTGATGACGTCATTGTAATCAAAATTACCAAGAAAATGCTCCTCGATCAAAATTTGAATTGAATTTCTAAATTTTTCTCTTCCAATTACATTCTCAACCATTTGAATAACAGCGCCAGCACTCAAATACACTGTCTCTAAAAATATCGATCAACGTGTTATATGTTCTTTACTTACCATCGGAAACAAACTTCTTCGAAATAATCGGATGTCCATTAAATAATTTCTCTTGAATTCCTTCCTGGAAATTCTGAACTCTCTTTGTTTCCAATGCTATTTTCTCATCATTTGTTGAAGTTTTAAATACGATATCTTCAAAGTAAGTTGCAAATCCTTCATGCAAAAAGATTTGACCCCAATCATTTGTGGTGATGATATTGCTAAACCATTGATGAGCGGTTTCGTGACAAACCAAACGGCGCTGTTCCAACTCTTCCTTGATCTCGAGGTCTGATGTAACGCCAAATGAGTTGGAGTAAGTAATAAGGCCAAAATTTTGCATAGCCAAAGTGGGCATTCGAAGGACGTCGATGTGGTCTGGAACATCAAAATGTGGTTTTGATTGATACCTAACTTTTATTGATCAAAAAAACTGGGGAACGAGGGATACACAAAAAGGGCCTAATTTAATTAACAGAAGAAATGCTCGAAGTGCGACGCACGTCAAACTGAGGAGTCCGGTGACCGGAATAGACCCTTCGCTATCGGTTTTTTACATTTCGTCTTGATTTCCAGAGAAAGAGAGAAAAAAGACACGCAAAATCGTACTCTCTCGCCCCAAAAATTCCCCATTTATTCCCCGACAAAACGTTTTTTCGCGTCTTTTTTTGGGCAAATTGCCGATCCCATTCACCGGACTGTTTTAGCTTATCTCACAAGGAAAGTACTTTTATGGGGGCTCCTACTTTTTGACGGGACATATAAAGCGGGAGATAAAAGATTTTCTGAAAAATTTTTGAAATTTTTCTGTTTTTACTTTTTTTTTTAAAAAAAAGTAAATTTTCAAAAATTTCCGGAAATTTTCGATTTCGGAAAGTCAAAAAACATTCTTACTCCGAACGACAAATTTTTGGAAAGTTGGATCAAAAATGGCTCGCCAAAAGGTCGATCCCGAAAGTTGAAACAAAAATGGCTCGCACATTTTGGCTGGTGAGGAGGATGCCGTTTTTACTCACCTTCACGCCAACTTATTTTCTTCAAAACTATTTTTGTGAGCTGCGCCCGAGCGTTGATCACCCGGGAATTCCCAGATGTGTCAAATTTCTCTTTCCCGGAAGAAAATTATTTTTCTCCTTTTTTCGATATTGTGCAGCCTGTTTCTACATGAAGATGGCATGAATACTAGACAAGTAAGTTGTTATTAGTATGAGGAGATGTTCTTCATTCATTTGACACCTAAAATTCCCTTTTTATTTCAGAGAAAGGTACAAAATTTTTCCAATTCGTAAAGCTTCATGACCATGGATAATGTAAGTGCGCTTATCGCGTTTGTTGTTCCGTTATTGGAGTTAACAGTTCTAGGCTGGCGAGTTCTAGAGGACACCTCACTCTTTAGTTTTGTTATATTCTCTATCTATCAAGCGCCACCAATTTTAATATCTAGGTGTCATGTACAATATCGAAATCCGCTCAGATTTGCCGGATTTTTGCCGCGAAGGCGTTCTAAACTGAGGTCATAACGTAATAAGGCTCAAATAACGTTGTTACAATAACTTAGTATTTGAAATTTTTACGTCGTTATTCCTCAAAATTGATGGGGTTTCATACATGGAGAATATACATGAGAGTGGGGTCTCCCCTAAACGACGTAGAACCTTGAACTCGTAGCAAAAAACGCGATAAGCGCACTTACATTATCCATGGTCATGAAGCTTTACGAATTGGAAAAATTTTGTACCTTCCTCTGAAATAAAAGGGGAATTTTAGGTGTCAAATGACAAAAGTACATCTCCTCTTGCTAATGCTAACTTACTTGATCACTTTTCAGCTCATGTTCGTGGAGAAAATAGCTTCACAATATCGCACAAGAATAAAAATAATTTTTTCGGAAGAGAAAAACTTGACACATCGGGGAAAGACTTGGCGTCAACCTTGCAACCTGCAGTGCAGGGCCAAAAAGAGGATGAGAGTAAAAACAATCTCTGACTTTCCACGACTCCGAGCGGGGAGTAAGATCCGATCCTACTCCCGACCTTGAAGTCGGAAAGCCAGAAACAAAATTGACTTTATTTTGCATTTTCCGGAAAGTAAACTGAAAATTTACTTTTTTTAAAAAAAAAAAGTAAAAACAGAAAAATTTCAAAAATTTTTTAGAAAATCTTTTATCTCCCGCTTTATATCTCAAAAAATCAGAAAAAATGTGCTGATCAAGGATATATAAATCTTAGTTGCCCATTTTAGGTTTTTAGGGGTGAAATACCCAAAAACTGGCTTAATTTCCCTACAAAAGGCGCGGGCATTCGAAACGATAAAAAGCGCGGTCGGTCTCTTCCTTCGGACGAGAGCGGTGTGGCCGAGTGGTTAGTGCCGTAGTCTGGGAATCAAGAGGGAGGAGGCCGCACGGGTTCGATTTACTTTTTGGGCCGAATCAACTTTTTTTGAAGATGAAGGTCGGAAAAATAAATTTTTGTGCCAAGACTGATTTATTACGTCTTAGAAACTCATTAAACATTATTTTAAGCCAAAATAAAAATTGTAAACCTGTGAAAAATTAAGCGAAAAGGGGTTCATATAGGACTTTAAGTCAACTTCCGATCGAGTTTTCACCCCTAAAAACCTACAATGGGCAGCTAGGATTTATATATCCTTGATCAGCACATTTTTTCTGATTTTTTGAGATATGTCCCGTCAAAAGGTAGGAGCCCCCATAAAAGTACTTTCCTTGTCAGATTGACGGGCGACGCTCAGATATTAATCAAACTTGGCTAAACTCAACATGATTTTTTATGACATATGCGAGATTTCTGGCATGTGCTTTGCAGAAAGAGCTGAGATTTTCAGTCCAAGCTTGGCCAAAATTTGACACTTTTTTAACAAAAAATTTCAGCCTGATTTACGACGAAGAAGGCAATGCTTATACATTCATAAAATCAAGTTTTTTCGACGAAAAAACTGTAAAGATATGGCCGGAATACGTCTACCCTCAAAACACCTTTTGTATTTTGTGTTTTCTCATGCCTACCCAGTTTGTTCATTGGATATTCCACTTGAGTGTATTCTTCCATTGATTCAAGACAGTCGACTGCATACCCCATAACTTTGTCCAGCAATTCCTTATTTTCAATAACCGTAGCTATGCGTAAGTCCACCCGCTTCTTGTATTTGATTTCTTTGACTCTAAACTCGCCAACAACAAGCGCGAATAAGAATGTGGACATTGAAAGGGTTTCATCGAAGACAACTTTCTCAAGTCGATCACTAAAGTAAGTTGATAAATATAATTGCACATCTACAGCTTACGAAATGGTTGATCTACTGAGAATTTCAGTGTTGCTGAAGGACGTTAAGCCTTTTGGAAGGGTAATTGATAGTTGAAATTTTGCTTTCAAATTGGGATCGTCAAAGCATGGGAAGACAGCTCTTGCCTTTTCAGGCTCCAAATGAGTGGCCAGGAGGGCTCTGAAACAAAGTTCAGTCGGGTTCCGCTGACAAATCATTCCACTTGGCGTAAAAAAATTTTGAAAAAAATGAGAATTCCGTATTTTACCAAATTCCAAGCAATAACTTACTTTGTATTTTTCTTGTATAGAACTTTGTACAATCCTCCAGTCTTATGATTATTTATGATCCCGGAGTACCCGATATCCACAAAATAATCAGCGTTTTTGAACTGGCCGCTGATATGGACCTTCTTCTCTTTGAGCGACCCTTTTACAACTGTATTATTCACTTTAACCAACGAGATTTTTAGATTTTCAGCATCCAGAATCAGCTCACTCGAAGGCTTGTTCAATTTTAAATGGATTCCGACATGTCCATTAAATATGTCTTCGTCTGAAAAAACCACCAAAAAGAGTAAGGAACAAAAACGTATTTTAAAAATCATGGAACCTTACGATCAATGTAGAAAGGCGTCAAATCAATGTTCAGAGAATATTTCAATATTTCTCCATCAAAACATTCAACAATATTTGCTAGCAACAGGAAGAAAAAAGCTTTGAAATTCATCTGAGGCTACGTTTTGAACTAATCTTCCTGCTCTCATCTTCACCTTCCCTCCAGACGATTTCAAACTTGTTCCTTGAACGTTTGCTGATCTCATCTGACCGGACATCGAAGACAAAAAGGGTTATGATAACTTTGTGGAGCTGAGGTGCAAATAAATTTAAAGCTTGAATTTTAAAATGAAAAATGAATTTTTATATTGGGATAACTTTTATCACAAAATTTCTTTTTGACTTGCAAGATATTGCCAAGAAATCACATTTTCTTCAAACCTTGCACACGCGTTATGCTTCGGCCGTTTTTTGATTCCCAAATTGTTTAGAACTAGCTCGAATTTTACAGAAGCGGCCAAGATATTCGATGGCATTTGCCGGTGAGAGTATTAAAAACTTCGAAGGATAACTTATTTTTTGTTCCAAGTTTTGATGACCGTGCCAATTTTTCCCAAGCTTTTATCGCAAAAAAATCCCAAATTTCCATCGAATGGAAATTTGGGCCAAAGATTTCCCGTTGTTTCTGCAAAGTGAAGGGTAAGAATTTCAAATATAACATAAAAAGCTATTTGAATTGGGTAAATGGTGAAAATTTGCCGCAGCACTACTGTAAATTTTTGCTGAACTTGCGAAAATCACGGTGTCATTTTGTATTCCGTATTTTACAAAAATCAAAGATTAGAGAATAATGATGACTATGCTTGATCGTATATGTATATGTATATATTTTGAACCCCAAAGCAACTTCCAAATTAAGGATACTGTAACCATGATTAATCCTATTTTTAGCTCCAATCTGACATCATTTTCCAAACTCCTTCTCACGTCCACTCCAGTCTAATTCTCGGTTCGAAATCTTGGCTCTGTTTGTCCCTAAAACAATGGGCCCACTCATAAGCGGCTCGGGGGCTTAATGAGCGCGAAGTGCGCTTGCGCTTATCCCTGAGCGGGGCGCGTGTTCGCCGCCTTATCCAGAAGTCAGGGCATCCGGAACGGCGGGCGTTGATTAATAAGCCCCGAGGGGCGGGAGGATGCGCAAATAAAGCCGGATTAATCGTGACCATCGACATTAAGCGGCCAGCCAGCTGAAGGTGCGAACAACTCAAACACAGCTTGTTCGTCGAGTTCGTTCAGCCCTCCCCTAAGGGGGGTCAGAGGACAGCGCCTGAGGCGGTGCGCGGGTCCGTAATGTCTTCTTTCTTTAATTCGACCCAAATCTAAGTCCTTAAGATTTGATTCGCGACCCCCCATTCTTCGCGCAGTCCCCAAGTTTACTGACCCTCCAGGCGCGCTGTGTGTGTTGTTTTTTCCGCGATTCAGAATCCATTGCGGGGGAAGAATCTTGCTGCCCCAAGTTGTTCCGAGATTCTCTTCCTTTTTCGGGCGATTCGAAAAGTTTGTGCTCGGTTTCTAGTCCAGGAAAGTTGTGAGAGCAAAGATTCTGGAGAATTTTGGGAGGCTTTGGGTTACTGTATTTTATCATTGAATTTTTGGGGATTGTTGGGATGGTTTTTTGAAGGATTGGATAATTATTTTTCATTGAAATTTTGCAATTCGTTTTAATTTTTTAAACTTTCTTTGTCGCACCTGCTGATTTTCCAGTGAATATTCGTATTTTACAAATAAATTCAATTTTTCATTCTTTGATTTTTCCGAAATATTGTTTACAAACAGTATATTTTCAGATTTTCAACCTATGCTTCACAAATCATGTTAATTTTATTACTATTGTTTGGCTCAGCCTTCTCTCAGAGTGTTCGCAAAGTTCATCTTGGGTTCCCTGAGGCATGGGATGGTGACAAATACAAGGAGCTCTACTGTCCAAGCAAAAATATCCCCAAATTTTTAGGTATGACATTTAAAAAAGGATCGAAATCGCTGCGTATTTTACAACCATTTTTATGCTATTTCAGACCTTATTTCGACATTCTTAGCGAAAACTTACTTTATTTTATCTTATTTTAGACGGGTACTTCCTCTGCCAACTCTCCGCGTCCTATGGCAGCCAGCGCGCGCCCGCTGGCCGCAAACTGAACCACATGATCGACGCTATCGGTGCGGTCGGCGCTTTCCACATTAGCAACGGACAAGTGGTCTTTTCGGCCCAATATTATCCCGCGCGGCCCTACAAAATCTGGGAATTTTACGACCGGAATATGACAAAAGCCTCGGTCCCCTGGGCCGGCTGGTCGGACTACAATCTCACAGCGATGGGCAAATGGGAACAGGTCCCTGCGAATCAGGACTCAGCCCGTTTTCATCCAAATCTCGACTTTTGGAGGGTCGGGAATAAGATTATCGCCGGAACAGAGGCACCGTATTGGGTTGGCTACGAGTTCGATGTGAAAACACTGGATAAATTCAAGCTATTCCCATTTGTTGAGGAGAATGATGTATTTGGAAACCCAAAGCCAAGCATGATCCCGATTTCAATGGCTATTCATGAACGCCGAGACTCGGATGGAACGATCTGGGGATCATTCTCGGCCATGAATTTTAATGAACAGAGGTTTTATCAGGTAAATAATCTAGTGACGGTTTGTATAGGAAATCTTTAAGAGAATTTTTTTGCCTTTTTCTTAGCTTTACCAGCATTTTGTATAATTTGGAGCTAATTCTTGCAAAAAAATTCTCAAAAATCATATTTTTTGGCAAAAAAAAATACTGGTAAAAATAGATATTTAGTGGACTCGCACAAGCATAAAAACATTGGTTAGTAGGCCCGTATTTTACAAGATTTACAGTGCTTACTTAGCACAAAAAAGAATTTTTTGAATTGTTTTTTGTGGTTCGCCTATTTGATGACATAAGCTAATATAAAATGTAAAAAAATGCTACTTTTATTCAACAACCATCTTAAGTAGTAACGTTGTTTTTTAGAATAGATACCAGTGTTTATATTCTGCTTGTTTTTACATCTGTTAAACAAAAAAATTTCATTTTACAGCCAAAAGAATGCCAAAATTCCGATTTTCCAATTTTCAGGGAATTTTCACCGTCGACGAATCCGGCGTTCGCCGCGTGATCGGCATGTACGATTACGGTGTCTGGGACCCAAATGCATGCGGGAAGGACGACGAATATATTGGTACGTTCCCGCGCGCGCAGAGTTAAATTTAGCCGCCGCCGCAAACACGCTTTTAATTCGAATTTAATCAAAGGGAAATTGGATAGGACGCACGCTTCGATTACTCACGAACATCTTCATACTTTTTCAGGCGACAAGACCCTGCTGCCCGGCTATATCCATTCGATTACGACCACGCAGAACTACGTGATTCTGCCGATCACGTCGCTGCTGATTAACCCATGCAAGTTCAAAGAGCCGCCCTTGTCGAAGGATGCCCGGGCGTCGCTGCAAAAGGGCGGATTGTGGGGAATGGACTTTTATGATATGGTCCCAATGAGGTAAGCATGGCAGAGCGATGGCCTTGGCATACTTAGAAAAAATTTTTATATCGAAAAAATCCATTTTACGTAATCAAAAAACCCAAAAAAAATTTTTTTTTGGAAATGACTTAAATTTTAATAAATGGGTATGAAATTTCAGCTATGGCTTGATTTTAAATAAAGATTCAAGGTCATAAATTGCCAGGAATGCCATGATAAAGCCTAGAAAAATCAAAAAAAAATTAAAAAAAAAATATATTAAAAAATCAATAACGAAATGCCACAATTTTTACCGCTTGTTTGTCCAAAAAAATCCAAGCATATTAATTCGTATTTTACAATTTTTAGTCAAGTTTTCAGCAATGTAAAATTAAAAAAAAAAGCGTCACATTTTTTGAACATGCATGAATTTCAGTCAATTTATTTTCCATATGGCGTTTTTGAGATCTGCAGTTTTGAAAGAAAAAAATCAAAAAAAAAAATCAATTTTTAAGAAAACAAAACGTATTTTACAAGCAGGTAAATTCCATCAAAAAAATCTTCTTTTCAGATTCCTAATCTTCGATAAAAACACGAAACAATGGATAACCCAAAAGCCCTTCGAAGTTTTTCCCTCCATGTTTGTTACCCATCAATTGAACGCCTATGAAGATACAAATGGGAATTTGGTGGCGGATATGGTCGTATACGACAGTCATGACCCATACGTCAAATATTTTTACACGGACTTTTTGACTTCGCGGATTTATCCGAGCACGGCGAGAGTCCTGCGATTTACAATCGATATCGAATCAAATCGAGTCATGTACAGCTATCTGATCCCGCAGGTAAGAAAATTGTGGACATGGTGTATTGAGGAGGCTTGAAAGCGTTCTTGAGACTAATTTTTATAGGGTACACTATGAGTTTTGAATTTTTTTAAATAAAATTGCATTAAGCTTTTTTTCAGGCGTTTTACTAGTCATTTTGATGACTTTTTTTTGAATTTTCATTATTTTCAAGAAAGAAAATTTTACTGCAAGGTATTTCAAGAATATCTCGAATAATTTTTTCGGTTATCTATCGGAAATTTTCTTCGATTTTTGATATATTTTTACATACAGTAGCTGCCAAAAAACTGTCAATTTTTTTGTTTTTTGTGTAACTCTGCTCAACGTGGACGGATTTCAACGAAACAAATACCATTCTGTAGAGAATTACTGCTGTTATCTAATGGTGTAGTGGTTGGAGCGATTCTACATCTTAGTGTGTAACAACTGTCGATGTAAATTTTTTGGAAAGACAAAAAACTGTCAATTTTTCCAAAAAAATTTTACCGCTTGCATACGTCGCGGCAAATCATGGGCTTATACATTCCGATTTTTAAATAAAGTCCCACTGTACATAATTAACCATCAAAGGGAGCCAAGGAAGTTAATTTAGTAGACCTTTTGGTGGTCCCAAGTTCGATACCCCAAAACATGACGTTTAAGAAAAAATCGATTTTTTTCTTTGACTTAGCATTAATGCAATGCCTTGCAGTAGAAGTTAGACAACCTACAATTAAAATATAACAATGATTGGGAGCCTAAATGTAAGTCTACGGACTCCACTTGACATTCAAGTTTCTCCGGTAATCGAGTTTCTGTAGAGACTTGGCCTTGTTGCCCCCGCCTTTGTAACAACTTGCTAATGCTTTATCAATACATGATCACAGATGTTCTAGAAGCATTTTATGGGCATTTGTAAGACGGCGATGCAAGTCACACAAGAATTACGGAGGGTTATGTTGTCATTAACCAAAAAAATTTTTTGTGGAAACTTGCAAGTCAGCTTAAGCCTTTAGAAACACGACAGAGGGAGTGAAATTACGTTAGAAATGTCAGGAATGGCTGTAAATGTATGGGACAACATCTTGCTTGTCCTTCCGCTGGGTTATTTCCATCCTATGGAGAGTGAAAATCGAGACAACAATTTTTCTTTAAAAATTCCATTTAGGAGCTTGTTATTTTACGCGCAAAGTACGGGCCTGGCGCGGTAGCGGTTCTAAACTGTTCACTGTTAACATGGGTGCCTTCTGTCGCTTTGGAACTACGATTAGAGGTGTCTGCGGAAGCACCCGGGCTGAAGTTCCACGGTACATCCACTGCCAGAAAAACTTGAATGTCAAGTGGAGTCCGTAGACTTACATTTAGGCTCCCAATCATTGTTCTATTTTAATTGTAGGTTGTCTAGCTTCTACTGCAAGGCATTGCGTTAATGCTAAGTCAAAGAAGAAAATCGATTTTTTCTTAAACGTCATGTTTTGGGGTATCGAACTTGGGACCACCAAAAGGTCTACTAAATTAACTTTCTTGGCTTCCTTTGATGGTTAATTATGTACAGTGGGACTTTATTTAAAAATCGGAATGTATAAGCCCATGATTTGCCGCGACGTATGCAAGCGGTAAAATTTTTTGGAAAAATTGACAGTTTTTTGTCTTTCCAAAAAATTTACATCGACAGTTGTTACACACTAAGATGTAAAATCGCTCCAACCGCTACACCATTAGATAACAGCAGTAATTCTCTACAGAATGGTATTTGTTTCGTTGAAATCCGTCCACGTTGAGCAGAGTTACACAAAAAACAAAAAAATTGACAGTTTTTTGGCAGCTACTGTATATATTATACTTGACATTCCTTTCTTTATTTCTTCTATAACCATTTTTCCAGGAGACGATCGCTGCTGATTTCTCTCAAATTAACCACAATTTTGACGAAAAGCCCTATAAATGGGCATATCTCGTTGAGCATCCATTTGCATCCGATAATACAATCATCAAAGTTAATGTGGAGGATCCAAGTGGTGTAAATAACAAACAGTTCAAGACGGATCCAACGTTAGTGCTGCATGAACCCTGGTTCGTTGCTAGGCCCGATGCGAGGAAAGAGGACGATGGAGTGCTGCTGATCAAAGCGCTGGATACCGCTGAAAATAAAGGTGAGAATGGGCTCATAAATAGACTTGATTTTGGTTTGACTCCAGGGCAATAATGCTGATTTTTTTACGCTTTTCATGGCAAAACTTGCAAAAAAATCAAATAAAAAATCAAATTTCTTGTCTCAAAGTCCAAAATTTTACAACCCACAAAAATGTCATCAAAATTTTCTCCGTGGCCATCAACAATTTTTATTTTATCTCCCCATTTCTTTTCAGGTGTTCTGCTCGTCGTGGACGCCCTAACGATGACCGAGATTGGCCGCGCTTATGTCCCAATTTCCGTGCCCTTCGGCTTTCACAACCGGTTCTTCTCGAAGAAAGAACTGGGGTTGCCCGAGGGGCTGGCCGGAATCTACGGCGCCAGCGAAATTAAAAACAAATTCTTCAAGACAACAACACCAAAGCCGACAACTGAGAATGGGTTCTGGTCGAGGCTGGTGGCCAGTACAAGAGGTAAAATTAGGGCTGAGAATTATGCAAATTTTGAAAAATTTAATATTCAAATTTGGGTACGTATTTTAAAAAGCAAAAAAAAACTTAATTTTTTTACATCATAAAAATTTTAATATGCAAATTTTTGAAAATATGCAAATTTTATTCAAATATTCAAAAACTTTGATTTTAGGATTCGGATAGTCGAAATAAAAAATTTCTATGCAAATATGCAAATTTCCAAATTCCCTCCTTAAATTATGCAAATTTTCAGCCCCCACGGTCCCAACCAAATGGGTTCCAATCTCAGCGAAGCCGGTTGAACGCCTCGGCCCCGAATCTCCCTACCCAACTTACCCAGGCCCCATTCCCAGCTCCATCTTGCCAGCAGTTGTGGGCCGTCCAAGCAGCATAACTCAGCCAGAAGATATCCGAATGGTCACAATGCGACCTCCCGGCACGATAGCCACCAGACCCGTCCCTTATGTTCCTCCGTCGAAAACAGCGTCGCCAGTCCGCCAATTATACGAACATACGTTGAAGGCGTTCTGTCATTGGTTGAGCAAGATCTTCAAAACGGTCGTGTTCGAGCATTGCGTGGAAGGGGGCAATAAAGCGATACGGTGGGTGATTTAAGAGGGGATTAGGAGAGGTTGGAGTGGATGGCGGGTTTTTGAAGGGATTTTGAAAAAAATTAGAATGATTTGAAAGTGTAAAAAAAATCTTTTTCTGCCACAACTCTTTGATTTTTTTCCAGGCTCGACTCAAAACATTACACACCCGAATTAAAGTATACTACCGGGTTTTGTCTTGAACATCGCCAAAATTTCCATTTTTTCAAAAAATTTTCGACGAAAAAATCGTGTCGGTTTTGGCAAAAAGAAATACTACATAGAGTATAGCAATACTATTGCCTTCAAAATCATTTTCCTTTTTGGTAAAGCATGAGAATAGCCAATACTGTAAAATGATGACAAAACGCCAAGTATGATATTCAACTTTCTCTCGATTTCAGCGGCTACCTGGATGTGCACAAACGCCAGAGAGCGGTCTGAACCGTCGTTCAGACTTAGATAACAACGAATCAATCTATCGGAACTCTGGAATTCATTGCCATCCAAGCTGGACGGAGTTCATTCCATCAAAAACCATGACGGGTCAAGTCTTTCTCTCTCTCTCTCTAAGAGTAGTTGTAAATTGTCGAGTAATCAAAGTAGGCGTCTCTTGTAGCACTCCGTATTGTAATCAAAATTCTAATCGAGTAGAGTAGAGTCGAAACGGAGAAGTCGAATGCTTTATACGGCCGGAGGCATCGAATGGCACTTCTACATTTCGAATCCGGATATGCCCTCCGGTCGTATCTCTTTTCAATGTCGCTAAGAGCGCAGGTAGATGGGGCCCACCCCCTTCGCCTTCCATTCCGGCCCCGCTCAGGCGTTTATGTTTTTAGGCCTTTTTTCTGTTCAAACAACCCCATCTTGAGCTCGAATTGCCGACTCTCCGGACCAATATATATTCCCCCCGCTTTCTCTGCCTACAAACCTATTATTTGGGTGTCTTTCTGACCGTCGGCTACGCAAAAAAAAGAGGAAACAAGAGAGTCGTATCGTTTTGTTGTATGTGTAATCCCAGCCTCCCCCTCCACTAGCATCCCCCTTTTCATGTTGAATTTGAATATTTTGCGAATAAATTCCTCCGATTGTTTGAAGAGTTTGGGTTACTGTAACGGGTTGGAGTTTGGGTTACAGTGGTGGAAATGACGATCAAACTTGTCAAAAGTGACATCAAAACGCCCATGGAGCTGATAGTCAACAGCCTAAGCCATAAATCATCGAAACACATAAATTATTTGGTCTAATATCAAGTGCAATATAAACAACTCAAAAAATCCCGAAATTTTCGAGTTCATTTCGATCAGTTTGCAACTAGGAATACTACGTACGCTTTCAGAGTTTACCGTCTTAAATTTTAAACGTTAACCAATAAGATAAAGTAATATTTTTATCATCTTGACTTACCGTCAAGTGCAATATATAAAGGTCACAAAATCGCAAAACCATTAGAAGAAAAAGCGCTATCTGTTCGAGATTGACATGATCAAACTCTTTCTTACACAGTAATCGACAAAAGGTTAAGGAGCGGTGCACAGGTAATCTCCTTTTGCCAGTTACCTGCGGCACTACTACTTAGCCATCCAGTCAACCTTTTAATATCATTTCCCACTCATAAAACGACGAGACCACTAGATATTTAGCCAATACCATCTTGAGTTCATAATCAACTCATCTCCCACCGAAACACTCAAATGCCTCCGGCAATCCGCAAGAATTGCTCAGCGCCAATGACGCTGCGATGGAATGATGAATGAGCGGAGAATAATCGAAAATGAGTCAAGATAGGCTGGCGCGTCGACCCTTTTATGGGCCAAATAGAAGCGAAATGAGTGATGTTAGTACACCTGGTGGCCAATGCTCCCAAAACGAGGGATCCCGAATCGAACCGGCGGCTGAAACAATCATTCCGCCCGTTGTGTGCGAGATACGTGGAGAAAATGGGAGAGAAAAAGATCCAGCGCGGCGATATACCGGCCCAATTTTACTCAATAAGACCACTGGCTAGATTGCTATCTAGAGCTTCAATTTGAAGATTACTAATTGCAAATTAAAGGGAGTTGATTAAATTTTATAGTCAAAATATTCAAAAAATATAATCTTTTGGTAAAAAATTGGCAAAAGATGACTTCTAAAATCGACTAACTTGTCGGTGGTCACATCGGATTTCAGACTTTCGAAGGGCATTACAGCCTTTAGCAGTAGTGTAAATGCTCGACGGAAATCTCAAAACCAAGGGACCGGCTGTCGAGGCATTTGACGGGCCAGTATGGCCTACATCTCGGAAGCACACGGACCTACCAAAAGCCGGACAGCTGGGCGTAGACTGTAGCATACGAATACATGGGCACAGAGGTACAGCGAATACGTTGTTCAGGGCAGCAAAATTGATCAGAAAGAGTGTTGCAAAATTTTTTGGTCAAAATTTGTTTGAACGTAATTATGAGTACGAAAACCTACACGCCTTCTGAAACCGGATTCTAATTACAATTCAGTTTTAAACAGCCAAAATTTTGCATTACATTTATTTCAAGAGTCATATGATTTGTCATCATTTTTGTCACTGAAGCTCTAATGTTTTTTAGAGAGAATTTTATGCTCAAATCTGTAATTAAGCGGCTAAATCAGGCCCAGAAATGGCCATAAATTCATGAAAATTTAAGTAGTGTGTCGCAAAAGTCATTAAAATTGCAAAATAAGCTTTTTGGACTGCTCCTACCGCAATTTAGCTCTGATTTTTTTAAAAACCGCCTAATATTATACCATAAAGACTATTTTTTCTTGAGAGCTGGTTCCTTGACTCTTCCACATTCACTTCTACTCGAACCGATCTCTTACTCATATTCCGAACAAAAGCCACTCAAATGTTGTAAACTTTATTTCACAAGCCCCTCCAACTATTCGAATACTCAGATCTTGCAACATTCTTCCTCAGAAAGCCCCACAAAGCACCGTAGCCCACGCGAATCGCTCTTGAATTCAGCGAGGACGGAGAACAACGGATCCGGCGGCCACAAACTTCGACGCTCCTTTTATAGGGCCGCAGCCAAGTCTCAGCCAGCATCAGCGGCTGAATCATGAGTCTTGAGAAGACGGACAATCGGGAGGGGGAAATGCCAGCCCCCCATTTGTGTCGGGTTTCTGATTCCCGTTTCTTTTTCGCGATCTCTCCCCGTCTTCGCCTCTCCGACTGGCACTGATCGGGATTCATTTTTATTTCGATTTAAAACAATATCATTTTATGGACAAACGAAACGAGCAGAACAAGAAGGCTTTGTGCGGCTCGTCAGTGAATTTTGTGGACCCGTATTTTAGCAACCGAGAACCTTCTTGAAGGCGCGCCGAAACCGATGGTCGAACACGGTGTAGATCAGCGGGTTCAGCGAGGAGTTCAGGCTGAAAATTTGGGGGATTAGTACGTGATAAAAAAAAGCTTTCAAGGATCAAAATGAGATCGAAAAAAAGATAAAGAGACTGCGAGAAAATGGGTTTACTTACTATCCCAGCCACGTGGTGAGAAATGAGACCATGAAGTGAACGCAATGTTGCTGATATATCAATATACATAAGGCGTTGCTCAAATGAAACGAGAAGAAGGGCACCCAACAGCCGAGGAAAACAACTGAAAATGACAGGGTTAATATTATTTTGCAGTCATTTGCAGCTTCAAAACAGGATGTTTGGTCAAAGATCTAACATTAGCCAGTTGATAAACCTTTAGAAAATGCATTATATAAAATCATAATCTTCTGCTATTCAGACTGCCAGACTTTTTTCAGATTGCACTTTCTCAAAGCACGTAGATTAATAAAGGGAGTGTTGAAAGTGCGACGCTCAGATTTTCTTAAAATTTGGCACACATGTTAGGGCTGATGATGACAAATTATGAAAATTTTGGATCGCGCTTTGTAGTGGGAACCGAGATATTCAAAGGGCTTTTTTTGACGACAAAATGGGCAGAATGCGGAAAGAAACCGTTTTTTTTTGCAATATGACTGTTAACTACGCATGGAAAAAATTGATTTTTTTGTGGAAAGATTGCCATGTCGTGTAAAAATAAGGCTGAAACTTTCCATGAGTAAACTCAGTGGAAGTGTTATTTACTTTAAAATCTCGATTGTTTCTGCAAAGCGCGAATAGAATAGATATATGTCAGAAAAGCCTAATCTAAAATTTTCTCAATTTTCATCAAAATGTGACCTCCGCACTTCAGTCAATTTTCTTGTAAAATTGTTTCCGTGAAGTCAAGGTCTATTCCTCGAACCCGCTGCAGCTCCGTAAACATCAACAAGAGCCATCCCGTTTCACTTTTAACTCCCCATTCTTCATAAATATTCATAATTACGGCTAAAAATGTCAGCCGAATGTTGTCATCAACAATTTGACGTACTTAGGACGACGGCCAGCGTGATCGTTGCCTTCTGTTCGCGTTTTAATTGTTTGGAGGCCTTCTTGACGAGGCGCCTCGAGGGCTTGGCCGTCGTTGAACGAATTCCCACGAGAAGTTTGCGCATCAAGGCCACACGATTCAACGGCTTGACGTCACTGAAAATGGAAGAGATTTGCAAATGGAATGGATGGATTTGACTGATGGGTCGTCGTTGGGACGGGTGCACCGAGATTGTTTATTTTTTTTTGTTTTTTTTGTTTCGTGCCGTTCAGGAAGAGGCTTGGAAGCGCGAGTGCAAGTTTGATTTTTTATTTTTACACCTTCCACTTGCATTTTTTGAATTTCAGCAGTGGTCGTAAAAACGGTCAAATTTTGTCATTGCACAGTGCAGAATTTACCTATTTAAAATTTTTGCACTGTGCAATTTTATTTTCAAATTCTGCACTGTGCAGTGGCCGATTATATTTTTTTTATAGTGGAAAATTTCAAAATTTCAAATAAATTCTGCACTGTGAAATCCCTTCCAAACTCTTCCGCATAGTACAAAAAGTTTGATTTTCAATTTCGCACGCCTCCCTCGTACCGAAGTCTCCATAAATAACGGCACATTCCAACTGATGTATGGGTTCGAATGCCCTCGTCATTTGGCCTTATTTATCGGAACGTTGGAAATGTCACAGCCCCAGATATATCTGCATGATATATCGCCCAAACCGACCTTTTGTTCTTCTCCTGGAAGCGCATCGTAAATGCCTTTTCCACGGCCTCGGAACGCCACATTCCGCCGAAAACGGCCATCAGAAGCGACGGCGGATCTTCGGAGTTCTGCCGCGCCGATTTCTCCGCTGATTGCTGGGAATGCGTCGACCTTTCCAGCGCCGTGACTGGCAGGGAAATCGTGTCGAAGGCGGGTCGAAAATTGGGATCATTGTTGTTGGTGAACGGAGAGAGTTGAGTCATTTCATTGACCTCGTCCTCGGAGGTCTCTCCCTCCGTATTCAGATTCACCATGGCGAAAGAAGCCCGATTTCCGTTGCAATCGAGTGTAGCACTCTGATAAGTAGGTCGGCGAATCTGAACTCGCTTATCAAGTAATCGACGGCGATCCGCTGTAGATAGAGAGGAGATACTGTCTATGAACGGGATGCGTCTTGAGGTTTGATCGGAGATTGATTTAGATGGGCTGTTTGTGCATTCTTTAGTGGAAGTTGAGCCAAGAAGATTGACTTCTGGAGTAGAGAACGTCTTGGGAATGGGATCGGAACACTCTGCATCTTTGGGGACATCTTCTTCGTCGTCGGATTTACTATCAGAATGACTCAAATTGTCCCACGTAGAGCTGCTCACAGAGGGGTAGGACGAGGTCTAAAAACAGACATTTTAGAGCTCAAGATATAGCAGAATAAATATTGCAAGTACGCTATAGAGGTGTTCGCAGCTAACTAGTCAATTTTTGGTACATATCGCTCAATATCAAGGTGAAAAAACAAGCTTTTTTGAAAAAATGGTCATTTATTTTTGCTTTTTCCGCCTTTTCAAAATGACTATTATGAATGAGAAATTTTAGTCTCAATGTTAACTTTTTAGATGCCTTTAGCCCTTTCTTACAACCTACCGGAAAACTGTACTCATACAGCCACTGGTCTGCCCGCCGCTTCAGTTGTTGTCCAACTTGTCGAGCCATGTTGGCCCCGCTAAGTAATGCCGTACTGATATGATCACTCTCATGTCGTGGTGGGACTGATTTCCGTAGTATCCTAGCCTGCTCTCGTTGTCGTAGACGATAAAAAATTATCGAATACAGGACAATCATTGCGGCACAGGGAAGGAAGAACGAAAGGATCGACGAGCCAATGATAAAATAGGCATTTGTGAACTCGCATTTCTAAAATAAGGATTGTAAATGGTGTTTTTGGATAGTAAAGAGAGTAATAGTCAATAAAAGAATTTTTTAATTTTTTGTAAGCTATTAAAAATACTATCCTCAAGATTTCTTTTTTGAGATTTTTCGACATTTCCCTTACTTTCTCGTCATCCAAATGATTCGCCCCAAAAAACACCGGCATTGCCACAATAATCGATATCGTCCAAACAAAAAAGATACTCAGAAATGCCCTGTGGGCATGTGAACCGTATTGAGCGTAGGCCACCGGATGAGTTATAGCCATGTAACGGTCCAACGAGATCGCAAACAAATTCAGAATGGACGCTGTTGAACAGGCCACATCCATGGCAATGTAGAGCTTGCAAAGGGCCGGCCCAAGGTCCCAGACAAAGGAATTCCACTGAAAATTTAAGATTTGAGACTTGAAGTTTTACAGCGAAGAGATTAATGAGCATTAATCTTTAATGAATAGTGAAAAATTTATCAAAAAATCAATGAGAAACCAAGTACGTATATGCTCATCAAAACAACCTTCAAAGCGTAATTAGACTTACTTCGAAGTACACGGAGAATGTCATCACACAGATGGCGACCTAAAAATAGATTTATTTGACGTGCATTCAGACTCCTTGACTTCTTTTACATTCGAAAGGAAGTCTTTTGATTCGTCAGTTATCTTCAGAAAATGTGTAAGAGTTGATTGCTGACTACATGTTTTGTGGATTTTTTGTACTTTCGAAAAGTTCCTGGTCTAAAAAATGTAGGATTCAAAAATCGCGCTAAAACAGAATAAAATATCATCCTGAATTTGCTCTAAAGGACTTGTGCTCACCGCTGCTCAATTACCAAATTTAGTCGCAAAAAAGTTTGCTGAAAATTTCAACAAAAAATGCAAATTGGGAGTAAAGATTTTCAGTGTTTGATGCATAGACTATGAAGAAAAAATGTGCTGAATTTGAAGGAAATCCAACAGATGTGCCGTCACAAAATTTTATCTTGTTTTATGTGTATCAAAGATAACCGAATCCAAAGTTTGAATCTCTAACGAGCAAATCAACTAACAAACTTTGATCTTGACTAACCCCTCTTCAAATAAAAGTCATCAAATGATTTTTAAACCCCTGTAAAGAGACTTACCAACAAATCGGAGACGGCCAACGACACGATGAGGAAATTGGTGACCGTCTGCAGCGATTTATCCAAGCACACCGCCAACAGAACCAAAACATTTCCAAATATGGTGAGAATCGGGATAATGGCCAAGAAAAGGGCCAAGGGTTTGGTCGGATTCTCCGGCAGCACAATGGCGGACGAGCTGTCCATTATTTTGGAGAAGGTGCTACATCAACATGCATAAAGGTGAAGGTAAAGTTGGAGGCGATCAATTTGTAATTGTAAAAATGGATTGAGCAATAACAGCAGTTTTAGCGGTGATAAATAAAGTTTTAGCAAAATTCGGTGACCTTTACAATGGTAGAATAGTAATATAGTATACGGTAGTGATGTAAAAATGTTTTGGAAGTGGTAAAAAGTAGTTTCAATCCTTAAACCACAAGATTATCCAGTGAAATCTTAATTCACAGCCAGTAAAATGCCACTGATCCCGGGATCACCCAAAAATTTGACCATATGACAGCAGATCCGCCCAAATTTATGACCTCGGGGCGTTCACAGAGGCGATTCGCTTACAACTGCGGCTGCGGGCCAGGGCCGCCAGCGAGGTCTTCCGGGAACGAAACGAACGATGATGACGCGCTCCCACTGTTTCTTCGGCCACAGTGTTTGACGCCGCACTTCTGAAGAACCGAGCGAAAATAAAAAAATTACAATGCAAATGAAGCTGGCATTGGCACCGCCGAGGTTCACGGAACACCGTAGGAAGTGGTGCCAATTTTTGGATAAGGAATGGGGAGAAAGAGTGGACGTAGGAAGCGAGTAATCAACACTATTTTAGACTCCAAAAAGTGTTTGCTTTAGGGCTAATTTTTCGCAAAATCCGGCAACAATTTGGCGAAAATGTATAGACTTGAACAGTGTGGGGATTCACGGAAATGAGGAAATGGAAGTGGATCTATTATGTCGCCTCTATAGAGGTAACAAAGTGCGATCCTTGCGGAAGAAGTGGGGGTTCTGGGAAGGGGATTGCAGACTTGGAATACTACGATTTTTAAGCCCAATTGCCTTCAAAAGTCTGAAAACAGAAAAAGAATTTGAAAAATGAAGGCATTTTCATATTGCACTAAAGTGCATGCACTAGCCATCAAATATATGTAGTGCAATATAAAAATGTCATTAGAAGAGGATTGTTAACACTCCCCGGTTATCTTTGAATTGTCGAAAAAGGTCGGAACATCAAAAAAATTTTGCAGAATAAAACAAATTTTTATCAGACATCAGATCTAGTGCAATTCAAAAAAATGTCTTATTGCAATATATTGTCATAAAAACTTTTAAAATTATTAAAATTGCCACTAAATAGCCCTAAAAAGGAAAAATTAATCCCAAAATATCTATAAAAGATGAAATTTTTTTTTTATTACACTTGATAAACTACAATCAAAAGTTCACCAGAACGATCTTTTTTCTCATCTCATTATTTTCAGATAGGCTTAGAGCCGGGGAAAATATAAATAACGACTTGTTTTTACAACCTCCCCCTCCGCCATCGAAATCTACACCATGAGAAAAGGGGGGCCGGAAAACATGTTTTTACCATATAAAATAGATTTGTATTCGGTTGTCCATAACTCATAAATTTCGTCGAAGACTGCAATTCGGCTCGCCATTACCTACGGATTGGAAATATTGCAAGGGCAATTTTCAACTTTTTTGAAAACTTTTTTATATTTTTACCACTAAAAATTTGTTTAAAATCGTTAACATACCCTTTCTAAAAAAGATTTTTTCTGATATTATCCATGAATCAGCTCCTCAAAGACCTCAAAAATCACTTCTGTTTTACTACTTTGTCATTTGAAAAACTAATCTTGCCAGAGCAAAAATCAACTTTTCAATTTTCGAATCTTACATGGTGTCATGTGGATAACCTTTTTTTGAAGTTAAATTTATCCTCCACATCATCCCCATAGTCCAACGGAGCCAACTCTGCCCTTCAGCTTGAATGATTTCCCTCTGTTTTATGAGTTTATTGTTTTCTGATACCTAGGCCATCCTGTTCTCGGTCATAATCGGGTCGTATTTCAAAAAGAAATAGAGATGACTTTCCGGTGAATTAAAAATAAAATTCATCGACATTGTAGGGTTCAATGAGGTGGGGCAAGGAGTTTTGATGACATTTCAAAAATCAAGAAATGTAATTTGCATAATGAAAAGTCAGAGTTCCGTAAAACTGTAGGTTAATTTCTTCTATAACATGATTGAGTTCCCAGCTTACACTTTTCAGGCACAACCGAAATTTTTAGTGGTGAAAATTCGACACATTTGCGAGTTTACGCATGAATCAGCCTTATTTTTGCAGAAAAGGGCAACGTTTCAACCAAGAAGATTTTTTCCGCTCGAAATTAGCAAAGATATGGCCAAAGTTTTCTCTAACCGCTCTCTGAATTTTGCATACTATCTGCTCAACAAAGACCAATGAATATCTCGGCCGCCATTGCAAAGCGAGAGCTAAAATTCTCAGAACTTGGCATCCAACCAAGGCCTGACATGTAGGCAATATTTATCTTGCATTGAAATTAACAAAAAGGGAAATGTAATCAGGGTCAACCTTTGGCACAAGAAATGGGTGTGCCTTCAAAACACAGGTTAAACATCTTTTAAATGCCTCAGGAAATTAACATAAATTTCAACTGAGTTTCATCAACGGCTAGATGTGAAATTTCTAAGCGTTTCCTACGGTAATCAACCAATTTTCTGCAAATTTTTGGCCTAGTGTTACATTGCAAACCAAGTCTAAAAACCTCAATAAAAAAGCAAAAAAAATGTGTCAATTTTCACCTTGAAATGTCTTATTACCTTCACAGACTCTCAAATTTTTGCAAACCGATCTGTGTCATCAGCCTGCAAACCGACACGAGCTCAAACAAACCCGAGATTCCGAAAAAAGTCATCAAGACGCCCTTAGGGCCGAGATTGTGGCCACTTGAAAATGAAGAAAAAACAAATTAAAATTTGGAAGGGCCGGGTCAACGAAGAACAATGACATGATACAATAAAAAAGTATGGCTGGCCATGCGGTAAATTGAGCGGGGCTATAACTCCGCGACGAACGTTTCACGTCGTCTGGGGATTTGGGGTGTAAAAAAAGAAGGGGATGGAACGGGTGGGGCGGGAGTGCAGGACGGGGAAGATGGAGTAAAAATGGTGGAAAACAGAAGGGTTGGTAAATATATACAGTTAGTGCAATAAAAATACAACACCATTTTGTGTATGGACTTTTTTTCCAAAAAAAATAGTTCGCGGTTTACAGGTTTAGCCGAGATTTTCAACGGCCCTTGCCGAAGAGAGAGCATGAGAAATGTTGAGAACGGTCAATGAAAAATGTTTTTTGGCCATGCCTTTTCGAATTTGTAGTAAAAAGAAATGATTTTTTGGGACCTTAGACCTAGTAGTATATCTTACAAATTTTAGCAAAGTCGATTAAATTTCTGCAAAACTTTGTCAAAATCTGAACGTTTTGGGCAATTTTGGAAAATTTGCTTAATATCTAGTTCAATATCGGGCTGATGTGGCTAACATAGCTACTTTATTGTGCCATGTTACTTAACGAATCAAAGCGAAATTATTGAGCTACAAAAATCAGCACTTATCGTACCCCAAAATGCGCTTCTAAAGTCAGTTCCACATAATTTGCCAACTCATAACTAAAGCCAGCCTTATCACCCTAATTTTTCGGACAGGCCCGTCATTCCCAGCTCCCGGCTTTTGCCACAAAGTGTTCTGTGAAACATGGAATGTACCTCAAACTTCACCCATCTGTCCAAAAAAGTGGGCCCCAAACTATCCCCCATACATTCGGTTGGAGGCGTTTCGGCTTTTTTTGAAGGCCGGGGGTCATAAAATTGTCACATTTGTGACACATTCCAAAGAATTATGTTTCAGTGGAATTCATGATGGGCGAAGTAGTCCATTTACAGTATCTGATTATCGGGTTTTGCAAACAAAGAATAAGGAAATCGGATTTTGAGGTGGCTGGAGAGAGATTATTGGGCTGCAAATTGGACAAAAATGTCATAAATTGAGCAAAAAATGCCATAAAATTTGATGTGTTGGAGGTGTTTGAAAAGCAATGTAAAAAAGTACCGTTTAGCAAAAAAAATCTTTTTCTATTTTCGATATTTTTAAAGTTGATTTTTGCTCAAAACCATTTGAATTTTTTTGAACATTAAAATGCAAAATTGGTTATTTACGGTATAGAAAAAGCTCCTTAATTGTAATAATACCATTAGTAAACTAGCAAAAAATTTATTTTCAAGATTTTGTGTATTTTTTGGCGTAAAATTTTTTATCGACACCCTAACGTATATATATAAAAAATTTGCTGCGACGTATACAAAAATTTTGAAGTGCAAAATTTTAAGCCAATCTATAGCTGTTAACTATCAAAAAACTTATAAAAAGTCATCAAAAACTTGCTCAAAACTCGACTTACTTAATATTCCTTGACCTCCTCGAAAACGAGAACCTCTTCTTCTGGATCAACTCCACGTCCACCAGAATCAACGAGTACCGCTTGCCGCCGTGGAAGGTGGCTTGCGCTTGCGGAACGAACAGCAGTCTCGAGGAAAACAATTGGCGCGCTGTGAGCCGGAATTGCTCGGACATGGAACAGTAAATGGAGAACTGGATGGGCGACGTGAGCACGATGAGCAGGTTTCTGGAAGGATGTCTTGTTTTGGGTGGATATGACAGCCAAAAACATGACTCGTCTGCAGATCCGGTCCTTGGGGGACATAATGCCTACGTTCTTTTTATTTTATATTGTCTTTTTGCTCGTCGCAAAAAAATTTTGATGGGATTTTGGGTGCAAAAATGAATAGATGCGTCTCTCTTTGTTAACAAATCAAGTTTTGTTGCCAAAAACTCGGTTAAAATTTGAGAAATCTTTGGGAGAAAAAAAAGAAAATTTGGAGTGCAAGAAATCAAACTGTCTTGTAGAGGATTCCCTAACGAAAGAAGAAGTTACGTGCCCATTCGCAAAGTCGCTGGTGGGACCTTTGGAGATTGCATTATGCAAAAAAATCAGGGTGCGAGCGACAGCTCAAAAAAGCCTATTGCACTGTGCAAAAAGACGAAAATTGCACAGTGAAAGTAATCATGACAGTGAAAGTCATCATGACGGTGATTTTTAGAAATTTCCAACATTCCCCTATATTCGTCTACAGTGAGGGACCTGATCCAGTGGCAAAAAACGTACCATTTTGCATCCGGGAAGCATCAAAAATGTGGCAAAATGCTTTCCTCTCCAAGTGAAAAAACTCCGATTTCAAAAGCGCGCCCGCTCTTTTTGTGAGGGAAAGGCCCTTCAAAACGAAGTTTTTTCACTTGGAGAGGGAAGTATTTTGCCACATTTTTGATCCTTCCCGGATGCAAAACGGCATGTTTTTTGCCACTGGATCCGGTCCGTCACTGCACAAGGAAAGAGGTCAGAGCCCGCCGAGATATTAAACGAGCATTGCCGACGAGAGAGTACGCAAATTACAAAGGCAAAGGCCAAAGAAGAAAAGGCTTTTTATAGCCAATTTTTGGTATAAATAAATATTTTATGTTTTTACAGAGGCATTTTACATGTGATCATGTTTTAAACCCCAAAAAAACAGTCGAATTTTGCCAACTATCGGCTGAAATCATCTCTGATTAACGCAAGCTAGATCTCGTCTATAGGGAAAAACCTTGTCCCAGACTTTTGCTTAAGAATTACAAAAGAATCCCAAAAATTCCAAGAAAAGATTTGACCACTATACATATAATAATACATATATATTACTCCTCCACCTTCCGTCAGCGCCGCCAAAGGTAAAACAAATGTCCTTTTAATCCGAGATTACATCGAAATTTCATTGTTCGAGCCAACACGTGAATTCCGATTTCAAAAACGCCTATCTATAGGGGTATGTTCGCAGACCAATATTTTCCCAAAATACGGTATGTTCAGACCTTTTACTCGTAAACAAAGTGATATTTAGGGCCCGTTTGAACGCAAATGACGAACATAAATTACCTGAATACGTGAAATTATCGGCAAAATAAGGTCTCTGGAGAGGGAGTTTTATAATACATGTCGTCTGCGGAAAATGGGCGAATAATGGAGAAATTACATATATACGTGGTGAAAAAGTTACGATATTTATACATATTATCTATAGCCAAAAAATTGCAAAAAAAAATAAAACTAATTTTGCATTTATTTAGTAAGCAATTGGTAAGCAATTTTTTGATGATGTCAGGTATGCTGGGTTCAAAAAAATTTGGCTGTAAAAATATGAAAATTTTAATAAAATTTAAACAAAAAATAACCAAGATTTGCACAAGTAACAGTGGGGGCGCTGATCCAGTGGCAAAAAACGTACCATTTTGTATCCGGGAAGTATCAAAAATGTGGCAAAATGCTTCCTTCTTCAAGTGAAAAAACTTCGATTTCAAAAGCGCGCGCGCTCTTTTTTGTGAGGGAATAGGCGCGACTTTCAAAACAAGGTTTTTTTTCACTTGGAGAGGGAAGCATTTTGCCACATTTTTGCTGCTTTCCGGATGCAAAATGGTAATTTTTTTGCCACTGGATCAGGTCCCACTGTAACTCGGAATTTCCCAAAAATATGATGGCAATTGCAAGCCCGAATTTTTTTTAAAAACTCGGCATTTTTAGCGGCTACAAGAAGGTTTCAAAGCAAAAATAACTTAAATTTTCCCTTTAAAAAATTTAAAATCTGCATTCGTTTTGGTGGAAAAAGAGAATTGAATATGGTCGAAAAAGTTTTCTCTGGCTGCTCACCTCATTCTTTGCACTCTCTAGTCGGCAAAAGACCGTTGAATATCTTTACTAATGCTGTAATGTGCAATCAAAATTTTCATAATTTGATATGTATCCTAGACAAAATGAGTGTGCAAAATTTAAAAAAATCTTATCTTCGCACTTCCAAAATATCCCTGATAAGATTTCCGTCTAAAATCACCCCCAAAACAAAGCGAAATGCACCTTGGCAAGGTGCCTCATGGGATAAATGCGATGACTCGGCGTATTTCTCAAGTTTTATGAGATAGGATGAGTGCGATTTTGCGGATCAAACAGATGTGCTTTCCCATATTCTTCAAAATATTTATAGAAAAAACAAAAGAAAGGTTCTCAAGCGTCTAGGTGAGTGAAAACAAAAAAAATGGCTGACTAAAAATTGGGTCGCACAGGGCTCAATAAATGCGAGATGTATTATTGTAATTCATGCCGACGTTACATTCCGAGTATTACCATAAAAATTATGTTAATAGAGCTGGGCAGAAAGCACTCTTAAAGGCCTAAAAAAGGAATGTTCAAAGAGTTGTTGACGTAGAATGGATAGAATTCGGTGAATATACGAGATTCCTTGTTTGCACTTTGCGGAAACAACCATTTTTTTGACTGTAAATTGTCACTCAAATGGCCAAGATTTTCAACGATTTTGCGGGATGAAAAGCGGTCAGAGAAAAGACGTTTTTGGTCGTAAATGTTTGTGAAGTTCGCGTGGAAAATTTTAAGTTTTTTTATACTTGCCCTCTCGTGGAAAAATAAGGAGAACTTCATCGGAAAATTCGCACAAAAAATGTCGACTCTGCGCCAATTTTACATAGACAGACAAATCTTGGTTGTTTGTGCAAAGTGCATGGGAATGCCGCATATATCTCAGCAAATTTTAGTCTAAAGTTTCACCTCACACCTCAAGCACTTTGCTTGTTAGAAAACATCAAAATTTTTACTGATCTATTACAGCAAAATTATCACCATAATTTTGTCAAAATAGAGCTCAAAGACCCTTTAAAATTGAGTAAAAAGCCCCCAAAGATTACTGTATTTTTATGTCATAAAGTACGAAACTAGGGCAATAAGTCATCACTATGATTTTACAATCACAATTTGACCACTCCAAATGAAACCTTGGCCCGGTTCGGGCTCGTAAAATAAGTCACGGCAACGTTCCTTTTCACACGAGAAAACGTTCCCGAGGAGCGTTCGCCGACTCCCCTGAGGCAATTACAATTTCATTGGGCCCGAGAAGTGGTTCGAACTTTTTCGAAATAATCTTTCCAAATTTCCCCGACTTTTTTCCCATCTTCCATGATTACCTGATGATGAGGGTCACATTCAGCAATCGGTACGCCAACTGGGAGTGTAGCGGGATGTGGGTGGCGATGAAATAATGGGAAATGAAGACGAACGCCGCCGGAATCTGAAACCCAAATTAAAATAAATTCATTTCGATGCCCACTTTCTGGGGTCATTTCGCATTTGGGGCCGCCGGAAATGGCCCTTTTCGCGGAAAATGCGACTACTTTTGTTTTGATTACAGTCATACGAAATTGGAGATTTTATCGCCTGGACTAGAGGTCATGGGATGTATAAATAGACTGTAAATGAGGTCGTCTGAAATTTAAATAAATGAATTTTTTCGAAATGAAGTTTTTGCAAAAAAATTTAAAATATTTTGGAGTAAAAAAAATTTTTTTAATACCGGGATTTTTTGATTAATGGGATTTTTGTAAAATTTTAACAAAACTATAGTCGTGTTGAATTTTGAAAAATAGTTGAAAAAAGATTTTTTTGTTGGAATTTTGAAGAAATTCGATAAAGATCGCCACTTTTTTGTCCAAAAATTTCTAAAAACGTTTTCTGGTCGCTTACCAAATTCCCCATGATTATCCGTCCATTTTATTAACTCCCACAAGCACCAATTTAGTGCTGCTCGTTGGCCCTTGAACTTTTTGAAACTTCACAAAAAACTTTTTCTCTAATTGCAAAACTTTGTTGCCCAGGGCATGGCCACTTGAAGTTCTTACCTCAACGATCAGGAAACTCAAGCAAATCACCGATAACATCCGATTCGTCGCATATAAGGAGCGCTTCGAATTGCTGTGGCTTCGAATGTCATCATAAGTTTCCTGATCTTCGGTATTTAGGAACCAGCTCCTTTTGCGTAATTCGGTCTGTTTCAGGGTTTTAGCCAACTTGTAGGTGAATATCTAAATTTTATTTTTTTTGTTGTTTAAGATGGTTTGGAGTTTATTTAGAGTCTTACGCAAGTTTTTTATAAATAAAAATGTTTTGCTTGGCTTTTACGCAAGTTTTATAAATTTTTATAAACTTGCGTAAGATCCATGGAATCGGGACTTCTGATACTTTTAAAATAAACAAGACCTTATAAAGCTCACAGACTACAGCAATCAAGCTAAAATTTCTATTGCTTACTTATTTTTTTAGATTTTTATTTTTATCTCAGAATGTTTAAAACTTGCGTAAAAACCAAAGATTTTAACAAGGCAAAAAATTTCAAAGATCTCACACCAACTATAAAACACTTACCGTCAACAAAAAACATGGAAGAAGATGCACAAAAATGGCTTTGACCCAATAAATGAGCGAGTAAAACAGCTCCACTCCCAGCACGTCCAACGCAAAGCCCGTGTATTTGATGACGCACATCCGATGGGCTTTGAAGGTAATCGAGTCCGTGTATTTCCCCATTAAAGGCGGTAGCTCGATCATAAACGAGAACTATTAATTATGAAAGGGTAAGTGCCACTCACCACGAATATGATTACAATCATTGCCTTGGTCCGTTGTGGCGTGCAAAAATGGGGAATTGAGGTGGGAACACAGACGTACACATAGCGTTGGATGGCGAGGAAAACGGTGAGCCAGATTTCTGAAATTGGAATTGTAAGCAGTTTAGAATACGGAGGGCACAATTATGTGCACATGAAACTTTATGACAATCTTTTATTCCATAGTAAAAAATTTTAAAAAGTTGGGAGGCCACAAAGCCATTAGAAACGTAAATAAAGGACTAAAAATTTGCTTGGTTGCTGTAAAATACATTGATAATTTAGATTACAATCTTTAAAAAAAATGCACAAGAGGTGCTCGAAGTGCTATGGTCAGACTGTAATAAAAGTAAAGGTTTTCTTGCAGAAAAATTGCTAAATTTTCCATGCATTCACCCGCTTAAAAAATGTCTAATTTTGACAAACTTTCAAATTAAAAATTTCAGGCTTTTCTGCACAGTGTAGTCTCAGGATTTTACACATATCTTAAAAAAAGTACTGAAGTGTGTGTTTGTGTTATGTTTTTCAAAATATCAGCTTCAAGCCCCCGAGCATATCTCCTGCCAATCACATGCTTACCCATCGTATGCCAGAACGCCGGCAATAACTGTGACAAATACGGGTAGATCCTACACCAAATGGCCGGCAACCCTTCCTTTTCATCGATCTTATATCCTTCCAAAGTGTAGTAGAATATAAACCAGGGAATCGAGGTTAGACCTAAATAATTGTAAGTTATTCGCAAATTTTTTGAAATATTTTTTCAAGCTTTTTTTCATTATTTCTTGATGTATCTGTATAAATTGATATGCCCGAGTTAAACGGAAGCATTAGTCACCTGTTAAAAGATCAGTTGCCGCCATTGATAAGAGGACGAAATTCGTTGGAGTTCGAAGATGTTTTTGTGATAAAATGGTGATGATAAAAGTGTTCGTGACAACTGTAATTGACACGACCAGTGGAAGGACAAAGCCGTAGATGGGAACCGCCACATCCTAAACAAAACATCAATGGTGTAAACTGTGATGACTGTGATGCATAGCAATAAGCTATGGATTTTATCTCCAGAAGTTTGGTGAAAGCAAAAAAATATAAGTATCAAAAAATGCAAGATTTCCAACGTGCGTTTTATAAAATCAACGGAGATTTTTAGACCAAAAAAATTGTTGAAAATTCGACACTTTTTGTGGTTTTATGTAAGAAAAAGTATACATCTCATCTGTGCCTGACGGGCTTAAGCCGAAGTTTTCAGCAATTTACATATGCTATACACAAAATGTATTTGTCAAATTTCAGCAGTATCTGAAAGGGGTTCCTCGAGTATTTCCTTAGAAAACAGGCTTCAAACGTAGCCATCACAACGTCACAAAAACATCAAGCACGAATAACCAACGGTCTTGTTGCAATGCGACAATAAACAAGGCCTTGTCCTTACCAACGGCACGTTCTGGCTGATATTGATCGGACTCCAGCAGTTCTCACATCTAGCCATCGTCTAAAAAAAACCTTTTCCCCTTCACAACGATACTCTCAACGTCTAGTGCGGATACAAATTGGGTTCGTTAGAGCCCCATTGAGGGCCTCGTCGAGAATTAACAGCATTGACTACGTCCTCTTCGCATATTATATAATTGTTTTCAAGTGTTGCAGACATCAAAACTTTATACTTAAGTAGGCGTTGCGGATTCTACCGTATTAGCCGGGAGATTGCGGATTATTTGAGTTGATATATGTTTATAGTAATCTATAAATAACAAAGAATATTCAGAAGATGAAAAAGCTTTCTTGCTTCATCAAAGATTTCTTGGCTTTTCTCTGAGTTCTTTTCGAAAGTAAGGTAAGGTGAGGCCGTAAAGCCGATTACCCACACGGTCACTTCAAGTGGATTATTCGACAGCGTATGCAAACATCGCTAAAGTAATTTATGCGGCCATTCTTGCGTGATCTCATCTGCTTATTAAGTTTGCAAAAATTTTTGCAAAACAATGAAAGCAATTAATTCTGCAGCAACCTGATTTTTTTAAACATAGGTCTGTTTGTGGCATTTTTGATTACAAACGTCGCCTTCAAAGATGCAAAATAACAGGCACAAGTACATACAAAAACAATCCATTTTGTAAAAAAAAATAAATTTTAACATCATTGTCAAAAACAAATTTTTTAATTGCCTTTGACTTTGCTACAGTCAAAAGTAGCTTCCAAAAATAACAAAAACAAATCTCTGTAATTTTATGCGCAACAGCTTCCACCAATTCATCAATCGCTTACTCAGTAACTTCATTGTAAACATCTCACTCCATAAATCTGACGTCGTTTCAATTTCCCCCAAAGTTTTTTTTGTCATCTTTTCGAAGCGATGTTATCACATTGTTTGTCGAAGCGATTGGTCCACTTGAGAACGAGCTGACCCCCTTCTTTTCTCTAATATTCGGTAAAAGAATGGATTCGGACGCGTTTAAGGTGCTGGAGAAGTATTGCAGGCGCCGCTACAGACATGGCTCGGCCCACTACTGCGCCGAGACTTCGACGGCGAATTTTGGGTCCGATTTTCATAAGATTTCCAGCGATTTCTTGGCGAATCCCTCGCCTTTCCAGAGCGCGCAGAACATCGTGGAGGTTATTGATAGTCTAAGGTAAATTTAGGACACTTCAAAAGAGTTACAGTAATTTTTGCAAATTTCAACAGCCTTTTCTTTTGAAAAATATTTCAAAATCCTTGAAAAAGTATTTCTTCAGTTTTAAAAATGAGATTTTTTGTATTTTCAGTCAAAAATCGGACGAAAGATCCCGATGTTGCCGTGCATTTATTTGGTTCAAGAATTTTCACAGAAAATATGGCCTAAAATACATCTCAGTGATTGTGTTAACGATAGCATTCGCTTTCCTCGGCGGACTCATGTTCTATCACCTTGAGGCACAAGCGGAGAATGACCGGATAGAAAACATGAACAAGGTGGGTAAATTTGTGACTATATGTAAAATACGCCTGGTTTAGAAAATTGGCCTTTTATTATATAGATGTAGATGGAAATCGCCGGAAATTCAAAATAAGACTTTTTGAATTTTTTTTTGCAATAGCAATCAAATACACCGTTAAAATGCCCTTCGGAAATCTGCCAGGTGTCTTTAAAATTTTGAAGTCTATTTTTTTATTTTCATGCAATAAAAAACACACATAATTTTAGCCTTCCCGTCAAAAAAATATTATTTTTTTTCAAAATTTTGCAGGTTTTTAATGAAATTTTTGAATTTCCAGATAATCCGGCAACGCCAAGAAAATTTGGTCTCGGAGATTAACAGCCTTGTCGAATCGCCCAGTTGCTTCAAGCAGAAAACTGATCCGTTCGAACCCCTCAACGCTCGCTGTAAGAAAAAATTACTGGCTCTGATCAAAGATTACTCTGAGAACATCATTTTTGAGAACTGCGGACCCGAGACTAAATGGGTCTGGGATTACTGGAACGCCGTCTTCTTTGCGCTTTCGTTGATGACTACGATTGGTGAGTAAAACAAAAATTTACTCAGTATTAGCTAACAGATAGAGACCATGATATATAAGGTAAATCTCAAAAAGATTGATTCCGTTTTTAGGCTACGGTAACATGAGTTGCAAGACATACGAAGGTCGGATTGCCACTATACTTTATTCGCTGTTTGGGATCCCCATTATGTTGATTATGCTGAATTCAATTGGGCATTTCTTCTTCAACAACTTGCAGGCGCTGTGGGAAAATGTGAGACGGTAAGATACGAAGATATCCACTAAATATAAAAATTGTTTCAGATGCATAAAACGGAAGACCCGCCGGTTCCGCCGATGGGTCCGTCGGAAGAGCGTGGATGGAGAGAATCCGGAAGAAAAGGTGTTCAATGTAATTAGTGTTTCCTTTTGTGGCTGGTATATGCTTTATCTAACAACCCATGCCAGTAACTGAACAATCGCTTCGAATTAAATTTTCTCCTCTTTCTCATCCCCTATGCGCTCTAGTTCCATAGAAAGAAGTTTAACTGTATTAGTCTAATTCTTCTAGGTCAATGAAGACAGCGACATGGACAGTGAGCAAGACATCTTCCAAACATACCCATTATATCTGGCTCTAGCTATAGTTTTCATTTACATCATGCTTTGCTCTTTCGTGTTGAGGATTTGGGAAGAATGGGATTGGTTTACGGCATTCTACTTTCTGTCTATTTCCTTGACTACTATTGGTAAGTTGGAAGTGATGATTTTTGACGTAATTGACTGTTTTAGGGCTGGGAGACGAAATGCCAGAGCATCCACACTATGCGTCATGTAAGTATGAAAAATCATAGTATACCGTAAAGCTCATTTTAATATAAATTTATAAAATATTGAGATGTTGAGGTGAGGAACGGCACACGTCAAAATAAAAGTGAAAAAACAAGGAACCCCGGATCATTGATTTTTGACGAAATGTCGCTGAATTATCGAGTCACAAAAGAAAACTTTCCCAGAGAATTTCGAGAAAAATGTTTTTTCGAAGAGGAAAACAATTTTTCAAGCTCGATAATTCTGTGGCACTTCGCAAAAAATCAATGATCCGAGATTCCTTGTTTTTTCAATTTTCTGAAAGAATTGTTTTGACGTGCGGCACCTTTCTTTAGGGCCTCTAGTCGATGATTTTCTCGTTCTCTCCCATTTCCAATAGCCTAAGCTAACGAGGGAATGGTCTGAACTTCCCCCGGCGTTTGGGAAAGTGACTAGTACAGGTAGATAAAGCAGGTCAACTTTGCTAAAAAGAGCCACTTTCCAGCTGCGAAATAAGCCTAGCCGACGAGAAAAACCGACCGAAAGTTCCGAAAAAATTTCCTCTTTCTCCTCCCTCGGAAAAGAAGAGCGGTGTCCAGTGGTTCGGTTAGCCGAGTGGATAAAGCATCCGCTCGATATTCTTTTGGGGGTTGGTTCGATTCCGGGGTCTCACAAAGGGCCGTGATAAGGCTTTGATGAGCAAGATCAAGCTCCACAACGTTTAGAAACAACTAGAAAAGCGGAAGTCGAGCTCTAATTGCGCCATTATCGATCGAATTTTTGTGACACTTCGCTCCAAAAAGGTGGTCTTAAAGATACGATCTTTTCACCCGATCATCCAAAATTGAGCGACTTGATAAATGGTGAATTGGAAAGAGTAGACAGTTATCTCTCTGTTAGAGGTTCAGAAATTTGTATGTGTTATTCAGTCTTTGAGATATTCGACTTCAAACTTCCCAAAATTGAGAACTTTGCAATCGCCTAGCGGGCGACGTTTAGTCACGAATCCTACAAAAATGGGTGATCAGCACTACAACATCATTCTCAATCATCATGCAAAGTTTCAGAACGTTTTCTGGCTCGAAACTCGACTTATTGAGCCATCTTTCCTGCTATTATAATGATTGAAATCGTTGCCCGGGCTTTTCGCAAAATGACAAAATCCGTGGCATTCCGCAACTAGAGATATTTTAATTATCAAACTCATCAAACATGGTGTTTTTGAAAGACAAACCAGACCTACTATAACAAGAAAAATTCACTGATAGGGTCTATAGCTTTTTTCTGTCAAGATTTTGTTCAATACTGGGCTAAATTACAATTTTTGTAATTTCTCGAAGAAGCCAAAAAACATTATTTAACAGTACGCCAAACATTTGTTTTCGTGGCGTGACGCGACCAGAATTCCGTGAAAAAACGTTGTGCTCTAACAAACCAAAAAAAAAATATTTTGCCATTTTTATACGTTTTATACTGGCATTATACCAAAACAATATTCGTCAACAAATGAATTTTTTGGGTGTTTACGAACCTTCAAAGCGATGGAGTTAGATCGGAGGTTCTCCGATCTAGTAAACGAACGACTGCGGACTCCGCGCCAACTCAGGATGATGACTCACTCAGTCATATGATCTCTCTCCGCCCACATGTTTACGCCTAGGGCGACCTTTGGCCTATGACGCACGTCCGTTGTAAAGTCACAAGAATGTTCTAGTCCCTTAGGACAAGACTTAGCTTCTGTCCTGGACATCTCAGCTTTTGTCCAGGACATCTTGGCCCTTGTCAACGACGTCCGCAGCTCCATCTTCGACACCTCATCAAATGGTACCATCATCAGCATTCCAGAACGTCCAAGTCCCGCCCAGCCAGTGCCCTATATAAGCCCAGCCAGTCGATCAATCCAGGACGTCCCCATCGGCTTCGATCGATCGGTATAAATCTCGAGATATTATTGTCATAGTATACTATTGTTGTGTTGTGTTATTCGAGCTCATAAAGGTACAGAATATTCTACGTGGGTATTGTATTAGACGGTAAGCTATCTGTGCGCTACGTTGCGGCTTCAGTATTCTGAAGCAAAGATCCACCGAAAGTCTAGTCAAGCAGCCCACAGGGTAGGGCAAAGGTAGGGCATCGCGCTGCCCTCTTATTCATCTAACTATGGAACGTCGAAGTTATACTCGTTTGGGGATAGACTTGTCTTTGAAAAAGGCAAAATAATTTTTTTGGGTTGTCAGAATTTTATCTTGCTCATCGAAGCCTTGTCACGGTCCTTCGCGAGACCCCGGAATCGAACCAACCCCCAAAAGAAAATCGAGCGGATGCTTTATCCACTCGGCTAACCAAACCACTGGACACCGTTCTTCTTTTCCGAGGGAAGAGAAAGAGGAAATTTTTGTGGAACTTTCGGTCGATTTTTCTCGTCGGCTAGGCTTATTTCGCAGCTGGAAAATGGTTCTTTTTACCAAAGTTGACCTGCTCTATCCACCTGTACTAGTCATTTTCCCGAACGCTGGGGGAAGTTCAGACCATTCCCTCGTAAGTACATATCTACAATACAGTTCAGTGACGGACCTGATCCAGTGGCAAAAAACGTACTATTTTGCATCCGGGAAGTACCAAAAAAAACCTAGCAAAATGCCTCCCTCTCCAAGTAAAACAACTTCTTTTTGAAGGGCGCTCCCTTTCCTTCACAAAATGAGCGGGCGCGCTTTTGAAATCGAAGTTTTTTTCACTTGAAGAGGGAGGTATTTTTTGATACTTCCCGGATGCAAAATGGTACTTTTTTTACCACTGAATCAGGCACTCGACTGTATGTACGGCCCAAAAAATCTTTCGGGATTGCTGCGGAATAAGTTGAGAGATTACGCTGAAAATTTTGACCAAAATTTAATCGCAACCATATGAGTAGATTACTGATCTTTAATTCCAAGGTTTGCCCGTTTAATCTGAGCAAAACTCATAGCCTGCTCGAAGTTATAAACCCAATATCAAAAGTTCGAAGAGCTTATGACTAATTTCTGTTATCAAACTTTCTGAATCCCTCTATTATTCACACTTCTCCAGGTTTCTTTATCTTCTTCATCATCGGCTTATCACTCGTTTCGATGTGCATTACAATGCTCCAAATGCGAGTTGAGAACCGTTACATGCAAGCGTTGCAATTGATCGACGAACAACGACAAACATTGTTTTCAAATATTAGACAGAAGGTTGATGAGGTAACACACAATGGGAATGCAACTTCAGAGCCGGTGGTAGAACTTGCTGATGAGCAGAGTAATAGCAACAATGCAGGCTCTAAGGACGATGCAAATATGTTGGGAGTGAGGTGGAGGGGAGCTGGAAGATTCTCGAGCAGTAAGTTTAAACATGAAAACATGAAAGAAAAGGAGGGTAAAATACGTCTAACATAAATAAATAAAATTTTTACCAGTGCTCGAGTTTAAAGATTTTCATGAAACTTGACTAAAAAGGAAAAGAATGAATTAATTTTTTGTAGAAAAGCTGATCAATATCTTTGCTAAAAAATAAAGCCAATATTATGTTTTATGGACAAATTCGCAAAAAAATATCGAATTTTCACCTGGAAAACTTGCAAATGCCTTTGAAAAAAACCAGCCTAAAATTACGTCAAGTTTCATCAAAATCTCGGCTTCGCACTTCGAGCTTCTCGTGCACATACATTTATGGAAAGTATGAAAATTTACTTATTCTTTGTTTCATCAAAGCCTAAGCTTCCTGTTTCAAACAGTTTACTTTAAGTTTATATCATTATGTGTAGTTTAAATCCCCATTTCAGAAGAGAATCCCTTCTCCGACCCGTTCTTTTCCTCTCCCATCCTGCAGACGCTCCTCCGTTACTCGCATAGCAGTGATCCTCGAACTCGACTGTAAGTGACCCCCAATCCAAACAGATGACATCGCCCTATGACATTTCCTCTTCTTCCAAAAAAGGTTTCCTTTTCAGGTCAGCCGCCTCGGTTCAAAGCATCGCGCCGCCGCAACGCGCCAAGCCCTCAGGCGCTCCATTGGCTGAGGTTCGCGAGGGCATGACGATTAGGCTAATTAATTAAATCTTTTTTTCCAGAGCGAAAACATTGACGATGTGCTCAGAGAGCGGTTGTGACAATTAGCGCATCCACGCGACGAGTCTATGCCCTGAGGGCATCATCTGGGTGGTGCAACGTAACAGTCACAAGGGCATCTGGGCGCGACGATCAGTCGCTCACCAGTTTGTTCGTATTTTTTATTCACTTTGAAAGTGAGAATTTTGGGTACAAATTTCAATCCTTTACAGCATATCTGAATGTGTTTCATTTTGGCTTTACTTCTTTTGGCTTGACGACATATCATAATAAATGTTATTTCAGTTTTTTTGAGGCTACATGGATGCCGGAATTCTCAAAGAATTTTTGAGGAAGGATAGTGTGTAAATGAGTTTTTAACTATGTAAAAAAAAGGCCTTTTACTAAAAAATGGCCTAGGAAAACTTTGCAATTTTGTTTTTGCCACAACTCCAGTAAACCGTCTGTTTCAAGTCATATATCTTGTTGGACCTTGAGCCTCTCTTTTTTAGCCATACAGGTCTTAGGGCTTTTGGCCCTAAAGGGTGCCAGAAAATTCAATATTTTTTTGAAATCAAAAAATACAGCCTCATATGTGAGCAATCTTCAAATTTCAATGTGTGAAACATGGGACACAAGGACTATTTTTATATGTCATCTACAACAAGCTACATATTTGTTGATTTTGTCCAAGCCATAACCTCATTATGCCCATGCTCAAATTTACCATTCTTCCAGAGCTTTCTAGTCCCATAAATTAAACGAAGAAGCTCCGCGTTAATTAACGTCCCTCTAAAACAATCTTCTGCCGCTTCCTTTCATCCCTCAAATCATTTTTCCCCTTTCCGTCGCGCAACACCCTGATCGGATTCGGCGGATGATAGCGCCCACTAAATAAACCACAAGAAGATTCTTGTTAGCCCTCAAGGGTTTCATCCTTCCTCTGTTCCTTCATTGCATAAAACGTCGATTCCGTCGCCACCCTATTTGTGGATGAATCTCCACGAAAAGAAAGGGTTTTGATCGCAGAAAAGGGAAGACGGAAAGATGAATGCCCATGGCGTCTCGCTGCCTCTGCTCCATCGGAAATTCGCTACAAAGTTTCGGGCTCCCCGCCGAGTTTCCATCGCGCATTTATCTTCCCCAAAACCCACAACAAAAGAAGTTGTTCCATGAAAGCGCTTATTGATCTCCCCGACTGATTGACTAACCGAAACGGGACTTGATTTTTTTGTCGGACAGCCTCAAGCGAGACTTAAATTTATTTTTGATCCCTTGTAACCAAGACGTAATTTCGAAACTTTTTTTTTTGTTAATTCCATTACTTTGATAGTTAATTTATTTTAAGATTTCACCCCAAAGCGGAGTCGGAAGTCCAGCTTGGACGATGGACTTGTTCTCAAGGCCCAGTCATCAAATGACCGGAGTCAAAGTCCCCGCAAATCAACGGGAAAACCGAGAGCTGAAAGCGGGATTTGATGAGGATGACAACGAAGACATCGCTTATCTCAATTTTAGGTTATTATGGTAAGTTGTTTTCACTTATATTTACATGTATCGCAAGTCAACGAGTTAAATTTTCGATCAAGAAGGGTCTTTCCGGCGGGGAATTAAGATTTGCGGTGAACTTTCTGTTTTAGTTCTGAGCTAGCGGCAAATCATTCCATAAAAGCTTTATAAAATAAATCATTTTTCTGCGGCGGAGATATTCAACGGTATTTTTTGCGAGAGAGGATAAAAAATTAGGAGAATCGGCAAGACAAAAAAAAAATTTTTAGGCTGTAATCTGTTCGCTATTGCATGAAAACTAGGGTTCCCTACTTGAGCCTTTATTTTCAATAATTTTTTGGGGTTAAAGGATTGATAAATATCTCCACTGCCTCAGTAAAACGCGCTCTTAAACTTTAATTAACTTATCGATCACCTGCATTTATCGGATGTACAAATTTTAAAAAAAATCTGAGCCTATCTGAAAAAAATTATATCCTAATTTGTCATCATTGCTCAAGCTTGCTCTGCTTTCTTCACAGCCCATCATATGTCTCAAAAATTCCCTTTTTAGGCCTCTAGCCGCTACCACAGTAATGTCGATATTCTTCTTGATACTCACAGTGCTCACCATGAATGTATCTCCACATACAAGTTTTGAGAATTTCGCGTTAAATCAACTGTTCTACACGTACGGAAAGAACTATGGGTTTTGTAATGTAAGCCAATTTCTTGATGACTATTATGAGTTTAGAACACCAATCCCTACGAGGAAGGAATGTATCCGTCGATATTACGTCACGTTGAGATGAAGGTTATATGCAACGTCTTCTTCCGCGTGGCTGTTTGTGTCCCGCTGGCGTTCCGATTATTCATTGTGATGTTGATGAGGTAACGTTGGGTTTCGCGGGCAAAATATACGAGTTTGATTTATAGGAATGATGGAAATACAGATCCAGAAATAACTGGAAATATCTTCAAGAAAACTGTAAATGAAGTTGCTCAAATTCTCGGGCTTATTGGGCCAACTGCATTGTCGCTTTTTTCAATCATTACGATTCGATTTGATTTTCCAGGTAAGATAATGGCTTCAAAAAAGAGATCAAAAAACTGTTTTTTTGTTTATAAGACTGTTGCTGGGGATGAAGCTTTCTTTATTAGGGACTGTAGCTAAAATTTGACCGATCTTCAAGATCCTTAAAGTGAGCGTTTTGACAAACATTTTTTTGAGGAAAAAAACTTTGTAGAAAAAAATATATTCAGTGAAAATAGAACTGTAATATGCTTAACTTTACATTGAAATTGTTTTTCTAATGCTTCACGCTTCCCGATCCCCAGCTGGGCCCCAGTAGAAAACTTGGCCAAGAAGGTCTTGACTGGTAAAATTTTCAATCCCATTAAAAAACGTCCTCATAGGGAAGTCTTTCACGCGGGATTGAGCATTCGATGAAGCCTACAGTGGGGGACCTGATCCAGTGGCAAAAACGTACCATCTTGCACCCGGGAAGTATCAAAAATGTGGCAAAATGCTTCCCTCTCCAAGTGAAAAACCTCCGATTTCAAAAACGCACCCGCTCTTTTTGCGTGGCCCTTCAAAAAGAAGTTTTTTCACTTGGAGAGGGAAGCATTTTGCCACATTTTTGATGCTTCCCGGTTGCAAAATGGTTCGTTTCTTGCCACTAGATCAGGACGTGGCAAAATTTTGAGAAAATCTAAACCCCCTCGTTTCAGAGATCTACAGGATATCCTTCTCCACCTTCATCGTAACAACCACCGTCTACATGGTGCTGCGATTCGCTTTAGCCTTCGGAAAACAGAATCAGCAATGTCTGGACAGCATTTCCTTCTACCTGAAAGGAATTTGCATGCTGATCTTCATCTGGACCGGCAGCAAATTCCTCGATCTTCACATGAAATTCATCTCGGACACGGGATGTCATGCCTACGTCAGTCCGCGGGACGCGTTGAACGAGTACTTTTGTTGGGGCGCCTACTTCATCTTCCACATGACCAACCTGATCGATGTGAGAGATTTGAGGTTTATTTGTTATCCCCGAACTTGTGCCGGAGAATGCGAGCCCTTGAGGCCGGAGAACTTCCGCAAAGGCGCCAAGTATGAGCATTGTCGGGCCTATGAGCTGAGGCAAAGGCAGTTGTTGGGACGATAGGAAGGCCATAGTTTTCCAAGTTTTTTCCGGGTGTATTTATTGTCATGTACAGTGCGTATAATATAAAGAGTTTTATTTTGTTGTTTTATTGCTTTTTTCTCAACAAAAAAGTCAAAATCAGATAGTTCCTGTTATTGGGAAAAAAATAATTTTTCATCGTATAAAATGTCACCTCAAAATTTTTTAGGTAAAAAACAGTTTGGAATAGACAGTACAAGTTATTTTAGGAAAATAAATATTAAAATATATATGGAAATGTCCTTGTAAAAGCTCGTAAACCGAGTTAGATTTACTTATCATACCATTTATCGCTATCATCCTCCGCAATCGCTTTTTGCAAAGCTTTATCTGCATTGTGATCGAACTGAGATAACTCGAGGTACTCCTTTTCGCCAACAAAACAAATTTCGTGGTCATTCTAGAAAGAATGCAATCATAGATTGCAATTGATACCTAAAATAATATAAAGTACTCACTGGATCTCTCAAAATCACAACCCAGACCGACGCCTTGTCTGGAGTGTCCAGTTTGACCAGTTCTTTTTGAATGTAATGCGGATTGAGAGCTCGGATCTTGTCTTGAAGAGCTTTGAGCTAAGGAAAATACTATCAAGTATGATAAAAAAAACATACCTTATCTGTCGGATAGGAAAACGCGATCCGGCCAAAAGCCTCCGCACGATCTAATTTGGTGCCTTGTGGAAGTTGACGGATTTCCCATGAGGCCTAAAATTAAAAAATACGAAAAATTAGGCTGCTAACGTCAAGTGTAATATAAAAATCCCAATAAATCCGCAAAAAACTCACCTGATCTGGTCCAAATGCCAAAACAAAAGCATCTTCAGTGTGACTGACTTCATCCATTCCCAGATGCTCCTTCCAGAACTCTCTGGACTCCTTCAGATTCTTCACATTGACCGTCACCTTCCTGATCGGAAATTCGCGGGTTCCCGGGTAGATGTAGAACTTGTGTCCATCCGGATCCCGAACCAACAACGAGTTCTCGGGCCCTTGTTCCGATTTCCCCTTCAACTCATGGTAAACGGCGTCGTTCTCGATGTGAATTGCCTCATAATCATTTCCCAGAGCATACTTCCCGATTCCATAATTATAAGTGAGTTCCAGGACGAAATGCTTGTCCTCATGCCCATATCCGACCATAGTCTTGGACCAGCTCCCATCGTAGGGTCTGGAAAGATATGAAATGTAAGATTTTTCAACCCAAATTAGTTATTGTTGATATTTTAGGTATCAAATGTAATATAAGGCCCAGAAATTAATTGAAATTGTTGAAAGAAGAAAGGGAAATGTTGGAAACACCTTCTACATGTCAAATGCAACATCTAGCGCTAAAAAAGGGACAAACCTCGCAGAAGATCTTCAAGTTTTATTATTTTAGGTACCTAGTACAACATAAACCAAAAAGTGTCCAAAAGTAACAAACTCTTCGGAAATTTTTATCAGAAGATGATTCTTCCTGCAATTTCGAAGCCATCGGAACCGAAATTGTCAAAATTCAGTAGTGTTTTGTTATTTTAGGTATCCTGTATAATATACAGGGTCTTTCAAGAAACGTGAAGGAAAGTAGGAGGCTATAACTTTCGGCGGAGGCGGCGCAGAAAGCTCGTTTTTGGAATATGTATTTTTAAGCAACATTATTTTCTGCCTACAAAATAACAAGCTTTTAGAGTGCAAACTGAGGTCGCTACGACCTTCTGAAGTAGAGGCATCTCTACCCCGAAAACCAGGTTTTTTCGGTTGAAAATGATCGTAAAATTTCGGTCTTTTTCGGTTGAAAATCACAAAGAAATGTCGGATTTTTTCAGGGGTTTCGATGGAGTTGACGTTGAAAAAAGGGACGGATATTGCCAACACGTTGGAAATTAAGCAAATATTCGGCTAGCCTCAACTTGGGGCAAATTTCCAGTTTATTTTTCAGTATCTTCCGCGAAGAAGCGTGACATCATTTAGGGATTTGAGGAACCTGGAATCGGCTAGCCAAGGCACCAGAATGGCTGTGAAGTCTTATAAAAACAAGTCAAAGGGTGTAATGGGCGTCAAAGGGCAGGAATGACATCCAAACTTTTAAACTGCTAGCAAAAACTGGCTAGCCAAAGTGTCAAAATAAAGAGTAGCCGAACATTTGCTTAATTTCCAACGTGTTGGCAACATCCTTCCCTTTTTTCAACGTCAACTCTATCGAAACCCCCGAAAAAATCTGACATTTCGTGGTGATTTTCAACCGAAAAAGACCGAAATTTCACGATCATTTTCAACCAAAAAAACCTGGTTTTCGGGGTAGAGAGGCCGCTACTTCAGAAGGTCGTAGCGACCTCAGTTTGCACTCTAAAAGCTTGTTGTTTCGTAGGCAAAAAATAATGTTGCTTAAAAATACATATTCCAAAAACGAGCTCTCTGCGCCGCCTCCGCCGAAAGTTATGGCCTCCGACTTTCCTTCACGTTTCTTGAAAGACCCTGTAGGTCTAAAAGACTAATTAGAGACCTCAAATTGATATATTTCTATCAGAGTCTTATTCATCTTGCCAATTCTAACCTCCAAAAAGCTCAAAACAAAGTCAAATCCGCGCTGAATTCCTTCAAATTTCACTTCCGCCTTCTAAATTTAGCTGTCAACTAAAAAAAGCCGAAAAAATTAAAATTCACAAAATTCCTACCCATTGCAAGTCGCTGTGCATCCATCCTTGAATTCCTCGTGTCTCAACACCTGAAAACATCCAACTCCTTCAATTCCCGACCTTATTTTACCTTCATTTGCAAGGTTTTGACGAAGAAATCGTAGGATTTTTGCCGATTCCCAACACGGAACACATAATGCAGAGCACGAGCAGCCATTCTCAACGTCAAATTCAATATTCCACTGGCGCTTTATTCGTCTTTTCACCGGAAAAGAGCACAAAAAAAGAGATGTTTCTCAATTTTTTCGCTTGATAAACAGGGTTTTGGAAAGGAACGTTTCAGCGAGTAAACAACAATTTTTGGGGTTGGATTAGCAAATACTTGATTGTGAAAGTGTTTGGCTAAAAAGTTTGAGATCAAAACAAAATTTGGAAATCAATTTTATGTTGCACTTTGTTTTTTGAACTTTTTTGTTTAAAAAATGGTGTAAATTGATGTTTTCTGATGTAATAATGAGGTAAATTTGTCGATTTACTCTCTTTTACACCTTTTTCCACAATTTTTATTCTATTTGAAACATTGCTGATTGTATAATCAGTGTTTTACAAGAGAATTTTATTAGCTGCCACCTGATGAATCCCAAATTTATCGAGAATCTTCCCCCATGAATAATTGTAATTTGGGCTGGGAAAGGTCCTGCACGCTGATTCATAAAGATTTATTCTTAAAAAGATGCCCGTTTCGATTATTTTACAAAGACTGCGAGGGAAAGGCCTGTTACTCATGATGATCAACTTCTTCCGCCCATTAATCATATTCGTCCTCATCGCGGGAGCGGAATTTGTTGGCCAGCCAAGCCACCTTGTTCACCACTTCCTCTTGAGCCAGATTGAAGCACATGGCCAGAAGGGCCATGCCGAATAGGAGATAAACACTGGTGATGACCAACTTTTCCTGCGCTTTTTTGTCATTTCCCACCGAGGCGCCCGGGAATTTGTCGCCAAAGCCTGGAAAGTGCAATATAAAGATGTATAAAGGTCTAGAGAATCGTTTGATTGCAAAAACGATACATTTATATATGACCTTTGACCTCTTAAACATGTTTTATATACATCTCCCCTACTCTCCCCTACTACAACTTCAAATGTCCCTTTAAATTTCAAGTTGCAGCAATTCAAAAAAAATTTTTTGTTACAGTAAGAATTCACTTACTAAACGTCCCTTACAGCAAAAAATCACCTAAATAAACTTTTTAAATCGGCCGATATAATCTAATTTATATTACGCATGCCATTTCCCCCAAAACAAAGAATGACGTAGCCAATAAACCACAGAGATCTCTAATCCAATCCCTTCTAACGCACTTACCAATGGTTGTGAGCGAGATATAGCAAAAGTAGAACGAGTCCAAGAAGGTCCATTCCTCCCACAGACAAAATAAAACCGAGCCCGCCACCAAATAGGCGAGCATGGTGAACAGAACCAGTGAAAGCGGGACCGATATGCGTTGGAGTTGAGCCTCGACGCTCTCCTTCACTTCCAGCTGATCCAGATGCGCCTTGGCAGCGAGGAGTTCGTGCACGTCGCTGGTGTTATTCACACTCAAACCGAGCGATTCTAACGAGCAATCGTCACGATTGAAGCCACGGAACGAGTTCAGGTCGAGATCTACAAAAAAATTATGATTTTTGTTTAAAAATATATTTTTTGATGACTAAAAAGAAGTCTTCTTACAATGCCGACTTGACGAAGACTTGGCCAACTTGGCCACCAACGAATTTGCTCTTCGTATTTTCGCAGCCCGTCGTTTCTTATGCCATAAAATCAGCTTGTATTTCAGTCGAATGGATCTAGCGTACAAAAACCTACAAAAAAAGAAAAATAAGATATAAATAACAGCTACAATACTCTGTTAAGCTGTCGTTAAATTACCTGAAAATCTTGGCCATTACATCGCCAATGTTGGTCAAGAAAAGAAGCATAAGAGGTATTCCGATAATGGCGAATAAAATGGTCAGCGTCTTGCCGATGTACGTCTTGGCCGCCGTGTTGCCGTACCCAATGGTTGTAATTACAGTAAGTGAATAAAGAAAGGCCCCTGTGAAAGTCCATTGAGCCGAAACCCCGTGCTCTTTCCCGTCGTATCCCTGTCGAATTGCCTTCATGCACTTTTTCTGGAACTTTTTGATCTGAAAAATGATGATTTATCCCAGTTTTGGTCGATTTTAAGTCGAGAAACATTGGTTTCAGATAGTCAAAGAATGGTTAATGGTATCTTGATAAGAATTACCTCCGTATAAACAATCTTTTCCCACTGTATTCGGTCCAATTTGTTTACGCGGAAAGTGGCGTTCCAAGCCACATCCACAGCTTTTTGTCTGGCCAAGAACACATCCCTTTGGACCTCGGTTTCGTGTGGTAATTCGACGGCTCTGAAGACGACTGCACCCAACAACGCATAGCCCACAACCTGAATATTCGGTAGTCAATATGACTCTGAGAGATCATCGAAATGTTTCGTGTAACTTATGATACGACAAGTACAACAAGATGACCACCCTTACCAGCGCACACAACCCCACATGCGAGAAGAAGAAGGCGATGATCCGCTTCACCAGATTGACCACGCGGGTCACCTTGGATCGACGATGGCGTCGACCCATAACTGCTGCAAAAAACGACCAAAGCCTTCAGATGTCGGGCCCTCCTAAACAACAGCCATGAATCCCGGCCGAATACAAAAAAACGCAAAGAGCTCGGATCCGCGGCCTCGGGGCCAACTTCTCGAAACAAATAGCCAATTCCCGGCGGATCCGACGGCCCATCCAACTCCTTTCCGGCCGCGGCTTCAGGCATCGGGGACGGAATCCGGCGCAGGCTTCAGAAGTCCCCGGGAATCCTCTTCTTTCGGCTTTAATGTCAGCAATTAGTCCGGCCGGAACGGCCAGATTCGATGGGCTTGTTGGATGATGGAAGAGGTTCCAGGGTTCAAAGATGGAGAGCGGATAAGGTCATCAGGTGCCGTGAGACTGGAGTTTGATGACTTAATCTTTTTTTGGGTGATCAGAGGGTCATCTAGGATCTGACTGTGATGGCAATATATGTATATACATATCTACAGTTCTTTGAAATTTTCAAATAATTTTTTTATTAGCTCCTAAGGTGAGGTGAAAAAATTTATCAGGTTCCATTATGTTTAAGATGTTGGGATGTTCATAAATGCCTTTAACTATGTCCTTGGTCTACCGAGATATCATAAGCTTCATCTTACAACATTTTAATAAGATTTTGTGAAAACTTTGATTCGCACTTTTGACTTGATTGATAAGGTCATCAAATAATTGACAATTTAAAATCTATGACTTTTAGCTGTTAATTATGTCAACAGCAGTGTTAATCGGATATCTAGACATTGCCCTCAAAAGTTGAAAATTTTTAAACAACGATTTTTTAAAATTTTATAGCAAAGATCACCTTATTTTATACGTTGTTGTTCAACTGCTTACAAATTTTTTTTTGTTGATCTTTTCCTTTTTCAACTTGCATGTTATTCTTTCCTTATACTCTTTGATCTTTTGGAAAATTGTTTTTGATATACGTATTTATCCTGTTCTTTGCCCTTTTCCGTTTTAAAAATGATCTCCATTAGATCTCCGTTCTTTTTTCTTTCTTATTTTTTTACAGTATAACAATAAATATTTGTGTCTGAGGCCGTACTCCAAAGACCGTTCGCCTCATGAATATTCAATTTTAATTGTAAAAAATGCCAACGAAAGTTCCGTTGGGGCCATTCGCCGGCTCCGACCATCAGAGTTCTCCGAGAACTCTTTTGGAATCAAATCACGGCCTGTCTCTTCGATTCCACTCACACTGTTGGGGGTGTTGGTTTGGGGACGTCATTGAATCAAGAGGGAAATGGATGATGGATGGTCATCATCAGCGACAATTTTCAGATGTTTATGGGGCTGTGTACGGACTGTTTGGCTCGTGGCGTTATTGATGGGAGAGGAGTTTACACTTGGATCAGCAGATGTGTTACAGTCGGCGAAGGGGTTTTGAAAGATCTTTTCGAAAAAATGCTTTTGAAAATTTTTTTTTTGAAAGTTTAAGAAATCAAAAATAAAAAAATTCTACAGTATTTTTTTTTGACAACCAAAATTTTTTTTTTTTTTTTTTTTTTTTTTTTTTTTTTTTTTTAAGATTTGGTAAATTATGTAACTCAGCTGGCCACCAAAATTTTTTACAAAACCTCACTATTCTAGAAATTAAGCGCAAATTCTGTAAACATTTTTTCTTACCGTAGAATCTGTTTCCCAATCGCAAACCTTTTTTTCGAAAATTTTTTACAAAACCCCCAAAAATTTCAAGAAAATTAATGGTAGTTGTATATTTGCTCTCTCTCCCTAAACAACAATTGAGAAACCTTGGGTGAACCAACAATTACTTTGGCGGGAAGTTCACGTGATCAAAACTAACAACTCTTTTATTGGGAATCTCCCGAGTTGGAGATTCCATCTCAGTCTCGACTTTAGACGATTCAAAGTACAATAACAAACCTGGGTAAATACGCGGAGAGTAAATGGAGATTAGGAAAGACCGCAAAACATCTCGGAGATACGGTATTGCATTTCGAGACGTCTGGATATTATTGTTGACATTAAATTTTAAATTGTGGTTGTACTTGATATCCAGTATAATATAATGACTAAAAATTTGGGAATATCCAAAAATAATGTAATGATAACTTTCAAAAAAGTAAATGCCATATATTGCAAAGCATTTTGCTATATTTTACCTCAAAATTTTCATTTATATTACACTTGACATCTACTCTAATATAATGGCTAAAATTCTCGAAAAGTCCGGACCAAAGTCCGAAATTCTCCGCTAAATTCGTCAACCGTCAATCGCAGGTCATAACCAGAATTTCCGCAATGTCAAAACACTCATCAGCCGATCGAAATGACGTATTGTTCGTGGAATAATCGAATTTTTTCATTCAAAAAATCCCATTCCAAAGATCTCATGAATTCAGAGTGCAGAAAACTCTGAAGAAGCGTTCCTTTTTATGAACAAGGAGAGTTGTAAAAACAGATTGTAAACAGCGAAACCCATACATCAAACGGACTGATTACGTTTTCGACAAGAGGAAAGAATAATGGAGAAGATTGGGGAATGATAATCGAATTCTGCGAACGTTCCAAAACAGAACAGTGTAAATGTAGGTGTTATAGTAAGTGTAGAAAAAAATATCAATCAATTTCTGAGGTCAAACAAGAGTAATCTAAGCAAAAAAATCAAAAAATCACATATTGAAAAAAAAATTTTGCAAAATTTTGATATTGGGCGCCAAAAAAGTCTCTGGAATTTTCTGCGACTCTGCACTGTGCATGAACTCGAAAAAAAATTTTGCACCGTGCATCAGGCCCATGCAAAGAAAAGCGGGTTTGCACAGTGCAATTTTGCTTTTTGTTTTTTTTGCACTACGTCGCGCGCGATTCCCATTTTTCCAAGCGACAAATAATTTTTTCGAAGTGCGATAAAATTCGGGGACCGCGAAAAATTCCAAGAACCCTTGCCCGCCAAGTTCAAGATTTGAATTTTTATACACATAGGAGACTATCAGCTCATATGCTAGAGAAGGTAACAATTTTCGGCAGATTTGAAGACCTATTCTCATCAAATCTGCCGACTCTCCTTACTGTACATACTGTTCGGTCAAAAAGATTAATGAGTTTCTCGACGACCCCCGACAAAAGTCAGCTAATATTTTCAGGGATTAATCTACGGCCAAGACAAGCTATAGGCCTAAAATTTCATGCAATCGTTTACATGTAAATTTTGAGATTAGCAAAATCCGCGAAAAATGATTTCTTAAACAGGTCATCGAGCGATCACAATCTTTTATAATACTATAGGCTGAGCCTGCCAACTGACGAGTGAAACTCCGAGATTCTAAACAATTGACATTCACATCCTGCACCTGAATAAACACTCCCGAAACGGAGAGAATTCGCTGAATTACATTTTGGGTGCATTCTTTGATTGTGAGACTTTTTTTGTTCCCAAAGTCTCAGGTTTACAAGTTATATACTACCTATATACCTTCTGTTTGCTTTATCTTGATTTCGAACTTTTTTCTTTAAATTATACAGTAGCCTACAAGCTCGTGGACACCATTTTTTACACAAAACTTTTCTCTATTTTTTCAAGAAAAAAAATCTTTTACTCACGTGTCATAAAACGCGTCTTACTCTGGCTTAATCTCAAACTACCGTAGTCCCTAATCTTTTCCCAGGGATCAAAAACATTCTCTTTCTCGCATGCTGAGCTGTATCAGGTTTTGATCTCGGATAAAAAAAAGAGGGAAACGATGAGCAGCGTGAAATGGAGCCATTTTATACGAAAAGAATAAAAAAGATTGGGACAAAAATATCCTGGGAATTTTAATTTTGATTTTCTTTATTAAAAAAACGGAAAATAAAAAATCGTTGAAAAATGCGTTGATTTCAAAATCCCCGGGCCCCGCCCTCCCATTCATTCTTCGATTTGGAGCCCGCCTTTCGCCGCCGTGATCACGGTCTTCTTCGGCTACCTGAAATTTGTTCGATTTAGGGAACGAAAAGAAAAGGACTCGGAAAGGGCAATCTCCTATGGTTTTTTGAATAAATTCCTCGCTTAAATTCCGACGCTCTTACCTCCATTTCATATTGAAATACGAACGGCTTCCGAAGACCCGCAAGAATGGTCGTGGAGAAGAATCACAACCAGTAAGTGTGTTTCCGATGTAAATTGTTAAGAACTGTTTTTTTGATAAGTTCTTTGGTAATATTGATTGCAAATTGTAAAAAATCTTTTTTTATGTGTCTTGACATAAATTTAAATTAACGTTTTTTTATGACACATGCGTAGTTGTTAGCACGTTTTTTGCCCAAAAAACTGCGATTTTCAGACAGAAAGCATTTTTTTCAGTTTGTGGTATAAAATTTTGGCCCTGTTTCTATCGGACAGATCAAAGCTTTCGAAAAAAAAATATTTTTTCCGCGCGAAACTGACAGGCATATGGCCAAAAAGCGGTAATAAACTGGCTGCAAGACACCCCCGAAATTTTTTGTTGTAGACAGGCTTTATTATACAGCATTTTGCTCTACAATGGTGTCACTGTAACACTCTCTTCCTTGTAATTTTCGCAAAAATTAGTAACAAAAGGGACTCTTTTTAAAAGTCTCAAGATTTTACGTCATCGCATCCAAATCCTCTTAGCCAATAATCGGAACGTCCTTGCAGGCCAGAAGGCTATTCGTTGGTGAGTAACTCGGCGAATACGATGGAAACTTTGGAAGGAAACAAAAAGTTTCGGAACGTGGAAGGCATGGGATGGCTCGTGACCTGTCTATTTATCGTTGGAGAAACCGCTGGCGCTGGCCTCATCGCCATTCCAACCGCCGTGGTTTCGACTGGTAAGATATTTAGAAATTTTGTTCGGGAGTAAATCAAAATTTGTGTTGCTTCAATTTTGTAGTTTTAGAAAGAAAAAAATGTGGATAAGAGGGCGATTGATGAGGTATTGATTATTCACTTTCCGCGAGGCTAATTAATATAAAATCTGATGAAATTCTCAAAGACAATTTTGATTCATTTCGGATTGATGTTGTTGTTTGAACACCAACATTTCAACATACCAAATTCAACGTAAAAATTTATACAAGACAACGCAAATTTACTAGGAAAATGCTCGAAGTGCAACGCTCAGATTTTAATGAAATTTGGCATTAATTTGGTTATTGCCTTTGGAGGCTTGTAGAAGCTACGCAAATTCTATTTCCTCCTGGAAATTCAAAAATTTTACTACCCTTTTTTGACGGGTTTGAAGCCATTTACTCCTTTCGACCTCGTTCAACATCCATTTTTACATTTCCTTTCCCTTACAGGGCTTCTCGGCGGAATTCTCATCATCACGTTGGGCGCTGCCGCCTGCGCTTACACCGGTTACCTCCTCTCCGAAAACTGGACAATCCTCCAGACCCGATGGCCCGAGTATCGAAATCATTGTCGAAAACCCTACCCAGCCATGGGATTGCGGGCGATCGGGCCTTGGTTCAGCACAATTGTCTCGTGTTGCTTGAATATCACCATGTTCGGAACTGCTGTGGTGTTCTTGTTGTTGGCTGCTAAGAATCTGGAGAGTTTCATGCACGCCTATGGGGGAATTCATATTGGATTCTGTTATTTGGTTGTTATCGTGGCCATTTTTATGTTGCCATTGACGCTGTTCAAGAGTCCGAAGGATTTTTGGTAAGGCCGGTTTTAAGAGGGGCATTCCCTAAAAATCTTAGCTCCTGTTTAGAATTATTTAATATAACGATCCTTTCGGGGAAAGATTACAGAAGATGATGACTTAATCAGGCAAAATTTTTTGATTTTTTCCCGGGAAGCCGCAATTTTCTGTGGAAATCTTAAACTCCCTTTTGAGGCTAACTTTCATCCAGAATACAAATTTTTTTTGCAATGGATGACAATTCAAAAAAATCTTTCTTTAGGTGGGCCGTGATTGTCGCCATGATCACTACATTTATCGCTGCTGCCATGATTATGTATGGAGCTTACAAAGACTTTGACGCTTGCATTCGACATGTCGATTACCCGCCAATTTCCACTTCAAAGTAAGACTTATACATTTTTTATCTTCCCCCTTTGGCTATGGGTATCTAAAAAGCTTCAGGCGTATATTACCAATGACAAACATAATAAAAATTTTCAGATTTTTCATGTGTTTCGGGACGGTCATGTTCGCTTACGGAGGTCATGGCGCTTTCCCAACTATTCAGCATGACATGAAGAGGCCATATCACTTCAAACGATCGGTCTATCTTGCATTTTTGAGTAAGTGGACGTCTGAAAATTGCTGACAAAACTTTCTAAAGCCATCTCAACTCTTATGGATAATTTTATTTTTAGTTATCTTCCTAATGTATGTTCCGGTGTCCATTTTCGCTTACATCACCTATGGTGGAAGTCTGAGAGACTCAGTGATCCCATCGATCCAAGGTTTCTACCTTCAACAAGGAGTCAATATTCTGATTACTTTACACGTTATGATGGCGTTGACAATCATGTTCAATCCGCTGAATCAGGAGTGGGAAGAGCTGCTGAATGTTTCTCAGGGTGAGCGGAAATATTACATAGATTTAATTAGGGCTGTATATCAGCGAAAATTTCAAGTGCGGTTTAGGGAATACGCAAAATGCGGAGAGTGGCCAAAAGATTACGCAAAATAGGCAATAAAATGTTCAAAAAAATTGTTTTTTTCTCTGGCCGCTTTCCGCATTTTCCGCACCTCATCATCGGCAAAGATCGTTTAGCTCTTTCTTTCAAGTTTTCATATAAACCTCATCCTCTAAATTTTCAGAGATGGGAATTGGCCGAGTTCTGGCCCGTTCGGCGATGATGGCCTTTGTTGTTCTTGTCGCCGAGACCGTCCCCAATTTCGGTGTGCTTTTGGACTTGGTTGGAGGCTCAACAATCACCTTGATGGCCTTGGTTTTTCCCGTCGTTTTCAACCTGTTCTTGAGCACAGGGAAGGCAAAGCATGGTGGCTATATTGCGGCGCAGGAAGAGGATCCTCCGAGCTTGGCTGAGTAAGTTTTACAGGGCCAGTTTTGAATTTTACGGTTATTTTATAAGCCAAAAAATTTTGAAAAAATGGAAAAACAGCAATTTGGATTTTTAAACTTAAAATTTTTTTAAAATTTTTTACCATTTTTTAAAACCAGAAAAATCTTTGGTCTCTTTAAAAAAATTTTATATTTTTCATGTGTGATTTCTAGTCAAAACAAATATATAGATTCTTCGCTAGCCAGACATATTACAACGCTTTACATTTTGTTTTCAGAGTGTGGAAGTACACTCCGTCTTCGAAGAAGCTGATCTTCTCCCTGATTTTGGTGTTCGCAGTGTGCGGCGGAACTGCTGGCACAGTCTCCGCGATGAATGCAATGTTCAATTCGGAGTTCAGTGCCCCATGTTATGCCGGGATCTTCTCGAAGCAGTTGGATGCGCCGGTTTTGGAGGAGCAATTACACAACAACTGGACTGTCTTGTAAGTTTTTATACCGAATTTTTTGTTATTTGAAGTAGTTTAAAATTGTCTTATTTGTTGGAACTCAATTTCTTGTTGTCTGTATTGTTAATAGTTTTTGTCTCTGAAAGGCCAAAGTACAAAGAAAATTTCGGGGATTTTCAAGGTCATTTTTTAGGGGAAAAATGATATTTCCCTTGTCTTTTCCAGTACAGGGTAGTTCACTCATTGTCAGAGCCCCCAAATTTGCTTCAGGTATACCTGCTCAAATAATGCAAAAATTTCTATAAAATTTTAATCACATTAAAGATGGGGCACCCCATTTTTTTTACCAAGTTTGACGGGTCTACATTCACGAAGGCCCTTGTACTGATCTCTGACATTTTCATTCAAAATTTTTTCCCCGAAACCGTGGAAACCTTAAAAATTTTTTTGATGATCCCCATGCCTTACACAGTCCCAGCCTTAGCTTTATTTATATTTCATCCCAATCTTTCCATTTAACGGCGAGTTCATCCCATTTCAATTGATGATGACAATTCCCATTTCAGAGCCCATGGAAAGTTCAATTGTTGCGGCGTCGGGAAGAACATCTCGCGTTTCGGTCATCCGGAAGTCTTCTGTTTGGATCCGAACAGTCAAGTGTCCCATGGAAGTCATGGATAACACATACTCATCAAATTAATCACCCAAATCGGTCCTAGGATGTACATATAATTATAGATAACCTTTGGTCTAAAATCTCTTCAGTTCTTCGTATTTTAGGTCGCATTTTGCTTTATTCTAAAGTATTCTTTTTGCTCTCTCATTCCTTATATCCTAAATTTGATTTGTAATCATATCCGAGTTCAAAATCATCTCCCGATATTCCCCCATCATATCCCGGTAACAAAGAGTGCATAACGCGTCAAAACCCCTCCTCTTTTGTGCATATCATCATTCTCATTCAACAAGCCAAATCGCCGAATCTTCACCTATACTGTAACTTCCATTGTCCGCGAATTAAACGGCTCATCCATCAGATTTTGACCTTAATTTATACGAGCATGTGTCAGAAACGCAGAGCCGATCTGTTTCACAATGAAGTGTGTTTTCTGGTTACTGCGTCCGGTAAACAAGTCTATATATGTCTAGAGCAATAAACACATCTCAAGTTGGGGTTGATCTCTGATGTGCGGGCCTGATGGGCCTTTTTATAAAGGAAGGGGTTACTTATGAAACAAAAAAGGTAGAGTGTTTACTAATGCAGAGGTCTAAACGAACACTTATTGAAATTCTTGGAAAATACAAACATAAGAAAATACGGTTGTTAAATGAGGAGTTGGTGAACAAAAAAGAAGATAAAACAAGTCATCTTCTCAACAACATAAAACTTGCTCGGCATATAAAAAAGCACCAAGAAACTTGTAAGCTATAGAAGGACTGTTTTATTACGCATATGGGCTTCTTATACATATCCAAAATCAATGCTTCTGAAAGGGGTTGATAGCGACTACAGGAGGGCTTATTGGCTGCCAACCGACACTAGAAATAATTTACACACCAATTCGAAAAAAATTCCGCATTATCAAAAGTTTTGTAAGACAAAGCCGACAGTTTCTAAATTTTCCTGGCCGGGCTTTCGAAAATTGTAGGTCAAAGCCCTGCTGGACCTCAAAATTTTAGTTCTGCCCGATTTCCAGCCATTGCGGTACAGTTTTCAACTTACCGGACAGGTATCCCAAATACGCTCAGATTCGTGCTCTGCAAAAACATCCGAGAGCTTCAGGATAAAGGAAAATATAATAATATTTTTTTTCCTGGCCTACCGTCTCTTTCGCCTGCCTCTGCAAAGGTTGTCGATTATTTCCAGCATTTCCAAAATTGAAATCTTTAATACTTGAATATCACTCTTGTTAAAAAGTGTTCCTGCTTCTTACCGTAGTTTGCGTTTATAGAGAGAAACATTTATCAGGTACATATCTCAATAAAAAATCCTTACTGTAGAGTGATTAACTTCCTCTTTGTACTCCAAAATTCATTTTTCATCATCTTCTGGCAATGGATTTATTGCGTTACCTGAAAAGCAAAGAACAATGGTGCCTCAAAACAAGTTCATCTTCGTAAAAAGCAAACAAAGCTTTTTAACCGAATAAATCAGTGGTTGATCATCAATTTGTTGTCCCTAATGAAAGCGACTTGCAAAGGCTGTTATAAAGTTGGCTCTGTTTTCGCCAAATCGTTAATACATTTCTGAAATTCTCCATCTCAATTAGTATCATACGGCTTGATATACAAGTTTTGCGTTCCAAAAAACACAATGACTGTCACCACAACTTGCACAAATATTCCTCGCCTACTTTAAACCGCACATCCCCGCTATTCAACAGCATCCTCAACCCTACGACTTCAAAACTTCTTAAACTACAAAGCGACCGTCAGTCCTGGCTAATCGTGCTAAATATAGGCCTCCCGATGACAGCCAAATATACGGCTTTGGGGTCCATAAAAACCTGTCGCTTCCAGAGTGCATATTCAGTGCGCTTCTGGAATGTGGAAGTGTCATAAAAAATGGCTGGGAAGGTCATTCCGCAAGCATAGGGAAATGACCATTAAAACAGATGTTTGGTCACTACTTCTGGAAGGCTGTAATATAGGATTTCATAGAGGGAAATGGCATTCAAAGCAGTTTGAACATTATACTTTATAGCGGTCGTAGGAGAGATAAATCAAGGTGGAAATACTGCTGAAAGTGCAGCATAATTTATGTAAAACTGCGGAATCAGTAGAACAGTCGACATTTCTGAGTATGTTACACAGTTTGAAAGCATTTCAAAATTGAGTGGCCAAAATTTTGATATAAAAACAAGAGTGAAGTTATGCTGTATAAGGATGCAGTTTAATAAGGGTTTTTGATTTTTGTATTCCTCCAGGACCTGCTGACACGTTGATTATAATTGCATGTAGACTTAGCAGATTAGGCTTCAAATTTCGCATGATTTTCTAGCAAGATCAAAGGTCAATCTCTGAAAATCTTGCTTCCTGCTTTGTAGACACACCCGTGAAATAAATACGTTGATCTTTGAGGATACGGAACGACTAGAAAACAGTTTCTTCGACTAAATCCTTTCGAGATTTCTCGGTGTTGCATCCTTGCAATTTTGAAGGTAATGTATCCCTTTGGAAGATGCAGAACTGACCAAAAGAACGTCATCAAAATAACTTTTTTGAATTGATAGAATCATGGAAACATTATTCCTATGATGACGATTTAAAAAAGTGACATCATTTTGACAGTCTTAAAGTGATGTGAGTGAGAGTATCTTTAGAAATGACATCAAATGCAATCTCATTTCCGATCTAACAAATAGTTCTTCTACTGGCTCTAATGCATCGGTAATTTTCGTTGAATAAAATTACGTTCAATACGCTGTAAGTTGTACCCGAATTGTATGGCCACCCTTGTCGTTTAATGCGCCCACTTAACGATCATATACGACAACAAAGTCGTTGACAGCCCTCCATTCGGCCGCGGCCCATAAGCGGCCCTAATCATAACCGTTCCGCTGATTTATGGCGCCGTTTTAATCTCCTTGGACATTAAAAAGTAAAATCTCCGCAATGGCCATAAATTAGGAGTCGAGTGGGCAGGGAGGGGAGTTTGGTTCGATTTGATGAAAAAAACGCCTGGAAGCGTCCGGTCGGGTTCGGTCGGGTTCGGTGGAGACGCGGGGGGAGAAAGGAGGGAGAACGGTGAAGGGGAGAGGAACGGGGGGACGACGAGACGCGTCTGTCTGCATGCGTGGTGTGGCGGTGGCGGAGTAGACTTGATTTGGAGTGCAGTTTGGGGACAAATGGACGCCGGAGCCGGTACGACACAGCACGGCCGGCCCTCGGAGTGACCAGAGGTCGGGTTCGCGTTTTTTCTCCGCCGTCCCTTCGTTCCTCTCCGTTCGTTTTTTTTTATAATTTTTGTCTGGGTCCCACAATTTTCGTGTGTCCATGGGCCCCTCCCACTTTTGAAACATCGCCGGTGCCCCGAGGGCAACGTTCAGCACTTTTGTGCGGCCCGCAAAAGGTTGTCCAATTTGTAGGGCATCGTACGAAATTCGGACTAAATTTTGCACAAGTTTTTTTTCGCGGGGCCGTTCTTCGTGCGGCGGCTCGTACGACCAGGTAATGGGGCTGTAATTTTCCGCCTTACACGCACCCGTCGTGCCAGTCCAGCGGCCGAAACATGCGGAAGAGCGCCCAAAGGTGACAACTGATTAATTCGTTCCGTTTGCGCCGTCTGCCGCCATCTAATGCGAGGGTTTCGAATCTCCGGAAAATGTCTGGGAGTCGTTCCTCGGCTGGGGCAGTGAACGGCCGAGTAATGGGCTTATCGGTCTTCGCGCCACGGCCTTGCAGTGTTGGTGCAACACTTATCTTGTATCCCCGCCCTTTTAGTTTTTGCGCCCAGACGTTTCGCAGCAGCCCCGTACGAAAAAGCCGACTCTTCTGCCAGCCGATTTTTGGTGCAAAAGCCCCTTCCAGCTGACCTTGAGGCTGGCTGTCTGGCTGGACCTTGCCCCGATCCCCTCCCAGCCTCCTCCCCGTTCCCAGCCGAGATTCTCCTCCTCCTCCCCGGACCGTCGTCGAGTGAGGGCGGGTGTCGCGGCGACTACCACAGGTCCAGCGGCTTCGAAGTCGCGGCTTCCCGGTTGACGCAGCGCTCTCGCCTCGGCTAGACACCCACACGACCGACGAGATCATGTCGGAACGGAGGGTCAGCACTTTTGTTTATTCCTCCCAAGTGATCAGTGTTCTTTTATGGGGCGGCGGAACATGTCCGCGCTGATCTTCTTCCTCCTCCGTCGCTGACTCATCCCCTCCTCCCAATCCTGTTCGTTTTCTGGCTGACGCATCGGATGTGCTAAGTTCGGAGATGTTCCGGCCTTGTCTCATGGCGTACGTTTGTTAACCGAGGCCCCCATCCGAACGTTCTTGAACCTCCGAATTCCGATCATTTTTTGGGTGACAAATACGCACTGATAAACAATTTGTTTTATCGAAAAGGGAATGCCTGCGGGCTTCCTCGTTGCGTAATACATCAAAGTTTGAAAAGTTTGGTCTCAGCGCGATGTTCTGCAAGTATAAATACGCCAAAATTGCTTTTGATTCCGCGAAAATCCGTTGATTTTCCCATTTCTCCGAAGATTATTCCTAAATTTCTCTGTTTTAGATTAAGTTCCCCGTGATGTTCCGCTGATTCATGTTCGTATTCGTTGGATTCTTGTTTGTTCTACATTCGGAATGGTGTGTGAGGTAAGTGAGTCGAGTCCTGCGTCAAAATCCTGCAAGAATTTCGGTGGTTTTCCCTAATATTCGCCTTATTTGGCCTAATTATTCTCCAAAATATTCGAATGTTCTACCAGTTTCTTGGCTGTTCTTTCCTCTTTCCGTTGGAATTTGCGCTTTTCTCTCCCCGCTGAACGTTGATCCGTTCCGGTTTCCTTTGAAGGCGTTCCTTTTTGCCCGCCAGAAATTCTTTATTTATCCTGGTCAAGACTGTTTTTTTTTTATTTTCTACAATGTTTTGTTTATCCCGCGGTTATATCCCGAAGGCAATGCGGACGGGGGGTCAGTAAATGGTGTCAGGTCATTTTTCCAGGACTTTCACCACTCTCTTTTTTGTTGCACTTTGTCCCCTCCCCGGAGCGGGTCCCTCCGTCGACTCCGCGGTCTCTGCTCGGTGTGTCGTCGCCCTTCGCGAAGACCGCACCCTACTTTTTCTTTCTCCCGTCCCTCAGTCATTCGCTCCGGCTTCACTCGGCGTTTTTTCTCCTTTTTGAGGGTCACGTGCAACGATTTACTGTCCTAAGATCACCTTCTTGCCCTTATTTTGTTCGTTTTTGTCGTTTGCCGACGATTCCGAGGGTAGTTCCTGCTTCAGGACGTCCGTCTTGTCTGAAACTCCTCTTTTTTGCGATTCTAATTAGTGCGCTAGGATTACAAGCTCCCCGGCGCTGAATAGACGGTCTTTAAGGCGCTTTCAGTTGAGCCAAGATAAGTAATTATGAGTAGTTTTAACTGGCAAATTGTTTTTCGCCGAAAAGATCCACCCGTATGACATCTGCTCCGCGTTCTGGTGATGAGTCAGCGGCGCCCACTTTAGCGGCCCGGTGTGATCTCATAGCTCGGGGCGGCCGGCTCAGCCAATAGGTGAGCCCAGCAGCTGGCTTTTGTTTCGGGGCGGCGCTACTATGCATAGGGCCTCGGCGTCGTTCGCAAATTCTTCGGGCTGGTTTACTGCGAGTCCGCTGAAGCATCTCATTTCGGTTTTTTCTTGACTTGAAGAGGTATGCTTAAACTTTGAATTCGGTCTCTTCAAGGGCTGTCTTTAAACGGTTCGGTTTTCGAAACCGGTCGGTCCTCTGCGCGCGTCCTTTCGAAACCACCGCCGGCCGGGCAGCCGAACCAGGGGCCGGGTTAGGGGTCATGAGGGGCGACCGGCGGGCCCGAAGCACTCGCAGAACGACGCTAGCGTAGAGGAGAAGGTCTCTCCAAACACTCTGCTTTCTCTCCCTTCCCTTCGCTCCATCGTCTTCCCATCGTCCCGGCCTTCTACCGTAAACGAGCGAGGACAGGCGCCGCGTGGCACAAGTGCTAGTCGTCGGAGGACGGCAGGAGCGAAAGGGGAAGACGAAAGGAGAAGAAAAGGCGACTGTGGGAGCCTTCGTTCGAGGGCAGCAGTTGTCGAATGGAGGGTTTCCGGAGACCCCGACAAGAACGCGGGCAGAGCCGCGACGACGATGCATCTTTTTCTGGGCAGAGAGCGAGCGGTGCATTCCACACACACTCACTGCCCAGTTTTTTCTAGCCTTAAAAGTGATGGGGCGCGTTTGGCGAAGGGGAGCAGGCGTCTCCATCCCCACCACCACCACCTCTTCATGGGGTCGAGATGGGGAGTGGATGTGCGCCCTTTCCCTTCCACAGCACTCGCCATCATCATTCACTCACTCGCTGCTCTGTTTCTCGGTCTTTTCGGCGCCTCCAACCTCTCGGTTTTCGTCGATTTTGACCACTACCACGCCCCCAAAAGGCCAGCTGTGCCGAAACGAGGGCCGGTCGGGTGGGGCAGGTTGCAGTGCCATTCTGCACTGGTCATCCGCCGCCGAGGGAGTGCGTCCGTTGGGGAGTGGGCGCGACGAACAGTGCGAAAACGCCGTCCACTGGGGTCAGAGGGTTGGGGTGGAGAGGGGGGAGGCCGCGGACGCGTCAATAGCAGACGGCGCCGCGTCAACGCCCGATTGTCCAGAGCCCGAACGATGGCGGGGCAGATGCCCTGCATTTCGGCGCACCACCCCCACTCTCCTCGCCTCGCCCGCTCTCTGCGGCGGCGGTAGTTGTGGGTATTAGCTTGTAGGGTGGGGGTTCGCCTCATCCTCCCAAGCCCCCCTCCCCAACGCCCATTCGGCTCGTCCGTCTGTCCAGCGCACTGGCCATTCCTTCTCCTCGAGACGCCGCCACTTTCCCCATGTCCATTCCCTCTTGCCGGTCTCGTGTCCACTCTTCTCTTCAGCCTCAAAATCCCCAATTTTGGGCCGCTTTTTCCGGCTCCTCACAGTGATCGCGCATCCGATCAACCCGTAGATCCGAACTTGTGTTTTTAATGTTGAGATAACACAGGCTTCGGAGCCGGGTCGTTCGAGTGTTCGTATTTCGAGGAGCGGCGGTTCGGAATAGCCAAGAAACGAAAAAAATCGCAGAAAACCCACCGAAATGCAGAAAAACACCAAAAAACAAACAAAAAGCAATAATGGCGTCCGGTGTTGAGGTAGTAGGTTGTATAGTTCGCGTATTATCATTGGAGGTAACTGTGCAATCTGCTAGCTTACCATTTGGCCCATCTGCCTTGAAAATGGGGGGCAGGACTCGACTCGAACAACAGCGCTGATAACAGAATATAATTGAACGGAATAAAGGCATTTCAAAGCATTGGTTTTTGCACTTATTAACAAATGTTTCGGGTCTACACACAACGATGGCTCGTGCTGTTGGTTGTGTGTCTGTTGAACTTCTCGAATGCGATGGTAAGCCGATTCCGCGCCGCCCTAAACATGTTCAGCTAGACGTGGATTACATTCGCTCCGATCTCCTATTACACCAACTCCTTTTATGGCGACAGAAATGCGGCGACTTTGTTGAATGTCATCTTCATGGCGGTCTCGATTCCGTGTGGGATTGTGGCGTTCTGGGGAGTGGATCGATTCGGGATTAGAGTTGTTGTAAGAGTTTTTCTGAACTAGGACGAATTTTGAGTCAAATTATTACACTTGACCCAGCAAAAGGATGAAATTAATCAGGGAATTTCTACGACATTTGCCAGATTTTCAGCTTGCGTTTTGCAGAAAAAAATTGCAAATTCCTGGTGTCCATTTTTTTATTGAAAAATTCACCATTGATTTTTTATGCAGATGCAAAATTGGAACAAATTCAATGTTACTCTTGGAATAATCCACCTCTAAAATATCACGCTTAACCCATCAAAACCACCTCAAATTAAGATTTAGTGTATTGCTGGTGCTGTTTTCAATTTCCTCGGGAATTTGATCCGTTTCTCGGCCGTCTTCTTATCCGGTCCAGCCAGATTTTGGTTGACCTTGTTCGGCCAAGCCTTGGCCGCCTCGATCCAGCCGTTCGTCATGTATCTGACCACCAAGACTGCTGCTATTTGGTTCCCAAACTCGGAGAGAGTGACCGCAAACACGTTGGCGGCGCTCTCCAATTCGCTGGGTGTGGCGACCATGTACTCCATATCGCCACTTGTTGTTAACAGCAACTCGAAAGTGGACTTTATGATCTTGGTAAGAGAAGGGTGCAATTTTCGTTGGTTCGAAAATTTTTAACTGATTTTAAAGTAGTTTGAAGTCAACATAAGGTCTCGGAAATGGTATAAAAGTCAAGATGACATTAGGAATGGCAGATTCAGCACTTATGAAGGGCCATTTTTCATAAGCCCAAACAGATTTCCAGAGATTTATGTCGCTTTTTACTCAAGCTGACTCTTCTAATAGCATTTTTCCAATTTCGAAATCGAAAAAACTATGATTCATAGGGCTTATAATCATTTCAAAGACGAATCGCTTGAACCTTTCGAGGCCGTTTCGAAGAAGAATCAATTCAAAAAGGCCAAGGAAATGTTTCTTTTTGAAGGATAATACTCTAAAATAACGTTTGGAAAAAAATGAATTTTTGTGTAAAAATTAAGCGGCTCTCATCAAAAAGAAAACAATATTTTCAAACCCAATGCCCTAAATTTTATCAAAATTTAAGACTGGAAGTTACTGTATCAAATTTAATAAAATGCTCTCAGAATGGCCTAACCTCCCTCCTGACCTTGATTACTTTAATCCTATCATTTGGAGTGACCAGAACGGCCCCCAAAACTCCTCCATCCGCCTCAGGCGATGGCTCAACCGATGCCGGAGACTTCAAAAAAAGTTTGAAGACTCTGATCACCGACAAGAATTTTATCATCCTAAACATGGCAGTTGGAAGTGGAGTTGGTCTGTTCAATTGTCTTTTCAACAACCTTCAACCAACGCTCTGCTCTCAAGGCTATGACGTCACTATTATCTCGTTATGTGGGAGTGGAATGATAGTGGCCGGACTGGTTGGATCCGCCATCACCGGAGTTATTGTGGACCGAACAAAACGCTTCAATGAGGCCTACAAGCTTTGTCTCAGCATGACCGCCATTTGCACAATTCCAATGTCTTTGTTCGTGCTGCGCGAGAATCAACCCGCTCTGGTGATGCTGTCCATTTTCTGCTTCGGCTTCTTCGGTCTGGCCACTTATCCGGTCAGTCTGGAACTGGCCGTGGAGTGCACTTTTCCGGTGCCGGAGGCCTTTTCCTCGGGCTGTTTGATATTTTTCGGGTAAGCACTAAACCCGTTGGACCCTTTTTTGGGCGGAATAAAAGCCTCCAAGGCGCGGCGCTGACCTCCACTCCCACTCGCGTTGCAGGGGCCCTAAAAGCGCGGGGTAATGGACGCCGAGGAGCGGGGTCAAGTCCGCCATGGAGAGTAGGACTGATTCCCTCGGCAATTGCGCAATTTCAGGCAAATCTTTGGTATAATCTACATAATTGCGACCTCCTTGCTTACCACCGCACCCACCGATCAAATGCGAGCCCATCAGACTTGCACTCGGGTCGATTTGGATGTGGAGATTCTTCAGTGGAATAGTAAGTAAAAAACACAAAAAATTGAAATTTAAATCTCGTACTAGTACTCTTTGCGGGCTCCAACAGACATGTGATTAAAGATTAAATCATAAAAGCGGATTTGCTGACATAAAAGTCACTAAATTATATTACGCTAGACCTAATCAACAAAATTCTAACATTTGATGAATTTCAGCCGCTCAATACCTTTGGATGGGTAGCATAATCGCGACAGCTCTCTTCAGTGTTGTACTATTTACTCCCAAATATCAACGGATGGAACATGAAAAAGAGAAAACACAAGATTTATCCTAATATGACACAAGTCCGAAAAAACAGTGGCTACCACTAAACCGGCGAATAATTAAACAAATCGGGTATCCAAAATAGTCAAATCCTGTGCTTAGCTTAGCGAGAAGAAGAGTCTACTTGTTGGCCAACAATTGTTTCATGCGGTTGAGGGCTGAGCCGGCCTTGAACCATTCAATCTGTTGTTCGTTGAAGGTGTGATTTAATTTTACTTCCTCCTTCTTTCCATCCGAATGTTTCAGCACCAAAGTCAGGGGTTTGCCGGGGGCGAAGCTGGTCAATCCGTGGATGGAGACCTTGTCATCGGGTCTGACCTTGTCGTAGTCAGCGGGGTTGGCAAAGGTGAGAGGGAGCATACCCTGTTTCTTCAAGTTGGTCTCTAAAACAAGGTCAAAATTTAATTTTATCCCCAAAATAAAAGGGCTAAACTGTTTTCATCACATTGCTAATTCTTATTCCCATCTACAAACAGTATTACTTACCATGAATACGGGCGAAACTCTTGACAATAATCGCTCTTCCTCCAAGATGACGGGGTTCCAAGGCGGCATGTTCGCGAGACGATCCCTCACCGTAGTTCTCGTCTCCGATGGTAACCCATTGAATTCCCTTGGCCTTGTAGTCTCTAGCAGTGTCTGGGACAGCTCCATATTCACCAGTGGTCACGTTTTTCACCTAAAATCTCACGTACAATATTTTTCACATCACATATAACATAATTTCCCCTTCAATTAACTTCCTCTTCACTCAAACCTAAATTCAAAGCTCAAAAAAACTAAAAATCTCACCTTGTTCATTTCTCCATTCTCTGCATTGACGGCGGTCAAGAACAAATTGTTCGAGATGTTATCCAAATGCCCTCTGTATTTGAGCCATGGGCCGGCGGCGGAGATATGGTCGGTGGTGCACTTTCCTTTGACCTTGATGAGGATGGTCAAGTCTTCCAGATCCTTTCCATCCCAAGCCTTGAAGGGTTCGAGGAGTTGGAGACGTTGACTTTGGGGGTCCACGATGACTTGGCCCGACTTGCTTGGTGGTTGGTAGGTGTCCTCTCCTGGGTCGTATCCCTTGGCCGGGAGGCATTCACCGGTTGGGGGCTGAAGCTTGAATTTGGAGCCATCGGCGGCGGTGAGTTCGTCGTTTCTGGGGTCAAAGTCCAGACGTCCAGCCAGGACGAGGGCGGTCACGAGTTCCGGCGAAGTGACGAAACCATGGGTGGCGGGGTTGGCGTCGTTACGACCGGTGAAGTTACGGTTGTATGAGGTGACAATCGTGTTCTTTTCTCCCTTCTTCACATCCTTACGGTCCCATTGGCCGATGCATGGGCCGCAGGCGTTGGCCAAGACAACTCCGCCGATCTTCTCGAAGGTCTCGGTGAATCCATCACGAGTGATGGTGGCACGGACTTGTTCGGATCCGGGAGTGATGGTGAAGAGAGATTTGGCCTTGATTCCCTTGTCAATGGCCTAAACACAGAAAATATTAACATCAAAACACAAAAAACTTATACTTGATCCAACAATCCAACTCCGAAAAAACTGAATTTATCCTACCTGTTGAGCAATGGAAGCGGAGCGAGCCATATCTTCGTACGAGGAGTTGGTGCAGGATCCAATGAGACCGACCTTGATCTCCTTGGGCCAATTATGTTGTTCCGCGTGAGCTCCGAGTTTGTCAATGGGATGAGCAAGATCCGGGGTGAATGGACCGTTTACATGAGGAATAAGGGTGTCCAAGTCGATCTCAATCACCTACAATAACCATAATTTGATTGATTTTGCACTAAAAACAAAAAAATGCATATTATCCTTGCCTACCTTATCATATTGAGCGCCCTCATCGGGGGTCAACAAGCTCTTGTACTTGTCCGCTTCTTTCGCGATTCCTTCTCTGCCAGTGGCCTTCAGATACTCTCCCATCGAGGCAGTGTAGGGGAAGATCGAAGTTGTGGCACCAATTTCAGCTCCCATGTTGCAGATGGTTCCCATTCCAGTGCAAGACAAGGACTGGACTCCAGGGCCAAAGTACTCAACAATCGCGCCAGTTCCTCCCTTGACAGTCAAGATATCAGCGACCTTGAGGATGACATCCTTGGACGCAGTCCATCCCGACAATTTTCCGGTAAGTTTGACTCCAATCACCTTGGGGCATTTGAGTTCCCATGGGATGTCAGCCATCACATCGACGGCATCGGCTCCACCAACACCAATACAGACTCCACCCAGACCTCCTCCGTTGGGGGTGTGGGAGTCGGTTCCGATGAGGAGAAGGCCGGGGAAAGCGTAGTTCTCGAGGATGATCTGATGGATAATACCCGATCCCGGCTTCCAGAATCCGACGCCATATTTGTTTCCGGCCGAGCTCAAGAAGTCGTAGACTTCCTTGTTCAAGTCCTTGGCTCTGTCCGTGTCCTTTTTGCTGCCAACTTGGGCCTCGATCAAGTGATCGCAATGAATTGTGGATGGGACCGCGACCTGAGGAAGACCCGAGGAAATGAACTGAAGCATGGCCATTTGAGCGGTGGCATCTTGCATGGCGACTCGGTCGGGTCGCAGGCGCAAGTAGCTGACTCCACGCTCAATCTCCTGGTTCTTGGGATCGTCCAAATGACCGTAGACGATCTTCTCGGAGAGGGTCAGAGGTCGGTTCAGGCGTTTGCGAACAATCTCCACATTGGCCTGGATTTTCTCGTACGGAAGCGTTTTCTCGGGCTCGAATTTGCTGATCGGCACACTCGATCTGACGACGACACTGCTGTGGAAAAGGCGCATCCCACCGCCGAGATTGACGGGATTCACTTTGAACAGCATCTTCTGCAAGGAGAATATAAGTAAAACACCGGGGAAATAAAAAAATGGGAGAAAATAACAATTAAACCCGTCAAGCAGACCACGAGAGTAAACAAGGACCAGCAAAGACAAGAGGAGAAACATGAACTACGTTTTTATATTAATTTAGACATCAAGGATAACATACCAAAAATTTTTTGCAAACTTATCACAAATATACTCAAGTTATTGCTGGATTCCCAGCAGAAAATCGTAAACATCACATGGAGATAAGAAATTCAAACATTTAGCAGCGAAATTACATAAATTTTTGGTAGTTTAATATAACCTAAACGTTCTTTTGCAAAGGAATGTCAACTGACCGTCCAAACAGGCACACACGAGTCCCGATTCAACTAATAAGACTGTTACAAACAAACAGACGTCCGTTTCAGCGGCGGCGAGAGAGTAATTGATAATGCCTCTCCCCAATCAAAACAAACTCCGCTTATGGGGTTTACCTAAAAATAAAATCAAACATCAAAGTACCCCACCTCGAGAGGAGGGGGGAAATGATAACCTTTTGGAAATGGAGCGCCTCGAACTTATCACGGCCTGATCGAAAAGCCGGGAAACGACCGGGAAGTTTGTGGGACAAGTGGGAAAGGCCCGACACAAGACGGACGGGAGCAAAAACTCACACAAAACTAACACAAAACCTCCGGCCGGTCGTCACAATCGAAGAGCTTGCGAATCATATAAAACTTGGCAAAACAATTTTTCGCCTAATCGACGACATAAAAAATTCGTCATCCAGACATGGATAACATGAAAAAAAAATGTTCCAAATGAGATCTGCCCTTGAAATTTTAGCATGTAACTTGTAAATTACTGCAAATCAAAAAGTGAAAATGAAAATCCTAAAAAATAAAAAGCAAAAGGAGTCGCGCTGACCGATTTTCTGGAAACTCCGAATAATCCATCATTTATTCCAATATTTTTGACTAAAATTCGGGATCTCTTGGTTTCAGATTTTCGCGGCTCTGCATAAATACGCTCACGTGCCTTCCACTCGCTGTTTATTCGCATTTCAATGGTCACGATTATATTATTCATAAATAATATTACTCATTTATAGGTCGAATGCTCAACTAATATAAATCACGATGGAAGATGGGATATTCCATCTGGATGAGCTCACAGAGGCCGAAAAAGGACGGCTAGACCAGATTCATCAGCGCAAGGACGAAGTCGTTTCCCGAATTCATGTAGGTGTAAAGTTCATTTGTTTTTTGTGGTTTAGAGCGGTCATTTTTGGAAGAGAAGGGGAGGGCTAGATCTTATGATAAGCTCAGTTGATCTTTGTTTCTCGCGGATCAATGGGAACTGAAGTCTGCTATGATTTTCTTGTTATGATATACGAATATTTCTAGGAATTGGAATCATTGCTGATCCGGAAACAAGACGAAATCGACAGTCTAAACTTGGAGGAGATAGAGTAGGTGACTGTTTTCCGAAACTGTTCTTTGCGCTCTCAAAGAACGAGCACAGTTTTTGTATTGTTCCTTGTTTTAGTTATCACATGGCTTTGCAAGACCCCAAACTCCAAATAAGAGCCTTTAACAAGAAGCCCAAACTGACGATGGACAAGCTGGTGGAAGGAGCGATCTTGGAGAAAGATCCCGCTACCATTGCCAAATATTTATATGAGACTAGAGGGCTTTCCAAAAAAGCGATCGGAGAATACCTAGGTGCAGATGGGGAAGATACAAAATTAGTGCTCAAGGAGTTCATAAAGTTGCAGAGTTTGGAGGATCTGGAGATTGTGCCTGCTCTTCGGACCTTTTTGAACTCATTTCAATTGGGAGGAGAGAGCCAGATCATCGACAGGGTTTTGGAAACCTTTTCGAATTGGTTCTGCGAATCAAATTCGAAAAGTTCGACTTTTATTAATGCTGGTAAGAACATGAAATGAAAATCTAATATAATGTGTAATATCTTCAGCGACGTGTCACACATTCCTCTACGCCGTTCTGATGTTGAATACCTCATTACACAACCCGAAAGTGGTGCATTCCTTGGATTTTATAAAGCCAGCCGACTTCTTGAAGATCTGCGAGGGAACTTCGCTCTCAAAGGAGTTCTTATTGGTAAGTTTAGTTTCTTATTATTGTCTACTTGACTTTTAGAATGTATACAACGAAGTGAAAGCGCATGCATTCGTATACGACAAATTTGCTGACATCACCAAGAATCTTCTTCATCAGTCATCCAAGACTGGATTCCTTTTAAAACAGAGCAGCAAGGGTTGGAAGTGGAACAAAAGATGGTTTGCACTTATGGAACATTGTCTCTACTACTTTGAGGATCATGATGTGAGTGGTTTTCCAAAGTTTGGGATTTGTTTATATTATACTAGCCATCAGACTTGGTACAATATAATTTTTGTTTTTTAGACCTCTGCTCCGCGGGGAATCATCTCATTGGAGTCGATTAGGTTCCGGAAAGTCGAAGATCGTGCTCATCCATATTGCCTTGAGCTATTTTCGGTGACTTCGGATTCAGTTACAGTATGTAAATTGGAAAGTATTGGAACAGTTCCGAAAACAAGTCATGGGACCATAAAATTGGCAGCAGAAACCGAAAAAGACTTGAAGGATTGGATGACGGCCATTGAGTAAGTTGAATCGAGATTTGGGATCAGTTTTTGTCATGAGTAACTTGACCTTATACTTGAAAAAAAAACTTATTAAAGTGGAATAAAATTTGTCTATTTTCAGGCAAAGCGCATGGATTCATGAATATTACGATCTGATTCAACTAAAAAGAACGCGATCCCAGAAGAAGTGACTGCTTTTTGACAGTACTTTTTATGAATGTGATGTCATCTTTTGCATCTTAATCTCATTTTTTATCAATCAACTTTTCTTAGCAAAATTCCCTACGGGTCTCACATTATTTTGTCCAGCAATAATTATCCAGCCTTATTTTCAATCTTCATGGTACTCAGTATATTGTTCCTAAGTGAACATGTATAATATGTAAATTTATACATAATGATTATAAATATTACCCGCGATTTTTAGAAGTGGAAAAATGGTATTAAAGAGTTTGTAAGGGGTCTAAAAGCATAGATCTCATGTTGGAAAGGTTTTATAGATAAAAATTTTAAAATTTTTTCAGTGGTTTCCGGTGATATTAACTGTAAGATGCAAAAAGTGCTGTGAAAAAGTCCGATTTTATTATAATATTTTTTGTTTTGGGTTTTTGCAACCTCCATGCCGCCCTCTGTTTATATTTAGCCTCATAATTTTAATCCATTGTCACCAGGAACAAAAAATCCCAAGCGTTTTCCCTGAGGGGATCGGCGCCCCCCGCCGGCCCCCCAATGGAACAGGCGTATGCTTGATCTCGGAGTGCATCTTCCCTCCTGCCGAAAAGCCTAATCTCCGATGGGCTACATAATGATGCCTCGGTTCCAATTTGCCTTCCGACGAACTTTGTTTTATTTGTTGTTGATCTTGGCCTACCTGGTTATCGGGTCGTTGATCTTCTTCTTCCTGTGGAAACGAGGCTCGGGTTTAAAGGTAGGACAGAATTTTTAGAGACTTGGACAGACATTTGAAGTGCTTCTTTGATCTTTTTATTTGGGATTTGACCTAGGTTTGAGGGGGTTTAGTTGGAGGTCCAGTGCAAGGTAAGGTGAAAATTGAATACTAATGCGATGCAAAATAGAATTAGTGCTTCAGATGTAGTAAAGGTTGCAATTCAATATAAAATTTATTGGAATGTCATATGCCACCATATGCTTGATCATCCATTCACTTTTTTTATTATACTTGACATTCATTGCATAATTTCGCAATCAAATGGCAATTGCTGTAAAACTCGAACGATTAGACTTTTAAAAGTATGAATTAAATGATTTATATGTTATTTCACAAATTTCTGTTCAATAAATTCAGCTGTTGCTTCAGCTGGCTAGCTGTGTTTACCTGTTTTATCTAAAATGTCATCATCACTTTCCAGGCTATTGGTTCATCTTCAGAACGTCTTGATTTCGAGCGTGCCGAGCTCCTCAATGTCCTTTATGCCGAAGCAATTGGGCGACAAGGTAAAAGACTATCAAAAATTTTTAAAATTTGGATTCAGAACATGACTGGTCACTATTGGCCAATCAAAAGTTGGATTCGTATGAGAAATCGTTGAGTCAGCGGATCGAAAGTGGGCAAATCGCACCTCGAAATCGACTGAAACCGTCGTTTGGATTGGCTTTCCGGCATTGTTTCTCATTGATCACAACAATAGGTAAGGGAGTTTTTGCAAAGTGAAAAAAAATTTTTAAAATTTTCAATTACACGAAATTAAATTTTAGTGTTTTTTTTAATCCACAAAGGAATTTTAAGGCTGACAGACCACAGTGACATACCTTTTTTACAATAAAAATAGTCCAAAAATATCAAAAATCACCAATTATATTACTTTAGGCCCTGTTGATATTGATGATTTGAACATTGAATCCAAAATCTTTTCCATGTTCTATGCCGCTTTTGGGATCCCTTTTGTCCTCCTCTACCTTGGACAGTGTGCTCGAGCAATCACATCGGTCATTTCTGGAGTCAAACAACTTCTTCTTCTACTGCTTTCAGTACTTTTTTTGGTTTCAATTGCTTATGATGTGGTTGAACAAGGAGCTGATGATACGGTAAGTTTGTAAGGGCCTTAGGGGATGTTGGAATTTTTAGGGGTTTTTGAAAAAGGAAATTTAACAAAAAATATGTTATACTTGGAAAAATATTGTTGGAATATAAAAATTTGGCAAAAATAAGTTAAAGCTAGTTGAAATAGAGTGTTTTTTGAGAAGAATATTGTAGATTATGCCTCTAACAGGCAGTTAGACAATATATTTTAGCCGTTCATTGATGCGATTCTCTCCGTTTTCCTTCAAATGTCCACCATCGGCTGTGAAGATGACAAAGATGAACTCCCATCGATTTTGCTCTACATTTCGGCGGCGTTTGGAATCTCCGCCTTCAGTGTGACATTCACCGCCATTCAGGAGGAAATTGAGCGATTAATCGGGCCCTACGAATTGAAATTTACTCATCAATATGCGAAAATGGAGCGAGCGATCAGCGGCTCCAGACTGGAGGTTCTCCAAGAAGACGACACCGAGGACTACAGTGAACACACGTCGTAATGGGCAGCGAGAGGAGTGTAGAGGGGGTCATAAACAACTGTACATTTATATTTCACTGCCTTTTTATTTTATATTTCGATCGGGGAATAATGAATGTTGATTTGAATAATCATTTCATGGTGATCATGGCTGTAGACAGGATAAAATATAGAAATATTATAGATGTAAATATTTTAAAAAATTTGGAACAATATTAGAAAAAAAATATTAGAACTTGGAGGTCATCAAAAATTTGCGTTTTTTAATATTATTTTAGCCTAAAATAAGGTCAAAAAATTTAAAAGAAGTAAAAATATAGATTTTAATTCGATGCAAAACATCCTAAAACTTATTAATGGCATGATTTTTTCATGGAAATCTTAAAAATGCATCAATTAGAGCCAACTTTTATATTACACTAGACGTTAAGCCAAAAAAATTCTTTTTCTAGACTAATATTCTAGACAAAAACGTTTCTTTGAGGATCCCAAAAATCGAAGCCGATTGAATTTCGTTGACCTGCGGCACCGCGAATCGATGAGATCTCCGGCGATAGGCCGTCGGACAATCTCGAATGGGACCGTTTGGCTGGGCGCTGAGTTTGGTGAACTGGAAACAATGGGATTTCGTGGAATTCGGCGACGAAATTGGATGGCCGTCCTTGTCAAACCCAATAAAATGTCCGTGTCGCCATTTGGATTCGAATTTGGAATAGCCCGACTTTTGGAGGCGCTCCTTGAATCGACAGCGATAGGAGGGGGTGGACTGAAAAAAAACAGATGATTTAGAAGGAAGATAACGCCACAAGTATATGAAATTTGGCATAATTGATAAGCTATGTCTATATTTTGACTCGTAAAATTTTCAAATTGAAACTTACAAAAATAACCAAGTAATAAATGGATTACGGTAGATCAACATATTTTGATGACTTCAGAAAAAAAAGTATACAAAGATGAACTAAAGTCCAAAAAATTTCAATTAAAAACTATGTAGACCATATCCCAGCACTGATCACGCTATTCTGACTACATTAAACCATGTGTTTACCTTTGGAACCAACTGAAATTTGGAGTTGAAGCAAAGATATCTCTTTGAATGGACCTGTTGAAGCATGAAACTGTCATCCCAGTCATTTTTGAGCACCGTAAACCTTGCTAAACAGTTTGCGTAAAATCTTTGTTATCTCAACTTACTTAGACAGTCATTGTCACCCTTTCCGAGAGCATTAACATTACCCAAAAATAGCTGGACAAATCCATGACTGCATCTGTTATACAACCTCCATTCAGCTACCATGTTTACTTCATCCGTTGCAATAACGGTGCGTAATGTGGCCACAACCTCGTTTAGAGTTAGAGTTATGGTTGAGAGAAGAGTTAGGAGACATAGGCTGGAAAATATGGGAGATATTTGGTTAAGTCATCAAGTGTAATATCATAGAAAAAAATTGTTTTTGATGAGTTTTGATAGTTATAAAACTATGCTAAAAGGCCAGAAAGGATTACTGTGACAACAGAACTACGGGAAGATGTATTAATATGGACCAAATCAAGATATTATTTCAACTGATCAAGTGTAATATAAAATTTTGCCAAATATTGACGGGAATGTAAATCTTATACAGTAAAATGGCTTTAGCAATAATTATCACCTTAGCAGTTACTTCTCTCCCATTGACTTCAACTACAGTACCCCCGTTACACCTGGCGAACTTACAAAAGGCTCGGACCGGAAACATTTCTCATTGCATGGCTCGGAAATGGGACGGAAATTACATTCGAAATAATATTTGAGGCGAGGAAAATGGAAATTACGGTTTGATCGGAGGCGAAGAAGCGGAAGAATGGGTTCTCCAGAATCAGCGCCGCCTTTTTTCCTTATTAATCCCATCAAATTTCGCAGGAATTGCCGTGCAATCCCCTCCACACCACTTGAGCTTGCTCCCATTCCCAAACAACTCGCCCCAATCTCATCCCCGGGAAAGATAAACCGATTTTTGGGTACGGTTATTGCGATGGGTGATTTTAATTAAAATTCAATAAGAAAAACAGTGATTCAGAAGTGACGAAAATAATGGAAAATTATGGAGAACGGAGTGACGTATTTTACCGTTCCGATCAGAAATTAACTTTCGAGGGGATCGGTTAAAGTGAGATTCTTTAAAATCAAGTTTAATGTGGAATATAATGGTAAAGACACAATTCACCATGCTATAAAGAGGCTGACGGTTAATCTTTACCTATGGCAGAACAATAAGAGAAGAATTGGAGTCTTGGAACCAGCAAAAATCATCTTCCAATATTCACCATGATTCCTAATATCAAAAAAAAAAAATTAATTCACTGTTTGACAATTGAACGTCCCAATGGTATCTTTGAAAATCTCAACGACTTCCCACTTATTCACAAACATTTACTTACATTACGAACGCGTATTTTACCTTTTCCAATATAACTTTGACACTTCGTCGAAAAATCCGAAAGTGACACTTCGTCTTCATAAATTTTACTTTTTTTTCTGGCCAAAAAACTCCGAGCTCCGAGAAATCTTGGACAACCATGGCCAAGCAGATCCGTAACTGCTACGTGCATAAAAAGTACAATCGATGGTGGCGATATCTTCCTCGACGTCAAGATGGCAAAAGGGAATATGACTTCGAGAAGAATGAGGCTTTGCCCGAAAATTTCGAAGAGAAAATGGATGGAGAACCCCCAAAACTTTGGGTTGCTTGGCTCTACCGAAGTCCGCAGGCTGAACCGAAATGGACTCAGGCAAGGTAAGAGGTTTATCTTTTGTGTTTTTTATGGTTTAGGCTCATGAATAATATCCGAGAAATATTGTGATGTGAAATTGAGGGTTGAAATTTTGTTTCTAAACCTTTCTAAAGTGAATCGAAAGGCTTTGATAATTATTTTGGCTATTTTTTGGTTATTGTATTATACTAGACTAAAGTAATTCCAATTTCAGAGTAAAAACCTTGTTTGGCGAAAACTTTGAGCCCGGAAAGATGACGATATTCCGCAACACAGCCGATGTGAACTTGGAATTGTGGAAAATCAAGCACTTGATCGATTTGAAGCCTCTTACTTTTCCTAATGGCGAACCGACCGAAGCTGATATTCCGCATCTTACGGTCAACGCTGATGGGCAGGTAATAATCAACAGGGAGGCCAGGACAAATGATCTTCCACTTATTGACGAGAAGAAGGGCTTCCACGAAGGTTATTTGAGGGGATTTTACACCAAAAGATTCAATTCCTTGAAGGATGTATATCCTGATACTGTATATAACCCGTCTAAGATTACTATCATGGATTAGATTTTTTTTGAATATTATTTAGGACGTTGTTACCTGGGTTTGCTTTGTTGATTTTGATTAAATTGATTTTCTTATATTGGAGGAAGCGTAATATGTTGAATACTTTTTTTATACCTAAAATAATATTTTTTCTTTGATCTTTTCTAATTATTAGATCTGTTATTTTCTATATTTCATATGGTAGAGAGTAAATTCCGTGGAATTGTGTAAATAGCGGGATTTTTCGAAAAAATTTTATCTTGTGGTAGAGTATAATATAAATCCGTGTGCCAGAGTAAAAGTTCCGTGGCTTTCTTTACATTTTGTCTCCCTAGACACTCCACTCCGTTCGTTTTGTCTTTTCGCAGTCCAATTCCCGGCCGAATTCCCCTAGACTTTTTTTATTTCCCTCAAAAAACAAGTCTGCCCAACACGTTTTTCTTTATTGAAATCAAACTTTTGCCTGTTTGTTATGCCGCCCGTTGGGCAACTTGCGCTGCCAATGCGTCGGCTCGCGCTGTTAGCGTCTCCACATCGGTTTCTCGCTGAAAATAAGGGTATGTTTGTCGTACGTTAGTTTTAGCCTTTTTTCAATTGTTTACCTTTCGAATTTCCTCCATGAGCCTTCGATCTAGCACGTTTTTAACGGTTGTAACGGACTCGGCCAACTTCTGGATGGCCACTTTGCATTCGTCGATGTCTCGTTTTAACGCCGACTGGGAAATGATGCAATAATTTTCGTGTATAGGTCAAAAATTAAAATTTGATTTTGAAAGGGATATTATGACAAAAATGGCATTTAAAAATTGGTTTAAAAATCTCACCGACGATGGAGCTGCTGATCCATCTCTTCTGTCGGCTCTGTTCCTCACAACCAACTTTCCGTAGGCATCTTGAAGCTCTTTGATGGCTTGGTATCTAAAATTATTTAATTTGTCATATTTTTCGATTTCTTACCGTTCCTCTTCCTCATGATCAATTCGTCGAGTCATTTGTTGCTTCAGATTGTCCACCTTGGCTGACAGTTCGTTCAGATCTCGAGGAATTTGCCTTTCGACCTTGTCTCTCACTCGGTCTTGAGTTCTCTCAACATCATCTAACAGATCGTCCAATTTGGCCATCTGAGATTTGAGTTTGTTTTGTCTGGCATCGTTGCTGTCCGACAGTTTCCCTTGAATCTCACGACGGTCTCGGTTTAGTGCTGAAATTGGTAATTTTTGATAATATTGCAGTACAGTGAGGGACCTGATCCAGTGGCAAAAAAAGTATCATTTTGCATCAGGGAAGTATCAAAAATGTGGCAAAATGCCTCCCTCTCCAACTAAAAAACTTCCGTTTTTAACTGCGCGTCCTTTCCCTCACAAAAAGAATGCAAAATGATACTTTTTTTGTCACTGGATCAGGTCCCCACTGTAGATAAAGATTGGACAAGAAATTTTTTTCTCTTGTTCCAAGAATGCCTTACAATGTTGCATTCTGGATATTTTTTCCTCCAATTTGAGCAGTCCTTCCATACTAAGCTTGTTTTTATCCGCTGCTATTCCCTCAATTTCCCGGCGAAGCTAAAATCATCAAGTATAAGGTAATATAATACATGGTGTTTTTTTTTGAATCTTACTGCTTCAATATCAATATTAGGCATCTTGGCATTCTCGTTTCCTGCCCGAACTTCATCAACAGCCGCGGAAAGACTGTTCAAATAGGCATTGACCTTGTCTTCTGTGTTTGTCACTCTTCCCAGTAGTCCTCGTTCATGAACTCGTCTGTAAAAGAGTTTTTAGTAGCTCTTTTCTATTATCTGTCTTTTCGAAATAAAAAGTCGTTTGTCATACCGTGCCTGGATCTCCGAGTTCATCAATTTGTCAATCTTTTTGTTGCCGGCATCAAAGTATTTCTGCAGTGTCGCCAGCGCACTGTTCACCTTCTGAAAGCGTTCTTTGTTTTTCGTTTTTTGTTGCTGAATCTGCGCTCTGGCCTGCTCTATCAGCTGGTCTTGATTGCGGAGTCTCTCGTCCAGGTTCCGTTGTATTTCGTTTTCTCTTTCCAAACGGGCATCAAATTGTGATTTCACACTCTGAAATCATAATTTCGTTATTTGGTTGCGTCTGGTAATTGATAACACACTGATCATTTGATGGCTGGTGTCTTTAATCATCAATTTTTTATAATAGACCTTTTATAGGTCGAAAAATAGTTTCATGAAGTATGTTATACTTGCTTACCATCTGAACTCCATTATATTTTTGTAAAAGGTCGTCGCGAAGTCGTTGCTCTCGATCATTCAGATTTCTTGACACTTCCGTTGTGATAAGTTGAATCCGATCGTTTAATCGGCGAGTTTCCTCGTCCAATTTGGCTTTATCAAGGTCTCCTCGTCTTGTTACGTTAGCCAAAAGCTCGTTTCTATTGGCCTCTTGCTGTCGGATGGTCTCTTGTAATCGGTTTATCCTAATAATTAAATACCATAGAGGAGTTACTTACGTATCCTGTTGAGTTTGATTAACTCTAACGCGATCGCTGACTTCTGTGTCAACACTTCTTCGCAACGCCATCATTTGGTTATGGAGATCTCGAATTCTTGAGTCAAGTTGTTGCGTATTCGATTGTAATCGCTGAAAGCACAATGCATTTTGTAGGTTGAATATATCTGAAACCTTTTGATAAACAATTTCTTACCGCCTGATCAGCTAAAGGCCTTGCTTTGACCTCATTGTTGACAGCTATCAAATCATTTGTATGTCGATCAACGGTTCCTTTGATTGATGACAATTCTTGTCCAAATAATAGCATCTGCAACGAGGATACTGCGTAGAAGTTATTGACTTACTCTGTTTTCGATCGCTGAGAGTGCTCGTCGAATTTCGTCCATATCCCGGTTCCTAAAAGCTGATGGATAATATAAGGGTGACTTACGACCCTCCTCCAGCCAAATAACCGGCTTGTCGTTGGATTCGATTGTTAGCGGCTTCATTTTGTCTCCGGGTAATCTAAAATTGTATAGTTAAATGTAGATTATGGGATAAATTTACGTCTTGGGCTCCGAGGAGGTCAGATTGTTGCCGCCGAAGTTGATCGACTTGATTTTGAAGGTCCGCAATATCTCGATTCGCACCGTTTGCCGAATTCTAGACAGATTATGACGTCTTTTTCCTGTTAACTTACCCTTCTCGACAATGGCAGTGTGGCATAGCCTTCTCTAGGCCTTCTTGGGCCTCTCCCGGAAGGCCTAAAATAAGGTCGGAATTAGTCAAAGGAGCGACAAAGCCATCGTTAAAAAGTAAAATACAAAGCTAGGAGACTTACTGAGTACCCTGAATAATATCCCTGGCGGTATCGCGAACTTCCCGCCTTCTTGTCGACATTTTTTCTTATTATATTACAGATGAAACGACCAAAAAAGGAAGGAACGTTTTTGTCTCGGATTTTTAGTATTTCATCCTCTGCTCCTGGCAACCTGACCTTCTAGACTACTCGTAACGCCATGAATTCATTATTGCTTTTTGTTTTTTCATAGTTTTATTTTTGTCGGATATTGGTCTGTCATTTTTTTTGAAAATGTAATCAAATTTTTGGGTTATATTGGTATTTATATGTGAAATGAGATTTTTTCATGAAATCACGTTATGCAGACCCATTTTTCGGAAGAATCTCGATATTTTTTATATTGTACATGATCCGATGGTTCGAATTTTTTTGAATTGACGTTTAAGAAAATTCCCACCACGTTTTTCCATGATAAATTGCACGTTCTTTTCAACTGAATTGCCCGCGTTCTGTTTAACCATTTACTTAAAGTGCCTCCTTTCAAAAAATTTTCACGTTTTTTTCAGTCGGAGCCCCGAAGAATTTCCCAGTTCTCAGACCCGCATAACTTGCCGAAATGTCCGACGATCGAAGCCAAAACAAGGTTTGCCTTATTGTCATCGATGGTTGGGGAGTTCGAGAGGAAAAGCATGGAAATGCGATCGCTAATGCCAATACCCCAGTCATGGACAAGCTATGCTCCGGAAATTGGACCCAATTAGAAGCCTCAGGACACCATGTGGGACTCCACAAAGGACTTATGGGAAATTCTGAAGTCGGTCATTTGAACATTGGTGCTGGTCGTGTGATGGCACAGGTAAATTTTTATATCAAGTGTAATATAGCTTGATTTTTTTTATTGTTTCGGTCTTTAGGATATCGTGAGAATCGACAACTCCATAGAGGATCAGACCCTCATCAAGAATGAGACTTTGGTGGCAGCCGCAAAGCGAGCCAAAGAGAATGGAGGCCGTCTTCATCTGTGTGGACTGGTCAGTGATGGAGGAGTTCACTCTCACATTAAACATCTCTTTGCTCTATTGGAAGTGCTGAAGGAACTTGGCGTCCCAAAGGTTTTCATTCACTTTTATGGCGATGGAAGAGACACCAGCCCTACCAGTGGAGGTAAATTACTTTAGTTTATATTGTACTAGGTATTATTTTTAAGCTTTGAATATTTTAGTTATTAATGGAATTAATTGCAGCCGGATACCTCCAACAACTCTTGGATCACATCAAGAAGATTGGATTTGGAGAACTAGCCACAATTGTGGGAAGATACTACGCTATGGACAGAGATACGAGATGGGAAAGGACATGCGTTGCCTATGACGCGATGGTGGCCAATCAAGGGGAAGAGATCACTGTGGATAAGGCTGTGGAGACCGTCAACAAACGGTACGAGGCTAAAGAAACCGATGAATTTCTTAAACCCATCGTGTTTGGGCAAGAATCCAGAGTAAAGGATAACGATACCATCATCTTCTTCAATTACCGCGCCGATCGGATGCGCCAGATCTCGGAGACCTTTGGCTGCGAACGTTGGAAGACCATCGGCTCCAAATTCGAACACCCCAAGAATTTGCAGGTCTTCGGAATGACCCAATATAAGAAGGAATTCAATCTTCCAGTCCTGTTCCCACCAGTTTCCAGCGATAATGTGCTGGCTGAATGGCTCTCCAAGAAGGGTCTGACGCAATATCATTGTGCCGGTAAGTTTGTTTTAATTTTTTATAGTATTTCTTTGGAGTTTAGGCACGTTTTGGAGATCATTTTGGCAAATATATTGTTTTAGAGACCGAGAAATACGCTCATGTCACTTTCTTCTTCAACGGAGGCCGCGAAATTCAGTTTGAAGGTGAAGAAAGATGCATGGTTCCATCACCGAAGGAGGTACCCACATATGACCACAAACCCGAGATGAATGCGGCTGGAGTGGGAGACAAGGTAAGAAGAGTTTATCTAATATTATTGTTCTGAATTTAGATGGTGGAACAAGTGGAATTGGGAAAACATCGCTTCATAATGTGCAACTTTGCCCCACCAGATATGGTGGGTCATACCGGTATCTACGAAGCCGCTGTAAAGGCTTGTGAGGCCACTGGTAAGTTGAGTTGTCTAGTGCAATATTTCTTTGTGGATTTTTTGGAGTTTGTGACATGTTTTGATGGACCATGTTTTCAGATGTTGCCATTGGGCGCATCTTCGACGCCTGCCAGAAGCACGGCTATATTTGTATGGTAACCGCGGATCACGGCAACGCCGAAAAGATGATAGATGATGATGGAGGTAAATTCACCGCTCACACTTGCTACAAAGTTCCGTTTACCTGCTCCTCGGAAAAGTACCAACTGAAGAAATCCCTACCCGATCGAGAACCAGCCTTGAGAGATGTGGCCACCACCGTTCTCAGCTTGTTAGGCATCGAATTGCCCGAGGAAATGACTGGAGCCGCCTTGGCCTAGATGAAATAATTAGTATCTAATTGTAATCTCTAATTTGAAGATAGGTTGTGCTTGTTAAGATAATAAACCGGTAGATTAAAGAAAATTGGGTGTTTTCGGCTGGAATTTTTGGTATTTTGTCATCATTGATGATATAGGGAATGTAGTTTTTGGCAGCTTTGGATGAAACTTGACGAAAATGGAGCCCTAGCTTGCAAATTACAGAAATTACCGAGGTCTTTGGTAGAGAGAAAAATTTTTGTTGATTTTTGGAGTGAAAAGTTTAGACAGTATTTCCATAAAAAAATGGACTTCGGCGAAGGAAAATTCAACTTGAAAAAGGTATAATCGGAACATGTATTTTTGTCTGGCCTTTTCTCTTCATTTTCTGCTTTCTTTCGTCAAAAATTTTTTGATTACCTTGGCTGTGGCTGTAACAACAAAACTAAAATTTTTCCGGCAACTATTGTGGCCTGTCTAATTTCACTGTGCCAAATTTTAAAAAAAATCTGACATTTTTAAAAAAAAATGGACTCTAATGTTACAATAGATAACTGTAGGATATATTACAAGAAAAAAATTTCTCAGTTTTTTTAGTTTAAGCTGCAGGAAGATACCTATATTTACCCTCCAACTTCTTTATACACATAGTCAATAAACCGTCTAATCCCATTTTTGATCCCTCTGTTTCCTCCACCCCACCTTTTTTGCCAAGACTTTAAACTCGCACCCTTGGGCATTTCAAGGGCCGGCCGCAGGTGTGGAGCCCCAAAAAAGAAAAGATTTGGTCTCGACTCTCTTCTGCATGCCCGTGTTAATAACAACCGCACTGAGGTCGGGAGTTGCGCGAACAATAAAAGTATAATAAATCGGCTCTTTTTTTCCGACTGTTTTACAAAATTTTTGGATGGAAAAGGACGGAATATGGTGAGTAAATTTAGACGTTGTACAAAAGTAATCAGGAGTCGTATTTTAGAAGAGGAAAGGAATAAGAAAAAGGCGAAGGAAAGTGGGAATGTAATCTTGCTGGGTGAGTTTTGGATCTTCTTAATTTTTTGAGTCATTTGAAGGTAAAACAAGGTTAAAAATGACTTTTTGGCGACTTAATCACTACTTTACTAGGTGTTAAATGGCTTCTTATTGTGCATAACGTCTTGTTTAAAAATAAATCTTGATTTTTTCAACGAAATTTTTAGAAAAATAGCAAAAAAATAAAAAATGTCGATTTTTTGTTTATTTAAATTTTATGCCAATTTTTAAAAGTCTTACAGTATTGAAAAGTTGATAAAAACGAAGCTAGTAGTGTCTGACATACCTTTTAAAAAAATCTTTATTCAAAAACTGCCCAAACTGTCTTAAAATTGACAATTATCATCAAAAACCCGGGAATTTTTGTGAAGTTTTTCTTTTTGCCGTAAACTTATTTTAAAACGCCAAATTATTTTTCCATTTGGCTCAAAATACAAAGTAAGCTCTCCTATCTTCCTAACAATAGTTTATTTTCCAGGCTCCAACCACAATTCCATCGCTAATTTGATGAACCTTCTGTGTAATCATGACTCAGCTGACGGCCAAATTCATATCCTCAATTATCTCAGTATTCTGAAAAAAGAATCGAATTCCAAATCTCGAAAGACCCTCAAATTCACATATCTCAACCTAAAATTCCCTTCGCTCTTTCAATTTTCGATGTTTCCAAAAATTTCGGAAAATGTTACAGTAATCGTCTTGAGTCCGGATGACCCCGGAAATGTGATGATGGAGTTGCGAGAGTCCTATATACGTTGTTACGAAGAGTTTCGAAGGATTTTCGGGGAAGATGTGATAGAAAAAATGCGGGAAAACAGTAAGTTTTTTTATAATTTTATTGCAATTTTTAGCTCAAAAATTGTAAATTTTCAAAATTTAGAAAGAAGAGAGCATGAGGATTTATTGGACGACAAAAGATTTTGCTCCGAATATTGTGGAACTGATGTTGTTGTGGTTTTATTGGACTGGGAAGATGACGTTTTGAAATTTAATGAACACAATAAGTTGTTATATCAATTAAGGCAGTTTTGTCATGTCCACGGCGCCGCCTTGGTATGTTTTGTTCATTTTTGAGGGCAAATCGACCTTTCTTTCGGTCATTCAGCCAGTCATTTTGAAGGAAATTTCAAAAAATTCGTCATGATGACTTCTTTAATTTTCATGCTCTGTTGGGTATACGAAAAGGAGGACAAATTTTTTTATAGTATCAAGTCAGCTTGGACAGTAGGAACAAGCTGCTGATGACGTATTTTCTGGATTTTTTATTTCGTAAATTTAAAAAATTCTGATTAAAAATTTTTTTTTCAAATTTACCCCTGTTATAACGTAAAACTACCCTTTTAGATCAGCGTGAACTGTTTGGACGACACAACTATCGCCCTTCTCAGGGACTATCTCCTCCATCTCCTGCTTGACCACCCCTTCGAACCTTCGACTTCCTTCTCCAATATCTCAGATTCTTTCATTCCGATTGCGGGCGATCGCCAAGAATTCCTTCGAGAAATGACAGAGACTTTTGGAGACCTGGACATTGAATTTCCAATCCACAACCGACTCCAGAATGGACTGACGAAAGATTGGGAGGATGATGAACAGAAATTTTTGCAAAAGTTAGAACAACGATTGCTGATGGACCCAAGGGATGGCAAGGCGGAGAACAAGAAAGGTCCGAGGATGACTGTTCAGGAGGAGTTTCAAAAGTTGTTGGAAGAAACGAGGACCAAAGCATGAAAAATGTACAGTGGGGGACCTGATCCAGTGGCAAAAAACGTTAAGATTTTGCATCCGGGAAGTATCAAAAATGTAGCAAAATGCCTCCCTATCCAAGTGAAAAAACTCCGATTTCAAAAGCTCTTTTTGTGAGGGAAATGGCGCGCCCTTCAAAGCGAAGTTTTTTCACTTGGAGAGGGAAGCATTTTGCCACATTTTTAATCCTTCCCAGATGCAAAATGGTACGTTTTTGCCACCGGATTAGGTCCTATGATTCCCCCCTGTAATATAGGAAAATATTGGAAATTTTCAAAAATCACCATCATGATGACGTGGTTTCTGAGTTTCAATAGTTTCATAGCAATCTGTATTGTCTATCTACCAGAATTGATGGTCTGTTTTGTTGATATGTGATTTGACATTTTGGGTATACCTAAATTTCAAAAAAAAACCTTGGCTACACCAAGTACATCCAAAAAACATTTTGTTTAGTTTGAAATTTCCATAATTCTTGAGTTTCCACTTTTGTAATGCAATAAGCACAATTTTATGGTGACATTGACATATCTTATTAACGTAAAATCATAATTTTTGTCATTTTCTTTGAATAAACGGGTAAAGTCAATCCAAATTAAGGTCGTATGCAAAGACTACTCTGCCTCTAATACTGTACTATTATAAAATCACATTCGGCTAACCAAAACGCAATTTTCGATCTCGAGATGGATCTCCAACCGGTATTCCTCGTCCTTTGTCGAGTATTTTAACTGCCATTCCAACGTCGACCCGCGGCGGGTTTTAATTGCTTCGGAACGGTGATGCTGATGTTGTTGCCGGTTGTTTTTATAACCTCGCTTTTAATTGTCGGGCTGAGCTTTTGATTACTCAAACCGACCATTTTGGGGGGCTCAAGATGCGAGAGGAATGGGCGAATCAAAGGAGAGACGTGTTTGGGGATGGAGAAGGTGATATTGATGGGAAAAACAAGATATTTGTTGTCGCTCGGTTATCAAAAATGGATGGAATGTATTTCTGACACACTTCTGTTAATCTTCAAGTGTGTTTTTAGGTTCAATTTTCCGTTATTATCCATAAATCACCAATTTTTATAAAAAAATCCAAAAAATTTTGGAAGGCTTTTTCGCTTACTTTGCGACAAGCTGATATGACATCACTGTAAAAAGCCTATATACTATTTAAGAGCCCGTACTATGAGCATTCAATTGGTATATTCTGCCTACAAATCAGTGAGGTCATTCCGGAGTTACAGCCGGATATTGTGCATGACATCAGAATGGATGTTGATGATTTTTGACATGCCTAAAGTTTGCCGTGAAAACAGATTAGTTCTCAATTCTGATTTTTGACTCTTTTCTATCCTCTAGCATTTACCATTAGGAATTTTTTTTTCAGTATTTCTTCCGGTAAACTTTGTTAACAAAAATTTTTGGGGAAATGATTTGTGCCTCACGCTGAAATTTTCCCTACGAGATTTTGTCAACGTGTGGATAAAATTTCTTTGAAACTCCATTTTTTCAATATACAGAGATCAAAACGACACGTCACAAATAATGAATCAGACATCAACCCCCCTTAATCAATGCCTACAAATTGATCATCCACCTACTAATCTTACTCTTACTTAAAATCAGCTCTTCTGCTGTTACGTCTGTTCTCTTCCGCCTTCAGTCGCCCCTTTGCAGACTCCTCTCCCACCTAATGTCATGTTGATGTCTTGTAATCTGCAAACACGGTTTAAGCGTGTTGTTGGAAGCAGTCATCCCCCTTCCTTCATCCATTCCATCTTTGCCCTGAACTCGGCGGGCGACCTTGAGGCGCGTTCGCTTCGAATGCCGCAATCCCGCGCCCCCTTCCTGTCTCCGGAGAAGGCTTCTTTAATAACGATTATTTTATGAAGTTTTTGTATACGCGCGCTTACTTCTTCCCATCCGTTTTTTGTGTTCCTCGTTCCTAAGACCATCTACAAACATTTACAAAAAAATAAATCATAAAAAAAAGGGGGGGGCGTTGGTGGGTATTATAATTGTTTGGATGATAACGCAGACATTTCTGAATGTAATTTCTCTTATAAAAATTCCATTATTATTTTTTAATTTATAAAAGCAGACTAATTTCCCCTAGGGGAGCAATTTCGAACTGTCGGAGTTATATATTACCCGGAATATTACCCCATATTACCTTATTTGGAGGTCATTTATTGCGTTTATTGTATGCCCCTTGGTTAAATAACTGAACCTGCCCTTTTATGCGTCATTGTGCATACAGTAGAAACTGGTTAGGAACGGGATTGTTAGAGCAGTGAGTAAGGGGGTTGGGAGGCAAATGATGGTACTTATAAGGATAGTATTGCACTGAATAGGCTCAAATTTTTCGTGGAAAGTGCTAGAAGGCCAAGGGCGAATTTTGATGATATTTGGCGCAAGGTAATTTCAAAAAATTTAGTTCGCGCTTTGCAGACAACGCAGATATTCAAAGAATTTTGCATACGTGAGAGTATGCAAAATGAGGAGAGATCAGAGAAAAACGCTTTTTGCCATAAATCTGCCAATTTTGGGGGTGAAAAAAATTTTTTTGGCGAAAAGTTCTTCTTTACGGTAGAAATAAGGCTGCAAATTTAATATAAGCATAAATCGGCAAGAAAAAATTTGAGTTTTTACCAACTTGCGGCCAAAAAAAACCCATTTGCTTTTGCAAAGCGCAAGTTAAAAATATTTCATAGAAAAATGCAGTCTACTTTGTGCCAAATTACAATAAAATCCGAGCGTCGCCCCTCCAGCAGTTCCCTAAAATTCAAAAATTTGTCCCGCACAACTTTTCCAAATTTACAAACCTTCCCTACTTCCCCTCCAAAAATTACCCATTTCCAAAACTTTTGTCCCGCCGACCTTAAAACAGCGTTAAGGTGCGGCAACCTATAACAGCAATTATCCGGTTACCTTGCTTCCCGGTCTGCTGGTTCCGTTCCTTTTTTTGTGATTCTAATTTAAATAGTAATGCCCGTTGTTTGAACCGGTTCCCTTACCCTCGAATGTTATTTTAATTAAAATTCTCTCGACTTTTCTGTCTCGATTCTGACTAATCATTCAGGAGGAATGGGCTTCTGGAAACTGAGACTGATCAGTGGGGCGATTTTTTATTTAGTTTCCGAGATTTTTTGATTTCTGTAGGCATTACAAAGTGCTGAAGAATGTGGAAGTTTTGATGAAAATTGGAAATAAATTCGGAAATTTTTTTCAGCTTGCGCTATGCAGAAAACATCGATGATTTTTGGGTAAAAAATTGCCGAAAAAATTTGATTGGTACAAGGCCCAGTTTTTTCAAAATTAAAGCCAATAATTTCAGCGTTTTTTCACTTATTTTTGCAATTTTTCTTTATTTTTTCAAGTCAAATACAAAATTAGAGGAGCTGAAGGAGCATTTGAAACGCAAAAATAAATAAAATCACATGGGATCCGGTTTTGTCTGACGTAATTTTGGAGAGGATGAGAGGAAAAAAGAAGAAAAAGGGCGATTCCTCCCTCTGATCGGCTTTCCTTTTTCGGAATATAGGCTTAATCAATGGCTAATTAGCAAAAAAAGAATAAAAAATTGAGGAGGAAATAAAAAAAATGGGGAGCCGATGAGGTTGTATTTTCAGTTATGTTGGTTTTAATGAGCTTAATCATGCTGTGGATGACAGGTTTCCTGTTTTAATTACACGATTGCATAACGATCGTTAGTGTGGAGGAGGAAGTTGACGGGGATATACGATTTGGCGTTAATTTTTACATTATTGCAGTGTGGAATGTTTGGGTTTGAACTTGGAATTTCATTTTTGATAATTAGGATATCTTTTTTTGCAACATTTTGTAGGGTATCCAGGTCTCGATTTTGGCAATTTTTAAAAAAATTTTGGAACTCGGAAACTTTCCCATTTTACAGGGGAAGTATTCTAAGTGCGACGCTCAGATTTTGATGAAACTTGGCACAAATTTAGAATATTTTTTTCTAAGATATATGCGAGAATCCTAGCTCGCGCTTTGCAGAAACAATCGAGACTTTTAGATTGAAAGTCGGCCAAAATTTAGGACTTTTTGCCGAATTTCGGCACGAAAAGTTTCATGCCTACTTCAACAGTAAAGGATAATGTTTCTACAAAAAATCAAATTTTTCCGCACGAAACTGCCAAAGTTATGGCCAAAAAGCGTTTTTCTCTCTGACCGCTCTCCACGTTTAGCGTGCTCTCTCGGCGGCAAAAATCGTTCGACATCTCGGCGGCGCCTGCAAAGCGCCAGCTAAAATTTTCAGGAATTGATACTTAGTCCATACCCGACGTGTGTGCAAAATTTAAAGAAAATCTGAGCGTCGCACTTGGAGTACTTCCCCTGTTAGTTAATTGTAGACGTTACGGAAAGAACATAGGGGTTATTCCGGAAAGTAAATTTTTCTGACCCAAAAAGGAAATTTATGACCCCAAGCGCGAACCCCACTTCCACAGTTCGTATGTACAATATATTCGAAAAGTATTCGGATTTTTGTTCGATTCAAATTTTGAACAACCGAAATCGCTATTTTCCAAAATTTTTAACGATTTTTGAAAACATCCAAAAAATTAAATCTCAATTTTATCTTGCACTTGGTCACCCCCTAGCTAATGCCCTAGACTTCCCGTTTTTACACAACCGTTTTAGATGACTCAAAAAGGAACCGCCATCTCACCTAATTCTTGATCATTTCGCAGATTCTTGACTGTTATTTCACTAATTAATAAAACCGCCCTTGACGCGAACACATTCTTACTGCAATCAGAAGGTGATGAGTAATTGTTAAGAACGCGAAGATGGGGTACCGGGGATAGGGGAAAGGCAGACGGAGACAGTTTATGAACACTTTTTTAAATAAGTTTTGGATTTAGTCCTCTATGGGAATTTGATTTTTAGGCGTCATTTGGCCAAAAAATTCTGATATACGAAGAACCTTTGAAGCGCGATTTTATCATACACAGTGATAAATAACGTTAATCTTAGAGGTAATTACTGTAACTATATAGTTTTACTTCTTATCTAATCGGTTGTTTTGACAAAAAAGAACAATTTGTCAGACAAAACTATAAAAAAATTGGCAAAATTCTATAAAAACAAAGTTTTACATGACTGAAAATGATGCCCATCTTTTTGTAAATTTTTTCTTTTATTTATGTTTTCAATTTTTTTCATTTCCTTTTATTTATTTTGCACTGTGCATCATCCCCTAACCTCTCCGTTTAAACTATTTAATTTACCCGTCAATTCGCCCTCCCCCTTCGCCATTTTTCCCATATTTCGATCAATTGATTTGACGTTGTTTTTTCGCGACCAAATCCCCGGAGGTCATCCCCGCCGGTCTCACTTCCGTTTCCTTCGCGGCGGGCGTGGCACGGGTCAGGCAGGTAGGAGGAGAGCGGCGGGGTCATCACCCCGATTCTTTCGCCGGAGAAATCTCAGCGCGTTAACAAATTTGGTGGGCGAGACGAGAGCGGGAAAGAAAAACGGTCTCGGAATCTCTCCATTTCCCCTAATTCCAGCCTTTTCATCAGGCGAACGAATACAGAAAAAACGAGTGGAATGGCCGACTCGAAGGACTACGAGGAAAAGGTTGGTGACTAAACGAGCGCTTTTGTATGACAGGGGGGGGGCTGGATTAGAGGAATTAATCGTCGCAAACAGGCTTTCGAGGTGGCTAACCTTGACGTTGAAAGTTTTTGGTAAATTTTTGTAGAATTTTGACAGCGACTACGTCTAATAATTTGTAAGGGAGTTGTAGAATCTTCTCTTTCGCATATCAAAAAACAAAATTTTTGAGCTTCAAAAAATGACGTCATTTTTCGCAATTTCACATTTTTTCTGCATAAATTTGCGCCAAACTAATTATATAGAAACTGGGATAAGCTAGTGAGAAATAAAAGCAAATTTTGTCAGTGCCAATGACATTGTATGGCATTAAAAAATAACTCTGCCAATTTTCAGTCTCCCTCGCACGAGACGGTCACCGTGGCCATGCCATCCACCGAGTCCCAGTCCGCCCAGCATCGCTCGATCACCGAGAGCGCGCAGTTCAAGGTTGTGACACCCAAGTATAAAACCGGCGACAAAATTGTGAGTTATCTTTAAAATTTATTGTACTTGTATACTCCCCGTACAATGTTTTGACCCCCCTCCTAACTCCGTCCAAAGTGTACTAATTCGGACCAAATTTGGTATGTAGTATACTCACAGGCTAGTAACAAAAAATAACATAGCAGGACATACCTTATAGTTGAATTTCAAAAGCTAGGGGCAATTTTCAAAAATCACCTTAAAAAATCGAGGAAAAAGTTTTGACCCCCCTTAAAGAAAGTTAGATATCGCCAGCAGATGCCAAACTTATTGTAATCGACGTCCCATACCTGAATACAGGCTAATATATGGTTTTCCGTTGAATGCTTCGTTGCATTTGAGGATTCAACGCGTTAAACCGTTTTTGATGTAGAGCTGCCCAAAATTGTAAAAATCTTGCCCTAGCGCTTTCCTAGAGCTCTAAATTGGGTTTATATTACGTGCTTTAGACCTGTATTTACCTTCTCCTTTCAACAAAAGTGCATGGTGGCCTGGCGGTGTAGATTCGGCAGATACCCTCTTGTCATGCCCAGCCTTGGTGAGCCATTTGCTCTTTGACTCAAGGTCGAGATGTGGTCATTAGGTCCTCAATGTAATCCTGAGACTCCTAGTTACTCTCAGCAATGTAAAATGTTTTGATTTGACACGTTTTGTAATGGGTTTCATTCACCTTAATCTTAACTTTGCCGTTACTGTAGATGACCCCGAGTACGATGACATCACCACCTCCCATTTGGCGTTTCATACGTCTCAAATGAGTATGGTAAGTGCTGTAGCGTCTTAAATTAACTGGTCCATCAAATGAAAGCTGTCTTTGGGTGCTAAAAATCCATTTGAAAAACGCGGGTTTTTCGTTAAGGTGCAGATCGGCGAAGTTGCGCCTGCAAACCATATGAGACCGTGTCAGCCGGAGTTTATTTTTTCTTTGAGAGTAACTAGGAGTCTCAGGATTACATTGAGGACCTAATAACCACATCTCGACCCTGAGTCAAAGAGCAAATAGCTCACCAAGGCTGGGCATGACAAGAGGGTATCTGCCGAATCTACACCGTCAGGCCACCACGCACTTTTATCGAAAGGAGAAGGTTAACACAGGTCTAAATCACATAATATAAATTCAATTTAGAGCTCTAGGAAAACGCTAGGGCAAGATTTGTACCATTTTGGGCAGCTCTACATCAAAAACGGTTTAACGCGTTGAATCCTCAAATGCAACGAAGCATTCAACGGAAAACCATATATTAACCTGTATTCAGGTATGGAACGTCGATTACAATAAGTTTGCGTGGCATCCGCTGGCGATATCTAACTTTTTTTTAACGGGGGTCAAAACTTTTTCCTCGATTTTTTAAGGTGATTTTTGAAAATTGCCCCCAGTTTTTGATATTCAACTATAAGGTAGGTCCAGCCATGTTATTTTTTGTTACTAGCCTGTGAGTATACTACATACCATATTTGGTCCGAATCAGTACACCTTGGACCGAGTTAGGAGGGGGGTCAAAACATTGTACGGGGAGTATAATATCACACTTGACTGGCCTACCATTTACAACAATAATCACTTGATTTGACCTAAATATTCATTTTTTAGTCATCGGAAATCAACCTTGGCGGCGCCACAGTGTCCTCTGGACACACTTTACGCGAAAGCAATGGGGAATACCGATCAGAGCATTCGCAAGAACAGTTCAAGATGCATGTCATCGACCCCAAAGTCAACTCGAATGCCTATATCCCCGCTCACACCACATCTTCAGTTGTAAAAACCCGAACTATCACCGAAGACTTTCCCAGTCATCACAATAAAAGATCACTGCTTAATCTGGACCCTGTGGAACAACGGAAATTCAGGGTAGGAAAAGTGTCCTTTTGTCATTTAGTTACTAAAATATTTGTACTCATTATGAGCCATTTTTAACTTCGATTACAATTTTAGAGTGTTGAGACTCGGCCGATCACAACAAACGCCTACTTAAGCGAGAGTGTGAATCGACATCGAGCGGCCGAAGAGTCCAAACTGAAGCAATACTTGAAGGCCAAAGAAGGGGATGCCAATCAGCCCTGGAACAAGCCGGATTGGCCTGGAGCTAGTGTAAGACCTCTTGTTGAGGATACTAATCTATTCTTGGCACTTTCAGCAAAACCAGGAGAGTCTACGAGAGTTGGAGCAAATCAGAAAGGTGAGAATTACTTTACATTTTAAGTAGAGACTTATGACGTCTAAACTAATGCTTTTTTGAATTTTCAGAGTATCGAAACGCTACAAAAGGTAAGTTAGTGTCAGTTCTTGTCTTTCCTTGTCTTATCTTGTCCTTCCTTTCTACTGGAATATGAGAATGATGGCACGGAGTAAAAGGAGAACGCCTGAATTCAAATCTACTGAAAACGAGCCGTCTTGGGACCCAATCTCCTGCTAATGGAGCTCTCTAACGCCAAATACGCTCCATATCATGGCATATCACGGACCAGCCGCAGGTAAGAGCCCGCTTTAATTGTGGAGGCGGGGTTCATGAGAGGCGCGCATCGAGCCCCCTTTTTCTCCCGATCCCTGCGCTTGGCCGGGTGCGCGATCTTCCAAGGGGAAAACGCAGGATCAGCTTCTTTTTTCCGGTCCCTCTCGTGGGTGTTTATCTTAGACGATCCCGGGGCCCCGGTTATCTGCCCCCTCCGGCCTTCTCTCGCACTTTGACACTTCAACAACCGCCTTTGTCCTGTTTACAAAACGCCTTTTTTTGTTGTAATCCTTGAACCAAAACTAATAATTTCCGCTATCTTCGCGGTGTGTACATAGGAATTTGGGGGGATGTGCTCCGACGCCAGTGCTCTGGACGCAATATGTCCAAAAATATCTAGACGGCCTTTGTTTTGAGGGGATTTGATCAGCCGCGTGTCCTTGGGCCTGACAATGACCACTGTTCCTATTCAAATACAACAAATTTGGGGGGTTTCAAGACATTTCCGTTTTATGTAGTCGCTAGTATGCCCGTGGAAAGTGTGTACGAAAATTTGCGGGTAGGAAGAGCTGTTGAAAGTTTTTTATCAAGTCTATTTACTTTTAATTCGCCTATTTGTTGCAGGAGTTCGATCGCGAGGCCGGGCCGGTTCAAAGTTATGACAACTACTGTCTAAATGAACGTTACTATCGCCAACGAAGACTTACTGAATACGAAGGTTATCAAGTAAGTTGTTTTGATGATTATTCTGTTTTAAAATACCAACTAATCTAACCTTGAAGTTTACACAAATATTGTAGAACTACCGCCCAATGGTCCCACCACCACCACCCCCTCCTCCCCCGCCACCAGCTGCCAAATCGCCCAATAAACTCCAATACCAACCGGGAATGACCAACAATCTGAGCTACACTCCCTCAACGAATCTGCCCAAGTCATCGATGAGTCAAACAAGACCACAGACCGCCTCCTTCAACGGGCCCTTCTTCAAGATGGAGGAGGTTTCGCCTCAAGATATCTCTTATAATCTGAAATACCAACAAAACGAGATCGACCGATCCTCGAGGTACGTGGGGAATGGAGGAGAAACGGTGGTTGTTTGGCCTCCGAACAGAGAAGAGGAGCATCCGAGGCCCACCTCAAGCCGATCGTTGAGGGATCCGGATCGGGTTGGCGAATACGAACGACAGAAACAGTTAGAATCCATAGCTATTCAACAGAAGAAACAAAAGGAGCAGGAGAACCTGGCAAAGCAATTCAAAGCAGCCCAACTTCAACAACAACGGCTGGAAAGTCGAGGATACGACACTGGGAGATTATCAGCTGAATACAAGCAAGAATACAAACAAGCGACGCCATCACCCGCTCTTCAGTCGGAGCCAGGACCAAGTCCAATGCTACGAGTCTACGAAACCCGCCCAATATCAGCTCAATCGGCCGATTCGGCAAACAATCAGCCCAGTTGGCGGAGGACGTACATAGTGGAAGAGCAGGAAATCGCGGCCAGGAATGAGATCATCAAGAGCGAAGAGGTTTTGGAGCGAGAAAAGTTCGACATTGACCTTCTACAGCGACGAGACACCTTCGTGGAGAAGCCAGAGACACCGATTCAGATACAGAGGACGGGTAGAAGATGGGAACCTCCTCCAGAAGAGCCCTACGTGTGGCCAACGGCCTCGAGGAATGATGCCGAATTCAAATGGGTTCCTGTGGTAGGGGACCCGGGATATAAACACGAAACGAACGCTTTTATTCCTACACCTTCACCACCACATTCACCAATCAAAGGACGAGGTAAGAGCAGCACTAATGTCTACGTAAATCGTCAAAAGCATCTTGGAGAGGCGACAGAGTTCATAATAATTGAATTTTTTAGGTACTGGCCCCTTAGACGACGTTGCTCAACGACAAACCCGACATCTTGTCACCCCACAACCCGATGGAAGTCATAGACCCAAATCAGTATTCAAATCGCCTAGATCTACCCCAAGCGGCGGCTTCGTACCTCACGCACCAAACGCTGTTAGAGTTGCCAGGGATTCGCCTCAACCAACGAATGAACGAAGAGTTATTCAAGAGAGCAGATATCGAGTTATCAATGACTCTAGGAGGGAGGGAGAAGGTAAGGATTAATCTCTAAAGATAATTAGACATTGATATTACGGAAGTAACACTCTAATTTTTAGTCGTAAATGACTGGGAGAAGATCTACGAGCTTCCTCCACATGCCTCAACATTAACGGAAAAGCAGCCACCCAGACGAATCGATGTCTCAAAACGGACGGAAATGTTCGAAAAGCGAGTACGACGAAGTCACAGTGCTCATCAATCTGTATGTCGGTTAAAAATAGTTTTTTTATATCTACTACAAATATCACGAATCAAGTACAATAGAATTCATAACCCAAGCTCCAATTCGAAAATTTTTCAGCGACATCATAGCACTCCGCTCACTGTCATCACCGATCCCCACGGCCGAAAAAGCTCGCATCAACCAATTCCCACGATTCGACATTCGACGAGATCGGACAGTTATCGAGACGAAATTCCATCAAGACCTTCGTCGGCGAGGTCTCAAAGAGCTGCGGAGATATTCAACGAAGCCACCAGGCCATCGCCACCTCCTCCGAGCTACAATCGCGCCAAACGATATGTTGTGCCGGCATTGCCACCGGGCAGAAAGGTACGGTTTTGAGATTTTTTGAGGAAAAAACACGCAACACAAACTTTAAAAAAAATTGGGAACTTCTTTTTTTCGGAAAATACAAAAATTGTTTTTCTCTTGTGGCATTATGCCAAAGGCAAGATTTCGTTCCGAGACCTTAAATTTTTTTACAATTTTGATTTTTTTAAAATTACAATATGAAATAAATTCGTAATGGTCAAATTTTTAGGAAAAGTCCCGCTCCTCTCCGCCACGACCTCCTCCCGGCAACACTCGCCGTCTGTTGGGGGTGGTACAAACCGCGGCCTCCAGCCATCAGCATAATCGACCACTCAGCGCCTCTCTGCAGGTCTCGCCGGATGTGCACAGCATCTCGCCAGCCAGCAGCAAGTACCTCTGAACGGTTCCACTGCCATCATTCTCATACTCGGGTCCTCCTGTAATTATTGGATTCGGCCGCAGATTCGAATCCCTTGCCTCTTCTTTTTCTCTTTTTTGTCTTTCCTTTTTTCTCTCTTGATCGATGCAACTTGTTGACGATAATCGATTTCATTTCCGGTGCAGGTGTCAGCAGAGCCACGAACGGTAAGTGCTTGTCGTAATTTGGGGGAGGGCTGTATTAGATTAATCAAAAAAAAAATCAAAAAACTTTAACGGTTATATTCAAATTAAAAAAAAATTTTTTGCATACAGCATCGATCAGGTTGATCGTTGAAAATTAGGGTTTAATTTTCGTCTCGTCAATTTCGATTGTCAAATTGAACTTTTACTTGTGAAATTTTTGTAGATTTTACAAAAAATCGTAGGAATTTAAAATTTAACGGTGAAATTAATCTTTTCTCTCTGATTACTCAAATTTTCGCCCCCAACTGCACAATTAGCCAGCATGTTCTCCAATTAAAGCTTGTAATTTTTCAGCACGACGATCTGGAGGAGTTGTCGCGCAAATCCCGCGAGTTGGCCGAGCGCTCCAAGTCCCGGCGCAGCGAGTTCAAGCTGGTCGGTTCGGAGATTGTGAAGACCGAGCCCGAGGCGGTTCCGCCACCGCCGCAAGCACTCAAGGTTTACCTTTTTTTTCTCTTTATCAAGTTTGCTCATTAATTAGGGAGGTGTGATCGAAATAGTCGCGGAATCGGGAGTGTCTAATTCAGGGCTTTGTTTTGTGTTATCCCTGTTAATAGACGAGTGAATTTTTAACATTAGTTATATCAGAGTGTAATATGAAGTAATGCCGTTGATTTTTGCTACAGAGTTTTTTTTAGTTTCTATCATCGGCTTAACTTTATATTATACTGCCATTAATATCCCTGTGATTGTTGTGTCCTCTTCCTGTTACTGTTTTTCAGTTAAACTTGTAATGTTTTCGACTACTAACTACTTTCTAGACCTCACCGAAAGATCAGTACTCCCCAGGCTCCGTTGGAACCACAACTTCAGCGGCCTTGCATCAATTAGATCGTGGGAGTGAATACATTACGGTAATTAGGAGATGACTAACCCTTTGGTTGAATGCTAACGACTAATATTGTTTGCGCCATAACCTTGCTATTTGTATGTAAATGCTGTTTTAGGATCAGTCTTCGGCGACCTGGCAGTATAACACGCATTATAACACACCGTTCAGCCCGAGGTCGGTGGTTTCGGTGAATGGGAATCGACGGAATGACGATGGTCTTCTGAAGATCCGCACCTCACAGTCCGTCATGAATATCAGCAGAGCTGAGGTAAAGCCGGCCTAGGTCGTAATGGCCCTGAATTACTCTGTGTTTACTAACTGTTCGCTTATTAACAACGCTTTGCACTTCCGAATCCTATGGGGATAAAACCAGGGACATTTTATACGAAAGAAGTGATGACTTTAGTTGAGGTGACATTTTATACGAAAGAAATGGTGGCTTTAGTTGGGTGACATTTTATACGAAAGAAACGATGACTTTAATTGGGGTGACATTTTATACGAAAGAAATGGTGACTTTAGTTGAGATGACATTTTATGCGAAAGAAACGGTGACTTTAGTTGGGGTGACATTTTATACGAAAAATGATGACTTTGCTTCGATGAAATTTTATATGACAAAATTAGCACTTCAATGTATCCATAAGAAGAAAGAATGACTTTCCCACAAGCACTTCCCAGCTTTTACCTTCCCTTAACAGGTCGAGACCAAGCCCTGGCCCCACATGCCAGCCGATTTGGACCCCGTCCCCGACTCTCCCCAATCCACCCTTGCCCGACAGTACCACGCAGAGCGCTACAGTAAAGTGAATCACTACAACTCGATGCCCGCTTTGGACACGTCGGCCTCGGCGCGCGGGACCACCATCCAAATCCAGGTAGGGTTGGTGTGGCTTGGCGCACGTGATGGGCGGTGTTGGAAGACCTCGTTTTTCTCTCTTTTTCACGCTGTAATCTGCAATTTACACACCCGCAACTACTTCTTGCCTTTTTACTTTTGTTGGGTTTAGTTTTGACTCTTGTTTACAGGACGAGAAACAGCAACAACGAGTCGTAATGCAGCCCGCCGAAGAGAGCGAATCCAGATCGCAGCTGGTCCGGCAGACTCGCGAGGTCATCTCCAGCGGAAAGGTAGGAAATCTTTGAAGTTGTAACTAGGTAAATTTGAAAAAATGGCAAAAAAACGGAATTTCTTAGGCATAATTTATCTTGCAATTAGTCAAAAAATCAAAAAATAAAATCCTCCAAATTCCAGCCCCGAGTCACTGAGACAATTCAGCGTGTTGAGGAACGCAAAGTCACCGAAGAAACCGAGCGTCGGGTACTTCGGCGAGAACGGAAACACCGAAGTCATCGTTCTGCTCATCGTTCCCATCATCAATCCTCAGGGCATCAGGAAGCCATCGGATGGCATGAGGGCGGTGGAACAGGTAAGACGCGCTCTATTACTAATAAACTAACAACTACTAATTTAATAATTGCTAATCTCTAACCCAGGACAGCCACTAACCCACTATGAGGAATCTCGGAGCCAACATCCGTCGTTCGAGTATATCAAGGAAGAAAGTTTGTTGTTAACGAGTAGGTAGACCACTAACCCCAATAATATCATCTATAAGCCTTAAAAAGACATTACTTGCTCAAAACACAATCATTTTCATATTACACTAGCCATTTCCAGCCCATCGAAGCAGCTCTGCCTCACGAGGCGGGTCCTACTACACCGCCGGCAATGGATACGACCGCTACGGTGGCTACAATCCTCCACCACCACCCAGAGACTACCCGGTTGGGTATCATCGGGGCTACGAGCCCACTTATTACCATACCTCATACAACGGATACGACATGCCTCCGGCATATCCGCGGCGCACCGCCAGCGCCACTTTGTACCACTGAATATCGATTTTCGCTTGCTCATCGTCTACATACCGTCTCCTTGTAACGAAACCAATGTGCCACAACTTTCGGAACCCAAATCGGCTCTCTTTTTTAAAAACTTTCAGACATCTATCAGAAACTTTTAATTCGAATAAAGATAAAAGAGTACAGAACCATTACTTCACCCCAAAATAAAGCAAATTCAACCGATTTAAAGATAAACCCATTTATTACCGACACTTATCACCAGTTAAACATAGAGAGTTCCGAGAAATTTGAGAAAATATCTGATATTGTACATGACCTACTATAATATTAAATTTATAGTCTTTCATAGACAAAATCATTGCTTTCACTACTCTCAGAGCTCGTTTGAAAGAATAAAAAAGTTGAAACAATGCAATATACATATACATAGAAGCATTACCGAGGAATTGAATACATAATCGTTTGCCCGTATAAATGTTTTACATGATGGTTTAGATAGAATACATCTATGCTATGACAACAAAAACCTTGATTTTGGGGCTCTGCAGCCATCAGCAATATTTTTATCAACATATGGGATAAAAGATTGATCAAAGATCCCATCTTTTATATTACACTTGCCAACTCTGATATTACCAATGGCCAGAGCCCGCTGAAGCAGCAAGATATCGATATACAGATCTTATATATGGGGAGTTCTAACCGCGTAGTTGGACGACGGCCCGCTTAACCATATCTTGGAGAAGATATACAATGATTACAAATAGATCAGGGAGATACGGGACCAATGACTAGATCGCGAAACAAACACTATATTCTACACATCCGACGCGCTTTTTAAGAGGTCGGGGCATCACTATGCCTGTTTACTCGGCCCTGCAGGATGATTTAGATATCAAACTCGGAGAAATCAAACTTTGATATCATGTTCAACATGTCTGGGACTGAGCCACACCGGGGTTGGTGGATACGGCCGAATGGCCTCCCCACGACCCGCTTTTCGATGTTGGGACCCGCGACCATGCATCGTCTTGATCAATGTTCTCCACGACGCCTCCGCTTCGTTTTGCCGGCGGTGCTTGTAGACACAAAGGCCGGACCAAGTGCAAGGTGTTGGTGAGGGAGGTGAGTTCCTTAGGCTCTAGTAAATTATACAGTCGGGCAATGGATGCCATATGGGCCAAGACTAGGGCAGTTTGGGGCCGGAGGTTGAGAACATGCATAATGTCCCAATGTTTTGCGTAGAGATGGCCACAGCAATGCCATAGTAATTTCACCATTCTCCGGCAGTGTTGTTCAAAGTCGGCTGGGAATGGGGCTCCTAAAATCGATAAACATATCAAAGTAAACTCTCTAACGTACCGTATTTTGTTGGAAAAACGGCTTCATTGCTTCTTGTGCCTTCCGAATACGACATTACACAATCAATGTATCTGGGGGCCGAGAACTGATGTCTTTTCCCTTTCTCATCCGTCCATGAGGCCTTCGTACAACCGGGGTAGTTCATGTTGGGGCAGTTGCCGGGGGTGCAGTTCTCGGAGACCGCTCCACACAATGCGTTGACATGTTCGAAGAGGGCAAGCACTAAAAACATACAAGCCATCAGCATTAGATGGTAAACAAGGAAAAGAAGTTCCGTTTCGTTAAAAATAGATGCCCTAATGATCCGAAATCATCAAGCATGATAACAACTGCAATTGCAAAAAAATCATACAGTAGCGCGCTTGTAAATATAAATAATAAACATCCATAAAAATGGAGGTCTATACTCTGACCCGAGGGAAGTTGATTACGAGTTTACAACGCCCAAAACTGTTGGCTGTAGTCTTATGGTTCCTTATCAAAAAAGGATTGTCCATTAGGCAACATGATAATGTAAGATTCAAAACTATAAAATACAAAAAAATAACGTCATCAAAAAACAAGACGTTATCTGAATCATGACCTTGCGTAAAAACAAAATTTCAACATTCCGAGTTAGCAGCCAACAAAAAATAAAATAAAATTATTGGCTAATCAAGCAAAATATTCCACGCTTACCATGCGTTGCCAGCCATTCATTTCTATCGACCGCGTACGGGATTTCCGTCAGCTTATCCAGCATGGCATTGTCGAACGAATCCGCCACACAAGTCTCGCTGGATGGCGCTTTTCTGGTCTTGTTTGTGGATGAATGTGACGCACTGACCACACCCGTCTTCTTGTTGTGCGTTAGGGGTCCCGTGTTCACATTGTTTCGGTTCTCCTTGTTCAGGTCCGCTTTTCGTCGAGATCGGCTGGAAATTAAAGGAATTAAATTAGTGCTGACGTCGGTATAAACCCCTTAAACTCTGCTTTTCTTTTTGCCCTTCCGCTGTCATCAATTTTACAGCGCTTGAAGGGTGGCGGAAGCAGAAATGAATCATTACTTTTACAGCTTTCTTTATTTTTACCCTTTTTATTGCTCTAGAGCTACAGCAACCTTTACACCTAATGCTATCAAGAGATTTGCCCGCCTTTACCTCGGATTCTTCACGAAAATACAGCTGCCAAAAAAGTTTTTGCGCCACAAATGGATGGAGGACTTGATCCGCTCGAAGCGGCTCTTCTCTGTTTGGGCATCGGCCGCCGAAACGGAGCGGGCATGGGGACGGGGAAGGGACGATTCGTCCGGGCACACGGCTACCTTGGCGCCCATTCTAATTCGACGGAAAGCTCGCAAATTCCTCGGACTCAGACAGTCGCAGCACCGCGGTGCATTCCAACAATTGAAACAGCCAGTAAACCGGAATCCTGATATTATACTTGATCAAAAAAGGCTTTTCTCGACAAAAGGCCCACAAACAACCAATAAATTCCGCACGGGCAGAGAAGAGCTAAACGAAACCTTTTATGGGTGGAGTGAATAATTCGAGGGCTTGGAATTCATGCGATGATAACATGGAATAAAAAACAAGAGCGACGAAATTCGTGATAACAAAATTCAGAGACAAGACAGGGCCGAATCGATGGTCAGTCTACGGACTTCGTGAACAGAGTCATGTGCGGCGAGTAATAATAGTACCGAGGGGCGACTGATAAAGCCGGAGGTACGTCAATAAAAAGAAAACGAGGAGAGTGGCATCCACAAAAACAGAAATCATTGCACTTCGCTTGCAGGCAACGGGAACGGAGAGAAAATGGATAAACAGATCGGGAATTAGTCGAAAAAGGGCGGTTAAGGATCGACGGATTCATCGACGTCTGGATTCTCGCGATCCACCACGAAAACAACGGCTGATCGGGTTATCTTCGAGAAAAGAAGACGAGGAGGAGAAAACCGAGATAATACAATAAAAATAATGTCGTTGAAAGAGCAAATTGCTATACAATTTGAGAATTGGGAAGGTCCGACCTTGTCCGGCTTCCTCCTTCCCCCTCAACGACTCCCCAACATCAGCCGGCGTCGCTCGAATCAGGATGAATTCGAAAGAGACGAAGCACTGATAAAGATCACCCATTCCCGTCGTTTTTTCGATTTTTGCGCCGGTTCCGGCCCCGGCAAACCCGTCGTTGCGCAACCGAAGCAAGCTTTTAACTATACGAACTGATTTCGCTGATTGTAAGAGAAATTACAGTGAATACCCGTTTTCTTCAGAGCTCAACGAATCTGCGGGAGATTAAACAAAATTCTCATCAAAAATGAGCTTAAAAGAACAAAAAATAATCTCTCCAAAAAGACTGGAAACCCTACAAAACAATCGAATAACTTCAAAGACGCCATATTCCTTCGTCAAAACCCCTTTCGCACAGAACTATACTAATTAGAGCCCCGAATCGAGTAATATCAGCTTCTACGGATCGCCAACCGCTACCCCACCGGGGGCGATTCGTCAAGGCTAATTTCGTGCAAATCGCCGCGAATCCCGTTGATCCAACCTACCCGAGAAGGCGGTAGCATTCAGCCAAACACGAAGCCATCGCTCGTCTGTCACCAGCTTAATTTAACCATCTATTAACACAGTAGTTTGCCGCCACAAGAGTTTCTATTAACAAAAAAAAATTAGAGAAGAGGTGGGAGAAGAAGAAGAAGAGTGCGAAGAAGACAGTGTCGAGAAGAGAAGAAGAGGGCCGGACGAAAGATCAAACGCGCAAACCAGTCAATGTAAAAGAAACTACTGCTACAAAAGGAAAGAAAAAAGTCAGAAGAGGTACTTACAAGATCGCTCTTGCTATGAAAGAAAGAATGGAGTTTCAAACCGTCCCTGGGGGATTAAAAAAACGGTCTGGGATGGAAAAAAGAACGGCTGGAACTCAAAACAGCCTCAATATGTCATAAAACACATTCCCCATCTCATGAACCCGGAATATAAAAGATTGAGACACTCGAGAGTCGGGAATTTAAACTCATAAAAAGGTGTGCCCGGCATTGGAGGGAAAAGCGACGACAAAGAGAAAGGTGAGGAAGAACAAACCGGAAGGATTCCTGAAGGACCACACCTTCCACGACCAGGATACAAGCTGGGGAAAGCGACTTTCCTCGGGGGTTTTCACACCCTCCCCCGGTCGTTTCCGACCCCTCACCAATCAACCTTCAAATCCCCTTTTTTGACCCGCTTTTCTGTTGTTATTTCCCTTGTTTACGTGACCAAAATTAATCAGCCTTCGGAAGGACTTACGTCGCAAAAGTCATAATATTGGAGATGATCGTTTTGACCAGGCAACAGCCCTCGGCGTCCGTCATCAAGTCCACCGAGTTCTGCCTTATGGCGGGCGAGTTGGAGCAGCTGCCGAAGGATAAATTGCTGGGTCCGGGAATGCTGTGCGACGTAGTGATCATCATTCGTCAAATCAGTATAATTTCTCAACAATGACGAGTTCTCTTTTTAGGACGACGGGGGGTGAGAACGCCGCTCCTTCTTTCTCTCGCTCGTTTTTTGCCTGGGAACAACCGATAATGATTATATACAGGAATCAGCACGCAAGACACGAGCGGGGCGCGACCTTCGAGACCTTTGATACACGACTTTCCCGTCCTTTGATACACACGCAGATGGCCGCAAACGCGTTTGCAAATAAACGACGAAAGAGAAACGGGGCGAACCAAAAACAAGCAAGACGACTTTGTGTGAAAACGAAACCCGAGACTCTTGAAACAAGAGGTCATAACACAACGCCGGACCGGTGGTCAAAACGTAAAACATTCGCGATCTGAACATTTTTGTTGGCTGCGTCAGAACAGGGCAAGCCGCCGCAATAATGGGTTCAAAAAGTGAAGGGATTGAAAGCCACAACATCAAAATAAAGGAGCCAAAACATTTGAGAAACAAACAAGAGACCGAAGATCCGTTCGAGACTTTCGTAAAACCCCACCACAAAAAAAATATGTAAATGGAAAGGCGAGGAGACAAACAAGATTTCGTCAGGACAAATGACCGACGCAAACACGATAAATCAAACGAAAGCAGGTGCTGAGATCAGTATCAAGGCCATTCGAGGGGAAGCGATGAAGAGACCAGACAGAAGGCCATATGAAATCGCGGATCGCCATAAAAACATGAGGAAAAAGTCATGGGCTCCTCAAAATAAAAGATCGTATATTCAACAAGGTCGTTTCTAACGAACAGAGAAGATCGGCGGTTCCAGAGAGCCTCACAAGACCCCGACCACGTGAGAATGGGCCGTTTTCGGGGCGGCGACGCGGCCGTGACATCATTTCCCGAACGTTCGCTGATCAGCCATCATCGAATGTGGGGTTTTTTGAAATCGAAATGGAGCGCGCTTGGAATTTCAAAACGATGGGAAGTGTGGGGGGATTGTTTGAGCGTCCTCCAAATGGATTCGGCTCCCATTTTCATCGGAATGACCGCTTCGCGAAAGGTGCCGCGGAAGTCACAAGGAATTCCCTGAATTGGTCGTAAAATTGGCCCGCACATGTTCGTGTGTTCCTCTAATTTTGCGGGCCGTATTCATAAGCAATTCGGACTGGGGCTTCTCTTTGCAAGAATACCTTTATTTTTCAGCCCAGAGTTCCCAAAATACCCCCAGTAAACCGCGATTGTTTGTAACGACCCATGTCCTTTACAAAAACTTATACGAAGACTTTACGGTTGCTTTTGTTCAGGCAATGGTATAAAAAAACGACGAACAAAAGTCGGGGACCTCGTGGAAAACGATAAAAAAAGCAGCCGTTTATTTGGTCGGGAAGGGGAGAAGAGCACCGCGGGGCAATTACCTATTAGAATGCAATAGCACCGGGCCAACCCAAGACGGGGGAGAAAAGTGGGGGTTATGAGGGCGGCGGTAACACCTGAATAAAACGTTTACCAAAACGACGCGAAATTAATTCCTCTTGTGGAAGAAAGGGAAGGGGCTGGCAGTTGGAAGAACAAGTGCGCGACAAGTTCAAACGAGGACAAGAGGGGCTTGAGTGGCGCTCGAGTGCACTGATTGCCTTTGGAGTTTTGACCATGTTATGTATGGTAAAAGCGCACCGAGTGGATCAATGTTTGACTGTTCGCATTCAGTGAGACAGCGACTTTACGAAGGTAATTTCCAATCAAAACAAGGTTCCATTAAAGCAATCCTTTTTTACAAGAAAAGCGCTTCTATGGGGTATGGAGTTACAGATCGAGTCATATACCAAAAAATCGCAAAATTTTTCTGATTCAGAATATGTAAAAGTTAGCTGCCTAATCTCGGTTTGTAAGGGTGAAAAAACCCTCGGAACTTTTCTCGAAACACCACGAAAATGCCTTTTTTACCAAGTTTTAACCAAATCAAAAGCTTTGCTTTGAGCTACAGTAAACCCTGACATCTTGACAAGCCTTAAAATATCATACTTGGTTAATACTACACTTTAATTAGTAGTTCCAATATAAAAAAGGGGCATTTCTGTGGTGTTGCAAGAAAAGTCCAAAGGATTTTTTTCACCCTTACAAACCAAAACTAGGCAGCTATCAATTCAATTTCAATTTATTTACACTAATCACATGCAAAAAATCATGGAGTGTATCATAATGGTTTCATTGTCCGGTCAGTGTAATATCGCTCCATCGGAGGCCATGATTCTTGCCAGCATCGTCGATCCATCTCATCCTGAAGCGCCCAACCGGTCGTGTACAAGGGATGTCGAATCCATGCTGACCACTTTCATTTCCAACGATTTCTTGAATTGCTCCAATTTTCCCTCGGTTTGGATTGATCTAACATTGACAGTATGAACTTGAAATCCATTACGATGAACAGCTACTGTCCCAGGCGCAGCCCTTTGTGCCCGCAACGGCATGGGTGGACAGGAAAACCGACCGCTCTCCAGGAAGAAAAAATCGGAATCTAGGCAGCTAATTTTTTCATATTCTGAATCAGAAAAATTTTACGATTTTTGTGATATATGACTCGACCTGTAACTCCATACCCCATGGAAGTACTTTCCTCGTTAGAAGAGGATGACCACGAAGAACACTTCTTCACGTCCCGTCAGCCCTTGACGAAAGGTGAAAAGTCGTTCTTCGTGGTCATCTTCGTCTAATTGAAGCTTGTTTAGATTCAAGGTGGGAGAAGATTCGGATCGAATCGGTTGAATAAATAATTGCATTAATCTTTTATGGTAATCCCCAAACAATATTACTCATCTCTCGCCTGGACGAGATCTTATCCTGTCGGCGCCGGTTTCGGCGGAGCGTCCATTAAATAACGTCAGCTCTGAGTCGGATCGCCGAGGTTTCGAAGCGCATGGAATTAGGGCGTCAAAGAGTTGAAACCCCCCAATATTGAAATCTGTATTCGGAGTGTGCACTTTGAAACGATAATCGTCCGGTGGGACTGAACTTTCGGACTCACAATTAGAGCGGGATCATTCGGTTTGGCGGAAGTTCTACTGATCCCGAATCAACATAAAAAAAAGAGAGACAATGGAATGCTCCCAACCATAATCCCCCCTTTAAAGAGCATATTTAAAATAAAGACAGCTGGCTGAACACGAAAAAACTGACGCTTTTCCAGTTTTTTTCGTCGGAGAAATGCAAAAACCCCCCGTTGTCCTCAAATTATATCTATCGCTAGGACACGAACGACCGAGACGACCAGAGAGAGCGGACCACCGCCGGAACGACGAGCGCAACAAGTCCAGCAGTTAATTGACGCAATATTCCCCCCGGTGATTCCGCCCGCGTTCTCAGCAAATCACTCAGCCAAACACGGAGGATTTGCACTTTTTGATTCATTTTTTATGCGTCATTCGCCCTTTTCCTGACTCCATTCCCCCACCTCGAGTCGGTTGCGGGCATGCATGAATGGAGATTTCCCGCAGGAAATCACGAATTTCGATAGAATGATCAAAAGAACCATTTCATACAAAAAATGAATCGATTTCATCATTCCCGAGTCCAAATCAATCTCAAGACTCGTGTTTGATTCATATTCGGCACGCTTCTCATGACGTGTACTGTTATCAACAATCTTTCGCAAACATTGTTTGTATTTTCCTTCTTGTTTTTAAAGTACGCACTTCTGGAAGCCTAGCAATACACTTGGCCACCTGCAAATTAATTCCCGTCGGGACCCAAAAAGGGATTTGAATTTATTTGTATACGGTAGAAAAAATATTTTTTTTGCGGCTGCCGCCGGAAATTTTATTGTTTGATATTGCGATGGATTGATCTCAGTAAGTTATTTTATGTTTATTTTCGCTTGTTTCTAGACGGCGAGCTCAGGGACGGTTGGAGAATGTGGTTTAATAGCTGGTTTTTGTGATTTCTTTCAAAATTTGTATTATCGTCTGAAGAAGCTGTAAAAAAACATTAACAAGCTCTCTTATACCATCTTCTATATGTGTAAATTACCATTTCGACTGAAGAACCGTTTGTTGGTAAAATTCCAATATTATTCATTTATTTTCCTTGAATTTTTAGGTTTGTGGACGACACCCACGTCAATCAATGCCACAAAAACGACTACCACAACGCCTACTACAGCCGCTTCGACTCCTTGTCTCCCGATTATCTGTGATTAGCAAGAAACCTTCTTCCCTCCAACATTTCCTCTTTACTTTTTCAGAGGTTTATAACATAAATTTATTAATCTTCAGAATTCTTATCTTATTTATTTATTGTTGTTATTATTATTCAACACATTATATAAGTCTCCACTGGGGCGGATGTGGACTGACGGCATCGGCTTCATCAAGGTCCAGACCATGCTTGATCATGCGTGAGTTCTGTTGGAGTAAGTGGCGGGCCCTTCTACGAAAAAGCACGGAGTCCGTCTCGAAGATGAGGACGTCGAGATCGCAGGGGATCTCGCCAACTTTGACACGTTCGCATAGATCCCTAAAACCGAGTAATCAATGTAAAAAAAATTTAACTTACTTCATGATAAGGTGGTCAGGGTTGATCTCCAAACTCTTCTTGGAAGCCATGTATCTATCCCTGTTTAACGAGTCAGCAAAAGTCTTATCCTTCTCATGATTATCTCCATGAATCTTGATTTCCTTCTTTTCCTATTCGAATTCATGGAGTTCAAGACTTCCGCGGGCGACGAAGAGCATTTACTTTATATCGAACTCCTTGAGTTGCTGAAAATCGTACTCATCAACGCACGTGGACCCGTAGATGACCTCGTCTTCACGTTTCTCTCAAAAAATTCATACCTAAAACACCCGTTTTCATTGAAAAAAAAATCTAAAATACAGCTAAATATACACGCACCACAAATGATTTATCTATTATACATAAAACGTACTCAAAACCACGCCAAGGCTCCAAAACCGTTGATTCCATGAACGAACAAATAAAATTCTCGGCTCCAGCCGCAAAAAAAATATTTTTTCTACCGTATACAAATAAATTCAAATCCCTTTTTGGGTCCCGACGGGAATTAATTTGCAGGTGGCCAAGTGTATTGCTAGGCTTCCAGAAGTGCGTACTTTAAATTAAACTTTCCCTAAACACCCGAAGAAGTCATAAAATACGTACCCAATGATCCAATCAACTGTGTCTCGGATATTGAACGGGAATCTCTCGTTTTTGGCCGGTGGAACCGCTGTAGGACATGTTTGTGGGGGTCGATGGAGTGGTGTGCATGGCAATGAAGCCGAATCCAGCTGTTCCTTGCGCTCCGTCAGCGGAGATTTGGGAGACTTCTGCCCCAAAGGCTTTGATACCGTCGCAAACGGATTCATATCAGTCCATCATCCTGAAAATACAAAAATAAAGCACTCTACCCCACAATTCCCAACATGTAAGGTCAAAACACACGAAAATCGCCCCATTAAATCTCGCAAAACGAAAAAAACCGCATATTATACATGATTTCCACATAATCCCGCAGAAAAACCATCTGTTGCGCCACTAAATCGGATCATAAATTGCGCAAGCCAGTTAATTTCGTCGAAAGCATCAAGTTTTTTGTCAAAGAAAGGGATTTCCGCCCTAAAATTCGACATTACACTAGACATCTACCTAAAATTCTGCAAAACAAAATTCGTTGTAAAAAACGGGATTGAAGCCATTCGAATCGCCTACACACTAATAAAAACTTATTTTCATACACAAAAGCCTTTAGTTTTTCGGCTGAAAAGGACCTTATATTATACTAGACATCATGGACAACTCATGACGAATATCGAGTCGTATTCAAGGAAAGCTGGGGGTTAGTCGGAGCGCAGAGAACGCAAACGGATTCGACTTGGGGTGGAGGAGCAAGCGAGGAGCCTCCGACTATCTCAACAGTCCTTTTTTCGATACTATTGTATCCGAAAAACGCGAAAAAACAAAATCCCCAATTGCTTTCGGGACACCAAGAATGGGCGAGGAGGACTCGGAAAGAGTGCCAACGGGGGGAGAAACAGCCGTCCGAAGGTGCCGTGAGACGCGAAAAGAGACGGGAGAGGAAGAGGATTTTGTCTATGCGTCTTTGCGTCGGCTGGCCCCTTCTTTTCTGCCCTCCTCACCTTTGAACTTGGCGGAAAAACCTCAAAACCACCGCGAATATTATCCTCCATCCCCGACTCGCGTTCTTGACGTCAATCGCGACTCTCGATCAATAAACGCTTGGCCACAAAAAAACGCAAAAGATTTCCATGCAAAGTCGGGCGCAGTTCGCGTTTTTCCTCGGATTTCCAAACGAAATCCATGGAATTGGGGTCGGGAGGACATGTGAGTAAACAACGAGTGTCATGATTTAGTACTCGATCCCACTCCCAATTCCTTCGGAGAGAGATTCGGGGAGAAATTGCGGAAAACATGTCTAGAGTAATATAAATTAATGTCCTCACCGTCGGCGGCATGTGACTACAACACCGTTTCCACATTCCGTTAGTCGGAAAAGCCGGCTTGAAGCCGCGGACATGACCTTTGTCACATTAATCTTCCGAATGTCATCGACTTTCGACGAAATTATATTTGCGGAAGGATAAGATCCGATTGGACCGCAAACATTTGATGGGGATGCAGTGGGGGTGGATTAGAACGTGCCATAAATAGAGGAGAGGAAACACAAATAGGGGCTTTTAATTATGCCGAGGGGATTAGAGCGTTTCCGGTGTCAAATGTCTTGTTTGACGTGGGGGACATTTGGAGTTGAAAGACGGGTAAGATGACGGGTAACGAGCTTTCCGATGAGGTGTCTTAGGGTGTCTTCGGACTCAAGGAAGGCCATGCGGATGCACTTGGGTGCTTAAAGTAAAGTTTTCTCAATTTTTATGAAAAATTTTTCTAAAACAAGGTCAAGTTGACAAGGGAAGTACCCCAAGTGTGACGCTCAGATTTTCTTTAAATTTTGCACACACGTCGGTCATGAACTATGTATCAATTCTTGAAAGTTTTAGCTCGCGCTTTGCAACCGCCGCCGAGATATTGAACGATCTTTGCCGCCGAGAGAGTACGCTAAATGCGGAGAGCGGTCAGAGATAAAAACACTTTTTGATCATAACTTTGCTAGTTTCGTGCGGAAAAAATTGATTTTTTGTGGAAAAATTACCCTCTATGGTAGAAATAGGCATGAAACTTTTCGTGTCAAAATTAGGCAAAAAGTGCCAAATTTTCACCAACTTTCGATCTAAAAATCTCGGTTGTTTCTGCAAAGCGCGAGCTAGGATTCTCGAATATATTTTAGAAAAAATTATACTAAATTTGTGCCATGTTTCATCAAAATCTGGGCGTCGCACTTGGGGTATTTCCCCTGTGAACTAAAAGTAATATAAATCAGGTCTCAAGTATGGAATGAAATCGCACCCGCTGTCTTCGATTTCCTCACTAAGCTAGCATGACGTCGCCCCCATCTCCCATTAATCTTGTGCTCTCTTTTTGTGTCATTCATAATTGCAAAAATTAATCAGAAAGTCGTCGAGTCGGAACCGCGGTAATTATATCCGATATAACAATAATAATACCTGCGGTGGAAGGGGGTTAGGTCAACAAGCCGGGGGTTCTATACAACAAACAAACATTTCCAAAAGTCAAAATCGGTTTTGTTTGTACTTATTCTTCAAGAAGTATATAAAAGAAATGGATTTAAAGTTGGCCCCGAATATTAAAACTTTTTGGGGATGAAATCGTTGTTCCTCTTCTTGTTCCTAATCTCGCGGCCGTTGGGAAGTAGGTTTTGAACGCAAAATTTGATGACATTTCAATTTAAAGACCTTCGAAAATAATTTTGATGACATTTCGGAGGTTTTTAAAATTTTGATGATATTCACTTAGGTGATGGCCAATCCCATAGTTGTACATTTGTCGACGAAAACAAAGGGTATGCGATCTCATGGAGTGTGGGGATTGGATTTGTGGACTTTGTGATGAGCCAGAAAGACTTTCCGGCGAGATCAGCGCATTGGACAGGAGTTGGGTTCGGAAATAGAGTAAGTAGAGGGCGTTAGAAGGGGTAATAAGGACATAGCTCTAATCTTTGGGCTTTGTAAGACATTTTTGATTACTCATGGAACTTTGGAGATTACAAAATGTCCAATAACACCTTTAAAATTCACAATTTTTCTAAAAAATCAACAAAAATCATCAAAATTGGACTAAAAAAGCCTTCACATCGAATAAAATTGCTAAATACCGTTTCTAACTACTTTTATATACCTAAAAATTATTTCTCATACTTGTTTAGACGATCCAACTAGCTCTAATTGAAAGTCAATATGGCCGAGTGTCAGTCTCAAGTGCCGGTCTTTATGGTGCTCAGCCGCCTCTCAAGATCCCCACAGCCAACATGGTCACGCGTGGCACTGGCTCTATAGTCAACAACGAGCTCAGAGTCACATTTTCGATCCCCGTCTACTATTTCCGAGGGTGCACCACTTGGTGGGCAAGTTTAGTATCGGAAAAGCTCATGTATTAATATAAAAACTTCAGTTTTTCACATCGCCAACCCAAGTTGGAATGCCTTACAGCGACACGCCGGAAAAACGGTTGGTTTGTAATGTAAATGAAGTGTGCCAGACGTCAAGTGAGTAATTATTTTTTTATTAATAGATCTTATTCTAGCCACGGCGACCCGCGGAAAGCGCCAGTCTACTTTTGACCTTAACAGTCTCCTCAACACCCCGATAAATGCGAACATCGACTTTACTGGAGGCGTAAATCAGAATACCGACGGGCAATTTAATGTGAATTACAATCCCTACAACTCCCAAACGACTGGTTACAACGGCCAAAGTAACTATCAAAATGCGGCTTACAACCCACCAAACAACTATCAAACTAGCGGTTACAACGGTCAAAACTTGTACAACTCTCCTTATCAGGTCCCCTCAAATTGTATGGGAGCGAATTGTAATTCTCAATCAGCTTTTACGTCATCAACTTCCAGCCAAAATTTCTTTGATACGCGAAATCCCGATGCAAATTCCTTCAATGGAAGTAATTTACGAGTGGACAATCCCAATTACAAGTTCCTCCCCGACGGCTATAACCGACAATTCGAGCAGAATTCCGGCAGACAACAGTTTTATGATCAAAATAGCAATGGCTTTGGCGTTGCAACTACGACTCAACAGCCAGTGCTATCCAATGATGAGCAAAACAAACTGAATTATCAGGGAATACAAAGCTCAAGTAGAACTACCAATGGGCAAAGATTTACAAACAACATTTATGGCTATGATTATCGAAGCAATCCGGGAACTCGATACACAATCAATGGTAATATCGATATAAAATCATCTTCCCTTGCTTCAGGCGATGAAAGTATGTATCAGCCGCCTGAGGTGAACTCACTTAATGGACGAAGAAGACGGCAGGTTGGTCTTGATGACAATAAAAAAATTGGGGACAAAGATACAAGTGATGTTATCAATGATGACCAAATACCCATCGGCCGGAGAAAAAAGTCGATTTTTAATGAACAATCCAATGCTAAGCAAAATAATGTCATACTAGAAGCCTCAAGCAACAGCTACAGTGTAGAATCAAGAAGAAAACGACAGAGCGCGTACGCCGGAACGGCCTACAACAATCAAGACTTGAAGTTTCCCCGAGAAGAGAACACAATTCCCATGTCTCCCCAATTTGACGCTCTCAGTGCCGGAGGCTTTAATGGAGATAACAGTGGCTTTCAGACAGCAAACACTAATTCCAATTCGAACGGCGCGATGTACTATCCATATCGAACAACGACAAATTCAAATTTTGGACAGAATACCAACAATAATTTGAACGGATTACAGTTTGATCAGAGTAGCAGCAATTTTAATAGAGGAACGACTTCGAATAGTAATTTTGGGACTAGTAATAGTAATCTGAATGGCCGGCAATTCGATCAAAGTGCATACAACAGTAATTTGAATTCAAATTTTGGACGAAACAGCAATAATGTTAAGGAATTCTACGACACGAATAATGGAGTTACGTCGGTGACATTTCGGGATAGTACTAATGGGAACAATGTCAGGTTATACGACCCAAAAAATGATCCCACAGTGACCTTTACGGATAATACTGGGTTCGAGACGAAACCAATCGAAGTTATTCGGCAATACGATGGTAAGAAAGTAGTCCCAACATAAGATAGGTCTTCGTTTTAGATCCCAATTGCTCTGGAGCTGATCCATATTGGTGCCGAGATTATGTGAAGAAATATATGCAAGGAGCCGGAGGGAATAATAATCTTGGAACGGTCGGTTAATAAAAAAACTTTCCTTGCAAATTTTTAAGTAAAGTTATTGCCGAGATTTTCTCCCAAAACTCCCCAAAATCCTCAAACAAGCTAGCCCTCTATTAGCCGAAAGCCCCCTCCGAAACGATGTTTGTATATTAAACAATCCAATTTCCAGACCCAATGTGCCGCGCTGAGACAATCCCTCCTTCACAGCGACCACCACTGTTGCCAAACCGTCCGACAAGCGGGCTGTTAAAGAGACCCTTCCGTTTATGGGAATATAATAAAGTCGCTCTTCAATTGTTTATCTTGCCTATACGTTTCCGATCACGCCATGAGAAAAGCGCGGCCGGAAAATGGCCGCAATTGGGTTTGGGAGCGCTGGCCACACTTTCCGGGGCCCCCCGCTCTTCGCTCTTCCTTGATGTACCCTTTATTGGTCGCGTTCGTCGTTCCGGCGCTCTTAGTAGCGTTGTTGGGCTTATTGACGTGTCTGCATCGGAATCAGGGCCATGTGTCGAGCAGTCAGAGTGGGCGCTCCTGGTTCTGGCCCGGTGGCAACTCACAGTAGGTGGATTACTGTAGTTCATTGAGCTGGTGGTTGTGTTTGAATATGTCATCGTTTCGTATGGAAAGGTGTAATGTATCGCACGTCAAAACAATTCTTTCAGAAAATTGAAAAAACAAGGAATCTCGGATCATTGATTTTTTTGCGAAGTGCCACAGAATTATCGAGCTTGAAAAATTATTTTCCTCTTCGAAAAAACATTTTTCTCGAAATTCCCTGGGAAAGTTTTCTTTTGTGACTCAATAATTCAGCGACATTTCGTCAAAAATCAATGATCCGAGGTTCCTTGTTTTTTCACTTTTTCTTTGACGTGTATCGTATCTTAGTATAAGTTGATGACAACATACATATAAGTGCTCTAGGGAATTATGGAAATCAGTCTAAAATCAGCTGAAGGATGAAAATTTTAACATCAAATTTTGATAACTATATTGCTTCAGGTTTCATTTATAATATATGTATAAATATTTACTAATTAACAGAATAATTTTTTTAACCCCTCAACTTACCTCCTCCCTCTTCAGCTATCTCCTAATCCCCAGTTCCCAGCCTGTCTATGAAACCAGCCTTCAAATGGACGGCGACAATTTGCCCAGATACCAGGATCTCCGTCTTCCCGTCAATAAACTCAAGACCGATCCATTAACCAAGACCTGGTCTGTTTGATAAGGGAATAATCGAAATAAATCATAGTCTACTAGTATCAATTTTCCTCTTTTTTTGCTCTTTTATCGCTATGGAGCGCACCCTTTGGAATGAGAAAACATTCATTCATTGGTTTTGCTCGTTGTATAATATTTATATAATTGTAAATAAAAAGAAGGCTTGAACTTGAGAATGACTTCGTTGGGATCGATTGTAAGGCGTTTGAAGGGGAAAGTGGAGGAATCAAAGTAAGTAAGGGGCTTTTAAAAGTTAACAAAGGACTTTACAGCCAACTAAATGCATTTCCAGACAGTTTTCCCTAAAATAAGGCTTACTAAATTGATAAAAACTCGAATGAATCAAATAATTTTGCCACTTCCTTTAATAATTAAACACAAAATGACCTACACTTATCTTATCCATAGCAAAATCTCCTAAAAAAACTCTAACGCTCATTTCAGATATTCAAGTTACATTAGACTTATTCCTTATCTAACCGTAGCCTTATTGGCTCATCTCTATGTAACGTTGGCGTTTATTCACGATGTGGATCGAGCTATCTTCCCTTTAGTCATCCTTATTTTGGCCTACCTTATCATATTTTACAAAATTTTTGCTGTTCCGTTTCTGCAACAAAAACATGTCAAGGAGAAGATAAAAAACGCGAGAAGAACAGTTTTTGGGCTGATTCAGAAAATTCCATTTCTTGAATAGTAAGTTAAGGTATTTTATGCAGAGTAAGGTATTTTATGCAGAAACAAAATGATGTATGTATTTTCTTTGGTCGTTTGAAACTTTTTAGTCATCATTTTTGCCTTAAAATGACAGTAAACTTTACGATCTTTCATTCCCAAAATTTTAGTATCGTGGGTGGAGTAGTACTCGCTGGATTCTTCACTTGGTTGATCATCGATTGCGCTGGAAATTACACCAGATTTCGGTCTTTGGGCGGAGTCTTGGTTTTCATTATTATCTGCATTTTATGCTCAAGTAACCCCGGAAAAGTAAGTTTACTTTTTTCCTTGCAAAATTTAGATATCTTACTGTGTATTATATTTCAAATATCTTGTAAAATAGTACAATCTCCCTCCTTTCCAAAATTTCCCATTTCAGATCAAATGGCGGCCAGTTTTTGGCGGAATAATCCTACAATTTACAGTCGGACTCCTTGTATTGCGTTGGGAAACTGGAAACCAAGCGTTGCAAACCGTTTCTACCGAGGTATACCAAAATTTTTCTACAAGTTTTTTATTTTTAGATTGTCAGATTTCTCCATTACACCTTCGTCGGAACCCTTCAAACCTATGGATTTATCGTTAAAATGCCCGACATTTGTGGGATGGCCATGGCATTTGTATTCACGTCTCTTCAAATCATCATTTATTTTGGAGCCGTGGTCTCAGTCCTCTATTATTACGGGATTATTCAAGTGGTTCTATCGAAAGTTGCATGGGTTATGCAACATACGATTGGGACAACGGCGGCCGAAAGCTTGAATGCCGCGGCTTGTATATTTTTGGGACAGGTAGGTAAAAGACGACATAATCAGGGGTATCTGTATCATCAAAATTCAGGAGCTTTCTCTTGACTTACAAATAAAAATATGTAAACATTAACCATGACCTGCCCCATGAAATTTCAATTTCAGACCGAAGCCGCCATTCTGATCGAGCCCGCTCTTCTCACCATGACTGACAGTGAAATTCATACGGTAATGACAGCAGGTTTCGCCTGCATTGCTGGCTCTCTCTTCTCTGCGTACATTGAATTCGGCGCTTGTCCTACTCATATCTTATCGGCTACTGTAATGTCAGCGTCGGCTTCATTGGCCATATCCAAGATCATATATCCTGAAGTCCAAAAATCGAAGCAAAAGGAGTCAAAGACTTTTAAATTCGCTGCCAGGGAGGCTAACAATCTACTGGAGTGCATAAGTAATGGAGCTGTTCATTCGGCTCAATTTATTGGCGCAATTGCCGCAAATTTAGTGGTCTACACGGCTTTATTGTACTTGATTAACTCGATTATGGGATGGATTGGGGAGTGTGTGGATATCCAGGATCTTAGTCTGAATGTGAGGAAAAAAATTTAAAGTTTGACAAAAAATCTCAAATTTGGAAATCTTCCAATAACTCCGTCAAAATTGCCGTAGGCAATCCGAGAATATCAGTATTTAAAGTATGCTTCTTCCAGAATTTCAGTACAAATTTCGAAGCAAATCCGTCTCGATCCCTTTTAGTTATTCACATTTGAATTTACCTTACTTTAGAAGCTCCTTGGCTACGCCTTCTTCCCCTTGGCCTACGCTATGGGAACTTCTGATGCCGAAGACCCGGATGTAAGTCAAGAATAGTATCTTTAACGTATCTTAGGTTGCAATAAAAGAAACTTTAAAAGTCGCAGAGCTTATGGGAGTCAAAACAGTTCTAAATGAATTTATTGCCTATCAAAAATTGAGTGAGATGGTCAAAACTGGCGAATTGGTCGGAGTAAGTGAAAATCATTCATCGTATTCATTACTATGTTATATAATGTACCAAATAAAGCAAACTTTTGCAGGAAAGAGCCAGAATGATAGCGACTTATGCGCTTTGCGGCTTCTCCAACATCTCCATGATTGGAAGTCAAATTGGAATCTTAACTAGTATGTGTCCCGAAAGGAAACATAGCTTCTCCAAGGTAAATTAGAAGGTTATTATGCTTTTTCAAGAGTTCACAATACCGTTGGTCCTAAAATAGGAGAACTTTTGTTACTAAAAATAATGTTTTAGGTGGCAGTCCGAGCTCTAATCGCCGGGATCTTCTCTTGCTTTACAACGGCGTGTGTGGCCGGTAAGAAAAAACAATTTACGGTCTAAATAGCCATGATTTTAATTTAGGAATATTGGTTAGCACCCCAAAGGCATGTACTTCCACGACAGATCATGGGAAATGTTTGGACATGTATCAACTAGAAGACTATTACCAAAGATATATAAATGGAACCCATTAGTATTTTTTAATTTAAAAAATTTACATGTCGGTTAGTAAATTATTAGTATATAAATTAATGACACAAAATACTTATTGTTGAGACATCTTTTGCAACAAATTGTATGCCTCCTTCACTTTCCATTGCATATCCTAAAGACAGAATAGAAAACATCAAAGATAACATACCTGAATTTGCCGTTTTGTACAATAAAATTTAAACTTTTCAACGTCAGTAGAACCCGTGGGAATTGATGAGAACTCCATTTCAACTAAAGGCTCTTTAACCCCGGTGGCAGAATCGGTCTAAAAATGAATAAGACTTGTTATCCTGCATAGCATACCTCCATAACACCCGAAACTTTCCAATCAACATCCACAAACATGGGGTATTTCCAGCCAATGGTCTCCAGCCCACCTTTAAGGTGAGTGAATTGCTCCTAAAGGCGATTAAGCAATTTAGAAATCAAAACTCACCTTATACAATGTTACTAAAGGGGAAAGCTTGTCAATATCGGCCAAATTTTCTTCAAACTTTTCCGGGTTCACTCCAGACGCCACAGACTTCACTATTAACGCTCCAAACAACTTTACATACTCTTCTGGATACGATTCAAGTGATTCTAAAAGCATAAACAACGCATTTTCTCGACTTACCCTTATTATTTCCATCCTTGAAGTAAACAGCTAATTCTCTGCTTAAATTCTCAATTAAATCATCGTCAATGTCGTCAAAATTCAATTTGCTCAATTCTTTCAGCTCTTTTTCTATCATGTTTGACTAGATTTTTATCAACAAAATTCCTTTCCGAAAAAATAAAATTCTAATTTGGGCGCAGCTCGCGTCTTCAATTTCGCAGGCTGCAAAAAAATTGTAAACCAAATGACGTTTGAAAAGTCCATAAAATACGTCATTTTGGAGAACTTTTCGGGATCTTGTATAATTTTTATCAATTTGGTTTCTTGTTGTTATCAGTTTGAACTTTGATGGATTCTTCCGATTTCAACGAATTTCAGCGATTTGCATCCAAAATTACTTTTTGAGGTAACAAAATGAGGGCTGATAAACTTTTCCAGCTGGAAAAAGTTTTGGATTTTCCTTTTTTTTTGTTTCACTTACCTATTTTCGTCTTTTAGCGTGTTCTCTGATGTATTTTGAAGTTTGCCTGGATGTTTTTGCGATGTTCTTTTAGGCTTTAGGTATCTGTTGAAAATTGAAGGATATCACTCAATAATACCGAAGATTACTCAACAATACTGAAGAGCATTTCTCTGTTTTTCTTTCTAGATGTTTTAATTAGGAGAAATAAATTTTTTTTGGTGTAATTTTCACCTATATTATACTTGCCCGTGCGCAATGATTCGAGTCGTTTATTTCGTTAAAAATGAGATTTGTAAAAAGTCAACATGTTTTCAGGCGCACAGATATATTACAGACAGCGTGTTGTGCATGGAGACAGCTCTGTAAGAACTTAGTTATGGCAGTCAACACCTTTTTCAACCGATCTCTTATGGATGCCTCCGCATGGGTCGACGTAGGCCGGCCGCACTGGTACCGGGTAAGCAGCGACTGGTGGTGGCGGAGGCGGAGCTGGCGCGACGGGGCCGTACAGGGTGCGGCTCACGCAAACGGTGCCCTCTTGGACCAGTTCCGGGGGACATAAGCAGATGCCCATGGAGCAGACGGAGCCGCCAGTGCACTCAACTCCGGGTTCACATGGCGCTCCGGGCAGGGCTTGAGGGATCAGACGACCGGCTGGGGCTGGTGGTGGAGGAGGGGCGAGGGCTGGGACTGGGTAAGCGGGAACTGGAGGAGGGGGTGGTGGTGGTGGGGCACAGGCGACTGGAGGGGCGAATCCAGGACATCCACAGCCTCCTCCAAGACATCTGAAGTCGTAATTTGCATTATTAGGCCATATATTGTTGACCATTCCCCTTGCTGAGGCGTATTCCAATCAAAAATTATGTTTGGCTATATTGCACTTGATAAAAAAATTTTTTTCGTCTAAAAATCGCGCGCTTTCACTCAAATCAACTAAAAACGCCCCTCCCTTACCCTGCACAAGGTGGTGCACACGCCGGAACTGGAGCCGGAAGTGGTGGTGGAGGTGGAGCGTAGGCCGGCGCAGCCACAGGAATTGGCGCCGGCATTGGAGGCGCATAAACTGGTGGCGGCGGCGGTGGGGCTGGAGCTACAGGCATACACATTGAGGCTTGACAATAACCAGGTGCTGCGCACCCAAAGGTTGGACCACACGGGGAGTAGAGAGGTGCTATCAAGGGTAATTCAAATTAGATTAATCGGGGATCTCACGGCAAACACTCACCTCCTAGGACTTGTCTTCGCACTACCTGCTTCCCATCGTTCATCACCACGGCGGGAGAGGCGGAGATCAACGTGCTGCTGGCCAGCAGGACCGCGACCACTTTCTGCCACATATTGGTTCCCTGAAAACACAGAAATCTAGATGAATATTGAACAAAAATGGGAAATGTTGAACGGCTGTGATGTAAAATTGAGTTGGCTTTGTAATTTAGAAGATAAAACTAGAGAAAAAGGTCGTGGAATGGGTTGAGTAGGCTGGAAATTAACGGAAACCTCGAAATTGTCTAGTACAATGTAATGGCTACGCTCTTATAGCCCTCATACTGTAGACGAAGGCATGACAATAAGACTATTGACATCAACAATGGTGTTATCACGCAAAAACGGGGCCATGCAAACAGTCGGGTAAACTTGAAACGCGCCTCCCGCCGATACCGTAAACTTGGAGGTGCGAAAAGTGGGGCGACTTGTCGCGTGTCGGGCTTTAAACATGAAATGGGGCAGTACTTGAGGTAAATGAAGAAGAGTGGACGACGCCGAGTGAAATGGAGAAGAATGTTGGTATAGGACCGCGACGTTTGATTGTCTTTTATATGTAGTCAACGTAATTTTTCTTTTTTACCTGAGTCGTCGTCCTTCTTTTCCCAACACCATCGCCGCGCCCCAGTTCCTCGAATTCCGACGCAGTTTTTTCGCGCTTCTTACGCGCTCTCCCCCGCCGGCCCTGAAGACACAACGCTTCTGGCCATTCGGTTGCACAATAGAGCGCATGCGAAGAGATCGCGCCCCACCTTGACCGCCGCCAGGCTGTCAGCCGGTGGTTGTAAATAAACAATAGACGATCTCCCACCGGCGAGGTTATTATTAACCCACGGCTCTGATAATTTTAGCCCCTTAGCGCGCGGCCGACACTGATTGTAGTTTCTGCGGCCGATTGTAGTCCAATTTCGAACAGCAGATCATGCCATTAACACTATTCTTTCCTGTTGTGCTGTTTCATTCAGGTTTTGTTTTCCTTCCGCCTAACCAGTTGAAATACAATACCGTCGGACTCTTCTCTCTCGACGATTTGTAATCATCCGAATTAAGATCACGAATACGATCGCATTTGAGGATTGAGAAAGTAATGCAAAGAAAGCGTGAGGATCAACACCGCATTACGTGGGCTCCTTCCGCTTGCAAAACACAGATTGCAAGGCAAAAAATGTTCAAAATGGATTTTTATTATACAAAAATAACAAAAAAAGTGTGAAATACAGTAAATCATGCATTGGAAATTAATGATATAGTGAATTGTAGAATGTACCTGGACTCTTGATGCTGTGTAGATAATGTAGAAAGTTGATTTGTTATTTAGAATCTCGGCATGTAATGCTTACACATTGGTAATATCTCATAGATAACATATTTGAGTTGATAGTTATTCAAGTAATGTTTCTTGTTGAAATGTGGCTCTCTATTGTTGGCTTTTTGATTTCTGTTCCATCGTCTATAGGGTGCTGACAGTGGAAGTACTTCAAGTGCGACGCTCAGATTTTGATGAAACTTGGCACAAATTTAAAATAATTTTTTCAAAGATATATGCGAGAATCCCAGCTCGCGCTTTACAGAAACAACCGAGATTTTTAGATCGAAAGTCGGCCAAAATTTAGGACTTTTTGCTGTATATTGGCACGAAAAGCGTCATGCCTATTTCTACCGTAAAAGATAATGTTTCTACAAAAAATCAAAATTTTCCGTACAAAACTGCCAAAGTTATGGCCAAAAAGCGTTTTTCTCTCTGACCACTCTCGTTTAGCGTGCTCTCTTGGCGGCAAAGATCGTTCGATATCTCGGCGGCGCTTGCAAAGCGCGAGCTAAAACTTTCAGGAATTGATGTTTAGTCCATTCCCGACGTATGTGCAAAATTTAAAGAAAATCTGAGCTTCGCACTTGGATTACTTCCCCTGTGAATTGCAGGTGGTTAGAGAAGTCATCTTGATTAGTTTTCTTTCTCACTGAAAATGTCATCCAACAATAAGGTTTCTAATTCTCTCAGAATAATGGTTTTGACATTGGAAACTATTAGTATGCCTTCGTCGTTTTCTTTCAGTAGATTGACTTGGCCTTATCTGGCGATAAGGACAGTTGATATTTATGGCCGAATTCCTCTGGGAAGTCATGCGCTGTCTCGCCATAGAGGTCTCAGGTTCGCGTATTCTTGTGTAATGAGAATGTCTCACCTTTTTAAAGGATGATTTTTGGCAATTATCGCTGCCGATTTTCATTTTTCTTATATTGCAGTCAACGCCTGTTCATCGAATATTTTGCCAGAGCCTTGATTTGAATTTGTCATGTAAAACTTGACCTACCATTTTACAGTTTATTTATGACGGCATAAAGCTTTTATCGGTGACATGAAAGGGCCCTATGAAAAGAATTTCGACATGCTTGGTCTATTTTTAGTGACTTTAACAAGCCTTTTTTTGCAAGATTATATGGCAAAGACAAGTCCTAAGGTGCAAGAGAGTACGGGAAATGCCATGCTCGGCTTTCCGAACCGTCTAATTAATTCATTCATTCGGTATTCATTTCGGAACACCCTGAGATTGGGAGGAAAGCGAAAAAAGAGTGTGTTTTGGAGACAGCGCAAGGGCCTTTATGGCCGTCTTTCCGAGCCCACGAAACCCCAACCCTCGTGGCATTGGGGCTCGCCTTCGAAGTGGCCAGCTGGCACCCCTTGTCCACTAACTCTTGTCTTTCTTTGCGACTTTTATCGCCCACAATTTGAATAAAGGTTTTTGGAATTCCATAAACTATTGACCATCCCCCCCGAAGCTGCGAGCTTTGTTTAGATCGTCGCTTTTCAATAATCTCTTATCGATTAGCTGAGTTTGTTTGAATTTCAGTTGGGCGAGCGAAAGCCGGAGTGATTAAATCTGTAAAAGCGAATGTAATTTGAAGTGAAGATCCGGGAAAGCAAAACAGTTTCGTGGAGGTCACTTCAGAATGTCCGCCGATTTTCAATCGGGCGGCGAGATCGTTGGAAACATGCAGAGTTCAACGACCAGCTCTTCCAGCGAGGTAAGAAAAGATTGTTGATATGGTTTCGAAAAAGTGTAGCCCGCGGCGCTCGATCCCGAGATTTTATTGATTTTCTTCAAGACTTTTGAAGGATACAGATTTATTAGGTCGTCCAGAAAGTTCGTTCGTTTTTTCATTGCTTTGATTTACCAGGATTGTTAGTTGTTTGGCAAAGGGTATTTATTTGATACAGCCAGTTTTGTAGAGGAAGAAAAGCTGTATCAAATAAATACATTCAATTTTCCAAAGAACAAACAATCCTTGTAAAACAAAGCAATGAAAAAACGAACGAACTTTCTGGACGACCTAATAATTCTTTGATAAGGCTTGTTGTATTTTACTTTCTTCGTAAAGTACAACAAGTCTTTTCGAAAAATCTTCTGACGAAAGAGTTATTCGAATAGGACCCCGCAATGAGTCATTTATTTTGATGTTCCTAACGCAATTAGAGGTACGAAGCGGAGAGAGAGCGAGGTGAAGTGTCTTATAATCGAACGCAGGTTGCGCAACAAAAAACATTAGAATCCGTCTTTATGGAGACATTCCGGTTGCAATTTGCCTCCAGCAGGAAAAAAGAAAAAAGAAGAGTCTCCCCACCACCACACACCTCACCAGATCACGAGTGCGAGCTCAACTCTTTCGGATAAACGTCCTTCCTCCTCTTCTTTTTTATTTATTATTGCTTAATTCCGTCTGGTTTAATTTCCATTCCCGAGTGTCAGCTCTAATCAACGAAAAGCAGTCGGAAGAGGAGGGATATTCGATATTCTAAAGAGTTCTGTGGATTCTACCCGCCGTATTTTTATTCGGACTAACTAAAAAGAGGCGATTGAAATCGGATACTTGTCAACTACTCAATTCTCGGAGTAATTTTCAAGTGGAATAAGTTCCATTATTCCGAACTTGGGCGATCACGTGAATGGGTGCAAAGATCCTCACGTGAACTCTCTCAGACAATTTCTTCATTTGCCTCGAGGCAATGAGAAATGCGCGAACCCGAGGCAACCTCCGTTCCCGCCAAGGCGACCAACTCGACGGTCCAGGCGAAGCCCGGCCTCAGCCGCTCGAATGCGCCTAAAACAGCGGAAACAGGGCTGCCCCCTCCGTCCCCCACGACCCCAATCACCTCCTCCTCCACCGTCTTATCAGCAGAGAACCCCAACGAAAACCAGCCGCCTCTCTCCGCTCGTCGCCAGCTCCTCATCCAGCAGCGGCGCGCCCAGTCCAACGACAGCGGCCGAATCCCCCCTTATATTCCGCCGTTCCAGGTGGTGTATGGCGCGAACTCGGTGGCCTCAGAAGAGTCGGCCCGGGTCATGTCCGAAAAAGTCCAAATGCTCGCCTCCTCCATCTACAAGGAGTTGGAGATGATGATCAAAAAGTATGGAGAAGAGAGTGTCAAGGTAAGGATTTTAATTATTGTTCGTTTTGCTTCTGAGTTTAGAGAATTCACTGTAAGGGTAACCTGTTTGTTACAACAAAAAAATATTGATTTGAACTGGTTTTATCACATGATTATCATGGTGAAGATAAGATTTTTTTCGTAAAGGGTTGAAATTTGTTTTCCTTGATTTCGTCTTCTCCAGGAATTGATGCCATTGGTTGTGAATGTCCTCGAGAGCTTGGATACCGCTTATGTGGATAAAGATGAACATGCTGTGGACGTGGAAATGCTCAAGGAAGAGAATGAACAACTCTTGAATCAATATGAAAGAGAAAGACAAACAAGAAAGCAGCAAGATCAAGTAAGTGCTATTTTCTTTTATGATTTTGGTGTTTAGAAATATCTTGAGTTAGAAGAAGTCCTCACGGATCAGAATCGTGAATTGGAGGGGAAAGTGGAACAATTGGAAGGAAATATCCGAGTCCTAGAGCTCAAAGCTCGCAATGCGAATGATCATGTCGCTCGTTGTGAAGAAAGAGAAGCTGAGCTTCGCACGGAATACGACAAGCTGCATGAACGTTACAATGATCTCATCCGTACTCACATTGAGCACGTCGAACGCACTAAGTATCTTATGGGCCCCGATAAATTTGATATGATGCAGAGTTTGCCTAGCAATCACAACCGGTATGATTTTTTGTTGCTTTTTCTTGGCTTTTAGATGGCAATGTTTTGAATGACTGAGAAATTAATGATGATTATATTAATTTAGCGGTGGAATGGCCGCCAGTGTTGATGTGAACGTCCGAGGCATCAGCGACTTGATTAGTGCCACTCATATGACTCAAAGCACTCATGCCAGTGTCAATCTTGCTAATCACATTAGTATGGAAAAAGATTTCCACGATGAATTCGGCCAGGACACCGAAGATCTTCTCAACTCCAGCAGAAAGGATGGACAAGATGCCAAGGAAGAATTGGAGCAAGCTGAAGGTCAACCAGACACACAAAGGTCGGAGGAGGAAGAACCGGACGACGGACTATCAGCTGAGCTCACAGGTTTGTTATTGAGCGTTCATTTTTATATTATACATGAGAATAAGACTAAAAAACTCGTTGATTTTGAAGGTGCCCTCGTAGATCCAGCCGAATTCGCCTCAGCGGGTAACTCCTTTGAGATTAGCTTGGGGAAAGGGTTGTTATGTCAGTCAGTAAGCTTCATGAGCGGGGTTGGAACAGAAATTTATATTATTTTAGGTAACAAAAAATATTTTTATGGGGAATTGTGTTATTTTTTGTTTTCAAAAGCTCAGATGTTTACTATTATGCTGATTGCTATGTATTTTCTTGGTTTTAAAGTTGAAATTTTAATACTAAAAAAGAAATTCGATAGTAATCAGCAGTTTTCGACTGACATTTAACAACCCGAGCGCTAAAATCCTTTGAAACCCAAAGTAATTTGCGTTTATTTCCAGTAAACGATGCGTTCATTGGTAGGTTTTGGTGTTGTATGGTCTCTAGATGTTGTGTAGGCTTGAGTTGATATTTTTTTTATCATGAGTAAGGTCCGTTTGTTGTTATAGTGAAGAGTGGCGTATTTACAGTGAAAATTCAGTTGCCCCGACGAATAATTTGTTGAATTGGTCGTTGTGATTGTTGATTTATTTAGAAGGCATAGTTTTTTTTATCTAATTTGGTATTTTAGGTATGGGCAGAGAAGTTGATAACCTCATCAAGGAAAACACTGAGCTGTTGGAGACCAAGAATGCGCTTAATGTGGTCAAGAATGACCTGATCGCTCAAGTTGATCAACTTTCAAGGTATTTTTTGAATTCAGAATATATTTTTTTGCAATTTTTTACCTAAAATAATAAAAATTTTGTCATGATTAATATATTTTCAGTGAGAATGAGGTCTTGAGAGACGAATTGAACTCTATGGAGATTTCCAAGGCCAAGAATGCCGAGAAAATCAAGGAACTCGAACAAGAAATCAAGACTCTAAAGGAGAAGATCAATGAAGAGCAACCAGATGAACAAGAAGACATCCCAATGGCTCAGAGAAAGAGATTCACAAGAGTTGAAATGGCCAGAGTATTGATGGAGAGAAATCAGTACAAAGAAAAGTTGATGGAACTTCAAGAAGCAGTGAAATACACGGAAATGCAAAGAGTAAAGAAGCTAAATCATCAGCCTAGTCAAAGCAAAGGGAGAATCTGGGACTTGTAAGTGTATTTTGTTATTATTATTTGATTTTAGGTGATTTGGAAGTTATTGAAAGGTATTTTTGGTGTTGAAAAAGAGATTTGGTTCATTTGTTACCTAAAATTATATTATCCATGAGAAAACGTTTCGATTCTAATGCTAGGTTTGTGTTTTCAGCTTCTCTGGCCTCTTTGGAGAGACTCCAGTCCCAACACCTTCTAAGAGACCTCAACGTTCAAGTAGTCAAGTCAGAAAACAGCGACTAACCAGAACATTTGATATTGACATGGATAATGTCCAAGAAAAGAGGAAGTCCGAAAGAAGACAACAATACAAGGCTGTCAGCCAACATATGAAGAAAGATGATGAGTCCAGAACAAGGGCTTATGGATGGTCGATCCCGGTGACATCGGACAATCAAACAGTTCAACATGTCCCGGTACCAGTATGTTGTCGACCATTGTTGGATCAACAACCTTCTCTAAGAGTAAGAATTTTCATTTTTGTTTGGTTTTTAGATTGTGAAAGGGCTTACAAGAGTTGGTAGACCAGAAGAGCAATTTATTTTGCTCTTGACATACGTTATATTAATCATGCCAATGTTTTAGATTTGGTGCGCTTCCGGCTCAGTCTTGTATGGCGGTAAGAATACAGATGGAGAATACATCATTGGCGACTCATCCTTTTACTCGGATCCTGTCAAATACATGCCTTCGGATCCAATCCAAAAGAAACGTCTCATGGAACAGTGGCCGATTTGGGAGTCCAGCAGTCTGGTCTGGATTTGCAGCTCGAATGAAAAACGAAGCTACGTGACTATTCTTGACTCGAACAACCCGAATTGCATCGTAGAATGCTTCAGCGTTTGCACATCACATCTTCTGTGCATCTCATCCGTTCCTGGTAAGCTAAAATTAGGTAATATTGATGGTAAATTTAGGAGTTCGAGAAGACGATGCCCAGCTAGAAGATGCTAAGGAGACTTTTGTCCGCCAAGGAGGTTACTTAACCAATCTCCTGTCGGATCTCGGCGCTACCGACACTTTTGGCCAGGTCCATTGGGTTGATCTAAGGTCCTCGGAAGTGGACGAAGTACCGACTTATTGTTCCGTAGACGAAAAGGCATCGCCAAAAAGAAGTAGGGACTGTAAGTACCCAATCCTAACCTTCTGTTGTAGTAGATATCAGCTATTTTTTTTATCCATCAAGTGTAACATATTTTTTTTATTTTGATTTTTCAGTCAGCGTGAGCGAAGTTCCAGCTGACAAACAACTGGAGGAGGGCTCGGAGTCAGGTAAGAAATTATTTTAGGGCGTAAACAGAATTTCTATTAAATTTTCCTCAAGAATTTTACCAGTTTTCCTATCCGAAATCATCTAACTTGACTATAATTCATTTGCTCAGTAGTGCCTAAGCCCGTGAAGCGCGTCGGCTTTGAGATCACGGGTCTGAATGACACCAGCGCCCGCTCCAAAGTCACCCTTCTGGAAAAGGCGGCCCTGGCGCAGCCGGAAAGCGGCCCCGCGCCCGACGCGCCAAAGCCCACGGAACCCGAAACGGCGGCGGAAAAAGGTCCGGTTCACTGGTCTGGTGGTGGTGTAGACATTGTTTTTGTTGTAGATGGGGTGTTCGGAGAGCAACAAATTCTCAAAATAATTGCATTTTGAGAATTTGGCGGTTTTTGAAGTGAATTTTTCAGTTTTTTTGGCTCTCCGAACACCTCTGAATCCGCGGTGCATGGCTTCTGTTTTCCTCGGTTTCCTCCTCTGTTCTTCTTTCTGTTTGTCATAGAGGTAGCATAGAAGATGTGGCCTATAACTCTTATCTCTTTTTTTGGGCTTTTGCTTTCACTTTTGTAAAGAAATGGATGTTTTATATTAGACTAGTGTAATTTGATGTTGTAGATGATGGAGAAAGAAATCTGGCCGCTTATTCGAGCTTACCACCCCATATCCGAGACGCCCTAAGTAAATACGAGGGCATGGAAGAGATGACCACGGCTTTGCCGACCATGTGGATGGGCCTGGAGAATGATTTGTAAGGATTTTTTGGAGTTTTAGGTAATTTTTTGGTATTTTAGCATCGTCGTTCACTCTGGTGCTCTTGAATGGAGAAAATGTTTGATGAGAATCAAAATGGCTGATGCGGTGCTCCATATTTTGTAAGGATTTTTGATTTTTTTAAGTTTTTTGGGTTAGGTTGTCAAGTGTAATATAATTTTTTTTTGTTTTAGACACTATAAAGGCTTTGTGTTTGCCGCACTGGCCAATGGAACGATAGCGGTCTTCCACAGAGACCAAGAAGGACGCTGGGCCACGGATGGTTATCATATAATCCGGCTGGGACAAGCCAGCAGCTCCGTTTGTAATATGACGGTGGTCGAAGACAAGATCTGGGCGGCATATAGGAACTGTATTGTCATCATTGACCCAACTGATTTGACGATTGAGGTGAGTAGAGGGTTTGGGCAGCAATAATTGGTAATAATGATGATTTAGACGGCATTTGTGGCCCATCCAAGGAAGGATAGCCAAGTAAAGCATATGGCATGGGCCGGAGAGGGTGTTTGGGTGTCGATTAGGCTCGATTCGACGATACGATTGTACCACTCACAAACCCTAAAGCACCTACAGGACGTCGATATCGAGCCTTATTTGTCGACGATGCTCGGAAGCACGAAAATCGATCATCTTCATCTGAGAATCACCTCCCTGGTCGTGTTGAATAGAAAATTGTGGATCGGAACAGGCACTGGGGTCATCATTGCTGTCCCACTCTCCAATGAAGGCAGTGAGAAGGTGGAGATTGATGAAAAGAAGAGCGATGTGGTGTCTCCAGGAGGGCTTGTTAGAGTCTATGGCAATGACAAGGCCAAAGAAGATGGATTTATTCCGTATTGTAACATCAGCCAAGCTCAATTCAGCTTCCATGGGCACAAAGATTCTGTCCGATTCTTTATCTGCGTCCCAGCTGGTAAGATTTAAAAAATTTTTCAGTTTTGAGAGGTCTATCAGACACCATTAGGGATAATTGTCTGTGATGTCAAGCATAACATAAATTTCTGTATAAAAATCTCTTCAGACGGCGTCAACTCGATGACCCCTTCAATGGAGACCCGCAAGCTGCTGATTACGTCGGGCGGTGACGGTTACATCGACTTTCGACTGGGTAAACCGACTCTTTTTTTGTTCTTCTTACACATCATTTTTTTGCAGGCGAGGACGAGGAAGCCACGGACGAGGTCCGCGTCCGCGATATGTCCCACCTGATTGTCTGGGAGAACGACTCCCCCAACCCCTACCAAACCCAATCGCCCTAACTTTTCTTCACATTATATTCCCCCCACATTTTTTTGGACACTACGGGTACTGACTGTCTAGTCGAACAATTATTCACATTTGGCCAGGTGATAAAGCCCCAAATGGCTTAGCTAGTGTATTTCTGAAGTATATTGTAAATTTATCTTGTATTTTAAACTAAAATATTCCCCCTGTTACCCTTCAAGGGACTATAATTTAAGACTTTAATTAGTTTTTATTGTAATAAACGTATTTTGTCATGGTGTACACCATAAAAACGTTGAAAACATCCATTTTGTAATTGTTTTTATAACTGACACTTTGTTTATTTCTTTTTTGTCCCGCTTTTTCGAGCGTTTTCTCTGCTGCGGAAAGTTTCGATCGTATAAAATGTCGCCACGCCGGGAGTGGGGCGCGGCTCGCCACTGTTCGGCTTTTTGCGAAACAAGTGGACGTTCGGGTCCCGGCGCGAAAACAAACCGAACGCACGTACGGTGTCTAGCTTTTCGCCGGCGAAATCGTAGATCACAATTTGACGAGAATTTCGCCAAATTTACCGCGATTTTCGAACGTTCGCCCACTCCGCCCATCAGGCAATATTGTTGCAGACACTCGCCACCGACCCGTGCCCCAGCCCAACCCCCTGTCCATGGGCCACGACCCCCACCGAGGCCCCAAAATCGTGCAGAACAACCGTCGCTTGCGTGGAGCTTTTGCCCCCAACCGAATGCCACATTAATGTCGACACGCCGCCCACACAGCACAGCGACCGTCAACCCACCCCCAACCACGTTGCTGAACCCGCCCGAGTCCCACGACCCCCGACAAACATTGCCGCCGGCTTCGAATGTCGCCCATTGGGCGGGCGACCGTCCCCGCCCCCTGTAAGACCACCAACGGCATCCCGCGGCCGCCCTCCACGAACGGCCGACCCCGCAACCCCGACATGGGCCAACTCCGCCACAGTCGCGAGGTCGACCCCAAGATCATGGCCATCCTGCAGTCGGCTTCCTCCGACCTCCCGCAATCGGCACCGTTCCCGCGGACCGCAGGTCAGTATGGCACTAAAATGATCAAAATGCTTTGGGGATCCTCCTATATTGGTTTTACCACATTGAAAGTTTGTTGGTATATAGATTAGACTAGTGGGGCAGAACTATGCCTAGTGTAATATAATTTTTTTGTCAAAATATCTTGGGTTTTGTTTTATTAGTAACAGAAAGTGTGTGAATAATAGTTATGAGATTTAAAATTTCGCGAATTGCTATTAAAGACTTTTAACGTCGTTTTGGATAATAGTTATGCCTAGAATCTGTAAGATCTGAAAAAAAAGGTAATAGAATATTCTAGTGCATCCTTCAAAACAAGTGCTGTCTCACGACCAATAACCAAAAAACGTCCTCGAATTACAGGTCCTCCACCAACAAAAAAGCGAGCTGTTGGTCGGCCACCAAATCCAGATGTCAGTCTGCGCAAGGCCTCGTTGCATAAGCTAGTCAAGAGGAAGAAGATTCGGACCGGCTCCGTCGGCACCAATGGCATGCCTCCACCCTCACTGCCGTCGAAGGTCAACTTCAGGGCTCGTGCCCTCGACCCGCAACGTCAGATGCCCGTCCACATCGTCAAGGTGGACAACTCGAACGGGTTCTCCTCCACCGCCAATCTGGAGATGTTGTACAACAACAAACCCATGAAAACACCGCTCTTTTCGGTGCCGTCGGGAATGGAACGGGAAGAGGAAAGGGTTCGTTCAACCGTTTTATATTCACCATGATTCAATTTGTTAGGAGTTGCACTTGAGACGTGCCATCGAAGCCCAAAAGGCGAGCACTTTGTGCCAGGAAAGTCACATCCCCACCCGACAGGTGGAAGTCCTCACCCAGCATGAGTATCAGCGGATGACCAACTGGGAGAGGGATGTTCAGAGAGGCCCGGAATATCTTCCGTTGGAGAGAGGTGAGATTTTTTTTCAATTTATCCTTGATTTTTAGGAAATGTTTATCAACTTGGTAGGGTTTATTAGATGTTAATAAGGCTTTATATAGTCTTGAGCATAATACTTTCCAAAGATATTGTTTTTTATGGCATTTTTTAAACTTTAGCCTTACTAAAAATGAATGCGTAACTTATTTTGCCTTAAAATGTTTTGTTTTATAGCCTTCTGAATTTTGTTACCTAAATTAAATTTTTCAGGTGATTTTGAGTTCTGTGATGACGACACATCCTATGATGCTGATGAACATGATAATGAATGGTTGGAACGGAACAACAACTTCATTTCGATCGACGAATTCGAACTAATGATCGAAAAGTTGGAAGTAATGGCTGGCGACAGGATTCCCTACCTCGACGAAGTCACCCAAAAACATCCCGAATTGGATTGCGAGGTCATCGTGAAGGTCTACGACTATTGGGTTGAACGCAAGACCGAGCTGGTAAGGACCTTGAGGATGAACGCCTGTTTGGTTCCCTTGGTACCCAGCAAAACGAAACCTGGAGAGAAAGAGAATCCTTACATTGCATTCCGACATCGAGGACCTCGAGTAACGACCCGAAGAAAGCAACGTCTCGAAACCGAGCATTATGGAACGATACTCAAACTGGCCGCCATGGTTAGGAGGACGCATCTGTTGACCAAGGGATTTGTCGAAAGGGAACGTCTGAAGGTCAGACAAGCAGAAGAAGCCGAGAAATGCTTCGAATGCGAAATTGAGCTTCTTCAGCAAAGCGGATACATCGAAGATGAAGAGAAACCGTCCACTTCGTTGGAAATGCCACCAATGACGTCATGGCTAAACAAGGTAGGTCAAGTTTTTCTATTTTTTGGAGATTTAGGGGTATGAAAAACATAAGGTCGTTAACGAGTTCTGATGGATCTGAAATTTTATGAATGGCACTTTGTTTTTTGTATCAAATGTTGTTTATAAGACTTTAGAATTGTTTTTAATAGGATATAATATCGTTTATATGATGCCGCTATTCCATTTTCCGATTCATGTAATGTATAAGGTGCCGGCATGAGTTTTATTGCTGGCTTTCACAATATCAAACGAAAAGTCGTCGGGTTTTTTATTCGCCAAGACCGTTGATCGTCCGTTTATGTTTTTTACGAGGGGCAATTATTCCGGGAAACGTCTCGAGAGCCTTACTTTTTGGGTTATCGGAATTGCGAGGAATGGGTGAAGTTCGCCTTGACATGAATTGCGTCGTCCTAATTGCCCTTGAATACTCGTAATGCGTAATGAAAACTAAAAAAAGTGCATGGTTAAGGGTATTATTAGGACATGTTAGAATGGAAAACTGGTTGGTTTGGACGTGCTTGGTTGAATGAAAATTCTATACTTTGTGGTCGAAATTTGGTTCAAAACTGATTGGTCGTTTTTTAGCACTGGTGCGACGTTGTAAATGACGTGCTGGACTATAACAAGACCGAGATCTCATCCGGATGTGGAACGATCAAACGAGCTTACGTGCCTGGGGCTGAAGACGGCCGGTTCGCCTTCCAGAAACACCCCAGCTGCTACTACCGAATGCCAGGCCCTCAGGCAACGGAAGCGGGCAGCGATGGCGCTGGCCTTCTGACAACTTCAGCGAAGCCGAAGATCAGTGCCATCGACAGCACGGAAAACATGAGCTTGGTTCGGGCGCCGGACTGGGAACAGCTCACCGGCCTCGCCTCCCCGGTCTTTGGCCGCGCGCGCTTCGGCCGCTCCGGCCGCCTGAACCTGGACTTTGTGCTCCCGAACCTCGGCGGATCCTCATTTCTGCAGTAATCGCTTTAATTCCACTGTTATCTGTTCTCATCCGGTTTTCTAAATTTGTGCAGCATTATTTTGTTGACTACCTCTCACAAATGACCTCATCATCTCCTCTCTTCTAACTGTATGTAATGTATTTATTCCTGTAAATATTCCCTTTTTTATACGTTTTCTCCATTCAGGTATTTCTATACTTAATAAAATCGGGTAAAACTATCGGATTTCTTGCGGTTCTAGGATCAATTTCATATTAATTTCGGTCAGTCATCCAGTATAATATACAGGGTGGGCCACTAAAACCTTCCGTCCTCTTTTTTTAGATTTCTCCGCGGAGACTCCGCCGATTTTCATGAAATTTAGGTTTTTCTGGAGCTGAGATTCGCCATTTTCAACCGATTGAATTTCAGGAAAAAATATTCTGAATTTACTTTACTATGCCTTCCCAAAGTTTTTGAAAATTATTTTCGAGCCGAAACCGCTAAAACTTTGAAAATTTTTGGAATGATTTTCAATTGACTTTCTCGGACTTGGAAAATTTCGGGCTTTTTTGGTAAAATCGTGGAGTAAAAATTTCCGTACGCTTTGTCTAAACTTTGTTTAAAGCAAGTTAAAAGCAAAAAAAGTGTTGTCTGCATTACCGTTAGGGTATGAATGTTGAAAAAAAAACTTTTTTTTCAACAAGAGTGAAAAAATCAACATTAAGGCTACAAGCCATGGCTTGGCGCATTGAGGCTTGGAGCCAGGCTCGATTGAAGCTAAACCATGCTCACGATCCGCAATTCGAGCTGTTCTTAACTTTCAAAGCCCCTACAAGTTCGTGCTGCAAGAGGAGGTGGACATGTCGAACTCAGATAGAAATATTAATAACCAAATTGTTAAATAAATTAGTTTTTACAACAGTATTTTGCAAATATATGAGGCAAACCAAGCAAGATTTCACCCAAAAACCCGAAAAAATGACCGAGTTTTCAAAATCATTCCAAAAATTTTCCAAGTTTTAGCGGTTTCGGCTCGAAAATAATTTTCAAAAAGTTTGGAAAGGCATCGAAAGGCCAATTCAGGATATTTTTTTTTCAAATTCAACCGGTTGAAAATGGCGCATCTCAGCTCCAGAAAAATCTAAATTTCATCAAAATCGGCGGAGTCTCCGCGGAGAAATCTAAAAAAAGAGGACGGGAGGTTTTAGTGGCCCACCCTGTAGAATTAGTGTGATCTTGGAAAGAAAGCCTTCAGAATGCTTGATAGGAAGTGTCAGTCATGGAAGTATGATATTGATAGGGCAATTTGTCAAATCCTTTGACATTTAAGGATCTGATGACATATCGATGTCCAAATTCCCTTGACCAATGAGTCCCCTCGAAAGGCGCTCTTTGACTTCCCTTTGTCCCCCCATGATGTTATGGAAACCATTTCATTTGCATATCCGGCGTCTCGTTCCCATTTCTTCTCACGGCGGCAATTTTTTATTTTGACATGAAATCTATTTGATGGAGTGACCAGGGGGTGTCATTCATTCTTTACATGTGGCCCACGATTCGAAAAGCCCTCCGGCATTGAAAGGGCGGCCGACGTTTGCGAATGTGTTGTGGGTGCACACCGGTTATGATGGGGCTGCTGATTGGGGCCCTAATGACACAGAGATCTGCAGCGTATCCCCGCCAGATCTGAGCGAAACATTAGTGGATCGAGGAAGGTCATTCGGACGCGCCATCTGTTAGAGACGGGGAGAGCCGAGTGACCTCCGCCGCCCAGCCCGCCCTCGGTCCTCGTTATGCTTTCGCGTTCATTTTCTCGCCATTAATTCCGCCGTTCCACACTGTTCTTCGACTTCCAATTACCGTTCATGTCGCTTCATCAAATTCCCGGCGTTAATGCAGCCACTGCTTCGATGGAGAGAGGATTTGGAAATGGGGGGAGGGAAGATGTTTTGAGGGGCTCTTCGACCGGTGATTGCGTGGATTTTCGGGGTGTTCGGGATGTTGTAGTTGCGGAGAATTGAAACAAAATGTTTTGTCAGGCAGAATTTTTATTTCCGTTTGTTTTTTGGATGATGCAACTGGAATAATAAGGTTCAAGCTTCTAAAGCGAAGCTGAAAATTTCTGAGAAATGGATGAAACTAGTAAAAAATTGCACTTTTTCCACGAAAATCATGGGAAAAAGTGTTCATTTTGTGCGATAAATCACTTTCAAGAGGTATTTTTAGCAAAACCAAGGATGTGTTGTTAATCTGTAAGCGCTAAACCCCCATATTTCACTCTTTAAATCACTCAAATTAACCATTTTTATATTGGTCCTCGGGCCCTTTAACCCTTTAATTCCCCGCAAATCCCCGCTAATTCGGAGTTATAAATTGGATGATTATGCGTTTTTAAGAACTCGCGATGTTCATCAAAAAGCGGGGCGAGAAGACGAAGGGGAGCGAAAAGCCCCGCGTTCCGATAAGCTGCACCGAAATAACACGACATTTACTTGCAGTAAAATAAATGATTGGCGGTCATCATAAAGGCGAGGAATCCGCGAGAAAATTATTGTCTGAGAAAGATCTGTTTTTGGGATGACGATGAACAATATTCGATATGGGATTCCTTCTTTTTAGCTGTATTTTTTCACATTTACTTTCAAAAAATGCCGTAGAGCATGTATTCTTTTTATTTTTTATTTCTTTTGATCAAAAATCCAAAAAAAAATCCCGGCCAAATCCATCAATCTTTTGGCCAATTTTTCCTGTTTATCAAATTGGAAGCTGTAAATTACTCAAAGAATTGTCAGACATCCAATGTTAATCGAAAAACAGACCTTTGTACAGGCCAAAACACCTGTTTGCAAGGGCGTTCACAATAGGCGGGTATTCCGACCAGATGCAAAGTATTTTTGGGGAGAGTTGAGGCGGATTTTTGTATAAGGCGGTAGTTGAATTTCGGATTTTTTTGAAGTCATTGGATTTTATTGGGACGGCCTCATGGTGTCAAAATTCATTTTTTTGTATCACAAATTTACACCCCTATAGTTTGAATGCTTGATTTTTCAGTGGGGCAAAGTCGGTCAAGAAATTTTTTGGAGATACAGTAAGGGACCTGATCCGGTGGAATAAAATATACCGCCCTAAAATGTACCGGCGCGCCCTTTCCCTCACAAAAAGCTTTTGAAATCGGAGTTTTTTCACTTGCAGAGGGAAGCATTTTGCCACATTTTTGATTCTTCCCGGATGCAAAATGGAACATTTTATGCCACCGGATCAGGTCCCCCACTGTAGATTACGTATTTAAGCTTCATAATTTTTGAAAAGCTCATTTGCTAGGACGACCCGTAGGGCCTTTAGTTTGCTGTGCTGAATTAGCAGAATTAGTAAAAATTCGGCGCAGCGAACTCGCCAACGACACCCCCACTATTTCTAGAGGGGTTTCCTTGGCCAAAGTTGCAAGAATTTGTACATAAATTCTTCAAAGGAAAGATCGAAAAACTATACAAAAAGATGATCCAACTGACCATTCTTGGAACTTCTTCTCGGAAATTCGAACCATCTTCTCCGAATGACATCACTCCGGGGGCAGGTTCTCCATTCCCAAAACAGTCAGCCGTTCCCAGTTTTGTTGTTTTATCTATTTTTTCGAATACTTGGAACCCAAAAAAATAAAAAAAAGTCATAGTAACTTTGAGTCAAAGTCATGATGAGACTTTTTGAGAGCGCCCCATTGATCGGACCATTATTCCGGTGGTCTTCGGCTATCTATCAGCTCTCCCATTCTTCGGGATTACACTCTTCCGGTCCCCCGATTCTATTTGTATAAATATATTTTATTCGGGGGGCCTTCTAATCGCCGCGATGAGGTCACCTGTTTGGAGGGAAAAGCGTTTGATTGCAAAGAGCGCATCCTTAAAATGCGAATCATCGCCGGTTCGGCCTGGTTCTTGCGACTTTAAGGGGTGGAAATCTGTTTAGAAGGTATCCGATCCCATGGAGAATATAAAATGCTTTTGTTTTGGGGATCTTTTTTGAAAATGGAGAGAGATCAAGGATCGAGTAGCAATAGAAGGCTGAAAAATGGAGGAAAGAGAGATTTAGACGGTCATTTTTAAAGGATTTTTTGTATACTTTTATAAATTATCATGTATAATATAATTGATGATTAATTTTTGTAAATTTGGAACTTTTGTAAAATAAAACAACCAATAAGGTAATTTTTTACGCCAAGTTTCTTATGCTATCGTTAGTTTCCTTTTTAGAAACCTAAGAATATTAAGTATAGATACATAAATCATACCCCATGAATAAGATAAAATAATGCCGCTATTCTAAATATTTTTAGGCATCCAATAGATAAGTGAGCAGGAAGCGATAAAGCATTAGAGAAGAGAGATTCTATAGTCACTGACACATTTCCGGAGGGGTTTTCGGAATATTTTTGATAAGTCATCATGTATAATAGCATAATCGATGGAAACTCTAGACTAATATGTATATTTGGCTTGTATTGTTGTCCAAATTTTATTCAAATTTTTTGCCTATTGTTTATCTCAAAAAGTAATCAATTTTGACATTTTACAATGTTTAAAAAAAATTTTTTTTATCTGCCAGGATCCTTTGGAACAGATTTTTTGCTATATACGTAAAGAGAGTAGAGTATGTAAATTTGTCAAAAATAATCCGCTCAAGCTTTGTTCTGAACGAGAGATATCTCTCTGCACCTTTTTTTATTGCAATAGTCCCTCGAAACTCTTTGCGGAGGCGGCCGAGAATTTAAATATGTAATTCCCCAAACTTTTTTGCAAATAAAACCCTCCGAAAGCTTTATCGACTCGACTCCACCTTGTTGCATATAATAATTGCCTTCCTCTTGCTTATCCATCAAGTTGGAGCCTTGCTTTCCGGTCATTTCCCCGTGTTTCGTCCATTCTAATTACGGGGTCTTCTCTTTTCCTTGCTGAATTCCTAATCCAACCGTTTGCCGATGCCTCTTGTTGTTTTTATGTAACGACAAAAGCCTATTAATAGTTAATAAAGTTTAATTAGCTAGCGAATGCGACTTGTAATGGAATAAAATTGCGTTTTCGGAAGGAGGAATAGCAAATGTTGGGGTGGATTCGCATGTTTTTATCATTTTCGGCATTTCTGCTTTGAAGCTTCAAATTTAAATGGTTTTTTTGCAAGTCTATGTCGGTAATAATTTTTAATTTACCATTTCTAAGGCTCAATTATGCTGTTTTTTTGTGGTCACTAATTTTTCTTATAGTAAGCATAGTATAGTCATCGTTTTCGAAAAAATATGCCTGGATTCAAAAAAAATGTTCAACTTCAATATGTTTTTTGAGAAATATAGGCAAGGGTTCTGCTATGCCATGCCCACTTCAGTTTTACTTTATTTTCCGCGAACGACTGCCATTTTTATATTGTAGTAGGCATCAGCTGCAAAATTTGGACAAAAAGTTTGGATTTTGAAGGGTCAATGGCATGAATTGTAGTGTCCGAAAAGCACATATCACAGTGTTGACTGCTATACTATTCTCAGTATGATAGTTCCTTGTTTTCTTCAAAATTTTTAATATTGTAGTACAATATGTGGTTCGGTTTTAATTTTTTTACGTCAAATCTGTGACGGACATCCAATTCTTGGTCGTAAACGGCAGTATTGCAAGACGTATTTTACTATCACCAGCTGTATTACTACTTATTTCCTATGTTTTGTCATTTGTTTATCTTGTAGTAGGCCCGGCTCCCCTTTCTCCGCCAAGTCCTTGACCACTTACCCCTTTACCCCGCGAATTTCCCATGCAAAAACTGGCGGTTGGCGTCGTCCAATAATTCCGCCCTCTTTTTCTCGCCCTTTGATCCCCACAACGAAAAAGGTTGGGCTTTGAAAAGCCCTCGAGGCAAAGCGGCCTTAACTGCCCACTCGGTTATTAGATTACCCAAAAAAGTTTGGCGCACGCGTTGGCCCACCCCAAGGGACCGCGGAATGGGTGGTAATCAGATCATATCTCCCACATTTCTTCGCATATCACTCCGATATAACACTTTATATTATTCATGAGGACCTCGTGGAGGATGATAAAAAAAAATTTGATGGAGAATGTAAATATGAGGAAGGTCTGGGTACTTGAGTGGACTTTTCGGACAGGTTGATTGTTTATCTTGGTCTGAGAGTTGTTTTTACGTAAATTTAGAGGTCTTATCAGGCGATTGGAGGATATTTTAGCCGAGTTAAGGCGATTCCCTTTTTAGGCGAATTTTAATTTGTCATTGTTGGGCGAATAATCCTTCAGGTTAGAGAAACGTGGGTTAGTTGTTCTTGGAATTAAGTCGTTTGTATTTTTATGACAAAAAAAATGACCTTGAGATTCTTCTGGGTGCCATGATTTATATTATACATGACATCAAGGGTGAAATGTATATTTTTTATTTGAAATTGCTGTTTTAATCCGGTTGTTTGGGTTATTCAGAGATTTTTTAGGCTTCATTATTTATTTTGCTGCATTTTTTTTTATTATACTAGACATTTCCGCGAAATTTTTTATATCGTACTTGATTTTACTTCCAAAATTTTAAATTTTTTTAGATTTGCACGGTTTTCCTCTCCAAAATACCTCATTATTCAGAACCCTATGTCCTAAGCACTCCCTCTCCAGATTTATCAACGAATTTCTTCACAAGTTTTCTACTAACCTTTCCAATGTCAATATAATTGATGTCAATGTTGCGTTTAGGCTCCGGTGTTTACAATCTCCGTGATTCCGAAGGGCCCGGCGTCCGACCTCAGCTCACCGGCGCCGAGATCACGTGTTCCATCTTCTTCCTGGACGACAGCGAGCATAAGTTTTTTGTTTCGGTAAGTATATTCACCATGATGTATTAGGTGAAGCCATACAGCATTTTATGCACAATGATACATCATTTTTGACATTAATTTATCATTTTTAATCCATTCGGAGGAGAAAGTGACATTTGGAATATTTTTTTTGGAATTATTTTTACAAACTTTTTCTTTTTTTTGTTACAGTAACCCAATGTTTTGCAGAAAAATGCGACGGGTCAGGAGTTAATGCAAAAAGTGTTCGAATTCTTGGAACTCACCGAGCACGACTTCTTTGGCCTTCAATTCGTTTGCGTAACTGGCTCTAACACCGTTCGATTAGTGAGTTTTTCGACCTACGTTACTTTTTGAAGGTCTTTTTTTGAAATATTTGCGATAATTAGGTTATTTTTAAAGGGGAAATTAGATTTAAAAATCATTCATGATGCATATTGGACGTTTACAATGTTTTTGACAGTTTTTGAGGCCTGAAACACAATGCCAAAATTTGGCGGGAAATCTAATTTTTGAATTTTAATTACATTCAAAGGCCGAAATTATGACAAAAACTGCTGTCGTAATTAATTTGTCGTATTTTAGAAATGGTTGGACACCAAGAAATCCATCAAACGCCAAATGATGTGTAAGTTTTCCACCTTTATATTACACTTCATGTGTAATGTAATTTTTTTTGACAAATTTTAATTCACATGAGAATTTTTGATTTACCAACCACTTACAGGCCCTCCATATCACCTGTTCTTCCGTTTAAAATTCTATGTGAGCGACCCGGGCAAGCTTCTGGAAGAGTACACCAGGTATTTGGTGTACTTACAGTTACGAAAAGACCTATTGGACGGTCGGTTGCCCTGTACGGAAGACATGGCAATCATTCTTGGCGGTCTTGCGGCTCAATGTAAGTTTTGGCGGTTAATTTTTTTTATCAGACTTGTCATGGATAATATAATTGATATCTGAAATGATTTTTTTAGCTGAACTCGGTGATTTCAATGAGGAAGAGCACGGAGAAGACTATTTGAATAACTTCCGACTCCTTCCAGCACAAACAAAGTTGTTGAACAAGAAGATTTGCGAGTCCCATCGGTCGAACAAAGGATTATATCCGGCCGAAGCGGAATTCGAGTTCCTCAATAAAGCCAAATGTCTAGATTTTTATGGCTTCGATCTGTATGAGGCTAGAGTAAGATTTTAAGATACTATTTGCAGCTTTTAAGATTTGTTTTTAATCTTAAAACGAGAGTTTTTCTTATTTATATATATAATATTTTAATATTTTTTCCAGGACGGGTACGAACGGCCAATTACGATCGGCGTTAATAGCAATGGTGTCTCAGTGTTTGACAATGGATCTCGAGTGCATTCATTTCCATGGGCAACCATCATCAAAGTCAGCTTCAAACGGAAGAATTTCTTGTTGCACATCATGATGACCAAGGATAATGAGGTAAATCTTTTTATAGATGACATTTCTCATGTCTGATGGTCATGAAACGTTTCAAAAAATAAATTTCGAGGCGTTTTACAGTGTCACAAAAATTTTTAGACGATTTCTTTACGAAATAATCAAGATACGATCATTTTAATTTGAAGGAGATTATTTTGACCAAAATTTTTTTATCTTCCGAAATTTTTCGCCTAAAAACTCAAAATAAATTACATTTTTCCCTAACTCGTGGCCTATTTTTTAGGAGCAATCGGATACCGAGCTCTCGTTCAACGCATTAACTTCTCAAAATTGCAAGATGCTGTGGAAAAGTTGCATCGAACACCACACTTTTTTCCGTCTGGCCGTTCCTCCCTCCACTTCCGCCAAATCCGTATTCCATCTGGGATCCCGTTTCCGATATTCGGGACGAACTGAGCATCAAACTCTTGAGGAATCGAAGCGAGTAGCCAAGCCGGACCGTCAATTTCAACGAGTTCCATTGGCATCTTGTCTGAGTGGCGATCTCAAGGAAAACAATGGTGATTTGGTGGATTCTGAAGCTCTTTATCGGACCGAGAAGACGCCCTTGACTCACTCCACAACTTCTGGCAGCTCCATTCCAAATTCCCAGTCATCTACGACCGACATCACCACTGGACAGCCTCTGTAAGCGAATCTTTTATATTACACTTGGCTTTTGATATGCTTTGGGCGAAAGGGTCGGCTGGGATCGGGTTTAACTCAACCCTGAGTCGGATCACAGTCCACCCTCACCTGGCTAATTTGCTTTTGCTTCTTGCTTAATGTGGTGATGGTATTCCCCTCGCTTTTCCAGTCGTCGCAGTCGTCGTATGGTGGAGAGTGTTCGTCGACGGACCTCGTCTCTAATCCGCGACAACATCCGTCGTCGTCTCACCCAAATGGGGGAGATTTCATCCTCGGCGTCGTCGATTCTGCAGTCCTTTTTGGCCATGTCGCAGAACTCGTTCAAGCCCGGCGATGACAAAGTTCATCAACGTCCGGATGAGGAGATTTTCATCGACTTGGACAAGGAAATTTGCAAAAATGGACAAACCGACGGCCCTGCTGAAGATTCTGCGGATGGTCGAGGATCGGTTGAAGCTAGTCCACCAGTCCCGCCGGATCCCGAGGCTAAGGCCCCGCTACTGCAGCCAGTCCGAACCGGCGATCTCAACTTGGATATCAAGGATAACATCGAAGAAGAAGCTCTTCCAAACGAACATCAAAATGGCCTCATTGACGCGGAAGAGAGCCTCCGGGCCGCATCTGCAGATGCGATCGACACGTGAGTTGTTGGGCCCAAGATTCCATGTGTTGCAAGTGGTTGAACAAGGGCGGCTTGTTTATGTCCGACAAGGCCATTAATTTCTCTCCCCGTCTTTCTTGAGTTCGGAGGTCATAGACCCCAAGGATCTCAGTCGGATTTCTCTTTTTCGGCAAACGCCGATCTCCTGTTTCAATTAGATCCATTAACATATCGCCCCGCGCGGGATTTCGTTTCTTCCTTTGCATTGCTAAAGGTGGTATAATATAAACGGCTATCCGAGAATTCTCAGCCCTCTAAATTACGGGAAATCCCGGCGGATCGAGGGCTAAGGCTGTGATATTCACTACTAAAAGTATTTTCACTAGACTATTGACTGTAATATTGTATTACTGCGGTATTATTGTAGCCTATAATTAATGAAGACCGAAGAGAAATGGCTGAAACCGCTGTTGAGGCGGGTCCTCCATAGAAGACCAACGCTGGTCATCGCGGATGAGACCAGGCTCTACCGAATGTAAGGTTATACTGGGGGGTTTTACCGGGGATAAAGGCGAAAATATAATAGCTGGGTGATTATATTGTACTTGGTATCTAAGGTTTGAAAGAACGGATTTCTTAAGATGTGGGGTTTAATTTGTTTTGAAAAGTTATTTTGACTACTTTACTACGAAAGTAAAAAGGGAATAGACATGATTTTGACCTTTTTTTGACAAATGTTTGTCATGTGTAATATAATTTCTATTAATTTCTTAGTATATATAGGCATAAACAGAGGAAATTAGTAATTTTATGACACAAAATTTAATCACTAGAGGCTTAGGGTGCTTTTTCTCACGTATTGCCGCATTTTTTTTGTCATGAGTAATATAATTTTTTGTCATTTTTTGGTAAATTTATTATTCATTATGGGTTATTTCTGTATTTTATGGACTAAAATCTAATTTGATGAGGTTTGAAGTGCGCTTTACTTCTGCTGACATTTATTTTTTGTCATGGATAATATAAAAATTTCAAAATTTTCTCCTGAAAAAGGTGAAAAACCCAAAAAACTATTACTGTAGACCTCTTAATCTCCTCACCTTACAAGTTGACTCCCCGTTTGGAAGTCGAATCGGAACTCCAGGATCGTCGATATAAGTACTTTGCGAGCCCCACAATTAACCTGCACAAGCACTCGGGAGTAGTAAAAAGAGGAGGTTTTTGAGGTTTTCGGATCGGCCCCGAGTAAAGATGACTCCTGGGAAAAGAACAACCTTTTTCTTCGTGATGCCCGAGTGCCGGTGTGAGGGTTTGTTTCTTAACAAAACGGATTTCCCCCCGCCTTTTCCGCTTATCAGCCATTAGTTTGCGGCCCCGATTTTCGCTAATTTCTCGGGCGCCGCTGACCAGTTGGACATGCAAGATTAAAGGTTGGACTGCCTGCGATCGGATTGGGGTGCTTTGTTAGGGCTGATTGTTTTTTGAAAATTGATTTTTAATGGGAAAAGTTTGGGTAAAATACGATCAACCTTTTTTTTCATTTTTTAAAAAATTCCAGGTGAAACATGCCCGGAGGGAAAAAAGCAATGGACTAATTGTGATCTTAGGGGTCTGAAATGGCTATTACTTTTTGAAAAAAATGGGAAAATGTATTCGCCCAGAAAAAAATTTATTGAAATACGAATATATAGAATAAAAATTGAGATTTTTCTGAAAATAAAACGCCTCGAGGGTATTTGAAGTTTTTTTATTCCTTTTCTGGGCCATTCTAATAAAATTTGATTCATGATTAAAGTTTTTTCAATACTTTTTTCAAAATAAAAAATGGATTTTTTAAAATTTCGATCTTTCAAATTTCGAAAACTTCAATTAAAACTTGCCCGATCCACCTTGTTTATCGCCAACATCATTATCTCCAAATCGCAGGCTCTAAAATTTGCGGATTCCCAGAGAGATTTCTTTTATCTTCGGAGATCTTGTTTTTGGCCCGGATTGGAATGAGAAAGTACTCTTTTGGCTCTTCAATTTTCACTTTCCGCAAATTAATTTCGCTTTTCCCGCAAAAGGTCGAGCTTATTCATACTCTGGAGCCATGGGGAAATGAATAAAACGACTGTTTCAATCGTTGGGAAATAAAAAAATATTATTTTTTTGATCTGAACAATAACTGTATAGTTTTTGTATGAAAAATTTTTAGTAATTTTTCGATACATTTCTTTTATTTCTTCCGCCAAAATCTGGGACTTGTAATTTTATCCGTTTTCGAATTTTTCATGTTTTTTGACAAGTTATTACTGGCGAAAACCTCAGTCCAACTGGTCATATGTTCATGTCCATCTCCGCGAATCCCCGAAGGGAGAGCCGGATCTCGGCGGGGAGGCGGGATATCATTGTTACATTCATCTCTCTCATGGACACGAGTTTCGGCATGTTTCGTGTCCACAAGTTTCCTTGACCCTATTTCGGGAGTCGTTTAGTTTGGAAATAATGAAAGTTAGAGGGTTTAGGGATCGGATTACTTTTTTTAGAAGTTTTAGATGTCATTTGTAAGGAAAATGATACTTTTTTGGTTAAAGAAACTAACGTATTACGCGTTCGGCGTACAGTGGGGGACCTGATCCAGTGGCAAAAAACGTACCAGTTTGCATCCGGGAAGTATCAAAAATGTGGCCAAATGCTTCCCTCTCCAAGTGAAAAAAACTCCGATTTCAAAAGCCCGCTCTTTTTGTGAGGGAATGGGCCCTTCAAAACGAAGTTTTTTAACTTGATAGGGAAGCATTTTGCCACATTTTTGATGCTTCTCGGAAGTAAAATGGTGCGTTTTTTGCCACTGCATCGGGTCCTTCACTGTATTTAAAAAATGGTTTTGAAAACCTTTCCGATTTTTTTGTTGGAAAAATAGATTTCTTTATCGAATTTTGACTGTTAAAATTTTATGTCGTATTTTACCTAAAAAAATTTTATTCCACATAAGTTATTGTATTTTAAATACCAAATTTTCTGAATATTTAGCTCCCGAAACCCAAAAAACTTGGACCATTTGTAACACTAAAACCTTTCACTTCTGACCCCTCGCTCAACCTTAAGCCCATCATATACCAAAACGCTTACGCTGGGAACATTCCCTCGGCTTTTTAACACCCTCCGTTTTCCCGAATTTCCCGCCAACCCGTTTTTTTTTTTGACATCGGAAATGTTACCCTCCGGGCAGTGACCAAAAACGGAGACCATTTGTCCTCGCCCTGCGTTTGTTGGCCCTGACTTTGTGGGCGTTAGAAAGTAATGACATTACTTTAGTCGAGATTCACTTTTCTTTTGGCTATTACTATACTAGTTTTGTATTCGTGTTCCAAATCGTTTATTGCTGACATTTAAGCCATCAGCCGCCACTGATTTATCGCCCTTGTTCGGATGCCTGCTGAGAAAGAAGGGCGCGAACAGCTCCGATCGCTGTAATTCAACCCCAAAAACCCAACTGTTATTACCATTCGGCTATTAAAATTTTTTGCAAAAATTTTACTAAACGTCTAGTCCTTTTGGCAATCCACAGCTTCCAAGATTATTTTGGGCCCTTGTGCCGTATTTGGATCAGCATTTCACCCAACTTTGAACCAGATTTTGACGATTTTCGGACAAAATTTTGCATTGGACCTGCCTCATCTAGTGTAATATGCTAAAATTCGCGGTCGGGCCATGGGCTGAGTCTCTGTATCGAACGGACTCTTTCCGTGAGCCCGAGAAGAGCGCCGTGGAGTTGAAATACCGGAGGAAAACGAACAGCGAAGATGCGAATCGGCTCCGGCAAAGTCTTCGATCCGCCAAAAATTTGTCATTCCTCAAGTCTTTCGCAAGACGGTAAGGACGAAAAAATGTCTCATAAATATTGTCTGTGTAGTATCTAGTAGTCTCAGAGTTGTAAAATACGGTCTTTGAATTATTCCAAAAAATCCGTCATGATGACATTTTTAATTTGAGGTGATTTTGCGGAGGTCTTGTTAAAAATGGGATCTATATGTAATATAAGTATGGTAAAAAATTGGATATATGAAATTTTTCGAAGGTCATTATGACGGATTTTCAATAATTTTTTAAAAAATCTCAAAATTTTGATTCATGAAAAAACTGTCGATCTTATGATGAAGAATGGTTCTGTTGACCTCAAACCTCTGTTATTCCTCGTATTACGTCGTCAAGTTTAATCACAAAAACAACAAAATTGTTTACTCGCCTGAGGCTGCATTGTTTGGCTAATTGCTTAAAGCTGCTTGGATCAGTCCGCAAAGAAATCTCTTTTTTTATTTTTTCTTATTTCCCTTCTCGTTTTCAGTGAGGACTCGATCCGGCCGCAGAAACGCTACAGTGTCATCGTCTCAACACCGAATCTGTCGAATCGCCGCAGGGAGAATGACCCGCTAACGACGAGTCTGCAGAGTCTCGGCCTCGACGAATTCGACGTCACGGACGATGAGAGCAAAAGTCAGGGAAGCAAGAGTTTTGTGCTGAAAAAAGAGCGGAATCAGAAGACTCCGTCACCCGCCAATTTCGAGAATAAAGTGGACGGCAAGAGGAGATCAAAGGTGTATTCGAACTCGGATGACGAGGGAATGATCTGGCATCAGGCAGTCCAGTGGACCGATAAGGAGGTGGGTTTCGAAATAAAAAGTTTTTTTGGGGAAAATTTTTATTAGGCTTGGGCATTTTTTTCATTTTGAAAAAAAATCCTAAACAAGGGAAGTGCCCCACGTGCGACGCTCAGATTTTCTTTAAATTTTGCACACGCTTTGGGCATAGACTGAGTATAAATTCCTCAAAGTTCTAGCTCGCGCTTTGCGGGCGCCGCCGAGATATTCAACGGTCTTTGCGGCCGAGAGAGTACGCTAAACGCGGAGAGCGGTCAGAGAGAAAAACACTTTTTAGCCATATCTTTGCTAGTTTCGTGCGGAAAAAGTTCATTTTTTGTGGAACCATTAACCTTTACGGTAGAAACAGGGATGCAAACTTTCGTGCCGAAATTAGAAAAAAAGTCTCAAATTTTTATCGCCTTTTGACCAAAAAATCTCGGTGGTTTCTGCAAAGCGCGAGCTGGGATTCTCGCATATATCTTAGAAAAAATTCTTCTAAATTTGTGTCATGTTTCATCAAAATCTGAGCGTCGCACTTGGGGTACTTCCCCTGTAAAGTACCAAAAATTTAAATAGCTCGGGTTTTAATGAAAATTAGATAAAATTAATATTTGAATTTGCCAAGACATTTTTACAATTTTTAATTTCAAAAAATCTCAAAATTTCATTATTTTTTATTTCGTAAAAAATCGTGATATTTCTTACTACTGTAATTATAACCCAAAGATCACATGGTTTGAAATCCTTTTTCTTCTCCATTTTTGAGAACGCTGATTTCGTCAAATCTCTTAAATTTCCTAAACCCTTTACTCATTTCGAAGCTTATTCAGCCCACAAAAATGCAATTACTTTGCATCGTCGTGACGGTCGAAATGAGTCTTCCACAAAGATGTGACTCATAATCCGAATTTGAAATTTAGTTAGCGAAATTGGATTTGTCATAACTTTTAGTTAAATTTTTACCGAATTTATCAAAAATTCTCTCAAATTCAACAAAAACAATATGAAACTTGACCCAAACATCAAGTGTAATATCGCCCAGTTGAGTCATTCTGACTCATTGGGCATTTAGATCATGATCTGCGAGGGTTTAACTCCCAAATGAATCATTTTGTTTCACTTTGCAACCCAAAACAGTAGCCGACGCATGATTTACACTTTTTCCCGCCTCTCCCGACCCATTTTATCAACGAAAAGAGAGGGTGGGGGTCGATGAATCACACGCGGCGAACGTGTCGAATGTTTTATCAGGCTGGCAGGGCATCGGTTTTCCACTCCGACTCCATCTTTCTCCCATTTTCTTCTCCTTTCTCCTGTCTTTTTTTTGTGTTCAAGTTCGTCGAATGGGCTTGGGGCAGCCTCCCCAAAGTGTAGCTAGATCTGACATCACTCCCCGAGAGATGCCCCTTGATTCCGTTTACTTACGCAATTGGTTATTTGGGGCGAGTTTGGCGAACTTCCAGGGTTCTGGGGTTGTGAAATGGGTCCAGTATAATATAAAGCCCATCTTCGCGAGGGTTCTTTAGTTTTTTTTTGCGAAATGACTACACAAATATTGTCTATATACCCCGTGGAATTTACTGTAAGTGAATTATGTAATATTAATTAGGAACCAGTGGTTGATCAGTTGTTTTGTTTTGGTCATTTCATCAAAAATAAAGGGTTTTAAAATCATTAATTACTTAGGAAACACATGTTTTTTGAAAGGGGAATATATATATTCGAGTAGAGCGAGCTGTGTTCCCCATCCTTGACCAGGGACCCCCCTCGGTATCGGTAATTTACCACGGGTTTTCGCCAAATAATTGTTGCGTTCCAAGTTGACCCAAATTCTTTTCTTCCGCCATCTCCACCTCGAAACAAGTCGCTGTAATTGGGTCTACAATTACACGAAACGGTCTCTTATTGCTCCACCAACGCTCTCCGTCTTCTACCATCCTGCGGGCGCTTCGTATCTTTGCGTTTTTGAAGATGTTTCGGACAACATTCAATCGCCATTCTCAAGTTGTTCACCTCCTCTTGTTTTCGTCCGACTGAAGGTGTGTGTGGGTCTCTTCGTTCGGGGCGCTCTATGCACATCTCCGCTCCTCCCGCACACCTTGGGTTCCCCTTCTTCTTGTTTTATTCCGAACAGTGTACATAATATTACCAGCAACACCTTGTGCTCGGACCAGTCGGCCAAGCGAGGGAAATTGAAAAAAATATAGGGAAGGGGAGGTGCAGTGGTTTTTTTAAATAGTAGTTAAGGAATCCAGGGCCACATTACAAAGGTGTTTTCAATATTTTTTTATTTTTTCCAGTTCTGAGCCCGGAATTTGACTCATTTATATTGTAATAGGCTTACGTGGGAGGACTTGCGTAACTACTGGTTAAGCCGATTTTAGACTATAAAAACTGTTTCGGACATTGTATGTAGGCTCTAAATACAATTCTACAAGTTGTTGCAAGTTTTTGCAGTTATACTAGGAATCACTTTTAACTTGTAAAAATTTTTACTTTTTTCATCTCTTGGCCTGAAATGATGTCTAAAATATCTTATAAGCGTCTGAAAATTCTTTTATTTTTTAATAAATTCCCGTCAATTCCCCCCTCAAATTCCTCAATATTATTCATGATAACGAGAAAGGCCGCTGATAAAAAAGTCCGACGGCGCCTTTCACATGACATTTGGTTTCGTTTTGCATTTGGGATTCAGCGAAAAATCGGCAAAAAAATTCGGTTTGGATTCAGCTGTAACCGTTCCGAGAAGCCTTCGCCGTCCTCCAACCTTCGGTTTAATTTTTTAATTCAATCCGCAGAACTCTGACTTGTTAGCTCAGGCGGCGGGAAGCGGGTGTGTGTTCACTTGACATTACACACATCTGTTTTGTTTGGTATGAATTTGGGCTGGGATTTCCGAATTAAGTTCACTTTTATATCCGGTTTTATGAGTCATTGGGATGGGATTAGAAGGAAGTAAGTGAGACTTTTGATCGGCGATATCGCTGTATAGGGGAATTCAGCGGGGAAGATTGTTTGATAGGTTAAAGAAGAAGGGGTGGGCTTTCATTTAAGGGGATCTGCGTAATTTCAGATTGCTTATTTTTTTTGTAACATACGAATTTTTTGACATTACTCAAATTTCTTGAAAAATTTTAGACCTTACATTGGATTGCTGATATCTTTGAAAATATTGAACCCTGATTCTCAGTTTGGTATTTCAGATGTTGTAAATCATCTAATTTATTATTGTAAATACAGTACTTCGATTCTGACACTATCCCTTTTTCCTAAAATACGACCTTTTTCAACGTGTCCCAAAGTTAGGCACCTTCATTTTGGTGGTCGATATTGTAGAAAAAACGGGGTACACGATACTTAACTTTATTTTTCTATATAGTAAACGTCTTGAACTTTCATTCGAAGCCCATTACTTTGAATCCATTTCCGTTATTCCTCCTAAAATGCGAGTTTTCCAAATTTTCCCCAGATTTTCGCGGATTTTCCAATTTTCCGAAATTTCTAATTCAAACCCTAGTCATGGTACTACTGGAAACTATACCTCGTTCTTCTTCCTCCGACTTCACAAAGGTCCCATTTCGGCGTCGACCCACCGATTACTCGGCCAAAACTTCGCCTCGCCTCAGTTTGCCCGAGAATAACGAAACGTTTGGTCCGGCGTGGCCAAGACGGAAAAGTGTCTGCAATACGCAAAGTAATCCGATTGTAATCGAGTCCACACAGAATGGGAAGCCATTCTATACAAACATTTACAGTGTACGGAGGTTGGATTTGCAACTTTTAGGGGGAAATCTTAAAAATTTGGAGATTTTGGCGTAAAAATGATGATTTTTAAAGAGTTTCGGGGGAAATGTTGAATTTTTTTTGGCAAAAAGAACGGATACATTGTCAGTAGCGTATTTTACATAATTTTTTCCAGGCTAGCACCTCCACCAACCCTCCGGATCACCTCCATCAACGGCCTCGGATCCGAAACAACTCCACTCATCAAAACGGAACGCCAAAACAACATGTCGACCACCTCAAAAACAACAACCCGATGCAGCACTCGTTCGTCAACAACAACCTGTTCCTGAATCGACCGCCCCTTCCGGTGGGGCGCGAGAATGGGTCGTTGCGGCGGACCATCCAGATGAACGAGACCGAATTCCCCATCGTACACCCTACCTCATATGGCTTCGAGCAACGCCGAAGCATCACCCAACTCCCTCATGATCCACATTCCCAGAACAGAGTCAAAACCATGGCGTCGCCGCAGATTCAGGTAAAATTTTGATAGAAATCAAGTTTTTTGCCATTTTTTGGCAATTTTTTACATAAAAAAGGCAATTTTTGGTTTAAAAATTGTTTTTTTTTCATATTGAAGATAGCATTTTCACGATAAAAATAAAATTTCTAAGTAGTCTATACACCTTTTGGGCAAAATCCTAGTAATTTTTATGACCGTTACGACAAAAATTTACTTATTTTTCATCAATTTTCTCACTTTTTTGACAATTTTTTGATAAAATTATATAATTTTTGCCAAATTTTTGTTCGAAAATCTCCGATTTCTTAATGGAAATTCCTTTAAGGCCATGAAAATTAAATTTGGTCTTTTTTTGATCCTTTTTCGAAGAAATTTTTTTATGGTTTTAGGGGTTTCCCACGTTTTAGGTCTTGTTACACTTCGGAAATTGTTTTTTGGTGTTTTTGTCTAGTTCTGGGAAACTCTAATCTCTGATCACTTGTCGAATCGTTCTAGGAATTCAAAGGTTTTCTAGAGACAAGTGTTTGTGTGATTGAAAAACGATAATTTAATCGGAGAATTCGCAGTTTTTTTTCATTTTTGAGCGGATGGAAATTGTTGTAAGTGAATAATGGAATACCGTAGACGTATTTTACATATAATTTAGTTGTATTTTAATTTTTTTTTTGTTTTTTTTGCCAACAGGATTTTTCGATTTTATTTTTTTTCGCACTGTGCGATGAGAAATTGAAAATTTTTTTCCTAAGGGCATTTTTTGAGTTATCAAGCAAATCGGCCGTATTTTGCACTTTATTGGGGCGGATTTTTAGGTTGAAAAGAATGTTGTTGTTCTCTTTTTTGAACTTTTCTAAAAAATAATTTTTTTTTCTTGTACTGTGCAATGGGAAGCTTATAAATTGCCCGTAGGCATTTTTTTGGACAAGTGAAAGAGTTGAACGTATTTTACACTCTCTTAAATCGTATTTTACATTAAAAAATTTAGTTTGTCGTCACCATTTTTTTCAATTTTTCAGAAAAAAAAAATTTTTTTGTTTTGCACTGTGCAATATGAAATTTAAAATTTTTTATAATGGCATAGAACACAGCCTGAAAAGTGAAAGAGTTTAACGTATTTTACACTCTCTTAAATCGTATTTTACATTAAAAAAATGTAGTTTGTCGCCATCTTTTTCTCAATCATTCTAAAAAAAAATTTTTTTTGTTTTGCACTGTGCAATATGAAATTAAAAATTTTTTATAATGGCATAGAAAAAAAAATTTTGAAAGTCATGCGTATTTTACCCTCTGGGCTAAATTTTGATTTTCATGGCAAAATTTATAAAAATTTTTGATGACTTGAACATTTTGAACCAAAATTAATTTCAGGTTCGCCGTCAACGTCCCAGCACGGCCATCCGCGCCCCATCCCCTCAACTCTCGCATCGTCTCCAGCGTCCAGCCTCCATTTCCCCTCCCACCAGCTCGAATGGAGACGATTCCTCGGTGGTGATCCGAATGAATCCCGATTCCCATGGCCGCTTTGGCTTCAATGTTACGGGTGGCGCGGATTGCGCGCATCCCGTGATCATTAGTCGAATTATCCCCGGCTCACCGGCCGAACGTTGCTATCCGCGGCTGAATGAGGGAGATCAGGTCCTCAAAATCAATGATCAGGACATTTCCAAGTGGTCCTACTGCAACGTCGTCAATTATATTCGTTCGGTGCGGTCGTTTGGCGAAATGTCCATGACGATCAAGCCGAATGTCTATCGATACGGCGAGCTGGACGACTCGGAGAATCAGAACATCATCCCGGAAACGCCCCATGTCTCCGAGACGGTCCCCAGATCCGATAAATTGGCCCACTCATTGATGCTTTTGAAGGAATCCCTCGAAACGGGGGTCATCAAAAAACAGTTCGAAAAATTGTATCGAAAAAAGGTCGGATTGGCCATGGACGAGAGTCAGACCTCGAATAATATCAGGAAAAATCGATATCAAGATGTGAGGCCGTATGATGAAACCAGAGTTATTCTGGAAAAAGCGCCCAGTGGAGATTATATCAATGCTAGTCATGTCAATGTAAGTCAAATTTATAGTTTTATAATACTTTATACGATAAAAAATTTACAAATTTAATAAGTTTGAGCATGAATTTTGATATTTTTTTGAGATTGGTATCTAGTGTAATATAATTTTTTTGTCAGATTCACTACTTTTGTTAAAAAAACATATGGATTTGCCCTGATTCTACTATTTTCAAACAAAAAAGTGACTGAGATCCTATAAAATTGAGTTTTTGAAGATATTTTACCTAGTGTAATATAATTTTTTTGTCAGATTCACTACTTTTGTTAATAATGCAAAAGAATTGATCTTGATTTTAAAATTTTTAATAAAAAAAGTGACTGAGATGCTACAAAACTGGGTTTTTTGAAGATCTTTCACCTAGTGTAATATAATTTTTGCTCCAAAAAGGTGAATTTTATATTTGGAATTAAAGATCTAGCTTTGATATTTCTGATTTGCCATAAAAACTCAAATTTAGACAATAAAGACTAACTTTTTTTAAATCTTTTGCCTAGTGTAATATAATTTTTTTGGCAAAATTTGATTTTTTGCCTTATGAGATTTCTGGTTTTAACCCAATTTTTCGTATTTCAGATGGAGATCCTCTCAACGGGTATTGTGAATCGCTACATTGCCACCCAAGGCCCCCTCCCCCATACCTCCGGTGACTTTTGGTATATGGTCTGGGAGCAGTGCTCAACCACGATCGTGATGCTCACAACTACCGTCGAGAATGGCCGAATCAAATGCCATCAGTATTGGCCGCAGAAGAAGGAAACTCTCGAATTTGGCCAACTGGTGATTACGAATTTGGGAGAGCGCAGCGATCGCTACTGCTTTTACCGGGAATTGAGCGTGAAAAACAAGTTGACGAGGGAAGAGCGACGCGTCACGCAAATGCAATACACGGCATGGCCCGACCACGGTGTGCCAGAGAATCAGAAGCACTTTATTGACTTTGTTGGAGAAGTCAGAAGGGCCAGAAACGGTTCTCTTGATCCGATTATCGTCCATTGCTCCGCGGTGAGTGAAAAAAGATGACAAAAGATTGACTTTTTTGTGCAAAGAAGCCATTAAATTGATGTAAAATAGCCACACCTTCTCTTTTTTGCCTCATTCTGCTTTAATTTCTAGGTTAGCTCTCCATTTTTGCCATCAACGATATTGATTTACCTTACTTTAGGTCATCAACAAAATTTTTTGTCATAGAATTTTAGCTAGTGGTCTTGGAAGGATCATATAATTTTAAAACAATCATATTTGCTCTGTTTTGTCTTATTCTACTTTAATTTCTAGTCTTGCTATCCATTTTGGTCATCAACAATATTAATTTACCTTACTTTGGGGTGCTAGCAAAATTTTTGGTCATAGCATTCTAACCAGTGGTCTAGGAAGCCTCAGATGATTTTAAAACGACCATAATTTCTTTGGTTCGTCTTATTCTACTTTAATTTCTATGTTAGCTATCCATTTTTGCCGTCAACGATATTAATTTACCTTACTTTAGGGTATCAAAAAAAAAATTTTTGTCGTAGTATTCTAACTAGTGGTCTAGGAAGCCTCAGATGATTTTAAAACGACCATATTTGCTCTTTTTCGTCTTTTTCTACTTTAATTTCTAGTTTAACTCTCCATTTTTGTCATCAACGATATTAATTTACATTGTTTTAGTGATCAAAATTAATTTCTCCTTTTTTTAGGGTATTGGCAGAACCGGAGTTCTTATTTTGATGGAAACAGCGGCTTGTTTAATCGAAAGCAATGAGCCAGTATACCCTCTGGACATTGTGAAAGTGATGCGGGATCAACGGGCCATGTTGATTCAAACAACGGTAAGATTTTGAGACTTTTTTACTCAATTCTGGGATAGTTTTAGTCATAAAAAATTTTTTTTTTTATTTCTCGGATTTAGCATTGTAAAATACGCCCTTTAATTTTTTTTCGAGTTCAAAAAAAAAATTTTTTTTTTGAAATTGAAAAAATAAATTTTTACTTTTTTCACAAATTAATATGTATTTTCAGGAGCAATACACCTTCGTCTGCGAATGTATCCTCCGCTCCTACAGCGACGGGATGCTGAAACCGCTGGCCGAATACCAAAAACGCTAAAAGTACAAATCCAATTTGACTTTTATTCGACTGTAAATACAAGAAAAAAAGGGTCCAAAACAGTGTCTAATGCCCAAATTTGCCTAACTTTATTTGAATATTGTGAATACAAAGACGAAATAAAGAGTTTATCCCAATAATTACATGATATTTTTGGCGCAGAGACCGGCGATTTGACATGGTATACACATATGCGGAGTAAAGTAATATAACGGGTTGGTCTTGACAAAAAATCGACAGAATCACTCAGTTTTCCTCAAAATCCCGTTGAGCAGTTGCAGCGGTCGATGCAACTGAACCTCCACCCAGCAGGGCGTCTCCTTTATGGTGGATCTGTTGTAGCCGGTGCCCCAACCCTTCACAAAACTGATGGCCAAAGTGCAACAGACTCGTCGCAAATCGTCCACTCCAGTCCCCGCTCGCTCTAATACAGAGGGCGCTACGGCGTTCTGACCAATCCCGGCGACCGCGTAGGCTTGTGCAGCGACCGCAAGTTGTGCGCTTTGACGCTGCTCGCACATTTCGGAAAAGGCCCAGCGGAGGTCGAAGATCTGGAAAAAATTTTTTTTAAAAGGTTACTGTAAAAATTTTGGAACTGGGACCATTGGGGAAAAGTACGATTGGGGAAACCGAAAAGTATTATTTTTCTTCCATGCAAATCTCGAAATTAGGATAATCGAGGGTGCTGATTTCGAAAATAACACTCATTTTTTGATTCTTACTTTTTTCCTTAAGTAGTACAGGGTGGGCCACTCGAAACGGGTAAGTTTTTTCTTTGGATTTCTCCGCGGAGACTCCGCCGATTTTCCCGAAATTTAGATTTTTGTGTAGCTGAGACCCGCCATTTTTAACCGGTTGAATTTGAAAAAAATATATTTTGAATTGACCTTTCTATGCCTTCCCAAAATTTTGAAGAATTATTTTCGAGCCGAAACCGCTAAAACTTTGAAAATTTTTGGAATGATTTTCAATTGACTTTCTCGGACTTGGAAAATTTTTGGCTTTTTTGGGGGAAATCGCGGAGTAAAAAGTTGCTAGTGCTCGCCTTAAACTTGTTTAAAAGCAAGTTGAAAGCCACAAGAGGGTTGTTTGTATTACCATTAGGGCACGAACATTCAAAAAAAAAACAAGATTTCAAAAAGATTGCAAAAGTCCACACAATTGGCAACGAGCCCCAGCTCCAAGTCATTGAAGCTTGGAGCCCAGCCCGATTAAAGATAGACGATGTTCACGATCTGCAATTCGAGCTGTTCACGACTCTCATGACTCTCAAAGCTCCTACAAGTTTGTGCTGCGAGAGGAAATGGGCATTTCGGACTCAGATAGAAATATTAATAATCAGGTCGTTAAATAAAATTGTTTTTACGACAATATTTTATCGTTATCTGAGGCAAAACTTGGAAAATTTCACCCAAAAACTCGAAAAAATGACCAAGTTTTCGAAATAATTCCAAAAATTTTCCAAGTTTTAGCGGTTTCGGCCCGAAAATAATTCTTCGAAACTTTGGGAAGGCATAGAAAGGTCAATTCAAAATATATTTTTTTTCAAATTCAACCGGTTAAAAATGGCGGGTCTCAGCTACAGAAAAATCTAAATTTCGGGAAAATTGGCGGAGTCTCCGCGGAGAAATTTAAAGAAAAAACCTACCCGTTTCGAGTGGCCCACCCTGTACTGTAAAGTAGTAATTTTGAATTTTTCCATAAATAAAAAAAAATTGCGGAAATACTGGATGTAGGGGTTTTCGAACGTGCTGGTCTCAAAAATTATGTTAACTTTTCCTCTAGTACTAAATAAATAGTACTATCTGATACTATGTAGTACGAAGTGAAAATAGGAGTACCAAGGACCAGAACAACACCACTAACACCGAAAGGCCAAATTTACACCTTGTACTACATAGTATCAGATAGTACTATTTAGTACTAGAGAAAAATTTAACATAATTTTCGAGACCAGCACCTTCGAAACCCCCTAAATCCAGTATTTTTGGAAATTTTTTTTAAAATTACTACTTAACAGTACTACTTAAGAAAAAAGTAAAAAACGAACATGATTTTTGAAATCAGCACCCTCAAAAACCCCTAAATCCAGTATTTATGAAAAAAATTTAAAAATTACTACTTTACAGTACTAGTTAAGGAAAAAAGTAAGAATCAAAAAATGAGTGCCATTTCGAAATCAGCACCCTCGATTATCCTAACTTCGACATGGAAGAAAAATAATTTTTTTCTCCAATCGTCCAACTGCGACAAATTTCGAGCCATAATTGAACCAAATAAGCTACAAACTCTACGAAAATTTACCTTTTTCTCCGCGCCGATACTAAACTTGTGCACCGTGCTGCCATAGACCAACCCATGCTCAAAGTCGAGGAAATAGCTCCGAACGAACGCTCCTTTCTGCGACAAACAGGTCAGATAGACGTTCCCATCCTGGGTTTGTTTGATTTTGATCCCTCGGCCAATATGAATCCTAAAATTTGAAAAATCATCAAAAATTTCAGTTGAGGGTCTACTGTAGTATAATTTCAAACTCAAAAAATAATTTTAACTCGAGAACTGCTTGCGTCGTATTTTACCCACCTTGCTTTTTCGGATGCCTCACTTCTATGTACATTGGAGAGGGCGCCGAGACAAAAACGGCCAAGTCTTGCCCCGGCCGGGTCCATTCCCCCATCGATGGTGACCTCGGCTTGATCTCGAGGAACCTTGAAGGTCTGGCCAATTTGTGTGTCCAGCTCGTAGTAGGAAATCGAACACCAATGGGAAACTGCTGAAATTTTCGAACTTTACGCTGGTTCAGACTTTTGATATTGTACTTGAAATTTTGATGCGATAGGCAGATATTTTTGCAAAAAATAAAGCTGTTGGAGCTACAGACGTCTAAAAAGAATCTAAAAATCACAACTTGTTTAATTTTGCTTTATTCGCATGCTTCTTATATCAGTTTTGTCATCAGCATATTGCACTGGGTACGTTAATATAAAAATTGTTATATTTTATGGCTGAATACGAATAATAACACAAATCTTGGTATATATGCAGTCTATAGGACAATAAGTGCTGGCAAGTATTCACAGAACGTATTTTACAAATACCATCGAAATATAGGCCTTTGAAGTTTAGAACCCACTACTGTATGCCATCTTTTATATAATATAATATAAACTCTCAAATTCTTTTCCAAAAACCTTGGGTTATGCAATATTCTACTTGAAAATAAACTTACGACTAGTATTCGGTATCCTGACTCTACTCAAGTTACATCGCAACGAGTTGTAGCGCTGATTTCCAAAGTTGTTTCCATTTTCTTTGGATCCCGACGGAAAGTCCTGATTCCCGTAATCCCTCGATTTCCAATGAATTTCCTTGTTCTCCGTGGGAGAGAGTTGCATAAACGACGGGATAGTCGTTGTGCTTATCGTATCGCCGGTCGGCAAATGCGACACCACATACGAAGGCTGTTGATGTGGGCCGTACATGAGGAAGGGTTTAATCGAGTCTTTTTGCTCCGCCATTTCCGGCGAATTCTGAACACACATGTCCACATCCTGGTTGCTGTTACACTGACCGACTCCGTCCATCCGCAACGAGTTCATATCGATGTTGCCAATGGAGGAGGAGACAATTCGGTCGTAATGAAAGGGGTTTATACAGATCAAGTCGGGGTGATCCGAAGGGGTTGTGCAGACGGGAAGCTTCTGCAACTCGTTCTTGCTGACGTTGGGCCAACGCCAAATTCGTGTGTAGACCACGTGTGGGACACCTTTTCGACCAGCGACTTGTAATCGACCATCCAGCGATCGCTAAAGACATTTTGATTATTTTTTTGGATTTTTTGAGGGGAATTGGTAAATAGAACGATTACTATGCTATTTTCTACTGCTAAAGTACTAGTATATGTTTCTAGAGAAGATGAAAATCTTGCGTAAAGAAGTGAAAAAGTTATTGGCAAACGCATTTTTTTGTCTGGCTGACTCTCCTCATTTTGCGTGCTCTCTCGTTGAAAATATTGTAACTCGGCTTGCGCTGAAGACCGAGATCTGAAACTTTTAGAAAATGATTCTTGGTTAGTTTAGAGCCAACACACCAAATTTTGAGTAAATCTGAGCATTCCTCTTTGAGCACCAGGCATTTCGTTGTAGGTAATGATATCTTTTCTTCCTTGTCTTTTACTATCTATAACTTCTTAGAATCCCAGTTTATCCTTGCAAAATCAGTTTTAAATTTAATTCGAAGCCATCGGAAGTTCCTGAGCTATCTTTTTATACAAAAATTCCACCAAATTCTACAGTAATTCACCTTTTATCATTTCCGGAGTAAACACAACTGATAAAGTATGTTTTTAATTCAAAAATTCCAATCGCCCTTGTCATCGCCAGTTTTGTCATCATTTCGAAATCAAAATATTTTCGATAAGAAAATCCAAAATATTACGTAATAAATTGTAATCTTACATTGATGGTGACACATGACGTGGCTTGTTTTCCACTGGACGTAACCGCCGAGATCAACGCATCCAACTCCCGTTGTTTATCCTTCAACTTTTTCACCAGACTTTCGATCGCTTTTTTTATGAAATCCGGGTCTTCTCCGCCCTAAAATTGCAAAGTAAATGTAACATTTGACTTACTTGATGATAGCAGAGGAGCACCTGAACCACTTGAGCGCAAGGATCTTGATTCGGATTCGAGGAAGAGGGTGTGGCCAGGGAATTACGGTCGATTTTTAGGTTCATACCAGATGGACCCGACTGAAATTTGGAAAAATAAAAAATTCGGTGGCAAAAAGTGAGCTTGAGTTTCTGTTTCATAAAATTTTTTTTTTAAAATGATTTTTTGTTGAAAAAATCGAAAAATCCAATTTATTTTTGATTTTTTGCTAAAAAAATTAAATTTTTTTCTTATTTAAAGATTGCAAAATTCAAAAACTGAAATTTAAAATAATTCCAGACAGTCTTATCTTCCATTTGCATTAAAAGATTTTGTTCAAAATTGATTTTTTCCATCAAAAAAACCAAAAAAATTAAATCCTTCCAAAAAATCCCTCAAAAATTTGCGCAATCCCCAAAACTCGTGCCCAAAACCCCACCTGCATCTGGTGCTGATCATAAGCGAACGTGGCGGGATGGGTTGGGGGTCGGGTCGCCAGGAATGGGTCCATCACTGGGCTCAGACAACCGGTTAAGGGCGAAGACGAGGGCTGTGTCGTCATTAGCCATCGAGGCATAATTCCAAGAAGAGGGAGAGCGAACACTTTCCGCGGGCAGGTGAGTCCGATCGCAAAATGGGGCGAGGAGAAAAGGAGGGCTGGGGAGGAGCCACCGACGTCGCTTCGCTTCACTGGGCTCAGCTGATATTACACTTGAGGCTTGCCCAACTTGTACTTGATATCAGATATTTCGAAGTGGGATTTTGAGGCTTTTTCTAGTTGAAATAACGTTGTAGATAGTTGTAAATTGAAGTGAAATGTAGCTTGACTTTTGATCTGACCTTATTGACGAGCCATTTGGTTCAGGGGAAATTTTTTGCCCAAAAAATGACTTATTTTTTCCTTTGTCCAAAACTCAGATTTCAAGTGAAAATAGGTCAATAAGTGATGATTCAATGATAAATCCAACCAAGTTCTGTGAATTTCTTATCGTCTAAAGGTGATTCAATATGAATGCAGTCGTATTTTAGCCAAAATTCCTTAATTTTCCACTGATGATTTTTTGCCAAAACTTGGCTCCCTTTGAAAAAAACGTCCAGCAAGTCTTACAGGAGCAAGTAGATCCAATTCCAGATATATCAGGGTATAATATGGCAAACTTTATGACGCTTAGCAAATTTTTGATGACTTTTTTTCCAAGTCGAAGTTATAGAAAATCACTGTAGAAATAGGTGTCGTAGATCAGTAGAAATGAAATACCACAAGTGTAGTATGCAGTATGGGGGTTTTTTTCGTGGTGGAGATAATAGTAGTAATGTAGCTGATAGTTACAATAAATTATTTATTTCCAAATTTCAGCAAAATTCTGCTTTCTCCAATAATCCTTCGTTTTTTATTGATATAGGTGACGATAAATGAATTACAGAGTAGAATGAGCTCGTCAAATAGTTAGATAGCAGTTAAAATATCCAAATTTACCCAAATTAAATCGATTTTCCTCAAATTTCGCTCAAAAATCGTTGATTTTCCCAATGAAATCGTCGAAAAAATGCGCTATGTTCGCGTAGTGAATAGTCAATAAAGGTATTATAAATAAACTCGTTCGTCGTGGTCGCGAAAAGCCTTCCAATCCAAAGCCGCCGTTCCCAACGAATTTGCGGTCGAATTTGGCTCCGATTTTTATGTAAAACAAAATAATTACTCGGTGGACGGTGGTGCGGGCAGCAATAAACTGATTCTGGGGGCAGAAAGGCTGTTAAATACCCCCCGCAATTTCCTTTCCCATTCATTCGTCGCTCGTCGTTTGGCGGGTTTTATGGCAGAAGCGGCGAGAAAAGTTTTGAATTTATTGCTTCAAAAATCTGAGTGACATTTTTATGGCGCAAATTTCTTTTCCAATTTTTTTTTTTGGCGTTGGGTAATTTATTTTTTGCGACGGGGGAAATATGTCGGTGCGGGAACGGTGTTCGCCTCCTCGCGCGTTTGTTTTTTGTGAACGCACTCGGAGTTGATCCGAAAGGACTTGCACTTTTAAAGGGAAGAACGGTTTTTCTTTGCCCCATGGCGGTTTTATGTTTTCGCCGCCGACAATGATTGTTTGTCGATGCAATTTGCAGGTTCTTTATGGCTCTACGCAGTCAATTCACATGATTTTCGAACGGGTTTCGAGGTCGTTCTTTCTTACTGTATGTTATAGTATACGTTAGGTGAGTACTCAAAGTCGAATGCTCAGGTTTTCTTCAAACTTGGCAAACACACTCTGGATAGGCCATAATTTAATACTTGAAAATTTTAGCTCTTTGCTTGCAGGGATAGCCGAGATATTTTTAATTTTTTTTCTAGACTAGAGACTATGGAAAATGAAGAGAGACGGCCAAAGTTTCGGAAAATCCAAGGCTAAACTTCCACTAATATCTCTCACAAGGGCTCGGCAAAACCTCGTCCCCTGGTTTCTTCTTGAAACATATACCATTTGAAAGAGCGCAAAAAACTGGTCTAGGATCACCCATAATTTGCTGCTAAGATCCTCTTACATACTAGCTAGCGAGCATTTTTTAGTTCTAAGCCAGCCTCACCCTTCTTTCAAGAAAACAAAAGCGATCGATTTCAAAAGCACAGCGGAGCAGTGCTTCGGTGGCCTAGTGGGGTAAGGCGCTCTACAAGGAGGACGTGCGGACCAGGTTCGAATCCTCTTTTGAATTTTTGGATTTTTTTGGCTATTATGGAATGAAGAAGGCTAGCATGTAGCCTTTAATTTTAAATTGATTTTTGGGGTACGCTAGATTGGTTTTACTAGAAAAATCGATAGGTTTTTAAATTTTTTATGATATAGGTGTCATTGACCCTGCAGTGGGCATCCAAGATGGTTGAAACTTTCAACGGCTTTAATATTTTTTGCCAGGAATGCCCATTTACGGACAGCACGTGAAAAACGAGCCTGAAAACGGTATACATGTTTGAAACCTCCTAGTATGACTCGGGTTACAAGACCTGAAACATCGCCTAATCACTCGTTGAGGGCATCGACCTGAGAGTTTCAAGCTCGGAAAAAAATTATGTTTTTTGATCTTGATTGAAGCGTCCAATGTCATAGGTGACTAATATTTGTATGAAAAGTGATTATTCGATCTCGTTGGCATCTCAGAAGAAAAGGTTCCCTAAGTCTAATTGGGAATTTTGAAAAAAGTTCGCTAGCTAGCACGTAAGTGAATCTTAGCAGCTAATTAAAGGTGATCCTAGACCAGTTTTTTGTGCTCTTTCAAATGGTGTATGTTTCAAGAAGAAACCAGGGGACGAGGTTTTGCCGAGCCCTTGTCAGTAAAGTTTACTCTAATTTTGGCCAACTTTCATTGACATTTACGATTCCCACCACCCTAATTTCCCCTGATATTGTAGTAGATACATTAGTCATCATTTCAAATATAACTTCTTTATCTGACATAGACATGGCTAGTGGGCCGGGCCGGGCCGAATGAGTTTTAAGGGCCCCGGGGCCGGGCCGACCTCTTCCGGCCGGGCCGGCCGGGGGCCCCCGCCAGGCCCCCAATCGGCCCCCAATGACTAAAATTCCCAGTCTCAAAGCGAAAATTAGGCTTGCCAATAAAAATAAAACGCAGAGCCAAGAACCGATTGGGTCTTTTGAAGTATATACATGGCAATGGTTGGTAATTTTTTGTTTCAAAAACTTTTTTTTCGATTTTTATAACAAAAAATGGGGGCTAAGGTAGTACAACCCCCAGTCCAGTTCAGCCCCCCTTGACCCAGTATAAGCCCCCTAATCCAATCTGAAGCGCCTACTCGGGATTGGGTTCTCTCGGCTACGGTCAGCGTTGCCTGAACCACAAGAACGAATTTGGACGGTAACTGGGGGTCTCAGCTAAAACGCCGGGGGTCATTTTACTCTAATTTCCATTTTTTGTATTATTCTAATTTTTTACTTATGGGGTGTGTGAAATGGACAAAACAGTGGGGGTTTGAACTACCAAAGCCCCAAAAAAATGTGTTATATCTCGTAATGAATGCAGTATTTATATTTACAGTTCGGCCCCCGGTCGGCCCCCGGCCCGGCCCGGCCCCCTGGGGGCCGGGCCGGGCCGAGAAAATTTGAAGGGGGCCGGGGCCGGGCCGACCTCTTCCGGCCCCCGGGCCGGGCCGCGATTTTCGGCCCGGCCCGGCCCCCCAGCCATGTCTAATCTGACAGGGGAAGTACTCCAAGTGCGACGCTCAGATTTTCTTTACATTTTGCACACACGTCGGGCATCAACTAAATATCAATTCCTGAAAGTTTTAGCTCGCGCTTTGCAAGCGCCGCCGAAATATTGAACGACCTTTGCCGCCGAGAGAGTAGGCTAAACGCGGAGAGCGGTCAAAGAGAAAAACACTTTTTTGATCATAACTTTGCTAGTTTCGTGCGGAAAAATTTTATTTTTTGAGGCATAAATAGCCATGAAACTTTTTCTGCCGAAATTCGGCGAAGAGTGTCAAATTTTCGCCAACTTTCGATCTAAAAATCTCGGTTGTTTCTGCAAAGCGCGAGCTAGGATTCTCGCATATATTTTTTTAAAAATCATTCTAAATTTGTGCCAAGTTTCATCAAAATCTGAGCGTCTCACTTGGGGTACTTCCCCTGTAAGTTTCATTGACATCTACAATTCCCACCACCAGAATTTCCACCGATATTGTAGTAGATACATTAGTCATCATTTTAAATAAAAATTCTTTATCTCAACTAAATAGGTTAAAAACAAACTATAAATAAGATTCCTCAACGGTTACTATCTTATTTCTGGTTCTTCAGGAATTTATAGACCGATCCAAAATCTTTGTCTCCAAATTCCGGCGAATTGGCCAGAACTCGATAAATTTGATGGGCCAGCGATCCCAGCGGGGTTGGAACACCGACTTCAGTGGCCGCGTTCTGTGCCAGACCCAGATCTTTCGTAATCAACTTGTTTCCAAAGCCTCCGGCGTATCCGCGTGCAGCCGGGACATTCTCCATGACGCCTGGGACCGGATTATAACTATCCGTGCTCCAGCAGCGGCCAGAGCTCGTGTTGATAATCGCTGAGAGAACTTTGGGATCCAAGCCGAGTCTAAAGATCAAAATACAATGGAAATGGACTTACTTTTCTCCGAGATTCATCGTTTCAGCCACTCCAATCATATGAATTCCCAAGAGCATATTGTTGCAGATTTTCACTGATTGACCCGTACCAACATCACCACAATGAACCGAGTTCTTACCCATTTGCTGGAAGAAGGGGAGAGCTCGCTGATATGCATTTTCGGTTCCACCAACCATGAAAGTTAAGGTCGCGTTTTCGGCACCTGAAGGATAATATAAATTACATAGGATATTAGCTCCAGGGACTTTCAAATAAAATCCACTAGGACACACATGGCTTGTTTGGCAAATCTAGACGTCTTTTCAATGAATTAAGGTCTGAATTTCTAAACTTTGGTCCCAGTCCAAATATTAGTCATCATGGATAATATTAGCTAATATCTTGCCAATTTAAAGATCAACATGGTTCAAATTTAGAACAGAGTGACAGTAAAAAGCCCAAATTCTGTTTGTAACATCCATTTCCCTCACCTGTAACTCCACCGGACACAGGAGCATCTAGAAATTCGGACTTTTTTTCTCTCACTTTCAGCGCCAACTCTTTCGCAACCAACGGATTGATCGTACTGCAGTCCACACACAATGAATCCGTCTTCAACGTCCTAAACACTCAACAAAAATCATAAAAGCACTTACTGAAACAACCCGTCTTTTGAGGAATAGACCTCTTCCACATGACTACTATTGGGCAACATGGTGAATATTGTGGAGCTCTCTGCCCCAACTTCTGATGGAGTTTTGGCTACCGCTACTCCCAATTTCTTGAAGCTTTCAACTACGGACTTGTTGACGTCATAGACGACGAGTTGACGTCCATTTTTGACCAAATTTTTGGCCATGAAAGCGCCCATGTTACCCAATCCGATGAACCCGACAGACATGGTGGAAATCTTACCTAAATTAAGGCCGGATATACTTTATCAGCTACTATATGTTATCATCCCGTTATACACGACGATTATTTACATTATACAAGCAAAAAATCGAGTTTAAATTTTAAAAAATACCCAAAAAATGGTCGAAAAATCGAGAAAAATTGTAAAAGTCGATAAAAATTTGCTAGATGTATTTATTCATACGTCAGCCTACAAAAGTCATAACAATATGAATCAAGCTCCAAGACGGGCCTTGCATTGCTTGAAAAGATCATTGTAGCTGGCGCAGAGGCTCAGATCACTCTGGTTTTGGCTGCTGAAAAGGTAAAGCAATATAAATTGATTTGGCAAACCACCTTAAAAACTCTTGATAAGTTACTATTTGTCTTTAAATACAAAAGTGAGATTCGCTGAGGAGGAAAGAACACTTATCAAGCCTAAAGCCGTTCAAAATTAACGAACCATTCCAAGAACTGGCGCCATTCAATCTCGCAGGGTTGTTGTCCAGGCAGCTGGGCGGGGTAAGCGGGTGGGGCAGCAGCCTGAGCGGGCGCTGCCTCGTGGCTCGACCCGCCACCGCTCATCATGTTTCCAATAGTATGACCCTAAACGCAAAAGTTCATCGAACATTCAAAGCACACTTACCACCGCGGATCCGATCGCCACTCCACCGGCCGTCGCGGCCATTTGACCGAAAAGACCGGGCCCTTGAGATGGGGCTGGATGAGGAGGAGGAGCGGCAAAGCCCGGAGCATGGGCTGGCGTAGGAGCGGTCGTTGTAGCCGGTCTAGAAGGGGGAGCGGCGGAGTAGCTCGATTGTTGAGGGGATCGAGCGCGGACTGGGGCACTTGCCTTGGGGGAGGCGGTACGTCGACGAACCATGATTGATATATACTCTGAAATAAAAATTTACATAATTCGAAAAACATATTTGGCCACGGAAAGTTAATACAACCACGAAAAAAATTTTACACGTAAAAATTATATTATCCATGAAAAAACGAATATTACTTCGAAGAGAACACAAAGATTATAGTCTCAATACTGATCAATATAGAAACACGTAGACTATACGGAACATGTAATATACCCTTTCCCACCAAACAACAGGCAATTCACGTTGATCAACTACCTTTTTAGTTGTTACCACATCAAGAAGAATATACTGTGATACAAGCCGAAAAACTCTCAAAAACGAGTTATAAATCGACGAAATAATGAAATAAAAACTCGAAAAAGATAAGAAAAGGTGATCAAAACCTTCTAAAACATCTCTAGACATTTAAAATCGCCAGCATCGAGCTTTTATACGTTTGCCCAAATAATTTCGTAATTTACACCACGTGACTAGACTCAGCCGGCTCGAAGGTAATAGTACAAATCGTCACAAACCCAGTCTTTGACAACGTTGGTGTAGAAAAAGTTCCCGAAACCTCTCGAAGAAAATCGCGTCGAGACCAGGGGTGGCCACCGGGCCGGGCCGGCCCGGCCCGGCGAAGCCCGGCCCGATCGGGCCTAAACGGGCCGGGCCTGGCAAATTTTGAAACGGGCCGGGCCGGGCCTGCTTTTTACCGGGCCGGGCCGCGGGCCTGAGCCATTTTCAGGCCCGGCCCGGCCCGGTTTTGTCGAAATGCCAAGCGTTTGGCATTCAATGTTTTCGCGCCGGAAAAATTTTTGGATAGGTTTGTATTTTTAGTATATCAAGTTCTACAATAGTTTATTACTTTATAGTACTTTTTTGCATATATGTTATAATATAAGGTCCAAATTAGAACATATAATACATATACGATAGTTCTTAGCAGATTTTAGCACACTACAGAGGCGGTAAGATCAAAGGAAAATTTCCAGCTCGCGCCCTAACCGGGCTTTTACAGGGCCGGGCCTGATTTCTACCGGGCCGGGCCGGGCCGGGCCTGCAAAATTTTGAACCGGGCCGGGCCGGGCCTGGGATTTTGCCGGGCCGGGCCCCGGGCCTGAAATTTGGAAAAAGAGGCCCGTTTGCCACCCCTGGTCGAGACTTGACCCAGAGACACACTTGTCCTAAAAGGGAGACACTTGACACATCGGTCGTTTTCAAGGTCGCGCAGACTTTTTTCTGGACCTTGTAGATCGCAAGACCGACTCCCTTTGTTCAAGTCTTTCCTCAGCTTTTCAGGACACGGAGAATGTCCGTTATATCGAGGGTTTGTTTGCTTTTATATTACAGTAGACAAAAGGGCCGGGCGCAGTTTGCTCAGAGGTCACATTGAGTAAGAACGGAACGTTCGAATTGATGAATACATATTATCAATTCCCATTTTTATCGCTGACCTTTTTCTCCCCTTTTTATCTGAATTTTTTTCGTGGATCTTGAATGATGACTCCTTTCATTTGATAACAAACCTTAATTTTAGGTCTGTGATGTCGGCTTGGGTTATATCCTGCTTGGTATTGGCGTCCATTGTTTATGGGGAGGATGTTTTAAGCACAAAGTCTAATCTCGACACCTTACGTTACGTTCATGCGGTACGGATTCATATTTTTCTTTTTGTTTTAGGTTACATTGATGAATAATATCCGGGAATATATTAAAAACACAAATGATTGGTTCATTTAGTGTGTAAATAGCATTGCTGTGAATTGCTGAATATTTATGAGGACATTTAGGTTTGGCGACATGGCGATCGCACCCCTTCGACCCTAATTCCCACCGATATAAACAATGGAATTGAGACATGGCCAGATGGCCTGGGAGAACTCACTGTGAAGGGGGAAGCTCAACAATATCAGCTGGGAAAATTGTTGAGAGAGCGATACGACGGGTTCTTGGATAAGAAGTACTCGCCATTCCAGATTTATATCAGATCTTCTGATTATAATAGAACATTGGCTTCGGCACAAGCAAATTTAATCGGTTTGTTCCCTCCAGAAGACCAGGAGCTGTTCGATAAAGGTTTGCGATGGCGACCAATTCCTGTTCATACAATTCCAAAGGTCGAGGATAGAGTAAGTTGGTTTTGTGGTACTTTTTTTTGATTTTAGGTATCAACTGGCCTAAAATAATGGCTTCAATTTTAGGAGCTTTTTGACCGAGTTGCTTGCCCTCACGCTGATGCAGAAGAGAATGCAGTTTATTCTTCGGATGAGGTGAAGAAAATCGAAGAAGAAAACCATGACTTTCTCGTATTTTTGGCGAAACAAAGTGGTCTGGAGAAGGAGGTGATGCGTCTGCGTGATCTCTGGAAACTTTTTGATCCTTTGATGGCTGAACATTCTCATCCAGAAGATCACAAGCTCCCTGCTTGGGTTAATGAGACAGTCCAACGGGATTTGTGGAGATTATATGACGTTTCTTCGTTCTATCTTTATGGATCACCAGTTCTTAAGAGATTAAGATGTGGACCTTTGTTTTCCGCGATCATTGGCCGAATGGATGATGTTGCACATGGCAGAAGGGATCAACGAGAAAAGTTATACGCCTACTCAGCTCACGACACAGCTGTGGCCGCGCTGTTGGCAGCTTTTGGAGTAACTCCGGCCATTTTTCCGGAGTACGCAACAATGGCTTTGGTCGAGCTCCATAAAATCAATGAAACAGATATTGTCAAGGTAAATATTGTTCCGTATTGGGTGTATTTGCTCTTGTTGAGGTCTAATTGAGGTATTTTTTAGCTCTTCTACAAGAACCACACCCATAATAACAATATTTATGAGCTCGAGATACCTCAATGTGCTGCACCGTGCACCTTGCATCGTCTCAAATTGAACACTGCGAATGTGATTCCAAGGAACTGGGAGGAAGAATGCGGTCTATATCAAAGAAATCACAAGGATAACATCATAATTTGTAAGAGTTTAATTATTTTTTTCGAAGTTTAGGTATAAACCATGATGATGAAGATAAAAATGCCTAGAAATGGATGTAATCGTTGCTTTCAGATGTCGGAGTAACAATCATGCTGTTCGTAATCCTTGTCCTTATCGCTTTTGGCCAACTTCGGTATCATCGGAACCTTCAAAAACAGAACCAGACCAAATATTCGCTTCTAAATGAAGACATCGACTTCTAAGTGCTCACTTCTCAACTTCTTATCGGGTTTTTACACTCTTTTCATTCTTATCGGTCTATCATGAGTTATTCGTTATAACGGGAATTGTTTGTAAAGTATTTTCAGTAATTAGACAAATAAAATGTGATATTTTTGCTTTTTTGGTGTTTTTCTTGATGAATTAGGTTACATACCGCAAGATATTTGAAGAATATTGAATATGCAGACTAAATTTGTTAACAGGATACTTTTTTTAACCTTCCAAATGGAAAAGCTAACTAAAATTGCCTAATTTTTATATTAATCTTCAAGTGTAATATAAATTAATGTCGAATTTTGCAGAAAATTTTGCAATGATGTGTTGAGCAACAAACACTGGATAGGATGAGATGTTATTGTCAACATCGCTCAGTTTATTCTTCTTGTTTTGGAGCGCTCTTTTCTTGATTGATTACTTTTTGAGATCATGGCAAGTAGATCGGTATCTCAGATTGGTGGAGCATTATGGGCTGACAATATCACCGTTCCAGGTAGTTTTTTCTTTTTTGGTTTCACTTTTAGAGCAAAAACTCGACGTTTGGAGGCTTCATTCGATATTACGATGACCTCATGTGTAATATAATAAGATGATTGCAGCTCCGTTTCTACTGGACCCGCTGTGATAATCGATGGCATTTTGGGCCGTTTGTGGCATTCCAAACATGGGTAGCGACCTCCAAGCTGTCCAGACTTGTCGCAGTTTGGTTTACCTTGGGCACCTTGGTCGCGTTGGTTTTCTTCTTTGTAATGCCGTTATATTTGGTATGGCTCTTGTTCACGGAGGTCTTCAATTGGTATTCGATCATGCAATGGCTGAATAGTGGATGGTTTTCGTGGTTGTTCAGTGTTCGAGTGAATACGGACGGATTTTACGAAAATCTGGAGATGGGAGCCCTACCACAAGATCGAATCTCATATGTGCCGTTTCAGAATCATGTCCAGAGTAAGATATATGACTTGTCGGGGTTTTTAGGAGATTTTTGAAAGATTTTGGGAGTTGTGAACAAGTTTGACCACCTTATTTTAGCTGGTATTATACCTGTAATCCCTGGTGTCAACATCCCAATTCACCATCTTCCAATGTTCGTATTCGTCCTGATTATTGCAGGAGTCCTTCATGAGGTAATTTACTGCTTTTTTGGATTTGTATGTGTTTTATTTTTTGCGGTTTCACCTTTATATTTCTTTAGTTGGGCCACGCTTTAGCCGCACTGTGCGCGAACGTCCGCTTGAATGGATTCGGCTTTTTCTTGATTGCGATTTATGCCGGCGCCTTTACAGAGCTTGACACGGAGGAATTGAGTGAGTATTAAAAATATTTTTGAGTTTTTTTTATCAAAAAATTAATCTTGCCCTTTATTGTTTCAGATCGAGCTTCTCTAGCACAAAAGCTGAGAATTTATTGTGCTGGTGTGTGGCACAATGTCGTCTTGGCCTTTATCGGAGTTCTAGTTCTCTGGACGTTGCCTTACACACTGTTCCCACTGTTCACAACGGGCGCCGGTGTCATCGTCAAGGGTAAGTTAATTTTTTTTTGTTTTTTTTTGGAATTTAGGTGCAAAGATGGATGAAAGAGGTTGTGAGCGTCTAAAACAAGTCTTTTGCAGAAGTGGACAAGAGCTCGGGACTCTACGGCGGCAGTGGTTTCATCCCCGGCCACCTTGTTTTATCCGTCAATGGATGCAAAACCCGCGATGCCTCGGAATGGCTAAAATGCCTAGAAAGTCTTAGATTGTATGGCCAAAACTCTGGATACATCATGGAGGCAGCAGTCGTTGATCCGTGGAGAGCACAGCCAGAATTTGTAAAACAATATGGGGATGAGATACAGTGCTGTGAAGGCTTCTCGAATCAGACATTTTCTTCTCACATTTGCTTCAATTACTACAAAGAGGAGGTGAAAACGGATGAAGGAGTGAAAATTGAAAATAAACCACCTGTGACGCCAGTTTTGAAGTTTAGAGAATCGTTGGGATTGGGAAGAAATATCAGTCGAATTGATGTGAGTTACAGGAATTTTGAATGTTAAAAATTTTTGTTTAGTACGATTAAGGCTTCTAGATTGTCAGTCAGTATTTTTTAGAGCAAAAAATAACGATTTTTTATCTGAAATTTTGAGTTTTAGCATTTTTTGGATTTGAAATTTTCTTCTGTAAAGATTAATATTTTTTTCAGCGGATAGACATTCAAAAACGCGTTGAAAGATCGCTGGACTTGGCTCCCACAAAATTCGACAAAGAAAAAGCAACCTTTGCATGCCTTTCGGCTCGCACAGTAACAGGAAAACCGATGTGTGTTCGAGGAGTGGTAAGTTAATAAAAAATTTTTAAAATTTTTTGAAATTTAGAGTCGATTGTCGCCGGATTTGGTCTGTGTGACTCCCTCTCTCTTCAATGGAACTCAGCTCCTCAGATTCAACGTTCAAAGCGCAAGCGATGTTGTTTTATTTGTGGGGCCGGTCACTGAGGTAAGAAGAGTGAAAATTTGGTCAAAATTTACTTTTTTTGGATCTTAAAATGTATGAAATTGTAATTTTTGTAGCCTTTGTACCTCGTCACGATCTCCGAATTGGTCCCCAGATTCCGCTGGATCCCCCTGTGGCTGCCCGACCTTGTAGAACTGTTCGGTCAGTATTTGGTGACCTTCTCCTTGGCCCTGGGCGTCCTAAATGCGGTCCCGTGCTATGGTCTGGATGGACAGTTCATTTGTTACACTGTGATCGATTATTTCTTTGCGTCAAAACCGTTGCAGTAAGTTTTGGCAGTGAATTCGGAGGAGACTTTGCGCTGCACAGTGCGGAGAGAATTTTGGAGCGAATGCACTGTGCAATGAAAATGAAGACCATGCGCACTGTGCAAAACGGAAAATCCGCACGGTGCAGTGTCGCGCAAAAGTTTGTCGCAACTTTTTGATTCATGCACGGTGCAATTCTTTGTCGCTGAAATCTGCACGGTGCAGAATGAATTTTTTTTTCAATTTTTTTGGCGACTTTTGTTTTGCACTGTGCATTTTGAAAAGGAGTTCTTTCCGCACTGTGCAGTGAAAATGAAGACCACTTGCACTGTGCAAAACGGGAAGTTCGCACGGTGCGATGTCGCGCAAAAGTTTGTCGCAACTTTTTGATTCATGCACGGTGCAATTCTTTGTCGCTGAAGGCTGCACGGTGCAGAATGAAAAGTTGTTTCATTTTTTCGGCGACTTTTGTTTTGCACTGTGCAGTTTGAGAAGAAGTTCTTTCTGCACTGTGCAGTTCAAAAAAATAAAAATTGCACTGTGCAAAGAGATAAAATTGTGCATTGCACTGTGCGGTTTCGGGAATAAAAAAAAAATAAAAAAAGAAGTATTTTAATGATAATTCTACAATTTTCAGACAACGTAACCGAATCGCGGGCCTGATTGTGCTGGCCGGAAGCTCCATTTTCTTGTTGAATTTGATAATCGGGTTTGTGAAATTATTCCTCTTCTATTTACGGTGATTTCGACTAATTTATTCGCTTTTTCGCTTTCAATTCATACGAGTAATGGATCAAATTGTTGTGCGTTTGTCTTTTGTCTCCGTTCAGGGTCTGTTTAAGGGTCTTTTATTGTGATAAAAATCATGCAATTGTTGAATTTTTTTTGTTTCTTTAGTCGGTCCAACGCAATATTCAAGCATAAAACAATGTTTTGAACGTTGTATTACTATATATTTCTTAACATTGTAACGGTTTTGTAACACTTTTTTAGCTTTATTTAATAATTCTGTGCCTTTTTTCTTCGATTTTCACAATCAGTATTAATTTGGGTATTTTTTGGAGATTTTTTTGGTCGGAAATCCTGTAGATTGGTCTAAATTGCCTAAATTAGATTAAAAATCGAAGATTCCACCCCATTATTTATTATCAATGAAATGCCAAATGTTCAACATAAAATACAAAGTTTCGAGTAAAACGGTTCTCATCCTATCATTGTTGTGGTTGTCAAATAAATTATGATTCGGATTGAAGAGCTTGGTTTTTTGAATAAATTTGAGCAAAAATATGTAAATTTTTATATGAAAAAATGCTGAATAACGTATTTTAAAATTAATATCGGAAATAAAAAATTTGCATAAATTACGTCAAAAAATAATAGGGTAGTTTCTGAGCCAAAAAAGTAAAAAAAAAGTTTTGTGTGCAATATGCAAATTTCTGAAAATTAAAAAATTTGCATAATCTACTTGAAAACTGATTAAATCTACTTTTTTTCTGGAATGAAATTTTTTACGACCTTTGCTTTTTTCAAAAAAATCTGAATTTTCCTGAATATTCAAATTTTTACAAACTGAAAAATTTGCATATTTCACGTAAAAAATGAATAAAATGTTTACAAAAGGCCGTTGATGTAATCAAAAACGTTTTTATTCCCAAAAAATTAAATTTACTCCCGCTCGGAATAAACAAATTCCGCAAAATGGAATGAAATGTAACGAATCCCCTTTTCCCTTTTTTATTCCGACTTTTTCTCTTATTTTTTAGACAAAGAGTCTCTCCCATTTCCGCGTGCTCTCTGCGCCTCGCGTCCATAATGGGAACTCTCTTTTCTTTTCCCGTTTTCCGCGCCGAAACCCCTCGCAAAAACCAGATCAGACTGTTATCATTCAATTAATTCATTCAATTTCTCGCCCCTTTAACTCCGAGATTTTGGGATTTTTTGGGGAGTGTCACCGTGTTTTGATTGTTTATTCAAAATATTTGGGTGGAATTGAAGCCGAATTGCAGGAAATATGAGCCAAATTGGAGTGGCCACCTCGACGGAAACCGCGCAAAGCAGTCAAAGCAACGAGGATGGAGGTGAGTGTGGTCGGAAATGGGGCCAATCGCCTGTTGATTAGTCGTATTTTACATTTTTCGAAATTTGATTTTCTAAAATACGGATTATTTCAACACTTTTTTTTTCCTTTTGTCTTATAGTTTTATCGATTTCACTTTTCTCTATAAGAAGAGGGCCTTTTCGCTTTTATTTTTTGCCGTAGTAAGGTTTAAACAGAGGTAAAACTTTTCAAAAAACATCTAATTTGCCCTGAAGGCTCTAGAAAAAGTCTAATTTTTCTTTTTTTCTCTTCTAATTTTGGCTTAATTTAAAAAAAAATTTTTTCTGAGGCTTGCTAAAGAGTGCCTTTCATAGAGATACATTGCCTTTATCTTGTCATTAATTAGACTACAGACAGGGACAAGTGTTTGTAAACAAAAACAAACCTCCATTTGCTAAAGTGCGCCGTAAAAAAAAGAGTTCTGTTCCAAACGAATGAGCATTTTTTGAGGTTTGTAACTCGCTCTTTTGCAATGATTTTTGTAAATAAATTTAGGGTACAATACGTTATGTTTATGTGCTGACTTTGGTTAAACATGCAACTCTCAAAACCTCCAGATCTCTTTTTTTGGACACTACAAGAAAATTTGTCTATAACGAATGAATCTAAAAGATTCCAGAGATTACTCCAGGCCAATACGAAGCTTAGCGTATTCATTTAGTAATCACATTATAGCCTCTACATTACGAACTCCGCAAGACAAAACCTGTTTATAACGAAAATTTTGAAACTCCCGAGAGTCATTTTTACGCTAAAGCCTTCCTATAACAAAGCCTCTCTATAACGAACAAACTTTATGGATCTTTGGGGGTTAATTGTACAGTGGTTACTGTACCTTAACGCGCATTTCTCTGAAAAAGCGGTATCTTACTTTTGTCTGGAAAAAGCGGTATCTCTATTGCGACAGTTTTCTCTAGATCAGCGATTTCTAAAGATCGCGACTCTTTTATAACCCGTACTTTTCGCAGACGGCTAAGATCCGCTCAGCTTCTCCTGGTATATTCGATTGTTCCTCCTGATCCCCAATAACTCAAACAAGCCCAGCATTTTTTCGATCAGGTATTAATAACCTGTGGCACACTTGCGGGCTCTGACAAATCCCCGCTTGATGACATTGTTTATAACGACTATTGGGAACATGTGTTGAGGAACTCGTTGAGACTGTCGCTGCCACATGTGGAGACCTTAAGATCAACCAAATCTTACTCTATCTACATTTTTTCCTACTCCGGATCGCGAAGATTTCGGAGATCCTCAAATTTGGCCGCAAATTCATCAAGACTTCTATTTTTGGGCCGACGCCCGCGGCCGAAGACGAGGCGTTTGAGTGGGAGGTTGAGGAGGCGGTCCCATTCATTCCGCTGATCTTCTCCGATGGCCAAGGGGGGATTCATTAAAACGGGAAAGGGGGGCTTTTGTTTCTCTCTCGCTCTTCAGGTGGATCGAAGAGGGCCGAACGCAGAGAGCGGGCGAGATGCGGAGAGCGCGCAGACGCGGCGATCTCTTATTTTACAGGCTGGGGAAGGCTTGTTTGAAGTTCTGATTACTGGAGTAAACGCTTACTTTGGAGCAATCTTCACGCTAATCAGGCCCGAAAAGTGCGGATTTTGATGATTAGAGGCAGTATAAGTAAAATAACGCAAAAATAAGGCTGGGGTTTGATTTTGCTCTTATGGTTCTGCATTTTAAATTAGATTTTCAAGCTATATTTTAAATTTTTTACCTAAATTCGTCATTTTTTGCGTTATTCTTGATCAAAAATGGTTTTTTCTACCAAAATAGGTCTTATTTTTGAATAAAAATTTGTTTTCTGACAAATGTCAATGTAAAATGAATAATTAAAATTGAGTAACCTCCTTATAAGGTGCTTTCTGTGCTTGCCAAATCCGCGTTTATTAAAGGTCTCCAAACGGGTTTTGCCTGCGGACAGGTGCCCCTGCCCCGGAGTTTCCTCTTCTTCCCCGTCCAATCAGTTGGTCGCACTCACTGCGTAGGCGTGTGCCATTAGTTCGAAGCCCCCCTTTCGGCCGGTTTCGGGCCGCCGTCCTCCCCCCTTTTGTGCCCGGCCTTTCGATCCGGCGATCCCGTCGGAATCTCTCTGTTATTAGCGGGGATTGCAGCATTAAACGAAGCCTTTAAACTGCTGTTAAATGGCCAATGCCATTGTCGCTAAAAGCCTTAAGGGCGTGTTCATGGCGATGATGGCTTGTTCATTCGACGTGACGACGGCGATGAAGGGGTGTTGCGGGCAGCTGAGCGGGGAGATTGACCACTTTTTTGAAGGTCAAAAGGCCGTAGAGGATTTATAAAGTCGCGCATGTATACCGATCCTCTTTTTAGATCTTATTTGAATTTTTTTGCTGACAATGGGAGTACAGCGTCTGTAAAGTAAAACCCCTTGCAAAAGATGATTTCTAATATCCTCTAATGAAATTACAAGCCAAAGAACCGTGCATGCAACAATATAACGCCTCAATGAGGCGATGTTCTTTTTGATTTCACCTAAGTTCACTTCTTGATCACATATCTCGCTGTTTTCTTATTTTTTGAAACCTCCGTTACTAGTATTGCACTTTACAGTCCCAACCAAAAAGGGCAAAACCATGCCTGACGGAAAGGCACCCCACTTCCCACAGCAGCCCGTGGCGCGGCAAAACGATGACGGCTCGTTGGAGTTGGAGTGCTTCCTGGAAGCCCAACCGCTGCCCGACATCAAATGGCACTACGAGAACAACGAGATCAAGGAGGGAGGCAGATTCAGCTTCAAGACCATCAACCGTGGAGGAGACTCGTACTCGGCTACCCTGCAGATCAAGGTTTGATTTTTGTCATTTTTTTCGCCAAAAGATAATTTTTTTCAGTTAGCTTGAGGTATTGCAAAGTTTTTGCTAGCGTTTTCAAGACTTTTCATTTCGGAATCTAAGACTCGCTAAAAATTGCGCCTAAGGGTCACTTTAAACAAAAATGCGGCACAAATCACTTCCCACGGGCACTTTGTTGTGGGAGACAACTGTTTCGAAGGGGCTCGGCCACTTGAATCATCGCGATATTTTTATTTTTCCGGGTTGGTAACAAATTAATTTGACATAAAAAAATGACAATATCGGATCTAAAAATATCAAAGATTCCACTGAAACCACCAAAAAAATTTAAGAATGCCTGATTTTTTTTATTTCCTGCGATTTTTTAGGATTTGGCTGACAGCGACGCCGGCTCCTACAGATGCGCCATCGTGAATCCCTTCGGAAAGGGAAATGCCAACTTCAACCTGAAGCTCACCGGCTTCAGCTCGCCCACCTTCTTGGAGAAGCCGCAGATCTCATCGCGCGATGACGGCCGCGTTATGGTCATGGAATTCAAGGCCAAGTCTCTGTTGAAACCGACCTTCGTCTGGCAGAAGGGAGACGAAATCGTCGCCGAATCCGACCGCTACAAGATCATCACCAAGGAGCTGGGCAACAACGAATACTATGCTGCGTTGGAGATTGTGGAGCCCAAAAAGGAGAAGGACGCGGGACAGTTTGTGTGCACGGCCAAGAACGAGTCCGGAAAGTTGACTGCCACTTTCTCAGTCAAATTCGAAGGTGAGGAAGAAAGATGGATCTTTGTTTGAAGATATATATTTGTTATCAATGCTTTCACCTGGTTACTTTTGCTACTCAAAGGTTTTTTTTCAAAAAATTTTTGATTGGCCATCCGATATTTTAGCCTTTGTTCCCTCTTCAAACTGACGTCATCCTTTGATCCCCGTATAATCTTTGATTTTAGTTCCCCAAGGAGCGCCCACCTTCACCCGCAAGCCACAGATCTTGCAGAAGACCAGCGATTCCGGAGATCCGGCCATCGTCTTCGACATCGGATTCCAGGCCGATCAGAATCCCGAGGTCATCTGGTTGAACCCCAAGGGCAAGAAGATGAAGGAAGCCAGCCGAATCAAGTTCTTCCTGAACTCGGACGGCGGTGCCAACACCTACACGGCGCTTCTGGAGTTGAAGAACTACAAGGCGAAGGACAGTGGCACTTACACTTGCAACATTAAGAACGACGCCGGCGAAGCCAACGTCGAACTCACACTGAACATTGAGGGTAAGTGAAAAGGCGCCGAAATTTTTGGACGGGTTTTTACATTCAGTTCTTTATTTTATGCTTATTTTAGAAGAGGATTAACCCCCCCTTAAGAGGCGGAACGGTCGATTGTGGTAATTTATATTCAAATTTAAATTTCTCGACCTCCACTCCTCTTTCATCCAAAAAACCTTTTTTTTGAGTTAGCCCAATTATTTTTTTGCTATATAGTTCATTTTATTCTTTCAGGGCCTCTTGATGACGGTGGTGATGAAGCCAGTGAAGCCTAAGCATAACATAACTCCATCTCAAAACAATAACGTGCCTGAACCATGTCTTGTGTTGTCTCGATATCTCCTATTTTTGTCTGGTTATTGTTGTTGCAATATAACTAGTGTATTTTTCATTGTCTTAAATCTCACCCCCAGTGGCTAATGGTTGTATAATTCGGATGTCACGGAAATAATGTCATCACAAAAAATGTAGTCAGCTCTTCGTTTCTTCGTATCATTGGTCTATTTTGTGAAGATTCCATTTTTTTCCAATTTCTGCCGCTTTTATATTAATTTGACGATTAAACAAAAAAGGAATAAGCGTTAAATCAATGCGGGATTATTCGAATCAGCATGCCGTTCCCTTCAGTTGAGCACATTTACTTTACACTGCTCTAATGGCTGTTACTTACAGAAAACAATTATTAGCGACTAACAAATTATGTCTTGAGGTCCGTTCGTACGAGATTCTTTTGATGTTTCACTCAATGCCGCTCCTCTCGTAATCGAATTGCATAATCCTTGAGTTCTTCGCGGATCTCTGAATCCAACTCCTTGACTTTGCGCATTCGACTTTGTGCCGCCGTTAGCGACAAGTCTTTCAACGCCGTTCTAGCGGGCCTGGAAAGAGGGTACAGTTGTTCTTCTCGTTGAATGATGCGTTTCCTACGAGCAAATGCCCAATTGTTATAGGCTTCTAGTTGCTCGGGCTCTAAGTAGGAGACAGCTAGGACATGCAGCTGGAAATAAGAATGTAACTGATAAACGATGACTGAAAAATTTATATATCTCATTTGATTGCTTTTGACTCACCTCATCTTGCCGTCGTCCTTCAGACAAGACATCCGGATCATTCAAAACCTCCTTGAAAACCTGCTGAACCCGAGGGCTGGCTCCGCGAAGGAATGGTAACGCGGAATCGATGGGCTCAAAGAACTTGTCGTTTCCGATTTCCTACAAGAACAAGATCATAAAACACTTTCAACTACAAAAGATGTTTTGTGACCATCTTTAAAAAATATAAGCTCGTCATGATCACCTTAGACATCCGTCTTACGACGATCATAATAAACTATAGAGTCTGTTCCGCTTACTTTCCGTTTTCGAGCTGCATCCTGCTGCTCTCTTCTCGCTTCTTCTCGAAGAATCTCTTCATAATCTTGATATTCATGGAAATTAACCCTTGTCTTTAATGGCCTTCGAATTAATTGACCCGGATATTCATGTTGATGCCCTCTTGCATCACGCTCCTCCAGTTGTTTTGACTGGTCATCTATTGATTTGTCATCACCACTGCTGTTTTGCGGCTCAACATGGCCATGGTCTTGGTGTGAACGATCAAAAGCATCAATCCATTGAGTCACACGCTCATCAGACAAAGTTGTTGTTGAAAAAGTTGTTGGAATTTCCGTACTAGTAGTGCTAGTCAACCAACTGAAAGTTGTAGTAGTAGTTGGAGTTGTAGTTGCCTCAAAACTCTCTGAAGATTCGCTCACAATCAGTTTTTGATTAATGAATGGCACTAAAGTTGGGAATCCTAGCTCCGCACTTGGCGCTTCATCTTTCTTAACTTTTTGCCATAGAACTGGCAACTGTGTTGTTGTCCGTACAAGGAACTCGGTCGATGTGCTTGGAGCTTCAGTTGATGACCAGATCCAAGTCGTTACAGCCACGTCATCCGGCGGTTTTTCGTTGGAATTTTTCCCCAATGGATTTGTTGTAAAATGGTTGAATTTACTGCCGGATGAGAGGAAATCCTTGTCAATAGTGAGCTCTTTGTCGAACATCTCAAGCACAGAGAGGATATCTTCGGTGATTAGGACCTCTTTTTTACAGCTCTGACCGGGAACGTAGTTTTTCCTGAGAAAGTTTGCGTTATGTTGTAAAAGAATGAACTTACCAGACAGCTCTGATTTCGTCTTGGGCAAAAATTGGAAGGCTTTGGAAATTTACTGGAAGTTCGCAACGTTCTGATGATGATGAGGACTCCTAAACAAGCAAAATATCATAAGCCATAAAAATGTATTGCATGACACTAGTAATTAAACTCAAGATTTTTACTACAGCAATCTTATAACATGCCCAAAAAAAGGAGACATTGAATTAGATATGTAATATGCTGGTTATAGAAAAACTCGACCGTCTGGAGATTCTTTTAACCCAAAGTTGCCGCTGTAAATATAGCTTTACAGGGGCATAAAATTATACGCCTCAAAGGTAGATGGGAAGACTGTATGTAGAAAGTATAACAAATAATGGCCAAAAAATGTGTTGCAGTAAAGAAGAGCATACACAAAAAAATTGTAAAACAATATAATACTGCTAACAGTAGCGTCATCACCCCGAAATATGAAGTCTTTCTGAAAAAATCCCGCCCCACTTACAATGGACTCGGCGGCCATGGCTCCTTGGACCAAGAACATCAACAGAAACCGGGCTCGCATTGCGTCAACGATGATGACCATCCGAGCGCATCAACGTGGACTGGTGGCGGTGTGTGGAGCGCCTCCGGCTAACCGGACAATTAGCTCGAGAGGGGATTGGAGGGAGCGGCTAACAGGCGTGACTTTGCAGAAGCCTCGCCCCGCGATCAGAACGAAAACAAAAACGACGTGGACTGCCGAGACAATGGAGGGAAAGGTGAGCGACTTCAGCGCCTTCTGAAGGATATACGAACAGGTAACCGGCTTCGATTTATTTTTTATTTCTGACCACTCACTTTCATCTTCAACTAGCCTTCTGAAGTTCATCCTCTTTTTTTTGCGTTTTTTACGGAAAGTTTGCGGGCAGATGGCTCCCTCTTATTCGCAACAAACGAAAAGATTATGAATGGAAGCGGCGAGGGAGGAGTTGCTGGAGGACGATCAGAGGGGGTTGCGCATTATTCAACTCAATTATTTTAGCCGCGAGGTTTGCACGGACTTAATTGATGACCGATTGACAAAGGAACGCTGACCGCCGAAAACAAGGAACTCTGACAATTAGCGACGGTCATGGAGAAAGTAAAGCTTACAATAATCGAAATCACAAGTCAAAGATGCAACTTAAACGTCAAAAAGAAGAATAAATAGAGTTAGACATTAATTTGGATATTTTTTTCTATTTTCTATAGTACCTTGTAATAGTAGTATTCACACAAAATTTGATAATGGCTCTAAAGCTTCTGAAAACCTTCTAATTTTATCTTCAATGCCAATTTTAAAAATCTTGTGATGGTACGCTGACTCTTTGACTTTCAAAAAATTTAATTCCACATTCCAATCGGCTCGTCTTCTGGGAAATCATCTGCAATCTTACTCATGACCTTCGAGTTGGTCAAAAAACAAATTCCAAATTAGGAATTCCCCTCAGAATCGCCTTCACCATCTCACTGGTCATCAAAACAACTGGCCACCGCTTCTTCGCGGCCTCGAAGCCAATCTAATTACCCGCGGAGCCACGGATTCGGACGATTGAATTCCGAGAGAAAGGAGACCCTCTATTTATAGGCGTTTAAGCCGGGATATTCTCTGTTTTGAGCATGGTTATTGTCGTCCAAATGAATGGAAATGGGGCCAAACCGTTTCGAAAATGTTGATTACTCGCATCGCGGCCCTCAGGGCTTAGTTGTCTTGAAGTGGGGGTCAGTCGTTTCGTCTTCATGACCTCTGGAAATCGCTCCTTCAAGGAGGGGCAGGACTTTTAGAGACAGGACATATGTCACACGATTAAGTCGCGCTCCCCGGAAACTCTTGCCAAGTATAATATTTTATTTGCGGAGCGCGCGTTTTGATGTGCTTGTGTCATAAGTCGGAACTTGGCCGTCTCCGGCTTTCGGAACTCGCGCATTGGCTTTATAAATCTTGTTGGAAATTTGAATCCGAGTAATCTTTGGGCCGAGGGATTAATGGGTTCTTGCAATGGATTGGACTAAAATTGATGGGATTTCAGATGTCACTGGAGAGCTTATCGTTGGATCAGTATGACTTGGCGGCGTTGAGTGAGGAAGATAGTGATGAGGAGTTGCCAACATTTGGGGAGAAGTGGTGAGTCCGTTTTTTAAAATTTCATAAGCTTGTTCTGTCATGTGAAATATGGTAATATAAAACTTTGTTTATTTCTTTAAACCCACTCAAATTGCATGACAAATACTGTAGTTTTACCCCTAGGTAAAAAATTCTTTCATATTTTTTCTTTGTCTCGCAATTACATCCAAAAAATCCAAAGTTTTCTATATGACTTGATCTTTTCATAAAATGTGTTACTCTACTGTAAATTCAAAACAATTTTAATTGACTTTCTACGATAGTAAGCCCTTGGTTACGCAAGTTTTAAACTCCATGACTCTTCACCCCCAAACCGGAACCCTAAAATTATGTAAAACCCTCCGTCGCCAATTGTTTATTCAGCCTAATGGGATTTGCATGCCCGTCTCAAGTGTTTTCGATGGCCGTAATCGGAGGCCGTTAATTGGGCCGAATAATGGGCTCTTTAAGGATGCTGTCCGCTGACATTACATATTCCATAATCTTGGGTAACCTGAAGCAGCTGCGTCTAATTGCGGGCAGGGCAATTGTTGGCGGCGAATTCGTCCTTCCGGATGCGTGTAAGCCATCGCTGTAGAAGGAAAGGTCATCCCCGACCGCGGGAGAGGCCGGTATTCGCAGGTAAACGCGGGTGATTTATAATATGCAAAGGTGGCTCCGGAGGGGTCGAAGAAATGGGAAGGGTAAGGGGTGGTCGAAGGAAGGCGGGCGATGAGTAATTGCGGTCGAGATCAACGGAGATCTCGGGTGATCCCGGTTGGCCTTGAGTTGCGTTTGTTTTCTTGTGGTCTCTAATTCCCTCTTATGCTTGTCTCGAGCGATTTGGCTGCGCTCAATCAAACGGATAAGACGCGGTTTGGAATCAACGGAATTTTTTGGGACATCTAGAGGGGGATTTTTGAAATTTTATGGATTTTAAGAGGATTCGGAATTTTTTAAATTATGTCTTATGTTAAGCCAGGCAGCGAAAAGAAGGGTAAATGTTTATTTAATATTTAAACTCAATTTTATGAATTTTTTTGAGCATTAATGTTATGGATGATATAAAAATCTGTTGCAATCCAATGATTTCACATTTTTCGATTTCATGGGTATTTCTGAGGCCTTCTTTACACACTTTTTTTAATCTTACAACGGCTTTTTTTCGTATAGCAAAAATCAGCAATTTCCGACCCATACCAAATCCGGCCTTACTATACATATTTTCCTATCTATATCCGTTCCAAACCCCTCAAATCCTCGCTCATCAAGCTTATCCCGTCAATCCATTGCATCCCGTCATTCCGCCGCTTACCTGCGCGGTTTCCCTTCTCTAATGTCGGGCTTCTCTAATATCGGATGACCGGCCGTCACTCATCAAAAGCCCGCGCGTGTATTTACATAAACAGGCATGATACTCAATCCTTTCTCTTCGCTTTTCCCCCCTCCTTTTCCCCGCCGGGTTCATGTCGTTTACTGTTGCGGAAGGGGTGCGCAAAAGAAAGGTGGAAATTTGCATATGGTTGTTGTTAATGCATGGAGTCGTCGCTGTGACGACGGCACGGTCTTCCTCTTTTATGCGGATGCGCCTTCATTTCGAAGCAGACGGAATTGGGAATTGCGGTATTCGAAATAATGGAAATTTTGGGCGGAGTGCGCGGCCTGCGTTTCCAGGGCGTTGAGGATGATTTTTTGGGATCTTTGAGTATGCAAGGTCCCTTGTGGTCTTGAGAACTTTTGAAGGAAAACTCAGGCTAGATGTTGAATTACTTGGTTACGATCAAGGCGTTTTTTACTCTCTATTTTGTTGTTTATAGATGACAAAAGGGTTCCTACTTGGTTCCTACTTTATGCAATTTCTTTCTCATTTTTTACAAAGCAGGGTACCTTGGATTTAAATTTAGCTTTTTTAATGTGATCGAAATTATGCTTGGCCAATGCTAATGCCGTATTTTACCTTCTCCCCTCAGTTTAAGCCCTATTCTTGTTACCTTTTTCAATCTGCGTTCGGCTTTTACACTTCGCCTCATTCATTATCTTACCGACCCTTTCTGCCGGCCGCAAGAACAAAAGCCTAGTAAATGAGGCAACCTAAAGCGCCCTGAGGGCGCGGAGAGTACCTTAAGAGGCTTTATCCATTCTAGTGGTCACTCGTTTTAAGCGTTGATAATCTTTGGCACTCAGACGACACTGAAGCTCCGTTACAATCCTATATTACCTTAGGACATCTATTTCTTGAATTCTCATCTTTTGGCAACATTTCTTTTTGTCTTATTCTAAAGGCACCTCCTCCGCCGGGATCGGCATTTTACGGCGGACGCGTTTTAACGAAACCCCAAATCTTTGCGGCCATAAATCCGGCCCTCAGGTAAACAACAAGTCCCCGCCCCGACCTCGGCCTTAATGTATTGCGGTCTTTAATTTCGCGATCGCCCTCAGGTCATTTAATCTGCTCGGTTCGTAATACCGACCCATTCCCCAAATACCCAGATACGATTACGAAGATTGTGTTAGGGGATTTTGATAAACGCCGCACTTGTCAAGACCGATCATGTCATCCGGACGCAGGGAGGTGGGGTTTTGCGCAAGGGCTGGTTTGTTTTTGGAATATTTTACGAAAGCGAAAGGATTGGTGTCGGAATATTTATTTCTTCCACAAAATGTCAAAGCTAAATAACATTTTGTAATACAAGCCGGGGTCAGTTGGGACGCTTTGTGGCCGCAGGGAATGTTATTATTGTTTTTTCGCAAAGGGCCAAATTATTTTTGAAATTGAATTTTTGGCCAGAGCACGTGTTTTTCAATCTCGAATTTGTAGATTAGTGTCTTAATGGTAGCTATAAAAAGTACTTCTAGTTGCTCTATAGAGACTATAGTCAATGTGAAATTTCATAACTTTCTCTTTGAGTATTACTCAACTTAGCTGAGGGAGCCTTCAACCAACCCATTCTAGTTGTCTTTTCACCCCTCCTTCCTCGTCTATCTGATGGCCAGATCTTGATAACGCAACTCCCGACCATCTGGCGATTCCCGGCTTTGCGTGACTAACTGCCTGAGGCCACAAACCCCAACTGGTCACTTTGGTTTAATTAATTTGTCCGGTTAACTTCCTCCCTTTGTTCATTTATTCTCCTCTTATTTTTTTACGATCTCCAACGGGATTTGCAAAGGATTGGGCCGCGTTGTTTCCGCCGCGATAAAACGCCCGATCCCTTTAATATTATGTGCATGCCTGCGGGGCTCGCCTAAATGTCCGACAAAAGCGCCGACGGTCATTAAATTTCCGGAACGCGAGCCTGGACAAAATTGAGTCAGGGCGGGGCGCTGACCTCTAGCCAGTTTTTTGGAGGATTTGTAGGTCGATTGAGGTGAGCGTGGAGATTTGGGGAGTCGGAATTGATTGGGAGCTCGGAATTGAATAGAATATTCGAAATCGTTTAAGGTAAAAATTAATAGTTCTCTTGGGGAATTGAATGATTTATTCGAAGTAATTATTGTTTTGAGTTCCTTGAAAAGCTATTATGAATATTATAATTTGACTCAAAATGACTCAAGTCATTTTTGTTGAACTTTTGCTCTCACGTCGAGATTTGGTGACAAATCAATTTCTAACAATTAACCTATTAATTCGGCGTTTGGCAGCCGGGATAATCGAAGATTTTTGCTGAAAAGAGAGAGCGTGAAATGTGGAGAGTGGCCAGAGATAAAACGCTTTTTTGCCATAAGTCCGACAATATTTCAAAAATTGACTTTTTGAAGAAACGTTGCATTATCCAGGAGCAGAGGTTCTCCAAGCATAAGCGTCTAAAACATTGTGAATTTTTGACAAAGTTTTGGACAAAAAATTACAGTTATTTCTGCAATCCCGAGCTAGGAATCTTGTATGTTTTAGAAAAAATTTATCTACAGGGGAAGTACTCCAAGTGCGACGCTCAGATTTTCTTTAAATTTTGCACACACGTCGGGTACAAACTAAATATCAATTCCTGAAAGTTTTAGCTCGCGCTTTGCGGGCGCCGCCGAGATATCGAACGATTTTTGCCGCCGAGAGAGCACGCTAAACGTGGAGAGAGGTCAGAGAGAAAAGCGCTTTTTGCCCATAACTTTGGCAGTTTCGTGCGGAAAAATTTGATTTTTTGTAGAAACATTATAATTTACGGTTGAAATTGACATGAAACTTTTCGTGCCGAAATTCGGCAAAAAGTCCTAAATTTTGGCCGACTTTTGACCTGAAAATCTCGGTTGTTTCTGCAAAGCGCGACCTATGATTCTCGCGTATATCTTAGAAAAAATTATTCTAAATTTGTGCCAAGTTTCATCCAAATCTGAGCGTCGCACTTGGAGTACTTCCCCTGTAAATTCGCGCCAAGTTTTATCAACATCTGAGCGTTTGAACGCTGTCTCTATCAGTTCAGCATTCATAAAATGTCAAGTCATCGCTTTACTTGCTTTCTCTCTCCTGATCTTAACCTATTTTCACCTAAAGAACTCTGGCCATTTTTCCGAACCGTCCATTCTTCCATCTCTCATCTCTGACCACTCATCTTATTCCTCCTCCTTAACCCCTCAATCCTCCTTTTTCCACAAAAAAAAACAACTTCAAATCAAACCCATCCCCAATCCCGAAATCTGGGCCCTTCAGCGAGTCAACGGTCCCGAACCCTTTCGACTTTAAATTCCGTTTTCTTTTTTTGTTTCTCCCAGAGTTTCTTTGGGACAATGCTCGTCCGTCTTTCAGCTTCGGAATGACTTGGATCAAACCGGAAGAAAGCACGGGGAATTTATATAAATTGCGGCTTGATTGATTGCGCCTGGGCTCGCCGCATCCCCGGGTATTTGTTTTTCTGTTGAATGGGCCAATTCTTATATCGAGCTGACTTTTGGCATCCTCCTCCCGAAATTATTGGTATCGATTTTGGCTGGTTTCCAGGAAAAGAGGGGGAGTTTCGAGGGTTATATTCTTTTTTTTATGAGCTGTTTTTGAATTGAGCTTTGAGATTTGGAGATTTGGAAGGATTTATTTTGCATTTTCAAGCCAATTTTTGTCTTGATTCTGATGACAGAGCCTTCCTTGTGTTTTTTTGTAAATCAACTAGTACATATAGTACATATAGCCTCTATTTTTTCCTCAAAAAACGACCTTTTTCGCTTTGAATCACTCGAAAATCATAGCCATTGATCATGCTCTTTGACTTCAGAATTTCTTCACCATATAACATGTGATTTATAAGGAGATTTTGTAAAGGATTGTCTTGTGATGAATGTAGAAATTTTTAAATATCTCAGATGCATCTTTCAAAATTCTACTCTCAACTTTTTCAAGTCATAATTTCACATGTTCGCACCACTTTATGGATAGTATGAAAACCCCGAAATCTTTTTTTCGCACATCTCCAAGACTTTTCAGGGTGGTTGCAAAGACTTGTCATCATTCTCCAGACAACACCTCCAATTCTATGCATTTATTTTTTGCCCCATCACTCTTCTCCGCATTCAAATAAAGATCCAGATCTCCTCCCCAAAGCGCTGACTGATTCGCCTCCTCGAAATTCGATATCCTCTTGTATCTCTGACTCATAATGCGGGTATTTATTTGAGTCATCCTCTGTGTAATTGACCTCCTTCGAAGAATGTGTGTGCGTATAGCGGATTCTGTTTCCGAAATTTCCATCCGAATGCCTCCAGCCCGGTGGCCGGTTCATCTTGTGGCCAGGTGAAAGGAGAATCCGTTTTTTGCGGCGCTCATTCGCTCAAGTGGCTGTCGGCACTTTTCGCGGGATCGGATTGCAGACATTTTTTGGGACGGACATGTTGTTATAACATGTTTCATCCGATCTCCTTGTACTTGTGGCTGTTCCTGTCGTCGTGTCCCCCCGTTGTTTTCGGATGTTTTCAATGCATTTGAGTGGCGGCGATTAGTAAAAGATGGACCGGGGAGGGAAGATAGGAGAACATGATGGCCTGGAATGGAGATGGGGGGAATGTAGTAAAAATGGTTGGAATTCTTTGGCTCTAAAATATGGTTTTGTTGATCGTAGAGTGCTTTCTTTTTAGAGGTTCAGTTTTATAATATCATCCGAATTGTTGAAGATACTATTGTCTTGCAAAATTTCATCGTTTCACGTGCTCTCTCGCCGACCCTTCCGAACTCTCCTGATCGTATAACATGTCATACCTTATTTTTTCAATTTGAAAATTTTTTTCATCGTATAAGATGTCATACCTCATTTTTTCAATTTTCAAAATGAGGGGGAGTGTTCAAAAAGGGGAGAGTTGAAAAAGGGGGAGAGTTCGCCCGCAACGCTGAAAATCTCGGCTGAGCCTTTGCAGCCGCTCAGCATTTCTAAAATTTTTAGAATTTCATTTGTGCCCTAGACAGACATGCCAGCAAAGACTGAAGAAAATCAAAATTTGATTTTCTGAGCAACAATGATTCTTCAAACTAAACCCCTGATTGTGAGTCAACCCTGTTCCGCCTAAATTTACTGAATAACCCACTTCCAAGTAGTGCTAGCTCATTTTCCATGGTTTTTCCAATATTCCCAAAACTTCATTTTCTGAGCAGCAATAAGTTTCTGATTCTGTAAACCAGCCCCCTGAATCAGCCCTGTTCCCCCCAAATTTACTGAATAAAAAACTTCCAAGTAATCCTGACTCACTTTCCACGGTGTTTATAACATTCCCCCCTTCCAACGCCACCTTAACTATTTTGAATTTTAATATCACCATTTTCACTTTCCCATTCTCTTAACAATCCACTCTCGCATCAATTCCGCACTCTCGATTGCCTCCGGGGGGCTTCGGAAATCGAATACTTTCTGGCTGATATTCTCAGGTCAATTGGAATTTATGAGGGAATTCGATAGGATCGTGTCTTTTATGTTATGTTTCCAGCCTTTATGGATTTCGACGAGACTTCAAAATAAATATCGAGGGTGGGCCTAGGGGTGCAAAGTGTTATTTTTTGCTGGGAAATCCTTTGTTTATTTCCGAAAATTTCTTTAATTAATCTTCTAATTAGCTGTTTTTCGGAGATTTTTTGGTGGGTTTATAAGGCTAGAAATAGTTTTTATGGTGTAAGAAGTACTGCTAATTAAGGATAGTCTAGTAAAATAAACTTTAAAATCGAAAAACCAGCATTTTACCAAGGTTCAGCCAAAAATCTTGACTTTTCGGCCGTTTTTTGTCGATAATTTGCGTTTTTGGCTATTTTTAAATATACTTTTTTATACAGTGTATATGTCATGCCATTCCTAATGATTTCAGGAACCTTCTCCCAAAAAAATTTTTTTTTCAATTACATTCTTAATCGAATTTTTCACGATTTTCTTATCCCATTTCCCTTTCTGATCTCCCTAAATCAAGTTTTTTGCAATTTTCAGCATCGCCGCCTTCCGGCTCGCTCTCGCCGATCTTCCCGACGATTCCCAGCTCCATTGCGAAGTGTTAAATGACAAGAGCGACTTAATTACGACAGAGGTCAGTTTCGTTTTTTTTGTTTTTTCGCACCAAGGTGGGTCTCTTTTTCCGAAAAATCTTTTTCCCCCATTTTTTCGAGGAATGACTCATCTGCTTATCAGTTTTTTCCTCATTTTTTCGCTCCGAAATTTTCGAAAACATGCGTCTTCCGAGAATCGGGAGAGGAGAAATCCCCGTTTAGCCGCGAAGAATGGACAATGGGGCCGGCTCTTTTCCGGGGGCCCCGAAAACATTTTTGCTTCGAAAATTGTTCATCTGAATCTCCGAAAACGGCGATGAATTATGTCGGGCCCGCAGGAATCCAACGTTTGTGACGGCGCGTTTCCACTTTACGGCATGTCGTAATGTTTCCGGAGTCACGTTTCCGAGCTTTTTTCTCGGGATATTGTGGTGGGAGAACGTCGAGAGCTGTTTTATATGATACTTTATACATTTTTTTTGAGGGCTCGTCGCGCTTTTTAGTGGAGATACATATAAGTTTGTTTTTGTCATTGATTTTTGGCAAAAAGTTTTGATATTTGGACCATATAGCTGTTGCCTCTATATCTCAAAGAGAGGACAGCAAATCTTGATCAAATTTCGCACAGAAACTCTGTACAGATCTAACATTAACTACTGAAAATCTTAGCCCAGACTTTACAGAGAAAGCTGAGATATTCAACAATTTTAGCAGCAAGATAGTACGCCAAGTGCCGAGAGCGGTCAAAGAGAAAAACTCTTTTTGCTGTAATTTTTTAAATTTTACGTCTAAAAGAAGTTATTTTTAGTACAAACGTTGCTTCAGCAGTTTCAAATAGGGCACAAAACTTTTTGGAAACTTTTTATTCCAAAATTAGCAAACCTCGAATTTTTGCCAACTTTTCATCTAAAAAAGTCTCAATAATTTTTGCAAAACGCATGCTGAAAATACGGCATATTTCTTATAAGATACTGTTCTAAATTTTCTTCAAGCTGCTTCAAAATCTTAGCCTTTGGTAACTCCTATTTACACTGCCGTAACTGACTCCTTGCTAATCTCTTTACTATGTTTTTCCTCCACCTTCCATCCTTAGTCACACTCTGATTCATAAAAGGTCATTTTTTTCCCTCCCCATGACATCTGCTACTAGCTTACTCAACTTTACTAACACCATCCCCACTTTTTAGCATTACTTTTTCCCCAACTTCTTACTCTCTCTACTTCCTCAACTCCTAAAGCCATTTTCCTTTTTTTTCATGGATATTTAAATTGGATATCCGAAATCATAACCAATTCCGGCTAAGGGAAGACGCGCTCAGATACCGTGTCAGAATCCAATTTATCCGGGGATTTGTTGCGTTCGGCTTTCCTTTTTCTGTCGCATTTCCGGGCGCCTCTTTGGTTCCGATTCCTTGGCCGATCCCACCGTTCCGGCCCGTGCCTTTTGATGGGCCTACCGCGCTCATTACTCATTAGAGGGGAGTTTCTTTGATGCAGGATTCTTTGATTAATTTGGGACATTTTGAGGGGAAAAGATGAGGGGATTTTTGGGGCGGAAGATGGGTTAAAGTTTGTGGACAATGTGGCCTTGGTTTGGGAGAGGTGACTAATAAAGAGTTTTTGGAGATAAAATTGGAATTTTCTCGAGGCGCTATGCGTGCAAAAAATCAGAGTTTTTGAGATCTTTTACAATTGGCTCTGTTATGATGACAAAAATTTTTGCAAAATTTTGAATAAGATTTGATCTTTTGGTTAATTTATCTTTTGTTTTAAATATTTTTTGTGTCAACATGGCTTTTCTGATCATATGAGCATGGGTATTTTACAAATCAGCGTCCTAAATAAGTTCCTGAAGCCTTTTTTTTAGAAAAAATTCCAGTTTTTCCAATTTTCCTAGATGTAAATTTTGGCCGTTTTTGAAAATTAAAAACTCTTTTCACGGTGTTCTAAAATACTTTAACTCTAATATAAGTTTTTTTATATCGATCCACTAAATCCCCCTCAAATTTCTCCCTCATTTCCCTCCCTCCCATCTTTAATCACTTCCCTTGATTGGGAAGTCAAAAAGTTCTGGCCAAATCCAATTTCTCGTGGCCACAAAAACCCCTCTCCCTTCTCCAAGTCATTTATTTCGTGGAAAAAAGTCTTGGGACACATGGGTCGGAGGCGCTGTTCCTTTTTTCCGCCCCGATCCAAGCCGGTTCCAATCCAATGCCATCAAAAAAATTCCATTGGGTTTTCGCGCAAAAGGTTTTTTTTTTGTATTCCGAGATCTTTTCCTCCATTTTGGAGGTTTTGTAGCTTGAAAAGTAATGATTCTGGAGACTGTTCGAAGGCGGGATGGGGTGGAAATTTGGGGGTTCGGAATATAATTGGATCTTGGCTGGGGATCCGTTGGATTTTTTTTGTTTTTAAAAATGTTTTTTGGTTTTCTAAAATCCCAAAAAAGTTCTAAAAACTAAGATTTTTTCAAAATTCACATGAATCTGGATGAATTTTGGCACAAATTGAAATTAGAATTTTCTAAATTTTTATGAAAATCATTGATTTTAAAATTCCTAAATTTTCGAAATTTTCGAATCTCCTCTAGCCTCACTTTCTGACCCCATATTAGCCTCAACGCTCTAAATCTTGGGTATTTTTAGCCTTTACTTTGATTTATTACAAGCCACATTACCGCTACGTGGCCTACGCTCTCTCTCTCCGCCATTTACGCCTCAATTTCCCGTTTTTATTTTGGGTTATGTAAATGAGCTCGTTAAATTTCTTTATGGATTTTTTTTGTTTCCTATGTGTTCCTTGGGCTGTTATAATTTGTATGTTTCTTTGGATTGATAATTTTTTGTCGAAGATACGGAATTTTTTCATTTTTTAAAAGACGCTTTCTTCAGACTTACTTAAAATTTGGCATGTCCACTCTACACGTTGCATCAGTATTTAGCTGAAAATTTGAACTCATTCTTTAAAGTTTATGGGCTAAAATCACGCCTTAGAAATCTAAGACATTCTATAAAAAAGTCTAATCATTATTTGCTCCCATGCTCATCAATATCAATCCAATTTAAAAAACGCCTACTGTTCTTACGACTACTAGTAATAAACCTTCTGCAAGTAGCTTCCACCAACTTAATTTCATCCAATTAATCTCCCAGCCATACTCCAATATTCCTCATTGTCATCAATCCCTTCTTGCATGAGATTCCACTTAACGGCGTGGAATCGAAGCCACCTGTTGGGAATAAAAAATAAGAAAAACATCTTCTTCCTTCGTATCTTCGGATTCCAGAACATGTTTCGAGCATTATATGGGCATGTAAGGACATGTGTAAATGGATTATTCCGGGCTTCTCGGCACTACATTTTCTTGGGCCGAGATGTGAGATATTTATTTTATATGTAGATTATAGTAAAAAGATGACATATGGCTGGAATTTTTAACATTTTTTGAAAGTTCTTGAAGTTATATATATTGTATTTGACTTTTTGATAGCTCCACTATGCTTTATCTTTCTTTTCAACTACTTTTTTGACCTTTTTCCCGCAAAAAATCCCTTAATCCTCCAAAAAACCCCTTTTTTCTCTTGTATTATAATATTTCTGTATTTTTTTGCGGAAAAGACCCCTTTGTCGGGAGGCAAACGCCTCGCTTTACACCTTACTGCCCATTTATTGTCTCCGCCGTGCATAACAGCTGGTCGGAACACGGCTTTCTTTTGTTTCTCTCCTTGTAATATCCCCCCGTTTACCGCTCCCTTTCCACATTTTCCCTGATCCCGAAGAATTTGCATCGGAAAATCGTAAAATCTCCACTTCGGAGGCCATTAAAAGAGCGTCAAAAAATTGCGTTGCACCCCCCGAAAGTTTGGTTTATCTGAAGTTATCAGCCCGGAAAAAGAGCTGATCGGAAAAATAATTTGAGCGGAAGCTCTCAAGTTCTTGCTGATAAAGTCAAATTTTACGAGCAAAAATTAGAATTTTGGGGAAAATGGTGTAATAAAAGAAAATAAAGAGGTTTTTTTTGATTTTTGGTGGGATGAGTGAGCTTTGGACGACGAAAAAAACATGAGAACTGATCAAAAATCAAAAAAAGAACACATTACAAAAAAATTTCAAAAAAAGACCATTCCAATTAAGTCAAAGATTTGCATAAATAACACATGATTTTTTCTAAGAATTCTGAGAAAGTTTTATACAGCGTTATGCAGAAATTACTAAAAATTTTTTTGTAAAATTTAAAAATTTAAATTTTGAAAAAAAATGTTTTTTTTAAATTTTTTAATTAACAAATCGTATTAAAAATAGTCCTAGTAAAGCTTTCAGCCCATAAACAACTCCAAAATTAGTAATTTCCATAAAAAACAAACTAATTTTTTCCGAAAAATACTTGTTATGTCATTTTACCTCCAAAAAATAATTTATAATCGCCGAACAGGTGTTTTATCCCTCCGATAAGATACGAAGGAGCGTCTGGCCGATCTCAAAGACCCCTGCGAACAATGAATGACCTGTCCGAAAATTTTTTGAGACCCAAGTCTTCACCTTGTCTAAATTTTTTCGAGTTTAAAAAAAATTTTTTGTGAAACTCAAAAAATTTGGTAAAATAAACAAACAGATCGTTAATTACAGCCAGTCCAAGGTGAGATGATGTCCAGTTACGCCGGCTCGCAGCTCCCGCCGAAACCGCCGACCCCGGCGAAAGGGGGCGGGGCCTCGGAAAACGCGACCGCAGCCCTCGCTTCCCCCCTCCACAGCGATTCCCCGGCTGTGATTCTGCGGCCCGCCGTTCCCGCCAAACCCAACATCGACATTGTGCGCTACAGCATGGCCAATGTGCAGGGTGAGTCATCGAATTTGAATATTCTAATTTTTAAAGTTTAATTTGTAATATTTTTCTAATTTTTTTAAAGTTTTAGAGAAAACTTGTGTAATAAAAAGTCCAAAAAAAGGATGGGAGATAAAAAATTGCTTGAGACGCTTTTTTAGCTAGAAATTTTGTAATGTTTAGTGTAAAAGTAATTTTTTTGAAGGAGACGGATTTTCAAGGTCATTTTTAGTAACAATTTGCACTTTTTTGGAAATTTTTGTAAACTTTTTTGCAAAATCAAGCCAACAAAAGGTTTTCGGCGTATTTTACAACTAACAATTTTACACTTAATTCAATTTTTCATCAAGATTTGTACATTTTCCAACTTTTTTTTTAAAAAATTCTTTTTCAAATTTTCATAATTCCCCCTCTGAAATTCAGATGACCTTGACGATGTCCTGAACGAACTCCTGGAGCTGGGAAACACGCTTTCCGGCCCGGCAGCTGACCAAATCTTGTATGGGATCAATCCGATCGCGTCCTCTTCTTCATGTCATTCCCAACTTAATGTCCACTCCACACCCACCCCAGCCAATGTAATGACTTCGATGAATCCTCAAAATGCTCAGAAAGTCATCAATCTTCAACCAGTAAGCATTTTATTTCACTATTTTACCAAAAATGCAAAAAAAAATTACTTTTTTAAACTTTTTTTTGCAATATTATATTTTGACCTCAAGATACCAAGGTATAATCTGCAATTTTTTGATGGAAAAATATTTTTTTGACCTTAAAATTACGTTGCAAGGGAAGAAAGCCCTCTTATCTTTGTTTTCCAACCTTTCTCTCAAGCCCTTTTTTTGTTATTAATTAGCCTAATGAGGCGTAAAAGAAGGCTTTTCTTTGCGATTAAATCCTCGCTTTTTCCAGTCCAATTGCTTCGACCATCTTGATGGTCCGGTCCGTCAACCGACCGACCTGTGCGCCAGTCCGGACAATGACTCGGCGTATGGGGACAGCTCGTCGACCGAGTTCTCGACCGGCCATCGCTATCGGCATTCCGAGTTTTCGAGCAACGACAGTTATCGGGGCAGTTTGAATACTCCAAGTCCGACGAATCAGGTGAGATTTTTGATTTTTGAGGCGTATAGGGGTTAAAGTTTTTATTTTTTATATAATATACTTTGTAAAAAAATGAACTTTTTGGACAGCAGACTTTGTAAAAAATGAAAAAAAATTTGAATTTTTGTATACCAAACAATCCTCCCTTAGTCCCCCCTTACCATTTTTTACCAATCTTTTATGACTCATCAGACTTTTTTACAATGACTTGAGAAGCTTTCAGAAGCCCGCAAAATGCTTCAGGAGCTTCTTGAAATATTCATAAATCGCTGACACATTTCAATCCCCATGTTTTTACGATTATTATTGTGGGAAAAGGTGGGGGGAAAATGATTAAGGCGGTATTTACCGCCCCTCTTCCCAACCTGAATCATGTCTGGCTGCAAAGTTGAGCGATGCGGCATGGGCTTTGTGGCGCAAAAAAATGGCGATAGGGTTAAGTTGCGGGCTGAGGAATGGCCCGTTGATTGAGAGGTATTGATGAGATGTCAAGGGGCATAATGGATCGGAAAATAAAAAAAATAAGAGATTAGAGTTTCATGGAGTGAAAATTTGGACTTTTTTGGTCATTATTTTTAGAAAAAATGAGTTTTTTTTCAAGCAAGGAGAGTAAAAAAATTTGAATAATTTTTGGCATAATTTTGGCAAAGACTTGTGTTTATTTTGGCCAACAAATCTTTCCGGTTTCTTTAAAAAATTCTGGGATTTTCTGCACTTTTTTTTATGTTATTTTAGTCATCTAGTGTAATGTTTTCTTTACCCGATTTCCCCATTGACATGTCATCTTTGCCCATTCAAGACCCCACCTTTGTTTCAACTTGTACTTTCCGTTCGCTAATCCGACCTGCTGTTTGACACGGTCCCCTCGAAACAGTGGCCAAACAAAAGCCTCTTCTCCCCTCCACCTGATCCCCCCAAAAGTTTTTCGAACATCTGTCCACTCGAAAGCGCGCGTCCATACTCTTGCTGCGGTCCGAGTTTCCTTCCGTTCCTTTTCAATTCTGGCACTAATAATCCGCAAAGAAAAGGGAGCGAAAGAATGGAACTTCTGCCGTAATAAACATTGGGGCTTAATTTGAAGCTTCGAAGGCGAGAGTTTTGGCGGAAGTTGGGCGGAAAGAAGGGTCGATGAACCGCCGAAAAGATTGCATAAGTACTCTTAGGGCATATGTCCGCTAGCAAAGGCACAAAGACCATATAAATCTTACCGTATAACAGCAAAAAATCAAAGTTTAAAAAGTCATCAATTCAAAGTTGATATCAAGAATAATGTCGGCAGGATTCCGATCAAGCTCATCAACATTCCGCAAACTTTTTATCACACTTTGAACCGGCTTTCTTTCTTGCAGGTCTCCCCCAAATCTTCGGACAGCGGCACCAACGAGCCGCAGCTCACCGACGATGAGCTCAAGGCTCTCAAGATCAAAGAGGCCTTGGAGAAGATGAAGGAGGCGAAACGGAAGAAGATCTATGTCAAGTTCTTCTTGGAGGACGGCTCGACAAAGGGCCTCCTAATTGATGAGCGCTGGACTGTCGCCGACACCATGAAGCAACTGGCGAACAAGTTGGGCGTCTTCCTGACACCTGAGCATGCGATTGTGGAAGAGTACCCGGAAATGCATATAAGTAAGCAGATAACTGATAAGTCTAAAGTCTTAAACACGACTAGACACCTCATGACATAAGAAAACAAAATATAGATCATATTTTATATTATCCATGATGACCTAATATAAGGTCATCTTTGAAGTTCATGTTTGCTCTAGTTGATATCGCGGAATGACCATTATATGCATGTATAGTACCTAAGGGTAATTAGGAAGAAAAATCAAGGGCATTTATTTCGTGGCTTGGCTGAATTTTTTGTTATTTTGCCATTTATATTATCCATGATGACCTAATATAAGGTCATCTTTGAACTTTATGTTTCGCTCTTGTTGATATCGCGGAATGACAATTAGACGCATATATAGTATCTAAGAGTGTCTAGGAAGAAAAATTAAAGGCATTTACACCTTGTCTAAGCTGAATTTTCTTTTATTTTGCCATTTATATTATCCATGATGACTTAAAATAAGGTCAGCTGTAACTGCCACACTTTTTATCCAATCCAAGCTATTTTACTTCCCAATCACAGCTTATTCCCTACAAATTCAGGTCGTTGAATTTCCCTATGCCCTTCTCACCTCACCCGCCGCGATCTCCCCCATTTCTTCGGAGGATATTATTTTTGGTTTAATTAACCGAAAAGTGTGTAATCCGATCGGGATTAAGATGGCGGGGATCCGGACCATCTCTCTCCACTCCACGACGACAGTTGGGCTCTGATCCAAAAACAAATCCAGCTGTCTTGAAATTAGAATATTTCTGAAGAGAGATTTAATGCACTCGCTTCGGGGCGCTTCAAGGCTGAGGCAGGGAAGTTGTCGGGAGAAAATGACAGGCTGTTCGTGGTAGTTGGCGGTAAAAAGAAAGAAGAATATGCGAGAAAATAAAGGGTGGAACATATTGGAGGCATAAAATTAGCTAAAATCGGTGTTTGAATATGCAAATTTTCTGAAATTTTTGAATTTTTTTAAATATGCAAATTTGAAAACAAAAGGTGGAATAGATGAAAATTAAAATTTCGGACAAAATTTTAGCTATTTTAGACCGCGTTTTGCAGAATTAACTCAAAAATTTCATTTTAAAAGTCAAAAATCTCGATTTATAAAAAATGCTCAAAAAGACAAGATAATTTGAATGATCTTTTTAGCTTTTCTTTATGCAAATATATGGTCATTCAGCTGTCTTAAGGTCACATTGTTACGTAATCATCTCAAAAATCAAACCCTTGACCTTCATTTCCCTAAAATTGCATAATTTTCAGAGCGAATCTACGAAGACCACGAGATGGTCGTGGAAAATATTGAAGACTGGTTGGCCGACTCCAAGAACAAGCTGTATTTCATTCGACGCCCCGACAAATACTGTTTTATCCATGCTCCGGAGCAATATCTTCTCACCGAAAAATTCGAGTACGATTTCCCCTCGCCCGAGGCGGAATGGAGCCCGAAAAATCGACAGGAACTCCTGGCCAAGTACACCCAGAACGAGGGCCAAGTCCCCGAACTCGAGGGCTACCTGCTGCTGAAAGCGGACGGCAAGAAGAGCTGGAAAAAACACTATTTTGTCCTCCGGGCATCCGGCCTCTATTACTGCCCAAAGGGGAAAATGAAGAGCGCCAAGGATCTGCAATCCCTGATGACTGTGTACAATAATCAAATATACACCTGCACTGACTGGAGGAAGAAATACAAGGCCCCCACGCCCTTCGGGTTCGCCGTGAAACACCCCAAAATCCAAGTCAAAACCTCAAAATATATCAAATATGTGTGTACAGAAGATGAGAAAACTTTCCGCAAATGGGTCACCGCGCTCAGAATAACCAAGGTAGGAGTTGTTTGGACGAAAAAAAGATTTTGAATTTGAATATGCAAACTTTTTTAAAAAATTAAAAATTAAAAATATTTTAATAAGGAAAATTTTTTTAAACCATTTTCATCAAAATTCCAGCGATTTTTTGCGATTTTTCATTTTTGAAATTTTTGGATTTTCAATTTTTTTAATTCGAAATAATGCAAAAAATGTAAGAATATCAATACCATTGATATTGAAAAATCAATTTACTTTTATCCAAACATCTTTTCACCAATCAAATTTTAATTTTTTTCCAGAACACCGCTTCCGTTCTCCAAAAGAATTACCAAAATATCCATGAAGAAAACAAGAAACAAGCCCCAATTCATGTCGATGTCCAATCCTCGGTCCATTCCATGGACTTTTCGCGATTAAATCTAAACAATTCAAGGCCCAGCAGTATGAACAGTGGCCATAATTCATCGAGGATTTCATTGGCTTCGAGTCGATTTGGAGTAAATGAAAATGTCATCCAACCCTCGACTTCGAATACTGCTTTTGATCAAGTGAGTAAAAGGGCAATCTGAGGGGAAAATATTGGATAAGGGGGTGATAAAAACAACCGATATTTTATTGAAAATTTGAAGAATTTTTTTGATAATTTTGGAAGTTTTTGAATTTGCTTTCTTGGGGTATTTTTTGTCTGAAAAAATTGATCTCCAAATAAAGCTTTTTTGATCCTGAAAATTGAAAAATTATTTCGCTGATTTGACAAATCATGTTTAATTACGTATTTTACAATCTTTCAGGACGACTGTGGCACGATCAAACGTCAGCCTCCGCACGATCCGAACTCCCTTTTCAACGGCTTCAGATCCCCTCCTTTAACCCTCCCACCAGCCCCACTGAGAGGCTCAACCGGGAACTCGGTCCGCTTCTCCAGCAGTACCAGCAACAGTGGAGAGAACTTGAATTCGATCTCCAACAATGATGGCGGCGATACCGATTCGGACGAGGAGCAATTCCCGCCTCCGCCGGATTTCTCGGTTTTCCGGCAAAGTCCGGCGGTCCCAGTGATCGCTCCGATACAGCCAGTCAGCGTGATGATGGGACAGCAAAATGGAATCAATGGCACGGGCTATAGACCTCCAATTGTAAGGATATACGAGTTTTTATGGGGGTTTAGGGGGTGGAAGGGGAGAATTATTTTATTTTTGGGGATTTTGATGATTTTTGGGAGGATTTTTTATTTTTCAAATTGCTAGAAAAGGGTTATTTTTATTGATGATGAATGCTAAGCTATTACTTTAAACTATTTTTTCTATAATTTACGTTCCGTTGAGACACTAAAAATTTCAATTTTCTCGAGTATTTACAATATAATTTTTGAACAAAAAATCATCACAGATCCCATTTTTTCGGGTTTATTGAAATCTTTATATATTAAATTCACCTACTACATTAACATTTCAGGTCCTCCCCTCTGCAATTTCGCGTCCCACCGGCCCCAAAATCCCCCCTCCTCCGCCGCCGAAGCGCTCCGAAAACACCCGTCTCCAATCCGCAAATCCCCAGCACAAACAACAGATGGATCTGTTCACGGAGCTGCAGCAGGCGACCCTGCGGCAAAAGCAACGAATCGAAGGGAACTGAGACCTCGCAAATGTCCTCCATGACGCATGATTACATTTCTACTCCAGTCAGAACGTTCCGGTGTTTTTTCTAAATTATTTTATATTCCAATTGTAATAAAAGGCTGCCATTTTTAAAGTGAGATTCGTTCGGAGGTTCGTGCTCTTATGGGTCGCGCATTCGGGCGCGTTGGTAGGCCAGGTATCGGACGTCGTTCGGGTGATAGGGACCCATCCGCGAATCTCCGTTCCATTTGAAAATCGTTCGAGTGTACCTGAAGGGAAGTGTTGTAAAAGAATGCCTTACAACTCAAAAAATATGAATCCAATTTAAGTAAAATCTTTTTAAATACACTCTAAATTGCCAATTATCCTATCCAGTAAAACTTTACTTCATAGACTTCAAGATTATTCAAGATATTCAACGACTTTTTCCGATAGAACATGTCGAATTAGGAGAGTGGCATAGAGAAAAAGAGTGTTTTTGACTGTAACTTTTTGCAGCTTTCGCTGAAAGAAACTTATTCCTTTTACAAAAATTGCTCTTTATGTTAGGTATTTTCTGATCCCAGATTTTGGTAAAATACGTTTGTAGAAAAAATCCTTTACTTTAGTTTCGAAAAATTCTTTTGCCAAAGTTGACTCCGAAAATCATAAAAAAAGCTAAATGTATTTTCCGATCAATTTTACAACTCTCCTTACCACGAAGGCCAATCCTGCGGAGCATACCGTCCTACAGTTCCTTGATAGAACTTGGTTCCGGCATGTGGGCGGGCATATTTTCGTAGCTCTTCTGGATAGTAGTAGGTCTGTCGTTTCGGTCGGATAAAGCCATTTACTGCCAGAATAAGACCTGAAAATCAATTTTCAAGAGTGATTACTTAACGTATTTTACTACTATAAAATTACAAACTAAGAATTATAAGTCTAATCACCAAAAAAATTATTAGTGGCGATGAAAAAAAAACTTATTTTTGATGTCTAAAACAAGATCGCAAAGGGATTTTTTGATCTTCAAAGTCATCAAAAATAATTCTTTCACCGAAAAAAAACATATACTAATATTGAATCCTCTAAAGTCATCAAAAATCCCTCAAAAACTTACAGAACAGCAGGATCGCCAACTTCATGATGCCCCCACTGGTGTCGGCGTCTGATCAGCGCCCTCCTGGATGTGCCCGGATCCACGCGTTCCGCCGCTTTGGCACTCCCTTTCCCAAACCGCAAGTTTTCCGGATCCGCCGACGACGAACCAAAAAGCGAACGTAAAACCGGCTCTGATGGAGAGAATATACGGACGAACTTGGTGATCTTCTTTATTTATTTACATGTAATCGCGAACGATTAACTGCCCTTGAGTCGCCTGGGAAGAGGGAGTTGCATAAAAACTTGATTTTTTGCTTTTGGCTCGCGCCTCAGGCATTTTGCTTCGAGAGGAGCAAAAGGGCAGCAATTTGGGAGGGAAAGGAGCGCGGATCGCGGGTAATCAAGGGATTTTTGGGCAATTTGCAGGTAAACAAGGATCTTTTTGAAGGCTAATCGAGATCTATCGAGTCGTGTGGAGCTTGTAATTACTTGGGACGAAGCACAAACGAGATTCGGGAGAATTATTGTATAAGAAATTAGCCAAAAGTTCTGCAAGCGCTCCCTTTTTTCTTATTGTATGACGTCATCTGTGACGCCAAAATTTTAAATCATGTGTAGTAAGCGTTAAATCAGCCTCTCAGACGTCTTCATCAAGTTTTTAGAGACATGACGCAGCTAGGGAAAAACTTGACCCATTGAGTCAAGTGTCCCCTCTCAGCTGAAACAGTAAAAAATTGATACAAGTTTGATCCGATGAGATTTCTTACAAGTTTTTTTTAGTTAATGTGAGAAAACGTGCCACTCAAACTTAGCCTTTACATGTGAGAATTTGCTAAAAAAATATAGTCCGTATACTATGTAATCGGAAAATATCACTTTCTTTAATTTTTGACTTTATGGCAACATCGCTAACTATAGTATGTTACCTTTAAATCAACCTGAGGTTCCCTATGTCAAATTTCAGAGCAATGTGCGGTATCCAGAGCAACACTTGACACATGTGTCAAGTGTCTCCTTCAAATAGGAAATCATAAAAATCACAATGTAACTTTGCCGTAGTCTCATGGTTTCACTTTCAGTTGCACTCCATGGAGCTCCAAGTTCAGGTTTTCCCCGCTTCCACCCAGACCAGGAAGAAAGTCCGGTACATAATTTATAAAAATGACGGCTGACCCAATTATCAGACAAATGATAAAAGCCGCTGAATCAAGAATGCGTTTATACCCGTTTTGGTGATATTAAATTAGAGATCAAAACATTCGAAATACAAGCTGTACAATTTAATTTAGGTTGAGGTCAGAAGGGGCGCGCCGGCACCAGGTTCGCGGACTTGGGGCCGGAGATGAAGAGGCGTTTCAAAGCGATCTGATAGTCTCGGTTGAATACCTAAAAGCAAAAAATTTAAATCAATTTATATTATACATGGAAACTACACCAAAATTTTTTGATCTTTCTTTGAAATATCTGAAAAAATTACATTCAAAGGCCCGAAACCTTACCGTATAGATGATTGGATTCATTGCCGAGTTGCTGTAACCCAGCCACGTGATAAACATCTCAACATGAGGGTTTATCTTACAATCCGAGCAGAACTGTACTACCACGTACATTCTAAAGCCATATTAAAGTGGTAGCGGGTCCCACTTACATGAAGAAAGGGGTCCAACAAATTGTAAAGCATCCCAGGATGATTCCCAGCACTTTCACACCGCGCCGCTCTTTGGCCGCGGAGATTGCTCGAGGCTTCTTTTGAAGGCTTTTACGGTAACTCCGCTCTTTTCTGAAAAGGTAATATTGGGGTAAAATACGAGGCACCAACAAGTAACGTTTTTCTTTAGTTTTTCAAAAAAATGGCAATTTTGGTCCATTTGTCATGATACTTCATTCTACGTCATGTTGACGTCCGACATACGCCTAAGACATCTCTACGTTGCACTTATCAGATGACCACTATTCCCTTGACATTTTTCTCTTTTTTTGCATAAGGTCTATGGGGATCTGGCAGTGTTCTTATGAACTTTTTTTCAAGGATCTTATGCAACGTTTAGATCTTTGTATAGCGTTTGCAAATTGCTGGGAGGCTTATTGGATCAAGGGCAGTAATTTTGTTACTTTTCTTTATGCAACAAAGTTACTGGTTAGCAAAAAGTTAGATGCCCTTATATTGACACAGGATATCTTATGTGTATCTTATCGTTGGTAGCCGGAAAAACTAGTATAAACATTTCTAAAGCCTCTATAGGACCCTTAGCGGTAAGGTACATGCAGAAATTATCTGCAACATACCTTAGTGTACCGAAAATTATGTGAGAACAAAAAGCTACCCTAAAATGAACTTTAGGCCCCATAAAATAGAACATTTTCATGCAGGACCCCTCATATCTATTGACAACTCTTTTTCTCTGACATTTACTTCCTGTTACCTTTGCTTGTGCCGCTTCACCTTCTCGTAGCTGATCATTGGCCGGTCTTGGCGGCCTTCGCTGAGCTCCGGATGAGCGTCCTCTTTCCGGAACGCCACGCATTTCTCGTAATTGGCCTTTAACGTGGGTTTCATGGGCAGTTGCGCGTCGCCATTTTGACTGACACCCGTCTCGCGCCGGATAATCACCGACTTGTGCTGTTCTTGCGGACTCTGAATGTGTTTGCGTTGAAGTTTCCAAAAATGGAATGGAAGTGCAAAAAAAAGTTCAAAAAATTTCGTTTTGTCATCACGCCCTACCGTTACTGCGATTGTGACTTGAGTGAGGCTCTCTCGATTGTTTTCGTATTCTTCGTCTTCGAATTCGTCTTCGTCTTCGGCCATAACCGCGTCCTCGTCTTCTTCGACGATCACGCCGTTCTGGGATTTGCTCTCTCTGTCCTTGGAACGCTCTAAAAATAACGCGAATAATAGATGGAAGAATGAAAATAAATGCGAACAAAAAAGGGCAGAGTACTCGAGAGCTGTCGATAGTACTCTGAACAGTCAACTAGTTCTTTGTGGACCTAAATTGTTTGGACTTAACAGCTGGGACAGAGATAAAAATGGGTAAAAAATAAAAGTTCTATGGGTTTGACGGTCGGTTTGCTTCGATTTTTTCAAACGTCTAGCCTATCAAATCTCCGAAAACTTCAATACAAACTTGTAAAAATTTGAGCCTCAATCTAAGAACACCTTCACTCTAGAGCATCACTACAAAGCCTTATGAAAAATCAAGGCCGGAAAATTGATAAATGAAGCTCTAACTTACCGCTGCTTTCCTCATCCTCGTCCTCTTCTTCTTCGTCTTTTGCGAACTCATCCGACGTTGGCAAGACATGGCTAATTTCATGTAGTATCGTTGACTCAATGTGCTTTCGTATCACCTGCAAATCAGCCCATAAGACACTAAAAATCTAATCTTTTCTGTGCCAACAACTTTGCTGATTCTGATGCGAAAATAATGATAAACTTTAAAGAAGACATCTCCAAAATTAGTCATCATTTTTCTCATCAAAATTGGGTGCGCGACAAGATAAAAATGCGTGGTGTTAAAGGGAATGGATCAGCAAAAAAAAGAGAAGAAGATGTATCGGAAAGGTTAAGTGTAGGTGCAGATAGCTGTAAAATTTCTAAGACAAACACAGCAGCATGTAAACTACGTCCAGGAAACCGGTTATTCGGGAAGCCATAAACAAAAAAAGAGCTTACATGTGAAGACGTGGCCAGCTAAAACAAAGTATATAATTGTATTTGTTAATGAAATGCCGATCCACCCCGAACACCCCGACATTAGTAAACGTTTCTTCTATGGGGGTTTAAATGTATTTGGGGAGTTATTTACGGTAGAGCGGGTCAGGTTTAGCTGATGTGGTCACGTGTATTCGAAGTGATTTTTTTGGATTTTCGTCTGTTTAAAAATCAGTTTTGCTTTAAATCCAGCCCCAAAAAGAAGTTTTGGTATACGATGATAGGAGTCTGTGTGATATTACTTGAAAGATTTGAACGTATTTTAGTCAAAAAATCTGGAGAAAATCGATCATCTATCAAAGCCTCGCTTGATGATCATGAGCAATATAACAGAGGTCACTGCGATTACCATTACTGGTAAAATGACAATCAAAAAGCAAAATTGACTAATAAAAAGCCCTTCAGAGATATGGAGATGCGAAAATTCAAAATTTGAAGCCATTTTCACAGTAAAATCAGTTTATAAACTCTTTTGGTCTTCTCTAAACCCTGAAGAAACACTTGACCAGACCATCAAAACCAGACCTGACCCATAACTTTTCCCGACGCCTCTGACAAAAGGGTTCTCTCGCCTACCTTTTGTCGATAAATTTGCCTTGCCCGATGCTTCGCAAAGGCCTGATAAATCTTGAAATAGACGAAGAACATCACAGTCAACGGGATGAAGAAGCTGCCCGTTGCGCTGTAGATCGTGTACGACGGCAGGTCGAGGAATGTGCACTGCCAAGTGCCGTTGATCATAACCAGATTCCCGTGCTCTGCAACCTGTTTCCAGCCGAGTAATGGGGCGAGGGAAATGAGAGCCGAGGAGACCCAGACGGCCAATATCATCAACACAGCTGTTTGTTTGTTTCGTTTGGCCATATACGCGACTGGTGAGGTGATGGCCCAATAGCGATCGAGTCCGACAATCGAGAGGTTCCATATCGACGCGGTTGAGCAAAGGATGTCCGCTGGAATCACGGTATACTTTACTGTTCTTATAATAGGATTTTTTTGTCTGTTTTTACTTTTTTTAATACCATTTCAACCCCTATTTTCGCGGGTATAAACAATGCAAATCGTTATATAGCTTGTGTAACCCCAACAGCCTTTGTTATGTATATGCTATAGATTAACGGCGGGTCTGAGGAAGTCAACAACCTCTTTTATGAATATTCATAACTCACCCGAGACGAAGATAGCGCAAAGTGTCTCCGGAAAGAGCCATTCGCCGGCGATGGCGTACACCGAAGACAATGGGAGGACGACGAGGCCCAGGCACAGATCGCTGAAGGCAAGATTCCCCACCTGAAAAGGGAAAAAATAATTATTAAAACAATTTTTGTATAAAAAAAGCCATGGCTAATTTAATTTTTTGCTCAAGAAAGCCTAGTGATGCTATAAGAAGGTTGAAAAAATAGGTGTAGGCTTCATTTTTTAGATATATTTTTTTGCTAGTATAATATAATTTTTTACGCCATATCGCATTCTAACTTTATATTTCACCTCAATGACCCCCAGACAATCATAAATTAATCTACGACCTCGTTAACAACTTCCTACATCCGCCTTGTCCTCTAAATGTCACTTTTTTCGCACGTTTATTAATCAAAAACTGGGTCGATTGGAAACTTAATTTGAGTACTGTAATGTTGATGTCTGATGGAATTTCTCTCAGTCGATGCTCTCCGTTTCTCAGTAAATCGGATAAATGACGCTTTAAAGTCCCCGGAAATATGAGCATAACTCAATTTGCGGATATTTTTGGTCTCCCATCTCTTTTCTGGGGTTCGTTTATAAAAAAGAGAATTTAAAAAATCAAAAAAAAAATTGAATAAATAGCGGAAAGAATATTTATAATTTTATTTTGAAATTCCGAGAATGAAAAAGTATTCAAAAAAATTGGGGATGACAAAAGGACATATGAATGTACATACTAGAGATCACAAGTTAAATTTGTAAATTTGTACCGTATCTTGGAAGAAGCTTAATTTCAAAAAAATTTTATACAATTATTGCGCTAAATGCAGTTTATTTTAAAGATTTAGAAGGTATATTTGAAAAAAATAAAAAATTTTTTACCCTTTTATATTGTACTAGACACCTGACCTTCAACTTGAAAATTCGATAAAATTATCGTTGCTTTTTTGCCGTAAGTTGATTAATTGGGCCGGCTAGGCCCCAAAATTAGATTTTCATGCTATTGCTTTGAGGAAATGCACTTTTAATGACTGTTTTTATCTTATACTAGTCCTTCCGGAAAGTCGCCGGACGGAAATCGGCGACATGCACTCCGCGAAAACGAAAGTTCACTTTGCACTGTGCAATTTCTTGCTTTTCGCACCGTGCAATAGGCTTTTTTCGGGTGTCGCTCGCACCCTGAATTTTTTCGCACAGTGCATGTCGCCCATTTCCGTCCGGCGACTTTCCGGAAGGACTAGTAATAGGCTTTCCTGGCTGTCGTTTTTCACCTACCAACAAGTTCGGCACGGTCTGCAACCGCGGGTTCTTGTAGAGCACCACGAAGACCAAGGCGTTCGCCGCCACCGTCCACAGCACCAGCACCGTCAGCGCGATGCTCTTGAGCGTCTGGAAGAGCGTGTAATGCTCCATCTCCTCGTGTGGTTGGGGGATGTTCGCCTCGAACATGACGTGCATGTTGGCGCCGGTGGCGCGCCACTCTGCCTAATTCTGCTCAGCACTTTGAATCGTTTTGAGGACGACGGACCTGGGGCGAGCACAAATTAGATTTGGGAATTAAAACGTCAAAAAGTTTGGGAGACGGGACAATGAAAATACACTCGGATTGGCGGCGTTAAAATTAAGCGAATGTTTCCAATAAAACGGTGAAATTAAAAGCGTGGGAGATGCCGTGGGGACTGGTGTAATGCTGGATCAACAAATTTTTGTCAACACATAAAATAATTGTAATTGAAATGTCACGAAAAATTTGAATATTTAAATGTAAGCACTTTGAAAATTGGGGTAAAATACGTATTTTGGAGATAAATGGTTCATCAAAAAACGGTATAAATATCTGGATGATTTTAAAATTTGCATAAATTTGAATATGCAAATTTTCAAAGCTTCTGTCTCAGACATCTGAAAATTTAAATACGTCATAAATTGTTTATCAAAAAAGGCTTCAAATATCTGGATGACTAAAAAATTGGCATAAATTTCAATATTCAAAGCTTCTGTCTCAGACATCTGAAAGTTTAAATACGTCAGAACTGAATCTTTGGCTACAAAATGAAAGTCTTCCTCCCACAGAATATCCCAAAAATCCCCCTCAAACGATGACTAATGTATAACACGTACATGCACATAAACAGTCAATTTACAAATTGCAATCCCGTCACTTTAACCCCCTCAAACTTGCGAATCCCGCAAATTTAAACCCGCTGGAATCCCCGCAAGTCGCTTAGCCGAAACCCTCGCCGAATTATCCGAATTAGTCGACGAACACGTGGTCGCTTCCGTCCACCCAAAACAGCCGGAGGCGCTAATTTCGCGGGGCTCCAGAATCTCCTCCTCACACAACTTGCGAATTGGATTACTTGTTCAATTACTTTCGCAGGACAAAAAACGGTTTTGAACCGCGAGTATAACAAATCCGATTTCGAGGCCAAATTTCTTTGACACAAACGGCGCTCAACGCGCATTAATTCGCTTAGCCGTTCCGGCTCTTGACAACACAAAAACCAACCGCGTTTGCATTGAGGAACTCAACTTTTTCAATGTCAAAAAATAGAAAATGCAGACCAAAACAGGCCAACAAAGAGTAATGACAGGAAAGCAGAGTAATCACGGTCCAAATTGGTTCCACTTACTCGCGTTTCTGCCAATAAATAACATTTTTTGCAAGCGTTTCCCCTCTTTGCGGGGGAGTGAAAATGATGTGCAGTTTGTTGTTGGAAATACATACTAATAAGGACAAAACAAGACGAAAATTGGCTGATAATCAAGAGATAAACTATAAACGACAGGTTTAAAGAGTCATCGCATAATCAAAATGCAGCACTGTCGATGAAAAGTCGGTGAATTTTGCAGAGATCCGCCGAACTCCTCTGAATCCCCTCAAAATCCCTTAAGCTAATCGAATCGTATCCGTAATGCGCGAGAATCCCGCAAAAAAGTCGGGGCTGGTGTTGGTGGGGGACGTGTTTTTGGGTCGTCACTTGGGCCGTTCCCCGGCCACGCCCCAAGCCCCATCCCTGCCCGGCTTCGGCTTCGTTTTGCGCAAGCGTTTCCAAGTCCCCCACAAAGTGTTTAAATACTTTCGGAGACAATGCAAATTAACGCCTTTACAAACGCGCGCATCCTTGACGGAAGAGTCGAGGATAAATGCCGCAGGGCAAATGTCAATGATAGCGGAGATTCCGGAGAGTAATTACTTCCGTCGCGCGGCCCCGCTTTCCCCAAATTTGGGGATTTTTGAGGAACAAAGCGAGGATCAGAAGAAGCGGGAGTCTTGTCTGTGAGCTGTGTTGGCATGAGGTGCTCTCCAGGACAACTCCGAAGAGTGTCATTTGCATTCCCAGGGCCGCTGGCTCTTGTTTCGGCCGCTTGATTTGCGAGAGCCGCCATTCGATTCCAAAAAGCTCGGATATCGCGCGATTTGGTCTGCGGAAATCTGAAGGCGATGTCTGGATTCCGAAAACTTTGGTTCTGAGAATTCTAGGCCAAAAATGTTCTAGATAGGTGAGTGATTATATATGAGGTAATATAATCATTCAAAAATGGGAAAATAGACCATGGTATCACAGTAAAAACAAATATTTTTAAATCCCATGAAGACTATTTTGGGCTGTATAAATTTTTTTCATTTTTCACGCGTCTTTGTATTATGATTTTTCAAAAAAAAAAGACTGTCCAATTTTAGGCCAAAAATATATTTTTGTCTACGCAAGGTCGAAATACAATATAATTTTAATGAAATCTCAGTTTCAGAAATCAAGAAGCCCTTCAAAAATGAAGAAACCCTTCAATTTACTATATCAAAAAATGTATTTATTACGTAATTTTGAATTGTCATCTTTTTTTGGCATTTGGTTTAGAAATTCTTACCCCCGTTCAAAACTGACAATTGTAAGGTTTGAGAAAACAAAGGAACCGATAAGTACGCAAATACACCTGTCCGAGAATGCTGTAAACATTATTAAAAATGGGGAAAAGTTTGGTTTTGTCAAGGCAAGAAAAAATTTTAAAATGCTATAGGATGGGAGAGAATTCATAATGGAAAAAGTTTTTTTGTGACGCGGATGTTGTATCAAAGCTTGGTATAAATCGTGATTGATCTTTTGTAAGGCATTTTCGAGATTCCGAGTTTGCGCTTTTGCAGAAACGACCGAAATTTACCGGTCGAAAACTTGGTCGAAATTCAAAAAATTTTTTTTTTTAGATTTTGCAGCGGTAACCTCCAACCATGCACCGCCATGATCTTTCCACAAAAAAATACAATTTTTTCGCTCAATGGTGACAAAGACATAGCAAAAACTTCCGATTTTTTTACTGACCGCTACCCTAATTTTGTGTACTCTCTCGGCAACAAAGATCGTTCAATATTTCGCTGCGCCTACAAGGCGCGAGCCAAGACATTTAGGAAACAAAAAAATTAAAAAAATGCGTGACTTTTCGCAAAAAAATTTTTTGAAAGCAATATAATATTTAAAAAATGTACTGTAAATCTGTTTAAAAAATTATAAACCCCCAAAAAATGGCAAGATTAGCTGCATAAATTAGCCAAATGAATGACAAATTGTACTCTTCCAGGTTATGCGGAAGATGAAATTCAATCCCTCGGGCATGCTCTACTCGACTTACAATCTCCCCACTTGTATTGTAATTCGATTCGGAGCCAATTAATGGACTAAAATTGAATTATTTTCGGGGAAATGGAAGAGAAACCTCTAAAATATGACTTTGGTTGTTTACGGGGCGAAATTAATTAGGTAAATTTGATAATAAACAGTCCTAAATGAGATTATAGCCGAAGGTGGTAAGCGAAAGGGGAGAGCAAAGTTTGTCGCGTATGGCAAAAATTTGATGGCTGAAAAATTAAAAACCTCAAAAAAATATTTTCCGGATAGCGTGCAATTCTTTGGAGTAGATGAAAAATAAGATTTTGTAAGGCTCTCAAAACCTGCATCAGGATCTCCAAAAGTGACGCAGCGAAGGCTGAAAAGTCCTGCTCTTCAAAAAATTACTTTTTGAACTTTTCCCGTGGAAAGTGCAACCTCTCTGCTACTGTAGCCTCCAATACCGCGAATCGTCCCGTCCCTGCCTGACATTCCCCTCCACTACCCGGAACTTTCAAATCCCGAGCAATTAGAGCCCTCGGCAAACTGGCTAGATTCGGCCGCTCGCCGCGGCCCCTAATCACCATTAATGGCCCAAAAGTTTTTTTTTTTTGAAATGAGAGAAGACGCAGATGCCAACAACTTGTCGCCTCTTAAAACAAATTAGCCTCTAACGCATTCCGCTCCTTTTTATTTGTTTATGGGCCGTTTCTTTTGAGGACCAAACTTGGTTCGGTTAATCGCTGCGGAATCCACCCGGGAATTGGGAAATATTTTAGCGACAAATCTACAGACTTATAGACGAATTCATAAGGCATTATAAGCCAAGTAATAATCTAAAGATTTGGGGAATAAAAAGGGAAAAAGTCTCTTTTTTTCAATTTTACAGCTACACCTTGCGTAAGACCGGAAATTGTCAAGCTGCATTTTGAAAACAGAGGATTTAGAGTGAAGGTTTGAGCGAACTTATTGGGTTCACAAAACTACTTGAGGGGGAAAACAAAAAATTACAAAATACAATATTAGTTACTTACAAATTATATTACACTTGACAAGCTGCTGTCACTTGCAATTTTCTTATATTTAAACAGTCAAAGCGACTATAAAACATATTTATAGGACTGCTTTGGGGCCTTAACTATCCTAATAACAAACAATAGATGACCTACAATCCGATAATCCTCGTTAAAATCCCGTCCAGACGCTAGTAAAAAGATTTAAGACCCATAGCTAAACAATTAATTCGAGCAATTGCTCTCAACCCACTGCAAGCTTCTGCAAAACGCCTATTCTAAACAAAATACCGAGAAAATGACAATCAAAAAAACATTGGGGACACGAGAAGCGGAGGGGAAAAGGCAACTCTTTATCCCATAATTGGACAAGATATAACGAAGAGCAGAGTCAAGTGGTCATAAATAATGTATTTGTTGGCGAATTGTCTACGGATAGGGGGCGATAATACACTCAGATATTCTTCACGGCATCAGCGGTAAATTGCGAGCGAAAAATAGAATCTTTATACCGGCGTAATAAGATTTTTTGGTGGAATATTACATTAGAACTCATCTATAGTACGAAAAAGTCATTGAAAGTTTAACAAACCAGTAGAAACAGGCCAAAAATTTTTAAAATTCAAGAAAAACGCCTTGAATAATATCTCAGATGTCTGGAAAAGCTACCTGAGCGGATATGACCCCCCCAGAAATCCATCAAGAATTAACGTCCGCCTAAAACAAGGACAGAGGTAAGAAGGGAGGCCGCGAGAAGACGGCCGACGAAGCGGATTACGCCAATCCCCCCACCACTCCACTTTTGGCCCCGCGGCGATCAAAAATAAATGGCGACGGCAAAAAGCGGAATGAATGAGGAATACGAAACAAAAGACACAGCTGGAGATAGCACTACCTTCGTTTTGGCGATGATTTTATAAGTTTTTACTACCGAGATGTTTGATGGCCTAGAAACTGTAGAATGAGGGGATTTTTAAGGTTTTTGAAGCCTAAAAATGGATGGAATATGAGATCGGAAAGCTGCTTTCCAAAAAAACCTTACCTTCAAGAGCTATTCAAGATTTCATGAGGTTAGAATCAAGATTTGCGCACTTTAAGGGAGCAAAAAACATGCTTTATGACCTCATAGGATTCAGGAAGACAGATAATCTCATAGTAATTAATTTCGAAATATTTTTTTTTGCAAATAAGGAATATACATGCATATACATAATTCAGGGAAATCTGTGGGTTGCAAATTTCAAAACAAATAACATTTTGTTTCCCACAAAGATGCGCTTTAGTTTAAAAATGTCCTTCACAGTTTTTGAAATCATTTGTTGCTGACTGATACGGCTGCGCTAAGCTTAGCTATGACAGTAACCCAAAAAATCTTCATTTCCAGTGGTTTTTTACTTTGAATTTACAGAATTCTTACTTATATTCCAAGATTAGACACAAGGAAACAAAAAATGTAAATTTGTAACCTTTGGTGCGCTCTAAATATTGGAAAATGAATCACGGTGAAAGCAAGGAGCCACTGCATGTCTCTATAAAGCTTATACACTTGGCTGATTGGCATATCAGCTTCGGGAGTGCTCACAAAAAATTTTCAAAAACATTGTGGACAATTTTGCAGAGCTAACAAGATCTCCGAGCTAATTACTCCCCGAGAAGACTGAAGTCTACTCCCGTTATTATTTGTGTCATCACACCTACTTCCTAATTATGACTACAATTACAGCCATTCTTATCACCCAAACTACCAATTATGACTACAATTAACTTCTCCAAAACACACACCCACTTCCCGGTAGAACCAAAAATTAAATGGCAACATTTTAATCAAAAAGTTTCCGATTTACATCCGGGAATCTTTCGGCGGTCTTTGGCCACGGGAATCCCGAGAATTTACAGCCAAAGATGGCGTCGTATTTCCCGGAGTTTAATGTAAATAAGTCGAGAAGTGGATCGGGGCCACTTGGCGAGCACTTCTTCGACCTTCATGTAAAGTTATGTGAAGATAAACGGAGAACGGGCGATACATCGGTTTATACCGCCATAGTCCTTGTAATCGTCTTACAGGGATGTAAAGTTCAATCATTATGACTTGAGCCAGTGCACTCGAAAGTGTAATGTTTTGTGCCCCGAGAGTACAATTACAAATAATTGTATTTCCACTACAAACTGTCGAAAACCCCATTGAAATTCCTTTTCACGAGTCTTAAGCTAGCTGCATTGCAAATATTCAGCTGAATTTTTAAAATAGAAATCCCCTATTAGGTCTATTATGGAGCTAATTGAGATTACTCAAGAGGTATTAGTCATCCGGATGTCATATTGGATATCCGGTGCGTAGAGCGGGGGGATAACCAATTTTCGTACAAAGATTTCCTTGAATTCTTTTAAAAATTAAGATGTGAATAAGAGAGTAAGAAGCAAGAACGTCATCTACGCAAGCAGAGGGAAACAAAAAGACAAGGTAGATAAGACACTGTTAGTATACTTTGTACTTAAGGATTTACGTGCTTTGCAAGGGGCAACGTTCAGTGATGATGAGAGAATTTTTTGGCGATATCTCTGTCAAGCTCGACAAAAGGACAAACAATTTTTGTGGAGATTTTGCATTAAAAAAGTTCTTATTGTTAGTGCCAAATTCATAAAAAAATTCAGAATTTTGTCTATTTTCTGCCCAAAAAATTCAAAGGACCTTGCCTGCAATTGGCTAAAATTATATACATAAAAATTTCAGCGCCTTTAGAAATGCATAGATTACTAGATTACACAACAACCGACACTGTGCTGAAAAAGACTGCAGAAAGAAAAGCATCCACTATTTGACCTTGAAATCAGAAAAAAATTATATCCTTAAGAATAAAATGCTAATCTTCTAAAGTTTGTACATCTCACGTAATCTCCGAGATTACCGCCTTTTTTATGCACTTATCTGCTCCGCTTGGTCGATTAGCTCATTATTAGCTCTGTTTTTCTTCCTTCTACCAAATGTGCAAGTCGAATCGGATTGTTCCACCGCATATCCAGGGAAGATATTGTTTTGTCCAAGTCCACAAAAGGAAACCCTCGACCTCTGGAGCCTGAAGTGGGGTCCGGAGGTCACGCCGCGCGTCTTGACTTGAGTTCGTCGGTTCTCGCTGTTCGTCATGGAGAAGACGGCGGGCGACGGTCAGTTTCAGTTATTCCCGCTGATTTCGGATTTGGTTTTTTTCTTCGTCTTCGTTTTTCGAATGGCATGATCAAGCGATTCCCCCCTCCGTTTGGATCTTCGCTTCGCGTTTTCCTTCGATTGCCGCGCTCAAAACGCCCTTAGGGCATGTTCACCTTGCTTGATGACCAAACAAAATGGAGAATCTTTTTACTCATACAGAACTCCCCCACTTTCAGACGATGCGGATTCTGTTGTGTGTGCTGATAGGCGGCTTCTTTTCGACGACAGTGTTCTCGTTGGAATGTCACAGCTGTCTGTCGTATTGCAAACTAAAGCCGAATGGAGAGCTGAGCGAGGACTGTGATTGTGCTGGGAACAGCACTTGCAATGGAACCACTTGTTTCGCCAAGGTGGAGATGTTTAGTGTGGAGGAGACGGCGATTATACAGGTAGGCGAGTGAAAAAAGTTGATGTAAAATACGACCTGACTATCTTATACTTCAGATAAAATGAATACAATCAAGATTAAAATAATATATAATTTTTGCTTTAGATTTGTGTTTTAACCTTAAAAGGTATCAAGAACAGATAGTCAATGTTTTCAAACTTTCCGCAGGTTTCCTTGCAGAAAAAATACTTTGAATTTCAAATAACCTTGACCTTGAAATCCCCAGATAAAATCAAAAATCGAAAACTCCCCCTCCCCTTAGGGCGCTTTTATAAAGACATGAAAAGGAATAGAAAGGTAAATTTGAAAAAATTTATAAAGTCTATACAATGCGTAGAGCAAGTATCGTTGTCAAAATATTTGTTGGCACCAAAAGATGGCGTGCTGTCTTCAACCAGCGTGGAATTTTTAATTTCTGACAGGGAAAGTGCACGAAGTGAGACGCCCAAGGTTCAGAGGTAGATATACGATATTTCGAGCTTGCAGTTTTGCACGTTCAACAAAATATTATAATTTTTTATGCGCGAAATTAACCGGTGTATTGCCAAAAAGAGTTTTTCTCCTTCATCACTCTCCGTACTCCGCGCACTGTCTTGTCAACAATAATCGTTCAACATCCCTACTGCCTGTAGGGCGAGATATTTTTTTCCGAGATTTACGAAACATAGGCCTAACATGTGTGCTCATCAAAACAAGAATCTAAAAAGTCAAAAAAAAGTTTCCCACATAAATTATTAAAAGCCATTTCAACGTTAATGTTATACGCCCAACAAATTAGAGGTTTTCTAATTGATATTTACGAAGATCCCATTCTCAACGATGTCATTATGAAATTAATCTTGCACTTTTTGCTGTCATCTTGGGTGGTCGGAGGGAAGATTCTCAAGACATTTGGCTCGTGCCCTATGTAAATTACGTACAGAGTAAAATAAAAGTATTTTGGGAGAAAAATGAGAAAGGGTAAAAACAGAGGGAGATTATGTTACAAATGTTGCAAAATTAGTATGAAAAGTTTAAAATTAGCATAATAAGAAAATATTTTCAGAAGGGTTGCGCGTCGAATCTACCATACGGAACAAGTGGATGTCATTATGCGGGCGCTCAAGAGTCGGTGCACTGTTACTGCGACGGCGAGAAGTGCAATACAAAAGAAAAGGTAATAGGGGAATACATATAGAGCAAAACGTCAGGAAAGGCATTCTGAATGCATCTTTTGATGTTTCAAATGTATGAAAACCGCTTTGTTTTCTACAATCGACCATGTAACAGTTTGAAAATTTAAAATTGAACCTCTCCAGGTACTAGAGGCATAGACCACTTGCTATTATATAGAAACATTCACCCTATAATTTAGTTTTTTTTTTTAATAATAGCTTTACTCAAATTTTAGACGGTATAGGTAGCACAAATAACTATATTTTTCAAGGACTATGGAGCTCTTACAAATTAGAAGTGCATAGTAATTAAGAATTGATTTGAGACCCTTCGTCATTATGTTGACTATTGCTGTTTTCAGAAATGAGTGAGCTAAAGGACCCGCTGGGAAATTCCAACCTCCATTTCAGTCGCTACTAAACATGAAACAACTATTTTCAGATTTAGAAATTTGTATACATGCATATCAAAAACAACCAAACCCTATTTTTTCCACAAAAAAACTGCCTCGTTTGTCATCCTTAAACTACATATTTGATGGTGTTTTGTCGGCCCTCCGCATTTATGATCGCTCGTTCATTCTCTTAGCTCATTACTAATTACTTAGCGTGACTTGCACGTTCTTCTTTGATGACCTCTCCCTCCCTTTCAGTTCGACAATTACAAGCCGAAGCAATTGCCCATCGTTCAGTGTTGCGAGTGCTCCGAGCCGCGCGGTGAGAAATGCCCGGAGGACAAGTGTGAGCGGACTTGTCGCGGAAATTACTGTCTCATCGACTTTGACGGAGTCGAACAAGGCTGTGGACTGGGTCTTCCCCGGCTCCAGAACTTCCTGCGGATCCAGAATTACAGCGATTTACAGGGCTCCCAAACGTGCGCCAGATATCAAGCCACCCAGTCAACAATTGTGCATGGATGTGTTTGCACGTCGCCGACTGGATTCTGCAACCGCGTCAACGCCTCAAGAGAATATCAACTAGAAAAAGTTGTGTCGAGAAGAGTGGACGATCAGAATTATTGCTACAGTTTGCATCAGAAGTCACGCAAGGCTTTTGACAAGGAGATTTTCAAAAAGTAGGTAAACACGGACTACTCAGTTATAGGATGGAAAAAACTTCCAGATCCGACACTTGCGAGGGGCACTACTGCTTCATCAGCATGACAACCTCGGAGCTGGTGGTGGAGAATACGACGGAGATCGATGCGGACGGGAAAGGGAGCTATGTGGGGCTTTCCAGGCCGAGATACGAGATTCTGGCGGGGTGTTTGAAGGTCGACGATGATAATGTAAGCAAAATTTTGTTCATTTTGTAAATTTTGGCGCTGTAAAGTTCTACAGTGGGGCTTAATCCAGTGGCAAAAAACGTACTATTTTGCATCCGTGAAGCATAAAAAATGTGGCAAAATGCCTCCCACTCCAAGTGAAAAAACATTGTTTTGAAGGGCGCGCCCTTTCCCTCACAAAAAGGGAAAGACCGCGCCTTCAAATCGGTGTTTTTTCGCATGGAGAGGGAAGCATTTTGCCACATTTTTGATACTTCCCGGATGCAAAATGGTACGTTTTTTGCCACTGGGTCAGGTCCCTTACTGTATAAAAAAATATGAGAAATCTCATAATTTTGATTTTTAAAATACGAAATATTTTTGTTTACATCTTTCTATGTATTTCCAAGAAATGATATTCTTTTTAGAAAGTCAGCCTCGGCTGCACAACCGAATACTCCGAAAACAGTGGGAATCCGATCAGCAAGCACTGCATTTGCGAGTCGCATCTCTGCAATTATTACAACCTCCTGGTCGACGAAGACAACACCACGTTACGGCAAGTGATTCTGGACCAATCCCACGACCACGATCTGGTGAACTCACCTTCCGAAGCCGCCGGGGCCGTTCTAACATACGATCCGTCGCTGCGAAAGACCTCGGGAATTTCTCAAGTATCTGTACATTTTATGCTGATCTTCACCACATATCTAGCCTTATTTTGAATGGTTTTTGTCATCATTTCACCGGATAATATGTTATATTATATTGTACTTGAAAAGTAGAACTCATGTTTATAAAAAATAAAGTGGAATCAAGAGAAAGATTCAAGGTTTTCAAAGTGCGACTTTCAGACTTCTTTGAAGGCAAAGATAGTCGAATATCTTGGCTGTGGCCGGACATAGAAAGCCGAAATTTTCAAGGATGGAAATGTTGTCAATGCCACTTGTAAAAATAAAAAAAAACGATCTGAACGTCGCACTTTGAGCAATACTTTTCATAAAATGAGGTACTAAGTCAAGGTGTGATGGAAAATTGAAAAAAACGTTTTTTGCAAACTGCCTTAGGGCTTTATAATAAAGGTAAGTCATAAATCAAAAAGTTTGGACCTCATAGATTCCAGAATAAAATTTTTGTAAATTTTGATCCATTATTCCTCAAGTTATTAGCGAAATAAACCTCCCAGGTCCAAGTCCATAAAAAACTTTAATTAAAATCTTCATATCACACTTGGACCGTACCTCAACAAGACACCATAAAGTCAAAAAAAACAAATGAATTACCGGTACAAAAGAGAGAGAAAAGAGTTATTTACATCAAGGTATGAAGCGATATGGCCGGGAAGATGATCGAATGGCAGTGTTTTTTCTCATCGACCGATCTCAATCTCTCGATCCTCGATTTCGAACTCGGAGGTGGCGGCCCGGAGGCCTTTTTGCTTGTGCGACGCGATGAAGAAGCAAATCGCCGCGAAAATGTAGATTATGACGACGGTGCCGGCCAAGTAATAGCCCAGGCCGACTCGCTGCACCGCCGAGAAGTCCCATTCCTGATTGTTTCGGTATTTCTCGGCGATATTCGCGTTCCATTCGTCCACGCTGTTGGTCAGGACTTCCATTGTGACCACTATGCACATGGCTGAAAATATTAGTTTAGCTAAAAAATCAAGGTTGTTTGGAAAAAAAAATTTTTTATAGGGACGCTCCACGGCAACCCGAAATAGAAGAAAAATGTTTCCCGCCCAGTTTTGAGTTCCGTCCAAACGAAGTGCCAAAATTGACAAAAGAAATAAAATAATTCCGACAAAAATATTTTTCGGTCGGAAAATCCCACGAAAAATTCTCTTGTGACATTTTGTTTGATTTCAACCGATACAAAATGGACGAAGTGTCGAAAGGAGCCAGGAAACACTTCGGGTTGCCGTGCGCTCCTGCAAAGCGAGCTAAAATTTTCATGAATTTATGTGGCCTACGCCAAGTACGTTCAAAAACTTGAAAAAAATCTGAATGTCGCACTTGATTGTGAGGGGGTTTCTGCCCTTTTTCCCTTTGTTAGATTGCACTGTGCAGTCAAAAATTTTTTCATCATACACGGTGCGGAGCAACACGTTGTTTTGACTCTTCAAACCGCGCCGCGGAGCCGCAAAAGAGCTCGTCGAACCAATCAAAACAACAAGGCTTCATCGCACCGTGCATTCGCGACAGAACTTTATCGCACAGTGCCGCAGCGACAAAGGTTCAAATCGCACTGTGCATTTGCCTCATTTTTTGTTTGCACAGTGCAAAAGACAACTCTTCAACTTGATTGCACAGTGCACCGTCCAATTTTTTCGGGACTGCACTGTGCATTTAGTAGTCGCGACATAAAGTCCTGACACATTTTGTCGCGGGTGTCGCGCGAGAAAAGTGGCAGGTTCGCGCGAAAGTGCATGTCGCTAGTGCAAAAACGGAGAATTGCCGCGACGGGTCCGAAAGAAAAACAAAATGCACTGTGCAAATGTGTCAGGACTTTATGTCGCGACTAGTACTACGCCTTTCCAAAAGTGCACAGTGCACTTTTCAGGTTTTTGCACTGTGCAATGTTTGTCGCGCGAGCAAAATTCGCGACGACGGAGTTGAAAACTTTGCGCCGCTGCAGCGATTTTTCATTTGCACGATGCAAAAAGTCAATTTTAAATCTGCCGGCTTACCGGTGAAAACGTGGATTCCGGCGACCAAACGTTTGTAGATGTAGCGATGATGAGTGAAAGTCCACAAGGCGAATGCGTTGTTGCAGACCATGATTACCAATGAGATCACGCAGAAGGCAGCTTGAGCTCGATAGTAGTCTAAAATGCTTTTTTTTAACTATTTTTATCGATTATTCAAAGTGCTTTTACTACTTTTGAGAGCCGTAGCTTTTTATTGTTTCTCAGCCACATTCAACGTAATATTCAAAGATCTTTTTTATGACCTTTCTCTGACATTTTTCCCCCAAAACATCTGTAAATAGCCCTTTTTTCTATTTTTTGATGTCAAATTTGTATATAACCTTTCCATTTCCTCCCATTTCCCTTTTTTTGACCCCTTAATCACTCCGAACACCACGCCATTTTTGGCCGCTCGTCCCCCGTGATTTATGGGTTCTCATGGCCATGAAATTGCGGCCTCAAAAAAACTTGAATTGGGCCGGAAATTCGAGAAAAATGAATGGATTTGTCATAGGGATCAAATCAACGGGATCGTTACGGACAGCTGCACTTACGCTTTATGTCTTCGTCGGCCAGACGTAGAATTCGACCACCGGGCGGTTCTGGGAAGTGCGGGGTGTATTCGCCTGCAAAAGTCACGAATCCAGATCAGTTTTTGAAGGAAAAAACGAGTTGAAGACAACAATAAGTTATGATTAGACATAACAAAATTGACAGTGACAAACAGATTTGATTTTTTTAGACCGGAAAGTGCAAAAAAATAGGTCACCGTGCGAAAACAAAAGTTCCCCTTGCACGGTGCACGTCAAACTGAGGAGTCCGGTGACCGGAATAGACTCTTCGCTATCGGTTTTTTACATTTCGTCTTGATTTCCAGAGAAAGAGAGAAAAAAGACACGTAAAAACGTACTCTCTCGCCCCAAAAATTCCCCATTTCTCCCCCGACAAAACGTTTTTTCGCGTCTTTTTTTGGCGAATTGCCAATCTATTCGCCGGACTGTTTTAGCTTATCTCAGTTTGACGTGCGGTGCAGTTTCATGCCTTTTGCACCGTGCAATAGGCTTTTTCGGGCTGTCGCTCGCACAGTGACTTTTTCCGCATAGTGCGCGTCGCAATAATCATTCCAGCGACTTTATAAACGGACTACATATTACATATGAACTTCGACATCGTATTTTAATTTTGGCGAAAAAAAGAAATCTAAAGATTCACTTCCATCCTATGTTTATTTTTCAATAGGTACCACAGCCAATCCCTGCTTTTTTTAAGGCCAATGATCACAAAGCGTTTTCCTAATTATATCAAATGATGTTTATATTGTTTAGTTTGTTTCTTTTCTGTTTCCCAGTCCAAAGATTGCATTATCCCTGTAGTCCCCGCAAGGAAGGAAGGAAGAGTATAAATAATAAATGGAATGAGTTTCGGAAGGGGAAAACTGAAGCGCTTTTTGGCAGGATACGTACATACTCATTGCGAGACGTGCAGAAGTACAAGTTTAGGAAATTCAAAAAGATACAAAATGTAATGCGTTTGAAAGAAGCATTAAATGGTTAGGGCTAAAAAATCAGTGGTTTTGGGGACCGAAGACAAGCTGCAAGTCGTAAAAATAAGTTGCTTACTCTTGTTCGTCGTGTTTAATGTCCTCCATTCTCCCCAAACCCCAAGTCTGACGTTGACTTTTTGGAGATCAGTGTTGACAAAGTCGAGAATCGCCCAATCTGGATGGAAGACCGCGGCGAGGAAGGCGAAAATGCCAATCTGAAAGCGTTCCCCATCAAATAAAGTTCTCTCATGACAAAACTCCGTCTATTCGCCCTTAGGCAATGCCCATATTTCCTTATATTTCCTTCAGGAATCCTGTAATAGCCCTATGCATCAAAAATGCGAAGAAAAACGAAACATACGATGGTCAGTAGGGTCGCGACGGCCATCAGCCTGCGTTGCCATAGTAACTGCTGATAACTGTGCATGTTGATGACCCGCGAGCCTTGGCATTCCACGGCCTTCTCGATTAACTGCATCTGGAAAAAATTCGGGGTTTCGACCAGAAAGGGGGCGGAGTCGCGAGAATGAACACTCGAATTGGCCCTTAGGGCCTCTTCCGAACCCTCTTTTTTGCTGCACCTGTCGGCCAAATATTGGCATAACCGATGGGTAGCAAGTCGAGAGTTAGAGGAAGTAGTCGAGGAGAGGCGTTAAAAAGTAGGCTTTCGAGAGGTATAGGATGACAAAATTGACGACTTTCTGGAGAAAAAGTATTTTTTTATTACCGCTCTAACCCCTCGGCTAGAACTTTGACCCATTCCGCTCTTTACCGTATCAATTACTTATTAAATTTAGAGCTCAAAGGCGATGAAAGCCGCTATGTACAACAAGTTTGAGCGTTCGTGTTCGGGCCCCGCTTTTTATGACCTAATTAGGGTATGCATGGGAAAGTGTAATTCATTTCTTGTTTTCAATTTGGCTCTCGAGTCAAGAAAGCTGTTAAGATTTATGTCCGGCTTATGTCGCGAATGCATCTCCAGCATGGAGGGACTTATGAAACGAAAATTTCGGTGGGGGATAAAAAAAGAAGGAAATTAGAGCCATCAAAGTATGTTGGGGATTATTATGTATTGGGAGGTAAGAGAGGAAAGTTAAAGGTGTAAATATAATGGTAAACAAGGCGGGGCCAATAGTCATGAAGTTAATAGGGTATAGAGAAATATATTATAACTTGCTTTACATCAGCTTTATTACAGCTTGCAACCGATTAAAAGGCCTTGTATTTTAGTTGTGGCTATTTTGATTCAGTTTTGGCGAGAAATATGGACATTCAATGCAATGGTTGTTTTCAGTTTCTGCGAAAAAATCTCAAATGGTGGCATCGACCCTCCCCTTGAACTCTCAAGATCGCACTGCGTAGGTGAAGCGATATTTGGTCATTTTAACGTAAAAACGGGAGACTATTGAAAATCAGGAAAGAAAGTCATAAAAAATGTGGTTTTGTGTTTTCTGCAAGACTTTTGTGATTCCAAAATCCCGAATCATTTTTCTGTAGAGTCCCAGAAAACTCGAAGGCCGTACAAAAACACTTTCGCTATTAGGTATTGTCTGACATCATGCAAAAAAGGCATGACATCAGCTAATACCTTACAGCATGTAAACTTTCCAATTCCTCCTGGCTAAAAAACACACCTTTCCCATTCGAAATCCAAAGCCATTGGAAGGGAAGATTTAGAGGTCACAAATGTTTCAAGGATACGCTCTTCTACTGGCCCTTATGGTTCTGTTTACTATTACACTTGGCACATAAAACACGATTCTCGACCAACCTTTTGAATTTTGCGAAAAATTTGGGTCATTCAAGAGGAAAAATAATTTTGAGGAATATTTTCTTGACCTTTCTGGAGTATGTAAAAAATTTTTGAAAAGCGAATTGACAACAAAATACGACGTAATTTACAAAATTCCGTTAACGACAGGAAATTTTCCTATAAAAGCCACTTTGTAGTAGACTATAATAAAAAATTCTTTTGTTTCAGACACCCTCCTAAAGCCACTTTTTTGACGATATCCTTTTATGAAGCCTTATAGCTATCCCCAAAAATGAAGGGGCCAAAAATAAAAAAAAAACTTTTTTATAAATCCGGCTATTTTTTTGGCTTATTGGCAAGTTTTTTCGCGGCTCTAATCATCACTGAACAAACGAAGGGCTCCGAAAAAGCCGAGGGGAATGAATGGGCCTCGGGCTAATTGATTGAATGTGATTGTTGGGGGCCACATGGGAAGGTTCCTCGGCTATTACAGAGATTTTGCAGAAAGATAGGCCATAAAAAGGCCAAAGGAGGGCAAAACATCTTTAGAGAAGGGTGAGATAAGGGGAGAATAAATGACGTATTTAAAAAAAATATTGAAAAAATGGTCAATATAAAAAATTCTTTTTGAAATGATGACAAAAAATGAAATTTTTTGAAATTTCAATAGCTACATATAAATATTTCAATTTTTTTAAAAAGACAGATAAAAAGTTTGAGAGAGAGCATGGTGTTTACTGAAGAGGCGACGGAAAAGTTTTAACATGATTTTAGCAAACAAACAAAAAAGATTAGCAAAAATCAAAGCGCTGAAAAATCCGTATCATGCTTGTTTGTCCCAAAAAAATCGGCATCAAAACAAAAAAAACAAGCCCTGGATCAAGGGACATAGAAGTTGACAGCTCCCTCAAACCTCACGTTTACTCATGCCCCGCCAATCCTCACCCCTCCCGCCACTGTTTCTTCACTTTTCCTTTCCCCGTAAACAATAAGAGGATCATGTATCCACGAAACATTTTTATGACCTCTCACCCGTGTTTCGGAGGCGCTTTTTTGAACCCCAAATTATCCTTTAAAACAGCGGCCAAGAAGTGTGACAGATCAGTGCGAATCCGCACGCAAAAAGCGCGTGGAAGCAAGCGAAAAAAGAGACAATTTGGAGGGTGGCGAGAGAGCATATTCTTGAGATCTGGGCCCGCTTCCCTTTGCCTTTTTGTGGGACCAAAAACCCCGCAGGGTACGAGACATTTCACTGACCAACTGACCAGCTGCTCCCCGAGGAAGAAGCATCTTTATGGGGATCAAAGCGAGAGTTTTGGGCGGAAAGCAATAGGAAAAAGAAATTAGGAGTTGTATATAATGATGACAATAAAATTGCCGGTCATTCGATTGCTCCAGATGACAATAGGAAGGGGATAAAAAGTTGGAAAGCGAGAAATTTAAAGCTTGTCAAGGGTCTTTCGAAGGGGATGACCATGAAGAAAAGGGCATATGGGATGTTGGGGGTGTCAGAGAAGTGCGGGCGGAAGTGGCAAACTAGGCCCATATGTCCGTTACAATAAAGTAAGTCAAACGGAAGAAAGGCAAGCAAAAATATTGCTGTGAAGTATGCAAATTGCCGCTACTGAGTGATTATCAATCGACTCTGTCCAAATTATTGTGCTTTCTCAAAGATACGGTCGACAAAACGACTATGACAACCAAAATAGCTTTTAATTTATCGAAAACTCGTCTTTAGACGTTCCAAACCTCAAGTCAACCAAAAGTCAACCCAAAAACTCGGCAAATAATTAAGAAAGAACCCCTCAGACCTCCATAAACCAAATGATACGGCACGCGCTGGCATTCCTTAAGCAAGCATCTCGACTTTCAGCTGCCCCGTTCCCCCTCCTCGCCTTGAAGAATAAGTAAGGGAAAAGCCGCGCAGAATGGGACCGATTACTTAGCTTTTTGCAAAAAGCCAGTCCTCAGGGCTTCCGCGATTTTTAAACAAATTTCACTCCTTTTGTTTGTTTTCCGCCAAATTTGCGGCTTTCCCTGAGACGGGGTCGGTTCTAATTCTATTTGGGGATAACGGTGATGGGCGTTTGGCGGATCGTTATAGATATCACGCGAGAAAAAACAGAGTTTCAAACTGACAATTACTGTAAACAAGATTTGTAAACGTTTTTAGCTTATTTTTTTGGCTGTTTTCAGTGAGTTTTTGAGTTTCTGGATGCAGGATGTCATGGATACTATAAAATCTGCTGTAAACAGCTTAATTTTTTGTTTTCTAATGCTTATAAGCAATGAATATTCCATAGAATTGGGTTGGCTTTAAAATCAGACCAATGAAGATCTTTCAAACGGAATGCCAAAAATGGCGGGAAATTCAAAAAAAATCAAGTTTCAAATCAGCCAAGAATTGAAAATATTTCATCAATGTCTTGACTGCTGCTTTTTGTGATTCAAAAAACAGTCTAAATCACCACAAAAGAACAAGAAATCACCAAAATTTTTCAAAAATCATCAAAAGGACCTCTTACATGGTAGTATAATATAAAAAAAATCTCGATTTTTCCGAAAGAAACTCATTTTCTAGATGATTTAAAAAACCCAATAAGACAATAAAAAAATTTATTTTAATAATCTGCACATTCATTCTACGTTTCTGCACATATCACAACCGCAGCGAGAGATTGAGCGTCACCAGGAGAGCGGCGGGAAAAACGTTTTCCCTCCATTTCAATGTTATCAATTATGCGACGAGTCGATTATACATTGTGTGTTCTAGGGCAAGTCGAAGGCGAGAATGACCGGCTTGTGATCACCCATGCATAGGTCCATCCCAATCGAGGTGTAAATGGGATTGGAGAGGGCCGAAAAGGCCGTCGGGTTCATTAAAATACGGTCGCACCAGGCCGGCATCCGTGTATTCGTGAGCAGATTATGGTTCAACGGATCCTCACTCCATGGGTAACTGGAATCCAGGAATTTAGATTGAGTTTGGGAGGTCTGTGGGGGGATTCGGACAATTTTTGGACTTGAGAGTGCAAAAAGAAGGGTAATATGGGAAAAATTGGAAATTTTGGAAAAACTACAGTAGACCAAAAATTCAAGTAAATTGTACTTTGTTGACAATGAAGTCAGAGATATATTAATGCAATCTAAATAATATTTAGGCCGATTTTCGGCCACTAACCTATGGAAAAAAGGTTTCCGTTGAAAATGATGAAATTTTGACTAAAAACGGTTACATTTTCAAAATTTCTCACTAAAACCTATGAGAATACGACGTCATCAATAACATAGAGGACTCTCACTAACAAGGCATAGGTTTTTTGACCGAAAAAATCAGAAAAAAATTAAGTTTTGTGCAAAAATCATGGATAATATCATCAAATCAAGTCAAATCCCACTTACGTTGGTGGAAAGCTGACTGGAAGTTCTTTCAATGGCAAATCCCTGGGCTCTTGATCATCCTCCTTGTATTCTCGCCAATTTGACAACAGGTTTTTACTGTTTTCGTATTCGAATTTCTTCTTCTCGATTCGCAAAACGCAACTGCAAAAAAATAAAAAAAAATATTATTATTAAAGAATATGCTGGTAAAAATTATTAAAAATAAAGTAAATTTTTTTACTTTTCATCGTCTCTTCGATACTCTATCGCTGACAATTGCCTATCCAGGATTGGATGGCCATTTATCAAAACCGTATCACTGTCATCACTCGAATTTTTTGGCGAGTCAGAGTCGCTGAGTGTCTCCAGTGTGTGCTCACTGGCATGTTTAGTCAATTTCTGAAATTTTTCTACCATATAAGGCCTCAAAACATCTTTTTTTTGTCAACAACTGGATATAAAGCTACTACAATATGTACAATAAAAAAACTCATACCTTGAGGAAGGAAATGGCGTTGAGTCGGAAGTTAAAATCTCCAAACAAGAATAAATTGGCGGAACCTTCGGTTTTCGTTGATTTCGCAAACTCATCGTACCTCTGGAGCATATAATTCATGGCTTTCCTTCGGTTCTGGCTGTATTGGAAAGGGTTCTCATGGAACGCCAGATTGGACTCATCGTGGAACAAATGCAAGTTTATTAGGTCCAAAATACTGCAAATAATTTTTCGTAGTATACAATTTTTTCAATTTGAAAAAAATTTTTTTTTTTTGAAAATTTTTAAAAAATCAAAATTATTTTTTAATCCTAAATCGGGTCAAAATGAGTTTGCAAATCTCTAAACAGTATGGAAAAATAATCCTCCTTACTTTCCATCCACCGCCCATCGCGAATGCATGTATCCTTTGCGGCCCCATCTGACGCCCGGCCAAAAATCTCGCGAGAATTTTTCTTTTCGTATCCGATTCGACGAATTTATTGAGGGCTCTACATACAATCCTGCCTCCCCTAAGGGTTCAAATACTCGTTTCTTGAAGTCGAAGATCTGCACCTTGTCTTTTATTGAACTTCGGACGAAAAAAACTGATCCTAATGCCTGAAAAAGGTGATATTAATGTGGAAAAAGTGTATTTATATCAATGAAAAGAGATTTTTTTATAATTTACAATCAATTTGTAGTCCAGAAAAATGTCTTAACAAGATTTTCTGACAAAAAAAATATAAAAAAAATCAATTTTTTTTTGATTTTTTTTTCATAAATCATCAAAAATCTCAAAAAATACCGTAAATTGTTCGGAGATCGTGAAATCAATGTCCAGGAAGGCGTAGCAATGCTCGAACTGGTCCCTCAGTCCCTCATGCAGCTTCCAGATCAACGGAACCACCTTGTCGCTGTTCTCTTCGAACCGTTTCCCACCCGTTTCCTGCAGATGAATGGCCACAAAGTCCGCCGCTTGACTGTGAACCGTCTGAATGTAACGTTGTAGGCCCGCTTCCACTCACCTTGGCCATGTACTCCAGCCAGCGTTGACTCAGACGGCCGAGGTCGTCGAAAAGAGAGCCCAGGTTGGCGGTTATCAGCAGGACCCGAGGCATCGCTTCGCTTGGGCGCCTTGGAAAGGGCTTCAAAATTTTCGGCTCATAAGTCGGCTCAAATCTATAAGCAGTTGATGTTTGGAAATAGGGTGATAGTGGTATTATGGCGGCGATTAGACGTCGGAGGGAGCGTTAAATTTTGGTTAAATTTAGAAAAAATCAAAAAATATGAGAAAAATGCGATTTTTTGCAAAAAAAAATTAAAATTGAACCTTTTTAAAAGCAAAAAATCCCAGACAGAGTAAAAAGACCTTATAAACATTCTGAAAATACCACTGGATATTTTCAAAAATTCGAAAAAAATGAAAAAAAAAATCAAATTTCCATCTGACCTCAAGTACAATATAAAATTTCCCAGTTTAACCGCATAGATCATCAAAAACAAATAAAAAAGGGTGTTCCTTATATTTCTAGAGGCCTATACAACTATTTTACATCCTCAAATACATTAGTACACTCCCGAAATTTCCCATAAAACGCAACAAAAAGCATTTCCCCTCGTCACAACTGATAAACGCCGCGCCAAAACCGAGATTCCTCTCTTTTAAAAGCAAATTTAAATCTTAATTGATGATAATCAAAGATGACAGCGACTAAAACACATGGTTACAAGACGTAATCATGTGGGGGAGAAAGTTGATTTGCAAAAAAATCATCGAAAGTTGGAAAATAATCATCAAAATTGTAAAACTTTGGGTATTAATCGGTTGTGAAGCGGCGCGTTTCGGCTGAATTAGGTCGTAAACACTCCTTTTCGGGTAGCGAATGACTCTAATCATCATAACAATAAGAATTTATTGATTCATACGTAACACGAGACTTCTATGGGTCTAAAACATCCAAAATAAGGTACTTTGAAGTTTCGAGCGGACAAAAGCGCCCGTCATTGTGTTAATAAAACAGTTTTGGACCTGTAACTTGTAGGACAATTGCAGCTCTTGCCCTCGTTTCGAATAAAAGCGAAGAAAACAACAGGGGAAAAAAGGATTCCGGGTTGCGTGTTAAGCGGTTTAAATCAAAAGATTGCGGCGTGATTCCGGCGATGAATAAGACTAGTTTCATATGACTCTTCAATTAGAAGAGCTAGCGAAATTTTCCAGCCCACAATTCCCCGGGAAATGCGCGCAATTTAAACGGAGGAAAAGCGGATGAAAAAAAGATTCGGAAAGCCGAAAGCGGGGGGTCTCGCCCCAGGCTCTCTCGCGGAATGGGGGACACATTCGAGCCCTTTCGCCCTTGATCCGCGGACACTAGAAATCCCGGGGATCCCGAATTCGAGGCCTTTTCGGGATTTGGAGTTTGGTTTTGAATCAAATTTTCTCCGCAAACAATCATATTGGTTTAGACCCAATGTGTAAAAAACAATCTTTTCGGGGCGCATACTTGGTCAATTTCATGACGCAACAACTCAAAAATGACAGGAAATGAACTGAACCTTCCGCTGGGCGAGATGAAACCAGCAGCATTCCAAGCCCCTTGTTTTTGATATAATACTTGGAAATAACGAGTGAAACGGACTTTTAATGGGCTGTTTTCCAATTTTGGCGAGAGTAAAGTAGACTTTAAATTGCTAGACGACAGTTACGCTTCTCCGCCATTAAATTTAAAACCTTTGAAGTCCAAGATCATCATCTACTATATTACGACCTCGTAAATTACAAAATTTTTATGGAACTAGACCTTCAAGGAGGCAGATGATCATGATAAGCCGCCATTTTAAATATAAAATGACGGGAAACAACCTACAATAGAAGAAACATCCCATAGTACAACCACTGGTCTATTCACGACCTTATTTTAGATGAATTTTGGACCTTTGTTAAGCCTAATCTCTTACAAAAACCTGGGTTCGGAGTCGACGATACCTGGATGTCTCCTCTTTCCCCTCCAACTTCTTGCAATAAGCCAACAAAACAACAAATAGAATAATAGACGATGACGTCAAGAGTTATTCATGAGAAGAGCCGCCTCGCTTTTGTTCGGATCTCTAATTTCAATAAATTATTTATCAGTTTATGTACATAAGTCATCATAAATCAGAGTCATGGGGGAGTGTTATCAGTCAAGGTTTCACTGACTCAATTCCGCGTGCGTATCTGACGTCGCGAGAGGATTGGAAAGGTGCCCTCCGGCTTCCGCTTGGTGAAGTCAAACCCCCGCTTTTTCTAAACAGAGAACAATAAGAGGCGGAAGAACATATACCGCAAAGGAATTGTAGGTGCTGGCCAGCAATCGTCGGATTCGCAGTTGTTCTTGAGCCATCTTCGCGGAGCAGGGCTTGTTCAGACAATTTACTCGCATTTCTTGATACAATCTAAAGTAAAATCGATAATTCCTCATATCATCCACCTAAATTTAAGACAAGCGTGTAATCTAAAGACAAAACAGAAAGTAAGGAACATAAAACTCACTTTGATCTTGGAATCACTGGCTTATTCTTCTTGGAAAACAGCTTTTCCGGGTGTGGCGAGTCCAAATCCTCGTCTACAACAAGTTTTCTCGCTACTCTTCGTCGCTCCAGCGCTTCTTTGCATAAATTTTCAGAGAATTTATCGAGAATCTTCATTCTCTCCATCGACTTGGTCAAAAATTCCTGGTACGAGTCATATTTTTCCTGCAAAAAATAACAGACTTATTACAGAGGTATCTAAACTAAGGTAGCCAAAAAAAATAAAGCAAAGCGGATTGAAAATGCAACTTACCTTTGGTTCTTGAGGACCTTTTCTGAAGCTCACGAAGTACACAGTTTGCCCATAAGTCTTTAGCTGCTCGTCAATCTCAGCTCGCGCATCCACAGCCATAACGCTAAGAATAATATAATGGAAATAGGGGTGCTAAAACCTCGAGAGTTGCCATGAAAACGAAGCAGCTGGAGCTCGAGCGCGCTACCTTCTTCGGGACTTTCTTTTGAAACGAAAAGAAACGCGTTTTTAGGAGGGAAATCAATTTTGACATTCCGCACAGTTTGTCTATAAAATCCGTCATCTATGTCGAAAACTGGTCGAGAAATTGGACAAAATGGTACAACAATTAAAATCTATGCGGTGACAAGGTATCCCAAAGATCTGTGCCACTTTTACTGAGCTGTTGCGACAAATAAAGGTGTCACGCTGAGGGATTTACTGTCATTTTGAAAAAATACGTTAAAATTCTGCAAATTCTAAATCAACGGTTGATTATGGACAGAAATTATTGTTTCTCGTAGTCACGCTTAGTATACACTTATAAAGCCTTTATTATGACGTCGATGAGCGATTGGGACGGAATTCGCAACGAATTAAGCGAGATTGGAGGTAAGGGTCTAGTATAATATAATTTATTTTTTAGATCTCGATGAAACACGAGCATTTCGACCTGGTGTTCTTCGCGAATGGTTTAGTGTTCTATTGAACTGCACGGACAATAAAATCAGGAAGAAAATCGAAAAAGCTTTAGGAAATTTGACAAAAAGTAAGTTTTTAGGTAATATTTTAAAATTTCGATGTTTAGGGTACGAAACAGTGGAGGTTGTTGTTCAAATCATTCAATCTGATAGCGATGTCAATATTCGATGTTTTGGTGCGACATACTTGGCCAATAATTGCGGAGATTTCGTCGATATTATAATTGAATCTCCAGGTTCTCAAGAGAAAGTAGGAGATTTTTCTTATTCATATACTTTTTGATTTTAGTTGAACATGTTGAAGGAGATCCTCTCTTTTTGCTTGAAAAACGACGAGATGCCGTCAAACATTCGAGCCGTTTTGTTGAAAGGTTTCGGATTCTTCATGTTCAAGGTGATCCCAGATATTTGGCCTGATGCCGTCGATCAACTAATTCATTCTCAAACCAACCCTCAATATGTTGTAGAGTAGGTTTTTCTTTTTCAATTGCATTTTTTGGTGTTTAGAGTTCTCTCGGATTTGTGTAATAATGTCGCCAATCAACCTCAGCCACATTCGGCAAGGAGAAGGAGGAATGAATATTTATTATCGGCTCAGAATGTTGTGATGTATCTATATCAAGTCATTGAGAATTCAAGTGCAACACAGATCTTCGAGAAGGCTTCTGAATTGATTAAGAACTTCTGGTCGTTGAGCGGAGCCGTCCCCGAAACGTTATTCCCCTTGGTCACCAAGATGTTCGAAAGCGGAAAATTTACATTTCAGTATGTTTTTATTATGTAATAGAGCTATGCGAGAAAGAATAGGTCTTATTTTACGTTTTTATAGAGAAAAACCTTTGACTTTTTTCCAAATTTTCACATTAATACCTACTACAATATAAAACTTTTGTTTTTAGAACCGTTACGAATCTCACAGCCGGAATTCGAGTGTTCCCACCTAAATTATTCCCCACATATTTGTCCTCGTACGTCCAATGCCTCATAAAATACGTGAATGGCCCGTTATTAGACGCCATTCGACGATCAATTAGAATGGTAACACACGACGAAATGGTTGATCATGACCATCAAATGGTCGAATTGACAGCCGAATTATGTGACTTCTACGGTTATCTTCTTAGCAGTTTGGCTACCCTTGCATTTTGCCGACGAACAGATGGAGAAATTTTTCCGATGCTTGACGACATCTTGCAGTAAGTATAATTTTTATTTTTGTTGATGTTTAGAGCGATTTTCAACTTTGTGGTGGAGCTGAGCAAAGTCCCAGGCAAGCCAGGACATGAGGACCCCTTCTCCGAGATGAATGGAATGTTTTTCAATCGACTTTATGAGGCTCTCTTCGATGTCATGTACAATATTGGCCCAGAAAAGATGAAATCACTGGGACAGGCGTTGGAGCCGGCATTAGAACCAACGTTTGAGAAAAGCCGAACGGGTCCAATAGATTTTGAAGAGCAGTTGGAGTCGATCGAGAGGTTCAGAGAATCAAATCAAGAGCTGATATTGTTGTTGGACCTGTTGAGTGACCATGAAATAATTCCTATCATGATATCCGCGCTGAATTCGATGATCGACAGCAAGGAGACGGATGATAACACTAAAGTTGCATCGTAAGTTGACCTTCTCGAGAAAATTTATATTACACTAGACATTAATTGGATTAAAATAGAAATTTTTGGATGTTTTCAGGATATCTGTCTTTTATTATTACCTCAATGTGATTGACGACATCCCACCAGCCCATTTTCTTCCACATTCGGCAGTATTAGAGACCACACTCAACACCATTTGCATATCGGATGTGTCAGATAAGCAGAAAGAGGAATGTGTTTATCAGTTTCTGACCTTTGTCAGTGGATTGGTTGGCAAGGATGGGTCTTATGCGACACTTGTTGGTCAAGTTTTCGATTTGGTTGTCCCATTTTTATTCGGATTTTGTCAATATCCCAAGGCTTTGGAGGCATCGCTGACTTTGGTTCATACTTATTCGAGGTATTGCACGTTGAATGAGGTAAGTGGTTGATTCAGATCTTTTAATCGCGTGTTTTTATTATTAGCATTTTCATAAAGTGCCTGGACTTGTTTTCGCTTTCGCACAGTGCATCTTGAACTTTTGTCGCCAACGCACTGTGCATTTTCGCCTTTGCGCACCGTGCAAACCTCAAAAAAGCCGATTGCACTGTGCACATTTTCGATCGAAATCGCAGCGGCGCAGTTGAGAAAAGCTTACGTCGCAGCGATATTTCAAATGCACAGTGCAAAACCAAAAAAAGGTGAGTGCACGGTGCAAGAACTCGCGAATTTTTGTGCACGGTGCGGACCGCGACAAATGTCCAGGCACTTTGTGAATTTGCGATTTCTTGCACTGTGCGTTGATCTTTTTTTTTGGTTTTGCACTGTGCGTGTTTGAAATATCGCTGCGACGTGAGCTTTTTTCAACTGCGTCGCTGCGATTTTGATCAAAAATGTGCACAGTGCAATCGGCTTTTTTGAGGTTTGCACGGTGCGGAAATGCAAAAATGCACAGTGCGTTGGCGAAAAAAGTTCAAGATGCACTGTGCGAAAGAAAAAAAATGTCCAGACAATTTTCTGAAAATGCTAAAAGAAGTTTCCATTTTTTTGACAAATTTTAAGAATTATCTTAATTTTTCGGTTTAATTTGGCTTTTTTTTGAAAAAAAATCTTAAAATAATGTTGTTTTTGGTATGAAAATAGAATTTTTTGAGTCGAATACGGCGTAAAAATATCGTCAATAGTCTAAAATGTATATTGCAGGATACATTGAATGTCAGATTGACAAAAATTTTAAGTTTTTTTTCAAAATTCTGTCGAAAATTTTTCTTTTTTCAGAAAACGATCAGCGAACTCTGCGGATTCCTCGTCGGCTACTCAACCAATGAAGTCCCAGCCATCCAGAAACTCGTCATGACCTCGCTGATCAATTTCCTCAGCTGTGAGCCCTCGGATGACGAAGAAGTTCCCTTCCCGATCGCCTGTTTTATCCTCGAATTTGTCGAAAAACGGTGTGAAAATTGTCTCTCCATCGTATCTCAAGCTGGAACCCCTCCAAGCTCACTTGCCTTAAGGGTATTCAAAGAGCAAAGTCAAATCATAGGATATATTGGGCAAAATTCTAATAAAAGTAAGAAGTTTGTGTTAATTTAGGTGGGTTTTTATTATTTTAGAAGCCTTGGAAGTTGTTTCCCCATTGGTCTCGATACTTTGCGATTATTTGGTGAGATTGCTGGATTACAGAATCCCCGAGGCCGATTTGGTCACGGTAAGTTGATGTGCTGGATGCTAAATTGTTTTAGTTTTCGAACCCAGTCTGTTTGATGGTCAATGAGAATGTAATTCGGAAATTATCCCATGTTCAAGTGGACTACGCATGGAATTATCCCGATATTTTTGTGAGAATATACAAGGAAGGTCTGTCGGTAAGGATTTCGGAAGATTTTGGAATACAAATTATATTACACTTGATATTAAAGACAAAAAATTTGGTTAAAATTTTTTATATTTTGTGTTTTTTTTAGCTAAATGAAGAGTTCGTGATCCAAGAATTGATCCCCATGATATCGAATCTCACCGCATCTGTCTTCTCGACATCTGGGAATAATCAACGAGTCGATAATGCGGACTTGTCCACGTTGGAATTGGTGTGCTACTTCCTAAGAAAGAAGGAAAGGATATTTCTGAAATTTGTGGCCACCAGGACAACAATAGAACCGACAAAAGACTTTCTGACGGCATGCGTTGGAATAGCGTTGAAGTCGATTACTTACAGCTACAGCGATGAGGGAATCACAAAAGGCCTGAGGGCAATTGAATCAATAATCGGAGTGAAGGATCCAGAGATCATCAAAGCAGTCCAACCCACTTTTCCGTTGATTATCCCGCCGATTTTGGACTTGGTCTTCAGTTTGTTCTTCCATTGCGGCCAAGTTGCAATCTCGCAGATTCTCGTTTTCCTGGCCCAGAAAAACCCGGAGGTGTTTAGGTAAGAAAATAGAGATTTTTTGAGGTATCTTGGATGAGTTTGAAGAGAAAATTGTCCATTTTGAAACGATTTTTATATTGTTTTAGTCGATGCATTTGCCAACACAAGGAATTAATCCACAATGACGAGCGCGCACTAATTTTGGGCACTCCCAACCGATCACTATTCCTGAAATACTTTCTCAGATGGAACAATGAATGGGCGAGACGAAAGGAAAATTCTTAATTAGTAAATTATATTTCTGTTCTTTAGCACTCACAGATTTCTACGGGTTTTATCGAAGATGATAAAGAATATAATATTTGAAGGCATTTTGACTTGTTTTTTGGAAATTTCAGTGTTTATAGCACACAATATGTACTTGAGTTTTGTATTTTTTTATTTAAAATTTATTAAAACCCCAATGAAACAAAAATGGAAAGACATTTTCTAAAATATGTAAATTTATTTGCTCTCCTGCCAGAACTCGTCCAAACTGATGGCCGACACATTTTCCAAGGTCCCAACATGAGGTCGATCGAAGCCGTGAGACGGCTGCGTACCCCTGGAGCGGTGGCTGGACGGCGCCGTAATCCCGGTCTGAATTGTCGCCTCTCGACTGGGCCCTGAGGGCTCACCGACTGGCGGCAAAGTTGAGCTCAAAGTTTTGCTGGTAACCCCGGAATCTTTCGCATCTTTTGTCTCGTCCTTTGTTGTTACAGTAACCGGACCACTTTCGTACAAATGACTTCGATCTGGCGGTGAATGCACCGCGGGGGAAGCCTTATCTCCCTTCACTGGACTGAACGGAATGGGAGTTTCTCCCACACCGAGTTCGGCCTCGGATTCGTCGGACAAAACGGGATTCGAATCTCGGCGTTGAGCCCGAGCGAATTCAGAATCTTGCACCGGAGGGGCCGCTTGATTTGGAGAAGTCCGTATTCGCGGAGACTCCGCAGAAACTTGTTGATAGTTGGTAGAAGCTACAGCGTTGTCGTCAGGCTTTGACTTTTCGAATAAAGTGTCGTCGAGTTGGAAGGTTTGGTCGTCATCGGTCTTCTGCAACGCCAAATCTCTCGCTTCAGTCGTCCGACTAGCACTGATCGCCAGCACGTTCTTCACAGCATCTGTGGCTGCGGTCTTGGCCCTCTCTTTTTTCTTTTTCTCCTCCGGAACCGGCGCCAGATTTATTGTCGCGGCCGCTGTGGCAGCTCTGGCGGTCGTGTCGGGATGCGGAGCCGACTGAACAAGCCGGCTCCCTTCAGACGCCGCCACCACATTCCGCTTCTTGCATTTTTGATAGATGATCCAGAGGATGATCAGGAGAACCAATAGTAAGAGTAGGATCAACAGAATCAGAGTGTAATTGAAAACCGGATCCTCGAAGCCATGCCGAAGAAGGGTGGCTGAGAGTTGGATGGGAACAGTGGTTCCGTCTTGTCGTTTTTTGCAGATATACGAATGGCGGGTTCGACAGTCGTCTACGGTGTGAGCGGGACCATCTTTGATGGAGTTCCAGTCGAGAAAAAGGCAGTCCTTGTCTTTGTGATCTCCTCGGAGGGAGGAAGAGAGACTAAAATAAGGTAATTAGATTATTTTAAGACCAACAAATGACTTTAGGTGACTCTAATTGATAATAACCTACTCCTCAGGCCAAATAGGGACATTTGGATCGATCGCATCGAATTCTCCCTCTTTGTTAGCGTCGTTGTATCCAATCCAAGGGAATTTATGACTGTCCGAGTACTTCCCAACTATAAATTGGTATTCACGCGCATTCTCGATGGTCAGCAGATTCGATCGTTCGTAAAAACAGTTCCTTTGAGCATCAATAAAAGTGTACCCATGGGCTGAGGAAAACATTTTATAGCAGTACATATTGTCATCACTTCGAATCCAATCAGCAGGACAGCCGGGAATCACTGAAAATAAGTTGTTTCTGGGTGAAGTTGAGAGTCAGGTTAGGCAAAATACGATTATCAGTCAGATTTTTCTCTAATTTTCTCCAAACTTTTCCAAATCCCCCTTTCCGACAGTTACAACTTCGAATGTAGACGTAATATCCCAAATCTTTAGCATTTTCCCAAAAATCCCAAACTTTTTTGAGCTATTAATCCCCAAAAAAAACTTTATAAAAGCTGTAATTTCTTTATTGAATGCTTTAAAACCCAAATAATGTTCCAATCTTTCTCCCCCACAAACTTACAGTAATCAACAAACGACAAATTGAAACCCCTCGATTGAACAATGTTATCCGAGTGAAAATGAATGTACAAAGAGTCGCCTGAACTTGTTAGCGATGGTGGGAAATAGGAGCCACACCATCGGAGGACCTCGTCGGATGTCGGTAATCCTCCTGAAACAGATATAGATGCAGGCAGACGTTTACGGATGGCTTTACAATTTATTAGAGGGCCTAATCCGGAGATATTTGTCGTTGCGAATGGAGTTTTAGAATCTCAAAGAGGGTAATTTGAATAAAAATTGGAAGATTAGGTATTGCCGGGAAAGTCGTTACGTAGCAAAAGGATTGATGTTTAAGGGGGCGCTTGAAAATTATGTCAAGAAGAGGCCAAGAACGGAGCAGTTTTAAACAAAAAATTGTTCACAAAGATAAGTTCCAATTAGACGTTAGGCTAATTGGGAGTTTAACGCAATGAAAAAGAATTTTTTGATGGTAAAATGAAAGGTTGAAAGGAATAGGAGTAGTCGGACTTTTGATATCAGAAATGGTTTTCAACGGCTGCTGGAGATTTTGTATACCTTTGGATATACCTAAAAACATACGCAGGCCTCTGCCAAGAAAACAAAATCTCTAACAAAGCATTTGAATTGTAACAGCGGCTTCTTGGTTAAAATAATTTGTTTCTTTGCTCAAGGATATTGTCCTTTACATAAGGTACAATACTTTGTTACCTTGAAGCTTGACGATTCGTCGTCTTAAGGCTCTTGATATCCAACCCCTTTCCTAGCCCAGAAACAAACCGCAAGCCTTTACAGTGAAGGACCCGATCCAGTGGCAAAAAGCGTACCGTTTTGCATCCGGGAAGCGTCAAAAATGTGGCAAAATGCTTCTCTCTTCAAGTGAAAAAACCTCGTTTTGAAGAGCGCGCCCTTTCTCTCACAAAAAGAGCGGGCGCGCTTTTGAAATCCGAGTTTCTTCACTTGGAGATGGAAGTATTTTGCCACATTTTTGATACTTCCCGGATACAAAATGGTACTTTTTTTGCCACTGGATCAGGTCCCCCACTGTAAAGGTTCCCGGTTTGTTTCTGGGCTAGGAAAGGGGTTGGAGTTCAAGAGCCATAAGAAGACGAATCGTCAAGCTTCAGGGTAACAAAATATTGTACCTTATATTACGAATAGTATCCATGAGCAAAGAAACAAGTTATTTTAATAAGGACCACTGTAGTTCTGCTTGTAAAGCAATTTTTATAAAGATAAGATTACACTTACCGTCCCTGATGCTAACATAGTCCTCGCACTCCGTGAACAGCGGCTCCTCCAACTTGGACTCAATAACTGATAAGTGAATACGATGTTGCATTGATCTTGCAACCAGAACAAACCGGCAGTCCGTATTTGGCGGGTACTGCCGCAGCTCATCGTAGGGACTGTAGACGAATTGGGGGTAGTCGCTTCCGGTCAAGACGATCGCATTCTCGGGACAGGGCTGAGGTCCGTTTTGGGCAAAGGCAGTGAGTGAGAGAGTGACCACGAAGAGGAGGAGATATGGGCAGGAATCGAGCAGAAAGACGTGCTGCATGAGCGGACGGCAAGGTGCATAACACCGCTGAAAATGGGATGATGAAAATGGGGGAATTCTGGAAGAATTAGGTAAAATGGGCTGTAGGATGAGTCGTTTTATATTGAAATGATAAATTTTTGAAAGAAAAATGAATGTTTATGATGTTTTTACAGCTTTTCTGGCAAAAATATCGCTGACAAATTGAATTGTTTGACGTTTTTCAGGCGTAAAATTGGACTTTTCGTTAATTTTAATAAATTTTCGGCTAAAAAATGCTGACAAGTACAATTTTTGATTGTTCAGAAACATCGAAAAGTCTGGGCAAATCGTCCTGAAAGACTTACTGATTCTATAAAACGAAAGTCTCTGGCAGTTCGGCGATCGCAAGATAGGCGCGGCCCCACGCTTCGGCCCAATGGCGGAGTCTGCGGGCCAAGTTCTCAACAAGTTTCCGCACTCGGAAGCCGACCAACTCCAGGGCGATGGCAGTGTGGAGATGAGGGCAACGATCGAAGAGGGGGACTCTTTCGCCTGCTGGATTAAGTTTGTAATAAAGCTGTTGAGACTCTGCTGCCGCTGATATCCGGCCCGGTGAATCTTTCGCTGGCGGATGGATGGATTATAATTCGGCCATGTTGGGGAGAGGGGCACACGCAAACGTCTTTAGGGGATAATTGCAGCTGAAGAACTTGGCGGAATGTCGTCGAGGCGATTACATCTGGACGTCCCACTTCTTTCTCTAATATTTGTATATGTAAATCCGAAAAGATTGGGGCCCAAAAATTAGTAGCAGTAGAAAACAATGCGGCCGAAAAAAACAATATTTAGAGGCGGCCGAAACAGGTAGCTGCCAGGAATTTATTTCAATTAGATTCCGTGCAATGTAAGCCAATAGCGCAGGAAAAGCGGTGACCAGAACACGACCCAGTGCCGCCCCGAAATCGAATCGCACGCGCTCAATTAAGCACTTTGTGGTCGAAACACCGTCTTGGCCATTTACCCACGGAAATGACCAGTCCGCCGCTGTTACTCTCCCATATAACCCGGACTCGATTACATGATCGTCATGGCAACGGGCCGCGCATTCCGCACAATTGGTTCTATGTGTTTGGTGGGGCCGCGAGATGTTTTTATGGCCACCGATATTTAAAGTTCATGCGGGTTCGGGATGATGGACGTCGTTTCCGTGAGCAGTTTGGGTTTTTGATGGGATTTGTGGTCGTTTGATGGCAGTTTTGGGTCAAATATGGAATTTTAGGGGCATTTATAGACGGAATTGGGCGATGGTTTAGTACTGAAGGCCAAAATGGAGCATATTTTTGATGAAAATACACTTCTCTTGACAGCTGTGAGCTGCTGAACAGCTCAGTGGAAATTTATGGACATTTCAATGAGACCTTACAAGAAAAGTACCCCAAGTGCGACGGCCAGATTTTGATGAAACTTGGCACAAATTTAGAATAGTTTTTCCTAGGAAATATGCGAGAATCCTAGCTCCCGTTTTGCAGAAACAACCGAGATTTTTTGATCTAAAGTTGGCCAAAATTTTAAAACTTTTTGCTGAATTTCGGGACGCAAAGTTTCGTGCCTATTTCTACTATAGACGGCAATGTTTCCACAAAAAATCAATTTTTTCCGCACGAAACTGGCAAAGGTATGGCCAAAAGGCGTTTTTCTCTCCTACCGCTCTCCGGGTTGAGCGTACTCTCTCGGCGGCAAAGACCGTTCAATATCTCGGCGGCGCTTGCGAAGTGCGAGCTAAAACTTTCAGGAATTGATACTTAGTTTATGACCGATGTGTGTGCAAAGTTTAAAGAAAATCTAAGCGTCGCACTTGGGGTACTTCCCTTGTTAGCGACATTTTTAGACAAAATTTGATGATTTTTCGCCAAAAATTCGTTTTTTTGCTGTAAAATTGAAAATTTGGCAATTTACAGTATCGACGGAGCTCTAAATAGAATACTATTTAAGTTTAAATAGTATTTATAACAAAACTAGATGATATATATTTATTGAATTCCTTACGTTAAACATTAGCATAAACTGCCCAATAAGCAATATGAAAGAGGACGAAAAACAATGGAAACGCGACCCGTGAGAACAGGTCGACTTGCGACGGACGGACCAGAAACAACTTCGTATTGTGCGGCTCTATCGTCTCGGTCATACTCATCCGAGCACCCACCGAGGGATGGCTGTGCGTGGGCGACAGACCGATCAAGGGCAGACCTTGCTCAACAACTCCGCCGTTGTGGACTTGCTGAAAATTGTTTTGAGAGTTAGTCTTATTCAGGGCAAATTGGAGGGCTCGAGAAGTATTTGCGTAAAAATTACACTTTTTCGAATTTTTTGAGCCTATGGGGTGCTGATTTTTAATTTTTACTTGTAAATGTAAGGTAAATTTAAATAAAACAGCATAAAAAATTTAATTTACTACTTGCTGGCGGCTTAAATCCAAAAAATAAGAAACTTCAAAGTCATCAAAAAATTTTTAAGTATCAAAATCAAAAAATTTACATAAAAAATTTAATTTTTAGAAAAAAATTCAAATTCTTGAAGTCTAATTTTCCAAAATCAATAGAATTTTTTTGAAATTTTAAAAACACAAAATTTCTCACCGGACTGTGCGTTCTCCTGAAGCTGGCGCCCCTCCGTTTTTCTCTCGCCGATCCAAGACGAACTTGACTTTGATCTTCGAACTCGTAGTAATAAACGAGTTGGGAATTGGCCCGTCGACAAGCACTTGACCTCTGCCGTTTCATCAAATACCCAACGGCGGCGTATTCGAGAAGACTCGCGAATACTGTAATTTTTTTATCAACTTTATATTCAAAATTTCGATATAAGTTTTTTTTTTTGATTTTAGATTTTTTTCAAAAAAAAAGTTACACGTAATATATTTGCCATCAAAATTAGGAGTATCAGCTTACCGATAAAGAAGCAGACTCCCAAGAAGATATCCAGACTCTTGACATACGAGACCTTGGGCAAGGAGGCATTCGTTGATGTCATCAGTGTGGTCTGAGTCAACACTGTGGTCACACCGATGGCAACACGGGCTTGCGTGGCTTCCCGGTTCAACCAAAAGGATACCCATGATATTACAACTGAAAATATTTGATGATAAGGACAAACCAACCTTGTTTTAGTAGAAAAACCTCAAAAAAGATGTGAAAATTGAAGTATTCTTTGAAAAAATCGATTTACAGACAATAAAATGTCATTTTTGTTGAAAAAAATGCAAAATCTAGGCAATGAAAAGCGCAGCATTCATACTCTTCAGTATTCTCCTCAAAAATTAAAGATTTCCCCCTTGAATTTTGCCGCTCAACGCAATTTCCACCTACCAATTAGAGAGGACGGAAGATAAACCTGAATCAAATAAAAGCCAATGTTCCGTTTGAACTTGAAGTAGGTGGTTAGACGCGAGTAATTCCCCGTGCTCAGCGATATCATCCGCTCCACGTGGAAGTGGTCTTCGATCGTGAAATGGGCCAAATGCACGTTCTCGTCGATAATGACGGCCTTGTGATGATGCCAATGGTAGATGATGTCGGCCGTGCTGTAACCATAGCTCTGAAAGCAAAGGCGGTAATCTGATGGAGAATAGGGTGGGCTTGAGGGGCTAGGGGATCCAGAAATCATGGATCTGTGAACCTTGGATGTGGGTTTTTGAATCTTTTTTTACCGCAGGAAAAAATGAAAACTAAGTAAACTTTTTTTCAGATCTTGATGAAAGTTGACACAAAATAAGGGGAAGGCTTTGGCTTAAGTTTAAAAAGGAAGCACCTCAGCTGTAACATTGAAATTTTCTTTAAATTTCATACGCATGCCTGGAGGGTTAATCAATTCCGAAAAATTTTAGCCACAGAAAAAAATTTTGGCCATATCCCTGCCACCTTGATTTGATTTCCTGCAGAATAAAAGGCTAAGTATTATATTTTCATGGATAAAGTGGCAAAAAAGGTTGAATTTTGACCAACTTTCGATTTAAAAATCGCGAGCTTAGGAATCCCGCAAATGTTCTAAAAATAACTTAGAATTTGTGACAAATTTCAGTAAAATTAGAGCGTCGCACTGTGAGCACTTACCCTGTGAAAGAAGCCACAAATTTTGAAAATTTTAAAAATCATTTTTACCCTTACTTACCTCAATTTCCAACGCGCAGAGTTGTTCGTCCAAGGGAAACTGCAAAAGTAAAAAATTTAATCATCCACGTTAGAGTAAAAATTTTTGACATGTGACGTATCTCTGCTGGAGACTTCCTCCAGCATTTGTCACAACGATTAGCCAGACAATTAACAACATTTACAAACAAAAACCGTTGCATTTTTGCACTTGTTTGGTCAGAGAATTGTCTTGCAAAAAATGAGCGATCAAAAAATACGAAAAATTGCCAAATCTTTAGCAATATTATTTGGACCTACTAAACTAAAATGCGACCTACCGTATGAAGATTCATCGGGCAGTTGGCGGTTACAGTAAGACGAATACTTCTCATCACATTCCCTCGATTATCAATTCGCAGAAAACTGTTGTGCGAAGTGGTGTCGTGGAAAAACGATTTCTTCTCGTTGGGAAAGAACGTGTCCGGCGTCCAAATACTCTTCACCATGTCTATTCCAACCGTTAATTTTGTGGTATCATCGTCACGGACTGAGGTAAAAGCCAGACGGGTATCCCTCCAAAATTGGCGGAGATACAAGTCTATTGTGTAATCCTGTAAAAAAGAGAGTGAAATTGGAAAAAATATAAGGATTAGATGGCTAGAAAAGAAAATCTAACAACTGAAAACAGTTGCAAAATAAATTATAAGGAGTTCATACCATAGTAACTTCGGAAATGGCACTTATTGTAATGATATGCGCTGTGACATTGACTTCTGTTGGGGCACCTAAAAAACATTGTATTTTTAATGATTTTATGATATAAATTGCTGTCGCAATAGAAGAATATGAAGTCTACTGGTCTCAATTTTTACTTTGACATCTGATTTTTTGCTTTTAATTCTGTGCTTCTCAATTTTTCTTGGATTTTTCTGCAAAAAAACTTGCAATTTTCTGATCTCAATGTGCTTCCTTTTTGGCACGTTTACTGCTTTTTAGCAATTTAAATTGGCCAATTCATCATTTCCGTCTTTAAATTATTTATTCTACTATCTACATTCCCCTCCAAGTTTTCCAACACTCCCCATCTCCTCCTTCTTTGTCCATTTGTTCTCAAACAAGGGTTAGCTGTTCATAAGCCGAGAAGGCGACAAAAAACAGGCAATTCTTTGTTTATGCAAGTGAGAAGATTATGCTAATCCCTTCGTTTCTGCGCTGTTTGCATTCACATATTTTAATTTTTTTAACACTTTGTTCCTTCCATTTCCCAGTTGACATTTTGGTCCCGCAAAGCTTTAATCGGTCACAATTATTCGCATGCCCGCAGGCGACGTCACCCATCAAATTGTCACCGGCGATTTCTTGGACCCAAAAGAAACAATGCCCCTGGGGGCTTCGGGTGGTGAATATTTTCCCATCAAACGTCAACTAATTAGTTATGTACACTTTGAAAACACTTAGGAGGACTGCTAAGTGTTTTTGAATAGAAAGAAAGGGAATTCTTTAGAGAAAGAATTTGGGGGAAAGCGAGGGGAACTTACCCCCGTAATTGGGGCGGATTCGGCGATCATGGCTGGCGATCAGGGAATCCAGGATTTTGCTGACATTCAGCTCTAGTCGTTGATCATAGGGCCTGAAAATTTTTAAGAAAAATTGATGATTTGAGAACTGAGGGGAAGGTGTTGGCAGGGATTTTTTAAGAGTTCTATAAGAGCGTACAAAGACCGCTGGATATCTTGGATATCTCCGAAAAAAGGGGAGATAATCTGAGGAATAGACAATAGGGATACAATTTGAAAGGTCTCTCGACTATTTATAAAGCAAAAAAAAATAACTTGAGGATTTATTGAGGTATCAAAACAATTGATATTATTCTATACGGCTTCTATGAGAAATAAAATTGATTTGAATTCACACGCTTACTTTGCTGGGACCATATTGTCAAATCCATATTCGATCTCATTGTCCGACCTGGAAGAAACTTCTTTGATCTGAAAAAAGTTGACCATCATAGAAAATGTACCCTTATTTGGCTATACGCAAACCATACTGTCTAATCTCCTATTAGCAAAACCCTACAACTCACAAAGTTCTCGTCATACTTGACCTTGCTCGCGCCTCCGACACTCAGCAACATTCCCAAGAGCACGACCACCTTCCCGACCATCTTCTTCGCATTGCCCGTGGTCGCTTAAACCACCGTGGGAGACATTGATTACCGTGCGGGCTTCTGAAGCCACGCATCAGATTACTCGCGGGCCCTTTAAGAACGCGAGGCCACCGCCCTCGGCCCTCCCTTGCGATGAGTGCCAAAAACAAAGGCGCGAAAACGCCTCGGGGCGCAAAATTAACGTCTTCAAAGGGGGTTTCAAAGCTCGCCGAACTCTGGGGTTTATTTGGCCTCAAAAAGTTATCGAATGCGGTGGGGGAGGGTGGAGTTGATGGACATGAAATTGAGTTAAAACGGGACAGTGATAAGGAAAAACAAAAGAAAAATGAGATTTCTATTAGGCAGACGGGATTTCTTTGAAAATTTCGTGGATTTTCGTAGTAGATGGAGTTCGTTGAACCGTAACGAACAAAAATTCGATTGCCTAAGAGCTAATGCTTCCATTACAAGCAAAAAAAGCGGATTGCTATCTTAAAAAAAAAAAGCTTTTTTCCAAAGAATTGTCTGATCATCATCTACAATATAATTTTTACCCAAAAATCATCAAAAATTTCCTTTTTACTCTTCTGATCTCACAAGTTTATTTTAAAAAACCACTCTTAAAGGATTTCCAGTAATAGTAATTGCCCTCAGAGCCAAACTTCCGCAAGGAAACGGGTAATAAACACAGCCAAAATCAATGCACATTAAAGAGCTTCTTCCGAGCTTCTCCCAACAAAACCAGTGTGAAAACAGTCGCAAAATAAAACTTAAAGATTTTAAACGACCACTCAATTTGCATATCTGCAAGAAATGTCTAAAGAAATGTCAGAAAAAAAGCAAAGTTCACAAGTTCTCCGAGGAAAAGTAAAAGATGTCCAAAATAAACAAGAGTATCTCGGAAGGATGTGTAAACACTAGATAAGGTCTCAAAATGTAAAGAAATGTTTACAACGGAGTTCAGGAGGGAGACAAAGTAAAGTTCTGGGTGTAAACAGTCGCATCTTTGACCTGATTTTGAGTTGAAGATTGTTTATGGGAAAAAATGACGTTCTTGCAAAAAGTGGAATAACTCAAAGTTCAATGTGTAGAAAATGGCAAAATTTGGCATAGATTAAGCTTATAAGATTTTTTTCAACTGATATGTGGCCCAAGCTTGATGTGTGCAAAATTTAAAGAAAATCGAAACGTCAAACTTTGAAAATTTTTAGCCATAATAAATAGAATGCCCATTCAAAAAAACCAGTGCAACGTCACTAAAAAATTCACGCTACAAGCACTGCTGGAGAAGTGATTTCCTAGAGGTCGAAGAGCAACTTTTCTGAACCTTCTCTCCCAATTCCACGCACTTTTTTGCCAAGCTTGTTAAGTATCTCGAAAACACCCCACGTAAAACGAGCTCAAATTTTCAGATTTGTGGTCAAGAAAAATATACTGACTGTCTAGACAATACTGCATGTCAGTACAATTAAAAATAGATATAAGTGGTCTTTTAGAAAAAAGAAATTTTTACTGGACAAAAACTAAGGTAGAAGGTGTTAGAAAACATAAAAGAGAGGAGCACGGCCCTATACCTTCTGTAGATACTAAATTTCAACTAAAAAATGGCGTCATAACGAAGTAAATTGCACCCAAATTAAGCCCTACCTTCGTCTTCAGACCCTCCACAACGTCCTCAAAAAAGTGTTGTAAAAAAATAAAAGTACGCAGTAAAAGTCACAAAATCTCAATGTCCAATCTCAAGTTATTCAACACAAGTGTCAAAAACATTCTGCTTACGTTTTCAGCTACATTATGGCATCATAAAGTCCACGGAAACCCAATAATTACCGAGAGAATCGCTTTCACTTTTTTTTCACAATTTCTAAATCAAAGGCTTTGAATAGACAGCCAAATTAAGCGGCTGTCAGGACAAGCTGACTTTCACAATTCTAAAACAACGCCTGTTTTCATAGTTTAACATTTCAATTGCACTTTATAAGACATAGTATAAAACAATGCCAAAGATACTTTTTTCGACGGTACGGTAAAATGAATTAGCCAACTTCCGCGTAAATCCGACAGCGTTGTCAATTTTCAAAGTTCTTGAAACTCCAGCAGAACCATTTAATAAGGCCGACGAGTCGGAAAAATGAATTATGGGACGCAGTTGGAGACAAACGATTAAAAATGGCTTCAAGAGAAAAAAAACATAACTTCAGGCCACGTTTGATTCCTGGAGGTGCTGGGAGAGTTGTAAGAAGTAATATTTAGGCCAAAAACCATAGCGTAAATGAAGGTGAAATTAATTAAAAACTTGGGATATCAAGCATGAAGAGTTGGTGGTTATTTTCTAAGGGAAGAAGATTCCCTGAGGGCATGATTTTTTTTGTGGATCAAAAGTGACCTAAGGGCGTATTTTTAAGAAAAAGTAATGTTGGTTTTATAGCCATCTATGTGCCATAACACCACGATTTTTTAAGACATGTTCAAACAAAAATAACTGTAGAAAAATCACTAAAAATAGAAACAAAGACATTCCTATCCTCTCAAAATTACACCAAAAAGTTTTACACGTACTTCAAGCCTTGTAATACTACAAACCTCCGAATACTAATTAGATGTCCCAAGATGCCCTACATGATATTTATATCCTCCCTTTGGCCACTAAATCAAACTCAAAAGCCCCGCATCCACGTCAACCGTCAAAATCATCCCAAATCTTGCGCCGCGCTCGAATAATTAGCCGCCCTAACTCGGATTGCGAACGACCGCGAGGAATCCGATTACCGGGCCGAGGTCGTTGTCCTCAAGTGCAACATTCACACTTCCAACGTTCCGCACGCCAAGCCCCGCCCCCCTTTTCCCTGACTGTTTCAACGGGCCCGCGCCGGAAACCATTCTGGAACACGTTGCCGCGGACACAGTCTTTTCAAGGCCACAAAACGGACTTTCAAATCAAATTTCGCCGCTTTAGCCGGAGCGGAGAGAACAAGAGGACGAGCACGGCCGAGGTTATGCTTGACTACGGGGTAATCTGAAGATCATAAGAGCAGCGGCTCGGCTCAAACAAAGAACCAGGAAAGAAGTTGCAAAGGAAAGAGCAAAAAGTCAAAAAGTCGGGTTCAATGAGATTTTTATGGATAAAAATGAAACTAAAAGAGAAAATTAAAAAATTACAGAAGATTTATCAACCAAAATAAAAAAAAAATAAAAAATAAAAATTACAAAAAAATAAAACCAAATTTTGAGAGCAATTTTCAAAAATTTCTAAAATTTCTAACATCTTTAATTCAGGCGTTTCAAAGTCAAAAAAAAATTAAGAAATTTAAAATTTAAAAAAAAATAAAAAATTTTTTTTGAGAGTAATTGTAATTTTACGGCCAAAAAGTTCATAGTAATCTTCAAAACCGCCTAAAATTTTTATTATCTTTATACTGTTCAAGCTTTCTTGGAGTAAAAAATTTTTGATGACAAAAAACTTCAAAATAAAACCTGTCATGATGACACATTTTTCGAGTTTTCCTCAAAATATATTTGCAAAAATTCTCCAGACATTTCTCTATGCTTTGGTCTACAACATGTTCTTGTTGCGTGTCCACCGTCTTCAACGTACGACGTAACACGAGGAATGTCAGCGTGTTTGATGGAATATCCATTTTCAGCGTTTCCCAAGTACAAAGAGCAAAGCAGCCCCAGTGCATCATGGCGAAGATCCCTGAATCTTTGCCCTTTTTTCGTAAATGATTTGTCTTGGGGATTAAACGACTCTGTCCGCCCACTTTTTTTGGGGGATTTTTGATGGGAATCCTTACAGTTTTGGAACAACGAACCCTATGTTAAGAACTGGGGTTCTGAGAAAGCTGAGGACGTGGTGTGAGCGACAGTTGCAAAAGTGATGACTCCAAAAATAACAGAGCTCAAATTTCAGAGTAAGATAAACAAAAAGAAGTTTCAATCATTTTTTGGGATGCAATAAGCAAAAGTTTGATTTCGTTGCAAATTTTGATCGCTTCTAGGGATTTTCATGTCTTGATTGAGACAATCAAAGCTGCTTTATATTCTTGCTGAGTAGATAGAGCTATCTACATTGATTCAGGTTAAAAAATTATAAAAAGCTCTCAAAAAATGATGACAATTTTTGCTAAAATCAACATTCCAAGCGAATATAAGCTGACTAAAGATGTAAGCTAAGCAGCAAAAACTTCTGCTCAGCATTTCAGAGACATACTATTGCCATTTCAAAAAAGAAATAGACAAAATTTTAGGTTAGTCATCAAAAATCACCATAATTAAAAAATTGGCATTTCTTTGAATTTCCAGATATGACCACAAGTAAAAGCTATCTGAGACCATTTATTCTGTCATTTCGCTGTTGGCTATGGCCATATGGACGGTAATTATCAGCCATATTTTGGATTAATCATCAAAAATTGCCATATTTCTCGCTTTTCCCCCGATTTTTATCGTTTTCGTATTTTATTCCTCATAATTAAACCGATGACTATTTAATTTCCTCGTTAACCATCTTTTCATGATCCAAACATAATGTTTGAACCCTCTTTTACGATCTGTAAAATCAGTGATTGGCCAATTAAAACATTTCTTTATTCAAACACATGACCAGAGTAAATGGGGAATGAGGGCACCGAAATTGCAAAAAAAAAACGACGGAAAACAAGGAAAACGGGGCCGAACGAGGGATGATGAGAGTAATCGAGATCTTGTTAACAAAACGCTGAGATTCTATTTCCAGGGAATGCAGAGATATTTTCGAATAATTTAAAGTGAAAGAACTGTAATCAACGTCAGAAACCGAGCTGATTAATCGAGAGAAAAAGTGTATGGAGTGGAGAGCCCGTTTCCGCACCGGAATGGGAATCTTTTCCTTTTGTGGCCCCCGCTCCGCTCGACGAATTTTCTTCGCCCGGCCCTACACACACAACTGGGTGGAGCCGCGGGCCTGGGCCAGCTGATGGATCCGCGCGATGGCCTTGTCCAGCACGCCGGCCGTCTTGCTGCCGCCGTCGCTGGCCTCGTCCTCGTCGGTGGAGGCGGAACCCTTCAGCAGTTCGTTGATTTCCTGAAAATTTTGAAAATTACTTTTTTTTGCGACCGAAACGTGAGATTTTATGGAATAATGGATGAGTGTAGGGTGAATGTAAATTACTTTTGGACATTAACGAAGAAGACAGAGGCAGAAAATTTACATATAAAGCACTTTTGGTATTTAGTTTCGGAGAAATGAAAAAATAAAAAAAAGCAAAAAAATTTTTTTGAATTAAAAAAAAAATTTTTTCAAAAAGTTACCGTAATAAAAGCCTTGAAATTTCTAACATTTTCAATAAGACGTAGAGTAAATTTCTGGCTATTTTTAAACCATCAAATAAACAAAAATACAAAAAAAATTTTTTTTGGTTTTTTTGGTAAACAGATGTAAAAAATTGCAAATTCCGATAAAAATCGATTATGTATGACAATTTTAGTACATGTATTTCAATTTTTTCCTATTCCCAACATTTTGAAAAATCATCAAAAATGGATTTTTTCAAAAAAAAATTAAAAAAACCGACCCCAAAAGTTCAAAATTAAAAATTCGTTCCCCAAACTCACATTACAATAGGCCAGCAGCTCCGTATCCGCGATGGTCCCATTATTGATGCTCTCGATGAAGGCGGCGTCCGTGGTCTTGGACCGATTCCGTGTGCGATGGTTGTGGAACCAGTTAGTGATCGTCTTCGAGGGCAGGCCCAGAATACGTCCCAGGCCGCTGATAATCGTAGGATTTGGTCGGGCATTCTTCTCGTACACGTATAACAATGCCTCCTTCTGACGTTCCGTTATTATCGTGCGTTGGAATCGCTGCAAACAAACGATTATTGTCGAAAAACGGGTGTAAATTATTAAACGGGCACTTAAACATTCGGCAGTTTCTATTGTTTCGAAGGATTCATAGCAAAATGGAGGCTGGAAGTGACAGGAAAAAGTATAAAATGGGGGTTACAAATTTTTTGGAGGTGAAAAAATTGAAATAAAAGTTTTTTCGTTACCTTAATTTTTCTATAAGGCAATTGAAAAAATTAAAAAAATAATTTTTTAGCCAAAAAATCAAAAATTAAAAAAAAAATTTTTTCAAAAAATTTTTTTTTAAATAACTTGTTCAAAAAAGTAATATTGTAAATAGTTACTCAATTTTTCCACCCAAAATTCTCTTTTTCCCCAACTTACCGGTTGTTTTTTGGCCGGTGATTCCGTCCCCGTATCGCTCTCCCCATTATCCACGCTCACTTTCCTCTTTTGGGTTTTGGCCTCGGGCGTTGTTGCCTTGGCCGTCAAGCCTTTATGGACGATATCCAATTGAGCCGAGCGGAGTCTGTCAACCACATCATTGTCGGCCAGGAACCCATTCAGTTTGGCGAGCAGGGCGGCGTCCAGGTTGTAGTCGGGGATGGTCATAAATCGCTCAATTTCGCCGCACTTCTCCGGAAGGAAGTGCTTGATGAAGACGTCGGTGGATATGCATTCCAGCTGCAGCCGCTCCTTGATGCTGGTCTTCAGCTCCATCGGGTTGAACTCGACGATTTGCAGGTCTTCGTCGATGGATTTGGTTGATGAACTGCCCTCCAAGAAGATGCCGGCAGTCGCGTGGAGGTCCTCAAAGAGTTGTGTGTAGTTACTCTCCTCTTTTCCGTGATACTTCTCGGCCTCGTCCAAGAACACGCGCATCCGAATGAACGGCTCCTTTCCCTTTTGCGTAATATTGCCCCAGGGCTTGGGCCGAGCGAGCAAATCGGAGACTGAGCCCTGCGAGAGCAGCAGAACTTTCTCGCCGAACTGCCGTTGACTGATGCCGTGCGTATTCAAATACTCCTTCACCTCTTTCACAAGCTCTTCCGTATTCAAAAACGAGTACTTCTCAAAGTGCTCTTGCGACAGAAGCAGTTGTTCCGAGCGCAAAGCGTTCTTCAGGAGATCGGATTCAATTGGCACTGTGATTTTTTTCGATTTTACAACGGGCGACGTCAACTTCTTGGGAGTTTTGTCCACAACTTTGGCCTTCTCTGCCTCCAAAATGTTGATTATCTTCTCGGTGGGGATGTCGTCATGTTTCCAACGATTTGTGGATTTGGTTGATGAGGCGGAAGACCCCACGTTGGTCGAGATTTTGAGACTCTCGGGCCTCTCAATCTCAAACTCCACTTTGTTGATTTGATCGTCTTCTGGGACGTCCGGCAATGGACTCAACGGCTTTCCGTAGGTCTCAATCAATGACTCGGCACTGGGATGCTCCACTTTCTCCATTTTGTTGCTTGTTTTTCGGGGAGAGAGTTGATGAACCAGCTCTATAGCTTCGTCGTCGGTAAGCCATCCAAAGATTCTTCGGAAGGCTTCTCTTCCTTTGTCCGTAAGTCGATTCCAAGGTCGTGGCTTGGACAACAGCTCAGATAAAGATCCCTGCGACTTGACCACTTGATTCATCACAAATCGCGCGAAAAGACGTTGCCCAATATTGTAGGCGATCATGATTCGCTTACACTCTTTCGCAATTTCCACCGTATTCAGCGCATGGTTGCCCAATCTACTGCAACTGATTGCAATGCGATCTTGCAACTTCTTCACAACTTTCTGCTCCTCTTCGCTCAAGGGTTTGGCTCCACTGGATGAGGGAGTGGACGTCGCTGGGGATGACTTGACATTCGAATCCCAGAAGTCGATTTTAATGTCGGATGAGCCGGCGTCACTGTTATTGATGAGAAGATTGAGGAGTTCTTGAGTGTTCACACTCATAGGATCATCCTCTATGACCTGTGGGGAGATTTCGCGCTCTTTCCAATTGGAAAAGTTGAAATCTGGAAAATCGACCTTGGAGGTGTCGGATTTCTGAGATTCCGGGTTGAATTTGGCAAGGAATTCGATGAATTCAGTGGCTGAAAAAGAGATATTAGATGTAACATAGTGCAGTCCAAATTTTTTACTTCAAAAAATACCCCAAAATTAAACGTCATGGAAAATATCATCAATTTTTTCAAAATTTAAAATTTTTTGTCTAAAAAAATTTAAAGGTCCAGAAAATCAACACAAAGCCTAGACATTTTTTGAGAGCACTGCTTTAATAAAACCCCAATCAACCACTTACCATTAGGATCAGAAAGCAGCGAATTCCACGCGGCTTCATCAGTGTTTGCGGGCTTTGACTTTTCCGTGTTGTTCTCCTTGACAAAGGTATTCAAAGCGGATAAAATCTCATCGGCAGACGTCGGCGTGACGTCCACATTACCACAGAGTCCATTCAACAGATCAGACATGATATTTGTGTTGTTATTGTTGACTTTTTTCTTTCTGAAATTGAAAAAATGAAAAAAATGTCGGGATTTTTGGAAATTAGGGGAAGTTTTTAGTGTAAAACGGTTTTAACAGGAAGTTTAATTGAATTAGTTCGTAGTAATGTGGTCATTGTAAAAGCAGAAGGTGTATTTTAGCGGAACAATGGGATAAAAATTCTGCAATTTGAGAGTTTTCCCGTCAAATCATCAAAAATATTATCCATGATCCAAAAAACTCGACCAATCCAAAAAATTTTGAATTTTTTGAATTTTCCAACGCAAAAAGTTTTTAAAACAACCACTCACTTGCTCGACTTCTTCTTCGGCGGCGTGACGGCCTCGGTCTTCTGGCAGGAACATGTTTGTTTGGTTTGCAGTGACGTGGACAACTGATGAAGCCGATCCAATTCGGCCAGCAAATCTCCTATCCTCGCTTCGTAATCCGTTATCGTGCTAGTCATTGCCATCTGTAATCGTTTGTTGTCCTTTTCCAGCTCTTCAATCCGTTTGTTCTTCTCCACCAGGAGTTTTGTGTACTCCTTGACGGTGGTGTTCTTGTCGCTGATGGAGAAAAGTGCCTCGTCTTCGTCGGCGCGCCGGCCATTGTGGTTCTGGAAGCGATTGTTGTTAAGAAAAAAGTTTCATTGTGAAATATTTGTTTCAAAATCACTCATATTGAAATTAATTTAATCCAAAAAAGGCTTTGTTATTGCGAAAATCGATACAACTTGGCAAAAAACGCCTCTCTACATATTTTTTTTGCAAGAGCACAAACTACGGAAGGTAGATTTGGGCCGAATTAAACTAGAAACCCCTAAAAGGCATCTCCCTTAAATTCAAGGGGATCTGACTAACATCACCGTATCCAAACCCCTTCATACCTATTCTATCTTCCCCGCTAATACTCAGTAATAATGAGCAGAAAAAATAATTAACCCCTACCGAAGACGGCGACACATTCGTGCTGGTGATGCTGATGACGTCCGACTCGTTGGATCCCGAGTCTGTTGACATGTCAACGACCTGCAAAGCTGGGGTTATTTGACTGTTCCATTCGGAGATTACGGTAAAAATCAAAAACTCGACACGCTTTCATTGCCCTCTTCCAGTCTTCAAGCCCCGCTGCGTTTTGGAGCAATCGTTTTGGGCCGTGGTTATGGGACTCGGGGAATGGCCAAGAATGCTTTCGAAGCCGGGGCCCGTTATTGCTCGGGCCCAATCCGCAGCGATCAATTCGTTTATTCGAGAGGAAACACAAATCTCCTCCGGAAAAGAAAGGATTTAAACGGACGGGAGATTAACCAATGTTTTCTTGATTTGAATATCGAAATTGAGGAGGGGGGAATTGGCCGCCGAACATTCGGCGGGAGGAGGCCAGGTATTCTCGGCTCTCCCTTGACAACACGACGGAAAGTAATGAGACCCGCCATTCGATTGAACACGTACCCGCCAAGAAGGCGAGAAACTTGAAAAGAGACTAGGTAATCAGAGAGCGGCCCAAATGAGACGAGGCCGCCGCTGACCTGCCAAAATAGGAAGACGGCGAGAGCGAGGAATACATATATATATGTATGGGTGGGCGCGGCTCTACAGGGCCCGTTGAACAACGGCGGCCCAATCTAGTCCTTGAACAAGAGGCTTTGTACTCGAGGCACGGCCTGAACAACCTCGGCCCCAATCGATGGCCCCGGCCGGGAATATCTGGCATCTGACGGGAGGAGGACAGGAGGCGCCGCACAGGAAAAGTCCCATCGAACTGGGGCCCACAGGCAGAAAGGCGAGAGGCAGGGCGAGAAAAGCGAACGAAAGGAACTGCCTTTTTCGGCAATCAATTCCTCTTCAAAAACCAGCCGTGCCACCACTGAAAGGCAGCTCAGATCGAGCCGGCGAAGGCGGCCGAAATGGCTGCCTCGGTAACGCATTCAGTTGTTCAAGGCTTCCCTCCTTCTCCTTCTTGGGCTCGCTCTCCTCTCCCCTCGCCGCCACCGTGACCATGCTCGGCCAAGCACTTTTCCCGAAGTAATCGAAATCGCCGAAGCAAGGGGGGATGGTGTTGAAAGGCTTGAACTGAAATCTCGAGGACACCAAGGGGGGGGGGCAAACTCGTTATGAGAAGAGGAGATTTCCTCCGAAGGTTGTTAGGGAAAGAAGATTCAAAACAGGGATTGAATGCCCGCGGGGTTGAACTGTCATCAAGCGATTAGGGATGATACATCTCCGCGGCCCTCCAAGATGCCCAAAAAGAAAGTGAAAACCGAAGAGGCGTCGCCTGAGGGCGGCGGGAGCGAAGGAAATGCGAACGTGATGGGTGACCGGTAATATGAGGCCACTCCCGACCCATGCAAGGGATCGTGCTCTTTCAGGGACTCGCCTCCCCTGGCCCATCGCCGAGTCTTTTGAACTCAGCCCGCACAAATCCGGCATTCACTCGCCGTCGTCGTCCTCGTGGCCTGCGGCGAGAATGGATTTCCTATTCAGGCCCGAAAATCGAAGCCGAACAGAATGCCCTAAAAGGAGGAATGACGGGCCCCTCCCCGGCCCCAAAGACACATCGCTATCTTGATTTGGGCTGACCGCACTTTTTACCCCTCCTCCCGCTCAATTCCTCCCCTCCACAAAGCCCCATGGATTTGTTGGCCATGAACTGACGGGCAGTTCATGGGACTGTGCCCAGCTCCCCCCTTCTCGGTCCAAAAGACGTTGAATAATCGATGATCAGCAGGGTGTGAATTGAGAGGGGGCCGGCCGCGAAAGCAAGAGCCAAAACTGTAATCGCCAAAAACAATGCCAAAGTGCCGGAGATCAAGCGCGCGCCGGATCAAGTGGGAATGGGTGGAATAAGAAAGGCGCTGATCAGCTGGATGCAAGGAGCAGGTGCGCGAACACAACAGAAGCGAGTGGCACGGAGTGCGCGATCTGAATTAATTTGAGGAGAGAGGGCGCATGGCCTGGATCAAGTCGGACCATCTGTCCATGCGCGACCGGCGATTCGCATCCCCCGGCGAACCCTCGTTTGGGCCGAAGAAAGGGAGGGGGGCAGGCTGGCTATTTACTGCCTCGAGAGCATTTGATATTGAATCCATGGGCCGTATTTGCTCTCGTCTTGCCGGGCAACTGATCCCACCGTACTCCGCTCTCCCTTTCCTTCCGCTTTTTGCTTCGGAAAATCAAAAAGAAAGCCAAAGAAATATGGCCAATCATCGGCTGCCGGGGCGACTATCACCCCACAACCAATGCCTCAATTAAAAGTGAAGCCGCATACTGACGGGGGGCCCCCGATCTCATCTCCTCCTTTCTTCTCGTGCCCATTGTCAACGGGGCCCGCAGATAATTAAGCCCTCTGGGCGAATGAGAGGTGAGAAAGAGTGGGGGGAGAGTGGGACGGCGCGGCATAATTCATATTCGCACGAGGCCAGCACCGCCAAATTCACGACAAGAACACAGCGGGCCCCGCGGTGGCAGGGTTTGTATTCTCGCAGATCAACAAGTGTCACACCCAACTACAAAACCATTCAAGTGCGAGTTGCGGGTGGGGCCTGCGGCAAAACGACGGTGGGCACTGCCGTTGAGGGCTTCGCTTTCGTCTCGAATCAAAGTTAAATCGACGAGAAAGGAGATTATCCGAGCGAGCAGAAATTATTTTTTTTGGCCCGAAAACCCCCAAGTAAGTGTGATGACGTAACGCGGGGCGTGCGGCGTGATTGCACCTGCCCGCCGAATTCAATTATCACGCCCCGTCTGATTGGCACCATGATCCTCGAGTGGCGGCGGGCGGCAAAAATACTTGTGCCAATTTCGTGGGCTCAAACAAGACGGAATACGAAATTAAATTGGGCCAATTCACGTGCGCGATGGCCGAAGAGCCCCTCAGGTCCCAAAAGGGCGGCCAGAGCTCAAATCACGGACCAAGAAACCGGAGGCCGGCTTGATAGGTGCGAAAAAGGGAGGGGGGGGGGTGCCATTTCTCCGGCCGCTGGGCCGACTCCTTTTTCTCGCGCTCCCACCCCTCATTACCATGATCGGGCCCGGAGTTTTGTGGCCTGAGGGCGAGGAGGAGGAGGGTCGGTGTGGCAAGAGCTTGAAATGAAACGAATGAGGCTGACAAAAACGCGGGGGGCAACCCCTCAGAAATGGAAATCGATTTCATCATGGTGGGGCCCGCGACCACCACTCGGCCGCCCCGACCACATTTGGATTCGGGGGGATGCAGCTGCCGCGAATCGTGGATCAAGCGGGATCAACCATCCGCCCCTCCTCCTGCGACGCCCGTCCCCATCCCCAAAAGAGGAATTGCTGCGTTTTTTGTTCGTGTTCGGAGCGAGGCGAATGACTACGAAATAAGATCTACTTCTTCCCCTTCCCCGCTCCCTCTCTCCCAGGCCCTTATTTGTTCAGGACGAGCACACGTCCCAAACGCGGATCTCGATCAGGCTGAATCACAATCAGCCGTGTAAACAGTTTTGTTGATCCCGAAGCCCTGAAGGCGGAAAGGGGAAGGGGATTGATTGGGGAGTCCCCGACATGGACCCGATTCTCTCATGGAATGCCTGAAGAGCCATGAAATATTCGACTCCCAAGCCCTATCTTTCTTCTTCTGGCCCAAAAAAGCGAAGCTCAAAAGACGGATCGCTCTCGAATTTCGACTCCGAATATGGATGCGGATGGGGCTGACATTAATGTTGTTTGCCGGTGTTTATTCGGCAAAATGATGGACGGAGGGATCATCGCCCTTCTCCATTTGCATTTAAGTCGTATTTTAGTCCCAATGGATTCGAAATATCTTATTGGAAAGGGGGGAATTCAAAGAATTCGGCCCGAAAACACCGATTACTCCGCAAAGATTTACATTTATTACACTCTTCCGGTCGTGAAAATCGAACAATCGCCTGATTATGACAAGAAGTGCCTGCTTTTCGGACAGGAAACCAATTTCATGCCCCGAAGGCAAATAACCATGATTGTGGCAGCAGTTCCCCGCACCGTTTCGCCGTCTGGCCCCGCACTCTCTCTGCCCATTTCTCGCCGTATCCATGAGCCGCGCCCTGATCTTTTGAGGGCCCGTGCTTTCATTCCATGCAGAAGGAGGACCGAAGAAATGGCACCGGAGAAAGCCACCGGGCTCGGCTTCGCGGCGTGTCGTTAATCCCGGAAATATTGGAGATCATATAAATATAAATCTGCGCTCGGGGATTATAAAGTGAGGACAGGCTCCTTGATCGAATGTTTTTTTGGGTTAGCTATGACTTGTCGACTCGAACAAAAAAGAAAAAAGAATTTGTTTTTTTAAATCAGTTTATTTCAATGTAAGAAAAACAAACAAAAAATCACATAGTTAAAAATGAAATAATAATTCTGAGCTTGGTTTAAAGAATCATTGTCTTTTATAACACACCTTGAGCCGTGCAGAAAGCCAAGATATTTCAGTTTAAGGATGGTTCGTACAATTTTTTCTAAAATTTTTATTGTAAATTTTTACCGTTCTTTGACGAAAAAAATCAAGATTAGAAAAAAAATATTTTTCAGTCATAGCCTTGGCAATCTCGCGTAGAAAGATTGATTTTTTTGCAAATACTAATCTTTGTCCAGCAGCAAGAGGACTGAACCTTTAAATAGGAGAACATGCAGAAAAGTGTCGAATTTCGACCTGCGCTTGCAATAAAAACTGGGTCCTTTCTGCAAGCTGCGAAGCTCGCAGATGTCATAAAAGGAAAGTCAACAAAAGTCAGGATAATCCAGAGCATTTCCTGAACTGTCTTGGCATTTTGTTCACATACTATCGATTGACCAAAAAATTATATAGTAGATGTTAAGGTTCCTTTGAAGAACTTTTGGTGGACAAGATTGGACTTAAAAAATCAAGAAGAGCTTAGAATTTTTTTAAGGAAGAAATCTTTTTTGTCCCAGCTAGTCAACAAAAACACAGTCAAAGATTTTTTCCAAAATTCTGTTATATTTGTGAAGAAACGGCACTTTGATCATGGTCAGGTCAATGTTTTCAATTACGACGGGGTGATAATTGTGGCAACTCAAAAATTTGAACATACAAGTCTTTCTGGAAGGTTGCCGGACTTATTTTTGTGCACTATGCAAAAAAAGTCAGGGTGCGAGCGACAACTCGCATCTTGACTCTGTATCAAAGCCTATTGCACGGTGCAAAGAAAACTTTTGTTTTTTGTACAGTGCGTGCTGCCGATTTTAGTCCAGCGACTTTCCGGAAGGACTAGTATTGAAGGGAAAGACTTTTTTTGTTGACTGGAAAGACATCTAAATTTGTGCCAAATTTTACGAAAATCTGAGGAGCGCACTTGGATGTCTGAAAAGGGAAAAAGTGCAAAGCAATTTTTTCAGGAATTAATGTATGTAGGCAGCAGTTCATCTTTGCATCCATGATTTTTACAAAATCTGAGACCTGCACTCGAAGCCATTCGCTTGTCAGCTCCTTTTTCTCACCAAATAACATCCAAAACGCGTTGTACGCAGGTCATCTCTGTTGGTCATTCGGATCTGTTTTCGTGGCCGGATCGCGGCTTCGAAATTATTTTGATTCGGTTTAAAAGTCGCGAAGAACCTGAGAGCAGGACATGTTTCTTGCAATTCGGCGCTTAATTCCGCGCACAAACAGTCCGCTCTTTGTCGCTTTATTGTTGTATTGGGAAGGAAGGTAGGCCAATCAGCCGTGGGGGCGGCCGGGTCATTCCTTCGATTCCGTCTGGTCTGAATTGGGCTTTGATTTGGACGGGAATTCGAATAGTTTTACTAAAAAACCCCCAATACTTTGCTTGTTTTATACGATTTTTTATTTAAATTAACTCTAAATTAACTCGAATACGACTACTTATTATTCAAGTTTATTACTTATTAACATCTTGATTCGAACTAGTAATTGTGACCGTTGTAACGGACATAACTTTGCAATGAATGCCCGCCTACAACGTTCACAATCACTCGATCAGGCATCAAGTCCAATTGTAGCTGTTTTTAAAGCCAAAATTACAAAATAAACACCATGGAATGTTACTATTGTAAAATTATTACTGTCTGAGGTATCTAATCTTCTTGGCAAGGAGGGACCAGCAAGGATGGGATGATCACATGCGCCATACTTTTTTGAGTGTCCATATTGTAGACGCTGATAAAATCAATGTCAAAAGTGCGGTAAGTATGGGGTAGTCGGAGGAGGACGTCCTCGTTCTCGTAACGGCGGAGTGGCTTGTTGCTGGAAAAGGTTATAAATACGCGTAGATAAAATGTTTACTATAAAAGAAATCCCTCAAAGTCTTAGCTCGTGCTTTTGGCAGCAGGTTATCTATATGTTCAAATTTTGTGTTTACTACAGTATTTATAGATAGTGCGCAAAATATAGAAGGTAGACAAGTCGAAAGATAATTTTTGCCTATAATTTTCCCGTTTTTTATCATAGAATGTTGTTTTTGTGACACTTTGTGTACGGTACTAGTAATCAAGCTTGTAGTTTTAGAGCCAAAGATTTCGAAAGAAGTATAATCGTTTTAACAACTTCTTTTTAAATATCTACGGCCTTAAAATTGAAAGAAAGTTAGAGTAAAATACGGAATCAGAATGCGAGAAAGCTTACGGTTGTTCGCCGACGATGCTGATTTTTACTTGTTTTTCGATTTGATCCGGGAAATCGCCGATTCCAGCGACAAAGAAGGAATCTGAAATTCGGGAAATGCGATTACAGTGTTCTTTAGGCCTTAGTTACGCTGTAAATCAATGTATTAAACTGTCAACATACTTCTAGCATCGGTTCCGGGCTCAAAAGTGAATCCAGGGATCAGAATCGTATTACAGTTCAGAATATGAACTCGGTAGGATGAGATTCCATTCGACCATCCACTCAGCGGCATAATACGCTCTTCTCTGGGTGGGTCGACTCCCCGAAGCGATACAAGTTTTAGATGACGCTAAAATTAAGAAAAATTATATTGCACTTCCGAGAGGGTGGAAAATTCGAAAAAATCTTGAAAAGTATTCAAGATCACAATAAAATTAATGGTCTTACTTGTTCACAGTGATCATAAAGACCAAACCAATGATAATCACTCAATTTGGCGCCGTTTTGAATCGCGAAAAACACTTGTTTTTGATGAATTTCTGGAAGCGCCAATGTCTTGTCCAATGGAATAATTTTCCTCGAGGGCTCGATAAATTGGGAGGTGCCTTCTTCAGCCAAGAGCTGCTTCAGAACTCTTTCTCTGTGATCTTTGTGCGGATCTTCGACCACTTTCCAGGTGTGCTCATGTTCATCCTTGTCACGAGATTCTGAAAATTTGGGCTTTGAAAAATACGAAAAAGATTTTGCAAAAACTGTAAAATTGAATTGTAAAATACGCACTCTGTTCTCTAGCTGGTGCCCTTCTAAATTCATTAGAGTCCTCGCCCAATTTCTGGATCAAGTCGCTGTAATGGACGTCCAATTTATATTCTCCTTGAGATCGAGCGGGTATCTGAAGAACATCGGGGAATTCAGAGTCGAATTCGTCGGTCTCTGAATCTGGAATGCCGCTGAAAGGAGTCTTCAGGACTCGTGGAGGTTTGCTTGATGCTGTCGAGGTTGTGGATGGAGGTCTGAAAATAAGATTTTATGGATGCAAAGGCCGTATTGTAGAAAATAGCATTGCTTTTTTGCTTACAAAGTCTTGATGGCCAATTTCCTTGTCACAGTCACTCGAGTTGTTGGCTGAGTTGTCCTCGGCGTTGTTGGAGAAGCAGTTGTTGTAGTGGATGCCTGCTTTTCTGTTGTCGGACTTGTTAATGTTGTAGTGGAGGCTCTAGTTGATGTCTCACTAACAGGAGCGTTTGAAATTGCAAGAACGTCGCTTAAGAGCGCACCTTTTTCCGACTTTTTATTTAGAGCCTCTAATCGGGTTGACTTCACTGGAACTGGAGTCATCTTGGCCTGAACTACAAGCTGCTGACCGTGTGTTCGTTGAGAAGAAGTCTCAACTCGTACTGTGGTTGAAGCCGGTGTGGCAGAGGTAACAGAGGGTGGTGTCGTTGATGGTGATGTTGAAGGGCCTGTCGAAGTGCTTGAAGGTTGTGAAGAGGAGCTAGAGGTAGTTGAAGGAGCTGTAGAACTAGTCGGTGCGCTTGTAGTAGATGTTGTAGTCGTTGTCTGCGTAGTGCTACTAGTTGAGCTTGAAACCGGGGTGATGTTAATCTCAGTTTCCGTCAAATTCTTGGTCCCTCTTTGGATATGAATTCCGTTGAAAGAATTGGCCGTCACGGAAGCCCCAGGCAACTTGTTTTTGCCCGGAGCAATAAGCAGATGATCCATTTGAACGGGCCAATTGAAGAGGTTATTCCCAAAGATTCTGTTTATATTCCGCTTGAGTCTTCTCTTTAGCGCCACCTTTCTTTTCAAATTTCGATCAAAAACAACGGGAACAGGAGCTCCGTCATCGAATGGAGCATCGTTGATTTGAGCGACTGGGACAATAACCCCATGGCCGGGAATCAGCGAATGCCCTTTGTCTTGAGGCCGAGGTGGTCCCAGCATCATTGCGGTGCAGCCAGCAATTTTAGGGGCATGATTGAGATGGTTGAAGAAGATGGTGTATTCATCATAGGCATAGAGTTCTCCGCTGGTGGCGTCTGAGCTAAGATGTACGCCGCTGAGAGGGATTCCATAGTACTTGTCGAGGTCTTGCGCCGAGGCTAGGGCTACAAACTTGGTGGTTAAATGGAGGAGATGTTTTCTTATAGGGGATCAGAGTTATTGAGCGTTTTTACTGTACTAAATTTTACTTACAGGCGGAAGAAGACGCTGTCAAAGCTGTGATAAAGAATTTAGCTAGCATCGCGAAGGCTTATAAGAAATTTTAAATGAAATAAACTGGCTTTTATAGACTGTTTTTTTCAAATTTTTAAGGGCTATCTACATAGGAATGTCCAAACACAATATTTGCCGATGCTGACAAAAAAAATAAAAATTACGGCTAGGTTGCGCTATAGAGAAAGCAAGGTGATATTACAGTAACCCTAGCCCTCAAAACAAAGCCTTTTAACCTTATGACCTCATAAAAACTAGCCCAATTAGCACCCCATTCCTCACCTGTTAACAGACACAACCACCTCAACAGCATGGTGTTATCGAAGCGGAGAAAAAACAATCTCCGTGGAATTGGGTAATATTCGTTTCGCTTGCAATCGCGGTCAAGAGAACCATTAAAGGAATGGATCCCTTTCTCTTTCAGATAATTCAGGTCACAATCCCGGAGGGGTTTTATGATACGCGCGAAAACAGCTTATCAAAAAAAAAGAATGGGTGGAAAAATAATGGTTTATAAAGTGACTTACAACTACAGATTTAGTATAATATTATCAATGAAAAATTGAGATTTATCAAAAAACAAAAAAAACCAAAAGTTTCGGAGTCATCCAGAAACTTTTTGGATTACGTAACAGCCTTTCCGTTGCACCAACTCAAATACATTTTGATGACAAATGTCACGCAAGAAATAAAAGTGCAAAGTAATCAAAAAAAGAAGATTTTTTCGGATATAAAAATAATTTATCTCAATAAATTAACAGTCAAATTTTAATCCTAAAATTTACAGAAATTGCGGTCGATTAATCTTCAAACTCGCTGGCAGATATCGAATAACCGCAATGTACTTGTTGTCGTTGGCAATGAAATGCTTGGCATTCTCGTGAAGCCACTTGACTGGCTCTTGTTTCAGTCGATTGTCGTATGGATGGGGAAGGTTCTGATTGATTCCCTTGTTTGGAGGGCTTTTATGCGGAATGTCGTCTCGGACCTGGAGGAAAATTCGAGGTATTTTACATATTTTTTATAGAGTTTATGAAAAAAAAATCTAACCAATAAATAATTTTTTTTTTTACAAAAAGTCATCAAAATTTTTTTAATTTTTTGTTTTTAAAGACTCAAAAATCACAAGTTTTAATCTAAATTTTACCTGAGCATGATACTGGACAACTCCTGGATTGTCCTTGTACAAATCGCATGTGTGTTTGACCAACCCATTGTATCCGAATTGCCCAATTCCCAACAAAACCCAATCATTTGTTTCATTTTGATAGTAACAGCCTAAATAAGATAACGGAAATTATGTGCATCGTATTTTACCCTTCACCCATCGACCAGTCTCCAAACAGAGCCAGTTGAAAATGCCATCTCGGAACTTTTCACCGACGTGCTTTGTAATCGTCCCGTTGATCACGCATTTTGGCTCTGAAATAAGGTCAAATTTACATCAAGATTTGAAAAAAAATTTTAAGTCTTGATGCGACTAAAAGTAAATTTCAATTCCCACCTTGTTCATACTTCAATCTGATTTGATTAGCATCGCAAGAGTGCCAGAATCCATCAATAGTTTGGTTGGCTCCAACTGGCAGGACTTGATTGGAATCTGGTAACATACATCCAGTGAATTCGGCGGGAGAACTAAACCCTATGGTATTTTTGAAGGCTACGAAAGCTTACCCATCATTTGCGTTGCATCTGAAAGCCCAAACAAAGTCATCTACCCATCCATCTCCCTGTTGTCGACAACCTCCATACCAATCTCGGCAATGGCAGTCGGCTGAAGGAAATTCATTAATAAAATTTTCTCAGCACTCAGATTTTTTAAAAATTTTGAATACAAGTGCTATGCAGACCAGACATTAACTCTTGTAAATTTCGTTTCTTGCCTTGCAGTTTTAGCTGAGAAATTCAACAAACTTTGGCAGGGTACGCAAAATGCGGAGAGCGCCGACAGAAAAAGATTCCTTGGCCATTTTTGATTCAATTTCGGGCAGATAAAATTGATTTATAGTAGAAACTTTGACGCCTCCGTTAGATTAAAAAAAACTAAATTACAAAATTATAAGGAAATCTCATAATTGTCTCCCAAAAACCTTCCCTTACTACCTCTACTATTCATTTCCTCACCTGGCAAAACGTCCTTCGCTGTTACAGTAACCGCCAGTCCCAACAAGATGACTCGACCCAACATGACGAAAGCGGTGTTGTCGACTGAGAGGGATAACATAATCATCCCTCCCCGAGATCCCGAGTCTCGTTTGTGGGATGACAAAACCGGTTGTTACGCCGTATTTCCTTCCCTTTGCCATCAACGGAGTTATATCATTTAACCGATTGCTGCTCATCATAATCTTCACATCTTTTTTTTTATTATTCTTGATGACGTTCATGCCAAAAAAAGTCATGTAATTTCATTTTTTAGCGAAAATTCAATTTCCTTTGTCCATAAAAAATCCTATCGCAACAAATGTGTAAGTCTTTATTTGATTTATTAACAATACTTTCTTTTTTTGAACCGTTTTTACAACAAATTCCAAGCGTTTTTGGTAAGCGAAAAGAACATTTGGCACTTACAGTACGACTTCAACACGACTGCTGACAAATATTATAGTTATACATAAGAGAGGAGACAAGATTTCAGCCAAGACCCGATTCGGAAGTTAGTTTTGAATACGATTACATAAAAGGCAGCTCTGAGATTGTGTAGGTACAGAAAGGGGAGGACGGTAGTTAAGTTAGGAGTCATATACGATTGAATACGAATGGTGGGGCAAGTTGTTGAAGTAAACGAGATTGTGAGAGGGATTTTTTGGACAAATGGTGAGTAAAAATGAAATTACTCGAGAAGTAAAAAAGGGATTTTCTTTACATTTGGCATATACAGCGTCTTACAAAAAACGTGAAGAAAAGCCGGAGGCTATAACTTTCGGCGGAGGCGGAATTTCAACCGAAAAACAATCGTTTTCGGGGTAGAAATAGCCCTAATTCAGAAGGTCGCAGCGACCTCTGTTTGGACTTTAAAGTCTTGTTGTTTCAAAGACAAAAATTATTGTTGCTTAAAAATACATATTCCAAAAACGAAGTCTCTGAGCCGTCTCCGCCGGAAGTTATAGCCTCCGACTTTCCTTCACGTTTCTTGTAAGACCCTATAGTTTGGGAAGGAGTTTAGTTACAGAAAAATTTAGCAGGCGCTTTTCAAAGGAAGACTAAGATATTCAACATTCATTATGGGCAATACAATATAATGGCTAGCGACTAGAGAAAATATTGAAAATGTCATCAAAATCTCAATGAATCACTTCGACAACTCTTCCCAAAAAAGAACTGTTTAGAATTGGACCGGTCGAGTCTCTTCCCGCAGCCCTGGCGGTTTACTTTCATCATCTGCGATCTCATTCTTCAGCACACATTGCATTTGTCTCTCAGTCCCTTCGTTACAAAGCAACGGCTGCATTGATGAAGAGTTCTGTGTGCCAGTGGTCCCATTCGAAGTCACAGTCCCCTGTCCAACAGATCCGTTGCGCATTTCGCCCAACGGCAGCCGTTGCCCATTCGCTTCGTTGGTGGGAACATACGTTCGTTCGGTCTCGAAGCGAACGCGCTGAGTGAACCTGGAGTTTCTGACAATGAGTTGTGAAAAGAGGGGCTTACAGTTTGTTGAAGGAGAAGGGCATTTTAGCGAGCTGTCGCTTGATGGCTCCTTGGATCTCGGCGTTGAGAAAACAGTAGAGAACGGCGATGAAAATTCCCTGAAAATGGATGATATACAATAGTAATTGAGGCGATGATTCTAAAAAAAGGTTAAAGATTGATGGAAAACCCCTTTATCAAACGTAAATAACATGGAAAGCCGGAGAAGACTCAAATTCTCGAATTCGAGCTCATAAAAAATATGCCAAATTTGGCGATAATCCGAGCCTTGCCCTTTGCGAAAATACCATTCGAAAATTGAGCCACTTCTTTACAGAAACCCTTGCACTAACCTGTGAATGCTGCAGAATGGCGGAGCCCAGCATGTAAATAGCGCCCGGCGTATTTGGCTCATAAAAGAGTGGGATATTCGAGACTCCGAGCAGCGGAACCAACAAGATTGTGGCCTTCACCGCCCGCCAAATCTTCTTCGATTCGGCCGCACTCTCTGTCCGCAATTTCTGCACCAATATCCCGATAATCGCGAGCAATACGACGAGATTGAGGAGTAAGGCGGCGCCCATTGTGCCTCCCAAGATCCAGAGATGCCGGCCTTGCGCGTACGGGAGCCAGCAATACGAATGAGGTATTTTTGAGGTAATACTCGAATGAATAAAGGTCCATATCATCACAACGACGAAGGGGATACCTGAAAGAGAAATTTGATAAAATCAATGAGTTTTTTTGCTGTAGAATTGGAATAGAAATAATCGTAAAAAAGACCAATTTGAGCTCGCTGTTTCTCGAGGCAGCCAAAAAATTTTTACTCAAAGATTTTACAGACTTGAGAGTAGAGAAAATGAAGAGAACAGTCAGAAAAAAAAAGTTTTGTCACTGCCATCTTTGCGCGGAAAAAATTGATTTTTCTTGATTTATATGGGCATACAATTTTGTTTAACGCCCCTACAAACCATCATACAAATTCAGAACTTACCCCATCCAGTAAGCAAAAATACGGCATAGGGCGCGTCGCCGTATCGCATCGCGAAAACGGTGAATCGACTGTACAAATAGATCCCCTCGATCAACATCCACATGACGGACGCCACTTGGAAGTAGATCACCAGCCATATCACCATCTTGCATAGCCATTCCTAAAAACGAAATTTTTGAAAAATTGAAAAAAAGAGGGGGAAAATATTGGTAAAAAAGTCCTAAAAAACTTATCAATCCACTTTTTTTTGAAAATTTTGGAAGTCCAAAATTTACTTACCAAACTTTTTATGGGCTGCGGCACATACTGATTGCAGTCATGGAAGGCGTTGGACGAATTTAGAACTGTCCAAATCGCCAAAACGGCGAATCGAAAGACGAATGCCAACGCGAGATTCTTGTGTATTTGTAAGCGCCGGCATTGAATGGAGTCAAAGATTGAGAAAAGAACCAAAGCTGCGACGAGTAAGGCCACCGAGATCACTGATAAGGTTAGAGACACGTTGATTACGGTTTCCCGGAGGGGATCGGGGCACTGAAAATGGGAAAATATATGGGGGCAAAATGTGATTCAGGGAGAAAAAAAGTCGGAAAATTTTTGTTTTAAAAAAATCTAAAAAATCCGTCATGATGACATATTTTTGAAGATTTAAGAAAACGACATAAAAAATGATTTTTATAGGGCCAAAAAGTCGCGAAAAAACACCAGAAAACCTGTCATGACGACATATTTTTTTAAAATTTTTAAATTCACTTCAATGATGACAGGGTTTTTAGAATTTTTATTTTTTGTCGTTTTATGAGATGAACTCTAGAGATGGGATAAAAAGTTTAAAATTGCCACTTACCGTTTGACAATAGCCCGCCACACATCTCCGATGCCGCTCCAAGACTTCGATGCATTGCGAATACACCGAATCGTTCCAAACTCCGCTCGGCTGACAGACTCGGCTCACCTTGTATTCGCCTGTAATACACGTTATATTCAGATATTTTAAAATTACACTCTGTCACTAAGCTAGCAAATATTTTCTTCGGGTTTGATTTCAAATAAATTCATTTCAAATCAACTTACTGGCTATCCGATCACATCCAGGAATTGATGTGCAAAATTGAAAGGGACAGTCCCGATAGCCGGTGGATCCGGCGCTCACATTATACCAGCATAAGGACTTGTCAAAGTGCGGTGCACATCGCTTTACGGCGCTGAAAAAAATTGCCTTATATTGCGACAGCTAAAACGGGGAAGCCAACGTGAAAGTTTTGAAGAGAAAATTCTTGGTAAGGGATTACAAATCAATCGTGATTTATAGCTCGAAAATTGTCGAAAAGCTCCATTATTTTTTGATTTTCAGGATCAAAGATTAACACTTAGTTTCTCACCTTTGATTTTCAAAATACGGTAGTCAAAAAAAATTTTTTGGTCTCTTCATTGACGCAACACAAAGATCGTTGAATATCTCCGCTGTTTCTGCATTGCGCAAGCCAAAATTTTCAGTTGTTATTTTCTGGCTATGATAGAAAAACCATGCGAAAATATGGCAGAAATTTGGGACTTCCCCTTGGGGCTACAGTCTTTTAAAGTTAGCACATATTTGATCACCAAAATTTCAAATTTTGCTATCCCTTGCCGATCCTTTTTGAAACGGCAACAGTAGACGTCAAATTCATAAAAATTACAACTCACCTTGGCAGCCGCGTGTAGATGTTCTTGTGGTAATCGGCGTAGGCGCTACATGTGGCGTTCTCCCGCAGTAAAAACGACATGAAACGCGAGTCGTTTCCGTTCTGGGATGGCGTCAACTCAGTCTTCCGTTTCGGCCTGTAAAACATGTCATTGTCATGTGTTGGGGAGGCTTATTTCGGAAACAAAGGAATGTTTTAAAAAAAATCTCTCGCCAACTTTATCTCCTTGCCCCATTCCTCAAAACTCTTTTTTAGACTTTTGTGCCCTCCGGGGGATTCGAGGCATGGGGGCCGCGCTGTCGAGTATGGAAATTTTGGGTTGAGGAAGGGATAAATGGGGTGATAGATGAGGTCGAAATGGGTACATTCCCATGTTATACATGACGATTTGAAAGAAATTTTTACGAAATCTCAATTTTTTTATCAAAAATATTATAACAAATACCCTCTAAAATCAAAGAAAAGAATATAAAATCGAAAAAAAACAAAAAAATCTACATAAAAGTTCTAAAAAGTTTGACAACGTCATCAAAAAAAGGTTGCAAATTCGCCATCCACGTAGACGCCATAAGGAAATAAAAATAAACCGGCCGCGCCTACAAATGAGCTCCATTTAAGAAGTTGGCTGAGAATACCACTAATGAAGAGGACACATGGCCATTTACAGTCATGTAAATAAAGCCGATACACGGAAACTGGGAGTTCACGGCAGACGAAATTAAAGCTTCAAATTAACAAGCTGGGAAGCAAGAAAGGGGCGATAAAATTTATTTTAAAGTGTTGCGAAGTCTGCAAGGGAAATTTTAACATCAAAGCTTTAGTTAAAAATGTGGCTAAAAATCGCAAATATGGACTATAAAGGATATATAAATGACTAATTCTAACTTTCCATTGTCCCCTCATACATAGCTCGCCTTAGTCGACGGTGTGAACAGCTAATAAGCTACATTTTTTGTCGGTTTTGTCCAAAAAAGGTCCCAAATTCTCAGAAGTCCACTCCAAAACGGAAATGACAGTGCACAGACGACTTCTCCCCCCTCTCTACCTATTTGGCTCCTATAATTGTAGAGTACGCCGCGTGAAGACGGTTCTACAAGCTCCCATTCATTGGCTTTTTGATCTCTTTGATGCGTAATATGACGAGCACTTGAGGAGTTTGAAGAAGCATCATTTTTTATAAAAATATGATTAAAAAATATTAGATTTTCAATAGTTTTGCTGGAAGAAGTGCACATATTTATCGCGACAAAATTTCCAAAAGTCACATAACAGCATGTCTGATATCAAACGCTCGTAAATTCACATTGTAATTGGATCAAAACGGGGGGCTTAACGCTTCCTAACCTCGTTTGAAGCGGGGGAAAAACTGTGACCTCTGATCCGCTGTTTATAGTATCCCCCAAGGCCCGGAGGCGCTGGCTGTGAGCCCGAAATTTCATGGGGGGATTCGGAGAACGCATTTATCCAAAAAACATAAAAATGAGAACCCTCAGAGATCAGAAAAGATAATCAAAAAGTGGAAGTGTTATTTGCGAGAATAGAAGGGTGTTGGCTAAGTAAAAAGAAGGCAAAAAATAAGGTTGACTGAGGTAAAGTTAGGAGATTTATGGTAATTATTATAGGCGAAATATACTGTAGCAATTTCCAAGGATGCTTCGTAAAAAATCATCAATTTGCGAGCCTCAAAAAGCCAAAAAATCTTGTTTTTATTTTTTGGCTACGTTAAATTACAAGCTCTAATATTATAAATATGGCTCCTTTTGATTGCAGTTTTCATCTGAACAATTCAACTCTACAAATCCCGCTTCCCAAAAACGATGACATAAGGCTCCACTGAAGCAAGTTTGTAACCGCGCTTGGAATAAACAAACATGTCTCAAATTAGGAACGGCCCATAAATTCCGGTTCCGTAATCTCCGTAAATGGCATCGAACCCCCAGTGGCAACTTTTTCAAACGGTTTGCGTCATAAAATTAGAGTGGAAAAACGGTCGGCCTCTATTTCGGGAGCTCCGAGCGTGTGCACATGACAGAAATCGTGGAAAACTTTATCTATAATGAATGTAAACGACAGATTTCAATCAGTGGATTGAAAGGCAAAGTTAAGGTCGAAGTTTAGAGGGGGGATCTTTTGTAAAATACGGAGAGAAGTTGCTGTTTAAAATACGATTTTTTGAAAAACTGGAAAACCATAAAAATGAGAAAAGAATTAATAGTTCCTGAGGGCATTCTGCTGAATTAAGGGATAAAATGGACTGAGGGAAAACCTCGTAATTATTAATAGAATATAAAATTGAATAAGGTTTAATAAAAAAAAGTTGTTGTTTTGCTCAAACGATGGGCGGAAAAATGGCGAAGCCATACTTTTAGACCTAATATAAGAAGCATCAATAATTTTTAGCCCGCGCTTTGCAGAAATCATCAGCACTTTAGGATCTAATTTGCCGAGAAAACTGATTTTTTCGCAATTAAATAAAAGAAATTCCGCTGATTTTAACTCGATTTTTGTATTTTTTTTACGTTCTATATTAAACTAAATTAAGGTCACTTAAAATTAAGCATGTTTTAAATTCCAAATCTTTAAGTTTAGGGCTCTACGCGCATCCTCCTTTTGCTTTTAATTCCCCCTTGTTCTTCGCTAAATAATCGTCCTCTAAACTTGACGCAACCAAGTTTCGAACATCACATCCCCCTCTTCTTCGCCGTCTAAAACACCCACTTTAATTATTCCGAAACAAGTCGAAAGCATGGCCGAGACGAAAAAAGTGTGACAAATATTTGACGCTTCGATAATCTGGGCCCTGAGGGGAAGTCCGTTCGCGTCGGGTCTCGAACGGAACAAGCATGCAATCAGCGGCCCTAACTACGTGTATTTTACATATATGAAATTTTGTATGAATTCCGAAATGTCAAAGACTTCAAAAAAATTTTTTTCCCTTATTTTGAATAGATTAAGATTGAATTTTTTTTATTAATAAGGTGTTAAAAATAAGACACAAACTCCGTGCAGCGGAATAAGTCCAGGATTTCCGTAGATTTGTCAAAAACATGAGATTAGAATAGTTTCGGGCACAATGTTATAATTAGAAAGTGCAGGAAAATTAAACTGGAAAAACACCTCATAAAAACTTTAGGTCAAAACAGTTGCTGAAAACACTTTTTGATAAGTTCAACAAGACTAATATAAAGTACAAAACGCACTTTAAGAAATGGAGTTTAAAATATAACAGGTCATAATGAAGTTATGCCATATTTCATGACATTATCGTGTACATAGTCAATAAGGAAGTGATTTCAAAAATGTATATCAAACATTAAATTATTATATCATGAGCTGAAGGCATCTAGGAGATCCCTAGCCCTTTTAGGCCCAGTTATTAAAAAATTAAAAACGCACTAGTAAGACCATTGAAACGCCGTGTACTTCAATTACGTTCTAATTTTTTTCGGAACTGATGTATGGCATATCCAAAGCCAAAATTAGAGAAAGATCGTAAAGTCATATTTTTGGAACTCCTCCAGTCCCAAAAGGACCCAAAAAGGAAACGCGACAAACTGCTCTTTGTTTATAGCATTTCTTCAACCCACAGCCTTCGCCATAACAATATCTCTTTTCATTTCGCGACACTTCTTGGCCACAATCTACTCCAAAAAGGGATCAAAAAGTGACCGCAGCCCTACAGTCCCCGCAAACTTTATTTTCGGCGCCAAAATAAAACCCCATGAGGACATTGTGAAGGGGCCCGAATAACGTGACAATGCCTAGTTCATCTTCCGCTCCATCGTTCTTCGGGGTGCCGTTCCAGATTCCTCAAATAACCAAATAAAGCGGAATGAATGAAGATCCGGAGGGCCGATAAGATTCGAGTCAATTTAATAAATTTAAGGCCCCTCAGGCTTGCCGTCGGTTTCACATGGATGAAAATGGCAAAGTGCCCCTTCTTCGGGCGGAGTGGAATGACAATTGCTTACTATTTCAAGTCAAGGGAATGATGATGGAGACCGTATTTTAAAATAAAAAAAATCGTCGTTTCGTCAAGATTTTAAAAAGAAAAAAATAAGAAAATGTAATACGCTATGAACTAGAGGACATTTGGCAAACTCTAAGACCCTCCACACGCCATCAACCTCCCAGATTTTGGCCCAAAAATTGCAAAAAAAATGATACATCTTTCCGGCAAAAAACCCCGTTTAATATTAATAGAACCTTCAGGCTTCTGCTAATCGCTAAAAATTGTGGTTGTTTGCGGGTAGGGCCAAAAAAACAAGAAAATAAAAAGTCTGGATAATTTTTATGACTCATTCGTAGCATGGCCAGATTGCCATTTCTATAACTAGTTTATGACCAACACATGAAATCTTGGGCAAAATATGGTTTTTAGAAGACATCATAGTTAATTTCGAGAAAGTTTTGTACGAGATATCACTCCCACTCAGCCATTTCATTTCTGCACGGTCCTCCTGAAGGGAAACCCTTCTTCAAAGAACCAAGAATCACCACTGCCATTCATTTATATGGTGTTTATTTACCCTGTAAGAAGTTGCCCTAAAAGGAAGAATGAAGCCCGCTTACTAAGGGAATTTCGAGGGGTAAATACGACAGATCAGGGGTCTATTGTTATGGGCAATATACGAAAATAAATAGTAAGCGTCTGGAGGTGGTTTTGTTGTAGAATTGAGACATGAAATAGTCTTCGCTTGTATTATAAGAAAAATGGCCAAAGACCAGAAATGACGTCATTTTGAAGAGTTTTTCGTGCCAGGTGTAAAAAACGGAAAACTATATTTACTGATATATGTATGTAATCATAACGAGCCAAAGAGGAGCAAGACTACATTTTTCTTGTTTTTTTCCAAAAAAAGGCTGACAAATTGGCGTACAAGTTAGGAAATTGGCTGAGAACATGCCAAATCGGATTTATATAAATAAAATTTTAAAAACTGTGAAAAGAAAAACTCAATTTTTTTCATACTATAACAGAAATTTTTTGTTAAATTTTAAAATCCGAAACATAATTATGACCCTGACCTCTAACCTCAACTCGGCCATCATTGGAAAAATAATTAAACCCCCAAATAAACGCGCAATTAAAAGTTGGCTGCGGGCAAAAGTCGTCTAGACTATTTATAGGGTCAAAAAAATAAGCT